AACAACACCCTAACACCCTAACACCCTAAACACCCTAACACCCTAACACCCTAACACCCTAACACCCTAACACCCTACACCCTAGACACCCTAACACCCTAACACCTAACACCCTAACACCCTAACACCCGAACACCTAACACCCTAACACCCTAACACCCTAACACCCTAACACCCTAACACCCTAACACCCTAACACCCTAACACCCTAACACCCTAACACCCTAACACCCTAACACCCTAACACCCTAACACCCTAACACCCTAACACCCTAACACCCTAACACCCTAACACCCTAACACCCTAACACCCTAACACCCTAACACCCTAACACCCTAACACCCTAACACCCTAACACCCTAACACCCTAACACCCTAACACCCCTAACACCCTAACACCCTAACACCTACCCTAACACCCTAACACCCTAACACCCTAACACCCTAACACCCTAACACCCTAACACCCTAACACCCTAACACCCTAACACCCTAACACCCTAACACCCTAACACCCTAACACCCTAACACCCTAACACCCTAACACCTACACCCTAACACCCTAACACCCTAACACCCTAACACCCTAACACCCTAACACCCTAACACCCTAACACCCTAACACCCTAACACCCTAACACCCTAACACCCTAACACCCTAACACCCTAACACCCTAACACCCTAACACCCTAACACCCTAACACCCTAACACCCTAACACCCTACACCCTAACACCCTAACACCCTAACACCCTAACACCCTAACACCCTAACACCCTAACACCCTAACACCCTAACACCCTAACACCCTAACACCCTAACACCCTAACACCCTAACACCCTAACACCCTAACACCCTAACACCCTAACACCCTAACACCCTAACACCCTAACACCCTAACACCCTAACACCCTAACACCCTAACACCCTAACCACACCCTAACACCCTAACACCCTAACACCCTAACACCCTAACACCCTAACACCCTAACACCCTAACACCCTAACACCCAACACCCTAACACCCTAACACCCTAACACCCTAACACCCTAACACCCTAACACCCTAACACCCTAACACCCTAACACCCTAACACCCTAACACCCTAACACCCTAACACCCTAACACCCTAACACCCTAACACCCTAACACCCTAACACCCTAACACCCTAACACCCTAACACCCTAACACCCAACACCCTAACACCCTAACACCCTAACACCCTAACACCCCTAACACCCTAACACCCTAACACCCTAACACCCTAACACCCTAACACCCTAACACCCCTAACACCCTAACACCCTAACACCCTAACACCCTAACACCCTAACACCCTAACACCCTAACACCCTAACACCCTAACACCCTAACCACCCTAACACCCTACACCCACCCCTAACACCCTAACACCCTAACACCCTAACACCCTAACCACCCTAACACCCTAACACCCTAACACCCTAACACCCTAACACCCTAACACCCTAACACCCTAACACCCTAACACCCTAACACCCTAACACCCTAACACCCTAACACCCTAACACCCTAACACCCCTAACACCCTAACACCCTAACACCCTAACACCCTAACACCCTAACACCCCTAACACCCTAACACCCTAACACCCTAACACCCTAACACCCTAACACCCTAACACCCCTAACACCCCTAACACCCTAACACCCTAACACCCTAACACCCTAACACCCTAACACCCTAACACCCTAACACCCTAACACCCTAACACCCTAACACCCTAACACCCTAACACCCTAACACCCTAACACCCTAACACCCTAACACCCTAACACCCTAACACCCTAACACCCTAACACCCTAACACCCTAACACCCTAACACCCTAACACCCTAACACCCTAACACCCTAACACCCTAACACCCTAACACCCTAACACCCTAACACCCTAACACCCTAACACCCTAACACCCTAACACCCTAACACCCTAACACCCTAACACCCTAACACCCTAACACCCTAACACCCTAACACCCTAACACCCTAACACCCTAACACCCTAACACCCTAACACCCTAACACACCCTAACACCCTAACACCCTAACACCCTAACACCCTAACACCCTAACACCCTAACACCCTAACACCCTAACACCCTAACACCCTAACACCCTAACACCCTAACACCCTAACACCCTAACACCCTAACACCCTAACACCCTAACACCCTAACACCCTAACACCCTAACACCCTAACACCCTAACACCCTAACACCCTAACACCCTAACACCCTAACACCCTAACACCCTAACACCCTAACACCCTAACACCCTAACACCCTAACACCCTAACACCCTAACACCCTAACACCCTAACACCCTAACACCCTAACACCCTAACACCCTAACACCCTAACACCCTAACACCCTAACACCCTAACACCCTAACACCCTAACACCCTAACACCCTAACACCCTAACACCCTAACACCCTAACACCCTAACACCCTAACACCCTAACACCCTAACACCCTAACACCCTAACACCCTAACACCCTAACACCCTAACACCCTAACACCCTAACACCCTAACACCCTAACACCCTAACACCCTAACACCCTAACACCCTAACACCCTAACACCCTAACACCCTAACACCCTAACACCCTAACACCCTAACACCCTAACACCCTAACACCCTAACACCCTAACACCCTAACACCCTAACACCCTAACACCCTAACACCCTAACACCCTAACACCCTAACACCCTAACACCCTAACACCCTAACACCCTAACACCCTAACACCCTAACACCCTAACACCCCTAACACCCTAACACCCTAACACCCTAACACCCTAACACCCTAACACCCTAACACCCTAACACCCTAACACCCTAACACCCTAACACCCTAACACCCTAACACCCTAACACCCTAACACCCTAACACCCTAACACCCTAACACCCTAACACCCTAACACCCTAACACCCTAACACCCTAACACCCTAACACCCTAACACCCTAACACCCTAACACCCTAACACCCTAACACCCTAACACCCTAACACCCTAACACCCTAACACCCTAACACCCTAACACCCTAACACCCTAACACCCTAACACCCTAACACCCTAACACCCTAACACCCTAACACCCTAACACCCTAACACCCTAACACCCTAACACCCTAACACCCTAACACCCTAACACCCTAACACCCTAACACCCTAACACCCTAACACCCTAACACCCTAACACCCTAACACCCTAACACCCTAACACCCTAACACCCTAACACCCTAACACCCTAACACCCTAACACCCTAACACCCTAACACCCTAACACCCTACACCCTAACACCCTAACACCCTAACACCCTAACACCCTAACACCCTAAACACCCTAACACCCTAACACCCTAACACCCTAACACCCTAACACCCTAACACCCTAACACCCTAACACCCTAACACCCTAACACCCTAACACCCTAACACCCTAACACCCTAACACCCTAACACCCTAACACCCTAACACCCTAACACCCTAACACCCTAACACCCTAACACCCTAACACCCTAACACCCTAACACCCTAACACCCTAACACCCTAACACCCTAACACCCTAACACCCTAACACCCTAACACCCTAACACCCTAACACCCTAACACCCTAACACCCTAACACCCTAACACCCTAACACCCTAACACCCTAACACCCTAACACCCTAACACCCTAACACCCTAACACCCTAACACCCTAACACCCTAACACCCTAACACCCTAACACCCTAACACCCTAACACCCTAACACCCTAACACCCTAACACCCTAACACCCTTTTGTTGTACTCGATCGTTATTGACTCTTTCTCAACAATTCCTTATGAGTTTGCAGAGAAGAAAAGAAAGATATTGATAAATGCAGAGAGACTGTATTTGATTGAATTTTATGGATCAATCTATGAAAGCGAAATTGGAAGCAACTCGAATTGGAGTCGAGTAGCAGAATCAAAAATGAATTGCTATCCTAAGCAAGTGTATTATTCATAATTCTGCTTTTTCTTAAAATATCTCAACTATTTCTGAATCGGCTAAAGAATATTATTATTTTAATTTAGATAAAACAATCGTTGTTGATATTGCTTACTATAATGAGAATGTTTCACTTAGAAGAGTAGGTCAAAAGATTAAAGCAATAAAATGCGATGACCAGAATTTTAAGCTCGATCCTTGCAGTCAGGATGAATTTGATTTAAAATATATTACTTTAAACGATTTAGGAAAAATTCTAGAAGATATCAAAAGCTTAGATAAAGCAATCAAACTTAATCCAAATTACGCCCCTCATTACTATAATAAAGGCAAAATTTTTAATGATTTAAAAAAATATCTAGAAGCAATCGAATGCTATGACGAAGCAATCAAACGCAACCCATTTGAAGCAGATTTTTATATGAATAAAGGCAATGCTTTTTATAATTTAGAAAGATATCTAGAAGCAAGCGAATGCTATACTTATTTACCAAGAATAGCCCATAAGGAGCATTTTTTGGTTGGCCGGCTAATAGCTGGCTTGCCAAATTCATTGGCATGCCATATTTTCTGGCTAACTAAATTTCAGAATGGCGAACCAAAAAATGCTCCTTAGTGGGCTATTCTTGGCAAACAGGTATATGACGAAGCAATCAAACTCAATCAAAATGACGCGTTTTTATACTATGATAAAGGCAAAGCTTTTTATAATTTAGGAAGATATCTAGAATCAATTGAATGCTATGACAAAGCAATCAAACTCGATCCATACGATGCTGATTTTTACAATGAGAAAGGCAACTGTTTTTATATCTTAGAAAAATATCTAGAAGCAAGTGAATGCTTTGATGAAGCAACCAAACTCAATCCAAGCTCCTCTTATTTTTACCATAATAAAGGTAGAACTTTTTATCATATAAAAAATTATCTAAAAGCAATTGAATGTTATGACGAAGCAATCAAAATCAATCCAAATGACGCTTATTTTTATTATTATAAAGGCAGAGGGCTTTGTGATTTAAAAAAATATCTAGAAGCAATAGAATGCTATGACGAAGCAATCAAACTCGACCCAAACAATATGTATTTTTACTATTATAAAGGGAATGCTTTAAATGAACTTGGAAGATACTCAGAAGCAGTAGAAATCTATAGTCAAGTAATCAAAATGAATCCAAATGATGCCGATTTATATAATTGTATAGGCAATACTCTTTATATTTTAGGGAGATATCAAGAAGCAATAGAATACTATGATGAGGCAATTATTACACTTGTACCCAATAATCCTTTGTATTTCTGCAGCCGAGCAAGGGTATTTAATAAACTCAGACAAGAAGAAGCAGCATTGCAGGATTTTAATAGGGCTTATAATTTGATGCAAGAAAACCAAGAAAATGGTGTTTTCACTGGGGATGAATGAAATCTTTCTGAAAAAGATATCAATTTTATTAACGACGTATTAAGCCGAGACCGTATAGAGCTACTCCAAAAAATGCAGATTTAGAATAAAATTTGGTTAAATAAGTCATCACATAATAATTATATAATCTCCTAATTAGTTTATACAACACTGAAAGTGAAAAGAAAAGTACTGGAAATCCAGAAATATTAGACTGAAGCAAAGCATAGCCTAAGATCAAAATAATGAAGTATTCAGCTTCCCCAAAGCTTATCGTACTTATGGAATTGCATTGATAGGAATCTAAAAAATTCTGCCATCTGGATGCATAAATCTAATAATATCGGACTATCTTGACTCTAGAAAGGTGGCCTAAGCTGGGTGCGTATCCACTAGGGTACAAATGATGGAATGCTAATTAAAACTCTAAAAATAGTTTCCCAATATTCTTGCTTTCTCATGAATAAGAAAATTAACATTGCAAGAGTGTTGATAAGTTACTAAAATTGATAAAATGGAGCTTAAATTTTATTTCAACTTGCTTAATTTTCAGCTAAGCCCTAGTAGCAACTTCCTATATAGTGAAACAGCAAACGCTCCAAGCCTGCTCAATCAAAACACAGATAATCAAATATTAACACCTGATGAACTAATAATTAAAAGATCTTTCATTTTAAGCAGTAGAAATAATTCTGAAATCGAGAGAGATTTCAGAAGAATATGCTTAATGAATGATAACTGTTCTATTTCTAGCCCGGAGCTCAGCTATGCTTATAAAGAATATATAAAAGCTTACCATCAAACTACATCTATTTATTTTCTTAGAAGAATTAGCAATAGAACTGAATTGGTGATTTATGACAGTGAAAGTGAAGTAGAAGAAATCAAGATTTTAGAAACATCAGAAGTTTTAAGCGCTGAAATGTGCATTTCTCGACTTCCAAATGGCGAATTATTCTGTTTCGGCAATGGCAGAAATTCTCGGAATACCTTCAGAATTGATAGCGATTATAGAGTTAGTAGGTTACCATCTGGAGCTTGAAATAATTATAATATTTATCATAAAATTATCTCAATTAATGCTGACTCTGATAGCAAATTTTAAAAAAATTAAAACCATCTGGAGCACGCTGCTCGAACTCATCAGCTAAACCCTTTTAAACTGAATTTGAATGGCAATTACTGATTAATAGCTAAACAGGGAGAACACTTTTTAAGTATAATAGTATATCTATTTCAACAGAAATATCTATTGATTCGGAGGAATAGACTGAAATAATTGACCCTTGACTCTATCTAGAAGATTTGATTTAAATCAAAATAGATGAAAAAGTTTAGCACCTATGCCGCAAGCTGATGCTAACTGTACTAGTGTAATATTTTATGGAAATATTTTGATTTCTGGATTCTATAATAGAAATATTCTGATTTATTCGCCTGATATAGACTCTTTTTCAATAATGAACTATGAGCTTGAAGTATGCCAGGTAAAGGTCCTTATTAATGCAGAAGAGAGGCTGTATCTGATAGAATTTAGCAATAACTTGTTTATTTATGAAAGTGAGGTAGGTGATGAATATTCTTTGAAGCTAATAGTACACTCAACACATTACCATGTACCTTTCAGAACATATTGAACATACAATAAAGGAGGGATTTATTTTTGCAAGTCATTTGATAGAAACATTTTCCTCGGGCGGGATTTCCTTGGGTATTTTTGTTTGAAATTTTCCCTTTATTAATTTGTTTGGAAAACAATATTAAAATTTTGATCAAAAATACACAAGGAAATGCCATATAGGAAAATGCTCCGATTAAATGATATGCAGCCTAGATTTATATCCCTATTTCCATTTATAATGGGGATTAAAATTTTTTAGCTCCTTTACAACAACAGTGCTTTTTATGGAAAATATACCATTCTTTATATGAGTAAAACTGTCAGAATTTTGCTTATATTATACCATTATATCAAGCACATAAACAGGTTTAAATATGAAGGCATTTCAAAAATAATTCTTATCACCTATTGATTATCCCAATCCTAGAGCGATCTTCTAAACTATTTCCAATTTCCGATTCTGTGCCAAAATTTCAAAAAGGAATTATAAGCTAGGAAGAGAAATTGCAATCGATGAAAGTATGCCATTGAAAGTTTGTCATAACTAATTGCTTCACATGCCAAACAAACCAATAAAATGAGGATTCAACGTATAGGGTTTTCCCCTATATAATCCTGCAAGGGCTGTGAATTTTGTCTGAAGTCCTTTGGTTGGTGGAACCAACTCAGAACGTTCGTCGGACCAACTCACCAGCCAAAGGATTCCGACAGAATCCACAGCCTTTACATGGCTATATAAGGGAAAACCCTATATTTGAATTGTGTGACTCAAAAAGTCTATTTATGAAATCATGAAATTTATCAAGATATAGTCCGAGCGGCTTCCTGTCTGAACATAAAAGGTGCTTAGGCTATAAATCATTGAAAAGAAAATAATCTCGCAATATCTGTGATATTTAGACTGGTTGAGGAATTAAACTGAAATAATGAAAAAGGGAAAATTTCTAGCCTATAAGAGCTAGTGAAGAATCTCAGTTAAAGATTTAGTTCAGCACTCTAAACTAATTAAAAATCACTCTATAAGGGCAAATAAGCAATATCGGATGCTCTGGAAGTATAGGAATTAAGAATACAGAAAACCACTACTACAAGTTTTGCTTAAACGAAAAAGCAATAGTTGAATTAAAGGAAATAATAAAAAACGGCGTCATCCGGTTTTATGTTCTCCCAAACAGAGAAAAAAAAACTATTAGCTAATTTTACAAAAATTAAAAAAATTAGTAATCTCTTTCTCCGTTTTAATTAAAGGAGCGTAAGCAAAGTTGCATCAAAGCAAATCTGCACTTTGGATCCATGAATTTTTTTTATGAAAAACTCTGAAATATTTTTTTTTCAATTAATATAAATTGGAGGGTTTTTTATAATATAGATAAGAGGATATTTTTAGAAACCACTGCAAAATCAGGTGGTAGATAGCATGCCTGACCAATACATTGTGTGTTCTGAGTTATTTAGAGCAATCTGAAACGCCTGAAGCTGATGCACTAGCCGATCAAAGCCAGGTGGTGCCCAATCCTTAAATAGAAGAAAGGAAGAAACTCGACGAATGCATGTTAGGTAACAATAAATGAATAATAACTTAATTGATTGATTGAATTAAGGGAAAATTAATTTAAAGTTAATAGCTTCTATAGTGAATTCTATTAGATGGCGCGCAATGTGCCATCTATAGGAAGGCGCTATATACTTTTTGAATAAATAAAACCATATAATTTTAGATAAATGGTAGATCTAAGGAAATTATTTTGTTAAAGATTTAAATTTTATTATAGCCTCCTTTTTGGCTCGCACTATCGCTATGTCTCCAATGTCAATACCAACATTTTTTGGTAAAGCAGCTCCCTCATTCATATCAGAATACTAAGCCAAAGAAGGCTCAGGCTATACTAAAATTATTTTTTTTCATTGAATGAGATATCCCAATGATTTTTGAATAGAATACCCAATATTTTATTTTTAAAGATCTTTTTATAATTTATATTTAAATTTATTTTTCTTAAACAAGAAAAAGAGGAAATCCTGCAATTTACTTATCTAAAAATAGATAAAGATTAAATTTTTAAAAATTATTATTGGAATTTTATACTAGAAGCCTAATCAGCGATTAAGAAGATAGAAATGATGCTTACTATGCAAGATGGCAGCTGACATCATCAATTTAGTGGTTGAAAAGGGCAGGCCAATGCATGCCGACATCATCCTGCTGAAGGAAGAAACACGCGAAAATCTGAATAGCTAAATAAGTAAGAAACAGAAGGCTTAGGAACCATTAAATCTCGGTATGCTCATTACTCAGCTTCCAAATGATGGCTGTCCTGCTTTCAAAATCTAGCCGCTGGAATTACAATAATAATCTATAGCAATCATGAACTCGATAATTGCCACCTGGAGTTTGAAATAATCATAAATTTAATCCCAATAATAATTACTGGGAAGCACCAATTAGAAAAGAATTAAGACTTAATACTCGTCAAATGAATTAAGCTGTTTGAAATACCTTGCACATTTTCATTAGCTAAACTTTATTATATTGAATTAGATTTTAGGTTATTGATCTAGAGACCTGGAAAGGAATATATAAACCTTGTACAAATATTTTATTGATTCTGAATAGCCAAAAAGGAACTCACTTGAGGAAATATGAAGAGTTCCTTTTTAGATATCAGAGCCTTTAAGAAATTTAGACAAGGAGATCTACCTATTTTTAGACAAATATATATTATTTTATAGGAATCAAAAATGGTTCATTACCCTTATCTACAAAATAATTGAAAGTGTCTGTGGTAATAGGTAAGTTATCCGAGAGGTGCAGACTTTGCATATAAGGGCATGATTTAGGCCAGCAGTTAGCTGCCCTATTAATTGCATATATAAAAGGTGTTATTAATTTTAATAGAAAGATCTCTCAGTGTACTTGTACTTCAGCTCAAAACCCATAAGATGAAGCTTCCATTCAAAACGAGTTTTTATTGCATTGTACTTTAGATTAATTCGGTTGTATGATCTAATTGACTCCTCCTATACATAATATTAGGGATTTAAATCTTATATGCTAGCAAAAGAATTTTAAAATCTCACTATTTTTAAAAATATACAGCTATACAATTATTTTAAAAAAAAAAGCTCTCTCTTTAAATGTGAAAAGAATTTTTTGCCAATTTAAAGTGATGCAGTAAATAATTATCTGGGCGTTAACGCTGGGTTCTCCACAGCAATTGCGAGCTCTGAAGAGCCACCTAAAAAGTTGGAATCCTTGCAAAAAGATGTGCTTTTGTCAATTTGGAGCTGAATTATCACCTTTAGGTGGCTCATCAGTGCTCCCAGTTGTTGTGGAGGACCCAGTTACAAGGCATGCTATCGCGGTGCATACTTATAATAATTGCTAAATGAAATTTCGAGCAATTAAATTAGCCTACCACTCTAAAACATTTTCTTAGCATCAAGTGGATTTTACTTTTAAATTTTTTATAAATTGGCTTTTTGTATTTTTGAAAATAAATTTTAAAATTAGTTAACAGTTCTATGATGCCAAAATATTTGCTTATTAGGAAAGTTAGAGAAATAATAGTGCCTTATAGAAGTCTTTGGAAAATGCTGAAGAATCATTATTTCTTTAGGTATTTTGATAATAGAGCTTAAAGGAATAGTAATTAGCTGTAAGCTGTATGAAATAATCATATTCAAGATTATTATATAAAAGTAAAATTGCGATATTTAGTATATATGGATAATTTTGCAAAATCTTTGATAGCTTCTCAAGACTTTCAAATAGAAAAACTCCAAAATATTTTGAATAATGCAAAACAATTTAATTCAGAGAATATTCAATCACTTCTATCTACAAAATCAGAATTTTTATCACAATTTAACGAAGACAAAGACATGCTCGAGGAAATGAGAAGAGAACTTGAAGCTGCTTATGAAAAAATTCAAAAATATGAAAATATTTTAACAAATATCGAAAGATTATTAGATAAAGCAGAAATAGATGTTGCTGCTATTGAAGAATATGCATGGGGACCACAACAAGGCTATTTCAATGGAATTATGCAGACAATAAAATGGATAGCACCTTCTTTTAGTGCTAGAATTAATTAACATACTTCTTTCTTATAAGTTCACTTAATCAATTTCCTTACTATTTTGATTTGCAATTAAGATGCTCAATGTTTTTAAATATATTCAATATGTTTAGAATCTAATCTAATTGGCTGGATCTATTAAAATTATTAGTTATATCGAAATATTATTTGTAAAAAAATTTTCCTTGCTAAACATGTGGGTTTAATTTTTTAAATAGAAATTTTGATAATAGTTTTACGCTAGTTAATGAATGAGGGAGTTAATCATCTCAAATACTACCATTTATCGGCTATATATATAAATTACTGTTTCTAAGTGATTCATCTAAATAGGAAAAAATGTTTCTCTGATATCTGGATTATAGCTTCCTAATAAATAAAGTAGTGATATAAAAGATATCAAACTAAATTCAGTCCAGCACCAATAATCACAGGCATTTTTAAAATAAACTCCTATCAAAAATTAATGAAATTTATAAGCTTTGGGCAGAAAATGAATCCCGATAATTTATGCTATAAAACCCAATCATCATATTTCATTCATTAATTAGTTATTTATTGAAAAACATTACTTAACTCTTTCGATGAGCTCTTCTGCCAAGCGTTATTGCATAGTTGAAATTATAACTAAGAAGGAAGCTAACGTTAGCTGGATCTCTAGCCCCCTATTCAACAAAGGTAGCTAACTTGTGTGTTAAAATCCTGGAACAGCATAAAGCTAATCGGATAAACTAAGCTCTACCTGGTGAATATAGAGAACTTACAGAGGTTTACAATAAGTAAAATCCTCAAAGCTTATTTGAAAACGTAAAACATGAAGCGCATAATCGTTAACACTAATTCTAAATCCTCTTGTATCAATTAAATGATATTTATTGTTTTACTAGCTTGATCAATTAAAATTCTATATTAAAAAAATAACCTGAAAAAATATTAAAAATAATAAAATTTTTTACCTGCTCTAATGCAAAGGCACAAATAAATAGCGAAATCACCGGCCTGTCCTCTCCCGGACCTGCTTCGAGCTTGGGACCTTGCTGCAACCTGAGGCCAAGCCAATTAGGAAACGGGATCTACGGGTACTGGGCATTTTTGTCCCAGTTAGGTTTTCCCTCCCTCGTCCGGCAATGAAAACTTTATGTTTTCCAATAAACATTTGGGAAAAAAGGCTTTTTTATCCCTAGAGACCACTAGTGCCAACGATTAAGGCATAGTTAGTGCCGATATTAGCTAGAAAGTTTATCTCTAGCTGGACACTAGTCACTCAAGCAGCAGCCATCAAGTCCCAAATCTGTATACCTCAAGGCTCCAAGACAGCATTAATCACCGGGCTGAAAGCCTGAGGAACGCTATCTCTGGTAGAATCTATAATTAATATTAATGAATTTTAATGCTCTATTACAAAGAAACCATATACAAAAGACCTAATTTGAAAAATATTTTGCATATTCATTTTTCAAAATAATTCTTAATTTAAAATACCATTCTTACATTTTTAATGTATTACAATACATTTCATTATTATATTTAATAATGATTTCTTGAATCTAATGAAGAAACTCTTTTAGTTGCAATAAATATGTCAACTCTGTTGTTTATACTTTTTCTTCCAGTATTTTCTTTAAATGACACCAGCAGCCTTGGAGAACTCTATTTAAGTTACGGGGAATTTGTCCAGCTCTATTTATCAGAATATTTCGAAGGCAATTACTTGACATACTCTATAACTCGAACAAACATGACAAACCAAGAGCTTCTTCTTCAGCATTCATACGATTTCAAATTTAATTCCTTCGTGCCTTATGCAAGCCCCACTCCAAACGAGGTCCGTATGAATTCCCGCTTAGGCTCGTTCCCCTCCTGGAGCAATGATGAAATTCAAGTCATTTTGGGTTTTCATCAAAATTTCATTTTATTATATAATTTATCACTATCTACAGGGGATCTCCAAATAGCAGATCGCCAGCCTATCGAAACTGGGTATAATCTCCCAAAAATCTTACAAATTGAATTTATTCAAGATTTTGATTCAATAGATCTCCCATCAAATTTAATCATATTGATGAGTCAATATGATGTAAACCAAACCCAGCCTAAGATGAGGCATGACGTCTATATGGCAGGCATAGACAATTTTAATAATATAGTACAAAAAATCTCGTTTGTGGGATTAAATGAAATTACTTATGCTTCAAAGGTAATGCTAAGCTCTGGGAGTTCATTGGATCATTTGATAATTTATGGGGAATTTAGCGAAGAGAATGCTATTTTTGTGTATGATGTGACTAATCAAGAATCCCCCAAATTAATTCAAAAAATTCAGCAGTTTTTTATGTCTGAGGACCAGTTTTCAATCGCGAGCGTGATTTGGGAAGACGGTTTGCTTTATACTCTTGATACAAATTCTGGATTTATGGTATATGACATAACATCAAAAGATGGACTGCTTAAAGAAGCAAAATATATTGATTTAAGTTTCTGTGGAAGTGCAAATAGCATGTGGCGCGACTGAAATCCTTTTGATGACACCAAATTTACATTAAGCACTGAAAATGGATTTCTTATAGGAAATCTTCCAAATAGTATAAGTGGGTGGGTGCCAGGAATAGACTCAAATGGGACTTTTTCAGAAAGTTTGCTTACTCAATACGTTGGAGGTTTTTATTTTACTCAAACTTCAACTGATCAGCTCACAGTAATCTCAAATTTTTATAGTAGCCCCAGAATTTTATTCCAGGTGAGCATTGGTGAAGAAGTTGGCGATACCTATTATGAAGGAGGCCAATGGAGCATATTTCAAAACCCAGAAACCAAACTTTTTTATTATATAAGAAATGACGATGATGGAATTCGAGTATTTACAATTAATATAACTGACTGAAATCTCTGGATTTCAGGTGACTCGTCTTATTATGCTAATATTGCTGCTGAATCCGAAAACTCTGGCCATAAAACAATTAATACCATCACTGTGCATTCAATTCCTGCAGACTCCCAAGAAATTTTGAAAGCTCATAACCATAGACCTACAGTGATTGATCCAATTGAAGTTTCTTTTGTGGGAGACTCTTCAGAGCTAGTTTTAACCCCAACATCATATTTCTCAGGACCAAATATGACTTTTACATTACAAGCATCGATTCCTGAGTATTTTGAGGTTTCTTCGTCTCCTATCAAAAAGCTCAGTTTATTTTCAAGCACAAGTTTGCCTGAAAATGTCACAAATATTGAGATTATTGAAGATGGAATTTATTATTTTTATGAGAATGGACTTAGATATGAATCATTTGCAGATCCATATTATGATGGTTTTTTGATTGTATCTAACCCTTTAAAAGTGACTAGAAATATGGCTGGCACATTGGTTTATTGAAAAATGGATGATAAATTTTATATATCTTCTTTCCCTCCTAATATGAATACCTCAATTCAGTATTGGAATACAGAAATTGAATGCTTGTATTTTTTTATGAATAATGAAAATTTAATCTGTGCAGATCAAACACAAATAGATGCTTATGAATTTCAATTTCAAGCTATATTCATAAGCAAATTTTCTATTAGAGGAGAAGATTTTGATGGTGGATATCAATGAAATATTACTGGCTTGAAATCTTATACACCTTCCGATTCCCAGAATGTTTATTTATTGCTTTTGAATAATAATGAAATTTTATATGAAATCAATATGATAGAAATAAAAGAAAGCAAACCTTTATATAGCTATTGAGCCCAAAATTATGTTCCTCAAGATGTTTTTGGGTTTACTGCTTCTGAATCAATGCTATATTTTGTTCTAAACGATGGAACGATATATGCATTCAATTTTGCTTTAAAATATGAGAGAATAATCCCTACAAATGCTGATGGGCAGATTATTTCGCTAAGTAACGTAAAAGATGAATTATTTATATATTCAGGAAACGAATTATATATATACAATTGTGATCAGCCAGTTCATAATACGCTATTTTCATCCATTCATATAAATCAAGGATGTTTAACTTCAATTTCTGAAGCAGACAGTATTGGAGCTTACATTGGTATCTTATGCCCAGATAAAAATGTGAAAAACCTTGAAATATATTCTGTGGTGTGCCCAAATGCTGATTCTTCATCAAGTGTAGATGGTGAGTGTATTCTCCTAAGTAATATTGAAATTAAAATTGGAATGCCTAAGGAGGTTTCTGACATTATGGCTCATGGAAAATATTCAATTATAGCTCAAAATGGATTCAGCTCAACCCAAGTGGATATTCCGCTGACTTTTATATTAGATGGAGAATTAATATGGTTCAAATCCCAATACTGGGACATATCAAAAGATGTCCCATACAACAAAGCCGAGAAAATTGACCTAAGTGAAATATTTTTTGGACAAGGACTCAGGACGAAAATCAATATAAATGGCTTATATATTGAAAGTAATATAACACAAGGGACGCCAGCTTATGTCACTGATAGAATTCAGGAGAATGGATTTTATAACTCAACAGCCTCAGATATGTTTTACTCGCATACTATTATTACGAATACAAACCTTGTTATAATTCTTTCTGAAGCTAATGATATTCTTATATTGGATGCCAATAATTCTGAGATTGGACCATTGATAGCTTTAAATATTTCTGAATATCTTAATTATCCAGATGCCAAATGTAATTGAATTGACACATTTTCTCATGTAAACGGGGATTTATGTTTGCTGGCTACTTCTTGCTCTTATTATATAGACCAGATCCTAACAAATTCTACTGGTAATATCAGTATCAAAACTCAAATAAAATCAATAGTTTTATGGGAATTTGATTATAATCATCTCAAAGTCACAAATACCCTTAATTTAAGAACTTCATCTCAACTTTCCTTTTTAAAGATTATAGCAATAAACTCCCAGGATTTTGAAATCATAGGCTTTGATACTCCTCTAGGTGAAGAAGATGTTGAAAACCCAAACAATAACGTACTGCGCTTTTCCGGATCCTGAAAGTCTGGAACTATGGTTCTAAAACAGCTAGAAATCTTAAATTTCATCACACTTAATTTGCAATCATTTTTTGCAGTTATGGTTGATGGGAAAAACATTGACGAAAAATCCACGTACTACTACGTTGTCGATAACTTATATGGAATCAGAATTCTTAAATCTCCAAAAGATTCTACTTCAGAATTAGTCCAATCAATAGAAGTCCAGTATTCTGACCCATTAGACTCCATCGGAGTTTGTAAAAATTCTGTATATGCCCGCTCCTTTAGCGGAACAATGAAGAGGTTCAAAATGATCAACCCTGAAAAATTAGAAGTAGAAACAGTTTTCAATGCTTATAACACTTATGGCATGTCTTTTCTATCCCAGCCATGCCTCATTGTTTGTACAGAAAATGAAGAATTTATTGCGAGCTCTGTATGGTCAGCTGAAAACAGCTTTGGGATCAGGATTTGGGATACCAAGACTTATAATGTCTCGACAATTGTGTCTGATTTGTATGTTTCTCATACCTATGACCCATTTAGGCCTGCAAGCGTTAAATTCTTGAATTCAAGCACAGTAACAACAATTGCACAGTATGGAGCCATTTATAAAAGCTATGAAATTAACCCAAATCTACTTGTGATACCTAAGATGAGTGAAGCTGAGTATAACTCACTTGTAGATAGTTGGGGCACAAGCACGTTTTATATAATAATTACAGCTGAAAACATGAACAACAGTGCTAATACTACTGTGATGTGTAGAAATAAAAACCTAATGGGCAAATTACAGGGTTTTTTATATGAAATTAAAGCGCTTGCTTTGGATTTTTTTACAAAATTATCTTATTTTTATAGATTAAATATACCCCCTTGAGCTTTTATTCACAGGGTCACTGTAATGCTGCTGAAGAGAAGCCACAAAACTAATCACCAAAACGAAGAAATTTATTGGTGGGTGTGGTTCTTTGCTGCAATTGGATTCGTTACAACGGCTGCAGGTGTTTGGTATGGAATCAGATATTTATTAAGAAGGAAAAAGATGAAATACGTTGCAGAAAGGCCAATATCATATACTGATATGGAGCAGCTAAGCATAGATCTATAATTAAATATTCAATTTAAATAATGTACAAAAAAATAGATTTGTTTCCATCTCTAATTCCTGATGTACAGAGCATAACCCCACCAAGAAAGGCGGATTTTTCTCTTCCACCGCTGAAATTTTCCAAAAACCAAGAAAAACCATCACCAAATGCCAGTCCTTTAAGAATTGACCCAAAATATCAATTAAAAATCTCCGCAATTTCGAGCAGCCAAGTTTCTCCAGTCCCAATCCAAAACGTAGATTTTAGTAAAAGTAAAAGAAAGGCTAAGAACAAGTTTTCGTTTATTAAAAAAGCTGAAGAAGTGATGAGTCCTTTTCCTCCCCCTTTGGAGATTCTTAATGCAAAGCTTCAAAACAAGCTGAAATGCTCTAGACTATTAGATATTACAGTGGCTTTCCCTGTGAAACAGAATAAAAAAGAGTATATAAGAATTAACAGAAACCAGTCTTTAACCCCGCACGGGAAGCTTGCAAGGTCTCCTACTCATTTCGACTCCCCAAAGCAGAGTACTTATCCAGAACAAATTAAACAAGCATTTAGGCCAAAATTAATCCAGCGAATAATCCCGTTAGAATTGTCATTACCTCCCGATAAAATTGGGCTAAGATATGTAAATACCAACTACAAAGACGTATCAAGAGCCAAAAGATCGAAATCAGAACTTGTATCATACCTAAAAAGAAAACCTCTCAAACATCATAAAGTAAAAGAAAACAACATAATATCAGACTCCGAGCTATCACAAAACTCTTCAAGAAAAATTGTCCTTAATAAACGAAGCAAGAATCAGCAAGCAATTACACTTGATCACGATTACGAGTTGAGCGCTCATGATAAGCATTCCTTCGACGTAGCATGCTATGTAAAAGAATTAAGCTCTACAGAGAGCTCGAAATCTATCATTTCTATCCTTCCCTCAGCTTTTCAAAACTCGACCCAAATTTTGACGTTAACTTAATATTAAAACATATAATTATACCCCCAGACATTTTCTTCTAACCATTCTTCATATTTCTCATGGAAATCCTGTGGCAGCTGTGGGGAGTCTTCAATTTTTTGATCAAGTCCTTGCCAATAATGATAAAAATTAAACTCATGATTTATTTGTCGCACTTCGTCTGCTGTCAAAGTCTCAGTGTTTTCTATATCATTGATCCAGTCTTCGCCTTTGTTTTGGAGTCTGTGATAAATTGCGGATATTATATGCATATTTGATGGGTAGCTTTTTCATTTTTTATTGAGATATTTTACTTGCACTCTTAGTAGCTTTAAAGAGTCTATTTGAATTTCTTCAACTTGCAGCTTATTGAGGATTCTTTTGAAAATAAGAGAAGATTTGTATTGAATGAGATTGTCCTTAATTCTCTCTGGGTGATTTTTTACTAGCTTGTAGGTCACTTTTAGCATGGTCGAAATACAGTCTTCTACGATTTTTTCACTGTGGATTTCAGAAAAACAAGGTAAAGCTGGGGTTTTTATGACCTCGTTCCCTGAAAAATCTTGGTTTAAGAATTTTAAAAATACTAAAATCCCGTTAGCATCTGCCATAAGCTGGCTTAGATATGAGAACTGCACAATGTGGTTTAGCTTAAACCTCATCATCAGTAATAAGAATATTTTAGATATGTAGAGTCCTGTAATGAATTTATGTCTTGTGTGTTCTGCTGAATGAGTTGACTCGTTACATTGTTGGCATTGACAATTAAATCTTCTCCGAAAGCCTGCAAAGCATTCTTCATTTTCTTCAAACATCCTCAGAGGAGACAGCCATTCTTCTTTAATGTCAACCCCATTAGTATTAGCATTTGGGCAGCAGTTTAATAATGCTCGCAATAAGCCCACAACAATGATCTGTGGGAGAGGGTTTTCTTTTCTCATCATTCTCCTCTACAATAAAACTCACGTAAAACATTTCAACAGCGTTATTAGGTGGAATTCTGTGTCTTGGAGTCTCTGCTTTTAATCCTTCTAAAATCTCTTTACTCTTCCTCTTTGGTTAATTATTTTTTTATAAAATTTATATATAATAAATTGTTTTTTCAAAATTTAAAAAATCAATTTTCGTAAAGATTGAGGAGTAAATTAAATTAATTTGTAAAATTTATCCTTTAAAATACAAGCTGTCTAAATTTTAACCGAAAATTAGTTAGAGATTTCATTATATTAATTATCACTTATATATCAAAATATTTTTTCATAAAAAATTTTGTTTGCTTGCAGAGGGTGCCAAAACATAGGGATTTTTACAATGGTTTTATTCGCTCGGGGAGTTAGAGAATTTTGTTTCATTTTTATTAGGAAAATCCAAAATGAGCTCTATATATGCCAAATAAAGCATTGACACTTTTTTTATCGGGATAAAGCTGATTTCTGTGGAAATTTTGATTAAATGCATTAAGGCATCTTCAAGGGTGGAGGAATAAAACGCTGTGTCAGATTTTAATTCCTCTTGAGGGAGAAATTTAAACATAAGAAAAAGAATGTTTAAAGCTGTGCGCAGTTCTTGCTCTTGAGCCATGCTGTGCTCTGAGCTATTTATCTCTTCAGAAACTAACGCTAAATAGTTCGCAAGAATCGGGAGCGCTCCTTGCTCTGACAGTCTCATTGCAGCTTCTTGGATGCTTGAGATTCATTGAGCTCTGCTAGAATTGCAATCTTTCATTAATAAGGAATATAGAGCACTGCTGGCTTTTCTTCGCACTTCTTTGCTGGCTCCTTCAAGAAACTCCAGCATGTCGCTTTCATTTCCATTCCAATCGGAAAGTGAGTGTAAATGTAAATCAAGCTCTTCTGAAAAGCTGAAAAAGTAATCAACTTCTTCAAAATTCATTTTTTAAATGCATTTAAAGAAATATGAAAGATAATAAATTGTGTTAAGCTATTAGAGGTCAGATTTTTGGTTTCTATTATTTTTGATGAATTTGTGAAGTTCTGAGAAACTTATGTCCTCATCGTACTCAAAAATCAATGGATTTGCTTTGTCGTTATGACTAATGTAGAAGATTGCTGGGATAGAATCAGGCTGCAAACCCTCTGGAAGCCTGTTTAGAGTTCCTTCTATTTTGGCAAAAATTATTTCGCTGTTTAATTCTGCTAATTTTTCAAACATAGGGAGCACTTTTTCACAGTCCTCACAGTCTAAAGAGTAAACAAACAGCGCAATATCTTTTTTTGCATTTTCTAGCTTTTCATATATATTTTTCCCTACATATTTATAAACTCCTTTTTCTACTTCTTTATCAGGGATCTCTTCTGACAGCACAAATGGCTCCAAAGTTCCATCAATATATTTTTGAATAAATTCCGTGATTTTTTCTACCTGCAAAGATCCGTTTTTGACCATTTCACTTTCATTCAAAATGTACATATTTTTCATGTCGTCAATCATTAAAAGATGCTTATTCTATGTAGAATTTACGTTTTTGAACACTTTGATTTCATCAAGCAGCCATGTGTAGTCGTTTCTTTTAGCGACTGCATATGTGAACTTTTGGTTGAAGTTTGATATGGCTCTGCTGAATCTGGAAATTACATATCTTGTGCCTGATGGGTTTGTTCGTGGAGAAATCTCTGCGTACAAGCAAACTATTGTGTCAGCTTTTTTAGTCAGAATAGGCTCGGTATTGGGGTTTAGTCAGGATAATTTTCCAAAAAAATTATTCAGCTGTATGGTAATTAAGAAAGGGAATATAAATTATAGAGATATTTATTTTTTAAATGGGTATATCAAAAATCGTATCTGCAACTTTATCGATGTTTTCTATATTTTTTATATAAAAATATCTTTCCTCTTCATTTAAAACCAGCATTGGAGGTCTTGCAACCACAATTCCATCATTTATATTCAAAATTTTAGCGATTTCTTCACTAAAGGTATATGCGAATGGCAGAAAGTGCTTGCTGGCGTTTGCGATTTCCATAAATAGTTTGAACTTTGGGCTTCTTTTAGGAAAAACGCCTAATACAATTCCATCAGTGCTGCATTTAGTGCTCAAAGAGCTATTAAAGTCAGCAAAATTCTCAAAAATTGGAATATTTTCAGTCATTCTCATAAAAGTTGCTTCTATTTCTGCAGGCTCAAATGACCCAGTATAAATGATATATTTTTCAGCGTTGGCAGGGTAAATAATGATGTGTGGGTATCCTTCTAATTGATAATTCGCAGCTATTTGGGCTCCTTCTTCATTCATTATGTCAACTAAAGCAAATTCTTGGTCAGGCAATTTTGATGCGATTTTAGAAAATTGGTCTTGGAAGACCATGCATGGATGTAGGGAAGAAGAGCAAAATGAGATAAATCGGCCTTTTCCTGATTTTTGATAAATAAATTCTTCTAAATCTGCTGCTCCTATGTGTGAAAATTTAGCTAATCCTAGAGTGACAGAGAAAAGGAAGAGAAGAAACTCCATTTACTAACTCCCCCCCCCCCCCCCTCCGTGAGCGAACAAAACCATAGAAAAATCGCCATTTTTTGACCAAAAACCCACCCTCCGTGAGTGAACAAAAATTTTTTTTAATAGAAAAAATTTTAATGGAAAAAAAAATTTTGATATATAAGTGATAATTAGTATAATGAAATCTAGAGCTAATTCTGTTTAATTTTAAACAAATTGCGTTTTAAAACATAAATTTTGCAAATTAAATTAATATTTGCTTCCCAATTTTTGCAAATTAGGATTTTTTTAAATTTCGAAAAAAAATATTCTTTATAAAATTTATATATAAATTTTTTTTTAAAAAAAAAAAATTAACCCCCCTCCGTGAGCGAACAAAATTTTTTTGTTCGCTCACGGAGGGGGGGGGGGAGTAAGAGAGATTAGCATCAGATAAATAGTCAAGCCTTCACAGAAATTATGATTGTGATGCAATGAAGTTAGAAAGCTCAAATTTCCCTCTGGCTTGAATTTTAGTTATATGCAAGAAATTGGCTCAAAGCCCCTAAAATTCATTCATTGTATAGAAATACTTACTTAGCCATCTAAAATGTGCAAGTTAATTGAAAAAAATCTACATGAGTAAGAAAATTCTTTTAACTTATTAAATTTTTCATGTAATTTTTGAAAATAAAAATAATAGTTCTTGCACATTATCACAGCTTTCAAAAAAATATTGCACGATATCGGAGAGGAAAGCCAGGAAAAAAATATTGGAGTAGTATCAACACATAGAAACAATTCTATATGCTAATTAGTTACGCCGTCTATATCGCACACCTACTAAAATGTGCCATTTATTATTGCTCGCTTAGCTAAACAAATTACATATTTTAATCACAAATAGCATATATTAAGGCGCTCATTCTTTAAAAATTAGAATTCAATAGCACTTGCTCAAAAATTGATTGAGCCTTAATGGCAAATGCTGTATCATTTTCTATAAAGCAATTTTCTAATTACTGTTCTAGCGAAAGCACAACTTTGAGTTTGTTTGTTGATGCTTACGTAACACATAAGAAAAGCCTTATATGCTATAGAAGGCACCATCACTCTTGCACTTTCATAGAGCTGTGCATGGTTGGCTTATGTTGGGGTAGTAGTATAGCGAGTGCTCCCCTATAGATCTTTAAGAAAAATGCCTTTCAAAAAAAAAACTTAGTTTAAAATTCCAAAAAAAGCTAAAAAGTCAAATTCATTTTAAAAATTTCATTATATACATCCTATTTGTCAATTCTAAAATTGACTTTCCAGATTTTTCTTTAATTTAAAATTATTTAAAAGTAATTGTCCTGAGATCTAAAGTGAGGCTTGTGCTATAACACAAAGAAATGGTCCTCTGTGCTAATTGTATCTCCGTCTCTTTCACACTTGCTTATAGCTCGTGCTATAAATACATTTGCAAGCAAAATCCGCTTAAAAAGAGAAGAATATAATAGGCTCTTCTTAATTATTATCCACTAAAAAAAACTAATCCATTTCATTTATTCCAGGTCAGATAATAATTTGAAAATGAACACTGATCAACGTGTCTCGGCTCTCTTCAGTAAACCAGGAAATCAGACGTGTGCTGACTGTAATTCAAGGAACCCACGCTGGCTCAGTATTCCATTAGGGGTATTTATCTGTATTCAATGCAGCGGCATGCATAGACACTTGGGGACTCACATTTCCTTTGTCCGCTCAGCTACACTTGATAAGTGGACTCCAGAGCAGCTCCACATCTTTGAAAGATTAGATAACAACGTGGCGAATGCTTATTGGGAAAAGCATATGCAGGATTCGAATTTGAAACCTAAAGAAACTGACAGCCCGCAAAAGGTCTTGAGCTTTCTTACTGTCTCCTCTATGAGCGAACAAAAAATTTGGATTTTAGTAAATTTTTTTTCTGAAAAAATCCATTTTCGTAAGTAAAAATTTATTTAAATTCCAAATTTATGTATTAAAATGAAAGCTGTTTAAAATTTAGCAGAATTAGCTTGAGATTTCATTATACTAATTATCACTTATATACCAAATATTTTTTTCATAAAATATAGAATTTCCCATATTTGACTATTTGCCCTTGATTTGCCCACTTGAAAATTTTTTTTGGCTCGACCAGTACCATATGGTTTGGTCTAATCAAAAAATTTTCTCAGTGAGCAAATCAAGGGCAAACAGCGCCATCTATGGGAAAATTCTATAATTTTAGTTCATTGTTTTGTCCAAAAAAATCGAGATTTTCAATGGTTTGTTCGCTCACGGAGGGGATTAGGGAAAAATACGAGCATAAAAAATGGGTAAACAAGGACGAGTTGAATCCTGTCCAAAGAATCAAAAGAGGTGAAACAGTCCAGCAGCCTAAAGCCCAAGAAGACAAGCAGCCTAAGGCTCAAGCCATGAAGCCCAGAGCGCCGCAAACAAACTCAATCAATTTATTAGACGGTGATTTTATAGCTCCTTCATCCCAGCCTAGAAATGCAGTTCTAAACGACGATTTTATCCGCTTCGATCTTGTAGTTGATGTCCCTGCAATCCAAGAAACTAAGTCTATTAACACCTGGCCAGCAACAAACAGCATCGTTTTTCAAGAAAGAAATGTAGAAGAGAGAAACTTCAAGCAAATCGAAGAAAGAAACACCAAAACCCTTGACGACAGAGACAAGAAAATCCGAGATGTGATGGCAATGTACAATAATAATAGTCTGCAAAGTCCAGACATGAACCGAAACACTCAGCAACAAAAGCAACAATTTCAGTCTTTAGGAGCTCTTGCCGCACAGAAGTTTTTATCAGGAGAGAGAGCCGACTTTGGGTATAGCAATAGCTACTGGCCAAGTTTCTAAATTTAATTACTTATTGTATATACATAAAATGACGTATGGCGACCGACCCACCCTCTCAGTGGTGGTTACCCATGTATATCCGGGCATGGTTTTTGGAGCCAGGAATTAGCCCAACAACATCTGGGACCTCGAAGCGAGAGGCCTAAGCGCGAGAGCCGCTGCTTTTGCGACCAGATCCATGGGCAGTTATTCGTGACTTCTTTTTGCCAGCAGCGCTCAGCCCAGTGAGTGCCCGAAATGAGGCAGGGTGAATTACCTGCCTAAGCTGCTTTAGTGGCTCGCCCCGAATGGCGAAAGCTGTTGAGTTCTTTCTCGGGATGACCGGAAAAGAGGGGAGGCGAGTTAGACACCAAAACGGGGGTCTCTCCAGTTGAAAAGGTGCCCTTCAATGGGCAGATCTGGCGGACGACGAAGCGGAGTTGGCGTAAACTTAGGCGACGATCCAAGTTGGAAATGGAGGTGGTCAGCAAAGCCGGTATGAGACGGCCCTTGACAATGCCTCTACCGAGAAACCGGGGGTTTCGGCCCGGGCTTGGTGAACGCTCTGCCACCACACGGGAAACCGTGGCATGCGACCTCGGACGTAGTAGGGACCTTAAATACCCAGCGTAATCTTAATCTTAATCTTAATTACTTATTGTGTGAATTAATTTTCAGTTTTATTTTCGTATACAGCATAATGGAGAAGGGGTATTAGATTCCCTGGCAGAACACTGGAAGCCCTGCTTATGAAAGTTTCTGTGGTGTAGCCAGTATGCAGTGCATATTGGTGCGCGTATTTTATCATTAAGGCTTGTGTTTCTTCTCTTTGATCTTTCTGGATAAATAGTGCTAATAATTTTATTACATCATTTTTCCCTTCAAGAAGTCTTGCTTTAAATGCGTGGCTTCATTTCCCTTCTGCTTCGTAGACACAAAACAAAATCGGCAAGCATTTCAGCCCAGATCCCATTAGAGTTATTTGTGTTAGATCATAAAAACCTTTTAAATTCCCTAGGAGCATTGAAAATAGGGTTGCTAAAGTGTCTTCTATGTTATCAGATATTGCTTTATATATGCTATACCCTACAAGCATTAGAAATCGTGTCAGCGACGCCTTGAACTCTTTAGTAAAAGACTCAGGCCCAGTAAAAGCTTGCAAAAAGTCTTCAGAAAACTGCTCTAGAGCATCTGCCACACACCCAAATGCAAAAGAACTTTGGTCTATTTCTGCTATTCTTTTATGGTAAATATGTGTCGTCTTTATTGTAAAAGTGCTATTACTCTTATACACTTTTAAGGGAAGAAGCGATATAATGTTGTCGAGGTTTGAGAAGAGAGGGTGGTAGGAGGAAAACAGCAATTCGACATCAGACAGTTTTTGGACTGTCCTGAGAAGTTTGCAGAAGGATAGCTTTTCAGCATAGACTAACCCCTCTCCCATCCTTGATCGAATGATTTTATATATTAAAGCATGAAACTCAGCCCACTTTTATCTAAATGCCTATCTTTGATAGTAATTAATATTAGAAATTATACCTTATAATCCTTATTACAATTCAAGTGACTTCTGGTAGATTTGCTAATATATTGCATACTATACCTCTTGTGGCTAGAAAATGAAGTGCTTAGACAGAAAAATTTTAATATAAAAAATTAATGTCATAAAAACTTTATATAATCATCCTTAATCTAGAGATTGGCCGATCGAGAATAGGAGAGTAAGAATTTTGAGGCTGGTAGATCTAGAGACAACTGCTCTGCTAAAATCAGAAGGATTATTTGTGAGGTAGGCTTCAAAGAGTTGAAATAAGCAGGTATTGATTGACGAAAGGCTTGGTTTAAAGGAATATCATTACTTTTTTGCTTATGGAGGATTGGCAGTAAAAATGCAACCACTGAGTCTATTTCTGTTTCATTATAAAACGGCTTGAAAGAATCCAGCTGCGAATTTGCCAGTGGTTCAATTTTCAAAGAGCTTTCCCAAGCTTTATAAGAAGGAGCGCTTTCTTCATTTATATGCTTAAGAATATAAGCTAAAATTATCGAAAAATGCCTATACTGGTGCTTATCAAGCTTTCTGAAAATAGCTCACAAATAATTATAAATCTCAATCCATAGCCCTCTTTCGCTTATATAATTTTCTGCAGTGGCTAAAGGGTATGATGAGCTAAGCACAGAAATTTTGAATTTTATTTCCATTTCACTTTCTTCTTCGAGCAATTCATTTAAAATTTCTTTTGGGTCAATGCCTCTGCTTTCCAGAAGCACGATAAGTTTATTTGCGGAGTTAATGTCCCCAGCTATGATAGCGTTCCTAAGTTCTTCTTTTTTATCAGTTTTCAGCTCAGTTATCAAGTGCAGCCCTTGATCTGTAATAATATACAAATTCTGATCATGAAATGCATAACTCCCCCCCCATCCTTGATCGAACGACTCGCCGTCGTTCGATCAAGGATGGGGGTTAAAAAAAAATTGTTTTGGGAAAAAAATTTTTATATATAAAATATATATATATATATACATATATTTTTATTTACTTTTAAATAAGAGTGTTAAGAGTATTTAATAATTATTTTTACAGCAAAAAATTGAATTAATCTCATAAAAATACCAATTTTTAATATTTTGATTTATTAGTTATCCCTTTAAACTGTATAAATTTTAATTTGTTTCTTATTAAATTAAAATTTTTTTTTAAAAATTTTAAAGAATCTCTATTTTATTAGATTATTGAGTTTTTAAGCCTAGGTTGATGACTAAATTACTTCGAATGGTTGATTCCGAAGCTTTCTGTCGTCTCAAAGTCTCTGAAAACAACTTCATTATGCACATCTTCCCAAACTTTTGATAACTAATATATTTTTATATATATAAAATTTTGCATGATATGAAAATCGTTCGATCAAGGATGGGGATTAATTTTCCCAATTTTTAGGAATTTTTACAGTCAATCGTTCGATCAAGGATGGGGGGGGAGTAAGAAAAGATTTGCTTTACAGATGAGGAATGTTCCCATAACTTAAGATCTTCAATCCCTCTGGCAGTCCATAGTTCATAGTTAATTGAGTCTATTTTCCTTCCATTACAGCCTCCACATACACAAATTTTAATTTCTTTTCTGTCTAAATCTGACTTTCTTTCCATTATTTCGCTAGCATAGCATTTCCCAATAATCATCAAATCATTTTCAGTCAATAGTAAAACAGTCTTTTTCCATAGCAGAGAAAAATCATGATTACCATACGGCAGTGCAAAAGAAAACGTAGGCCTTGGGAGGTTTTCAAAATCATGAATATCTATATGAGTATCATAAGTCGCCACGATTATAGGCCCTCTATACGAGTTTTGATAGGAAACTTTGGCTTTAGGTCCAAAATTTAGATAATTTGGCTTCAAGCCTTCTTTGATATCCAGCAATAAATCAGAAATCGCAATCAAGCAGCAGTTTTTGTCCCCAGAATGGATTAATATAGATTTCATAGTCTCAATCAGCTGAATGCTGGCTATTCCGTTAGGCAGAGTAAATGATCTTTCCATCTGCCCCGTGCCTGAATTAATCACTATTAAAGACCCGCTGAGCGTACTCACAATGATCCATTCTTCACATCACACCATTCCTGTAAACGAAACCTGATTATTTATCTGCAAACAGGTGACGTCTAAATGATTTTCATATCTTCTTTCTCTATTAACTAAGCAGTGCCCTATAGTATCAATCATATCATCAATGACATTATCAGGCATCTGCGGTCTTTCAAGCACCGAAAAGAAGTCTTTTTCAATAAACCGCTTCCAGGTCGCATTAAAGTGATCAGACTGGCACGAGTAAGATGTAAAAATAAACAAAGACCCTTGGCTGACTAAAATTGCTATAAATTCTGATTTTATACAAATAGATACAGGCTGTAATGACTGAATTGTAAATCATGGAAGAGTTTTTAGAGTATTGTGATGGTAATATAGAAGAGAGGTGGAGGTAGCTATAAGAGCTTGGAAATCAGGAACACATTCACAAGCTGCTGCAATTGGAGCAGCTTCCACTAAAGTTGTAAGAGAATATATGTCTTCCATATAGTTATCTATTAAATTAATCATCTAATTGCGAAGAGATTTCGAGCTCTTCTAGCAGTAAAGCTTTCATTTGGTCAAATGAGAGCTCGGCATCTTCAAACTCAAACGCAATGGTTTCTTGAGAAACTGGCTCTTCGTCAGAGTCATGCAAATCTGCGAGATATGGGTGTCTTAGCGCTTCTTCTACAGTGAGTCTCTGGCTTGGGTTGAATGCCAGCAGTTTTTCTAATAAGTCAATAGCTTCTGGAGGGGCTTCAGGGTTTATGATATTTTGTAGTGGCTGTTTCACATGTTTGTCGAGCGACTTCACAAATTTCCTCGCATGGTCATTTGCAATGAACTCTAAATCAGCTTCATCAGGTGTCCCAAGGGTTTTTATAATCAAATCTATCTGTTTTATATAATTCTGCCCCGGGAACAGAACTCTCCTCCCTAAAATCTCGCCAAATGTGCAGCCTACGCTCCAAATATCGACTGCTTTTGTATAATTGTGAGAAGAAAGCATGATTTCTGGAGCTCTATAAAACCTAGTGACCACGTATTCAGTCAGGTCTTCCAAGCTTGAGTTTATTTGTCGACTGAGCCCGAAGTCACAAATCTTGATAGAGCAGTCAGCATTTACAAGGATATTGCTGGGCTTTATGTCTCTGTGAACAATATTAGCGCTATGGATAAACTTCAGTGCTCTTAGGATGTAATAGATAAAATACTGGGCATGGTCATTGGTGAGCTCTTGGTCTGACTTAAGAATCCTATGCAGATCAGTTTCCATAAGAGGAGTGATGATGTAGATTTCGCCAAGCTCAGAAGGGTCAGCGTGGATGTGTATAACCCGCTTCAGCCCTAATATACCATCATGCCTAAGCAGCCGCATAGCTTTGATTTCTCGAAGGTTTCGCTTGGCGTCAATCACGTCTTCGATTTTGTTCAGTTTTTTTATTGCTACAGCTTCATCTTTTTCAGTGTCACGGGCTTGGATTACTGTGCCATAAGCCCCATAGCCTATGATTTTTTCTGCAGTGTACCTTGGGCTTATGTGAAAAGAGTTTAAAATTTCTTCAGCTGTTTCTCCCATTTAATATAGATTAAATTACAATTAAAATGGATCGTCCCAGCCTGGGTCTGGCAGTTTGCCTCGCTTAGGCACGTCAATTGAGTCTCTAGCCTCTTCTTGCTATATAAAGATTACAGAAATAAAAGCAGACAATGTCTGCTTGCTTCTCATAGCTGGCAAAATTTCGTCAGAAATGCTTGGAACTCTGGGAATATAAGGCGGCTTTATTTGTTTGCTGAGGATATTGTCCCAGTTTACACTCTTAAAGTAGCTGTGGTTTTTTATGATTTCTGTGTTTGCGCGCATGGCAGGGTTTTTGTCAAGTAAAACTTCGACTATCTGCAAGGTTTTTAAGGACTTGTTTATTTTTGGAGGAAAACCCAGTCTGTTTTTGAGAATTTTTTCATAGATTTTGTAAGGCTCTTCGTCTGAGTCTCCAAAGGGCATCATCCCACATACAAATTCATAAGCCATAACTCCAAGGCACCAATAATCTGCTGAAATCCCATACCCTTTCCCTAAAATGACTTCAGGTGCCATATAATGTGGCGTCCCCACAATTGTATAAGTCCTCCCTTGAATAATCTTAGCAGTCCCAAAATCAATCAGCTTAGGATAGCCTTCTTCGTCAATCATAATATTTTCTGGCTTAAGGTCTCTATAAACAATATCCCTCTCATGCATATGTTCAAGTATAGCTAGCATGCACGATATATAGAACTTTGAATTGGCGTCGTTCATGCTTCCTAGCTCCCTTAAGACGTCAAATAAGTCTTTGCCTTGAACATATTCTTGGAGAAAATAAATTCTTTCGTGGTCTTTAAAGGTTTTGACTAATTTCATTATCAGAGGATGGTCAGTCTGTAGGAGAATATGACGCTCGAGGAGTAAGCTACTATAGAGATCATAGGCTTTGATTTTATCTCGGCATATAGTTTTTAGTGCATATGGAAGTCTGGTGGTCTTGTGGGCTGCAAGAAAGACGTTCCCGAACATCCCTTTGCCTAATAGTTTGACTATGTGCAAATCTTTGAGAGTGATTTTGTCATCTTGAAGCTCAATTCTCTTTAAAAGCATGATTCTTACGCCTTCGTTTACTAGGCTTAAAAAGTCTTCTTTGCTTAGTACCCACACTTGTACAATTCCGTTAGCCTTTACTGTTGCAGTTCTTTTTTCTTTTAAAATAATTGATCTTTCCCCAAAGTAATCATGCTGGCCTATAGTCCTAATCACTGCGTTATTTTTTATGATATCCACTTTTCCTTCTTTTACTATATAAAAGGCATCCCCTGGGGCATTTTCATAAAAAATTACTTCTCTATCTCCAAATTCCCTCACAAATACTTTATTTACCAGAGACTCCAATTTCTTAAAAGGTAGTGCTTTGAGTAGCTGGACGTTTCTCATAATGCTTAAAATCTCGTTTCGTGAGCTTACTCTATTGAGCTGCCCTCCTATGCAGGCCTCAAACTCTTGTCTTGCTATTTCTTCAATATCCACGTTTCCTTCTGCTCTTAAGTTTTCTTCGAAAACTCCTTCAGGAGCCGCTTCGAATTCTTCATCTCCTATACATTCTAAAACATTGACTTTTTTTCTGGACTGTTCTGCTATTAAACTTCCTTTTACAAGGATTCACAGCTTTTTCCCTTTAGGTGCCCCTCTAGGAATAACAACCTCATTTGGCTGAAAAGACTTGCATTTCATTTTGCTTATAATGTCTTCTTCCTGGGCTTTTGTTAGGCTTTTCAAAAAAGAGCTGCTTTCTAGTGCAATTCTTTGCGAGTTTTTGTAGATTATTTTTTGTAGGTGGCTTCCCAAAGCACGTGCCAGATCATCTCTTCCTATATACAGAAGAGTTGCCTTGGTTACCACAGCGATAGTAGCCGTTCTTACACTATTATACAATAATGCCTGCTCACCGAAATAATCCCCTCTGCTCATTTGGCGGACGATTTTTCCTTTAATTGTACAATTAACTAGCCCATCTTTGATTATATAAAACAGGTTCCCTGGCTCTCCTTCAGTTACTACCTTTCTCCCAGGATCAAACTCTTGATGGCTCAAAGCAGCCAGCAAGGTTTCTTGTTGATTTTTATTCAAGCACTGAAAAATTGGTACACTTTCAATAAACTGCTTATTTTCGTTATATCTTTGAGCATTGATTGATTCAATTGCGTTACGAAATTCATACCTGTCAATTCCCCATAGCATCACTTTTTCTATAGAAAGGACTGTATTGGTTCGCTCACACTCTTGCATAAGAGCCATTTCTCCAAAGCTGCCGCCTTTGCCTAGCACAGTTTTTTGCATTCCTTTCTCGACTACTTCGCACCTTCCTTTAGAAATAATAAAAAAATGAGTAGCAGGGCTTCCTTTGGAATAAATTACCTGCTGTGGCTCCATCACATAAAGCCTCATATTTGAAATGGCAGCTTCTATGTTGTCTTCTGAGAGGCTCTGGAAAATGAAATGGTGTCCTAAGGCAGCCCTGATTTCTTTTTTGTCCTGCATGGTTTTGGGGACTTCTTTGATAATTGCAGTAGAAGCTTCAGTAGGGACAATAGTTCTGCCTCGTTTCAAGGTCATAGCCCTTTTCTTTTCGTTTCTTTTGGCTGGCTGATTGGGGAGATTTTCTTCTGGGAATAGTCCTCCCATCGATATAGCTCGGTTGTGCAGGAATTTAGCTGTAGCGCTTCTTTTTAGAGGCATTATAGCAGAGACTGTATCAGAAGAGTTTTTCTTGATCGTGCAATTCCCCATATATTATGCAAAAATCTTTAAATTAAAGATATCTTTTTTCATTAAAAATTAGTCTATTAAATATCTATCTTAAATAAACACTTTTGGGTAGAAATTCTCCTCTTTGATTGTTTTCCCTGTAAATTGCCCATAAATTTTGACAAAAAATAAAGCAATGCCTGTGATTACAGCAATATATAGTAATAATGCAGCAAATAGAACAAAAATAGCGTCAATAAGCAGGATTACTGGGATTATAAATACCAATAGGACTCCTACAAGAATTGGGTTGTGCTCTAGAATTCTGAACCATTGCAATAAATAGTGCCCTGTAACTATAAACATCAAGACAATTAAAATTATCGGCGACAATAAAAACAGCAGAGGGTAGAAATATTTTTTATACTCAAATATTCACAATTCAGACTCCAGCTCATTTATATAGTCCTTTGCGATTACCAAAGCAATAAAAGGAGAAAATGGGAATAAGAAAGGCCCAAATATCAAGCATAGTATAATAAACCAGTTTACGTTCCATATATCTTTTCCAAGCAAGCAATAGAAGCTGTGGTTCGGATCAAGCTTGTTACTTCCACAGATCCAGCATCAGGTTGTCCCGCATACACAGTTCATATGTGAACACCCACCTCGCTTTTCGACCATCCTCTTGCACTTAGGACAAAACTTCACATTATTTGCTTTTACCCATTCTTCGAACTGTATATCGTCATTTTTGTGGCATCTTTTCCAGCCGTGCCAGGAATCAAGGCAGAAGAAGCAATATAGATGCCCGCACTCGTTGCATTTTAATTTGCTCTTATTCGAGCTCCCAGTGTCATATCCATTACATCCTACCTTTGGACAAAATCTTACAAAAGGGTTCATATTGAGCTCTTCTCTCAATAAAAAACGGTCATATTTCTGTATCCATGATTTATCTAGAATTTCTGATAAATATTTTCGACTGAGGGGGTTTGTGCAGATCGGACATTTAAGATTTCTTACTTTTGATTCCGAGATTGAGTGCATGAGGTACAATTTCATGCAGTCTACACAAAAAGAATGCCCACAGTAAGGAATTGTTGTGTTATTTTGTTTATCCCAGTAACAAATTGGGCACATTTCAGTACTTTCTTTGCTTACGAGCTCTATTTCTTCGATTGTTGAATTCAAAGAGTCCATTTTTATTTTAAATTAAGCGATTAACGACTATTCGTAAGAGAAAAACGAAAAGTAAAAAATGATGAAAATAGGCAGCTGGGACTGAGATAAGTTGTTGGGGAGTAAAAAAGCCATTTTTAATATTTTTAATTGAAAAGTTTAGGGGAATAATTAGTGTCTTGCTTTGCATATGGCTCTTTTCCCTTTTGGCCTCCTATGTGGGGCACTTTATCCTTTCAAAGTTGGATTTCTTTTCTATTCAAAATAGATACATATAAAATGGCGAATTATCCGGCCCATCCTTCTCCCATAATCTCTCGGGTTTTTTGGGTTTAAGAGAGCCTGAACCTAGAGCTTGTGTCCAGGTGGTTTTTTCTCCCTAGTCAGGGGAGCCAGAGTCCATATACCAACTCCTAGCTTCTGGATACGAAGGCAATAGGGGTCAAAAGGAGGATCCGGGGTCTTGCCCTATCTTCCATCTCAGATAGATCATGCTGACACTAGGAGTTGTCTAAGGAAGTACTTGGGTGCGTCTTTACAAGAGATAATGACGTTAACATTTTTTGGTGATGTCGACAGAAAAGGGCCTAAGTAAAAGCCAATACCTAGGCGAAGATTCTGAAGTCGTCAAGGTGGAGAGTGGCTGAAATAATCCCCGAAGACCTATTCTAATTTATAATAATCTCTATTTTAAATAGGAGTTGACAAATCCCTTTAAAATTTGCCAGATCTGTCACATTTTGAATAGCGAAAGATGCCAAATCTGTACCGAAAAGGGCAGAAGGCCCTTAAAAGGAGACCAAGACGTATATGTGTAAATACCCTAAAATTTTAATAAAAAAAGTAAAATTCCTGCAACAAAGCCTAACATTATAATTGTCACTATGCAAGGTATAAAAGCGATTACAATGATGCTCATAAAAGGAAACAGTAATAAAATAAGCAGGAGCCTAAATCATAGAGGATGCCTAAATCTGAAAAAAAATCTAATCGCAGGAGATAGGCACCTCAATAAGTAGAAGAACTTCAATTAATGGAGAAAAAATCAAAAATAGCATAACCAAAATATCTATGCGTGCAATTCATTTCACAGGGTCAATTTCTTGAAACCAGCTTAGAATTATATAAAAAATATAAAAAAGTGCCAAGGAAACAGCAAAAGTCCAAAAATTAAAGCGAAAATTAAAATCTAATGAATTTCCATATATCTCCCGCTCCAACAGCGGATATTGTGATAGGTTCTTGGTTGTTTCCTCCGCACCTTCAGCAATAGTACCAATGATGCCTATATATGCAAACATATTATGGCCTCTTCTCCTTATTTCAGCCCTCCTTACATTAGGGCAAAATTTCACGCTATTTTTCTCGGCTCATTCTCAAATTCTATATCGGCAATTTTCTTCTTGCAGTAGTACCATAATTCAGAGAGCAGAATAAGCAATACTCATAGCTACATTTATTGCATTTTAATTTCTTTTTATTGGAGCTCCAAGAAGATCATAGCCGTCACATTCAATTTTAGGACAAAACCTGACGTAATGATATGGACGAGTTCTTCTTGCAGTAGAGATCTGTCATATTTTTGAGGAAATGATAGTAGAAAGAAAATCTCGGCTGATAGTTCTGGTGCAGACGGAAATTGGATGGAATATTGGTTACTTTTGATTCTGAGATCAGGGAAATTAAATAGGAATTTAAGCATTCTTGACAAAAAATGTGACCACAGTCAGTGACTGTGATGAGAGAGGACTTGGATATATAGCAGATTGGGCGAATTTGGTAGTGCTTTTTGTTAAGGCTCCTCTTCTAAGATTATATAAGTTATTTAGCCATAATTCCTGATAGCTAAAATTTATTGATTAAGTTTATTTTAATTAAAAGCATTATTCTTCATTACTCCTTGGATCAGTCTATTTAGGAGATTACAGCACTTGCGATAAATAATTATCTTGAAAAGTCTCTCAACCTCATTCTGAATCTACTTTGAACTTTGCAGGGCTAGATTTTAATCTCCAGAAGCGAAGGTGAAATCTTGTCCTTAGTATTAGCATCTGTGGGTTGAAGAAGAGGATCTGTAAGCCTAAACAGAAAACTTCACCAATAAAATCAATAAAAATTCGATCAAGTCTGAATTTTCTCCTCAGATCAAGAATTTTAAGTCAAGAGCCTGCAATTTTAAAATAAGAATTATCGGGCTTATATGCTTTAAAATTATGATGAGCAAATTTATTACGTTAAATACTTTGCTTGCCAAAGCGTTTTAAAAATTGAAAATTGGAATGTCAGACATCTATACTTAAGCATGATTTTAGCAGATTAAGAGGCAAATATAATTCGCCACATATAATAGTTATGCCTGCTTATAGAGAATATAAGCATATTATAGTATTGGCATAAATAAAGCCAATTATAACCAAATATAAAACTCTCTCTTCCTTTATTGAGAAGAGATTGATATAATTCAAATATCCTCAAATTAATTTAAAGATTTAATCTACTTTTTCAAACTTATCTGGTTCAATTTTTGCTATTATTTGAAGCTCAAGTTGCATCTACACTCATTCAACAATGAAATAATTAATTCCGATTGCATCTTTAAGTCGATTATTAAATGCTCTTCTTTCTTTCAAAAAAATAATATAAATATTTAAAAACAATTAATTAAAAAGAAATAAATTTGCTCAAAGTTTAAAGAATAAAAAATCAGAATGAATTTTTGATGATTCATGTATTACAGCCAATATCTATCTAAGATTTAACAAAAAAGCAAAGGTTTAATAAATTTTTTTAAGGACTAATTTATCCATAAAAATTTGGATAGGTACTCTAATTATCAGGGAAATACAAGTCACCTTTGAAAAGGCAAGCATAAAATCTATTTTGAATTATAAAAGCAAATTAATGATAAAAATTGTAAAATTTTATTGAAATTGTAATTTCACTTAATAAAACTATTTCCAATTATTTTAGATTTATTTTTAATAAATTGCGAAGCTGAGATCCTATGAATTTATTTTTTCTTACCGATGCTATGCAAAAAATTAATAATCTCTCAAATTTAGCCATTTTATTGGTATTTAATAAAAAAAATGCAGCATCAGTGCTCTAAGTAGCACCTAAAATAATCACTATTTTGATCATCCAGTCCTTTAAAACATTATATCACTTCCAAAAACTGCATAATGATTATAATTTATGATTCCATTCCAATTATACCGATTTTTATCCTATCAACTTCAACTTCTTCCCATAGCAAAATACCTCTTTCTGATTACTAGCAAAACTATTATAACACTCTTTTCATAACTATTTTTCAGTCATCAACCTATAGCATTTCTATTCTAACGATACTTACTTATTTTGCATTTCGAGTCCAGCAGCAAAAAAAAACACCCAAAATTTTTTTTTCACAACTTTTATTTAAATATTCAAGAAAAATACACAGGATCTCAAAAACTAAATCCGATCCCCATGCTAATTATTACCATGAAAAATTTCATAAAAGCATTTAGCTTTTTAAATATTATTTTGGGGCCTGAAAAAAGGACTGTTCTCTCTCATGAGACACTTGTCTACGTGAATATCAAGCAGATACTTATTGTACAATATCTTCTGGCAATAAATGCAGCTGATTCTGGTCGATTTGTCATGCACTTGAATCATGTGAAATTTAACTGCGTGCTTGTGCTTGAACTCCTTATTGCATACTGGACATTTGGCGTTTTTCCCTTCTTGGTTGTGGACCTTTCCTATATGCTGTTGGAGTCCTTTTGGAGAAATAAAGTCTTTGTTACAGAGATGGCAATGCATAGAGCCTAAGTCATTAGGTGTCGGTAAAGGGAGCTGAGTGATAGCCATTCCCAGAGCTTGAGGAGTTGCCTGAGGCTCAGAGGCTGAGGAGCTCTTTACCTGGACATGCTCCTGTATGGCTGCATTTCTGTCAGTGTTTGTGTTATTTGAAAACCGGTGAATAAAGAGTGCTACTTCACTGCCGAAGTTGAGGTTGCAACTACTACATTTATATGCAGTTTTACTTTCCGCGCTGTGAAAAGCGTCCAAAATACAGGGTCGTGGGAGCAGTCAGAAGCTTCCCATAAAGGAATTCCTTTGCATTTTCTATTATCGGTAGAGAAAATTTAAAATTTGAGCCATTAAGGTGGTTTCGGATTATGGATTCTGTATGTGGATTAATTAATTTTAGTATATTTTGGGACAAGGACGGCTGGGGGAAGAAAGGAATAAAAAGAAAAGAATTAGGTTTGATGCCTTATTTATTCCTAAAATAAAGCAGTAACCACCATATATATTATTTATTTAACTAGCCATAAGTAATGGCAAATAAGTAGAAGTAGCTCAAGGCAGAGAGACTGGATTTAATAAAAAATTCATAATGTTAAGACAAATCGGCGCTTATTTCTCAGATTTATTCAACACCAAGAATTCATTTTTAAATTTTTTAATAAGTTCATTTTAAAATATGTGGCCTTTTTCTAGTTTTTATTAAGTACAATTTATAACTTTTTAATTCAGACTTAACTGCTTACTTTAAGCTTGGGAGTGGACTTGGTTTTACTACAGAATTCAAAAAAAAAACTTTTCTAAAGAAATAAATATGAAAATTTACTCAATAAGCTGATTTGCTCAATACTTTATATAAAAAAAGCATATATATGAAGATAATTAGTTGGGTTATTATTGCTTGATAGGAAATCATAAAAATTCAAATAAACCACTCTTATGACACTGGAAATACGATTCCTTCAAATACAAATTTTAAGAAGTTCCAACTACTTCCAGTCTGATTTTTGTCTGTGCATGCAATAAAGAATTATTATAAGAATAATTAGCTATTGCCAAGTTCACATTAATGCAGAAAATTTCCTCACATAAAATTATCAAGGTTGACTTAATAATTTTGTAACTTATCCTATAATTATGGAGTGAATATAAATTTCGGAATTGGAATTTAAAACTATGAGCATCATCATTGCTCTTATATGCTAATTTTGTTTGATTTAAAATTAGATCTCTGATCCTTAAAATATGTATTGTATAAGCTAATCTATATACAAGATATTGGATTTAATAAATAAAATATTTATATGGTACTAATCTATGCTAATAGCTTTATCCTTTTCTTTTCTATTTTAACGCTGTGAGTTTTTTGATTAAAATTAAAATATAAGTTATTTCGCATATGCCTATTAGAAATTAATAGCATAAGCCATTCTTGATACGCTTACACAAATGTATTTATGAGCTTTTTAAACCCAAAAATCTATTTTTTTTCTTTATAACTGAATCATAATTATGAATGCATTTAATTGTAAGTTTAATTTGAAATACAAATAAAAGCATTTAGCAGCTATTTAAATACTCAATTCATAATAGCTCTTATACTTTTCAATGCAAACCTATTTACAAATCAATTGATTTACTAATAATAAATTTTGGGTTGAGCAGTTCTTCATATTTATATATAAAATATGCAGTTCCTCTGTGACAGAGGTATGCATACCTGACATGGTTTTGAGCTGTGCTTATGGCACTACATGAGTCAGTAACCTTAATGCGAGAGATGAAGACTGAAGGCTGATATTTTTCGATAACCCCCTTGGGTAGTTAAATTCATTCTTTTTACAAGCAGATTCCAGTTCAGTGGGTATCCGATATGATGCAAAGTATCATTCTTGCTTAAGAGTTTGTATGGCTTGCTCCAAATAGTGATAGCTGCTGAGTTCTTTTTCCAGATGGTAGGAAAGAAGGGAAGCAAGCTAGACAGTGAAGCGGGAGTTTATTCAAAAATGGTCCTCTTGTGCTGAATTTTGACGTGGAGGGGATAGAGTTGTTATTACTTGGGCGAAGCCATAGTTTGGAAATAGAGACGGTCAACGAATCAGGTAAATTATCTTAAACCTTCACCCAAAAGCTGGAGGTTTCACCAATCTCAGGGCAGATGCGTTCTCCCATCCCACACAGGAGAGAGCGCAGCTAACTAAGTAGGGACTTAAAAGAATTTACTTAAACTAACTAGCTAATTCATAATATAAAATGGGATATTACAGTGTGCAGTCTTTCTATAGCTTGCTTGATTCTGTACCTAAAGTTACTGGAATTTCAGGAGGTCAGCTATTCAGCCAATTTTCAGAAAAAGAATATTCAAGAGCTCCATCCGAAGCTTTTATTGGGATGAAAATAGAAACTTTGATACTTAGATATGCAGAAAATCAGCACCAATATCTTTTTGGCTATGAATGCTATAAAAAATTAGTTCCACTCATTCAAAAACTATATGAAAAGCAACAACAAGAGAAAATCTCTTAAAATCCTAATTTTTTAAGTAAATTTCTTTGCTGACTTAATTCATAATATTTAAATAAAATACATCACGATTAAGAATAAATTAAAAATGCTTTGTGTATAGTATCCACTGCTCTCCATAATTATTTCACTAAAAAATAATTCTTATTTAATCGGCATTTTTTCGGCAGCTTGCTGACTCCATAAATCCATACACGCTTTTTCTGCTTTAGAAGGCTGGAATAAGATATTCAAAAAGCTATAATAGCTCTCCCCCTTTAAAATGGAGCAAAACATCGGTAAATTCTGCATTTTTTGGGTACTTTTTAAAAAAATAATTAGCTCCTTTAAATTGGAACAGGATTTTTGTTCCAATTTTTAAGGGAGAGTAAGATTTCAGCATATTGTCTTTTTCAGATCCATAGCAATATATCATAAAGACAATCATAGCCATAAACAGAAACACCTCTATTTTATTCACATCAAGTCCATACTGTTTTCCTTGTCTTCTAAGGATTATGTCAAGAAATCGTGCAAAGAAATAAAGTGCCCAAGTTTCCCTACGTCCAGGGTCTTCAACTAAAATGGCCAGCCCACTAATTCCGCCAGAGATCACATAATTTAGGCCATCCTCTTTTTGGCGGAAATTTCTCAATAAGCATAAACTTGCCTTAAACATAGAGTTCATAAGAGAGGCAAAACCTACGAATCTAAGAGTGTCAATGGATATAAAGCTTAGCAAGGACTTTATTGGGTTTCTGTAGCCCTTTCGTAGGATAAAATTAAGGAGAATGTGAAGCGCTGACTTTGCGGCTAAGCTTTGAAGAAAGGCCATGACAAAGCCTCTTAGGGTATTTTCCCAGCATGGGCCTTTGTGCTTGCACAGCCTCTCTTGTGGCATTAATTTTATTATAAATTGGCATTTCTAATATTATATTAAAAATACTTATGGTGATAACTGTTTTAGTTTATTTGCTTAGAACCAAATGGTGAACCATTTTATTGGGATAAAATCCAAGATGTAATAGTTCGAAAACAATAAATATTTGAAGATTAAGTCCATGCTGTGAATTAAGCAATGATTAACTCATAGTTTCTAAGTCAAAACAAAGAAAAGTTGAGAAAAGCTAAAATTTATATATTCAACATCAATTGAGCGAAAATTTACTATAGACTCAAAACAAGAAAAAATCATTGATTTCTCAATAAGAGACTCAGATAGGTACAAATTATTATGCTTTTTCTCTAACAAAATATATGCTAGTTTATCAAGTCAATGTAAAAAATTGATAATTAAGTTAAATTTGCTTAGCTATTCACATAAAGATCATTTCCTCAAGTAATTTTTGCTTACTCAAATATATAAGCTCTTACAGATTAATATTATATTCAAAGGGAAGTTGAAATAATAATAGTTGAAGAGAAGCTTTTCCAGAAAATTTAAATATAATAAACTGTATTGATGCTCATGTATAAATCGCTAAACGTTTCAAAAGAGTAAGATTCTAAAAACTAATTATACAAAATCTAGAGTTTTGGCTGAAATATGCTAGAATAAATTTATTATTCTGCGATGATATAGCATAAGAAACAGAGAAGAAAGAATCATTATTATTTTTGAATACCCTAAAAAACCATTAAAATATATTGATGATACAATTATATTAATCTTAAATCCTGATTGATGGAAGATTACTGAGCGTTGGACATTCAATATATAAATTGAATTTGATTCAAAATGCAGAAAAACGAAAGTATTTAAAGTTTAATTTATTTTTCCAAGAAAACTTGGCTTTTAATGAAAAATGGGGATTTTCTGCACATGAATTAATGGAAAGAACGTTGGAAACTTTAATAATCAGACGCAATTCAGAGTTTTAGTTGGGAATCAAATGTAAGATGAAAATTTATAAAGAATATTTATTTTTCAAAATTTAATTAGTTTTACGACTTAAATTATACCCTGATTTTCTTAGACTTCATTTAAATTCTTTATTACTAGAACATGCTTTTTAATAGGAGACTTTAATCTTTGATAATTCCATTTTCCCTTGTTTTTTATTGGCAAAAAATAACTAACTTAAAGAGCTAAAATGGCAATATTCCTATGTTTTCAGCTTATTTTCAAATTTAAATTCCAGGTTTATTATAACCCAAGAGATAAGCTCTTCTTATTTGATTAAAATAAAATGAATGACAGATCTAAATTTGCTTATTTTATAAATTAATAAATTTTTAACCTTAACACAGATTTTGGCCAGTTTAAAATTCAAAAGCCATAATAAAAACTTGTATAGAATTTCGACATAAACAATTAAACTCAATACGCATATATTTTTAAATTCTCCACATTTTATTAGCCTAACAATATGGAATTTATAGCAGGGATTTTCGCAGGGATTTCTGTAACTCTATCAGGACATCCTCTTGAGTAACTTCTATTTCAGTACAATAAAAGTCCGAATGCAAGCTGGGCACGTTCATAGCTTATCTCAATGCATATTAAAAAGTTATAGGGCTGACGGATTTCGAGGTTTCTATTATGGAATATCATCCCCTTTATGCTCAATCCCTCTTGTGAATGCTGTCGTTTTTGGCAGCTACTCCCAAGCTGCCGCTTATCTCGGTAATGACAACACAAATATATGAAACGGCATTTTGGCAGGGTCTTATGCAGGTCTTGTTAACACAACTGTAGTTACACCTGTTGAACTAATTAAATGCAGGATGCAGGCTCAGTCCCACAACAGTGAGATTGGTACTGAAATGAAATACAAAAATAGCATTGACTGTGTCAAAAAAATAGTAAAAGAACAAGGAATCAGGGGACTTTACGTTGGAAATGTCGCATCAATATATCGAGAAATCCCAGGATATGCAGCAAATTTTGTTGCATATGAATATGCGAAGGAAAGCTATAGGAAGCTCAGTGGGAAAGACACAGTGCCCACCTGGGCTTTGTTTATATCTGGGATGTGGGCTGGCTTTAACTGCTGGTTTTGGAGCTACCCACAAGACGTAATAAAAACAAAGCTACAAGTTGGGTTTCCTATAGAAAGAGGCTGGGATGGAGGCTTTTATATGATGGCCAAGCTTATTTATAAAGAAGAAGGCTGGAGGGGTTTTTGGGTCGGCTTTTCAGCTTGCACAATTAGATCGACAATCCCGAATGGCTTTGGATTTTTAGCTTACGAGCTCGCCTATGAAATTATAACAAGACATTGGGTGAGGGAGCCTCATCTTGTGAACCATTAAGAATTTCTTATTATGAAGATATTATAGCTTAATAACCTTGAGTTTCAATAGTAAAGGCATAGCTAATTGCATAAGCGGGGACATAATCTGATATGGGACTAAGGTGGAGAAGTAAGCTTGGACGCTATGTGCCCAGTGGCCATAGTTGATTCCTGTATGCAGGTTGTTGACCAAGCTCCTAACATAAGTCTGCACCTTCAAGCATGTAACAAAGTCAGCGAACCCTAAGCTGCCTGCAAGAGGAGTTGCGACAGGGCCTGGCTTTACAGTAGCGACATCAATTGAATTGGAATATTCATACCTTAAAGCCTCACTCAAGAAATGGTTATACCTCTTGGTCGCTGCATATAAAGCTATGCTTGGCAACGCTATTTCTTCAGCTGTGGAAGAAAAATTAATTATGAGGCTTCTTTGGTGGGTTTCTTGGTGTCGCTTTAAGAAAGCGGGGATTAAATGATAGGAAAGCATTGTCTGTGGGTAGATGTTTATTCCAATCATTTCTTCAATGCTGTCTAAGTCTTGGTTGATTAGGAATTTTGACTCGCCGCCGATTCCTACGTTGTTGATGAGGACTGAGATGTTGTATGGAGCCAAATCTGAGACTACTTGCTTATAGAAATTTTCAGGGTCTCTGTGAGAGTACTTGAAATCGACAGCTAGGTATAGGATTTTGCCTTGGATTGACCAGAAATTTAGATAGGAAAAATTAATAGAGGAATATAGGGAAAATGAATATTTTATGTCAGGATTTTTAGTTTCTGCTGAAATTGCTTTGGAAACTTCAGCTAGCTTTGTGGGGTTTCTTGAGATTAGTAGCACTTTGAAGCCTCGAGAAGCGAATTCAGTTGCAAGACCTTTGCCTATCCCATCTGAACCACCAGTGATTGCAACCCAGCCGTACTTGTATTGCTCAAGGTTGATTTTGCAGAAATAGTTTGAGTAAATCATTTTACCGAGCTGATAAACCACTTTGAAGATCCCAAGCCAAACGATTAGACTCCATAAAGACATTTTTGATCTTTTATAGTAATAAAAATATTGAATAATAAGGAGTTTTATTAATAAGACCATTAGTCGCTAAAAAAATAGAAAAATAATTGCTTAAACTTTACAGAAAATCTCTAGGTCTCATTTCGAGGATAATCTTTAGAGGCTTTTTAATCTGCTCTATAATTTTAATATACAAACTGAATCTTTTGCTATAAGCATTTTTGCTTAAGGTGAGGTACTGGGTTCAAATTGCAAAAGTAAATGACAGTTCTAGGCAAAAGAGTTATGTGTGCATCTATGCCACTTGTCAAAATTCCATTTATTTGGATATTTTTACATGATTTTAAGGCTATGAAGCATATTCTATTATCTAACACTTTATTTTTTTTCACTATTTTTGAATTTAAGCTTAATTTTACCATATTTCTTGACTAATGTAGCCTAAACATTACTGTAATTCAAGGCTAATAAGAAATTATAGTATAAATAATAAAATATTTCCCAAAATGTATTAAAGTTTTTTATATTTTATTATTCGTAGATTCACCTAAAATCAATGAATTGAGAGAATGGATATTAGTGACTATAATAATTATAAGAAACTTATTAAAGAAATAATAAAAAAAAGTCTACTCACAAAAGCTATAAGTCGCATAAAGATTGATGCTCGTACCGTGCTGTAAGTATGAAGTTACAGTCTTAATTATCAATATTACGATTATAAGTTATCATTAAATTACAATATCTTTACCTGAACAAATGCTCATAGAGCATATAAGGCAAATTCTGATAATTCGGCGAAAGGATCGAATTCGCAGCCTGATATACTGGAGCTAAAGGAGATTGCAGAAGACTATTAGAATCAGCCGATGACATAATAAAATCTTGATTTGTCCTCAGCACTCCTATAATAAATATGGTGTCTCGGCCCGGCATTACCTCCCAACAATGCAGCCTCGAGCACATATTTATTTATATCAGCGAGATTTTGCCTACCCAGAAATTGACAGCTATGCTAGGTAAGCAATTCTGTTAATATACAGAGTCTAGCATTAGTCTGCATTTAGGATTGGATTTACCTCGAGGGAAAGGTGGGTTCAGAGTTGGAAGTGAAAAGTTCTGCATCGTCAAAAAGCAGCGCCTAGGCTAATCGAGCATTCCTAATCAACCAGAAATTCCAATTTTGGGAATTTCGTGTGGACAACCTTCATATACCAAAGCGGCAAGCTGCAGAAGCCCATAGCCTTCCCACTTGCTGACAAGGGAAGGTAGCCTTAGTTACTGGTGAATCATCATCTTATTCAACAAGTTCTACCATGAGTTGTCTTAAAGAGGGTGAACCCTGGAGGGTTACTTGGTGATTGCGCTACCTATAGGCAAGCACACCAACCTGTAATAAGTTTGATTTTAAGCCATCAGCCCTCCTATCGAGAGCTGTGGTGGCTTTTTCTTCCCAATTTTTGACTGGACACTTTTTGATCTTTTATTTTGTTTATTTATTTGTAAATTTCCATTGGAGTTTTCCAATGTGGTATTTACTTTACTAAATAATATATGGCGTCTCTGATGGTCATTACCTTTCGGCATTGCAGCTCGAGCGCGTATTTATTTATACCCGGAAAGGCTTGCCGACCCATAAATAGACAGCTAGGCAAGGTAGCAATTCTGTTAATGTGCAGAGCCTAGACTTAGTCCGCTTTTAGGATCGGATTTTATAGAGATTTTAATGAAAGAAATTTTGATAAATCTTTACATTAAAAAGTTGAGATTTTGATATCAAAATTGCAAAAAAGATATGATTCTGTGGGAGGAGATATAGATTTTGCCTTTAGCCTACTGCTGGATGGAGGGTTCTCAATTGATGTAGATACTGATAATCATACCGCTGAAGGGTAATTGGATTATAAAAGTAGTGTTGAAGATAAAAGTGAGTTGTTTGAGATGAATGCTTGGATGCTGTAGTTGTGAACTCTGCTATTAGTAGTGAGCTCAATATCCAAGCAGAATGATTATAAGGTTCAAGCGAGACTGTTAGGAAGTTCTAAAAAGGAGATTGAAGTCGAAACGATGCTGGTATCAAAAGCCATGCCTGAATTCATCTTATGAAGCAAATGAAAGATATTGTGTGAAGGAATTGCGAATGCTTGAAGTTATGATTAAAAAAAGATGTGTAAAATTCATGAAAAGTCTGCTAGTGTCGTTAGAATTAGTGACGAGGTTTGGAATTGTGATGCTCTGGATATGCTGTGGCATGTTGTGGAGTTATTTGTGATGATTTGAAGTTTTTGTTTATGATTTTGGAATTGCTGATGGAAAATTAGAGAAATGCTGCATCAACAGTGTTAAAAAGTAAATAATAATGATTTGATTTTAACTCAAGGAAAGGGTAAGTTCAATTGGAAAGAGAAAGCCTAGTAAAGCTGCAGGCAATCCCTAGATAAATTGATTAGCTTCCTAATGTAAAACAGAGAATTATGTCTCAGTCTTTGAGTTGCTAGAAATTCCAATTTTGGGGATTTTTGTGTGGATGCCCTTCATTCAGCCCAAGAAGCATATCGCAGAAGCCCATAGCTTCCCGTTCAACACTGGAGCCAACAAAATAAGGGGGAGATGGAGATATAGAATCCTACTTCGCAGGCTCCATGGTATCAGGCAATGAAGAAGAGGAAAGGTAGTGCTCGAGCTAACTGCCAAGTGAGTTCATCATCCCAACTTAAAAAGTTATTTCTGACGACGTCGGAAAGAGGGTGAATCTCTTAGGAGATCCTTTGTGACTGCGCTAACAATAAGCAGAAGTCGGGATCTGTAATAAGTTAAAGTTTAGGTATTTCCTTCAGTTTCACAGACTCTTGCAGACAATTTTTGTGCCGTAGATTCCACAACTATATTAGGGATCGGCAAGCTTTCATGCTTCTTTAAATATTGTTTAAGATCACAGTTAGGATTTATTGAATTTTCATGGTCTTTTCTTCGTTTTAGGCTTGGGGTTTTAGCTCTTCTGGATGGAGGCTTTTCTTTATTTTCATTATTGACATAAAAATGCATAGAGGAAATCCGCTCAATTACTTCTTTGGCTTTTGAGCTGCTAGGCAGCCTTGATGCTCTGTATGAGGAATATCGAGTTGATAGCAATTTTTCTAGAGAAGCACTGTCGTTAATAAATTCTTGATATTGAATATCGGCTAAATCATAGTTGTGGAACATTGAGTTTTTGGGTTTTTGGTCAGATTTTACAAATCTGTAGAATCGTTTCTGAGTTTTTTGGTTTGAAGGAGTTTGTTTACCCCTTTTCTCTAGTATTATTGTTCAAGAAATAGCTATTTATTTGGGTTAGTAATAAATAAATTTTTTATAAGGAAAATTAGAGCTTTTTAGATGTTCTCTTTCACTAATAATTGAGACAGGGGATTCGCATATCAGAGAATTAGATGGCTTCGAACGTAAAGAAAATTGTGGAAACCTTTGGTGGTGATAGAGAGGGTCAAATCGAACTTTAGGGATTTTCATATTGACAAGTTCTTCAAGGGTACAGCCACTTTTTATTTTGGCTTGGTTTGCTATTTCTAATGGAATATTCATTACATTAATTTGATGAAATTTAACATTTTGGTTATGAAGAGAAATAAATCATATATTTACATATATATCAAAACATTTATTTATTTCAATAATCATTCAAATTCTATAATTGCTTTTTAAAATAAATATCAAAAATGTATAATATAAGAAATGTATTATGCAAAGTATTTGATTCCAAATTTGCTAGAACTTCTCCTTATTACAAATCCTTGCTTATAAGGTCTGAAATCTAATTCCAATTCTTACGAATTTTTGCTTCAATAGTCAATCTTATTAGACTTTATATTGTATTATCAATTAAATTATTCCTTAATTGAATTTTATTGTATCAGCAATTAAAGAATTTCTTTATTGAAGTTTACAATAGTTTCACATAATTAGATAAAACTTTTCAAAACATTAATAATCTGATATAGCACACCCTTCGTGGTTGCTCACCATTAAGTACCTCCTCCCCATGTCACCCACCCCTGACGGTCCTGAAAATTTTAAATGTTAAAATATTATTTGACATGTCTCCCTCAAATATTTTAGCTTGTCAAATTAATATTTAATATGTTAAAATATTTGGAACCGTAGGGGGGGTGGGTGGCATTGGGAGGAGTGCTCAAGGCCGATCCAAAACGAGGTGTAAGCTATAAGATATTCTGTCTTTTCAATAAGTTTATCGTCATCCTCCTTAATATGTCTAAACATAAGAATCCTAGATTTTTGAAATGCTGGCTCTTTTTCATATAATCAAATCACCATTAGAATGTTTGGTCTATTACTATACTGCCCGAGCCTCTTTTTGCTCGGGCTAAATTTTCACCTCATTCAAGAGATTGAAAAACTTCATTTAAAGACTGTAAAGTTTATCCTTATAATATTTTTGAAAGTTTATCAGTAATCTTTTCTTGAACTTACCCTGTTCTTTTAATTCCGGCCAATAGTGATTTCATGCGTATTCTTTTCTTTTGGAGTATACAATAAGCTCTAAAACTTGATAAATTTGAACCGAACCCTCGAAAAAGATAAATAAAAATGCCAAATTTCGAACTGGAAGCTAAGGTGCTTGATCATTCTTTTAAATTCAAAACCCCTTGCATTTGAAACGTCTAAATACTAAATTCCCCTCCGTTAGCGAACAATATGTAAATTCAAATTGTTTTTTCGATTAAAATAAATCTATTTTCGCAAATTTGAGAAATAAAAATAAATTTAATTTGCAAAATTTATGTTTTAAAATGTAAGCTGCTTAAAATTTAATAGAGATTTCATTATAATAATCACTTATATATCCAAATATTTCTTTCATAAAAATTTTTGTTCGCTCAATTTATTCAATGATTTTGTTCGCTTACTGGACGGAGGAGGAATGATTTTTGGAAAATATTATGCATAGAGTTTTGGGTTGAATTTATTAGCTGGACAATATGAGCCCTTTTTCTAATTGATAAAATTTATGGGAGGTGCAGTTATGTCTAATTTTGTGGCCTTAATTGTTGCTTTGTCACTAAAATTAGCTGTCTAATGGGAAAGGATTTCATCAAAAGCAACCTTTAGTAAGACAAAGCCCTGATTAAAATTTAAGATAATTATTTAATATTATTATAACTATAGAAATTGCCCGAGGATGGTGCTATTTTGCGCCATCCTCTGGCAATTTCTATATCTTTATGCCCTATAGGCTGTTTATGGTTTAGCTTGCTCTGAAGACGAGTGCTTTGAGCTAGGATAATTAGATTTAGCTGGGAACCAAAAGAAATATTTACTGTTTTTCTTAAATTTCGTTGCAAAACAAATAAATCTTTTCACAGATATAATGCCTTGTCCTTTTATGGAGGGCAGTCCAAGTGCAGAATCTCCATATTTGAATGGCTTTACATGCTGATTTTCTTCCACGCGTGAATTGCCCTCCCAAGGGCAAGGTATCATATCTTTCTAATAAATCCATATTCCACTATTTTAATTTAAAATTACATATAAATAGTTATTTATATAATTATATATATCTATAAACATTTATGCAGGGTGTTGTTTACTGATATGCTTGATAAGCATATACTTGTTGTAAACGGATAGGCCGCATATACCACAGGTAACTCTCGTTGCCTTTTGGTGGACCTGTCGATCGTGGAAAGTAAGTGCATGCTGATGCTTGAAGGTTTTGTGGCATATGCTGCAGGTTACTCCTTTATCTTTACTGGAATGAGCCTTGCCAATGTGCTGTTGAAGCCCTTTGTGTCCTTTAAAGAATTTCCCACAAGTTGGGCACTCGAGCTCGTCGTTTTCTGATTCTGCAGTTGAGCAAGAATCAACAGACGCAGGAGAGTCTGGGACCTCTGTGCTGAGCTCTAGTCCTAACCTGAAGTGTAAGAAGGAAATCGAATCTCGGTCAAGCTCGAAGTCTTGAATTAGGTGGTCACGGTATTGTAAAGGAGACTCAAAGCCAATCCCACATAAATCACAACAATAGTCTGTGTGTTGTGAAGTGCTTATGCATTTCAAATGTGGAATATGTGCTGTAGTCATCGTCGATTTATTAATTATGAACCATATACTGAAGATTGTGAATAGTGGTATTGAAAGGGGATTTTTTTGGGAGTTATGGGAAATGGGATAATTTTAAAATGTCCTTGGTTGCATATAAGAATTTTATGAATAAATTTTATTTAATCTGCATGATTAAGCGAGAAAATAAACACTGGAATTTTTGAAAATTATTTTTTATGAGATAGCAAGTGGATTCACTCTATTGTTAAATAAATAAAAAAATATATGTGTTTTGCAACGTAAAAAAATAATTGAAAGCTTAGGGTAAGCAGATTATTAAACAGAACTGGTATAATTAGATATTTAGGAAAGAAAGCTGATTCCTTTATTTCTAAGAGATATAGAGAATGGGCTAAAGCACTTTGAGAGGTACTAATATAGCTTTTTACCCAAATAGGGAATGCTTTGATATATTTACATAACTAATTTTGTATAAATAAGTTTAAGATTTATCTAAAATTATACCGATCTGGCGACGCAATAGCAAAATGTATATAAATTTTTAGTCTATTATATCGTATAGTTAAAAATAGTCATGAGCTTTTTTATTTTCTCACCATCTAATGCTAAGACAGTGAAGCATAATTAATTCAGGCAGTTTAAGTATCACTTAAAATTGGTCTTTATATCTTAGCAATCTTTAAGCTTGTCAGATTAACCTATTCGTCCTTTTTTATGCGTTGAATAAAGGTGACGTAATGAAGAAGATGGTAGACCAATTTTGAGAATATTTAATAAAATAATTTATGCACCAGATAATTGGATTTTGACAGAAAAATTACTATACATAAAAATGGCACAGCGAAACAGCCTGCCCTCTTAATACCTGAGCTAGACGGGAGCCTGGGATCTTGTGGAATGGAGAGCAGCGTTCGGTATGTGCATCCGGCCGGGTTTATTTGGTCTGGTGGAGAGCAATGTCTGGCTAACCGACCACAGGCTCACATCCAGAGCAAGGCTTACCCAAGGAGAATAGAACTTGGAAGTTGGAAAAAGATGGCCCAGAAAGGCCAGAGGGTGTTTGCTTGGCCAATCAGTCATTTTCCAGCACGATACGATGAGTTGCGCCCTGGGCTACAAGTTTCATCTGGGCCGATAACGAGAAAATTCGCTTTTTGAATTTTCGGAACAGACACACTCATCGACATACGCACGTTGACCCAGAGTCTTTAGATTTGGGTAGCACGTGTAAGCCCTTGTCGCTAGTCTTAGACTGTGTTGTCAGTCTGGCAAGCAAGGGGTGGTGCGAAGCAAGCGAGGTGAAAAGCTATTAGTCGGATGGCTGAGAGCTTCTTAATAATAACTTAATAGAATTGACAGAAAATTACTTAAAATGGCTTTATATATAATTTCATTGAACCTGTCCAAATTTTGTTCAACCTGCCTTATTAATTGAATAAAGAAACGTTTAGTTGAAATAATTTATATATGAGGAATTTCTTATAATAAGAGCACGTAAATTAAATTGTGATAAAAAATTATTTTTAATTTCAATTATTTTTGACTCTGAAATATACAAATTCTAAATTTAGCAGGTTATGACTATCTTTAATATTTTAAAATAAAATATTCCATCATTTATAAGTATTTATTTCACAAAGTATAAAAAATTTACTATTAAAATTACCCATTTATCATTATTTGCCTTCAAAATTGTTAAATTTGATCAATATTACAATTTATTTTTCAGAACTTTTCCCTAAAAGAAACAATTTTTCCTTAAACTTGAGGAGAAAATATATATTATATCTAAAATGGATTTATGTGATGATTCAAACAATGTTCAAGTATTTTGTAGAGTCAGACCGCTAAATGACATGGAAAAGCACTTACCAAGCAAGCCATTTATCGATATCTCAGCTGATTCTCGTACAATAACTGCTCACTCTTCAAATGCCAATGAACCTATTAAATATAATTTCGATTACGTTTTTATTCCACCCACTCCTCAATCAACTGTCTACGAAAAAGCAGCGCGTCCTATAGTCGAGTCAGTAATGCAAGGCTTTAATGGGACTGTTTTCGCATATGGACAGACATCCTCAGGGAAGACTTATACAATGACAGGGCCTAACTCAGAAGATCCTAACTATATGGGGATAATTCCGCGTATGGTTACGACGATTTTTGTCCTTATAGAGAATGCTGATGAAAATATTGAATTTACAGTGAAAATTTCTTATTGTGAAATTTACTGCGAAAAAATCAGAGATCTAATGATTTCTTCTAACTCATCTGATCGAGTAAGTTTTTGCTTGCATTTTTTAAAAGGTAATTATAATTTTATTCGGATTTTAATAAAGATAACGTTAATATTAAAATTTATGAGCTGAAGATTTTATTATTATAATCATCAAAAATATTTTATCTGAAATATATCAATTTAATAGATTTTTCTGGTTAATTTTGCTCTTAAAAGGAATGGTGTAAAGAAAATCTAAAGATTAGAGAAGATAGGGCAAGAGGTGTATACATTGATGGACTAACAGAAGTATGTGCATCCACAGGAGAAGAAATTTATGAAATAATGAAGCTCGGAAACACAAATAGAGCGACAGCGTCGACAAAAATGAACAATTCGTCATCAAGGTCCCACTCAATTTTCTCCATCACAGTTACTCAGTCCACTATGGATTTTTCCACAAAAGTTGGAAAACTCCACTTGATTGACCTTGCTGGCTCTGAAAAAGTTGGGAAAACGACTCTAGAAGGAATCCGCTTAATCTCTCCATGAGCAATGAATGAAAAAAAATTCGCTCTCTATAGAGATTTATTTTGAAGTATTATATTTCAAATAATTTTTTTTTGAAATTTAAATCTCTATATTCGCAAAACTGGAAAATATAAATTAATTTACTTTATAAAATTTGCGTTTATGATGCAATCTATTATTTAAATTTAATAGAATTAGCTAGAAATTAAATTATGACAGATAAGCTTATATATCAAAAAAATTTTATTATTAAAAAAACAATTTGCTCTATCACAAGAGGTGAGTATTTGCCCAAAATAATACATCTTCTTACTCACAAAACTGTTGAAGTTAGAAGAAGCAAAAAAAATCAATAAATCCCTAGCAGCACTAGGAGCTGTAATAACAGCTTTATCTGAAGGGAAAAAGTCTCACATTCCTTATAGAGATTCTAAGCTGACAAGAATTCTTGAAAATTCATTAGGAGGAAATTCCAAAACTTCGCTAATAGTAACTTGCTCCCCTTCCCATTATAATGAAGAAGAAACTTTGTCAACTTTAAGATTTGGGGTAAGAGCGAAACTAATTAAAAACAAGCCAAAAATCAACAAAGAGTTTACAGTGAGTGAGCTGAAACTTCTTCTAGCAGATGCAAAAGAAGAAATAAAGCAAAAAGACATGCTAATTAAACTATTTGAAGAGCAGATGGAAACTGGAGATTGCAACTTGGCGCTTACAGCTGACACAAGCATTTTCGGGGATGAAGATCTGTTTAAGCCTGAGTATATGGAAGTTATACAGGAATTAGAGCTGACAAAGCAAAAAATGTTAGAAGAAATGGAAATTAAAAGAGATCTGCAAGAGAGGTTTGAGCAGATTGAAACCGAAAATGCTGAATTAAGTGCAGAATATACAGTCTTAACAGATTCCCAATTATTTTTAAAATTTAATAAATATTTCCATATAAATAACTATTCCCACCTTTCCAAAAATTTCATCAATTAATTAAATTCCCATACAATAATTTAGTTAAATACGCCCAAGAAATTTGTGATGAAAAAAATATTTTAGAAAATTTACTCCGAGATAAAGAAGAAATTATCGACAAACTGACCGCCATAAAAGATTCCTACGAATCTAAATTTGAAAATTTCCAAAACGAAAAGCTACGTCTAGAGAAAAAAATTGTCGAAAAAGACGTAGAAATTGAATACCTTAAGAGAAGAGCCAGAGCTTCTGCAATTGATTCTGAAGAAGATAAAAAATTGCAGATAAGCGAAGAAAGGGAAAAAAATATTTTAAGAATCCATGGGGATTCTTTAACTCCCCCCCCCCCTCCGTGAGCGAACAAAACCATTAGAAAAATCGCCATTTTTTGACCAAAAACCCACCCTCCGTGAGTGAACAAAAATTTTTTTAATAGAAAAAATTTTAATGGAAAAAAATTTTGATATATAAGTGATAATTAGTATAATGAAATCTAGAGCTAATTCTGTTTAATTTTTAAACAAATTGCGTTTTAAAACATAAATTTTGCAAATTAAATTAATATTTGCTTCCCAATTTTTGCAAATTAGGATTTTTTTAAATTTCGAAAAACATATTTTTTATAAAATTTATATATAAATTTTTTTTTAAAAAAAAAAAATTAACCCCCCTCCGTGAGCGAAACAAAATTTTTTTGTTCGCTCACGGAGGGGGGGGGGGAGTAAGTAAATTATCAATGATAAAAGATGGAATTAATGAAGAAATTTATGATGAAAATATATGGAAAAATGAGAAGCTGAAGCTTGTAAATCAGCTTCAAATTAGGATAAAGTCAATAATTGACCTTGAAATTGAGCTTGAAGATGCTCGAGAAGTCATAAAAAAGCTGGAAAATTCTAAAGGGAGCACCTGGAGAGAAGAAAGAAAACAGAACAGCATCTTGGAGAGGCAGCTAGAACAGCTGACTATAATGTATCATCAATTAGCAAAGCAGCAGTCAGAATCCTCATTAGACAGCAGCATAAAAGAAAAAAAAATCCACCGGCTGACAGAAAAATCTAAAAAGCTTGAAGAAGAGCTAAAATCCTTAAAATCATCTATAAAAGAATACGAGTTCACTAGCAAAGCATTAAAAGATGAGCTCAAAAAGAAGCCTCAAAGCAGCATTCTCAGTACAATGGGAACTCTAGGGTTACTATTGCCAAGTCCTAAGATTAAAAAATCAATAAAAGGTGGCGGCAATTCCAAGTTCCTGGCAGTTTTTGCTGATCAGGCTAGAACCTCATCAGCTGCTTTTAATAGACTCTCATTAAATAATGAATTACAAATTTAAGATAATCTTGTGCTGGAGCTGGATGTGGGCCTGTCAATTGAGAAGAACTTGGGCATTTTTTCAGGAGTTTTGCTTTCTTCATAGGCTTCGTCGTAATTCTCGTCATAGCCATGGTAAATATTGTCTTCATTAAAGTCTTGTGAATCAAAGGAAGGGACTTCTTCTAGGGATAGAGTGGATAGATAGACAGACTCGGTTTGGTTCATTTCACTGTCAAATAAGATAGAGATATTACCTGATCCAAGAACATTACCATGCCGGTCGTTTAAGATGACTTCGTCTTCATCAAGATTTAGTATATTAGAACAATCGTGGGCAAGCTGGGAAAAATCGTAATTTGAAGGGTCAGAAATTCGAATTTTTACTATACTTTTTAAGGACAATATATAATAAAATAATTTTCTATAACTAGAAAGCATAGTATTCCTTTTTGGAATACTTCATTTGAGTAATGAACTGCTACAAAGGTAATGCATGATCTCTTCAAGCTGTTTATTGCCCTCACCAAGTATTTTCTATCATGCAATCTTTGAAACCTCATATCAACTCTTAAATCAGCTTCAGAAATCTGCAGAAAATCTTTCCCATTAATTCCGTGTGACAAGAAAAGTGATGAGGCAGAACCAAGGTGTATTAAATTGAGAAACTCTGATACTTCTTTTGAGTTCCAATGCCAAGGACTTTTGTACATTATAATAAAGATGAATATATATAAATTGATAAAAATTATAGATGGCAGCTTTTTATTTTCATGATTAAATTTTCAAACAATCAAGCTATTGCTATCATTAGGAAATTTAAAATTCATTATATTAATTATAATAATTTGCAAGATGCAACCTTTAAAAAGAGAACCTGATCCCACAGTGATAAGATCTTTCACTACTCCAGGCGAAGTTTATTCACTTGATTATGGACTAACTGTAGCAAAAAATAAAGGAGCTCTGATAAGTGCTCTCAGACAGTGGCTCTTCAGTCAATGGAGAAGTGGCCAGAGGCAATACGAAACAATACCTTTCGAAAATATAACATTCACTCATGAATCTGAGGCAAATTATATATTTCAGATGGAAAATGCAGGCGCAATCACCAATCCTCCTATAGGTGACCAAGAGTATCTTTCAAGAATTAGCCAACAATTTAGTGCCTACCTAACGAGAGTAACAAGTAGACTAAGAGAAGAATGGAAAGAAAGGGAGCTGATCAGAAGCGAAGTCAATATCAATACAGAAATTCAACCTTTTCAAGCTAAAACTAATCAGCGCTACAGAGAGATGCGAGCTCCCCCCTCCGGGAGTGAACAAAAATATTTTGTTCGCTCACAGAGAAATTTTATAGAAAAAATTGTTTAAAAAAATCCTAATTTAAATTTGGAAGCAAATATTAATTTAATTTATAAAATTTATGCTTTAAAACGCGATTTGTTTAAAATTAAACAGAATTAGCTCGATATTTCATTATACTAATTATCACTTATATATCAAATTTTTTTCATATAAAAAATTTTCTATTAAAAAAATTTTTGTTCGTTCACGGTGGGTTTTTGGACAAAATTAGGGATTTTTCCAATGGTTTTGTTCACTCATAGGGGGGGGAGTAAGTGCAACAATGGCTGGAATGGATATTCACTTAATCGTTTTTGACTCCATTAGAGATTGGTATATCTTAAGCAACCTGAGGCATAACAATATAGTCCCTTGGTATGGGATGGTTAAAATTGATAAAATCATGTACGCAGCAATTCAAAGATTGACAGTCACTCTGGAATCCTTTATAAACTCAAAATTTTCAAAACAAAGGCCTGAGGATTTGCCCTTAAAATTAAGAATAATCACCCAAATCGGGTACGGGATTGCATTTATGCACATGAAAAACATCGGTTTAAATAATATTACTCCATGGAGCATTTTTATCGACGAAAACGCCAATAATCGGCCAGTTATATACGACCTAGACCTTGCATTGCGTGCTGACATAACTCCAGCTCCATGGATAAAACGCTTTAAAGAAGAGGATTTTGCATCGCCTGAAGCTAAAACGGAGAATCAGCAAATAAAATTTCAGAATTCTGATATTTATTCCTATGGAATTCTAGCCTGCTATATTTTAACTGGAAAATATCCTCAAGAAGCATTTAAGTGTGAATTTGCTTCAGATCCTGAACTTGATGGAAATATAAAGGAATTTATCATACAAATGCTTTCTGAAAATGAAACCAGAAGGCCTAGTGCAAAGATGTGCTATGAAAAATTTGAAGAATTTAATAGGCTTCTTTAATAAAATAATTATTGGTTATATAATGCAGTAAAACAAATTGGCATTTTTTACCTATTTTTTAATTTTTTATTAAAAATCGTGACATTGTATACATTAACATTAGCATTACTTAGAGTGTTTAGCGTGCTTCCGGGTTCCGCAGGGTGATTTAACAAAGCCACGAGGGCTCACCCCAGTAGATACCGATTGGTGACGTCAACGGGCATTTCCGACGTCACCCTTTTTATCGGGCCGACGGACCATCCTAAGCAAGTGACGGCTAATCGGCTGCCAGACCTCATGGGCTGCGTTGCCTTGCTCAAAACTTGACTCCTGCGCGTTTTCCCGCCTTTGGGTCTCCTTCCTAGGGAGTGTCAAGCAGTAAAACCCTATGCCCACAAAGCGCCCAAGGATCAGGCAAGGAGACTGTGCACCCCTCTCCATTACTTACCTGATTTTGCTGGGTAAGGTCCCACCGGGAAAACTAAACCCTATAATAATAAAATGGCGTCGCCGGTAAAATTTTTTCTCTGAAGAATTTACTCTTCTTTGGCTATTTTATTATTATCGTGACATTTTATACAATTTTTCTCTTAAAATATTCAATACTTCAGTAATTGAAGTGTCTTGGCTGAGGTCAAAACCTCTTCGTATGAACTGTGCGAAAGACTGAAAATTCTTAATTATTAAGAAAAGGGAGTCAATTTCTTTCATCACGTCTCCTTCTACGTCAAAAAGCTGCTTAAAGTATGGCAGAGATTTGCAGGACTGAATTATTTCTGAATCAGTGGCTGTTTTCTTGATTTCTAAAGTTTTTATTATTTGTGACTTAAAAATGTTTTTTTGTGAAATCTGGGTTTTTAAATCAAATATCTTTTCCAAAATTTCTTTAAGGGCTAGAATAACATCATCTGGAGCTGATTTTTCATGAAATTCACTATAAATATCAGCCACAACTGCGTTAATTTTATTGTATTTTTCAAAAATCTCTTGGCATCCTTCTGCAATACTAATTAAATCTTCACATTTACACGAAAAAATTTCACAGATTTTTTGGGTTATTCCTTCCTCCTCAGAGCCTTTTTCTAAATTATTTATTTCATTAATGAGCTTGCCATTGTTTTCTTTTAAAATTTCGATTTTTTCTTCTAATCCTTTGATTTTTTCTTTCCATGCTTCTTCATTGGAATCATTTATCATAATATCTTCTCTATTCCGCATTATTTTCTGATAAACCTTCATTTGTTCTTCATAGAAAACTATAATTCCCATTATTTTTACATCAGATTCTGACTCAGGGTCGAATTTTCGCTTTAAAAAGGAACCAAAAATTTTTTCTTCATTAATGAGTTTTGCTGAGTCCCAGATTTCTATGGGGTCTGTAGGGATTGGGAATTTTAAGTCTTCGTCTTTTCGGCCGATTGGAGAAATTGATCTTGACCATGGTCTGTCAGTTGAGACAATAAGATCTTTGGATTGATTTTTTGTAGTAAAAGGTTTGGATAGCTTTGAATATCCCCCAAGCACGTCTGCTAAAACCTCAGCCATTTTGTCATAGTCGCCTTCTTCAATATAATTATAACCAAGTTTTTCTAGCATAGAATTTATATTATGCTATTTTATATTAATTGGTATATTTATAGGTGTTTTTATATCTATTTTTGTAAAAAACATAAATTTTTAAGCTACTTTAGCCTAATAAGCTTAGAAAGCTTTTTGGATTCTGATGATTTTGAAGAATCTTGGTAAGGAGGAGGCTTTTTGTACGTCCGAGATAATGTGATTGATCTTGATGCTGGATCCTTGAGCAAGTTATTCATTTTATTAAGATCAGGATGGCTTTCAAGAGAGTTTCCTTTTATAAAATCATTAATGGATTCAGCAAATTCTGTTGATAAAGTGTCAATTTTACAAAAATCTTTTGGCATGTGCCTATGGTGGGCTTCTTTTGTTGTATTATTTGAAGAGGCTAGTTTTAGAGGCTGATCTGGAATATGAAGCCCTGATGTGGCTTTGAAATCAAGGAATTGCCTTTTTTTCGTTTTTTTGAATGAAGAGTCATTGATAAATTCAGTTGGTTCTTGAGTTTTGGTGAGAAAATTTATGCTCAGTTTTAATTAATTTTATTATAAAATATAGTCAAGGGCGATCCAAAAAAGGCCTTGGGCTATATAATAATTAATCTCTCAATAGCAATTTCATCCAGGAGCAGGATAAATCTAGTTTGGGAATTTCCATTCTATTATCAGTAATTAGGGTTAAAAAATAAATATATACCTTTCGATCACCTTAGCAGCACATTATGTTAAGCAATCCTCCTTATCTTTATTAATAAAAAACAGTATATCACATTAAAGTCTTAAAGAATGGTTCAATGAAGGCAGATTCGGCTTTTGTAAAGACAGCCTTCTGCTATGTTTTATATAGCTAGTTTTCACTTCCGCCTTCAAGCTTATGTCAAGAATTCATGCATGATTTAAAGCCTGCTCTGGGGTAATTCTTTTGGCTGGGTCTCATTCTAAGCATCCTAAATAAATTTTACTTTCAATTAAATCCAGCAGCAGTTTGTCTCCACAAGGAAAAAAATCGGTCAGCAATTTACTGCCTGGTATTCTATTTCTTCCTTTAGGGGACGGCAAACTAAGAGGGATAAGTTCTTCACTAAAGAAAAGATTTGCACGAGTCGATTTTTCAATTAAATTATCTGGTGGAAGCCCTTTAATTTCCATAATCCTTGTCATAAGATCAGCTTCATTTTCAGCTGGAAATAAAGGGTAGGCATTTGCGAGCTCTACTAAAATGCACCCAAAAGACCATATATCTATTGCAGTTGTGTATGGGATTCCTAGGATTATTTCTGGCGCTCTATAAAATCGTGACTGAATATAAGTATATACGCACTCATCCTCTAGGCAAGCTGAGCCAAAATCAATTATTTTTATTCCGGATTTATTAACTCTTACCCTTCGTGAGAGTAAAATCATTGGAAAATTCCTATTTTTTCGCCAAAGCCCATGCTTGCCCGAGAGCACAAAATGTTGTTTTTATAAAAATATTTTGATATTAAATGATAATTTTTATAATGGAATTTCGAGCTAAATAATTCATTTTGAATAGATTGAATTCTAAAACACAAGTATTTGCAAGTTTAAATTAATTTTTTATTTTCTTGAAATGGGATTTTTAAACTTTGAAAAAATAGATTTTACAATAAGAATTTCTAATAAATATTTTTCTCACTCATGGAGCTGAGGAGAGTAAGATGTTTTAGTAAAATATTTTCTGGCTTTAAATCGCAGTGAATAATATTTTTTTTTTTTAAAAATTGTAAAGAGTAGAGTAGTTGGATTGCGATTCGTCTGACGAGGTTCAAAGGTAGCCCTTTGAAATTGTTATTTTTTATAAGTTCATATAAATTTATACTGAGAAGCTCAAAAGTCAAACAAATATGCTTTCTAAATGTAAAATTGTCATACATATGGACTAAATTTGCGGAGTCCTGCTTATCGGTAGAAGAAATTATTGATAAAACCTTTATTTCTTTTTAATTTTTGCGTAAATGGAGTCGGTGAAAAAGAAAACGGTCGTGCTCAAGGCTGCCCAAGATGCGGAACTACAGCACCTGGGATTAAGCGAGAGTGGGACTTTCTTCGGCTTCACGGCCCCTACAGAAACATTACCAGAATTACAAGAATCTCGAATGCTTGAGAACTCCATGAAAGTTTACTTATCAAAATACCTGAATAGAAGCAAAGACAACAGAGAGCAGAATGTGGAAAAGAAGGAATTGTTTTTGGCGCTCATGATAGCGCTCGAAATAGAGACAAAACCCGGAGAAATACTCAGATGCAGGCAATTGCCATCAGGAGATGTCGTAGTGATTTACACAAGCGAACAAGCTAGAAGACAAATGCTGAAACAAGGTAAAATCACAATACAACTAGAAGATAGCAAGAGGCATGTCCCCATTGGCCCGATGAACAAAAACGGTGAGCTTTAATTTTCAAAGTTACCAGATTCAGGTGACGCTACCTATAGAAATTGGAATTGAGGAGGTTATAGAATACCTCAGTACCAAGTGTAAAGGTAGTTGAAGTTATTGCTGAAAACACCTTGAAGGATGGGGAGATTTATTACGCAGTGCACTTCAATCCCAACTCACGCTACAAGATATACGGGGAATTTAGTAAAATTGATGAAGCAGTTGATCTTCCGGAAGAAATCTCCATTAGAGGGAAGAGGCTTTACCTGAATCATGCTACATCATTAGTTTGTGTCACTTGCAATCAAATAGGCCATAATAAAGAAGGGCATGAAAGAATGGAGCAAAGGAGGCAAGAGAGAATTAGGGCTGACTGCATTAGGAGGAAAAGAAAAGAGGAAGAAAAAATGCAGCACAAAATTGCGTGTAGGAGAGATTCTGGGCAGGAAAGTGACAATAGAAAACAAAAGTAATAATTCAGGGTATTTAGGTGTAGATAATCGGGAAAGAGCAGAAGAACAAAAAATTGAAGTGAAAGAAATAAGGAGCATAAATGACGTCGGCAAAAGGACACCCCAGGAAGCTGGGCTACAGTATCCACAGATGAAGAGATTAAAGAGAAGCATCAACACAGATTTTTGACTGTAGCGCACATAAACATGATGGACTAAAGCAGAAAAAGGAACAAATAGAAAAAGCTCCTAGCAGAAATTGAAGCGGATGTGATTGGCATGTGTGAAACACATTGCTCTACATCCGAAGCGCTCCCAAGAATAGAGAGGTATAACTGGTACCATAACACAGGGACTGACAGAAGTGCTGGAGTAGGGTTTCTATATAAAAAGGGTCTCACTATAGAAGAAAGTATAAACTCAACTCAAGGAAGGACAATTGCACTAACGATAGGTAACCTTACCATAATAGAAGCGTATTCACCTGTAGAGGGTGACACTGAAGCGTTAGAGGTCTTCTATGAAGGAATGAACGATGCACTGGTACACAGAGCATTGAAACACGCAGAACGTGTAGAGAGAAGTGTGCTAATAGGATGCTGCAAACAAGAATAACGGATTGATTAAGAAATGATCCATAAGGATCGCTAGGCGGGTTGACCACTAGATAGAGATAAGATAAGAGATAAAACCTTTATTTCAAATGCCAGCTTGGTATAAAAACTTTTTCTTATTTCTGATGATTTTCATAGCAATTAGGGAATGCTTTTTTCTATCAAAGCATTTGCAGACCTGCCCAAAGCTGCCTTTTCCAATTATGGAAATAATTTCATAGCGATAATCAATGTGATCTCCTATAATAAGATTATAATCACCCCTTTCGTCATCATATCCGTAGTTTTTTAAATTTATATTTGAGATCTTTTTAGCTCCTAGTCCGAGAAAATATATTCCTATTTTTTTTTAAAAAAATTATTAGGCAGCCAAATCTTATTTTGTGCTAGATTTATAAGCAAAATCCCCAAATTTTGATACTCAATCCAATAGTATGAAATATATTTTCTTATATGATAAAATTTCAGCTTGTTCATATGGGGTTAAATATTTTTGAAATTTTGATAAGGCTGTGCCAGGAGTAATAGGAAGCTGCAGGGACTCGAATTCTTGCTGAGGAGTTGGTGGTTCTGAGGATTTTCTTGTTTCTTGAGTACATTCTCGAGAACTTATATTACCGTTGATAGAAGTTTTTAGTTTCATATCAGAAGTATTGAGCGCAGCTATAAGTGGGCTGCAAAATTTATTGCGGATGATGCTTTTTCTACCTCTAGGGGAGGCATAAGGGGAAATTTTAGCTAGGGCTGCAGATGAAGACTTATCATTGATTGGATTTTTGGGTAAGATTTGGGAATTTCTATAAGAGCGTGGCAATGAACCATTTCTAGGAGAGTTAATAATAGTTCTATTTCGCTTTGGAGTTATATCCTGCAATAATTTGAATTTCATAATTTCATTTTTAATAGAATTTTATTATAATGATTCAGCTGCTGCTATCTTGATGCAGAATTATCCTCAATTAGTATATTTCTTGCTGATTTTTTTTGCATTTTTGTGAAGCAATCTAATATATGCAGAATAATTATAATTGATTGATAATAATCAAAAATGCAATTCAGCTATTTCAAAAGCTTTATTAATCTTCTGCAGAAATTATTAAGGTCTCTGAAGAGGTAAAATTATTATTTTCGTATTGCTTAAAGACTTTAAATAGTCTATGCAATGGACTATATTAAGGAAATATGAAATTTATACTAAATAACATTTCATAAGCCGAAATGATGCAAATGCTCATTAGAGGATTCAAGAGCTCCCCTCGTCTTCTGATGAAAAAAGACTACTACAAAATTCTAGGCGTCAGCCCTTCTGCTACAGACCCAGAAATAAAAAAAGCTTATTTTATCCTCGCAAAAAAATTTCACCCAGATGTCTGTAGTGACCCATCTGCCAAAGAAAAATTTTCTGAAATTAATGAAGCTTATGAAACCATTGCAAATTCTCAGAAAAGGAATCTTTATAATGCCTCTAGAAAGGAAAATAACACCCACAAAGAAGAAAAAGTCCATGAAGATCCTGAAAATATTTTTGAAGGGTTTGAAGATTTTAATTTCCAAGGCTCTTTTTCCCAGTTTGAGTTCAATAACATTTCTCTGGATAATAATCAAGAAAAAAAGCAATTTAAAGGTGATGATATAGGGATTTATTTTGAATAAAAAATTATTTATTGAAAAATTCTATATTAATTTAATAGAATTATTTAGTATGCCTGGTCAAGCACAGGTAGCAACCCTACAGCCCCACCCCCCCCTAAAAGTGGTACCCCCACCCCCCTTTCACAGATGGCACCCCCCCACCCCCCTTAATATAGTATAGATATATCACAAATGCTAATTTAGAGCAGGCGTAATAAATAAATTATTTATTTTAGATATTAAAAATTACTGATTTATACAATATCATATAGCGTAGCGCAATCGATTAAGGAGTAGTGAAAATTTCCTATAACTACTAAGAGCCCCACATCTGAAGAAATTTGCTGACAAGCATAATGATCTTTGGTATTAATTAGCAGTATATCCTGTATATATTTATGAGCTTTGTGGAACAATGGCTAAAGAGTCCATTTAGAGATCTAAAAGTAAAACTGACAATAGCAAATACTATTTTTATTAGCACATTGCTTTTCAAATGAAAGAGATGCTCTATATAAGTTAGGTAGTAGAGAATAAGATATGGAATGCTATAAATAAGCTATCAGAGTTGATCCAAATTATGCTGATGCATACAATAGCATAGGAGTTATCTTCTATAAAGAAAAGAGTTATGAAAAAACACTAAAACATTGTAACGATGCAATTAAAAAATCCAAACTGTGGAGTAGTATTATATTATTATTATAATAAAGGAAATGCTCTTACTCCCCCCCTCTTTAAATTGGAACAAAATATAGGTAAAATTTCCACTTTTTTGGTAAATTAACCCCCTTTAAATTGAAACAAAATTTAATTTTATAATAAAAAATTATAATAATTTTTATGTAAAAGATTTTGATATAAGCTAAATGTTTCTTTCTTAACTAAAATCAAAAATTTAGTTATATCTTATTCTTGTTTAAAGAAGAGAGTTTAAAGAATAGAGTATAGATAGCATATTATTTAAACAAAATTAGCACTTTGATCGATAAATTTTCTAAAATTTTTTGTTTTTAAATTTTTTTTATCAATAAAAATAATAATTTTTGTGTAAATAATTTTGATACCAATTAATAGTGGCGTATTAACTAATAATGAAAATTTAGTTATATCTTGCTTTGTTTTTAAAAGATAAAGAGTAAATAGCATTTTATTAAACAAATTTATTAATCTAATTCGATAAGTTTTTGAATTTTTATATATTTTTTTTTTTATAAAAACATTTTATATTGATATTTTTTTTTAAAACAAAAAATTAGCCCCCCTTTAAATTGGAACAAAAATTTTTTGTTCCAATTTAAATGGGGGGAGTTAGACAGTTAGGAAGAAGAGAAGAAGTTTTGGAATGCTATAAAAAACAATCAAAAAGAATAATGACAACTCAAGATGTGATATAGGCATGGTATGTAAGAAAATATGAATATAATTAATACTTGAATTCGCAAAAATTTTATTTTATGAATTGATTACTTTTAAACCTACTATTTAAGCTAATTATCCATCTTCTGCATATCCTGCATTAGCTCATATTACATCCATCTTGAAGTTACCTACACTGTATTCATCTTCGCTGCACTCTGTAGTTATTGTATTGTGCTTGATTCATTTAATAATTATTGACATTATCAATATCTTTGGCATTGTATTTATAAATATAAAAAACAAATTTAATATATTTCCTAATTAATTTTTAATTAATTTGAATTTATTAATTAATCGCAATTATTAAAGCAATTTATAGACTTCATTTATCAATATAGCGCTTTAATTGGATTATATTTAAAATATTCTTTTTGAGGGGGGGTGGGGGTGCCATTTTTAGGGGGGGTGGGAATTCCCTTATTGGGAGGGGATGGGGGTGTAGGGTTGCTACCTATGCTTGACCAGTATGCCCATTTAAATTAATATAGCACCCTTTATCGTCTTTTTATTATTTATTAAATATTCATTAAAAATAGTTTTATATTAAATTAGCAATTGAAGTCCCATTTTTAGAAGCAATTCATGGGATATCAAGAGTTTTGAAATTTGAAAGGAGAACATTGTGCAATGCATGTCATGGCTCAAAAATGAAAATTGGCACAGCAAGAGCAAAATGCGAGGCTTGTCAAGGGAAAGGGGTTATATCAGTAAAAAAAGATAATATGAATGTACAGGTTATGTGCCAAAAATGCAAAGGCGTTGGGAATTTTATAAGGGCATTATGTTTAAGCTGCAGAGGAAGAGGGATTTTATCGAGCAAAGCCACAGAAGCTGTTCGCTTTCCATCAGGGGTTGATGATGGCTTTATGCTGAGAATGCTAAATAAAGGGCATCATAGTGAATTAGGTGGCCCACCTGGTGATTTGCAAGTGTGGGTAAAAGTGCTACCCAGCCCTACTTATAAGCGCCAAGGTTACGATATACATACGAATTTGTCTTTATCTGTAACCCAAGCTGTCCTTGGAGCCGAAATAGAAGTGGATACAATTCATGGAAAAACAAAAATACAAGTAAACCCAGGTACGAACCCTGGAGATACACATAGAATTGTAGGACAAGGGATCAAATACTTACCCCCAAGCACCCTTAAGGGGCATCATTTTGTGGAATTTAATATAAAAATCCCTAAAAAGCTGACTTCAGAGCAGAGAAGCATTTTTGAGCAATTAGAAAAAGTAAAATCCAAAACAAAATAATTACAAATGCTATAATTTAAAAATTTAGGTATAAAAATAGCAATATTCGCTTATTTGAAATATAAATCTCGAAAAATTGATTTAAGCATAATTTTAATTATTTTTTAATATGAATTAAATACGTTTATAATTAATTCTAATGGCACTTGGATCAAATATAGGCATTATGGATGGAGCCTTTTTTGTAGGAAAAACAGAGCTCCTCAGCTGGGTTAACGGTCTCCTCCAACTAAATATCACAAAGGTCGAGCAAATGGCAACAGGAGCTGTATATATTAAAATGGCGTAGTCAAGCAACCACCCTCTTTACTATAGCTGGCCCCGTGCTAGTGCAGGAACCTTGAGGAAGGAAGGATGACCTTCGTAAATGTGTATGGTTAGATTTTATCTGTCTGATTAAGGTAGTTTCGGGCTAGCTGACCGTATCCTTACTCCAATTCAGAGTTTTTGCCTAGAGGGGAATGGAACTAAGAGTTGGAAAGGGATATTTCATCAGCGCAGAAGTGAGTTTCTTTGCCAATCAGGACTATTTTCTAGCGTAAAATCTGGATTTACGCCTTGGGCTTGAGATTTCAACCACGACTAAGAGTCGACAGAAGATTCAACCATTTTAAATTTTCAATGGCAGGCAATCTTGTAGCTCTACCAGATATGAATAACCTTCGGGATGTCGTGAACGCGACCTGAAGAGCAAGTGGAGCATTAGGGGTGGGGATAGTCATTCAGAAATTACAGTGGACTTTTCGATAAGGAGCTGCTTATTGCCAAATTATGGATGCAGTATTCCCGGGATGCATAAATCTCAGCAAAATTAATTGGAGCGCTAAATATGATCACGAGTACACCCACAACTTTAAGCTCCTGCAAGCCGCTTTTGATAAAAATAACGTGCAAAAATTTATTGAAGTTGAAAAACTTATAAAGGCAAAATCATTAGATAATTTAGAATTTTTACAATGGTTCAAGCGGTTTGTGGATTTAAATTATAGAGGAGGGGACTACCCCGCTTTAGAAAGAAGGAGAGGAGCTAAAACGCCATGGGATGTAGGCGAAAGAGCTGGGCCTCAAGTATCGCAGCCGAGATCTCAAAATCCTCCACAACAGAGAAATCCGAAACCTGCTGTAGCTTCAAGAGCTCCTCAGCCAAAGGCGAAACCTGTAAGAGAAGCAAAACCAGACGAAAGTGAAGTTACCAGACAAATTGCAGAACTAAGACTGACTGCAGATTCTTTATACTATGTTAAATGAATTTTTATGTATTTAGAAAATAAAATATTTTTGGAATATTTGGTAGGATATATAATAGAAAAGGAAAGGGATTTTTATTTTGGAAAATTAAGGGCTATTGAGCTGTTTTGTGAACACTTTGAAAATCAAGAAAATCCTATTGTCATGGATATACAGAAAATATTATTCGCGACAGATGAAGAAAATGTCGCAGTGAATGATGATGGGAGTGTTTCTATTACACCAATTGAGCCGGCGGAGTTGTAGAATGGATAATTAATAATATTTGGATTTAATAAAAATAAGCCTGCAATTATAGATCCTTAAACTTATTATCATTTATCTAAAATTTTGATTTGAATGAGCTTAATTTAAAAATCTTTGGCAATTTATGCTTATTTACAGATTTTTATTATATTTACTTCTTCTTCCCTCCGTAAGTAAACAAATTATTGGAAAAATCCTTATTTTTTAGTGGAGAACCACCCTCCGTAAGGGGACAAAAATGTTTTTACTATATAAAATTTTTAATTAATAATTATTAGCCACTAATTCTGTTTAATTTTAAACAGTTTGCATTTTATAATATACAGTTTTTACCCTCACCATAAGCAGCTATAGCTGTTGCTTATGGGAGGAAATTGTCTTGGAGAATGGCATCTTGATATGCCAAAAGCATTTTGGTATACCAAAAGCAATGTTGGCAAACCAAAAGGCCATTCTCCAAGGCAATTTCCTCCCATAAGCAACAGCTATTGCTGTTTTTGGTGTTTCTGAGGGAGTATATAAATTTTACGAATATAATTAAATTTTGGTTTCCAATTTTTTAGAATTATGATTTTAAATTGTGAAAAAAAATTATTATATATAAAAAAAAGCATTATCCTTTTTCATGAGCCTACAAAATTTTTGTTTACTTACGGAGGAGGAGTAATGAAAGCTGATCAAACGTTTGAGCATTTGCAATGCTAACTCCCCCTCCCTGTTATTTTAAATATCTATATATAGAGGTTTCCTCTATATAGCGCTAAAAGCGCAGACATTTTCCCAGGAGCTTTCCAAGTTCGTCGGACCAAATCGCTTTTTGGTCCGACCAAGGCATAAATTCCGATCAGAATTTATCGGCCTTACAGCGCCAAACATAGGAAACTTCTATATATTTTAAAGTATTTTTTTTTTCGAAATTTAAAATTTCATATTCGAAATAATTTTAAAGCAAATATTAATTTAATTTTTAAAATGTATGTTTTAAAAAGCAAGTTAGAGGTTCATTATAATAATTATTATATCAAAATAACTCTTCTTGAAAAATTTTTGTATTAAAAAATTTGTTCAGCCATGGAGGGGGTAAGCAATCTTCAATATCCTTCTCTATATATAATAGTAGCTCAGTCAAGATAGAATCTATTTATCCTTACAAGATATTTTTAAATTAGATTATGCTCAAAAGATAATTAATTAGCGTAAATAGATATTAATCAGTACAATTTTACTACCTTCAAACTCAATATCCTTTTAAAATCACTTATGATCCTATACATATCATTCATGCCTTCATGAGCAATGATATTGTTTTTCTCATTCAATATACATTTACATTTGTTTATTTAATATAAAAAGGAAAAGATATATCTATTTATTGCCATTAATTGTAACTGACTAATGAAAATCTTGTTTACTAAATGATTTCATCATTAAACATACTGAATTTAAGCATGAGAAAAACAAAGATATTGGCCTTAAGAGTCACAAGTTTCTCTAGTTGAGCATTTTAATAGAAATTATGTGTATTTAGAACCATTTATCAACAAAAAAGATTTTAGTATGAAGAAACTATATATTCAATAGTTTAACAAAGAGAAAAAGAAAAAGCAAGATATTTATCTTTTTAAATCATGATAATGAGTCAACGCATTGTTCTCTTAATAGATAAAAAAAGAAAGATATTTTGGAATTTATGATAAAAAATGGCGAGAAATGGTTAGGTGCTGGCCGTTGTAAATTTTGGGAATAAATATGGAAATTTGGGTCATTTTGGAAAATTTGGAGTAAATGTTTAGAAATCATAGGAGTTTGAGCAAAACAAATAGCTAAAGCAGATACAAATTAAATTGATTAATTATTTGGATTAATTTAGAAATTTTTACAAATAAAAAAATTTAAAAAATTTTCGAGTTTTTTATAGTATTTTTAATTTTTCCAAGCCTAGCTAGCTTCACAATAAACACTTTTTATGATAATTCAAGCAACAAGGCATTTCATTTTATTTTACAATTTTAATAGGAATAATAATCAAAATTCCTATGCATAAATATTTTTATAACTTCTTTCTAATTTATAGGGCTTTCCCTTGAATAGCCCTATAATTACTCTTCATAAGAAAACACTTTAAAATCCCAAGCAATATTTATTTATACCCTATTTATCATTATTTTAAAATTTTGTATCTCTTCTAAACTACTAATTACTTTAATTTAATCTTTAAACAACCCCTTAACACTTCAATTAAATCAAATTAATTAAGATGACGTAGAAGAAGCAGTCTGTAAAGTTTGCACATTTTTTGGGTTTTCAGACCAATTAATTGGGAACCTACTAATTCTTGGACGGTCAGCCAATATAGTTCGCTGGATTTTTTCAGGGATTGGCACAGGTGGCAAATTTTCCATGAGTTCTGGATCAGTGTATTGGTTATTCGCATAATATCCGATTCTGAAAAATTCCTGTTCCCAATAAGAGCATGTCAAAATGACAGCTGTTATACCTACGACTTCTTCAGAGGGAATCTTATTAATATCAGGCCCATCAGCTTCGAATACGAACCTCATTGTCCCATACTGTAGCGGGCCAATCAGAACTGAATCCAAGACTTGATCAAAGCTGGAGTTTTCTGAAGAGCCTACATATATGATTTTCCACTCCAAATCATCTGGCAGAGGTGTTAAGCACTCAAATGTGATTTCGAATTTAAAGGCATCTTTGAACATTGCTGGGTTATTCAAGACTCGCACGTTAGTGACATTGATTGCCGCCATTTCACCTAAATTCCCACCTCAGGAGAGGGCAAAAATTATCGAAAATCCTTTTTTTTAGAATTTAATGAAATTAATTAAAAATAAGATAATTGCTATAAGGCATATTTAAATAAAATAAATTTTCCATGCAAAATATTTTCGAGAAATTAGAAAAAACAGATTTAAGTAAGTTTTTAAAATAAAAAAATAAGCCTAAAGATAATTATCATTTAAGCGTAATTTTGAGTAAGTAAAATTATGAAGATGTGAGAGGTATTATGCTAATATAAAATAAATTGATTAATGTTAAGAAATTGATAATTTTAAACAGAAATGTAGTAGCATTAGTTTAAAATCATTAATCCACTGCTGTCACCTCCACCTCATCAATCTCCAGAAACTCATGTAATATATCTTCATGGTAAAACTCACAATTATTTACTTACTCCCCCCCCCTCCGTGAGTGAACAAAAAAATTTTGTTCACTCACGGAGGGGGATTAAATTTTTTTTTTTTAAAAAATTTAAAAAAAATCCTAATTTGCAAAAATTGGAAAGCAAATATAAATTTAATTTATAAAATTTATGTTTTAAAATGCAATTCGTTCAAAATTAAACAGAATTAGCTCTAGATTTCATTATACTAATTATCATTTATATATCAAAATTTTTTCCATAAAATATTTTTCTATTAAAAAAATTTTTGTTCACTCACGGAGGGTGGGTTTTTGGGCAAAAATAGGGATTTTTCTAATGGTTTTGTTCACTCACGGAGGGGGGGGGAGTTAGCAGCTCGCTATAATCATTATCACTGTTATCCTCTTCATTTATATCTACATCCAGTCGATCTTTTATTCCACATTTTTCTTCTTGCACTTTTCCGGTGCTGAAATTATATCCTGTAATTGACTCAGACGAAGAAAACACTGGGAAAAGCCTTTGAGGGGTTCGAGAGTTTGGTAGATTTATGCTGCGCTTAGAGGAGCCAGGGATGTGAGTTTCTTTGACATTATCACAAATTGGCGACCTAGGAGAACTTTCGAGAGGCGGCTTATCAAGATTTATGACACGTCGTAATGAAATATTGGAATTGTTATTTATTGAAGAGTGAGGCAATCGTGGATTTGTTGCGTTTAAGGATGCACTGCAACCCATTTGATATGATTTATATTATTTACAGATTATGGTCCGCATATATTATACTGATTATAATCTTAATTTGGCTGAAATAGCTTATAATTCTGCTGTTTTTACTTTAAATTCAGAATAAATTCTAAGCTTTTTATATAAAAATCCTTAGTAAGCTTATTTATTTAATTCACCAATTGATATTATTTTTCTCAAAATTATCAAGTACTTTATAATTAAATTTTACCGACTTTCTTTTTCACATAATCCTGTGGCAGATTACGTTTAACGATATCATTATAGCTTCTCTTAAATTTTAGCATATCCTCTCTCCTTTCTGTTCTTTTCTTATATCACTCATCCAATACCTCTTCTCCTTTATTACTCTCATTTTCATCTTTTTCGGATTTTCTTTCTGAATGCTCTTCAATAAAATGGTTATTATTTTGCTGATTTTTACATTTGTCAAGCTCTTTTCTAAGCTCGAAAATTGTTTCTTTGCATTTTTTAATCTCATTTTGATACATTTTATTGTGGGATTCCAGCTCTTCTTTCTCATGTCGAGATTCTCTAACTCCTCTCCATCAGTGAACAAAACCATTAGAAAAATCCCTATTTTTGCCTAAAAAAACCCACCCTCCTTGACCGAACAAAAAATTTTTTTTAGTAGAAAAATTCTTCATGGAAAAAAAAAATTGATATATAAGTGACAGCTAGTATCATGAAATCTGTTTAATTTTAAACAATTTGCGTTTTTAAAATATAAATTTTACAAATTAAATTAATATTTACCTCCCAAATTTCGAGAATTGGGATTTTTTTAAATTCAGAAAAAAAAATTTTCTTTAAAATTTATATATAAAATTTTTTAAAAAAAATTTAACCTCCTTGAGCAGCTTTTTTTTGTTCACCCACGGAGGGGGGAGTAAGCTCTTCTAATAGCAATTCAATCTGTTCTTTAATAGCTTCGGTCTCGATTTCCTTTTCTTCTTCAGCTTTGTTAATATTTTCTTTGAGCTCTTCGATAGTTTTTTCGTTTTTTTCGTCTTTTTCAAGTCTCATTTTAAGGAGTTTAAGCTCTGCTTGTGAATTTTTGTAGTCGTTATCTGTATTTTTTATTATAATTATTAATACTAAATCATCATTATTTTTAGCAAAATTATTTTTAATTCCCTTACGCTTTAAATAATATATTTCTTTTAAATTGTCAATAGTAGATTGGCATCTCGTGGACTCATTTTCATAATCCTGCTCGATTTCTTTGATATGGTCAACTAAGCTTTGATAATTTGTTTGCAGAAGTTTGTAGTCACTTTCTAGTTTTGATAATTTTTGAGTAAGCTGGAAGTTTTGCTGTAGTAAATTTGTGTTTTGAGCTCGAATAAGCTCGATATTGCTACCAAATATTTGAGGGAGAAATTTATTAACTTCAGACATCGAGAAATCTATTACATTTTTACTAATAAATTTTTGGTTGAAACTTAGGATTTTACTTTTAAAATTTTAGAATAGATGCTGTTTTAACATATATTATTACAATTAAATAATTTTAGAGAATTTTACATAAATATTAGAAATAAATATAAAATTATTCACCTACTTCATATTAAATAAGCTACATCTCCTCCAAATTTAAAAAATCTAATCAGTTATTATATGAAGAAAAACAGTATTATAGCACTAAGTGACCCAAACTTTAAAAAGAAGCAAGAAATCCGCCGAATCCAGCCTCTTTTCCGCAAGCAATTTCAATCTCCCCGCTCCTCTTTAACGTCCTTAGTATCCCCTACCAATCAGCCTCCATCTACCTCAAATTTTCTTCAGATCGATTCTATGTCCCCTGCAGGTGTTCGTCCAGAAACCGCAGAGCCAGTCCTCCACAGCGACGCCCACATAGAATCCGAAATTAAGCGTTTAATTGGCGAGCGCATTTCTTTAATCAGAGAACTTGTGACTTACGGAGAAAAATACGAAAATAAGCTGTGCATGAAAGCCAGATTCAGCCAAATGCTTGGGTACTGCCAAAAACTTGATAGCATGGTAAAAGATGCAGGAAGCCATATAAAACAAGAAAAAGAGCTCTTTGATAAACTAGAAAGTGGGCTTGGTGTGATAAGATCTCAAGAAAAAAACAAAGAAAGGCTATCACCAATGAAAAATTATGAAGAAAGTCCGCCTGATACAGAAGAAGGGTTAGAGCATCAGCATTGTGTGGATATTTCTGGGGTAACGTGCTTGGCATACATAAGGGCAAATAGGGATATGAGTGAATTTGAAGTATCCTTGGCCAGATAAATTTTAATGACTATAGATTATAATTTTTTATATCCAATTTAATTAAAATCAGCATAAATATACATGTGGATATAAGCTGTGAAGTTTTTACCTATGAATTTAAGCAATTTCGTTTCAGTATCCCAGAAGTAGTTATAGGTGGAAGATTTCTTTCTCTTGCTGTAGAATGAGACTTATTCCCCCATTTCTATTTTACTTCCGAAAATGGGTCGCTAAAGCTAGGTTTTGATAGAGAGTATGGAATTCACAAAATTTATATCATAGCAAAAATCAGAGGGTTTTATTTTCAGCAGGTCTGCGTGATGTTGACTGAGAAGTCTGATTCTTTTATATTATCAATAGAAGAGCCGAGCATTTCTAAATCTCCTATAAAGGCTGAAGTCGCCAAGGAAAGGCTTAAACTCGACTCTAGCGCTGAGCTGATTTCTTCATCAAGAAGAAAAGCTTTTAAACATTTATTAGAAGAAAAACTAAGTCTGCTAAAAGATGACGGAGGCTTGAAGCTTACATGGGGATCTTCATTATGAGATATGGAAAAAAGGCTTAATAAAAGGAAATCAGATATAAGGAAAACCATGTTTAGCTTTTTCAATGTAAAAGCTGATCCTGGACTGTACTCAGACTATGATGTACTGATGCATCAGGATAAAATTAATATCAACGGAAACAAAGGCTTGGTGGTTTCTATTAAAATTAACACAATTTTAGACCTGCTGAGGCTGGAAATAAAATATGACAATTTATCAAGAATAATTAAAGAAGAAGACTATAGAGAAGATTTTTTGTTTTTAAAAAGCCTGAGTTTTGATGGAGAAATCCAGTATGCAACGTTATTCAGGTAAAATTAAAATATTTTTTAAAATATAAAAGCAAAATTATTTTGATTTTTTAAAATTTTTGCGTTTTGTTATTCAGGTCACTGGAATTTGAATATTTTATCCGTCAAATTTCGATGTCACGCTAATTTTAACAAATTTAATCATACCGTTTTAATAAAGAGGATTATATTAATTCCTCACTTAAGAAGAGGTTCTTGAGCGCAAGAATTCCAAAAGATAAATTGGTAAGAGCGAGTTGACGAATAGTCTTCCTACAAAGCTCCAATACCCAACGTAAAATCCCCATACGGATTCTCTATGCAGTGTTTTGAAAAAACAGTCTAAGAAGTTTCTGTAAATTTCTTTCCCTTCTTTTTGGACCTGCAGCTTAGTTTTAATGTTGTCAAATGGCAAGGCGAAGATCCCGCCTGTAATAGATGCAAAAATTGCTGCCAAAGGTTTTACTCCAGTCACGTCTCCCCAGTTATTGGCCCAAAAAGACTTAGCTTGATCATAGGTGCCAAGCATGCCGAAAGCTATCATAGATTTTTGAAGGGAGTTTGCGAAAGCTCCTTTAAGCATAATCCTACCAAAATGACCTTACAATACATTTCACAGCTACTCCATGTTTTTTCTATAAAATTTCTATTGCTATAATATAAAATTCAGCTTATTTTTCCAATAAAGCTTATCTTTCCCTAAAAGGGTAGGGACTGATGCCAAGCCTTGATAATGGTATGCCAATTCTGGTTTAAGCACAGGGCTTGCTTGCATTCTTGTAAGGATCACATCAAGAGGGTTCAAAAGGTAAGTAAGTACAAAAGCAGCCGTCATAGAACAGGCTGTTCTTCTCATGGTAGAAACTGAGTGGTATCTATCTTGGCTTTCTGCTTTTGAGACGAAATGATAATATATATAAGTTCTCCCAATGCCAAAAGTGAAAGTTCTTAATAAGGCTGGGCCAAAACCTGTATACAAAGCTGACCATCCTTTTTGAGAGATTGCTGTATGTGCCAAAGGGCTGCCTCTTATGATCTCTACCTTTTGATTTATAGCGAGGACCTGCTGTTGAACTTTCATAAAATCGAAAGGCTGAGATATCAGCAGTGGAAGTGTACTAGCAATTGCTCCTAAGGCGGCTCCAGGTGATTGACGAGAGTCGGACATATTATTGGTAAATGGTTAAAAATTAAAAAGCAAGTTTCAATAAATTGGCTTAAGGGATTTTAGGATTTAGGATTAATATTTACTTAATTTTGGTCACCGGGTCGCCTTGCAGCTTTTCTCTAAATTCTCACGATCTTTTTTTGGACAGTCGGGATGCTTGCCTCAGTAGAACTTGATACCAGTTATACGAACCAGTCCTCCTGATGGGGAGGGCTTGCACTGTTTTCCAATGAGTGGCTGTGACAGCTTCTTCGACTCTTCTTGAGTCCCAGGTTAAGGACTTCCTCAAAATTGGCTTATGGTAATCCTTAAAATTTCTTAATATAATCCGTTGGTAAAATTTCTTATCGGGCATGATCAAACCAGATGATAATATGAATTTTAAAAAGAAGCATTAATATTTTAAGTCTAGAATCTAATAATTCAGATAAAATAAGGGCACTGTTGACATGTAGGCTGAAGCAAGAAAACTGATCGCTGACATAGAGAGTTCAGGTAAATAATTCCCGATGTGCTGCAAAAGTGCATAGAGACTCGCTTTATATCGTGATTTCCGATAGCTTGAGATCAAGAAACCTGCCTTATATGTACCTCCTAATTATTTTATATTTTAATTAGTGGAAAATAATCACACATAGCCATTATTTTGACACACCCAAAATATAAAATGGCATGAATTCTTTATTCTATGTATTTCATAATGGATTTTGCAAGTTTAATTTCTTTTAAAATTTAAATTTTTAAGATATAACTTCAAATTAAAGATGGCGAAAATAAAAGTTAATAAGTATGCTATTTTAAATTTGTGCTCAAATCCAAAACGCGGAAATTAAAGCTCTATATAAGGTGAGATTGTAATTAAATTTGTAAAGAATTTGTGCTGCTGCGAAAAAAGTTCTTAGTGTTTTGAATTTAAATATATAGCTTCAAATTAAAGATGGCGAAAATAAATGTTAATAAGTAATAATTTTAATCAAAATAGTAATAATAATATGGCGTGACAAAATAATCACTACGTATGAATTTTTTCGATTAAATAAAATATGAGCTATCAAGAGGTAAGTATAAGGCAGGTTTCTCTATCTCAGGCTATCGGAAACCACGATAAAGCGAGTCTCTATGCACTCTTGCAGCACATCGAGCATTATTTACCTGAACTCTCTAGTCATCGATCAGCTTTATTGCTTCAGTCTACATGCCAACAGTGTGTTTATTTTTATCAGAATTATCAGATTCTAGACTTAAAAAATTAATCATTTTTTTTAAGATTTATAACAACCTCTGGTTCCTTCATGCCCGATAAGAAATTTTACCAACGGATTTATATAACAGCATGATCCATAAACATGCATCGATTAATTAGAATCAAGGTATTAAAAAGCAGAATATCCTTTATTATTTATAAAGCTTACCAAATCATTAATTTCTACCTCTGTTTCTTCATGTGTATTTAAAGATTTTACCCTAACCTTCCCTCTCTCTATTTCGCTTTCCCCAATCCACACAATAAACCCAATTCCTACCTCACCCGCATACCCAGCTTGACCCTTTGAATCTGATTTTTCTTTATAGCTCATTTCACAAGGTATCCCACCATTCCACAGCAAATTACAAATTTTAAGCCTCTCCTTTACCAATAAATATTTGTTTGACGACCCTGCTTGTGCTACCAAAACTGATCTTTTTGGGTGCAAAATTTTCTCATTTTTATATTTTTCTTCTAAAAATGCAAAAATTCTTTCCACGCCTAAAGAAACTCCGACAGCTGGGGTATTTACTTTATTTTCGCTTAATTTGGCAATTAAATTGTCATATCTGCCGCCTCCAGCAATTGAGCCTAAACTTGTGTCAGTTTTGAGCAAAATTGCTTCATATATAAGTCCAGTGTAATAGTCAAGCCCTCTAGCCAAGCTTAAGTCTAAGCTTAAATATTGGGTTGTGCCTAATACATCAGTAAATTCAAATAATTTTTCTAGCTCAGACAATGCAAGATTTCCTGTTTCATTTTCTGTTATTTCTTTGAATTTTTTGAGTTCTGATAAAATGCTTCAGGCTTCACCTTTGATTCTTACGTATTTTCCTATAGAATCCGCGACATCTTCTGTGATCCCTTTTTCAATCATTTCTTGTTTTACTGTGTTTCAGTCTTCTTTATCGAGTTTGTCAATAGATGATGATATATTTTGGCATTTTTCTATAGGACAGCCAGCTACTTTTAGTAAAGCGTCTAATAGAAGTCGGTGGCTTACCTTTATAATAAATTTCAGATCTAGTTTTTCAAGGATTTCTACAATAATTTTCAGGATTTCGGCTTCTTGGATCATTGTGACGCCTTTTCCTATGATATCGAAATCGCATTGATAGAACTCTCTATATCTGCCTTTAGAGGCTTGTGACTGCTCTCGGCGATAAACTTTCCCTAATTGATATACTAAATATATGCTCTGCCTTATTTTTTATTATAAAATAATATTTCTTTGGTCAGGGATACCTTTTTCAATTAAAAAGCCGATTCATAGCAACATATCTTGCTAATGGGACTGTTAAATCGTAGCGTAAGGATAAAATTTCGCCACCTTGGTCTGCAAGATTATAAATTAGTTTTGCGCCTTCTTCTCCGTATTTTTCTGTTAGTGTTTCTGTCAATTCCATTACAGGTGTATCTAATTGTCCTGCAAGATGTTTAGAAAACACTGCTCGGACTGTTTCAAAGACTTTTTCTCTTATTGCCATTTGCTCACTCCCCCCCCCCCCCTCCGTGAGCGAACAAAACCATTAGAAAAATCGCCATTTTTTGACCAAAAACCCACCCTCCGTGAGTGAACAAAAATTTTTTTTAATAGAAAAAATTTTAATGGAAAAAAATTTTGATATATAAGTGATAATTAGTATAATGAAATCTAGAGCTAATTCTGTTTAATTTTAAACAAATTGCGTTTTAAAACATAAATTTTGCAAATTAAATTAATATTTGCTTCCCAATTTTTGCAAATTAGGATTTTTTTAAATTTCGAAAAAAAATATTTTTTATAAAATTTTATATAAATTTTTTTTTAAAAAAAAAAAAATTAACCCCCCTCCGTGAGCGAACAAAATTTTTTTGTTCGCTCACGGAGGGGGGGGGGGGAGTCAGGAGAAAAATCCCTCATCCCTTTCGCTACCTTTGGGGTATATTTTTTATGAGAAATTTGATCATTAGCCTCACTTGAATAACTTCTTGATAAAAAGAAACTCTGGCTTATAGGAGATTTTCTTATGATTTTGCTATAAAAACTCATAGGAAATCTTCTCATCATGGTTGGTATCATTATGATTATTTTAACTTGATATTTTATTTAACTCACTTAATAGGTTTTTTATTATATTTATAAATTTTGTGTCTTAAGATCATAAATGCTTGAAAGGAAAATCTAATTTAATTATTGAATTATTTTTTTGTATATATTTATATATTAGATTGAGACCTCATTATTTAATAATTCAATATATATCAATATGTTTTATAATAAAATTTGTGGGCTCTCAAACCGGTTTACTCTTTAAATAAAGGGAGTAAGTAAATAAATCAAAAGGATTATTGCTTTTTGGCTTCTCATGCATATGGCTCGTTTCTACATGCTTGTATCCAGGATTTTGAGGTGGCATGTGAGAAGTTTGGCTTGGCATATGAGCTTGAGAAGTTTGGCTTGGCATATGAGCTTGAGAAGCAGGCACTCCTGCTGGCTGTGGATTTACAATTGCATACCACTGTTGAAAAGTGTAAGGATAAGGAATCCCATGGGTGCTTTGGTACATTTGTGCCATCATCTGATATTGCTGTAGTAATACATTAGAGTTCCCACTATTATTTTGTGGCTTTGCTGAGTGGATTATATGAGCTTTTTTCTTTTCTTCTTCTACAAGCTGGGCAAATGGGTCTGGCCCACTTGAAAGAAGGTTATTTTGCATTTGAGAAAATGGGTCTTGGCTAGCTGGGGCCTGTTGATAACCAGTGGATTGAGGATATGAAGGGTTTCTAGGGTCTTGGCTCGGGTATGGAGCAAATGATACGTCAGTTAAAGGGTTTTGGCCTGACTGAGGAGGGTAGTTATTACGAGGTGGAGATTGTAATGGTGGCTGGGAATATTGTCCAGGGAAAGAAGTAGTCAGAGGAGCTGGCTGAGGGCGTTGGCTTTGGAAAGCATTTTGAGACTGAGGATTTTGGAGTTGAGGGTTTTGGGGTGGATGCTGAGGGTTTTGGGGTGGATGCTGAGGGTTTTGGGGTGGATATTGAGGATTTTGGGGTGGATGCTGAGGATTTTGGGGTGGATGCTGAGGATTTTGAGGCTGAGGTGGGTATTGGCTAGGGAAAGGGTTATTTTGAGCTGGATTTTGGGCTGTTTGCTGGTATGGGCTTGGAAAAGTACTAGTCTGTGGAGGCTGAATTGGGGGCTGAGGATAAGGATTAGGAAAAGCCTGAGGTGGTGAGCTATAAGATGGAACAGAGCTCTGAGGCTGGGGCGGCGAACTGTATGATGGAACAGTGGTTTGAGGCTGAGGAGGTGGAAAAGATGGAAATGCTTGAGAAGCTTGATTAGCATTTTGATAATTATAAGGAATCTGCTGCACCTTCGGGGAGGTATCTGCTGGTGCTTGATTTCTTTGTGCTTGATTCCAATTTCCAGCCATATTCTGAGGTGGCGGAAATGAGGCCTGGAATCCTCCAGAATTGCCACCTACATTTCCAGTCTGTGGTGAGTACCCTCCATTATTAACCTGAGGGTTTTGATACTGATTTGGCGTATTTCCTCCTGTTTGTCCATAAGAATTTTGAGGTGGCTGCCTAGCCTGCTGATTTTGATAATACCCTGGGTCAAAAATCCCAAATTGTCCTGGGTTTTGATACTGAGTCTCTTGTCCAGGAGGTTTTGGTATAGCTTGAGTATTCTGCGGCCTAGAAATCGTAGGGACATTTTGTGGTTGCTGAAATCCGCTCCACGTTTCAGTGCTTTTAGGTTCTTCTTCAAAATCTATAAGACTTTTAATGACTGGGGCTTGCTGTGCTGGTGGAGGCTGAGCATAAGTTTGTTGTGCTGGTGGAGGCTGAGGATAAGTTTGATATTGGGGCTGAGGTACTGGTGGTTGCTGTGGAGGATTTGCAGGCGCTTTTACAACAGGCTCTTGCTTTCGTTGGCTATTTTCTGCTTTGCTTTCATCATACCAGCGTTTTTCTGCATATTTTAATCTAATGAAATCTCGAAGTCTGGCTTGATCTTTAATATCCTATAATAACTTAAGCTTATTTTTGCATTTTTTTATTATATTTTTTTAATTATTTATATAGAAAAATATATCAGGGATAGGATAAGACCTGAGGTCATGCTTCGCCATCCAAACTTGGGTCGCTTTTTCATTGCCCCACTGTTGGAGCTTTTCGACTTCTGCTGCTGAAAAATTGCATGTAGAAAGACCTTTTACACGATGATTGAACTCTCGATGAAGGCCTCCGCATATTGAGCACAGAAAAATTCCGAAGTCAACGATGGTATAGGTGGTTCCAGCTTGTTGGCAATCAAAGCAGCGCTTATTTGAAGGAACTTTTCGGAGATCTTGTAAGATGCTTGCTGGGTCAGGTGTCTTTTTCATTTTTATTTATATAATTGGACTATTATTTTTGGGTAGGGACATTTCTTGAATCTCATAATTCTGTGACAATTTTTGGTTTAATATTTTCTTATTGTAATTTGTGTATATATTGATATAAGGAATAAAAAACTGGGGAATTTTCTCTGAAAAAAAATTTAAGACGGATAATTGCTTGTTATGACATAGGATTTTAAATATACGTTAATAAAATAAAAGGTTATTTGGAGAAAAGAAAAGAGAGGAATTCGGTTAAAGAAAATAATATTTATAGCAAAATGATAAAAAGCTATGCTTAATATTCCAAGATTTAGATATATAGATATAAATAATTTTGATAATATAGTGCTATTTATTTCTAGATTATTTAGTGTAAAAAGTGGATTAATTTATGTTTCGAACTTCTCCATCTGAATTTATAAATCTTCCTTTTCCTTTAGGTTTTCCATACTGTCAGTATCCTTCATAAATTGACCCATCTGTATAAAACCTTATCCCTTTACCGTGCGGCTTGTTATTTGCCCATTCTCCTTTATATACACTTAAATCTTCCAAAATTTCTATCTGTTTAAAGCTAACCTCAACTCCATCATTTAGCTCAAAATCCCATTCGAATTTTTCTAAATTTTTGATTTCTTTTACCCTAAGTGCTGCTTCTTCTGTATCATTTACTTCATATACAGCCATATTCAGGTATTTTGGCCTGTTATCATTTTCTAAAAAATACTCTTCTCTGCTGGAATTTAAAGCGTCTTCGAATTTCCACTCAAACGGGAAATTTTTAGATTCCTCAGTATTTGTTGTTTGATCTGAAATTCTTGTTTCTGAAGTAGTTATATCTAAAATTCTGTTTATTTTTATAAAAAAATATAATATAATTATAAAAATAATTGTTTTTTATATGTTATATCATGATGCTTATCATTGCATTCATCGAGGCACAGCTGAAAAGGGATAAAATTTAGGTAAAATCTTTTAATGTTTGATAAATCAGTCTCCACATTCATTTTCAAAAAAATTGTTTTGCTTTCTTTCACCTGTAAAAATCCATCGGAAAATGCTGGCATTGGGATAGGATTTTCAATTTTTAAATAAAAATCGTCGTTATTTATTGCGCTGGAAAGGAGCATTATTTTCTCAACTGAACTTTTTTTGTTAAACCAAGACGTGATGTCAAGCCCTCGTATTTTTTTTTCATTATAAATCAGATCCGAAAACGGTATATCCTGTAGAGTCTCATTAAGTTTATCACCATATAAATACAATTCGCCGCCATCTTTTAGTGTGCTAAGCAGCTTGCTTGATACGCCACCTCCAAGACAGTCAAACGCTAAAGTTGGCTGAAATTCGCAAGCAGCCCTATTAAGTTTTTCGTCCATTTTTGTTTCATTATTTTTTATCATACAATTTCCTTCAAATTTCCTAACAAAATTCCATTCTTCAGCTGATTCCACAATGTTTATAGATTTAATTTTTTTATTTTTACAAAATTGCAGCACAGATTGCCATATATTTTTATCTTTTGAAGTAAATAAAATGGCTTTATGTTTATTTGTATCAATAATATCTTTTATCATTTCTTGCATCAAAAAATTTCAAATTCCAAAAAAATTCGTTAGGTCTTTATATTGGTTTTTGACTACTACACAAGAGGTGGCATTGCAGACAATATATTCAGCTCAAGAGCCAGATAGAGTGTCGTCAAACTGAGCAAATTGGACTTTACTGCCAACAAGTTTTCAGGACTTCAGTCCACCTCCACTTTTCATTACAATTCCACTCCCTTCAATTCCTATTATTTTTACTATGATTATTTTATTATTAATAAATATTTATTTTTTTATGAAAATAGGAAATTATTATCTTATAAGAAAATTTATAATAAAACGAAATAAATATAGGATTTTTGGAGAGAAATTCTGTATTTGAGAAAATTTATCGACTCGATCCAGATCATATAAATTCATCGGAGCAATGTCAACTTTAATTAAAACTTGTCCTCATTTTGGAACTGGAATTTTTACTTGTTTTATTGACAAATAGGAGTGATTATCATGCTTTTCTAGTACAATTGCAAGCATCAACTCAGTGTCCATCTTGCAGATAAATAAAATAAATCATACTGGATTGCTTTAAACAGAACATTTATGGACAGATAAATAAATTGAGAAAAAATAATTTGTTTTTGCTTATTAATATTAATATCATATTTAAAATTAACATTTTATACATAATTATAAGTAAAATAAGTTAAAAATTTATTAAAAAGCTAAATTTCTCTTAAATGGATAAATTTCTTTAAATATTATTAATTTATCAAAATAAACACTATTATCAGGTTATTTTAAAAAGCTATATTAAATATACCAATTTAATACAATATTGGCTTGGATTTATGTGTATTTTTCAATTGATTTTTCCAATTAATTTGAGTTTATTTGGTCAATTGTATTGTCATCAATGAGATTTACGTCTTCGTCTGAGCCTCCATCAAAAGATAAAGGAGAGTCTTCTTCATGCTCTATCGGTCTTACACATTCGCTCAAAGAAATAACGCTCCTTGAGACATTATTATCAATTTCTGGCTCACAGCATGGTTCTAATCTGATAGTTAAATCTCCTAATATTTTTGAATTTCCATTTCTTTGTATCTGATACTGCTTTGTCTCAAAGTCTTCTTTTTTCATTTTTAGGTCTAAATTTTCTTTATGAGAGTCAAGTATTCTTTTATAGGTTCTCGCCATTTTTTATACAGCTCATAACCTATATAAAATAGAGATTTATTCCTGCATTTTGAATCACATTTAACCTATAAAATATGTATTAAAGCTTTCTTTTCGCTTCATTTCTAAGACATTTAATTTATTTCTATGTTTTGTTATTTGCAACGACGTTTTATTCAGTCTATTTTTGGTAGCCTCCAACAATTTCATATGCGCTTGAGCTTTATACTTATCTTGCTTCAGCTGTGCGTAATTTACATTTAGTTGCTCCTTAAAAGCTTCTAATTTTTTCCTTTCTTCATTTATATAGTTTCTCTCCTTACTAACCCTCAATTTCTCTTGTGCCAAAAAATCTTCCCTTTTCGATAAATTTTGTTTTAAAATTTGAATTTCATTTTTTTCGTTTACTAAATTTTGGGCTTGTTTATTGATCCTATACAAGCACTCTTTTACTTTTTCTTCCTTTATTTTTATTCGGGTTTCTTGGTCAAGTTTACGTCTCGAGTCAGAAATTTCAAGCGAGTCTTCTCTTTCTCTTTCTTCAGTTTCGCTACGTCTTTGGTCTGATCTAGGCAGTTTAAGTTTAGTATCATTCCTCAGCGATTTATTTGACAATTTATTGAAGTCGTTTTTCTTTGAAAATTCTTCTTTAATGTCAACAGAATTATTAGTCGAGTGGGTACTAACAACTCCGAACATAGAGCTATCGGTGTATCTTCTGTCAATTTCTCCTTCAAACTTAAGCATGATTGACCCGATTGTGTCTCCTTTGAGATTTTGGAGACTCCATCAGTTAGAAAAGCGGCCTTGAGAAACTTCTTTTACGTTAATATCACAACTCCCAACTTCTTTTTCTCCAAAAATCATTTCCTTGTGGTGCACTACGACTTTTAAAGAACTTGACTCTTTTATTCGAAATTCATAAGTGGCATTTCATTTTGGGTTTGAGCCAGAAAGGCTGTGAGTTTTTCATTCAATTTGATGGGTATTTTTTTAAAAAAAATAAAAAAAATATAAAAAATATAGGATTATGCCTTTTTCTATTATTCAGCTGAATTTCAAAAGAGGTAAATAATTATTAAGTAATAGGGAAAAGATATATTTAAAACAGCTAGTAATTTGATCACTATTAATTTTGCAATATAACTTCATAGAACCTAATGTAGCTACATTTATATTGATTCTTGCTTCAACAATTTTAACACATAGCGAAATAAATTTTTTGCAGGCTCGTTCTGAGTGGATTTCGCTTTGACAGTCTGGTTTCGGTCTAACGATTTGGCTCTTATGCATTTTAATATGGATAAATAGGGATTTTATATTTTGAAGTGCATTTTTGGATTCATAAGCGAAAAAGATATGGTTAAAATAAAATACAGAATGGAAAAGCCTTGGCTTTAACGGAAATTTAAAGGAAAATATTTAAAAATGCATAAGATTGCGAGTGGTTATTTTACGAAAATTCGAAATAAGAGGGATTATTTGTATTTTGATAATAAACTAATTTTCTAGCACTTATAACTTTTACCTGAAGCGTGTTGCCTCTTTATTGCTTCAATTTTCTGCATGCCAAATACCTTTCAGTTAGAATTCAGATCGGAACTAATATTAACTTAATGTAAGCCAAAAATACATTTATTATGCGAAGAGTTTGCTCTAAAGGTATATATTATCACTGACTCTCCCTTTTCTCGGAACAAGCATGAGTGACACTTTAATTTAGAGCAAATATTGTTTTAATAGGAAATTTTTGAGGTAAAAAATACTAATTTTTATAAAATCTGATTTATGGAAAAGTGTAAGGAGAATACTATTTAAACATTTTTTACGCTTAATAGATTAATTTAAATTAATTCTTCATAAAATTATAATAAATTTTAAATTATTTTGTCAATTTATAAAATTTTTTTCTTAACTAATTTTATAAATTAGTTTTGACCTAATTTAATGGAAAAAGTACAAGCAAAAATGTATTTAAACAGTTTTACACTGGATAGATTAATTTAAATAAATTCTCATAAAAATAGATTAAAATTCAAAGTTTGTGTCGATTTATATTTTTTAAAATCTTAAAAAAATTTTTATAGAAAAAATTAACCTGAGTTTATTTGAAACAGGATTTTTTGTTCCAATTTGAAGGGGGAGAGTAAAGCGTTTTATAGTTTTCGTTTTATTAATATATTTTTCACCAGTTTTTAGCTTATTGGTAATTAACTTATATAGGTTTAAAATTTGGGGTTTATTCAATAAAAATCAAGTTTAATAACAAAAGATAATAACTGTTCTTAAGCACGATTTATTTTCTGTATAAACATAAAATTATTTTTACCTAATCGTATCTCCATTTTAGTAAATCGAATTATATATAAGTTTTCTCTTTATTCAAAATTTTTATTTCTTGCTTTTATTTATCCTTGCTCTATTATGCTAATTTACTCTGAATGGTCTACATACACAAAAATGGCTCGAATCAGCCCTTTTATCAATTCTTAAGCTGAAGGCTTACCAAGCCGGGACTTTGAGAAAAGGAAAAGGCAGTTGAAAATATGTTGTCAGTTGGTTTTGGAAATTATTGAATTAATTAATATTAATGCTTTGAATGATCTACTCATCTCTAACTATCTCTCCTAAATAATATTAATAAAATTCAATTTCAAAGGTATATTCTCAGTTAATCCACTATCCCAAATAACTTTATAATAAATCATGGCTGACATTGAAGAACCTCCAATAGAGAACCCAGAGGAGGAAAAACCGCCATCAGCAAATCAAGATGAGCTTGCGTCCCCCAGCTCTGAAGCTGCTGGACAATCCCAACTTGACTCTCCTTCCAAGCTTCCAGGCCCTGATTCTCCAACTGACACTCATCTTCTCAGCGGCGAAAATTTCGAAAACCCAGATCTCCTTGCTGACGGTGAAAATCCTAACAGCGACCCTAGAATTATTGAAGAAAACAAAGAAGATCTCCCAGACGACCAATTCGAGATCTACAATGAAGAAGAAAAAAGTCCTCAAACCAAAGCAATAATTCCTACCAATATGTGCATTGAATGGATCAAGCTGAAAATAGAGCTTGATGAATACACCCCAGAGCTATGGAGAGACGAATATAATGAAATTGTGAACGATTTTCTTGGCTGCATGCATTTTTTCTAATTTTTAGATGCTCTGCGATAATTTTTGACAGTCAGATATTTAAATTTATCAACAAAAAAAACTGGGCAATTTTTCTAATAGTAAAAATTATACACAAATTTTCTCAATGAAGAACAAATAGCTAAACTTTTCTTTTGGACTGATGAATCCAATGGTTTACAAGTTTCTAATATAAATCCTCCACAGCTAGCCAAAGAGTCCAACGGTTTTGTGTACTTTATTAAGCCTCCAAATATTCCAGAAAAAATCACCGCAGGAAATATAGATAAATATTTGCTTGTAGGGACTGTGGATAAGCCTATATTAGATGCACTGCTGGAGTATATGAATATTAGCTTTGTCCCGCTTATAAAAAGGGAACAGAAGTGGCCTGAATCAGTTAAAAAAGAATTTTTGAACAATTTGCATAGTTTTATGGGAAATATTACTGAGATTTCACATCAACAGAAGGGTAGCACCATTTTGTACATCCCCAATGAAGAAATTGCAGACCCAGAATATGCAGCAAAGGATAAGGATTTAGTGCACAGACTGGAGTCGACACTCATAAGATGGACACGACAAATAAGAGATGTGGTCAATAATCAGGACTCCCAGCAGGAAAATGAAAATGCAGGGCCACTGGACGAAATCCACCATTGGAATTTGAGGACAGGGAATTTATCAAGAATTAATGACCAATTAAATATTTTTATTAAAATAAGTTACTATGAGAATAATATATGCTAACTCCCCCCCCCCCTCCGTGAGCGAACAAAACCATTAGAAAAATCGCCATTTTTTGACCAAAAACCCACCCTCCGTGAGTGAACAAAAATTTTTTTAATAGAAAAAATTTTAATGGAAAAAAATTTTGATATATAAGTGATAATTAGTATAATGAAATCTAGAGCTAATTCTGTTTAATTTTAAACAAATTGCGTTTTAAAACATAAATTTTGCAAATTAAATTAATATTTGCTTCCCAATTTTTGCAAATTAGGATTGTTTTTAAATTTCGAAAAAAATATTTTTTATAAAATTTATATATAAATTTTTTTTAAAAAAAAAAAAATTAACCCCCCTCCGTGAGTGAACAAAAATTTTTTTGTTCGCTCACGGAGGGGGGGGGGGGAGTAAAAACTGTTTTTAGCAGGAAATTGGGTATGGTAAAGATAATAAAATTGTGGAAATTTATTATCTAAATTATAAACCTGATCTGCAAAAAGTGATCAGAGTATTAAGAGCTGCAGATTCTTCTTATTTAAAAAGATTTGATGAACTTGCGTCACAGATCAATGAAGGTGCCAAAGAAGCTGAAGACAATTTAAACCATTTGAAAACACTTGCAGACCCTTGCAAGCTGCTAGGGCAAGCCAGACCTAAAGAAATCCCGAAGCTGATCCCAGATTTGTTGAACAGAGTAAAGGTGATTTTTTACAATTCTTCTTATTATAATACACACAATTAAAATGGTGAGCCACCCGACCCGTCCTTCTCCTGTACCCTCAGGGATCACGGGATTAAGAAGTAAACGGGGCCTGGGTATTGTGTCCAGGGTGGGTTTTTTACCTTGGTCGGGACACCACGACAAGGTTTTTTACCTCTCACAAAGACAAGAAGACCAGAGCCGATGTATCAGGAGTCAAACTTTCAGGACTAGAAGGGAAGTGAGGAAGATCTTTATGTGGGGAGCTTCGGGGACCTGAAGGAGACTCCGGGAGGTTACTTTTCTCCCTCCCCGGAAAGGACGGCGCCGGGTCACTAGACCCCTGATCAAGGAGTACCTGGGTGAGTCTCCCTGTTAGCTGGCGACGTCACCATTTTTTGGTGACGTCGACAAAAAATGGAGTGAGCTACAGAGCCGGTGCATAGGGCGCAAGCCTGAAGCTGGCAGCGCTGGGTAGAGGCTGAAATAAACCTCCGAGACCCGCTAGAGTTAATTAATCTAATCTAATCTAATCTTATTATAATACCATTTCTGCATATTTTACCTAAAAAATAGCATTTTTTAAATAATAAATTTCCTAAAAAATTGCCTTATAATACACCAGACAGAATTACTAATTTATTCAGGAAAATTTCTAATGAAATCATCAACAGGTGCATTTCTATCATCGACATCAATGATATGCTAGGAAACGACGTCAACAAATGCAAAGCAGACCTACGAGAAAGCAAAGAATGCGGGGCGGCCTGAAAATCTTTATTTGAAGTCGCCTTTGAAAGCCCAGACTCCACTGAAAAAAAGCTGACCTACAATAAAGGGTCTATTTTCTCTCAAGTCGATGCCTTCGTCCAACGCTGTGTAGACCTCAAACAGATTTGCAAAGGACAGCTCCAGTTCGCCAGAAAAGACGTAGAAGGTCAAGTCCTCCCCTTATTCGGTGGCACTCGTGGCCGTGAAATCACCGAAAACATCCTTGAAATAGAAAAATCTTTTAATAAACAAATAGACCGTATCCAGACCTTAGGCTACAACATTCTTGAGGTAAAGAACACCAAATGGCATGGTGACTATAACAAATTTAAGCTGAAAATGAAGCATTTAGAAAACATGTACAAAAATATCATTGATTTCGCCTTCCAAGGGATGACAAATGTGACTCAAGGCGTAGAGCTGCTTGAGGCCTTTGACTCGTTGGCGAAGCGAAAAGCGATCAGACAGCATGTGCAGAAGAAGGCAATTGACGTGTTTGAAAGGTTTAGGGTTGACTTAGATTTGACGAAAAAAGAGTATGATAATAGAAATGAGCCGCCTCTTGCAACTTATCATCCGAAATTCGGTGGGTCTGCTCTTTGGTTCAGGTCTCTTATATTCTGTATTATACTGGCTAAATATTTTTATAATTAAATATTTCTATTCAGTATACACCAGGATATATCATTTTATATTGAATTTTTTATTTTTTTAAATTATATTAGGAATTTTTATTATTTTTTTATAAAAATATATCAAGAATTATCAAGCAAAAAGCCAAACTTGACCAACTGACCTTTATAGATGACGAAGCTGTGCTTAAAAAGAAAGAAGAAATTTACAAGAAGTTTGAAGACACCCATGATAGACTTAAAGGCTTCATTTCAGGAACTTTATATAAGCAATGGACTGACGAAATCAAAGAAATGAGCGCAGAAGGCTTACAAAAAAGAATGAAACGTAGAGTTTTCGCCAAAGAAGGAGAAGGTGGTGAGCATATCCCAGGACTTGATCCAAAACTGCTGAGGAGAAACAAGCAAGGAGCTCTTACAAGTGATTTCGATAAAGGACTGATGAAGCTTGTAGCTGAGGTAAAATGCTGGGAAAAATTGCAGTCATTTGGTATTATTCCTTTTATATTGATTTAATAACAATATTTTCTATTATTAAATAACCATTACCATGCCCATTTTAGCATATAATTCCTTTTGAAGTGAGTGAAGTTGCCAGCTACAGAGAAGAGTTCCGAATCATTAAAGAAAACGTCCTTTTGGTGGTCAGAGATTACAACAGCATTATGAACGTCCTTGACGACGATGAAAAAAAGCTCTTTGATTTCCACATAAATTACCTCAACAATAAGCTAAAACCAGGCTGGACCAAAGTTATTGACTGGAATAAAAAACAAATCGTGGACTCTACCATCAAAGATTGGAGACGGCAATGCACTGAATGTCTGGATAAAGTCTATAAATATAAGTCAAATACAGAAAAACTGTATAAAAAATGTGAGGAAATTGGAGAAATCCAACTTTTGCATTTAAATAGAAAACAGTTCAATGAAATTGATGTATTTGAAGAGCAGCAAAATGGCCATTTAGAACAAGTCAAACCAAAAATCCAAACAATCTGCAGTGAAATGATGGCGATCATAATGGACACCTATGACATTTTTAACCCAACCGCCGACTTAAAGTTCCAATCCCAAAACCAGTCTATGGAAACAGTCTACTCCCAATGGCAAGTCTACCTCCAACAAATTGACAAAAAGCTTGAAGAGTCCCTTAAGCGTGCTGTCAAACATTCCTTAAGCGAAATGAACAAAGCTATCAACGGAGACTCCAAAAATGAGCCAAACCCAGTGTTTCTCCTACACGTTACCCTTGATGAACATAAGCAGAAGACTGATTTTAGGCCTTTAAGAGAGACTATGAAAGAAATGATATTCAGGGTACTAAATAGGATCATTGATATCAATAAATTTGTGACGAAAACCCAAGAACTGTTTTCACAGCAGAGGCAGCTTTTTGCACAAAAGGTCGATAAATTGACGCCGAATGCTGTTTTAGCACAAGCTATGCTGGGAGAGCCTAAAAGAGAAGAGTCTTTGTTAAAAGTGACTGAAGAGATTAAAGATGACGAAGATGAAAAATGTGTCCCATCTTTTAAAAAGGATAAAGAAATAGGCTGTTTATAGAAAGAAAAATATTTTTTACTATAAAAAATTTATATATAAAAAAAGTCCCAAAAGAAATCGCAAGTGTAATGAAAAGCATCTCAAAAGGCATCGAAAAATGCAATGTCAAGCTGGACGACAACCTGAAAAACTGGATGCGTGAGCACTATACCAAAGTCTGGGAAAAGTCAAAAACTCTCTTTTTGAAGCGTAAAAAAGACCAAAGACCAGACGCATCCAGCTTTGAAGAAGACATAAAGCATTATAATGAAGTCATTGGAGATGTAAACAGCAGCGCTACAAGTGAAGCTGTTTTCTTTGTAATGGTTGACAATACAGATATCCAGCATATTATTACAAAATACTGCACAGATTGGATTAATTCTACAACAGACCTTGTAAATGAAATTGCTGGGGCGAGGATTTTATGAAAGAAAATTCCTCAGACTGGCAGTGAATAAATGGGTTTGCTAATTTTTAAATAGAAAATTTCTCACAAATAGCCTTTAAAATAAAAAATAATGGTGCGAAATTGCTAGAGAAGAACTTAATGCCCTCTACGACCTTTTCGAAAAAAGTACCAAAGAGCTTGGAGTCTACCCAGCCGATATTTTCCATCTAAAAAGATCTAGGGACAGACTTAAAGAGCTCGAAGGAAAAGTGGCCCAAATCCAAAAAGAAATTCCCCCAATAAAGTCTAAATATGAGCTTCTTGACAAATATGACGTCCAGTACCCACAAGATGAAGGGCTAAGACTGATAGAGCTAGATGAAAAATTCGAGTCTTGGAAAGAAATGCTTCAGCAGTCATCAGTGAAGCTAGAAAAATCATCAAGAGAGTTCGAAAAAGAAGTGCACAAGTCCTGGAAAGACTATGAAAAAGCAGTCGAAGAGTCTTATAATGAGTTTAAACAGAGTGCACCATTTATTCCACACAAAATTAAATAGTAACTAATATTAATAATACCTATTTTCTATATATAAAATATCCAGAAAATTCATTCAAATTAATCATAACATTGACAACATGTCAAACTCCCACGCCAAAAAAATCACAAAAGAATTCAAGAACCGCCTTGCAGGTCTTAAAGAGCGTGAAGAAAGCATGCAATTTGGCATCAAATTATTCGAAATTTCTTCATACACCCCTGGCTCTATTTCAGTCATGGAAAAAGAGCTTGAACTGCTTGACGAAGTCTGGGATTTGAAAGGCAGATGGGACGAACAGTGGAATTCGTGGAAAACTACCAGCTTTTATAGCCTAAATGTGGCAGCAATGACTGAAGTAGGTAATGAGTTTATTGAGAGCTTAAAAGAATTATTTAAAGTTATAATGAATAGGAGAAATATATGCTTTATTAGAATAAATGCATTATATAGGGAAAAAATATAGAAAAAGACATTAAACAATGGGGAGTTTGGAACTATCTGAATTCCAGCCTTAACGTATTTTTAAATACTATGCCACTTATAAGGCAGCTCTCCCACAAAGCGATTCAAGATAGGCATTGGGATGAGCTTAAAGCAGAAATCAAGCAGCAGTTCAACCAAAAAGCGCCAGACTTTACTATGGAGACTATATGGCAGTACAACTTGCACCAATACGGAGACTATATAGCAGATCTATTTTTGAGGGCTCAGCAGCAGTTAGGAATTTATGACACTATTAGGCAGATTGACGAAGCCTGGAAAAGAATGAATTTAGAAGTCATCATATATCTCATAAACCACAGAAAATACTTATTTTTTATATTATGTAAATAGTACAATAATCAGTATAAAATAGAATATAAAGAAAATTACTTAAAACTAAGAAGCACTGATGAGATTTTCCAAGTCCTTGAAGAAAATATTGTAGCATTGAGCTCAATGAAATCCCAGGTCCACTCAGAGCCGTTCCAAGACGAAATTGCCCGGTGGGAGTTTACCCTCAGCCAAATTAATGATACTATTGATGTACTTTTGCAAGTCCAAAGGCAATGGCTTTATTTAGAGTCCATTTTTGTAGGAAAAGACCAAGAAGAATTTTCGAAAAAACAGCTGGCTTCAGAAAGAAGCGATTTTATGAGGGCAAATGACAGGTTTATGGAAGAAATGAAAAGGATTGAAAATGACCCAAATGCCAAAAAGGCGCTTTGCCATCCTGGATTTTATGATACTTTAGCTGATTTAAATAACTTGTTAGATAAGGTGAAAAAAGGACTAGACCAGTTCTTGTCAATGGAAAGAAGCAAGTTCCCCAGATTTTATTTCTTATCTGATGACGATTTATTGAATATCCTCGGACAAGGCAAAAACCCTAAAGAAATCCAACATCACATTAAAAAACTTTTTGAAGGGATTAAGCAGCTAGAAATGTCTGACTCCTACAAAAGACCAGAACCAGGAGAAAGAGGGAATAGGGCACAAAAAGTCAATGAAATCATAGGAATGATTGCAGCTGACACTGAACTTGTGAAGCTTGAAATAAAAGTAACTGCTGAAGGAGAAGTGGAACAATGGCTTGAACAGCTTGAAAAATCAATGCAAATTACTTTGAAAAAACTGTTGAATAAATGCTACTTGAAAACAGCTGGAAAAGAAAAGAAACAGTGGATACAAAATTGGCCTGGGCAGCTTGTGCTGACTTCTGCTCAGATTAAATGGACACAGGACACGAAAGCTTCACTTATTAAGTATCAGAGTGACACTGAAAAGAAGAATCCATTGAAAGACCAATTAAGGCTGCAAAAAAGATATATAAAGAAGCTTGTAGATTATGTGAGAGAGCCTAAAGATGAAATTGATAGAAATAAGCTTGTAGCTTTAATTACTTTGGAGCAGCATGCAAGAGAAGTCTTATTCCTTTGAATTTTCAATAATTTTTGATTAATTTTTATTTATATTTTTTTATTTATTTTTTTTTTATTATTTTTTTTATTTTTAATTATTTATTATTTTTTTATTATTTTTTATTATTTTTTTTATTTAAAATTCCAATTATATTTACTATTTAAATAAGAAAGATTTAGTTAAACTTATTGACAAAAATATTGCATCTCCTAACGACTTCGAATGGATCCAACAACTTAGATTCGAAAAAGAAACCAAGCCAGAACTGGACGAATGAATTTGCACAGTAAACCAAACCAACACCTGCTTCGAATATGGCTACGAATACCAAGGCAACAACGGACGACTCGTCGTAACCCCTCTGACTGACAGATGCTACATGACCTTAACCACCGCCCTTCACATGAAAAGAGGAGGTGCTCCACAAGGCCCCGCAGGCACAGGCAAGACAGAAACTGTCAAAGACTTAGGCAAAAACATGGCGAAATTTGTTATTGTCATCAACTGTTCAGAATCTCTCGATTTTTCAAGCTTGGCAAGACTTTTCTCTGGCTTTGCCCAGTCTGGAGCTTGGGGCTGTTTAGATGAGTTTAATCGTATTGAGGTAGAAGTGCTCAGTGTGGTTGCCCAGCAGATTTCTAGGATACAAATGGCTATTAAAGAGAATAGAAAACAGTTCATGTTTGAAGGGTCCACTATATCACTTAACCCAAGCTGCGGTATTTTTGTGACGATGAATCCTAATTATGCAGGAAGATCTGAACTTCCTGACAACTTGAAGTCGCTATTCAGGCCAATTTCTATGATGGCGGCTGACTTGCAGTTGATTTCTGAAATTATGCTGCTTTCTGAAGGCTTTGAAGAAGGAGGAATTCTAACTCATAATATTAAAATAAAAATTTTTGGCGTTTTTAATAAAAATTATGCATTATTTTTTTTTATAAAAAATTATTATTTTTAAATTTTTTTTAAAAAAATTTCTATAAGGAGTAAGTAAAAAAATGGTGACTCTTTATTCCTTAATGGTCCAGCAGCTTTCCAAACAAGACCACTACGACTTTGGTATGAGAGCTCTTAAATCAGTCCTCACCTTAGCAGGCGGTATGAAGCGTGAGCGTCCTACAGAAGACGAAAAAATGCTGTTAATGAAAGCTCTCTACGACATGAACATGCCCAAACTCGTCACCGAAGATGTCGATCTTTTCTTAGCCTTACTTACAGGCATTTTTTCAGGCGTTGAGCTCCCAGAAACCGAAAACACAATCTTGAAAAACGAAGTCATCGCAGAACTCGAAAGAAATGGCCTTATCCCTACAGAACTTATAGTAAAAAAATGCTTACAGCTATACGACAGTAAGCGAACCAGGCACGGAAACATGCTTGTCGGCGCCGCATTATCAGGCAAAAGCACTATCTGGAAAACCTTAAAACAAGCCTTATGCAACTTATCCAAAGCTAACACTCCAGGGTATATTGTAGTAAAAAATCGTGTATTAAACCCTAAATCAATTACCTTAAAAGAGCTTTATGGCTGGTACGACAGCGCTAATGAGTGGCATGACGGGATTTTGTCTAAAACAATGAAAGAAATGTGCGAAGAAGAAGGAAACGACCTAAGATGGCTTATTTTGGACGGACCAATTGATACTAAATGGATAGAAAGCATGAACTCAGTCCTCGACGATAACAAATTATTAACCTTGGTAAACGGAGACAGAATTTCGTTACCCCCTAATGTCAGACTTCTTTATGAAGTCGAAAACTTAGCAGTCGCCAGCCCCGCCACCGTTTCCAGAGCTGGTATGATATACATTGACGTCAAAGAGCACGGCCATATGCCTTACTTCCAGTCATGGCTTAAGAAAAAAGACCCAGAAATCGCTAATTTCCTTAACGAAATGTTCACAAAATACGCTGTAAAAGTAATGGAATGCAAAAGAGTCAAATGTGCTGAACCAGTCCAAACTAATGTGATTAACTCTGTAATTGCCCTGACTAATGTATATGATGCTTTTGCAACTGGGGCTGATTTAGATAAAAATGATGACGCGTATTGGCTACTATTGGAAAAATGGTTTGTGTTTTCGCTGGTTTGGAGTATTGGGGCGACTGTTGATGAACAAGGGAGAGATACGATTGATACATGTATAAGAGATATTGAGAGTGGATTTCCGCACTCAGGGTATATTTATGATTATTATGTGAATATTGAGAAAAAGGAGTGGGTTAACTGGGCTGAAAGACTGTCAGCTAAGCCGACAATAACTCAGGGGACTGCGTTTAGTAGGATTTTTATACCTACTGTGGATACTTTTAGGAACCTTGAAGTCATGAAAGGACTTGTCAAAGGCCACCATCACGTCTTATCAGTCGGAGGCACAGGCACTGGTAAAACTGTATTAATCACCACTGGGCTTCTTGGCACATTAGACGACTCTTTTACCTTTTTCACTATAAACTTCTCAGGCCAAACACCTTCAGGTAAAACCCAAGATATCATAGAAACTTCATTAGAAAAAAGGACGTCCAACAAGCGCGGCCCTCCAGGCAACAAAAGGTGCGTCATGTTTGTAGACGACCTCAACATGCCACGAAAAGACGAATTTGGGTCACAACCTCCATTAGAATTGCTGAGAGAATGGGCTGACTATGGATACTGGTATGACAGGCAAAAACAGTCAATTTTGTATATTCTTGATCTCCAGATGGTAGCTGCTATGGGACCTCCAGGCGGTGGGAGAGCTGTGGTTTCTCAACGAATTTTGGGACATTTTAATACTATCAATTTTACAGCGCCTAATGAGTCACAAATGAGAAGGATTTACAATACCCTGAAATAGATAAATAAAACCTTGTTCTCCTTAGTGATTATCTATTTTTTATATAAATCGAGCTATTTTATCTTATAAATTATGCTGTATTGTATAATATTATATACAATTATTTCTCACCATTTGTCAGATTTTGATGACGAAGTCAAATCTTTGGCTGAGATGTTCACCCAATGCACAATTAATCTTTATAACAAAGTCAGAGATATTTTCTTGCCAACTCCTAATAAGTCACATTATGTGTTCAATATGAGAGATATTTCTCGTGTTTTCCAAGGAATGTATAGAGCTGATAAAAATTTCCACGATTCTAAAGAGTCTTTAGTAAAGCTATGGGTTCATGAATGCTTAAGAATTTTCCATGATAGGCTTGTTAATTATGAGGATCAAAATGTTTTCAATAGGGCTTAAAATAATTTTATTATTTCCTAATTGTAGAGAATAATAATTTTAATAGCACAATAATTATCATATTTTCTCTTAAAAATCAGGTTTTTTTTATATAAAATAGATTATAAATTTAGAAATAAATATATATATTTTTTTAAAAAAATCAAAAATATTGGTAAGATATTTTATTTTCAAACAAATGATTGAAGAGCAGCTAGGAGCTGGCTTTGCTATGAACTATCAGCAGTGCTGCTTAGCTATCCCTGATGGAGAAAATACCAATTATCTTGACCCTGTTTTTATTGATGAAAACTTAAGACCAGATGGTGTAAATGTATATGACGCAGTAGACAGCCAAGAGACACTGAGAAATACCTTGGATTCTAAGCTGCTTGATTATAACACAACTCCTAAGCACTTGTCTATGAACTTGGTGCTCTTCAAAGAAGCCATTTTTTACCTTTGCAGAATTCATAGAGTATTAAAGCAAGAATCAGGACATGCTTTATTGGTAGGTGTTGGTGGTAGTGGCAGACACTCTTTGACAAGGCTTGCAACTTTTGTAGCAGGGTATGAGTTGGTGCAATTAGAAATTAATAAAAATTATAAAATCAATGAATTCCGAGAAGACATCAAAAAAATGAAAGCTACCACAGGCATCGATAACAAATCCTTAGTATTCTTATTCTCAGATAATGACATCGTTAATGAAATTTTCTTAGAAGACGTCAATAACATTTTATCATCAGGAGAAGTCCCCAATATCTACACTAACGATGAGCTAAAAGAAATCAGAGAATCCATGAAAAAGCACGCGAAACTCCAAAAACGAGCTGAAACCCCAGATTCCCTTTATAATCTCTTCGTAGAGCGAGTAAGGCATAATCTTCACATCTGTTTCTGCATATCTCCTGTAGGTGCCCAGTTCCGTGACTACTGCAGAGTTTACCCTGCCTTAATTAACAACACTACTATAAACTGGTTCATGCCATGGCCTCAAGACGCCTTATACGAAGTCGCTAGAAAATATACTACCGAACAATTAGAATTTAAAGACAACATAAAGCTCGCTATTGCTGAAGTTTTCTGCCAAATGCACCTAAATGTTGCTGAAGCTTCCCAAAAAATGCATAATGAGCTTAAACGACCTACCTATGTAACCCCTACCCATTACCTTGACCTGGTCTCAGGCTATGTCAATCTACTAAAGAAAAAACAAACAGAAATCGGAGATATGGCAAATAAGCTTAGAAATGGTCTTGGAAAGCTAGAAGACGCCAAAACTGAGGTCGAAAAAATGTCAAAAGAACTAGAAATCACCAAAACTGAGGTCAGCAAAAAGCAGCAGCAGTGTGAAGACCTCATGACACAAATTAACCAAGAACAAAGCAAAGCAGAAAAAGGCCAAAAAGAAATGGAGCATAATAAAGAAGAAATTGAAAAAGAACAAAAAAGAGTAGAGGCATTGGCGGCTGAAGCGCAGCTAGATTTGGATAAGGCGCTGCCTGCGCTATTGGAGGCTGAAGCTGCTTTAGAGAAATTAGAGAAAAAAGAAGTAGCTGAAGTCCGTTCTTATTCGAATCCACCAAAGCAGGTAGAGCTGGTGATGGAAGCAGTGCTTATCATTATGGCCCCTGGAGAAAAACCATCCTGGGCAAGTGCTAAAAAGGTGCTAAATGACCCTAACTTTATATCAAATATCAAGAATTATGACAAAGAAAACATGCCGAAAAAAGTCTTGAAAAAGCTATCCTTAATTTCTATGAAAAAAATCATTTTTTTCTATAAATAAAAAATATACAAAATATCTTAAAAAACAGCATAGAGCCATACACACAAAATCCTAATTTCACTCCTAAAGCTTTAGAATCTATCTCAGTAGCTGCTATGGCCTTATGCCAATGGGTGCATGCCTTAGAATCCTACTCCAAAACCTTCCAAGATGTCGAGCCTAAGCGAAAAGTTGTCATGGCTTATGAGTCCAACCTTAGAAAAATGGAGGACAAGCTAGGCGATTTGGTAGCAAACTTAAAAGAACTAACTGACACTATAGAAAGCTTAGACAAACAGCTAAAAGAACAAGAGGATGAACGAAAACAATATGAAGAGCAAGCCAAAGACCTGCAGCTTAAGCTGGAAAGAGCAGAAAAACTAGTCTCAGGGCTTGGAAGTGAAAGAATTAGATGGGAAAATTCTTTACTTAATTATGAACAAATGTATACAAAACTCCCTGGGGACTGTTTGGTAAGTGCAGGGTTTTTAGCATATTTAGGACCTTTTACGAATGTGTATAGGGATGATTTAATTGAGAAAAAGTGGATACCATTGGTCAAAAGAAAACAAATCCCGATGACGGCTGATTTTGAAATCACGAAATTTATGGCGAAGGCTACAGAAGTCAGGGAGTGGAACCATCAGAAATTATTGTAATTAGGCTAAATATATAAATGTTTAGAAAAATAGTTACTATTCTTATATGAAAATAGGCTAAAAATATATAAATACATTATTTATACACTGCAAAAAGCTTACCTACTGATAAGTTTTCTATTGAAAATGGTATTTTAGCCCTGAGAAGCTCAAGGTGGCCACTCATGATGGACCCTCAGCATCAAGCTAATACTTGGGTTAAAAACCTAGAAAGGTCGCTAAAGGTATTTAACCCTCAGAAAAAATACATGCCTTATTTAGAAGAAGCTATTAGAACAGGTCTGCCATTTTTATTAGAAGATGTAGAAGAAGATATTGACCCTTCATTAGACCCTGTCCTGAAAAAAGCAGTCCAGAAAAGAGGAAAAGTCCAAGTAATGAAGCTTGGGGATAAAGAAATCGCATATAACCAAAACTTCAGGTTTTTCATCACCACAAGGATGCCAAATCCTCACTACACCCCTGAAATTTCTACAAAAACGACTCTAGTTAACTTCCAGGTCAGAGAAAAAGGGCTAGAAGACCAGCTGCTTGGACTTCTTGTAGGAAAAGAAGACCAGAAGCTTGAAGAAGACAAAGATAGGCTAGTTCTTTCAATTGCTAGCAATAATAAAGACCTTATTCAGCTTGAAGACGAAATTTTATCGTCTTTGACTAAAAGCTCAGTTTCCTTGCTTGACGATGAAAATTTGATTTCTTCTTTGCAGTATGCTTTTTAAGTCCTGTGGACTGATTAATTGATCCCAGCCCCAGGTAAGTGGATTCCATGCTTTTAGGAAGTCCAAGATAGTTTTTGGATGGTCGGAATCCCGTTACAGGCTTTTTTCCTTGACCCACAGACTATATGCAGAGAGCGCAGTTTCGGTACGCATATCTGGAATGCAATTTTATGCCTGTATCAGGAAATAGTCTAGATGGAGGTACTGGGATGCTTTATTCATACCCAGAACACTACCAGAGTTAAGAAAAACGGCGCTGTAATATGGGACTCAGGCACAAACATCGGGTTATTCTCCCGAGAGACTGGAGATGTACAATTTTTTGGTGACGCTGGTGACTAGCCAGAAGCCTGCGTTGGGATGGCGAGGGCTGAAATAACCCCTATCATACCCTCCCCCCTTTAAATTGGAGCAAAATATCGGTAAATTAACCCCTCTTAAATTGGAACAAATTTAACTTTTTAAAGAAAAATTTTTTAGGTGAAATGCTAAATTTTTATATAAAAAGCTTTGACTTTATTTAATGGAGGGAGTTCAAGTAAAATGCTATATTTATTTATTTAAACTTTTACCGCTGTGTATTTGTATCATAAAATATCATTCAATAACTGCTAACAAATTCTTCAACAGCTTCTGCAGCAACCTTAGTAGAACTCCAGAAAGAGCGCCAGCAGCATCATCTGAAGCATCAATGATATTACCCATTCGATCCTCCGATGTGGGCTACCATTCGATGCAGACTCTCCCAATTCACAAGCTCCCATAAGCTTCATCAAATTTCCCCAATCTCTCAAACTCCTTTTAAATTTTGGCGCGAAAATGCGACCTATTGAATAAAAATTATAAGAATGTTATATAAACCGTCTTGCTCTTCATAAAAATCCACTAAATTTTTAGGTTTTAAAATATTTATAATTTTTTTTATAATGAAAATTTTTATATTTAATTTTTGTTTCAAAAAAATTAACCCCTCTTTAAATCAAAGGGGGGAGGTGAGTAAGACCCGCTAGAACATAATCTTAATCTAATCTAATCTTTGCAATATGCCAAAATTAAAGGAGAAAAAGTAAAGCAGGATCTAGAAGTAGCAGAATCGACTATTAGGAAAATTGACAGTATGAGAGAAAACTATAGACCATGTGCCACTAAAGCTTCAACGCTTTATTTTGTTATTTCGAATTTAAGTTATGTGGATCCTATGTATCAATTTTCATTAGAAAGCTATTTGGATTTGTTTAGTGACTCAATTATTAAGTCCAAAGAAAAATTCCCAGTGTGGGACTCTATTCCAGACCGTATTAGTAGTCTTGATAAGTTCCATATGAAAGCATAAAAATTTTAAATTTTTTTTATAAAAAATATATATATTTCTAATCAAATAAATCATAAAATTATCATCAAAAACCTATTTACCTAGCCATTATTAATAAAAATTTACAAGCTATTCAATATATAAAATATACAAAAATAATAAAAAATATTTCCAATGAAAGCAGTTTACACCACAACTTGCCGCGGTCTCTTTGAAAAGCACAAACTTCTCCTATCCCTCCAAATGTGTGTAGAGCTTAAAAAACTTAACGACTCCATCGCTTTAGACGAATACAACTTCTTTTTAACAGGCGGAGTTGTGATTGGTGATGACCCAGAAAGAGCCCAAAACCCTGATCCAGAGTGGATTACTCGTGAAATGTGGGACAATATTACAGAGCTTGAAAGAACAGTCCCTTCATTCCAAGGTATCGTCGGGTCAATGGTTGTAAGTCGCAAAGAATGGCGTAGCTGGTTCCAGACCTCTGAGCCTGAGCTTGAACATTTGCCAGGAGAATGGGACGCAAAGGCAGACGACCTCAGAAAAATTGTGCTTTTAAGGTGTCTGAGGCCTGACAGAGTCATTTTTGCAGTAGTTATGTATGTTTCGAAATTCATGGGCCCTGAATATGTAGACCCTCCTGCGTTTAATCTTGATGAGGTCTATAAGGAATATTCCAAATCAAACCAGCCATTGCTATTTGTGCTGAGCCCTGGCGTTGACCCTGCTCCAGCTTTGAATATTCTTGCTAATGATAAAGGAAAACAGCTTGAAGTGATTCCGCTAGGAAGAGGCCAAGAAATGAAGTCAGAAAAAGCTATAAGTGACGCTGCAGAAAAAGGATATTGGGTTTTCCTAGCAAATTGCCATTTAGCAGTGTCGTGGATGCCAAGACTAGAAGAAATCATAGAAGGGTTTAATAGGACCCAGCTTCATGAAGATTTCAGACTATGGCTTTCGTCAGACCCACATCCAAAGTTCCCTATTTCTGTACTACAGAGATGTGTAAAAATGACTACTGAGCCACCTGATAATTAAAATATGGCGTCTTCGTCTGGGTATGGCCTTTCGGCCATACATACTCGACTCATATTTTAATTATATCCGGTAAGGTTTTGCCATTCCAGAAATGGGCAACAATGCCATGGTAAGCAATTCTGCAGAGCAGAGCCTGGCTATGCCCAACGACTAGAATGGATTTTCTCCTCGAGAGGAAAGGGTGTCCAAGTTTGGAAAGGGTAAGCCCAGCAGAGTCTACAAGCGATGCCTAGACTATTCGGGCGACTACCTAGCGTGAAACTGGGCGTTACGTCCCAGGACTTGGAATTTCCTTTTTGCCGAAAGGTGACCAGAAATTCCATTTTTTGGAATTTCGGGAAAGCCAACTCTCGTAACCCAAGCAGCAGCCGCAGGATTCCATAGCCCGCCCACTCAAGACTTAAGCCGCAGCACGCTGCGGGAAGGAGTAGACGTGTTTCCCTTTGGCAAGTCTTTATGGCTTGTTGGGCACACGGCGCAAAGCAGGTGAACCTCACATTGAGGTCCTTGGTGTCTGCGTAAACAACACGGCAGTCGCCTCATTAATGTAATTTAAGATTAAGATTAAGACTACTGAGCCACCTAAAGGGATCCGTGCCAATATGCAGAGACTTTATAACCAAATTACGACGCAGCATTATAATAGAGTCACAGATCAGGCTAAAATATATACTTTATTATATTAATATTATAAAAAAAAAGATGCTGGCGAAGCCAGCATTAAGGACTATTTATATAGATGCTGTATAAGAAGCTGCTTTTCAGCTTATGCTGGTTCCACGCAATTTTAGTAGAAAGGAAAAAGTTCAAAAATATGGGCTGGAACGTAATGTATTCTTTTAATGACTCTGATTGGGAAGTCAGTGAAAACATCTTAGCAAGATATTTAGGCAATAGAGAAGAAGACGGTGAAAAATTAATGACTGAGGTAAAAAATGTCCCATGGGAAGCAATCCGTTATCTTATTGCAGAAATTTCATATGGAGGCAGAGTTACTGATGACAGAGATAGAAGACTCCTAATGGTTTATGCAGCTGAATGTTTTGACCCTAAGATCTGTGAAAAAGGAAAATATAGACTGATAGAAAACTCACAGATTTATTATATCCCTGACCCTGAAGAAGTTAATTATAAGCCACCTCCTGATGTGACAAACCCAGCTTACTTCTATCAGAAATTCATCAAGGACTTCCCTATGGTTGACAAGCCTGAAGCCTTTGGACAGCATGTGAATGCACAGATTGGGTCACAGATAGGGGATACTAGAGATTTATTAAATGCCATTATGCTACTATCGCCAAGTACTTCAAGATCAGGAAGTGAAAGCATTGAAACCACAGTCCTTACTATTTGTGCTGATTTATTAGAAAAAATCCCTGAGCCTATGAACTTAGAAGATATCAAAGAATATTTTTTTTTTATTTTTTTTTATTTATTTTTTATTATTTTTTATTTTTTTTAATAATAACTCATCAAAGATAGGTTCAAATTTGACAATTCTCCTATAAAAGTAGTCCTTATACAAGAAACTTCGCGCTACAACAAACTGTTAATCTATATCAGACATATGCTGAAGCAGCTAGAAAAAGGGATCCAAGGTCTTGTGGTTATTAGCGAAGAGCTTGAGCAAGTTATGATGAGTCTTTATCAGAACCAAATTCCTGAAAAATGGCAATTTGCTTATTCTTCTTACCATATAAAAATGGCCAGGAGAACTAATTTGCCTGCAGCGAGAGAGGCTGAGGACTTTGTGGAAGGGAAAGCAGTATGCTTTAAGTGTGTCCGGCGGGTTTTACTTGGTCTAGTGGAGCGCAATGTCGGGCTGACTGACCGCAAGCTCACATGCAGGGCAATGTTAGCCCCGAGGGAGGATGAAACTTGGAAGATGGAAAGGCAAGTCTAGAGGGAGAGTCCGCATGGCCAATCGGCCATTTACCCAGCGCGATACAGGAAGTTGCACCTGGGATATAAGTTTGGTCATAGGTCGATAGCTGACCAGAAACTTCACTTTTGAATTTTCGAAAAAGGAACGCGTCGACGTACTGCATGGTAGCCAGCCGTCTTTACCTCCACGTAGCATGAAAGCCCTCGACCAGAAGGAGGAGCACAAGCCTTAGGCTGTGGAATCAGACTGGCAAGCAAGGGGGTGGTGCGAAACAAGGGACGTGAAAAGCTTATTCAAGCTAGCCAGGAGCTTCTCTATAATATAATCTAAGCTAAGCTAAGCTTATCCTTCTCACAAGCCATTAGCTTCTTGGGTGAGAGATTTAATAGAAAGAATTAAGCAGATCAAGACTTGGTCAGTTTCCCAAGCTCCAGTCATATTTTGGATTTCTGGCTTTACATATCCCACTGGTTTTACCACAGCTTTACTCCAACAAGCTGCAGCTGCCAAGCAGTGTTCAATTGATTCCTTATCCCTTGACTTTGCGATTATCCCAGGCGATGAAGCTTCTTTGACGACTCCGCCCAGAGAAGGAGCTTACATTAAAGGTCTGTTCTTAGAAGGAGCCAAATGGAATGTAAATGATGGGTGTTTACTAGAGCCAGAGCCTATGGAGTTATACTGCCCAATGCCTGTTATTCATTTCAGACCAGTCAAAGAAAAAAAGAAAGGCAAAGGCGTCGTCTATAATTGTCCTTGCTACTATTTCTCTACACGTGAAGGGTCAAGAGAAAGGCCAAGCTTCATGTTTTATGTAGACCTAAAGTGCGGAGAACAAAATGCTGAATTTTGGATTAAACGAGGCACAGCGCTGCTAATGAATTTAGACTCTTAAATAATTATTCTTTATTTTTAATTTGCAAATTATTTGATTCTGCGTAAAATTTTGCATAGTCAATAAAATTATGGAGGATTAAGCAGGCTGCAACTTGGTCGTTTAGCTTTTTATTTAGGCATAATTTTCAATCTGCCTGGCTTAGGATTGAGTTTGCTTCATGAGAAGTTAGTCGTTCGCTGACTCTTCCTAGGAGGAAATTATTTTGAAATAAAAAGGCGGAGATGTTTTTGATGTTTTTTACGTTTGGTGGTTCGCGTAATTGGTCGTCTAAGGGTCAGCCCACAATAATTGCGTTAGCGTCTTTGGCGATATCTAGAAGCAAGGAGGTAAATTTAGGATTTTTTCTATTGAGAGTGGTGATAGGCTTGACTGAGTCTTTTTTAAATAAACTGCTGGTCTCTCCAATGCCAATAAATGTGCTGCCGATGTCGAGGCCTAAAACTCTGATTTTTTCAAGCTTAAAAATCTTCTTTACAATTTCACCTTTATTTGTATATATCATTATAATTTTTGATTATTTAAATAATTAGGAAATTTTGTTAAAATATTATTAAATTTCCACCTATTCCAAGATGTAAATTATATTTTGATTTTTATCTTTTTCACATACAATTAAATAGTCTTGAAGCAGTGAAAGCATGGCAAAGCCGGATTTTATAATCGGTACCTTAGGGTTTCTTTTAAAAGGCTCAAAAATCATAAATTGGTCATCTGATGAAGCTAATATAAAGTCCCCTGAATTTTCAATTTCAATATTCCTAATGGTATTTGTTATAAAACCTTCAGGCTGCTCTATGTCAATTTCAGTGTGGTTAATTGTAAATAGCTTGATCCCATCACTTCCGGCAGTTGCAAGTAGCCCATAATCATTAAAACCTATTGAATAAATTTCAGCTGCAAAAACAATTTTTTTCAAAATATCGAGGTTCCTTAAATTGTAAAAAATTACTGTGCTATCTTGACTAAAAGATATTAAGGCTTGATATTCTTCAGAAATTTTAAGCTGCTTTATAGGACTAATATGGCCTGTCAGTATAGATTTTTTTGAAATTATAATATGGTTTTTATAGTAAATAAGGATTTTAATATTATAAGAAAAGATATAGATTATATATTTAAAATAAAAATATCAGTAAACGCTGATGCTAATTTTCAACATATAATAGACGTATCAAGACTTCCTGTAAATAGCTGAGTTTCTGTGGCCACAATCGCTGAGACTGTACCAACATGATAGCTTAAAGAGCCCAATAAATTTCCATCAGGACTATGAAGCTTAATTGTATTGTCAGCATAACACCCAGATATTATAATTTCTTCTTTAAGTATTAAATAAGGACTGTAATTATGGCAGGTGTCATCATATAAGTATTTTGTATCTTTAAGCTCAATAAATTCTTTATTAGAAAATTCTATTTTTGAATCCCTTAGTTTAAATCTCTTCATTTTAATCGAGATTTTGTCATGCACTATAACAATAAAATATCCTTGCGATATCAACATTGCTAGTACCTTTTCATAAACTATTAAGTGATCTATTTCACTGTAATTTCAAATGCTTCTCACTCTTTCTAGATCAATAGATCTTGGTTCATCTTTTTTCTCCTTCTTAGGATGCTCCCCTTTAAATAGCTTTATTGGAGTTTGCCCAAAATGAATGGCTTGCTGGATGACTGAGTTGACAAAATCTGGATCTTGAGAATTTTTTACAATTTTGACGAAATTTTCTTCATAAGTGGTAGGAAAATAGACATTATAAGCTTTTTTAGCATTTTCTCCGCTCTGCTTATATCCAAAAATAAGATCAATCCATTGGGACAAATTTTTATTAACATGGAAAGATTCCAACGCTTTTCTACTTTTTCTGACTAAGTCAAAATGATTCTTTGCCCATCTCGGGAGTTCTAAGTCTCCCACTCCCTTCCCATCTTGCCTTATTCCAAAATTCTCATGATTTATATTCATAAGGACTTCTGGTATATAAAATAATTCTGGAATCAGCTCTTTTACGTCCCCTGATGAAGAATTTATACATGTCCAAGCAGTTTTCATAGAAAAAAATTGACGATCTGGAACGTCAAATTTTCCTCCATGGAGCTGCTTAGCTTGCTCTGTAAAAGGCTCCATTCTTTGTAAATAATGCAAAACTAGCCCACCGTTAGAATAATGTGAACCATAATGAAATGGGGCCATACCAGACTCAGCGCATAAATCATATCTTTTTTGTAGGTCATTAATTCTTTCTGCGTTTTGTGCTCCAACAGGGCTTACTTAGCTTAATTAAAATAACATAAAAGCTCGGCAGGCCTGAAGGCCATATTTATCTGCATTGTCAGTTCACCATTGATTATCAGTCCGGCACTGTGTTGCTCTTCACGAACGAGGGATTCGACCCGTGAATTGGAGACGCAGATCACTATGCTTCACGTCAACAGAACCTTGAACAGGACGTGAGCTTGTGTCTGTTAACTTATCATTGCACTCCACCAAACCAATTAAAACTTGTCCGGATGCACATAGTCGAAGCTATCTTCCCTTCCACAAAGTCCCCAGCCTAAACCAGCTACAGTATCTCAAGGATAGCTAATTTTCTTCACAATTTTATTGTATATACTTCAACAGGGCACTCTAAATTCCTGTAATTTTCTTTTTTTTTGAGATCAAGGACGTCATTTTCCCATTCTTTAATTATCCAAGGAAATACTGGATATTGACTTAAATCATGAAAAGATCTGCTTGCAAACTTATTGAGGATCATTAAATAATGGAAATTGCTGATTTTTCCTAATTTCCATGATGTTCTGAAATTTAGAATCTCTTTTGATGGGCGTTTCCCATATACAGAAATATTATGAGACCTCAGATTTATTGTAAAATAATTTAATAGTTCTTTTCTTTGGCTTGCATAGTTTTCTTCAGTCAGTTCAAAATAAATGGATTTTCCTGATTTTAAAAAAATTTCAATAGCGCTGTGGCGATGTATACTATTTTAACTGAATTTATTAACTAATCAATTTTTATAGACTGTTAAATCATTAAATATAGGGCATTTTAAAAAGTATACAAATCTTCTTGCAAAAATTTCAGTAATTTCACTGATTTTCCATAGTCTTATTTCTTTTTTTGTGCCCTGTAAATTATGAGTTGGCGATTCAACTGAATGTTTCCTATCATTTTTTATTATAAAAATCACATACTCTTGGTTCACTTCAATGAACCCATGATTTACCCCTTGAATTTTGATCCTTTTACATTCAAACTTTATCGTTTTTTCTACAGATGTTAGAGAATACCCTTCTTCTGCATTTTCTCCTTTAATTTCTTCATAATTGCTGCCAGACTCATCAGTTGGGTCCTCAGAATTTTCTTTTTCGTCATTTGAAATGTTAAATAAAGTATTATTTAATTGGTTCAAAAAATCTGAATAATTTTTAGAAGTTTGTTTTGGGCTGTCACTGTCTAGATTTAAATTTTGAGATAATTCATCACAAAAAGTACTTTTTAAAATTTGGGGACTAGTTTGAGGATCTTTTCGTTTGGTTCATTCTTTTAGAAATGGGGTTCTTCCGAGCTTATCGAATTGGAAGGTTATTCCGTATTTCTGCGATGAGCTGTTTGGGTTGTTAAATAGCAATTTCGATGTTTTCATTATAGATTTGTAAAGCTTTTTGTGCCAAAGAGAGTTATATTCATTGGTTTGGCAATATTTTGTATAAGCTGATCTTATTTCTTCTTTCAATTTGTAGTTATTTAGCTTGATTTTTTCTACTCCAGGCGCTTTTACTAAATCAACCTGACACACTGCGTTATTTTTTATTTCTGCAATTGTATTTTTCTTTGGTGATTTCCCTTCTAATTCATAAATATCTTCTTTTAACAAAGGATCAGCTCCAGCATCACGAAAAATTGGAGTGAAAAATGATTTCTTTGGCGATTTAACTTCTAATTCATAAATCTCTTCCTTTAAAAAAGGATTAGTTCCAGCATCACGATAAACTGGAGTTAAAAATGATATCAAATTAATTCTCATTGATGTAAAAACTACTAAAAACGAGTGGATATTTTCGACTCATTCTTGTGAGAGCAAAGAACTTTTTAATAAATCTAAAAAATTTGCATTTTTTTGGTTTTTCATTAATTTCTCTTTTGACATGTATATGGCAGTAAATTTCAGCTGGTCTAGCTGTGATTCTGTAGATAGCGCTATAGTAGGGTTCTCTTTTCTGTGCTTTCGTTCAAGCCAGTAATCATGCAGCCATAGCTCTGAAGTGCAGTAAAACTTAGAAAAATCATTTTTAATTTCTGAGAAAGAGTCCATTGAGCTATTAGTGCTAATTTTTTTTAGCATTTTAAAAATATTGAATTCTTCAATAAAGCGTGATAAAAATATCAAAATATTGCTGGAATTATCTTGATGCTTAAGAATAATTGATGTGCATTCAGTTAATATATATAGTGCTGTAAAATCAAAAAAATCCATTTTTTTTTGTAATTTCACTTGTTTCAGCTCCTCATGTAAATCGGAAAGTATTTTGCATCTTTTCGTCACAATTTTTTTTAGCTTTGTGAATTTTCCTTTTCATTTCTTGACTAAAGATTCCAAAATTTCAATAATTTCCAAATCATTGGGATTAATATAAAGATAAGTAAATATAAATCTTAGAATATATCGCACATACCCGCCATTTCTCAAACAAATTCATTTTGAAGGATAATTTATGGGTGATATTGAATCTAAAAGCGAATTTAATTCAGGTAAATCAACAAAAATAAATTCAGGGTAGGAAATTCTGTGAAATTTTGCAATTTTTGTTGCAAATCCTGATATTTCTTTTATAAGATTTTTAAATTTATCACAATCAATATAGCTAATATTGACAAAATGAGGGTTTAATAAATCTTCTAAAACACTTAAAAACTCGAAAAATCATTCCTCACTATTTTTGAAGCTTTCTTTCATTTTTTCCAGCAGACAGTTCAAAAAATCAAATATTTCGTTATAATTTATGTTCCCAACTCCAATTAAGAACTCTCTAAGCTTGCAAAAATTTGTTAATTTAGCATTTTTAGAGAAAATTGCTAGCACAAATCTATTAAGGCTCGAAATAACTTGGCATAGCTCATCATTTCCTGCACATATCTTATAAGCATCAATTACTCATTTAGGGAAATTCGCACTATCATGCAAATAGGGACTATAGTTTATATTTGCTTCGACTTTTTCAATCTTTATCGCTATATTATTTATTATGTTTAACAAGCACTACTGGGTATCCGTTTCCATTGCTGCCACCATATTTGTCCACGTATCGGCCCATGGACCTCTGGATCGATCCACTTTGTTGTGCCATGACACGGGCAAATACAGCGTTCCGGCTTTGATGGGCTGTGCTGTCTTGCCTTACCTTGGCTCAGCTCCTGGGCGTGTTCCGCCTAAGGGTCATCTTCCTCGGGTGTCCTGAGAGCTAAAACTTCGAGCCTCTTGATGTACTTGGGCAGTGCTTCTGCTTATCTGCCAGAGTTGCTATACAGATCTTCTCAGAAGAAAACCTAACCCCATAAATAAAATTGCTTGAGGGAGAGAAAATTAGCGGAGCTAATTTCGCTCGAATCGAATGCCATTTTATTTATTCCACTTTTCAATCAATAATTCAAATATATTCTTAAGATACAGTTCTCCCAAATCTTCTGATTTTTCGACTTGATTATTCTCTGCATCCGGACTTACGTCATTTACTCTAATTTCCTTTTTTCATATCAGATACGATATTCTATCAGTCAAAATATTTATAAGTGAATTCAATTTTCTCCTAATTTCAGGCAAAGTGGCTTGAATTGTTCCATCAAATTCTTTATTTTTCATTTCTTTTTCCAGTATGAAAAGGATTGGATATATATTATTCCAATGTAAATATTTTTTAAGACTTTTGCATAATTTCTTAATTCTTCTTTTTACATCTTCCCAGTCATGGTGGAAATTTATCAGTCTTCTATTCATATTGTCAAATTCCCACATACAAGGAATAAAATTAAAAATCAATTTTATCGCTAACATTCCTGCATTTTTCTGAATTATAGGGTTCTCTTTTTGTTCTTTAAATAAAATTAAAGCCCTCTTAAATAGTTCATCAATTTCGTCATCTTTGCATTTTAAAGAAAAATAGGCTTCAAGACAATAGTTTATAAGCACTTCTTCAGCTTCTTTTTCGATCATCATTAGGATTATTTTAATGATGACGTGAGCTTGGATTGTGATCTCATTTTGATATTTTTTTGAGCTTTTAGGAGTTTTTGGCTCATTTATATCGCTTGTTTCATTGTCTTCACAATGAAGCTTTTTAAAGATTTCTTGCATAATTTTGGAGATAAGCTTGTAGGGTTCTTCATTAAATTTTTCTTTTATGTTGATGTCTTTGAATACGATATCTTTTATTGTATTTACAACAAAAAAAATTTTAAAAATTTCTTCTTTTTGGTTGAATAAAATTGATATGTGTTTTGATAAGAAATCAAGGTATTCTCTCAAAAGGCTGAATGGGAGGCTTTTTCAGATTCCTTTATTTAAAAATATAGAGTTCATTGCTCTGGACTGTAAAGAATCTGTGAAATTTTCCTGCTCAGAACTGTTTTCTAGATTAACGATAATATCTTCACTTACTTACTTAATATTAATACACGCTTAACGTCCAATATCACATTCCCTGCACGGGTATCCGTCCTGCTTCTGGGTTTCCCCGCTCCACCAAAATGTCGTGCACCACCTGGCTTCAAGGCTGAATGGTCCCATCAGATTCGGTGTTCGGATTTCGACGGCCGTCCTTCCGGCTCTTGGGCAAAACCAACTTGGGTCCGTCAGGCACCCTAAAGATCCCAGTCTCCACTGCCTGGGGTTGGTGGCATCCTTCCAGAAAATTCGATTTCCCTAAGGGACAGGAATCCTGCTTCGCGCACCACAGGCACTTGAAGCCCTGTCATCGCCGGGATAAATTCGCTGGGGAAAGCCAAACCTCATAATCAAAAAATTGAGGAAGAGAATTTTCGGTCGGGAGACCAAAAAAATTCGAATGACGCCCATTTTTTGATTATACGATAATGTCTTCACATCTATCCAAAAATTCTTTATTCGGGATAAGATTTTTTTCTTCTAAGGCTGCACCTAAAATCTCAAAAAAATTGGGCGAAAGTGCTTCATCAAGATAATTCTTTACTTGACATATAGCCCCAATGATACTTAAAATATAAACAATTCCTTCTAAGCTGCATTGATTAATTAAAGGAATCCAAATATCAAGTCCTCCACTAAGTGCTAACGCATCAACTATTGTTGAGAAAACTACTCTTTGATACCCCTTCTCATTTTTAATAGCAATATTCATATCAGACTCAAAATATTTGTAATATTTTTCCCATTTTCATGATGATTCCCACTTGAAAACAATGGAATCTATAATTTCTTTCAGCATAAGTTTGTTTCCGATAGAATCATAATTGCATCTCAAAGTTAATTTATTGCTAAATTCTGAAATTCTATCATAATAAGGCTGATTAAAAAATTTTTTGAAAAGGTAAACTGAACCAATTCTTCCCCGGAATAAAAAATAAGGAGAAATTTCACTATTCAGAAAATTGTTATCAAAACTTTCAGTTGGTCCTCCTATACAAAGATTTTTAAAATTTCCTTCAGGATAGAAATATGATTGCGTTTCATAATGAGGATCCCAGCTTCCATTTTTATACATTATCAAGTACTCTGCTTTGTCTTTTCCCTTTCCTCTTCTTATAGAAATCCCTATACAATTTCACTGATTATTAATAATTGCCCCATTTTTACCTTGCAATGTCTTATTCTTCGAGTATTTAATATTGATAGACAAATTGCTTGTCAAAAAAATAGAAAATTTTGCAGGTCCATTTGGAAATTCTGAAAAATCAGCAATAAACGCTTCTTTTATGCTAGGGCCTGGTTTTATTTTTTCAGGAAAAATCCATATAAGGAAACTAAATTCTTTTTGATTCACAAAAAATGAGTTGTCGTCTCCAATTCGACAAAATTTAGCACCTACCTCATTTTCATCATTTCTTTTTTTTCTCCCAACACTTTCTGTGTCAGCTTCACTAAACTTGCTCTCTTCAATAAGTTTACTCTCTTCACTAAGCTTGCTCTCTTCACTTTGATTAATTTGAAGATTTTTATCTAAAATCGCCTCTTCACTTTGGCTACTTTGAAGATTTTTATCTAGAAATGTCTTTTCACTTGAACTGCATTTTCCATCAAAATAAAAATAACTGTTGGCTCTTGTAAACAGAATTTTTTCTCTCTTGTTGATCTGTCCACACTCTAACTCAAAGTAAAGTTTAAGTCCTTGGTCTAGTGACTGTAAGATGCTTTCCTGAATTTTAGGTCTATTGGAATAGGTTTGAATTAAATATAAAAGAGTTTTTAGCTCTTTAGGTGAAATATTAATTGCCAAGGACAAATACAATTTTTTCAGTTTATTTGGTGAAGGGTCGCTTCTTAATCGATTGATTATTTTTTCTAAGTTTTTCAAAGGATTAAAAAGTGGCTTATCTTTTTTTATAAGGGCTTGAGAATCAATCTCAGAGTTCTCTTCAAGAGTTTCGTTAAAACTCATTTTTATAGTGATGCAATATTTTAAACATTTTTAATGTGGGCCATTAGGTCTATATATGAGAGGAGCCTTGCAAAAATTTATTGAAAAATAGTGGTTTAATAGAAATATTTTATGAATTTTTTACGAATATGAGATTATTGATAATTATAAATTAAAAAGAAAAATGCATTTTCTATATTTTTACCAGATACAGTAGAGGTTTCAAGAAATAAAAAATTCCTTGCATCTGCAAATTCTTTTCCTTCATCGTAAGACACTTCTCTTTTGTCTTCTAAATCACATTTATTTCCTATCAGCATATAAATAATATTTTTACTTGTTGGATAATTCTTAAGCTCTTCTCATTTAGTATATAATCATGCTAAACTTTCTCTATTGGTTACGTCATAAAAAAGGAAGCAAATCTTCATCTTTTCGAAAATTTTTTGGATAACTTTTTGGAATTTTATATTGCAAACTGTATATCATAACAGAATATATAGTATTTTGTTTATTTCTCTTAACTCTTGATGTTAAAATCTATTTTTGTATGTGGAGGTCTCGATTTTTTTTTTTATGCCTAAAGCAGTTTACTGTCTGCATGGCTAATAAAAATTCCTTGCTGTCTATATCTATTTTTCTATTATTAATACATTTTTTTAAAATTGTCATTTCCATCCCAAGTGCTGAAAATGATTGTGTCTCTTGATATCCAAATTTTAAGCCTGAAATGAATGACTTTTTCCCAACATTTTCAGTTCCAATAATTAAACAGCTAGATTTGGCTTCTTCTTGATTAATTCTTCCCCTGCAATTTTTGTTTATTTTATATCAAATAAATAGTTTTGATTTTATAATTTTTTATCCATTATTTTTTATTTTTCTTTGGCGATGTTAGGATTTTTGTTTCCTCTTTTCATTTTATATTTTTATAAGATTTATGCCTGCTTGCCAAGAATAACCCACTAAGGAGCATTTTTTGGTTCGGCATTCTTATATTTTTGTTAGCAAGAAAATATGGCATGCCAACGAATTTGGCAAGCCAGCCATCGTCCGGCCAACCAAAAATGCTCCTTTCAGGCTATTCTTGGTAAATAAGTATGTATCAAAAATGAATTTTATTTATCATTCTTGTGTTTAATTTATAAAAACCCACAATCATATTGAAATTAATAATCTCGCCTATCAATGGATACAGTTAAAGTCTACATCGATTGATATTCTCAACCATCTCGTGCTGTAGCTGCATTGTGCCTACTCGCCAACATTCCTCACGAAATCATTGAAACTCAGCTTTTCCGTGGAGACACCCGCACAAAAGAATTCCAAGCCATTTCTCCTCCAATGACAGTTCCAGCCATAGTTCATCAAGAAATGCCTCTTTATGAAAGTCATGCAATTTTAACCTATTTATCAACAGCTTTTAACGTCGCTGACCATTGGTACCCAAAAGACCCAAAACAGCGGGCAAATGTTGACGCTTATTTACATTGGCATCATGGGAATATCCGGTATGGATGTGCAGGGTATCTTTACAGGAAAATAATTAAGCCAAGACTTACAGGTCGGCAAATAACCCCTGAAATGGAAAAACAAATGCTAGCAATTCAGCATAAATCTTTGAAATATGTGGACGAAATTTTAATGAATAATCATTATGTTGCGAAAACGAAAGAAATGTCTATTGCTGATATTTCTTGTTATTGCGAAATAATGCAGCTGCATTTGATTGATTTTGAATATAGACAGTATCCGTTTATAGTGAGGTGGATGAGAGAAATCGGGGAAATCCCAGAAGTAAAATTGGTACATCAAAGATTAATGAAAATGGTGCAAAAACCTAACCTGCTAAATTTTAGGTAGAATAGCTTCATATTTTAGAATAGAAAAATAATTTAAAATTTAATTTTTTTTCTCTAGGATTAAGCTTTAAATAATTAAAATTAGCATTTTCTTTTTAAAACTCAGGACACTCAAAAATTATTAAAACAATTGGTAATATATAATTAGTATTTCGACCTCCTTTTCCTTGGAAGCCAGGTATATTCTTCATCTTCTTTTTGTGCTTGTTCAATCTCTTTCGCCACGCTATAATCTTTTTTCATGACCGCATAGGCTTTTCTTATTTTTTCTTCTATTCCTCTTAAATATCTCGGATGTGGAACCATTGATTTTTGTCCTCATTTAATCTGACCCAATTCCTTTGTCAAGCAAATCACATGATGGCTCTTCATAGCACTCCTACAATAAGAAATTTGTCCACATCTTTCGCAGGTCGATTTTTTCATTGAGCAATGGATCTTGAATTTTGGCTCAGTGTCATTTGATCAGAACATTTTGGTAGCATGACATTTGTGGCTTTTCTTCGGTATTTTTTGTTTTTCTCATAATAAATTTGATAGAGTTTTAACTGTTTTTTGCTGAGGAAAAGCCATACGAGACAAATTACGACCAAAAGTCTGATATGTGGAAAAAAATCCTATAGGCGTTAAATTTTCTATAGGTATGGAATGTGTCGCCGCAGCTGCATTTATAGAAGTCTACGTTTCTTTCTCTATCTATAGCATCAGTTATGACGTTTTGCGTGCTATCCCCTGATGAACTTGTTAAAGAATCACTGTCACTTAAATTAAAATGTTTTCTAAAAGCTTTTTCTGAGGCTTTTTTGACGCCTTCTTCTTTTTTTATCTTGGGAGAGTCATCTCCTGATGAATTTTCTGAATCAGGAGGTTCAGAATAGGGATCGCTACTACCTTGAGAAGCTTCAGAATTTGAGTTTTCCGAACAGTATTCTTCTTCATTTTCTGGCAGATCTAGTTCTAGAGACTTTGGCGCTTTCTTTTTGGATTTTTTGGCATCTGATTTTACATATACTAATCCCTTATTTGGAACTTCATATTCTAATATTTCAGTATAATTTTTTGGATTTGATTTTTGAGGAGCTTTTTTATTAGGTTTTTGATGATTTTTTGTGTGTGCTGGGATCAAGGCAAAGTTAAGCTCATCATTGCAAGTGTCACATCGATAGAAATCTTGATATATTCGCCTGAAAGTGAATCCTCGTAAGGTAAATTCCTCTTTGGAAAGGTCTCTAATTACTTTAAAGGTAGAATTTTTTTTTGAAGCTTGTTTTTCTGAGTTGGCTGCAGCTGAATTCATTATAGCCCCTCTAAATTTAATTGGGGATTTCGCTTTAATCCATATATATTTTATGACTGCATTGTAGAGCTGATCCAACAATAATTTAAATAATTATTTAAATTTGTTAAATTAATAATATTTAGATATTATTTTGAAAATCAAGTAAATTGCTTTATAGATTCTTGAGAAAATCAACAATGCGCTATTAAACAAAAAACTGTCAAAAAATATTATCCTTAAATTCCAATTTCCGTTTGATTTAAAAAGTCGCCCTTAAAGGCGATACTCAAGCTAAAATTATGATTTTTGAGATTTAATTTAAAAATGCATGATAATTATTGGTATTTCGACCTTTTTTTCCTTGGTAGCCAGGTATATTCAACTTCTTCTTTTTTCTCTTCTTCTTTCACTGTATCAATATCTTTCTTCATTACCGCATACGTTTTTCTTATAGCTTCTTCTACCCCTCTCAAATAAATCGGATGTGGAATCATCGATTTTTGGCCTCACTTGATCTCTCTGAGTTCTTGTGTCAAACAAATAACATAATGGCTTTTCATAGCAGCCCTACAAAACGAAATTTCTCCGCATCTTTGACAGGTCGATTTTTTCATTGAACAATGAGTCTTGAATTTTCGATAGCTATGAAACTTGGCACCACAGCTGCAGTTGTAAAAATCTACGTTTCTTTCCCTGTCTATAATATCTGCTGTTCAGTTTCTGGTGCTGTCACCTGATGAGCTTGTTAAAGAATCATCATCACTTAAATTAATTTTTTTTCTGATGGTTTCTTCTGATACTTTTTTTGTGGTTGCTTCTGTTTTTATCTTGGGAGAATCCTCTGATGAATTTTCAGTATCCGCTGCTTCTGAATATGGGTCGCTGCTGCCTTGTGAAGCTTCAGAATTTGAGTTGTCAGAACAGTATTCTTCTTCGTTTTGAGTTTGGTTTAGTTCAACAAATTTTGATGATTTATTTTTTGGTTTTTTGGCAAGTGTTTTTACATATACTAATCCTTTATTTGGAACTTCGTATTCTAAATCTCCGAATGATTATATTAGGCCCAAAGTTTTATTTTATAAAATAATAAATAAAAAAAATTTAAATATTTATTAATTACTATTAGAGGAGTAAGATTTCAGTGAAATTAGGATTTAATTTTTTAGAAGCTTTTTCATTAGGTTTTTGGTGGTTTTTGGTGTGTGCTGGAATTAATGCGTAGTTAAGCTCTTCGCTACAAGTTACACATTGATAAAAATCTTGATGTATTTGTCTGAAGGTGAATCCTCTTAAAGTGAATTCTTTTTTGGAAAGGTCTTTTATTAATTTAAAGGTGGATCTCTTTTTAGAAGATTTCTTTTCTGCTTTGGCTTCTGCTGAATCCATTATAGCCCCTCTAAATTTAATTGGGGATTATCTTGTAATATATTTTACTTCTTTATCAATTTAATTAATCCAAATTTAATAAAATTTCAAATTTTAATTTTATTTCCTTTACTCCCTCCCCCTCCGTGAGTGAACAAAACCATTAGAAAAATCGCCATTTTTTTGCTCAAAAAACCCACCCTCGGTGAGTGAACAAAAAATTTTTTTAATAGAAAAATTTTTTTGTGGAAAAAAAAAAATTGATATATATAAGTGATAATTATTATAATGAAATCTCGAGCTAATTCTGTTTAATTTTAAACAAATTACTTTTTAAAATATAAATTTTATAAATTAAATTAATATTTGCGTCCAATTTTTGCAAATTAGGATATTTTAAAATTCGAAAAAAAAATTTTTTATAAATTTTATATATAAATTTTTTTTTAAGAAAAAAAAATTAACCCCTCCATGAGTGAACAAAATATTTTTGTTCACTCACGGAGGGGGGAATTAGATTCTTAATCCTCTCAATTTTATAATTCAAGCTCAAAATTAATAAATACATATAATGCTTCATCGTGAATATAGTTCAAGAAAACTTTAAAATCTATTTTAAAGCTTAATTTATTTATAATATATCGTATATAAATTAATTTTATTAATAATATAATTTTTAAATCAGCTTCATTCTCTTTTAATACAACTTTTATAAAAATTCAAAAATAATAGTCATATGGTATAAATGGGAAACTCTTATCCCCTCTCCCTGAGCGAGCAAAATAAGTGAAAAAATCCCTATTTTTGGCCAAAAGCCCACCCTATTGGAGAACAAAAGTATTTCGATATATAAATGATAGTTATAATAATGAAATATCTAGCTAGTTCTGTTGAATTAAAACAACTTACATTTTAAAGCATAAATTTACAAATTAAATTAATATTTGGTTTAAAATTATTTCGAATTGGGATTTTTTAAATTTCTAAAAAAACATTTACTATAAAATTTTATTTCAAAAAATAACCTCATGAGCGAATAAAATAATTCCTTTCGCTTAAGAAGAGAGGAGTTATAAAAATTCACTCAAAGACCTCAACGATTTTTCGCTCTCCCAAGACTTCTATAGATACGCAGCAACACGCTTAGAATTCTCTATTTCATCGGGTTTCCCTTTTATAAAGTATTTTAATGTTTACAGAGTGGAAGAAGAAAAGCATAAAATTGCCTCAGTTTCATTCGAAGATTTAAAAATAATTTATGAGCATATGATGCATATCAAAGTATTGTCAAAAATGACTTATGAAGGCGAAACTCCCGGCCGTGAGGTCGGGTGTCAAATTTGCTTTGAAAGATATGCAAATGTTATTTTAGCTTGTGGACATGCATTTTGTGATATTGACATTATTGATTGAAAATAGAAATTTTTATAAAATGATGACCTAAGTGGGCCTGACCTCTTGACGCAATTTTCTTAACCTCATAGCCATGGTGAATTGGGAAAGGAACCAATCGAGATTCAGGCCTGATTTATGCTTATGCCAGCGATTCATCTTATTCAAAAAATCGAGGCGCGAGCATCACAAAGTGGATGAAACCTTATGGTCGCTGTGAAGCCAATATAGTATATAGATAATTCCTGGGGATAGCGCGGAATACGCTATCCCCAGGACCAACCGGGATCGGATTCACACATGGAACGGGAGTTCCATGTGTGGATCCATTTTTTACATGTGAGATATTTACTTTCACGTGTGAAAAATGGATCCACACATGGAACCCTCGTTCCATGTGGGATCCGATCCCGGTTGGTCCTGGAGATAGCGTATTCCGCGCTATCCCCAGGAATTTTCTATATGTCTATCTATAAATTAAGATTAAGGTTAAGATTGAAAACAGAGAAATCAAAGCTGCCCTATTTGTAGAAGTGAATTACAAGTTAAAGATGTTTATATAGAAATGGAAGAAAATCATGAAGAAATTGTAAACGGAATTGAGAATAGTTTACAAGTAATTTTTTCTATTTTGGAAAGAAAAGATTAATAATATACACCTAAAATTCATTAATATTATACATTCTTTTAAAGAAATTCTTTAAAAATTCTTTACCTTCTTAAGACATATTAAAATAATTTATTATAAGAAGAATAAATTATATCAAGTTTTATTGATTTTTAAAAACAATAGATTTAATTATTGAGCGAGGAACTGTTACTGCTTGTTAAACTGTTATCTAAATGGTATACTATAGGAAAAAATAATAGAAGATATTTTATTTAAATTTTATTTAGCCTCATATGTATTTTTTCAAGTTTTTTTATATATAAACCTAATAATAATTCAAATACTAATAAATTTTTCATATTATTCGCCTCATAATAAATAATAAAACTCCAACCGAATTACTAAATTCTTCAGTCCATTCTCCAATCATAAAAATATCAATACAATTTGCCTTTGATTTCCCTGTTGAGAAAATTTAAATCACCTCTAAAATGGCCTTTTCTGACAAAAAATTATAATCTAAAATTCCATATTTTTCGACACTTTTGAGGCATTTTATACTTAAGTATGCTTTGGAATTAATTTATTCATCTATTAGACAGAGAACGGTCTGCCCTCTAATTCAATAAATATTGGTAGTTTACTTTTGCATCCTTCCTCAGAGTTTTTCCTACTTGACTGATTGCTTCCTGATGGAGAGCTGGATGCTGTGTCTTGTGATAACATCTTATGTACATATGGGCATTGGCTTCCGCTAATACAATACCCATATTCAATATATTGCTTGCATTCTTTTACCTTACAGGCTTTTCCTGACTCCCCCCCCCTCCGTGAGCGAACAAAACCATTAGAAAAATCGCCATTTTTTGACCAAAAACCCACCCTCCGTGAGTGAACAAAAATTTTTTTAATAGAAAAAATTTTAATGGAAAAAAATTTTGATATATAAATGATAATTAGTATAATGAAATCTAGAGCTAATTCTGTTTAATTTTAAACAAATTGCGTTTTTAAAAACATAAATTTTGCAAATTAAATTAATATTTGCTTCCCAATTTTTGCAAATTAGGATTTTTTTAAATTTCGAAAAAAATATTTTTTATAAAATTTATATATAAATTTTTTTTAAAAAAAAAAAAATTAACCCCCCTCCGTGAGCGAACAAAATTTTTTTGTTCGCTCACGGAGGGGGGGGGGAGTGAGTCATTTCTGTCTCTTAATTCTGTTTCTCCATGTGCAAATACACATCGATCACCGAATTCGCACATCCCTGACTCCCAATTTTTACATAACTCAGTCTTGAATTTCAGGAGAAAATTTTTTTCGGCTGATTTATTTTTCTTTCCTGAAGCTGCCTTCACAGGGGATATGCTACAGTTAGTAGAGGCTTCACTCTGTGGGCTGGAGAGGGCTTTTGAGCTTGTGTTGTTTTCTGAATAAAAGTTCATTTTGTTCGACAAAATAATGTAAACCTTTTCAGATATCTAGTATATGAGTTTTGTGGTCGGTTAAGAATAGTCATGAATTAATAGGACTAGGAAATATAATATAATTGAAAATAAAAGCATGTGCCCATGTCATATTATGAAAGTTATTAAAGATGTGTGTGGAAGAATTTAATAAGGGCCTTTAGGATATTTAGCTGACTCTTTATGTTTTGGCAATTGTTTGAAGGATTTTTCAAAAAATAGTAAAATATCACTAATTTTAATTTAAAATATTTTTTTTAAAAGAAATCAACCCCTTTGATGAGCAAACAAATATTTAGTTCGCTCACAGAGGGGAGAGTAATTAATATTAATAATCTACTTCAATTAAAGAAGTTTAATTGTTGCCTAATATGGTATAAAATATAATTTTAGATAAGAGTAAAATAATTTTAATTCGAACTGCTGGATTAGTTTCATAATCATCGAAATAATTCTTTTCAAGAAATTAGTTGCTAATAAACCAATAATATAAAATGAAATATTATTATGATTTTTTCACATTTATAAGCTTGAAATATGTCAATAAAAGCTTGCATCATTAATACAAATATTATCCAAGATAAAAAATATATCTAAAGATATTGACGAATTTATGAGAAATATTAGATATGTATATTGCATTATATAACTGATGGATTTCGTTTTGTTTTTGGCAGATAAATATTAAATTCCTTATAGATTTTCGGTGTGGAGGCACAATTGAGTGGATGGCGGAAGACTGAAAAGAGAGTGTGAAAGGTGTGACCAGGAGGTACTGAAGGAAGATACTAATGGAGAGAGCCAAGGGGAAGGTTACGCTCGAGAATTTTGTCAGACTCAAGGGGATTGTGGAGGACAACGATGAAATAGAGGAAAAGAAGGCTAGGTTCTGGGGTGTCAACAAGAAAATGACAAGGGAGGCTAGAGTCAAAGCTGCCTGGAGGTATGGGGCTGGCCCTGTCAGGGCTCTTGCCGCGCTAAGGGCCAAGGACCCGAGGGAGAGAGTGGAGAACAGGTGCAGACTCTGTAATGTAAAGGAAACTGAAAAGCACGTGCTCAATGAATGCGAACTATATGCAGAAATAAGGAGAAAGGCCCGGCGGAGGCTTAGAGATATAGTAGGGGAGACCTCGGAAAGGCTGACGATGCACACATGGCTAATTGCGGACTCCTCTGAGCTCAAGGGGCTTGTCAGCGAGAAGGATCTGGATGATAGGGAGACCAAGAGGGCCCTGATGGAATTTGATAATCTCCCTGAGAGGGAGCAGGCCGGACAGCAAACACAGAAGGCTAGAAAGGGAGGAGCAACTGGAAGACCTTGAAAAGGCTGGCATTACGGAGGAGATCGTACAGGAAATCGAGTGATGAATCGCTGAAAAGGAAAGGAAGGAACTCTTAGTGGAGGAAGAGGCCTGACGCACGACAGCGATGGTCATTGAGTCGTCCGGCTGCTAAAGGGTCAGCTGATCCCCCTACGTGGCGGCCAGCCTAAAGGTCGCCGTGGGGAGGGCTGCTTCCGCCGGGGGAGAGTTAGTTCCGCCGCGGGGAGGGTTGCTTCCGCCGCGGGAGGGTTGCTTCCGCGGCGGGAGGGTAGCTTCCGCGGCGGGGAGGGTTGCTTCCGCCGAGGGGAGGGTTGCTTCCGCCGAGGGGAGGGTTGCTTTCGCCGCAGCGAGGATTGCCTCAGCCGCAGAAGGGTTGCTTCCGCCGTGGGGAAGGTTGCCTCTGTAGGAAGGGCTGCTGCCCGATGAAAAACTGCTATGTCAAAATTATAAATTTGTGCTCAAGTCCAGAAAGTGCAAAATAAAGCACTCTCTCTCACTTATAATTTCCCTAACTATTGCAGCCACCTGAGAGTGATGTGCAAAAACAGTGCTTGTTCCGCTCCAGCACTTCTAGCAAATTTTCCTCAGCACGATTTTCCGAAAAATAGGACATTTTTTTCAAGTTTTTGACTTCCCCCAGAACTTGCAGCAGTGCGATTAAACTGAGCACTTCACATATTGTAGGCACTTGAGAGTGATGTGCAGAAACAGCGTTTGTTCTACTCCAGCACTTCTAGCAATTTTTCTCAGCACGATTTTTCCGAAAAAACAAAATATGAAGTTAAAATATTTGTTAGCTAGCAAAGCAAGATGGCGAACAACGAAGTCAAAGTTAAGTTAGGGCAGGGTCTAAGTAAACATTTTTCTTTCTTTCTTATAGATTTTCAGAGACTTGATAGCGCAGGCTAATTGCTTTTGAAGTGATGTTAAAGAATATTGCCTCCAATGCTAAGCTACTGGGCTATTTCTTTAAATCTGAAGCTATCTCTATAGTTCTGTTCTGCCTTATTAAATTTATAATCTAGCTAGATGATCATATCTATTTTGACTCTTTAATGCCCTTTTACTTAACTTAAGCATCTTTCTTTATTATTTAACTAAATAGTAAGCCTTATAATATTGCTTATAATTGTGCAGTAATTATTTATAAATCAATAATAATTCACTTAAATATTCTTAAGGTTCTTTATCAAAACTAAGATTTTAGAAGTAAAGCCTCAAATTTATGATTTTCTAACTAAAAATTTACTCATTAACTTCACATGAAATGGATATGGAATTTGGTAGGAAAAAGCCGAAAACTAATTCATAAAGAAGACAAACTCAACCCTTGCAAATTTCATGACGAAAGGCTATATCCTGACCTCCTGGCCAAATCATAATTAAATATGGTGCCGCTAGAATTTTCTGGTCTCGTGAAAGAAAATTCATCTCTTGTAGATTTTAATTATGAGGCTGGTTTCCTGTGTCGAAATTTCCCAGTTATGTCAGAGAAGCAAGAGCTGGTGGTTTTTCCTACGGACTCCTGACCATAGGGAATGGAATTTTCCAGAAGGGTATCACTTACCCCAGGCGGTGGAGATTGGGACCCTTTAGGTAACCATTCGGACTCAAGTAAGTATCTGAGCTCGAAGAAGAGTCATAAAAGTCCAAACTTCAAAATTGGCGTCTTCTTTTAGAGGTCACATCATTGTGAGCCTGAGGAAAATGAAGCAAAATTCGCCCCAGAGCAGTATTGGAGTTAGCTGTGGCCGAGCAGTCTGATAGTGGACGTTAAACCTGTATAGATTAATTAAGATCTCCAGGCCAATCATCACTGCAAATCGTGTGAAATGGAGTTATGCTATATGTGTGCGCATTCCCATATCGACCACGGCTGCAATGTGAAATGACCTTTTCATTTACAACACTCTGGAAATTCTCTTATCGACGCTTTTAACTCAGGCAGAAAAACCTTACTCCACTGGTCTGACATAAAATGTACCTGTGGCAAGCCTTGAACCCATGGCTCCGAGCCTACAATCTGTATAGCATGTGCAAACGCAACTTGCTCTCCAGAGTGCCACATAAAGCTCCAAGAACAAAACGTATGTCTTTTCTATACAAATTTCGCAGCACTTGATATTGTTTTTGAGACAGTCAATGGTTTTCGAGCAATCTTGCATAAGAATTTTCAAATTGCAAAGCAAGGACAGCGAGTTACTTATGCGTCACCACGATTTATGAGTGCATTTAAGCATGATGAGAATCACATTCTTTTGCAGCGTGGTTTTCGACAATATGGGCAGCCTTTAGAAGAAATGACGAAAAATATGAGTGTGATTGAGGAGAAGACAAGCTATGAGCATGCTATGTGTCTTTGTAATTGTGAAGTATGCTCTCAGAATAAGCATCCAGCTTATAATTGCATTTCAACTTGTCAGCATTCGAAAAATAAAAAACTGAAGCATGTTGAATGCTGGTGTTTGTGCTCAGAGTGCATTGTGAGGGGTGCACATTCTAGGAAAGACTGCTATCATACGTGCAAATTACAAAAACTAGAAAACGATAATAATTTAATTTAGGGAATTTTAATACGGAAAAGGTTGAAATAAAGATTAATTTAGAATTGGGAAAAAGGGAGAAAGTCAACCTTAGAGGTAGTTTAGGCTAAATGGAATGATTTTTTCGTTGTACAACTAAGCTTTTTTTGCAGTTTAAATATGCGATTATTTGTTTTCAAATCTGATGTTTTCCAATTGAGTTAGTTAAGCAATAAAGATTTAAAAGCAAAATCTTTATTTTTTTATAACTTAATTAAGAATTATCTAAAATTAATGGAATTTACACATCAAGGGTAATCCTGCACACAAATAATTAATTACAATAAAAAGTAATTTGCTTATTCACTAAAGTAAGGTTATTTTAATTAATCCTCGTTTTCATTTTTAAAGGATCTTCTTGATAAAAGTCTTTGAACTTCAACCCTGTGCAAATTGTTTGAAGCTGCAAATTCTAGGCTATTATTCGTTTCATCGTTATTTCTTATAATTTGCGCCTTCGCATTACTCCTTAAGTAATAGTTTGCAAAAGCCTCAGGCATAGTTTTAGATTCTCTGATAGATTCTGAAAAAAATTCAGGAAATAGCAAAAGAACACATGAAGTAATCGCCTCCACTGGCTTACTCACAGGCGACAAAATCGAAAATTCTGGCTTATCTCTCCTCAAGCTCCCAAGCAGCACAATCCCTCCTCTTCTCAAATCAATTAAATCCCCAGGCAAAAAGTACCTAATTTTTGAGCTTTTTATCATTCTCATCAGATGTTCTTCTTCCACCCCCTCGAACCCAAGCGTCTCTGCATTGAGCGAAATTAATTCTTCTGACGCTTCTTTATATAAATCTTCAATATATATATCTTTATTAAGCATGGCTGCAGGAATATGTGCAGCAAATACCATTGTAATTGCTTTTGCAGTCGACATATTTACCTGATAAATTGGTAGCAGATGCTGGACCCCTACAATGTTTCCTATCATAAGCTCTTGGTCTATTCATGCTGCTAACTCATGGACTCTTCCATTTATTATTAAATAAGCTCCATCTGCAGGCTCCCCTTCTTTAAAAAGAAACTGTCCTGGCTGATAATGCTTTTCTGTAATCATAGGCAATAGTTGTTCAATATCTTTATCAGTCGCATTTCGAAAGCGATTTTTTAAGATTTCTTTAATAGAAGGAATGCTGGGGTTCTGCTGAAAAGTAAGCTGCTTCATATTATTGTCAATGGCATCGATTAAATGCTCATACTCTATTTCTTTGATTACTCCTTGGTGGAAGATTTTATTTATAAGTTTTCGTTGAGAAATCAATAAGGCGTAGCAGGCCATACTTGAGGTGACCTCAGCGACCACTTCTGGATATGAGTCAGTTATATTGTCTCTTACAAACTCTTTGCAGAGCTCGATTTGGTCGTGAGCTTCTTCCATGACTTTATGGAAAATGGCTTCGTCTATATCAATTTCCATATTGTCCATTAATTCTTCAGCTTCGTGATGGGCGGAAATAAAGGTACTGGCAGCGTCATAGGTAAGGATGACGATATCATATAATAAATTTTTAAAAATTTTCCCAATTAATGGAAGTCCTGAAAAATAGTTGTAAATACTCATAAGACGCTTGTTGTAAAGCTCTTTTTCTAGGTGTTCCCAGTCTGACATTTTAGAGTCTTCTTTGTGTAATGATATTTTAAAAGATAGCATGCTAAGTTAGGTCCTAAGTGGTGGTTAATATCAGCCTCAGGCAAGTGGATCTAAAAACCTTTTAGCAAGTTAAGGTGGGGTTTTTGTCTTATCAGGACTCAATGGTAGGCTTCTGCCCACAGGCGATAAACCGAACGCAAAATTTGCTTGCTCATCTGCGAATCAATTTTTGCCTGAATAAGACAGAGTAGCTCAGAAGGAGGCGGTTTGTATTTTCCTCGTGTTCTAAGCACTAACAGAACTAAAAGAGCCTTCTGTCATAGAGCTGACTCCAACATATCCCCAAGAGACTGCTGCCGTTACCATTTTTTGTTAATATAGGCACAAAGGGTGTGGTATGACGGCAGGTGGCTAGGCTGCTGAAGCCAAAGCCTCTGGGAAAATGGATAAGGGCTAATCCCTAGCGAACCATTAGAGCTCAACCTGACCTAATCTTTGTCTAATGCTCTGTTGCAGGATTCAATGAGAATAAGAGAAGCATACCCTGAGCATTGCCCAGAATTGAACTCTTGCCAATAAATACCTTTTAGCGTTGTAAAATATCTTCGTCTTGTTTCTTTTATTAACGCATTTAAAGATAAGCTGAATTTGCTTGTGTATCTTGATAATAGCTCTTCTGGGCTATCACCTTGGTGCTTTCTTAAAATATTGGCGCCTACATTTGTATTCTTCATGATTTGTACTAGTAAATTTTTTGGGCCTGCAAGTTTCATAACTTTGTCTCATTTAACTAACTCCCTTCGTGAGTGGAGCAAACAAAAATTAATTTAATATAAGAATTTTTTTAAAAAATATTTCGATATATAAGTGATATTATTATAATGAAATCACTAGCTAATCTGTTTAATTTTGAACAAATTTTATTTTAAAACATAAATTTTACAATTAAATTGATTTTTACTTCTCAAAAAAAAATTACTACAAATTTATATATAATTTTTTTTTAAAAAGCAATTAACTCCTCAATGAGCAAAAAAATTGTTTTGTTCGTTCAGAGAGGCGGGGTGTAAGTTAAATTGTTTATCAGATCTCATTTTTTCAACCTTTTTAGCAGTATGCTGCAATATTGCTGTTGTAACCCCAACTAACATATTTTCTTCAACTTCACTAATTCTCTCCATCGAAAATAAGTAGTTTTCTTAAGAAAATCCTTTTTAATTTAACACAATGACCTTAATTAACTAAATTTTTATTAAATTAATTATTTTCTATATAAAACCAAATTTTATAATAAATCAATCTTCGTTCGGTATAATTTCTTCAAATTTGGTTTAAAGGGATAAGAGTTTCCATCCCAAATTTTTTGACAGCAAATTTCATCGCAAGGCTATCAAAAATAATACTCAGCCCAGAAATCCCAATTGTAAAAAACAGAAGTACAACTCTGAAATGTGAATCCAGCTCATCCTCATGAAAAACAATTAAAGCTAAAGACGTGGCAATGGCCCCTTTTAGCCCTGACAAAGTCATGACTATCACTTCTTTTATAGTGATCCCATACCCAAAGAATTTCAGCACAGGATAATGGATTAATAATACAACCCCTCTGACAAGGTGCAAAAAAATAAAAAGCGTCCCCATCCTAACGACATCTTTAAGCTCAAGTGAGGACTCCTTCACAAAAAACATCCCCAGCAGCATCCCTGCTATAATAAATACAACAGACTCTACAGAAGTCCCTACAATATTCCAAAAATTGTGCAACGATTTTTCTGCTATAGGACTTATCAGAGTTTTTCCATATGCTGACATATAGAGACCAAGGGTTACTACAGAAATAGCGCCAGATGAATTAATTTCATTTGAAGTATAAAACAATAAATAAGCAGCGGCAAATGTAAGCAAAGTCTCTTGAATTGAGTCATTAACCATCCTTTTAATAGCCCATCCCATAGCAATTGCAAATGAAATCCCTAGCTCTCCTATATGAAAAATTTTTTATATAAAATATTTAAATAATTATTCTATATAGAATTCTATTATAATTTATTAAAAATTCTCCATAAATAAAATAAATTTGATCGTTTAGATAATACAAATCCTGTACAAGTCAAGTTTACGAACTGAGCAATGCTGCCTGCAACATTAGTAGAACCTAAAGCATGGTCTAGCATGATATTAAAAAATACCAAAACAGTGGCTTCATTTAATAGTGTTTCTCCTTCTATAAGTGTTTTAAATCTGTTATCCACATGCATTTCTTTTAGCTGAGCCACAACTGCAACATGGTCAGTTGCACTTAAAATGACACCAAGTAAAAAAGCATCATACCAGAGAAATTGATAGTCAAGAAATACATTTACCACAACAGCTGTCAGAACTGCTGATAAAATGACCACCGTAGTCGCTAGTGGAAGAATTTGCCAAATTTCACGTTTAAAAGTATAGTGATTTCCTGTGGATGGCGCTGTTTTGGCCTTGATTTTCCCACTGGGAAAATTTTTTTGATTCGACCAGTACAATATGGTTTGGTCAAACCAAAAAATTTTCCCAGTGGGAAAATCAAGGCCAAAACAGCGCCATCCATGGGAAAAATCCCATATACCAGTCTGACGAAAAAGCTGCTTCAAATATTAAAGCAGGAAGGATACAAAGGGTAACAAGTTCAGGATTTAAAGAATCTATTCGGGAGACTGACGAATCAATATGAGCTATCGCTCCTCCAATGACCCTAAAAAGTGTCCCAATTAATAGAAGAATTGGGGAAACAGGGACTTTGAAGTGCTTTTTCAGCTCATAGCTGACGATGATAAGAAGGATTGAGATAAAGGTAAAAAGGACAATGTCAGGGATTTCTTTTTCATCTTCTTCTGTATGCTCACACGACTCAGAAAAGTTTTGCGAGCTTGCTTCACTCATTTATTTTATTATTACTTATAAATTATTACTGCTGAAACCCAATTCCTTGCTCTCGCAATAAAGCTTCAGCACCTGGGGTAGCCATAATAGCTTTCAGCAGCTTTGGCCTTACTTTTTCTAAAAATTCTGTAAATAAGTTTCTTAAAATCATTGCTAGGTTTTTGCCACTCTTGGTGTCTGCTGTTCTATTGGAAATCACCAGACACTTGCAGAGGGTCGATAAAGTGTCTGTGGCAGGGCACAAGGCAGCGTCTTGGCACTTTTCAGTACCATTGAGTACTGCGAATAAAATTTTGACAGCTGCATCTTTGGTGTCATAAGGCTCGGATTTTAGCTTCACAAGTCTGACGATTGGAGCTATAAAAATAGGGTTTTCAAAGCATTTGGCGATATCTCGCTTAATTTCTAACACTTTAAGTTCTCTTTCTTTTTCTAGTTTTAAGAATTCTTCGGTATATTCGATTTTTCCTATAGGGGCAGTCTTAGTAGGAGGTTTAGCGTCAGATTTATAAGTGGCTGCGGCTGGTTTTGTGTCAGACCTAAAAGTAACTGTAGGTTTTGTAGTTTGGTATTGTTTATTTTCTCCTTGAGTCATTGAGGTATTTGCCTTAGCTCCTAGGCTAGTTTTGTTAATTTCGCTTTGCTTTTTTTCTTCTTCTTGCTTCTTTTCTTCTCTTTCCATGGTTTCTGAAATTTCTTTTTCTAGGACTGGGATTTCTTTTATTTTGCAGCCTTTAGAAATTTCGAGCATAATAAGGGTCGCTTCAAAACGGACTTGGAAATCAGAGTCTTGAAGGCAGTGCAAAATATGCTTGGGAAGCCTGAAATCTCTTGCAGCTTCTAATTTATTTTCATTTCCAAGCTGAATCATAGCCCGGATATGCCTTATCGCGTTTCTCCTTGCCGTAACGCTTGAGCTTTCTCTTTTAAGTAAGGCAAAATTTTCAGCCAGCATCAATAATTCACTAGAATAATCAGGGTGCTTGTTATTTTTAGTATATTCAGCCACATATGGGTAACAGCATGGCGGCATGCCTAATTCTGCAATAATATTTAAAAAAATCGCATCAAAATTAATATTCATTTCAAAATTCATATACGTCAATAGTTCTAAACATTCTTTTATAGCTGATTCTTCTCCTTTTTTATAATAAGAAATAGAAATAGCAGCAAGCATGTCAAAAACTTTATCATTTATAGCTTGTTTTATAAGCTCAGAGCTTGGCGAGCTTAAATCTTCTAGTTTCTTTTTGTCTTTTTCTTCAATGGTGAAGGAATTCACTGTGACGAGTTTTGACATGTTTTTAGCGGTCATAAAACCTCCTGGAGTATCAAAAAAACAAGCATTTAAGTATAAAGTGCGCTGTTATTTGGATATTTAAAGAATCTATAAAAGAAATTATTTAAATTATAGATAGGCAGGAATTTATTATTGGAAAATGATATCTTTAAGGAGCCTAAAAGAGGTCATGCATTATAATGGATTATCTGCAAGGTCGTGTCTAAAAATTCTATTTGAGTGTTTTCACTTATTTGCCGCAATGCTACAGATACTCTTTGAGTAATCACCAGCTCTGGGTCTTTATAATAAAATAAATGGCTTGCAAATCTTTCAGCTTGCTTTTGCTCAAATTGGTCCATCTCAAAAATAGGGGAAGATAGCAACCCTTTTATTGTTGGCCGTTTTAATGGGTCGATCTGTAAACAAAGTGCTATTAGATCTAGTATTAGCCCAAGCTCGTTTTTCTCAGCATGTGTTGTATGTTTTAGATTAAGTGACTGCTCATAAATTTCTTGAAGGTCTTTACTACCTATTCCTTTATAGCTTTCATTATCATCCACTATTCCTGAAAAAGACCCTAATCTTATGCTTCTAATGATCCCTATATCATCATTTGCTCTATTTACTGCTTTATATTTGACTATTCTAAACCCTGAATATGGATTATAAGGAAAACTTGTGCTTGGGATTATATGTGAATTTGGCTGAAAATCAGGAGAAATCACTGATGGATTTTTTATGATATTTTTTTATATTAATTTATTTTTTCAAAAAAAATTTAATCCCCGAAACCACCCTTTAGAATTGCATCATATCTTATAAGCTTCAAAAAAGGAAGGAGGAGGAACCCCAAATAAAAGAGAATATAAGATAGCACCAAAGCTCCAGACGTCTACAGAGGTAGATTGGTCTCTTCGCAAAATAAATTCAGGAGCCAAAAAGGGGTTATTGAGAAAATCACTTTCAGAAGAAATATTAGAAAGGCAAAGGACAATGTCGGGGGCTGAAATTATTTTCCCATTTATATCTATTTTCCCTGAGCCTTTTAAGGAGTTTAGCTTGATTTCTGCATTTTCTGTGATCACAAAGGAAGAGAGGTTCAGGTTTCTGAGTGCAAAAGAGTGGGTTTGGACTGTGTATATAAGGTTGAGCAGTTGTTTTCCTAGGAATTTCGCCAAATATAAAGCTGCTTTTGTATTATAAAGTATTGGAATTTTAAGCAGCCCACCATTTTGGTCTAATAAATGCTGGATTTCTATGTCTAGTTATAGATAATATAAAATTTCTATTGGCCATTTATCCTATATACAGATAATAAATAAGAAAACGCCTTGCCAGTAGAATTTTTTTCATTGTAAATAGGCATAGCCCCTTAAGTCTTTCATACATGACATAAACTTCTTTATCAGTCGGGTCTTTTCCGACCCTTTTTTCATGCACTCCAATGCATTTAATTACATTAGCGAATCTTTCTTGCAAAAACATGTGAAATTCTAGCTCTTTATTCAGATGAAAATCAAGAGGGTTCCCATCAGATGAAATATGTCTAAGACCATCAGGGCCATACATAGTTACTTGAATTTCTGTCTGGTCTGTCAGCAAAACCCCTAAATACTGTTTTGTCGCAAAATTCATGACATAAAGAGTATCAAGGTAAAGTTTAAAATCTTGTGAAGGGATCCTAGGGATCAAGGCTTGGCTGACACCTTGTATAATAGAAGCCTGGACATTATAGTCTTGCTTTATAAGCAGTAAATTAGACTCCCTTATGATCCTTTCTAACGCAAATGCTTCTAAATGATCAAGCAGTGACTGATATCTTATAACAGCTGACCTTATAAGCCCTAGCCCTTCATTTACTCTATAAACCCCACTATACAGCTCCAATCCTCTTTTTTTCCTCCCTTTGGCTGCTTGTTTATACAAGTTTAGTGTCAGATACCCAAAATCATCAACAATACTTTTCAGCTGTTCTAGCGAGTTATATTTCTTTATAGCCTCTTCCATAGCTTCAGAGCATGGCTGCTTTTTATTTTTCCTGTCAAAATCCTTCTGTATTTTTTCTAATGTCTCTATTCCTGCGTCATATTTAGTGGCTTCATAGCCATAACCAATCAGTTTGTCTCTTAATTCTTGGTAGGATACAGACCCATCAGAATTTATATCAATTGCTTTTATTAAGCCATTTAGCTCAGCTGGGGTCAGATGGTAGCCGAGTTTTTTCATAAAAGCTTCAAACTCGTGGGTAGAAATTTCACCAGTTTGGTCGGCGTCTATTTCTGTGAATAACTCTTTGAGGGATACTTCTTTTTCGTTTAGCTTGGAGGCTAAGTACTCAAAGAGCTCTTTTTCTAGCTGTTTTGCTTGTTGATTGGTTTTGGATTCGAATTCGTCTTGAGCTTTTTGTCGTTCTTTGAGAACGTAGGAACTGAGTTGGACTGCGTTGGCGACTTTTTTTTCTTCGGCTTTTTGTTGGAGTTTTTGATTTTTAGCAGCCATTGCAGATTGTTCTTGTTTTATATTGGATTCTTGTTGAATGGTTTTGGAAACTTCTAGCATTAATATAAAGTTTATAGTTTCGTTGGATTTGGATATTGCATATGTCGGCTTGCTTACTTTCTTTATTAAATGCAAAACTCTGGAAATCATATTTTTTAGAATTAAATTTTTATTATATAATTATAGTTATATTATTTTATGAAATATCCAATTAATTCTATATGTATTGGTAATATTTCATTTTGCTTATCTATTTCAAATTAATATTAAAATTTCAATAATTTTGGCATATCATTACATATAAAATTGAGTCTATGGCATTTTAGACATTTTAAAAATTATTTTACTTATGTAAGTAAAAAGGAATATGCATAAGGGACTATATTAAATTTCATAAATATTTTTAAACAAATTAAAAATCCCTCCTTAGAGATCAAAGATTGCGTTTATTCACGGAGGGGTGGATTAGCTGAGAAGGAAGCAAATTACTAGAGTCTTGCTTTTTTGTGCCTTCAATGCCATAGTCTGCAAGCTCTTCAACATCTTCCAGTGAAAACCCTTTTATGCTGTCAAAAATCTCTCTAAATTCTCTATAAGTAATATATTCTGAATCAGGCTGCCTTTCTAATGCTTTTTTTCTAAATTCTGAGGATATCTCAGTAAATCTTAATAATAACCCTCTAGCTAGCTTAGCAGCTGCAGATCTCCAATGCGAAATATCTTGCCCTGACTTAATATTGCTATATGACAAAATTGAGTCAATAAATTCCATATAATCTATTTTCCCATCATGGTTTTTATCAAAAGCCTCACCCAACGACATGATTTCTTCATTATTTAGCCTAAAGTCTAGCAGCCCTAAAATTTGGCCAAGCTCATTGGTATTTATAGACCCATCCCCATTGGCGTCAAAAAGTGTGAAAGCTCTTTTAATTGACATTTGTGAGCCTCTCAGTGTCAGACTGATTTTTTCTAGGGCTTTATCGACAGTATCCTGTACCTTTAACGTAGCAATTGACCTCATATTGCTGTCCATAAGCCCAGGGACATCTCTGAAAACTTCAGCAGTAAAATCTTTATAATCAATAGTCGGGCCTTGCATTAATAAATTAGAAAGGACATTTTCTGGGATAGTTGGGACAGAAAAACGTAAGGTGTTAATAAAATCGTGGATATCAATTACACGGTCTGAGCCTTGTTTTGGCTGCAAATTCCAAGAATTGAATATTTCTAAAACTGTGCTATTAAATGGCCTCTGCATGCTGCATTTTTCAATAATTTCTCTGATTTCCCACTTCCATGAGTCTCTTGGCTTTAGTGCTTTTTCACTAATTTGTCTTAATTTGGTCAAAAACTGCGAAAAATGCAAATTGTGGGCATCCATAACCAATTTTACTACAAGGTCAGCAATCCCAGAGGCTCCAGGAATATTATAATATTTTTCTAACAAACTTCTGACCTCAACTGGCCCTACCATCCCTTCAGAATTCGCCACCTCCTGCAAGCACTCTTTTAATAATTTTTCATCCAGCAATAAACAGTCAGAAATAAATTTATTCAAAAATTCTTTATCAGGCAGCACAGTCGGGTTAAATTTAAAGGAATTTGGCAAGCGGTTTATGTGCTTTAAAAAATGAGTCCTAAATATCCCTGGCGTTTTATTAGAAGGCATTGCTAAGAAAATTCCTGCTTTATGTATCAATTCTTCATTAGAGCTTGGGCTTAAACTTTTTGCTTTATCAATAAATTCTTGAATAGAAATACACTCAATAATTGTCCCTTGGTCGACAAAAAATACGTCTAAAGGATAACGTAAATGAATAAGCCTGCATTTAAGCTCAGTCAATAATAAATCTACCTCGTCAATCTGCTGGGCAATTGAGCCAGAATATACTTCTTTAATAAATAGCCCAATTTTAAGCAAGTTTTCGTCATCAGTAAATAAAGAAAAAGAGGACTTCAAAATATCATTATCAATAGATGTGTGATATAGATTAATATGGCGGAGAAGAATAATCGACCTCTTGATGAAATTTCTTCGACGATTCAGGGAATGCCCAGGTGGAGAAGCCAAGTTGAGAAAAGGTACGGTATATTTAATGTATACAGACAGAGGTTTTCTTCGTGCCACAAGGCATGATAGCTGGGATGTGGGGTTTTTCCTTCTTACATAGGATTTGAAATGGCACAGTTAGCCATTGTTCCCATGATTAGGCATGATCCCTACATTGAATTAGGGACTCTAAAGACAATGCCTAGCGCAAGACTGAGAGTTGCGCCCTGATCCTGCGAACCAAGAAACCAGAAGTCTTGGAATCAAGTCAGGTTGGTGGAGACTGAATCGAGGCAGTCGGCGTCAGTTGGGCTCCTTCAGTGAGTGATGAGCTTGCAGAGGTGAAAATCCTCTGCCGATTCTAAACAAAGAGCTAACTTAATTTAATTTTTGTTATCAATAGAAATTTGGCAAATTTTAAAACATCTTGCGAACTGCTCAAAGGTAAGTTTCCCAGTAGATTTATCGTCCATCTCTATTATTGTGTACTGCAGCCTTAATCCATGCTTAGGAAATATACACGCCCGCAAAGAATTTATGATATCAGTCGGCTTAGAAATGCTTAAAATTTTTTGTGCTAAAATATCTTCATTAAAAAGACCTAAAAATTTTTTTATTTCTATTTTTGTCAGGCCATTTGGGTCAAGCTCATCTAGCATCCCTTCAGCTTGTCCTTCAGTGATGTCACCTAAGCTTAATATGAACTGTTTTAAGGTATTTCTAAAAATCATCCCAGTAGCTTTTATTTCACGTTCTTTTATATTGTCAATGATATTTAAATTTTGCTCACGTATTTTTTTCGAAATAATGCTAAATCCAGGGTGCTTATAAGTTTTTGTTAAAAGAATTGGGCTTGTTCTAAGCTGAACATCAAGGTTGTCTACAAGTATTTCAAATTGTGGATAAATAATGCCTTGCAAAGCTCCATACTGAGACAGAGCGCTATAAAATTCATTTGTGCTGACATTTCCTGTTTTAAACTGTTTTCTTGACGGTAAAAATCCTATTTGTTTGACTATTTCAGGAAATCCTTGGTCAAAAAGTATAGCTTTTACAATTAAATAATGAAGCTCCCTTTTTAAGCTCTCATTTAGCCTCATCTGCTGCATAATTGCTTCTAGCTGGGTATTTATATGTGCTTTATATTCCAGCATACTTTTTTTTCTATATGATTTAAATAATTCACCCAAAGAATTTTTAATATTTTCTGGGACTGGCCAATCGTGCTGCTCAGCTGGGACATTTAAATTCATCCTTTGTAGGGCCCAAGTGTGTAGAGTCCCTGATACAAGTTTGCTTGAGCTAGCTCCTAAATGCATGGTTAAAAGCCATTCTCTGTTATTATGCCTTACAGCTCGTAATTTATAACAATGCTTGTCTTTGGTGCTCATAACACCTACACAGCTTAAGACTTGGTTTGTTTTGGTAAATTGATCTTGCATTTGTCTGTATTTTCCAGGCTTATTTGCGTATACAGGAAGATTGTGAGGCTCTGTCAGCTTATAAGGGACGCCAGTAGGGCTTCAAAATTTGATAAATTGGTCACTTCCGGCTGTTACGATTAGCTGAGAAATCGGCAAGTAATCAATGTCTACTACAGACCCGTCGTGGGCAGGTACTTTTTTATAAGGTTTTACAGTCCAAGGCGGGTTTATTTGGAATTTGTCAAATAAATCTTTTTTAAGGTTCCATAACAGCAGCTCACAAGGTGGCAATGCACATGTAGGCACCTGGGCGAGTTGAGGCTTAAGCGCTCTTCTTTCAGCAGAAATAATTGCATTAGGTGCTTGTATATATTTCATTATTGGTGGGAAGCCGTTCCAATGTCCTACAAGTTTCGCAAGAATTTTCCCACTGATGTGTTTCAAAAAAATTACTGATGTCATGGGCTCTCTTGTAGAATATGCCAGAATATTAAAATCGTCTAAGAATGCGAAATCTTCTATTATGGCTGCTTGTTCCTGGGCTGTTGGAGTAACTAATATAACTCCAGGTCTTTTTGCAGCGGCCACTAAGTTTATATACTCTTCTTTTTCAAAAATATCTAAATAGTCCACATTTCCGAAATTATCATAAGAGAGGTCCCTTTCTATTACGATATCAAGCTCCCTGGCGGTTATACCTACAGGTAAGGACAGCAATAAAGTAGAAAACTCGTGCTTTGGCAAGCTCCCTTGGCCTGACAGGTCTAATTCTTTACAAAGCTTGTATAAGTCAATTCCCAGTTCAAGTGACTTGTGGAGGATGTATTTAAGTGAGTCTTTTGGGAATTCAGAACTTCTTAAGGTATTGAGAGCAGACATAGGACCTATTTTGTTTCTTGATAAAAAAGTCATGAATTCTTGATAGTTTATGGAGCCGTTATTATCACGGTCTGCGATTTGGATAAGAACTTCTATATCTTTATCAGACACAAAAGGGCTGAGCATGGTAGGGAATTAATTAAGAGTATTAAGGTCTTCTAGATTTGATTGAGGGTGCTATGGGTAAAGGCCAGTCCAAAACCTCCTATCGGCTATCTTGAGGAAGAATTACACCCAGGAAAAAAAAAACTACAGCCCTCTGAGCCGCAGGAAAAGAACCCTTGACCCAAAAACCATCCGATTACTAATACTTGGGCTTGAATGGTCATCAGCAGACTCCCAAAGCCATCCACCCCATACTGACTCCCCCCCCTCGAAGTTCGACCAAGATATAGGGAAAATTACTATTTTTTTTGGAAAATTAACCCCCCTCAAAGTTCGACCATGACCTATATAAATTTACTAGGAAAATAAGCAATTTTTCAAAAATTTTAAACTATGTGGGGTGAGTTTGCGATTTTTGTATTCAAGTTCTAAAAAGCGTTACAAAACCATCTTGCATTATTTTTTCTAACCCTTACACCCTCTCAACCATACAGAAGAATATGATAAATATTTGTTTTTTTAACTATTAACTACTAAATTATATAAAAAAAATTCTATATAATTTTTTTTAAAAAAAATTTTTTCTTAACCCCCCTCGAAGTTCGACCAAAAAAATCTTGGTCGAACTTCGAGGGGGGGGGAGTGAGCTAAACACCGTGCTTACTCCCCCCCCCCTCCGTGAGCGAACAAAACCATTAGAAAAATCCCTATTTTTTGGTCAAAAACCCACCCTCCGTGAGCGAACAAAAAATTTTTTTACATATAATTTTATATATAGTTTTATTATATCTATATTTAATACAAATAAAGAGGATAATATTGAAAAATAATTATTAAGTTTGTTTGATATATTATTCAAAGGGTTAAAAAAAAAGAATACCATAAGTGAAAAGGTTGAATTTAACAATTTTAAATTTAAGACAAAAAAATGAATAGAAGAAATCGATTAGATAATTAACTTCTTCATATTAACTTGATGGCTGAAAATCTTTGGATGATTAACGCCATAAGAACCCGTCAACTCAAATGATTTTCTGACAAGTTGAGGGCTTACAGCATCTCACGCCTTTGAAGCAATGTTTATCAGTTGCTGGCGATCAAGAGCTTTGAGGTTTCCAGTTCTTTTCGATCTTCTTTCAATCTGCTCTGTTTGGAATTTGATTCTGAAATCTGTTGTTTTTGATTTGAAATTTGCAATTACCAGTGCGTCAAGTGGTTGCAAATACTTTGTGCACCCTCCAGGGATCACAATTTTGGTTGCATCTAAATCTGAAATTGCATTAGAAATCATGATAGTTTTATGACTTCCAGCCTGATCATAAATCAGCAGTTGGTTTTCTCGTCTCAATATTGTTCTGAGGTAGTCATTAAGAATCTGGTCAGAAATGTAGCCAGATTTATTTGATTTTATGATGACATTTTCTGGAATATTCAGTCTTTCTCTTACAAGGTTCGGGATCTGGCCATTTTTCTCTTGAAAAATGAGCAAAGCAGGCATTTTTTTTTCTCCATCAGCTCTAATCATAAGCATAACAGTGATAAAATGGTTCATTTTAGCTGATTGAACGCCTAGAATTCGTTGAGTTTCCTTGAAATCATAAGTGAACTTGCTTTTTACATCTCAATCAAATCTCGTTTCATCGAAATTGTAAATGTTAGATGGAACGAATTGAGGAAGCAATGACGCTAAATCATCTAGGTATTGCCTGACAAGTTCTGCCTCTTTTTCGATTGGCTTAATGCTTGAGGCATTGATTTTTCTGAAAGATAAATTATTTCTGGTCCTAAATCCTTGCCACCATTTATCTCCACAGCCGAATCGCGCCAATCCCATTTCTGCCGCCAAACTTTTTGCTTTCTCCTCAATCGTTGATCTGAGAACCTGAATACCTTGCTCACGGATTGCAGTAAACCAATGAACTAGTTCTTTCTCTAGCTCTGGAAATTGAGTGAAGCTTTCTAATTTTAATTTTTTTATCAGATTTTACTGATTTCTTCAACTCATCAAGCTTATTCACCCATTCGGAAATCGAGCTAAAGGAGTTGACATGAAACTTTGCAGCAACATCTCTCATGCTCATCTCATTTTGGTGTTGAATGTAAAATTCAGCAATTTCAACTTTCTGCCAAATTTCAATGTACTTTCTTTTCCCTTTGTACATTTTTATTATGATTTATAGAGAATTTGCTTATTATATTAAATAAGAAAATATATAAAATATTTTAACTGAATGCATATATTTATTACTAATAGGTTTATTGATTATTAAATTATTGAAAAATTAAGCTGTGTTTTTACCTTTAATCAAATGGTATTCTTTTTTTTTTGGGAAATTCCCTTACTCTCCCCCCATAATATTTTTAAAATAATTTTCAACTTATAAAAAAAATATTATTTTACAATTAAAAATTTTATATATAATTTTTTTTAAAAAATAAAAATTAACCCCCCTCCGTGAGCGAACAAAAATTTTTTGTTCGCTCACGGAGGGGGGGGGGAGTTAGGACTAGAATCAAAGGGCCTGAGCCTTGGTTTCGGCTATAAAGCCATTTGGCACCCAAAGTGGTGCATCATCAGTAAGGACATATTTTTTCGCCGCCATCATATTAATTATGCATGGTAGATAAGGCTCGGAAAAACTCTGAGCGGGTTATAACACCACTATTATCAGAGTCAAATACAGAAAACAGCTGCTGTGCAGAGTATCCTTTGTTTTCTAATGCTTTAAACAGCTTATAAAGCGTTTCTTTTACTTTTTCATTATCATTAGCATGAGTCACCCACTCAGGGATTATAATTTGTGCCTTCCCTTGCTCTTCAGTATCTTCTACAGTCTGTTTTCTATAGTACAAAGCTCCCCAAAATTCATCAATAGACACAGACCCAGTCGAATTTACGTCCATAGCCCTGAAAAGTCCTTTTATTTGTCCTTCTGTCATAGGCAGATTTAAGTCTAATATTGCGCTCTTAAGTTCCTCATAAGAAATCACGCCATCCCCATTTCGGTCTAAAAGCTTAAAAACGCGGTCTTCATGGATGCCAATTTTCCCACATTCTTTTATTACATATACAAGCTGGTCTAAGGCGTCTAAAATTGGCTTAGGGATTTGCAGCTCACTGATGGTGACCCTGATTCTTCATAAGAGGTTAAAAGAGACTGGGTCGTAGCAGTAGACAAAGCCATTAGCACAGGTCGCGTTTATGAGGATTCTTTTTTGGGCAGATAAAGATATTAGGTTAGGGAAAAGGTCTCTGTGGCGGTAATTATAAGCTTTTTCTACATAGTCGTGGCTGGCTGATTTACTAAGGACACTTATTCGTTGGATAGGAACACTTGTGCTTTGGATAAGCTCCCACACGTCAATAACCCACTGTTTATTTAAGGTATAAAGTCTATTTGAAGACTCGTCACAAGCAGCTCCAAGTAATGGGACATTTTGAAGAGGCGCCCGAGTGCCTAAATGAAGAGAAGACAGTGAAGACCCTGAGGAGAGATCAAATTGGGCTAAGCAGCCTTGGTGGTCTAAATAGCCAGCACGGCCAAGCAGTCCTGACCCTCATAAAGACCTGGGAAGAGGGTTATTAATGGCTTGTTCCCATTCTTGATCCCAAACATAAACATGCTTGATCACACCTCGCTTTTCGAATTGCTTTTGAATAGACCTTGCCAGCTTAATAGATTCTCCATGGGCGACGGCGCTAGTAAGCTAAGTTAAGTGTTATAATTTCATAAACGGATAGACCACTAGCCTGCCTATCTCGAGTAAAACCCAAGGATTATCTTCTAGGTTAGAGCCATCTCTTGAGGAAGCCCCATTAGTCCCGATAAGTTAAAGACTAAGTGGGAGGCAAAACCTGTCTAGTCCATCTGGCAGGGACAGGGAAACCAAACAGGGAGAGAAAAAAAACTGATCTCCTCATCATCCCAAACCTAAGGCCTACTTCGAAAAGTGACAGAAGCACATATTCAGCTTCACCAGGACGGATCCTACTCCATAAGGTTTTTATCTCGGAGTCCATCTTCCTCGACGTCAACATTTATTTCTTCCAGCGCTGGTAAGGATTGGCATCAAAAACTCATTTTTTACCATTTCTTGGAGTTCTTTGCTTTGAGCTTTAAGGACAATTTGGCTTTCCTGTGGCTTAGGGACCAGTTTTGAAGCTTTTTCTTGAAGAGTCGGCTTAGGTTTGGCAGGGGAAACGCCTCTGGTCCCGCGGAATGAGCCTTTTCCTGAGCTTCGATAAGACTGCCCTTTATTGCTAGCTGTAGTTTTAGCTAAAATAGACCCCATGAGGGATTTTTTTTTCTTTTCCTCTTCTTCTTTTTTAAGCTTGGCCTCATAGAGCTCTTTTTCTTTTTTCTTCTGTTCTTCTAGCTTCTTTTTTCATGGGTCTCTTTCAGCTTCAAGCTTGTCCATTATTTTTTTCCTTTCTTCATCTTCTATTCTTTTTTGCTGCTTTTCAATTTCTTCTCGAAGGGTTGGCTTTACTTCGGGGATTGGCTCTTTTGGAGATGTTTTTGGGGCTTCTGATGGTTTTTGGGATTCTGGAGGCTTAGTTGGGTCAAATTTTTTTTCTTCAGGTTTCCTACCAAATTCTTCAGGTTTTCTACCAAACTCTTCAGGCTTTCTACCAAATTCTTCAGGTTTTCTGCCAAACTCTTCAGGCTTCCTGCCAAGCTCTTCAGGCTTTCTACTGAATTCATCAGGCTTTCTACCAAATTCTTCAGGTTTTCTACCAAATTCTTCAGGCTTTCTACTGAATTCATCAGGTTTTCTTCCAAATTCTTCAGGTTTTCTTCCAAACTCTTCAGGCCTCTTTGTTTCTTCAACTTTTTTTCCAATTTCTTCTGTTTTCTGTGACTCTCCTATAATATTCTTCAACGAAAAAGGTGACTGTTTAGCTGCCTCTTCAGTCTTAATTTCTTCCAAAATCCTCGCACTCAATGAATCCCTATCAAATTTAATCTCCTTTTCTTTCTTCATTTTTTCTTCTTCCTGTTCTTTCCTCTTCAGCATTTCAGCTGGCGTTTCTTTTTTCTTAAAAAATACATTACTGAATTCTTCAAAAGTAATATTTCCATCATGAGACTCATCAATATGGTTAAAAACCTGTCTAATATAAAATTGTGAGTAATTTGGGGTATATTGTTTTCCCTTGACTTATTTTTTTAGCATTTTATAAAGTTTTTTGATATAATTTAATAGAAAAATGATAAATTTTTTTCATCACGGTATAAAAAGCGTCAAAAGTGATTTTTCCGCTTTGTTTGACGTCAAAAAGCTTGAAAACTGAGTCTATTGTGATGTTGGATTCGTTTATAGCTTTTTGGATACCTTGGAGGATTTCAGTGAGGGCGAGCTCTTTTTCTTGCTCTGATACTGTTACAGAAGCCAGGACATCTTTTTTTGTGGGGGCTGAGTCTCGGACTACTCTGGAAAGGGTGCGAAAAGTGATTTTTCCGTTTTTTCCTTCGTCTAAGATATCAAATGCAGCATCTATTCTCTTTGGTTTATAAAAAATCAATATTATTATATTATTTTCTTTTAAAATAAGCCTATTTTCTATAGTTTTAATACCAAAGTTAGCTGGATAGGCATAATTCTTGTTGGGTAAGATTTAATCCATACTCAACCATCAGCAGTTCTACCTCAGGCTTCTCAATAAACCCACTGCCATCCTTATCTATCTCTTGAAAAGTCTGCAGCAGCGTTTTGTCACTTGAGCTAATTTTTTGTGCTATTCCTTGTATAATTATTTTTGGGTCAATTTGCTTGATTTCGCTTTCTTTTTGCCCTGGTTTCCTTTTATTTTTATTCATTCTTTGTTCTTTAACCTTTCTAAAAATCCTTTGTATTTTCACAATTGCGTCAGACTGGGATAGCTTTTGAGGGATCACATATGGCTGCTTTAGATAAAGTTTCCTGAAAGCGGCGCCTACAGCTTTATAGTAGAATACTCTGTCTCTGGCTTGGTCATAAACATTAAGAATTTCTACTAGGGTCCTGACTTGGTCAAAAAGTAGTCTGAAGCCTAAGTTTTTTAATGATCTGCTGAAGGCCATAAAGGTGATATACACTGTAATGTATCAGTTTTTTAGTATTTATAATAAAAACTAAATGCTATATTTATATATAAATAGTAATTAAAACTTAAAATAATTAGATTAGAGACAATATAAAAAAGAATACCCTAGTTTTCCTGTATCTTGGCCTTCACAAGAGCTTATGAATTTCGTCCTTTTTTCTTTTGCCAGGAACCTTTTGAAATTGTTCAAGATCGTATCAGTTTTCGACAGCTCCTCTATTTCTTTATTCGCCTTTTCCCGGGCTTGTTCTTGGATTTTTGCAATAGTTGACTGTGCTGAAGGTTTGGCTACTTCTTTTTTGGCAGGAGAAGGAGAATTGCTAAAATCGTCTTCATAAGGCTCTTCTTCGACTTCGTCTACCTTTTTCAATTCTTCTATGTTTTTCTTATACGAGTCAAGCTGTTTTTGAAATATTGACATTTATTAATTCAAAACTTTTAGGCTTATTTTATAGAGGATTCTTATATATTTTCGAAGAGTTTTAAACAATAAAATACAGTTATGGCAACTAAAGGAAATTTACAACGTAGACAAGCTCAGCAGCAAGCACATAAAGCGCAGGCCCAGAAGCAGGGATACAAGCTTCCTGATTTTTTGGTATTTTTTATGTAGCTAGATGATTTAAGAGCTGCAGTTGCCTTATATGAAACTGAGGACCAGCCTGGAGTAATTCAAATGAATCATGTAAGAGGGATTTTATGAAATTTTGGCTTTTGGCGTATGACCAGCAAGGACTTCGAGAAAGAGCTGCAAAGCCATGATATTGACCCTAGGAGAACTTATTTAGAATGGAACGAGCTTCTCAATAGGCACCCTATGAGGTAAATAAAAATAAATTTTGTTCCTATAATTTATTTTATAAAAATTTACTATAATTTATCTCATAGAGAAATTAATATTTACCCCTTCTCAATATCGTAACAAGGAGATACCACCAAGGTGGCAGAGAACAAGAAATAAAGGACACTTTTAAAATTTTTGATAAAAGAGAAAAAGGGTACGCAAACGTCTCTGACATCAGGGCAGCTTTGCAAAGTAAATTAGAAGTTCCAGTGACGGAGCATGAAGTAAACGAGATGTTTGAAATGGCAGGGATTGACCCAAATAACCCAATTATGCTGAATGATTTTATGAATGTGATGAAAAGCTTTTAAGGATTATTAATGAATCATTATCGGGAATTATGACTTTTTGAAGTATTATAGTGTAGGAGATGATTAAAAGCTTGCTATTAAATAGCCATTTCAATATATTTATAAGAAATAGTATTTAAAATTGAATAAAATGTGGAAAATACTTATAAAAATCATAAACTTTTGTGTCCGCCTCCTTCTCATTATCAACGCTTCTCATTCTTTCCGTTTTTTTATTGTGTCATTAATAAGATTCCTGAATTCGTTCTCGGTTATCACATAATTTGGCTGAGGTCTATTCGGCAAATTCATTTCTTTATAATTTATGTGGCTTAATGCTGCTTTTGCTTCAAGCTTATATAGTTTTTTTGCAAATCCCTGCCGAGTTCGAATGCAGTCTTCTTTATATTTTTTTAAGTTTTCTCTATACTCGCCCATTCTTTTTTTCAAAATATTCATTATAGTGATATCTTTTATTGAGTCAGGTATTGAGGATTTTCCTTCTATAGCTGCAAAACTTATTGGCTTTTCTAGTTCTGATACAGGAAGAGTGTGATTTCTGACGCAATGCTCGATGTACATTTTATATTCAACTTTATTTCAAAGCAGCCTTTTTATAGCTAAAGCGCTTTTTCGTCTTATAAAAATAACTCGCATTGTTCGTTGGATAAAAATGATTTTATCGGTGAAGGATTTCATCATTTTAAACATTTGTTCTTCTGCGAGGACTCTTTCGCATACGTCAACAGCCATTATTGCTCATTTTTTTCTTATGTCTGTGGCTCATTTTTTGGCTTTTTTTGATAATTTCTGGAGAATTTGTAAGGATTTTTTAATTCTGACCCTCCTCAATATTCTTTTGAATTTTCCAAATGCTAACTACTCCCTCTGTAAGCGAAAAAAACTATTGGAAGAACCTATTTTTGCCCAAAAACCACCCTCCGTGAGCGAACAATTTTTTTTTTGGATATAAAAATTTGATATATAAGTGATAATTATTATAACGAAATCTCTAGCTAATTATGTTTTAATTTTAAATAGCTTGCATTTTAAATATAAATTTTGCAAATTAAATTTTTTACTCTCAATTTTACAAATTGGATTTTTTTATAAAATTTTGCATATAAAAAAATAAATAACCCCCTCCTGAGCGAATAATTTTTTTTTCCTTCATGAGTGGAGTAAACATAAATTTAAAAGCCAGATAAGCACTTTATTAGATCTCCAATGTAATCTTTTTTTTGCAAATACTGTACGATGAACTCAATTAACAGCCCCAAAAATTGCGAAAACTGTTGCCCAAGCTTTGCTAATCTCTAAAACTTCATATTTTCTCATCTTTATTTCCGCTCTCCTTTCTTTCATCTGTAATTTAAAAATTTTTTCCATCTTATTTTTCGTATAAATCATTTGTTTTTTCTCTTTAATTTTCAAGATTTTTTCAGACTCAGATTTTGCTTTTTCTTTTAAATAATTCAGGCGGACCGTAGGTAAATATTTTTTCATGTCTTTATTTTCACTATAAATTTCTTGTCTCTTGCTCTGGTCCAACTTTTGAGTTATGGATGTTAAGCCTTTTTGTGGGAATCTAGAAACAGTGGAAAAATGAAATGAAGGCCCATCAAAAGTGTTTAAATCGTAATAATAATGTCCAGGTCCTAGCTTGCTGTCAGTTATTGTATTAAGTCCATAATTGAATTGGAATAATAATTGAAGAGAATTAGAGTCCAAAACACTTTTTTTACGGTGGATTTTTTGGGTGTCTGGGTTTTCTCTGGCAGCAAGGTCATGCTGAGATTGAGAGCGCTGTTTTAGTCATCTTTGGGTGGAAGAGATAAAGGGTTTCAGTTTCATTAATGAGCGATTTCTTGATTCTTTATTAGGAGATAAATTTAATGACTTTGCAGCTTCTGGAATTTCTGTAATAAAGCTTCTAGCGGTGTTTGGCAAGGATAAAGTAGGCTTCATTGCTGCAGATAAAAATTTATGCTGAAAAAATTATAATAAATCGGCTATTTTTTTACAGCCTTGCAATTTATTTATAGGTCGTTTGGGCTCATGAACGAAGGGCCTTCGCCCAACAAAAAAAAAAACTGAATGGGCACGTTGGTGCGTCACTGTTTTAGCTAATAGGGCACAATATTAAAAATGTCAGTTAGTGGTATGTCCTAGCACCTGCCTCGCAGGATGGACCCATGATCACGAGCTCAGTGAGAGAAGTCCGACTTCTTGAGAGCCTCGGCTTGAAGTGAAGAGGTCATTGCTGTGTCTGGCGTTGACTAGAGGAGTCCTAACGGGCTATTTAACTTTAACGGTTTGACATTTAAGCTGGCTCACCTACTGTTTCTCAGAGCTTTTAAATTAGCAAAACCTCAAGAGCAAGGGGACTTAACGCAAAAAAAATTTTGCGAGAGTAATTCAACAAACTTAAACTTAAGCTGCTGATGGATTCGCAGTTGTTTTCTTGTTCTGAGAGTGCTGGAATGGGAATTGCTAACGTAGGGTAGGGTAAGTATAAAATTTCTTCTTCTTTCTTCTTATAGGCTGTATAAAGGCAATAAGTAAAATAGCCAATACACAATAAATTTTAATATGGTCTTTAAAACCTTTATATATTGTAACAAAAATCCTTTGTTATCAAAAATAAATTATAATAATTGTTGCATACAATAATAATGCAGCCGTCACTTATGTCGCTTATATCACTAGCAGCACCTTTTCTTCGCTTTATGTGGCTTCTTCTTCAACGAAATGCTACTTTTTGCAGGAGAAACCAAATTATTATTGATATCAGGACACAGTCCTTTGGCAATATCCATAAAAATTTTTTCCACACCTACATTGGATTTTGCTGAGGTTTTCGCATAAATTGCCCCAATAAAATTTGCGTATTCCTTGGCTTCATCAATTGGAATTTCTTCTCTTTCGACGAGATCTTCTTTATTTCCTGCAATCGCAATTATTGTACTGTTCTTTATGATTTCTTTGAGTCCGCAGTACCATGCCTTCAGACCATTGAAACTATTTCTACTGGTGATATCATATACAAGGATAACGGCATTTGCATCTCTACAGTACATACTTGTGAGGCTGCGATATCTTTCTTGGCCAGCGGTGTCCCAGATATCGAAGTGGATGTGTGTGTCATTCACATACATAAAAATGGAGTGGCGAACCAACCCAACCTCTTAACACCTGTAGCTGGGGTCACCCAGGGACCTTGTGGAAGGGAGGTTGGCGTTCGGTAATGTGTATCCGGCCAGGTTTTTACTTGGTTTGGGTGGAGCGCAATATCGGATTAGGCCGACCGCAAGTTCACACCCGGGACCAAGGTTTTTTGCCTCTTGGGAAGATGGGTTCGGCGTTGGAAAGGGAAAGCCCAGCAGAGTCGACAAGACCAATCGGGCAATTTCTAGCGCGATACCAGGCGTTGCGTCCTGGGCGACGGATTCCATCTTGGCCGATAGCTTGACCAGAAAATTCATTTTTTGAATTTTCTGGAAGGGCAACCCAAGTTGACGTACGGCACGGTGGCCCAGCCCACTGACTCGCCGTTAGACGCGAGCCTCAGGCGGCGAGGAGTCTACCCCTAGAGGGTGGCGGCAGGCGGCCAAGACGAAACAAGGTGGAGATAAAGCGTTGTATGACGCCAACAGGGAGCTTTTCGATAATCTAATTAAGTAAGTAAGTAAGTGTGTGTCATTCACATGCAATGTTTTTTTAAGAGATGAAATCCCAATGGTCGGGCTCGAGTCTTGTTTGAAGTAGTTGTCGACAAACCTTAGCAGGACGCTGGACTTGCCAACGCCTGAATCTCCTAACTCTATTTAAGAGCCATCAAGGCATTTTTACTCACTCTTATAAGGGATTCATTTTTTTTTAAAAAAAAATGGTTTAAAATGGAAGATTTAAGTTTAAGAATGTAAGCTATATAAAATTAAATAGAGATTTGATTAATTATAATTAAAAATTTGCTTGCTCTTGAGTTGATGTCCTAGTCAGAATTTTCTATGATTTGCTAACTCCTTAAAGGCGGGAGTAAGAGGACGACTTTTACATTTACATTGTTGTGCCACATTAAATTTATCTTTTAAGAAATATTACGATTTTTTATTATTACTCCGTTGGATTCCTTAGGTTTTGTGATTTCTTGGAGCTTCTCATTGAAGTTTTCTCCTCTTTTGACAGCAAATTTCAGCTCCCTTCTTTCTTTTTTAGTTAGCTTGTGCCCAGCTTCTATAAAGATTCCTCCTTCTTTGTCAACTCCTAGCTTGGTTTCGACTTCTTTAGAGAAAAAAATGGGATCAACTATTTCTTTTTTTTCCTCGACAGCTTCAGGCTCCAGCTCTGTCTCAAAGCCAGGTGGGAGATGGCAATATAACAGTTTTCCATTAACATAGTCTTTAAGCACTATTTTTCCTGCTTTTGACTCATCAGGAAGTCCACTTCCTATAGTAAAGCTTCTATGGTTCGCGATTTTTTGTAAAAGGATGGTCCCAGGCACTCTTCCGCCTAGCTGGATTCCATATAAGTTTTCTAGTAATGAAGAATGAACCCTCAGGCAAATGATTTCGACAGGACTTAATATGTCTTTAAGCTGATCTATTGGAAGTACTCCACAAGTAACCATTTCAGCTCTTGAAGAAAGCAGAGAAGGGAAAACCAGACCTGGACAGTCACATAAAGTGATGTTTGGGCTAAGATTAAGCGTCTGCAAGTGCTTTGTTTTCCCTGGCTGAGCAGCCACACCAACTCTTTTTTCACCCATAAGGACATTAATAACTGAGGATTTACCTACATTTGGATACCCAACAAAGCCAATATTGACATGCTTGCTAGGATTGCTTAGCCTGTCCAACAATTCTTGGCTTGAATATATATACTCTATCCTATAAATAATTTAAAAAAAATTATTTTTGCCAATTTTTATAAAAAATAATAATTTTGGTATATATGACTTGTCCCTATTCTCAAATTTTTCACCAAACTGGTTTCACCTTCTCATATCATTATCAATAAGCTCTTGTTCTTTATATGCAGAAAAATACATAATATCAACCCCTTCCCTTTCAAAATACTCAGCCCATAGATTTCGAATATTTTCAGGGACAAGGTCAGCTTTATTTAGAATCAGCACAAAACTTTTTTCTGGAGACAATTCTTTTATGTAGTTTTCTAGGTCAGGATTTCTGAAAAACAAAGGATTTCTGGCATCAACTATTTGGCAGATCACCTCAGAACGCTCCAGGACTCTTCAGAGCTGTCGCCATATGTCGAGGTTTTTCTCGTAAGGGGTCACAGAAGAGTTAATTTCTGACTCTTCTGTTTCTGCGAGCTCTTTTCGCCATTGGAGGAAAGCTAAGTTTTCAAGCTCGTTAAGTTGCTCTGGTGTAGTTTCTTGGGTCCATTTTGGTCTTCTTGGGAGCCTTAAAGCTCGGTAATTTTGCCCATTGATTGATTTGGCATGAAGCTCACTTTTACCCACTATTCTAGAGCTTTTTTGATTTTATCTTACCCACTCTTCCATTAGCGAATAAAACCATTGGAAAAATCCCTATTTTTTTGTCTCTAACCATCCTCCACGAGTGAACACAAAATATTTTCATAAAATAATAACTACTATTTTAAATTTTAAAAAAAAAATTACTATAAAATTTATATATAATTTTTTTTAAAAAACAATTAAATTTTATTTGCTAATGGAGGGGGGAGAGTTAGGTATTTTATATTGTGATTTTTTTTCTTAATTTTACCATTGTCTTAATATAAAAAATGAGTAATTATTGAAAAATATTGACCAAAAAACCTGCTACGATTCTAGACTCACTAACAATTTTGAAGGTTCTTTCGGCTGTAAATTGACGATTAGCTAATGATGCTAAGGTCATGAATTCGTCTAAGTTGTTTTGGTCAATTATGGATTTTAGCTTAGGGCCTTCTTCTGTTGTGTGTAGCTTGGACTTAGGCCCTTTCCTTTTGTTTTTATTGCGGATTAATGCGGCACCGATGACTTCTTGTTTAGGCATATTAATAAAAATGGAATAAAAAGATGCAGCTGTGCAGATAAGCTAAATTAATTTATGGGATTATGTGTGGAATAAATAGAAAATATTGTTTTAAATTTTTTAAAATCTGAAAGCTGTATTTATTTTATTATTTTATAGCAGCTCATTTAAAAAATAGTTACAAAAATATGTTTGCCTTGAATAACACACAACTGTGGCTCTGCATTATCAGCCTTTCTGCCTAGCACGGTATTTAAATTTCGCATTATATGGCCGATAGCTACTTTCTCTAGCTCCCTCTTTGAATTGGAGCAAATATAATTATAGAAGAAAATACAAATTTTATAAAATTATTTTGATGCAATTTAATGAAAAGTGCAAATAGAATATTATTTAAACAGTTTTCACACTGAATCAATTAATTTTTATAAAATTGTAAAAACAATTAACCCCCTAACATAATTTTTTTTGTTCTAAATAGGGAAGAGTAAGGTTTTTATCCCCTTCCCAAATCTCTCATCTTTTACGCTTTTTCTTAATGTAAACCTTATATTTGTTCTCACAACATTACTATCATCACTTCTTCTTGTTGTATTTTCATCGCTTCTTCTAGTTGTATTTCCTTCACTTGACTTTTTAAAATTTTCTTCTTTATTTACCGATATATTAATTGTCGGAGTATTTTTTTAATTTTTTTATTAAAATTCATTTAAAAATATTTATTTAAATTTTTTATCCCCTTTATGTCGGAGCACTTTCTTTCAATATTCTTTTACAAATATTTATTTCCCTCATCCCTTCTATTATTATCAAATCAGCGACATGCTCAAAGTTTTTATCAACATTTTGTGGGTCAATTTCAAGAATTTTTCCAAGCTCATTTCTCGATATGGAGAAAACATTTTCTATAGCTGGGGTCTTTTTGTCTGCTACTGCTTCTATTAAAATATCTTCAAATGCATCAATATAGCTTATATCAAAAAAATTAAGCACATATTTAAAAGTGTTATTCAGTACTCTTGATGTCGAATAAATCAATCTTGGCTCAACCAATGAGCACTTGCGTATAATTACTTCAGAGTTTTCAATATCAACGTTATATGGCTGGAAAAGGTGCAGCTCAGGCATAAGCTTTTTTTTCCCTATTATTCATCTCTTGGCAAGCTAATTTAAGGACTTGGCATGCCAAATAAATATTTAGCATTAATTCTGGAACTATAGGATAAACAAGAAGGGAAGAGGACACTCAAGGCCAATCAATAGTTGTGATCCCAACATAACCAAAATTTCATTTTTCTTCTCATAAACTTCTGAATTTTCCCACAAATCCATAAGTTCGCACACTTCGCTTACTGAATAAGTCACAGGTTTTGGATTAGGAGCTTCATTTAAACCATTAAGCATAATCCGTATATACTCTCCAGGGATAAATTTTGTTTTAGAACTGTCTCCCATTGTGATATTGCTTTTGGTTTTCATAATCGAAATTTTATACTTTTGGCCTTGTATATGTCTTTCTCCTTTTATTAAAATTTCGTCAGGGATTTCTGTGTTTTTGCTTTGTTGCCTTTTTTTTCTTCTAAAAACATTTTGGATTTTTGTGATTTTTGCGATATCTTGGTCTGAATATAGCAAAGATAATTTCCCATTTTCAATGGTCAAATTTTTTACGAAATCGTCAATTTTCATATTTTGTGGCTGTTTTTGGGTTAAAGTATAGACTTCTTGGGTGCTTAAGCTTAGGGCTTTGATTATAAAATCGTCCTGGCTTGCTTTGCTTATAGTAATCATATAGTCTGCCCCATCAATTGAACTAATTTTTTCTAATATGAATTGTTCTTTAGATGGAGGATCAGGATTTGGATTTTTATTTTGGGAGATAATTTCAGATTTTTTGGAAGGTTCTATTGGAATATTTCTATCAGTTTGGGCTATACTTATATTTTGTCTATTTTCAGGTATTGGGTTGTTTCCTTGCTTTTGAGTTCTTTTTCTAACTATCTCATTTAAATTGGAAACAAAAAATCCTGTTTAAATTTAAAGAGGTAATTTTTTTAATCGAAAAAATAATTTAAAAATATAAAAAAAAATAAATTGAACACGATATTTTGAATTTAATTTATTTTTATAAAGAATTAATTAAAGAATTTAATCGATTTATTGTGAAAACTGTTAAAAAAACTATTCTAATTGCATTTCTTCCATTAAATAAGGGTAAAACTTGTAATATAAAAATTTTATTTTTACCTGTAAAATTTGCCTTTTAAAAACTAAAATTTACTGGGTACCAAAAATAGAAATTTTGCCGATATTTTCTTCAATTTCAAGGTGGGGCAGTAAGTGCTGGTGGGCCTGTTTCTGGATTTTTTAATCCTTCGTCCTTTCGATATGTCATTATTGGATTTTTGGCTTTAATTAATGCTAATAAATCTCTATTAGAAACTGGCAGCGCAGCTCCTGTTTTTATTTCTACTGGATTTTGTCTTTCTGTTATTATCTTTCTTGACGCAATTTCGCTTGATTTTGATCTTATATTTTGTATCAGATTTTTTCCACCTTGCTCGCTTTCTAAAATATTTTTCTTTTGAAAATCTTTTTCAGGCTTTTCTTCTTCATTTCTAAAAGTGCATGATTGGGTGGATTTTAATTTTGTAGAGAATGAAGGGGTTGGAATTGATGAGTTTGTTCCAGACTGTATTGACCTGCTGCTTATAAGTGCAAGAAGATTCCTTGAAGTTGGCAAAGCTTGTTGGCTGATTTTTCTATCTTCTGAGTCCTTCCTTTTAATTTCTTTTTTTAATGAAAACTGCCTCAAAATTTCAATTGAATCATTTTGTTTAAGATCTTTCCGATTTATTTTCTCTTCTTCTAAAAATTTCTCTTTTTCCTTTTTTTGAAGGTCTTTACTATTTATTTTTTCTTCCTCTAGAAATTTCTCTTCTTTTTTACTTGTCAATTTTTTATTGTTTTCTACTTTTTCTTCATTAATCCCTCCAAATGAAGGTTCATAATTATCCATTGGTGCATCTTCTCCTAATAATAATGCCAATTTATTCTCCGTTGTAGCTTTAATTAAAAGGCTAACCTTATTTTTCCCTTCCTTTTTATCAATAATTGTTTGCTTTGGATCTTCTTTATCATTAATAGTTTGCTTTATTGCCTCTATTTCATTTGTTTTTCTTTGAGGTAGAATCGGATCAGGCAAAATTATATCTAATGACTCCCTTGATGACTCAGAATTTTTTTTAATTTCGCTCAATTGCACAATAAATTTCCGTGAAGAATCAGTGTTCTGGGAATTTTTTTGGTCTATTTCCTCTGTTAATTTTAGCTCATTTGTATGTATAGGCTTAAAATTTAGTGAATTTTCTATATTTAAAGTATTTTCACTATGCTTTATGCTTATATCATTTGATTTTATAACAATAGAAGAGTCTGAAGGATGTACTGGAATTGTATATTTATCCAGGTCTTTTATATCACTTTTGCTGCTTCTTGAAATAGAGCCTACTGATTCAAGCTTTCTTGAGTGTTTGCCTTTATTGTCAATACTGTAATCAAGCAACCCTAGCTGCTCAAGCTCTCTTAAATCAGTGTCATTTTCAGTTTCTTTGTATTCTCTCGAATAATCGCCTTTTGTAATTAATGTCCCAGTATCATCCAAATCTAAATTTCTGCTGCTAAATCTCGGAGATTGGTATATTGGAGAAGGTTCGCTGCTCCTTATAAACTTCATAAGATTCGGCATCGAGTTTCTCGAAGAATGAAACTTACTATTTTTCCCTTTCCTTACAGGACTTATTGGCGATAAATCAGACTCACTCTCCCCAAAAATTTTCATATTTTCATCAAGCCTCGCTGAAGCAAATGCATAATTATTTTTTTTCCCATTTAATTTTTTGGTTTTTTCTCTATTGATTTGGCTTTCTACAGCAGCTTTATACGTTTTTTTGAAATTTTCTAATAATTGGCTTTGGGACTCATCTGCATAGCTTTTCATAAATGAGACTGATTTTTTATATCATTCAATAGAGCTTTCATAATGTTTTAAGCACTCTTCCTCAACCCCTAAGTTGTGATAAGCAACCCCCAAAATTTTGATTTTCTGTTTATAATCCTCTGTATCTTTTGAAGAGTTTAAATTTACAAGCTCTTCTTGTGCATTTTGGACGGCGAGTTTGCAATAATAAGCAGCGTCTTTGTGGGTGTTTAAATTTGAATAAATTGTGCATAAATTTAAATATAATGAAGAACGATCTACATCAATGTCAGGATAATCCTTAATTATTTGTAAGGCTTGGTGGGCGAATTTTAGGGATTTCTGGTATCTTCCACAGTGCCTGTATGCACATGCTAAGGTATTTAGCACACTGCAAGACTCAGGGATTAGTTTTAAATGATAAGGCTGGGAAATTTTTAATAAGTTTTGGAGGATTTTGATGGCTTCTAGAGGGTTTTCTTTGTAAACTAATAATCCTGCTCCTTTTGATATAAGCTTTAGCATTTGGGCTAAAAATGATAAAACCTCATTGCTATTTTCGCCATAAAATGATTTTCGGATTGGTAATGCTTTGTTTACGAATTCTATGCAATCTAAAAATCGTTTTTGCTTGATCAAAGAGTCGATTGTTCTTTCAATTCTTTCTAAAATCTGCAGGTCTGCACTATTAATTCTTGTATTTCTTCTTTTGACTAGTTCCCCTCCTTAAATTGTAACAAATATCGATAATTTTCAATTTTTTGGATCCCTTTAAATTGGAAAGAATTTTTTTTAATAGTAAATTTATAGATGAAAATATTTTTTTTATAGCCTAATACAATTAGAAAAATTAAGTAGAATATTATTTTAACAGTTTTGACATTGTATGGAATAATTTTAATTCTTCAAAAATTAATTAAAATTCAAAAATATTGTACTCAATTTTTATTTTTTTTGATTTTTTAAAATTTTGTTATAGCCAGGAGCGATTTTAGATCGCCCTGGCCTAGGATAAGGCTAAGGCTCAGAAAATCCCCGAGTTGGTTTTTCAACTCAAGTTGACAAACCAAACTCGGGGAGTTGGCAAATGCCTCTTATATAAGGTATTTGCCAACTCCCGATTTAGTTTGTCAACTCGAGTTGAAAAACCAACTCGGGGAGTTTCTGAGTCTTATCCTAGCCCAGGGCGATCAAAAATCGCTCCTGGGCTATATAGAAAAAATTTAATATAAATATTTATTTAAAAAATTAATCCCCTTAAATTGGAACAGGAATTTTTGTTTCAATTTAAAGGGGGGTAAGAGCATACTTGGCTCTACCATTGTAAAAATTTATTTGAATTATTAATATTTTTAATAAAAAATTCAAAAATATAAAAGATTGTGTATTTAATTAACAAATTATGGGATGGAAATGCTAGTACTATAAACACTGCCGCTCCGTTCGTTTGTGATTTCAATAGAAGCTCCATCATCGCTTTCGAAAATGGCTATTGAAACACTTTTACCTTGAATTATGCATCGTTGCTGTCTGATTATTTTTTTCTTGTTTTTATTCTTAATAACTCAACCCATTCATATTAGAACAAAAAGTCTACTCCAATTTAAATGAGTATAATTATATTTGAGGGAAAATTTGATATAAAATTTTATAAAAATATTTTTATAAAATTTAGCGACTCAGTTTGTTTAAATAGTGTTTCACTTCACTTCACATCTTAAATAGGCACCAAATTTTTTGCTAATTTTCAATTTGTTATTAAACCTATTTGAAATAAATATCATTATTTTTAGCTATAAAAAAGTCGATTTAAAAGAGAAAAAACATAGAAATTTTATCATCAATTTAAAGGGAAAGTAACTAAGGCTGAAAAATATTTTCCTATATTTTTCATGGCTGTTGCATTAATAATGCTAAACGCCTTTGAATAATTTTCATTTTTTACGTTTTTTCTAAAAGTAAACCTTAGATTAGATTTGCTTTCTTTGTTTTCATCAGCCTTATCTACAGTTTTTTCAACACATGGCGTTACACATTTTTCTTCTTGGTTTACCGATATATTGATATTTGGGGTATCCTCCCTCAATATTCTTTTAGAAATATTAATTTCTCTCATTTCTTCTATTATTATCAAATCAGCAACTTTTTTAAAATTTTTGTCTAAATCTTCTACATTAATTCCGAGTATATCGGACAACTCACGTCTTGAAATACAAAAATTATTCTCTATTGCTGGGGCTTTTTTATCAGCGATTGCTTCTATTAGTATGTCTTCATCTGTATCGATATAACTAATATCAAAAAATTTTAAGGTATATTTAAATGAATTATTCAGCACTCTTACTGTAGCAAAAATCTGTCTGGGCTCTATAAAAGAGCTTTTTCGAAGGACAATTTCGTGGTTTTCGATGTCGACGTTTACAAAGATTTCATTTTTTTTAGCGTAGATTTCAGAGGATTCTCATAAATTAAGGAGTTCACAGAGCTCATTGACTGTATAAATTTTAGGTTTTGGCATAGGGGCATTATTTAGCCCATGAACCTCAATGCGGATATAATCCCCAAGGGCAATTTTTGTCCTTGAGATATCCCCAGGAATGAGATTACTTTTGGTTTTTATTATAGATATTAAAAACGTTTGGCCTTTAATATGCCGTTCTCCCTTTACTAAAATTTCGTCAGGGATTTCTGATATCGTCCTTTGTTTTTTTTTCCTCCTAAAAACATTTTGAATTTTTGTGATTTTTGCTATATCTTGGTCAGAGTAAAGCAAGGACAATTTCCCGTTTTCAATGGTCAAATTTTTGACGAAGTCATCAATTTTCATATTCTGAGGCTGCTGCTGAGTTAAATTATAGACTTCATGGGTCTCCAAGCTTTCTGCTCTGATTTTGAACTCGTCTTGGCTTGTTTTTACTATAGTAATTAAATAATCTGACCCATCAATAGAGCTTATTTTTTCCAGACCTGGGTCTTCAGGCCTATTTGATGTATTTACATCAGGGATTTCTTTTTGGTTTATCGGGTTGAAAGAAAATTCAACGTCAGGCGGGCTTTCTAATGGAATTTCATTAGAATTGATTAATTTTTTGGGCATGTCAAAAGAGAATTTTTTTTGGATTGGCCATTGTGTTTTTATCACATTTGAGGTAAAATTCGAAAAAGCTGTGCCTTGGACCGGCTCTTTTGGCACAGCTACATTCTCTGTTTTAGGTTTTGATTGTATAAGGACTAATAAATTTCTGCTTGGTGTTTTAGGAGAAGTGTTTAACTTTAGCTCCTCAACGTTTTTTTTATTAAATTTAAGCTGTTTCCTCACCTTTTTTCCTCTAAAAGCAGCTTGGATTTTTGCGACGACGTCATTATCAATTGTAGCTAAATCAATTGGCTCTTCTTTTTTAGGATTTTCTTTTACTGGCTCAGCTTTTGTTGCAGGATTTTCTGCAACTCTAGTGTCTCTTAATATTTTTCTTGTCTTATTTCCTCTGATTATAGCTTGCATTTTTATGATTGCTTTGATATCATTTTCGGGGTGCAGGTCAAACGATATTGCCTTTATGATAGTGTTTATTTCACCGAAATATTTTTGGCCGAAAATGGTTGAAACTTTTTGATAGTGAGACATTTGACCGAAAACAAAAAAGTTAATATTCATCCAAACGCCGCACTATTAAAAATTTTCGACTAAAATGTGTATTTCGATTAAATGTAAACTGTCAAAAATCCCCTGTGATTTGACATGGAGCCATCATTTTCATCTATTTTTTCGTCAGATTTTTTATTAAAAACATCTTCATTTTTTTTCTGGGTCTCAGATTTTTCAATTGGCTCCTTATCAGATTTTACGTTTGGTTTTTCTTCTGTTTTCAAGGTTTTCCCTTGATTTTCTACTATTTCTGTAAGGTTTTTGGTTGGGGCTTCATTAGATTTGCTCTTTTTGAATGGAATCTGAAGTTTATCTGCTTCAATTGTCTGCTTAAAAGAATTTTGCATTGCAAATCCATCGGCAAATGTATAACTTTTTGAAACTGGTTTTATATCTTTTAAATTGCTTTTAACCTCTCTTGGTTTTTCTTCTTTTACAGGTAATATTTTGCTGACATTTATTTCATACTTTCCATCCATTTTACACTCTTTACTATCCATGCTGTATTCTAATAGTCCTAAATGGTCAAGTTCTAGTAAATCCACATCATTTTCAGCCTCCTTAAAATCCCTTGATAAGCTATTTTTAACAGTCACACTATTTTCTTCAATATGAGAAAACTTTGGAGACTGGTAAACTGTAGAAGACCCATTTCTTCTTAATTTTATTCGGTTTTGTTTAAAATTTTTGTGGAATTTTAATTGACTTTGCGCATTTGCATCTTTTTTTTCCTGGTTCAGTTGAAATCAATCAGCTTCAGGCCCTCCAAAAGTTTTATAAAATGTCCTTGAATTTTCATCAGACCTTGTTGAGATTATTTTCTCAAAAGTGCTATTACTTTTTTTCCCATGAGATTTTGGGGTTTTTCTTTCAGTTTGGCTTTTTATAGCTGCTTGATAAGATTTTTTTAAACTTTCAAGAAGCTGATGCTGGGAGCTATCCGAGTAATTTTTCATAAAAACTATTGATTTTTTATACCACTCAATAGAGCTCTCAAAATTTTTAAGAAATTCTTCTTCAACCCCTAAGTTGTGATATGCAACTCCTAAAGTTGTTATTTTTTGGGTGAGGTCAAATGACTTTGCATTTTTGATAGTGTACATTTTAACGAAAAATTTCTGGCCGAAATTGATCGAAGATTTTAGATAGTGAGACATTTGACTCAAAAAAACCGTTAATTTTCGGTCAAATGTACACTGTCAAAAATCCACGGTTATTTGACATGGAGCCTATTTTTTGTCTATATTCTTCTGAACTTTTTGGAGAATTTAAATTCACCAGCTCTTCTTTGGCGCTTTGTATAGCAAGTTTGCAGAAGTTGGAGGCTTCTTTGTGGAGGTTTAAATTCGAATAGATCGTGCACAGATTTAAATAAAGGGAAGAACGATCAATTTCAATGGAAGGATAATCCTTGATGATTTGTAAAGCTTGATGGGCGTAATTTTGGGCTTTTTTATATTTTCCAGTGTTCTGATATGCGCAGGCTAAGGTGTTTATTGTGCTGCAAAATTCGGGGATTAATTTTAGATGGTAAGGTTGGGAAATTTTTAATAAATTTTGAAGGATTTTGATAGCTTCTAAAGGGTTTTCTTTGCATAATAAGGATCCTGCTCCTTTTGATATAGACTTGAGCATTTGGGCTACAAACGATAAAACCTCATTGCTGTTTTCGCCGTAAAATGATTTTCGAATTGGCAGCGCTTTGTTTATAAATTCTATGCAATCTAAAAACCGCTTCTGTTCTAGTAGAGAGTCAATAGTCCTTTCAATTCTTTCTAAAATTTGTAAGTCTGCACTATTAATTCTTGTGTTTCTTCTTTTGACTAAGAGCATACTTGGCTCTACCATTGTAAAAATTTATTAGAGATCACTATTTTAAAAAAATCAATTATATGTTGGAGTTTTTCAGTAAAAATCATCAATTATGCTAATAAATAGATTTATTTTTCTTTTTTCAAAATTTTTTTATGTCAACTAATTTAGATGCTAGCTTTTAATTCTTAATTGGTCTAAATCAATTTACGATTTTTTATTAAAACTTATATTTTAAACCAATGAAATCAATAAATTTTCATTTCATATAAATAATTAACTAATTATTATGAATTAAGTAAAATAATGCATTTTTATATTTGCATAATTTTCTTACTCCCTAATTTTTTTTCAAATTTTAAGAAAAGCATGATTCGAAAGAATTGGGAGATAAATATTAATTTAATTTAAAATTAAATCAATTAGCAAGAGATTCATTATAATCATTATCATTATATATATTTTTTAATAAAAAAAATTTGCGTTCATAGAGATTGGGCTTTTACTCAAAAAATAGGGATTTTTTCCAATTTATTTTGCTCACTCATAGAGGTTGGAGTTAGATGTACAAATAATTGTCTAATTTCCGCACTTATTACTCTTATAACCTGTAATCTAAATTTATAAAAATATGAGTGCAAGTAAAATAAGTTACACACAAAAAAAAAGTCAAGAGAATTTCTCTGAAAACTCTAAAATCAATCAAAATTGCATTATGAGTAGACTTGACTGGTTTAAGTATGCAGAAGAAGCTTTTAATTTTGCCAAACACAATTACAGTTTGCTAAAAATTAATGCTAATCAATTGATATCATCTTTAGAAAAACTTTCATATAAGCTTCCATTGCTTTCTCCGCCTCAATATTACTCTATAAATTCATTATATCCTTATTCATATAGAAAGTTTAAGAGTGCTGAATTTTGATTCGGCCTTACGCCATTTGGACTCTTGCGTATACCCAGCGGAGGCCACCTTTTTGGAGTCAAGGAAGGCTATATGCCCCGCTTATAGCCATATAAATCTTAATCTTACTCATATAATGAAGTAATCCAAAAAATATTGGAATTTAGCCAAGATTTTGACTGTGATGAACTAATTGATTCACTAATAGAAATCAAGAAAAAACCTGAATATAAAATTAAAATTGATAGAACCTCTCCAGAAAAAATTGAGTTAAAAACACATATAAATTCTCAAAATGATGCTAATTCAGGGCAATCCTCAAATTGTATTTCAATTTCTCATGCTGAAAGCTTTGTTATGCCTAAATTTTCTGCACAAATTTTATATATAAATTTGTCTGATAATAGAATTTCGCAAGCCAAATGAGAAATTCCTCAGTCTTTGGTGCTTCTTAATTTGAGCAATAATTTGTTGACAGAATTTTCAAATAAAAATCCATTGATTAATTTGCAGTATCTAAATTTAAGTGGAAATAGAATAGCTTCAATTGAGAATTTTGCGGAATTTAGAGAGCTGATTGAGGTTTACATAGAAAAAAATTTTATTGAAAATATTGGGTCTTTATGCAATACAGAAAATTTAAAATTAATTGATGCTGCGCATAATTTAATTGAAAAATATGAAGATATTGCACCTTTGGCTGCTAGTGCAAAACTGCAAACATTGAGCCTAAAAGGTAATAAAATTACAAAGAATCTAAATTATCAAGAATTTGCTAAAAATTTTTTCTCAAAAATCAGCACTATAGACCCACCTAATATATTTTCTCTATCTAAATGCCCAATTCCTAATTTACTATTTTCATCTCTATATAGCCAAATCCTGCCTCCAGCTGATATTTCAAAGCGCTCCAGCAGCCTTTCAATACCTACTCAAAAAATCTCCCTTGAAAACTCTCACAAAATTGACTTAAGCCAGATCAGCTGCTTAGAAATTTTAAATTCTTCAAAAACCTCTACCCCAAAAACCTGTACAAGGTCTACAACCCCAATGTTTATTGACAAATCAAAAATATCAAGAAGCACTAATGCGTCCCCTAGGTCAGCAAAAATAAATATCCAGCCCAGAACTCCTGAACGATCCTCAAAAAAAGTTCTTCAGTCAAAATTAGTTTCTTCAGGGCGAATAAGCCAAAGTGATGAGTCCTTTAAGAACTTTTCAATGGCCAGCAAGGTAAGCGTGATTAACAGTGAAAGCATCACAAGCTCCTTAAAAATCGGGTACGGCAACCCTATTTCTGCTATGATGATTAAGCCTGCTTTAAGCACAAAAATAAAGCCAAAGACATAATTATTGTAAAAATTATTATTAAATAAGAAGGATTATGAACAATTTCTATATACAATTATTAAAGGATCCGTAGCCTCTGATACTTACAACTATACAAGTAATATTGTCTCTTGACCCTTTAATCATTGCTTCCTGCACCAGCATTTCCGCTACTTGAAAAGGCTTCAAATTTTCAGCACTCCTGACAATTTTCGCTATTTCTTCTTTATTTAGCACATCAAAAAGCCCATCTGTCGCTATTACCAAAGCCAGATCATTTTTATTTATCTGTCTTTCAGCTACATAAGGCTCAGAAATTACGAACTCTTTAAGCTTGGCATCTCCTAAACTGCGTGAAATTGCTAACTGCCCATGGACTCTAAATACTTTTCCAACAGGAAACACATAGCCTCCAGCTTGTTCAATCCGTGTCTGCTCACTTAAATCTGAAGCTAAATGGTCACGAGAAAGAATTTCAGTTTCCTCTTCACTTATTAATAAAATTTTAGAGTCCCCAACATTAGCTACTTTTAAGAGATTATCTTCAATAATTGCTATAGCGGCCGTTGAGCCTCCTTCTTGGCTTGTATTAAGGGAACAATAAGCCTTATCCGTAGCCTCAAAAGCTTTTTTTATGCTTTCCTCATCAGTTTTTTCAAGACTGTCCAGTAACTTTTGTGAGGCAAATTTTGATGCGGAATTTCCTGAATGGCCGTCAAAAACTCCGAATGCGTCACTTTTTCCGTGGAAATTTTCGATAGCTCGGTAAGCGTCTTCCATATAAGGCCTTAGTCCTTTTTTCATGCAGACTCCATATCTATTGCTTTGGACTATGGTATCCTCTCACTGATCATAAGAAAATTTCATCTTCTTCCGTCGGTACTCAGTGTCGATATCAGGGATGTCAAGGTCCAAGTTGAACTTCCTCCAAGTAGGTGTAACTTTTAAAGCTGAAACTGCCATTTTAATATATAAATTATAACTGTGGCATCTTATTATGTAACTGCATATATTCATTATATTTAAAAAAAAATAAGATAGAAATTAGAGATCCGTTTTATATAGATAAGAAAATGCGGAAGAAATGATAGAGGTGATATAGGGATTTTTAAATGAATTTTTAGAAGGGATATATGGATTTTTAATGGCTAAATTATAGTAAAAAATTATAATAATTTAATATAAAAAAATATTTTATATTTTATTCGAATTATTTGATGGACTTATTATCGTGATGCATTTTATTGTATTTTTTTAGTTTTTTTAGCTTGCCTTATTCAGAATTATGCTATATTCATTGCTATGCATTTACGATTGATGATCATTAATGAAAAAGAAATTCTTAAAAAATAGCCAGAAAATACAGTTTCATATAAACAAAAAGTATATTTATATATTAATTACACCGCTAAAAGCAATCGCAATGGCACATTTTCTGTCGACTCATTGATTCATTTTGGATTTTATTATGAGACTTCATCTCATAAGGGTTACTATACACCTTTGGCTCAACCTTCAGCGACCGGATTGGAAAAGTGCACGTTAAATCATTAAATGTATCATTGACTGTATAACTATGCGAGCTATTTGCAGCTTGGCTCAGGTCAAATTCGCTTTTTTTTCTCTTTTCCAATGAGCAAATTACGTATCTATTTAAATAATCCAGTTCATCCCCCACTTGTTGACCTTTACGTAGATCCACAGCCAGTTTCCTATTAATGTTAGGTCCAGCTGCATTTTTCTTATAATCTTGAGATCCTTCAGTTTGCTGCTGCTCTATAAGCACTTTTTTCAGCTGGATATCTGACTCTTCATACTGAAAAGGGACACTTCTTGTATTAAGAACCTTGTTGACAATTTCCACGAGCGAGTATTGTAACGTTTCGTTTGGAATGGTAAAAGAAACTTTGATTTCAAATGAAATCACTAGTTGAATTAGGCTGCATTCCACTTGGACATCAATCCAAATATCGTTTGAAGCGATATCACAAGTCAAGTGATCGCCTGTTTTTATATAGTCTCCTATTGTTCCAATCTGACTGGAAATTACCTTAATCTCTAGCTTTCTTATAGTAAGCCTGCTCGTTATATTTTTATTAATAATTTTTTTTAAACGTTTTAATAATTAAAAATATAATATTCATTTTGAATTATTTAAAAAATAAAGAAAATATAGGCGTAAAGATATTATTTTTCAAATTATGAATAGAGAATTAAGTCTTTTAACTAATTAAATTAAATATAATATAAAATATTTTGAAGGAAAAAATTACTTTAATTGATAGATTTATAATATACATAAAATGGCGTATGGCGACCGACCTGTCCTCTCAGTGACGGTAACCCGTGTATATCCGGGCATGGGTTTTCTGAAGAAGCGACTTAGCCCAGCAATATCTGGACCCTGGTGGCGACCGGGGACAAACACAGACCCGCTGATCGTGTCCAGATCCTAGGGCAGTTAGGAGCATCTTCTTTTTCCAGCAGCGCCCAAGCCAGTGGGTGCCCGAAATGGAGCAGGGCGACTTACCTGCTCAAGCTGCTACTGTGGTTTGCCCCGAATCGCGGAAGCGATTGAGGATTTTCTCAAGCGGATAAGCTGGGAAAAGGGGAGGCAGATTAGACGACCAAGAAGGCGGTCTCTCCAGGTAAAAGGGCCCCAAACGGGGCGATCTGGCCAACCGGAGGCAAAGACTGGCGTAAATTCGGGGCGGAAGGCTGAGTTGGAAATGGTGGTGCCCGGCGACGGTCGGCGACGACCCAATAGGGAACCACTACCGAGAAACCAGGGGTTCCGGCCTGGGCTCAGAGAACCAGTGATGGAAGTCCATCCTTTTCGCTCGTGCCGGCACGGCTCCTTAAGGAGCGCGGAGGAATGCCACGCATGGAAGTAGGGACCTTAAACACATATCGCTTAATTATTATTATTATTATTATTATTATTATTATTATTATTATTATTATTATTATTATTATTATTATTATTATTATTATTATTATTATTATTATTATTATTATTATTATTATTATTATTATTATTATTATTATTATTATTATTATTATTATTATTATTATTATTATTATTATTATTATTATTATTATTATTATTATTATTATTATTATTATTATTATTATATTATTATTATTATTATTATTATTATTATTATTATTATTATTATTATTATTATTATTATTATTATTATTATTATTATTATTATTATTATTATTATTATTATTATTATTATTATTATTATTATTATTATTATTATTATTATTATTATTATTATTATTATTATTATTATTATTATTATTATTATTTATTATTATTATTATTATTATTATTATTATTATTATTATTATTATTATTATTATATTATTATTATTATTATTATATTATTATTATTATTATTATTATTATTATTATTATTATTATTATTATTATTATTATTATTATTATTATTATTATTATTATTATTATTATTATTATTATTATTATTATTATTATTATTATTATTATTATTATTATTATTATTATTATTATTATTATTATTATTATTATTATTATTATTATTATTATTATTATTATTATTATTATTATTATTATTATTATTATTATTATTATTATTATTATTATTATTATTATTATTATTAATTGATAGATTTATCAAAATAACCTAAATTTTAAATAATATAAGCTCACAAAGAAAGGAGTTAGGTAAAAGAACTTGGTTGTTTGTCAGGTTTATAGCCCTTAAATTTGTTAATCCTGAGAAGGTGGAGTACTTTTCCATTGCTTCTCCAATGCGGAAACAAAGATATGAGAGAGAATCACTAAATATTAAATACTTTTTGCTAACAGTGACTAAAATGACTTGCTTAGGCACAGGATTTCAATGTACAGTGACCTCAATCATTTTTTGGGCATTGCCGTCTTTATCAAGGTATATATAATTTTCATCATCTATATATCTTGGGTCCTCTGGCAAATTTGTCATATTTTATAAATATAGCAAGAAAAATAACGATAGGTTTAAATTCTTATCATTCTCTTTAAAATTTAAAAATTATAAAATTACTAACTTTTCTGAAATAATAGAAATAATCTAACTTTTTATTAAAAAAAAAATTACATAGTAATTTTATAGCATAAATACTATAGAAAAAGTACTATGTAAGCGAGTAAGAGCAAATAATGTCAGAGTTCAAAATCCCAAGTATCCCAAAATTAAGCATTCCATCTCTATCATTCACAGTAGACGACGTTTCTCCTCGATCAGAAGATTTCCGAGAGTGTCCATTAATTAACTACCCTATCTCCTTTCAAGCTCCTATCTCTAAAGAAGCTCCCAATAAAACCACTGCAAATTTTCCTCTCACAAGCAATTTCAGCAAAGATATAAAAAATCCTCTATTAAGCACCGAAAATGCATTTTTGCAGCTTATTAACTTCCCCTTCCATGAAAAACCATTAGAATAATCCTTATATTTTTAGGTAAAAACCCCCCCTACGTGAGGAACAAAAATTTTTTTAATATAAAAATGTTTTATAAAAAAATATTTTGATATATAAGTGATAGTTATTATAATCAAATTTCCGCTAATTCTGCTTAATTTTAAACAGCTTGCATTTTAAAATATAAATTTTGCAAATTAAATTATTTTTTACTTCTCAATGGAATTTTTTTTAAAAAAATTAACTATAAAATTTATATATAAATTTTTTAAAAAATATTATTTAACCCGACCAAATTGTTTTGTTCGCTCACGGAGGGGAGGAGTAAGCACCAATCTGCTGAAATAGACAGCTTGCATGCTGAAAACAATGAATTGAAATCTAAACTTAGCGAAGCAGAAGCAGAATTAAAATCCCTTAGAAGGATAAAGGTTTTAATGCGAGAGCAAGAGCGAAAAATCTCGAATCTACAAACCTCTCTTGATTTAGCTACAGAAGAATGCAATGACTTGAAGATGCAACTGTCTCAAGCCCATGAAGAGCAAATAGAATGAGAAAATAGCTGACTCTCCTCAGTAATAAGTAAATTCTTGCTTAATCGTCAAAAAGTAAATTTTTATATGAACGGATTAAGGAAACGCCCAAAATTTTTAATTTTTGACATTTTATCTAAAAATATCCCTAATAAACAAATTCATATAAAATTGCAAAATTTATGCAAAAACCTCTATGAATAAGCAGGAATTTTCTTATTACTGGATGAGTGAGAAAACGAAGCAAATCTTATTGATCTTGCTGAGTTTTATAGTGATTGGCCACCAAGAAGAATATGGAAAGATCCTGCACCCGAAATAAACGAAAAACTTGAAAATCTGAAGTCAAAAATAAAGCGTATCGTTAGCGGGAAATTATAGGAGAAATCATCATTGCAACAATAATCACATCGAATTAATTTATAAGCTCTATTGAATATCATCAATAATAAATTGGCTAACTAGTATTAAATCTCTATAAAATCAGGTATTTCCTCTAATAAAAATATTCTCTATATAATTAACTCAGCATAATTTTTATTTCAGGAATTAAATTAAGCTATTATATATCATTATCTCTAGGCAGACTGTTTATCCCTCATATTAATTTCAAGGACTGACGTATTCGGAGTCAGGCTTGAGATTTCTGCCCTGCTTTTATGCAAAATGCTTGTTTCTGTGTCAATTTCTGACACAAACGGCGACCTCGTCCTGCGTTCTTTGTGTTGTTCGATTAATCTGCCGATATTCACATTCTGTTCAGCAGTGTATTCATAAGAGGTATCTGATATTGATGGTCTTCCTGAAGGGCTATTAGCGACCACAGAAAGGGAGTTTGGAGGTCTTGAAATGGCGCCTTCTCTATTTGTTTCTGACTCCACAGGGTCATTTTCTAATACATCTTGAAAAGGGTCATGACTCCACATAACTCCATCACCTACAGGTTTTCCTGATTTCCCATAATAAGGCACAACCCAAAGCCAAGGATTCCTCCCAAATACTTGCAGCCAATTTCTTATTGATTTTAAGTCATAATTCCCAGTCACAGCTGTATTGTCTAAACTTTCTATCGTCGTAGAATTTTTCATCACAAGTTTTACATGAAACTTTGTAAAATTCGTCAAAATAAAGCAAAGCAGTAATAAAAATAGATAAACCCCTATATAAAGCAAATGAGGATGCAAAGATTGGAAACCTAATAAATTACAGTATTTTTCCTATAAAAATAATATATTGTTTTGAAATCAGGATGCAAATTAACCCGAATTTCGCTTGATTGCAATAGATGCTTGACTGATGAAAAAATCGTTGGGGTCATAAACAAAATTACATAATAGGCACATAGCAGCGTATAAAACAGCAGTAAAAGGAAAAGCTTGCGATTGTAAAAGCCTACACAGTTATTTATTCATGGACAGTGATGGTCCATATTTAGGACACATCGATTGCAGACTGAACAATGATGGCATCTTTCAGGCTTAAAAACATGGCAAAGCAAACAGTATCTTTTACGCTTGGCTTCTGAATCTCCCATGTAAAATCCCTATATAGAAAATACCCAGTAAGGAGGCACTCGACCTGGCTCTGAAAATGTGACGTGAAAAAGGCTCCATAGAAGCATGAAAAGGATTAGATGAAAGCCAATCAGGATTCCTTTTTGTGAAGGGTACTGAGGGAGATAGAGTTCGATCACAAATGTATAATAAATCAGAGTGATGATAGCAAATAGCACGAGAATGAAGATGCTTCCCAAAGATTTGCGGAAATTAATTGGCATTTTTATATGAGTTATAAATAATTTGATTTTTGAAATTAATTTAAAGGAATTTCAGTATAAAAAATATTATAGAAATATATGAGAGTTCTACCTAAATGTTAGGTATTTAAATTAATCTTATTCGATAATCATCTGGTAATAGCAGCCTTTTTCCATTATATTTTTCCCTACTATTAGGCAACTTTACAAGATAATTTTTTATCAATAAATGTTAGATATATAGAGAAACTCGGTTGACTATTTGTGTAGACATTTAAAAAATCAATAATAGCGCAAGTGCAATTAATATGGGATTCTTAATGCATTGGCTAAGCATCTAAGACGATTAGCAATATAGCTTGCAATTGCCATATGCGTTAATGAAAAAAATTAACTAAAATATAATGAATTATATACCATCTTCATCGAAAATAATCTTCAAATTGTCCAGCGACATTGTAGTTGTATGCGCTGTAAATGCGCCTTCAGATATTTCTTGTTTTCTCGCTTGCAGTTCTAGCATCCTCTCCTCCACAGTATCATGACAAATCAGCTTTATCGCCCTTACAGTCCGATTTTGCCCAATTCTATGCACCCTCTCAATCGCTTGATTTTCAACAGCAGGGTTCCACCAAGGATCCATAAGGATAACTCTAGAAGCATAGGTAAGGTTTATCCCTACCCCTCCTGCTTTTAAGGTAATCAGCATCACTTGTCGTCCATTTTTAAACAACTGCAAAGCATTTTCCCTTTGATTTTTATTAAGACTCCCATCTAGTCTTGCATAAGAAATTTCAGCTTTTTTTAAAGCAATTTCTAATAAATCTAGCATTGTGGTCCACTGGCTAAAAACAACGGTAGGCTCATTACTTTCTTGAAGTAAATTAAGCAAATACTCAATTTTGGCACTGCTTCTTCATTCTTTTGTGATATCAAGCTGAAATTTGTTTTCTCTAGGCACAGTCGTAAGGTCATGGGCAGTCAAAACTGCTTTGCAAAGAGGGCAATTTCTGTTTTTTTCGACCTGCTGGACACCACAGAGCCTACACATAAAATGCCCACATTTGGTAATTACAGCATCGTCAATCATATCTAAACAAACTGGGCAGTCCATCGCTTCGCCTTGCTTTATTTTGTCAACAAGCTCATTTATATAATTTTCACTGGTATTCTCTACAACTTTATTGAAAAATTTATCAATTGATTCTAAAGGGTCAGCGTCGTTTTTATTCATAATAAGAAAAGGATGGTTACAAAGCTGCCTTAATCTAACTCCTACCTTTAAATTGAAAAAAAAAACCCTTAAAATTTGCATTTTTTAGGTACTTTAACCCTTTAAATTTATTATTCAATAAGAAAATTTTTATCAATCTAAATATTAGTTTTTTATAAAATTAGTTTTGACCTAATTTAAGAGAATGAATGCAAGTAGAATGCTATTTAAACAGTTTTCCCACTTTATTAATTGTGCTAATTTATATTATTAAAAATAAATTAAAGATGAGAATACTAATTTTTTTAAAGTTGGTTTCGACCTAATTAATAGAAAAATTGTCTATTTAAACAGTTTTTAGGCTCAATTGATTAATATTTTTATTTAATTCTGCATAAATAAATTATATTCTAAAAAAATTTTATGAGGAAAATTTAAAAAAAAAATTAACCCAAAACAGGATTTTTTGTTCCAATTTTAAGGGAGGTGTAAGAAGAAGCTCAAAAACTGAGCTTATATATGATTTTAGCCTGCCTTGTGATATAAGTGACCTAAATCTTGCTTTTGTGTGGTTAAATAAGCGGTCATAGACTCTTCTTTCTTCTATATGCATTGCTAAATAAATTGTGTCTATATTTAATGGAGGGAGAGATATTATTGGTGAGCCATTGGCAAGTTTCGAAGCCTTTGTCCGTCTTAATACAATTGGTTTAAGAAGCCTTCTTAAAGCTTCAAAAACGTTAGGGTCTTGCCTATTAAAAGGTTTTGTGATAACCCGGTTCCACCACAAATAGTCATTCCAAGGCTCCACTTCTAGAAAGCTTATAAGTGAATATAGATCGTCAAGCCGGTTTTGGATTGGGGTTCCAGTTAAGGCTCATTTGTAAAGCCCTTGAAGTTTTAAGCAGGATTTTGTAATTCCAGTTTCTCGATTTCTTATATGTGAATAATTTATATAACGATGGTGGTTAAACATGTCCTTAACGACGATGCACAACATTTGTCACAAAAGTTACTTTATAGCCTAAAATAAGGCTCAGACGTTTTAAATCTAACCATTAGCATGCCTCACGCAGCCATGAGCACTGATCGAAAGAGCAGAGAGGCAGAGACAATTGTTGAGGAGACTTTACCTTTTTAATCTTAATCTTCTTATATTGTGAGCTTCATCAAGGATAATCCTGAACCAATTCATTTTAAATAGTGGCCCAGACGTTGCACAGTCAGTCTGGACTACTCCATAAGTAGTTAAAACGACGTCAGGGCTCCCCAGCTCCCTCAGCGATTTTGTTTTTTCTGAATAATATTCCATTACCTTTAGCCCTGTCCCATGGTTTTCAATTTCACTATGCCACTGAGTCATCAAAGACAGCGGCAGGACTATTAAAGTCCCCCCTTCATTGATATTTTTTGATTTTTTCGGACTGTGTGTATATCCCCTCCTATGTGTATGCAGCAGCGACACAACCATCACAGTTTTCCCTAATCCCATTTCGTCAGCCAAAATCCCTCCTTTACAAAGTGCACCCCCTTCCGGGAATTTCGTAGCAACTTGTCCTGTATAATGATTAAAATAAATAAATCTCCCATCAATCGCTTTATATTCTTCCCACAAATGATGTAATTCTCCATTATTTCTGTTACTTTTTGTATGTGTTTCTCGCTCATACATCCAGGCAAGTGCTTGCTTTTGATAAGAATAAAGGCAGCTTCTAAAGCTTGGCGCAGGCTCCATTTCTGATAATTCTGATTCCCCATTTAAATCGTCAAGGCCTAAAGCTTTGTCGACATTTTCCATTCCTTTTGATTCTTCTAAATTTAGTTTATCATTTAAAGGCTCTCGCTTGTGGTTGACTAATGCGCTTTGGGTTTTTTCTAAGTTTAACAGTTTAAAAAGTTTTTGGAAAGCTTCTCTCTGGGTAAAATATTCATCAGCTGAAGCGTTTTTTTGGGTTATTACTTCTTTAGCGGTCTGGGCTGGGTCACAGAGCGCTTCTGGCTTCAAAATGACGTTGATAGTCACTTTTAAAGAATCTAATAGGCTTAAGCTGCTTTGAGAGTCCAATACAAATACTTCAATTTCTATAAGATTGCCAGAAATCAACGGATATAAAAACTCAGAAACTGCTTGTGGGAATTTTCCTACACTGAAACCATTAGGCTCCATTGCGAACCTAACTGTCTTGTCTTGGTCTTCTTTCTTTTTATTTTTTCCAAAAGTGTGTTGCTTTGGCAGTCTTATTGATAAGCGGTGCCCATTTTTGACATTTTGGATGCTTGAAATTGCATAGGCGTCGCTATCAAAAGTCCCGAGCAGGATTCCTTGTTGGCTGTCTTGGAATTTTCGCTTGAGCATGAGCTCTTGGGATAGGTTTTGTCGGTGAAGTTCTCTGTAATATTGGTCTATAGCTAAATCAACATTGAAATTATTTCTTTGAAGGGAATTGGTGATTTTGATGATATCCTGCTCTCCAGTGATTTCTGTGAAGAGCTTGAAGTTTTCACTTTCCATTTAAATATATAGACTCCTAGCTTATTTTTGATAGATATGTTAAATATTTTAAGAGGCGGCTAATCATTTGCCTGGCGGGCATTATTATATAGGACAAAAGGAAGACTTAAATTAATTTATTTTTTTGTAGATGGCGCTTTAAACTGCCTCTAAAAGTATTATTATATAGCGTGGGCACGCTTTTAGCTTGCCCTAACGTTTCTTGCTCCTCAGAAGTTTGATTCATCACTTCAAGGTGACAAGTCAAACCCAAGTAGACAAAACCAGACTCTTATGCTTGGATTTCCAACTTGGAATTGCCTCATCATCTTCAAGTGACTAGCCAAATCTCCCAGCTTATGAGGAGGAAGAAATGTTAGGGTAAGCTAAAAGCGTACCCACGCTATAGCGATCTAAAAGGTTTCTCAGATTATACCGCTTTGAAAAAATCCATTGTACAAGATTTTTAATATAAGCTAATGCAAATTTTCAAAAAATTAAAATTGTATTATAAATTATTTGATAAATTGTACCTTTCTTCTGTCAGCTCAGTTTCGCTTGGAGGCTCTGCTGATGCTATCAAGCTTCGATTGGTTTCGACAGCTTCACTGAGCCTTTTTTGCAAGTTAGAAATAGTTGAAGGTATTGTCGGGAATTCCATGTTTTCTAGGTCTTCCATTATCACTTCTAAAGTGTTATTTTCTTTCATCCCTTCTATTAAATTGCCCATATCTATAGATAGTTTATTTTATAAATCAATTAGTATTATACAGGCATTTTCATTAATATCAGAACTTAAGGTAATTTTTTATTCAAATTTCAATAGATATTGTTTATTTGTATAGATATAAATTGCTATTCTTGCCAAATCATTCGTATTAAAATTAATTTAAAGGTTTTGATTTCAATTTGGAAAATCATTTAGTCCCCCCCCCCTCCGTGAGTGAACAAAAAAATTTTGTTCACTCACGGAGGGGGTTAATTTTTTTTTTTAAAATAATTTATATTTGTTAGAAAATAAAAGACAGAAATTAAAGTCTATATAAAACTATTTCTTCAAAGAAACCCGATATTTAAATATAAAGCCATTATACTCTCAATCAATCATAATTTCAATAACATCATTGCTAATTATTCAGCTCTATTGTACATTTATATAAGCTTTTATTTCTAATTTAATAAATGTCTAGCAATCCTATTTTTCCTTTTTCGAATCCATCAAATCCACAAAATTCAGTATTTTCCATCAATCCTTCTCAAAAGCCTACAGCATTATTTCAACCAAACGCTTTACCAGGTGAAGCTCCACAGTCTATTTTTGGTAAACCAACGAATGTATTTCCAGCAAGCCAACCAAGTGCTTTTTCATTTGGGGAGAAGAACCCAAGCTTGATTCAACCCCAAAAAAAAGAAGCATCGAGTAACCCATTCTTAAACGCCCAAGCTCCTCTAATGCAAACTCAAGGGGCTTTTTCAATCCCATTTCAAGCTAAGACAGAGACGTCCAGTTCTAAGCAGGAAACTCAAAGTGCCCAAGAGTTAAAATCTAATAATCCAGAAAAAGAAGAAGAAAAAGCAGAAGAGCCCAAAAACGAAAAAAACCCAGAAATCGAAATCGAGTCCTTGGAATCCTACAAATCAAACTACAAAAAATGTGATGATTTAAATAATATATTAAGAGAAGAACTCAAGGCAAAAAGCGAAGAAATTATCTCATTAAAGCAAACATTAACGGAAAAAGATAAAAAGGAAAAAGAGAAGACTAACGAAATCCAAGCAAAAACTGCAGGACTCAGCCAAGATGCGGCTCAGAAAGATATGCTTATTGCAAAATACAAGGCTGAAATGGAAGAATTGCATAGAAAAAAGCATCAATTATCCTTAAATAACTTTCATCTTACTCCCTTACCGATCGCTGTCGTTCAATCAAGGGGTTTAAAAAAGTTTGTAAATTATATATAATTTATATTATAATAAAAAAAAAATTTCTATGAAATATCTTATGTATGTGATATATTAGAAAATATGCTTAAAATCGAAGAAAAATTGAGTGAGGGGGATTATAAATAATGTCTTAGGTTCATTATTGCTCATATGAGGCGGAGCCAAGCTGGCCTCATTTTTTGGCTATTATAAAGCCAATTGATTATTTCTCCCAATTTTTTAGAAAATTTTCAATGGAAGATGAAGAGAGTTAGGTCGAAAGTTGCGATATTACAAAAAAACTTGGAACTTGCCCACGAAAATTTTAAAAAAAAGCTTCAAAATCATGATGATTTGCTCAGAGAGCAAATAAAAGAACTAGAAAAACAAAATAAATTCGAAAAAGAGAAATTTGTAAAAGATGTAAAGTCAATCAAAAGAAAGTTCAAGAGCGAGATGACTGCAGAATTAAAGCAAAACTTGGTAGAAGCTAGCAAATTTCAATTCCATAATGCAGATTACACAGATAATCTCGATGAAATTGCCAATTTAAATCAACAAATTTTTCTAAATCAAAGAATTACAATAAAATTTCTATCAATTGAAAAAATTTAATTTTTTTAATTAAAAAATAATGATTAATAGAATAATTTTTTTTTTAAAAAAAAAATATTGTAAGGACTAAGAAAACCAAGGAATTAGAAGCAATTAAGGATGAAATTGATTTTAATTCAAATTCATTGGAGAGAATAAAGGGGAATATTAACACCCTCTCAGCGTATGAAGTACAAAAAAACAACCATTTTATGCAGGAAACTTATGGGGTTGTGCTTGTATTTTTACTTGGATTTCTAGCACATATTTTAGTAGGTCCATATCTTGGTTTAATCAAATAATAAATATACACAAATTAAAATTAATTTATACTAAAAATCAATAAAATTATTAAATACAATGCAGCTTTAAATTTTCTCAAATTCTCTAACAGTTAATTATGGAGAAGCAAAATGGTTCTACTAAACCCAAGCATTGTGATAGCTCTCTCAGCAGCTCCACCAATGGTTGCACTAAGTCGAGCCCCAGTCCAAGCAAGCTCCATAAAGACTATAAAAATGAAGACTTAAGTGAGCTGCAAGACCGCCCCAAAATCAATGAAGCTTCTCGGCGATATTTGCCCAATTACATCCCCATACATAAACGAGTTGGAGAACTCGTCCGCCAAAAGAATGATTATATAAAGCAGCTCAAGTTGGAGTCAGAGGTTAAAAAGCGGTCAAAAGAAGAAGCTGAATGCACATTTACCCCAAGCACGCTCAACCAGACCAAAAGAAGCCCAGTTGAGTTTTCTAATTATGCATACAGCTGGCTTAAAAAATGCAAAACAGAGCTAGAGAAAAAAGAAAAGGAAGCAGAAATAGAAAAATACGCAGAAATGAAGGAAAAGCCTGACATACTCGAGATATCTAAACAGATGTCAGCCAGGGTAAGATATAAGTAGAGAAGCACAACGCCTGTGTTTGAAAGGCTGTATAATGATAGAAAAAGAGAGAAAAATGAGACTGCGAATTCGTTCAGCCCGATGATTAATTCTAAGTCTGCTAAAATGATTGAATTAAAGAGGGATAAAGCAGTGTTTGATAGGCTTTACTCTTTAAGAAAAGTTAAAGAAAAGTCCCCTAAAAATGAGGAGGCCACAAGAGTAAAGAAAAGGAGAATGAATAAAAGCTATAATTTTGATGAAAACTGAAGTAAGAGCTATCAAATTAATGCCAGTCGAGGAAATATTTATGATGAAAACAGCGGTATTAGCAATGTTAGCTATACTGATGATCTGTGTGCATTATTGAAATCAATTAAAGGATTGTAAAAAAATTAAATTTGTTTAGATATATATAAATAGTGAATTAATAATAGAAATAATGATTGATTTTAACCATGTTATTTAAAATTTTTGGCTAAAAGCATCTTTGAGCATGATTTTTATAATTATTAAAATCACTTATTGAGGAAAGAAATTTATTAATAAGTCTTGATACTAATGTGTTATTATAGTAATAATTTTTTTATTTATATTATATATGGTACTTAAATTTCTATCTTGCTTTACTTTGCCAATAATTAAAATTCGTATAAAAAAAGAATAAGCGTTTATTATATTTTTATTTAGCATCCTAAAGGCATTGGCCTTCAAATGGCTTCACGGAGGCTAGAAGGAGTGAACTTTGTGGACAGGACGTATTTATTCTATTTAAAATTTCATATACCTTTCAAATAACTAAATATTCTTGATATTTTGAATTTTTATAAAATTTAATACTTTTAATCATAAATAAAAGAAATATTATTCACTGAAAGCTAATAATTCTCTTAATTTTAATAATTCCTTAGTACATGTTGTTTCTATGCAGTTAAAATGGCGGACAATTTTTAGATTATCTCTTAAGAATCTGAAATTTTAGAAGTGAATTTTCATTATCTAACTCGAGATTTTTGGGATTAATTATCAATTAATACTTTCTTTTGCGTTTAATTTTTTTTAAAAACCCAAATTTTTACATCTTTCTATCATTTTATTATAAATATAAAATTTATAAGTCAAATTTTTAATAATTTTTACATTAATTTTTTTGAACAAATAGCATGCCTTTTCATATGCCTTTGCAGCTTATATTTGTTGTAAGCTACATAGCTGCATTCCTTACAACCTACCCGCCTTGCAGTTTCATGCACTTGCTGGTAGTGAAACTTCAAAGCATACTTGTGTGTAAAAAGTTTGCCACAGATGTCACACAGTGAATTCTTTATGCTTGCAGAATGCTTTTTTCCCATGTGCTGGCTCAAACCTTGATTACTATTGAATATTTTGTTGCAGATAGGGCAGCAATTGACTTTATCTGATGATTTTTTAGAGCTTCCTACCTGTTTAGGAGAAGGAGTGTTAGGATCTAATCCTAATTCTGTGTTAAGAATTGTGATTATATCTCTCTCGATCATGAATTCGTTGACCATATAGTCTCTCAAAAGAGTTAGACTTTGAAAGGACATATCACATAGATCGAAAAAACTACGAATCTTTTCTTTTGAAGGAAAACATGTGGGCTGCCGCCTTAAATTATCTTTAACGATGCTTGATACTCTGACTTGATCCATCTTTATTTTATATATGGTGTCATTTTGCAGATTTTATATAATCTAATAAGGCTACTATATAAATGGACAGTTTAGACTAGTTCAAATATTAGTTTTAGATGATTGAGCAGGAGATTTGAGATAATAGTAAAGAAAAACTATAAAAATGAATTGAAATCAAAAACGCAAAATCCAGTAATAAATTAAGTAAGTTGATAGATTAAGATTAGTCGATAATTTATAAGAAAATTGGCCTATCATAATGAGCGAATGGGAATTTTTAATTTTTGCCTATTCCTGCTTGATTTATAAGAAAAATTGATTTTTGGTTCCAGCTACTTAATTTTCTTATAAAAACAGCCAGTAAAAGCTAACGAGTTATCAAAAATTAAATTAAAAAACCCAAAACCCATCCATTTTATGCAAGTTAATAATTTTAGGAAGCACAAAGATCTCACAAGTTCCAAAAAAATTTTCACAAATAAAAAAACAAAAAATTAAGAAGCAAAATTTTTGACGAATATTAAACTTTCATGAAGCAAAATTGTTTTTCTGGGCTCAGATGTGAATCTAAATAATAATTAATTGTTTTATTTCTCTACTTTTGCTTTATCGAACAAAAAAATTTAAATTCTTTTCGACTGAAATTTGCTTTTATGTTCAAAAATACACATAAATAATGAAAGAAATTGAAAATAAGATTGATAAAGTTAAAGAGAAATTTCGTCAATTATTTTCACTACAAGAAATTTTCAAAAATTTATGACTGGAGAGATATCTAATTGCTAAAACTTCGATAAATTGTTTTGCACTGCCAAAAAGTGAGTTCTAAATTCAATAAATCTATTAAGGCTTCCTTATAGTTTGGCAGTCCATTACTAGCTTTTGGATTACATATTATGGAAGGAAACAATTAATTTTAATTAATTCTAATTTACTTTAAAATCGCTTAATATATCGATATTAGCACTTTATATAGCTCGCTCATATAATTTTAAATATTTATTCATTGCACAAAATAAATTTTTGTTAATTTGACTTCCATATGATTTTCATCTAAAAGTGAAAATTAGAACTTATCAGTGCTCACATCGCAAAATATAGTTCTTATAGGGAGTTTACCAGCAATCAAGCGCATAATGCACCCAGTTTATCTGCTTTGTAGGGTTTCTTTTAAAAAAAAATTAACTTTTCCTCTTTAAATATTTGGTTAGACATTTTAGTTTAGGTACTTATTTAAGAAGACTTCTAATTAATTTAAGTTCTACATGTTTGAGGGCTTTTTAGCTATGTGATTTTTCATATGCTTTTTTAGCTTATATTTGTTATAAGCCACGTAACTGCACTCCTCGCAGTTGACTCTTTTTAAAGTTTCATGAACTTGTTGATAGTGGAATTTTAAAGCGTATTTATGAGAAAAAAGCTTACCACAGACATCGCACATTGAATTTTTGATACTATTTGAGTGCTTTTTGCCCATATGTTGGTTAAGGCCTTTTCGGCATTTAAATATTTTATAACATATTGGACAGGAATTCACTGATTTGAGAGTATCTTTGATATTTTCTGTGTAGAGAGTGATAGGTGTATTTGGGTCTAGGCCCAATTCTGTATTCAGAAAGGGTACTATTTCACTTTCAATTTTGAATTCAGCGATCATATAGTCTCTCAGGAGCCTCGGGCTGCTGAAAGAATATCGACTTAGATCACAAAAGCTCGTTGTAAAACCTGTGCTTTTTAAGCTTTCTGGCAACTCGTTTTCGAGTGCGCTTAATAGCATTTCTTCGTCAATCTTTATCTTTATATTATCTAGCTGCTACTGCAGCCTCACGATCCTTAAGGATCTTGTCTAATCCAATTAGTCATTGTCCATCCTTCTTTTTTCCTTTCACTCTCCTCTCTCAATTTCTCCATTAGCTTCTTCTTCAGTGCCTCCATCAGTGCCTCCATCAGTTCATCCTCAGAATCTCCTTCAATTTTACCTGCTTCAATCCACCTTCACTTGCTGCTGCTTCATGCTGCCTTTTGTTTCTCCAGTGTTTTTTTCTTTCGCTCTATTATGGCCTCATTTTTTATTTTCTTCTTTCTTGCCTTCCACATCATCTTACTTCTTCCATCTTCTGTCAAAATTGCTGCCGAAAAATTTGTTTGAGAATTTGGTTGGCATTTCTGTTGGTTTCTGTTTGAAATTCTATTGAACTTCTTGTTTGAATTTCTTTTGCGATTTCTTTTGAGTTTTCTGCTGAGATCTTCTAAAAGGATCCCTTTGGGATTTCTGCAGGTGTTTTTTAGGTTGCCCTTTTGAATCTTTCTTGGGGCTTGTGCTGGTGTCTCTGTTGGATTTCAATTGGAATATCTGTCGAGGATGCTGTTGGGATTTCTGTTGAGTTTTTATAGGCATTTTTGAGAATCCTGCTAGAATTTTTGTTGAGGCTGCTTTTGAGCTTTTTGCTGAAATTTCTGTTGAAGTTTCTGTCTGGATATCTGTCGGCCTTTTTGTTAACGTTTTTTGTTGGTATTTCTGTCTTTCCTGCCATTATTTCTATTTCAATTGCCCTGACGGAGTGAGTGGTCAGGATTGTTTCTCCGTCATCCAAGACTTCTCCTTGCAATCCTGCAAGCAACTTTACTGCCATCTCGAGTTCTTCATTTTCTTCGCTCGGTTCTTCTATTCAACTGCCATCTTCTTCCCAATTTTTATCAATTTCTTCATCACAAAATTCATCATCTTCGAGTAATCTCAGAAACACTAAGGCTTTTTCTAAGTTACCGCCGCATGCATTCAGCGCCATCTTTGCTTTTTCTTCCTCGTAGCCTAGCTCCATCAAGATTCCTTCATCAATCATTAGCATCTCTATCGCATCAAGTTCTCTCATTTCGTCTTCCTCTTCACTAGAATCATAATAAAACTTGTTTATGTCAGCTATTTTCTTAGGTTTTTCCGCACCAATGCTGAATCTCCAATCAGAAATTGAAGCCGCCTTAGGTGGTTTTTGTCCCTTTGGAAATGCTTCCATTGAAAAAATAAAAAGTATTTCTTCGTCAATCATTTCTATTATATTTTATATTTTATAATTAAGCCATTTAAAATTAAGATAATGGCATTATCCAAATAAAATTATAACTTAAGAATAGCCGTTATCATTTTGCCGTAATTGCCACGTGAATAGGCTAATTCTACCTATGTTGGTATTTAGCGCAGCAATATGCACTTAAATTGTAATATACACGCGGCTCAAATTTAAATTTGACTGTTAAAAGACCTATTAAATATACATTTTGGGATCTATGATTCTTCAATAATATCTTATTTCTAAAATGCATCTTTAAGGGAATTTAATCGATGTATCGCATTTGGAAACAATTCTAGAGCTAAAAAATTTAAATTTTAATCAACCTTTAAGAGGATATAGAAATTTTTTTTCTGTATTTTGGGCAAAAACTTTTATTTTGAGTTTTAAGTATATATTGTCTTGAATTATAGACTATTTATGGTTATCTATTATTTCTAAGTAGTTTTTTTGATAGGATTCTGAAGTAAACTCAAAGATCGTTTGAAAATAATTTAAATTTGCCTCGAATTTTTTTTCAATAAAATTGCCTTGAATTTATCAAATCACTCAATCCTTATTTTACCTTGTTCAACTATATTTTATTATTAAAAGAAAAAAATTGTACTTTCACGATTTTAGAATACTTATCTAAATTGTATAATTTTTAAAAATAGCTTAAGAATTAAATTAAAAATGTCTTAATAAGCAGATGAAGAAAATAGTTTATAATAAAAAGCAATCTACTTTAGTCAATGAGTTGAATTGAGAAAAAATTATTGTGGATTTGAAGATAAATTATTTGTAAAAAAATATTTATCTCAAATAGGACCAAAGTGAAGTTAAAGGATTGCATTATATTGAGATGATAGCTTTACTTTGAAAGAGCTAAAGCAGGTAGCATTGAGCTTGTAGAGGTACTGATAATTGGAATAAGAAGACTATAACGATAAGACTCTAGTTGAGGCTAATTCTAGAGGAGTTAATTCAAGAAAGCATTAAATAAGATTTGAAGAAAATGACCAATCTTGCTTGATTATCGTATATTCACTCCCCCCCTCCGTGAGTGAACAAAAAAATTTTGTTCACTCAGGAGGGGGTTTATTTTATTTTAAAAAAATTTATATATAAATTTTATAAAAAATTGTTTTTCGAAATTCCTAATTCACAAAAATTGGAAAGCAAATATTAATTTAATTTATAAAATTTATGTTTTAAAAAGCAATTTGTTTAAAATTAAACAGAATTAGCTCTAGATTTCATTATAATAATTATCATTTATATATCATTTTTTTTTCCATGAAAAATTTTTGTTCACTCACGGAAGGTGGGCTTTTGGGCAAAAAATTGGGATTTTTCTAATGGTTTTGTTCACTCACGGAGGAACAGTCAGCATTTTTTATAAAATTTTGAAAGTTGAATATCAAAAATTCTAAAAGACCAAATTTACAAACAATTTTTGATTTGGTATTTGCATTTTAATTGCAAAATTTTATAATAAGCTAATTTTCATTTTTGTGCTATAAGTCGAATAAATATCATATGATTATAATAAATTAAAGCAGTGGATACTAAAATTCAAAGCTATATCCACAGTTAATTACAAAAAACAAGAAATTTTCAAAAAAATTATCAAAAAATAAAGCATAGAACTAAAATGCCCTTGATAGAAGTCAAATATATTAAAAAATTATGTATTTTCAAAAGGATACAGCCATAAAACTTAGCTTGACTTAATTAAAAGAAACAATTTAAAAATATTTTGACTTGCATTGGGCGTTCAACACAACAAAAAGGAGTAAAAAATGAATAAATATCCTTAGATAAACTATAAATGGTGAAAATAATGAAACAGTTAATTTATTTAAAATTAAATATTTATGCTAATTAAATTTTTATCCTTTAAAAACTCAATGCATGAATCTTTATAGTTATTAATATCATTAATTGAGAAAAGAAATCAATTAATAAGCCCTTGAACTAATGCACTATTGTAATAATATATTTTTTATTTATTGGCCATTAATACTTACTCCCTCCTCCGTGAGTGAACAAAACCATTAGAAAAATCGCTATTTTTTGCCCAAAAAACCCACCGTAAGCGAACAAAAATTTTTATGGAAAAAATATTTTGACATATAAGTGATAATTAGTATAATGAAATCTCAAGCTAATTCTGTTTAATTTTTAAACAAATTGCGTTTTAAAACATAAATTTTACAAATATAAATTAATATTTGCTTTCCAATTTTTATAGAAGTGAGATTTTTTAAATTTTTAAAAAAAATAGTTTCTATAAAATTTTTATATATAAATTTTTAAAAAAAAAAAAATTAACACCCTCCTTGAGTGAACAAAAATTTTTTTGTTCACTCACGGAGGGGTGTAGTAAGATGTCTTCCTGGCTTCCTTTCAAAATTATTAGAGTCGTTGGAAAAGAATAGACATTTAGCTATTTTTTTTGAATATTCTATATACTTTTCAATACTTAATATTTTAAATTTATTACTTTTAATCAAAAATAAAAGAAATAATAATTTCCTGAATCTACGAATCCTTCAGTTTATACATTTTAAATACTATTAGGCTTTCATTTTTTCTATATAGTTGAATATAGCATATTGCATTCAGAAGTGAAAATTTCATTATTTACCTCAAGATTTTTGATATTGCTATGTTTAATGATTTAAAATGCTTTAATTATCTCTCACTCCCCCCCCCTTTAAATTGGAACAAAATATAGGTAAATTTCCACTTTTTTGGTAAATTAACTCCCCTTTAAATTGGAACAAAATTTAATTTTTACAATAAAAAATTTTATTTTATATAAATCATAATTTTTACGTAAAAAGTTTTGATATAATTTAAATGTTTCTTCTTAACTAAAATTAAAAATTTAGATATATCCTGCTCTTGTTTAAAGAATAGAGTATAAAGAGCATCTTATTTAAATAAATTTATTATCCTAATTGTATTTTAAAAAAAATTAAATTTTTTTGTTTTAAAAAATTTTCAAAAAAATTTTATTTTTTTTAATAAAAAATGATATTTTTTTATTTAAATAGCTTTGATATAAATTTAATACGAATTCTTTACAAAAATTCAAAATTTACTTATCTCTTGCTTTATTTTAAAGAATAGAGTATAAATAACATCTTCTTTAAACAAAATTAGCACTTTGATTAATAAATTATCTAAAATTTTTTTTTATCAATAAAAATAATAATTTTTGTGTAAATAGTTTTGATACCAATTAATAGTGGCGTATCAATTAATAATAAAATTTTAGTTATATCTTGCTTTGTTTTAAAGGATCAAGAGTAAATAGCATTTTATTAAACAAATTTATTAATCTAATTCGATAAATTTTTGAATTTTTTTGTTTTTTAAATTTTATATAAATTTTTTTTAAAAAAATTTTATAATGATTTTTTTTTAAAAAAAATTTTCTTAACCCCCCTTTAAATTGGAACAAAATTGTTAGTTCCAATTTAAAGGGGGGGGAGTCAGATAAAAAAAGATTTTTACTCCCTATTCTTTTTATTATAATTATATATTAATTAGTCAAATTTTAATCATGATTTTTACATTAAATTTTAGGACAAGAAGCGTGCTTTTTCATATGCTTTTTCAGCTTATATTTGTTATAAGCTATATAACTGCATTCCTTGCACCCTACCTGCTTTGCAGTTTCATGCACTTGCTGGTAGTGAAACTTCAAGGCATACTTGTGTGTAAAAAGTTTGCCACAGACGTCACACAGTGAATTCTTTGTGCTTGCAGAGTGCTTTTTCCCCATGTGCTGGCTCAAACCTTGGCTACTTTTAAATATTTTGTAGCAGACTGGGCAGTATTTAGCTTTTTCTAATTGTTTTGCAGGGCTGTCTATTTGTTTAGGTGAAGGAGTGTTTGGATCTAATCCTAATTCTGCGTTAAGAATTGTGATTATATCCCTCTCGATCATGAACTCGTTGACCATATAGTCTCTCAAAAGAGTTAGACTTTGAAAGGATATATCACATAGATCGAAAAAACTACGAATCTTTTCTTTTGTGTGCAGCTGCCTTAAATCATCTTTAGCAATAGCTGATACTCTGGCCTGATCCATCTTGATTTTATAATAGGTGTCATTTTACAGATTTTATATAGATTATTATGGCTATTATATAAATGGAAATTATATAGGAGTATCCGTTTTAATCTTTAGATGATGCTATAAGAATCCTTAGGGCCTATTTGTCATAATAATTTTATGTGCGGGTTTCTTTTAGGTCTTAAAATCATCTCAATTTTTGGAACATTAAAAACTATACTAATTTTCTCTGACAAAAAATTGAAATAATTGCGTAGGGCCCAGAATGATTTCAAATTAATGATAATTCTAATATAGAATTTATTACTAAATGATTTGTATAAAAATAGAGCTTTAGTTTATCTAAATTAATTTTTTCTTATAAATCGACCTAAAAGCTATATTTCAATTAATTCAACTTAAACAGATCAATATAGAAAATTATCAAAATTAAATATTAAAGATATCAGCCCTATCCTATTTAACATATTAAATTTTTCACAAAGTCAATCATAATCAAAAAATTTTTCCTAAAAAAAAAGCAAATTTTTAGTATGAATTTGGTTTGCATTTGAAAAAAAATTGATTTTCTCGCTAATGTGAGAGAAATAAATAATAATTTATAGTTTATTTTCTTATTTTTTGCTTAATTGAAAAATAAAATTTAAATTTTTTTCGACCGAAATTAATTATTATACTCATAAAATCAACTAACTCCCCCCCTCCGTGAGTGTGAACAAAAAAATTTTGTTCACTCACGGAGGGGTTTAATTTTTTTTTTTTAAAAAAATTTATATATAAATTTTATAAAAAATATTTTTTTTCGAAATTTAAAAAAATCCTAATTCGCAAAAATTGGAAAGCAAATATTAATTTAATTTATAACATTTATGTTTTAAAAAGCAATTCGTTTAAAATTAAACAGAATTAGCTCTAGATTTCATTATACTAATTATCATTTATATATCTAAATTTTTTTCAATCAAAATTTTTTCTATTAAAAAAATTTTTGTTCACTCACGGAGGGTGGGTTTTTGGGCAAAAAATAGCGATTTTTCTAATGGTTTTGTTCACTCTCGGAGGGGGGGGGAGTAAATAAAAAAAAATTGATATTAAATTGATAAAAATACTTCATAAGGTGCTAAAATTTAAATTATTTCGCCTTGGGAATTTATTTTGTTATTTTTGAAACTTTCTAAAACTAGTAATAATAAAATGATAATTTTTCATGGGTGCAGATCGATTCACTCTTGAGAGCTCCTTAATCTAATAGAAATTTAAATAAAAATCATTGCCCTTCAAATACCAATTAACTTATCTCTTCCAAGTTAAACAAAAATAAAATGTGACTTATCCCATCAACTTTCTCCCATACCTAGGAGTTTTTTGGGGTTAAAGAGGCATGGGGTCTGAAAATTACGTCCAGTTTAGTTTTTTCTCTAATAGGGGCACCACGATAGGTTTTTTATCTCTACTCAAAGACAAGTAGACCAGAGCTTATACGAAAACTCCACACTTCTAGATGCGAATGATAATGGAGACCAGAAGGAGGATTTGGGATTGCCTCCTATCTCCGTGTTAATGGTGCTGACCGCTAGGAGTTTGCCCAAGGAAGTGCCTATGTGCGCTACCACAGAGATGCTGACACCACCATTTTTGGTGACGCCAACAGACAAAGGCGTAAGTGTAACCAGATGCTTAGGGCGGGTAGCAAGAAGTCGGTAAAGGTGGAGAGGGGATGAAATAACCCCTAAGACGCATTTTGATTTAGATCTAATCTTTCTAGTTATTAATTAGACATTTTAGTTTAGACACTTATTTAACGAAACTTCTAATTAATTTAAGCACTACAAATTTGAGAGTTATTTAGATAGGTGCTTTTTCATATGCCTTTTTAGTCTATATTTGTTATAAGCCACGTAGCTGCACTTCTCGCAGTTGACTCGTTTTAAAGTTTCATGAACTTGCTGATAGTGGAATTTTAAAGCATATTTATAGTTTCAACGACATTTAGCTCGCCCTAGGTAGCAGCTTTCACTGCAACTCATAGAAGTGACCCTGGTCTATAGGTTGCCTAACCAACTCCACAGTTGACAAATGCACGTATATGCTCACTTATTAGCTCGTGGACTTGGCTTGATGACTTATAGATTCAGACCAACTCCCTGTTGCAGCAAAAGTTGCTATCCCAGGGCTAGTTAAAAGCCATCCTGGGTCATATGTGAAAATAGCTTTCCACAGATGTCACAAAGTGAATTTTTGATACTATTTGAGTGCTTTTTGCCCATATGCTGGTTAAGGCCTTTTCGGTTATTAAATATTTTATAACATATTGGACAGGAATGCACCTCAGAGATATTTTCTGTGTAGAGAGGGGTAGGTGTATTTGGGTCTAGGCCCAATTCTGTATTCAGAAAGGGTACTATTTCACTTTCAATTTTGAATTCAGCGATCATATAGTCTCTCAGGAGCCTTGGGCTGCTGAAAGATAATCGACTTAGATCGCAAAAGCTTGTTGTAAAACCAGTGTTTTTTAAGCTTGCTGGTAGCTCGATTTCAAATGCGCTTAAAACCATTTCTTCGTCAATCATTTCTATTATAAGTTATATTTTATAATTAAGCCATTTAAAATTAAGATAATGACATTATTTAAATGAAATTAAAACTTAAGAATAGCCGTTATGGCTATACCGTGATTATCACGTGAATAGGCTATTTCTACTTATTTTGATATTTAATATAGCGATATGCATCTTAAATTGTAATATACACGCGTCTCAAGTTTAAATTTGGACTGCTAGAAGACTCATTAAATCAAAATTTTGAGTATCCATAGGCTGTTCAATGAGATCTTATTTCTAAAGTACATTTCTATCTTCCCCTCTATGATCGAGCAAAAAATTTTTTAAAAAAATATTAATGTAGGATTTATATATAGATTGAGTATCCACATAGGTTGCTCAGGCCTTCAGCTTCAAGGGCAAGTGAGAGTTGACTATTTAAGCTTCCCAAATGGAAAGGCAAAATTGACTCTTGATCAATCCATCTACATAATAATTATATTAAAAATTTTAACAGCTTTCATATTTTTAAAATTAAATAAAATTGAATTGAGATTTTTAAATAAAACATTAACATTTTCTGCTCTTACCGAAGAGAAGGGATTAAGCAAGTTTCACCGATATAGTGAGTTTGGAATCCATTTTAGAGCAAAAAGATTCAAATTCTAGTCAACCCTTTTGAGGATATAGAGAATTTTTTTTCTGTTTTTTCGGCAAACTCTTTACTTAGGATCTTGGGATAATTTGTCTTGAATTATAGACTATTAAAGTTAACTAACATTTCTAGCTCCCATCCTTTAATAGGGAGCAAGATTTACTGCTTGCTTAAGAGGGATGAAATTTCTTTTTAAATATAAAAAAACCTTTTTTTTAATTTTATTTGAAAGATAAATCTAATTTAATTACAATTTTATGTCTAACGAAAGCGCTATAGTTTAATAGCATTTGATATAAAAATAATTATATAAGAAATATTATATAAAAAAATTATTACTCGCTGTTAAAGGGAGTTTCCTAAACATAGGCATTTCCATCCAATGTTAAGGAGGAAGTAAGTAGTTTCTTGGATAGGATTCTGAAATAAACTCAAAGATCTTTTGAAAATAATTTAAATTTGTCTCGAATATCTTTTCAATAAAATTGCCTTAAAATAATCAAATCATTCAATCCTTGTTCCACCTTGTTCAACCATATTTTATTATTAAAAGAAAAAAATTGTACTTTAAAGTCGCGATTTTAGCGCAATTATCTAAATTTTATATATCTAATTAGACTTAATATAATCTCTTCTGCTAGCTGCTGCTATATTAATTCTGAATAGTAAAGGATAAGGCTAATAGTAGGATATTTTAATCATGTAATTAGTATTAATTTTAACAAATAAATTAAGAATTAAAATAAAAAATGTCTCAATCAGCATATAAAAGAAAATAATTTATAAACAAAAACAATCGGCTTTAGTCAAAAGTAGAAAAAGAGATAAAATTATTGAGAATTTCTAAATGCAAAATATATTTATCTCAAATAGAACAAGAGCAAAGCATTGATAGGAAATTTATTATAAATTGCTTGATAATTTTAGTCTGAAAAGTTAAAGCAGGGAATCTTGAACTTGAGGAGGAAGCTAATAGCTAGAATAAGGAGACTGCAGAGGATAAGACTCAGATTAAGGTTGATTCTAGCAGGAATTAGTAAAAGAAGGCAATAGTGAATGCTTTGAAGGAAATAATCAAATCTTGCATGTTATCTTCTCTGCACAGCAGCTTATTTCGATAAGATATATCAAAAAATCTTGAAAGTTTAACACTAACACTCAATGTACAGAAAAATCTTATTTAAAAATAGATTTTGATTTAAAATTTAAGTTTATTTACATTTTTTGCAGTAAAAGAAAATTATTGATATAAGCATATTACATTCATTAATTAATATATAGAAACTAAAATATGAAATTATTCACTAACTGAAACTAATTGCTTATAAAAAACATTATTATTGCTGTCATGAGATGCATATAAGTTGAGAAGGACAAGAAGATAATAAACAATGTATTATAATTTGCATTATAATTTATTTTGAGGGAGGAGGAGGGGGATAGAACTGACCTGGTGGAGGTGGCTGATAGTTAGACGGAGGAGGCTGTTGATATGGCTGCTGAGGATAAGGTCCTTGTTGAGGCTGATTTTGAGGGTAACTCGCTGGAGGAGGTATCTGCTGATATTGCTGAGGGGGATATTGAGGCTGCTGATATTGGGGAGGCTGAGATTGAGGTGGTGGCTGAAATTGTGAAGCTTGATTTTGAGGTATCTGCTGATATTGAGGAGCCTGCTGATATTGAGGAGCTTGCTGATATTGAGGCTGCTGGAATTGAGGTGGTTGCTGATATTGAGGCGCTTGCTGATACTGCCCTTGTTGATAATTAGGAGGATATTGAGGAGGTGGCTGCACCGGATACACCTGTGCAGGAGGTTGCGCATTTGGAGCTCCCGGAAAATAATAATTAACCCCCTGCTGAGAACCAGGTCCAGCCTGTTGTGGCTGCTGTACAAAAATCGTGCTCGGGTCATTCGGATCGACATATGCTACATTTCTCAGCTGCCCTGCCGCCACACACTGAATAAATCTCGGATCAGGTCCTGAATGCCCCTGACTTCTTCTTTTTCTGATCTGATCCACAGTGCTATAAAATAATGGCAAAAAAGTTCCAGTCCCTCCCGACATAAACCAAAATTTAAATTCTGCAGGACAAGGAATCAGCCCATACAAAGGCTCGACCTTCCCATTTATATAATTTGCCCCAAATATAGGCTGTTTGAACTTTTCATGGCTCATAAGGGCCAGCGGCACATCAAAACTTTGCATGTTTCCACCTTTTCTATTCACAAATACAAGTCTGGCTGTGGTCAGGTATAAATCGCCTTTTCCTTTATATTTGTTTCCATTATCAAGTGTTATTTCTGCGTCAATATCTGAGCGGGAAAGGACCATGTATTCTCCATTGACAGGAGCTGGGAGACTATTTGACAATACAGGAGGATTAAGTGCCATTTTTTTAGTAATTAGTAGAGATTAGGGTCGTTTATTAAGGCTCGTAAGCGCATAATTTTCTCACCTAGGTTTAAGGCAGGGTCGACTTGTTTGCTGTGATCGATTTTGGAGAGTTTTGGGGAATATTGGGAGATATTGGAGGCTGGGTCTTTGGTTATGGAAAGAGGACGTGGCTTTTGGAGAGGTTTGAGAAGGGTATGGACTCGTTTGGGGGATAAAGAAGCAGAAATCATAGGGGAGGAGGTATAGAGAACTATTGCTGACCGTGGCGTTATTTGAATTTTATTAGGACTGTAAAGCCTTTCTGCACGGGCTGGCCTATATGCTTCTTTTAAATAATCTTTATGCTTAAGGATTGGGACGTCCTTAATAGGTTTTTTAAATGTACTGGACAAGGACTGCTCACTTCATTCATAGGTAAATGATTTTTGGGGAGAATCTGGGCTTTTCCTAGATTTTGGTGATTGCTCGTTCAAATTTATTGATAAATTCATTGAGACATTGATAGGTTTTGGAGGCTCGCCTTGGTCTGCAAACCGAAATGCATTTGAGTATTGTTTCGACTGGCAGGTACTGAAGTTTAAAGGGTAGATCCTTCTTGATGCTTTGGCAATATGGCTGGAATTATTATAATTTAGCTGAGCTCCATTTGAATTTTGCATCAGCAATGGAAAAGTGCTTTTCTGAGTTATATTTGCAGAGCTCATTTTAAGTAAATAAATATTAAAAATGTTGTATATCTCTACTGCAAAGGTAAAGCTTAATAATATTAAAAATCAAAAGAAATTTTTATTTATAACCCTCTGTGAGAAACAAAATTATATCCTTATAAAAAATCAAATATGAACAGCATATTTTAATATAAATGTGATAATTATTTTTAAAAAACCCAGCAATTACATTACTTTTCAGGCAATTTGCATTGTTAAAATATTTAAAATAAGTAGCCTCTTCAATTAGCAAGCAGCTCATTGTGTCTAAAAGGGAAGTAAGGATTGCTTTTTAGTATGAGCATTATAGATAAATGAAGTATGTTATAACGTTAATATTTAAATGCAAACTGAAAGTCTAGGAATAACTATAATCAGAACTGAAGGCTACGCACACCCTTGCCTAGGGTGCTATATTTCAGTTAATGGAAGACTTTGTGATGTAATTACTCCTTTAACGGAAGAAAATGAAGCGAATGCAGTCATCATCCCGACGAAAGGAAATTTAAGACTAGCTGTTAATACGATGGGCAAGCCAGGAACATTTTTGGGATCAGTTAGTTGCTCTCTAGATATAGCTAAAACTCAAGGCTACTATTGATTGCCTCTTCTAGACCCAACACAAAATGATAAAATTGACGAAATCCCTAACTCCTCCTTCTACTTTTTTTAAAAATTAACTTTACTTATGACAAAAAGTTTTAGCATAAAAATTTTTTATATAAAATATTTTGATATGGGTGGAAATTATTAATATAAAATTTCAACCTAATTCTATGAATTTTTTAAACAGTTTATATAAATTTTATAAATTAATTTATGTATTTTTATGATCAAAAATTAGATTTTTTTTAAAAAAACAAGAAAAAAAATTTTAGTAAAAAAAGGAGTAAAGAAATCAGTAACCCAAAAATTTTAATAGCAATTAATCCCAGAACCAACGATAATACTTCAGAAAAATTATCTAAACTTGAGGAAACAAATGACACAGAAAGATGCTCAAAGTCAAAATCTGAAATCTTATTTAATGTAGGCGATCAAAGCACCATAAAAATAGTTGACCAAGATACCGATATGGATAGTGACTATAATATCGAAATTGAAAAAATTTCGAAAAATTCTGAAAATTTATTCGGATCATCTGAAATTGAGAGGTATAAACTGCTGGCAAGACGGTATAGCTTTTTTGCGCATTTGCTATGAAAGCGGTGTGAGTTGAAATAGACGGCGAGGCCTATTTCTAAGGCAGAACTGCTTGAAAGAAGTAAGGAACAATGAATTCAGTATTTAATAGGAGAAGACTAGCAAATTTAGGGATAAATGCGAAAGATTGCTTGCTGGATTATGCTAACTCCCCCCCTCCGTGAGTGATCAAAACCATTAGAAAAATCCCTATTTTTTGCCCAAAAAACCACCCTCCGTGAGTGAACAACAATTTGATATATGAGTGATAATTAGTATAATGAAATCTCGAGTAATTCTGTTTAATTTTAAACAAATTGCATTTTAAAACATAAATTTTACAAATTAAATTAATATTTTGCTTTCCAATTTTTATAGATGTAAGATTTTTTTAAATTTCGAAAAAAAATATTTTTTATAAAATTTATATATAATTTTTTTAAAAAAAAAAACCTCCTCTTGAGTAAACAAAATTTTTTTGTTCACTCACGGAGGGGGGAGTAAGATCGGTTTGAAGGAACTGCTTTCTTGTTCTCTTGAGGTCTTATTTCTCAGGTAGAAGGGGGCCACGACAAAGGAAGACTACATCTGCTTTTATCTCAAATCAAGTACTCCCTTCTTGAAATCTCTATGCGTATTATTTCCCATTTTAGCATCTGCTATATCTCAACTCAATTCTTCTTATGGGATTCAAAATCCAACATCCTCTATCGAAGTTCAAGAGAACAAGAAAGCAGTTCCTTCAAGCCGATCTTAGCAAAATCCAGCAAGTAATCTTTCATATTTACCTTTTAAAAAGTTAAATTTACTAGTTTTCTCCTATTAATTACTGAATTCATTTTTCCTTGTTTCTCTGCCTTAGAATAGGCCTCATCATCTATTTCAACTCCCATCGCTTTCAAAGCAAATGTACATAAAAGGTATATTTTGAGCTAAAATCTGAATTAAAATCAACTTTTATTAAACTAGAAAAATCTCAAGAAAAGCAGGCAGAGCTTGAAAAAGAACTAAATTTAAAAAAAGAAAACGAATCAATTTTAACAGCCCAAATACAAGAAAAAGACAGCAGCATTTCTGCGTTAAAATCTACAATCAGCAACTTAAAAATTTGCAATCTAAGCCTAGAAAATGACCAAAAAAAGCTGCAAGATAAATTAAATAAGCACCAAAATTCAAGGGCTTTAGAAATTGAAAGCCTAAGAAGCGAAAACGAAAATCTCAAAAAAAAACTTAACCAATTTGAAACACGGACAGATAAGTTACAAAATGTTATTCATAACTTAAGTGCTGATATGAGCTTTAATGACTCAAAAATAAATGATGAAAATGTGTTTAAAGACGATTTCAAAGAAAATAAAGGCAAAAATACATCAAAAAACAAAGAAAAATGCTCAAGCCTCGACCACAGTGTGCTAAGTGATATTGATATTTCTTTAAATAACATTGTGAAAAAGCATAAATTAGAGTCAAGTTTCATTAAAAAGCAAGATCACGTTTATTCTTATGAAAATAAATCAGTTTATATCCTCCTTAGAAATGGATCATTATTTTTTAAAAGTGATAATGGCTACAAGCCGATTGTAGATCTTTTTGCGAAGCCTGGAAACCCAAGATCATTGAGCAAGGGTCAGTCAACTCCGAAAATTCAGTTAGTTACAAATAGTCCATCAAATAAACGTCATAGAAGGTTTGGGTCATCAAATATTATACTGGAGAAGACCAAAGGATTTGATTTTGATAGAACTATTGAAACCCAGAGACATCAGTCTTCAGAAAGATGCCTTTTAGGTCATGGAAATGAAAAGGGATCGAAAACTCCAAGATCGGTTGCACCTTTAACTGATAGGACAAATAGATTCAAAAATGGAAAAGCTATGCATAAGGCCCCGTTTAAATAAAATGCTTATAAATAGTCAGTCTAATTGAAATTATAAGTTAATCATTTAAGATTTAGGCTTGGTTTTCGTACTCAGCCAAGGTATCTTGTACTCTGCCATTATTTTTGATTAAGGTCACTAGGACTTCTGATTCAGGAATGAACCTACCAGCCACTTGCCTGCAGCTTACAACAAGTCTGCCAAAGTGAAAAGGAATTTTATTTTCTATGCATTTTCTTCTTAGCTTACTGAAATCATTGACGACCCTTTCCTTGTCGCTAACACTAATGCAAATGTCTCTGGGTTGCTCAATTTCATCTGAAAACGTCAAGTTTTCTTCCAACAGTGATGATATCCCTGATTTTACAGTTTTCGCAGATTTTCCTGACTCAAACAATGACCTTGGTGTATATTTTAACTTATTCTCACTGCTCACCGTTAGTCTTGCTTGCTCAAGCTGTGGAGATTTGCTTGGTGAGCTTCTTAGCACTCTTTTGGCTGGCGTTATCTCAGGTATATCGCTCTCTTCAGGGATATTTTCTTTTTTCTCAAAACTTCTCGTTCTCCTCTGAGGTAACGACACAACGTTTACTTTGGGTTTTGGCTGAGATAGCTTTTGAGCCAGCTGAGACCAATGGAATTTCAAGCTTTCTGAGGAATGGTCTATCCCCAAGCCACTTTTCAAGGCCAGATCCCAGTAACTTCTGCTTTTGGACTTGCCAGGATGCTTTTCGACGTACTCAGTCATCAATTTGTCCTCTTCGGGGGAATATTGTTTGCGATTTCCCACCTTGGCGGCTGGGATAGGCTTGGAATGCGCAATTTGGATTTCATAGTCTTTCGTTTCTTGAAGCTCGCCAAGAGTGACTGAATCTTTAACGATCTTGAATGAATAGACAGGGTGGTCTTTGGCATTTTCTGCTGGAATCCTGAAATTGACGTCAAATGGGACCAATTCGATTGAGTCTGATTCGAACTTCCTCGTCATTGTGCCGCCGTATTTCTCCACGAGCTTTCTGATCTCTTCTTTCTCTTTGCAGTTCTGCATGAAAAACTTCATTTTGTTCTTCCCGCTCGCAAAAATCTTAACCATTTTTTATAAATCTATGGGATTTTGAAAGAAAAATAGATTAAATTGATTTGTTGAAGTTGGTAAAATAATAATTATATGTGATAATGAGTAAGTATGTTATTTATATATTATGAATTTTTAATTTATTTAATGTAAAAATAGGCCCTGCTTTCTTTTCTTAATTAAAACCATTTTTCTAATCTAATTTTTATTCTATAATTTGGATAAATTTCGCAAGCTATTTATAGCCTATTTTAGCGTGTGTAAAGTAAATAGAAGATACTTACATTAATTGCAAACTCCAAAAGCTCAAAGTAACATAAAGGATTATCTTAAAGCTAGGGACAATTGTTTTGGTGAGTTATAATAAGCCTTAAACACAATAAACTCAGCAAGAGATCTAAATGCTTCTTTTAGCCAAGATATAAACCAGAGACCTAATAATTTATTAAAGTAAGCCTGAGCTAATCTAAAAAATCAAACTAAATAAGCTAAATCAAAAACAAAATTTATTGAAAACTTCATCATTTAGCATATTGCAGCAGTATTTAAACTATTTTCATAAGTTTTAATTACCAAAACAATGCTAAAATGGGAGTAAAAGGCCTGCTTCTAGGGTTAAACAAAATTGGTTGGATCATAGCAGGAAAATGCAGCGAATGCATCAATTTAAGTGTATGAGATCGTGATTTTGCAACTTCAAAGGCACACTCAGAAACTTTTGGAACAAATCCAATACTAGCTCCCAATCCTTTCAATAATGACTGCAGTGATATAAATATTTTCTTTTCTCTAACAAGCACTGATGTGGAATTACTTAGATTATCAGAACCTGCAATCTCCTTTAAGCCAGGAGCCATCTGGATATCTCATTCTGGCTATTCTGAAGCTAATTTTGACTATTTAAATAAAAGAGGCTTAGAATCGGTCTCCGCGATCATACCAGACGAGCCTGAAAAGATCGGATCAGACAGCTGCACAATAATGGCTCAAGGCAAGGAAAAAACCATTCTAAAAATTATTGGAATCCTTCAAATGATCGGTCAAGTCAATATTGAAAAGTAAAGATTTTTTTAAAATAAATAATCTAACATCCTAAACCATTAAGTGGCTGTTCTCTTTCATTAATTATAAAGTAAAAGATACTAAAATTCAGAAAATGGTAGATCAGATCAAGAAACAATTAATAATGATCATGATGGCTTTTATCTTATCCTGCACTGTTTTTATTATTGCGTCTGTAGAGCCTCTTGACTCTTATCAAGTGGCAAAATACGCCAAACTCTATTCTAGCTTTACCGGAAAAAGTGAAAATAGCACCACAAGCATACTAAGTCAAATTTACCCAGAAATTAACCAGCAGCTTTATATCGGAAAATGATTTGTAAATGGCAAGCTAGATAATTTTGATAATTCCGAAGGCAGAGCACGTCTAAGTATTGGGTATGACCACAAAAAGCTTAGCTTTAAATTGAATCTGTTTGATGGAGTGTGAGAAAGCAACACTTTGATGGTCTTTGTAGCCCAAGGGGTTAGTTTTAATGAGAATCTGCATATAGCTGCCCACGAAGGAAATATTACTGTAAAATATCATGGAAAGAAGACATATTGTGAAGGGATGGACTATATAAAATTTGAAAAATTAGACAATCAATATCACATGAAAGGGTCAATAATTTCTTCAATTTGTCAATTTAACATAAAATTCGATCTATATGAATGTAACCTAGAAATCCAGAAAAAACCTATCGTGACTTATAGTCTATTTGTATCACTTCTATCAATTTTACTAATTTTTGCATTGGCGAGCCATATTCAAGAATGCAGCTTATCTGAGTCTTATGCAAGAAAAACCTCCCCTGTGATGCTAGCTATATTAGCTTCTTCGGAATTTGAGCAGTGCATGTGGCATTTCACCAAATCTTTTTCGTCGCATTTTACATTTGACTACTTTATGCTTGCGTCGTTCTGGAATTTGACTGTTTTTATTATTATTCATGGAAGATTGATGGTGATTGTGTGGAAAGCTAATAATGCTCCTTATGATGAAGAGTCTTCTGATGAATTTAGAGTTATTTTTGGAAAATATGAGACGAAATTGATAGTTATCATGTTTTTTATTGTATCATTTTCAGCCATTTCTTGGATTTTCAGGGGAGTTCTGATTATTATTTTTCAAAGCTTTTTATGACCTCAAATCTATAAAAACGCTGCAGATGGCACAAAGCAATCTATAAGCACATTTACTCTGACAATCATAATTCTGACCAAAATTCTAATTTTCATATATTTCAATGGAAACGCGTTCAATTTTCTTGTTTATGAACCGCAGCCAGTTTTATGCTGCTTATTTTGTATCCATTTATTAACTCAATTTTTCATTATTTTACTGCAATCCACTGATTTAGGACCAGGGTTTATTTTTCCGAAGTTTCTGCTACCAAATCGTTATAGTTATTTTAGGACAATCGAAGAAGAAAAAAAAATAGTCTGTGAAGACGCTGATTGTATAATCTGTATGACGCCATTAAATTTGCCTCAGAACTGAGGCTTGGAGATCTCAAATGTGGCTCCAACTATGCATTCTCCGTGTGGACATAGATTTCACAGAGATTGTCTCTCTAAATGAATTAAAATCAAAATGGATTGCCCTACATGCAGAGGGTTGCTGCCTGAAATTAATTAGTATGCTTGAGGTTAAAGAAAATGATAAAATCTTAATTTTAATTTTTTTATTGGTTTTTCAATAGAATTAAATCTAATTTTTCTTTATATCCGCTGCATGAATTATAATACCTCTCACGAGGCAAAAATGGCTTCACAAACGGAGATCTATGAATTCATATATAAAAATTATTTGTTTCTTCAAACATTTCTCTAATCGTGAAGGGCAGGGATAAGGTAAAATTCTAATTCTCAAATAAGACAGATTAAATTAAGAGAAAAATAGCATTAATTTTTCTGATGAAGACAATTCATAAAAAGCTGCTCTCTATTTGGTTTCACAACCCCGCTGAAAATGTTTCAAATTTCTTCAAAGGAATTGTGTCAAACACAATACAGGCTTCTCGATCTGCAGCAACCACAAGCTTTTCCTATGCCCTTCGGTGATTTCTACATAGAGTGTTTTTAATTTCTGCTTTATTCTTCAGCTTATTCATAGCAGCTGGAATTCTGTATGGCTCCGCATATTACTTTTTTATGCCTTACTCGTTCCAGAAAATCCCAATTTCACTCCATTCGTCACTACTGTAAATTAAATTCAGGGACAAAAGAGGATCAGTGATAGTAGGCCAAGAAATAATTCTGGAAAACGAAAATTACCTTGCATCAGTTCTGTTTGAGCTCCCAGAAAGTCCTGAAAACTTTGACTGCGGCAACTTTGACGTTGAAGTTTTGCTTGATGACGAAATCAAAGCAAAAGGGATCGGGATCATGAAATATTACAGTCCTGTTATCCGGATGCTTCGGAGCTTTTTGAAAGCATTTTTAATTGTGACTGGGCTGATTGATGAGAGCCAGTCTGTAAAAGTCAGCTTGCCACTTAGTATTACTGATGCAAGCAATTTTGAAAAACTGGAAATAAAAGTCTCCCCTAAAAATTTACAGGTTTATAGTGCCTGGCTGTATTTAGAAGTCCAGCTAACAGGGGTGAGGTTTTTGGCTTTTCATTATTTTTATACTTGCCTTATTGTTGGGACGCTATCGTTGTTTACATTTGAAATATCAGGGATAGTTTGCTATATTCTTTACTTAAAGTATGTTAAAAAGGTATCTGGGTTTGCATTGAAGTTTATTCCTGAAGAATTTCTGTGTCCAAAAATCCAAAAAGAAACACTAGCTATAGAAGAATTTCCGACTGATTTTTCTCATATATTAAAGCCAGCTCCTCCTAAAAAGGAAAAACTCATAAAAAAATTGAAGCATCAATTGGTCAAACTTAAAAATGAACTAAAATTTTCATAATGCATATCTAATATAATCTGTTGGTAAAAATTTCTTATGGACGTTATACGCGCCATTTTGATATGAAATTTCAATTTATGAATTTGCCGCACTAAAATCTGCGTTTGAAACGCATATTTGATTTTCACATACCAAATTCAAAATGACATGCATATGCATGATAAGAAATTATTGCAATGCATAATAAATTTAGAGAAAAATCCCACTCTTTAATCAGGCCTGAGCTATAGTTAAAATCGTATATTTAAGCTAGTATAGGGTTTTCTTTATTTCTATTGAATTATTAGATAAATTCCTTAAGCGAGTCGTAAAAATAATTATTGTTTCATTAATAAGAAGTTATCTTGACATTAAAGAATCAACAGCCCTAGAAATGTCACCTTGTGAATCAATTAGCGCATCTAATATATCATCGTCTTGGTTGAATCCCATCTGTTTAATTGAATTTATTTCTGATTGATACTTCTCTTTTTGAGCTTTTCTTACTGTTCCTCCAAGTCCTCCATACATAACTGGGCATCCATGTAATAGAGGTCGGCCTGTATTTATCATTTCCATCACTTTTCTATGAGTATCAGGATCATCAAGTCGGTGTTTGATATGCTGTAAAAGCTCAGGATCAGATGAAAGCCTTTCTCCTGACTGGGGATCTCTTAAAATTGCTGCCAGTTCTTCAATTGAAAGATTTAGCTGAGCAGGATTAGGATCGATATGTTGTGCCATGCTAAATGATATCAGAAATACCAAAATAATATATAGAAGTTTCCTATGTTTGGCGCTGTAAGGCCGATAAATTCTGATCGGAATTTATCGGTAGGTTGCACCAAATCAATGCCTTGGTCGGACCAAAAAGCGATTTGGTCCGACGAACTTGGAAAGCTCCTGGGAAAATGTCTGCGCTTTTAGCGCTATATAGAGGAAACCTCTATACATTTTTCTACTATCAGGAAATAAGAAAAATTTAGGTTAATGTGTTTTATTAAGACTTTACGATTTTCCGAATAAGTGAGTTAGCGTCGATCGATATGTTGGTTTGATGTATTCAGGCTCATTATTAAGGAAATATGTAAGTGTTCCCATTGCTAATCCCATTAAAAATACTTCAAAATATGGGATCCTGAATACCCATTTTCTGCTTCTCAGCATATTTCAAATAGTTTCAATAGCTCTTGGTAATAAATAAAGGGTCAGTTCGGTCTTTCTCCCAGGATTCTCAATAAGTATCGAAAGACTGGCAAGAGGTGTTATAAGAAGCCAGTTCAGTCTTGTCGTTCCTTTGAAAAGTCTATTTGTCAAACATCTTAAATAGACAGTAAGTCCTCCAATTAAAGCCCCAAATGTGGTTGACTTGAGGATATTAATTGCCAGGTGCTTAAGCATAGGAATTGGGTCTCGTTTTAGCTGTCTAAGCTTGAAAATCAAAACAGGAAGGATATGCGCTGGTGCATAAAAAATGAAGGTAAGTTTGTACATGATCAGGACCCTTTTGATGAAATCATATTCGCAGGAGTTGTCAAAAGCTATTGAGCAAGGCACATATTCGCCGGCTCGGAATTTTTCGATCAACTCTGGGGTGTATTTTTTCACCGGATCCATGGATAACAATTATAAATGCAGATGGTGAACTTACAAAAGTAAATATGGATGGACGATCCTTTTAAAGTATATCTTAGCTTAACCTACGATTAATTACTAAACTCCTTTTCTTGATTGAGCAAAATTTTAGGCTAAATTATGGATAAGGATTTATTTAAATTACAACATTAAATTTCAAAATAAATTATTGATGGAAATTTGAAAATAAAAGTGATTTAAATTATAAGATTGATGGTGAGATTGAAATTTCTAAATATAATGCATATATTTTTTGCACTCTAGCAATGGTAAAGTAGCAATTTGAAAAGCCAGCTGATAATGACAAATGTCATTTTCTCGGCAAACTATGTTTGGCTACACAATAGAAGATATAGATAAAAATTGTCAACTAAATGAACTTGTCTGGAAAAGGTAGCTGTCATCGCCATTTTCATTTGCCAGATTGCTGCTTTCCCTCTTAAGGTGTTGCTTCTCAGCGATATAAATGGGTACTTGGGCTATATTATAAATTAGCTAGAGTATTCGTCATAATAGTATATTTGCATATCAAAAATTTTTATTTATAAAAAATTTTGTTCTTGCTTATTGAAGTTAATGCCCTAAATAAGTTTTTCCAATGGTTTTACTCTATTGCTGATGGGGTAAGCTGTTGTAAATTAATTATGGTAAATGTCAGGAAAAATCTTATATAAATCAAGTTAAGTTTATCGATTAAGTTTTCTTTCCACGTCTCTTTTCACAAGCTCCAAGCCTGCTTCGTCAAGCTCTTTAAAGTAGCATGCCTTTTGGTCGTGGTTTTTCCTAGCAAACACTTCCCTTAAGGTATTTAATCAAAACATTTTATTTTAAGCCATTTACTCGGCAAAAACCTAAATTTTTCGACCCAAATATCTTACGAAGAAAATATTTCAGCTAGATATCGAAAAAATATCTTCAAGACAATCCTCCCAAAGAAAAATACATATATAGCCTCTTTTAATAGTGCTAAGACTGCGCAGAGGATGTTTTCGTTCCTTCCTTCTCCTTCTGGTTTAGCTCTTTTTACTCTGTTTCTGCTTTCAGAACTTGTAACAGGTCGTTTTGGCTCCTCCTTTTTAATTGGAGCCAAGTTTTGGCCATTTTGGCTTGGAGAAGGCTGCTGGTCTCCTGTAGAGTTCCTTTCTTCTGGAGTTATCGCTTGATTATCAAGCTTTGACAAATTAGGAAGATGACTTATTATGTATTGTCTATAATTCGGATTTTCTGCACATGGATTATCCCACAGCCAAAGTACTTTCAGATTGGGCAAGTTTTGCAGATACCTGACTTCGCTTACATCTGCAATTAAATTTTTCCTTAAATAGAGCTCTGTAAGCTTGGGGCAGTTTCTGAATTCACGGAGACTGGCAATTTTATTTACACTTAGTGATAATACTTCGACATTTGGCATATCACGAAGGATTCGGACGTCATCAATGTCGTTTCCCCATAGATTGAGGTTTTTTACACTATCAAGACTCTCTGCTTTGCTTCTGCTGAGGACGAGTTCTTCGGTCAAAGGTTTTCCCATTTTAGAAATTCAATTTATGTGTATTTAAAAATATATGAATAGTAAATATTATCTATATAATATAAATATTAATATTTAAAAGAAAAACGTTTTACTTAAATAATTTATGCTTAATTATAATAAGTTATTCTATTTAGGGATTACAAAAATAGTGATTCTATTTAAGGTAAATGGACATAAATAGACTGATTTAAATGGATAATAAATTAAGCTTCCTTATCCAATAGGCTCAATCTTCTTACTCAATCGAGCATTTGCAGCAGTGACTTCTCCTTCAGTCGCAAACATATTGAATATCTGCTCAAGCGTAGTTTGGCTTACTTTCCTATCCTTTTAATTGGAACAAAAGATTCTGTTCCTATTTTAATTTTTCATAATAAAAAACAATTTTTATAAAATTTAAAAAAATAAATTCGATGAATATTTATATTAGATTATTTTTAAAAAGAATTAATTTAAAATATAAATCGATTAAACATTTAGCTGTTTAAATAGCATCCTACTTGAACTTCCTCATTAAATTAAGTCATATAAAAATTCATTATTATACTATAAAATTTTCTGTTGAAAAAATAAAATTTTGTCTCCAATTTAAATGTGGCTTAATTTCCACGCATATTTTTTTCTAATTTTAAAAGGGGAGTTTAGCGAATACTCACTCACGCTCATTTCTGCTTTATGATGCTCTATCTTCCCAAATATCTCTCCAATGCTAATACCTTCTTGTTTTTCTAGTCTAAACTTGAAGTACGTCCCATAGTGTTCTGCTAGGCTAATATTATTAAAGTGTGACACAAGCCAACGGTAAATTTTCTGCCCATACCCTTCGATGATGCACCACTCAATCAGAGAACTTACCTGAACACTATGAAGATCATTAAGCTCATCTCTTATATGTGACCCTGACCCTTGCTTTGAAATTTCTGACATCAGTTCAGGACACTCCAAAATTTCTAATGCATATTGCAAATCAGCTTCTTTGACAGCGTCCACATTTAGCCTTGACTTCAGCTTATTTACCCATTGAGAAGTCTCTTCAGAGCTCGGATAGGTGACTTTTGTGAATAGCTCATATCCACTGCTGAATTTATTCTTAATGTGAGTCGCTGTGCCATAGCATCTCAGTCTGCCTCCGACCATAATGGCAATATTATTGCATAAAGCTTCTGCTTCGTCCATAGAGTGAGTCGTCAAAATGATGCTGACTTTTTTCTTTTTGATGGCATTTATCACTCTCCACATGTTTTTTCTTGCTTCTGGGTCCATTCCTGCACTAGGCTCGTCAAGAAATACAACTGGTGGGTTTCCAATGCATGCGATGGCCACTGAGAGTTTTCGCTTATTTCCTCCACTCAATGCCCCAGCCCTTACCTTGGCGTATTTTTCAAGTCCCATATCTTTAAGCTGCCTATCGACAAAGTGCTGGACTAGAGGTTTAGGGATTCCTTTAATTCTGGCATAAAGTCTGAGGTGCTCTGTTGGGGTTAATAACTCACTGAGGGCGTCAAACTGTGGACAGTAGCCAATGTTGTATCTGGCTTCTGAAAGGTTTTCGACCACATCATAGCCATTGATGTGGGCAGATCCTTTTGTGGGGCCATACTCGCCTGTGAGGATTCTAAACGTGCTTGTCTTCCCTGCACCATTTACCCCTAGTAATGCAAAAGCTTCTTGGAAGGGCACGGCGAAGGAAATTTCTTGGATAGCAATTTTTACTTGTTCTTTATTAAAGAGACTTCCATAGATTTTTCTGATCCCGCAGACTCTGACAGCGACATTTTTAGGGTCTGTGCTGAGGACTTCAGCTTTTACCCTTTCTACGTCGTCATCTGGCCTATACAAGTTTTCACCAGGGTCATGGGCCGCTCCCATATTTCTGAACCATTGTACTGTGCTGATCCATTCAATAAGGAAAATTGCAATCAGTCCACCTATTGTATGGAAAACTAGAAAGGCTACATCAGCTCCAGCAATATCCCAATTTAAAGGTGCCTTTAGGTGGCTTTCTCCATATGCAGATTCATATATATTTCTATTCGCAACATTCATAATCCCAAACCCAAAGCAAAAAATCGGTGAGCTGATTCTTCCTATATATTGTAAAACGTCTGCCACATGTCTGGTGTCGTCTGAAATAATCCTCAGTGTTCATACCACAGTAGCTAGAATTGCCCCAGTAATTAAGTTATAGATAAAAATGAAGAACTGAGCTATTGAGTAGCTCTTGAATAGAAAACTGGATGCATAGGTAAATGGACAGATAGCGCATCCATAAAGAATGAATAAAATTCAGACTGATATGAAAACGCTGCTGTCTGAAGTCAAGCTTTGGAGGTCAAAAGCAGAGATAAGAAGGACTGATACAACTCCTGGGATCATATATTTGGAGAGATCCCAGGCATAAGAAGACAGCCAATATGCAGGGATTGAGACACCACTGACCAGATGTTGATGCTTGACGTTATTTTCTCTTTCTTTGACTATAAAAGTAACGAGCCCAGTAGGAATAAATGCCATACCAATTGAAAAAATCATAGAGACATAAAATGTTCCGGTGTTTTGACCAATCCCAAGCTGTTTGTGAGTCAATGGAAGAGGGTCATTATAAAGGTTGATTTTAGGAAAAGTCCCATAAGCATGCTGTAGGATGCTGTTTCCAATCAAATTCAAATAGGTAGGAGTAGACTGAAGTGAAGTCGTGTTTTGGAATACAACGACTGAGTATTGATTATTGGCAGTCTCATAAAAGTAAAAAGAACCCATTCTATACGGGTGATGGTTCCTCATATCATAAGTTGTCTGGTCAAAGTCATCTAGCGTTGCCGCAGATACATTAGTGCTAGTCATAAGCTTCTTTTGAGTAGTCTGCATGTTTTTCATGATATTTTCTACCACAGCATTATTTGTAGGGTTGTTATACAAAATATTCTGTGGGTCGCTATACAAGTTCAAGCTTTCTTTCATTGATTTTTGGTCAGTGAACACATTGAATTTCGTCAACAAAGCAAGCCCAAACAGCACCAGCAGGATAGGCAGCACAATTTCCAGCACAAATCCTTTATAGTCTCTCCACGAGTATATTATCCTTTTTTGTGTTAGCGCCCAGAAATGAGACGCAAAAAGAACCCCTCTTTCTCTATCAGTAGCAATATTGAAATTTTTCCCTTTTGGGTCTTCTACTTCTAGCTGTTCACCTGTAAAAGGAGCATCATTAGAATTGAAGCTCTCAGTAAATCTACTGACTTCGGCGTCATCTAAGGTAATGCTTTTTCGGTTGACTGTATTTTTGTCATCGTCACCTCTGGCGACTCTTAAGAAGACTTCTTCAAGAGTTGTCACTGACATTCCGTAAGCTTCAATTTTGAGGTCGTCTTTTCGTTTGTCGAGCTCTTTGAAGAAGTGGCTAAAAATGGGAGAAGCTGATAGAGGGATTTGGAAAGTAACGATGACCCCCCCTCAATCTTCATGTCTACTGCAACAAAAATTTTTCGAAAAAATCTTCATGCCTACTGCAACAAAACATTTTTATAAAAAAAATTAATGCATTTTTCTCTAGGTGAGTTTCTCAAAAAACCCATAAAACAGCGCTGCTGTAGGTGTCTCAATGACTTCTCATCGAGATTTGGACGGCTATTGCCATCGCTCGCCATTTTATTAAACTTATCTAGCTAAAAAGTACGGAAAAATTTAAGATGCGCATCGAAAATTTGTTGCAAGAGGATCAAGATTATTACAGACAGGCGCTAGCCATATTGATGACGCAGTCATTAAAGAACTCCCGTACGGAAGGTTCTATCGCTTTTGGACTCCAGTCCAGAGGATCTATCCCTCTTACGAGAGTGCCCTTCCGATATCTTCTGTCTCCTCCTTGCCTTGGGAGCTCAGTCTTGAGTGGGCGGCTTATGGATTTCTGCTGCTCTGCTACGGGCGATTGGAGTAGCTTGATTCCAAGGATCCTTGGAGTCTATTGGGTGTCAAAGCGCCTTCTTCGACAGCTACAGGAGAAAGACTGTTCCCCTTGGCCTGTGCCGAAACCCCCAGTTTCTCGTTAGAGGAATATCCATGGGTCCTCGGATCCAAGGACGTTGTTGAGCACCTCCATTTCCAACAACAGGAAAGCAGCCAAAACCTACCCGGATACACACTTCTTGAACCTGCGTCTGATTCTCGGCTTGGAGTCCGTCCCAGTTCGCCGTAGCCATAAGGTCTGGACTGCTGCGCCCAAGAGGGCAGGTTGACCCGTGTCGCCATTTTAATAAGTATATGATTTGTTGCAAGAGTCATGAAAATTATTATTTTTTTTTATATAAAATTTTATATTAAAAAATTGCATTTTTGTTGCATAGACATGAAGATTGAGGGGGGGTCATCGTTACATTCGGCTGAGACGTCGGAAAGCACTTCTGCTTCTGGGATTATTTTTTGGACTAGGTCTTTTATTTTGTGGGATGTTTCTTTATCTGTGGCGCCAATGTTTTTAACTATAGTTATGCTTAGTGTCAAGAATAAATAAGGCTATTAGTAAGCCAAAAGCTTGTTTTTTAAATAAAACACCCTTTATGGCGGCTTATAGGATAAACAATATTTTTATATGGTTTAAATTATACCCCACTCCAAACCTATTCTTAAGGAACAAAGGACTTCCAAGACAGTTCACTTTCCCATCAGCCATAATTGCAATTCTATCTGCCAAAATATCTGCTTCTTCCATATAATGTGTCGTCAAAATAATAATCCTTCCTCTCTTATCATTCCTCAGCATATCCCACATTCTTCTTCTGGCCGTCAAGTCCATCCCAGACGTCGGCTCGTCCAACATAACTATACTAGACCCTCCAATCAGGGCGATCGCCAACGACAATTTCCTCTTTTGGCCTCCTGACAAGTTTCCAGCCCTTGTATTTCTCTTATCCTCTAAGTCGACTTCTTTAAGCTTTTCATCAATAGCCTGCTTGATTTCTTCTTTATTAGACACTCCTTTAAATCTACAGAACATATATAAATGCTCATAAACTGTAAGATTTTTGAAAAGGATATCATGCTGAGGACATACTCCAAGGTTCTTTCTGATTGCTGGCATTTCAGTTCTGAAATCATGGCCATCTACAGTCATGCTGCCTGATGTAGGCTCCAGAAGCCCACTCAGCATTGATAAAGTGGTAGTTTTTCCTGCACCGTTATGTCCTAATAAGGCGAAGATTTGGCCTCTGAACATGTCGAGGTCTATCCCATCCACTGCGATTTTATTGCCAAAATGTTTTCTCAGTCCTCTTACCACCATAGCTTGGTTTGCTTCAATCTGTTTTAGCAGCCCAGGGTCTGGTTCTTCAAAATTCTTATTTGCTTTATTTTCTCTTCTTCTTTTATCCTCATCTTCCTTCATCATTTCAATAGCAGCCTCGTCTAATTCTGAATCATTTGTATTTTTTCCTGTCCAAAATGATTTTGTGAAAGGAAAATACCATTTCAGAGCTACTCCATATTGTGAAGGGACGACTTTATCGAAATATAAAGCTAAAAGTGTATAGAGGACAGTGTCGATTGTTAGCATGATTATAGAAATTTGGACTGAATAATTTTGGTACTCATTGCCAGAAGTGCTGAAATTGACTTCGACTTGGTTTCCTTGTAAAGAAAGAAGAGTAAAAAAGCCTTGGCTCATGGCGACTGTGTTAAAAATTGATAAACCGACCTTGGTTCCTGCAGGAGTTGTCTGGGTAACTGCAAATAAGGTGAAATAAGTGACAAAAAACACAAGAACGCCGACTAAAATTGCAGTTTTCGCCTTACTCCCCCCTCCGTGAGTGAACAAACCCATTAGAAAAATCCCTATTTTTTACCCAAAACACCCACCCTCCGTGAGTGAACAAAAATTTTTTTTAATAAAAAATTTTGATATATAAATGATAATTAGTATAATGAAATCTCAAGGTAGTTCTGTTTAATTTTAAACGAACTGCTTTTTAAAACATAAAATTTTGCAAATTGATTTGATATTTGCTTTTTCCAATTTTTGAGAATTAAGATTTTTTTAATTTCGAAAAAAAAATATTTTTTTATAAAATTTATATATATATTTTTTATATAAAATTTATATATAAAAATTTTTAAAAAAAAAAAAAATTAGCCCCCCTCCGTGAGTGAACAAAAATTTTTTTTGTTCACTCAAGGAGGGGGGGAGTTAGAAAAGAAAGAGCTCATCAAGCAGCTGAATGCGATGCATGACATGCCATACATGAAGAACAGCAAAAATACCAAGAATTTGTTGGAGTAGTTAAAAAGTTCCCAGCCGACTAATGTGCAGAGCACTGAAATAAGGCCATAAATACAAATGTACATGAGAAACCAAGACACCCAATAAGGCGTATCAGTCAGTCCCATCATTTTCATAGCCTCCTTCACCTTAGTTTCTTTTTCTGTTGTGATTTTGTTGATCAGCCTTGAAACTGGTACAAGCGACGTAATGAACATAAAAAAGCCAAGCGTCCCTGCAAAATTTAGCATAAAATTGTCTTGGATGTACTTCATCCCATGGAACGGGACCATGGCAGTCTGCAGAAATGCAGTATCTCCTAATTTGTCTGTTAAAAAGTAATTGTAAACTATGTTCTGAATGTGATTAGATTAATTAAATTATAGAGGTATTTAAGATTTTTCTTCACCAGCATCAGGTTCTTCAAGCAAGGGTCCGGCGGTCGAAAGAGTGCGGAGGTATCAAATCTGGAAGATCTTAAGACTCTTAATTTAATAATTTAGTGTCTCAGCCAAGGAAAAAATAGTATATCCTTAAAAAAACAGGATAATCTACAGGGACTAGGATCACTCAGGACCCCTTTCAACTCGCAATCTTTTAAAAAGTATGCTGAATGTGAAGAAACCCAGATTTGACGAAATTGTGCTGGTAGGTCTTGATAACACTCTTCTGATACTTGTCAACGGCTGGATAAATACTTGTCAAGAAAATATCATACCATGTGCCATATACGGTTTGGTCGTTCGGATTTGTGTCTGTTGCGTTATATCTGATCTTTAAAGTGACGTCTGCAGGAGTTCTATCTGCGAGCTGATCGTACTTTATGTTGACAGAAAAACAAATTTTTTGATGATGTTTGTCGTCGTAGTCAGAATCAGTTATATAATCTTCAAGGTTTTTGTTGGCTTTAAACATGCGTGGCTCTGGAGCTGTGATATTATATAGTCTGAGCTTTATTTTGGCTCTATTTCTCCTGAGAGCTGATTTTGCCAATTTTATATGGTCAAGCCATTTTATAAAATGGCTTACTCCCCCCTCAATTAACGAAAGCATTGGAAAAATCCCTATTTTTTGGGATTTTTTTAAGTATTTGTTCAATAAAATTATATAAAATAAAATTTAACCTCCCTCCATAAGCAAACAAAATCTTTTGTTCGCTCATGGAGGGGGGAGTTAGTAATTTTGCCAGGCGATCTACCATTTGATGAGCTGATTTAATAACTAAAATTGGCTAAACTGACTTCTCAGTGCACTAGAAGCTGCTGGAAAAGCCCAAGTTAAAGCAAAGCAAGGCAATAGCTGACAAAGTATTTGCTTATTTCACTTGCTAAGCTTCCTACTAAATTCTTTTGGTCTGCTTCAGTAGCATTTCCAGTTATAACATAAGCCCAAGTCCAATTGTAAGGAATAACTAAAGCGCACCAATTAAAAGGATAGACAGAGTTTTCTGACTCTCCAACATTAAGAAGATCTAAGCCTGATAATTAAAATTTTTGAGCATTTTAAACATAAAAATTATTCGAAAATAAATAAATTCATCTCTATTATATAAATTATTTAATAATAATTATTTTTTTTTATATTCAAATATCATTAAATCTTTCCAAATCATTATATATATATTTCTTAATTTTCCTTTTGTTTCTCATTGGAGAGTGAGAAATCTGAAACATTATAGAGCGACATATTTGCTGTTCTGAGAGGTGCAATGATTTGGCCGTCATCCAAATGTGATTCTGCCTTCTTGTGAGAAGCTGGCAAGGCGAATCTTAACAAAAGCATAAAGGTGATAAGGATCACTGGGAAGAGAATTTCACAAGCAGAACCAACAGCTTCTCTTTTTCATACAAGCCAGTTCTTTAGAGACAAAGCTCTTAAATGACTGCGCAAAGTCATATTTATTCAACAATATATTAATTCATAGTTTCACCACTATATAATAGCTTTAAGGTGCCAAAATTATAAAAATTGAGGTAGAGTTGTCAAAATCCAAGAATTTTCATTAAAAAGTCAGGAAATTTTATACTAAATTTATGGGAGAGCTATGTGGAAAGAGCTTACCAGTTATAAATTCGATAGATTAGCATTTGCTTGCTATTATAATTTATATAGGGAAGGGAGAAGGCTTTAAGGGTAAAGCTGAGAAAAAGATTCTCGTTTAGGCTATTGCTTACTCTCTTCCTCCGTCAGCGAACAAAAAAATCTTGCTCGCTCACGGAGGGGGGTTAATTTTTTTTTTAAAAAATTTATATATAAATTTAAGAGAAAAAAATTTTTTCGAAATTTTAAAAAAATCCCATTTCGCAAAAATTGGAAAGCAAATATTAATTTAATTTTATAAAATTTATGCTTTAAAACGCAATATGCTTAAAATTAAACAGAATTAGCTAGAGATTTTCACGATAATAGTTATAGAAATTGCCCGAGGATGGAGCTATTTTGCGCCATCCTCGGGCAATTTCTATATCACTTATATATCACAATTTTTTTCATAAAAAAAAATTTAATTAAAAAACTTTGTTTGTGGAGGGGTTTTTTGGGCAAAAAATAGGAATTTTTTCAAATGGTTTTGTTCGCTCACGGGAGTTAGTAAAATATAAAAACTTTATGACATCATAATTCATAAAAAGGTATCTTTATTTAATAGTGGCTTAATTTTTCAACATTTAAATTTCTATTTCTATGGTATAGGAGTTTTCCCTATATGGCCCGATAAGGGGCCGCGGGTTCTCCGTGGAATCCCTCTGCTGGTTGAACCAACCAGTGAATTGGTCAAACCAGCGCACTGAGTTGGTTTGACCAACAGAGGGATTCTACGGAGAACCCGCGGCCCTTATCGGGCCATATAGGGAAAACTCCTATATTTCTTGAAATAATTTTTAAATAAAAAAGCAGATATCGAAGAATTTCTATGTAAAGAATTTATTAATCACATATATACTGATTCTTCACTCAAAGTTCTTCAGTTTTTTTATACCTTTAATATGAGCAATAAATAAATAATGATCACTTTCCATTATTCATCCTGAAGGTCTCACAATTTATTTTGATTATTTCCATTTATCTCCTGCACTGACTTTGATTATGTTATTACCAATAGATATAAAAATAAAATCTTAAAAATGGGCTCATGCACTTCTATATCATATTCTAGAAACCTCAAAAGAAAATTGCCTCGCTCCACAGAGTCAGACATCGACATTGACCAAAACGGATCCTCTGACCAAAACGGATCTCCTGACAACCATTCTAAAGAGAACGTCGTTGCCATTGAACAATTTATCCAGATACTTATGAAGGAGCAACTAATCCGAAGGAAGATTAATGAAGCTCCTCCATTGCTTATATCAAAGAGCGACCTGTATAGTAGAAGACTAAACCAAATGCAGCATGCTTAGCTGTAAAAAAAACTGTGTTATTAATGTTTTAAATTAATTCAAGTATTTTTTTGATTAAAAGCTTGAAAGCAATATAATTATAATAGATCTCAAGCTTAGACTCTCTAAGAATATTTAAATATTTCTTCTAAAAATAATTCTCTTTTTCTTGCAGGAAACAATGAAGATCAGAATGTTGAAAATTTTTGAATTTTCAATGAAAGAGAATATTGACAGAACTATTGAGACTTTGGATTCGATTGAGCTTAAGATCTTTTGATTTTCAACTTAAAAACAATTTAAGCATTAATAGACTTAATGTAAAACTTGTCCAAAATTTTTCTAAAAATTGTAGTTTTTTAGATACTCTACATCAAAATCCATCCACCAGGATTATGCAAGCCACTCTTCAAAGTATTTATAAATTTGGATATATTATGAGAAACTCTAGATCAGTTGTTAGTTTGCATGATTTAAAGCTGTTACAAATTTCGAACAATAAAAAAGAGTTTGAGATCAACAAAAGTAAAATTTATAAAATTTAAGACAAAAAATTTGAAACCAATATTTTAAAAATGATATAAGAGTTAGGCTTAAATTATACTTTGGGTCTGTACTTAAAATAGCATTAACTTTTGCGAAATTATAAAAAGTCTTTCTGAGTATTAGTAGTAATTGATGAGACGGAATATTATTAGTAATCAACTAGAGAAAGTTTATTAGACTTTTGAACTCAAATTCTTAATTATATACTCAAGAGTAGGTATGGCTTAGGATTGAGCGTCCTTTCTTTCATTATGAGTTTCAAATATCAATAATATTTTTTTAGTTTGTTTTTGAGTAAATAAAATCTGCAACTACTAGGAGGATGAGCTATAATAAAGGATGAAAAGCCGACCATCACTACACTTGCGGCATAAACTTAAAAGAAATTCTAGAATTCTTCAAGAAATTGTCTAAATTTCATATATGGGCGAAAATCATTGAATAATCATAATTTATTTTCTTTAACAAATAAATATTTCTAATACTTTATATATTTATTTCTTAAAAGCTACTAATTTAGAGATATCAGAACGACTTAGCATAGTCCTCATGAACTTAAATATTTATGTACAAATCATTATTTTAAGTCTCATCAAAAAGACATCCCACATATATTCGCTTTCTTTTCTAGCATCTATACAATAGACATTTATCTGTATTTATTAAGAAATCCCAACAGCGCCAATAAGAAAATTTATTCAAATCTTTACACATAAATGGAAGCAAACCCTAACTCAGAGGAGGCCAGAAAGCGCTTTGAAGAGCGATACGAGCAGAATGGTAATTAATATCCAGTAAAGGATTTACAAAAATCCAAAGAAGATTTCCAGAAAAAGAGGTCTGAAGAAATGAACCCAGATGAGTGCGTGGCCAATTTCGATCTAAGATTTGCTGAAAAAATCCGCGGAATCAGAGAAAAGCTGCAATCTTTGACAAGAGAAGACCCAGTAAACGAAAGAATCGAAGAGCTCCGGAGAGAACTTTTGACTTGTTCTGAGCTACTGAACCAATCCGTCCATTTTTTAAATTCTTACACAATCATGCAAGGGCAATTCCTCATTACTCAGGTGCAGGACGAAATTTCTAGCACCCAGCAGAACCTTGCCCCAAGGAAGAAATTTGCCTTTTCCAAGCGTGCAGCTAAAAAAGAAAACACAAATAGCAATTTGGAGATTAAACAAGAGGAGAAATCTCAACTGGTGCTTGAAGGGATCAGGGACCAAGCTGGAGGAATCTTTTATAAAACTCCACAAGATATGCAAGGAGTCAGTAGTTATCAATTGCAGAACTTAGAGAACTGTGAAATTGTCATATCAGCTACTTTAAATGCAATTCATATGGTCGGGCTAAAAAACTGCCATGTGTTTGTAGGAGCTGTTTCTGGGGCTGCCCATATAACAGACTGCACAGACTGTGTCATTAATGTAGCTTGCCATCAATTGAGGATTCATCAGACTCATAGGTGCCAATTTTACGTATTTGTGGCGACTGGGCCTATAGTGGAAAATGTAAGTGGGCTAGGATTTGGGCCGTATAGGTTTAGGTATCCAAATATGGAAGAACATTTTGAGAGCTGTGGGTTTAAGGGGGAAAGCCAGTATGATCAAGTCCAAGACTTTAAATGGCTGAGAAAAGAGCATTCTCCGAACTGGAATGTCATCACAGAAGAGTTTTACGTGCCAGTAAAAGAAGTATCTTAGCTAAATGTTAAGAATAAGCTTTACAAGCCATGATAGTGTTAAGAACTTTTGCTTTGAGAATTTTGGCATCTTATAATTTTATATAGCAATTTTATTGAGTTAAAAATTCAGAAAGATTTTCTTTGTCTTTTTTGCCAGTTTAATGCATTATGCAGAATTAGATTCATGCTATATCAAATGCTTATCATTTTATTAAATTAATTTTTGATCTGCTTATCTGATTGTCTATTGAACCATTTCACTAAATAAAATTTGTGATAACAAAATTCGTTTATAATTTATTGTTTAATAAAGTAAAATGTTTACTTGCTCCTTTGCCTATGATTAGAACAGAACAGTTTCGCTTGCTTCATGATTTTTTAATATAATAATTTTTAGCAAGAATTAAAAAAATGTAATTTGACTTATAGAATTTATATTTTTAGAACTCAGGCCATTAAATTTAATAAAATTAATTGAAAAAAATTTATCCAATCTTAGATATCCCATAAAAGTAGAATTTTATATCTTGGGGAAGTTAGCATTATTCTCCACCAGCACCACCTTCAATGCCGAGATAAGCTTGGATTTTGTTGTAAAAGACAAGCACAAGAGCTCCTCCAGTTCCTCTGATAACATTGCTTCCAGCACCTTTGAAGAAAGGCAAGAGCCCACCTTCATTGGCAAATATCTTTATGAAGCAGTCCATAGTTCCTTTGTATTGGATATCCGCTCCTTTTCTTCCACTCTGCATCATCATACGTCTTCTGACTGTATCTAGTGGGTATGAAGCAATGCCAGAGCTAACTGTGACTGCTTGAGCAAATGCCCAAACTAAGAAAATATTGGCATTCTTGAAGTCTTTGAACAGAATGTCTTTTCCAGAGTCAAACATTCCGAAGTACAAAGCACGGTAAATAATGATTCCTACCACAGAAATTCCGAATCCTCTATACAGACCGATAGGGCCGTCGTGCTTTAAGATCTTGAAAATACAGTCGTTAAGTCCTGAGAATTCTCTGTTAGTCCCTTTTCCTACATCAGTAGCAAGCCTGGTTCTTGCGAAATCAAGAGGGTAGACAAACAGCAGTGAGGCAGCTCCAGCGAGACCACCAGCTGCCATGTTTCCTCCGAAGAACAGCCAGAAACTCTTTTTCCTATAGGCATATCCCTAAGATATACCGATAAGGGTAGGGATAGAGATTAAAACTTTCCACTTAGTTCTGCCAAAATGAATTGGTCGAACCAAGTGGAAGGAGGCTTATTTACCACTTTCCACTTGGTTCGAAATTCATTTTGGCAGAACTAAGTGGAAAGTTTTAATCTCTTATCGGGCTATCTTAGGGATATGCCTATATCATAGTAAAACCATCTTCTGAAGGTGTCTTTGAAGGCGAAATTGAGTGCCTGAGTTGGGAAATATCTGATGACGTTGGCAAGATTTCCTCTCCAATAGCTAGCAAATCCTTGCTCTTGGTAGACTCTTTTGAAGCAATCCACGATTCCTTTGTACTGATCTTCAGGCTTGATTTGTTTGCTGGAAGCCTGGAGCTGTAAAAGGAGCTTGACTCTTTCAATTGGGGCCACTGCTGTCTTGGAAACTGCTGCTGAGACACCTCCTAGTAAGAAGTCTTGTAAGAAGTTCGATTGCTTGCCCTTCTTTTCCGCCATTAATTATATTAATATGGTAATTTAGAGCTTACGTAATAAATGATCAGCGATTTTCAATAAAACTTTTTAAATATCAGTAAAAATGCTGGAAATTATGCCTTTTGTAATAGAAATATTATTATGGAGAGGATTTTTATCTCTAGTAATTTTCTATATAAATAGGTATATTTAAATCTGTCATCAATATATTAATGGAAATTCTAGGCTATTACGTTAATTTTAAATTCAAAGATTTCATATTTGAAATAGATTCAAATTATGAGCCTTGATTGAAAATCAAAAACTCTCTGTGGATGCATGTGCGGGGTGAGCTTTATTTATTATTCTTATGAAATTTTGTCACATTTAGATGATTGGTATAGCTATGAAGAGATTAAAGAAATGACAGAATGCAGCGAAGTTTATGCGGTTGAAGTTTGGATGCTAAGCCAATGCTTTGTTTGGTGACTGGCAATTTTAACTGTTTTTACTATATATCTTGAGCTTCACGTTTATAAAGGATTTTTGGTGTTTTTGTATTTGATTGGGCCGGTTTATTTTGTATGCACAACGATAATAGTATGATATTTAGGATCTTTTATTATTTGCTGTGATGAAGAAATGGATGAGTGTGTGAATTTTTATCCTTATACACATTTAGCAAGCATTTTGGTGCTGATGGGGCTGTCGATGCTGCTTTCAATTACTATGAACGCTATTTTACTGACTTCATTTCTAGGACCTTACTGGAGCCATATCAGAGCGTCTCTTATTCAATACACAAATATCTTTTAATAAATATATTATGTAAATTAATTTCGATGTTCAAAAAGTCTTCTTTGAAATTTTTATTTTCCTAAAAAATCAAATATTTAAATAAAATGCACAGATTAGTTGATGCAATGACTTGCAGAGGCGAAAAGGTTTTAATTCACATTGAAGGGCACTTCCTTTCCTCATTCACCTTAAGCAAAACATCTCTTCAAGAAAAATCAAGACTAAGCTTCGACCAAAGAATCGTATTTTCCTTAATTCTAAGAGGAGATGATAGAGATTGCTTATTTATACTCGGCCAAAATTCTGAATGAGTTTTACTTACAGACTCTTTTGATAAAGTACTTGAAGGGAAGCTTAACTCTATTCCTATCATTGAGAGTATTGAAGGCTGTGAATGATATGAAAATTCTAAGCCTGCTTATAAAAAAATATGGCATCCCTAATGTTTGCAGTTATCCTATATCCATATAGTAAAAAGGAAAACGGCCATCAGGAATGTTTTCACCCACTGAAAATAGATATAAATATAATCTACTGTTTTCGACTCACCCTAGCACTTTACATCACTTTATTTTCAATCTTAATAAAAACATCCCAAGAGTTAAAACACAAGTCTATAAAATTTCAAATGACGCTCACTGGACAACTCGTACATCTCAAATTATAAATATAGCTCCTATAAGAGGAGAACAAAACAGTGATTTTGCTGTATTGTGCCTGAATTTTAATAGATCATTATTGGCATCCATTTTTAATTTTTAAAATAAATTTGTACTTATCAATTTTTGAAAAGAAAACGACAAATCTCCATTTATAGTTTTAAGGTGCCGAATCTGACTTATACTGTATAATGCAAGTATCCTGGACCTATATTTTCAGGTTGGTATATTGCTTGGCCATATCGATCTATTATGATGCATAATCTATATTATTTAGATAGGAAAGAAGACAATTTGCCTTTTTAATTCGTTACTCTGACTGCTCATTTGTTCATTTTGCGTCACTTGAACCGACTAACGCTGAACTAATTGTAAGTCCATGAGTAATAAAATTTTTGCCTGCTGACTGTTATAAAGTGATTTCTGTGCACAGTTCTGTCATCATTTTTTCAGCAGCAAAAGCTTTTCAATATAAATTAATCAATGAGCAAGTATTTTTCATGCAGGAGTCATCACTAATATGTGAAAATCCACTATCAGCAGTTATGACTTACAGTGACAACTGCAATCGGATCCTAGTTGCTTCAGGAACAAAACTAGGCTGGCTTCATGTAAAAGAAAACCAATTAAAAATCTCTCTGGCTGCACAGTTGCCTATAAATGGAACAGTAGAAAAGCTTGTAAACCTAACCCCTCTAGCGCTTTCACAACAAGTATACGCCCTATGCTTTATACCATACTCAAATTCTATAGTAATTGGGATAAACCTAAAAAGCCTTACAATCGGACAAATTGTAAATCTTATCTAGTGCTCATGGACAGCAAATTTCAATTGGCCAATCAAAAGCATCGGATCTATTGCCAACAAAGCTTACTCAATTGTAGGCGAATTTCCTTCTCTTTATTTAAAAATTTGGGAATCTGGGCTATGTCTTAAAAAAGAGTCAACTTTTTTATCAAATGCATCAAAAATATTCCGCATTGATGAAAACAATTTTATTGCTACGTCTGATATAGGACTCTGGACTATGTGTTTTTCAGTCAAAGATTTTAATATTTCAGTGAAAAAATTAAAAGGGATTATTGAAAATGATTATACCTTGTATACAGGAAAGCTAAATAATGAAATTCTACAAGTAACCATTAAGTAGATAACTCGCCAATCATTGAATCATGTGAATAGAAAATCAACAATATTGAATGATATTGCAAAATTCTGTGTGGTAATTGGAGGGAATGCAGTCCTTGCATTTTATAATTCTTTGCATTTATATCAAAATCTTGAAGTTGTCCATATTGTTCCTATTAATGAAGAAGTTTTATCGATGACTGATTACAAAGGCTGCATTTTTGTTTGTGTCAGAAAAAAAGCAAGCGTGCTAAAGTTTTCTGTTTTAAGAGATTCTTTGGTAGAGGCTGAAGAGATTCCATTAGTTATTAAAGGAAGAAATGCTTTCCCTATTTTTTATCAAGAAAATAGTGATTTCAAAATTTTTATGACTGAAAAATTAATTGTTTTGCAAAAAAATACTGAAAAAATTGTTTATGAAGTTGATGCTTTTAGATGCAGCGTTATTAAAGATACAGGAAGGATGTATGAAATTTTTGTAGAAGGGCTAAAGAGCGGACATATATTGCAAGTTTGGCAAAAAGATAAATCTGTAGCTGGGCTAACTCATCAAATAAAGCCTATTCATGGTTCAATTATACGTGATATTTTTTATATATATGATAATCTATGTATATTTGCTGAAATAGCAAATCTGTCAATAGGGCAGTTAGAGGAAAAAATTAATGAGCAGAAGCTTGAACTGTCGTTTCCTTTTAAAGTGGTGTGCGCTGATATCTACAATTTTTATTTAATTGCAAATAATAAACTTGAAATTATTGGGAAAAATCTTACCAAACAGTGAGAAGTATCATTTTCTGAAAGCCAAGAAATCATATGCTGCCACATCTATAATAAAAAATTAATATTTTCATCAACTATTTGTGAAACATTTTACATGAATGTGCTGGATTTAATGACTTTTGAGCTTGAAAAATCTATTTCATTCCAAAACCAAATAGAAGAAATTAGTAGTTACCAAGACATCCTTATCTTAAAATTCAAAAAATGCATAAAATTTCTTACAAAATTTCATGCAAGCGCTGGGATTGATATTTCCTTTGAAAAGCATGATTTTAATGAAATTAAGCTTAAGCTTGATGATGACGAGAGTAATTTATTGCTGGAGCTCGCAATAATTAATCAGTTCCAAGACATTATAAAATTTTTATTTATTAACACAGCAGAGTCATGAGAAGAAGAAGCTGAGCAAAAAGAAAAACCTGAATTTTTATGCTTGACAGCTTCACATGTCCATTGAGGAAGGTATGAATTCTCTTCACTCCCCCAATAATAATAAAAAATTTTTTATAGCACAAAATTATAAATAGTAAATTTTTATATGAATAAATAATTGAGGCTAAAATATTGAAATTTCGGTATTTTATAAGAAAGCGTCTCATAATAAGCAAATTTGTATTTACTCAAATAATATTCCTATATTGAAAATTTTACACTAAAACCCTTATTAAAAAGCCTATTTTGCCTTATTCTAAGGGGAAGCCAGTTAAAATTTTGGATTCAATTGTATGATTTATTTAGAAAACTGAAATAAAAATTTCGAACTTACTTGTGACATACAAAAAAGAATTCGTTTTATTTGGAGAACAACAATTATGGAAAGGAAGGCTGGAAAGAACAGAATCTCCTGCTGCTCTTTTAAATAAAGCTCAAATTGATTGAAGAACACATAAAATAAACATCCAGCAATTTTCAAATATTATTGATACTGAAGAAGTAGTACACATCAAATCTATTAACAAACTTGCTGCTATTTCTATAAATAGTAGGCTCGAAATAATCGATATTGATGATAAATAATCTAATTTAAAACGTAAACTTTATAATAGATCAATTATAAATTTTTTTATAATTTCAAATTTATATTTCTTTTTTAAACGAGCCATCTTTGATGAAATTTTTAGGGCAGTTTTTACATAAAGAATTAGAAGTGAGCAAGCTTAATGTATGAAAGATTAATTATTGATCATTTTAAAGGATATAATTAACTGATTTAGGGTGACTTTTTAAGTTAGTTTATTATATGGTCTTCAAGCATCTTTCATACATATAAGCATTGCAGAAAGAGCAATAGCAGCTTTTATGTAAATATTTGCCCATTTGCATCAAATGCTATCTCTTAGACTTGCTAGCTTTTCAAAGTTGATGATCACATTAAAGATTTTTTTCAAGAGAAGCCAGTAAGGCTTTCACCTAAATTTAATATCAAAATTGACTATACATTAGTTTCGCTACGTTTTCATGTCTTTCTTAGCATCTTGATGGATAATTAATTATTTAAATACTGATATTTCTAAAAGATAAATCAATATTTCTATCATTTCTTAAAGCGATGAGGATATACAGAGTATGGCAATCGCCTATTGAAAATATAACACCTCTCATATAAAGATTTTATTTGGATATTGCGAGGGAATTTCCTTTACTTTAGGTAGTCCGCTGATTAGCTTCTGTTTTTGAATTAGTCTGCATTGGAAAAGTTGACAGTAACGTCGAGTTTTTAATCCTTCTAGAGATACAATTCATATATGGAATTCTGCAAAAATTTAGTTCTAATATCTTGTTTTTTTGATCTTTCATTATATTTACTTAGATCAGACAGTCCTTTCTTAGTTTTTCTAATTCCAGTTACATAATTTTTTTTATTGTAATGTTGAAGCGTGGAGTAAAGATTATCCATAAATATGTTTTCGAAGCCTCAACTAGTGCCTTACATAGATTTCTCGTTTTGAACTCTTCCTTTCTGAAACCTATAAAGATTTTATGCTTCAGATTTGACTCGCATAATAGAAAAAACTTTGAAACCTCATTTTTCTAGCTTAATTCGTATAAAATGCTTCAAAACAAAGCCGCGGTTGTCCCTGAATATAAAAATATTACAATAAGTAGTGCATCTGAGCTATAAATTGTCTTAAAAGAATCAATGAAAGAGCTGATTGCTCTCTTGTGAACTCTGGAGGAATCATTCTTATCCACTCAGAATTCAGAATTGTTAACTCCCCCCCCTCCGTGAGTGAACAAAAAAATTTTGTTCACTCACGGAGGTGGGTTAATTTTTTTTTCGAGATTCAAAAAAAAATCCTATATCGCAAAAATTGGGAAGCAAATATTAATTTAATTTATAAAATTTATGCTTTAAAACGCAATTTGTTTAAAATTAAACAGAATTAGCTCGAGATTTCATTATACTAATTATCACTTATATATTAAAATTCTTTTTTTCTATTAAAAAAAATTTTGTTCATTCACGGAGGGTGGGTTTTTGGGCAAAAAATAGCGATTTTTCTAATGGTTTTGTTCACTCACGGGGGGATTAAGTCATTTTTTCTGAACTCCTTTAGGTGGCAAACTTCTTTAAGCGGCAAGCAGCATCCTATCCCATATCTTCATCCCATAATTTTTAGCAAAGGCGCCAACTCAGGAAGTTTAAAAATGCCTCATCTCAGACGCATTTGCCAACTCCCGAGTTCATTCGTCAACTTGAGTTGCAGAACCAAATCGGAAAAATGCTTAATATGCTCGCAGCCTAGGATGATCTATAATGCGTTGCCTAAATTGCTTATCTAGGCAACGCATAATACTATATCAGGGCTATCAATTGTCTATTCAGTATTTATAAATAATTTAACTAAATTTACCACAATTTTCTGACATATGAAAATTGGTGAAAATGAAGGAATTTATTGCAATAAATTTATCCCATATTTTTTATTAGTAAAGCAAATATCATGGGGTTTAAGATGATATAAAATCAAAGCTATTTGGTTTATTTATATATATATGGGTTCATCTATAACAAGAATTTGGAACAAACTTTTCAAAAATCAGGAAATTCGCATTCTTATGGTTGGGCTTGATGCGGCAGGAAAAACAACAATCTTAGATCAATTCAAATTAGGAAAATTTGTACAAACAATCCCAACAATTGGTTTTAATGTGGAAACTATTAAATATCGGAATATCTCATTTGTCATATGAGATATTGGCGGAGGGGACAAAATCCATCTTCTATGAAAGCATTATCTTGAGAATGCAAAGGGCCTTATCTTTGTTGTCGATTCTGCAGATCATGAAAGAATTGATATTGCTAGGCACCGTTTTTTAGAGCTTGTTAAGCTAGATAAAAGTGTTGCTGTTTTAGTTCTAGCAAATAAGGCAGATTTACCAAATCATATGAGTATCAATGAAATTGTGAACAGACTCGAGATAGAATCAATTGAAAACAAAAAATGATACGTTCAAGCTGCTTGTGCAGTTTCAGGAGATGGATTAAGAGAAGGATTAGAATGGCTTTCATGGGTATTAACTAAAAATTAAATTATTTTTATATTAATTACTCAGAATCAAGTAAATAAATATTTATTTTTAATTTAATAATAATAATAAATTTAGAATAAAGTTCTAAAATAATCACTATCAAAAATATATCGGTAATATAGATTTAAAATTCATACTGTTTATTTTGATTACTTTTTTTTCGCTTATTGATAAAAATAAAAGAAGCTCTTACGCCCATTCCATTTTACATTAATGAAATTAATTATGCAATCTAACTTTTCTCATTATGGCTGTCTATATTAAACTATCTAATTGCTTAGCAGACCACTCTTCCACTTCCTCTATTACTTGGCTTTCAAACCAATCCTTCGCCATTTTGCACGCTTCTGCATTTGTCGTCTTATATGCCCATTTTCACCTACAATTGATCCCGAGCCGATTTAGCATCCCAGTAATTTCAATTCACTGCTTATAATATCGAACGACTGAAGCCCTGGATTTTTGGTCAAAAGTCTGGACAATGCTATCCTCTTCTGTATACATAATGATGTCATTGATTTTATTTTCAGCACAAAACTTAATTGCAAAAACAGCGTGCTTTAGCAACCCCAATGATTTTGAGTTTGTATAATAGGTGTCCACTGATTTACTTAAGACTTCATTAGAAGGATTTTTAATAATGTAGGAGCATCCTATTGGCCCAAAGCTGAGTTTTCTATAGGCAGCAAGCCAAATTGAGTGAGGCTTTGCGCTGCTTTGTTCGTCTACTTTGGGTGGATCTGGGACTTCTAGAATTTTTGATATTTTTTTATTAGGTAATTCGACTTCCCCAATAGAACTGGTGCTTGATGATTTTTCTAATGACTCTGTTATGTCAAACACTTCAGGAATTAATCGTTTTTCTTGAGCTTCGTTTGAGCCTTCTGACAGTATTTTTCTCTTTTTGTGTGGAGAATCATAAATGTCATCGAAATCGGACATGGTTTAAATTAATAGAGTTTAAGCCCCCGAATAAAACTTTGTGGTATAATAAGTAATATGGGTTTGCATTCCAGCGGGGGTAAATGGAATGGATAATTGAAAATAATTTAAGATAATCAATTATCTTACTCCCCCTCATTCAAATTTGGTATTTAATACCCTTTTAATTGGAACAAATTTGTTTTTCAATAGGAAATTTTAACGATGAAAATACTAATTTATAAAATTAGATTTAACCTAATTTAATAGACAAAATGCAAGTACAATGCTATTTAAACAATTTCAAAATCGTTTAATTTTATTATTTAATTCTAGAAAAATAGATTAAATTTTTAAAAATGAAAATACTAATCTTTATAAAATCAATATTGATTAATTTAATGAAAGAAGTGCAAGTAATCTGTTTTCACACTAGTCAATTATTTTTTTAATAAATTAAAATTCAAAGTATTGTACTCAATTTATATTTTTTAAAATTTAAAAAAATTAACCCCTCTTTAAATTTGAATAGAAATTTTTGTTCCAATTTAAAAGGTGGGATTTAATAAAAAAATTAAACTTAATATGAAGATTTAAATAATAAAAGTTATTAATTATAAAATTATTAGATTAAATTTAATAAAAAGGGCACGATTTTATCAATGAAAAATATTTTTTAACTATTTTACAAGGGGGCTTGAAAATATAAAAATATGTCTGAAATTCAAGAATCCCTATTGACAAACCCGCCCAGCACTTTTTCAGCTAATGAAGATTCTTCATCTCCGCTTAGACTTCCCCAAAAAAGACAACGTGAAGTCGAGCTTCAAGAGAACCCTTTGCCCACTTTTGAAGAAGCATACTCAAACAATAGAATGTTCATAAAGCTCGTCAAAGAATATTTCAAACAGAAAATTGATCCTTCTCTCCATTTCAAAATCAAAGAAATTGTTAACCAAAAAGAATATTTATTTCAATTACTCAAAGAAACTTCTACTCGTGGCGGCTGGAGACGTATGAATGCTTGCCATGGATGGCACCAAATTGCTTCTCTTTTTGGAAATCTAAGCCCAGAACAGCTCAGAAAAGATTATGACGAGCATTTATTTATCATAGAAAAAGGTCTTTCACCATTAACAAAATATGACAATTCCACAATAGAAAATTACCTAGAAGAGCTCAACCCAGAACTGATGCAGCAAGCTGTCCTTATTAGGCCTTCAAAATTCGATACAAGTTTGACAGCAAAACAATGGAATAGCTATGTGTTTTCAAGCTTTGGGCTTGCAAGAGGCTACTCTACCTATATTTTGAATATTGATATTTCAGTGTTTAAGATTGATAGAATTACAAATGTCTACTCCAACAACCCAATTACTATAAAAATTGAAAATGATCCTAAAGAAACGTGGTATAAAGATATTACACTTGGTGGATTTTTAGATGAGTTACTTACAAGCAATAACCCGAAAATTGTGGCAGAGGCAGACTTAAAAGAATTTTCAGCACTTTATGAAGAACTGTCAAAGAAACTGCCAAATGCTCTCCATTGGAACTCAAAAAATAATCTGCTGCGTTATTATCCCAAGCTTCTAGGAATTACATCACCTATGCTACTTATTTTAAACAATAATTTTATCTTCACAGGAGGCCCAAGCTACTTGAATTCCAGCGGAGTCTACTTGAACTTTGACACAACCATAGAATGATGGGCAATAGACTCAAAGCAGTTTCCAGTCCTTCAGCAAAAAGTTCTGAGAGATTTTTCAATTGATATTTCCAAAGAAAAATGGCTCCCAAACGACCAATATCTGCTTGTCCAAAACATCCCTTTCTGGCACACAACTCAAAGACCAGGCGACATTATTTTTGCTCCAAATGATAAGGTTTATTGGATTACCTCAGTGCTAAAAACTACACTTATTTATTGGAATTTATTATCAGACAGTCCTCTATCACTTGAAGACGCCTGGACAATCCACAAATCCAATTTCAGCAAAGAATACCCCAAAAAAATCAACCTGCCAAGGCTTGTGGTCGAATATTTAAACAGAGAACTCGGAAAAATCAGCCAATCAACCTTTGAGTTCTGCAAAGAGATGATAAATGAGTGTACAGAATCACAAGAGCTGCCAAATAAAACAAGACCAGAAGACTCTGACTGCTTATTTTGTGCTTTTTGTGGAAAAGATATTATCTGGAAATACTCAAGATGCATAAAATGCCATATGAACAGAGGAATTGACGCTATTTGTTTATCATGCACAACAGGCCATAAATGTTTAGAAATTGTATTTTTTGAAAAATACCCTGAGGAGGAATGGAAAGCATTTTTAGCCAGGATTAATGCGCCACAGGTGGAGAGTTTCCAAGAAAAAATATGCAGGACTGAAATTAATGAGTTTTGTGGCTGCGGAGAAAATATTGCTATTTCTCCGAGCACTGTTGAAGCTATTTATAATGCACCTCTGATAAATGCACATATTCAAATTGAAGCTGTAGATGATCCTGAAGAAGTTGAACAAAACTGTGAAGATAAGGTTGTGGCACCGATTAAAATGCCAGATATCAATGATTTGTATAAGAATAAAGGGAAAAAGCAGAGAGATATTAGGAAAGCGATGGAAAATCCGCTGTCTGGGCCGAGGTTTACGTATCAACTTGAAGAGAAGGAGTATCAGTCTAAAGCAAAAGATGATGGGAATGATATTTTGAAGAATTTAATGAAGGGGAGGAATAATGAATCTGCTCTGTCAAGCTTGGTCAAAAAGCCGTCTTCTATATCTGGGTTAAGCAGGCTAATTTCAAAAGCAAAAACTGATAAGCAAAATGTTTATGATAAATATTAAATAAATATTTTTTATCAATAATAATATAAAAAAATGTAAAATAATTCATTTAAGAATAGGTAAGTATGGTAATATTGGCAATTTTTTACTTAAAAATTAATAAAATTAAAGAAATCAAGTATATTTAAGCCACAAGTCCAAGAAATAAATCGTCAGTTCTGCACCATTTTTTAATTTGAAATAAATTTAATAAATAATTTTAAATTAAGCCATTAACTGAGCAAACTGCGCTTCATTATAATCAGTCTCCAAAAGATTAAGCACCATTTGATTAGCTTTTTCCTCAACTGCATGCTCTTCTTGTTGCTGTTTTATCTTTTCTAAAAGATAATAATCGTCATTTATCGCCTTATTTACACCAAGACTGATTGCTTCGACATTTAATTCATCAGGTCTTCATTTAAACGAAATTTCTGGCAATGGTGGGATATTTGCTTGCATTTTTTTTAAACTTTCTTTAATTTGGTTAGAAAAATCAATGATCTTTTTGCTTTCTTCCAGTGGATAAAATGTATTGACGACATTTATTACATAATTTGGGTCCATATTTGGTGTGCTTGGCATATACATCTGCAATTTTTTGTCTTTTTTTACATAGGACTTCGCAAGGGATGTAAGGACACTTTTGTCTGGGCTTGGAATTAGTTTTATTTTGGATTTCGGAAGCAAGGTTTTTGAGCCAACAATTAGCTCATCAAGGAAATTTGGGGTGAAAAAGCCGAGGTCAGGTAAAAAGTAGTCGTTTTCTTGAAGTTTTTTATAGACAGCGTCTTTAGAAAGTTTGAGTCTCCTGAGGTAGTCTGTAAAGTCTATAAGGAGGGTAGAATCATAAATATGCCTAATTCTTTTAATATGGAAAAATTCATGCAAAGTGTTGATTTGGACGTTGTCCCAGATGTAGTCTTGAGGAGATTCAACGTATTTGCCGAGAGCTTTATTTATTTCAAACCTAACCATTTTGGAGAGATCATCTCTGAAAGTGTGCAAAAAGCTTTTCAATTCTTCACTGTTCATTTATGTTTATAAAAGCCCCTCTAGAAAAAAAATTTTGAAAATTAATAAATAAGGGACAATATCATAATATAATAATATTTGTCTTATAAATATATCAATTAAACCTAATTGCTACTGAAAATTGATATTAAGCCATAACTTAATTTTGCTTAACTCAAAAGAATTAAAGCCAATAATTTTAAATAAAATCCACAATTTATGATATAAATTTCTATGCTATTTTCTCATATTATTAATGTTTCTGGTGCCGAATATTCCTTTAATAGCCTTCCTTTATTTATCATGAATTCCTGCCTTCTTCAGCTATTTATTTCTTATTTTTCATTTATGATAAGGCAAAACCTTTTTTAACATTTCCCATCATGCTAATTATAACAAAGAATTCAATATGAACAAAGAAGAGCCTCGAGCTTTCAAAGTTTACGTTAGAATCCGTCCTCCATCAGAAAGAGAGCTTCTCCTAAAACAAATATCTTGCGAGCACTATCTTCGGGTCCAAGATGAAGTGGTAAAACCTCCATAGATTTGGATAAAAGAACAACGGAGCTCCCTGGCAAAAGAATACAGCTATAGTTTTGATGGAGTTTTCACAGAGTCTCACAATAACTCAATAGTCTATACAGATTCAGTTAGCTTGCTAGTCAGCCAAGTTCTACAAGGATTTAATGCTACAACGTTTGCATATGGGACAACCGGTGCAGGTAAAACTCATACAATGTTTGGTAATATGATGCTTGAAGGGGTAACAGAATCAGGAATCCTATATTTAGCTTTAGAAGACTGTTTTTCACAAATAAATGCAAAGAGATCAGATTTTATATTGAAATTAAGCTATTTAGAAATTTATAACGAGCACGTTATTGACCTGCTAGACTCCACAGGAAAGTCGAACAATTTACTTATTGTGGAAGACCCAATAAAAGGTATTGTGGTGCCTGAGTTATTAGAATACCAGATCAGCAATTTGCAGGATGCCCATGAATTGATTGTAAAAGGAAACCAGCAGAGAACGATGGCCTCTACAGCGATAAATCAATTTTCAACCAGGTCGCATGCTGTGCTGAGGATTACAATAGAGCAAAGGGCAAGAGAAAGAAATATTATAGAAGAAGTGGCTAATTCAAAACTTTCGTTAATAGATCTAGCTGGCAGTGAAAGAGGAGCAGCTACTGAGAACCGTGGACAAAGAATGGTAGAAGGCGCTAATATAAATCGGTCCTTATTAGCTCTTGGAAATTGCATCAATATTTTAACTGACTCAAAAAATAAAGGAAAATACGTCCCTTATCGAGATTCCAAGCTGACAAGAATCCTTAAAGATTCACTGGGAGGAAACACCAAAACAATAATGATCGCGTGTATTTCGCCTTCTATAATTCAGTTTGAAGAAACTATGAATACCCTAAAATATGCAGAAAGAGCTAGGAATATAAAAAATGATGCAGTCAGAAATATAAAAGAAGTAGAAGCACATGTTTCTGAATATAAAGAAATAATACAATCTTTAAGGCAAGAAATAGAGTTTCTAAAAGTCCAGCTAAATAGGCAGGAAGAATCATCTCCAAAGCAGTCATTCCAGACTGAGCAGACAAGTGCGAAATCTCCTATCAAAAGAGTCAGAACCCAAGCTGAAAATTCTAATCTTAACTTGGACGATTCAGAATTTGACGTCTTTTCTAAGCGCTTGCTAGATAACTTTGAAGAGCATTGAGAAATAAAAAACAGCATAAAAGAAATTGATATGCTGAACCAAGAAAACAACGCAAAGCTAAAACAATATATAGGGCAGTCTGAATCAGGAATTTCCAATAGGAATATGAGGGAGTTCAGAAATGAGCTTCAAGCTCTTCAACAAAATATAAAAGAAAACGAGGATATGAGAAATGAACTATTAGAAAGCTTATATTCTAATTTAAAAGTCAAGACTGAGCTGCAAAATTCTATAGGTAATATGAAAGTTGACAAAAAAAGAGAAATTCTTGAGCTCCAAATTGCGCTGAGAAACTTAAAGCTGGAGAAGCTTGATCTGCATATACAAAATACACAAATAAAACAAGAAGCTTTAAAGGTAAAACAAGAAAGTGAAGCGAAAGACAAAATAATTTCTCAAATGAAAAGTGAATTGGATACGATGAAAAAGCAGCTCACAAAACAAGCTGCCCTGCCTCGTAGGAAAGATATCTATCATAGTGCTTCTACAAATTCATTCCACAAAGCAGAAGACTACCCAAAGCTCCAAAACGACTTATCGCAAGAATTTGTGACAAGCTTTGGATATGTCTCATCCCCCAAAACACAAAAAATAATAAAACTTTCAGGTCTTGACGAAGCTCGAAGGGCACGAAAACTTGAGCTCCAAAGCTTGTCTTCTTCAAAAAAGAATATAAAACACCAAAACAGCTACATTCCTAACCATCCTGGAGATATTGATGAAGTTCCTGACAAAAAAATAGAAGTAATTCGGTCTTCTTCAGTATCTGGAAGTAGACCAATGAGCTCTAAGTTGGATTCTAGTAAAAATTCAAAAAAGGGAACAGTGGTTCATACCTCGGTTAGAGGGGTTTTCAGTAATTTGCAAAAAGCAAATGAGAGGTTTTTGAGTGCTGACAGAAGAAGGGCTACTCCTAAAGAGGAAAGGCCAAAAGCAGAAGACACAAAAATTATTACGATTGCTAAAGAGAAAACTGGGAAAGATATAAAGAAAAAAGAAGAGGTGACGAAAATGAATTTGAGCAAGCTGGCAAAAAGCTTGAACCAGAGGATTTTGACAGCTGAGGAAGCAGCGGAAATTGTGAGGCAGCAATGGAGGAAAAAGCCAACACCACTTGTGAAAATATCGCTGTCAAAAATGTAAAATAGAGGAGGATAATGATTTTTGTTTGAAATTTAAAATAAATCAGTTGCATGTATCAATAACATTATATATTTGAGAGAATTGAATTTAGATAGCTATAAAATTATTTTTTGAGGTTTTTCTGAAGAATTTAGTTATTTTTATTATTGAAAGATACCCAAATATAATCGATTTCATAATAAAATTGCCGTATTTAATTTAAATTAAGAATGAATACTGAACAAAGAAGTGAGGCACGTCTGCTTAAAGAAGTTAAAGAGCTTATATCAATCCTAAAAATGAAAATTCGAACTGACTGCCCTAAAAATAAAGTCTATGAACAACTAACTCTTCGAATTGACTCACTAGCAAAATTCGAAGAGCAAGCTATTTCTGAAATAAATTACACAAAAGAACTAGAAGAAGAAGTTTTTCGCTTGAGGAAAACATGTGATAAATTTTCTGAGCTTTCAAGCTCTGTACAGCTGCTGCATGAAAATTATAAAGAAGAAATCAAAAGTTTGACAAATGATAAAAATCAATTGGCAAATGAAAATTCGCAGCTGAAATCTTCAATTCAAGCTGCAAATGCACAAATCAGTGTTTTAAACAAAGAAATAGGGGTATTAAAGGAAGAAAATAAAAACCAAAAAGATCAATGGGATAGAGATCGAGCTATTTTTGCTCAAGAGCAAATTGGAAAAAAGGCTCAAGAGCAGAAATTATTGCATGCATTGGATAAATTGGAAAGAATAAAGAAATCTAAAATTCAAGAAGACAAAAGCATGATGGAAGAGTGCATGAATCTAAAGAGAAGTTTAGAAGAAATGCAAAATAGGGTGAGTGAGCAAGAAGAATTCGAAGAAATCATAACTCCCTTCTACTATAAGTGAGCAAAAAATATTTGTACGCTCATTGAAGAGTTTTTTTTTTGTGAAAAAAAAGTAATCAAAATTTATATTATTTTTTCTCGAAATAATGATAGCTTGCAGAATTTTGAACTAAAAATGTAAGCTAATTTATAAAATTATTATTTTAGATGCAACCTGTTTAAAATTTAATCATTTACTTATAAAATTAAAAAAGTTTTTACAATGACTTTGATATCATAGTGAGGGATAAGGGAAAAGGATGAGCAGATTGAAGCGTTGAAGAGAAAGTGCAGATTATTTGAAAAAGAGTTAAGCCTAAGAGAAGATGAAGATGAGTTTTAAACTGTTTTATTATCTAGATTTATTATTAACCTATTGAACTTGGAGGGGCTTGCCCAATTTCAATTCCTTGAATTTTTTCAAACTTCTTGTCATCTAAACCAAATTTATAGAATCCATCTGTATTCAAGAATCCGACATAAATCGATCCTTCCCTATAGGCTCTATAAATTTGCTCTGGATTATTGCTTAGGTTTGATATAGCAACTTTTTTTCAATTATTTTCATCTCCTACTTCACTCTCATATATGGCTCCGCTGCTTTCAATTAGGAAGAGCCTAAATATCCCTGAAACTAAGATTTTGTTCCCTCCACTTCTGACTAACTCATTTTAGGAATTTTAGATTTTTTCTTATTTTTTAAATAAAAAATGAAAAGCGTTTTTGAAAAACATGGGTAAGAGACTTGATATTTCAGTATAGCTGTTTTGAATAATGCTATAGCTGTACAACTTTGAGTAATTAAATCCTGTGATTATAATATTTTGCTTATAAACTATGCAAGAGCATCTTCTCGAAGGTGCTGGGAGAGGATTTAGCTTAATCCACTTATTTTCTACCAAATCATATGCTTCAGCCAGAGCCAGATCTTTTTTGTTGTCTGAGCCACCAAACACATAAACGTTGTTCTGGTAATATACTGATCCTGCTTTATTGCAGGGTGTTCCTGAAGGAAGCACACGAACATTATACTTTGAATCAATGATGCATGTAATTCCAGAGAGAGGGTTCCAATTACCAAAGCAGAATAGCTCATAATTAGGAAGCTGAGTAATGCTTGTAAAGCAACACAATGGTTCAGGAGTATCAATGTACACAAAGTCACGCTTCTGCAACTCCGAGTCAAATATTATTAATTTTGTTTTCGTTTTTTCTCTTTCCGTTAAATATATATACTTATCTGCATATATGTTGTATTCATATTCCTTCATTTTAACCATTTCATAAAAAATATGTGACCTTTTCATCATTTCTTCATATTTCGCAACCACCCCTGTATACCGATCTGAGTACTCATTAAATGTTTTAGCGATTTCTCCGCTTAAGTCACAAAGGCATTTTGTCTCTTCACTCTTTGCGTATAAATAAGAAACACTTTCATATTCTTTAGTCAGCTTTTCTAGCCTGCAATATAAATCTTGTATCTTAATTTTCTGCTGAGAGATTTCGTCAAAAAATGACCATGTGATGCATTCTTGGTTCATTTCTGAAAATATAATTTGACTGTCAAGCCTGTCAAGCTCATTTTCAAAAATCATGAGGTCTCGTATTTTTAGGCCAAACATTTTGAGCTGTTCATCTTCTGAAGTCATACACATGATACTTTTCTTCAGCTTGCCAAAAGGATCAGTAGACATAACACTATTGCCTTCTGGAAGTGCCAAGGAAATTTGGTTGACTTTTTCAATGAACTCTTGCTTTATATTTTCAATTTTTTCATCTTGTTTTACAATTCCTTGCTTTATCTCAGCTTCTTCCACAGTTAAAGTTACAAGAGATGAGTCAATGAGCTCTTTATACCTCTTAATTTCATTGGTATTGAAGCTGATTTTGGCCACCATTTCATTAAAAGATGCTGAAATTGGAGCAATGATGGTGTTATAGCTTTTGAGGGTATCAGTTTGTGCTTTAATTTCGTCCTTCATTAAATTAAACTTCTCTTGATGCTCGTTTAGCTTTGCGATTTGTTCTAAGCTTCTCTGCTCAAAGGAGAGGAGCTTTTCTGATAAAACTTGGTTGTTTTTGTCTTTTTGCGTTTCTAAGATTTCGTAGACTTCTGTTTTGAATGAGGAGAGTTGACTGCTTGTCTTGTCAATCCTTGAGGACAGATTTTCTGCAAGCTGATTCATTATGATTGTGTCTTCTTCTCTTTGTTTTGCTAAAAATTGGTTGGTTTCTGCTCTTAAATTCGCTATTTCTTTGATAGTTTCATTGTTCAATGACGTGTTTCTTTCTTCCAGGCCACTTGCTCTAAGTTCATTTATTTTTTTTTGCTCTTCTAAGGTTTTCTTAACTTCTCCTTTGAATGAAGCAATTTCTGTTGAGAGCTGGCTTAGTATTGAGGCGTTTTGTGTATTTTGATTATTTAGATTTTGAGTACTTATTGCTGCTTTAGCATCAGCTTCTTTTAACGATTTAGTAATTAAGTTCATCTGGTCACCAAGCTGCCTAACAAAGCTTATCTGTGATTCAAAATCTGCTTTTAATTGGCTGATTTTTTCTTTTTGATTGCCTATTTTTTGGCTTTGTGAAGTGGTAGTTTGTTCAATTGCTAAAATTTTTTCATCTAATTGTTTGCGGTCGAGCTCGGTTCTCTGATTCAGCGACTCTCCAATTTCCCAAATTATTTTACTGATTTTTTTTTCTTGTTCTTCTATACATTTTTTCAATGTATAGCACTGCTTTTCAATGATTGTTACTTTTTCTATATTTTCTTTTCTTTCTTGCTCCTTTTGTGCTCCAAATATTCTCTCTATTTCACTTTTCATGCTCACTATTGCGTTTTCAAAGTTCTTGAACATTTGGTTTGACCTCTCGTTAGATAGTTTAGTATCATTGATATTTGAGTAGACTTTTTCAATTAGATCATTGATGGTCACAGAGGTTGATCCCATCCAGTCGTCATGGTGCTTAATAAACTCTTTTTGGTTTTTAACCTCTTCTTCTAAAGCGCTGACTTTTTTACTAGAGTTATTAGTGTCATTGAGGGTTGAGCGCATTATTTCATTTATGTCTCTTATAGAGACTGATGTGGAGCCCATTCATTCCTCGTGCCGCTTCAGAAGTTCTTTATTTATTTTTATTTCTTCTTCTACAACACTAATTTTCCCTAACTTCCTTCCCCTTTTAAACTGGAATAAAATATCAATAAAATTTCCCATTTTGGGGTAAATTAACCATCTTTAAATTTGACAAAATTTTAATTTTTCAATGGATAATTTTTTTTTAGGCGAAAAATAATAATTTTATATAAATAGCTTTGACCCTATTTAAAGGAGGAAGTTCAAATAGAATACTATATATAAATAATTGTACTCTGAGTTGATTAATTTTTTAAATGAAAATTCTTCATAAAATTATTAGGATTAATTCCATTCAATTTAAAAATTTTTTATTTTCCAAAATATTTATAAAATTTTTGTCACTAATTTTTTTTATAGTCAACTAGATTGACTATATGTTAAATTCTTTCAAATACTTAATAATCCCATTTAAATTGGAACAGAATTTTTTTGGTTACGATTTAAAGAGGGAGAGGGATTAAAGAATCTGCTAGATTTAAGTGCATCTTATCATTTATTTCGTTAATAGTTGCAGAAGTAGCCACCATCCAATTTTCATGGTTCCTCAAAAATTCCTTATGCGATTTTACTTCTTCACCTACCGCGTCCACTTTTCCAATGAACTCATTAAATTGCCTGGACTGCTCCAGCACAATTTGGCTGTATTCTATTGATTTTTCTGCCATAGCTTGTGAAAATTTCTCAGTTTTTGTCAACCTTTCCAGCACTTCACTAATCTTAATATCAATGATATTCCCTATAACATTTTCAATTTCTCCATCATAAATATAAGCATACTTAATTAACTTATCATATTTTACCGTCCTAGATGGCAAAAGCCCTATAAATTTGTCATGTGCGTCTCTAGGAGATAAAATCAAGCAGCTTAAGACAGGATTATTTTCATATTTTGATACCTGATTAGTGCTGATGACCTGAAGGATGACGTTTTCTAAGTCTTTTATGTCACGGTCTAGCTGGGCTAGCCCTTGAGTAATAATAGACTCTACATCAACAAAATTAGCTGAGAATCTTTGGAGGATTTTGGTTTTTATGACATTAAGGTCAGTTTTTTCAGCATTCAATAATCTTATGATTACGTTTTTGGATTCTGCAATGGGCGGTGCATGAATCCTTTCGATTTGGTGAAGTGCAGCAGCGATTTTCATATGTTTACTCATATGAGCAGAGCACATAAAGGTGGGATTAGATGCACATCTGCAAACATGTTCTGGGACTCGCTCACAGCCACTATAGAAGCACTGAAACCCTTCCATTTATTAAATCTACAAAGATAGCTTAAGAAGTTTATATAAGAAGATGGGAATGAGACTTAACTGGATAAAAATTTTCTAGTCTCCAAATCCTTTGCTTTTCTTCGTTAAAATAAATATATACTGAATTAAATAATATTTTAATTAAATTTATGTCAGAGTAGTTATATTAAAATAGCAGCTTAAATCTGAATGCTACTTGCATATAAATATATTTCTTTCATTTTTCTCCATTAATTTGCTATTTGCCTTTCTTAAATATCACTTTTCAATTTTATAGCTTTTGAATTAATATAAATCTATATGGATTTGCATCATCAACTTTATATCGTTCAAAGAGAATGGCTGCATTTTCCTTTGTTTTAGCTAATTTTGGGGATTAGTTTATTGCTTAAAATTTTATGGCTAGATCTTCAGAATTTCTTTGCTGAGTTCTTTGTATCAACAATTGCAATATAATATTATTAGGAATTTTAGCACCTTTATTGTCAAATTTTTTAGTTTTTTCAGCTTTCTTATTAATAAAATTTATTATATTAGCATTTTGTGAAGAGTTCTTGTTTTTAGAAGTTGGCTTAGCTTGAATGCAATTCATTAAGATTTCAGAGTAATTTGGTATCTTTAAAATCATTTTATTCTGCAGTTTTTTTTAAAATTTTGCTTATTTTATTTAACTCTCCCAAAGGTTGCTGAGGCGATAAGGACGTATCTTTTAAAAACCCATATTTTTTATGGTTCATGAGGGTTTTGTCCATCACTCTAGTGAGTCTTTCGATTTTTGGTTTCTTATTAATCATTTCCTCATCAGACTTCTCCTCTTCATTATCTTCTTCTATGCCTATTTGGATTTCTTTATTGGGATTTCAAATCAGGCTATTTAAAACTTCTGTTTTATTGTGAGATTCTTTAACTATTTGTTCATGTTTATTTGAAAATTTCATAAGAGCTTTTCAATCTCCACTTGTCATATTTCAAGGTAGGCTATTAGAAACTTTAAAATAAAGACTTGGACTGAAACTTGAGCATTCTCAAATGTCTGTGACTGCCCAAGATTAAATCCTTATTTTTATTATTCCTCTCTAACATTTTATTAACAAAGGGCTATTAAGGGTGCAAATTATTACTGTCGCTGAAGCACTGGTCAAAAGATTTATGACTACACAAAGAATTTCAGAACATGCTATTAATTTATTTGGCTTTTCTTATTGCTTCTTGCATCACTGAATGGATTATTCCTAGCACCGCAAAAATCCCTCCTAAAATTGCACTCATCGAAACCAGCAGACTTGGCAGTGATTTTGTGACTCTTGTATACCTCATAGTGATACCATCAACATCATACCTAAAATAAATAATCCCAAACACAGAGTTAAACGGCTCATTAGACCCCACCATGGAATACTGGTAGCTATTCAGTTCTTCCCCAGAGCTTTCATCATAATACTGCACAGGTATAACCTTAATATTATATTCATATTTTATGACTTGCCCAGGTGCGTCATTTTTTTCAAGCCCATCATAAGGTGCAAAATTAGTTTGTTCTCCATTGCCAAAAATCGAGTGAATATAATGGTTTCTCTGTTCTTTCCCATAGCTCAGATGGTTTATTCTGTGGCTTAGCCTGACTTTTGATAAAGTCTGTCGAGGGATTGATGTCATTATTTGATGTGTCGCATGAAAACTTATATGGAAATTCCCAGGGGTCTTTGTGACTGAAAAATTGCCTGAGAGTTCGCAGCCTTCTTCTTCTTCGATCATTTTTATAGCGTTGCTTATATCGAGATTTGGCAATTTCTCAGTAATTCGATTACCATTTTTATCGAGACGTGTCTTAGTTAATGCTCCACCTACGTCAACGACATGGTTGCCTAAGCTGTCTAGCTGATCCAAGCTTACAGTGAGGCAGGGTGATCTAAATAGTGTGATATTTAGGTTAATTGGGAGTAGCTTGGCACCTCTGTCTTGATCTATCATTGTTTCTTTATTGATGGTATTCTCAAAGTAATACGAAATTTCTGAGAAGAAGAGTATTCCCATAGAGGAAAGTGCTATAAGAGTGATTATTCCTCCTAATGATGTTTGTTCAGAGATCCCAATTGATTTTCGGAAAAGGTCAAGACCTTTGATGTTTCTCATTATTTATTATAATTATTATTTGTCGATTTTTTTTAAATAGTCAGGCTTCTTTGTGGCGAGTTTACCATGATGTGACTTTTTGCTGTGGACTTTTTGGACGAGGTTATAGTGAAAAGCATAATACCACAGGACGTTATCATACTCGCCAGCATAGTCCTGCTCCCATAGTCCTCTTTTAAACATTTCTCTGTGAAAATCAACTAGAAAGTAATAGACAGCTTCAATTGTAGCTAAAGAGTGCTTAGACTCGCTTTGGTACCTCCAAAACGTCGTTATGTGGGTTTCAAGCTTAATCATAGGCATTGACGACAAAACTCGGTCTTTTAGCATTGAATTGGTTTGGTTTCACGTAGAGTCTATAAATACAGCAGTTTTTATTTTTTGTAGCTCTTCTGTTGACAATTCTGGGATCGATCTTGCATTTTCGCCAGGAAATACAAGAACTGCTGTATCTGGGTATTCAGGAACTGACCTATCTTCTCCTAAACAGCCTATAACTTCGCTATGATCAGGAGCTAGGACTTTTATAGGAACTGCAGAGCTCTTGCTTCTTGCTTCTTTTATGCATTTCAGAATATGGACTTGCAAAGGTAGAACCACCTTTGGGATGTCTGGGGTAAGCCCAATGCAGCAGTCATAGCAGTAATATTTCCTATTTCTATCACATTTTGGGCACTTTTGTCTATTTGTTGCATTTTCTAGCGGCTCAAAAGAAGCCAGTTCTAATCTTTCTAGTAAATGCTCATCATGAGCTTCTCTTTCCATTTTATTATAATGAAAAGGGTTTTTTCAGGAATTCAGCCAACAGGAATTATCCACATAGGAAATTATTTGGGAGCTGTAAAAAATTGGGTGGCCCTGCAAGAGCAGTATGATTCTTTATTCTCCGTTGTAGACATGCACGCAATCACATCTTCTTATTTCCAAGTAGGCTCAGGGACACATATTGCAGAACAGCTTAAAGAGTCAACTAAAATAACTGCTGCAACTTTGCTGGCGTGCGGGGTTAAAAATATTTTTATTCAAAGCCAAGTTCCAGAGCACGCTTATTTGATGTGGATTTTCAGCTGCATTTCTCCTATGTCTTGGTTTCAAATCATGACACAGTTCAAAGAAAAAAAGTCAGCTTTAAACGGAGCAAGCCTAGGACTTTTTGCATATCCAGCTTTGATGGCAGCTGATATTTTGCTATATAAAGCAGAATTAGTCCCTGTAGGAGACGACCAAACACAGCACCTTGAGCTTGCAAGAAATGTCGCATCTCGGTATAATGGGCTTTTTGGTGATTTTTTTCCACTCCCACAGCCTCTTTATAGTAAGTTCTATCTTTAGCCACTGGGACAAGAATTATGAGTTTAAGAGACGCTACTACAAAAATGAGCAAATCAGCGAAATCTGAGATGTCGAGGGTAAATTTATTGGACTCGCCTGATGAGATCCGCAATAAATTTATTAAAGCGAAAACAGACTCTGAAGGAACTGTCAAATATGACCTTACAAGAATAGAAGTAGCGAATTTGTTCCATATCTTGTCAGAGTTCACTGGAAAAAAGCCTGAAATGCTTGAAGCTGAGTATAGATGGGGCGACTCTTTGGCGTTTAAACAGACAATTGCTGAAGTCGTTATTGAAAAGCTGAGGCCAATAAGAGAAAAAACAGAAGAACTTATGAAAGGTGATAATTTGTTTGAGGATTTAGAGAAAGGAAGGCAAAAGGCTGGGGAATTGGCAAGTTTGCATATAAAAGAAATTAAAAAAACAGTAGGATTCACAGTTTAATATAACGATATAGTCAGACTTATGCTTTATTATAGATATAAATAATATGTCCTGCTTTATAAAAGCTTCATTAAAGATTAGAACACAAACTTTTAAGGATAAGCATATAAATTAATTAGAGAAATCCCCGAATGATTCTGGTAATAGAAAATGGACGACTTGTTCTCAAAGATAACCTCTTTTTACTCTCGTCAAAACCACGAAGAACTTGCAAGCTACCTGAGATCTAAATCTAAACTTCTGAAAGACCAACATACAAAATTAGAGCAGCTTTACAATGCTTTTCAAGGCCCTGAAGCAACACTTGTCCAGATATCAATATTCAAGAAAAGATTGTCAACTTTGACTCAAGTCTCCATGAACGATTGGGAAAAGTGGCTGCAAAGGATCTCGACTTTCCTGATTAATTTTGACCCGCTGCAAGCTCAGTTTAATAAGAAATCCTTCTGTGGGCTGTGCTTCAAATATGCTCACTATTCTTTTGAGCTGGGAGTCAACTACCCAGAATTTGCGAATCGCGCTTTCTGTTCTCTTTTGAATGCTTATCATAGGATTGGGCTATATGGGAAGGTTACACCAATTCATACAGCTTTGTGTAAGCTTGCATTGAAAACTAAGCTACTCTAATTTTATTTTTGTTTTGGAAGAGTTAATTTTGATGCCTTTATTTTAGTATTATTGCAGTAATTTGGAATTTTTACGCTTATAAATAGAAATAACAAAAATTTTAAAATTCTTTGTTTTCTTCATTTTCCTTAATTGCAAATCTTAATGAACAAAGTTATAATTTAGTATTTTTTTCGACAAAGATATGACTAAATAAGGATAAAATTATGTTCTATATAAACTGGGAAGAGCAAGCAAAATTTCAGCTGTTCGAAGCATCATTGAAGAACATTATCTAAGTATTGATGCCCAAGAAACTGGAATTAAGGCTGATCAGACATATAATAAAAATCGTGATGACAGACCACCCGAACTCCCCAATTCGTCCAACACCAACAGGCAACGACAGTGTGAAGGAAAGAGCAGAAAGAGGCTGATGGCCCTTTATGTATGTCGGGCTAGGTTTTTCTCAGGCCCTAGGGAGCTAATCTCTGGGTCCTTGAGTTCTTACCTCCAGAACCCTCATTGGAAAGGGCAAGACCACCAGAAGTCCCAAGTGGATGATCAATCACTCTAATAGGGCTTAATAGGTGGCACTTGCCTAACGAGAACAAGAGTTTCGACCTATGTGATGGGCCATAGGCTCCAAGAGTCATGCAAATCAAGATCAATTGTGCAAATCCTTCCCTGCGGCAGCGAAGAAGGGTGCCTGCCGGGTCCCTCGAGGACGATGAGTAAGCAGGTGTGGAAATTTCAAACTCTATCTAGGACAAAGAGCTTAATCCAATCTAAGGCCGAGCAGGCAATCTTATTTTTTTACTATGCAGGATCTATTGCAACCGTTCTTAAAAGATACGACATCGCCGCTCATTTCTTTGAACTTGGTATTACAACACCTTCTCAAGCAGTTCACGCTGCATCAATTGAATGCTACAAAAAACTTGTCCTCATAACAATAATTGTAACAGGAAATGAATACTCTCACATCCCCTTTAGAATGGGTAAGATTTTTATTAAATATATATTAAAATTTTAAAATCATTATTTCCTGATTTTAAGAAATACAATTTTTCAAAAATTTAATTTATAAAATATATGTTTAAGATTGCATATTGTGTGTAAATTTTAATATAATAGTCGAAAGAGATCTTGCTATAAAATTATTGGTAAATATTTATATAAAAAAATTAATTATGGAATTTTTTTTCTGCTTTTAAAGAGGAAATTTTTTCTCATAATGGGATTTTTCCAATTGTTTTAGTCTTAAAGGGGAGTCACCCTAAATACGTATCCCCTCCTGTGCACAAGATGATAAATATCTTATGTGGCGCTTACAGCAAGCTTGCTAGCACTTTTCATGATATTTTAGTTGACCAACAAATCCCAGAAGCTTTGACTAAAATTATAGTAGAAGCAGGGGCCCTATGGAGCACTGACAGCAACTATGGCCTTATAAAGCAGGTACAAAAAGCATTGATTAAGCATAAAATAAAGCGATTAACCAAAACCTATGTCACTTTATCATTTGCTGACATTTCGGCGGCGACTGGCATAAGGGAGTGCGAAGAAATGCTTGTTGATATGATCATTGATGGAGAACTCAATGCAAAAATAGATCAAGAGCATAAGATGATTATTTTTGAAGAAAAAGATAACCAGCTTAACATTGATGACTTGGAAACGGATTGCCACACCTTGCTGAATCAGCTGAGAGAGGTGGAAAATATGATTGAAGTGGTGTCACTTGACCCTCGCTATGCGAGAAGTGTGCTTCCTACAATGGAAAAGAAATCGTCATCTATAATGGCTTAACTTCCCTTTAAATTGAGTCCCAATTTTTTTCGGCTCGAACTTTTAAATTGGAACAAAAAAATTGGATAAATTGGGCTTAATTTAATTAAAATTGATTTTTACTTTTTATTACCCAGAAATTTATCTATAGATTTTTTATTTTAAGAAAGAGTACAAGTAAAATATACCGTGAGTACGGTCATAGATCGACCTGAGAATCCCCCTCCTCTCCCCACCCTGACAGTTTCAAATTTATTGAAATCCACAAATTAAATTTGACTTGTCAAATCCTTAGTGAGGGACTTGTCATTTTGAATTAACAATGTCGTTCAAATTGAAACCGTCAGGGGGTGGGGGGGAGGGAAGGGGGAGTTTCAGATCGAGCCATACCTGTTCTGAAGGTATACTAGTTAAACAAAACTAACAAATAAAATTGATACAAATTTTTAAAAAAATTACCCCTTCATATTGGAATAGATCTTTTTGTCTTAATTTAAAGCGAAAGGAGTAAGTAATTAGTTAGAATAAAATAAACTCAAAAAGAATATATTCTCCATTTAATTAAGCGTGATGGGGTCTGAGAAAACTTATTGATACTTCTAACGTAAATATAATATTGTAACAGATATAATGAAATCATAGGCAATCTATTAATGTATAATATATTATAAGATTTTTTGTTCCAAGTTTGCTCGTTATACTCGTCATGATAAGCTCCAGGCCCCGGCAGCTCTTCTGGTGTCTTCTGCTTAAACCTTTCTTCTTTAGAAATAGAAAATTTCGGAGAATGGGCTTGGCGTTTGATAGTTGGATCAACTTGATAAGACCCCGGCCCCAGCGGATCTTTTGCATTTTTATCTAGGTCAAATCTCTCGACATTTGAATTAAATCCAACCTTCTTCGGTGCTTCAGTTGAGTTTCCTATAAGAGAAACTGCAGTTTTATGGGAAATACGCCTAGATCCAGAAATAGAAGTAGATATTTCATAATGCCCAGGAGCAGGGGATTCTGACTGATTCGGTGAAAAATCCCTTTTAACTCTACTGGAAAAAACAGAGGACGGCTTATGCTTTGAAGAATTATGAATTCCAACCCTTGATTCATCAGCCACATAATATCCTGGCCCTGGGGTTTCATTAACTCTATGAGCCACAAATCGCTTTTCTGTGCTTCCAAAGACGCCTTCTTTCCCTCACACTTTTTTCTGAATATTATCCAGAATATTTTCATCCTTATAGCTGCCTGGCCCTGGGTTTGGATCTACAAATTCTTTAAACCTGTTTTCAGTAGAGTCAAAAGGAGCCTTTGCAGTTTTTTTGGTTGTAATTGATTTTCTAGTCTCCTGATACTGCCCAGGGGCAACTTTTACATCAGGATTTTTATATTGGAATCTTGAACTCCTGCTTCCAAAGTTTTGGAGATGTCTGGGGACTTCTGTTTTCTTGAACCCTGTAAAGGCTTCTTCTTTATAATAATACCCAGGTCCAGGAATTCCTTCATCTCCTTCTGTGCTGCTTCCGTCTTCATTTTCTTCAGTTACTTCTGATTTAACATTTATTATTCCTATCCTTTTCGTAGTGCTTACAAAAGAAGCACTCGGTTTACTTTTATATAGCGGAGCAAGCGGTAATTTATTCTGTGAATAACTCCCAGGGCCGATTATATTGCCTGTTTGGGGTTTTGCAATAAAAGTTCTTTTGGTGTTGCTTTTATATCACTCTGTTCCTTTGCCTGGAGACAACTCTCATGGGTCTTTCGGGTTATAATGTCCAGGGCCTACACAGTCTTTTTTAGTCCCACTGTATATCTTTTGAGGGCTTTTCTGCATCACAAGGACTCCGGACGGTGCTTCTTCGTATCCATAAGCTTGATTTTGTGCAGGAATTGAAGGGGCAGACGGCATCCTGATCCAGTTAATTGCGTCATCTCTTTTTAATGACTCTTTTCTTTGAGGAGCCCACTCAGCGACTAGATCATAACTGCCTGGCCCTGGCGAGTTTTCTCTTCTTTTCTCTTTGAATCGGCTTAATTTGCTTGCAAAATTAGAAGAAAGCTTGGAAAGGTTTTTTGCTTCAGAAATTGAGTGTGGGTTTAATATAGATTCAGCTGTGGTGGTCGCATAACTGCCAGGACCAGGCCCTGAATTTGTGGGTAATGATTTCATTACGTTTCTTTCAGTAGTTGTCGAAAATGGAGCATATGACGGCTTTGGCTTAGACTCTTTTGCTGTAGAATAGGACCCTGGGCCAAGATTTGAAGTGCCTGAAGAGTAAAAGTCAAGTTTTCGCTCAGCTTTATTCACAAATGCCATTTAGATTTTAAATATCATTTTCAAAGTTAATTATAAAGATTTATGAGACACTGAAAAGACTGTTAGTCCGCTTATGGGTGAAAAAAGGCAGCATCCAGGAGTGGTAGGAAGGCCGATTATCCCTGATTACATTGAAATCAGGCCTTTCATTTTTTACCCATGGAGAGTTATAAGCTATTTGTTGAACTCTATAGATAAGGTCAATATAGTCCTGCAGATCTTTGCTAGTAATTTTATTGTCAATTAATTCAAACATTGAGTCATAGAATTGACTGAAGACAATTCCTTTGGAATTTCCAAAGTCAATTTCAATGTCTTGGGCTATATGATAAGGGTTTACATTGGAATAAAAAATTCTGGAAATTTCTTCATTTAATTTTTTGTATAAACTTTTAGGGACTATAGAAGTTTCCTATGTTTGGCGCTGTAAGGCCGATAAATTCTGATCGGAATTTATCGGTAGGTTTGCACCAAATCAATGCCTTGGTCGGACCAAAAAGCGATTTGGTCTGACGAACTTGGAAAGCTCCTGGGAAAATGTCTGCGCTTTTAGCGCTATATATAGAGGAAACCTCTATAGTTTTACATGATTGGGATTGATTGCTGTTCAAAGACCATAGAGGCTTGAAAAAACTTCATGGTTTCTCTTATAATCCCTTGCATAAATTTCATTTTGCTTATTTATGGTAAATTGATTTTAAAATGTCAAAAAAAATTTTAACATACCATAGACTCAGTTTTATATATAATGACATGCCAAAATTTTTTTGACATTTTAAAATCAATTTGCCATAAATAAGCAAAATAAAATATTACCAATACATTATAATATTTGTGCGATTAAGAAATTCTGGAAGCAGGATAAATACTACTTCTCCTCTGTTTCTATGAATTTGTAAAGCTGAGCGGGCTTGAGAGTCTCTGATAATTTGGATGTCGCATCTGCGTGGAATTCTTAATTTCTCCAAAACTGCGTTAATTGTTAAAGGCCCTGCTTCTCATTTTTGATTGCTTCGCCTTAAGGGAGAATAATCTTAAACTTAAACTTATAGGTAGGCGTCTGCCATATTGGTTACGCAGTCACCAAGGACTCTCCCGTACGGGCAGTTCATCCGCTTTGCGCCGTCTTCAGCTTCGCCTTGCTCGAATTGGGGCAATGATTCGCTGGGCAAGTGTTCAGCTCTGACACTACCTTTCTTCTTCTTCAGCGCCTGATGCCATGGCACTTCTGAAGTGAGACTCTGCTTGGACGTCTCCTCCTCCCTTTCGGTCCAGTGTTGAGTGGGCGGACTATGGACTTCTGCGGCTGCTGCATGTGTAACAAGGTTGGCCATACAAAAATCCCAAAAAATGGAATTTCTGTTCGACCTTTCGGCAAAAAGGAAAATCTGAATTCCGGGACGTAACGCCCGGTTTCACGCTAGGCAGTTGCCCGATTGGTCTGGGGATTACCTGCAGACTTTGCTGGGCTTGCCCTTTCCAAATCCAAACTCTCCTTTCCCTTGAGGTAAAACCCAATCTTGAAATTAGACTAAGGGCTAGGCTCTGTACATTACCAGAATTGCTTACCTAGCATTGCCGTCCATTTCTGGATTGGTAAAACCTTGCCGGATATAAATAAAATATAAGTCGAGTATGCATGGCCGGAGGCCATGCCCAGACGAAGACGCCATATTTTATTTATAAGGGAGAATAATCAATTGAATGAATTACAGCTTCTTGGAGCACAGAGTCTAATTCTTTGTTCATTATTTTTTAATTATTTTAATAGACGTTAATTTTATATATAATAGTCATAAAATTTTTTAATTAAAATAGTTCAAAATCCTCTCTATTGTAAGAAATGGCAAATTCAGAAGAAAGGAAAGATATATTTTCTTAATTAAGCTTAATTAGAAAATAAGCATTTGTAGCTAACTATAAGAGGTCTATGGGATTTTCCCATGGATGGCGCTATTTTGGCCTTGATTTTCCCACTGGGAAAATTTTGGTTTGACCAAACCATATGGTACTGGTCGAACCAAAAATTTTTCCAGTGTGAAAATCAAGGCCAAAACAGCGCCATCCACAGGAACTTGCAATATATCAATAAAATACAGTCCAAATTCCTTTAAAATATTTATCACTACCAATTTGATACATTAATACTCTAAAAAATGAGGAGCTCAAAAGAAACTCTGGTGTGCCCATACAACAAAACCCATGTACTGCCTATTAATAAGCTTGAATGGCATCTCACAGAGTGCAAAGACAAAATAAACCAGTCAAGTGGCTTTGCTATTTGTCCTTACAATCCACTGCATCACATGCCAGCCCAGCTGCTTGAAGCACACAAACAAGTTTGCAAAAACAAGACTCAGGAGAAACAGGAAATTTTGAGAGAAGCTCCAATTGTAGGCAATAAGAACTCATCTCATTACAGCCGTCCAACTCAGCAAAAAGATCTCCCACCTGGCTTTGCACCTGTTGCTGCTAAGAAAAAGAAAAAGAATAAGAAAGTGAAGGATGAGCCTAAGGTCCTGAAATTTGAAGACCCAAATGATGAATTTTTACCTACTTCTAAATGGCTGCAGCCAGACTTAGAACTCATCCAGTGCATTGAAGGCTTACAATTTGGTCTTCCGCCTGGTTTTGAGAACTACTTGCCAGAAGTCAAAGAGCCAGAACCAACACCTAAAGAGCCAGAACCAAAACAGAAAGAGCCAGAACCAATCCTCAAAGAATCATTTTCTGAATCCAAGCTGCAGGATGAGCCGCCAGAGCCTCTCGCTTCTCCAACAGAGTCAAAACCCCAAGACGAGCCTAAACTTTCCCAATCTGAGCCACACATAATCCTTTCCTCAAAATCTCAATCACCAGTAAAGCCCCTCAATCCTAAGCCAGCAGACGAATGGGTCACAATTAAAGCAAAACCCAAAAAGAAAGCTCCCAAAAAAGTCGAATCCAGCGGCTCTTTGCCCATCTCCCAGTCAGACTTTAACACCTTAGCAGAATTCCAAGTCTCTGCGTCCCTCACAAAGAACAAGAAAACCCTCAAAAAGAAGCTCAAAGAAATCCAGCAGCTTGAAGAGGCCTACAACCGAGGCGAAAAACTAGACCCTCAGCAGCTCCTAAAATTGCAATCCAAAGACAAAACCGAGCGCGAGCTGGCCAGCCTCAAATAAGTTAATAACTAATGATCCATTCTTAATAAGCCCATGGAGCTGAAGAGTTTTAGGTATATAAAGACTTATCAATAATTGGTGGGATTGGCTTGATCTCAGTGTCCAGTTCTTGCTCGATCGCGAATAAGTTTTCTTTATCCTCTTCAGTTATGAAATTGATTGCCAGCCCAAGGTGGCCAAACCTCCCTGACCTGCCAATCCTATGCAAGTACGTTTCAGCGTTCTTGGGGAAGTCAAAATTGATGACGACATTTACAGTCTGAATGTCAATCCCTCTCGTACATAGGTCAGAAGACACCAAACAGCGGCAGCCGCCATTTCTGAAGTCGTGGAAGACCCTATTTCGGTCTTGTTGTTGCATTTTGGCGTGTATGAAGAAGCAGGAGTAGCCTAGTTCTGTTATTTTCTTGGCAAGTAGCTCCACACGAAGTGTGGAGTTGCAAAAAATCATGGCCTGGTTGATCTGCAGCCTGGAAAACAGCGTGTTCAAGCAGTGGACTTTTTTCTTTTCTTGCACGTGGGCGTAGTACTGCGTGACGCCAATTAATGTAAGTTCGTCCATCAGGTTGATTTCGTGGTGCTCGGGCAAGTATCGGAGCACAAACTCTTTGACAGTCACTGGGAACGTTGCGGAGTATAACAAGATCTGGCGGTCAGCAGGGAGGAACACGAGCAGCCTCTCGATGATGGGCTGGAAGTCAGGTGAGATCAGCTTGTCAGCCTCGTCCATAACACAGATTTGTGCTTTGGACAGGTCCGCAACGTGCTTGGAAGCGAGGTCTAAAACTCTTCCAGGGGTTCCCACAAGGATGTGGACTGTTTTATAAAGCCTGTAGATGTCGTCTCTCAATGAAGTGCCCCCAGTAGTGACCATGCACTGCACGTTCATGTGTTTTCCGATTTCCTTGATTACATTGCTAGTCTGCAGCGCTAGTTCTCTTGTGGGGACGAGGACCAAGGCTTGGATGTAGTTCTGAGACGTGTCACATTTCTCCAGGATCGGGATTACAAAGGCGGCAGTCTTCCCCGTCCCGTTTTTGGCTCTTGCTATAATATGCTGTCCAGCAAGAGCAATGGGGATGCTTTCTTCTTGCACAGGAGCTGGCCTTTCAAAGCCTTTCTCGAAAATCCCCATGAGAAGCTCTCTCTTTAAGAAGTAGTCTTCCCATTCATTTCCTTTGGTGTTGGTCACGTCTGTCGTTTTAAACCTAGTGTCTGCTTGGGGCCGCACAATTGCTTCTCGTGGCTCTTCTGAGTTTTGCACTTTTGGGGTATATTGTCGTCTATCTGCGTTCATTATAAAATTATGGCGATTTCGACGAAATATAAGTCAAAGGAATATGAAGGCAGCCTGGGTTATTAATGGTTATAATTATAGGTTAATAGCTGTTATGTTTCAGACGCAAATTTTCTTCTTTGAGGTCGCTGAGTTCTTGTAGCAGTTTGGAATTGGCGGAGGAGTATTCTTCCAGAAGGGATCTCATGTCGTTCTACTAAATGGAGGTTACTTGTTGGATCATGAACTGACGGATTAGCTCAATGTGCAGGTTGTGGATGTCGTCTCGGAGGCCTGTAATGGCTTTTTCTTGGCTTTCAAGCTTGTTCTCGATAGTTTCTAGGCGGGATGTGTCGAGAGGTTTGTCGTTTAGGATGCTCTCGACCTTTTTGCGGGCTTCAGAAACGACAGACTCAGGAGGCTTCTTTGCTTCTTCTTGTGGGATTTCTTGGAGCTTGGCTGGGATTTTGTCAGGCTGAGGAACTTTGGGCGGGATTTCGACAACTGGTTTTGGAACTTCAGGAGTAGGAGGAGGCTTAGGAGTCAAAGGCTTTTCAGTCGGCTTAAAAGTCTCAGGAATTTTCAAGGCAGGCTCAGATACAGTTGTAAGATTTTCTTGAGGTTGAGGCACAACTGGAGGTTTCACACCTGGAAAGGGAGACACAGAACGGTTATTTATTTCAGGGTTAGTCCCTTCTCTTTGTTCACGTCTCTTCATTTCTACTCTTAACTTTGCTTCTTGCTTAATTTCTTCTATTGTCCTAAACCTTCCCCCAGGATATGGGCTTTCATCCCCAGACTTTAGCGATGTCGCTGATGATGGCTCTTTCGCCTGAGTATTATAGCTTGCTGACCTGGATGGAGCTGGTCTTTCTCTGCCTCTTACCTTAGAAAACTCAATTCAATTAACACTGCTTCCTTCATGTCCTCTTAGATTGGATTTTGCAGCATTTGTAGACCTCAGATCATAAATTTGGACTCCACCATACAAAGTTCCAATTGCTATTGTGTGGCCTTCACCATTAAAAGCGAGAGAAGTGATGGGAGCTTCAAGTTCCATGGTTTTTACTACTCTGCGCTCTTGTATATCGTAGAAGTGCACTTTATGATCAAGCCCTGCTGTACACATTAGCATGTGATTGACTGATGAAAAGGCTAAACCAGTGACTGGAGAGTTGTGGAAATTTGGAAAACTTGCTGTGACCGTCCTACTGTTGGCATCCCAAATGTAAACAGAGCCATTATCAGTTGCAGCACCAAGGAGTTGCTTTTTAAGCTGTGAGAACTGCAGTAGCTTTATTCCTCCTGAGCCTTTTTGTTTCAAATTAGCAACAGAGACTTGTGTAAGCATAGAATGCAATGCAATTTCTCCACTTACTCTCCTAAAAAAACATAATAAACTTTTCTAATAATAATATTCAATATAATTTTCACCAAAAAATAATAAAAAATACAAGTTAAAGATCCGCTTGCTACCTGTGTATCAGTCGCATTCCACGATACACACGATACAGAATCAGAGTGCTGCCTAACATTCATAGAGACTTCTTTTTTATGTAGATCCCACACTTTTACAGTGCCATTGGCATAGCCGCTTGCAAGTAAATCACTTTTCGACGTGAATGCAATTGAATTCACAGGAGAAGGCTGCTCTTCTTTTACTTCGAAAACTCCAACTCTCTCTCCAGTCTCTGCTAATGATAGAAAAATGCTTGAATCATCTCCAGATGATGCGAGAATTCGATTATTGTGATTTCACGTGACACAATTGATCTTCCCTGAGTGGTTTTGGATTCGGAGAAGAAGGTTAGAGCTGTCAAAATCGTGGGTCAGAATCACCTAGATGGAAAATACGGTGCTACATGAAGCTATTGAAGTTGACATTATTATTATTTTATAGAGAATTGAACAGCTTTGGCGGATGAAAACTTTTGCTCCCTAACGGAGCACAGTCATTCGTTTGATCAAAGATAAAAAATTATATATCAGTTCACGAATCTCATAATGAGGGATCAATGAAAGAAGCTGCTACAATTTTATAGCTCACATAGCTGACAGCAATAATCCCTAAATTCAATGCTTTAGATTATTCAGGGCTAAATGGCAATATAGAGTGATTTTAAAAGAGAAAATTCATGTTTTGATATAGATACCCAAATAGCAAGAGCAGGTTTCGGGATCCATATATCGTTATCATTGACAGAAACATTTTTAATGCAACTAAACAGAGGCATATCAATCCAATTTCTGGATTGTTTCCTGCTAAAGCTAAAAAATAAAGTTTGCTGCAATATAAATGATAAATCCTAAAATATATTTGTTTTTATATAGAATACTGCAATTTTTGACTGAAAACTCATTTATAAGGAACTAAACGCTGGCAGATTATTATGTAGCGTATTGGACAGGATTAAATAAAGAGTAATTAAGCGATTACATTATGATCTTTCTCCTCTGATTCTTCTAGCTAGCTGCATATCTCTTGGCATAATTGTAACTCTTTTGCCGTGGATTGCACAAAGGTTAGTGTCTTCGAAGAGTCCTACAAGGTAAGCTTCTGCAGCTTCTTGGAGGGCCAGAACAGCTGAGCTCTGGAATCTGAGGTCAGTTTTATATTCTTGGGCGATTTCTCTTACGAGTCTTTGGAAAGGAAGTTTCCTTACAAGGAGCTCAGTGCTCTTTTGATATTTCCTAATTTCTCTGAGAGCCACAGTTCCTGGTCTGAACCTGTGTGGCTTCTTGACGCCTGAGGTGGTGGCTGATACTTTCTTTGCAGCCTTGGTTGCTAGGTGTTTCTTAGGTGTTTTTCCTGCTGACGTGGTCTTTCTTGCGGTTTGTTTAGTTCTTGCCATTTAATACAACCTTTTATCCTCCAATGGCATTATATATACAAAATTTATCTCAATTTTCTACAATCTGCCTTCTGATAGGCCAAAACACAAAATCTTAGAAAATTGCAAAGCAGCCAATGAAATGGCAGATATAAGAAAAGGAGGATAAAAGTCTGATATAAAAGACCAAATGGAAGAAAAAGGTTAATAAATCATGGGAGGAAAAGGTGGAAAAGGAGGAAAAGGACTAGGAAAAGTCGGAGCAAAGAAGAGACATAGGAGAGTTATAAGAGAAAACATCCAAGGCATTACTAAGCCTGCCATCAGAAGATTGGCAAGAAGAGGAGGTGTTAAAAGACTCTCTGGACTTGTCTATGATGAAACAAGAAATGTACTTAAAGTATTTTTGGAAGGCGTCGTAAGAGACGCTGTAACCTACACTGAACACGCCAGGAGAAAGACTGTAACTGCACTTGATGTAGTCTATGCTCTTAAGAGACAAGGAAGGACACTTTACGGATTCGGAGGTTAATCTAATGCTTTCTATTTAATTTAAATTTTTTGTCTAGTCCTCTCTCCTTAGCCAGAGTTTATTGGCATTTTATATGGATCTTCCATTCAAAACTACGAGTAGATAGAGCTAAGGAATTTCAAAAGGAAAAAAAATTGAGGGGATAAAAACAAATATTCACAAACAAAATGAGACAACTAATTAATAGACCATAAGGCTTGGAGAAGCTCTGCTGCTGAATTCGAATGTAAAAAAATATTCTTTATATAAAAGCTCCTCTATACTAGGCTTAGCCATTTTCATTATTAATGTCTAATGCTAATTCAGTTTAACTAAAATTTTGATTGCTAAATGAAACACAAATAAAATGGCGACACCATCGACCCGTCCTCTCCCGGACTTGTCTCGAGTATAGGGATCTTGCTGCGGCCTGGAGCAAAGCCGAGCAGGAAATGGAGTCTACGGGTACTGGACATTTGTGTTTCGGATAGATTTTACCTCCCTCGTCCATCAATGAAGACTTTTGTCTTCCCGATGGGCATTTGGAAAAAGCAAGGCTTTTTACCTCTAGAGGCCACTAGTGCCGACGACGAAGGCATAGTTGGTATCGATACTAGCTAGGAAGTTTATCCCTAGCTGGAACTCTAGTCACTCAAGCAGTTGTCAAGTCCTAGACCTGCGCACTCCAAGGTTCTGAGATATATTAAGAACCAGGCCGAAAGCCGGATGAGAGTTATCCTGGTGGAAATGCAGACATACCCAGAGAGGCTCGCTAGCAGCTGAAAGAGTCTTCTACGAAAATTCGTCTAGGGTGAGACACAAAAGGAAGAGCCCTAATCTATAATTAATATTAATGCTAATGATTGTTAAATGAAAATAAATTTCTTGCATTAAAATATGAGTTATACCGAAATCTGTGACAAATTCGAGACTGCAGCAGTTCACGTCCGCTCCGGCACAGCAATCGGTTCACATCTCTGCACTTTTTTCAAGAGCTACAAGAAGTCGCTAGATTTATTTTCTCAACAAATTCTAAAACATGTAGAAAATTTATCAACAGAGCTCCCAAAAGACGCCCAAAACTCCACACTTATCCCAGCACTAGGAGCATTTGCGGCTCATTTTAAAAGGATTCTAAATCAGCAGACTTCACTTTCGAGGTCTATTCAATTAGAAATTATTGACCCTCTTGACGCTTTTATTTTGCAACTTAATACATCAAACTCTCAGTGTGTCAGCAAAGGGGCACCGACGTATAGACAATTGCTAAAGGCAAAGCAGAAGATGGAAAAGCTTAAAAATAAGCATTTCATTTCTGGCGAAAAAGCAGAAACTGCAGAAGCCATGATTTCAATTGATGCAACTCCTGAGCGGCAGCTGAAAATGCAAAAGCAGGCGAATTACTATAGGCTCTTAGCAAACCGCGCTTCTGAAACATATGAGAAATCAGTCCACGACGCAAATTTGTGCTGAAACAAGTACGACTCGATAATCCCAGGAATCATGGTATCTCTGCAGCAAAATGAAGAAAGCAGAATCCATTTCATTAAATACACCCTTGAAAAGTACTCAAAACACCATAGCAGCTTCCAATCAATTTTAAAAAGCATTTTTACTGAGTTTGACATACAATTAGCCAATATTAACAGCGAAATTGACGTAACCTCGTTTGTCGAAGCAAATAAGTCGAAAAGATATAAAAACAGAGAAGAGTTTATAAGCTATGAAAGGTGGAAAAAAATGAGTCTGGAGAGCAGAATTGAAGAAGAGAAATTAAATGAGTCTTATGAGAACTTAGAAGAGTCAGTAGTTATTGCAGACGAAGACCCAGATTTAGAGCTTGTGAACACTGTGCTTGATTTTTTGGTGCCTAACAGCAGAATCTTTACTGAAGAAGCAGAGGATTTAAATGCTGAAAAACCTGAAGAGAAAAATTTAGACGCAAATTACTATGCAAATCTTTCAGAGCTGCTACACTCCCAAGAAGGCAGAGAACTATTTATTGATTCTTTAGAAATCCGGAAATCAAGTGAACCTGTTGGGTACTCAAAAATCACACAATTAGCGGCTCTTATTAAAAGCTTGCTTACAATGATGATGATTGAAGACGACAGAGACCCAAATATTATTACCAAAATAGTCACTATTTCTCACGAGTTTTTCACTGAAGACGAGTCAGGTAAAAAACTGTTTTTGTCAAGCTTTATATGTTCTCATAATATTTGGGCAGATAGAACACGGTGGGAAAGTGCCATTGAATTTGCAATTCAGTCAAAAATTGAAGCTGATATGGAATCTCTCGCCAAACAGAGAAGGCGAAATAGACGGTGGAGTAGCATTTTCACTACCATTAAGCAGCTTTTCCAAAAGGATTTGTCACAGGAGCGGGAAAAGTCAACAGCATTTTTGATAGTCAGCCAGTTTAATTTCCATATGATTCAAATGGGAGTTTCCCATGACACAATAAATTCTATTATTTTGGCTGTATGCCAAGACGTGAACTTGGATTCAGAAAGGACATGCATTTTGCTATCTGAAGTTATAGGAACCAAAAATCTAAACGGAAAAATTTTCGAGCCTAGAAAAGTTTCATCATTAGAAATTAGGAATAAAGAAAGACTGAAATTTGGGGTATTGTTACCTATAGGGCTAGCCATTGATTTTCTAGATCCATTAGAGTGTACTACAATAGTGCTTGTCTGTAAAAAATGAAAAGAAGTGCTGTATAGACATATCATTAAAAAATGACTAACAGAATGAGATATTTCGGAAGGGAAAAGAAAATGCTTACTCCCCCTCTCCGTGAGTGAACAAAACTATTAGAAAAATCGCTATTTTTTGCTCAAAAACCCACCCTCCGAACAAAAATATTTATGGAAAAAAATTTTGATATATAAGTGATAATTAGCATAATAAAATCTAGTGCTAATTCTGTTTAATTTTAAACGAACTGCTATTTAAAACATAAATTTTATAAATTAAATTAATATTTGCTTATCAATTTTTGCGAATTAGGATTTTTATAAAATTTTTTATATATAATTTTTTTTAAAAACAAAAAATTAAACCCCCTCCGTGAGTGAACAAAATTTGTTTTTGTTTACTCACGGAGGGGAGGAGTAAGAACATATGCGTGGGCTGAACTTTTGAATGCCCATTTACGACCTGTGGAGTACTCTCTTTTCTATGATAAATTGTCTGCTCCATCACTTACATTAAAAAAATACGAAGAAATAATCACTATGGACGTAGCCAGGTCATTCCAAAGCAACCATATTGTTGACGAAAAATCCCTATCAAATATCTTAAAGTCATACGTCCTTTATAATCCTGAAGTAGGCTACTGTCAAGGGATGAACTTTTTAGCTGGGACTTTGCTTTCCCAAATTCAAGACGAAGAATTAACGTTTAAGTGCCTGGTTGGGATGATTGAGAGGTTCCAAATGAGCAATTTATATATTCACTCACTACCAAAACTTAAACAATTTTTTTATATGCTGGACAGGATGATAGGGATTTTTTTGCCAGAAATTCATGAGCAGTTTAAAATAATTGGGTTATGCTCCAGTCACTTTAGTGCCCCATGATTTATTACTATGTTTGCAAGTACCCTTTTGGGTAAATTTGATATTTTGTATTGTAATTGCCCGAGGATGGCGCTATCTTGCGCCATCCTCGGGCAAATTAAAAAATGGCCCCACACCGGGAATTGAACCCACGTGTGGGGCCATTTTTGGTTTGTGGAAGTCAATATTCTCCACATACCAAAAATGGCCCACACGTGGGTTCAATTCCCGGTGTGGGGCCATTTTTGAATTGCCGAGGATGGCGCAAGATAGCGCCATCCTCGGGCAATTACTATATCCACTATGGGATTTGTTTTTATTGGAAGGGTGAAAAGTGATTTTTAAAGCGTCTATGGCGATATTGAAGAAAGTGTCGCAGGAAATGTCAGGGAAACAGTATGAAGATATCATGTATTTATTGGCAAATATTCATTCTGCTTCGTGCCCAATTAGAGTATTTGATGATCAATTTTTGCAGGAAGTTAAAGATATGGAGATCTCCAATGCATTGCTGAGAGACTTAGAATCAGAGTATGAGCATTTAAAAATCAGAGCGTATAATAGAAGTACAAAATAACAAAATTCTTAAATAATTAATTAGTAGCAAATATTTCAAAGCAACTAGAATGGCGCTTAAGAATGAATAAATAATTATAGATATGCATGTCTATTCCAAGACCTTTAATGTAAAAATTTTATGGTGTTCATATTTTATTTATGCTGACTCTTTCTTTTTTTTAATAAAATTTATAATTTAGATTTTTTGTTAAAATTGATATTATCAATAATTGCTATTGGAAAAGTAAGGCAGCTCTTTAGAAATTTTTCAAGTAAAATCCCAGGATTTGCCACAGGCGCTGGAACAGAACAGTATTCATTTAGAAACCAAAAAGTTGTTGAGTCTCATTGGAGAACATCATATCAAGGTTTAGTCCACTCAAGCTTAGGAATCGGCACTTATATGGGCGCTCCAGATGATGAGACTGACCAGCTCGTAAAAGATGCGATCGTTCAAAGTGTGACAAGTGGCACAGTAAATGTCATTGACACAGCAATAAATTATAGATACCAAAAAGCAGAAAGAGCTGTCGGCAAGGCCATTTCTCACTTAATCCAAGAAAACTTCAAAAGAGAAGAGCTTTTTGTTGCCTCAAAAATCGGCTATATCCCAGAAGACGCTGACAATGGAATCCCAGGCCAAGCTGTTATCGAAGACCTAAAAACCAAAAACTTGCTCACAAATGACGATGTGGTTGGAGGAATTCATTGCATGCACCCAGCATTTTTAGAAGACCAGCTTGAAAGAAGTCTCAATAATTTAGGCCTTGAAACTCTTGATCTGCTATACATTCACAATGCTGCTGAATCTCAATTGCCATTAATCCATGAAGAAAAATTTTTAGAAAGACTAGCAAAAGCATTCGAATTTTGTGAGAAAAAAAGACAAGATGGAAAAATCGTCAGCTATGGAATGGCATCATGAATTTGTTTCAGATCTCCTCCTACAGAAAAAGATTTGCATGTTTCTCTTGAACAAATAGTACAAATGGCTGAACGAGTTGGAGGAAATGACCATGGGTTTAGATACATCCAAGTTCCTATTAATATCGCAATGCCTGAAGCATTTGTATACAGATGGCAAATGATTGAAGGTAGCGAGCATATTTTGCTTATTCTCTCTCAATGAACAAAAAAATAGAGGTAAATTTTAAATTTATAGTTTAATTTTGAGATTAAAAATCAAAATTTTCAAATTTTCATTTATTGGAAATATGTCAATAATTTTTAAAAGCAATTCTATATAAATTTTTGATAGTTTGCTGACTTATGGGGGGAGAAGTTAATGTTGCTAAAAAACTGAGAATTAATATCATGGTAAGCTCACCCCTTTTACAAGGTAAAATCTTAGAACTGAAGCTGTCAAGAAGTATGCTTGGAATTGAGCTGCAAGCTGCAAAGCACGTACAATTAATCCGATCAATACCTTCAGAATCAATCAAATCAGTTCTTATAGGCATGAAAACCCCCAGAAACGTTACCATGAACACACAAATAGGTTTTGTTGAAAGCTTGAACAGAGAAGAGTTCTGGCACATATTGAAACCTGAAGGCAAAGAAGATGCCCCAGTCACAATTGATTTATGGTAATAAATAGTTACGATAATTATATAATCTACAATCTTACTAAAAAATTTGACAATTATTGCTTCTTGGAGTTTTTTGTGTAGGCTTGGTGCTATCTGTCTCCGTATAAGTGATTTTTGCTTTCCTGATTATTTCTCGGTTTTTTATTTCAGGCATTTTTGATTTCGGAGTGATATTAAGGTCTGCCGTTATGTCTAGCGAGTTTTCATCACATGGGTGCTCTTCAAAAACTGCGTCATTTTGACTTTTTGGAGAAAAAATGTGGGGATTTGCCTTAGGAGTTGAAACTCTCAGTTCTCTTGTTAGAGTCCTGGAGAGCTCTTCAGGGTCAGTGAAGTCAGGAGATTTTGTTGGAATCATCGTGCGCGACCTTTGCTTCTGTTTTTGCATCCGTGTGAGTTCTTTTGTGATGCTGGCGTTAGCGTCTAACAGTCTAAAGGTGCTTTCTATATGTGTTTTTGATTTTGCCTCAGTTTTTTGAGTCAGCAAGGACTTTCGCTTTAATCTCCCAGGCTTTTTAGTTTCTTCTTTATTTAATCACACAAAATAGTTTTCAGCGACTTTTTCTTTATTCCTGATATCTTCAAGCAGGGATTTTAAATAGAAGTAATCTGGGGTTTCTTCAAATCGAAGATTCCTCACATAATTTAAGAATACCTCGAAATTGTGTGGACAGCATTCACATAAATCAGTAACAGTATGCTATAATACTGCAAACAATGCGAAATTTTTTATATTTATTATATATACATGCTTAATTATCTAGGCATAATTCCTGATTTTATATTTAAAACTTGCTGCCACCTATTCGCACTGGTTGTTTTTGATGTGTGACTTCAAGGTAAAGAACCTTTGTACATATAAATTAACATATAAGCTAATGATTCTAAATCATCTCTGCGACTTTGCCGGAGTCCAGTGTGATCATTTAGAGATGCAAAGGTTGAGTTTCCTACTTTTGAGCAGTGGTTTTGGAAAGCTAGATGATGATTATCGTAGACGTATTTCTGTGAAAGCCCAAAATCAACCAGATAAATAGACTTTTCGTCAAGAGATAATAGGAACTGCTGGGGTTTTATATCACGATGAATATACCCTTTATGATGAATATACTCAAGCCTTGAGAGAATTTGTAAAGCAACAGAAACTGTTGTACCTATGTCAAATTTTCCACCTTGCTCTTTTTGAATGCTGCCTAAGTTTTTTCCTAGTAACTGCATGACCATGTAGCTGATGTCCTCATTTCTGCCTGATTCATATAATTTTGGGATTCCTTCACCTCCTTGGAGCGCAGAGAGTATTTTTGCTTCAAGCACAACTTGATTTTTTCTGGTTATATCAATTTTGATAGCTACATACCTGTTATGCTTTAAATCTTTGGCCTTATAAACTTCGCCGAATCCTCCTGATCCAAGAACACTTTCTATGCGATATTTTTCCAAAAATATATCGTTTTCTTTCATTATTTCTCGTTTTATATGGATATTGATTAATTTACAGTAAGATATCGAATGATTAATGAGAATTTTTTGTTAAAATTTCATTATTTAGAAAATTCGTGAGTTAGGTTTTTGATTTTTTAGATTTATGGATTTAAATATACTTAATGAAAAGGACCGATTAGTAATCTTTATTAATTTATTTTTTGGATATATTTCGCGAGCAGATATGACTCGACCTTGACTGCCCCTCTTCCTTCCCCTATTTCTCTGATGGTTCATTTTAAATGAAACAGAAAAATAAATGACAAGTCCATCATTATGGATTTGGCATGTCAAATTCAAGCCGAAGCTACCAGTGGAATGAAGGGAGGCAGAAAGTTATGCCGATCAATAACCGTGCTCACGCTACATATATGAATACTCGAAACATTTTTCATTAATATTATCAATTACTTCAAATTTTGGGCAATTTAAATGCTGTTAATGTTTTTAAAATAAAAATCACATTCTATTGAATCTTTCATTATTTGATTTCTATAAAAATAATTTTCTCTCACTGAATTTAAAAATTTTAGTGACAGCTTGCTATTTCTTATTAAACTTAAATGATAAAGCCTCGTTTTATTAAATTATTTACAATTAATTTTTAAAAATAAATCTATTATTTGTATTAACACTCTTTGAGAGAAACGCGGATCTTCTAAAATCTTTATTTATGGATTAAAATGTGATGAATGATCTAAACCTTATATATAAATTATTCAAGTCCAATTATAATACAAATTTCATTGTTAAGAAACCAATTATTCTTATGGAATCTTTCCTTTAGCAATATAAATAATCGCATCTGAAAAATTTCCTGTTAACTTGAGAGCATTGGTTGCTTCAAATCTGGAAGCTCTGGTATGTCTCATAACAATCAAAACATCATATTCATTTACTTCCGAGTCTTCATTTTCATCACGCTGACTTTTTCTAGACTTTTTGTTTTCAACTTTATAGTCATCTTTCTTTTCTTCTATCATCTCCTGCTTTTTCTTATTTCATTCTAATTCAATTTCTAATTCTTCTAAAATCCTATCATAGTAGCGCTCAAATATATCGATTGTATTGTAGTCAATATTGGGTTTCAGCTGCTCTAAAGCTTCTTTAAATGCTTCAATTGTATCATTGGAGATTGCTAAAATAGAAATTTTTGATAATTTTTGCACATCACTAATAGAAATCTTAGATTGTTTGTCAACTTTAGCAGCAGCTATTCATTTCTTCACAGACTTTTCTAACTTATCAATTTCATTTATTGATGAAGTGATTTGGTCTTGCAAAATTCGGATCCTTTCATTTAAATGTTTGCACAGGATTTGTTTGCTTGTATTAAGAGATTTCTTAAACTCATACAATTCACTTATAAGGTCAATCTGGGGAGTCGGCTTTTGAAATTCCTTTGAGTTTCAGTTGCCAATTGATTCGTCAATATCTAAAATATGAGAATCAATATTAGAGACATGCTGATCACGCTCCATGACAATTGAATTATAAACAATCACTATTCTACAATAATGCTCCTATAATATACTTATGCTATCGAAAAGTTATTTAGTAGAATCGCCAAAGGTTTTCAAACCCCTGATCATGATATGTCAGCCCAACTCATGAAGCTGTCTTGGAAACATTCATTATAAAAGCAACTCTGCAGTTGCACAAAAGCATAGCTGAGGCAAATTGGGTTAAAATGGCTTGAAAGTGTAGAAACTAAATTTCAGTTGCTATAACTCCTCTCCCAAACTTTTAAGAGTAGTTTTTTATTATTAATGGGAAAGCTTGTAAAACATAAAAAAAATTTGTTTTTTTTTAAATCTCATTTATCCATCCCTTTTTAAAAGTTTTTTTTTTTATTCAAGAGCTAAGAAGGAAGACAGAGTAATTTAATTATTCCTTAAATTCTTAATTATACGAAATGCTTTATATTTATATTTTTAAAGATTATAAGTAGACTAAAGAACTATTATGTAAAATTTTATATTAGCCTGCATTAGTTTCAGGTATAACTTAGAAATTTATTTGGTTTTTCTATTTTTAAAAAATTTTGGATTTAATGGATTTTAAAATAATAATTTTAAAGGATGATGAAACAAAATAATATATATATATTATTTACAATGTTCGAAGGATTATAATTCATGATAACTGGGGAAAAATCAATTTTTAATTTTTTTATAAAGAAAAAAATTGATCATTATCAAATTTTTAAAAAATTAATTTTTTTTGTTATTAAATAAGGGCAGAGTAAATGAAAATTAAAAAGTTTGACAATAAAATATTAGTTGTTAACCAATTATGGTGGCTGATTGATTTGTGATTCGCAGATGCCTTTTTCCCTTCCTTAAGGTTTCAATTATAGAATTTTGAATAAGAAGCCATCACATGAGCATGCTATGATTAGTATATTTTAATTGCTTTAGACAGATGCATATTACTTATATTTTTTCACTATCGTCTTATTAGTCTATTTCTTTATTAATTTTGCAAACCAAATTCCTAACAAATTTGTTATGCCTCTATTTATGTCACATGCAGTTTACCAAAGGAGCAGATTTTTATTTTGCATGATAGTAGAACACCAAGCTTTGGCTATAATGATATGAATATTCATTGGGAGTATAATTTTTAACTTTCTATTATAAAAAAATTAAGTTGTTATTTGTTTTTCTTTGAAGTAGAACTCTGGAAATAAGCGTAAAGTCTATAGCACTGTTTATAAATATAGAAATATAAGGATAGCAATCGATATAGGTTACTCAACAAATAAATACATAAAAATATGCAACAATAAAGGCCAGAATAAAGCTAAATAAGATCTAATCCATAGATTTTCAAATCTTAATTTAAAACGAAATCATTAAAACTAAATATAAATTTACTAGCGTTTTAATGAATTTTAAATTTAAATTTGTAACAATTAAATATAAATCTTTATGGTCCACTCCATATCCAAAGTTTCGCTTCTCACAATAGTATAAACTCCAATTTTTACTCCCACCCTTTTAAGAGCGAGTAGGATAGTCTTGTTCGCTCTTAAATGGTTTTTTACTTTTGCTTTTAAATTTATATTAAAAAACTAAAACTATAAAATCATTTTTTTAAATTTTAAAAAATATCAATTTAAAATTTGATCAGAAAAATCTAATTAATTTATTATGTCTAATAATAACAAGTTGTTAAAATTTAATAGAATTGCCAAGAATCTCCTTAATTAAAAAATTTTTGTTTGGCTTTTTTCAATGATTTTGCTCAATCTTAAAGGGGAGAGTTAGTAAAATTGCAGTAATGTATACTAATTAATGGAGAGCAAACGCCATCAAACTTCTATAAGTCTTCTCGGACTTGAATCAAAAACTTTTTTTCCGCCTCCCGCTCGCATTAAGTCTAAAAAATCTCAATCTCTTACACCACCCTTGAAGAGTAAAAATTTTTGTTTATAATCAAGGGCTATTTTGATTTCAAAATATATTAAATTCTTTATAAAAAATTATTTTTAAATATTTAAAATAAAAATTCTATCTTTAAAAATGCGAATAGTTCAAAATTTAATAGAATTAGCCGAGATTTTATTATAGCACACCCCTCGTGGTTGCTCGCCATTAAGTGCCCCCTCCCCATATCACTGACCCCCTGATGGTCCTGACAATTTTAAATGTTAAATAATTATTTGACAAGTCCCCCTCAAATATATTTTAACTTGTCAAATGAATATTTAACATGTTAAAATATTTGGGACCGTTAGGGGATGCTCAGGGCCGATCCAAAGCGGGTGTAAGCTATATTATAGTCCTAAATTTTATATATCATATTATTATATGTATACATAAAAAAAATATTTTGCTCCCTAACTAAGTGTGGCTAATCCCTAAAACAAGGAATTTTAATAATTTTTCTTGCAAACTAAAAGACGAGTCAGCAATTTCCGATCATTTTTCAAATCCAAAAAAGATCATCCTTCCAATGAAAATTTTCCAAGTTCTGAACTATTCCCAAAAACTGGCTCAGAAATTTCAAAAAAGTCTAACCTCGATAATCACACCTCAAACCCTTCATCAGAAATAATAATCGAATGCACTCACGAATATACCCGAATTTTCAACAATAAGCTGTCAGAAATGATGGACTATCACAAGGAAACAATCTTAAAACTAATAAACGACGACCCTCTTGACGGTAATCAAGACTTCTAAAATAAGCTTAAAAACATGTCAGAAATTATTTCGGCTAAGTTTGTTTATAATATTTCATATTCTATTTCATGATTCGAATTTCAATTTAAATTTAAATGGCATCTTCAGAAGAATTCACGCCAAAATCCAGCAGGAATAATAGAAAATACTCATGAAGCACAGACGAATCAAAAAGCATTGAGCTCAAAACAGGCCCATGGACAGCTGAAGAAGACCAAATGGTCATGAAACTTGTCAATAAAAACGGCCCTCAGAAGTGGAGTTTTATAGCAAAGCACTTGCCAGGGAGGATAGGGAAACAGTGCAGAGAGAGATGGCACAACCATTTGAACCCGAATATAAGAAAAGACACATGGACTGAAGAAGAAGAATGAATCCTTTTTCTGTATCATAAAATCATGGGCAACAGGTGGGCGGAAATTGCAAAAATATTGAAAGGGAGGACAGATAATTCAATAAAAAACCATTGAAATTCGTCAATGAAAAAATTGGTCCCTGATTTCAATGTGAGATACAACACACTTATGAAGCTTCATGGGCATTGTGACTCTTCGCATATCTGCAATGAGCATTCTAATGAAGAAATCGGAAAACGCAAAAGAGGTAGAAGGTCTTCAAATGAAGCATCTGAGCTGCCGAATGTACCATGCTTGCAAGCACACAATCAAGTTTTGTCTGAAGCTTTGGAAGTTTATCAGCAGAGCTTGATGAGCTGTGGAAGAGAAGAAGAAAACAGCCAATTCACTCCGCTTCCAAAGAAAAAAAGAAAAATTGCTGATTCCACGCCTTCTTGTAGCAAGTTTAATGAGTATGCAGAAATTGATGATACAGGCTACATCTATACACCAATTGTTTCCCCACCGAAAAACCAATATTTCAAATTTTCATATTCCCTTTAGTTAATATAAGGAGTTTAGTAGCCATTTCTCTATTGAGACAAATATGGTTTTAGTTATGAACAATAAAGTATTATCATTTTCAAATGGATTACCCTTCATATACAAATGAAAAATGTGATACATGCACTAGCAGCAATGTCAATTCATACAGTTTGAGGACTCCTGAAAACTTCAAGTCGCCATATTCAGAACTATTTGAAAGCCCAAGCTTTATGCTAAATTTTGATACCAGTCCTGAAGCAAATAGAAAGATTAATATTTAATAATTCACAATTTTATGTCCAATATATAGGGTTTTCATCTAATTTTATTGTAATTTTTAAATTATTTCTTTTCAACGACATCCAGACTATGAAAAATCACCCATTTGCCTGACTCACTCAGCACAGCACATAACTCAATTTTTCTGTTATCAATCTGCCTCTTAAACTCCAAGACTTGTCCAGGGCCTTGCAGCTGATTTGCAAACACTCTTTGGTCACTCAGAACCCTCGTTTCTTCTTTGCTTTTTAGCACATGTGGCTCAACCTCTAGCAATTGGTTTAGCAAGTCATTCCATTTATCCCCAGTCCTTTCTTCCCATCTAGAATAAGGCTCAGCTACAAATTTGTCCACATCTTCAGGAATCCCAACCAAGTTTTTGGTGAATTGTTCTTTCCAAGTTTTTTTCTCACCTGAAAACGCCTTTTTAAACTCAGCAATAAGCCCGCTTCCGATCTTTTTTAATGCGAAGACTTTGCGCTCTTCTTCATATTCAGCTTTAAGCCGCTTTTGGACTGTGGAATCATAAGTCCCATTGACAAAAATTCCTTTTCAGTCTACACCATATGGGTCTGTGTAAATGCCTTCTCCATGCATTCGGTGGTTTTCCCATTGTCCTACGTATTTAGCTCCGTTTGGGAATTGATAGGTACCATGGCCGTGCTGTTTTCCTTGAAACCAGTCTCCTTCGTATATAGCTCCTGAAATATATTTATAGACGCCATATCCATGCATTTGGTCATTTTCTCATTGACCTTCATATTCTTCGGTTAATTTTGATTCTTCGTTTTGAGGGTTCAAGGCATGAAGGAATTTCCCATGTCCGTGGCGTTTTTTGGCTTTATCGATAATTTCCCATTGCCCCACATATACGTCACCATTCATATAGTCGAATTCTCCATGACCAGAAAGTTCTATTTCTTGAGACTCTGTCATTTTTATAATGATTATTAAACAAGCATATTTAATTCATATTAATTCGTTTCAGTCATTTCTATACCATATTTATTAATAGGTACTTTGCTATACATTATAAGCTTTTACTTGCTATTTAAGGAGAGAGGTGTATATTTCCTCCAGGGTGAATAAGCTGTTTCACCCCTTTATTATCAGTTCTCTCCACAACTCCGTCCATAAACATACAGACTTCTTCCCCATTGCTTGTAATCCTCTTCACAGTGCCATCAGGGTAAATTATTTTCTTTGACCCATCGTTATAATGTTTTTCTGTTTGTCCATTATTGAACCTTATCGTCTGTTTCCCATTTGCATATACTTTTTGAAACGCCCCAGTCTCCGCAAAGAAATACTGTGTAGACCCATCAGGGAAATCTTGCTTTATATCTCTATTCGGGAAATAAGTAATCTTGTAGTTATTTTGGTACTTTTCCTGCCTCATCCCATCTGGAAAAACAATTAAAATATGTCCATCTGCTAGTGTTTTTTGGACCCTCCCGTCACTGAGCGTGCTTTGTTTTACAACTTCTAAGACCCTTGAATGGGCGCTGAATATTTCAATTGGGGTAAGTGCTTCTATATTCCCTTTTTCTTCTTCAATAGGAGTTTGGGTTTCTGCAGTAGACCTACTTGCAGGGACAATTGGAGATCTCCTTCTGTCTCTTGACCTTTCAATTAAAATATGGCGTCTCCACCTAGCACATATTTTAATTATATCCGGCAAGGTTTTGCCAATCTAGAAATCGACAGCAATGCTAGGTAAGCAATTCTGGTAATGTACAGAGCCTACCCCAAGTCTCTTTTCAGGATTGGTTTTTGCTTCAAGGGAAAGGGAGGTTTAGGTTTGGAAAGGGCAAGCCCAGCAGCGTCTGCAGGTAATACCCAGACCAATCGGGCAACTGCCTAGCGTGAAGCCGGGTGTTACGTCCCCGGGATCTAGACTTTTCCTTTTTGGCGAGAGGTCGAACAGAAAATTCCATTTTTTGGGATTTTTGGATGGCCAACCTCGTTCACCCATGCAGCAGCCGCAGAAGTCCATAGTCCGCCCACTCAACACTGGACTCGACAAGTGAAAGAGCAGACGTACGAAGCAGAACCCCACACTTCAGAGGTGTCCTGGCATCAGGCGCTGAAGGAGAAGAAAGGCAGTGTCAGAGCCGAACACTTGTCCGGCGAATCATTGTCCCAATTCAATCAAGGCGAAGCTGAAGACGGCGCAAAGCGGATTAACCATCCATATGGGAAGGTCCTTGGTGACTGCGTAACCAATAAGGCAGACGCCACCCTGTAATAAGTTTAAGTTTAAATCTCTTGACCTTTCTTCAAGCTCAAAAAGCTTGTTTTGGAGCTCCATTTTTTCCCTTGTCAGCTTGGAAATCACCTTATTGTCGCGGTTTTCTTTTCGTTTTCTTTCTTCTTGTAAAGCTTGGAATTGCTGCTTTAAGTTATTGAATTCTTCTCTTTCATTGTGTGAAATGGCAGCTGCCAAGTTTTTTTGGCTGTCTTTTCTAGCTTTTTCTCGTTGTCGGATGGCTTTCTGCTGCTTTTCGACTCATGCAGATTGCTCAAGCTTTACTTGTTCGAGCTTTTTTTCTAGGGTTTCATTCAGTTTTTTAGCATCTTTTTCTTTGTCTTTGGCGCTTTTGAGTATGGTTTCGAGCTTTTCGTTGGCGTTTTTAAATTTATTTAGCTCGAAGTCTAGCAGTTCTAGCTTCTTTTCAAGCTTATAAGATAGCTCTTGAGAGTCAAGGCTTGATTTAGTACTGCGAAACTGCGGATCAATGTATTCGATTTCTTCATTTAGGGTTCCTCATTCAGTTTTTTCTTCTTCGTGCATTTTTGGAGGGTTTTCAATCGGATTCTCTTCATTTAGAAGTTCTACGAATTCTTCTTTTAGTTCGTTTAAGTCAGCCATGAGTTATTTCTAAAATAATGATCTAAAAATATATTTTCATAAATAGATATTTTTATTATTTTGTAAACATTCTAGCTGCTTCATTAGTATCAATTGGCTGCAAAGAATGCGCTCCGACAGCCTGATGGTTCTTTAAATGTGCAAAATGGAAAGAATAATAGCTGAACTCATCTTCCTGCATAGACGCAAACTGGGTTGCTAATAAAATCCAGCTTAAAGAGTCCAGCTCTTCTTGTTCGATTCCTTGGACCATAATTCTTTCTATTGATTGCTGCAAATTGTCATGCCTTAAATATTGAGGATGCCCTTTGGTAGAAGTGTTTTCTGCAATATATTGTAGCATCCAATGAACTTTTGGCTGCATAAAGAAATTCATAGTCCATTCAGCACCTCCAGGCAGTGCCTCAGCGTCAGCAATAGTCTCTCCAAAGATAAATCCTATAAAAATTCACCAGAACTTGAAGAATCTTCTGCTTCTCGCGAAACTCAAATAAACAACGTCTTGAAATTTTTTGTTTAAATGCAATTTCAATAGCCAAAATTTAGTTTTTAGATATTCTGATAGTTTTGCAAAAGCTGAGACTTCATAAGCTCTTATCATTTCTCTCCTTTTGAAAATGATTCTTGACATAAGGCTTAAAGGCTCTGGGCCTGGATTTTGCTTGGCTATAAGAGCAATTCTTTCAGTAGCTGACAAGGACTTGAGAAAATACGGCTTATATCTGGGATTCAAAGCCAGTCAGCCTTCTTTGATTTTGTGAAGAAGCATTTATTAATGGAAGCTTAAGAAGAGGAAAATTAAAATTTAAGAACATTATTACCGTAGCGCGCAAGAGATGTGGACCGAATTGGAGTCATACTTCTTGAGGAAGAAAAAGACTGGTTTAAGGATGGGTTGTAGAGCTTTAATTCTAGGTTTCCTCTTGAATGGTAAGGACTTGATTGTGCTGGAATCATACTATAAGGACTTGATATGTAGCCTGGCACTTTTGAATGCAGCTGAAGTGCGCCTTTTTGAAAAGCTTCAATATCTTCTCGGTTTATTTTTCTTTCTTCTTCATTCATAGCATATCTGTTTCTTTTTTCTATTTCTTTATTCTTTATCTGAGCTTTTAAAGATTTGAGGTACTCTTTTTGCTTTTCTCTCATCTGAATTCTTTCTTGGATGACATTTTCACTTATTTTCCTTGGTATTCAGAAAAATTAATAAAAATCTCTATTTTTCGGAAATTAACCCCTTTAATTAGAACTATTACTAGTAAAGAATATAAGCGTCCGTACTTATTTTTGTTATTCTTTATAAGGAACATTACCCTTTAAAGCCTGCCATTTTTAATTATACCAGTAAATTAAAAAAAAAATTAATTCGAATATATTAAATGAGGATTTCAAAAATCCGAAAAAAAAATTTTATCTATAATAAAAAAACCTCTTTCAAAGAGTTTACTATCCAAGTGAGCTAGAGATTTTTGTTTTTCTAGGATATCCTGAGCATATTTTCTATCTTCCTCAGCCTGTTTTTTGAGAGCATTTTGTCTTTCTTGGATTTGCTTATTGAGGATCTCTCTAGTGAACTTCTCAGAATTAATTTGTGACATCCTTTTTTCAAATATAATTAATATGATAGTGGCGACAAAATATGTTCTTGCTGGCCACCATTTTGAGCGCTAAAATGACTTTATGGCCTAAGCAAAGGCTCAGACCTTTGATTCTAACCTTAAGCTTACTGTATAGCGGCCGTATGGGGTGGGCAGTCAGCTGGTGGCCAAGAATTAGTTATCTGGATGGTTTTTGGGCCACGGGTTCTTTCTCAGGTGGCCGACAGGAGGCGGTATCAGGCTAAGCTTGCTTCTATAGTACCTGCAATGTTCAGCACAAAGGAATCTTCCTAGTCTGTTAAAACTCAGGATGCGGCGTGAGCCAGGTTTCAAGAGAAGACTGCTGATGATAGGGCTCAGGCAAATGAACTACTCCTGGCAAACAATTGCGTGCAGAGGCATTAAATCTGGAAGACCTTAAAAACGCTTCATTTAATTTTATTTTTTCAAATTCTTTCTGCTTAAGTTGCTCTTCCCTATTCCTTTGAATTTCCAATGCTTTTAGTTCATCTTCTTTTGCCCTTGCTTCGATCGAGGTTATGTTATTAAAATTATTCGACTTCTGAAGCTCGTCGAATTTGTTATAGAAATTGTTAAATTCGTCTAAAAATCTCTGTCGTTTTTCTTCATATGCATCTTTAAAATCATATGCATTTTTTGTGTATTGTCTATCGAGCTCTCTTTCTCGTTCTTTTTCCTCCTTCTTTATTTCCAGCTGTTTTAAGTTGAAATTATTGATTTCAAGCTGCCGGCTTTTTATGTATCGTTTTTCTGCGTCAACTGACTTGCTTATTCTCCCTGGTCGATAGCAAAACCACTGTAAAAAACCTGCCTTTTTAGGAAAATTAAAGTACTTCTTTTGCAAACAAAAATTTTTTAAATAATTATTTTTTGTCCAATATATTTTGGTGTAATAATTGACGATAATAATATGAGATATTATATATTTTAGAAGCCTCTATTCTTATAAATTAATTTTATTTCATAAATTTTGGATTTTTTAATATTCAGAAGAACAAAAAATAATATAAATTGAATAGCAAAAACATTAACACCCATTGCACTTATCAGGGGAGGAGTTAGCTTTTTCCTTTCTTCATCAATTTGTCTTTGGTATTCTTCTTGCTCCCTCTGCTTCATTGATTTTTGCTGCTCCAAAACCTGCTGCCGCTGGCTTATTGTCTCATCTTGTATTTGTCTAGCCACTACAGCCCGGTTCTGCAGAATATAATTTTCTCTTGATTTATTAAATTCTGCTTGTTTTTCTCTAATTTGTTGCAATCTTATAATTTCTTGGGACTCTCTGACTTCTATGCTTCTCCTCAGCTGCTGCTTTGCATGCATGATTTGGTCTAGTTCTTCTTTGTAGCGTTTTTTCTTTTCTGTTTCTTCAATTTGATGCTGCAAATCAGCGAGTTTTTGGACTTCGTCTTGATGCTTAATAACTCCAGCCCATTCATCATAGCCAGCATTTGGCCTTGTAGGGAATTCTTTGTAGGTCGGAGTTTGGTTTCTCGAAACATTGGATTTAAAAATTTCAAAAACTTGATTAAAATCATAGCCCTGGTCAAATAAAGAGTCAGCGTTGGAAATTTCTTGCTCAATTTGTGCTATTCGCTGCATTTAATTTACTTCAATTCCAAGCTCAGCAATTAGAAGTTTTTTTAGTTTTTCTTTACGACGATGGTTAAGAAGCCGAATTCTTCCAGGATCTGCCATGCGAAAATTATTAAAGAATTATTAAAGGCTCTTGGGATATCTAGGCAATAATGAGAGTTATAATTACAAAATCAGAATTTATATAGATTTACATTGATTCATATCTATTATAATTGAAGAAAAGGGTAAAATTCTTTGAATTTAATCATTGAAGCTAGGCATATATAAAATAGTATATTTTTTTATGAGGATAACAGCGATTTCTAACTCCCCCCTCCGTGAGTGAACAAAAAATTTTTGTTCGCTCATGGAGGGATAAATTTTTTTTAAAAATTTATAAGAAATTTTAGAGTAAATTTGTTTTTCGAAATTTAGAAAAATCAATATTTGTAAAGCAAATATTGATGTAAAATTTATTTTAAATTACTAGATATTTCGTATATCAAAATAATTTTTATTAAAAAATTTTTGTTCATATGTATTTTCCAAAGGTTTTATTTGCTGACAGAGGGGGAGAGAGTAAGCATCTTATATGCCCACTCATTAAATCCAGACGGTCCACAAATCCATGTTTGTTGAATTTTGTATAGATCTGTCCATCTTTCTAGCATTTCAGGAGTCATTAAGTGTGATTTGGAAATGCTAATAATAAGTTTGAAGCTACTGGGGTATTTAGTCTGCATTACTTTTAAAATATCTAATGCAATTGCTTCTTTTTCATTAGAAAAAGAAACATAAAGATACAGAGTAAAGTCTTCAAGTTTATTTCTCCATATCGAAAAGATAAGGTCCATAAATGGCAGGAGCCCAGTGCCTCCAGCAAATGCCAGATAAGAGCCAGTGGCAGATTTATCAAGCATTAGTCCAGGACCCATTGGGCCTACAATTTTTAAGTTATCGCCATTGATTAAATTCTTGAGGTAACTCGTCATTTTTCCTTTCGGATAATGCTTAAAATATAATGAAATTTGTCTTGAATTTCTGTTCCTTTTATCAAGTCTACTACATGAGTATTGATTTTGGATTATTTCTTGTTTCCAAGCCTGCAAATCACAGGATAAATGCGAATAATATCTGCTTATCGGTTTTCCATTATATTCTCCATAAACTAAATATGATTTCCCCATTCAGCTTAACCCTTCAGGGATTATAACTTCTCAATTGCTGTTTTCAAGAATGAGTTTATAAATATTTTCTCCAATTAAATGCCGACTCTTTACAGTCCAAACTATATTTTCAGCAGGTTGATTGCTATTTAAAGGCTTAAATACCCTCTCCTCAATTCCTAAGTCACAAATAATCAAAGAGTTAATTTGAGAATAAACGTATTTAGGATGGGTGAATGAGTTATACTCTTCGCCAATACTGCTGCAACCATGAATATATTTCCCAATATCTTGCCCAATCGTACTCTTTATCTTGATTACTTACTTATTAACAGACATGCTCTCGCCCTAATTTTTATGCAATCATGGAGGGTCTCTGATACGGAAGATTCAACCACTTTGCGACAATGCATTTCGGCTCAAGCTTGGTGGAAGTCTTCGGACTTGTGCGGCCTTGCACAGGCTGTTGAGTTAGGGAGCAAGGGTTGCCCACACAAACATCCCAAAAAAGGGAATTTCTGGTCGACTCTTGGAAAAAAGGGAAAACACTTAGTCCAGGGCATGGCTTCTGGTTTCACGCTGGTGAAGCACCAGATTAATTTGTTATGCCTATAGATAATAGGCATTGCCTGTATAAATTGTTGGGCGACCCTTTCCAATTTCTGTGCTGCTACCTTTCCTCTTGAGGTAAAATCTATCTTGAAAGTAACCTTGAGCTAGGCTCTGATATGACAAGAATTGCTTACCTAGTATTTTTGGGATGGCAAAATCTTTCAGATAAATTAAAATGAGCTCAAAGGAAGCCGGAGTAGCCGACCTCGAAGCGCTGTGACGTCAAATTTAATTATAACCGCACTCTTTATCAAATTTGAGCCACCCGGGTGATTTTTTATATATTTCGATACATCTAACAAATATTGGTTATAAAAAGACCATTCTTTGTTCTCGTTCACTATGATTTTATAGATTTGATTGTAATTTAATTTGTTATTATTGATGAAAATTGCTTCTTCTTTTTTCTTATTCTTTGGAGATGAAGATACTTCTATAATCTTGAAAAAATTTAAAATTTGGATTCTGAATTCAAGAAATACATAAAGGATAAGCACCACAAAATAAAGAAAAATCATTATAAACAAATTGTTATCATTATACAAATTTCATCCTGAAATCACATTATAAGCTGACAGTAATATCATAGCCCAGCCAATAATATGATGAATTTGTCTAATTAAAGAGATAGATATAGCTGACTTCTTCGCAGAAATAAAAATTCTGCTTATAAAACCAAGAACTCCTTGTCATACCAATAAGCTTGCAATAGCAAGCCCAATAATTGAGTGCAATCTTTGTCAGTAATTCGACGAATACTCTTTTTTAGAGTTTTCTTCATAAATCTTATACACAGAAAACATTGTGATCCCAATAACTATCGAATTCAGCACAAGGTGCAAATAAAACCAAAACTTCCACCATTTTAAATACCTTGCTATCATTGCTCCTAAATTTACAAAGCCGATTCACAGCACACTCATAGCTTTGGAATGATGATCATAAGGCTCAGCGCTGTATCTCCCATCTTTAATAAAATAGGATTCTTCTTGTGTAGTCCCAAATTTTATTTTTCCTGATCCGTAGTTTTGTCTGTGATATTTAAATCCTGCTCGGTCATCATAAGCAAAGCAAAAATCGGTTTCTATGTTTCTATATAGGATATTGTCTAAGGTATCTTTGGTATTTAAAGGTCTTCTTATTGCAGCGGTTAATAGTCCATTAATAACTGAAGAAGATTCAAGTTTTATATTGTTATTTTCCTCCTAAAACAATAATAAAATGGCAACGTGCATAAGTGGTTTTTCCGACAACCTTCCTCCATAATATTGGTTCAGTTTTCCACATGGACCTTGATTCACAATCCGAATATGAAAATACATCATAGGGTAGTTCGGTGGCTCAGGAAGAAAAGGAGACATATGGATTTAATGCCTAACACAACCGAGGAGGTGACCCTTATGAGGTATACGCACTTGAGTCAGGTTCGGGCGAGGCCAACACGGATCGTAAAGACCTTCTGGTCTTTTGGTCGTCTTCTGAAATGCTTGCTAGACAAGATGACTGCTGACGTCACACTTGGGAGTTAAAATGGTGGGCATCTCATCCTGCTGAAGGGAGAAACACATATAAAATCTAAATAACCCATAAAATAAGTTATTTCCTCCTAGAGATGTATCAATAATTGGTTGCTCTTGAGTGTAAGAGTGGGGATACATAAAAATGGCGACTGGAGAGCCAGCCCTTTTCCTCAACACCTGTAGCCGGATATTCCGGGGACCTTGTGGAAGGGGAGAAAGGCGCTCGGAATGTGTATCCGGCCGGGTTTTACCTTGGCAAAGTGGAGCGCAATGTCGAATTTGGTCGACCGCAGCTCATTCTGTCACCAAGGGTTTTACCTCGAGGAGGAAGGGTCTTCCAAAGTTGGAAAGGGGAAGCTCAGCAGCATCAGAAGTCTTTCTTCTGATCAATCGGGCAACTCCCTAGCGCGATACTGGGCGTTGCGTCCCTGGCTTGGATTTTCCTTTCTGGCCGACAGCCTTACCAGAAAATTTGTTTTCAAATTTTCGGAATGGGCAACCTCGTGCTCGCAGCCTCAAGCAAGGCCGCAGAATTCCTAAATCTGCCCACTCAAGACTGAAGCAAGGTTGTAGCTTGCAAGGAGGAGACGACCAACAGAACAGGCTAGCTGTAAAATCAGAGTCCTGTAGGCGGAAGTCGCAAAGCGGAGGAACCCTCGAGGGGGTCTGGGTGGCTGCGTTAACAAGTAACAGCCTAGCAGCTGATAATCTCTAATTAAGAGTGTAAGAGTGGGTGTCTTTTGCAGTGATACTGCTTCCATCACTTTGGAGTATAATCATATCTGTGTGATCCATAGTTGCTCCAAAGCCAATGCCACATCAGCCTAGCTTTTTAATTTCACACTATATAAAAGTTACGTTGAAATAAAAAATTATGTCTTCTCCATCAAATTTTCAGCCTAAGCTCATGACTTTGTCTAAGTTCACTGTAGCTACTTGTGATTGACTTTGGCAAAAAAGTAAAGCGAATATTGTAAAAAGTGTTTTTAAGTTTAAATTCAAATCCATTTTGAATAATTAGGATATAGAAGAAATATGAAAATTTGGATAGTAAATATAGCTTTGGAGCTGATATATTGATTTTTGTGATATAAGGAATTATTTTGATCTAAAAATTTTCTTGAAGCATTTATAATTTCTATAATGAAGAAATATGAATAATAAAGTGAAGAAGAGAATTTCACTGTGGATAAAGCAATAATATCAAATGCAGCTTATTGAGATAATTAAATTAAAACTAATGATTTACTATGATAAAAGAGATAAAATTATTTTCAATTTCCATCTGTCTATTCTGAAGAATGTTGCTTATCCACTGTGTAATATCGAAAAAAATTATGATGGTTGTTATATTGCTTTGTTTTATTAACCCTCTCTTATTTAAATTAGAAAAATTTTTATTTTTGGGTACTATTTTTTGTTTTGATTCCCTATAATATAAATTAAAATTTAAAATTTTGGGTTCAATGATATTTTTTAAAAGTTATTAATTAAAATTGAAGCAGAATTTTTGTTCTAATTAAAGAGGTGGAGCAAGTTCAAACACTCTCAAAATTCTCTTTTAAATATATGGAAGTCAAGATTTCAAATTAAACCAAGATGATTTTCTCCATTTTAAGCCTCTCCATAATTTAACTAGGAATAAAAAATCTTCCCTTAAACCATAAAAAAGGATGCTTCACCATTTAATCACATTAAATGTCAATAATTATTGAAAAATGACATTAAATGCTTGGATTCCATCAGGTTTTCTTCAAATTAATAAATTAATATTATGAAATTACATGAAGACACAAATATCGAGAACCTGAACGTCCTTTCCATGCCAGACCAAGAAAACCTGAAAATCACCCGAGAAATCAAAACCAATGCGTTTGATATATTTTGTTTAGTCCTAGAGCAAAGCCAAAAGAAAAGCACAAAGCTAAGAAAGTACATTAGTTTTCTTATAACTTGGCTTCAGACAATACAAGTGATTACATTACTTTACTATCCGAAAATGAATATCAAAGAGTGAAGCTCTTATGCATTATTTTGACAGTGGCTTTCCTATACGAGATTAGACCCCATCATTATGCAGCTAAATGTTTATCTTTATTCCTTGATATTCGCTGCAGTTATTAGTATTTTACCAATTGTATATTTTATCTTTCTTATGATTGCCAAAAGAAGAAATGAGGAAAGAGAGTTTAGCTTTATTGATCTGCTTATAATAACACCAGTTTTACTTATTACTAGATATTTTTATATCCCAGTGCTATGCTTGGTAGTTGTAGGATTTAAATATTTGCCTAACTCCCCTAGAAGTTCGACCAAGATTTTTTTGGTCGAACTTCGAGGGGGGTTAAAAAAAATTATATATAGAATTTTTTTTATATAATTTAGTAGTTAAAAAAAAAATATTTATCATATTTCTTCTGTATGGTTGAGAGGGTGTAAGGGTTAGAAAAAATAGTGCAAGATGGTTTTGTAACGCTTTTTTAGAACTTGAATACAAAAATCGCAAGCTCACCCCCACATAGATTAAAAATTTTTGAAAAATTGCTTATTTTCCTAGTAAATTTATATAGGTCTTGGTCGAACTTTGAGGGGGGTTAATTTTCCAAAAAAATAGGAATTTTCCCTATATCTTGGTCGAACTTCGAGGGGGGGGAGTAAGGGCATTGATACTTATATGGAAGAATATGATGAAGAAAGAGATATGACTCATCTCTATTTATCAAGCCTACTTATTACTTTGAGTATTACTGTTACTTTGTTAGCAGTCGCGAAAGAACTATTTTTGATTGATATAAGGCATTATAAAGGCTCTGGAGCGTATTCTAAGTCATCTGGAAGGATAAATGTGGTTAGAATTTTGGCTCAAAATTTCCAGGTTTTAGGGTATTATTTTATATTTTCTGATTATTTACAAATTTATTACGTCCTGACAATTGTTATGTGGTGTTTTATTTCTTATTTATTTTCTTATAGAATGCCTTATTATGAAATCAACTCAAACCTTACTCATAGTGCTTTAGCCTTCATAATAGCTTTTAGTGCTTTGGCGTTTTTGATATCTCTGAGCACGTCAAGCTCAGTTTCTATCTCCTTAATTATTTTTGTTTCTCCAATGATTTTCAGTCTTCAATATAAGCTTACACATTGGCTATATAAAAGATATGAAAAAATTCCTGAAGAATTGTCAAAAATTTCTCCATGAAAGTGTGAGCTTTATATGAGAAAAGATCTATTAGCAAACTCATTAGATGTTCTAAAGACATTTGAAGTATTTATGAGGCAGCCAACAATATATAAGTCCAAAATCATTCATATTTTTCTGAGTTATTATTGCTATGGTGTTTCCAAAGACTCAATAAAAGCTAGGCTGATTTTATATTTAGCAAAAGATCTTCACTCATCTTTTGATGAAAGTTTGCAAGAGAAATTATGCAAAAGTTTAATCGAAAGAGAAACAAGTGCAGATAATGACACATATAGGTATCTCAATTTTATAAAATCATTTTTAAAGACTACAGAAATGGACAAGACCACATGCTTTCTGTTGCAAAAAGTATGAAAAGAACTTTTAAGGCCAAAGCCTCCACTAAGGGTAATACAGCCGCTCATTAAAACTCTTACTCCTTCTTCCTTTAAATTGAAACAAAATATAGGTAAAATTTCCATTTTTTGGTACTTTAACACCCCTTTAATTTGGAACCATTTTTTCCAATAGGAAAATTTCATAGGTAAAAAATATAATTTTTATAAAATAAGTTTTGATCTAAATTTAATTTAAAAAGTCCAAGTATAATATAATTTAAACAATTTTAACACTAGACCAATTTATTTTTAAATAACTCTTCATAAAAATCAAAAATATTACGCTCTGTTTATATTAATTTTAATTTTTTAAAATTTTATAAACTTTTTTTATTTAATATAATTTTTTAAATAAATTAAACGTCTTTAAATTGGATAGCAGAATTTTTTTTGTTCCAAATTAAAACAGGAGGAGTTAATAAAAACCTGAAAATCCTGAGAGATCAATATCATCAGTTAATTAAGGCCAATAATAAAAATATTGAGTCAAACTTACAACTTGGCTCATTGATGAATAATTTATTGAATTTATCAGAAAAAGGAGAATATTACACCTCTATAGGAATGGATTTATGGAAAGATCAAAACCGCAATAGAGGCTTAGGACTAAACCCTTACAACCCCAGCACTTGTGTAATACTAGCAAACTGCTATAATAAAATATCAATCCGTATAGAATACGCGAATCGGCGAGCAATAAACGCTCTTAGCTGCAATTATTCTGCGCTTATTGGCTCAAAATTCACTGATTTATTTCCTGCTTGCTATGAAAATTTCCATAAAGCATACCTAAAAAAATTTGTGTCTGGGGCTGATATAAAGTTGCAGCTTCCCCCTATATTTTTTATAAAAAATCTTGCAGGCCATTTAATACCAATTCATGGAGTTTTGACTATTGATTCTCTCAATGGATCAAGATTTTTAATATTTGTTTTCCAATATAATGATGAGTTTTTGACATCAGCTCTTGTGAAAATGAATGCAACTGTGCAAGGCTGCACTGAGTCTTTTCCTCGGCTCCATGTCAAATGACCGTGGATTTTTGACAGTGTACATTTCATCGAAATCCATTTGGTCGAAAATTTTTGATAGTGAGGACATTTGGCCGAAAATTAACGATTTTTTGGTCAAATGTCTCACTATCAAAAATTTCGATCAATTTTCGGTGAAATAGACACTATCAAAAAGGCAAAGTCATTTGACCCGCACCCTTTTCCTCAGTTGCTAAATATAGATAAAACAGTTGTGGAAAAAAACGATTTTTCGAAGCATATTCCTGTACTAAAAGCATTGGTAAAATCTTATCATACTCCTATGTATTGCAGAAATAATATTTTTATATGCTATAGAAGGTTGAATTCTACCTTAATCCCCCTTTGTGAGCAAACAAAACCATTGGAAAATTTCCTAATTTTTAGGCAGAAACCCACCCTCCGTGTGCGAACAATGCTATTTTTTATAAAGACATTGATATATAAATGATAATTTTCATAATTTTAAACAGCTTGCATTTTAAAACATAAATTTTAAATATTAAATTATATATTTACTCTCCAATTTTTGCGAAATGGGGATTTTTTAAATTTGAAAAAAAAAGTACTATTGAGGGAACAAAATTTTTTGTTCACTTACGGAGGGGAGTTTAACATATTGATAACTATTAGTGGTAAAAGTAAAATAATTCTAATTATTATTTGCATACTTAATTCAAAATGCTATAATATCAATAAAAACACAAATTTTTGATGTTGATTACGCTGTATTTATTGCGTTGGATGGAAAAGGTGAAGTTCACAAATGGGAAGCTGAGCACACTGATAAAGATAACTGAGATTTTGATAAAAGAAATGATTCACGTATTTCTATGAGCACAATTGAAGAGTCACATATAGGAAAAAGCATAAATTCAGAGCATCAGCAGTCGTTAGAGAGCAAGTTAAAAGGGTATTCTAGCAACTATTTGGATGACAATTCTGAAGAAACTTCTAAACAAGAAGACGAAAACCCTAAAACTGGAAATAACAAATCAATAGCTTCTACAATTATGTCTTCATCCAAAAGCGCACTTATAAACCAACATTTTGCCCTTAAAACCTCCGTAAAATCAAATGCCCGAAATTTAAAAATCACGTTGATTTTAGCTGTAATCCTCATTTAGACATTTATTTTTATAATGATCAATCTCGGTTTCGCAATTTTTTATGAAATCACAGTTTCAATCGCCACAACTGCCAGTGAATTAGAAAATTATTTAGTTAATAGAACATATTACATTTTATCTGCAAGCCAATTTGCTAGGTTTATTGACCTTAAATCTCGAGGTTTAATTTTTTGAGACATGAATACAATACAGGCATTTTTAATTTTATTTGCAGACGACATAACAACAGACTATGAAAAAACCCAGAATAATTTTGATACTTTTATGTCTTCTTGCTATAAAGACCAATATATAAAAAACTATGCTCCGATGATTGAAAAAATCAGCCCTGGGGAACCTAGAGAAGTCAAAGAAAATATGTTTAATGCACTGCTGCTTATGAGAGCGTATATGCTTTCAGTTGCGGCAAGAATGATGACAGAGAAGCTATTTTTGGACAGCGATGATGACTTGTATAACACTTTTTGACTGGGAAGCAGCAAATTGATTAATTATTTGCATCATGTTCAAGATTTGTACCATAAAAATATAGATATCCAGCTAGAGCAGCTAAGCATAGCTTTTACCATTTTTGTGTTGGTTTTATCTGTCATGATAGCCTGTGCATTATTAATTATGACTTGAAAACTGCTAATCTTGCAAAAAGCCTATGCTAAAATATGAACCATTATCCTCACTAACCCAAAAGATGCTATTATAGAAAAATATACCAGTGTAAATGATAGGCTGGAGTCAATACACTTTATTGACACAGTCAATGCCAGAATTGAGCCTAGCGATGTTACTGACTCCCCCCTCTGTGAGTGAACAAAAAAATTTTGCTCACTCACGGAAGGGGCTTAATTTTTTTTTGTTAAAAAAATTTTTATATTTAAATTTTATAGAAAAGTTTTTTTTGAAAATTTTTAAAAAAAATCCTAATTTGCAAAAAATGGGAAGTAAATATTAATTTAATTTATAAAATTTATGTTTTTAAAACGCAATTTGTTTAAAATTAAACAGAATTAGCTCGAGATTTCATTATACTAATTTATCACTTATATCTTAAATTTTTTTTTATAAAAAATTTTTTCTATTAAAAAACTTTTTGTCCACTCACGGAGAGTGGGTTTTTGGGCAAAAAATAGCGATTTTTCAATGGTTTTGTTCACTCACGGAGGGGGGGAGTGAGCATTACCAGAAAGATTTTCATATCATTCGCATTTGGAAAAGATTAATTACTACTTATTCCATATTTGGACTTGCCACCATTTTTTATGTGTGCATGCTCTATTTTTTCCCTGTTAAATTGTGCAGTGATTTATATGAATTTCGGCATGAATTTTTGATGGGCTGTGTAAGAAGTCGAGAAACTTTATTACATTTGTGAAGCTCAGCAAAAGAAATACCTTTATCAGGGACTAATTATAGCTTGCATAATATTTTGGCAGACCATTTTTATGAAGGATATTTTGTTCAAGAATTTAATGATTATTTAGAAGATGCTCTAGATAATGATTATTATATTCAGTCATTATTTACAGATAGCAAAATAAATCCTTCTCAGTCTACAATTAACATTTTATTTGATTCTGTAAATAAATCCGCTATCACTACCCATGGCTTGCAAGAAGCGCTTATTTATTTTCATACAGAACTAACAGAAAGTGCTTCCAGTGAGTGAAATGATGATGTTACCCGAGAGTTCCAGTCATCGCTTGGCGATTTGTATGATATTCTTCAAGCATTTGAAAAACTGATTGATTCAGGGCTGAAAGATCTGATAAATAGTATAGATCGTCAGAAAGCCTTTGCGCTTGCGATGATGTACAGCTTGTGTGTGGCAGCTTTATTTATTTTATTTTTTCTGGGAATCCCTAGTATTAAATCAATGGAAGCTTCGATTTTGGAAACTTGAAAATTCTCACATACGTTTTCTTTAGAAACCACAAGACTAATGTTTATAAAAAATGGAAAAACTATAACATAAGCATTTGAAAGAATGATTTTCAATAAAAGATAAGCCTCAGAAAACTTATGAAGCGCCAAGCATAAGATATTTTGAATTTTTTTATAGTATTAGATGCAATAGGCTATTTAAATCTCAATGTGTTGTAATCTTTAATTAAGCTTTCAAGTTTTTGGAAGCAATTATCTTGACAATAATTAGAATTTAATAGGTCTAAATTTTTCAACGTCAAAAAATGCCTTGATTACTTTTAAATTAATAAATAGTTCGTTTTGTAAAACAATTTCGCTATTATATTTTATAGAGCATTATAAAATGCATATAAGAGCGAAAATTTATTATTTTATGCTTAAAATGAAAGACAAATAACTTTTCCATCTTTTCTTGCAATATAAAACACAGTTGAATCCACATCCACAATAGCAATTACTTTAATTTAACTAACTTTTGGTTAGACCTTTGGCAGTGCAGTGCGGGTGAAACGCTTTTTTCTCTGTCTTGTCACTGCTCTCGAACATTGTCAGACCTCGCAGTCAGCTTGTTCCTAGTCCCCATGAAGACATTTGGGAACCCAAAGTACGGAAAGCACTAACGGCTTGGAGCTTTGCCTCAATCTATCCGACTTTACTCCAGCTAGTATTCGGCCTAAGGGCCTTACCTTTTATATCAGCAGGGAAAGAGGAAAAGCACGATACATAATGCAGAATTCTGTGATAAAAAACTTAACCTCATAATAAAAGCTAAATTAGAGAAAGGAATTCATAGAGTGAATACTTTTTCATCCGAAGCCATTTTTTATATGAATCCACATCTGCAGTCTCAATTTCTGCATGCAAATCAACAGAACTAATTTCACAAAAATCATTATTAAAAAGTCTATATATCTTTTACTCTATTTCCCCCTTCGTGCTCAATACAGCAATTAGTTTCTGCTTATTAATTTGAATCATTTTAATATAAGAAATAGGAATTTTCTTTTTCTCATCACACGCCTTTTCATTATAAAGCTCTACGAAATTCAGCCCTCCCATTATAGCTGGCTCAATATAAAATTGTTGCAAAATTTCTATTCTTTCAATATGCATTTTAACCAAAACCCTTCCGTTTTTAAATAAATTCACTGCATATAAAAATTCATTATCAATTATAAAATCAGTAACTGTCATATTCTCCATATTAATATCAATTTTTTTCTGAGAATTCATTTTAACGAAAAGCATACGACTTTTAACTGAGTCATTTTCGTCGCTTCAGCATATTCCTATAATAAAATCTTCATATAAGCTGCTTGAAATTGGGGATTTAAAGCAGGCTCGGTTTTTCTCATGATTTATCTTTATTATGTCAAAATCAAAAATATCACATTGGACTTCTCCACAGCAGAATAGCGAAATTCTATTAAAAATAGGCATTGCAAAAGCGCTATCACAGTCTCCACCATTTAGCATACAAGACCATATGTATATATTCCCACACGTCGTAAGCACACAAATTTTATTTTCTTTGCATTTTAACCCAACTAATGCTTCTCTACTGTTTACAGCTCCTATTTCATTAATTTCCCTCATAGTTTCTATATCCCAGACCTTTATAACATTTAAGCTTGCTACTTCTCCGTTTTCTCTTATCAAAGACTTTGAGCATGACGCCAGAAGCAACCTCCTATATACATCTGTAGCCCTTTCAGCATAATCTTCTTTTATTAGCATAAAAGTAATATCAGTTATATGCTCAGTCAATGTATGGCTTGCAGGTGCTTTTCAAGTATTAGTAATAACCAAAATATCATTAATGAGCGATCATACATTAATCAAACACACCCCAAGCTCTGGAGCATGCAAACTTGCTATCACATTTGTGTTTCCTCCAGGATTTGAACAATATAAAAGTTTAGAAAAATGAGGACTGTAGCTGTTTGATATCTTTGGAGGCTTAAACAAGTGCGGCTTTTCTCTACTTTTTGTGCAGCCCATCTTAAGTTTGGCGTTTTTAAAATGCTTTAATTTGGATTTTTATAAAATAATTGAGTATTAAATCTGCATAATAAAAAATATAAAAACAAATGATTATCTTATTATTAGGACTGGCGTCATTGGTGTCTAGCCATGATAATATTGAATTTTCTTTATTTGTCTCAACTTTCTATGATGAATCTAAGCCTGCAGATGTGCTAGAAAACAGCGATGTCCAGCAAAAATGGGTTGCAGTGTTTGAAGATGAAGAAATCGATGCTTCTTCTTTTAAAAGATTTTTTATTTGGACAGAAGGTGAACAACGCAATATAACTGTTAATGTGAAATCACATGAAAGCACTTTAAAGGTTTTTCTTTCTGAAGATCCTCAGAGTAATCTTGAAACACAGCATGACAAAATGGTTATATCTCTGTGCAATCATGGAGTAGAAACCTTTACAATCAATTTTCAGTGCCTCTCAGATTCCACTAATACAGTAGGATTTGAAATACTAGATGGAGAAGAAACCTATGACTTTGAATTCGTGAAAATCTGCAAATCAGGTGTAAGGGATGATTTAATGATTTATTTTGGAGAAGAGTTAGATGATGAAGACACTGTTGTAGATGAAGGAACAGTTAATGAAGAATGGAGAGATGGGAAAAAAGAAATTGATGGCAGAGATGTAATGTTTAGTCTTTATATTGACCTAGGGTCGCAGCTGCTACAAGAGATAGAGATAAAAACAGAGCTTAAATACAAGTTGAGAGGGTCAGCAGTCAATCTTCACTTTCTGATGCCTGAACAGAAAATCATGAATTTCTTATTTTTAGAGCCAGGCTCTGGGCTTGTTGAAGTGATTTTACATATAAATCCATACAACCCAGTGTCATTTAAATGATACCAAAATGTCCCACAAACAAGCAAAACCAACCCAAGCACATTGGGTATAGGAACTGCACCTATAGTTAATGATATCGTATCAGAAGGAAAAGTCAACGACCAATACGCGCCACTCTATGTGGCAAGCAATGTATATTGGACAACCTTTTATATAACCCACAAAACGCCTATGAAAATAGGAACTCCAAAGCTAACCACAAACCAGCATATTTTGCAGCCTGAAATAATTTATAGCTCTAAAGATATTGGTCCAAATCCATCGCTTTTTGAGCTTCGATATAGATGTATAAATGAAGGAAAAGCTGAGGTAAAAATTACGATCCCAGTGAAAGACTCTACTGTGGTCGAATTCGATGTCTTGAAAGTGTGCAAGAAACCAAAAATAAAGATCGAAAAGGAATCAAGCAGTTTTTCTATTTTTATAATCGGAGGGGCATTCTCTGTAATGGCGATGATTGCTTATGTGCTAGTAACAAAGAAAAAACTATTTAAGCTTCTGATTAGCTAATCTGCAAATGATTATTAGGCAAAATTTAATAAAATAAAAATTGTGGCTATTTATGTCTTTTTCTGTAAATATCTTTCCGGTGCTTTATTTCGTCAATTAAATTAACAGAGCTTTCATTTATGTTGCTAGAAAGAGACCTCTGATGAAAATGCCTTTTTCTAGAGATACATTGAGTGCTTTTGTCAGCCTTTCTACTATCACTTTTGTCAATTGATTTTTCATATTTATTTAAATATCTTCTTCCATGACAATTTTCTGACGGCATTATCTCGAACCAAGTGTCAAAAGTTGTGTCTTTTTGGGTGAAAAAACTCTGCCTCAAGTTGCTCCTGTCTTCGATATTGCTTTTATCGTTTTCACATGTAGTAATCCTTGAGCTATAATCTTTGCCTTTCAATATTTCTAGTAAACTCAGCTCTTTAAAGGCTTTTTCTTGGAAAATGGTGTCGTTGTCGCCTTTGTCGTCAAAGAATTCAAAAGTTTGCTGCCTTTCTCCACAACTTCCACAAAATTTATTACCAATAGAGGATCCCATTTAAATATTATCTAAGAAGGGCTGCCTGTGCCGCCAGTGACTTGCCCGTTCATCATATAATTAAGGATGTCCCGGGTGTATTTAAGCCTTTTTGCCATTTCTCCATGGGTGCTTTCTAGAGCTTCTGCAAGAGGAATTGTGACCCTTTCAGCCCTTTTATTGACATAAGTCACTACTTTTTCTTCACTGGATAAGATTACTTCAGTTTGATCTTGGAAACTAACCTGAACGATCTTATTGGATAGCCTGAATAAAATTGCGCGCTTAGTTCTCATCCATTTTTTCACATAAGGAGGTGGATTTTCATTAGAAAAATGAAGCTCCTGAGCTACTGGAGCATCACCTTCTGCTTCCAAATAGTTTTTAAAATGCTGCAGTAAAGCGACTTTTTTGTGTAGGCTTTTAGGATAATTATCTAAAGAATAAGAAAAAGTGATGTCTCTTCTATCTTAACTTAACTTAACTTAATTATCTGGTGTTTAAGGTGTCTAGTGCCGCAGCCCAAAAGGGCCTATGGCAAAAACTAGTGACGTAGGCGAGCCATCTTGGAACAGGTCAGCCCTGGCCAAGCCTTCTATCAACTCCTGCTTCACCAGCCTTGCTGCACGTCTCACCCGGCGCGATACCGTCGCCCTTGTCTCGACTCAGCTCCTGCGCGTGTTCCGCTTAAGGGTCATCCTCCCGTGGGGATGTGCTGAGAGGTAAAAGCCCGAAATCTTGAGAGGACTGAGAGCAGTTCCTCTGGTTATCCCCAGAGTTAAACCGCTATTGCTGTCCAGAAGTTCTCTCGAGTGAAAACCTAACCCTATAAATAAAATTCCATGAGGGAGAGAAAATTAGCAAAGCTAATTTCTCTCGAACCGAATGCCATTTTATTTATGATGTCTCTTCTATCAGTTGTCCTCTCAACATAATAAAACTGTGTTGCATTTGGCTCAATTATAATTTTACATGAGTCATTAAAATAGACTCCTGCGCATCCGTTCGACAAAACGTAGCCTAGTCCATACTTGCTTGAATAATCCACCCACTTTTTAACCCAAATATTCTGAGTTGTAGGCTCATTTTTTGCTTTAATTGAGGCAACTTCAGTTACTTTGGGAGATAATGTCCTTTGAGTGTTTTCAATTGAAGTTCGGGTCCCATGGGTTTTTGGTCTTAAGGAAGCTGCCATGTCTCTTGGTGAAGTTGCAGTTAAAGTATTACGAGAAATTCGTAAAGGTGCAGTATCAATAGTTGGCTGCTGTTGGGTACCCATAGATGAAGGCAAAAACTGTTTAATATACTTATCAGATGGAGGGACTGCAAGTGTGCTAATAGGCAAGAACTGTGGGATTGAATGCCCCATATGAAAAAAATCATGCTCCAGTATTTCATCAAGACTTGGCCTTCTAGAAGGCTCAGTCCTCAAAATTCGAGTAATTAGACTTCTTGCTTGTTCTGATATTCTAACTGTATCAGGAAACGAATAAGCGTTCATTTTGATTAAGTTGTATGTCTTCTTTACATCATTAGTCTCAAAAGGCGGCTTTCCTATAAGCAATGTAAACAAAATTACTCCAAACGACCATATGTCGACTTCATAGCTGTGCCCTTCTTTGCCGTCTAAAATTTCAGGTGCAATGTAATTTGGGGTGCCACAAATGGTTTTCCTCATCTGGCCGTCATATTCCAGCTTGCTTGCAAGGCCGAAGTCACCTAGTTTTAATTCCATCTTTTCACTAATAAACAAGTTCCCAATTTTTAGGTCTCTATGAATTACTTTTTTTTGATGCAGATATTTTAATGCTGAAATTATTTGAATTGAATAACACTGAACTTCAAGCTCGGTCAGCCGTTTGCGGCGCCTCAGAAGTTCACTCATTGTTTGGTTTGGGCAAAGCTCCAACAAAATATACACGTTTTCATTGTCTTCAAAAAAATGTTCAAAACCGACTATATTTGCATGCCGCAAAGAGCGATGAATTTTTATTTCTGACATCAATTTCTGTTTGGCTCGGGATTTAGTGAGCGAAGCTTTTACGACTACTTTTCCAGCATAGACTTTGCGGGTTTCCAAACTTGTGAACTCGTAGACCCTGGCAAAGCCTCCTTTACCCAAGAATTTTCCTTTGGAATATCTTCTTATGGTCACTTCGCCGCTTGGTTTTACGATTTGTTCTTCAATAATGCCTTCATTATTAACAGAGTCTTTTGAGGTTGATTTTCTTGCTGATGATCTTGAACTTAAAGCCATCTATTATAACTATAATTAATAGGAGTGAAAGAATGGAAGCTTTGGAGTATTATATTTGTGTAAATATTTAAGTAAAGCAGATAGTGATTATTTTATATTTGCCTAGACTAATTTGACTGGGATTTAGTATATAAATGCTTAATTTCTGCAAAATTAGAACAGAGCTCATGCCACAGTTAACTTAAATTTTCTTTATAACTATAATAGCAAAGAGTATTTTAAATGATTTTTATAGATATTTGAAGTATGTTATATTTTTAAAATAAAAAAATAATTTGAGGAATTTTAATTAAGGCTCGGCTAAATAATGGCAATAAAGCCTAAAAGTATTAAAATAATTTTAAATTTAAGCTTAAGTTTAACGAATTACTCTAGGCAAATGCCCATCAGTCTTCTTTTACTTGAGGGTCTAAGCTACATTAACAGCTCTGAATAACGGTAGGTGTAACGGCCTAACCGTCAAACCGTTAAAGTTATAAGCCCGTTAAGACTTTTCTAGTCAGTGCCAGCCTCAGCACCGACCTCTCTTCTCTTAAAGCCTAGACTCTCAAGAAGCTTGAGCTCTCTCACTAAGCTCGGATAATAGGACCCGGACCTGCGTAGCAGGAGTTAGGACCTATTCCTAACTGACATTTTTAATATTGTAATTTTAAATTAAAATAATTTTAGAATAGCTTTATTATCTAAAGTTATGCAATAAAAAAGTTAAGTCAATTTAGATTTATATCCAAGTGAAGCCACACAACAAATAATGTGTTAAATAATAGCTCGCTTTTTTAGATTTATGATATTTATATATTTATGGTGAAATTTACCTTTAAAAAATTTTGTTTATATTTGAAATAAAAGATCTAATTAAGATTTAAAAATATATGCATTATAACTCTACAGTGCTATTTAATAATAGATTATATTTAAATATGGGTTGTGGTACAAGCAATACAAAAAGAAGCAACTCAATTCGGCAAATGGTGAGCAATATTTAGTCTGCGCCTAAATTTCACATAAAGATAATGAACCCCAAGAACAACCAACTTGCAGAGTTTGACATTACTACTAATTACGAGGTTATGCCTCTGCCTACAGTTATGAATTTATTGAGTTTTGATAAAAACCAAGGCGATTACGTCAAGGCAAACTTTATATCAATCTACAATGCAAAGGAAGACAGATACGAATATTTTGTACAGCAGCTCTTGGGGGTTGAAGTAGAAAAAGAAAAGCCTTATGATGGCAAAATTTGGGTTGTTTATATCAATGGGAAAAAATGTAATTGGGATGAGGCATGTGAATCAGACCAAACTGTGGCTATTACAGATGAAATTTTTTGGAGATTCCAAGACTTAAATGAGAATCTGCCTCTGGTTACTGCAGCAAGCATCAACAGTTAAATAAGTATAAAGTTTATTGCGAAATAATAGAGAAATATAATTAATCTTTCAAATAAGTTGGAGAAATAGCTAGAAAAGACTAAATGTTCAAAGGTTGTGCTTAATTTCTGATATACATCTACTGCAGTATAGCATCTTATACTTAAAATTATTTTTCAGCATTCTATAAGATTGCCAATGACTTGCCAAACATTTGATTACTTTTCATAAAGGTATTTACCTTTAGCAAAAGTTCTAATTTAAAAATGAAAAATCCAAATGAATTCAAACTTGACGATTATGAACAATCAGCAGAAGAATTTGAAAAATACGTCAATGCACTTGCAAAGAAAAATCCTGTAAATGCACAGAATTCTGAGCTGAAAACTGCTGTGTCTAATTATCTAACTCATTGCAGGCATGAAGAAAGCAGTGATATGATGATACTCTCAGGGATACTTAGAGCTCTGCGCAACTGAGGAGCTACTCCAGAGCAGAAATCAGAAAACGACCAGCTTTATCAAATCCAAAGCAAATTGGCTTTACTTTGCCAAAAACAGTCAGAATTCAATATTCAGCTACAAAGGCTGAATGGCCAATTATCAGCTTTAGAAGAGTTGAAAGACTTAAAAACAAGAGAATCCTTAGGATTTGAAAGTGAGGACGAAGTTGACCAAAGGATCAACTCTTTAGCTTTAAAAATTTCCCAGAATTTGCAGGAAGGCAAAGCCTCAGAAAATCCTCGAAATTTCCAGGAAATGGAAAAATTAAAATCACTGAGAAACAAAGCTAAAGATGTCCAAGCAGTAAACGAAGAAATTGAAGCTGTCCTCAATGAAAAATTATCGGTGGAGTCGTTTTTGAAGGATACTGCTGAAGACTATAAAAGTTTGAAAGTTCGTGAAAAATTTTTATTAAATAATAGTAATCCTTAATGAAATCCTATGAAATTACAAAATGAGCAAAAATTTTTCAAAGAGCTGCAGTTCCTGAACCTTATTTGTCAGCAAAATGAATAATTGAGAAAGGAGAATGCTATAGTAGGCAGCAAAGTAATAGAAACTCAGAAATGATGTATTCAAGATTAAGACATAAGCCAATCCAATACATACTTGGAGATACTTACTTTATGGGAAACAGAATTCTTGTAAAGCAGCCAGTCTTGATCCCGAGAGTAGAAACAGAAAAACTCTGCGAGCTTATCCTAGAAGATATGAAAAACAAGCAGCCTTTCAAATTCCTTGAAATTGGCTGTGGGAGTGGCTGCATTTCAATATCCCTCTGCAAAGTAACCTTAATTATAGAACTCCAATTGTGAAGGGGTAGCTATTGATATCTCCCAGCATGCAGTTTCCCTCACAAAGAAAAATGCAAAACTAGTTCTAGGAAAAAAATGGTATAAAAAATTATCAGTCTATGAATCTGATATGTGGAAATTTTCTCCTGGAAATAAATTTGACCTTATTGTAAGCAATCCTCCTTATATTCCTTCATTAATGATAAATGGACTTGAAAAACAAGTGAAGCTGTGAGAAGATAATAGGGCTTTAGATGGAGGTGATGATGGGTTTAAATATGTGGAGTTTATTATTAAGCAAGATTGAGTAAAAGAGAATGGAGAGATGTGGTTTGAGATAGATTCAAGCCATAAGGACAAAGTGGAGGGAGAATATATAGAAGATATATTTGGGAGATGTAGGTATTTAAAAATAAAAAAATAATATACAATGCTTTGGATTATTGTGGGAGGGTCTCCACATGTCGGGATATTTTTCCGCATGTGGAACCCAAACCCCACATGCCACACTTGAGTGGCTCCATATGTGGTATTTGGGTTCCACACATGGGGAAATGTCTCGACGTGTGGAGACCCTTCCACAATAATTCAAAGCGTTATAGAATAATTTGATAAAGTGCTTTATTATTTATTAACGCCCCCCTGAAAAAATCTGTTTACTCATGGAGGGGGTGAATTATTTTTTAAAAAATTATTTAAAAATTTTTCGTAAATTTTTGTTTTAAAATTTAAAAAATCAATATCGAAATTATTAAAGCAAAAATTAATTTAATTTGTAACATTTATGCTTTAAAATGCAAGCTGTTTCAAATTAAACAAAATTAACTAGAGATTTCGTTATAATAACTATTAATATATATATCAAAAATAATTTTTCTTAAAGATTTTTTGTTTGCTCATGGATGGCAAAAAATAGGAATTTTCCAATGGTTTTGTTCGCTTAGGGAGTAAGATAATTTTTTTTAATTATAATTTCATATTACTCAGATTAAATTTATAACAAAATTTATAGAGATGTTATAAAAAGCTGTATTTGATATTGAACAATTTCTATTTAAAAGTAAAGCAACTAGATACATTTAATTTTAAACCTCTATTGCTTTAAAATTAAAATTTATATATATGTTAGCAAAATTTTTTAAGGCTGATGATATTTTTGCAAGATCAAAGTAGCTTTATCTAATCACTATAGAGCTCGATTAAAAATTCCCATATGTTACCTAAATTTAAATAAAAATGACAAAGCTTTACAAAATGTGCATATACTCTTCTGTTGGCCTTGCTTCATTTCTTGCAGGAATAGTAATTATATACGCATATTTGAAGATTAGAGGCCTAAGAAAGCATCCTGGTATGCTCATTCTTTGGCAGTGCGTCGCTCAAACTATAATAGATGGCCAATGAGCATACACAGCTTTTTATTATTGAATAACTGGAAGTGAGCCTTCAGATATAGCTTGTCAAATTCAAGGATTAATATCCCTCTATTGCTTCATTATGAGCTGAAATTATAGCTTATGCTTAAGTATAGAAGTTTTATTAACGATCAGAACTCCTACAAAGAGAAATTATTCAAAGCTTGCCCCTATCTATCACTTTATTTGTAATGCTTTTGCTTTAGCAATTTTAATTGCTACCTTAGTCACTGAAGCTGCAGGAAAATCTGCAACTGGTTCCTGCTTTATAAGGGAAGGTACCTGAGCAGTGTAAATTATATATAGGAAACTTATGGTTGTGCCATTTGCTATATACTTCCCCTTTAGCATATTCACAGTTGTTTATTCTTGTATAGAAATTCAAAGATCTAGATCTGAAAGGCTAACTTCCCCCTCCGTGAGTGAACAAAACCATTGGAAAAATCCCTATTTTTTGCCCAAAAACCCACCCTCCATGAGTGACAAAAATTTTTTATGGAAAAAAATTTTGATATATAAGTGATAATTATTATAATGAAATCTAGAGCTAATTCTGTTTAATTTTAAACAAATTGCTTTTTAAAACATAAATTTTATAAATTAAATTAATATTTACTTTCCAATTTTTGCGAATTAGATTTTTTTTAAATTTCGAAAAAAAAAATTTTATAAAGTTTATATATATAATTTTTTTTAAAAAAAAAAATTAAGCCCTCCGTGAGTGAACAAAATTTTTTGTTCACTCACTGAGGGGTGGAGTAAGAAATTTTCTTTTAAAACATTGCTTATTTTTAGTTGTTTACACTTTATTTTGAATTCCTATTAGCTTGCATATAGAAATAACTGACGATACAGGGGATAATTTAGGCTGCTTTTTATATATTTCAATATTCTGTGCAAGTGCTTCAGGCCTAGCTATAAATACTGTGAGACTTTCTGATCCTGTTTTTATCAGATATATTAAAAGAAAGCTCGGAGGGCTTCATTTTAGGCATGCTCCTGACTTAGTGACCTCTATTTTAACTGATACCCAGCAAGGAGAAAGTGGAATGTCAATGGTAGAGACTACAAGGATGAGTTTTTATGAGTCCTCATATACACATGTATTTAATACTATTTTTGCAGATACTGTACTTAATATGCTCATGGCATTTAATGTTGTGTTTAAAAAGTCAAATAAGGAAATCGATAGAGTCAACTTTGAAAGAAAGGATTCGTGGAGGTAAAAACTAAGCAGCGTTGATTTTTATAAACAATTTTATGTGTATGAAATTAATCCTGACGATATTTTTAGGCTTGGGCTTGATGAAGTTATTTCAGTTCACTGTATTTATTAACTCCCACCTCTTAAAGAGCTAGAAAAGCTATAGGGAAAATCTACAATTAATAAAAACTCCTCCACCTTTTAATAGCCAGAAAATTTTATATATAATTAATAATTGATTGATATAATGAGACCTCAAGAATTCGATTTGATTTTGTACAGCTTGCATTCCAAAACATAAATTTTATTAATTAATTAATTAGATTTTTTTTCAAGTATTTTCAAAAATGGATTTTTTAAAATACAAAATAAATTAACCTCAAGAGTGAACAATTCTTGCTCATCTTAAAGATCGAAAGTAAGCAGTTAAAAAATTTTATTGTAAAGTGACAGAATGGGCACCGTTAGTGTTCAGAAATTTAAGATATGTAGAAGGGATAACTGATGATGATCTTTTGAGGTCATTTGATGTCGCATTAAATCTTCCGGCGATAAAAAAAAATACTGGAAATAGAGGCGGCCGAAGTTCGGCTTTTTTTTATTTTTCGTATGATAAAAAATATTTTATCAAAACAATTTCAAAGCAAGAGCAAAAAGTTTTACTAATTTCCTTGACTCTAACTCCCCCCTCCGTGAGCGCGAACAAGATTTTTTTGTTCGCTCATGGAGGAGCTTTTTTTTTTTAAAAACATTTATATATAAAATTTTATAGAAAATTTTTTTTTGGACTTTAAAAAAATCCCACTTCTCGAAAATTGGAAGGTAAATATTAATTTAATTTGTAAATTTATGTTTTAAAATGCAATTTGTTTTAAAATTAAGCAAAATTAGCTCGAGATTTTTTTATACTAGTATCACTTATATATCAAAATTTTTTCCCATAAAAAATTTTTGTTCGCTCACTCAGGGTTGGGCAAAAAGTAGGGATTTTTTCTAATGGTTTTGTTCGCTCACAGAGGGGGGAGTAAGGAAATATTTTTCTCATTATACTAATAAGGAAATTACTTACTATCAGAGTAGTCATTGGAAAAATCCTATTTAATAAGAAAGTTTATTTACTTAAGGTCGAGCAATAAAATTTATTATATAAACATAATTTTTTTATATATAATTAATAATTATAATTATATCACTTGCTTATTCTATTAAATTTAGACAGCTTGCATTCTCATACTTATTTTTTATAATTAATTATTTTTATAAATAAAAGTTTTAAAAATAAAATTATCCCAAAAAATATTAATTTTTTTATAAAAATTAAATATAAAGGATTGATTTTCTCTTTGCATAAGTTTATATTATTATTTAGAGGAATAAGTCTCCTTCTCCCTGAATATCATACCCACATAACTACTCATCCAAACTCCCTTATAGCTCGAACACTAGGCTTTTTCTCTCTAAAAGTTCAAGGCATTCATCTCAGACTCCTCTTGATGCAAAATATTTTCCCTTTAAATTCCCATAAAATTGCCTTCGACCTAAAAGGAAGCCGACTCGACAGACAATCCATAAAACACAGTGGAGTGATGTCCACAAAAGATTTAATCGGAGATTGTATATATAAAGACCTAGATTTTTTGCATACCCAAAAGTACGTTTATCTTCCATATGATGATGCTTTATTTCTAAAGCAAAGAATATATGATGATGTCCAGCTTTTCAGTAAGCTAAATATTATGGATTATTCATTGCTGCTCGGAATTGCAGAAGACCCAGTAAAAGATTGGAGATATTTTATGCAAGCAGCAACGTCTGAGTATGAAAGTGGCTATATTATGGGGATTATTGACTATCTACAGATTTATAATAAGGCTAAAAAGTTTGAGACTTTTAGCAAAAATCTATCTCCCCACTTGATTTAAAGTAAACCTTTTATGAGTTTACTAATTTTTTATTTTTAAGATAAGATTATATTAGAAATATTTTTAAACTTAAAATTTTAATTTGAAAATAACTTATTAATTAAATTTATGCTATATTTTAAAATTAAAGAAATTTTATCATTCATAGAGGAGGCTAATTCCTAAAATCAGATTTTCAATGGCTTTGAATGATTATAGAGGAAGTAAGAATTGGGATAAAAAAGCACGAAATTAGTTCAATCTGTAGTGAAGAGTACCGGGACCGATTTTTAAAATTTTTGGATTCTATAGTGAGTATGGAGCCAAATGAAAATAAAAATAGTTTAATAAGTGAAATTACTTTTTGTTTGTGTGTGATTAATAATTAAATGGATTCTTCTAGTGAAGAAGAAAACAGCGAAGATGAGAAAACAGAGTTTATATCGCAGACAAGACTAGATATAGATATGACTCAATCAATTCTTGGGTCAAGTCCTTTCGTTTTTATAGTTCTTGACTGTTTTTATTATATCGCAGGTGAAAAAATCACTGGGGAAGTTTTATTATATTTACCTGAATCTTGTCCTCCTGGATCACTAGTTTTTATGTCTAGTGGAATAGAAGAGGTCTATCTATATAATGACGATAATAAAGAAAAGCCAGTTGAAGAAGACTGCAACGCTATTTTCGACTTAAGAGAAGTTATTAAAGAATGGAGGACAATGATACCTGCAGGACAATATGTTTTCCCTTTTGCATTTAAGCCGCCCCGCTATGCACCCTCAACTTATTATTTTGCAGGAAACGTTTCGACTGATAAATATATAAAAGCTGAGGTTTCTTATAAAATCACAGCAAAACTGACAATAAATGCGCACCCAGAAAGATCGTTACAGCATCAAAGAGTAATGATTTTAAGAAACAAAAACACAAGAACTAAGCCAAATCCTATTATGGAAATTACACATATTGTGAGCGGCTGCTGCTGTACCAAAAAAGGACTTACTCATTTTAAATTGAGTGTATTAGGAGATTGCCATTGTCAATCTGATGGGAAAATCAAATACAATTTGACCCCAGACAACTCAAAATGCCTTGCAAAAATCACAAGAGTAATTGGGCATGTTGTGCTAGATCTAGAATTTACCATAAAATCAAGGGTGTATAATATAAGAAAAGATTTATCGTCAGTGACTTCTTGAATAAATGTTGAAAATGGAGATATTTTAGACAAAGACTTTGAACATGCAGCAGAAATCGCTCTTCATGAAGATATGAACACGTCGAGCAATTATTCGGTATTGATAAAATGCACACATTTTATCGAAGTATTAGTGTTTTATGAACTTGCTTGCAATAAAAAACCTGTCAGAATAAGGCTTCCTGTTCATGTAGATCCTAAGGATTCTGTATTTAAACGTGAAGACCCAGTACTTCCAAGGCCCTGGGAGCCTGATGAAGCTCCTATAATGAATTTCATGATACCTGAGAGTAGGCAGTCAAGCTCCTACTGTGAAACAGTTGCTGATATAAATTCTTCACCTTATTAACAATAATTTTTTAATTACTATTATTATGAATATAAACTCATTCCAATTCTCAACAGAAGACGCTAAGAGAATTATATTGGAAGCTCCTGATACGACAAGAAAGACTGCAGTTGTGCTATTTATTACATTAGGATTATTAATTGGAGCTTTGGCTTTTAGTCTGTATGGGATGACTGATTCATGGAACTGTGAGCTTGACTCAAGCAATCAGACATATAATTCTTTATGCCACGAACTACGAGGCTATGTAGGCTGTCGAAATGTTAAAGGCCCATTAAGCGCAGAAATTATAATCAACTACAAAGGAGAAGCGAAAGCAAGTGCTACTATGGTATGCCCATGGGATAATGCTATATCGGAACTAAGAGTTTGCTTTATACTGGTATCAATCCTCAGCATTCTTATGGGAATTAGGAGTTTAACTACGGAAAGCAAGAAGCAAGCTGACATGGTTGTTCAAGTATCTTATATTTTTTCGTTTTTACTGCTAATGGCAAGCACGTTCGATTTATTTGCTGTGAATGATTCTGAGCTGAATAACAAAGATGTATGTACGCTCTCAGGAACTTTTGAGTTTAAGAACGTAGAAAGTGAAAGACTCCAGTGTGGCTACACATTTTATTCCATGACAGGATTTTATGGCTACCTTTGTGGATTTGGGCTGCTTATAAGTGCTTTACAGCTAAGGACTTGGAAAGATAATTTAACTTTAGACGGCCTTTAAAAATAATTAAAATCTATAAGACTTCTATAAGCACATTTTATTTAATTTTTGATTTTATCGCTCCCATAGTTTTTGATCTTCTTTTTTTCCTTATTTCAAAGTCCCTTTTACTGATGGATTTCAAATCTTTTATTATTTCTTTTTTTAAAGATCCGGTCGAGTTGTTTTGGCTCTCATCTAAACGAGGGATATCGAGGAGAGCGCTTGAATTTGATTTTAATTTTATTGATGATAATGAAAAAAGCCTTACTGCAGGCTTTTCTGGAGATAATAGACTTGAAATTTTTGTAGTTTTGTCAGCGGAAAAAGGCCGAGGTTTTATGACGTGAATGGCTGGCTCAAGCTTGCTGCAAGGAGAAGAGCATGCAATGATTTTGTCGTGTGAGCCACGCTTACGAGTTCCATATGAGGATTTTATAGCTTTTCTAGAAAGGCGCTCCATAAGAAGCCCAAAAGAAGTTGGGTTTAACTTCTTCTGGACTAAAAGCTCGGTTTTGTAATGAATTAAATTCAAAAAATATCATTTTTCGTCAGTATCTTGTCCGAAATCTGCTTGAAGTTCTATCTCCTCCTCCCCATGAATGAGGTGTTAGATTTTATATTAAATAAAAATTTTAAAATTTTGAAAGTGAAATCTTTTTAGATTGTAAGTTCCTTAAGCTAGCAAAATTAGCTGAAGATTAATTATATCACTTATAAGCCAGGATATTTATTATAAAAGTTTTTGGCTCACCGAAGTGGGGCTAATTTTTCAAAAAAAGAAGATTTTCAAATGATTTTGCTCTCTCACAAGAGGTAGTAAGCAAATAATTTTACCATGTGCAAAGTGTCCTTTTTCTACAATATTTTTCAGAGTTTCCATCTGAGCTCTTAAAGAATCATTAATAGCAAACTCATTTTCTGTATAAGATGAATCTATGCTTCTCCTAACCAAAAATTTGTCCTCAACTGAGTAATCAGTTTTCACAGTTTCAGGCGTCTGAAATTTCTTAAATTTATTTCAGCCGTTTTTGTTTTCGATAAGTGGTCTTGCAAGTTCTCCACAAATATCAATTTTGTTTCGCAGCAATTTGCAAGATAAATATCCCTTGGGTGGAATATAAGTAATCCTTACTTTAGAAATTTCTTTATTTGGAGAAATGATATATCTTTGAATAAGCATCGGCTTTCCAGCTTTTATTTGTTGTCTCCAAAGGTCAAAGCTTTCTTTCGTACTCATCAAGCATTTGCATGAGTCTGCAAAGTTCCCTTTATCTGATTTTATTATGTTAACTGGAAAAGGCTCTCTTTTGAAATAGTAGCATCGCTTAAAAAATCTCTGCACACTAACTAGGGATTACCTACTAGACTTTACTCCTTCAAGTCATGATAATTGACCGTTTTCTTTTGTGTAGATCATGTGAGGCTCATTACAGCCAAATCCGCTTACAATGGTTTCGGGTAGATTTAAGTAGTAACTTTGGACGTTCCTTTTTAATGCTAGTAGAAGAGGTTCTATAAATTCAAGCTGGACTTTGGCATGGGTTGTTTGCTCGCTGGTTCTTCTAACTACTCCTTAATTAATAGCAAGGTAATTTTTTATTTATTATTAATTAATATATAGCTTAAAAAATTTGCATTTTTAATTTAGAACTCTAAGATGACTTGAAAAAAGTTTTAAATATATATAGCTTTGATAAGTATTAATTAGGGGGGTAAGTATAAATGTATGATTCTTAAAATTTTCCATTATGTCTGTTTATTTATTTTTTTAAAAAATTATCATCAACTCATGAGATTTTTTATAAAGAGAAAATATTATTTAGATTAATTGATATGTTTGACTTGAGATTATTTCAACTTTTTTTTATTCCATATAATATTCATTTATAGAGCATATAACCAATGAAGATATTTTTTAAATAAATATTTAAATTTGACTTTCGCCTTTTGATATTAAAATCTAATTTTCATAAAATTTTCATACAAATTAATAATATAGACTTTTATGAAAAATTGCAAAATATTTGAGCATTACTTATATGATTTGATAAAGATAATAGATTTCCACTCCGAAATAAATAAAAGCATTTCGATTTCTTTCCATAAATAGTTTTTATAAATAGCTTCTATTTATTATAGATTTAATTTTAAATTTTATTTAAAAGGTTTTCGCAAGAAAGATGACATATTTCGATAGTTTTACTCAATAAATCGATTTTAGTATCCATTCATTCGTAGCTTCCAACAGGCTTTTCTAAAAATTCTTTATTATCTTCATCTCCCTCTGGCAAACTTGTTTGCGCCTCTTCAATCTCAATTTTTTTTATGATATCCCTATACGAATTTTGTTTTTCAATTATATCCTCTTCATTTGGAGGATTAGCAATAAACGATAGATCAATAACTCTCAATGTATAACTCTCCATAATTACCCTGTACTGATTTTCTAGCTGCTTATAGATTTCAATTTCACTTCTTCTTTCGAACTGAACAGGCTTTTTTTCCTTCGGATTTTCTACCATGACTCTGTCATCTGGCTTGATAAAAGTTTTAAAAGCTTTTGACCGAAAAACTTCTGGGATTTTTGTTATTTCAGTGAAATAAGTTTGTAAAGCCTTTTGCCTTGTTTCTATAAAAGATAAAGAAAGTCTGCAGAAGAACTTTTTTTGAGGAAAAATTGGTAGTGGAGATTTTATCACTTGAGATAAAGCTTCGTGGAATGAAAATAAATTTGAGTAACGCCTTCGGAAATGCCAAATACCTTCATCATGATGGCTAAAAACTAAAAAGGTATATTCTGTGTGATCTGAGACATCAAATTTCGTTATCTTTATAGTATGAGACATTTGCGACCAATTTTATTATATTTTAATCTGTATGGACATTTTAATTCCTTTTTATATTAGAAATATGATCAGCAATGAAATATAATCATATCTTTATAATAATTTCTGAGTTTTAATGAAAATAGATCTTAATTCGCTATTTTATTGCTTAAAATTTATATAATTTACGCATAAAATAAAAATAATTATAATTGATGATTTTGTTGCTTATTATTTAGTCATCTTTTATAACCTTTTCGAAGAAATAAGCTTGGATTTCATCTGGTCCAAGATGATGCATTGCAACTTGATAGAGGCAATACTTTAAATATTCTTCATAGCTGCCAAATTTATTTGAATTTTTCCTCACTTCTTGCGCAATAAAGTGGGCAAAAAATTGATTAACTTGAATAGAAAGTGGGCTGTTATTTACATCTGCAAATGCCCAGCGGCTGATTATTAATTACTACTAGCTTTCTTCTTTAATTATTGTTTATTCAAATAATTATTTGATGATTATATAATAGCGAGATCTCCTTGATAATTATATAAATTTTACAGCTTGCATCCTTAAGCTTTATTTATAAACGAAATTAGATTATTCTTTCAAATATTTACAAATCTGGATTTTTAAAATCAGAAAACTTTTTTGTTTTGTATTGAATTTCAAAATAAATTTTTAAACTAAAAACTTCTTAATTTAACCAGTTTTTGTTCGCTAACTACGGGGAGTAAGGTGGCTTTTCAGGGTGAAACATAGTTGAGAAGATAGGATACTTTTTTGATTCAGCAAGGCTTATATAATATTCGCCTTCTAAGTTCTTACACCTTTTTAATATAAATATTGAATTTTGACTATATTCATATATGGCATTATTAAAATATTTAATCTTTGAGGGTATAGAAAGCCCCAAAACATTGAAAAACTTCTTAAGAATAGGTTCAGCTGCATATAAATTACATTCAAAATAGCGAGGCAAAATAGCCCACTGATGATTTTGTGCAGTCATGTTCATAGCTGACATGTAGTATAATATTCTTGGATCTACATCTTTGAACCACTTTGACTTAGCCACTTTATCAGTAAAAATGATATTAGTTGTATAATTCATGCCTTTTGATGTTTCTAGTGTGCATTTATTAGTCAAAACAATTGTGAGGACCTCCCATCCCAAGCAGGTTGTGAATAAAGGAAAATACTCTCCATTATCGTTTTTCTCGATGATTCTCTTGACTATAAAATCAGCCATTTTCATAAATTGCGTGAATCGCGGTTCCTTATTTTCTTCCCTAATAAACAATTTCGCAGATCCACCTGTAAAAAATACTCCTATATAATTTTTACCATTGACTCTCGCCAATAAGTAGTCAATTTCTTCAAAAGTTGAGTTATATTGCAAAGGAATTACCCTCATAGCTCCGCTTTCTATATGTTTCACATAAGTAGCTCTAAGATGGGATTCCGCATAATCTGCATAAGCATATTCAATGTCATTGGGGATAGTGAGAACTCCAATCGTAGGCTTAATATCTTTGAAGTAAAGTGGGTCTGTATACGAATTTAAATAAAGACAACTGACCAAAGGCGCCAATAATACTCCAAGCCAAACCATTTTGAATTCCACTACTTTTTATAATAGTAAAATTTTATCCAAATTTATTATTATAGTTTAAAAATAAAGTAACCACCTTTATTTAGCTAAAGTTTTAGTGAAAAATGTCTGGCTATAATAATGCAACAACCTATTTTTGCCTATTGGTCAATTAGAGGCTTAGCTGAGCCTATTCGCATGCTTCTAGTTCACCTTGGAGTCGCTTTTGAGGATAAACATTATACCGCAGGAGACGCTCCAGATTATGACAAGAGTGGTTGGCTTGCTGACAAAGAGAATCTTGGTCTTGATTTCCCGAATCTTCCATACTTTATTGATGAGAACGTCAAAATCACTGAAAGTTATGCTATCATCACTTATATAGCTGCAAAGTATAACCCAGATTTTCTTGGTAGGACAGCTCAAGAGCGAGTATATGTCAATATGTGTGCTGGGGTACTTAAAGATGTAAACCATGCTGTTTCGATGGCATGCTATGCTCCTGACGCAACTACAAGAATTCCGATAGCGCTTGATGGCAATAAGGCTAACTTAGGAAGAATCGCAAACTATCTTCAAGGAAAAAGATTCTTTATGGGAGATCAGCCTACATGGGTTGATTTCTGCGCATATGAACTATTTGATAGAATTGAAGCATTTGATCCAGAATTCTTAACTCCCGTCCTTTAAACTGAGCAAAAAATAATACTTTCTTATATAAAAATTCAAAAATCTTGTTGAATTTATAAATTAAGTTTTGGTGGGAGATGTCTTAAATTAAATAGAGCAGTTAGAGAACTGCTATAATAGTTATTAATTATATTTTTAATTACTTTGTATAGCAGATTTTTATTCTCGCTCTTAAAGAAGATTAATTTTTACCAAAAATTGGCATTTTTCAATAATTTTACTCGTTCTTATAAAGGCGAGGAGACTAAGAGGCATTTCTCCTATCTTCGAAACTTATAAAGGCCATGTTAGAGGTTTAGCACACATAGAAGAATTTGTGTCAAGACCAAGATTGGCATTTAACAATAAGATGGCAGGATGGGGAAATAGCCCACTTTAAATAAAGATTTCTTCGTCCTTAATTTGTAGTATGAGCATCATTTTCTTCTTTTAATTTGCAATTTATTCTTATTTGTATTAAACTTTGAAAGACAATTATTAGGAAGTAATATGGGAATTATTTTAATATATATACAGATGATAGAGACTATAAAAAACAATTTTTGACTGCTGTGCTATATGCATGATTTTATGAGTTGTATTTATAATCAGCATTAACTTAATGCTAATATTTTTAGAAGCCATAGTCATATGGAATCAATGCATGTTTATAAAATTGAAATTTACTCCAATAAGGCATATAAAATAAATGGTAAGTCCAAAAAGCTCAGGCTTAGACTTAAATTATACCAAATGATAAATTTAAGCAGTTTACAGCATTTCATATAAAATCAACTTTTATTGATGATTTATCATACTTAGGATTTTAACAATGCTCTGTTTTGCCAATTTAATAATATAATTTTTCGATAAATATGAGGTTCAACTTTAGAATTATCACACAAATTTATATGAGTTGTTTTTGATTCTAATTTAATTTACCTAACAAATTATCATTTGTTGATTTTATTCATCTTAGCAATGTCAGCTATAATAAAATGCAACAACCAATTCTTGCATATTGGTCAATCAGAGGTCTAGTTGAGCATATTCGCATGTTTCTAACTCACCTTGGAGTAGCTTTTGAGGATAAGCATTATCCCACTGGCGACGCTCCAGATTATGACAAGAGTGTCTGGCTTGCTGATAAAGAAAGCCTTGGTCTTGATTTCCCAAACCTTCCTTATTTCATTGATGACCAAGTCAAACTCACTGAAAGTGTTGCAATTGTTACTTATATTGCAGGAAAATACAACCCTGCTTATAACGGGAGAACAATTACAGAGCAAGCCAGTGTAAACATGTGTGCCGGAGTTCTTCGAGATGTCTGGAATGCCATTATCAATGCAAGCTATTCTCCTGATGCAACTACAAGAATTCCAATAGCGCTTGATAGCCATAGGGTTAATTTAGGAAGAATCGCAAACTATCTTCAAGGAAAAAGATTCCTTATAGGAGATCAGCCAACATGGGTTGACTTTTTCGCATATGAACTATTTGATAGAATTGATGTATTTAATCCTGAGTTCTTAAGAGGCATATCTCCTAACTTTGAAGCTCATAAAGGCCATGTTAGAGGTTTAGCGCACGTAGAAGAGTTTGTGTCAAGACCAAGACTAGCATTAAACAACAAGATGGCAGGATGGGGGAACTAAATTCTTTAAATAAGCAGGCATTTTAAGATTTATAAGTATTTAGAGGACTATTATTAAGTATTTTATTATTTAAAAGAAGAAACTTTGGAATAGCTCAAAACGTTAGTAAATTTTGTTTTACAGAAAATTCCTCGAAAAGAAGGCTTTATTCATGTATGGAACTATTTTGCAAAAATTTATGGTGAAATGTCATATTCATTTTAATAATAAAATTTTCTCATTTATAGAACCAACCATAATTATTACGTCTCTAATAATTTATATCAAAAATGCAACAACCAATTCTTGGATACTATGAAATCCGCAGCTTCGCGGAGCCTCTTAGAATGCTTCTTACTCACTTTGGAGTTGCTTTTGAAGATAAGCAGTACACCTTTGGTCCTGCTCCAGACTTCGATTTATCAAGTTGGCTTAATGCTAAAGAAACTTTAGGATTTGATTTTCCTAATTTGCCTCATTTTATTGATGAAAACATCAAGCTAACTGAGACTTTAGCAATTTACGAGTATATCTGTGCCAAATATAATCCTTCTTATCTTGGCAATACCATTGTGGAAAAAGCTTATGTGGCAATGCTCACTGGAGTTCTAAATTGCCCAACTTTTAAATTGGAACAAAATATAGGTAAAAGTTCCATTGTTTTGGATATTAACCCCTTTTAAATTGGAACAAAATTCAATTTTAAAATAAAAGTTTTATAGCGAAAACCATAATTTATACGTAAATACTTTAATATCCAATTTAATATGCAGAATCAAAAATTAAACACTATTTTGTTATTTTAAAGGGGGAGAGTTAGAAGAATACCATTTCGGCAAGCTTTGAGAATAAATTAATTTTCCAGTAAATTAAAAGTTAAAATCCAAACACAAAATATATAATTTTTTCTATATAAATTTTATATTGATTTTTTTTTATAAAAAATTTTCTTAACCTCCCTTTAAATTGGAACAAAATTTTTTGTTCCAATTTAAAAGGGGGAGTAAGAGATTTCAATAGTCCTATTGGAGCAGCTTCCTATAGCCCAGATGCAGCGACACTTTTACCTCAAGTTTTAGAAAGTCAAAAAACAATGCTAGGAAGATTTGTCAAATATCTTGAAGGAAAAACATTTTTAGTTGGAGATCATCCTACCTATGTCGACTTTTATTTTTATGAGTCACTTGATAGGCTTGATGCTATTGATCCAAGCTATTTAGCTGGAATTTCACCACTATTTGAAGCTTATAAAGGTCATGTAAGAAGTTTGACTCATGTCGAAGAATTTGTTACAAGACCTAATAGACCACATTTTCATGGCCCTGTAGCTGGTTGGAGAGGATAATAAGCTAATTATATTCCTTTATGGTTAATAAAATACACACTAGCACTAATTTTAGAATAACTGCCTCAGTTTTTCTATATTTGAGGATAAATATAATTTAGTCAACCATTTTAATACTAAAATATCTTTTATTTCAAGCCAATTAATAATTAATATCTAAAATGCAATAGCCAATATTTGGATACTGGAAAGCTTGCGATTTGGCAGAGCCTCTCAAAATTCTTCTTACACATCTAGGGGTTGCATTTAAAGTTAGACTTTATCACTTTTGTCCTGTTCCTGATTTCAATACATTGGAATGGATTAACGCCAAAGAAACATTATTAAGCTAAGTAAAACTTTGCCAAGTATAAACCATCTTATCTTGGGAATACCATAGCTGAAAAAGCTTATGCTTCTATGATAACTAGTTTTTTAGAGATTTAAATAGTCAAGTCAGCAATGCCTGCTATCCCAAAGAAGCAGCAACCCTTATACTTCGAGCTCTTGAAAGTCAAAGACAGTGATTGCAAGATTGTTAAATATCTTGAAGAGGAGACATTTTTAGTTTGAGACCACCCAACATATATTGATTATTATTATTAGCTCAAATCCTTATAAAATTTTGTTTTACAGAATATTCCTCAAAAAGAAGGCTTTATTCATGTATGGAACTATTTTTGGAAAAATTTAAAGTGAAATGCCATATTCATTTTAATAATAAAATTTTCTAATTTCTAGAACCAACAATAACTATTATGTTTCTAATAATTTATATCAAAAATGCAACAACCAATTCTTGGATACTGGGAAATCCGTGGCTACGCGGAGCCTCTTAGAATGCTTCTTGCTCACTTTGGAGTTGCTTTTGAAGATAAACAATACATCTTAGGTCCTGCTCCAGATTTCGATAGATCAGATTGGCTCAATGTTAAAGAAACTTTAGGATTTGATTTTCCTAATTTGCCTTATTTTATTGACGAAAACATCAAGCTAACTGAAACATTAGCAATATACGAGTACATCTGTGCTAAATATAATCCTTCTTATCTTGGCAATACCATTGTGGAAAAAGCTTACGTAGCGATGATCACAGGGGTTCTAAGAGATTTCAATAGTGCTATTGGAAGAGCCTGCTATAGTCAAGATGCAGCGACCCTTATACCTCTAGCTCTAGAAAGTCAAAAGCCAGTGTTAGCAAGATTTGTGAAATATATTGAAGGAAAAACATTTTTAGTTGGAGATCATCCTACCTATGTCGACTTTTATTTTTATGAGTCACTTGATAGACTTGATGCTATTGATCCAAGCTATCTAGCTGGAATTTCACCATTATTTGAAGCTTATAAAAGCCATATAAGAAGCTTGACTCATGTCGAAGAATTTGTTTCAAGACCTAATAGACTACATTTCCAAGGCCCTGCAGCTGGTTGGAGAGGATAATAAGCTAATTTTATTCCTTTATGATTAGTAAAATACATTACTAGCATTAATTTTAGTTTTTAATAATTAATATCTAAAATGCAACAGCCAATATTGGAATACTGTGAAGCTCGCCGCTTGGCAGAGCCTCTCAGAATGCTTCTTACACATCTTAGAGTTGCATTTGAAGATAGACTTTATCACTTTGGTTCTGCTCCTGAATTCAATAGATTGGAATAGATTAACGCCAAAGAAACATTAGGTATGAAAGTCCTAAATTTGTCTTATTTTATTGATGAAAATATCAAGCTAAGTAAAACTTCGCTATATATAACTCATCTTATCTTGGGAATACCATAGTTGAAAAAGCTTATGTTTCTATCATAATTGGTGTCCTTAGAGATTTAAATAGTCAAATCAGCAATACCTGCTATCCTAAAGAAAAAGCAACCCTTATACCGAACTCTTGAAAGTCAAAGACCAGTGATTGCAAGACTTGTTAAATATCTTGAAGGAAAGACATTTTTAGTTGGAGACCGCTCAACATATGTTGACTTTTTATTATCTCAAAGCCTTACTAAAATTTTGTTTTACTTAATAATCCTTAAAAAGAAGGATTTACTCATGTATGGAAAAATTTAGAGTGAAATGCCTTATTTTTTTAATATAAAAATTTTCTAATTTCTAAAACTAACCATAACTATTATTTCTCCAATATAGTTATATCAAAAATGCAACAACCAATTCTTGGATACTGGGAAATCCGTGGCATCGCGGAGCCTCTTAGAATGCTTCTTGCTCACTTTGGAGTTGCTTTTGAAGATAAACAATACACCTTTGGCCCTGCTCCAGGTTTCGATAAATCAAATTGGCTCAATGTTAAAGAAACTTTAGGATTTGATTTTCCTAATTTGCCTCATTTTATTGATGAAAACATCAAGCTAACTGAGAGTTTAGCAATATACGAGTACATCTGTGCCAAATATAATCCATCTTATCTTGGCAATACCATTGCGGAAAAAGCTTATGCGGCTATGATCACTGGAGTTCTAAAAGATTTCAATAGCCCTATTGGAATGGCTACCTATAGCCAAGATGCAGCAACACTTTTACCCCAAGCTTTAGAAAGTCAAAAACCAGTGTTAGCAAGATTTGTCAAATATCTTGAAGGAAAAACATTTTTAGTTGGAGATCATCCTACCTATGTCGATTTTTATTTTTATGAGTCACTTGATAGGCTTGATGCTATTGATCCAAGCTATCTAGCTGGAATTTCACCAATATTTGCAGCTTATAAAAGCCATATAAGAAGTTTGGCTCATGTCGAAGAATTTGTTACGAGACCTAATAGACCACATTTCCAAGGCCCTGCATTTGGTTGGAGAGGATAATAAGCTAATTATATTCCTTTATGATAATAAAATACATTACTATCACTAATTTTAGCATTACTAACTCAATTTTTATATATCCACAGTAAATATAATTTGGTCAAATCATTTTAATACTAAAATATCTTCCATTTCAAGCCAATACTTTAATTTTTAATAATTAATATCTAAAATGCAACAGCCAATATTGGGATACTGGGAAGCTCGCGGCTATGCAGAGCCTCTCAGAATGCTTCTTACACATCTAGGGGTTGCGTTTGAAGATAGACTTTATCACTTTGGTCCTGCTCCTGATTTCAACAGATTGGAATGGATTAACGTTAAAGAAACTTTAGGTATGGAATTCCCAAATTTGCCTTATTTTATTGATGAAAACATCAAGCTAAGCGAAACTTTGGCTATATATGAATACATCTGTGCCAAATATAACCCATCTTATCTTGGGAATACCATAGTTGAAAAAGCTTATGTCTCTATGATAACTGGTGTCCTTAGAGATTTAAATAGTCAAGTCAGCAATGCCTGCTATCCCAAAGAAGCAGCAGCCCTTATTCCTCGAGCTCTTGAAAGTCAAAGGCCAGTGATTGCAAGACTTGTTAAATATCTTGAAGGGAAGACATTTTTAGTTGGAGACCACCCAACATATGTTGACTTTTTATTATATGAAATCCTTGACAAGCTTGATGCTATTGATGCAAGCTACTTAGCTGGGATTTCACCATGATTTGTAGCTTATAAGAGGCATATAAGAAGCTTAGCACATGTGGAAGAATTCATTTCAAGGCCTAGTAAATCGCATTTGTTCCATGGTCCTATGGCTGGATGGAGCGGATAATTAATTTCAGGTTATAATCTAATTATTAACGATTTTAAAAAAAAATATTTATGGAAATCTAAGAATTATTAATATTTAAGTTTACCAAATTTTACTATATTTTTAAGCCACCAAATATAGTTAAATATTTAAAATTTTTATCTATGATATTTCAAAACCCTTATTTACATTTCTTCTCTGATTTCAATATTTTGCAATATTTTCGTTTCATTAAAATAGATATGAAGCTGAGTAATATTGATATAAATGAAATCAGGTTTCAACCTTTTCAGCTTAACCCTAAAAGGCTGGCTCATATTTAGTGGAAGTTTTATAGCTTTAGGCGGGCTTGGATTTTACTTTTTTAAGGGACCCAGAGCAAGAACCTTGATTCTTGAAGTTCTACCTGAGGAAACACTTATTGACCTCCTTCATCTCATAAGAAAACAATACTCGAAATACTATAAAAAGAACCAGCTTCATGGCAGAAAGCAGCGAAGAAGGCTTCCTAGAGGCTCTGATGAATATTTCAAATATGTAAAAGAATGTTTTGGAATTCACAACAAATTATTAGATGATGCAATTGATGAAGTTTTAAGTGGTAAAAATATAAAGCGAGATACATATGAAAATTCTATGAAATTATTCAAGCATGAAGCCAGCATATCAGAAGCTTATCAAGATATCCGAAAAATCGTCAATAAAGGCCCAGTTTCACTAGACTTGACTCCTGACAAACTCCATGAGATCCTTACATTTTATAGGAATAGACTGGACGCGGAATCCCCATCTCAAAGCCCATATTCTCTGCCTTTAACACTAACACTTATAGAAGATGACGTATATGAAGCATTTAGAGTAGAAATTGAAGAAATAGAAAGAGCTTTTGACATGTATTGGGATATGCTGAAAGAATTCGACCCATTAATCCAGACTATTTGTCAAGCCAAGCTGATAGATGAAGTAGAAGATATAGAAATCCCTACAATTAGGGAAAGACGGAGCTTCGAATAGAATAATAAATATTTGGCTAGAAATTATTTTAAAATTTTACAGTTTATATTTTAGAGAAGCATATTTATCGATTTCTTCCTCCACAATTTCCATGCTTTTTATTGCAGTTTTTAAAGCTTCTTTCGATTTCTTCTGAGAGCGAGTTATTTCATGTATTTGATCTTTTAAATCGTGAGCTTGCTTATTCTTTTTAATAGAGTTTAGAATTAAATATTATGCGTTTATAGGGTGAATTTTGTTGTAAATAAAACAATAATGATTAATAAATAAAATTTATTCAATGATTGTTATATAAATAAAAAAATTAATTGTTTCGAATTTGATATTAAGTCCTTCACTCAAAACTCTTAACATTTCTTCAGTTGACTGCTCTGCAAATAATGCAAGTCTAAATGAATTTTACTTTTTTTGTTCCTTAAATTTTTCATAATGAATTCTCATCTCATAAGTTTTTTCTCTTCTCTCGTGTAAATATTTTTGCTGCTTTCCTCCATGCTTTATCAGAAGATATCGCTGGTAAGCAGCTCTTATAAACTTTGCGGCGTGGATTTTTGCATTTTCCATAGCAGTAGTCCTTCCCAAATAATTATATACTTTTTCTTCACCTTTATTAAAAGCGGTATAATTGGATAGAGTTACAACCATTAAAGTAATGTTAAAAATCCCCCAAAAGCAAGCTAAAACTGAAATAAATCTTCCTATATGTGTCCTAGCATAGAAATCTCCATATCCGACCGTTGTCATAGTGATTATAATGACCCACATGGCATTCCAAATATAATTAAAATCTTGGCTTTGGTTTGGATTATTTTTCGTATAAGGTCTTTCAAAAATCCTTATAGCTAACCCAAAAACCACAAGATTTGTAATCATGCTAAAACCTAATAAGAAATAAGGCCGATCCTTTAATAAGGATTTGATGGAAAACAAAATACTTGCATCACATCCATAAACGCTACAAATTGCTTGGGATTTTTTAGATGACCATGTAGAATAGTGGTAAAAAAGCCTGAAAACTAAATATACCCTTATTAGCATTCAGCAAGCACATATAGAGTCCATACTTTGTATTAAAACACCATTTAACTGTTGGAATTCTATAGAATAGTCACTTCCTGGGGGCCAGTGAATAGCACAGACCACAAGTTCGACTAATAAAAACCCAAAATGCTTGCTTTTAAAATAAGAAGGTACCTCTACATCTAAACCGATTTTCTTTTCTCTCATAATACTATATGAAGTTTTCGATCGAAAAATCAGTAAAATTAATAAAACTCCTGTAGAAACTGACACAAAAAGTCTTAACGAGTCTCCGTTGCTCGTAGTGACGTCGTCATTGCTATAATTTTCTTCGTATTCTACCATAGCGACAACTAGTCCTGCAATAGCAATAATTGCAATAAGTGAGTCATAAACCTTCAGCAATTTAGAATCACGATCAACCTTATCAATTTTTCTTTCAAGTAGCCTTCTCTTGCTAACATCGACTACAATATCTGGATTCGTATCAACGCTATTGGAAGATGCAGAAGATCGAGAAGTTTCACTTGATAAGTACTCAGACTGCAATGAATTTTCCCCTTCAGAGCGAATAGCTTCGTTATTTCCCATAGGGTTGACTGCTTCAGAGATTCTTCGGAAGTATTGAGCTCCATGAAAAGCCCCTAGGCCTTGTCCTGCACCTGTTAATATTGATGCCATTCTATGTTATAATTAAATAATTATTATCATCAAGCAGAGCTTTTTCATTGCAAATTAAGCACTTTTTCAGTAAAATCAATGAAATATTACTAATTAAGCTGAACAATCTTTAGCAAAGTGCCCAAATTCATGACAGCGATAACACCTAGAGCCACCTCTACGATCTAAAGGAGCTTCAGTTTGTCCGCAATTCCTAGCTATATGTCCAGCTTGTCCACAATTATAGCACACTGAATCCCCTGTCGAAGAGCATTCTTTAGACATATGCCCGAATTCCCCACATTTGTAGCACCTCGGACAATTTTTTGACACGTGTCCAGATCCATTACAACGGTAGCATTTAATATCTCGACCGACTTGTTCTGAGCAATCTTTTGCCCTGTGATCAGAACTTCCACAATTGTGGCATTTTACTGACTCAGAGCATTCATTTTGAGTGTGGCCAAGCTTGTGACAGTTAAAACAAGCTTTTTCTTCACTTGGACAATCTCTGGCGCGGTGGCCTATACCTCCACATCTATAGCAATTCATTTTTATCCATTTTTAGAGTTTAGTCAGAGCAAAGGATATCTTTAAATTTTCTTGGATTATTGTGAAGATTGCCACAGTTTCTAAGCTTTAAGCTGATTATTGGGCTGTATTTCTGATAAATTTCTTTTATTTATCTTTGTTTTAATTTTTATGATGGCTGATCTTCTGTATCTAATTGAAAATTAAATTTTGGTAGAAATCTGCGTCATAAACTATTTTCTTTAAAACCTCAGATTTTACTATAAGTGCAATAAATTCCTTTTTTTTTGTTATAAAATTAGTTTATTATAATGTCACTTACCCTGTGTATTTATGATAATAGCTACTTTTCGGTATTTAAAAAATTTAACAAGAATAAAAAATTTTATATAAATAAATTCTCGAAAATCAAAATGAATTGTTTAATTTTATTCACTAAAGATCAAAAGAGAAAAAATCACAGACAAAAGATTCCACGCTTTATCCTTTATAAACAAATGGAGTTAGAGATTTTGAAATCATACAAAAACTCGGAGAAGGAGCTTATTCCCAAGTTTTCAAAGTCAAAAGAATTTCAGATTCACAAATTTATGCCCTAAAAAAAGTCAGATTTGCACCTTTAAAGGAAAAAGAAAAAACCAACGCTTTAAACGAGGTCAGAATTCTTGCTTCTATCAGTCATCCAAACATAATTGGCTATAAAGAAGCTACACAAATAAAATGGCGACGACACCGACCCGTCCTCTCCCGGAACTGTGGCGAGATTTGGGGACCTTGCTGCGGCCTGAAGCCAATCCGCCCAGGGAAAGGTCTGGAATGGGTAGTGGCAGTTTGTGCCCGGCTAGGTTTCCCTCCAAGTCCAGCAACGACGATCCTAGAGTCGTCCCGATAGGACACGGGGCAAAAAGGGTTTTTCCTCTAGGGACCGCTAGTGCCAATTTGGAGGGCATGGCAGGAGCCAACAAGAGCTAAGGAGTTAATCCTTAGCTCTAACCCTAGTCTGGCGACGTGAAGCACGGTGACCCAGTTCGCCTACTTCTGGGGTAGCATGATCAAGCCCCATGACCGGAAGGAGCTGAGTGGTAGCCTGTGGCACTTAGGTGCACACTGGGAGCAGGGTAAGGAAAGCAAGCGAGGCGTCCAAAAGGCGGAAGAAAAGGACCTTCGGTCCTGGCCGGGAGCTACTCTATAAATTTAACTAAGACTAAGACTAAGGCTATAAAGAAGCTTTCGTTGATGAATCTTCACGAAGCTTATGGTAATTTTTACCTAGCATCATCATGGAATTTGCAGATGGAGGAGATCTCCTATCAAAAATTCGGCAACATAGAGACCAAGGCACAAGATTTTCAGAAAACGAAATATGGGATATTTTAATCCAAATGGTCAAAGGAGTTAAAGCTTTACATGACATGTCTGTCCTCCACAGAGACCTTAAGTGTGCAAATGTATTTATATGCAATAATGGGAATGTAAAAATTGGAGACATGAATGTCTCAAAAGTTTCAAGCGGAGAATTAGCTTACACACAGACTGGGACACCTTATTATGCTAGTCCTGAAGTATGGAGAGACCAGCCATATGACTTAAAAAGCGATATTTGGTCTTTAGGATGTGTGATTTATGAAGCCATTATGCTAATTCCGCCTTTTCGAGCTAATGATATGAGCAGTTTATATCAAAAAGTTACGAAAGGGCATTATCCACCAATTTCGAAAATTTATTCAGCTTATTTGGCTAATACAGTTAAAGATTTGCTACAAGTGAACCCAGCACTAAGACCTAATTGCCAACAGATTTTAGATAATCCAAATGTGCATCGGCATCTAAAAGGAGAAAATGAAGATAAAGGCGACCCAAATGTTTTATTAAGAACTATTCCTTTCCGCCCTGTTAATATCATTAGATTTGAGCTATTTTTCTTATAATATTATTTTAAAATTAATGGAAAACTCTATATAACTTTACCAAGGAATTTTTTAAATCTAGCGAATAGGCTTCCAGCTGCGAAATATAGACATGTTAGTGCAGAAACCGAAAGAATTCCTGGATCAAGATATCAATCTCCAGGTTCTTTTGATGCAAAAAGAACGATCACTAGAGATTCAGATTTTAAGTTACCGCCTCTAATCAGACCCAAAGTGCAGAGTCGTCAACCTCTTGATCAGAAAATCCAGGTTTTAAGAGGTAGAATTGCTCAGAAAGTGCGTTAAAATTTGGAATAATTAAATTGCAAAATATGATTTAATAGTAAAAAATATTATTTTAATTAAAAAAAAAATATGAATTAAAATAAATAAATTATTTTATTATATTTTGCCTTGTTTCTGCAAGAAATAGAACACAAGCGGTATCTATTAGAAAAGAAATAGAATAAATAGCTAATGCAATTTCTTTTCCTCCTGGAATATCAAGCAAAACTCCTGTAATGGTAGGAGATATAATTCCTCCTATCCTTGCAGCTGAAAATAGCCAGCCACTAGCAGTATTTCTAATTTCTGTAGGATAGGATTCAGGTGTAACCGTATAAAGGCACCCATATCCCATTAGTACAACAAGACTCATAAGTGATGTGCAAATCACAACTAAAACTACATTGCCAGATAGCAAAAATAAAAACACAAATAAAGCTGCTGAAAATTCACAAGCTGCTAGTGTTTTCACTCTCCCAAATTTTGTATTAACTAAGTACGCTGCCAGAAAAACACCTGGAATCCCGAATAATTGTTGAATAAAAATTGCAATGTACTGTGTCAATTTTGAATATTCACTTAAAAATCTAGGCATAAACATCAAAACATTCACATATCCGAACATTTTGGTAAAATAAATAACTGTCAGCAACAAGCTAGCTCTTAGATGATCTCTATGAAATAGCATTTTATAGGAATTTGATTTAGGTTTTGAAACGGAATTTTCATTTAAAATTGGATCAATTAGTGCAACTACTGCTTCATCTTTGCCATTAACAGCAGCTATTTTTTTAAGTATTTTTTCTGAATTTTCTTTACTTCCTTTACTCCCCTCTCCTAAGCGAACAAAACCATTAGAAAATCCCTATTTTTTGGGTAAAAATCCACCCTCCGTGATCGAACAAAAAATTTTTTTAATATAAAAACTTTATGTAAAAAAAATTGATATATAAGTGATAATTAACATAACGAAATCTCTAGCTAATTCTATTTAATTTTAAACAGCTTGCGTTTTAAAACATAAATTTTGCAAATTAAATTAATTTTCACTTCTCAACTTTTAAAAATTAGAATTTTTTTTGAACTTTGAAAACAAAAAATTCTATAAAATATTTTATATATAAATTTTTTTAAAAAAAATGAAAATTAACCCCCTCCTTGATCAAACAAAATTTTTTTGTTCGCTCACGGAGGGGGGAGTTAGCGAAATAATAGCTGGGGGTGTCATCCATATCCAGCCTATATATAAAAATTAGCAAATCGTAGAAAAATATAAAGGAAATGATAAGTCTTCAGTTTGCGATTTCAGAATAGTTAAATAATTCTACAAGAACACATATTAAAGCTACAAATGCACCACCCATCCCAAAAAATGAAGACAGAGCAGTCACGTAGCCAGAGTTCTTCGGTGGGCAGAATTCTTTAAAAACTACACCAGACACAACAAGTTCGCCTGACACTCCGATGCCTATGATAAATGCACAAATAATGAATAATACGAGAGAAAACGAAAAAATCATGAATAAGCTAAAAATAACTACAATAAGTAAGCTTTTTTTAAAAGAAAACATCCTTCCATATCGATCTGCCCAATATCCTCATAAAACAGATCCTGCAAGCATGCCTATTTGATATAAAGTCCCAATAAATCCTCTTAATGAGTTTGATATATCTCATTCATGTGAGATACTTGAAAGTATTATACCTATAAGAACTACTCATAGTTGACTATTTGTTCAAGCCTAAATTTAAATTACGAGTCCACATTGGATGAATTTTCTCTTTTGATAACTTCCTCAGCCAATTTTGTCTAAACACTGCGCTGTTGTAAGCATTGTCTCGTTTGACATTTTTATTATAACGACGTGTCGTTGAAATATTGATTTATTTATAATATAAATTTAATATTAATTGTTGTGCGGCTTATTTAAAAACTTAAATATTTTTGAGAAAGAACGTAAATGATGAAAAATACCATAGCAGAAATGGTCAGAAGCTTAAATAAGCATTATCATTTTCATTTTTAGAAACTTCTTTATAATTATTAACAGTTATGGCTTATACTGCTTCTCCAGCACAATTTCTTTCAACTGAAGACCATCTCCGCAAAATGCTCAGCAAAACAGGCGGCCCAAGTTTCGGAACCGATGTCAAATACTTGCCTCGTAATTCTCATTCTCCTTTTGGTGACTTTCCCTCAGGCTATGTGATTCCTTCAAAACGCATTTCAACTGAATTCAATTTAAGCCCAGTTCATGAAGCATCACAAGCTGCAAGCCAGCCTAATGAATTTGTCAAAAAAGGCAAAGGTTCAGGAGGCAAAACTTCTTCATTATTCCATGGAAGAGAACAGCCAATAGAAACTCCTCCTAGAGCTGGAGCTTTTAACAGAAGACAAATCCCACCGAGTGAATTCAGGAGATTTTATGACCGTGGAGACCTTCCTATAGCTATAAGTCATGGAACAGGCAATAAAATTGCATGGAAAGTTCCAGTGGAACAGCTAGATTATCATCACTATTTACCTATTTTCTTTGACGGGATAAGAGAAAAGCATGACCCTTATAGGTTTTTGGCTATACAAGGAGTTCATGATATGCTTGAACATGGAGGTAATAAAGTTCTGCCTGTAATTCCTCAGCTTATTATTCCAATAAAAACCGCTTTGAATACTCGAGACGCTGATATTATCAGTGTAGTCTTAAAAGTATTGCAAAAATTGGTAACGTGTGCAGATATGATCGGAGAAGCTTTAGTACCTTATTATAGGCAGATTTTGCCGATATTTAATATTTTCAAGCAAAAAAATATAAATTCTGGAGACAAGATTGATTATTCACAAAGAAAGAGACAAAATATAGGAGAGCTTATACAAGAAACATTAGAATTGCTGGAAACTACAGGTGGAGAAGACGCATTTATTAACATCAAATATATGATACCAACTTATGAAAGCTGCGTATTGAACTAAATAATAAATTATTAGGAAAATTACGAATAATTTGCCTACATTAAATGGGATTGCTATATTTATTTTTGGCTTCAATTTTTAGCTCTAAATATTTTTACTGTAAATATTTTAATATCTTTATAATCCTCATAATCATCAATTTTTCATAATTTCACGAATTCTTCTGTATGATTTGATACCAAAATAGATCGAAACGGTTTTCGCATAATTTATTCCTTTGCAATTTCCATTAAAATTATACAAAACTATTACTTTCTCCTACTTTACGTTGTTTTTTAAAAAATCATCACACATTAGTTTAAATAAATACCTAAACCAAAGCAGTTATTCATATTAATCAGTGATAATAATAAAATGACAGATAATTGGAACGCTGAGTTCGCTGGCTGCTGCAATGTTTGCCCTGCATTTTGCTTAGTTTGCTCGAACTGTACAGCAGGGGCTGCACTAATGCAAGGAGTTACTATTTGGGAAATGAATGGAGGTCAAGGAGGATGTGGAGAGTGTTGTATAGCCTGCTGGCTTTGCTGCATTGGTCTTGCAATCAACCGTGGTAAGATAAGGGAAAAATATATATTAGACAAGATACGATTGTCGATTTTTAAGCAAAAAAATTCCATTTTTTTTAAAAGGGAGATAGTTTAGAATTGATAAAAATATAGAAAACCTAAACGGGTTAGTATAACATTCACGGAAGTTTTATGGTGGATTGCCTACTTTATTGGATTGGATGCGCTTGCTGTATGGTTACTCAAGAATATAGAGAAGTCCGTCTACGCACTAATAAACCCGCTCAATAGAAATATCAAATACACCAATCCTGCTGAATGATAATTGTTTTATTTAAGCACAATTTCTATTTTCCAATAAATTTGCTGCAATATTATAGGATAAACAGTCGGAATATATCTTAAGGAAAATAATAAATAAACTTAGTTATTTAATTAGGTAGCTAAAATAGACTGTACATTTCAAAAATGTCTAGCTTGTGATTTAACTAGTATCAAAGAAGTTCTTGCATTAACTAATAGAAAACGTAGCTATTTCCATTGATAAAGGATTGGTTGCAAGTTCTAATTATACAAAAATCCCATAAACAATGGAGACTCTTAGAAGGCCCAGACGAAAGCAGTAAAATACCCTTCAACCAATAATTAAACATAATCAAAGTACTTATTTAAATTCTCTAGTTATATCCAGATGATTATCAATAAATTTCATATTTTTCATTTATTCCTTACCTATCATATCTAATTCCAGAGCAATGGAATAATCCGAAATAGCTTTATCCAGCTGCCCCACACTATCATAGCAGCACCCTCTATTGAAATATGCATTGGCATTCCTTGGATCCAGATCAATAACATTAGAAAAATCCTTACTCCCCCCCTCCGTGAGTGAACAAAAAAATTTTGTTCACTAGGGGGTTAATTTTTTTTTTTTTTAAAAAAATTTATATATAAATTTTATAAAAAAATTTTTTTTTCGAAATTTAAAAAAAAAACTAATCCGCAAAAATTTGAAAGCAAATATTAATTTAATTTATAAAAATTTATGTTTTAAAAAGCAATTCGTTTAAAAATTAAAGAGAATTAGCTCTAGATTTCATTATACTAATTATCATTTATATATCAAATTTTTTTCCATAAAGATTTTTTCTATTAAAAAAATTTTTGTTCACTCACGGAGGGTGGGTTTTTGGGCAAAAAATAGGGATTTTTCTAATGGTTTTGTTCACTCACGGAGGGGGGGAGTTAATGGCTGTTTCATAATCGCCAAGTCGCTCATACGAAATTCCTCTATTGTGTAATGCATGAATATTAGTCGGGTCCAGTTTTATAACCGCTGAATAATCATTGATGGCTTCATCATAATTTGATAATTTAGCATAACAATAAGCCCTGTTATTATAAACTTTCACAGAAGCTCCTCCATATTCTAACTCTTTAGTGTAGTCCTCTACCGCTTTATCAAATTTCTCTAGTTTCCTCCATGTGAGTCCTCTATTAGCATAAATAATTGGGTTAGATGGGTCTAGGTAAAGGGCTCTATTGAAATCTTCTAAAGCGTCTTCATATATTTCAGCATTTCTTAAGCAGCAGCCACGATTGTGCCAATAAACAGGGTTTTGTTGGTCAAGCTCAATGCTCTGTGTGAAGTCTTCAAGGGCTTCTTGATGCTTGAAAAGGCGGTCCCATACCAGTCCTCGTCCATTATACGAAGGTGCATAATTTTGGTCAATTTCAATGACTCGATTAAAGCACTCTAAGGCTTGTTCTAAGTTCCCAGTTTTTTCCATCAAAGTTCCTAAATGATGGAGGGTGTTAACGTTATTAGGCTGGAACCTTAAAGCTTCCATATAGTCTCGCTCAGCTTCAGCAATTTTTCCTATTTTGTCCCAACAAAAAGCTCGGTTATAAAGAGCTTTGAAGTGTTTTGGGTCAAGTTTTAAAGCTTGGGTATAGTCTTTGATGGCTAAGTCGTATTCTTTTAATTTTCGATATGCGAAACCTCGGTTATGGAAGAAATCAGCTTTATTTGGCTCAAGATCTATTGCACGTGAGAAATCTTCAACTGCCATAGGGAAATTCCCACTTCTGTCATATGAAATTCCTCTGTTATAATAAGCAAAAGCGTTTTGAGGATCCAAATCAATGGCTGCTGTATAATTTTCGATTGCCTGCTCAAAATTCCCAGTTTTATCATATGCAAAAGCTCTATTGAAAAGTGCTTTAAAATGCCTCGGGTTGATCCTTAGGGCCTCTGTATAGAATCCAATAGCTTTTTCAAAGTCTCCTTTTTGCCTTGCAGCATATCCTTGTGAGTGAAACCATTCAGCTTCCTTTAATGCTTTTTCAGACAAGTTAGGACTCAGCTGTGGTTTTGAGCTAGTTTCCCGTTTAGGAGCTGCATTTGGTTTGGCGACTCTGGGAGGTGGGATAGTATCTATGGTTTCTTTATCTTTTTCAAACTTTTGAGGAGTACTTGACCTTGGAGGCACAAAAGAAAAAGGGTCATCTTTAGCTTCATTGGAGTTGGTTGTGTTACTGAATGAACTTTGGAGATTTCGGACATAAGACTTTCCAGGAGATCGTCTGCCTTCTTGATCTCTTTCTAAAGCCATAGAGTAGTCTTCAATGGCTTGTGCGAAATTGCCTTTACGGTTTTGGCAAGCTCCTCTTGCATAAGCTGCATTAACGTGGCAAGGGTCAAGCTCAAGGACTGTTGTGAAATCTAGGATACTCTTATCAATTTCGCCGAGTTTGTCATATGCGCAACCCCTTAGGTAGAATGCTCCTACATGGTGGGGTTCAAGCTGGATAAGAGAATTGCAGTCTTTTATTGTTTCTTCATAAAGCCCTTTTTTCATATAGCTAGAAGCACGAATAAATAAGGCTTTTGGATGATTTCCATCCATAGTGATCTTTCTTGTGCAGATCTTTATTAGATTGTCAACATCATTATTTAAGCGGTAAGGTCTGCTGTGGTCACTTCTGTTTTCTTGCTGAAGGACTCGCCTTCGGTGCATTGCATCCATAAGAAGCTCAGTTTCCAGTTCGTCTGACATTTTTAAATAGAATTGTATTATCTTTACTTGAAAACTAAATTGAGCGCTTAACGATTAAATTAGAGATGATAAAAAGTGGTTTCCTTGGGCATACGAAGAGACTTAACAATAAGGGCTTAAAAGAATTATCTATAAGAAGAATCTGATGATCTCTTGAGAAAAGTTTGGGCTTATGAGATTATTCATAATTCAGAAATCAATTGTAAAATTCAATTAGTTCAAGATAATAAAAATTATGATATTTTAAAATATATTGAATTCCATTTACATATTTTTTCAGATGATATTTCAGATATGGGCTTTCCTTTTGATTTTTTGCAAATGTAGCCAAATATTTGAAGTAGATAGCGTTTGAATTCTTGATGATATGAACTTTAAGCAAGCTCTAAAACTGCAAAAAAATATTTTAGTTGAATTTTTTGCTCCATGGTGTGAGCATAGCAAAAAATTAGCTCCAGAGTATTCCAAGGCAGCTTTTACATTAAAATCCAGAAATCCGCCAGTGTATATAGCAAAAGTTGATGCCACTGCTAATCCTATAATTACAGAAATATATGGTGTAACTGGGTATCCTACACTTAAATTGATATCAGAAGAAGGATCAATTAATTATTCATAATTTCTTAGAATTCCAGCAAATTGTGAAAAGTTCCAAAGTATCAGTAGTTTTATTTACCAAACTAAAAGCTCCCGAATACTTTATTGCTGTGTCCAAGCGTTTTGACGACGTTTTATTTATTGTCTCAACAAATCATAGCTCATTTTCTCAATATTCAGTAAAAGATGGAAATGTTATCATGCTTAAGCAGTATGATGACAAAATTGTTCAATATTTAGAAACTAGATCTACGTCCCAGCTAACAAGATGGATCGAAAAAAACAAAACACCTTGGACCCAGCCTTATAATAATGATGTATCTTATTACATTTTCCAAGAAAAACACCCTGCTTTATTCTTTTTTAGATATGAAGCAGACGCTTTGAAATATAATGAGACTTATCAAAACTTAGCAAAAGAGCATAAGCAGGAATTAGTTTTTACACATGCTGATTTATCATGACCAAAATATAGAAAAATTGGCGAGTTTTTTGGGGTTTCTAGATATCAAATGCCAACATTTATGATAATAGATCATAAAGGAGGAGAAATTAACAAATATTTCTATTCTAAAGATGTAAAAGAAAGCGATGCGGAGGATTTTATTTCTTTATAGAAGTTAATAATGATGCTTAATAAATGAATAAATCTAATCCTTCAAAGAAAATGTTTATGAAAAAAAAAAGAAATAGATTGATTATAAATTGAAATAGGATATATTAAAATGAAAAAATGGAGAAATTAAGCCTTATATAAAATCTGAGCCAATTTTAGAGCAGCCAACCGAAGAATTAGTAAAAACAATCGTTGCTCAAAACTTCGAAGAAGTTGTTCTCAAATCAGATAAAGATCTGTTAGTCCTATTCTATGCACCGTTTTCTGCCAATTGCAAAAACCTTTTATACTTTTTACCTTGAATAGCCCAGATTTCGAGCAAACCAAACCGATTTTAATGCATGAAAATCTCAATTTGCCTTATATGGGGGAAAGCAAATCAAGTTAGCTAACAAATATTCTAACATTTTTTAACTGTAATAAAGCTTTTCTTTTATATTATTGATAGTATTTAAATTTAGAGTTATTTGGTTCCCTTAAAATGTTAAAGAACTAAAATATGAAGTTAGAAAATGTATGATCAGTAACAAAATTCAAATAAATAAGGAACTTATCAGATTTTTTCAGAAAACTGTTCAAAATAAAAAATTCATATCGGTGAATCTTAATGCTATTTTGCCTATGACCTAAGCATGGGTAGAGATAGATGCATGATTTTCACCTAATATTCTGCATGCGAGGAGATTTCATGATTGTAAGCTTGAATCAAATATTTTAAGTAAAAATTGATAAGTAGTCTAAAAGTAGGTTTCAGGATGTAGACTTTTTGGAATTCTTCTGACTCCATCTTTAATTTCAATTCAAGATCTTTAGGCATGATCTAAATCATGGGTTTCGATCCACATATAATATTCCTTAATTTTTTGATTTAATTAGTGTGAGCATAGATCACGTATTTTAGTAAAATTTATTCTTGTAATAGCTAATTGTTTGCATACGAGTTTATCTCATGAATTCAAACTCAAATCATGCACTTTAGAAAAAATTGATTAGTAGTAAACACAGTGTGTGTCAAACAATTCAATTTTAATGTTTATCCAATTTCATCTTTAATTGAATTAAAGACGGAACCCTACGAACTCGAAAAGAATACCGACTTTTAACCTATCGTTGATTTTTACTAAAATTAAGCTATTTAAGTTCTTACTAGTTGAAGCTCGTCATATGTAATCAAAAGTGCATCATTAAAAGCTTTTCAGCTGCTTCATTTTTTTCTGACAAATTTATCAGAATTCTGATCAGCGATTTGAAAAGTCTTTTTTCATATGTCTTCTCAGATTTGACTCCTTAAAATCAATTTAAAGAGCCAAAAGACTTCCAATAACCAAGCTATTAATGCTATTAATTAATAACTTCTTATCTTATAAAATATTTGAACTACTCAGAAGACCTTGCTAATTGTTTTTCCCATAAAGAAGCAAAATGAGGCTTTCATATTCTAAAAGATGTCTAGTTTACCCTAAAAATCATTCTTACCATGATATTCAAGATAATAAGTATACCTGATTATGAGCTAATTGCCTATACGTTCAGAAATGTTGGTGACATTGCTATACTGAAAATCGATGCTTATCACAACAGTGTAAAAGGTCATTTTGTGGAAGATTTTCCAACAATAAAATACTTCCCAGCCAATAATAAAAATGGAATTTTATTTCAAAATGATTTGAATTATGAAAGCATATTCCAATTTATCAAAGAGCACTCATCATTTAACTTTGGATCTAAAAACGTAAAATTCGACCTTTAATTTATTATAGAAATTCCTTTTCAATTTGCTGCTAATTAAATAGACTAAGTTTTATATAGCTTTCTCTGTGAAATTCTAATAATTAAATTCACATTCTTATTTATGATTTATTTTCCATACTAGTCTCTCTCTTCTCTTCTTTTTCTTGCTTCAGTGCTTTATGTGAATCTCTTTGCTGCTTAAACTTCCCTGATGGCAGAGGAGGCTTAGAAATTGTCTGAGACTGCGAATGAGAAAGAGAAGATTTTGGCTTCTCAGATTCCATGGAAAAATTCAAAGGTTTCAACTCACCTTTATTAGTAAACCCTCTTTCTTTCATATTTTTTATTAGTTCTTGTTCTTCTCTCGCCCTTCTCATCCTATTCACTGTTTCTGCTACCCCTTTCTTTTCTAATAAATCAGCACTTTCATTTAAAATCGGCTTTTCAAGTTTAGGAGTAAATGTGCATTCCGCTTGAGCTTTTTCTATCTCAAGCTCTTCTGCAGTTCTTGCAAGTTTTTCTTTTCTTTTTCTTTCAATTTCTGATAAGTTATATAAGGCAACTGAGCGATGCACATTTGGATCTTCACTTATTTTTTTATATTCCTCAGAAAGTGTATCCTTTGGGTTTTTTTCTGCCATTTTGTAAGCTGGTTTTTTGTTAATTGAAGGCTTAAATGTGCATTCTTTTCGGTTTTCATGTTCGTATTCTTTTTTAAGCTTGTTTATTTTTTCATCAACTTTTTGCTTTTCTGAGATCAAATAGTCTTCATGGCTTTTATTGGTGCCTAAACTTTCAGTCCTGCGTAGTTTTACGCCATCAGCCATTTTCGAACTGTCTTTATTTATAATTTTTGTGGGAGAATTTAATAAAAAAAACAATTTATTTAAATAGTGAATTATGATTAATAAATTTTTGTGCATATTCTTTTTAAGTGGTTATATTTGTGGACGAAAAGTATATTCCACTCTATTTTTGTATGTAGGATTTATATTGGAATGATGTGTTTGATTGGTTCTGTTTTCATAGAACATATAAAATACTCTATGAAGCTTGGCTACTTCATCTTCTAATAGAGCGAATTCTCCATCTACAAGCCTTCCTATTGAGCTTGTGACAGATGAAGATTGATCAATAGAAGCACTCATTTCAGGATGGTAATAATTCATTATTCCCATAATAAAAATTTCAAGGTTTTTCCTATTCTCATTAAATCAAATATGTAAGGCTGGCTAATTAAATGGTATTTTTGATATATTCCCATTAAAATGGATACTTGCAAATCCGCTATCACCGCCTAAAAGCTTTCACATTTTTATCACAAGCTCCTTTTCTTCAGAATTTTTATTGTTTTCAGGTTTATTTTTGATTAAGAAAAGTTTTTCTAATAATTGAACAGTATTGGAGTAGTTCAATTTATCTTCATTTTCAGGATCAAGGAATGTAAAGGCTTCTTGCATTTCTTTTTTAAGCTTTGCAATTAAAACTTGTTCAGATTTGCTGCTTATGAATTTTTCTTTTGGAGGACTTGGGGCTTCTTGCTCTTTGTGAATTCTTCTTACAGCATCATCATATAAAATTTTGTCTATTGAGCCAGATCTTTTAAGTCCTTTGGATTTTGTATTGACAGTTGGTTTAAACTGGGATTTTTCAATTTTCTCTTGTTCTTCTAAAATTTTCTTGACCTGTTTACTGTTTTCAGTCTTTTTCATTTTGAATATAATAATATTTTTAACTAGGGATATCAGTGCTAACATTTAAATTGGTATTTGTTTTTATTAAAAATAGTTTTCATGTATCAGTGATTTTATAAAATTTAATATAAAAAGAATAATTTCTCATGAACAGGTTCATTGCTCTCCCCCTTTTTCGCAAGAATTTGCAATGATTTTTCACAAATAGATGGCTGGAAGCTTTGCTCAGTTAAACTTTGTGATTTTATGTTTTCTTCTCTCTTTGCATTTAATTTATCTTGCTTCTTTTTTTCATAATTTTGCATTTCACTTATAAACTCGTCTACAGTTCTTTTATTGCCATCTGCATTGACAGAGGGCTTAAATGTGCATTCTTTAAATTCCTCTTGATGTATATCTTTAGCAATTTTATCAACCTTTTCTTTGACTTTTTCTTGATATTTATAAAATCTCTCTTCAACATCAATATATCATATTTTATTACTCGATTTTAGCAATTTTATTTTACTTGAGATATATTCTATCCAAACCTCCCTTTTATTAAAATTTTTTTATTAAAAAAATAATCGAGATTTCATATTTTCTTTATGTTCAGATTTTGGAGCCATAATATCGCCAAAGTCAAGCTCTGACTCCCCCCCTTTAAATTGGAACAAAAAATTTTGTTCCAATTTAAAGGGGGGTTAATTTTTTTTTTTTAAAAACAAAATCAATATAAAATATTTTATAAAAAACAATTCAAAAACTTATCGAATTAGATCAATAAATTTGTTTAATAAAATGCTATTTACTCTTTATCCTTTAAAACAAAGCAAGATATAACTAAATTTTTAATATTAGTTAATACGCCACTATTAATCGTATCAAAATTATTACACAAAAATTATTATTTTTATTGATAAAAAAAAAAATTAAAAAAAAAAAAAATTTAGAAAATTTATCGATCAAAGTGCTAATTTTGTTTAAATGAGATGTTATTTATACTCTATTCTTTAAAATAAAGCAAGAAATAAGTAAGTTTTGAAATTTTATAAAGAATTCGCATTGAATTTTTATATCAAAACTATTTAAATAAAAAATATCATTTTTATTAAAAAAAATAAAAATTTTTTTTGAAAAACTTTTAAAAAAAAAAATTAAATGTTTTTCTAAATTTAGCAATTAAGGATAATAAATTTATTTAAATAAGATGCTCTTTATACTCTCTTCTTTATACAAGAGCAAGCTATAACTAAATTTTTAATTTTAGTTAAGAAGAAGCATTTAGCTTATATCAAAACTTTTTATATAAAAATTATATATAATTTTTTATTATAAAATTAAATTTTGTTCCAATTTAAAGGGGTTAATTTACCAAAAAGTGGAAATTTTACCATATTTTGTTCCAATTTAAAGAGGGGGGGGAGTGAGTGAGAAAAAGATTTTTCTATTTTTTTTACAACTTCTTTACTTTTTTCAGTGCTATTAGCCTTTGTGTGGGCTGAGGATTTTAAATCGGCTGAATGGTTTGTTTGTTTTTTAGAATCAAGCTGTATGTTTTGCTTAGGGGCAGGGTTTGGAGTTGGAAGCTTGGTTGGTTGAGGGATCTTCGAAGCTTCTTTTGCAGTTTCTTTATTTTCAGGTGGATTAGGCTTTGCTGGCGGGTTTTTCTCGCTTTCGCTTCCACTCTCATCTTCATCGAAATCTTCATCGCTACTTTCAGGAGTCTTTTCTTTAGTAGCTGGCTTTATATTCTGGGGTTCTATAACAGATACTTGAATGCTATAGAAATTGCCCGAGGATGGCGCTATATTGCGCCATCCTCGGGCAATTGGAGACACGGCTCCACACGGGAATTGTGTTCCACGTGTGGAGCCATTTTTCCACGTGGGAAAATGTGGATTCCACACGTGGAAAAATGTGGATTCCACACGTGGAAAAATGGCTCCGCACGTGGAATACGGTTCCCGTGTGGAGCCAATTTTCGCTTGCCCTAGGATGGCGCCATATAGCGCCATCCTAGGGCAAATCCTATACCTACTGCTGTTCCTTCTTCAACGTCCATATCGAAATCGCTGTCTTCGTCGCTCATTGAATCACTTTGCATTTTTAATTATAACCAATATCAATTAATTTAAATGTCATTTTTGAATTTAATTGCTTAAAAGCATTTTTAAATTATATATAAGCGTTTTTCGTATTATTTAGGTCAATCCTATAGAAGAAGTGATAAAAGAAATTTTGCGAAATTTAAAAAGGAAAATTGTGCTATTATTTCTGATGAAAAGTAGAACTAGGAAAAATGAAATATTAGAGAGTGATAAGACCTAATTTAATGAGAATTTTTATTAGGAAAGTCTAAATGATAACATAATAATATAAAATTTGAATTAATGCTTGAGATATTGCGAAATAAATAAGGATATGCTTTTTAAATTAAATCCATCATATTTAAGCTTTAAAAAAATTTAAATTGTATAGGATATCTAATTTTTCTAAATATTCTGTTAATATCGGAATTCTCGTTTTATTAGCGTAAATTGAATTTTCAAATTTAATACCAAAAAGATATTAATATATAATCAATATTACTATTAATACTGAGTATTCAACTCTATGAAGAATTTAATAATCTAATTTTCCCATTCAGCTTTCTCTATTAAATTTTTTTCTAAAATAAATTTTCCTTCCTTATATTTCTGTTCTGGCTCGAGAGCCCACTCGTATTTTCATCCCAGCTTACAATCGCAATTTTTACAAAAAATATCACAACAACTATGCAGCCCTGTCCTCAGCATCCTTTCTTCTAATACTCCTGTATAAATATTGACAACTTTATTATAAAGATAAGCTTTTCCAGTTCCAGCCCAAAAATCCTTCGAAATAAGCTCCCTATTATTGGTCAAATGAGCTTTGCAACTTCCACACACATATAATTGATTGGAATCTAAGTATTCTAGATGTAGTTTTCCCATTTTTATAAAAGAAACCTCAATAACTTGCAGTCAGATGCTTTAAAGTATAAGCGGATTATTTAAATTTCTTATATTAAGAATCTATAATTTGATTATTTAGATTGGTAACGTAACTGATTTCTTATTATTAAGCTTCGCCAGAACATAGTAATAGAAGAAGTCTGCGTACAGAATTGATTGTATAATACCAGCGAATAGTGAAATATAAGAAATCTCTTCATTGTTCAAAAATCTAGAGATCCAGTTAATGATATAAAGTATATCTTAAGATAAAAACTTCATGATAGCAGTAGTAAATAATATAATAAATTATTTATATAAATATATTTTAAATCTGCTTACTCCCCCCCCTCCGTGAGTGAACAAAACCATTAGAAAAATCGCTATTTTTTGCCCAAAAACCCACCCTCCGTGAGTGAACAAAAATTTTTTTAATAGAAAAATTTTTTATGGAAAAAATTTTGATATATAAGTGATAATTAGTATAATGAAATTTAGAGATAATTCTATTTAATTTTATACGAATTGCTTTTTAAAACATAGATTTTACAAATTAAATTAATATTTGCTTTCCAATTTTTGCGAAGTGGGATTTTTTAAATTTCGAAAAAAAAATATTTTTTATAAAAATTTATATATAATTTTTTTCAAACAAAAAAAATTAACCCGCCTCCGTGAGTGAACAAAATTTTTTTGTTCACTCACGGAGGGGGGGAGTTAGAAAATTGGATATGCTTAATGGAAAGGAGATACTCGATAAGCTCCTAAACAAAAAACATAATGCGACTGTAAATTTTCAACTTCCCTCATCTTGCGTAGCATTTCTAGTTGTGGAATAAAAGCAACAGCTTCAAGGAATATCGAAAAACTCCATAATATTTCCATATGAGTAAACTCTGTATTGAAAAATAGTCCAAGGATGAAGCATGGGCCAAGAAGGCGTATCTTCACACGACGACTATTTCATAACGACTATTTTTTTTTGGCCTATTTTTTTTTTGGCCTATTTTTTTTTTAGGCCTATTTTTTTTGGCCTATTTTGTTGGCCTTTTTTTGACAATTTTTTAACTATTTTTTACTAATATTTGGGCATAATTCCATACTAATTGTTTTAATCTAATTTTTAATGTGTTTTAGACGATTTGACCAACGGAAAATGCACCCTTAACAGATTTCTTACTCCATGAATACTAATTCATTGCTTTTAAAATCTCGAGAATTTTAGATTTAATTAGGAGTTTTTCACTTAGTTTACTCAATATTAATCGCGTAAGGAAAGGCCTCTGTTTCTCAATAAGGTTTTAGTCCTCTCAGCAGCTTCATGAATGAGGCTAGGCAAAAAAATAGGCCAAAAAAAATAGGCCAAAAAAAATAGGCCAAAAAAAAATAGGCCAAAAAAAATAGTCGTTATGAAATAGTCGTCGGGTGAAGGAACCCCAAGAAGGTATTTCCAGTACTCAAAGTTGTCACCTCTGGAGTCATAAGTTTGCTTGTATATTTTAGCGAACCTCATCAGATATATACTTATTTATAAAAAATAAGTACTTTAAGGCTGTTGGCCAACTCTTTATTTTCTATAATAAGCATATTTTTAATTAATAGAAGGAATATTTTTTTAAACAAATGGGCTTATCAGATAGCCCGTTAAACATATAAAGGTTATTTTCATTAGTGTGTTGTAAGCTGACACGTAATATGTAAAGAGGTCCAAATATCGGGCAACAAATACAATGAAATATAACTCTTGGGTTTTGCATGATATTCCAACACAACTCTTGGTCTTTCTGATTCTGAAAGCCAAGATGAGGAGTGATGCTACATGCAACATATCGCCCATAATCCGGAAAAACATCTTTTATAAACCATTATAGCCCAAGCCTCCTCTAGGCTCGGCTATCCTGACTTCTCTCAAGTCCTCCAGACGATAAGCCCATTTATTATTGGAGATTTGCCATCTGAAGAGTTGGTAAACCAACTCCAAATTGATGTCGAGAGATATCGGGATAGCCTGAGCCAAAAGGAGGCTTGGGCTATAGCGATTATTAAAATTTTAGAAGCCTTTTAAAACACTATGGCAGGATTAATCGTTTACATTGTTATTTATACTTTTGAGGGATTTTAAATAGAAAATATAATATTGTATAGAGGAAATAGATAGCAATAAAATTAAATTAACTGAAAGAAAAAATCTTTAATTTTTAATTTTTTATAATTTAGTTTAGAAAATTTCTGCAATAAAAATTTCAAAGGTAATTTAGAATTAAGGCTTCTACTATGGCATGCACTTAGATCTAAATAAATTTTATTTTAATAAATTAAATCTATACAATTTTTAATTATTCAATTAGGAGATGAAACAATGCTATCATAAATTCGCCGTAATTTTATTAATTGAGCAAAGATATCTGTAAAATTTTTTATGCTATTAATTTTCATAATTTATTAAACAGTTATGGAGGACAGCAAAGTTGATAAATCTCTTACTCTTCAAGCTATGAAAAGAGACAAGAAACAAAGAGAATTTCGAGAATACCTTGCTGATAAAGGAATTGTGCTTGCAATGGTTAAATGTATTTTTTACCTTAGTTCTCTTAGCTCACGGAGGGGGTTAATTTTTTTTTTAAAAAAAAAATATATATAAACTTTATAGAATTTTTTTTTTCGAAATTTTAAAAAAATCCCACTTCGCAAAAATTGGAAAGCAAATATTAATTTAAAATTTAAGTTTAAGACGAAATTTCTTTAAAATTAAACAGAATTAGCTAGAGATTTCATTATATTAATTATCACTTATATATCAATTTTTTTTTCCATAAAACATTTTTCTATTAAAAAAATTTTTGTTCACTCACGGAGGGGTGGGTTTTTAGGCAAAAAAATAGGGATTTTTCTAATGGTTTTGTTCGCTCACTGAGGGGGAGTTAGCTTGAAGCAATCAGATAACCCACCAAATTCCCCTGCTGAATACATTCAGCAATACTTTGGTGTTTATAAAGATCCAATGTGGGACATCGTTGATAATATGAAAGCTGATATAGAAGGTATGAAAACTTCTATAGAAAATAAACTAAACGAAATTCAAAACCTCAAAAACGAAATTACCAAGGCAAAACGATCAAAACTTGTAAGAGAAACTTTTGCAGCGCTTGGCCCAGATGCTCAAGGTATTTTAAACTTTTAATGGAGAATAGTACAAAAAATATTAAATTATCTTTATCTTTTCTATGAAAATTAGGTATTAGCGGCTCAGAGTATTTTATATATTTTATTGAGAGAAATATCGACAAAAGTTTTAGTTCAAAAACTAAGTGGCCAGCCAAGGTTTGATACAGACTTAAAATTGAACCAAATGAACTTTGTCAATTTTATTATGGAGCATTTGATTTCTGGAGCAAATGAAGATGAAAAAGAAAGGTTCTGGACAATGTGCTTTTTACCGTTTAGAGAAATTGGAACTCTTGGAGAGGATGGGAAACCTAAGCCAGCTCCTTTTGTGGGAAGATTAGATGACCCTTCATATGTGCGTATTTTAGAAAAAATAAGATCCTATGTTCTTAAATAATCATTTGGCTTAGAAATTTAATATGATTTATTCAGAGCTAATATATTAACACTGCTCGTTAGGTTTTAATTCATTAGTAAATAAGAATAAGTCTTTAAAGTTTAATTAGTTCCAATTTAAAATATCTTTGCTAATTATGAGACTTCCTTACTGCTCTCATTATATTCCCATTATTTTTAATAAGTGTAGGCTTTAAGCTTGGATTACTGTAATTTCTAATATGTTTTGTCTGATTGATGACCCTTTTAATTTTATCGTGATATTTTTCAATATTCTCTGTCTCCTCAATCAAATTTTGTCTAGATGTTTCAATAAATTTGCTTATTGGTGTAATTTCAGGCATACTTGTGCTTCTATACATAAATCTCCTGCTTGATATTTTTTCATCAATACTTGAATCTTTTAGCTCGTCCATCATTTTTTCATTATTTTTCTCAAAATTTGTCTCTTCTCTTTCAAAAACTCTAGGCAGCTTTATTCCTTTAATCCTTATTTTTTCTAATTTTTTGGCCAATTCTTTAGATTGTATTGATTTATTCCAAGACTCAGTCAACATTTCTTTATGAAACTTTTTCGTCTCTAGCATTCTTATTTTTTGATTATCTAGCTCATTATTTGCATCAGAAATAATTTTATTCTCTAATTTTAGATTTTCCTGCTTCTGATACTCATGATTTTTTGCTTGGAATTCCATTTGCTCGTCGAGATCTTTTTTAAAGTATTTTTGTAAAGACAGTTCTCGTTTTCTTTTTTCTTTTTTAGGTGTTTCAGGGATGTTTGGGTATCCGTGGAAATTTTCAGAGATCCCTGGCTTTAAAAATTCAAGTTTTAAACATTTTTGCTTGGCTTCTTTTTCTTCAATTTGTCGCTGCAAAAATGCAGCGTGTTGTTTTTTCCGTTTAAGTCTTTCGGCTTGTTTAAGTTTATCTTTTTCAACTTCATCCTGAAGATATTTTAAATGTTCATGAATATTTTCCTTTAAAAAAGGCTTTCGATATTATTAATTAATAATTATTTGGTTTAAGTTTCTAGTATTATTCTTATTTGCTTGGTGTATTTTTTTAAAATTAATTTCTTTGAGTTCTTGCTCGTGGATGCTTCTGTTAAGCTCATTTAACAATTTTTGATATGCTAAATTGTGACTTGAATCGCTTGGACTGATTGAAAGTCTTGGCCGTGACGTAGATATTGATGGAAGAGTATATAGAAATTTCCCATAGATGGCGCTGTTTGCCCTTGATTTGCCCATGAGAAAAATTTTTTGGTTTTGACCAAACCATATGGGACTGGTCGAACCAAAAAATTTCTCCAGTGGGCAAATCAAGGGCAAACAGCGCCATCTATGGGAAATTTCTTTAGTCGCTTTTTGGAATTTCGTTAAATTTTAGGAGTTCTTCTTTGATCATAACGCTTAAGTTTTGAGATGCGAAATTAATAGTAAATGGTGTTGAAATATTATTTTTAGATATTGGGTATTTAGGTATATGAGATATCACTTGGGAAATTAAAAGAAATGAACTACAGGGTAAAATATTCTAAAAACAAAATATTTAGTGAAATGGACAAAATTTGAGAAGAAAATATATCTAAATATAAATTAATATTTAAAATATTGGGAATTCTGAATGCTTTTTCATATTCTTATGCAATGGATTTTAAACATTTTTTCATAAAGCTTTAAATAACCTTCAGCCATTATTTCGATTTAAAATTGTTATTCTCAAAATCCACATTAATTTATTTTCCTGACTGTTCAATCTAAATTATTTTTAGCCTACCATTTTATTAATATATGTTAAAGCTCTCAAAAGAATTTACCAAAAATATACTTCAACGTCAATTTTCTAAATCTATCGGAATTGATTTAGGTACAACCAATTCTTGTGTATCAGTCCTTGAAGGTGGACAACCTAAAGTCATAGAAAACTCAGAAGGTATAATTCGATCTATCATATAGTCCACAAAATATTTATCTATCAAATTAATAGAATTTTCAAGGTAAATAAATATATGAGAACTACCCCCTCTGTTGTTGCATTTACATCAGAAGGAGAAAGGCTTGTTGGCATCTCAGCTAAAAGGCAAGCAGTCACAAACCCTGAAAACACTGTTTACGCTACTAAAAGATTAATAGGAAGAAGATTCGATGATCCTCTTGTCCAAAAATCTATGAAAACCCTCGGGTATAAAATCGTCAGAGCTACAAATGGAGATGCATGAGTAGAAGCTGGAGGTAAAAAATATTCCCCAAGCCAAATCGGAGCTTTTGTGTTAATGAAAATGAAAGAGACTGCAGAAGGCTATTTATTCCCCTTCCCACTTTAAATTAGATTGGAACACAAAATTCTGTTCCAATTTAAAAGGGGTTTAAAAAAGAGATATTAAATTTTTCTTAAAAAACAATTTTATAAAAATTAAAAAATAAATTGAACAACATTTTGAATTTTTATTAAAATTTAAATCGATTCAGAGTGAAAACTGTTTAAATAATACTAAATGCACTTTTTTAATTAAATTTGGCCAAATTTTCATCTATAAAATTTTCCTATTGAAAAAAAGAATTTGCTACAATTTAAATGGGGGTTAAAGTACCCAAAAAATGGGGGAAAGGGAAGTTAGGTGAAAAAGTAGAAAAAGGAGTCGTCACAGTGCCAGCTTATTTTAATGATTCACAAAGGCAAGCTACAAAAGATGCAGGGCAGATCGCAGGCTTGCAAGTGGAACGAATTATCAATGAGCCAACAGCTGCTGCCTTGGCATATGGATTGGATAAAAATGAAGGAAAAATTATATTCTATACTGGATTGAGACTAATATTTTCTGTTAAGTGATAAATATCTCTATAGCCCTTTTTTTAAATTTAATTATTTATATTTCTAGAATCTTTAATTTGCTTCAACTAAATATAGTATAGCTGTTTTTGATTTAGGTGGAGGAACCTTTGATATTTCCATACTTGAAATTTCGCAAGGAGTATTTGAAGTGAAAGCTACAAATGGGGATACCATGCTTGGAGGGGAAGATTATGACCACACAGTGCAGTCCTATATTATAGATGAATTTAAAAAGGAGACAGGAATTGATTTAAAATTCGATAAAACTGCACTCCAAAGAATTAGAGAGGCTGCAGAAAAAGCAAGGGTTGAACTATCTTCAAGCACTCAATCAGAAATAAAAGAACCATATATAACTGCGGATAAAACTGGTCCGAAGCATTTAAATTTGAAAATATCACGAGCTATCCTTTCAGTATTGATATTGCAATTTAAAATAATATAGCTATTTCGAGAAATCAATTATTTGCATCAGCATTAATATGATATTTTTTGGGGAGTAAAGCACTATCTGTGATTCTTTATGTGCTTAGATCTTTAAATAGGCATATAAATATTGCTATCTATTATTAAAAAATGATATTATTAATATAAATCAGCATAAATTAGAGCAGCTGACTGATAACTTGCTAGATAGGACAAAAAAGCCTTGCGAGCAGTGCATGAAAGACGCGAATCTTAATAAAAATCAAATCCAAGAAGTTTTGCTAGTAGGCGGGATGACAAGAATGCCAAAGGTGCAAGAATTTGTAAGGAGTTTTTATGGAAAAACTCCTAATAAAAGTGTAAACCCAGATGAAGCTGTAGCTATGGGTGCTGCAATCCAGCAGGCATACATTAAAATGAAGTTCTGAACCAACTCATCCTCTTAGATCCTGTAGCTGGCATCCCACAGAGTGCGCAGGGACTTTGAGGAAGGGAGGATGGCATTAAGGAATTTGCATCCGGCAAGGTTTTTCTTGGTATGGTGAAGCACAATATCGGGCTAGCCGACAGCATGCTTTGCTCCAATGCCAAGTTTTTTTTGCCGAAGAGGGGAATGGAGCTGAGAGTTGTAAAGGAATCTTCCAACATAGCCAGAAGTATTTTCTTGGCCATCGAGACTGTTTCTAGCGTGAAATCAGGAGCTATGCTCTGGGGCTTCGGATTTCCATTCTTGCCAAGAGTCGATCAGAAAATTCGACATTATGATTTTACATGGTGGGCAACTTTGATGACGTACAGCACGGTGACACAACTCATCCAACTACAGGGAGAAAGTGCAGACCCTTTTCGGGCAGGAGCATCTTTTAATTTCGTGCACTAACTGGCGAGCAGGCGAAGGGGGCCTTATGGGTGGAGTTAGTCCTTCTGGAATTACAGTGAACTTCTCTATAATTCCAATAAACGTAAAACGCAATCCAAGCAGGCGTTCTACAAGGCGAGATGGGTGGAATCGTCCTTCTAGATGTGACTCCTCTTTCACTAGGCATAGAAACACTTGGTGGTATATTCACCAGAATCATCAACAGAAACACCACAATTCCAACCAGAAAATCTCAAGTTTTTTCTACTGCAGCAGATAGCCAAACAACAGTCACTATAAAAGTATTGCAAGGTGAAAGAGAAATGGCCAACGACAATAAACTGCTAGGCAATTTTGATTTAACCGGAATACCTCCAGCCCCAAGAGGAATGCCTCAAATAGAAGTTACCTTTGATATAGACGCAAATGGGCTTGTCCATGTATTAGCTAAGGATAAAGCTACAGGAAAAGACCAAAGCATTACAGTTCAGTCTTCTGGAGGACTAAGCAAAGCTGATATAGAAAAAATGGTAAAAGAGGCTGAAAGGCTAAGGGCTGAAGATGAAAAAAAGAGAAATTTAATTGATATAAGGAATGAAGCTGATAATACTATCTATAATATAGAGAAAACTATGCATGAGCACCAAGATAAAATTGCTGAAAATGTGAAAAACGATATAAACCAAGCGATTTCAGAATTAAAAGAAAAATTGCAACAGGATGATGCAGATGAAATAAGGAGAGGAATTGATAGAATTAAAGAATTATCATTAGAAATAGGAAAAGCTATTTATCAAGGAAGTGGACAACAACAGCAGCAAGCGCCAGAGGAAAATCAAGAAGGCGATAGCAGTAAAAATGCCTAGACATATTTAATTTTAAATAAAATCAAAAATAAAAAAATTGTTTTTGTTTATTCTTTATCATAGCTTGCTAATTGCAAAATTTTATTTTATTTTTTTCCTATTTTTTGGCTTATCCTTTAAATATCTGTTTAAGTATTTCTTTTGAGTTTCCAGCTCTTGTCAATTCTTCTAGCTTGCTATGAGCCCAGGAAAAGAGTTTTAAAACTTCCTGTATCCTATATGAAGATCTTGTTGTATTATTTTCTAGATTAATCGGGTCAATTGTAACTGTGATTTCATAATTGTTTTCTTGCAGGCTGTAAAATGCGCTAAATAAAATTTACCCTCCGTTGATGACATTAATTCCTGTTTTCTTTGGATCGAATTTATGCAATTTAAATTAAATTATTATTTTTTTAATTTATAAATTTTTGTTTTTTTAATTTAGCTTTCTTAGTGTATTTCCAAAGAAATCGAGAAATCCTAGCAAAGTTTCCCCTAAATCTTCTTTCAACCCTGAGCTATTCATATATGCAGCAATCCACAGCGTCAAACTATAAGAACTCAAACCTCCTGAATATTAGTTTACCATGATAAAGTGAGTTTAATGAATGGGAATATAGCAATTTCTTCAAAACAAGCGCAATTTCTCTGAAATGTGGATAATTTCCTACAAGACTTTGTGTCATCATAAGTGAAGACAGCCCTAAATGAGTCCCCATATTTGTATCATAGGAATCATCAAAAGTGACATCGACCATTATTCTCCCTTCTTCTTGGTCTTCGCATAAATATTTAGGGTTTACTTCAAGTTTTACAACTGGAATAGTCGCCGTTGTAATGGCTGTGCATTTAGAAACCCAAGGGGTATACATAAGAGATTCTCCAAGCTGTGCACATGCTTGCTGGATACTTGCTCTGTCAAATAAGCCTACATTTGTGATGGCTAGGTCAATATCGCTATCATCTAAGGCTAATCCACTTCCATATGACCCAAAAAGCTGAACAGTGGCAACTGGGAACATTTTTCATGCCCATTCATTGAGGTTATTCATTAAGGTATAAATGACTGGGGATTTCGCGTTGGTGAATTTTGTGATTTCTTTGCCGAATTTTATGATTTCTTGGTGGAGTTTGTGTTTTACTTTGGGGCTGATGCAAGAAGAAGTAAGAGGAGGGAACTCAATGTCGCTGGAAAGAGTGGCTGATTGAGCCGTGGTTGTTGGAGATTGCCATTGGAAATTCTTCTTAGGAGATTGCTGCTTGTTTTTGGGGGAAGATTTATTGTATTTGTTTTCGGAAGACTGACAATTAGGTTTTGTAGTATTAGGTCGCTTGTGGTTATTTTTTTTGTATTTTGGTTGCTGCTGTTTCTTAGCTTTTTTCTTATGGATTTCAACTCTTTTAAACTCTTCTTTTTGTGATTCATCCATGTGGGCCTCTTTGAATTCAAGAGGCTCATCGGTAACCTGTGTATCTTCTGAATCATTTGAAGCAGAATTCGAATTTAATTCAATTTTTTGGATTTGTGCGTATAAAGTCTCCATAATATTTTCCAAAAGATTTTTCACTACTTCAGATTCTTCGTCTTCTCTATCACTTTTCTCAGCCTTTTCTGCTTGCTCTGTTTGCTCTATTGTCTGAGCATTTTGCTGCTGCTTAGCCTTATTATGTTTTTTCTTTTTTTTCTTTTTCTTCTTGTTTTCATCACTTTTTTTCCCTTTGACTGTTTGGTTTTCTTCTAATTTAAGCAAATCTTCAGCATTTTTTTCTGTTAAAGCACTTTTTATGCGAAGCAAAACTTTTCTTGTGACGATGTCTAGATAAGTGACAGCTCTGTCAAGAGGTGAACTTGATAAAAATTCAATAAATTTCTCTGGAGTGTCTGACTGAAGCTTTTGAATAATAATTTCTACGCTTTTAGCAGTTTGATAGTACTGGATTTTATTTCTCAATGCATTTATATGAAATCCTCCCATAAGAGGATTGCAATATGCAAAAATCCCAGTTGCCATTGAATTAAAATATGGGAATCTTGCAATCTGCGGATAAGCCCACGTATTAATTTGGTCTTTGCTTAAATTAGCTAGCTCTGATTTTACTGCAACAAAAATTTTTGTAAGCTCATCTATTTCCCCTACAACAGAAAATTTAGTTTTGTCATTTAGCTGCCCAATAAACTCAGTAAGTCTCAGTTGATTTTGCTGGCTGTCTTCTCCTACAGCTTCCTCAGCAACAAAATTTTGGGTTTCTCCTTGTTTTCTAGGATCAAGGCCATTAAGCATCCAATATTTCATTCAAATTGCCCTTTCAAAGCCCGCAGAAACCCACGATGCTAAAGAGTTATAAGAAGTGGAAGAAAACCAAGATGGATATTCCCACATTCATCTTTTCAAAGAGCTATCTCAAAAGCAGCGGCAAGGGACGATAAATGCTTGTTTATTTGATATAGACTTAATAAGATCGATTAGTTTTTCTGGGTATTTGGCCATTTCTGGGTCTACAGTCAGAGTGTCTAAATATTCTTCTGTGTCCGTAAGCCGAATAATCTGTTCGAAATTTTTTTCAGCCTGGAATTTTGGATCTGTATATGAATAGCCTTCAAATGGTTTTCTGCGAAACAAAAAATGATCTTCTGTGATTTCTTGATCATATTGTTTTGGTATATTATCAACCATTGCAAATTCATAATCTCCTTCGGTGAGCTTTTTTATATACATTTGACGGATAAAAGTAGAAGTGAAGCTATTTTGAAGAGAAAGAACATTAAGTCTAGATGGGACAGCCAGTGAGCAAAATCATGATAGCATGCAGGCAGATAGCTCTAAATCGTCTTCAGACTGGCTTGCAGATTTGCTTATTTCTAAAAGGTGGCTTTTCTTTATTCGCCTTTTTCTTGAAATTTGTGAAGGGGCTGTGGAATTTATGTGTAAGCTGTCAGATAAGGCCTTGATGATGGAATTTGTATCTGGGCTATACATAGTCACCATTAATTTTACCAATATTCACTTCTAGACGTGAAAGATTATTCTTATATTGTTGGAATCTGGGTAGCTGGTGGATGATAAATAAGTTAGATAAAAAGGATTAATATTATGAAAGTCTCGGATAAATTTTTATCATGTGGGTCGTTTCTTATAGAGGGAAGTTTAGTATTTGAATATAAATAATTCAGATTTGGCAGTAATTATGGTTGCTTATTTTGTCTAAGAACTTTTTAAATAAAGAAAATTTGTTTTTGATATTTATGGAGATTTTTCTTAACTATCTGATCACCTCCAAAATGTGTGATTTAAAAACATTGTTTTTCAAGATTTTTTAAAACAGAAAATTAAGTCATTAGACAAATGCTTTGAATATATTCGCTTCCTAAGCAATTAATTCAATGTTGTTGGCTTCATTAAAATCCACATTTAATCTAAAATCAAGAATTGCTTAGCAATAACGATCATTATATCGCAGATATAGAAAATTTTGAACTAGGCATTTCTAGCTATGAAAAGTTATATGAAAATTAATCCTTAAAGATTGCTTCTGTATATAACTATACAAAATAGCTTGATTGACATGAAGAATAGTTTAATTTGAAGCATATCATAATCATATGAGTTTGATTTAATATATACATCATATATTTTTAATTACTAGATTAAGCTAATCCAATATAACTCTATGCCAATCTAAAGTAGGAATTCCTTTGAATTTTGAAGGACCATACACATCTGATAACTTCGTTGTTCCAGTCTTAGTCGGAGTCGGCAATAAATCTCCAGACAAAAGTTTGTAAAGTTGAACATAATGACTAGGGTAAATTAAGTCCCCAAATTTGCTGCAAGACCCTAAATAGCTTGACATTCTATGCCCAAACCCTTCATGTGATGGCTCATTTACATTTGCATATTTACTTACTCCCCCCCCTCCGTGAGCGAACAAAAAAATTTTGTTCGCTCACGGAGGGGGGTTTAATTTTTTTTTAAAAAAAAATTTATATATAAATTTTTATAAAAAATTTTTTTTCGAAATTTAAAAAAATCCCTAATTTGCAAAAATTGGGAAGCAAATATTAATTTAATTTGCAAAATTTATGTTTTAAAACGCAATTTGTTTAAAATTAAACAGAATTAGCTCTAGATTTCATTATACTAATTATCACTTATATATCAAAATTTTTTTCCATTAAAATTTTTTCTATTAAAAAAAATTTTTGTTCACTCACGGAGGGTGGGTTTTTTTGGTCAAAAAATGGCGATTTTTCTAATGGTTTTGTTCGCTCACGGAGGGGGGGGGGGAGTTAGTGTTTCAACAATTTCTTTCCAGGTCATTACTTCAGGTCCTGCCAATTCTGCAGCTTCTCCTGCTTTAAGTTCTTTAAATGCTTTCAGCACATCAGCTTCATGAACTGGCTGGAATTTGCTGGATCCTTCTTTTGCTGTCACAATTGTCTGTGAGTTAGCTAGTGATTCAAGCGCTTTATGAATCACTAAGGATGTGCAGTTCTCTCCAAATATTAAATTGGTTCTCAAAATAGAAAATTCAGGTATCAGCAGTCTAACCTTATTAATAGTTTCTTGAATCAAAGCTTCTGGATTGCCATCAAGATCATTTAATTGGTCAAGTTCATGAGGCCCAACCCATATGAATTTTTTGATTCCTGCATTTTTTGCATAACCTGCAGCTTTTTCAAGATAAAAGTTTTTCCCAAAAGCTAATTTAAAATAGTCATGAGTGACCACAATTACATCTTTAGAGCCTTCAATGCACTGACGGAGATTTAATGAATAATGAAGTGGATGTTTTGTTATCTTGTCACCAATTTCTTCTTGCAGAGCATAAACTGATTTGCGGTAAGGGTACATATCAGCAAGACGTATTTCAGAATATTCTCCTGCTAAGGCTCGGATAAGATATCTTCCTAACTCCCCCCCCCCCTCCGTGAGCGAACAAAACCATTAGAAAAATCGCCATTTTTTGACCAAAAACCCACCCTCCGTGAGTGAACAAAAATTTTTTTAATAGAAAAAATTTTTAATGGAAAAAATTTTGATATATAAGTGATAATTAGTATAATGAAATCTAGAGCTAATTCTGTTTAATTTTAAACAAATTGCGTTTTTAAAACATAAATTTTGCAAATTAAATTAATATTTGCTTCCCAATTTTTGCAAATTAGGATTTTTTTAAATTTCGAAAAAAATATTTTTTATAAAATTTATATATAAATTTTTTTAAAAAAAAAAATTAACCCCCCTCCGTGAGCGAACAAAATTTTTTTGTTCGCTCACGGAGGGGGGGGGGGAGTAAGAAGTTTGCTCCTCCAATCACTGTCAATGCCATTTTTATGGCTTTGAGGATTCTTATAAAAATTGAAAATTTAATTGTTCATGATCAGGCTATTATTCTATTGTGGAGGAGCTTTTTATTTTATGATTTTAATGAATAAAATATATACTAGCATTATGAGACTGCTTGGCTTTTACAATTAATTAATGCTAATTTAAATATCATAATAAGCGCATAATATAATTAAAGAAACAGTTTATCTGTATTTAATTAATTTTGATCCTAAAAGGAATAAGTTCTTATCAATTGAAAATGAATAGAGGAAAATTTGAAAATCCATTTTATTACACATGGTAATTAGAATTTATATCTATCCAAATGGCACATAGCTTTTTCCTCCAGGAGGGTTTTTCACCTTCACTGAGGTTTTCGTTGTCTTTTTCCTTTCTTCAGCTTTTCTCTCTTCACCAACTCTAAATCTTCTTAAAATTTCTTCCTCAGCTTTTTTTCTTTGATTGGTTTCGTCTAACTCCCCCCCCCCCCCTCCGTGAGCGAACAAAAAAATTTTGTTCGCTCACGGAGGGGGTTAATTTTTTTTTTTTAAAAAAAAATTTATATATAAATTTTATATAAAAAATATTTTTTTCGAAATTTAAAAAAATCCTAATTTGCAAAAATTGGGAAGCAAATATTAATTTAATTTGCAAAATTTATGTTTTAAAACGCAATTTTTTTTAAAATTTAAACAGAATTAGCTCTAGATTTCATTATACTAATTATCACTTATATATCAAAATTTTTTTCCATTAAAATTTTTTCTATTAAAAAATTTTTGTTCACTCACGGAGGGTGGGTTTTTGGTCAAAAAATGGCGATTTTTCTAATGGTTTTGTTCGCTCACGGAGGGGAGGGGGAGTAAGTTCTTTTTTTCTTCTTTGATAATTGGATTATTGCTAATAATATCAGTATTTCTTGTTTCTCTTCCCATTGATGGCGGCAGTACTCCTGCTGGAGTTTCGCCTCCTTTTTTAGTTTCTTCTACATGGATTATGCTATTTTCTTTACCTGTAGGCTTTGCAGAGGCATTGTTTTCATTGCTCCACCCAAATGCAAACGATGAACTTCCACCAGGCGGCTGTTTGACTTTTAATGACGCAAATTGAGCTTGGTAATTTTTCTCTGCTCTGTTCATTTTATAATTTAAATAATTTTCGAAAAATATATTTAAAATACTTATAGCTAGCAATAACCTAAATCGCTGATAGACCTAAAGAGCATTTTATGCATAAATAAAATAAATATTTCAAACAAAATATGAGAGAAATGTTATTTGTACCATCAATATGGAAATTCATACTGACCCAGTTAATGCCTCTCTCGACAATATCCCTACAGCTTCTGTGCTTTCAGAAAATCTTTGGTCTAAAAAATCAATCATAGAATCAGAAAATTCAAAAACTCCAAATCTAATAGAAAAATCTGGCTGACTTCAAAAGAAATCTTCCCATTTAATAAAAAGATGACAGTGAAGATTTTTCGTGCTTAAAGATCACAAACTATTATACTTTCACAGCCAGACCGAAAGATTGCCATCTGCTACAATAAATTTTAATCAAGTCACAATCAATATCCAAGTTTTAGAAACCAAAAATAGCCCAGAATTAATTTTAATACCACTGAACTCAAAAAGAATTTTTCACCTACGAGCTTCTTCAATGGATGAAATTTTGCCTTGGGCAACTGCAATAATTCAGCATATTGAGCATTCTAAAGGAAATTTACATACTTTATCCCATATCAGTTCACAAAAGAAGTTTTGAAGAATTGCTCGGATTTCACATCAAGAATTTTTAGATGAAGCAAGCAGTGGAGATATTTTATTATTTCAAAGCAAAAGTCTCCCATCTACAATTCAAAGAAAGCTTGTAGGGAGTAAATACGATCATGTTGCGTTAATTATAAACCTTAAAGGAACAATTATGATATTAGAAGCAACAAGGGTGCTAGGTGTAAATGTTCTTGTATGAGATGAATTTATTGATAAAAACTGGCACCTTTTATATTCAAAAATTGTTTATAGAAAACTATCTGTGGAAAATCCAGAAAAAGTCCATGACAAAATTGCTGAATTTTGTGATGAAGTCGTCGGTAAAAAATTTAGATTTAAATTAACAAAAAGAAGAAAAAAAAATAACGGGCAAGGACAAGAAGGCTTTTTTTGCTCGGAATTAGTAGCGGCAGCTTATCAAAGGATTGGAATAATGAAGAGCGATGTAATTCCGTCTTATTTTTGGCCTTCATATTTTGCGGATGATAAAAAGCTGCCTTTAATTGATTGTGCATTATCTCAGGAATTTATTATTGATTTTGATCTGTAGTTTTCCACAATGAGTAGAAGCTAATATTTATTTAAATATCCCTTTAGGATTTGATTCTCAGCATCTAGCACCGTTAAAAAATTTGTTTTATTTAGAGAAAATATTGATCTTATATTTTTTTTTTAATTAATCAATTATATTATTATAAAATATCTCATTAATTTATAAATAATCGCAATGTTCAATGTATTTTCGTATGATCAAAAATTAAAAGAAAGAACAGAAAAAGAAAAAGAAATTCAGAAAGCATATAAACTTAGACAAAGAAATTTAAAAATAAGGAAAAAGCTCAACGATAATTATGATCATAGAATCAGCCAATTTATTGTCAGTATGGTAAAAAATCCTATACAAATCAATGTTTATCAAAAACCCCTTGAAACGGCTGGACGAACAACAGATCCAGCTAAGTTTAAAGGTCACGCTCATCTTATACTAAAAGGCTATCAATCTGAAAGGCAAAGACTCGCCAATTCTATGAGGCATAACCAATTTTTAAGCTCAGTTCCATTAAATCTCTTACTTCTTTCCCATGTTTGCTTGATCAACGATGCAGTTTAAAAAAAAATATATAAAAAATTTAATATTAACCTAAATTTTTCAATCTAAATTTTTTTTATATGCTAGCCGAATGCAATGAAAGCAAATATGTTAGAAATCGAGTTGAAATTGCATATTATCGATTATACAGTAAAATGTCTAAGATTTATTACTATTAAAGATAGGTAACTAGATTTCAGATTGGGTTTTCTTTTTTTGCCGTCTAAAAAGCGTTTGATCAAGGATAGGGCTAATTTTCCAATTTCTAAGAAATTTTCAATTCTGTTGTTCGATCAAATATAGGAGGAATTAGAAAAATGGCGAGATAGAGATGAAGAGAAAGAGCTCAATGAAAGAATGTATTTTAAACCCAGAACTAATTTAGAAAGGGTTAAAGATGAGCTAATGACAAGGCATATAGATATCAGAGAAATAGGCGATGAATATAAAAATAAACCCAAGCCAAAGCTAGAGTTAAAAAAATCAGTTTCAAGTGAAGAAGAACAAAAAAATGAGAAAATTGAAGAGCTGGTAGGGCCAAAAGAAATATTTGCAAGTCTTCACTATAAAACCTATTTCAAAAGTGTAAAAAGCATCTTAACCACTAGAAGTTTGAATAGCTTGAGCAATAGTTCTCCAGAATTCGATCCTAGAATCATTAAGGAAATCAGAAAAGCAATGAAACCAAGTGATCTTAAACCTCAAGAACTCCCTATTTTAGCTGCTGAGTGCTTGAAGTCATGCGATGTACAGAAAGAACCTAAAGAAGGGTTTTTAAGAGCTGGGCAAGGGAAATTGGTAGGAAATCCTGAGATTTCTGTTTATGAGACATATGAACTTCTTAATCGAATTTCTAAATAATTTATAATTATTTAAAAATAGTTTTGACATATTGTTATAAATAAGCCAAAGATAAATTATGGGTAAACAGTTTAGATGATAATTTCGTATTAATAGACTAGCCCTTTTGAGATAATATGGAAGAAGCCTGCTCATATCCTGATTGTAAAGTATCTCCCACATTTAGGTGCAGATGCAGCAATAATTTATTTTGTGCAGCTCATATAGGTGAACACATGCTAAAGCCTGGCTTATTGCATCTCTCAGAGACTCTATATATAAATATTGATCCTGAGACTAAAAACCATCTTATATCAAAATTAAAAGAGATAACTTCAAGCCTCCTTAACATGGAAACACAACTATTTAGCACCACTAAAGCTATGATAAATTCAATAGAACAAATTACTTTGAAAAATCTAGCATTTATAAACGAATTGTATAGAAAATGTAACAAAATTATTTTATACTGTGAATCTGTGAATGGCATTAATAAAGCATGTGATATAGGGAAATTGGATTATTATTTAATTAAAAGGCCTGAAGAAATTATTTGTGAACTAGCTGACTGAGAAATCCCTAAAGTGACCATAAAGCTTGATGATTTTACTAAGACTATTGACGGCTTAATCAGTTATAGCTCAATTTCTACAATTTTGCAGGGAAATATTATTGAAGAAAAACTAGAAATTGAAGAAGTTTCAGGATCTTATCAAGGAGAGTTTTGCAATGGATATCGGCATGGAAATGGAACATTAATCACACCAAATAATGATAAATATGTGGGTAGCTGAGAATTAGGCCACCGATCTGGAAGAGGAATATGTACCTATGCAGATGGCAGTGAATATAATGGTGAATGGCAAAATGATCTAGAGCATGGCCAAGGCACAAAAACTTGGAAAAATGGAGATATTTACATTGGAGGTTTTAAAAATGGCTCAAGAGAAGGGCTTGGAGAGATGATCTATGATAGCAAAATGAAAAACTATAAAGGAGAATGAATAAATAACAGAAAAGAAGGAAAAGGAGTGCTTAAAGTCACTGATGACTATGAATATGAAGGAGAATGGGTTGATGATTTCCCAGATGGCTCAGGAATTAAAAAATGGATTAAATCCAAAAATGTTTATAAAGGAGAGTTTTGCTATGGAAATATGACTGGAAAAGGAATTATGAGCTATGGGAATGGAGATTACTATGAAGGAGACTGAAGAGATTCAATGAGACACGGAGAAACAGGGATCTTTGTATTTGAGGGTGGAGTTTATACAGGATCCTGAAATAATGATAAATGGCATGGAGAAGGAAAATTGGCACTCCCTGATAAAAGCTGTTATCAAGGATTGTTTAGAGAAGGGCTTAGAGATGGATACGGAACATTAGAAACAAATGAAGGATGCACATATCAAGGTAACTGAGTAAAAGATAAAAAGGAAGGTTTTGGAATATTAAATGACACAAAAACAGGAGAAAAGTACGAAGGAAAATGGGTGAATGATAAAATGCATGATATTAAAGCAAAAGTAATCATGCATGGTGGAATTATTTTAAAAGGAGAATATAAAGAAGGAAATAGAGTTGGTAAATGGGAAATAGACTATCCAAACGGAAAAAAGAAAATTATTCGAATGAAAGCCAAATAATCTGAAAAATTGTTAATATATAAATTCTAATTTTTATTCTAATTATACAGGCTTATTGAAGTACTCTTCCCCTGTGTCATTATGTGAACTCCTATTATAAGCTTCATTTAGCAGTGTATTTACCCCTTTTTCGTCAATTTCTCTCTTTTCTGCTGCCTTGGCCAATTTTTGCCAGTTTAGCTTTTCTTTTCCTTTTTGGAGAGTCTTCACAAAAAGTCGCCAATTTTTTGGAGAACTTTGATAAGGCTTCAGAGGTGTCAAAATATTCACAACATCATCGCATGATAATAATTTTTCTTGCAATCTATCAAGAATTTCAATTACTAGCTTGTAAAAGAACGTTCATTTTAACTCAAAAAATTTTCCAAAAATCCAGTGTGATTCTTCAATAGGGACGAGACTGGTAAAAAGAGTAAAACATCAATGTTTATTTAACTATGATAATTAATATAAACTTATAGGCAAGCTGACTATATATTTCATTGGCAAGCAATGCAAAACCATGCTGTAAAAACATTTATTTAATATCAAATTAAGCTTTTACCATTTTATTTTAGAAACATCAATCAGTTGCAAACATTTGAACTGATACTCCATTCTGAACAAAATGGCTATATAAGTTTGGAAGCTGTTCAATCATTAAGAAATCCAAAATATGACAATGCTTTGCAAGCCCTGGAAATCCAGTCAAAAAGCTTTCCCTTAAATCATAATCTTCAGTCAGCCCTACAAAGAGCCAGAATGCATCGATTTCATTTGAGTGCCAAAGAAGCGTCGCAGCGATGAAATTCATTCCTTGAACATAACCAATTGTTTGGTTGTATTTTGAAAACGCAGTTAGAAGCCTTTTTAGCACAACTTTCCCATCTCCTCCAGTAAAATACTCATTCTCAGGAAAGGTTCTATTGGCATCTAACTCAATTTGTCGAACTGATGAGTTTAGGCTGGGTGTTTCGAGTGAAATCTGGATCAACGTCGTATAAAGTTCTTTTCCGTTTTCAGGCATATTAAGGTGCTGAGTCCATTGTTTAGCAAATGGACACGAATCAACAATATCGGGATTGTAAGAGGATGAATTCAATTTTTTCTTACTCCCCCTTTAAATTGGAACAAAAAATTTTGTTCCAATTTAAAGGGGGGTTAAGAAAATTGTTTTCTTAAAAAAAATCAAATAAAAATTTTTTATAAAAAACAATATTATATAAAAATTTAAAACAAAACAATTTCAAAAATTTATCGAATTAGATTAATGATTTGTTTAATAAATGCTATTTACTCTTTATCCTTTAAAGCAAAGCAAGATATAACTGAATTTTTTTTTATTGTTAATACGCCACTATTAATTTTATCAAAACTATTTACACAAAAATTATTATTTTTCTTGATAAAAAAAATTTTGAAAATTTATCGATCAAAGTGCTAATTTTGTTTAAATAAGATGCTATTTACACTCAATGCTTTAAAATAAAGCAAGAAATAAGTAAATTTTCAATTTTTGTAAAGAATTTGCATTGAATTTATATCAAAATTATTAAAATAAAATAATATTATTTTTTATTTAAAAAAAATAAAAATTTTTCAAAAAAAAAATTTTAGCAATTAAGGATAATAAATTTATTTAAATAAGATGCTCTTTATACTTACTTCTTTAAGCAAAAGCAAGATATAACTAAATTTTTAATTTTAGCTACTAAGAATCATTTAATTTATATCAAAACTTTTTACATAAAAATTATGATTTTTATCTATAAATTTTTATTATAAAAATAAATTTTGTTCCAATTTAAAGAGGGTTAATTTACCAAAAAAATGGAAATTTTACCTATATTTTGTTCCAATTTAAAGGGGGGGAGTTAGAAAAAGTTTTCTGGCTAGCTTTGCAAGAGCATTGAGGATAATGAACCGGCTTTAAGTGGTCTGGCTCAGGAAAAGAAAACGTTGAATATTTGCTGAGAGTGTAGTCAGACTTTATGCCACTATAAGATGAAAGCTCAATATCTGGGTGGTCCATAATTTATTTAGATTTCGCATGCAATGGTTTAAATTAATTTCCTTTAAATTTAAAAATTATTATCAAAGCAAGATTCTACATCATTGGAATGACGGCTCTGCTTATTTTATTGTCATTTACAATAAATAATATTAAAAATTCAAATTTGATATGTTAAAAATCTTTGCATCAAAACAAAATTAAAAGAGCTCTGGAAAAAACAAAGCTAAGCTTACCTTAAAGATATAGGCTTTGTAGCAGCTTTTCCTGCTGAGCCAATTTGAATTTTCACTTATCATAATCCCGTCCATTTTGATTATAATTATTAGTCATATGCCCGTTTTTTCTTATCAGGCATTTATTTAATTCTCTATCTTATAAATACAATTTCTATTAAAAACCAATAAATATCATTAATTATTTCTTTATTTTCTTTGTAGAACCCCTTAGTGCTGATAGCGACAAAACTCCTCCAACTTCATGTCTTTTTCTCTTCAGATCAGTCATAGCTTTTCTTTTAGCTGCCAGCCTTGCACTTCTCCTCAAATAAGCTCCTTTTTCTAATTCTTTCTTATCTGTCTGAATTGCTATTGATTTTCTTTCAATTTTTGGGGTAGAGCAGTCTCAAACTTGGCTTCCATCATCTGAGCATGCTTGTGTATTACTTTCCAGTATCATTAAATCTTCAGCAACTGCTGATTTAATAGCAAAATCTGATTCTTCAGTCAAAACAAAGTGATCAGAATACTCTTCTTCATGCCTTTGCTTTTTGACTGAGTCTATCTTTAATTTCACTTCAGTTCAAGTCAAATCAGGGCACTCTTCCCCTGATTCTTGAATTTTCACCCTTCTTGCAGATCTTTTAATTTGTTCATCTAAACTCATTCCTGAGTATTCTATATTTCTAAATAAAGGGTCTTCAGATTTCAAAGGTGTATGGTTAATGCTCTCCTCAGCATTAATATTATCCTTATTTTCAGACTCTTGCTGAGAAAAATCCTTATTATGATTCCATACAATAGATCCAGGTGGGTGATTAGGAGGTGTAGGTGGCAATTCATATTCTTCGATAGGAAATTCCTGCATCTCTTTTGGCTCCAAACTTTCTAAAATTTGATCTATTGTGTAGGTATCCATGTTTTGGCGGCACAATTCATTTTGGCCAATAATTTGATTTGGGGAAGCTGAAGTAAGGCTTTTTGGGGAATCGACTTCTAGCACAGGTGACATTAAAGATCCTAAAACTTCTTCTTGTTGCGAAGTATGCTCATCAAAATCAATTGTTATTTTATTTTTTAAAAAATTGTCTGCACTAGAAGACCTTCGAAAACTTTTCAGGGTTGTTTGGATATACCCAGGAGAGCCTTGTAGATGGCTTGCTCGTTTAGTTTTTGGGGCTTTTTTCGCCTTTTTTGCCATAATGGAGATGCTGATTTTGTTCTTTTTGATAAAATCAACTTTTACAGTGTTTCCTTGGGATAAGCTGCGCAATTTCTTTGTATTCATAATTAATTAACTGAAAAATTAAATTTGTACGATTTAAAATACAAAGGACTTATTTAATAGGCAAGAATACTATAACGGAACAAAGGATATCAGTTAAGTTCTTTCAACACACCCAAATACTTTAGAAAACCAACTGGTTGTCTCTTTTCTTTTAGAAATCGGCCTGACATTTAATGATTTTCTGTCTTGAAATTTATTTAAATTTCCTCCTTCTATAGATCTATGCAGTTTGAATAAATTATATTAAATTAAGTGCGATAATTCTTTTAAATGTCAATTGCTCTATTACAAACACATTTATAAAATCGTTTTTAGAACCATAGGCATCTAATTATTATAAAAATGCATAATTCTTCTTCTTTAGCTCGCAGAGTCCTCGCACTTAAGTCAATATCATTTTTATCTAAAATTTTTTTCAAATCGAGCGACCCAATAGTCTGGGCTTTTCTATCAACAATTTTTGCAACATGAATTTTACTTTTTTTGGTTTTTGACGCCATAGCAACCTTCTTGTATCTCTCTTTAATTATATTTTTTTCATCTTCAGGGCTATTGAAGAGACCTCCTGCAGGATCTTCACCATCGTTCATATAGCAAATCCTAAAAAGATTATCAGAGCGCCTTATAGATCCTCTTGAAGCTTTTTCTAATAGTGATGGGGTAGATTCAGATTGTGATAAAATACTGAGTTTTCGGGAATTGTGACCTATTGTTTGGGCTGGCCTAGGAGTATTTGGGGTTGTATCACCCATAGGTAGGGTTTCTTTAGACAATCTTGTGGATTGTCTTTTCTTTTTACGTTTAATAGGTGCTAAAATCCAGTTTTGCAGCTTCTGGATTACTTGGTCTTCGCTTACTAGACCTTCACTTTCCATCGAATTTTGGTGCTGCATATCATTATTTTCAAGAATTTCTACAGTAAACGGCACATCTGGAGCTGATAAATATTGGGTTATATCACTTTCTGGATAATATATTGTGCAGAGCAGTCCTTCAATTTCAATAATTCTTCCTTCTTGATGCTCATTATGCATAACTTTTTGATCAAGCCTAAGCTCGGTTTGAGGGGCAAATTTTTTTACCCATGGATGTCTTAAAACTTCATTCAGTGGTAAGCGTTCTTTTGGGTCAGTTACAATTATATTTATTTGCATGAATAGATATAAATATCATTTTAAAGTTTAATTCTATTAATTATCAACCCTAATTTGCTAATTTTTCAAAAAATAGTATAGTTTTTCTATCAAATCCTTAGCTTCTTCACTGATATGATGTCCAAATTCAATACGAGGCTCTAATATTTGCTTGCATTTTTCTTTATCAACTATAGCTCTAAAAGGGGCACAGCCATGCAGCATTTCATATAGTAGCACCCCTATTGCTCATAAATCAATTTGATAAGAATGCCCTTGACTTAATACCATTTCAGGCGCCATATAATCTAGAGTCCCACAGAACGTTTTTCTCTCTTCGCTACTCTGCACACATCAGCCAAAATCACAGATTTTTATGTTATCATTTCCATCTATTAGCAGATTTTCAGGCTTTAAATCCCTATGAATTATCTGTCTATCATGCAGGTATTTTAATCCAATGCAGGTTTGTGTAAAATATCGTCAGGCTTTTTCTTCTGGGAGACCATTATTTTGCCTAACCATTCTGAATAAAGAACCTTTTGAAGCATAGCTAAGAATTAAATAGACAAAACGATCATTTTCAAAGTGATGATAGAGTTGGATGATATTTGGGTGTTTCAATGTTTTGTGGATATTTATTTCCCTTACTCCCCCCCTTTTAAATTGGAACAAAAAATTTTGTTCAAATTAAAGGGGGTTAACTCCCCCCCCCCCTCCGTGAGCGAACAAAAAAATTTTGTTCGCTCACGGAGGGGGTTAATTTTTTTTTTTAAAAAAAATTTATATATAAATTTTATAAAAAAATATTTTTTTCGAAATTTAAAAAAATCCTAATTTGCAAAATTGGGAAGCAAATATTAATTTAATTTGCAAAATTTATGTTTAAAACGCAATTTGTTTAAAATTAAACAGAATTAGCTCTAGATTTCATTATACTAATTATCACTTATATATCAAAATTTTTTTCCATTAAAATTTTTTCTATTAAAAAAAATTTTTGTTCACTCACGGAGGGTGGGTTTTTGGTCAAAAAATGGCGATTTTTCTAATGGTTTTGTTCGCTCACGGAGGGGGGGGGGGGGGGAGTAAGAAAATTTTTTTAAAAAAAAAAATCATTATAAAATTTTTTTTATAAAAAAACAATTTTAGAAAATTTATTAATCAAAGTGCTAATTTTGTTTAAATAAGATGTTATTTTATACTCTATTCTTTAAAATAAAGCAAGAGATAAGTAAATTTTGAATTTTTGTAAAGAATTCGTATTGAGTTTATATCAAAGCTATTAAAATAAAAAATATCATTTTTATCAAAACAAATAATTTTTTTTGAAATTTTTTTTAAAAATTTACAATTAAGGATAATAAATTTATTTAAATAAGATGCTCTTTATACTCTATTCTTTAAACAAGAGCAGGATTCAACTAAATTTTAATTTTAGTTAAGAAGAAGTGTTTTTAAATTGTGTCAAAACTTTTTACATAAAAATTATGATTTATATATATAAACTTTTTTATTATAAAATTTTATTTTGTTCCAATTTAAAGGGGGTTAATTTACCAAAAAGTGGAAATTTTACCTATATTTTGTTCCAATTTAAAGGGGGGGGAGTTAGTAATATCATAACCGAAGATTGCCTTTTCAATATTTCTTTATTCACCTGCTTTAAAGCGAAATACTCCCCAGTCGCAATATGCTGGATAAGTTTAACTTCTCCATATGAGCCCTTTCCAAGTAAGCGGCGATTCGGGTCCTGGACTTCTTTGAAATCTCGCAACGAAGGTCTTGGCATTGGATTCATTCCAATGATATTTTAAGTAAGTAAGAATAATAAATGTCCAAGAAGAACTTTACTAAGCTTCTTTTCGAGTCTCCTTCAGTTCTAAATGGTGAAGAAAAAGAATTAACAAGAAACGATTTTGACTTTGAGCGCAGGCTTGGAGAAGGAGCTTTTGGTCAGGTCTGAAGAGTTCGGCATAAACTGACCTCAAAGCAGTATGCGCTAAAACAAGTTCTTAAAGAAAAGGTAACTAAAATGATACCGCAGTTTAGAAGAGAGGTCTTAATTATGTATGAACTAAATCATCCTCATATAATAAAGCTTTACAATCATTTTGAGGATGAGAAATCTTTTTATCTTATAATGGAAATGGCTGAAGGTGGAAACTTATTCCATAGGCTTTATAGAGAAAGAACCTTTTTAGAGCCAGTTGCTGCTCAATATTTTAGAGAAATTATTTTAGCCGTTGAATATTTGCATTCTCATGTCCCAGCAATTATACATAGAGATATAAAACCTGAAAATATTTTGTTAGATAAAGATGGACGTCTAAAGTTAACTGATTTTGGATGGTCTAATTATTATTCTGCTGAAAGCGGAGCACCAAGATATACTACTTGTGGGACATTAGAATATTTACCACCTGAAATCGTTTCAGAAACTGGCCATAGTACAGCTGCTGATATATGGTGTATGGGGATTTTGCTATATGAAATGCTCACTGGAGGTACTCCCTTTAAATCTGGAAAAAGAGATAATATGTTAGCCAGCATTGTGCAAGCTAAAGCAAAATATCCTATGAATATGTCTCCATTGGCTAAAGATTTAATATCGCATTGCTTAGAAAGAGACCCATCAAGAAGGCCAACTGCAACTGAATGTAAAGAGCATAGATGGCTATTAGAGCACCCTCCTATACGAGAAACTATTACCCAAGATGCTATTCCAAAGGTTTTACCTGAAAATATTGATGCCCCAAAAATCACTTGCGGCTATGAAGTTATAAATAAGCAAGAAGATACAAAAGAAGCCAAAGAAGAAATTTCAGAGCCTGATAAACCAATTCCTGATTCTTCACGCAGCATGTCTTTTGGACTTAATTTTTTATCGGCAGGCATTTCCTTGGAGCCATTTAGCTGGACGTTTTTTCTCCTCAAACATTTGCTCGGTGAAATCTGTTATTTTTCAACAAAATGGCTCAAAGGAAATTGCTGAAAATGTCTCTGACTCCCTCCCCCCTTTAAATTGAAACAAAATATAGGTAAAATTCCTACTTTTTTGGGAAATTACCCCCCCTTTAAATTGAAAAACAAAATTTTATATTATAATAGAAAATTTTATAGGTAAAAATCATTATTTTATATGTAAATACGTTAATACCCTATTTAATATGCTTCAAACATATAAGATTTAGAAATTAAACTCTATTTTGTCCAATTGTTATGGGGAGAGTTAGAAGAATACCATTTCAGCAAGTTTACACTTTGAGATTGAGAAATTTATGAATTAATTTTTCATGAAATTATAAAATTTTATCTCTGAAAAAATTTTTATATATAAATTTTTTTATAAAAAAATTTTCTTAACCCCCTTTAAATTGAAACAAAAAATTTTTTGTTTCATTTTAAGGGGGGGAGTGAGAAAAAACATGTGTCCATTCTTCATATAAGAAAAGTATTCATATGCTGAAAGACAATATCTCAAATAAAGCTGAAGACCTTCAAAAAACAAAATCAATTTTAAATAAGCAAATTCAAGAAATAGCACAAGCTAATACAAGAATCAAAGAATTAGAAGATAAGATACAAGAAGGGAAAAATGAATTTTCAAGGCTTGTGGTTTCAGAAAAAGAATGCCTACTTAAAATATCTGATTTAAATTTGGATCTTGAGAAATATGCAAGCTCAACAGATATGACGAGCTTAGTTGAGCAAGTAAATAGCAAAAATAAAGAATTTATAGAAAAAGCACAGCAGGTTAAGCTATTCCAAAAAACATTAGAAAATACTAGAGAAAGTGTGAAAACAAAAACTATTGAAGTTAGTGAGAAAGAAAAAGAGCTACGTGCATGTGAGAGTTATCTTAAGAAAATCAAGGAGGATTCAAGTGTCTGCAAAATAGAAAAACATTCAGAGATTTCTAGTTTAGTGACTAACGCAGAAGTTCTTAACTTATTTATCAATGAAATTGTTGTTTTTAGTATTTTATTTTAATAAATGTTTTATTAAAAATAATTTTTGAAATAAAAGTTAGATCACAAGTTGAAAGAAAATATCAATCTCTGCATAGCCTTGGCAAAGAAGAAAGCTTAATTGCAAGAGATTTAATGAATTATGTACAAGAAAAACTGGATGACCTTAATGGCACTTCTAAACATGCTATTGACAAAAAGTTGAGTGAAATTATGGAAGAAGTTTTAGAAAAGGAACAAATGCTATTAGAAGCCAAGCTTGAATATGATGACAAAAAAGCTAAAATAATTCAAAGCATCAGAAATAATAAAGAAAACCTTATTAAAGCCGCTAAACAAAATACAGAAAAAGCAATAAAGTCAAAAGCAGAAAAATCTGAAATTTTAAGAGAAAAAATAAAAGAAAAATTAAACGAAGCTAGAATTTCTGAGCTGAAATTTTATATAGAGCCTATACAGATTGATCACGAAAAAGAAAAAATAAGGGTATTTATTATGTAGAGCATGAAAAGAGCGCTGAAAAAGCTCAATAAGTCAATGGAATCAATAACTGAAGAAAGAAAAATGCTGAAAGAAGTGACTGAAAAGAAAAGAGCTGAAGTAGAAGACATTGAAATGGAAATAGGAAAAGCAAAGGTAGCGCTTTTAGATAAAGGCTTATTTTTATTGATGAAAAAATAATTGATATCAGCTTAAAATAATAGAAAATTTAGAAATAATTTAATAAATGTCATATATAATAGACGTCAACTTAAAAGAGAACCATCCAGCTATCCTTCGAAGAGATATAGCAAAAGATAAAAAAGCAATGATTGAGGCCTGCAGTGACAAAAATATTATAAAATTTCTTTCTAAATCTTTTGCAAATAAAAGCAAAAAAATAGAAAATAAAGAAGAAATTGATGACAGTGATGAAGATATTTTTCAAAATGCAGTGTATGATGGTGAAGTCTTAACTTAACTTAATTATATATAACGTTTAACATCCACTACGGAGTCACCGATCCAGGGCTATCACCATATTTATCCACGTGTCGTGCCCATGGACCTCATGATCGATCCATTTTGTTCACCAGGGCATGGGCAAATACGATGTTCCGGCTTCGACGGGCTGCTTTCGCCTCGCTTATCATTGATTTAGCTCCTGCGCGTGCTCCGCCTAAGGGACACCTTCCTCGGGTTTGCTGAGAGGTAAAACTTCGAGCCTCTTGATGACTCTAAGCAGTGCCTCAGCTTACTTGCCATAGTTAAATTGCTGTTGCTGTACAGACCCCTTCGTGTGTGTGAACAAAAAATTTTGTTCACTCACGGAGGGGGGTTAATTTTTTTTTTTTTATATATAAATTTTATAAAACATCTTTTTTTTCGAAATTTAAAAAAATCCTAATTCACAAAAATTGGAAAGCAAATATTAATTTAATTTATAAAATTTATGTTTTAAAAAGCAATTCGTTTAAAATTAAAGAGAATTAGCTCTAGATTTCATTATACTAATTATCATTTATATATCAAAATTTTTTTCCATAAAAAATTTTTCTATTAAAACAATTTTTGTTCACTCACGGAGGGTGGGCTTTTGGGCAAAAAATAGCGATTTTTCTAATGGTTTTGTTCACTCATGGGGGGGGGGTGTTAGAAAAAAAAACCTAACCCCATAATAAAATTTGCTTGAGAGAGAGAAAATTAGCGGAGTTAATTTCACTCGAGAGCTGAATTTCATTTTATTTATGTATGATGGTGAAATCAATGATGAAGTTAGTATGATTGGAGAAAGAGATCCAGAAGAAGTAATCAAAGAATTGAGGTCAAAAGAGATTGAAAATTTTGATACAATTAAAGATGATAAAAATAAACTTATATTCAGCCCTGTAATGATATTTGATAGACAAAATGAAATTAAGCTTGCCCAAAAACAATACGAAGAAGAAAAGAAAAAAATACCTTTCAAAAGGCCAAATCCTTATAATCCAAATTATTCTAGAGCATCAAACGACTTCAAAACTCCTCAAAATATCAAAGAAGACAGAATAAGTAAAAAACCAAAATTGAAAGAATAAAAAATTTTTAATTATTGCAGTCATAAAATACTTACTTAATTCATAATATAACTAAATTATATTAATTGATTCTGAATTAAAAGTTCTAAATGCATTAATAAATAGCATTTGCATGAGTTTGACAAGAGTTACATGATAGTTGCCTAATATAAAATATTCATTTTGGTTGATATAATAATGTCTGAAGAATCTATATCAAAATTCACAGAAAGGATAACTGAAGGCATAAACACGCTAAAAACTGAGATGAGAGAACTTCGAAAAAGTATCCAGGGGTTTGATTACGAATTAAACGTAATCTCTTCAAAAGATATTGATATAGCATTTCTTCCAAATATACCAAATCAAATGGCTAAAGAGATCGAAACAGATTTTTCTTACCAAAATCAGCGACAAGAAGGAGTTTTTGAGTTTCTTAAAAAGCAAATCAAAACTATGACATTAGAAAATTCTGAGCTAGAGCAAAAATGTGCAAGCATGAACTCACAGCTCGATATCTTAAAAGAAAAAATCGGGAAAAAGAGATTAAATAGTTTTGCATCATAATTTTTTATATAACCATAATTTATAATAATTATGAGCACCCAACAATTTTTAGAGTTTTGCATCACAGGAGATGTCAACTCAATAAAGCAGCTCAAATCTTCCAATGACCCACGAAATTTTATATACGCTTGCGATCCTCAAGGCCATAATGGTTTACATCTTGCCGTTCTTAATGGTCACTGAAGCCTAGCAATGCATTTACTTCGTGATCTTCATATTTCACCTCACAAGCTAACAGAAGATGGTGAAAGTATTTTTCATTCCATTGCAAGAGGCCTAAAAGTGAGAGAAGCAACTGATCAAGATTTCGCTGAGGTCAGAGAGCTAAACTTGAAATATTGGCAGGAAGAAAAAGAAAGAGGTCTTAAAAAAATTGAGGAGAGAAAAGCCGCGCATCCTGATCTAAAAGCACCTGAAAATTTAGTCTTAAAAAATGTTGAAAAAGAAGACGAAAACTTGTTTGGGAACCCAAATTTGACTGTTGCTAAATATATTTTGAGGAAATATCATGTTGTGCTAAAGCATAATAACTCGATGGGGCATTCACCTGCAGATCTTGCCGAAAGTCTTCAGATTCAGGACTTAGCAGAATATTATAGGCTGGAGCTGACTCCACACATGATAAGAAGAAGACTCATTGCTGGACTTAATGAAAACTTGTTCAGAGAAATTGTGCTTTGCCTTTAAATATAATAAAATTACTAACTTGCCTCTCCTTTAAATTGTAATATAATATTGCTAATTTTCTTTTTTTTTGGGTTCATTAGCCTTATTTAAATTGAAATAAATAAATTTTTATTGCTAAAATACTAATTTTAGCCTAATTTAATGAAGAAGTCCAGCAATTACATAACTTTAACCCTAAGTCAATTAAAATTTTAATGATTCTTCATAATAATAAATTAAAATTAAAAAAATCATTACATTCATTTTTTTTTTTTTTTAACTATACAACTTTATTTTTGGAAGTATTTGTTTTTAACGCCCCTATAATTGAAGCAGGTTTTTTTGTTCCATTTAAGATGGGAGGGAGTAATAAAACTTATTTGTGCGTATAAAAGTATTCCAGATAATCAGCAATATGGCTGAATATTTTGAAATTTATGTGAAGTTATATTAATAGTCATAAGATTAATAATAATTTCTGAAAAAAGAAGTTTGCCGTTATAATAATGGAAAGGACTCAAGAAGAAGGAGGACCTAGGACCAAATTATCAAAACAAAGCCGTATTATTTGCAATATCGCTTTCACTAAATATGAAATTGTGAAGCACGTTGCAGGAACCTTATTTAAATGGGGTTTATCTAATGATAAACTTGATGAAAATTGAGATATTATGTGAACAGATTCTGCAGTCCCACCTGATAAATTGTCAAATATGAAGCAATATCAAAAAATTAATCATTTTCCTGGCATGTACAATGTATCAAGAAAAAATTATCTTGCATATAACTTATATTAGAACAAACTGAATTATATTTATTTTCAGATAAAAAATATAATAATACCATAATCAATTTAATAGAAAATAATGAAATTGAAAAAACTCTTCCCAGACGAGTATGATTTTTTCCCTAGAACATGGGTGGTTCCTTGTGATATGGGAGATTTAAAAGCATATATGCAGCTAAAGAAAAATTCGTATTTTATTGTAAAGCCAGAAGCTTCTTGCCAAGGTCGAGGAATTTTTCTAACAAAAAGATTTGACGAAATCGACTCTTCTGAAAAGCATGTCGTTCAAGAATATATAGAAAAGCCTTTTCTTATAGATGGACTTAAATTTGATTTAAGAATCTATGTATTAGTTACTGGTTGTGAACCTCTTACTCCCCTCCGTATATATAAATTTTATAGTAATTTTTTTTAAAAATTAAGTGTAAATTTGGATTACAAAAATTAATTTAATTTGTAAAATTTATGTTTTTAAAATGCAGTTTAAATTCAGAATGATTAGCTATATCATTTATTACATTTATATCAAAATATTTTTTCATACAACTTTTATATTAAAAAAATGTTTTTTGGCATATGAAAGAAAGAAAAGTTGTTATATATCCCTACCCTAAAATATTTTCAGATTTCGTCTTCTTCAAACATATCATGAGCATGAGTCTTATCATCTATGGCTTTAAGATTGAGATTGAGATTTTTAGATTAGAGAGGGTTAAAGCGGGGATTATTTCAGCCCCTGATCCAGCCGAGCTTCAGCTTCACTCTCGTGTGGCGCTAGTCACTAAAGCCACCTGCCGCCCTTTTCTGATGACGTCATCAAAAATGGTGACGTCAGCATCTTTCGGGAGACTCACCCGAACCTGCTTGGACCAAAATGCTTCAGCAAAGGACTCTCTTAACCCCTGGTAGTGCTCAGGGTATGAGGGGATCGTCCGATGCCTCCTTCTGGAACTACCTCTGCCATTTGCAGGCAACATAATGCTCCTCCAGAAGTCCTCGATTGGTATTGCGCCGTCAGTCTTCTCGTCTGTGGGTCGAGGGGAGGCCCAGTTAGCCCAGACTGTACCCACCCCGGAATTAAGCCACCTGCGACCTCGTAGCCTTTCCGCCAGCTTTTTTATTTTCTGGCAAAAATTCTGAGTTCATCTGTCACTACTAGGCATGCCATGATGGCATTAATTCCATGGCTTTAAGAAGGTCTCCATTTCTACAATAATCTATGACCATATAGGAAGTTTCGCCTTTAACAAAAAAAAGGAGTCTAGACGAAGCTCATATGGATTGACCCATGAGAGTACTTGCTCTTCAGCTTGCTCTCCTCCACCTTGGGCTTCCTCAGCTGGAGCCTCTTCTTCTGCTTGGGCTCACTCACCAAAAAAAAACCCTTTGGCATATGAGGGTGTGCTTTTGGGCATTTTCTAATGGTTTTGTACGCTAATGGAGGGGAGTTAGGATTTTTATCCATGATCAAGGTTTAACACGTTTCGCAACAGAAGAATACAAAAAGCCAAATGAAGGAAATTTTGAAGACATGTGCATGCATTTGACGAATTACGCAATTAATAAAAATAACCCAAATTTTATACACAATGAAAACTCTGAAGAAGACGACATCGGCCATAAAAGAAGTCTTCAGTCGACTTTCGACTATTTAGAAGAAAACGGTTACGATGTAGTAAAACTAAAATCAAAAATTGATGATATGATAATAAAAACGCTATGTTCGGTGCAGCCAAATTTAAGACATCATTACCATTCTTGTCAGCCTGATGATTATTCTAATAGTATGTGTTTTGAACTTCTAGGATTTGATGTAATTTTGGACCATAAATTGAACCCATATGTTCTTGAGGTAAACCATACGCCTTCATTTTCAACTGATTCTCCTTTAGATTGAAAAACCAAAGAAATCGTAATAAGCGAAGCTTTAGTACTTATGAATATTTCCAGCAAAAATCGAAGAATTTATATAAAAAAGCAAAAACAAGAATTAAATAAAAGAGCGCTAACAGGAAAAATTGAAAGGGACAGCAAATCTGTGAGAGAAGAGAAAAGGGTTAAGTTTATAATAAGAAGAGATAAATGAGAAGAAAAACATCGTGGAGGATACAGAAAAGTCTACCCAGTTAATGACGAAAAGTATGAAAAAATGATAAAGGCAGCTGATGAGATTTACCAAGAATGAACAGGGACTAAAATAACAAGAATAAAAAAAGCTGAAGAAGAAAAAATTCCAATCATTAAAAAACCTCCAAAAATTGAAAATAAATTGCCATTAAATAAGATAGAAAACAGTATCCCAAAAAGATGCCCAACAGCTACTCTTCGAGATATGGAAAGCCCATCAACTGTTTCTCTACTAGAAATCGAGAAGAAAAATCCTTTAGAAGTCTTCGAAAGGTTAAGCAAAGTTCCAATAAGAAAGCCAACCCTCCCTTCATCATATCAAAATATCCCAGGAATAGTATACCATGATGACCGTCGATCTCATTATTTATATGGAAATAAATATTGCTTGACATTCCACCACAATACCCCTGAGCACAATTTAAAATTTTCTGAAAAAAATGCAGAATCACAAAGCGAAGCCAAAGGAAAAGTTTCACTAATAAAAGCAACACCAGAATTATTAAGAAGAAACAGCACAAAAAACACACTTGCAAGTTTCTTGAAATCTACAAGTGGAAAACAATTAATTACGTCCAAAGCGCTCGCTTTTGGGCACAGTGGAGCTAAAGAAATATTAAAAAAATGGAATTTGTAATAACTTGTAATAATCTTTTAATTAACCTGAATTACTATTTTCTACGGGCTGCTTTAACCACTCTTCTTATTTCTGTATTTTCCCCTGGCAGGTCGTTAATCTGTATACGCTTTGATTGGACAATTTCTACAAGCTGCTGCCCTCTTACAGGACTGAGATTTCTTGTTAGATTTACCATGAAATCTTTATTAGTAGCATGTAGCTGGCTAACCATGGTTCTAAAAACATTATATTCATCAACAACAAATATAGGACTGAATAAATTCACTAAAATTGAATTCGCTTCTTTTTCTTCCCTTTCGCCAGGGGCATCTTCTCCACTGCCTCCATAAATCAGCTTTGTTCCCTTCACAAAGATTTCAGAATCAAAGCTATCTTCATCAGAGTCAAATAAATTTTCCATAAGCATGTCAATTGGACTTTTCTGTTTAGTCTCCTCTTCTGTAGGCTTTTTGTAACTGAGAATTACTATGACTGTGTCAAAGATCTTGTCAATTAATTCATAAATGTCATTATTCATCTGTGGCATCATAAATAAATGGCACAGGCCAATAACTGCGACTCTTTTGTCGTATTGGTGTGTGAATTGATTAGCCATTTTTATGATTTCAAGGAGGGAAAAGCGGAGATAGGAAATTCCTTCAGCTGTCTGGGTAGCGGAAAGAATGTTGGCAGTTAGAGTAGCGTTGTAAGTAAATGAGGATAGAATGGTGTCAAGAAGGCGGACTTTGAAGAAATTATTTGTGGTACTTTGGGCATAGCGCATAAACGTGTCAGTTAGGATTTTATCCATATATTGATCTAATTGTCCAGGGAATGTTTGGAATAGTAAATGGTATAAAATTGCTCCCTCGCAGTTCAGACCTTCTCTAATACGGCCTTTTGGCTGCGCAAATAATGCTTTTCCTGCCATTTCTACCACTTGGGCCATTCTTTGAGGTGAAGTTGCGAAACTGTCTTTTCCGAATCTGAGATATGTATTAAGCAGTTTAAAAACAATTTGCAAGGTATTTTCTTGCTTAGCCTGAAGTACTGGCAAATGATTAAAGATTTCCCATTGAAGCGCTGATATAGACTTCGCTTTTTTTTGTATCAATTGGATAATGCTAATTATGTCATCGAAAAAGGAAACTTGATCGGGATACTGTATATAATTAATAATTGGTAATAAAAGTTTTTCAAGTTCTTCAAGATCGGCTCCTGATACTGAGATTGAATTTATTAGTGATCTTATAATATTCCATGACTTGATCACTATAATTGAATCTTTTTTATTATTAGCAATCTGGCACTGAACTTCACTTTGAATTTTTCCTACTAAGGCTATCATTAATGGTACAACTTTTCTGTCAAGTGACTCTCCGAAATTTTGGACTATTTCAACTAGAGCTTCATAAAACGATTTTTCTTTTTGGTTTGGAATTGCTTCTATAACTTTATCAACAACTTCACCCATAAATGGTTCAAGTCTAAACATAAGTTCATCTTCTTGCATTATATAAGAGAAAGTATCACAAGCTTGTATACATACAGCTCTAGACGACTGCTGTAAAATACAGTCCAAAATATAAAGCATCCATCTTTTGAAATACTCTAACTTGTCTTGGAAAATATGCTCAGAAAAGCAGTATAAAAATTGGCAAACTCTTTGGTGAATAATCATAGATGAGCTTGTAGAAAAGAAAGCTGTCATTATTTTTTCTAACAAGTTATTGATACCATTAAGAAGATCAGACCTTCGGGATATAGAAAATTCCTGGGGATAGCGCGGAATACGCTATCCCCCAGGACCAACCGGGATCGGATCCCACATGGAACAAGGGTTCCATGTGTGGATCCATTTTTGACACGTGAAAGTAAATATCTCACATGTCAAAAATGGATCCACACATGGAAACCCCCGTTCCATGTGGGATCCGATCCCGGTTGGTCCTGGGGATAGCGTATTCCGCGCTATCCCCAGGAATTTAGTATATCCCAAATGATAAAATACTGAGCATCATAAAAGCTGTAGCTACTTTATTTTCGTTATCTGAAGCCATGAAGACAGTGTTTGCAAGCTCCTTGATTAAAGGGTATTCTTTATTAATTTCAGGATTTATAATGGATTCTATCAACTCAAAAGCAAAATATGCAGAAAATGGCAATGCTCCATCAATGTTATCACACATAGTTTCCAGAAGCTGGGCTGATACAGTTTTTACCGTCTCAGATTCTTGCCGTTCACATATATCTTGGCAAATGTTGACAAACTCATCAGGCTGTGTATCAAATAATTCTTTATCGCTTTCATTAAGCCTTAAAAACTGCAAAATTATATCAGTAATAATTTGCTTATAAAATTGCCCAAAGATCCCGTAAAATCTTGACTCTGAGCTGCATTTGTGAAGCAAATTTAATGTTTCTATAACAATTTCAGATAGCCAGCTTTGTATGATGAACTGGTCAACGTCTGGATGAACACATATAGCTAATAAAGAAATAATCAGAGGCTCTAGGACAGCATTAACAGAGTCAACAAATGGGGAATCTGGAATAGCAGCGCCTATAGTGGAGATGACCTTTGCCCCCATCTCTTCATAGATTTTCTTTTTACAGTCCATAAAGTACTGTATCACAATATTCAAGCATTTAATTATATTTGCCTTTATTTGGTTCATTAAATTTGTCACTGTCCCACTTGATAAGTTTATAACAGCGTTTACATTAGGAAGCCTGAAATCAGGTATCCTAATATTTATTGTGTTTGTAAAGATGGATGCTATTTCTGTGTGTTCCACAAATTCTTTGATTCCTTTATTGGAAACCACTTCAAAATGTTCAAGAATTTGTCTGAGAGATAATGACCACTCTTCGAATATATAAAGAATTTCTATTGCTAAAGCTTCATTTGAGGATTGCAAAGCTGCTCCAAGCTGAAAAAAGACTTTATTGCCAACGTCTATCATATGTGGAAGGAGTATTTTAGAATAATCCCCAGCATTGAATTGTGATGGCATGCAGCTGAAAATCGTTTTTATTACTGACAAGCTGCCGAAGACTTGATGGGCTTCTCCTTTTAGACCTACAATTGCTAGCTCTTTTCCTTCCATTTAATAACGAACAAACCTATGTATTTTTTAGATTCTTTTTAAGTAACTTTCAATTAACAAGAGTTTCGATAAAGTTTTTCTTAATATTTCTAAGATTTATTTAATTATTTTCAATGTTTTAAAACCCATTCAACACTCATGAATAGAATATTTCTTGCTTTATTGTTTTCTCATCTTAAAATATTTCCTGAAATAAAATTAAATTTAAATAAATGTATGACAAAAATTCTCAATATAAAAATTTTAAAAAAAAATTATACCCCAATTAACGACAGCAAAACAAATTGCTCGTTATTTAAATGTGGGAGGATAAGGCTGCTAAGCGATTGCAGCATAATCCCATGGCATCATCAGATATTAAAGGGTTGAGGGCATAATTTGTGATTCCTCTTATAGATCTATCGATGTTTGGGCTTATAATGGTCTGGAAAATCATTTCTGCTAGGTACATGCGGTCTTCAGCTGCAAGCTTACTTGACTCAATGCATTCTCTCATAAAATTGCGGAGTCTGGTTCCTGCAGATTGCTTAAGTTGATGAGGAGAGTCTTGAGAGGATATGACGGTCAAGAGAAATTGAAAGAAGCCTTTGGTATCTTGGCTGAGGATACGGAGTTCTTCTTCTGCTTGCTTTCGTTCAGTGTCACTGATGGAAGAATAAGTTTGTGTTAAGAGCTGAGCAGCTCTGCCAAAGGCTTCAGACATTTATTATAAGATTAACAATAAATTTAATAAGTAATGCTATATGGAATTAATTATAATTATTTTGATATTTTCTCTAATGAAAATTTAATTCATTAGTTTGCAAATTTACAATCTATAAATAATAAATAATAGCAAGATATAAAATTTTGATTTTGATGGCTATTTGATATATGTGAAAATTCTATATAAAATTTAACTATATTTCACATGAAAAAAACAATTTTTAAATTTAAAGAAGGTATTTAATTCTAAACTTGCACTTCTTTTGAAAAAAATCAAATTTATAATTTCAAAATGGATATATAGCACACCCCTCGTGGTTGCTCGCCATTAAGTACCTCCTCCCCATGTCATCCACCCCCTGACGGTCCTGAAAATTTTAAATGTTAAAATATTATTTGACAAGTCCTTCAAATATTTTAGCTTGTCAAATTAATATTTAACATGTTAAAATATTTGGGACCGTTAGGGGGTGGATGGCATGGGGAGGGGTGCTCAAGGCCGATCCAAAATGGGGTTTAAGCTATAAAGAAAACTTGAATTCCGCCAAAATTGGATCGCAAGCTTTTAAGCCAACTGCAGCCTTCTCTAATAAAAATTCGCCAATTAAAGCTCAAGCAAGCTCCACTAACGCAATTTTACTAGCTCAAAACCAAAACATCCCTAAAACTTTTGAACCCAAATCAGACCAAAAAATGACCTCTCTATTGGAATCTGCTAGTAAAGAAGGCTCCTATACTTCTTTTTGCTATGAGCTATCTCCAGATGATGACAAAACAATCATGAGCTCCGAAGATAGCATAGTTCAAAATTTAAATATATCCGATGAAACCAATCACTCATTCAGTCAAATAAATTTTAAAGATACCAAAATAAGCGTTCTTACAAGAAAACTTGCATTAGCTGAGGCTTCCTTAAAAGAATTCCAGTCCGCTCTTACAGACGCACATATTGAATGTGACAATTATGTCGAAAAATTTAATTTAGTAAATGCAGACAAAGAAGCCCTTGAAATTAATTTAGCTGCTGCAATAGAAGAAAGAGATTATCACAAAGAGAGGTCTGAATCTTTATATCAAGAATTAATGAAAGTTAAAACAAGCTTAGAAATTAGAGAAAAGCTATTCAAAATGCAAGAAAAAGAATTAAAAAAAAAGGAAAATTTAGCGGCTGAAGTTATAAAAGAAACTCAAAAAAATGAGAAAGAAAATAGCGAATTTACGGAGGATATATATAACGAGTTAATTGCTAGAGAATATATGAAAATAGAAGAGATAAGAGCAGAGTTGGAAAAAGAAAAAATTAAAAATGAATTAGTTAAAAATGAAATTAAAAAAGAGAAAAAAGATTTAGAAAAAAAGCTGCAAAAGAATGCGATGTTTGAATATAAAAAGATTCAAAATGTTTTTCTGGTGCTTATTTTTGCAATTGTGATTACATTTTTACTTACAATTATTCTAAAATAATTGGCTTTAATAATATAAAATTAGAGATAAAATTAAATGAACATTGCAATTTAAATTATGTAAGGTTAAAGTTTTTGAATTTCAACAATGTGAAGTTTCATAAAGAAATATGTTACTAACTTTGATTACTTACTACCACTTAAGAGTCAAAAATTTGTATTAATAAAAAATTTTTATAATAATTATAATTTTGTAATGAGATATTTTATAAAATTTAACAAATCCTACATTTTAGACATAAATTTTAAATTTTTTCAAATATTTTCAAAATTTTGATTTTTTTAATCGACAATTGTTTTCCTTTAAGAGCGACCAAGATTTTTCTGCTGCTCTCTTAAGGGAGAGGATTAGTAAAAACTTTTTTTCATAAAATCATTTATTTTTATATATAAATTAACTTGTATGAAATTATTTTAATTTTCAAAAGATTAAGAAGAAAAGAAATTGAAAATTCATGAAATAAACTAGAAACAAGTTTCTCAACAAATCGAAGCCCAATCATAACAACACCAAGAGATATGAGGCCAGTAAGCACGCAGCCTTCTAAGCGCACTAAAAACACAACTGAAAATGATATTTCTTTCACATCAAATCGCTCCAACATTGTTATCCAAACTAAAAATGAGGCATCCTTAAATGAATCAGCGCCTCTATCCTTTTCACCTAGGATTCCCAGACCAAAAAGCACACAGCCAGCTAAACGAATGAAAAACAAACTTGAAAATGATGCCAAATTTATATCATCAAATCGATCAAATAATTTTATTCCTATTAAACTCGACTTAAATGACTCTGTTATATATTCAACACCACGACCCTTAACTGCTCTATATTCAGCTTCCCCAATCAATAAAACATTAGCTTCATTTTTACCTCAAGAAGCTGTCCAGGGGCTCACTTTAATGCAACTTCACCAAATTTATGAAGCGAAATGCAGTGATTTAAACATTCCACTACTTTTTGACCAAGAAAAACGATTTTTCAGCTGTTGCTTTAAACATTTTATGAATAGAAAAATTATTTTAGAAGAAACCGGAATTGGTCCGAATGCTGCCAAAGCAATTGGTGAAACTTTGAGAAATAATACTGAGTTTGCTTACTTATATTTACTCCCCCCTCCGTGAGTGAACAAAAAAAATTTTGTTCACTCACAGAGATTAATTTTGTTTCTCAAAATTTAAAAAAAAATCCTAATTTGCAAAAATTGGGAAGCAAATGTTAATTTAATTTATAAAATTTATGTTTTAAAACGCAATTTGTTTAAAAATAAACAGAATTAGCTCGAGATTTCATTATACTAGTTATCACTTATATATCAAATTTTTGTTCACTCACGGAGTGTGGTTTTTGCGCAAAAAATAGGGGATTTTTCCAATGGTTTTCTTCACCACGGAGGAGGGAGGAGTTAGGAAAAAATTTGATGGGAGACATAGGAGTCATCGTTTTAGCTAGGCTTCTTTGTAAAAATATGTCAATCGTGCATTTGGATATTAGCAGTAATGATATTACTCCTGAAGGAGCAGCAACTGTAATTAATTTGATAGCAAACCATTGAAGCATTACCAGTTTAAATATTTCATCACACGAAGGATTGCATAGAAACCGACTTGGGGCATATGGTGCTGCAGCAGTTAAAAGAGCATTAACTTGTAGCAGTGTTTTAGGATTTTTAAATATCGCTGGAACATCTATTGGAACTGAAGGGTTTGAGTATATTATAGAAGGATTAAAAAACAATAGAAGCCTTGTTTCCCTAACTCCCCCTCCCCATCCTTGATCGAACGACTCGCCATCGTTCGATCAAGGATGGGGGTTAAAAACAATTTTCTTGGAAAAAAAAATTTATATAAAAAATGAAAAAGATAAATATAGATTATTTTTATTTACTTTTAAATAAGAGTGTTAAGAGTATTTAATAATTATTTTTACAGCAAAAAAATTGAATTAATTTCATAAAATACCAATTTTTAATATTTTGATTTATTAGTTACCCTTTTAAACTCTATAAATTTTAATTTAAATTAAATTTTTTTTAAAAAATTTTAAAGAATCTCTATTTTATTAGATTATTGAGTTTTTAAGCCTAGGTTGATGACTAAATCACTTCGGATGGTTGATTTCGCAGCTTTCTGTCGTCTCAAAGCTCTGAAAACAACTTCATTAGGCACATCTTCCAAAGCTTTTGATAACTAATATTTTTTATATATATAAAAATTTGCATGATATGAAAATCGTTCGATCAAGGATGGGGGTTAATTTCCCCAATTTTTAGGAATTTTTACAGTCAATCGTTCGATCAAGGATGGGGGGGAGTAAGCATTTCAAATAATAGTCTTGGCCCAAATTTGATGGAAAAATTTTCACAATCTATAGTAAATTCTAATTTGCAAATTTTAGATCTTTCGAGCAACCAAATAGGAAATGAAGGTTCTGAAAAAATAGGAAACATGATCATGGGTGCTTATAATGGTGCCTGCCCAGTAAAAACTTTAAATTTATCTAAAAATGATATATCAACTAGAGGAGCTTCATATATTTTTAGTTCTTTAAGAAGAAATAGCACATTGAAAACTTTGAATCTTGGAAATAACCCTATGGTTTATGGACCATCTCAACAATTTTTTGCATTTTTGACAGATAATGTATGTCTAAACTCATTAAATCTGTCAAACTGCGAGCTTAAATCAGAAGGAATTCATATGTTTGCAGAAGGATTGGCTAAAAATCAAGCATTAAAAGCCTTAATACTCAGCGGAAATGAAATTAATGACCAAGGCACTGAATCAATTTCTTATGGAATAGCTAGAAATACAAATTTAAAATTCTTAGATTTGAGTAGCAATAAATTAAAAAATAAATCAGGCATTGCCCTAGCTCAAGCCCTAAAATTGAACCAAACCCTATCCGAACTAAATTTACGAGAAAATAATTTAAAAGATGAAGCAGGACAAATATTAAATGAAGTTTCTAGATATAACACAAAAATTTCGCATCTTAACTTAGACCTCAACCCTATAAGCTTCAAATATTTAAATGATATCAAGCTTAACCTGAAGCGCAATCAAGAACTAGGAAGGAAAAAAATTGTCCCAAAGCTGAAAAAAGAAATAGAAACTATGCTAATGGCTGATGAAACATTGGAAAACGTCCAATGAAAAATCAGAGCAAAAAAAAAAGAATATGAAGAATGAGAAGAAAAATATGAACAGAAAAATGCCAGATTAGAAGAAATTAGGATAGAAGAAACTGTAAAATACGAAGAAGTGAAGGATGAGCTGCAAGCTTTAGCTTTTCCTTCTTTTTAGAGCAAGTAGAAAAATCTCTCTTGCATTTATTTTTTAAGAAATATATATTAAAATTATATATAAAAAAAAATTGTTTTTGGATTTAAAAAAAATTCCAATTGGAAAAAATCTAATTTATAATGCAAGCAGTCTAAATTTAATAGTATCAGCTATAGATCTCGTCATAGCAATTATTAATTTTATTCAATTTCTAAAAACATTATTTGTTTTGCTCGCTCTAAATTGGGGAGTAAGAGATATTAATTATCAAATCAGTGAAAATTTAAATAAAATAGCAGGAGAAACTCATACAGAGAAAATTAAAAGTGAAAAAGAAATTAGCAATTGAGGAGAAAAGATTTTTAAAGTGACCGATGAAATATTAATATTCATTCAGCTGCTGGTAAATAAATGGATTAAAATCCTAATAAGATAATCATTAGAAATTAATATAAAAAAATTTGAAAAACAAAGTAAAAATAATTTAGGACAAAATTTAAAAGAAGAAGCTATGTTCAGGCATGGAAAAGTTTATGAGTCTTTAGGAAAGTTTAGAGAGCAGCTAGAGCAAGAAGAATATAAAAAAGCAAGCGCAGAAAAAAGTTTAAAGATTCTTGTAAACAGACTAGAAAGCAGTAGAAAAAACTCAAGTAGCGTAAGGAGTCCTCATAAATTGCATGAGCCGAAAACCTACTTACTCCCCCCCCCCTCCGTGAGCGAACAAAAAATTTTGTTCGCTCACGGAGGGGGGTTAATTTTTTTTTTTTTAAAAAAAATTTATATATAAATTTTATAAAAAATATTTTTTTCGAAATTTAAAAAAATCCTAATTTGCAAAAATTGGGAAGCAAATATTAATTTAATTTGCAAAATTTATGTTTTTAAAACGCAATTTGTTTAAAATTAAACAGAATTTAGCTCTAGATTTCATTATACTAATTATCACTTATATATCAAAATTTTTTTTCCATTAAAATTTTTTCTATTAAAAAAATTTTTGTTCACTCACGGAGGGTGGGTTTTTGGTCAAAAAATGGCGATTTTTTCTAATGGTTTTGTTCGCTCACGGAGGGGGGGGGGGGGAGTTAGCAAGCGAAAAGCTAGCATTCGAGAAAAAGGAAATGGCAAAAAGCCCTTTAAAAGAAGTAAACGAGGCAAAGCCTTCAAAATTAAAAAAACCAAGAAGTAAATCACAAAAAACTCCCCTGCCGCCATGATTGAGCGAACAACATTTTTTGCTCCCTTATGGAGGAGTTAAATAGTATATAGTACAAACAAATTAAATAGATTATCATATTTTTGTTATTTATAATACGCATTTTCTTTCACTCTTTTCAAGTAATTTCCACAATTTTCCAATTTTTTCGAAATTCCTTCCAATCATTCTGCAAGCGTCGGATTTTTTTCCGACAGTTCTCTCACTAAAATATACATTTTATCAGATTTTGGTATAGCTGTATATCCCTCCGACTCAAACGAAATATTTATTTTTTCTTCAATAAATCTCAGTAGAAGCTCAAATTCTTTCACTCTATTTTGGAAGCTTCTTTTATTATTTTCAATTTTTTTCTTTAATTTATTTATTTCGCCTTCCATTTTTCTAATCATTTCAAATTCTTGTCCTTGTGCTGTCGATTTTATTTTTATTTCAAGCTGAGAAATTATTTCATTTTTTTGTGATAATAGTTTTTCTAGATGATCTGTATATGCTTCTTTACTTGTAATTGAGCTACGCATAATGGATTCCTCGTGGCCGCTTCTTTCAGTTTCGCTGCGAGATCTTTGATGAAGATTTCTCTGTGTTCTGTCTTGCTCATTTGTGATTCTTTCCAAAGTTTGTCTTAACTCTATGTTTTCTTTTCGTATATATGTAAGTTCATCTTGCATTTCTTCAATTTTATGGCGATTTGAGTAAGGGATTTCTTTTTCTGGGGCGTCTCTTCTTGATCTGGATAATTCCATTGAAGATTTGAAAAACTCAAGTTGGCTGACTTCATTTTTTAAGCTTTTAAGAGTCAAATCTTGGGAATCAATTATTTCTTGAAGATTAATAATTTGGCTTTTATAATCCTTGCTTGCCCTTAAGTCTCCATAAGTAAGATCTAGATCTTCTCTACATCTTCTTACTCCCCCCCCCCTCCGTGAGCGAACAAAAAAATTTTGTTCGCTCACGGAGGGGGGTTAATTTTTTTTTTTAAAAAAAAATTATATATAATTTTTATAAAAAATATTTTTTTCGAAATTTAAAAAAATCCTAATTTGCAAAAATTGGGAAGCAAATATTAATTTAATTTGCAAAATTTATGTTTTAAAACGCAATTTGTTTAAATTAAACAGAATTAGCTCTAGATTTCATTATACTAATTATCACTTATATATCAAAATTTTTTTCCATTAAAATTTTTTCTATTAAAAAAATTTTTGTTCACTCACGGAGGGTGGGTTTTTGGTCAAAAAATGGCGATTTTTCTAATGGTTTTGTTCGCTCACGGAGGGGGGGGGGGGGAGTTAGTTCTTCATCTTTAACTTTGAGGTCAACCAAAGCTTTTTCTAATGCGCATTGAGCTCCTTCTGATTCTTTTCGAGTTCTTATGAACTGATCTTCTAGAATGTTTTTTTCTTTCATGACTTCTTGTGCATAAGAGCCTGCTTCATCAAGTTTTAACTTAAGTATGCTTATTTCTTCAGTCACTTGCGTCTTGATTCTTATCTTTTCATCTTTTTCTTTTGCAGCGATATCTTTTAAATAGCCGCATTCTTTTTCAGACTTTTCGTATTCATTTCTTAAAATCGTATTGTCAGTCTTTATTTTATTAATTTCAGCTCTGATTTCTTCATTATAATTTTGCATATTTTTGATGGTTTGTAAAATTATTCTGCACTTAATTGAAATCTTCATTTATAATTTAATTATTATTTTAATATAAATTAGGACCTTATTTCTCAGTTATTTAGCTTATTAAATCATATTTTTGTAGGGTCACTGATTTCTTCTAGGTCTGATATTTCTCTTTGCGTCATTTCTCCGCTTACATTTAATGATTTTGTAGCAAAAATAGAATCACTTGGGTCAAAGTCTTCTGCATTAGAAAATGATGCATTTCTTTGGTGAACTCTAACAGGAGTTTCTAAGTTCAGCTGCTTTCTTATGTGCCAAAGATCATTTTTTAATCTGACATAATCCCTTTTTATTGTATCAAGCTCTTTATAAGTCATAAGATGCTGATTTTTTTCATTTTCGAGAGAAATTTCATTTTCTTCAGCTTGAATTCTGGCAAGATTTACTCTTTCTGTCAGTTCCGCGATCTTTTGATGAGCAGAACTAAGAGTTGACGATATAACCTGTTGACTTCTTGGTAGAGCTTCATTTAAAGTATAACTTCTAGCCTCACTCAGTTCAGAAATTAAATAATCAATAAATCCTTGCATTTCTTTTTTCAACAACTCATATTGTTCTTTTTGTTCTTCCATCTGTTGAGACTTAATGATAATAGTTTTCTTTAAATCTCCAATCATTTTTTTGAAACATACATTAGCGTTGCCCATTTCTACGAGTTTTTGTTCCATTTCTTCATTTCTCATAATCCATCTTTCTAGCTCTGACCTACATGTGCCTGTGTTTACACCTAAAAGAGCAATTCCTCGCTCTATAATATTGGCTTCGTCAGCTATAATTTTATTTAATTGCTTTTGGAGTCTGGCTTCTCTTAGTTGGGCTTCTTCAATCTGCTGCGATAATAGATTTGCATTGGAAGATGAAAGTGTAGTTTCAGGGTTTTGGCAATTTTCAGAACCCTTAAGAGAGTCTTTTACTGGAGATTTGCATCGGGTTGTTTTTTTAACTGAATTTTTAATCTGCATTTCTCTGAGTGGTGGCCTGTTATTGGTGACCTTATTAGCAATTTCAGAAGTCTGCAAATTATGTAAATGTCTGATGACATTTTCTGCCTGCCTTCTCCAATGTTCTACTTCTTGATCTCTTGCAGTCTCCTTTGCTTTATTTTCCTCTACGACTAATTTTATTTCATTTTCTTTTCTGGCTAGAGCTTCTTCAAGTTCTTGTGCTTTATTGCAAGACTGATAAAACATTCCCATTCTTTCTTGGCTCATTTTTTCTATCTCAATAAATTTTTCTTCTAATTCTTCTAGCGCACCTTCCAAGTTAGTTTTCTCTGTAATAAGCTGCTGAATAGACTGATTTAGGTCATTAATCTGTAAATTTTTGCTATCATTTAAATCACTCACTCCCCCCCCCCCTCGAAGTTTCGACCAAGATTTTTTTGGTCGAACTTCGAGGGGGGTTAAGAAAAATTGTTTTTTAAAAAAAATTATATAGAATTTTTTTTATATAATTTAGTAGTTAAAAAAAAATATTTATCATATTCTTCTGTATGGTTGAGAGGGTGTAAGGGTTAGAAAAAATAGTGAAGATGGTTTTGTAACACTTTTTTAGAACTTGAATACAAAAATCGCAAGCTCACCCCCACATAGTTTAAAATTTTTGAAAAATTGCTTATTTTCCTAGTAAATTTATAGGGTCTTGGTCGAACTTTGAGGGGGGTTAATTTCCAAAAAAATAGGAATTTTCCCTATATCTTGGTCGAACTTCGAGGGGGGGAGTCAGCTTAAGTTTTAAGCTATTTACTTCTTCTCTGAGCCTTTCTTCAGTTTTTTTTGATATTTCAAAATCATTAATTTTTTTTCTGCAGTCAATGTAATCTTTTTCTCCATATCTGCTTTCTTTTTTGAGATTTGTGGTTTCTTGCTCAACTTTTCCGAGTTCTTTGGCGAGCCTTTCACATTCGTCATTTAATTTTTTTATAATTGTTTCAGCCTTATCGAGGGCATATAAGCGGGCGCTGAGTTCTTCTTCAAGTTTGAATGATTTTGATTCTTCTGCGTCTAGTCTTTTCAGCAGATCTTCATTTGTTTTTTCTAGCTCCTCTTGAAGCTCTTTAAATTCTGCAATTTCTGAAATGATTGCTTCTCTTTCGTCTCCTAAAATCTTTATTTTTCTAGACTGCTTTTGTATCTTATCATTTAAAATTTCGCAGTTTTCGCAACCTTCATCTATTACTTTTGTCGTTATTTTTTCCTGTAAATTTTTTCTTTCCCCTCTTAACCCTTCAAGCTCTTCTTGAAGTTTCTTGAAATCCTGATCCATCATTTTCAATCTCCTTGTCAGTCTATTAACTTTTTCACATTCTTCTTCATATTTAGAATTTTCTTTACTTTTCCCCATGCCATATTCAAATTTTTGGTTTTTCTCAATAAATCCTCTATATTGTGCTATCATAAAATTTTCCCTATCAAAGACTGAATCTAGAGCATTTTTCATTGAAAAAATCAAATTAAAACAAATTCTTCAGGACTCATCCATCTCTTCTATATCAAGATCTTCTATATTTTCTAAACCTCCACGAGGGGATAGAAATCGAGGAGTTGATTGGCCTTCATCTCCTGTCAGGATTAAAGCTTCTTTTACAAGAGTTTCTTGGGTTTCTGCATGCTCAGTTAATTGTTCTTCAATTTTTGAAATCTCTTGGATAAAGAGGTTGACGTTGTGGTTGTTTTCAGTTCGGAAATAGGCTTGCTTCATTCATTCTTTGACGATTTGCGTCTCTAGATCCTGAATTTTTAGTTGAAGTTCATGCCTTGATACCATTTTATTTAATTTGAATTAAATTGAATTACCACTCAAGCCAATTTCCATTTAAGTTTTCTCGCATTTTTAAGTTTTAAGAAAAATTCTGTAAGGTTAAATCCTAATATATATGCTGATATTTTATTTAAAAAATCTAAATAAATTATTTTTAAGGGCTTTGCAATTTACTTATAAGTCCTCTTTCTTTGCTTCCTCAATTTTCTGAGAATTTTGATTATCCTCTACTTTCTCAGGCTCTGAATTTTTTTCACTTTGTGCTTCATTTTTTTCAGATTTTTCAGCAGTCGTTTCTGATCCACTTTGAGGCTCAGTCTTTGGCTTTTTAGGTGGTTTAGTAGAAGCTGGTGGTGGAGGTGGACTTTTTGGTTTTTCAGGCTCTTTATGTGTTGGAGCAGCTGCTGAGTTTATCCCATCTCCAGGAACATGCTCCCAGAAAATATCTTCACATGCCTTTGTATATTCATGACAAAAGTAACGTTCTAAATCTGCATCATTCATGGTTCTGTGAGTAAGGATCCTTTCTAATTCTTCTGCATGGTAGCCAACAAAAGCACCGCATCCTTTTTTGAATTCAGGTGGAGGAAAATCATAAGCTGTATATGTCCACATATTGCAAATATCCTCCATAGCTGCAATTACATCTGCTTCATTAGATCTATGCCTTAATTTCTTCAAAAGCTCTCTTGTAATTCCTTGGCAAACATTGCAATAAAGTTCCCCTGATAAATATCGAGGCTTTGATTTGGCTTTGGAATCTGGATACTTTTCTTTTTTGGCAAGCACTGCAACTAAGAGTATAAGAAGCAGAAATTTCATATTTTACACGTGGAAGTTAAATAATAAATCATAAAATTAAGTACTGATAAATCTTAATAGAAAACTGCAAAAAAATTATTTTTTCAGCGAATTTTAAATAAAATAACAAATTTTATTAGTTAATTTAGTGTCTTAGTTGCAAGTATTTGGAAAATTGTTGCAGAATTAATTATACAGCATTTTTTGAGGCTCAGTCATGGTTATTGAAGAGCTTTTAAATAAGCTTCCTTTTATTGAAATAGGAGGCGAGCTAAGGAAGGCTGACTCTATTCCACTTTGAAAGCCACTCATTGATAGGAAAGTTGATGAAAAAAACCGAAAATTTTCATCTGATTTAGTAGGATTTGTATCAGGCAGTGAGTCGTTATTTGATAAAATACTTAGTTCAACAAAACTTTCTTCATTCTTCATTTTCAGAGAATTCTTGCAAACATCTGTCCGGATTTCCATAAATGAAAGTTCTCCAGCCCGGTAGTGAGATGCTTGACAACAGCCCATTATTTTGGTTATAAATTAATTACAGTCACATAAAATTGGTGAATTATGGTGAACTCATCAGATAAAATGGATTAGAAACCTACTAGCTCCCCCCTTTGAAATTTTGAAAAATAAATCTACTCAGGCTATTTAATTTCAAAAAAAATTCTATTAAATTTTTCATAATAAAAAATGTTTATAATATTTTAAAACTAATTTTATAAATATCGATCTAAAGTATATAAAGTGCTAGCTTTGCTTAAATAGTATTCTCATTACTCTTTTAAGTTAAAATAGAATATTTATCGGTAAATCTTTGATTATGGCCATATTATATTGGATATCAAGCCATTTAAATAAAAAATTATTCTACCTATAAATATTGAACTTACTGAAAAATGAAATTTTTATTGGTATTTGCTCCAATATGAAGGGAGAGAGTAAATAATTTTTTCATATACAGGCTTCAATTCCTAACTCCCATTTTAGAAATACAATGGTGGCGCTAATGGAAGATGGACTCCGAGGTACACTCTCTATGAGCAGGTAGGATCCCATCCTCATGAAGCTGAAAATAGTGTCTCTGTCACTTTTTGAAGTAAGCCTCGGTATAGGAATGCCCGCTGAGGAGGGAAGTTTAGTTTCTCCTCTGAAAGCTTTCCTGCCCTTATCAGATGGTCTTGGGAGTTTTACCTTACTTAAATAGCGGCTAAAACCTAGAGAGCAAATCCTTAGGTTAGGTGAGCTTACACCAGATAGGCAGGCTAGTGGTCTATCCGCATATCGCCTTATAAAACATAGCTTAGCTTAACTCCCATAAATTACTAATATTTTTTTTAGATATTAACTGGGTACAACTTATGAATGTTTTATAGGATTTTAAAAAAAATATTAACAAATCAAATAAATACATCAAATATTAATATTTTAAAAAGCTAAAATTTAACAATCCTAAAATAAATTTAATAGTTTTCAAAAGAAAAAAAAAATTGTTAACTATTAAAAATCATCTATAACAGTATTTAAGGTAATTATTATAGATGAGTAAATAAGAATGTTTATTAATATTTATATATTTTTTAAAAATTCCAGCTCATTACTCAGCTCTCATTATGACGAATTAGCTAAATTAAAATTAAAAACATGGCGTATTTACACGTGTTTTTAACTCTTTTAGGATTCACACAAGCTGCTCTTTACAATTTATCGTCATCAAGTGTTCACATCCTAACAACCCAGAACTTCGATAAGCAAGTTACTAGGAGGAGAGATAAATGAGTGAGTGTTGTTCATTACTATAAAGAAAATGATGGGAGATCGGAACTTCATGCTGTAGAAATGAACCATTTTGCTGAAGACTGGCAAGGTGTTTTTATTATTGGCTCTGTTGACTGTGATAAATATTCTGAATTATGTGAAGCTCACGATATAAGAGAGTTTCCATCAATTAAAGTTTACCCACCATACCCAGCTCCAGTTAGCCTATATGAGGGTGAAGTCACTTCTAAATCTCTTACTCCCCCCCCCTCCGTGAGTGAACAAAAAAATTTTGTTCACTCACGGAGGGGGGTTAATTTTTTTTTTTTAAAAAAAATTTATATATAAATTTTATAAAAAATATTTTTTTTTGAAATTTAAAAAAAATCCTAATTCGCAAAAATTGGAAAGCAAATATTAATTCAATTTGCAAAATTTATGTTTTAAAAAGCAATTTGTTTAAAATTAAACAGAATTAGCTCTATATTTCATTATACTAATTATCATTTTATATATTAAAACTTTTTTTCCATAAAAAATTTTTCTATTAAAACAATTTTTGTTCACTCACGGAGGGTGGGTTTTTGGGCAAAAAATAGCGATTTTTCTAAATGGTTTTGTTCGCTCACAGAGGGGGGGGGGAGTTAGCGCATATGCAGCTAAATATGTCCCTTCGAACGTTATTGAAATTTCTAATGAAAATTTGCAGACTTTTCTAGACGACAAGCCAGCAGTTCCAAAAGTGATTTTATTCACAGAAAAAGCTGGAAATCCTACTCTCTTCAAAGCCCTCAGTGTATCATTTGAATCTAAAATGTTCTTTGGGATTGCTAGAAAAGATGACGATGCTGCAGTAAAGAAATTCAAAATCAAGGATTTTCCAAAAATCATATAAGATTTTATATCAGACTTAACTAAAATTTCAATGAAAATGCTATATTTCTCATTATGAGCTATATTAATAAATTTAGATAAAAATGAATAATTTATAAAACAGTAGACCAAAAGCATAAAGAATATTCTGGAGAAATCAAATATCGCTCAATTTTCGAATGGCTTAATGTGTATTCCGAAACTTTTGTTCATGGGGGAAACGAAGAAAGCTCCAGCACAAAATCTTGGATCATTGAAGCATTGCCTCAAATGCATAAACTTTCAGTTGATGATATTTGCTATAAACAAGAATCAATGTGTGGGATTTTCTTTTTAGAGTCACAGCCAGATGAGCATATTATTACAATGTCAAGGGTGCTTGCCAGCAAATTTAGCAATAAAGATAGAGGAATTAGTGTCAAGTTTATGTGGCTTGATTTAAATACTGATAAAGCCTATGCAGACAAGTTTGAAGGAGTAGAAAAAGATAAGCTTGTGTTTTTGAAATATGGCAAGAGAAGCAGATTCGTCCTGCATCAAGGAGAGTTAAGTGAAGGGGGTATTGAAAAGACTTTGACCAGAATTGTGGGTGGAGATGGGAAGTTCACAAATATCAAAGGAAGCTTACCTGAGTTAGCTCCACCCAAAACTAAGTATAGAGCTTATAAATATATTTGCATAATTATTTTATGATAATTATATATTTATTTTTCCTTATTAAAAGGAACGAGAATAATCAGTAAAATAATTAACGAGATTTCACAATTTTTGAGTAGAAAATTATATCGAAAAATATAAATTAATTATTCAGTGTAATCAGCAATCCCAATTAAAATATGGAGCCCGGTATGGCCTCCCGACCATGCAGCTTCCAATGCATATTTTAATTATTTACGGCAAGATTTTTCCAACCCAGAAATAGACAGCTATGCTAGGTAGCTAGTCCTAATCCATTTAGGGCCTAGAATTAGTCCGCTTTCAAGCTGGATTTTACATCGAGGGAAAGTGTGACTTGGAGTTGAAAAAGGGAAGCTCAGCAAAGCTTTATATGCCTATAGGCAACTCTCTAGCGTGAAGCCAGAAGCCACATCCTAGGCTGCAAGTTTTTCACTTTTGCCGAAAGTTAGACAGAAATTCCATTTTTTTAATTTTTCTCCCACGGCGACCCCAACTCAATTTACTCTTAGTTAGACGAGATCCTCAGATGGAGATATGTTAACTCCCTAGCGGGATGGCGGCAAGCGGCTCAGCGAAGCAAGGTGGAGATGCGCACCTCAGGCACTATCAGGAGCTTCTCAATAATAACTTAATGCTAATTTGAATGTAATCCGCAATACCACCTTCAGTAATCATATACGTTGCTTCAGCTTCAGGCAAATTCGGTGAATCGTACACTTTCATGACCCTGCTATCACCTCTCCCATAATTATAAAATCGCGCAGGGAGGAAAGGTTTACGAAATGGAGCATGCGCAGGAGTTAAGCCTGCGACGTCATCAACTGGGAGTTAAAAGGAAGGTTTTGATATTGCTCCCTGCTGAATAGAGAGTATCATGTTAAAATTCTGAGTAGTCTATTCTACTCTATCCCCTCTCCCTTTTCTCAAGGAAAGCCTGACAGTTGATGCATGCGCCATAATATGTCCACCAATAGGCTTTTTGGAGTCCGCTTGAAACATCGCTCCTCCATCCACCTGTGCTACGACTTGATTTGTGATTAAAACCGCAATCCCAAATTCGTCAGCCAGCCTTTGCAGATTCCTTAAAAACCTCCCAAGATGATTTTGCCTTGCCGCAAGCTCTCCTCTTCCTGTGTAATCAGTTCTATATAGTGCAGTAGCTGAATCAACAATTAACAACGCATAATGACTTTCAGCCATTATAGCTGCTGCTTGAATAAGCAATTGCAATTGATGATCAGAATTAAAAGCGCGGGCATAGCCTATATTATCTAATGTGGTTTGAGGGTCAAGCCCAAACCGCTTTGCAATTGATTCTATACGGTCAGGACGAAAAGTCCCTTCTGTGTCAATGTACATAACTTTGCCAGCAGCCCCTCCGTTAGAAGTTGGCAATTGCGAAGTCACTGCAAGAGTGTGGCATATTTGGGTTTTTCCTGTGCGAAATTCACCAAAAAGTTCAGTTAGCGCACCAGTTTCCAAGCCCCCGCCTAACAATTTGTCGAGTTCTGTACTGCCTGTTGTGATATAAATTAGGTTTTTACGGATCTCATATTGGTCTGAAGCGGAAATGAAACCCATTGGGTATAGCTTTCTGGCTGCTTCACTGATTTTGTCAGCTTTTGCTTCAGAAATGCCTTTCACTGCTAAAAGTACTTTTCGCGTTGAAAAGGCAATTGACTCTATAGTTTGAAAGCCTGCATCTTGTAGTTTTGTTATGTCAGATTGGTTAATCCCGAAATCCTTTAGTCTTTGTATAGGTATTGGGCCTGATTCAATTTGCATGTTTTCTTTGTCTTCTACACGCTCTACCTGCATTTTAAATATATATCTAAAATATGGGAAACTTTTAATTGTCTTTAGCATTAAATATTTATGGCAGATAAAAAATCATTAATTAAATTCAAGCACTCAAGCTATTTGATATTTATGTATTTTTTATTCTTGTGCAAGTATTTATTATAAAATATAGTAATTAATTTTTCCTTACATTAGAGTTGCATGCTGACCTGGACATTAAAACTCATTTATTTTTATATAAAGGAGAACTCCAAGCTAGTCGTTTTATTTAAAAGGTAAATAAACTCGAAAATGGACGAAGATAAATCAGGCAAAGACAACGATGAAGCTCCTCTAATAAGCAAATCTGATTATAAAGATCCATCTTGGGACGATTATTACAAAAAAAGCTACAAAGATCTGCTTAACTCTCCAAATGACCTTTGGATGGTTCTTTTTATTAAAACTGTCGGATTTGGTGGATTTTCAATGATTTTGGTCAGTGCATCTATCTATTTATCAGAAGTCCAAGATTTTTCAGACACCACAGTTGGCTTTCTATATGGAATAGCTGGCATTTTAGCTGCAATCTATACAGTCGCACTTTCAAGTATCCCTGACAGATTTGGAATAAAAGTTTCCATGATGATCTCAATGGGTTCTGGGTTTATAGGATTTATGATGCTTATATTTATTACTCAAAAATACATACAACTATAGCCCATACCCTTCTATAGATTTCTTATCGAACAAAATGTAATGGATGTTGAACGATCAAGTCAGACTCTATCAAAGGGACAAGCTTGATCTCTATACCAGAAGGGTTAAAAGTCACATGTCACAAAATGGTTGACAAATATGAAGCACGCGCCAATTTTAAAATGGCTTTATTATTAATTAATTAATATTAAAGTTGGAGTTATATGTTTTATTAAGGAAGAGATTATAATTTTATTTTAGCGTTTTGAAAAAGAAGGAAAAAATTGGTAAGATGCTTATCAGTATCAGTCTAAACTAGTATTTTAAAATCAAAGTAATTTAATAATAAAGCCATTATAAAAATTAGCGGGCTTACTTGTCAAATTTATTCACATTTGTCAACCAATTTTTGATATGCCACTTTTTAACCCTTCATAGTCTAGAGTTCCAGTTCGTTCCTTTGATAGAGTCTGTCTTGATGCTCAAATGTTTACTACTTTTTGTTCAATAAAGAAATCTATATAGGGGTATAGGCTATACTTATATTAGGCACATTTGTTTTAGTCCCTCTTGTTCTCAGTCCTCCAGCAGCCAAGCTAGCAGTAAAAAAATACACATCGAGCGACGCAAGAAGCATGGGATTTTCAGTTTATATGATGGTATTTTATGGCAGCATTGCTATTTCTGCAATAGCAGTTGACATTATTCTCACTATAGGTGATGAGGATCAAGAAACTTTTAGGATTCTTTTTATCATTTCTGCAGTTTGTATGGGATTTGCATTTTTCCTAGCTTTACTATTAAGAGAATTAGATTACTCTTATAGAGGGCAAGAAATTGTGGCTGTAGATAAAAATGAAGGCTCGAACTGGGAACATTTACGGTCAATTTTGGTTTTAAAATCTTTTTGGAGACTTGTATTGCTATGTGTAACTCTGTCGTTTATTCGGTCTGTATATAATCATCTTAATATCACTTTGCCTCTTTACATGTATAGAGACATTGAGGATGGGGCTCATTTCGGATATATCATTGCGCTTCATGAAGTACTTATGATTATTTTTATTCCTATTTTGACGATGCTGATATATGTGATGAATAATTACTCTTTGCTTGTTTTTGGGAGTTTTATTACGGCTGCAGCACCTTTAGTACTTTTATTTGGAGCTAGTTATTTAACGGTGTGCATTTTTGTGTTTTTTGTGAGCTTAGGGGAAGCGATTCATGCGCCGAGAATAATTGATTATACGATGGAGGTTGCTACTAAAGGACGTGAAGGAGTGTTTTTGGCAGTAGCTGCAAGTCCTTTAGCCCTAAGCTTTATTTTTACAGGTATAACAGCAGGTCCTTTACTTGAAGAATATTGCCCAGAAGATGGAGAAAGGGAGTGCTGAAAAGTCTGGCTATTTGTATCAATAATCGCGTTTGCTGCTACCCTTGTACTGCTATTTTGCCGAAAGTGGCTAGAGCAGCCATATTTTGAATCACATCCTTATATGTCTTGCTCAAAAGAGGCTAAAGAGGATAGGAAGAGTAAAGAAACCGAACAAATTGAATAGAAAACGCATTTTTAATTAGTCCACATTTTATAATTTATTTAATTGCTAACCGCAAAACTACAAATCAGTTATATTAACATTTAATTTTGATTAAATGTGAAGGAGATTCATATAATTCGCAAACATCGCATTTCTGATACTTCTTGTTGGTTTGATTCTTCTTATGGGATTATTTGAATATTTCCCATAATAAATATTCTTGGGGCTATCTTTTCCAGTTTGGATATTTTGTGATGTGTCTTTTATTTCTTCAAGCACAGTTTCTAAATGATTTAATTTATCCAAAACATGACTATCATTTATAATAGTGGAAGGTTTGTCATTAGCAGTGTTAAGCTCATCAAACAATGAAGGCATATTTTTTGAGCTTGACTCAGAAAACGACGAATCTTTTTTCATCACAATTCTTCCTTGAAATGTGCAAGGATCACTGCATAGTTCATTCACATTTGCATTTAATCGCTTAATTTGACACTCAGTTTGTTTAGATGCATCTAAATAATACTCAATAAGATCTCTTAATTTATTGCCCACATCTAAATTTATTTCCAGGCTTTCCAAACATTTTTCAACAACTTTGCTTTGAGATTCAAATGAGTCATGAAATAAGTTAATTTCGTCTTTTAAATCGTCAACAGCTTGCTTAAGCTTATTTGAGATACCCTTAGGTTTTTTAGATTTTATGTTTATATTGCTAATGTACTGACGCAATTGCATATTTTCCTCATTTAATTTAGATATCGTTTCACTCATAAATTTGTTTTCATCGCATGATTCTCTAAACTGGTCTGCTGATCTGCATAAAAATTACAATGTCATTTGCTCGATATATTTTTTTCGGTCTTCTACCGCTTCGTTGTATTTAAGAGAGAGTTTCTCTAATTTGTGCTTTAAGACGACAATTTCTTGTTTTAAAGGAAATTCAACTCTGCTGACTGTCTCATCTTTTCCATCATCGTAACAGGGAGACTCTTTTGGAGAAGGGATTGTCAGGCGACGCTCGTTCCGACGAAACATTTGTGATAAATTATTATAAAGTATCATATTTATTTAATTAGGAAGCTTAAAATATTAAACTAAAGGAATCACAGCTAAGAAAAATATTTAAAGATATAGTAATGCTATTGAAAATAATTTTATTATGAATTAGGTTTTGAGTGGATTCAGCATTTTTTATTTATTTTAAATTAAGGTTAAGGCTGAAATTTTGATACTAATTAATTGATTTTAAGCTTCTGAGTATGTTAGATTATGAAATTTAGAATATCTCTAAATGGCACTATCATTGATGAATATAATATTTCAGTCAAATTAAAGTCTTAATGCTAATATATTAATTGCTATTTTTTAATAACACTTTAATAATACTTTAATTGCGAGATATTTTGAATAATTTATTCTTATTTCAATAAATGACAAAAATTATTTAATATTTGTATTATGAACGGGTTTGAAGAAAATCAAGAAGGAAACAATCTCGATCCAGTTATGTAATATCTATACAGAGCTATTGACAAGCTGAAAAAACAAAACGAAAAGCTCAGGAGCGAGCTAAAAGTTTTAAGTCGAGCACTTGATGAAGCATTAGACAAACAAAAGAAGCAGGAAAGAGAAAGAGCCAGAGTTCCGCCTCGAGAAGAAGGCAGCACAGAAACCGAAAAAGAGCTTCAAACCTCTCTTGCCCGCATAAACAAATACAAAAAAGACATAGCGAATATGAAAAAGCAATTAGATGGAAATCTTAATGAATCTAAAATAACTGACTTAGAAAACCAATCAAAATACCTCAGCAAACGAATCCAAGAACTTGAAGCTGAAAACGCATCACTCATGAAAATCGAAAAAGAGCAAAAAAAAGCCCTAGATAGTGCAAATAATGCCCAAGGGTACCCAGAAAAAGTTGAATCCTTAAAACAAGAAATTAAATCACTGAAAGAAAGATATAGAGAGCTATTATCAAGGCAAAAACAAGACGAAAAAATATTGAAGGAGCAGCATGAAAAATGTGTGGATTTAGAAGAAAAATGCAGAAAAATCAAAGCTATGATAAAACAGAAAAAGCAAGAAGAAGACGAGCCAAAACCTAAAGAAATCACTGAAAGAGATATAAGGGAATTAGAAGAAAAAATAAAGGAAACTGAACAGAAGAAAAAAGAAGAAGAACAAAAACTGAAAAAAAGAATAAAAGAGTTAGAATCTCACTCCCCCTCCTTTAAATTCAACAAAAAATAATCTGCTTCAATTTTTCCATTAAATTAGTTCAAAACTAAATTTATAAAAATTAGTATTTGCCTGGATATAAATTAAAATTTTTTATCTATATTTTCCAATTTAAAATGGGGAGTCAGGTAAAAGAAAGCAGGTATAATATCAATACTTTGAACATCAAATTGAAAGAAAAAGACCAAGAATGCAGATTAAGTATGCTCAAAATAAAAGAGCTGAGGAGAGCAGTTAGACATAATCAGCTTAAGCCAATTCCAAGGCCAGAAAACAATGAAAGTGTGAACAACAGTCGCCAAAAAGTTATGAAATCACAAGAGTCAATAAATTCCAAGAATTCAGATGAAAATATAAGATTCAGCAGAGAAGCAAGAAAAATCAAAGATTTGAAATCCAGAAACGAAAAAAGCCAGGAATCTGGATCTGATATTGATGAATATCAAGGTGAAATTGGCAGAGACACTCCTCAAAAATCATCATCTGTTAGTCCTCAAGGCACACCCCAACAAGATTTTTCTGAAAGATTCGAACAGCCTATAGAGCCTGCAAAGAAAGCTGAAGAAGCTGATAAGCCTGCAGTCTTTTCTAAGCCAAACTTTAGACTTCGCTAATCATTGATACCTCTAAAAAATTGTTTACAATTATTCTAAATCTTTTACCTTTTTCCCGTCCTGCCAGAGAGCTTTTTTTACTTCACCGTTAGTCAAAATATACGTTCCTTCTCCATGCTGTCTGCCATTTCTCCATCCCCCTTTATATTGTTTTCCGTCAGCCCACGTATAAGTCCCATGCCCATGCTTTTTATCAACACTATATTCCCCATCATATTTTCTTCCGTCCTTTCATGTATAAACACCTTTTCCATGCATGTTATTATTTGTCCATTCTCCTTCATACTTTCTTCCATCAAGCCATGTATAGCAGCCTCATCCGCTGATTTTATTTTCTACCCAATGTCCCACATATCTGCTACCATCACTCCATGCATACAGCCCAAAGCCATTTTTCTTCCCATTATGATAGAAGCCTTGAAATCTGCTTCCATCAGCCCATTCTTCAACACCATATCCTTCTTGGAGATCATTTTTTCAGTCTCCTTCATAGCATGCTCCATTTTGGTGACGATACACTCCCTTTCCATTTGTTTTTTCGTCTTTCCACTGGCCTTCGAATATATCTCCATCAGTATGCCAAAATTTGCCATGGCCGTTTGCTTTATTGTCTTTTCATTCGCCTTCATACTTTGCACCATCTGGCCATATTTGGCAGCCTTGGCCATCTCTATTATTTCCTGTTCACTGGCCTTGGTAGACTGCTCCACTTTTATAGGTGAAAGGAGGTCTGTGCTCTTTTTGAGCTGAGCTGGAATTGGATATAAATGCTGGTTTGTCTTCAGTTAAAAAATGATTTCTAGGGGCAGCTTTGTTTTTGGATAGATGGGAGTAAAGCTTTCGTACTTGGTAGCCTCTTCATAAGGCTTGAAGCTTAATAACTGAAGATTCTAACTCCCCGTCCCTCCATGAGCGAACAAAACCATTGGAAAAATCCCTAATTTTTGCTCAAAAACCCATCCTCTGTGAGCCAACAAAATTTTTTATGGAAAAATTTGATACATAATTGATAATTAGTATAATGATATCTCGAGCTAATTCTTTTCAATTTTAAACAAATTGCATTTTAAAACATAAGTTTTACAAATTGAATCAATATTTGATTTTGGAATTTTTGTGAAGCGGGATTTTTTGAAAAAAAAATGCTATAAAATTTATATATAAATTTTTTAAAAAAACATAAACCCTTTCATAAGCTGACAAATTTTTTGTTTGTTCGCGGAGGGGTGGACTAAGCTTTTCTGAAGTGGGCTGGGATTTATTTTTGGGGCGGAAAATGATTTTGATGAGAGTTTGGTGATGTCAGTCTGAAGAGAGCCGAAACTTAAATCGTCGGCTAGGTTGTCTTGTTTGAGAGCTAAATCGAGATGCAGCTCTGATTCTTTGCTAGTGCATGTGCAGTTTGAACAATTAACTTGACCCATTTTAATTTAAGTGAGTCATCATTCGACAGTTTGGAAAATAAATCATATTAAGTATCAATAATTTAAGTTTAAGTTTAAATTTAAACGAATTACTCTAGTACACTCTTGCCTCTAAGTCTTGCTTACTTGAGGTCCAGCTGCATTAACAGCTCTGAACAGCAGTAGGTGGACCGGCATCATCGTCGAACCGTTAAAAGTAATAAGCCCTTCCAGACTTCTCTAGTCAGTGCCAGCCTCAGCACCGACTTCTTCTCTTAAAGCCAAGACTCTCAAGAAGCTTAATTTCTCTCACTAAGCTCGGATTATAAGTCAGCAGGTGCTAGGACCTATCCCTAATTGAATTTTTAATATTGTATAATTTAAGTAAATTTATTAATCAGCAAATCAAATAATTAGTTATTATTTTATGAGCCTTCACGATTCCCTATAAAAACTCAGCAAATATAATTATGCAAGGGATTCTCTTGCTAATTATATAAATTAATCACTATTATTCATTTAAGAATGAAGCAATGTCACTGTTACCAAATCCTTCAGGCTTAGGAGGCACTCCCTCTACTTCTATTAGCGCGAAATGGTCAATTTTTAAATTACAAACGTTGACCCCAACATTTGACAGCATTGTGTCAGTGAAGAAATGCTTCATCTCTTCCCAAGCCCTCTGGCACTCAGCGTCATGCTTGCTTTTCTTACAGCAGTAAATATTGGCTCTCTTGCAAATAGTTTCAGTGCTTGCCTCTGCGAAAAAGAGTTCAATAAACAGCAGATAAGCTTTTTGAACAGCAGGCTTAGAAAAGTATGACTTCACGTACGCATTATTCCAACTCTTATGCTCAGCCTCTGCATTTCTTTTGCATTTACCATCTGTATTTGGGCCTGATTCGGTTTTTGACTCTTCTTTCAAGACATCAAAGTAATCGAAAAAATGCTGCTTTATTTCTCCGATTATCCGGATAATTTCCTGGCTTTTAACGTCCAGATTTTTAATTACCTTGGCAAGAGGTCGATTGTTTTGAATTTGTCTAACTCCCCCCAATCCTTGATCGAACGGCTCGCCATCGTTCGATCAAGGATAGGATGGGGGTTAAAAAAATTTTTTTGGAAAAAAACTTTATATATAAAATAAAAAATATATATATATTTTTTTTTTATTTACTTTTAAATAAGAGGGGTTAAGAATATTTAATAATTATTTTTATAGCAAAAATTTGAATTTATTTCATAAAAATCCAATTTTTAATATTTTGATTTTTTTGTTACCCTTATAAACTGTATAAATTTTAATTTGTTTCTTATAAATTAAAAATTTTTAAATTTTAAAGAATCTCTAATTTTAGATTATTGAGTTTTTTAAACCCAAGTTGATGACTAAAACACTTCGGATAGTTGATTCCGTAGCTTCTGTCGTCTCAAAGCCTCTGAAAGCAACTTCATTAGGCACATTTCCCAAGCTTTTGATAACTAATATATTTTATAAATATAAAAAATTTGCATTATATGAAAATCGTTCGATTAAGGATGGGGGTTAATTTTCCCAATTTTTAGGAATTTTTACAGTCAATTGTTTGATCAAGGATGGGGGGAGTAAGGACTTTTTTATGCGCTCGAATTAGCTGAGCTCTTATATACTCTTTTTTTGGGTGTTTGGTTTTATCTTTATTATAATATTTCATTAAGAAAATTGTATCATCATGGTATCGGGTTGAAAAATTTGCTCTGTCAACACTTAGTTTGATTCCAGAAACCGAGCCTTCAGTGACTTTTGAGTTCCTATTCCTGCTACTATTCATGCTTTGAGCACTGCTTAAACTGCTGCTGAGAATACTGCTATTGACACTTGTAGTAGATTCATATTGCTCCTCATCCATTAAATGTTCTTCTTCATATCTTCAAGGCTCATGAAAATTTACCCCATTGTAACATAAATTTTGGAAATTATTCTGGTCGGGGTGTTCATCTTTCAGCTCCCATGAAGGCTCTATTTTATCAAAATCATCAACTTTTTCCTCTTCTATAATAGGAGCCAGAGAATGATCACTAAAATTATTAAAAACTCTTGGATCTAAATAATCAGTGCTACCATCGGCAAATGGTTCTGTATGAATCGAAGAGATGGTGTCTATTTCTTCAGTTGGAACTAAAGATAAGTTGCCCATTTTGGAGGTAAGAGAAGAGGTCGAGCTTTGTGAAAAATTTTCTTGAGCCATATTATGAATCTACAGATTAAGTTTAGTTAACTTATTGTATTCCGCATTTTTATTATTGCCATTACAACTTCCTGCCAAGTAGTTTAGACCTCCCCATCTGGTTAAAATTGAGCCTACCACCTTTTAATTCTACCAGCTATCTCTTACACATTTCTGACGTGATTTTAAATATTTAAATTAGGACATCTAGCCTTCATTGCTAATGTATATGCCCAGAAACCGATATTGATCGGCCTGGGCTGGGAGAATGCGTAGAAAGTTCCCGAGTTGGTTCTCCAAACCAAGCTGACGAGCCAACTCGGAGTTGGCAAATAGGCCTATATAAAGCATATGTTAACTCCCAAATTGGATCGTCAACTTGGGTGGAGAACCAACTCGAGAAGTTTCTAGGCATTCTCCCAGCCCAGACCGATCAATATCAGTTCCTGGGCTATAGTACATATGAAAAATTTATGCTGAAATCTTATTAGAGATCGAGAAGCTAAATATATTATTATCATAGATAGAAGGTTTGGATTTGAATGAGGTAGGGCTTGATTTCTTGAATGGCAACTCATTCATTTTCTGATTGAGGATTGCTGCCTAATTTTTATTTAGCTTGAAACGCTTTCAAGTGTTTGTTTTCAATTTTTTCTTGCTTTTAATAAGAAATCTATTATTTTTGTCTTTGGAGTCCTTTTCCTTTGAAAATTGACTTGATAAAGAACTATATTTTTGGAATATTCTAATTTTGAAAGGCTCACAAATATTTTTAATATATCTTTAAATGTTTAACAAGGCTTTAAATCCATAATTTGTTCACGTGTTTGCAATCAATTTAAACAGCAAGTTAGACACAATCCTATAATAAAATAAGCTTTGATTTTATATCTGCTATGCTATGAGAAAACTCTCTCCAAATTAGCCTTGGTCATTATAAATATTCAAAGTTTTGCTTTAGCGTTTTAGGATAAAATTTAATGGATAAACTTACTCTCTGCAAATTCGATTATATTATCCAGTAGAGAAATCATTTTATGCTTATACACCTTATTTTAATTTTATAGAATAGGATAAATTAATAGACATTAATTAATATGAAAATAAGAGGTGGCAAGTAATCAAGCTATATAGTCAATTTTTTAATTCTAATTCGAAGAAATTTTTATTAGTTAGCAGAGCCTTATCTGGTGTAGTCGTTAAGAATTTCCTCATTTTCAGCCTTTGGCCGATTTCTCTCGCTTTCTTTTTTTATAAGATCTTCAATAATTGTATCTTCTTGTCAGTATTCTGGAGGAAATCAAGGTGTAACTTCTTTAAGGTCTCGAATCATATATTTATTCAAATAGTAATGCAAGCTCTGCCATTTCTTAACGCATAGCTCTGAATGCTTACCATCTGGAGCACAACAAAGCATTTTAAATCTATTGCACAGCAAGCTAGGGTTTGCTTCAGCAAAAATAAGTTCTATGTACCAGAAATAAGATTCAAGAATTCCTTCTATTGAGAAGTAAAATATACAAAATTTATTATTGCAGCTGTTGGCATCACTGCTAGAGACATTTGCTCTTTTTGCTCTGCCGTCAGTTTTTGGGCCATTTTCTGTTTTACAGCTTTCGCTGATTGTTGAAATGTTCCGTAGGCAGATCGCTCTTAAAACATTTCATATATCTAGACACATACCATTTCTAGAGACAAAAGCATGCAAGCCCTTTTTAGGAATTTGACCTTGGATAATTTCCCTATTAGCTCTTTTGTGACCTCTAAGAACACGCAACCTTACATATACAGTTTTTATTGAATTTTGTATAGGATATCATTATTGGAAATTTTTTATTTTTCAACATAAACCATTTTACTCTTTTTTTGGCCTTTCTCCTTGCCTTTTTCTTTTGAACTGCCCTAGGACGAGGCTGTCTGGCCCAAGCCTTCTTCTTTTTTTTTCTGGAACCATAGCAGTAGGTGTTAGATCTACGGCCCCCAATATTTGCCCTTCATACGCATTTTCTTCTTGGCTCTGGCTATTTGATACAGAACTCTTATTGCTATACTCAAAGTATGAGCTCGCTTCATCAACACAAATGCCCTCTAAGTCAATATTTTCGAAGTCTCTTGGGTCTCATTGAGGAGGAATTTGATAAGTCGCAATGTGGTGATGGACAAGGGACTCTTGAATAAAAAAAGTTTCAGAATCTAGATCAACAGAGTTCTGTTCAGGGAAATTTAGGCCTATTTGATTGGATTTATCTTCTTCATTGCTTTCGCTGTCGTAGCTCATATTTTGTTAAGCGTAAAAATGTAGGATCCTTATATTCTACTTTCTGAGGAAAAATCTTCAAAAATAATAATAGGATTTGCAGTCAGAAGAGCAATGATTATGCAAGAAAAGCAAATATCGAATAAATTCCAAGTAAATATCTCTATTCAAGGCTATAAGAAAAAAAAATTCAGTCTTTTCCCTTTTTGTCATCTTAAATTCTATTATTTACTATGAGGATTTCTATATTAGAAAATTCACTAGATGCCAAGAATCCGCGATACTCATATATTGCATTTATGCTATCCAAATGATAAAATTAAGCAAAAGATACTGTTTATTGCAATTAAATTGGCTAAGCTTTTTATGTTTTATAAAAATTAGCAAAAACTTTGTATAAAATTGGTATTCATTTTTAAAGATTTCTACTTGACCAGATAATTCGTATTACGAGCCTAGCAAATAGTAGAGGCTATTAGCATGTGCAATTGATTTACAATTAATATCCGTTGAGTTATGAAGCGAACATTTTAACTTTAAAAATTAGTAAACAATAATATCGCAACAGCTTCACTATATGCGAAAAAGATAACTATATATTTTAATTTTCTTACTGGTAAACTTAGTAGATTGACATATTAATTTAAGTCAACGATATAAGATCTTTTTGATAGATATTAAAATAAAAAATGCTAACAAAGCAAATATTGTCATTAGACTGTTAAGAAAGCGGCTTAGTAAAAGGAAGCAAAAAGCATTTAAAATAATCTTTTAATATTATAAGAACCAATTTAAGTAGAATTTCTATTATTTAGCAAAACCTATAAAGTTGATTGCCTTAGAATATCTTCACTTTTTTGCTCATGCTGTAATCTCTCATTCTCAACTTGCTCCAGATATTCAAGTGTGTAATTTTTTTGATGGTATCCATCAGGGAATCAAGCTTTCATCACAAGGCCTCTAGTTGTAAGATCTCTAATCATAATATCATTTAAATAAGCATGCAAATACTGCCATTTATTCGTACACTCATTTGAATGCGGGCCATAACAACAAAACATCTCAAATTTTCTGCAAAGCACGCTAGGGTTTTTGTTCGCAAAGATAAGTTCGATGTACCAGAAGTAAGACTCAAGAACTCCTGGGATTGAGAAATAATTCCTGCAAAAATTATTGTTGAAGCTTTTCGCTTCATCACCCGAGATGATTTTCTTTCGGGATTTGCCATCAGTTGCAGGCCCGCTTTCTGTTTTGCAGCTTTGACTGATTGTTGATTTGTATCTCATGCAGGTTTCTGATAGAATTCTCCATATAAGTGGATACTGAGAATTTTGGGTGGGTTCAAAAGCATGCAGAGCGTTGATAAGCGGAGTTTGATTTTTGAAAATTTGTCGATGCGCTTTTTTATGGCCTCTAATAACACGGAGTCTAATATACTCCTTTTTAGGGGTTTTTTCTGTCCTTGTGAAGAAATTTGATAGGATTAAACTGTCTAGCCCACGCTTTCTCCTTCTTTCAAGGGCTACAGTAGGTGTTAAGTCTATGTCCCCAAGCATCTGTCCTTCATACACATTTCCTTCTCGACTCTGACTATTTGCTGCTGAGCTCATCTCGCTGCACTCATAGTTTGTAATCTCTTCATCACCTTCAATGCCATCAATATCAATATTTTCCAAGTCTCTTGGCAATGGGTCAGTAATAATTGGGTGGAAAACAAATTGACTGTGATCAAGGACATTTTCGATAACTAAAGTTCCAGAGTCCAATCCTGTAGAGCTCTGGGAAGGGGAAAATAGATTTGGTTTGTCTCCGTCACTGCTCTTATCTCTGCTATTCATATTTTGTTAAACCTAAAAATGTAGGATTCTTATATTCTGCTTTCTGCGGAAATAATCTTCAAAAATAATTAATCGAATTAGCAGTCATAAGAACAAGGATTATGCCAAGAAATACAAATATATGATGAGTGCTCATATAGGTAGCTTAAAGATATTTTCGGCTTTTCAACCTAGCTGATTTTTCACTAAAAGTGAATTATCAAAACTAGGTTTAGAAATTTAAGAAAAAAATGAATTTACCATCATTCATTCGTCGAATTTTTTATAAATGATATTCGATCATAAAAAATGTCCATATAGTAGTCAATTCTTATTCATGGGTTATATCAAATAAATCTCTCTAAAAGTAGCTACAAGACAAATATTTTCAGCACATTTCCCTTTTTGTCATCTTGAATTCTATATATTACCATCAAGATTTCTATATATGAAAATTCAGATAATGACAAGATTGAGTGATACTTAAATATTGAGTTTATGATTTCCAGATAATAAATCTAAGCAAGAGATGCTGCCTATAACAATTAAATAGGCCATGGAATTATTATTTTGTTCAAAACGACGAAAAAAGCTGTTTAGTCTATAATGGTTAACTTATAAAATACAACTATTTTATAGCTCTAGAAAGCTTAGAGCCAAAAGAATTCAAGCGCAAATATGAGAATAGAATTTATGCATATATAATTTTAAGTTATGCGAAAAGAAAAAAATTCATTTTAAATATTTAAATTGAATAAATCGATAGTAATAGCCAAGTTTAAAGAGCTATAATCCAAGAAATTTGCATTTTTGTGAATCTTAGCTAAACTGTTTCCGTTAATTTTTCAATTAAAATTTTCTTCATGAAACATCCATGAATAATGATAAATTAATTAAATTACTATGGATAGAAAAAGACAGCGAAAATTCCAAGGAATGCAGTGGATTTTTCTTAAATCTGAAAAACTCCAACCAAAAAACAATATGAGTATGATAGACAGCATACTTTCCCAGCTGGAAGAAAACTTTGACGATGATTTTGAAGAAATCACTAATTTTTCATCATCAAATTTTCAAGCTAAAGATACTTCAAGAGCAAAGATAAACGAGACCTCAATACGAGATAAATACACTTTAGCTCATATTGATGATGTTCCTTCAAAATTATATAAAAACCCTCACATAGAGCTTGAAGAAATTGAAAATTCATCAAATTTTGAACAAAAGCCTTTCCACAATTTAAGCTTCACTAGCAAACCAAAAATCAAGAAGAAATATCTCCATTCATCTAGTCATGAAAGACCTAAAACAATGGAGATAAGAAAGGTTATAATTCCTCCTAAACAGATTCCACGAATTCCTCAGGTTGGGCAGGATACTCCTTTTAACAGACGAAAAAGTTACGGAAAATGGTTTTTGCGCCCTCAAGAATGAAATAATTCTTTACATTACTTTTTAGAGCATTCTACGAAAAAAAATAATTCCTTTAGAATGAAATCTCAGGAGATTTATAAAATGTCTGTATAGAGGAGATAATTTCATAATTATAATATTTAATTAGAATGGTAAATAGTGAGACCTTAGAGGATGCTGTACTGATTGAGTGAATTGTGCTTAACTCTATATTGCTTGCTGTAATTGCAGTACTCTTGTTGAAGCATTATCATGAAAAGAGAAAACAAGTCCGTGAAGGATTGCTAAATGGATAAAATGCGATCTATAATTAAATAGCTATATTTTTCAAATTTGTTTATTTAATGATTTAGAGAAGCTATGACTTATTTTTATTCTTTACTTTCCATTTTGGAAAGAAGGTTTAAATTCTTGAGCATAAGGATTTAAAGGGATTGATTCCAAAACCTTACTCCCCCCCTATAAATTGGAACAAAAAAATTTTGTTCCAATTTAAAGGGGGGTTAAAAAATTTTTTTTAAAAACAAAATATCAATATAAAATTTTTTTTAATAAAAAAAATTTATATAAAATTTAAAAAAGGGGGATTCAAAAATTTATCGAATTAGATTAATAAATTTGTTTAATAAAATGCTATTTACTCTTTATACTTTTAAAACAAAGCAAGATGTAACTAAATTTTTATTATTAGTTAATATGCCACTATTAATTGGTATCAAAACTATTTACACAAAAATTATTATTTTTATTGATAAAAAAAATAAAAAAAAAAAAATTGTTAGAAAATTCATCGATCAAAGTGATAATTTTATTTAAATAAGATGTTATTTATACTCTATTCTTTAAAAAAAAAAAATAATAAGTAAATTTTGAATTTTTGTAAAGAATCCACATTGAATTTATATCAAAATTATTTAAATAAAAAATATCATTTTTATTAAAAAACATCATTTTTATTAAAAAACATTTTTTGAAAAATTTTAAAAAAAAAAAAAAATTGTTTTAAAAATTTATCAATTAAGGATAATAAATTTATTTAAATAAGATGCACTTTATAGTCTCTTCTTTAAACAAGATCAAGATATAACTAAATTTTTAATGTTAGTTAAGAAGAAGCATTTAACTTATATCAACAGTTTTTACATAAAAATTATGATTTTTATATATCAAATTTTTTATTATAAAATCAATTTTGTTCCAATTTAAAGGGGGGGTTAATTTACCAAAAAAGTGGAAATTTTACCTATATTTTGTTCCAATTTAAAGGGGGGGGAGTTAGATAAATCATTTGCTCTATTTGCTGGCACTTTTTCATAATTATATGAATTTTTGCCAGAGATATCTTTTAAATCATCAACTTCTCCATAATTGAAGTTTTCTTTGATTTTGTGATTTAAATGATCAAAGCTATCCCCTAATCCATCAAAAAGTATGTTTGATTCTTTGCTAATTCCTTTATCTCCCAAGCCCTGATGGAATTTGATGATCTCCTGAGAGGGAGTAGACCGGACAGCAAACACAGAAGACTAGAGAGGGAGGAGCAACTGGAAGACCTTGAAAAGGCTGGCATTACGGAGGAGATCGTACAGGAAATCGAGTGATGAATCGCTGAAAAGGAAAGGAAGGAGCTCTTAGTGGAGGAAGAGGCCTGGCGCACGACAGCGATGGTCAATGAGTCGTCCCGCTGCTAAAGGGTCAGCTGGTCTCCCTACGTGGCGGCCAGCCTAGAGGTCGCCGTGGGGAGAGCTGCTTCCGTGGGGAAAGGCTTGCTGCCCGAAAAACTGCCGGTGATGGCTCTTTGGGGCTCTTTGGGGGTTGATGTTTTTGGGGTCGATTGCTCCGGGGAGTTGTGGAAGTTGTGGGAGTTCTAGGAGGTAAGGGAGTTGAGGGAGTTGAGGGAATTCTGGGAGTTCTGGGAGTTCTGGGAGTTCTGGGAGTTCTGGGAGTTCTGGGAGTTCTGGGAGTTCTGGGAGTTCTGGGAGTTCTGGGAGTTTCTGGGAGTTCTGGGAGTTCTGGGAGTTCTGGGAGTTCTGGGAGTTCTGGGAGTTCTGGGAGTTCTGGGAGTTCTGGGAGTTCTGGAGTTCTGGGAGTTCTGGAGTTCTGGGAGTTCTGGGAGTTCTGGGAGTTCTGGGAGTTCTGGGATTCTGGGAGTTCTGGGAGTTCTGGGAGTTCTGGGAGTTCTGGGAGTTCTGGGAGTTCTGGGAGTTCTGGGAGTTCTGGGAGTTCTGGGAGTTGCGGGAGTTGTGGGAGTTCTAGGAATTGTGGAGTCTGGAGTCTGGAGTCTGGAGCCTGGGAGATTCTGGGAGAACTGGGAGATTCTGGGAGATTTGGGAGTGTTTTTCTTTTTTTGTTTGAAGTGGTGTTGGATCTTCTGGGAGTGGTGGCGTTTGGAGTAATGCTGGCTCTGGGAGTGGTGCTTGGAGTGATGCTGGTTCTGGGAGTGTTGGTGGAAGTAGTGTGACGCTGTAATTGGGTAGGGATAAGGTAAATTTTTTCTTCTTTATCTCCCAAGCCATTATTTGCAAATGCAAATTTTTTTTTATCTTCACCTAAATCTAAGTTATTTTTCTTCAATTTTGAAGCTTGTGGCCTGAAAGCTTTATACTCATTTCATAAGAATAATATAAGCTATGGCACTATTAGCCGATCATAAAATAAATAATTATCAGCATCAGAATTATAAAGCATATTAATTTTTTTCTTTTTGGTAGATTTTTTTATTGTCATTTCTTTGATTGGTTTTCAATCCTCAGGTGGCTTTAAGCAAATAGGAAGGAGGCTAAGCATGATATTTCTGTTGTAGAACTTTAAGTTAGACTTCTTTCCTTGAACTTTTCATACCAATACCAAGCTGATTACAGCTAGAATCACATAAAAGGCAATGTGATCAAGCATTTTTTGAATTTAAATTTTACTATGAAATGATTCATGCTATTTATAATTAACTACCCTGATTTAACTGATAGTAAAATATACCATTTATATTTAATAAAAGCCTTTTTTCATTTTTAGCTTTATTTTACTATAATTAAATATAGCAACTCTTATCATTAAAGAAATTTCTATTCGCTATAAATGGATATAGTCGAAAATTCATAATGGTCAGTTGAAGGGAAAAAAACTATAAATAAACACTGCAATGGCGCACTGGAGTATACGATCTTCTGATTCTATTTCTCCCCGAGACGATAATTACTATATGACTCAAGTTGACATTATGAAATCCAGCCTTAAAGAAACCGAATTAAGCTTAGTTAGGTCGCTTGAAAAAAATGCAATGCTAGTCACAAAACTAGAAGAAGCCCAAGATGAAATTGAAAGGAGTCATGACCAATTAGAAAATCAAGCATTACTAGTCAAAAGTTTAAAACAACGCTGCCAAGAACTAGAAAGCCAAGCAAGAATTGAAGAGCAGCCTGAAGAATGGGAGATACTTAACTATAAAAAGCAAATAGAGGTAAGGGAAAACCAAATAGATGAGCTTGCACAGGTAATAAGATGCAAAGAAAGAGCTATTGAGACCCTTACTTCAAATCAAGTGTTTTCACAAGAACAATTTGAAGGAATGAAGCAAGAGTTGGAGGAAAAAACTAAAGAGCTGGAATTATTACAAAGAAGGCTGAGATTTACAGAGAAATCGATTGATAACCTTTATTTAAATAATAGGACAGAAGGAGAACTGATGCTGGAAGTTGAGCACATGAGGAATGATAATAAGAGGCTTTTGGAATTGTTAAACCAAACCCAAGAATATAAACACTTAGCTCAATATTTAGAAGACAGCAAAGGAGCTCATTACGTTCAATCTTCTAAAAGATCTAAAAAAGGACAAAAGACAGACGAGCTCGAAAATTGGGTGCCTCAAGAAATTTTCAAATTAATTGATGTTTACAAAAAGAGCCCAAATGAGCTTACTGATAACGTCCTCCACACACTTGTATTAGAATTAAATACAGTTTGAAGAGAACGAGAGCGAACTCAAATCGAAAAATTAAAAAATAAATACAAAACCCAAATTTTGGACTTAAAAAGGCAGCTTTTCATGAGGCAGCCATATGATACTATAAAATCCCAAAAGAAAGTTTCTTATCTCAAAACTGAGCTCAAAAAGGTAAATGATGATTTGAAACAAAATTTCTCCTCAAAAACCACAAAGCTTGGCCCTGGAATTGATAGCATAGAAAGTACCTTGAAATTAATTAGCAAGCTCCAAGAAGAAAATAACAAGTTAAAACGTGAAATAGTTTTGTTGAAGAAAAAAACAGAAAACAACGATAATAAGTCAAAGCTTATAGAAAGCATGGGAAAATTAGGAGAACAAGTAATACAAGAAAGCACAAAAATGCATCAGCTTATTAATAATTTATTAACTGAATTTGAAGAAAATCCAGGCGGAGAGAAAGGGAATACAAAGAGAGAATGATTACTGGTAATAGATATGCAGGATAATATAGAAAAAATTGTAGGAACATTCAGTGGGAATGTGGAGGTGCTAGTTGACAGCACATACAGAGGATAATTAATGTTTAATACTAAAAATTTTAATTCATAAATGGATGCTTTTATAGGCCATTTAACGTTCTTAACTCCCCCCCCGATCCTTGATCGAACGATTGACTGTAAAAATTCCTAAAAATTGGGGAAATTAACCCCCGAACGATTTTCATATCATGCAAATTTTTATATATATAAAATTATATTAGTTATAAAAGTTTGGGAATATGTACCTAATGAAGTTGTTTTCAGAGCTTTGAGACGACAGAAAGCTGCGGAATCAACCATCCAAAGTGATATAATCATCAATCTAGGCTTAAAACCTCAATAATCTAATAAAATAGAGATTCTTTAAAATTTAAAAAAAAAATTTAATTCAATAAGAAACAAATTAAAAATTTATAGGTAACTAATAAATCAAAATATTAAAAATTGGTATTTTATGAAATTAATCAATTTTTTGCTGTAAGAATAATTATTAAATACTCTTAACCTTCTTATTTAAGAATAAATAAAAAAATATATATATATATATTTTATTTTTATATATAATTTTTTTTCCAAAAAAAAATTTTTTTTTTAAACCCCCCATCCTTGATCGAACGATGGTGAGTCGTTCGATCAAGGATGGGGGGGGAGTAAGCATTTTTGCATTTTGATACAGCCATATTATAACGTAAAATGCTTCACGAGCCAGAAATCCTAAACGGTTGGAAAAAGGAAAATTTTGGAATTCAAAGGAAAAGCCAGACAAAGGCAAAAACAATGCCTGGCTTATTTCCCTCAAGAGGTGCACTATTGAATAAGAATCTAAACAGATTTGGTGAAAATAGTGATGATTCTCCAAGTGTTGGGGTTGAAAGAATATCGTTTATTGCTCAAAGCAGAGAAAGGCTGATTGCTAGTGAGCCTCAAATCAAGTGTGTGCCCTCGTTTTCTACGAAATTCTTAAAAAAACTGCCTAGAATGCATGTGAGGGCAAGCACATTATGCATGCCTCACCCTCAAGAGTTAAGCAATACAATTGATGAAGCGCCACCTACAGAGCTTTCTGAGATAGATATTAAAACCGAAATTGATTCGATTTGCAAACCTCATGAAACTCGCCCAAGAAAATTATCACCTTTTACTGCTAAAATTAAGTAATAGCAAAAGGATCGTCCTTATTTTTGATAATAGATTTCTTACTCCATTTGCTTAAAATCTCTTTAAAATATTCATTATTTAAATTTTATGTTTATATTAGAACCATAGTCCGGAACCTATTTTGAAAAAGGGGCACACACATGGATTTGAACTTAAGAATTCCATATGTGGAGCCCTTATATATCTTAATTTGACATGTGTGGACCACTTTTTTAAAATAGGAAACATAATATAATTTTTATGGACATTTTAAACTAATCTATCAAAAGCAACAAAAAAAAATAGAAGCAAAACAAATATTGCCATAAGTTAGTAAATTAAATCTCCCTTTTATTTTTGTCAACATTGTGATAGTGGATCGCTATCATCCCGATATGTATCGAGACGATCGGGGTTGGCTTTATCAACTTATATTGATGAAAAACCCTTGAATTTGCAAATCCATCAGACAATCATATTTGCCATTTGAAAGGTTGATAAAACCAATCTTATCTCATAGGGAAGTCAGGATGATGGCGATCCACCAGCGTAGATATGCTATATTTTCCTCCGGCTAAATTCTCAAATTAGCAATGCAATTTGTGAACGCCATAGTTTTAGCCTCAAGTTTCATTAAAATTAATATTACATTTCCTTATATTTTTATCCAAAAGCACCCCACTCACCTATTTATAAAATAGCTGTAGAATTAAAAGAAGCTTGAATTTACTTTGTCTAATAAATATGGCATCAATTATATACACCCTTGTCGCATCAGATGATTCCACAACACCCCTCGCAGAAGTTGCAGTTGCAGAAGGAAACTTCCAACTTCTTGCATTGAAGCTGTTAGCCAAAGTCAAGCACAATTCTTCAGCTTCATATGCATATGAGAACAAATTCATGTTCCACTATCACAACGAGAATGGCTTCACATTCCTTTGCATGGCTGACGCGGGGTTTTCTAACAGAACTGCCTATTTATTCCTCTTCGACATAAAGGACCGATTTTATGAGAAATTTGGCGACAAAGCTCGCAATGCAATTGGATTTTCCGCAAACAAAGAATTTTCAGAGGTCATGAAGCAAAGAATTAATTATTTCAATAGCGACCCGTCTGCTGATAAACTGAAAACTGCAAGGCAAAACATTGACAAGACCAAAGATATCATGATAGAAAACATTGATAAAGTTTTGTCAAGAGGGGAAAAAATTGAATTGCTTGTGAGCAAGACTGCGTTTATGAGTGAAAGCGCTGTTACTATGAGAAAACAGGTAAGAAATATATAGGCTGTCAAAGTGAAAAGGCATATGTGGTGGAAAAATGCAAAACTTACGTTGCTGGTTAGTGCGATTGTTATTGTAAGAAATATTCAGATCATTTTATTCTTTGTGATTGTGCTCGCTTGTGGAGGGTTTGGGTTCTCAAATTGCAAGTAAATTTATTAATCTAAAGAAATATAGAATTGGAATTCTAAATTGGCTGCTTTTATGCATGATTTAGATCGTTAAAATAACTAATTTTATGTGCAAGAATTCCTAATTATTGATAAATTCCTATAACACGTGAATTCATTTACATTTAATAATTATTTAGTTTAATCAATAAATGAATTGCAAGGAGGCTCAGCTTTTCTCCATCGCTCATCTAATGATTGCATATCGCAGCTAAAAACTGGCTTCATAAGCATTTTATTGACTTCGTTATGCATATTGCACATCCAGATAGACAATTTTTCTCGATTTTCTAATTCTGGAGGCTGGTTTTTCATCATGTATCTGAAGTGGCTGGCACATGATTTGCAAGGATATACTCTTGAGAAGGACTGGATAAATTTCTGGTGAATCTTCTTGCATTCTTCGCTGGGCTTGTCAGGATAATGGGCAGCCATCGTGTGTAAGAGAGCCCACCCACTTTGCCCTACTATGTTTTTATCAGGAGGGCACTCGACTTCTATGTCTCCTGAAAAAGCTATGTTTAGAGAAATATGAGTCTCATTGCAAATATCATCTTGACAATCCATTGTGTAAATTAATTATGCTATATTAGACTTTCTGAAAGACAAATTTAGACAAAGTTAGCTCATTGCTTAGTTTGATTAAATGAAGAGGATTGATGCAAATTTATTTATACTAATTCAATACCTCATGCATTATAATTAATATGGGCATAACAGTCCCTCCATATCATAAAATGATATTGATTTATTTTATAGAGACTATAGGGTTTGACCTCAACAGCCCTTATCGGGCTATGAGGGTCAAACCCTATAATAGCTTCCAGCTCCCCCTCGTGAACAAAAAAATTTTGTTTGCCCAAGGAGGGGGTTAATCTTTGTTATAAAATTTATATATAATAAATTTTTTTTTTCCAAAATTTAAAAAATTCCAATTTGTAAAATTTGAGAAGTAAAATTAATTTAATTTGCAAAATTTATGTTTTAAATTCAAACTTTTTAAAATTAAACAGATTAGCTAGAGATTTCATTATAATAAATATCACTTATATATCAAAATATTTTTTGTATAAAAAATTTTTGTTCAGGGAGTAAGTTAAGTTAAGTTAGTTAAATTGCTAAACTGGCCATAAGCGTTTGCACACTAGCCTTTGCCCCGTCTCGGCTCCAAGCGGGAAATTCCTCTTCCCATTGCTTACTTGGTTTTCCGTCTGAACCACTCGAACTCCCATTGCTTACTTGGTTTTCCGTCTGAACCACTCGAACCCAAGGGTTAGCCCACCTGGGTTCTTCGCCCGCGTCTGAGCGCTCCGCTAGTCCCGACAGAGAAGGACTAGGTGGTAGGACAAAACCAAGCCTGGGCTGGGCAAACCTACGGAGGAGAAATAAAACTTCACCCGGAGAGGACAAGAGACTCCTTCTCCATGCCCTACTAGACCCCGATCCGGTCATACTTCGGTCGAATGGATTTGTGGAGCCCTGCCTTGCCCAAAATGGGTGAGACGCCTCGGAGCTCAACTCCGTCATACGTCACCATTTTATTTCTTTTAGGAGTAAAGAATTTTAAAAAGTTTCGTAAAATTAAATATCAATCAAAGTAAAATATCTTGCTATTTTAGTTGCAACTCTAAATCAAAATAAGTATCATATATTATGGTGATCACTTCTATGCTAGTGCAAAATCAAAAGAGACTTAATTTCTATAGAACAATAGAAATTCCAAAATAGCTTTAATATTACAATCTAATAAGAGCTCAGTGATAGAGTGATTTACAGCTCCATTATGCTTTCTTATCTAAAAATATGGAAATCAAACGTACTGCAAACTGGGCTGAGTCAATTTCATCAATTCTTCGCAAAACTGAGCTCAATTTACTACGACTCCAACGCACCTCTTATCTACACGACGAATTCACTCGACCTCCATCAACAATGACTCATCTTGACCTTTCCATGGATCAGCGGCAACGTCCAACCTTATTTGAACCTGACGACAATGCTTCATTAATCCAACAAGAACTCGCAGGAGTCCGTCAAGCAATCGAGCGGCTAGTCTCTGAAAAATACAAGCAGCATCAAAATGAAATGCGAACCCTCAGCTCCAGAGTTGCAGATATTGAAGATAAACAAATGGCTTTTGAGGACATCAAAGACGAACTTCAAAACGCCTTTCTCTCAATTGGGAGGAAATCCTTTGGTGATACTAGAAAATTTGATGAGAATACCAAAAATTATGTGACGAAAGAAGACTTAAAAACGCTAGAAGAATCATTTCAGAATATTCGACAATCTCAGATCAACCAATTGGAAATACAAATCAGGGATTTAAGGAAGGAAAACTCAGAAATCAAAGACTTGATTTATGAGATTGTGGACGAAAAAATGAAAGAAACTGCAAAAAAGTCAGTTTCTCCATATGAATTAAAAGCGATTAAAGAAGAAATCCAAAGTGACACTAATTTTAAAATAAAAGAGGTGGAAAGAAAGTTGTGTAATGATATTGAAGAAGTATCAAGGCAACACTCGCAGAATAGTGAAGACTATAGCAAATTCCTTAACTCTTCTCCTCCGTGAGTGAACAAAATTTTTTGTTCACTCACGGAGGGGGGAATAAGGATTTAGCGAATAGTATGATGCAAAAATATGATTTATTGTCGAAAATGCTAGATGATTCTAAACAAAATTTAGGAAAGGCTCAAAATTCAATGCATTTAGAAATTTCACAAATAAAGAGCCAGATGAACTCATTTCAGACAGAGTTCAATACAATTGATGAGCTTAAACAAAATATAGGCAATGTTCATAGTTATGCCTCAGAAGAGCTGGGGAAGCTAAAAAAAGAATTAAAATTGCTAGAAAATTCTGTTGATACACAAGATATTGAAATAGAAATCGAAGGAATAAAGAAACGGCTAGAGCATATGTCAACGCAATCTGCTCAGCAGGATTTATCTATTTTTGTTACAAGAGAAGAGTTTAATCAGCTCGGCAACATCAGAAGAGATTTAAAGCAGCTAGAAGCAATGATAAATAAACGTGACTACGACAAAGAACTGGAAACGTTAGGAAAACAAATATCCAATATTCCTCCACCTCAGGATTTATCTATTTTTGTTACAAGAGAAGAGTTCAATCAGCTCGGCAACATCAGAAGAGATTTAAAGCAGCTAGAAACAATGATAAATAAACGTGACTACGGCAAAGAACTGGAAACACTAAGAAAACAAATATCCAATATTCCTCCACCTCAGGATTTATCAAATTTTGTAACTATAAACTATTTAAATGAGCAGCTAAACGATGTTCAACAAAATCACGAGGTTTCTAACCAATTTTTAGCTCTTCAGCTTAAAGCAAAAGAGCAAAACGAAGTTTCAGCAAAATTAGCGAATAAAGTTGATGATTTAGAACATCGGCTGATCAAGCTAGAAGAAAATGAATCATCCTCAGAAATCAGCTTGGATCTAGGAAGAGAAGAAGAAACTGTAGTGAAAAAACAAGAGAAACCAATGCTAGAAGTTTTAAAACCAGAAGAAAGCAAAGAATATAGCGGACTAGCGACTTTTGGAAAAAGTGAAGAAAATAAAGAGCCTGAGTTAGTTGCAATTTCGTTCAATAACTTAGGGGAAAGTGATGATGATAGCCAAGGATTTGTGTCACCAATGATATCCCCTATGAATCAAGTTGTTACAGGTCCTATTGGCTCTGCAAAGCCTGCTAAAAAATTCCAGTTTTCTGAGCCTCCAATAATACAAGAAGAGTCGCATGAGGAAGAAAGCTCTTCACCCCATCCAAAATCAAGTGAGCCAAGGAAGGATCTTGATGAGTATATTAATGCATTTTCGCAAGAACTGATTCGAACAGAGCTTGAAGATAGTTTGCTTGTTATAAAAGAAGTCATAGATAGACAGCCAAAGCCGAAGGTTGGCCAAAAGCATGAAAAGCTGCTGCCTAAGAGAAAGTAATTGTTTATTTTAATTATATAGGATATGAGAGGGCTGCATTTTTATTATTTCTAAAAATGTTATAAAGAATGAAGAGCTGCGAAATTAGAAATGTAGCTTTAGAAGTCGCAAAATTAAAGCTGCTTATGAAGTAGGTATTCTAAAAATATAAAATTCATAAAGATAATGAGCCAATTGTTTTTGTCGATATCTTATTTAAACGGATTATCACTTATATTAAAATAACAGTCCTTAGAAGCTACTTTCTTTATATTAAGTGCTATATTTTCTAGACGCCAACATTTTTGGTTCATTTAAAAAAGATTTTATTTTGATAAAGAAAATAGTTAAAGAGCCAGAGAGATAAATATGTCAGAAATAGGTGAGAGACAAGACAGCACCAAAAACCAAAAAATATGTTTATATATTATATTTGGACTTTACTTATTACTCTTGCTTATTTGTTTATCAAAAATGCTGAAGGCTTTTCTTCTATACCGATTTTGGGGGCTGATTAGAGCTAAGATCTCATATTGTATTATTACCACTGTCTTAATCCGTAAATTCCTATATAGTTCGCATCATGTGGGCAGCGGATATATTTTTCAATTACTCTGACTTCACTTATGATATGCTTGATGTGCTTCCTTGCGCTACTTTTACACTCCTAGGAACGACTTTTGCCCTATTTTGGATTGAGATGTACATAAATACCAGTGTTCAGCTTTCAGATACCCAAAAGAGAGCTTATAACTTGGCAGCCTTCTCAGGCTTTATTTTTGTCAATTTTTTGAACTATAGTTCTCACATTTTTATAGTCGTGATGTCTTATGATGATAAAGGATTTCTCATTTTTGGCAGAGTGTGGCAAAATTTGGTAATCGTCAATGTATCTTTTTTTATTTTTACGACAATTTGTTTGGCTTTTGCTGGCAAACTTTTGTCAACTCATGTGAAAGATATGTTTAATGGGCCTACTGGTGAGTTTGTATCAAAAAGGATTACATATAGCTCATACCCCTATATAGATTTCTATATCGAACAAAATGCAATGGATTATTGAACGACCAAGAAAGATTCACTCAAAGAGATGAGCTTGATTTGTATAACAGGAAGATTTAAAAAGTGACATGCCAAAAAATGGTGACAAGTGTAAAAAAAGTTGACAAGCAAACGCGCCAATTTTTAAAATTTTAATTTCTTGATAAATATCTTTTAATAAATATGGGATTATTTTTAATTAATTTTTATAAAAATAAGCCCCCTTTATCGACCAAATGTAAAATGCCTCCTGGCGCCGAGCAAACAGCGATGAAGCATCTTTCCTTCAAACCATTACAAATCGTTATTATTTGACTTGAATTTTTATTTGCCCAATGAAATTCTTTTGAGTCCTCTTGCATTATATTAAACTCGTTTTCGCAAATCACTTTTGTTCATTAAAAAAAGGGCCTTTATCGAACAAATAATTTTTTAAAAATAAGTGCCCTTTAACGAACAAAAAATGTCTCCTAGCGTGGAGCAAACAGCGATAGAGCATCTGTCCCTCAAATCACTGCAAATCTCTATTATTTGACTTGACTTTTTTATTTTTCCCAATGAAATTCTTTTGAGTACTCTTGCATCATTATGAACTCGTTTTTACAATTCACTTTTGTTCGTTATATTTTTATTAATTTTTTAAAAAATAAGCCCTATTTATCGAACTAATGTTAAAATGTTTCCTGGCGCGGAGCAAATAGCGATGAAGAAACTTTCATGCAAACCCTGCAAATCTCTATTATTTTGCATGAATTTTTATTTGCCCAATGAAATTCTTTTGAGTCTTCTTGCATCATATTGAACTCATTTTCAATTTCACTTTTGTTTATTATATTGATATTATTTTTAATAAATAATCTCCATTTAGCGAACAAATAATTTTAAAACAAAGCCCTTTATCGAACAAAAAATGTCTCCTGGTGCTGAGCAAACAGCGATAAAACATCTGTCCCTCAAACCATTGCAATTTGACTTGAATTTTTATTTACCCAATGAAATTTGTGTGAATCATCTTGCATCATATTAAGCTCGTTTCCGCAATTCACTTTTGTTCGTTATATTTTTATTAATTTTTTAAAAAATAATCCCTATTTATAGAACAATATTTTTTTAAAAAATAAGTCTCCTGGCGTGGAGCAAATAGCGATGGAGCATCTTTCCTTCAAACCATTGCAAATCGTTATTATTTGACTTGAATTTTTATTTTCCCAATGAAATTCTTTTGAGTCCTCTTGCAACATATTAAACTCGTTTTCGTAAATCACTTTTATTCATTATATTTTACTAATTTTTTAAAAAAAAAGGGCCTTTATCGAACAAATAATTTTTTAAAAATAAGTGCCCTTTAACGAACAAAATAATTCTCCTAGCGAGGAGCAAACAGCGCTGAAGCATCTGTCCCTCAAACCACTGCAAATCTCTATTATTTGACTTGAATTTTTATTTTCCCAATGAAATTCTTTTCAGTCCTTTTGCATCATATTAAACTCGCTTTTGCAACTTACCTTGCTTGTTATATTTTTTATTATTTTTTAATTTATCGAACAAATAATTTTTTTTAAAAAATAAGCCCCTTATCGAACAAAATATGTCTCCTAGCGCGGAGCAAACAGCGATGCAACATCTTTCCTTCAAACCACTGCAAATCGTTATCATTTGACTTGAATTTTTAATTTCCCAATGAATTTTTTTGAGTCCTCTTGCATCATATTAAACTCGTTTTCGTTTCTTCATTTTTGTTCGTTATTATTTTATTAATTTTAATTTATCGAACAAATAATTATTTAAAAATAAACCCTTTAACGAACAAAAAATGTCTCCTGGCGCGGAGCAAAACAGCGGTGAAACATCTTTCCTTCAAACCACTGCAAATCGTTATCATTTGACTTGAATTTTTAAATTTCCCAATGAAATTCTTATGAGTCCTCTTGCATCATATTGAATTCGTTTTCGTTCCTGATTTTTGTTCGTTATTATTCTATTAATTTTTAATTTATCGAACAATAAATTTTTATAATAAGCCCCCTTTAGCGAACAAAATATGTCTCCTAGCGCGGAGCAAACAGCGATGCAACATCTTTCCTTCAAACCACTGCAAATCGTTATCATTTGACTTGAATTTTTAATTTCCCAATAAAATTCTTTTGACTCCTCTTGCATCATATTGAATTCGTTTTCGTTCCTCATTTTTGTTCGTTATATTTTATTAATTTTTAATTTATCGAAAAAAATAATTTTTTTATAATAAGCCCCTTTAACGAACAAAATAATTCTCCTAGCGAGGAGCAAACAGCGATGGAGCATCTTTCCTTCAAACCATTACAAATCGTTATTATTTGACTTGAATTTTTATTTTCCCAATGAAATTCTTTTGAGTCCTCTTGCAACATATTAAACTCACTTTCGCGACTCACTTTTTTGTTCATTATTTTTATATTAATTTTTTATTTATCGAACAAATAATTTTTTAAAAATAAGTGCCCTTTAACGAACAAAAAATGTCTCCTAGCGCGGAGCAAACAGCGATGGAGCATCTGTCCCTCAAACCACTGCGAATCTCTATTATTTGACTTGAATATTTACTTTCCCAATGAAATTGTTTTGACTCCTCTTGCATCATATTGAACTCGATTTTGCAACTCACTTTGCTTGCTATAGAAATTTCCCTTAAATGGCGCAGTTTGCCCTTGATTTGCCCACCGAAAAAACTTTTTGGTTCGACCAGTACCATATGGTTTGGTCAAACCAAAAAAAAAATTTTCAGTGGGCAAATCAAGGGCAAACAGTGCCATCTATGGGAAAATTCTATATATTTTTATTATTTTTTAATTTATCGAACAAATAATTTTTTAAAAAATAAACCCTTTAACGAACAAAATATGTCTCCTAGCGCGGAGCAAACAGCGATGCAACATCTTTCCTTCAAACCACTGCAAATCGTTATCATTTGACTTGAATTTTTAATTTCCCAATGAATTTTTTTTGAGTCCTCTTGCATCATATTAAATTCGTTTTCACGACTCATTTTTTGTTCATTATTTTTTTATTAATTTTAATTTATCGAACAAATAATTATTTAAAAATAAAACCCTTTAACGAACAAAAGATGTCTCCTGGCGCGGAACAAACAGCGACTGAGCAATAAGTCTTGAATTAACTGCAAATCTCTATTATTTTACTTAAATATTTATTTCCCCAATGAAATTCTTTTGAGTCCTCTTGCATCATATTGAATTCGTTTTCGCAAATCTCTTTTGTTCATTATATTTTACTAATTTTTAAAAAAAAAGCCCTTTTTTGAACAAATAATTTTTTATAAATAAGCCCCTTTATCGAACAAAAAATGTCTCCTAGTGCGGAGCAAACAGCGATGGACCATCTGTTCTTCAAACCACTGCAAATCTCTATTATTTTACTTGAACTTTTTTATTTTCCCAATGAAATTCTTTTGAGTGCTCTTGCATCATATTGATATTGTTTTCGCAATTCACTTTTGTTCGTTATGTTTTTATTAATTTATTAAAACATAAGCCCCATTTATCGAACAAATAATTTTTAAAAAATAAGCCTCATTTATCGAACAAATGTAAAAATATATCTAAAAATATTAATTAATCTCAGTCTAATTGGGTATCTTTAATTTTAAATTAATTTAATAATAAAAGCCATTTTTAAAATTGGCGCGTTTACATGTCAACTTTTTTCACACTTGTCACCATTTTTTGACATGCCACTTTTTAACACTTCCTGATATAGAGATAGAGCTCATCTCTTTGAGAGAGTCTGTTTTGCTCGTTCAAGAGTCCATTACATTTTGCTCGATAAAGAAATCTATATAGGGGTATGAGCTATATGTCTCGATATTCTGTGGAATGTGCTTTATACTAAAATCAATCCTGCCTTTGCTGCTATTTTCAGTTAGCTATTCAACAGGAAAATACCAAGAAGTTGATGATGTTTTTATACTTTGTTATTATGGGCTTATAGAAATTATTCCTATTACGTTGGCTTTGATATTAATCCAAGTGACTAAACCAAATTATGAAGAAGATGAAGATGATTCTTTGCCTGAAGGTCTTTTGCCTAACTACGATAATTCTCTTTCTCCCAGCTCTACATGTTCTTCAACTCAGCTTCAACTTAAAAAAAGACTTTTAAGTGTGGGCGATGACTCTATCTGCCAGGCTTTTTCAGAGAGGCTTACCGCAACATTTTCATCTTATTACCCATAGCTTTTTTCAAGGTAATAGTAAAAAATTAATTCATATAATTGTACTATTTAATAGATTTAAATTAAGTGCTCAATTAGGAGAATAAAAATAATTGAACATTATTTCATAGACAAATACTTCCTTTCTACAGCTTCTATCATGTCGTCATCTGAAGACTCACTTCCGCTCTCATAGTTTATCTTAGGCACACATATAGTTTTGTCAGAAGATTCTACATTGAGGAGGTTTGGCTTAAGGATATTGGAAACATTCAGTACTTTGTTGACGCTTGGAGACTCTTTTGGCTTTATTTCAGCTTGTGTTTTGCTGGAAGGAGAAAAAGTGAGTTTGGTTTGGCAGGTGCTTGATATTTGTACAGTGCTAGAGGCTGGGTTTGTTTTGGTAAGGGGAGAAAACATTAGCTTTGATTTGACTGGGATTGGAGATTCGTCAGGGGATTCTTGAAATTCAGATGAACTGTTATAGTGGACCATTTCGTGATGATTTTCATTAGAGTCATGCAGCCTGTCCTCTGAGCCTGATGTGATCAGCTTTGGATAGTTTTTTTTATTACTATATTGTCGTGCACTTGTAGCTTGCTGATGAGGAGGTTTTCCTTCTTTTAGTCTTTTTGATGCCATTTTTGAGGCAAAATTGGGGCTTTCTTCACAGTGGTGAGGCTCTTCTGGGGGGTTATTGGCAACTATGCTTGTATTGGTGCCTGATGATGCACTTGTTCGTGAATCTGCTACAAAATTTAAAATGTTTGGATATGAGCTTTTACTAGGATTTTGAGATTTGAACACTTGCTCTTGTAGTTCATGGATTTGAGCTTGCAGCTGGGCAAGCATTTTACTTTGTTGGCTTATTATCCTTTCTGAATCTGGGGAATATTTTCTATAGCTGTCTGAAGATCGATTTCTAGCAGAGCTTGATCTAATTGTCATAAATGAAGATCCCTGGTTCCTTAATTGTGACGGTGGCCTAGGAGGACAAGCTATAGGCTTAGGTGACTTTCCATATAAAACTGAATTCTTTATTGTGCTTTTTCTTATACTAGCTAATGAAATTTCAAGAGAGCTCACTGATTGGTCTTCTCTTAAAAATGTCACAAAGCATGGAGAAAAGTATTCCCCTTCTTCCATAGGTAATTCTGCTACAAATGACGTTGTTTTTCAGCTAGAAATTCCTTGACACGAGACTTCGTAATACTTTGGCTTCCCATTAAAATGCAAAAATAAAATTGTCATATCTTCAGGACTTGGCGATATTTTTTCTCTAATGCTTTTGGATTCAATAAATTGGACACAAGCAGCCCAAACCAGTGGGTGGACAATTGAAGACTGCTTGCTGTTTTTTGACTCAGGAACCCCTGAAACTCATACCCCTACTAACGGGTACTTGTAGGCTAATGGATCAGTTATTAAGAGCGGCAATGCTCTTCCTGACTGGTCTAAAGTCAAAAATCCATATTGGTACCTTTCAAGCGAATTTTTCGTCAGCTTAATGCTGAGTGGTGTCGAAACTAGCTTAAGTGGTGCAATTGGAGTAAATTGAAGGGTGACTGCAGGAAACAGCAGCTCACACTTCAGCAGCAGCCTTTGCCCTTTTTCATCTGCTGAAAAGGCAGCACACACTCGTAGTATATCTAAAGGTTCTATGAGTTTTTCCCTATTTATTCTTCTGTCTATACTATTCATCATATTTTCAATAATTTTTTCTTCTATATGCAAGTGTTCTGCATTTAGTTCATGCTGATAAATCAATGGAATTAAATAGTCAGCTATGGGCGTTGGCTCTCCTCGTGATAGCCAGCTGACTTCTTGTGTTTTTAAGCTTAAGTAGTGGGAAGGAGAGTATTTAAAGGCTGTCATTAGTCCTGAGACGTGCGATTCTGGATTATTCGAAAAGTCTCATAGAGAGCGCAATACATCATTCGTGATTTTGAATTGAGGAAGAATCGAATTCATTCGCAAAACAAAACGTTTCCCTTGAGGTTGTCTTGGCCAGAGGTCGGACACTACTGCATTGAGATTGAATTCGCATACATTAAAATGGTGTGGTGAGCCAGCACGCCTTCTTAACACCTATAGTCAGCTTTTTCAATTTATCTGTCTGGGTTTTACTTTATTTGGCGGAGTTGGTCCAGGTCAAGATTTTACCCTTAGGGAGATAGCTCGCTGTAGATAGAAAGGGGACGTCTAGCAAGGCGAGAGGATGTCACTTGGTCATCAGGCGAAATCCCTAGCACGATACCAGGTGTTGCGTCCTAGGCTTCGGGTTCCACCTTGGTATTGGTAGACAAACCCATCAGAAAATTCACTTTTCGAATTTTCTAAAAGATAAGCCCTGTTGCCATACGGATTGTGACCTAGTGTCTCGACTCTCGGGTAGAGAGTTCAACACTCGCCTGTGAGGAGCAACAGAATGGAAGGTCATGTCCGGACTGGCAGCAAGTGGTGGAGCGTTATGTGGAGGTGAGTAGTAGCTTTAGCCTTCTCTATAAGTAATTTAAGTTTAAGAAATTAATTTCGCGGGAAAAGGGGGTAAATTCTTCTTGGTATTCTGAAATTCCTTCTATGTAACTCATTTTTTAAAATTATTTAGGCAGATAAAGAGCCAAGCATGACCGCGGGCGAGATTATTTTTTCAATTTTGTGAGAAAATAAGGAGAAGGAAATATTAGTTGTAGAAAATATGAGGACAGACTGTGTGAGAAGGAATAGTTATTAAATTATTATATTGTTTTAGTTAAAATTTCAAATAATAACGTCTGAGTTCTTTCATAAATATTTTTTTAAAACAAAGTTAATGCTTGACCATTTGGAATATTTAATTAAAATTAATTAAATTTCTTGCATATCGCTACTCAGCTAATGCATATCATTTTGTTATTGCAATAAATTCAATTATAATGATCATTATGTTTTATTTATCTAATCAAATTAAGTCATTTATTAGCGGTATGACAATTAGTTGCAATTCTGCTCCAACATAGGCCATATATTTATTTTGCTACTTTATAATTCAATAGCCTAGTTAAACATGGATCTTCAAACAGATGAAATCCAAAATCCAGGTCAAATTTTTGAAAAACCAAAGCAATTTTCAGTTGAAATGCTAATGGACAAAAGTGATGAAGAGCTTCAAGTCGCCCTTGAAGAGTTAAGGAAAAAAGATCTCCAATACTCAGGAGTTTTACTTCAATCATTATTACCATCTCAAGGAAGATGCCCTGTCTGCACTTTAAAGGTGCCTTGCAAACACTATTCCTCAATCGACCAAATTCCGAAGCAAAAACCTGTACATGCAAAAAGATCTGTATCACCTATATTAAATTTATCTTGCAATCTGGAAACGCCTGAATCTTCTAGCTTGTCTGTATATTCAGCATCCTCAGGACAAAAATCACTGCAAATGCGCTTTAGGACTTCTGATGGAACGGTATATCAAGATATATTGAACCATCCTCAAAGGCGAAAATCGCTTGAAGAATACAGAAAATTGAAACAAATAGAAAAAATTGAAATATATAGGGAAAATAAGCTAAGAAAAGAAATTGAAAAGATTGAGGAATTGAAAAGACAGCAAGCAGAAGAAAAGGAAAAGCTAAGGGAAGCAGAAGAGAAAAGAAAGAAATATGCAGAAAAACAAAAAGCTAAAATCAGAGCCTATAGAGGAGCTGAAATGAATAAAAAGAAACCTGTTGAAGGGGAAACTGAAATAAAAATAAAAAACCGATCAGTTGATGAGCCGAAACGAAGGCCAAACAACATAAAACTGTTTAGACTGCAAGAGCTTAGACGGAAAAAGAAAAATTTAGATTACATTATTGATTTACAATTTGAAAATTTAGAGAAAGAAAAGAAGCAAAGAATGAACCAAGAAAAATAAAATTATTATGCCTGTATTTAACTTGAATAATAAATAAATCACATATCATATTTTTATAGCCTATTTGTAATGAAAAATTAAAGTCGATTAAGTTAAATAAATTATTGGATCTAGGAATTTAATAAAGCCTCAGCATCAGCTTCTTTAGATTTCATATAGCATCGGACAAGCACTGGAAACATCAAAACTTTTAGCACAAAATCGAAAAAGCCCATAACAAAAGAAAACCGCTTCGCATTAATTGCAGGATCACTGTGCATTTCAAACACAAGAAACTCCGAATCACATGCTATTCATAAAACATCAAATAAAATCATAATAGCAAGCATTATTAGCCCTAATCGATACCTTTTAGTATCCCATCCTTTCACCAACCCCATAAATGCCCAGCAGGCCCAAGTCACATTTCCAAAATCTGGCTTATCAAATGACGTACAAACTCCTAAAAGCGCCACCATCAGTATCCCTACCGTTAAAATTGTATCCCAATTTCCAACTTCCTAACTATGTTTTACCTTAAAATGTTGGTCTGTAAATGCATGGACTTCATGGACAATTTTGCTTTCAAGGCGATCGACCCAGCTTTCTTTATGAAACATCCCAAGGGGATTTGTACCAAGCTTTCTTAGCTCAGTTTCAACTCTGTCTTTTTCAGCGACATCTTGTACAATATCGTTGTCCATTCCTGAAATAATTCCTTCTAGATACTCTGTTTGTCGGTGGATTCATTGGATTGCAAGCATTATTCTTGCATTTGAGACTCTTCCTGTCAGTTGGTACCATCCTTCATGCTTAGCTTGGTCCCTAAAATCTTGCAAAGGGATAGAGCAAGTTCCTAATAAGTCATCTTTTGAGACTGTTCCTTTGTTGAAAACTTGGACTAGGAGCTCGCCAGTTCCCATCGTTATTTTAAAGCTAAAAGTTTCGTCCCAATTAGGATTTTTATCAGATGGTATCGGTTTCGTTGCGATTTGTTGTCTTTCACATATAAGATTGACATAAGCAGTTGGCCTTCCAGTGACCACATTTAAATTTTGTGCTTCAATAACTCTCACAGTAAAGGTACTTCCTTCCATGATTCCATAGGTATTCATCCTTTCAACTTTTTTCGCTTCTTCTAACTGCTCTCTCAATGTAGCTAATTCTTTATTTTTCGCTAAAATAGTTTGGTTATACCTTGCAATGGCTTCTGAAAGGCCGTTGACTTGCTCAAGATACCCATTAATAAATTCATCAATGCTAACTCCTCCGTCTTTGTTTACATCCATTGATTCAAAAATAGTTTTCACGTAATTTTCGTCAACTTCATCATTGATTCCTCTTAAAAAATTCAAAATTTCTTCAAATGAGATAGCTCCACTTTGATCTGCGTCAATTTCTTTGAAAGCTCTACGAAGTTCAAGCTGGCGCTCATGAGAAATTCTGGGATCTAAAGCAAACCTGGTGTTTACTTGAAAAGGAGAAGCTTTAATCTTTTGGTCTACAGATGCCAGCGCCCATTTCGCAAGATTTAGAGGATTCTTAGCTACCTCTTGTTCCATTTATATGAAAAAGAATATTTTAAATAATTTATTGAGAGGTCAAGCTTTTAACTAAGCCTTCCTTTGGTTAGTGAGAAAAATTTATTTGCTAGGAAGTAAAATATTTTTAAAAAATCATTTTTGTATCAGCTATATTTGAATTTATAATTAGTAATTGTAATAATGAAATCCTAACCATATTTATTAAAACTTTAAACGGCTTTTGTTCTAAAAATATATTGTGGAAGCTATTTCACGTGTGGAGCCTGATCCACAATAAATGCAATGCATTATACAAATTTGGATTTTTAAAATCTGCAAAAATAATTTTATTTTAAAAAAATGAATCCCCCTTAATTAACAAACAAAAAACTTGCTCGCTATTTAAGGGGAGAGTAAGGAGATGGACTCAGAAGATAAAATTTCTAAAAAATTCAAAAATCTTTGTCTTAGAAAAGCGTCCTTTAGAATTTTGCTGAATTCTTCTTGCTTTAGTCCTTTTAGGGATTCTAAATTATGTGTGAATGCTTTTAAATCTCCTTTTTCAAGGGCAGACTCAGCTTCTTGTAGAAGAAGCAAATTACCTTTACGATCAGTTTCTTCTTTATTTGAACGGGTAAAGAGATAAGTAAAGCTTGTCGACAGATAACTTCATCTTAAACTTAACCTAACTTAAACTAGCAGATAGCACTAGATTAGTTGTAGCGCATTCACCGAGGATCTCCAAGGGAGATTACATTGCTTTGAGACCGTGCCTCCGCCAGGGATGACAATGTCTCCTCCTTGCCTCCCAGCTTCAGTGTTGAGTCAGCAGCAGTCTTCGGATTTCTGCGGTCAATTTGAGAGGAGTATAAGGTTATCCATACAAAAATCCAAAAAATGGGTTTTCTGGTCGACCATCGGAAAAAAGGTAAATTCTTAGACCAGGGCATAACTCCTGTTTTCACGCTGGAGAGCTTGCCTGTAGGCATGGGCTGCCCAACTTCTGAGTCTCATCTCCCTTGAGATAAAATCAAAGCCTGAAAGTTGACTAGGGTTAGGCTCCATAAATACAGGAATTGCTTATCTATCATAGCTGTATTTTTTTGAGCCATTAAAAACCTTAACGGAATATATTTTTTTAGCTTACCGCTGTAAGCTGAGACACCATATTTAAATTATGGCAGGAACTTCATCAATTATCAGACTTTAAAGGGGTATTTTTTTTATTGTTATTAGCAAACTCCTTGAATACTTTAAGCAATTGGCTCATAGTTGGGATGCCATGCTCAATTATTTCTTTATAGTCATCCTCAATAGATGCTAATACTGAGTTAATTTTTTCATCTTCTTTTGCAAGATCTTTAAGAGCAGCAAGATCATAATTCAAAGTCTCTTGACCGCTATTGACTTTTCTTTGAAGATTTTCTATATGAATATGCAGCTCATGAACTTGGTTTAATTTGCTTATAATATTATAATGCCGCTTTTGGCTTGATTCCATATCATTAATCTTTCCTAATATTTCATCCAATTGCTTTAATCGCTCTTCTGTGATTTTTTCGAATTTTTTATTTATTTCCCGAATTTCTTGTTCATGTTTTTCAATTAATTCTAAAGTAGCTTGCTGAATAATATAAGATTCATTAATTTTTGCTTGTTTCCAAAAATGCGTTTCAGCATCAGTAACTTCTTTTTCTATCCTTTCTTCTCAACTATGATCTCTTTGCTCAAGTGCCATTTTCATCTCTTCTTCATGCTTTTTAATGACTTCTTTAAGCTTTTCTTTATAGCTTCGTTTAATCTCTTTTGATTTCTCGAAAAAAATATTAAAATTTCTTAACTCTTTTTCTTCATGGTCCTTTTCCAGATCCTGTTTAAGTTTTTGCAGATACTCTTCGATACTGCTTGAGATCATTTTATGAATAACTTCGCTATTTAGATTTTCTGATTTTTGTAAATCTTTCTCTAGTTCTGCAAAGGAGTGTGCTTTTTCTTGATTTCCATTCGCAATAAATAAATTCGATTGATTTTCATGACTTTCTTCTTTGGCTTCTGAAATCTTAACAAGATTTTCAGCTTTCACTATGGTAGCTTTTTCGATTTTATCATTTTTATTTTGGTCATTCTTACTATTATCAAAAGAAACTTCTTTATTTGTGTCATTTTCTGCATCAATTGCTACAGAATTAGATTTTTTATCATTTATGTCAATTGAAAGCTTTGAGCAGTTTAGGTTTTCACAAATAAAATCCATAAATCTTTGCTTATCATTTATTCCTGGAATTTGATTAAAAACGAATTCTTCAATATTTGTGTGGTGTGTTTCCTCAAAATCTGGATCTTTTATATACTCAAGAGGTGGCTGCTGTAACTCATTATTTTGATTTTTATTTTCTCTTTCAAAAAAAAGTCCATAAATGCCACTGATTCCAGCAAAAGCAAGGGTATAAATAGCTCTCTTTCCCCCACTAGCTCCCAATAATACAATCGGCGATGAAAACTGTCTTCGAGTGCCTCGCCACATCTATTGTTTAAAATTTTATTTATTTAAGATTAAACGATGTCATATAAAAGCTCATTTGAGGAGAGTTCTAAAGGTTTCAACTGAACTTTTGGCTCTTCTTCTGGTACTTTTTCTGTCTTAACAGCTGTGTCTTCTATTATTATGTTTCCTGTTATAATAAGTTTCCTAGTTTGACAATCAAATTCAGCATTCAAAGAATTCATGTCCATAATAAATGGCATTCATAAGTTAATTGCATAAAATCGGCCAACTTGGAGGGAAATTCTTTCTGGGCTTGCTTTAAGGTCAATTGCTTTGCCTGTCACTAATAAGTCTAAAGAAAATTTCAGCTCAAATGTTTTGGCTGTTTTTAAAGTTTCAGGATCAATATTATTTCCATCAACTTTAAGTTCCCACTCAGGAGATTTTACTGATTCTATTGGAGTCTCAAAAACTTCCTTATCTAAAACTTCGATTTTTGGCTGTTTTTTACCTCTAATCCTCTGTTGCTGAACTGTAGCTCCTTTATATTTCAGTCTCATATATCTGAACTCTATATAGATATTACTCAAAGATAGCTCCTGCTTATGTTTTTGGGCTATATGAGATGCACATAATTCCATCAGCAGCTGCCTCGTCTGTGCGTCATCTTGTGCTTTCTGCAGAACTGTAGGGTTAACAATAACATCATAAACTCTGCAAATGCCTCCCTCTAATTATTGTTTACTTTTATCAAAATCAGATTTTGGATTTCCTAAAGATAAAGGGACTCTTAAGCCTATATGATCATCAATATTAGGAATTTCTTCCTCTTGTGGAGGATCTATAAGTTCATGTGAACAAATATTTAGAAAAACTTTTTCATTTGTTTTGGAGTCCACAGTTTTAATTGCGAATCCTTTTTTTGGGGTCACAATAATTCCTCCTTCTTCATCCATTTGGCCTTCAGGCTTTCTTTGATTGCTTTGATAAGCATTAATGAACTGTCTAAGTTGTTCATCAGAGATATTGCTACCCATTTCGGCGAATTCTTTGGATTCTTTTAGTTTGCTTAAAAGTTCCTCCATAATTTAATAAATTTTATTACAATTTTCTGAATTCCTATAGGTTTTACAAATATTAGGATTTATTTTTCCCATAGAATTTCCGATCATATGAAAATATTTAAAATAATGCCGAAAAATGCATTTTTTGGTATATCAAATTCTGGTTTCTATAAGAAAAAAAAATCTATTGATTTAAAAATGTCTACTGCATCAGCTCTAAACTGTCAGCAGACAATAAAAATGTTCAATAACATTGAATAAAAGAACAGAAAACTATTTTTCCTATGCTGTCATAAGTAAAATAATATTTTAATTTAAATGGAGTTACGAGTCGGTGGCAAGTATAGAGTTGGAAGAAAAATCGGAAGTGGGTCATTTGGAGAAATTTATACCATTGATAAATAAATTGATCAGTGCATTAATAAGTCTAATTTCCATAAATATGACGTCTTTGCTTATATATGAAGCTATATTTAGGCACAAACATCCAAACTAATGAAGAAGTTGCAATTAAGCTTGAAAATGTCCGATCGAAGCATCCGCAACTATTGTACGAGTCACGGCTATACCGAATTCTTCAAGGTGGTGCAGGCATTCCTAACATCCATTGGTATGGGGTAGAAGGAGACTACAATGTGCTCGTCATGGATCTGTTAGGTCCTTCTTTAGAAGATCTCCTACAGTTCTGTGGGAGGACTTTTAGCTTAAAGACAGTTCTGATGCTAGCAGACCAATTGATTACAAGAATCGAATATATGCATTCTAAGAATTTCCTTCACAGAGATGTAAAGCCTGACAACTTTCTAATTGGGTTAGGAAGAAAAGCAAGCCAGGTCTACGCGATTGATTTCGGACTTGCGAAAAAATACAGAGACCCTAAGACAAATCAGCACATTCCCTACAAAGAAGAGGTACATTAAAATGGTCGCATGTGTCAGCCTGCCCTCTTGGTGCAGCAGTCCAGACCTTTTGTGGCCATGGTGAACTGGGACGGACTCGAGTCAAGAATCAAGTGAAGCCTCAGGTAATGACTTCCTGTGGTTAGAAATGGAGATGCCCAAAAACGTCTTTGGATCCAAGGACGAGTGTACATTTCTCTACCGAAAAACAGTCTTTTTCCTGTAGCTGTCGAAGGAAGGCACTTCGATAACTGACACTCCAAGGAGCTGATCTTGGAATCAAGCTATTCCAATTGTCCACCAAGGCCGCAGAAATCCATAGCCTACCCACTCAAGACTGAAGCTGCAAGGCAAGGAGAAACAGAAGGTACTGAAAGTGGCACCCGTTTTCTGGGGATAGACACTCTGGGCTGGAATTGAAAAGTGGTAAAAACTTTGGATACGGGACGTCTTTGGTGGCTGTGTCACCAATATGGCTAACAGCTGACTTTAAATAATCTAATCTAATCTTACCCTACAGAGAAGGGAAAAATCTGACAGGAACAGCCCGCTATGCTTCTATAAACACACATCTTGGTATTGAGCAATCTCGCAGAGATGATTTAGAAGGCCTGGCATATGTCCTTTTATACTTTTTAAGGGGCTCATTACCTTGGCAAGGACTACCAGGAAACAATAAGAAAGAAAAATACCAAAATATCATGGAAAAGAAAATGACGACTTCAGTGGAAACTTTATGTGCCAGTTTTCCAAGTGAATTTTGTACTTATTTGAATTTCTGTAAAGCACTGAGGTTTGAAGACAGGCCAGACTACAGCTATCTTAAGCGGCTGTTTAAAGATTTGGCATTCAGAGAGAATTTTCAGTATGATTTTGTTTTCGATTGGTGCGCGCTAAGACAGCAGCCTGAAGTGGAAGTGCCGCAGGTCCAGCCTGCACAAGCACAGATTGCAGCTCAACAAAGAGAAAAGATTAATCATCAAGAAAGCCCAATGCAAGAAGAAACAAAGCAGCCCCGAAATGTTATAAAGGGCTCCATCTCAAATAATCATAAATTTTTTCAGTGTGCGCATATTATTGATAATGAGACATTTACCGAAAAATTCGTCAAGTTTCAACCAAATGATACACTATTTAAAAATTCGACAATTTTTTTCAAAGGATTGAGCACTATTAGATTAGATTAGATTAAGCCGTTTGCCTTGCAGGGCCGGGGATTCGCACCCCTACACGCTCATCGCCCCTGAGGAGCCTCGGCGGACACCCTCCTTGTTGCCTCAAACAAGGGATTCGCACCACCAGTCTTGACTTCCATGGCTTCTGGAGTCTAAGGGCCAACCACCTGGGTCGAAACTCCCAGTTTCTCGTTGGGCAAATACCGTCTTCTGGGTCTGAAGGTCATATTGCCTTCAAACATTGGCCGACCTTGCCCTTTCCAATGGTTGTCCTGGAGGAAAAACTCCAAGTCCGAGGATTAGCTCCTCGGGCTCGAAGAATACCCAGCCCGAACATACATAAAGGATTACCGGCCCCTTTCCACCTAAATCTCCACCACTGGGCCGTTGCCTGCTGGTGTTGAAGAAATAGGGTCGAGAGGTCGGGTGGTCTGTTGTCACCATTTTTATGTATATGATTGAGCACTATTAAAAACGCACAATCATTTGGCATGGAGCCATTATAAAGCCACCCCAAAAAGCAACACAGCCTGGACCAAAAATTATGGCCTTCGCTCAAAGACCAGTGAGATAGTTTAATAGATTATGATAATTTGAATTTTAAATAGGCTGAAATCATGTATTTTAAATGATTGATGATGTCTACTTAAAATTCCCTGTAGAATTTGTGCAATTTCTGAATGAAAATCAGGTGGATCCTGCAGTTTTTATGCAGAATGACCTGCCGAGGTTTGTGAGAGTCAATCCAAAAAACCCAGCTGATAAAGCTCAATTTTTACAAGAATTGCAGCAGTTAAACCCAGAGGTCCAATGCAGCGTAGAAGATTTAGGCTGAATCAAAGATTTTTGGGCGGTATCTGGAGAAGCAAAAATAGTAAATACACCTAGCTATATTCAAGGGAAAATTTATGGAATGGATGCAAGCTCTGCAATACCAGTTTTATCATTAAAATTAAAGCCTGACATATCTGTATTAGATATGTGCTGTGCCCCTGGAGCCAAGCTCCTTTATTTAAATGACCTTCTTGATGAGTCTTCATCTATATCTGGTATTGATATAAGCCAAGACAGACTTAAAGTTACAAGATCTCTATTAAAAAAATATAACGCAAGAAATGAAATCCAATTGATTTGCCATGATGCTTTGACATGGGACACGGATTTGCAATTCGATAGAATATTAGTCGATGCTGAGTGCACACATGAAGGATCAATTAAGCATATGAAAAAGTTTACAAGACAATGGGGCTGGGAGACTTTTAAGAAGAGAGTTATGGATACACATGTAGAGCTTGAACGACTGCAAAGAGGGCTGCTAAATAAAGGATGTGACTTGCTTAAGCCAGGAGGGAGAATTGTTTATAGCACTTGCTCGTTTTGTAGATGCGAAAATGAAGATATTGTGGATTTTGTTGTGAATAGCAGAAATGATATGACTGTTAAAGTTGTGGAAGGAGAATTTCCGTGTAAGAGAGATAGAAGTTTTATGAAATTTGATCCTCTAATATCGAGAACTGGAGGACAATTTGTAGCTGTTTTAAAGAAAGCGAAATAATACAAAATTTAGGAGTTGATTATTTATACTCTTTAAAGTAAGATACTACGATTCTTAAGAGCAAAAGGTAATTTTTTACTTAAAAATGTTTGGAATTTTGTTGCCATATTTAGCAAAACCATTATATTTTTTTAATTCTGCAAGTTTAAAAAATGCTGACATCTTCCTTCTAAATATTAGTTTCCCTACTTTAGAATGAAAAATCCTAAACGCTGTTTTTTGATTCAAAGATGGCTCTGGCAATTTTTTTCTTGTAGAAATCGAATTCTCTTCTATTTTTGCATGAAGTGCTGGTCCTTCGAAGTCAAACGTCCCTTCTAATATCGAGTCTAAATTAATTCTGCTAGATTGAAACTCTTCTCGACTAAATTCAAAAGAGAGTGATTGATCTAAAATTCTTTCGTTTTTAATAAATATTCTAGAATATAAAGGCTTTAAATGCTTTTTCATTAATATAGATAATTTCTCAAGCCCTTTAGATGCTTCATGATAAACTGGAGATCCAGTCAAAACTTCAATCGATCCTTTTGGGTCAATATTTGTAATTATATTTTTATATCTTGGAGGCTTTTTGATAGCAGAAATATTTAGCTTCGGTATAACTGTTTTGTTTTTTCCGATATTGGTATCATTTATTTTCGAATTTGTTTCAGAATAAAGAAACTGGTCAAAACATTCAAATGATATATCATCTTTATATTTTTGTGAATTATATGCATGGCTGTTTTCATAGTCTGATAAATCGTCAGAGTACATTGAATGCTTTTCACTGAAATTTTTCTGGATTTCACTTAAATCTGGCAACTCAGAAATATTTTTCTTGTGATAAGTTGGAGTTTTATTAAGGTTAACTTTTACTGGTGAATCAATATCATGAGAAATTGAGCTTTTAGAATATCTGTATTCAGTTGGTGCATAAGATAGAGACAATTCTTTTTCTTCTTGCGTTGGCTGCACAGTTGTATATACTGCATTAGTTTTAGATGGTAAAATCATTTTGATTTTATCTAAAAATCTTGGTGATAATTTTTCCTTCGTTGATGTGGTAAGTAAGGTTAAGCCAACATAATTGCATCTAGGACAGATTGTTGCTGCAAATGGCAAATCATTTGATCTTTTGTCAAGAATCCGTAAAGAATCTCTTAGCCTGCGGGCTTTCATCTTTTCAAAAATATAAAGGAAGAGCTTTACATCTGAAGCTGAATTTTTTGGTTTTTTCCAAAATGAGCTGTATTTATCGTAGAGGCTTGTCTCTTTGAATTCGCAAGTCCTGTTATGCTTATTTGTCCCTAAATTCTCTATCTTCTTTTGCAGAAATGGGCTAAGAGTATCGATTTTGTCTTTGAATTTGTTTAAAAAGTTGCTAGGATTGGAAGAGTTGAAGTTTTTCAGTAAATTTCGAGCTCTTTCTGATAGTGGTCTTACTCTTCGAATGTCAGTCTTGGAAATTGCTTTTTCACTCATATTTTAAAATTTTTAAAATGAATTTTCTAATTAATATATCTGAAGTTTTTGCGTTGTAAATATGGTAATAGCGACCTACTTACTGAATTTGACTAATTGATTAAAGTTCTGTGTATTTTACCTTCGGAGCCACCTTTATTTTTAATAAAATAGTAAGAAAGTAATAATAAATTAAGACTGAAGTGTTTTTCATGGAATATAATTCTTTAATATATTAGGGTTTGGGACATATTAATTTTTCAAATTAATAAAACAAAAATAAGATCAATGAATTTTGAGTCTACCTTAACTCAATGACTAGTAAACCTATCAGAAGATGATCCAATAATGACAGCACAATGTATAAATTCTATCAATTACACTTGCACAGCTTTACTTAATCCCACCTTGATTAGCGATCAAAATTATTAGAGATCCCTATTTTTTGAAAATTAAATCCATTTTGGGTGAGTATGACATTTTTTGGTTAATCTATATTTTTAATATATATAACCAATGATTATGATAATCAAATCTCAAAGCAAATTATATTAAATTTTCAATAGCTTGCGTTATTATTATTAATAGATATTCTCTTTTAAATTTTTATTAAGAAAAATTATATATATATATAAATTTAATATAAATTTGGGAAAAAAATTGACCATTGCTTGCTAACTAAGGAGAGGAGCTAATAGTCATATTTCTGATAATATAAAAGTTTTTGGAATCAACATACTAAGCTTAATCCAACAGAATCCAGGCAATCCTTTGATTAGAATAAAGCTAATAAGCTTTATAGCAACGATGATGGATTTTTATTTCGTAAACTCTTTTCCTTTAATGGCCAACCAATTTGAAGAATTTTTAGAAATTAATAGATGCAACAAGATCAGTAAGAATTTAATGGAGATTAGAACTGGTGACAGTTCAAATAACGAAAATCAGCGAGTTTCTTCTGACTATGTAAGTAGGTCAACCAATGAGCAACTCGCAATTATTAAAGAAGTCAGGCTAGAAGATGGCGAAACTTCTGCTTTAACGCTTTATCAACTCTCCTGTCCAGATAAAAGACGCTCAGAAGGTTTGGAAAAATCATATACTTATATATCATGGCAGCTTGAATTAAATTTAATAATTATCTATTTTTATATCACTGCCTATACGGAATTTCTTTTATTTAAATTTGATAAGCATAAATTTGATGGCGACTGGCCAGTACGAATCGGATGTGAAAAATCAGGTTTTCGAACACATATACCAATCAGATGCTCAAGCCAAATCATTCTTGATAAGTTTCATGACCATATAATTGCTTATGAAACGAGTACAAACGATCCAGGAATGAAAATACAAGTATTTACTGAAAATTTAGAAGAAGGACAAATTTATTCATTTGGAGAAACTAAAATGAAGGTCGAAGAGATTGATTCGGTCGGGAATTTGCACTTAAGTTTTGAGCTGAGCAATGAAATTGTATATAGAGTCATTGATGGATGCGAAAATGGAGAAATCCTGATAGGAAGGACCAGAATCAACAAATTACGATTCGCTAACGATGCAAAAATGTCGAAGGAGCATGCAGGAATTATAAGAGAAGGCAAGAGGTGAGTCATAAAAGACAAAAACTCAAGAAATGGAGTGTGAAGGTATCTTCATACTTTAAAAACAACTGGGGCTGGTGAAGATTCGATGCGATGCCCTATAATGAATGACACAAAGTTCAATTTTTGCGAAGTAATTTTCCAATGTAAAATAAAAATCTCCCCTTAGAGGTCATCTAATTTAAACTAAACCCGTGCATTATCATGCGTATTGAGAGTGAAGTTTTAATTTTTGGATTGGAGTTTTGACCTGAAAATATCATTCAAATGCTTTTTGAGCTAACTCTCCTATTAAAGAAAGATAAAAATTAAGTTTAAATCAAATAAATTTGATTATATTTGTTTTAATATTTCTACATCTTTCTAAATTTAATAATAAAGTTTAATTGAGTTATTTTTAAGTTTCTTTAATTAAATTTTAATTGTATTTAATTAACTCCCCCCCCTCCGTGAGTGAACAAAAAAATTTTGTTCACTCACAGAGGGGGGTTAATTTTTTTTTTTTAAAAACATTTATATATAAATTTTATAACAAATTTTTTTTTCGAAATTTAAAAAAATCCTAATTCGCAAAAATTGAAAAGCAAATATTAATTTAATTTATAAAATTTATGTTTTAAAAAGCAATTTGTTTTAAAATTACACAGAATTAGCTCTAGATTTCATTATACTAATTATCATTTATATATCAAAATTTTTTTCCATAAAAAATTTTTCTATTAAAAACATTTTTGTTCGCTCACGGAGGGTGGGTTTTTGGGCAAAAAATGCCGATTTTTCTAATGGTTTTGTTCACTCACGGGGGGGGAGTAAGTAAAAAACTATTCATAAGTCTAAAGAAAATTTATACTAGCATAGTTTTTAAATAACCCAATATTATAAATTACTTTAATATCAATATTTATAATGCAAAAATATGCCCAATTAAATAGGAAGAAGTAAATATTCCTTTGCAAAAAGAATTTATTAAAGATAAAGATTATTGATCACCTCAAAGTGATTATAATTACGGTTAATTAGATATTTATAGTGTTTTGTGCCACTTCCAAAAAGGGATTAGGCAGGAATAGCTGTATTGTAGATTATCCTGTCACTTTAAATAGCGTACCATATTAATAGGCTTTCCTATAAAGACCAAACCTGCCCCGCTGCACATCTCACTCGGAGCCCTGCTGATGTGTAAAACTCAATTCCTGCGCGAGTTCAGCCTAAATTGATCTTTTCTCGATTGTGCAAGCAGATAACTTAATCCTTCCAAATATCCAAAGGATCAGTTCAGGAGACTATACATCCCAGTTGGTTACCTAATGAAGCTGGATAAGGATCCTCTAAGGAAAGCCGAACCTCAAGATAATAATAAGAGTTCAGGAAAGGAAATTTCACTATTGTATTATTATGACCACCTCAAAACAATTTGAAAGGATTTATTCAAAATGGGCTCTCTCATAAAATGTAGCAAATTTCCATGAAAAAAATTATGAACGGAATTTTTATTTTGAAAATGGTTAATTGCTATAATGTCATCAAAATAAATTTAATCTGATTTTAAAATATACAAGAACCTAAATTACTGTATTGAGCAAGTGCATGGATTGGAGCTAAGTGGTGCTTGCAGTTGTCTATCTAAAAAAGAATATTGCTTTAGTTCATTCTGCAACGCCAATATCATCTTCTTTTTGGTTTTTATTTCACTCTTTAATTTGAGCGACTGAACACAAGGAGTTATCGATGTTGCTGTTGATCTGTGTGAATTAAGCTTAGATGATGATTTTGATGATATATTTTTCGTCAAAGTTGCAATTTGTTCATCTTTTATAGTCAAATTTTCGACCAGCTCATCAAGATTATTTTTTAATATGTGGCTTTGGATTCCACAGATTTCAATTTTTTCAGTTAAATTATGATATCCATCATCTGCTTCACTTTCTTGATAGCTTGAAGCTTCATAATCAACACTTTTTCTCACTATTTCTGACGATAGTTCACCGTTTTTAGCTTCCTGCCTTGACCTAACAGAGTCTATTAGTTTTTTTATTTTCCTAATCGATTTTTCTTTGTCGTTTTTTACTTCACTAAGCGATGTTGCTTTTGCTTTTAATTCTTTTATCTCTTTTTTAAGTTTAATTATTTCATTCTCCAGGCTGCTAATTTTGAGTTGCTTTTCTTCATTAGCTGACATATTGCGCAGCTCAAGAAAAGATATTTTTGATAATAAGTCAGAGATCTTTTTATTCTCTTCATTTATCGCAGATTGTTCTTGCTTTATTTTCTTGTTAAGTTTATTTATCGCATACATTAAATAACATGGCAAATCAGTGTTTTTCTTTACTCTTAAGTGTGTGCCCGTGTGAATTTTGGGAACTTGAGGAAGAAGAAAAGCACTTGACATATGTATCCGTCAAGGTTTTGGCTAATTGAGTGGAGCAGCAATTCAAAGAGAGCTAGATAAAGTTCCCCATCATGGTTAGATTTTTTCTTGTTAGAGGTTAGAACAAAGCTCAGCGCTGCCTATGGTACAAAGAAACCAATGAACAATTCCACAGCACTATATGAGCATTAATTTTGGATTTCGATATTTTAACTTGATTAGTCAGCCAATTTTTTTTCTCATTTTTAGGATAGCAATATGTTTGCATGTTGATCTATCCAACTCTAATCTATAGTGTTATGTAAACCCATAGCTAGACAGGTAATACACGAGTAGGATCCCAGGTTTTCGGCGAAACAAGCTGGAGATAACCGCTCAGGGAGCTTTTTAATAATTTTAATTAACGAATAACGAGTTTATTTATTGCTGATTTTACTTTGGCGATTTTCACTGTAAATGGCATGCTTACATTGCTCTGGATGAATTTTCCTTGGCAATTGTCACAAAGCCGGGACATGGATTTTGTCTGGCTGTTATAAGTTTTTTGCATAGAGCATTTATGACAAACCGCTTTATAGCAGAATGTGCAACATTTCTTTCTGTTAGGACCCAATAAGCTAAAGAGACATCCGCAAATGCTGCATAATTTATCATTTAGATATAGTAGCTTGTCTTCTTCATGCTCTTGCTCAGTCAGGATTAATGACCTGCTTCTAGTTCTTAAATGTTGGATTTTTAGTGATTTTACATCAGAAAAACTTCTATCCATGTATTTTATGCTTTTATATGATAAATATATATATGAAGATATGCATCATTATCTATTTATTTAGATACTAATAAGCTATCTTGTGATTAGTGTTCTGGGAGTCCATTTTAATAATAATATTAAATTATTTTAAAATTCTTTTTCTTAATGGGAATTTTATATGAAAGCTTTTCTCACTGTTTTGGATTTATTTTTCGATTAAAATTTCAGTATATTGCATATAAAGCGTCTCCGTTCCATTAAAACATCTTAAATAAAATAAAAAAATCTGGAAAATTGCTTCTGCTAAAAATACTCCAATATGTTCTTATTGAAAAACTCTCATATTCAAAATAATAAGTCTATTCAATTCTAAAGTTTCAATTATTAACCTCATAAGACCTTTTGCAATTAAAAAATAAATGTCAAGTTTACCTATAAGATCGCTTTGGACACTTTATCTTGTCTCTAAACAACTTATGCTTACACATGGTGATTTAATTGATTCCATCGATCAAGTTCTGAATGAATGCAGCTCAGTTATAAGCTTTGAAAGCGAATATGAAAATATCCAACAAATTGCCCATAAGCAGTTTTTAGCACAAACAAAATTGCAAAGTCCAGGAGCAAATAAATCAAAGATTGGGACTTTTGATTGTAAAATATTGCGATATATAGCAAAAGTTTTCCAGATTTTATTCCCTCCTAAGAAATCTCTGAGAAGAGGACTAGCTTTTTTATTATTAATTTTACTATTGAACTATCTATTCGATGACAGAAACTTTATAATCGTTGGAGTTGTGAGCATTTTGACCTTGATTTTTATAAAAATATTTTTCACTTATGATAAGCCGACACAGAATCAAGAGCTAATGGAAAACTTTTCGTTTATTGAGAATGGATCATTTGTAGAATGCAGTCAAATCTCTCTGAACCCTGGAGATATCATTTTAGTAGGATATAAAGCTTATATCTTTAAAAAATTGAGTTTGTCAAGCACCAAACATAAAAAACTGAAACCCCACAATAAAGAGACAGCTCAGCTGAGGATTATAATTTTCAAAAGAACAAGTTAGTTAGTTAGTTTTAAATGGCCATACGTAGGCGAATCAGTGGATCACAGCACCTCAGCTCGAAAGACAACTTCAGGTCGGGTTCTGATTCGACCACACTCCCAGGCCCGACGCCATCTTGATTTCTGGTCTGAGCCACCTGTCCAGAGGATCAGCTCCTTTGGACAGAACCACTGACCCGACGGTCCAGATGAGGGAAATCCATGTGGTAGGCAAAACCTGTCTAGCCCATCTGGCAGGGACAGAAAAACCTTCGGGAGAGAAATAAAACTTCCTTTTCGGCATGGCTTCCCCACCTCTGAAGGCCTACTTAAGACAGGGAACGAGGCCCTATATTTCAGTTTCATCAGAAATGGGCCCTACCAGTCCATATGAGGTGGCCTCGGAGTCCTATTTCCGTCAACGTCACCATTTTATTTCTCAAAAGAACAAGGAATTGTTTTAACTCTGAAAATAAAATACACTTATCTGAGAACTTCGCAGAAGACCTAATAAAAGCTGAAATGGAATTTGAGTCGTCCTTTAGCTTAGAAACTTTTTCTCTGCTAATTCAGCTCTATGCATATGCAGTAAAATTTTATGAAAATATAAAAGAATCCAAAAGAAAGTTCTTTAAGCACCGCCTACAATCTTTATTGTCAAAAATAGACTTGACGAAGCTCTCTCAATTCCATTTTCAGTATTTAGAAGATGAAAACCAAAAACAGCACAGATCACATGCAAAACAAAGAAAATTAAAGCAGGAAAATCATCCATTTGACGACATTTGTGTTAATTATGGATCTTCTAATCACGGAGCTATAGTAATTCATGAAATTAAAGCGGAAGAAGCAATTGCAAGACATCACAAAAACAATAAATCAATTTGCAGTAGAGTTCAAGAAAACATGAAAAATCAATCTGAAGACTTAAGCATGAGAATTGGCAAAAGAAAGCGGACTTTATTGAACCAATCGTTTAGCCTCAATATGTCTAATATATCAGACAGATCAGATCTAGAAGATTTTGAGGTGAAATTCGAGCTTTATCAAATAGAACTTGAAAAAATGATGGATCAGTTCGTTGATAAAGCTATAAATAAAGCTCTAGAAATTAAGACCAAATATAAAGAAGTATTGAAAAACCTAGAGAGCATTGAAAATGTGCTAATTCAAACTAAAAGACGTGTAGAGACAGAAAGGGCAATGCAGCAAGAAATTGATGAAGTGAATAAGAAAATTGATGAGGAAAAAAAGCAAGCAATTTTGGAGCTCAGACAAAAATTCAAATTAATATAAAATAGATATATATAAATACCATAATTACGAATTCTCTAAAATCAGGCGTAGCATTAATCGAATTCTTTTTAACTATCGCCATAATTTTTGTAAAATCTTATGGCCTAGACTTAACAGAATTTCTTAAGAAATTAAAAAAATAGTTAAACCTGCAAAGGTAATATGGACTCTAATGAAAACAATAACTCCGTTTTACAGGAAACACAGCAATTTTCTCCTGTACGCTTAAGCTTTGTTGATGAAAAAGAAGCTAAAGAAATATCGATAACAAGGAGAAAAAGCTCAGTTGCTAGTTTGACCAGCTATCTGTCAGACAATAGCTCTCAAAACAGCCCAGTTTCAAAATCTAGAACAAGCCTAACTGCGCAGCCTGTAAGGCTCATCACTAACTCAAATAATAATATTGGCCTAGATAAATCTAGATTTATTTCCCAAGTGGACGAGCACTTTATATGCAAACTCTGCTCTTATGTTGTAAGGGACCCAGTCGAATGTGACTGCTGTGAAAATTTAATATGCCAGGACTGCTGGTTTAACTTTGGCCACTGCCCTCATGGCTGCTCAGAATTTGCAACAAAAAAGCTTGCCAAATATGCGGCAAGCGTATACTCAAATTTTACATTAAAATGTAAAAACCACATCCTTGGCTGCCCTTACTCAGGACCCATCTCTAAAATTCTTTCGCATGAAGAAGACTGCTTATACGTATTTATAAAGTGCCAAAACCCTCTCTGTGAAAAGCAGCTTCTCAAGGCTGAAAAATACGAAGATCCTGATTCCTTGCTGATTTGCAAAAATAAAATGGTAACGTTGACAGAAGATATGAAAATTTCCCATAGATGGCGCTGTTTGCCCTTGATTTGCCCACTGGGGAAATTTTTTGGTTTGACTAGTCCGATATGGTTTGGTCAAACCAAAAAGTTTTTCTCATGGGCAAATCAAGGGCAAACAGCGCCATCTATGGGAAATTTCTATAGACTATGAGACAAACTCTTTATGGAGCAGGTAGGATCAGTCCCGATGAAGCTAAAATTAATGCGTCTGTCCCTCTTTGAAGTAGGCATTTGGTTTTGGAAGTTTTTATTTTTCTCCCGAAGGTTTTCATGTCCATACCAGATGGGCTAGACAGGCTTTCCCACACATTTATCTTAGCTTATTGGACTAGCGGGGCATCCACAAGAGTTGGTTCTAACCTAGGGCTAATCCTTAAGCTAATTGGATTTATGCCAGATAGGAAGGCTAGTAGTCTATCCGTTTATGGCCTTATAATTTTAACTTAACTTTGCTAGTTTGCTGTGATACATGCAGGCATATTGTTGAGTTTTCTAATGAAAACTTTGAAGATCCAATAGACGTGCTGAAGAGCTTTGCTTATCATTTAGATGAAGCAAAAAAGATAATAGAAGCTGAAATCCAAGAAAAAATGAAAGAAAAAATACAGAAAATTGCAAAGGATAAGAAATTAATTACAGAAGCAAACTCTGAAAATGAAAGACTGCAGGAGAAGATACACAAGAGGATAAGCTTTTATCACTCTGGAAGATGGAACGTTAATAGCAGACTTTGGAGCTGCTGTGGGAATACCAATAAATATGCAAATGGGTGCCGAGAAATTGATTAATGATTAAATTTAATCTATACAAAATTACTCCTTAACGATTTTCATCATATTTTGGATTTTGGTCAGTCGCCTTTGGATTTCATCAGAATCATAGGAGGTGTTATGGATATGCTTTTCAGACTTGTTGGGGGAAATGGAGGATTGGAAGGATTTTCTTGAGTCTTCGGAGGTTCTTAGCTTTGAAAAAGAGTCAGCACTTTTTCTCATTGATTCTGGCTTAACTGAAGTTGATCTTTTCATAGGCTTTGGAGGAGGCTCACATCTATACCTATCAAATAAAGCTCTTAACTCTGACTCAAGCTGAAGAATTCGTGATTTATCCTTTTTTGAGACTAATTTAAGCTCTTTTATTTCGCTTCTGTTCATTTCTATTTCCTCGTTAAGTCTTTCAATTAGTTTTTTCTGCTCCTCAATTTCTTGTAGCAACGACTTTGTGCTTCCCCATTTATTTTTTTCTCTCTCAGCCTCTTCAAGCTGCTCGATGATCATATCCATATGTCCTCTAATCTTATCAAGCTCGTGCACCATCCCATCATTTTCCTTTTGCAAGGTTTTGTTTTCTTTTAAACTCTCTGCCTTAGCTTTTTCTAACTCTCTTATAATTTCTCCTTTTTCCTTATTTTCGTTTCCTAAAATTTCTAATTCAGCTCTCAATTCTTCTATTTGTGCTTTTAAAAAGCTGTTTTCTTTAAGAGTCTTCGAAATTTCCATTTGATGTGGTTCCATTGATGTTTTCAAAATGTCAACCTCTTTCTTTAACCTACTAATTGTTTTTTGTAGAGAGCTTGAGTCTAAAACAGTCTGAGTATTTAAAGGTAGAGGATAATGAACTTTATCGAACTCTCCAACATATGTGATGATAAAATACAGTTTTGATGATGAGTGGTAAGAAGAAGTGTTTCTCAGCTGATCTAGGTCTTCGTGATTTAAAATGTCAACTACTACTGCACTACTTGTGCCTTCTAAGCCTGAAATAAGCATTTTAGTAAAAATGCTAAACTTTTTGAAGTTCCCTGTTTTTAGTGTAAGCTCTTCTATAAAGGAAGGGGAGAATTCACCTATTCAAGATTTTTCAGATAGTTTTTCTTGGACTGATATATTTAGCTGGGATGAGCTTAGCTTGATTTCTACTATAAGAAGCTTCGAATGGAAAAGCGCTTCAATTGTTTTTTCGTATTCCATTTATAAATGAGAAAGCTTTGATTATTAAAGAACTAGTTTTAAGAATTGCAACTATTGCAATTAATAATAAAAATTAATTAAAATATAAATTAATAAAACATTTTTAGCCTAAAGAAAGATTAACCCGAGAAATTAATTGCAATCGAAAAATTGCAAAAATTGGCTTCCTTAGTCTTAAAGTATCAAAATTGTCTAAATGTTGTATCGTTTGCATTCAAATCATGACTATTATAATTGGTAAAAATGAAGGAGCTGATAACCTTAAGCCTTTTACTTGGACTCGCAAGCGCAGCAACAAATTCAACAAGCAGTAATGATATCCCAATCAATCCAGCCGCACTTTCAGGTATTCTAATTGTCTTGATGCTATTGGTTTTCTTGTATGTTGGAATGAAAGCTCTGGCAGGTATTGAAGGACCAACTACATACTCGAATGTTCCACTAATGGTCGGCAAAGAAAAATAAGATCATTTTAATTATCAATATTTAGGCATATAAATCTTATAAAGAGGACTTCAGGTCACATCTATATGAGTTTCAATCAAATTTTTCTTTTTAAGCCTTCTTTATGAAAAAGTTGAACATAAGTTCTTATATCTGATAAAGATAAGTCTTATAATTTTCTGCTGTCAAATTTTATTTCTTGGTTGAGAATAATTAAAATTTAATACTTGTAGCGTAGTCATAAACTCAACTTATTTATAAAATGTCCTTTGATGGCCGACTTTCTTTTCTGAAGAAGCAAATTGACGACTTAAAAAATGAAATCCGTAAAGACTCTGTAAAAGAATTAGCATTATCACAAAGAAATGAGGTAGCAACTCAGAAAATTAAAGAAATTTCAAAAAAATCAGTCCATGGCAATTGTATAAAAGATATGAATTTTAAAGGAAAGAAAAGATTAGGTGGATTTTCCTGCCAACTGTGCCAGTCATTACTTTCTGCAGGGCATTCTACAGGTAGCTGCAAACATCATCAAAAGCAAGTGAGATAATATTAATAACTGACAATATATACAATAAAAATGGCTGATGACGTGTGACCATCCTCCTGTGGAGGGTGTCTTATGCACATACAGATATTTTTTGAGCTGTCAAGGTTTAAGTCAGTTCGAAGAGAGAGGCCCCCAAACAATTTCTATTGAATATTTTGGCTCGAATTTAGTTTTTCACATCTATTTCCAAATTAATACTCAGGACCGATTTGGTGTAAATAGAGGCAGATAATTCACTTCCCTAGGCTGTTTGGTGGTTTTGCCCCTAATATAAGGGATCGAATTTTTTCTTTGGAGCTAATCCATAGAACGAGGGAAGGCAAGGTTTAACAAAATTAAGGGTGCAAGCCTCTCCAGCTGAAAGAGCTCCGAAAGAGATTATTTTTTAATTTTCTTTACCAGACTTTTTAAAGTGTTGCTCTCTTCCGCAGGGCGATCTGGCTGTTACACAAGTTGGCTAATAGCAGCTGAAGCTTGAATGGCGTTGCCCAGCACATCCATATGGCCAGACCAAAGATATTTCAACTCTGCCCTGAAAGTCTTGCTATAAGGATATGCCTCAGTGTATTGCTTGGATTGCTGTGAAACGCTGCAACTCAGAAGTAGGGACTCATATTACTAGTCTAATTTAATCTATAACTGACTGATACATAAATTTATTAAATCCGTAATCTATCTGGGTTAGGAACAGGGCTAGAAAAATACGATGCATCTACTTTTTTCCCTGCAACTTCGTTAAAGTCATCAATATAGTCATGGATTGTTTTTGGGACTGGAAGCAAAACTCCTCTCTTTTTAGCACTTAAATCAGATTTTCCTGTTCTACAAGTAATAGGGGTGGTTGAATATGAAGAATAGCATGATCTTCACGAATAATCTGTCTTGCTTCCACTTTCTCGTTGCAGTGAAACAGTTATGTCAAGTTCTTTTTGCCTTTCTAAGTTGCTAATCCAAGCAACAAATGCATTTGCTAGCCTCCTAATAAAAGCTTTTTTAAAGAGATAGTCAACCTTCACGTATTTATATATTCTTTCCCGCTCACTTTTATCGTGAATTCTATGGAAGCTTGAATAAATTAATTTATTGTTTGATTTTTCAATCGCTGATGCTAATAAATCAGTAAATTTGAAAAGTTTATACACTCTTTCTAAAGTTTTTGAGTATGAATAAATTTTTCTGAATGATTTTTTCTTGTTGTTTAAGGACCGGTTTTGAGATATTTTTAAAAGTTTTGTGTAGAGAGCAATTGCAGCCTTAACATTTATTTTAGGTCTTGAGTTGTGTTTGTGTTTGATGGAAAATTTGTTATTCTTGATAGACTCAAAAGAATCTTTTATAATTTTTTTACATTTTGGTTTTAATATTTCAGTAAGAATAGTCAAGCACGCTTTTGCACCATATTTATGTTTTTGTTTGTTATGACGAGTTGACATTAAACTCTCTTCTTGAATGCATTTGAAGGACATATACTTTTGCTTAAATAATGCGAGCTCAAGCATAGTCTCAACTTTATTTGTGAAAGAAAAAACAAACTTGTTATCAATAGCTTTATATCTTTTCACTTCATGTCCTTTATGAGAATTCTTGAATGTTAGCTTTGTGTAGTTGTTATCTTTAGAGTGAAATTCACTTCTTATACCCAGTAAAATGCTGAAAATGTAAGAATTTATAGAAGAAATTTTTTCTTGGATAATTTTGGTCATTAAAGTCAATTTTTGTGTATATTTTTTTCTTTTTAGTGAATATAAGATAATACTATTGAAAGAATTCTGAAGCTTAGCCCTTTTGATAGCTTTGTGAGATGCTAATGCCAATACATTTGCAGATCTCTTTTTAAATAGCTCTTTTTCATCATAGTAAGGATCATCCTTCAAAAGTATTGCAGTTACAAAATCTTTTTCTGACATTGGCTCTTCAGAGTCTAATGATACAATGCTAAGCGATTTATAAGAATAAGGAACTTTTTGATTTCTGATTTTTTGGGCTTCCAAAGCATTTAGAATAAGTGTCTCGAATAAACAATTGATTAAATAATTAACATGGCTTTTCTTATTGTCTGTAAAGTCTTTCAATATACTAAATGTCAATCTTTGAGTGCAAATGCGATGACAGGATAAAATGGCTTTAATAAAATCATCAATTTGTTTATTTTTTCATGCTATTTCACTTTTTATTTCAATAGAGCTTTGATGTTGAAGACTAAAATAACTGTGGTTTAAGTACGAGTAAGAATCATCATCTGTATGATTATTTATGGAAAGTATTTGCTGTCCAGCACTTTCTGTAACTGACGACGATACGTCTGTTTTAAAGCTTTCAATCGAATCTTTTGGATGTAGCTCTTTTGATGGTGTAAAGGACTTTGGTTTCAAAGAATTAAGATGGGAGATTTCTTTTTTATTAAGCCTCTCTTTTTCTTCATTATTTATGCTAATTTCACAGCAATTAATTGGGCCAGTGATCCTTATAATTGGCACTTTACTATTCAAAATATTAGATCCTCCATTAATTTCATTTTGACTGGCTGCTTCTATTCTTTTAGGCTTTTCCAATATAATATTGTCCAAGTTTTTGTCTCTAAAAGCTAAAGGTAACACCTCGAATTTATTACCTTCATTATCTTTACACAATTGGCTATTTTTTTTAGAAATTTGATTTTGAGCAGTCAAATCTATCATAGAATCGCCCAGTCAGCTTTCTTCTCCACTTGGTGTGAAATTTTCCACTTCATTAAAATTAGCCGGCTTAATTGGGCTTTCATCAATAGATTCAATCTTTTGTCTTTCCTGAGCTTGGCTTCTTAACTTTCGCTTTTCTCTATTTCTTTCCGAAAAGCTTCCAGCTTTCTTTGGAATATCAAGCATTATGATTTCTTCATTTTTCGTATCTGAGCTGTTCTTTTCAATCTTATCAAATTCTAACTGCAGGCTATCTTTCCCAATACTTTCCGCTTGAGCCTGATTTCTCAATTTTGCTTTATTTTTGACAGGACTTAAAACTCTTACATAGTCTGTTCAGAAAACAAATTCTTTCTTTGGAGACTCGTCTGCTTCTTTTTCATTTATTTCACATGCTGATTTATCTAGTAAATCTTCAACTTCATTGATAGAAGTTTCTCCAAAAAGATTAAAGCTGCTTTCATCACACATAAGTCTGCTAGATTCGTTTTCTGGATTGAAAGACAGAATTGTTTTGCTTAAATCCTCATCACTTTTGGCTAAGCCAAATATTGAGATACTGGTTAGCTGAGAAAAAGAAAGCTTAGTAATAGAGCTTTCTATTGAAGATCCTCCGAAATCAGATACTTGCTTATTTTGAGTATTTTGCATCTGGCTTGTTTTAAATGATGGAGTTATTACTCCAATTGTTTCATCTATATTTTCTTCTTTTGCTGGATTCCCAGAACGAAGCTTTTTATGCATTGGAGGCTTTTTGCTAGAAACTGTTGGGACTTTTTCAGCCATTTCTATAAGTCCATCTTCATATGTGCCTATAATTATTTTAAAAGGCTTTTCAAAAGCAAAATAAAAGATTGTCTGCTCTAGCCCAGCAAGGATTTTTCTTGCAGTATAAAGGCTTCATTTTTCACTAGGAGTATGCTGCAAAATAGATGAAGCTGACATATTTCTAGTATGAGTTTTTTCTTTCTTTCATATCTTAAAAGGAGATTTGCAGTTTTTTATTTCAGATTTTTTGATTAATCGTGATAAGAAATTTTTAGATCTTGCATGAGACTTTCCACCTATTAAAAATCTCCCAAAATGCTTTCCAAGGCCCCTTTTGAATATTTTGATACAGTTATTAAGACTTGCAAGAGATTTATATTCATTAATCATCATTTTATTTCTCCAATACAAAAAAGTCTTCTCTTTTACTAGTTTCTCATTTTTATTTTTTAAAGCTTCAGCTATTTCTTTTGTTCTTTTTTTACTATAATCTGTACATCTAACAATAGTATCCGTTTCATTATCTTTTTTTAAAGGCAAATCAATACTTTTACAATCATCAACCCGTGCCTCATTTGCTATGAACTCAGGTGAGCTAAAAGTGCTTTTTATCGCATTTCTCGGTCCTTCAATTTGATGCAATTTTGATTCTCTTTTGAATTCTTTGAAAATGCATTTTATCATGTTAAATGCAAACTTCACCTTTTTGGATAAAGCTTTTTTAGCTATCAACGAAAATTTTAAAGTAAATACCAGCTCTCTCGGCTGAAAGTAGCCATCTCCACTGTCAGTTAGCGCGTGCAATATTTCATTAGTGTGCTCTTCTCCAAAGCACTCATTCAAAATCATGATCAATTCAGAAATCAAGGTCTGTACACGCTGTTGTCCAATTAGCTGCTGCTGGCATACATCACTAATTAACGAGACTGCTTTTCTTATTTTGATTTCTTTTGACTTGTCCATTTTATTAAGTTTATTTGAATATTAGTAAATTATTCTGCCAATTGAGATGTTAAGTCCTTTGGTAATAAATGAGCGATTTCTTTACCGATCTGCCGAAGTCTCATTGCTGTATAAGTGAACACATTATTTGCGTCGATTTTTTTAGTCAGTATTTCTGCGAATATTAGCTGAAAAGCCATGGCAAGGCCGCTGTCGTCAAGGTATTTTTCAAACATATGAAGCTGTCTGTTAACTTGTTCTTCGATTTCTGCTTCTTTTTTCCTTTGCATTTCGACAGATTCAAGCTGGTCTAGCATCTCTTCAAGGACTCTTCTTAATAGTTGTACGAATTCACTGAGTGACACTTTTCCATCCTTGTTTCTGTCGATTTCTTGAAGAGCGTTATTTGCTTGCTCCATTGTTGGTTGAGGCGCGTTAATGGACCTTGCAGCGTTGACCATAACATTGTAAAGCTCTTCCTGGTCAATAAATCCAGATTTGTCCGAGTCCATTGCATCAAACGAGTTTTTGGCGACCCTATTGAGACTTTGATCATTACTTAGCAGTTTTCTAACTTCTTCAGCCATTTTATTATTTTTTCTGTCTAACTAATATCGAGACACCTTCTTTGGAGATGTTTGAAAGGCTTACTCTTGCTTGCTTAGGGCGGACAGCATAAAAGTACTCTCCATCAATTTGCATGTAAACCCTCACTTCTTCTTCATCATCCATTGGAGCAAAATTCAAAACAAAAGGTCCAGCTCCTTGATTAAGCTTTGTAGCTCTGCCGCCTAAACCTGGAACTTGTTCTAATCCCAAATCAAAATTGCCTCTAAAATACATTGACTCTAGCAGCCCATCTCTTGGGTTTTGTGGCTGAAAAGTGGAATTACTTTTGGATTTAGCCTTATCTCATACATAATGATCTTGTCCTGCATAAGTTCTGGAGTTCAGCATTAGGAAAACTGAGGTATTTCGTGGCAAATTTGTTTCACCAGGCGCTGAGTTATCGAAAATAACTTTATTTTCAGCTTCGATGAATGAATTTACCATGGTCTTTAGTTTTGGGACCCTTAGGCAGCACATTTTTTTGAAGCCTTCCCAAACGTAGATGCATTTATTAAAGCATTTTTTCTTAGATCTTCGCTTATCAAATCCTAGCCCAATTCTAGCATCAAGTCCGATGCTAAAATAATTAGTCATAAGTCTTTGGTAAGATTTTGAAATATTCCCATTATCATCGGTGATGTTTTTTCTTTCAAATCCATGCACATGCTTGCTAATTTTTTGAAAGTAACCGTTTTCCTCACTCCCCCCCCTCGAAGTTCGACCAAGATATAGGGAAAATTCCTATTTTTTTGGAAATTAACCCCCCTCAAAGTTCGACCAAGACCCTATAAATTTACTAGGAAAATAAGCAATTTTTCAAAAATTTTAAACTATGTGGGGGTGAGCTTGCGATTTTTGTATTCAAGTTCTAAAAAAGCGTTACAAAACCATCTTGCACTATTTTTTCTAACCCTTACACCCTCTCAACCATACAGAAGAATATGATAAATATTTTTTTTTAACTACTAAATTATATAAAAAAAATTCAATATAATTTTTTTTAAAAAAATTTTTCTTAACCCCCCTCGAAGTTCGACCAAAAAAATCTTGGTCGAACTTCGAGGGGGGGGAGTCAACGTCTATTTCAATACTCCATATATCGAGGTTCTGAGGAGTCGCTTCCATTCACGTTTGGATGCTATTTTTTAAGCCTTCCAATGAGTTTCCAATTAAATGTGACATCGGACTTCTCCCCCACCCTAGCATACAAGAAAGATCATTCCCAGTGCCAAAAGGGAGGATACCTAAGTCAACTTTTTTAATATCTATCTCAGACCTCAGCAATTCTTCGATGATCCAAATTAAACTCCCATCACCTCCTGCAACAACTACTCTTATTTTTTCATCCGTTTTGCTCATAAGCGAAGCTATTTTTTGTGTGCCTTCTCTTCTCCCTTTGTCTGAAGTTAACTCATAAATATACAATTTTACTGCAGAGTTTTCGACTTCAAATGTCTTAACTTAACTTAATTAAAATCATAAAAAGCTCCCAGTAGGTCCCCAGGCTAACCACCTCCATAAGGCTCCACCGCTTGTTCGCCAGTTCAAGCACAGCATCTCAATGTGTTGCTCCTCAGGCGAGGTGCTTTTTCACTCACTACTCGTGAGTCTTAGACTTGGGTCACCATGCCTTACATCAACGGGATTCAGCTTCCCAGAAAATTCAAAAACCCGCCGACCAAGATGGAATCTCGTAGCCCAGGACGCAGCGCCTGGCATCTCATTGGGATCGTTTCGAATAACCAGTGGTGTTGCTGGGACTTCCCTTTCCACTTTGAGCTTCATTTTCCCAAGAAATAAACCTTGACTTGGAGCGAGAGCAAGCGGCCGCCTTATCCTATATTGCGCTCCACCAAGCCAAGTAAAGATAGCCGGATACACGTTACCAAACACCATCTTCCATACGACAAGATCCCTCGGCTCCTCAGCATTAACTGGGTGAGTTGATCCGCCACGCCATTTTAAAGTATATTTGACTTCAAAAGCCAAGGCTTTTGAATAGAGCTGAAGATATTTCCGTGCTTGATTGCTGCCAGATAGAGGATTAGCGAATAAAATAATTTTCTTCTTTGTTAAGAAGAATTATTAAATGGCAACATCTAATGTAGATTCTGGTGATCCGTGAGTTGATCCGGACCTAGAGGAGAAAAGCCACATGATGATAGTTCTCCTAAGTGGGGTTTTTGGTTTAGGGATTGACCCTCGACCTTTTTTACTGACTTGTAGAAGAAACTACCTACACAATGTCCCCTATCGCTCCATGGGAGCATTTACGAGCCTGTAATATGGCTCAGATATATCATGGAGGAGGCAAGGTGGTCCATACTACGAGCCCTATCGGAAGTTTAGGGAGACTTTTTTCGCTAGCTGGAACCAAAGAGATGTTGGGCGCGACCCCCCGAGAACCTTGCTATGTCACAATTTTTTGGTGATGTAAGATTAAAAAGCGAAGTGCCAGTGCGAAGCTATCCATGAGACAGCAAGAGGCTGCAATAATACCTCAGACCCTCTAGAGTTTAATATTAATCTTTATCTTTGTTGAGAGTTTAACCTTATCGGCTGATATAAGTGAGTCCATTTTTAGAATATAATTAGCTATGGAGAATATTTAGCACATACAAAGAAAATAATCCTATAAAAATATATTTTTTATCTATTAAGAAGAAACTAATTTAAATATTAATGTAGTTTTTATATAATGTGATTCAACATTAAGCATATATATTATTTGACCGTGAGCAAACAAAACCATTAGAAAAATCTCAGTTTTTTGCCCAAAAACCCACCTCCGTGAGCGAACAAAGCTTTTTTTTAATAGAAAAATTTTTATGAAAAAAAAATGATATATAAATGATAATTAGTATAATTAAATCTATAGCTAATTCTGTTTAATTTTGAATAAATTTCGTTTTTAAAACATAAATTTTACAAATTTAAATTAATATTGCTTTCCAATTTTTGCGAATTAGGATTTTTTTAAAATTTCGAATGAGCAAACAGTTTTGAACATTTTAACGAAAGATTCACTATATCTTCCATCTTTGCTAATAAATCATTTATTAGATAAATAATTTACCCATAAGCTAAGAGTTAATATTCATTCGAAAATTAAAATCTTTCTTTTTTTCGAGAAAACAACTTTTCTTCATATAAAGAATGATTGCAAATGTTATATCTCGATTTTAGGTCTAATTATTTGACTCATTAATGTTAATAGAAAAAAAATCTTCTATGGAAAACTGAATTTTTGCACTATTTAAATGCTGTGAAGCAGAAAAATTAAAAGAGAAATTATATTCATAATTTATTTTTCTTAATTCATAATTTTCAAAGCTTCAGATTAAGCTTTTCTTGCTCATTAAATTGATTATTAGAGATTATAAAGTTTGAAATTTTATAAAAGAATAATATAGGAATGAGAAATATTGAGATAAATAAAGCTCACAACAGGATATCTCTGGTTCCCCTCCCTGAGTGAACAAAAAAAATTTTGTTTGCTCACAGATGGGTTAATTTTTTTTTTAAAAAAATTTATATATAAATTTTATAGAAAATTTTTTTTTTCGAAATTTAAAAAATGAGCAAATATTAATTTAATTTGTAAATTTATGTTTTAAAACGCAATTTGTTAAAAATTAAACAGAATTAGCCAGAGATTTCATTATAATAATTATCGCTTATACATCAAATTTTTTTTCCATAAAAAATTTTTGTTCGCTCACGGAGGGTGGGCTTTTGGGCTAAAAGTAGGGATTTTTCTAATGGTTTTATTCGCTCACGTAGGGGGGAGTAAGGAATATATTGATAAATATCCTTTGAATAAAATTACTGTGCTGCAAATATATTTTACCATTTAAAAGGGTAAATTAAAGAAAAAATTCAACTACTTTTTCTCAACTTGAAAATCTTTTTAGCTTTGCAGATTAAAATCTATCAACCTAATCACAGTTTTAATGATTAAGCAGTTCTAAATAGCTTTTTAAATTGTTTCTACACATGTTTGGACTCTTAATAAATTTTAAATTATCATACTGACCATGGACTCTGAGTTGACAATTACAAGCTTTTCAAGCACATATGTCAAAGAAGAGGATATTCCATCAGGAGAGCAAACTTTGGCATCAATAGCAAAACCAGAACCAGTTCCGAGTGATGACATCATTCCAAATTCAAAAATTTCAAAGCGAGGAAGATCTCTCAGTCTTTCCAATATCGGATCAATGGTAAAAAACATTAATTTTAGAGTTTTCAATAGAAGCAAAACAGACAAAAACAGTGATCCATCTCAAAAAGAGTGAGAAGGAAAACACAAAGGGTCTGCCAGAGTCAGATCAATGAGTGTTTCTGATATATCATATGAAAGGAAAAAAATAAAAACACTTAAGTCAAAACCCATAAAAGATGACATAGAGCTTATTCATTTCAAAGAAGACAAAAAACAAAAAATATTTGACATTGAAATTCTTGACCCAGAAGCAGTGCAACAATCAATGAGACTTCATAAAACCAATGAAGTTACAATCGAGCATGCAATTGCCAAGATTGAAGAAGTAAAGATAAACGAAGAAGCTTCAGCTGAACGTATTAAAATTTTTGATTTCATTGTGAATATTTTCAAGTCAAAGACCCCTTTAGACTCAACTCATGTTTTAGGGGAAAAAAAGATTTTAAAATTCGCTGAAATTGAATTTGACGATAAAAATTATTTCCATCGTTCTTTAATTATGACAGTTTGGAAGAACTTGATGTCTACAACAAAAGATTGCTCTATCATTGGAGAGCATTGGAAGCAGCTTGGCTTTACTGGAAATTCTCCTGGAGAAGATTTATTATCTGTCGGACCTTTTGGATTGGTTTGCATAATATTTTTGCTTCAAAAATTCCCAGTTTTAGCGAAAGATATTTTCACTTATTCTCAAAGCCCAATTCATTATTTTCCTTTCGCTAAAATTTCTATTCAACTATCTGAAAAATCATTAAAATACTTAAAAGAGGGAATATTGAATAAAATTATAAACAAAAACAAATATATTTTTGCCACTGTACTCGAATTCTATTGTGGAGCTTTTATGGTTTGGCTCAATAATTATAGGAATAAGAAATGGGTTGGGGACTACGAGCCAGAGTTTATCTATGAAAGAACTCATGGGGTTACCGAAGCGTTTATCAAGCAAAATCCTGGTGAGACTGTTAAAATGGCACAGGTGTTGTATAAAAATTCAAAGTATGCAAGCTTTTTAAATACTTATGAATAAAATAAACTATTGAGGATTTCCTAAACTTTTTTATTAGAAATTAATTTATATTTTCTCTGATTATAATAAATCGTTAAATTGCTACGACTGGCATTAGAAATTATACTATCATATGAATAGATTGTTTTTTGAGTTATTGGATAGATTAAATGTATAAAAATCACAATTATTATATATTCACATTAAAATATTTATTCTGAAGCGCCTTAAATTATTCATCCAGTAATTAAATAATTGCCTCTTAAAAATTATGACGAATTCGTAATGAGATCTATTATCTTTGTGAGAATAAATAAAATAAACTAAATTAAAGTTGATATATTATAAAATTTTTTTGATTTTATCCAAATTCCATAATATGCTTACTCCCCCCTTCTATGAGCGATCAAAACCATTTAGAAAAATACCTATTTTTTGCCTAAAAACCCACTCTCAGTGAGCGAACAAAAATTTTTTTATGGAAAAAATTTTGATAAATAAATGATAATTATTATAATGAAATTTCAAGCTAATTCTGTATAATTTTAAACAATTACGTTTTAAAACATAGATTTTACTATTTGCTTTTCAATTTTTACGAAGTGGATTTTTTTTTAATTTCGAAGAAAAAAATTCTATAAAATTAATATATGAATGTTTTAAAAAAAAAAAACTAACCCCTCCGTGAGTGAACAAGATATTTTTGTTTACTCACGGAGGGGAAGTTACTAATTGCATCTTATAATTTTCCCAGTAGATTATAAAAATGATATAAGGAAGAAAAAAATTTGCTGATCTTATAAAAATATTGGCATGGCAATTTCTAACTCTTTTTCGAAAACAAAGTTTTTATTAAATAGCATTTTTGGCCAAATAAAAGAATGAAAAAATTAATAATTTTATTATATGTATGCTTAAAATTTAAGTGTTAAAACTTGAAATAATCATTAGAACATAAATAAAAATAATTATTAGCTATATATATATCAAAATAAAATTTTTATATACAGTAGAATTCTTGGTCTTTTTTAGAGATTTGGAGCAAGTAAAACAATTTATTCCTTAGATAGCCAATTATGAAATCTTAATTTTAGACCATTTTACAAAATGCATAATCCTCTCCTAAGAAATTCATATAAGCTCTGCTATGCAAATTCTGAGCTTTTAATTTGATAATTTATAATAACTTTCTTATAATTTTTTGAATATCACTAAGTCCAAAATCCTAATAGATATTCACCAATAATTATTCTAAATTATCAGAGACCAAAAATTATAAAATATTAGCTATATTTTGTAATCCCTATTACTCTAATCATCATTGGATCCAGTCATATTAAAATTCAGTAATTGTTTTAAAATTTTACTACATCATTTATAAACAGAATTTGAATATTTTATCTTTTTATACCCCATAATTAGGATCTTTCCGTCTATCCAATAATCTTACGCATTACTCCATAATAACCAGTCATTTTCTTAAAATACATTTATGATTAGAAGGATACTGATTGCCAACAGAGGCGAGATCGCCTGCAGAGTCATGAGGACAGCAAAGCGAATGGGCATTGAGTGTGTGGCTGTTTACTCTGAGCCAGACAGAAAGTGCAAGCACGTGCAGATGGCTGACAAAGCTTACTTGATTGGCCCAGCTCAATCTACTAAAAGTTACTTAGACATGAACAAAATACTGTCAGTTTGTATTGATGCCAAAGTTGACGCTGTCCACCCTGGCTACGGCTTCCTTTCAGAGAATTCTAACTCCTCCCCTTGAGCGAGCAAAACCATTGGAAAAAATAATTTTTAGCCCAAAAAATTCATCCTCCATGAACTACAATTGTTTATAAAAAAATATTTTGATATATAAGTGATAATTAATATATAGCTAGAGAGCATATTAAATCGCTGAGAAGCAATACCTAAGAGGTAAAGTAGCAATCCAGCAAGTCAAAATTGAAATCACAACTATCATTTTCTGAAAAATACAGATAAAATTGAAATTTTATCTATAGGTTCTGTAATTCGAGCAAAACATGGTCTCACCGTGAAAATAGGATTGTTATTTTCAATCTAGTTTTCAGATCTCTAATATACCTTTTTAGGTATTGCTCCACGATCCAAAAAAATATATGCTATAATTAAATATCTAGTTAATTCTATTAAATTTTAAAACAGCTTGCATTTTTAAATTTTGCAAGTAATTAATTTTTTCGGATTGGATTTTTTTTTTAAATTAGAAAAACAATATAAATCTGTGAGCGAATAAATTTTTTTCGCTTATGAGGAAGGGGTAAGTTCATGGACCTCCTTGACCAAAATGGGATCAAGTTCATTGGTCCTAAAAAGAGAGCCATTAATGACTTAGGAGATAAAATCAACTCCAAAAAACTAGCTGGCAACGCTGGTGTAAACTTGATTCCTGGCTACATTGGAGAAGTTAGCGAAAATCGTGAAGAAATCCTCAAAATCGCCCATCAAATTGGCTACCCAGTCATGATTAAACCTTCTGCTGGTGGTGGTGGCAAAGGTATGAGAATTGCTTACACTGATGACGAAATTATTGAGAATTTCAGACTTTCCAAACAGGAAGCAGCCTCTAGCTTCGGCGACGACAGAATTTTGTTAGAAAAGTACATAGAAGAGCCTAGGCATATTGAAATCAATGTCCTCGGAGATTCCCACGGCAACGTTATTTATCTCCCAGAGCGTGAGTGTTCAATCCAAAGAAGAAACCAAAAAGTCCTCGAAGAAGCCCCAAGTCCTTTCATTGATGAGGAAACCAGAAAAATGATGGGCAAGCAGGCAGTCCAACTTGCGAAAGCAGTTGACTATGAATCAGCAGGAACTGTCGAATTCATGGTCGATAAGTACAGAAAGTTCTATTTCTTGGAAATGAACACCAGACTTCAGGTTGAGCATCCAATCACAGAAATGATCACTGGAATCGACCTTGTATAATTAAAATATGGCGTCTTCGTCTGGGCATGGCCTCCCGGCCATGCAGCCTCGACTCATATTTTAATTATATCCGGCAAGGTTTTACCATTTCAGAGATGGACAGCAATGCTAGGTAAGCAATTCTGGTAGCTTTCAGAGCCTAGCCCTAGTCTATTCTCAGAGGTGGATTTTTCCTCGTGGGGAAGGAGGGTGCAAGGTTGGAAAGGGGAAGCCCAGCAAAGTCCTCTGGACCATTCGGGCAACTCCCTAGCGTGAAACTGGGCGTTACGTCCCAGGCTTTGCATTTTTCCTTTTTGCCGATAGCCGACCAGAAAAATCCATTTTTTGGGTTTTTCGGAAAAGCAACCCATGTACAAGCAAGTAGCTCATCCATGAGCCGTCGAAGACGTGGACATTTGCCCCAGAAGCACCCTGGTGATCGAAGCGAGTTTGTCTCCAGCAGACTGGTGGGCCCGATGCGACGAAAGGCGAGTGATAAACCTGGAGTTGTAACCCCGTAGTGGACGTTAAGCGATATAAATTCTAATGTAATGTAATGTAATGGAATCGACCTTGTAGAAGAAATGATTAACGTTGCAAACGGCAAGAAATTGTCCTACACCCAAGACCAAGTCAAAATCAAGGGCCACGCTGTTGAGTCTAGAGTTTACGCTGAAGATCCATTCAGAGGATTTTTACCAAGCATCGGGCATTTAATTAAATACAGAGAGCCTTCACACCCTAACATCAGAATCGATACTGGCGTTAGAGAAGGAGATGAAATCTCAATGCATTATGACCCTCTCATTTCTAAGACCATCACCTGGGCCGAAAATCGTCAAGGAGCCATTGACTTGATGAAGACTGCTTTAGATACCTATGTCATTAGAGGATTGGGCCATAATATTCCTTTCTGTAGAGATGTCCTTAGACAGCCAGCCTTTGTTTCTGGAAAATACTCCACTAAGTTCATTCCTTTGACTTACCCTGATGGATTCCACCCATCTCCACTTTCCCAAGGCGCCAAAACTGATCTTGCCTCCATCATTGCAGCAATGAAAGAGGTCACTGACTCCTTTGCCCTCCAAAAGCCAGAGAAGTTTGTTCCATTTGTCATCAAAGCTTTCGACGAGTTCTATGCCATTCAACAAAACGAAAAAGGCCAAAAGACCATCCTCAAGATTGACACTGAAGGCAACGGAATCGGAGAAGAAACTGTTTTACAGGAAGTCAAGATTAGTTAGTTAGTAAAGATAACTCATAAATATCCCTTCTTGCTCTCTTGGTTTCTGAAGTCTTTTACATGATAGCAGCATCTGCTCTGAGCAACGAGATGGCACTTGCACGACTGTTAGAGCTTCTACTCTCCTCCAGCTTCAAATAACACTCTTTTTTCAGCTACCCAGTGCCAGTGGACAGCATCTCTATACGGTAAACTCTCGGAAGAACCGAAGTTCAGCTTTACTAAGCCCAAAATAAAGTAATGCCCTTATCATTAAACCTCCATTTTAATTGCGAAGTCAAGATTAACTGGAATAACACAGACCCTCTAATTTCTGGAGAAGTAGGAGGCAAGACCCATCACGTTCAGTTCTTCGGACATACAGCAACAGGATATCAACTCTTCAGCAAAGGACAAAGCATCAATGTGGATATCTTAAATGCTCACCAGTTTGAATTCCAAAAATGGATGCCTAACTCCCCCCCCCTTTAAATTGAAACAAAATATAGGTAAAATTCCTACTTTTTTGGGAAATTACCCCCCCTTTAAATTGAAACAAAATTTTATTATAATAGAAAATTTTATAGGTAAAAATCATTATTTTATATGTAAATACGTTAATACCCTATTTAATATGCTTCAAACATATAAGATTTAGAAATTAAACTCTATTTTGTCCAATTGTTATGGGGGAGAGTTAGAAGAATACCATTTCAGCAAGTTTACACTTTGAGATTGAGAAATTTATGAATTAATTTTTCATGAAATTCTTTAAATTTATATAATTTATTTTCTATAAAATTTTTATCTCTGACAAAATTTTTATATATAAATTTTTTTATAAAAAAATTTTCTTAACCCCCATTTAAATTGAAACAAAATTTTTTGTTTCAATTTAAAAAGGGGGGGGGAGTAAGGCTTCTGATGCTCACTCTCAGAAAGAAGCTCTTGCACCAATGCCTGGATCTGTCATTTCAGTTGCAGTTCAGCCTGGACAAAAGGTTGAAGTTGGGCAAGAACTTTGCGTACTCGAAGCTATGAAGATGAGAAACATCATCAGATCAGAGAAGAAAGGAGTCGTTAAGGTTGTTTCTTGCAGCGCTGGACAAAGCGTACAAGTTGATCAGGTCTTATTTGAATACGAATAAATTAAACTTAAGGCCAATTACAAAACATGACTTATTAATTTTTAAGTTTTAAGAGTTGGGTAATGAATGTTTTAAATTTCATTACTGAATTATTAAAAGCAGAATTTTTTATTCTTTAAAATATAGAGCCAAAATGAGATATTTTAAGTCAATATAGCTCTTTTATATTTTTTAAGGTCTAGAATTTGAATAAAAAGCAGGAGTATAGTTATAATACATTAATTTGATAAAGATATCTATTTATTCTTCCACTAAAGGAAGAGGAGCTCTGCAAGTTGGGCACTCCATTTTTATTGCCATCCAGTGTTTTAAGCAATCTTCATGGAATTGATGATGGCATGGAGCCATCATTACTTTAAGCTCTTTTGTGTTTTCTATCATAGGGTTGGCATGGCCTACCAGCGGTGTAATACAAATTATGCATTCATTGTTGTATATTCCTCTTTCTGCTTCAGGATGCCCATAGTAGCTATAAAGCTTCGGCCTCAGCACTCTTGGGATAAAGAACCTCGGCCCTACACTTGTTCCTTGTAGAAGGACAGTTGTATTCTGCAAATCTCAAAAAATAAATTGTTTTTATTATTTTATTAAAATTATGATTGATTTTATAAGAGTATATACTGTAAAATGATATATGATGATATCCAAAACAAATAATTATAATTTGGCTTGCTTTTTAGGATATTATTTGCATACCCAAAGAAATAGAAAAGCATTCCTAATTTTGAAATGACCATTAAGAAAAGATTCAAATGGTTTATTGACAATTTATACCCATACATTGCATTAACAACAATTTGAGGAATAAGAAATCCTTGAAAAACAAATAATAAGGACATAATATGCCTGTAAAACAGAAATATAAACCCTGCTGCCAGTGTGACTGACACTAAAAATGATTTTTGAAAGATTTTCAAATTTTTATTGAATATTTCCATATTTCCAGAAAAATGGGCTGCGTATTGAGATTTCCAAACAATATTTGAAAGTTTGCCTTGAATAATCAAAAAGACACCAAGAGATATCAATGACGACAGGATCAAGTAATTAAACCCTTGAGCACTCTTTAAAGCCAAATTACACTGAAATATCGACGAAAACAAATCCATAGACGCATGCATACCCAACATCAGTATGGATGTTTTCCTTGCGAAACTGTCTGAGCTACAGTCATTGATATGCCTAATAAATGCTAAAATGGCAATCTCAGAAAGTGTCGAGCTGATTAAACTAAAAGTTACAATAACTTCGCTTTCTTCTGACTTCTCAAATTCATGAACATTTAGTTCAATATCCAAATTGCAATCTTTACTCACAAGCTCACCTTTAGCTGATTTTTCAGTTCCATTGATTTGTGAATAACTAATTTTCGTTAAATAAGCGCATTGCTTGATGTCTATTTCCTGATGTGATACAAATAAGAAGCCTTGATTTTCTTCTTCCATATCATTAGTTTCATTAGCATTGGATTTTGTTTCGAATTCTAAACAATAAAGCTCACTACTTTCCCATATTCCGTCATATAGAAATATGCTAAAATCTGAGAAATTCGATGCTCTTAAGATATGGAAATAGGATAACCCACTTGTTTTTGACAGTAGATTTAAGACTGGAGACTCTGACCTTGATTTCCAAGTGCCCTTATAGTCTATTTTTTTACCCTCTGCGTTTTTTGAATCAGCTTCTGAGGTATGAACTAAGGAATATTCAATATTATGCTTGGCATCTGTTTTGAAAAGTGGAAAAATCACAGGGTTGTCGCTAGGGTTTGAAAACAATATCGAAAAAAGAGCTATTAGTGTAGCAAATAAGCTGATCACTAGAATGATTTTCTTACTCTCTGAATCTGCCATTTTAATTATAATTTTGGATTCTTTACTGAATTTTTATAGCATTTGCCCTCTTTCAAAAACTGAATTACAGCAGAAGACCTCTAGATTTGAATCTAAAGACTTCTTATTTTCTTTTGAAGTCATATTTCTAGAATCGACTTTATTTTATAAAAATAAAAATGAGCAATCTAAACCTAATGGCATATTTTGGAGCTGGAATTGTTTTGACATCATTTATTTATGGCATTGTTTATATTATAAGTCCACCCCAGCCAAGATATCCCCCTCCTCAGTATTCTCAGCCTCGCAATCTCGGAGACCAAATATCGAAGATAGATTTTAGTTCTCAAGATAGACGATTTTAATAAATAACAAAGCTATTAAGCTAATTAATTAATATGGACTCAGATTCAAGTGATAAGCCTGATTCACCTATAAATCGTCCAAGCACTATTGATATCCAAATTCAATTCGGCACTCCCCCAAACGTAGAGAATGAGCTCGTAAGCAATGTCACAGAACCTCATTTGGTTTGCAATTGTGTCTCTGAAGTTCTTTTGGCTCCTTTGATCAATTATTTAAAAACGCTTGGATATCCCTTACTGCTTGAAACCCAATCGAGCATTTTTAATGCTCATCATAAATGGGATTTATTATTTTTTATATTTTAGTTTATAAAATAAATGGTTAAAGTGCTTTAAAAACTATTTAATTGAAGAAAATAATTCAATTTTTTCTTTTTATATTATCATTTTAAAGCTCTGTGCTTTTTAAAGCAAATAATTAAGTTTACTTTAATTGATATTATAATAAAAATTAATAAACTTAGTTTTAAAAAAAAATCGAGTTTTTGTTCACTGTATAAACTGATTTAGATAATGCAATGATATGATACTATTCGCCGACTGCTCGGCTAAATGTTTATTGTGGCAATGATCCACTTCCGTTTTCTATATCGATCCCAATGTTCGAAATTAAGGATAACAAGCTTTCTTTAATTTGCCGAGGCGCTATAAGGAACAAATTTGGAACCGTAGTAACATTGGGATCAACCCCTAGTGCCAAATCCAAGCCCGATGAAGAGGCATCAAACGACCAAAAATCATCAAGGCGGACAAAAGAACGAAAAATAGGGTACATCATAGAAAAAGTCAGCAAGTGACGAAAATTGTATAACGGAACACCTAATACAAAAGGGGAGCTCCAAAAAATGACTTTGGAAGAAGCCGCCACAAAAGTTGGAATTTCAAAGAAATCTTTAGATGATTATTTATTGCAGCTGAGATTTGGAAGAAAATTCGGGTTCAATTTTCAGGAACATAAAGATGATAAGGTAGGAATTCTGAGAGCTTATGTCAAAAAGTGCAAAACACTGCATACTTATGCTAAGAAGATCGAAGACGGTGAACCCATTCCTGCAGACATCATTTCAAAATTGCAGGAGCCTGGAACTCCAGCATGCAAGCATAATCGATGCTGTGCACCAAGCTATTCACTGCCGTACAAACACTCAGATTCCCAGCCATCTCTGCCATTAATATACCCAAGTTACCCTAGCTTTTAGTAAATGATGCAGTGATTATCTCTAATTTTAAAAAAATTTATATTTATTATGATTTAAATAATTCCTAAGAACTCAGCTAAATTTAATATTAAATAGCCTTAATTATTAATAAAGAATCCAACATGACTAGGCCGCTTTCTAATTTATATATTAAATAGCCATTTTTGTAAAACTATAGCTTAATATGGATCAGTTGTCTCCTGAAATCCGAGCACTCTATGAAAAAAGACTTTGGCATGAACTTACAGAAAAACTTATGACCTTAGATGGCACAACGATAAGCAATATTTGGCCTCAGATTTGTCAATTTTCTGAAAGACTGAATCAGGTTAAGCTTGTCCTCCTTGCAATAAAAGCATCAGACTGGCAAGATCCATCTACAGCCCGAGTATTTTTGGAAAGTGTTCAAGCTACAGATATCCAATCAGGACTTCTATTAAGAATAGCTATCGGAAGCCAGTCATTAAAGCAAGGAAACATATCTGAGGCCGCCCAGATGCTAGAAACAGCTCAAAAAGAAGCAGAAGTGCTTTCAGATCTTGACAGCGTTTTATATTCTCATTTATATGGAGCCTTGGCTGCTATTCATAAAGTAAAAAATAACCCTGAGCTTTTCTATCGGTATAGTTTGCAATACCTTGCGTATACTGCTTCAGAAGACGTAAAAGATAAAGAAAATTTAGCATTCCAGCTTGCAGTAGCAGTTCTAGTCTCTGAAAAGATATACAACTTAGGAGAACTTATGCAGCAGCCTCTGTTTAAGTCATTAGAAGGAAGCAAACATCATTGGATTTATGAGCTTTTACACTTATGTGACCAAGGCAATGTGAGAGAAATCGAAGCAAGGTTTGAAGGGTTCCCTCAGGAATTAAAGACACCTGAGTTAATTCGGAAAGTTAGGATTTTGGCAATGATGGAATATATTTTCAAGAACGATAAGTGGCAGCTTGAGTTTGGAGAGCTTGCGAATGTTATGGATGTCCCTGAAAGTAGCATTGAATGGCTGCTTATGAAAGCCATGGCGTTGGAGCTGATAAAAGGAGAAATTGATGAAGTCAACAAAACTGTGAGAATAACTTGGCTGCAGCCCAGAGTTTTGGATACATCAAGGATACACTTGATACAGAATAGACTTGGAGAATGGAAAACAACTGTTAATGAAGTCTTGAAGCATTTAGAAGACCAGTCTAAAGAGCTCTTAGAATAAAATCATTATTTTAAAGAAAAATCATGCTTTCTTATTATATCTTGATTCACTGTAAATTTATATTTATTGATAATGAATTTGCCTAATCCTTTAGCTAAATAAAATATGCAAAATCTCTCTGAACAGCAGCTGCAGCAAATGATGGTGCTTGAAGAGATGAAGCACTACAACAAAATGGTTTCAACGTGCTTTAAGGAATGCATACTCACAATGACCAGCAAAACTCTAGCACCTCAAGAGAAAACTTGTATGGAAAATTGTTTTAGGAAGACATCGAAGTTCAATGAAAAATTAGTCCAATCATTGAATTTTGTGACCATTGCGAGATCAAATCAGCAGCAGATTCAGCAATAAACATAAAAATCTTTTAACAAAATAAAATCTCATTATTTATCAAATTTGAAATAAGTGTGAAATTATGCTATTCTTAAAATTAGTGGTATTTAGCTAACAGAAATCAATACTTTTTTAGGATAAATCTATCAATAATTGTCTAATAATCATAATAGTTATATGCTACGCCAACAAACACCACACAGAATCCTTTTCATTAGAAAGTTTAAATGTGATTTATTAACTCCAGATTTTAAATGGCAAAATTTTACCTTGAGCACTATCAGTTACCTAGACAGAGCGTCATTGAAGACTTCTATGAAGAAGTGCAAGAAACTGAAAAGTATCGCCTAAAAGAAATAAATGCAGCAGTAAAAATCCAAGCTCTCTGAAGAATGTATCGACAACGCAAGCATTACCTCGAAGAGCAATGGGCTGTGAAAATCATCAAAAGAGTCTACATCGGCTACCGCACTCGCAAGAACTTCTGGAAGCTCATAAACCAGCAGCTATCTCACTATCGTCTCATGTTTTATTCATCTGCAGCCACTGCAATCCAAAGAATTTACCGTGGATTTTATTCTCGAAAATACTTCCACGACTTCGGAGCTCGCAAAAAATACCTCAAACACATAGAAGGCAAAAACGAGCGAAGAATCGCCAAAATGCATGAATACGCAAAGCAGCAAGAATTAGAAGAACAGCGACGACAAGAAGACTATGCACGAATGGAATTCTATAAACTAGCAAGTTCTCTTCATCATTTAACCTCTACCAAAGCAATCCCTGGCGTCTACCGAGGTTTAGAAGAAGTTTCTGATTTCGGAAAGCACACTTTAAAGGCTTAAATAACTGTTTATATCTCTCATAAGAATGCAACTATTCATTATTATTCATTGATCTCAAGCTCTTGTATAAAGCCTGCGCCTCTTTCATTGATGTGAATTCTTGACTAAAATGCTGAATTTCAACAAGCAGGTCTTGTGCGCCGAGAAGTTTGTTTTTTAGTAAGGAGTTTATAAAAACGCAAAGGAGTCTGACTAGCCTGGTTTGTGTGTACTTGTCTCTGATCATTTTGCAGGAATTCATGCAATTTGAGATAAATAAATGTAGGAATTCTAAAGGGAGCTCGATTATCATTGCAAGCTTATTAACCACTTCTAAAGAGTTCAGGCTCAAAGGCATTTGGACGAGCTCTCCAAAGTAGTCTTGGACTTTGCTGGAATTTGCGATTCTGACTATCATTTCTATAGCGATGGCTGGGTTTTTGTTAACTAAGTCACTCAAGTTCTTGTGGCTTAAACCGCTTTTTAGCACAAGTTTTGGCTCTTGTTCCAATGCAGCTATTACTGTGCTGGTTTGTTCTGGAGATAGCTTGGATTGTAACGAAATTCTGAGGAGGTCTCTGATATTTTCATATATAGAGCTTTCAGATTCATGCTCATCTCAAAGAATTTCTGGGACTGTCATTGGAGACAGCCATTTTGTTTCGCTGGACGAAATTTCCACAAATTCTGGAATTGGCCTCAGAAATTCTGGCTCATATCTTCCAAGAACAGAATTTGATTTATCCTTGCTGCCTCCATTAACAAGAGGCCTTACCGCTCTCGATCTTTTTATATGATCAAGCTCTTTGGCTTCGCCGGTTAGTTTGACTACATCAGAAGGAGCCATTCGGCCTACTTCTCTTGATCTAAGCCAGTCCTGCAAAAGTAATTTTTCCCAAGGGTAAGGAGACAAGTCAGTGAGCTCTGCAATTGTAGAAAGAAAAGCATTTTCTGATTGCTTGCTGATCTCTAGTAAGATGTAAATGGCAATCGTACGCTCGTGCACTGTTAGGGAGTCGTCTTGAAGCCAAGCAAGAAGTTCATATGCTGCCTGGAAGGTGGTGGTTTTAGGAACTATTTTAAGGAAAGTTTGAAATGCTGCATCGAGAGTCTTTTCTTTTAAAATTTGAGAGTCCATTTAATTATAAAATGAAAAGAGTTCTTCCTGGCAGAGCAAGATAATTGATAAACTTATAAGTGTTTATTGGCTTTATGGAAACTTGATTCATATTAATTAGATATTATTTGTCAATTTAAAGTTGTTTAGCTTATTCTTAGTGCCCACTTATATCTTTATAAAAGCGGATTAGAGCCATTAGAAAATAATATAATTAGGCTTACTATGTACAATAGAAAATAGCTTAAAAATAAATATAAGCTGAACAATTGTTTCTTCAAAATTAATAAAATTTGACAATTGAAATTTCAGGTAAGATATACTTTATGGTGTCATATTTTAATCAAAAGTAATGTGTTACTTCCACATTATACTTACTCCCCCCCCCTCCGTGAGTGAACAAAAAAATTTTGTTCACTAACGGAGGGGGGTTAATTTTTTTTTTAAAACAAATTTATATATAAATTTTTATAAAAAATATTTTTTTCGAAATTTAAAAAAATCCTAATTCACAAAAATTGGAAAGCAAATATTAATTCAATTTGCAAAATTTATGTTTTAAAAAGCAATTCGTTTAAAATTAAACAGAATTAGCTCTATATTTCATTATACTAATTATCATTTATATATCAAAACTTTTTTCCATAAAAAATTTTTCTATTAAAAAAATTTTTGTTCACTCACGGAGGGTGGGTTTTTGGGCAAAAAATAGCGATTTTTCTATGGTTTTGTTCACTCACGGAGGGGGGGAGTTAGATACTCAAAAACATGGAATCTAAGCCAAAGTGCACGAACCACGAAAAAGATGCTGATTTCTATTGCCGAACTCCTAACTGCATGTATGGGTATTGTGTCAGCTGCGGGATGAACCACTTAGGCCATGATTATCTAAAAATAGATGACCCTTCCCTTCCAAACATACTTTCATGCGACATCTCAGTATTTTTATTAAATCAGCAAAAACTTTACGATCAAAGCTATAAAGAGCATGAAGCCATAGAATTGAATTTACGTCAAATCCAAAATGAAGTCAGCCAAGTGATTATGGACATCGAAGGATATTTTGATGATTTAGTCGAGGCTTTAAAAGCTCGGGAAATAGAACTTATTAGAGAAGCGTCAACCAAAGGCATGATTATTGAAGCAGAAATAAGAGAAGACTTACCCCCCGTTCTGTAAGAGAAAATTATTTAAAAAATTCTATTTTTGAGCAAAAACGTGATGAAAAATTATTTAAATGTAAAATGTTTTAAAAAAATATTTAAAAAATAAGTGGTAATTATGCAATGAAGCCTCTGAATAATAGTATAAATTTTTAATTAAATAATTTTACAAATTTAATTAATTTTTACTATCAAATTATTGAGAGTTAAATTCAAAAAATATGTACGATAAAATTTTTAATAATCAAAAAAATTTTGATTCTCATCGAAGGGAGTTAGAAGAATGCGAAAAAGTCATGAAATCTCAAAAGGAAATTATTGATAGTATTACCGCCTTAAAAGATAGCTTTGAAGCAATGGAATTTACTGAGAAGGTAGAGAAAACTTATGACTTATACAACAAATTCGTAGTCCCTAAGTCTTACAAACAAGAGAGGATTTATGTTTTTCACGCCGGATTTGATTATGATCCTTATTTTAAAGAGGAATTTCAGAGCGTCGGGAGAGTTCATACTCAACAAGATGAATTTAATGGCTACAAGCAAAATTCCTTTAATTTTTTCAAAGAGTTTGCAAAGGATATATATAAATATGATATCACTCACCAAGCTTGGGAAATCAACCCGAGCATCAGCATCCCTCGTTTGCACCATTTTAACGTTGTTTATGCAAAAGACAGAGACGAATATATAATTGTAGGATGCACTGCAAATCAAAGTAAACTTATTAAATACTATGCAACTCAAGACAAATTAGAACAATTTGATCTTGGCTTTGAATATCCTCAATGAAGCTTTTCCTGCTATTATTGGGGAAAATTATTCCTTTTAGGAGGAGAAATCAACGACTCAAGCATCCAGAAATGCAAAGCCTATACTCCAAGGACTAATACGTGGTCAGATGTAACAGAGCTTTTAATCGCCAGAGATTCTTCATCTGTAATAGGGTTTGAAAATAAGTATTTATATGTGTTTGGAGGTTATTCCAACGGAATTTCCTTAAAATCTATTGAGAGGTATCATAAAGATGCTTCAAGGTGGGAACTGCTTCATGTGCAAATGCCTATGCCTTTGGCATTTATATCAATTGTAAGCACAGGAATTGAATTGGTGCTATTTGGAGGCGAGTGTAATGAAAGAAGCTCAGATCAGGTCTTTAAGTGAAATGGCTATAATGATTTTAAAGAATGTCCGAGGCTCTCACTCCCCCCCTCCGTGAGCGAGCAAATTATCGTTCGCTCACGGAGGGGGATTAAATTTTTTTTCGAAATTTAAAAAAAAATCCTAATATGCAAAAATTGAGCAGCAAATATTAGTTTAATTTGTGAAATTTAAGTTACAAAGCGCAATTTGTTTAAAATTAATTAGAATTAGCTATAGATTTCATTATAATAATTATCACATATATATCTATTTTTTTCATAAAAAAATTTTTGTTTACTCACGGAGGGTGGGTTTTTGGGCGAAAAATATGGATTTTCCTAATGATTTTGTTCGCTCACAGAGGGGGGAGTCAGCACCCTTCACATGTGGAGGTTCTGATATTATAGTCTTCATTTCAGGCAATGTTTATATAATTAGAGCAGAAGACTCTGATTTTCCTACAGCAGAGATATATCCCATTAGTAATATTAAATTTAATGAAACAGATACTATTTAGCTACTTCAGACGGCAGTACTGTATATGCGGTTGAGCCTCTACTCAGGCTTCGCTTGGGGAATTGGTGAGAAAGCCTTTTCACCCTGCTCTTTCTTTCTAAGTTGGCTAAGTAAATGATTTCTTTGACTGACATTGGAGAAATGAGGAACTTCATCCTTGTTATCGGGCTTGCATTATTGGATTGTGTAGGAGTGCGGGTGGAGAGAGCTCTCATTTCTGATTTTTTGAGGCCTTTTAATTTACAGGTAATTCCTTTAACTTCACTGTGAATAATTGCTGCTTGGCTTAAGCTTTCAGGCTGAGATTCACTTCTTCTCATCCTACCCATATTTAACTGCATCTTTTCTGTTTTTTGGTCAATTGAGTCAGGATTCTCTTTTATAGTTCTATAAACACTTTTGATTTCCTCATCAAAAAATTCATTGACCGTAGGAACTTTTTCAACTAACTTGAAACGGCTTTGTGGAGTTTCACTTTCGCTGTCAATTTTCAATTTCTTCTTCATGCTTTATTATTAGCCAATTCAAGGCAAAACCTTTGGCTCTAGTTAATTAATCCTATCTGGGTGTCCACTTATTCATATTTCACAAAAGGCCGGGGCAACCTTTTGGTCTTGGCTGATTGGACATTTTCCTTTATCCATAGGCCAGATACTGATTGCGCAGCATCAAAAAACATTCAGGAAGGATATTCTGCTGCCTGAAAATGGTGGCCGTAGTTCCAGAATAAAGACGGAAAGGACCTTATGCGGCTTTAGTGCTTAGAACCACATGAGTATGAAGCTAAGTTCAGCTGAAATAATCTTGCTAAACCCCTCTAACCATAATCTATATTTCTTCATACTTTTATGAACTTTCTTGCTTATTCTTACTTCTTTGGCAGAATTCCCAAAAATATCTTGAATTTGTTTGTCATCCAGCTTATTTAAATTTTCGGGGTGCAGGCCTCATGATCATGCACTTTTGATAGTGTTATTTCAACGAAGTACATTTGGTCGAAAATTGGCATTAGTGAGACACATTTGAACCAAAAAAATGTTAAATTTGACCAAATGAACACTATTTTAAAAATTTTCGACCAAATGCGCTTTGATGAAATGTATAATTCCAAAAATGCACTGTCATTTGACATGGAGCCAAATTTTCATCCTGTATTAACTCTGAAGTCGTGTCGCGAATATTTACATATAAATCTACTAATGCTTCATTAACTCTCTGAAAATTTGTTCGGAAAATTTGATGAACTTGCTCATTCAATTCATCTAAATCTGCTAAAGATCTTTCAGCCCCTGAGTATTTATCTCTTTGAAAAATTTTTGATTTTAAATAAGTCTGCAGTCTATCTCTCTCTAAAATTTGTATAAGCATTTTATTCTAAATAAATCTTACTGACTTCACGCTGCTTGCAAAAAGCTTGGCTTCAGAATAAAGCTCAGGGAAAACTCCGAGAAATATTTGTGTGATTTCAAAAACTGACAATGGGACTGTTGGCATAATTTCGTCCACGAATTGATCTAAGTTTTTTTTAGGGTCTTCAGCATCTATTTCAGTATTAAATATTTTTGAGCTTGTTGGAGTAATTCTATTGATTGTTGACTTTCGAACGATATCTGCTTCTCTTTTCTTTCGGCGCTGGAAGCTAGTACCGCCAATTTGCTGAGGAGTGTTTGCACGCTTGTATCTGGCCTTTTTTAAAGATTCAATAATATCTATAGCTTTATCGTAAATATCAGTTAGAGGAGGGGTTATTTTGATACCAATTTGGGCTGCAAGATGAAGAGTTTTGCATGCGATAAATAAAACACTTATTTCTTCTAAATAGAGAGCAAAACCTTTGGAATTAAACCCTTTAGATCAAGAAAGTTTATTTAAAAATATTTTTTATATTTAATTAATAATTGTATAATGAAATTTCTAGCTATCCTAGTAAATTCTAGATAGCCCGCATTCTTTAATATAATATTTACCAAATAGGATATTTTTTATGTTTTGAAAAAAAATATTAACCTCATTTCAGAACGAGCAGAAAAATTAGCACGTGTTGCTAAAGGTGAGAGTTAATAAAAAGTAATGGATTTTGATAGAGCACATCTCATATTTTACAGTTTCTTCGTCTAAATTGGTTTCTATTTTTCCATCTAAAAGCGTTCGTGTCAGGTTGTAGGTTGTGTTAGGTCGACTCTGTATCACTTTGATGCCATTCATATCTTTTATGCATAGATTTAATTCTTCTTTGATTTTATCGCATTCTATTTGTTTTTCAACATGATCGTTGCTAAGATTGGCGAAAAACAAGCCTAGAGAAGTCTGCTCTGAATTGCATTTATTTATAGTTTGGATGATATCATTGGTATCATTTTCTGATATTCCTTTACTAAAATCATATACACGCTCCCCTTTGCTCATTAGCCTGAGTTACATTTACTTCTCAATTACTTTAAAATTCTCAACATAGTTTTTCAAATTATGGATATTTCACTCGCTATTTCTCCTTATAGAAGAAATATTATCTATATCTTGTTCTATATCTTCAAAAATGTGATCATTTTGCTCTCCTCTAGCCTTTTTATTAATTACGTTTTTTGCTACTTTGGCAGTTGCAATTCTCTCAATAGCCTCATGCATAGCTTCTTCAATATTTTGCTTTTTTTTATACATTGCTCCATATAATGCTTTATAAGACTTTTTCATACCTTTAGTTTCATTTTTATTATGAACTACATCATTTGTAGCCTGGATAGCCACAGAGTTTGCTAGGAAGTTTGATCTTTTCACATTTTCTTCATGTCTTTGTAAAACTATATAAGCGTCATGAATTTCTTCAACCCTTTGCTTATAAACGCTCTATATAAGAAATACAATTGATTCTTTGTCTCGCTCAATTTTACTTTGTAAGGTTGTTGACACAAAATCTTCTTCATCAGCTTTGAGTTGATAGTCTTTTATTAATTGTGTCAGTTCTAGTAACTTTTGGCTGATTTTGACTGGCGATGATCTTCCTGTAAATTTTTGTTTATTATTTCCGTCTTCTCAATTCATTCTTTCTTTCATTTCATATTTTATGTCATTTACTTGCTTTTTGAGTGCCGATAATTGTGATTTCTTCTTTTGGTTTTCATTAACTAATTTATTTAATCTGCGATTTAATTTGATATTTTCTTCATAGTTGATTCCTTTTCGTTTATCTTCTTGGTCTTTATGCAATCTATACTGTTCTTCAAGCTCTTTTTCAGTTAATTTAACTTCCTCTTTAATTATTTCGTTTAGATCTTTTACCTCTTCTTTGGAGTTTGAATCGGACATGCTAAAAAATGACTGGCTGAAGCTTTTGTTTTGGTCTGAATTTGGTGGAGGTTTTAACATTTATGCTTTATTTAATTTTTAGTGTAAATGTTAAAATGTGAAAATGAATGAAATGAATGATGGAACATTCAATAAATTTTATTAAGCTATTTAAATTATTAATTAGTTGAAATAATAATTTTATTCTGAATCAGTATAAATTAGTTGCAAGTCATATTAACAGAAATTAAATTTATATTATAACTAGAATTTTTATATTTGAATGACAAAATGCAACGCTATAATAATTTAATAGTCTGATTTTTCATAAGAGACTATTTGCTGCATAAAATCAAAGACATCTGTTTTGTATATACACAAAACGATATCGCTTCGCTGAAGCGTTTTTCTTTTGCTTTCTTGAGTATGCACCCAAGCCCTATGAGTTAGCTCAATTATAAATAATTCACAAGCTTTACCGAATACAGCAGGAGTTTCAGCGCTAATCATCCTGACATCTTCATCGGATTTCATTATCTTTTTAACTCTTGAAAGAGGCAGATGATGCTGATTTAAATCTTGATGTAGAATTTCATCTAACTGAGATTTTATCAATTTATCAACACTGTCGTCTAAACTGTTCTTAGGCTGCTCATCAGAAGGATTGAAATTTACAGAATTCAGATTAGAGGAGATTCCAGAAGGCATCGGGTATAAATCAAATAAAGGAATTTGTTTAGATTTTTGCTCTCTAGATTCCATTTTTCTCTTTGTCTTAATTCTTGATAATATTTAATTTAGTTAGATTTAGACAAATAGCATTTAATTTTCGAGTAAAAATTATATTTTTAGCAATGGAAAGATAAATAAATTTTTGATATATCGAAATTCTTTAATAATTTTTTATATATATTTATTAGCTAAAATTTATTGAATCCTCCCAATTGCAGCTAATGCTTTCCTTATAATTAATTAAGGCAATCTTTATGAAGCTGCTTGAATGGGGTTATAAATATTTAAATTGGTAATTGTAATAATTATTTTTATACCTTTAGTATTCAAGTGCTCAATAAAATTGCAAATTCTTAATTGTTCTTTATTGTCGATTCTTGAGATGTCTAAACAAAATAAAAATACTGCTTATTAAATTAAGCTCTTATTTTGGATAAAAATCATGTTTATTCTTTTATCATAATTCATTATATAAAATATAAAAATCCCCAACAATGGACTCATTTGAAGATAAAATGGAATGCTATCAAATATGAAACTATTCCAAAAACCACGAATTGATTCTAAAATTTTGCGAAAGGAGAGAAAGCAATTCTTTTACCATATCTGAAAAGTAGGGTGCTTAAAATGATTCGATAAATAAACATCGCAAAGATTACAATAAAAGAACACCAAGGACTAAGAAAATTCAATTCATGAAATTACAAAATCTTAATTGGATATTAGGCAAAATTAATGGTGCAATTCCAAAATAGGATTTGCATATGGAATTCAATTTTATTAATAAAATTTGTAGAAGCAAGATGAAAACCATAACTGATTGTGACATAGAAGCTGGATTTGAAGATTGAATGTCAGATGAAGGTCAACTTAATCAAAAATCCTTAGCAAATTTTGATAATGAAGGCAGCACTCAATCATCGACAAGTGCAGCAATTATAGCAAACTTAACTAAAGGAAGGAAAAAATCAGGTCGAAGCCCAGGGCATGACACTCTGTTGCTTTCTTGTTTCAAAAGCCATAAAAATCCTAATAAACCACCAAAAAAAGAGTATTTAAGGTGCCAGCTTATTCGGCACCACAAAAAGCTAAACCGTTGTATCAAAGACATTAATTGTCCAGATAAAAATATGGGCAATTTTAACAGATATAATGAAGAAGCTTGCAGATTATATGAGATTTTAAAGAATATTTTTGAAAAAAATCAAAATATCCTTGAAGTAGAATCGCAGACAGAATCTGGACCAATGACTGATGGTAGAAGTAAAAGAAATACAAATGAGGAGCAAGCCGAAAAAAGTTATAACACTAAATATATTCAATCCTATTTCAGAAATGAAGCAGTTAAACAATCGTTTTTTTATTTCGTAGAGTTGGTATTTTCTGACTCCAATCCACAAATTTTGTGTGAGAAATTCGGGTTTTGCTGCTGCTTATCGCAGACTTTGCAGGAGCATAGTGATTCATGCTTCGAAAATTGGGAGAATCTTAAAATATATGTGCAAATTAAAATGCTTGAGGATTTGAAAATCGATGCTTGGAAGCCAGAAGGTTTCGTTCCAAAAAAAGCGGCAAAAAAACTAAGAGAGCAAAGCCCTGCAATATTTGAATTTGAAGATGAAACCCTCTTGCAATTTAATGCGGATCCAGAAGAAACAGATATTGGGAATTACAAGATTTAAATTTCTTATAGAAAAGGTTTAATAATTAAAATTATTATGAGTCATTATAAGTTATAGCCCCTTCCCTCAAATAGATTTGTTTTTAAAGTTTTTAGCATATTCATTATATGTAGAGACCTTAGGTTTTTTTGAATATTCACTTTTAATAGCGGATAATGAATTTTCATGGCTTAGGAAATTCTTTTAATTTGAAAATAAAAGTTTAAAAATGCTCAAGCTATCAGTAAATCAATTAATATGAATGCATTTTGGTTTATTGGCTTATTAACATTAATATTCATATTGCTATTTTTAGCATGCAATAAAGCAAGTTAGCATAGACATTCGTTATAGTTAAAGTTCATAGTTAAATGATTTGCTAAAATAATATATAAACTTTCTATAGCTGATTCAAAGAAAACTTTTAATAATCAGAAGTTATTATTATGATTTCAAATTAAATTAAATTAATAAATATCAATATTAAATTAACTTATTCAAATCATCTACCACAGAATTTTCCTATATTGATTATTTTGCTATTAAACTTTATTAAATTCATTATTTCTATTTCAATGTCTCAAATTATCAAATTAAATAAGTAATAAATGGACTTGCCCAAATTTTCTTTATATTTCCAAGCCTACACTCAAAAATATATTTTTCGAATAGAAAAAATGAAATATAAAAGCATTCGTAAAATTTTCATGTTTATCATATAATTAATAGGGAATAGAGTTATAATCTAAAGAAATTATAATCGTCTGCAATAATGAAACTTAGACTGATTAAAAATAATGGAACCCTAAATTAAATGTTAGCAAAATAATAAGTCTATCAATAGAAAATGGCTGATCAACAGACGAGCGAACCTGCAGGCAGTGAGACTTCTAATGAAATAAAATTCAAGTCCCCTAAATTCACACATAATTAATATGATATAGCAACTAAATATGCCTTTAAGAAAATGCATCACCCTGGTTGCAAGATTCAGGCCCTTTAATAATAACCCTTGCCGAACTTTGTAGGGTGTGCAAACCTATGAGTCAGCTGATGTTGGCTTCATATGAATATTATTGGTTATCCAGGTCGTTTTTGACCAATAGTTCTTTTCCCTACACATTCTGAAGGACGTAACTCCTTTTTCTCCTCTAAAGATGGCCGATAGGAGGTATCGGGATAGCCTTTGCCTCCGTAGCACCTCATGCTGTACTGACATGGAGTATTCCTAGCCTGTTGAGACTATTGGTATCATAGTACGATCATACTCCTAGAGGAGATGACTGCTCCAAATAGCGGCTGAATTTCAGCCCAGCAAACAGGTTGGGATTAGAGCAAAATCTGCGTAGTTATCAAATCTAGAAGACTATTATGCTTCTAGTTTAAATTTAAATTCACACTTTCTTTGTCCAAAAGTAGAATATTTTCGTACGCGGATTTGCTAGAGGACTATTTTAAAGAGAATGATGAGTCCAGTACCCCAAACTCTTCTAATTCCGTCGTTCCCGAACACGAGTTTCCTGTCTTTATGCAAAATATCCTAGAAAGACTTGAAAAATATGGCCAACTGGCCCCGAGAAATGATATAGGGTTCCATTCCAAAGGCAGGAAAAGGCCCAAAATCAATGATCAGAGCCCTGGCGAAGAAGAAGATGCTATGATAGACAATTACGATCTTGACGATAAGTTTATTGACGACGAAGAGCTACAATACGAGTCAGCTGAAGAAGATGGTAATTTAGATGGCGCGAAAGAAAGCATGTTCTGGGTTGAGACTGATATTAAAACCATCGTTAACACCCCACAAAAAAAGCCTAGAAAATCTGTTAGAAGAATTAAGACAAAAACTCCAAGTAAAATTGACTACCAAAGAGAAAATTCCGTTTATTTTGAAAACCTGCCAGATGTGGTGAAAGAGCAGATAAATAAGCTTAAAAGCATATATGAGCAAAATGAAAAAAGCGGTGGGCCAAAGAAATCAGTTCCCAAAGGAGTAAATGCGGTTCTCAATGAAATTCATTCATTAATGAGATCAAAAGATTTGGACCAAGGACTGCTCTGCAAAATCATATCTGAAATGAATAAGGTGAAATATAAAGTGATAGAAAGAGCTATGAATAAAATTTCAAAGCAAAAAGAAAAAGAAGAAGGTGAAAAAAAATATAAAGATTCGTATAGAGCACTTAAAGAGATGATTGTGAAAAACTCAAAAAATGATACATTTAGCTGGAATGATGAGCTGAGGAATCAGTTGAAACAAGTTTTAAAGCTTTTGGAGCAATTCGTCGCTATTTATAATGAATTTGTGGAACTTTATGTGAAAAAGAACCCTGCAAAGCTGAAATTTGAAGAGGAAGAACAAAAAATCATCACAGATTTGAAAAATATTGCAAATTCCAAGCTCGATAATGTGAACTTAAAAGACCGAATTAAAAGAATTGTCCCAGAAAAAATTTCCTCCCAGACCAGCAACATGATAAAGGAAAACGCACTAGGACTGCTATTTCCTAAAAAGGGCAAACTATTTGAAGCCATAAACTATTGCAGCGAAGATTTTTATTCCAGTAACGAAGATGAGGTGGAGCCTGACAAACAAGAGTCTTAATTATTAACCAAATTGTTAAAATTACCTATCATTTAGTCTAATGGCGATTAATAAGTTTATTTAGGCGTATGCGTCTTCTAATGTTCTGAAGCCAGACGAAATGTCGTCAATCAATTATAGATCAATTAAGCGTCTAAGGTGTCTAGCACACCCTCCCTTATAAACAGGGACTTGAATTGATAACTAGCGACGCCACGGGCCATCCTGACTTTACTCTTGCAAGTATTCTACCAATGGTTACTTTCATCAGGCGTGCTGAGTGGAACCCTTGAGCCTTAAATTATCTTTGGAACAGTTCCTCTAGCCCTATGTGACTAAATTTATACTCTGTTTGCTATGCAGGAAAGTCAAACCCATAAATAAATTCTAAGAGGAGAAAAAAATTGTAGAGCTAATTTCTCTCGGACCAAATGCCATTTATTTATCGAAATATCGTCAATTAATGAAATAAAGAATCTTTGGACGTTTTCTTCAGCATCTTTAGGATCTACAGAGTCTTTCATCTTGGAAATCTTAACTAATTGGTTCTTGAGCTGGACTTCAATGACAGCCCATGAAATTTTGTTTTCTTGTGGACTTTCTCTAATAACCTTTTTGGCGAGGTCATGGAAGGTAATAATAGCTCTCATCATTCCGATGGTCTTATTTAAAGGTGAGGTATAGTCCATCTTGGAGTATGCGTTTTGTTGTAGGAAATCTTCTCTGATTACTTTGGCAATTTCTAATTCCTCCGTGAGAAAATAAAAAACATTTGTTCATTTATGAGGGTTTAATATTTGCTATTTCGAAATTTTAAAATATCCCAAATTGCAAAAATTGGAGAGCAAAAATTAATGTAATTTGTAACTCCCCCCCCCCCTCCGTGAGCGAACAAAACCATTAGAAAAATCGCCATTTTTTGACCAAAAAACCCACCCTCCGTGAGTAAACAAAAATTTTTTTAATAGAAAAAATTTTAATGGAAAAAAATTTTGATATATATAAGTGATAATTAGTATAATGAAATCTAGAGCTAATTCTGTTTAATTTTAAACAAATTGCGTTTTAAAACATAAATTTGCAAATTAAATTAATATTTGCTTCCCAATTTTTGCAAATTAGGATTTTTTTAAATTTCGAAAAAAATATTTTTTTATAAAATTTATATATAAATTTTTTTTTAAAAAAAAAAATTATTAACCCCCCTCCGTGAGCGAACAAAATTTTTTTGTTCGCTCACGGAGGGGGGGGGGAGTAAGAATTATGCTTTCAAATGCAATCTGTTTAAAATTCAACAGAATTGGCTAGAGATTTCATTATGCTAATTATTACTTATTCACTCACGAATGGGATTAAGGTAGTTTTTTGGTCTTCAGATAGAGAGTCTTTGCCGACCAGCTGAACGATTTCTTGCAAATCTTCTTCTTCCTGGAGAATTTCTTTGAATTTGGTTCTTAGCATAGAAAATTCAGAGTCGAATTTGTCAAAGTAAGATTCAAGCTGTCTTTCGTAGTTACTGAAAGAAATAGACCAGTTGACACTAGGGAAATGCTTTCTTTGGGCAAGTTTTTTATCAAGACCCCAGAAGACCTGGACAATGTTCAGAGTTGCAGTTGTGACTGGATCAGTGAAATCACCACCAGGAGGACTGACTGCTCCTACAATAGAGACTGATCCTTCTCTTGCAGGGCTTCCTAAGCAAGTAACTCTGCCTGCTCTTTCGTAGAACTGTGCTAGTTTAGCTCCTAAATAAGCTGGATAACCTGCATCTGCAGGCATTTCAGCCAATCTACCTGAAATTTCTCTCAGTGCTTCTGCCCACCTTGAAGTAGAGTCAGCCATCATACTGACATTGCAGCCCATATCTCTGAAATATTCAGCCAAAGTAATCCCAGTATAAATAGATGCTTCTCTAGCAGCGACTGGCATATTTGAAGTATTGGCCACCAAGCAAGTTCTCTTCATAATACTTTCTTCTCTCCCTTTGAAAATTGTTGTCAGTTCAGGGAAATCAGTGAGGACCTCAGCCATTTCATTCCCTCTTTCTCCACATCCGACGTAAATAATGCAATCTGAATTAGAATATTTTGACAGTGCTTGAGAAATACAAGTTTTTCCACAACCAAAGGCACCAGGAATGGCGCATGTTCCACCTCTGCAAGATGGGAATAAGGCATCTAGGACACGCTGGCCAGTAAGAAGTGGGACGTTTCCTTGGAGCTTTTCTACGACTGGTCTTGGCATTCTGACAGGCCATTGGTGGCACATAGAGTAAGATTTGCGTTCACCATTGAATTCAAGCTCAATGACCTTTTCGTTGATATTGTATTGGCCTGGTGGAGCAATAAAAGTGACTCTGCCTTGAGCTCTTGGAGGAATAAGCAGTCTGTGGTTATCGAAAAGTCCGTTTTCAAAGACCATACCAAATATATCGCCACCACTGATTAAAGACCCTTCTCTGATGTTTTTTGGTTCGAATTCCCATAGCTTGTTTCCATCTAAGGCTGGGACGTCAACTCCTCTAGGAATAAAGGCACTGTGGTTGCTGTTGATAGCGATATCTTTCAATGGTCTCTGAATACCGTCATAGATAGTTTCCATAATGCCAGGGCCAAGTGTGACACTGAGAGGTGAGCCTGTTCTAAGAACTGGGTCACCTACAGTGAGGCCAGATGTGTCTTCATAGCATTGAATACTTGCAGTATCTGCTTCGAGCTTGATAATTTCGCCGACCAGCTTATCCCAACCAACTCGCACCAATTCAAACATCTTAGCACCTGCCATGCTCTGGGCGACGACTAGAGGTCCTGCTACCTTATAGATTGTTCCGTACTTGTTCTCAGCCATTGCTATTATTATGCCAACATAAAATCAAGCCTATTAAACTTAAATCCAATGCAGCATTACTCGTGGCAAGTAAGGGAAGGAGATTTTTAGTTGTGAAGGAAGCTATTGATTATTGAATAAGGTGATAAATTAATTTTTATGAATTAAAGTAACAGGATGAGCTTGTAAAGCTTTGAGCAAAGCTTTTCAGAGAAATTCGATTAGTAAAGACTTATAGATTAAAGGAAGGTATAAAATGTGTGTGAGATCAGACGAAAGATGGTAATACCTCATGAGGCGGCAGAGAATTTTATGCATCATTTCACAGTAATTATTCAGGTCACTGCTAAAGTTTGCGGTCGACCATTTTATTTATATAAACCATGCATAATGATGAACAATTTCTCATATGCTTAATTTACTTTATTTAAAAATAATAGAATTTTTCAATCTTATAATTTTAAAAATTTTATGATCCCTTAAATAAACTTATTATAATTATTGGCTGATGCCTTTGAGAATAGATCTCGCATGAATTTTTGCATTTATGTGCTTTTCAATATACGAATGCTTCATTGTTTTCATGCAGGACATACAAAGAACTTCATTCAATTTAGGGTTTTTATTTTTTGTCAGCAGCTTGAAAACACTTTTATCACTTGCCTCAAATAAGTCGTCATCTTTGACATTTTCATCTCCTGCTTCATGGACGTCCTCAGCAATTGACGCAAGCTTTAATTTTCGTAGCAAAATTCTTTTAGATCTTCTTATCATAAGAGATGATGGCTCACCATAGTCTTGAGAATTATAGCTCTTTACAGAGGCATTATCTTCTGAGCCTACATCGCTTTGCTTTCTTTCTGATCCTGAATATTCTAAGTTTTCAGGCTCTTCTTTAACAGCTTCTAAGCTTTCTGAAATTTTGTCTGTGCTAACAATTGGTGAAGAGATTTCTTCTTCGCTCTCTGGGTTTTTTATTTCTTCCTTTCTCATTTGGCTTTCAAAAATTTCATCTGAGTCTATTGATGAGGATTCCTGCTTTATTTCTTGAGTATCCGCTGCAATTTCGCATGTAGCATTATCATTCTTTGAAGAACTTTGAACTGTTTCTATTTCTTTATGTAGTTCTTCTTTTTCATTGATGGGAGGCCGACACATTAAGAAAGGTGATGGCACTTCTATAGTAGGAGGGGGCGATAAGAGATTTAGATTTGATTGATTTTCTGGATTTTTAGTTATTTTTGTTTGCTCTATCTCTGAAAAGTCGCCAATTTTTTGGATTTTCGTTTTGAAAAGATTTGATGGACTTTGCTGGTCTTCTGAGATTCTTGCTCTTGGGATTTTCTGTGGTAGCGGGATTGATTGTGATATCTCTAACCTAACTATTTTTCCAAAAAGGTTCTTTCCATTATATCTTCTTATAGATTCATAAGCATCTATTTCTGTATTAAATTCGATGAAAGCAAATTTACCCTATATATCTCTTACAAAGTAATTAATCGAGCAAGGCCCAATTTTTCTGAATATATCTTCAAAAAACTTCTTTTCGAAGGAATCTGGCAAATTTCCTATAAAAACACTCATATTTATAATCCTTTTTCAAAGAAAGCATTTTTTGATATATATGCTTAAACGTTAATCACAATTTAAAAACTTTTTAAATTAAAGATAACAAGTTTTAAAATAAAATAGATAATACAAAAATATTACCTTAAGGCTCAAAAAGACTTTCTTATTATAGTAAAGTAATTTCGGATAGGGCTTTACCAAATCAATATTTATCGCTTTCGAAGTTATTGCAAGCAAAAGCATATAAAGAAAATTCTGTTTGATGATAAAAGATTGTAGAGAAGCTTTAAAGCTGATTCATAATATTACTAAGCATGTATGCTCAGCAAAACATTTATGTATTCACTTTAATTCGCTTGTGCAAATAGAAAAATCATGTAATTAGCTTAGAATATGAAGCAGATGTGCTAAAATAAACTTTCTCGCCCATGAAAGAAAATCTTTTTTTCCAGGTGGTAGCAGAGTATGTTTATTGCTCAAATAAACTATCCAAAACATTTCAGAAGTCATGAATTCATCATATGCATTACAAGTAAATGCAACTTGGATGCTATAGATAATTATTCAATATTATCAAACGTTATTTATCTTGATTTATGAGAAAAAAAGTTAATTAAACCTCATTATAAAGACAACGCCAATTTTTGACCGTTTTATCAGTTTAGAATTCGAAATAATAAACTTAAACATAAACTTCGCTAACTGAGAAATTAATATTTATAAATGGGAAACAGAGCCATCTGTGCAGAATCTTGGTGCTTCCAAAGAGGAACAATGCAATGCACATGCAACAATCAAATCTACTGCTCAGAGTGTCTTGCCAAACATATGATGAGCTTGCCAGACGTTTCACACAATGCGACATCATTATCTTTGAATTCTTCTAGGAGCTTATACTCAGATCCAAAATCCAAAATTGTGCTGAAGAGGCTGCGATACCGAACTCCGGAAGGAAACACAGAAGTCTATGACGGATACATTAACCAGCAGCTTTATGCTGTTAAAATTCAGTACTGCCGAACATTTGAAGATTTAAATAAAAAGCAGGAAGAAGCTGCCTTACAAAGAAGCTTGAAGCATAAAAATATTTGCAAATGCGTAAGATCTTATTTGGATGAGTCATACACACTTGGATACAAATTTGTGATTGTAATGGAATATGGGATCAAAGATCTAGACAATGAAATTTTTACAAGGATCAGTGAAAAAAACCCATGATCTGAGGAGGAACTGATGAGGCATATGAATGAATTAATTGATTCTCTTGCATTTATGCAAGAAAACAATCTTGCACATAGAGATATAAAACCTGCAAATATTTTGCTATTTCCAAATAATATATTGAAGTTAGCGGATTTTGGGTTAAGTATACAAGGTGAGGATATTTTAAACACTCAAGATTATAAAATAGTAGGCACAGTCGCTTATCTTAGCCCTGCTCTTAAGCAAGGATTCATGGATATTTGGGAAGGCAAAAACAGCACAGGTGTAGTCCGGCACAATCCGTATAAATCTGATGTATTTTCACTAGGGCTAAGTTTTTTGCATATGGCATCTTTGATGCCACCTATAAGCTTGAATACCTGCCACGATGGGATTTTTGAGCTGCAGCAGAAAATAAGAAAAGCCATAAAATGCTTAAAATACTCCAAAGAAGTCAAAATAATTTTAGAAGCAATGCTTGAAGTGGAAGAAGAAAGAAGAATGGATTTTCTGAGCCTAAGGGAATGAATAAATTCTCTTGAGCCAATTGAGGAAGAAGACACACTTGTAGACTCTCCAAAATTCCAGTTTATTCCTCAGAGTGAATCTAAAACATTTGAGGATCCCAGAGAAGAATTGAATGACTATATTGATACCTATACAATGCCTTCTGAAATAAAGTCACTATTTCAAGAAGTTCTTTCAGGGACTCTTCCCGAGAAGGTGACTATTGAGATGACTCTAACTCCAATTAATACAGAAAATATGTGCAAAGTTCTTCAATACATACCAAAGTTAAAAATTCTTGAATTAAATAACTGCTTGCTTGGAGAGCAGGGAATTCGGCATTTAGCGCATAGACTATCAGAACTCACTTTTTTAGAAGTACTTTCGCTTGGAAATAACAATATTCAATCAGAGGGCACAAGGCTGCTATGTGATAGCCTTATTCAATTGAAAGCTTTAAAAATTTTAAGGTTGTGGAATAATGACCTTAAATGTATAGGAGCAATGCATTTATCTCTTGGGTTAACCTATTTAGTTCAATTGGAAGAGCTTTATCTAGCAGAAAATGAAATTAAAGTTGAAGGAGCTCGATATTTATCGAAAAATCTACCGAAATCTTTGAAGATTTTAAGCATGCCAGATAACATGATTGAAGATGTTGGCGCAAGATTTCTAACTCCTCACCTCTGCAAGCAAGCAAAAACCACTGGAGCATCCCTATTTTTGGTAAAAAACCCACCATCATGTGAGTGAACAAAAAATGCTTTATGAAAAATAATTTTGATAGCCACACATGGGCTAACAACATTTTTTGTTCGCTCACAGAGGGTGAGGAGTAAGTGGTGCTATAAAGCATATGGCTAACCTTAAGCAGCTATATTTAGACAACAACAGAATTGGAAGTATGGGGGCTAAATATTTAGCCACAAATATTCCAAGCTCTTTAATTTGCTTAAGACTTAGCCGTAATTTCATATCTGCAGAAATTATGCCGATATTCAAAGAGCTGACCCCAAAGTTGAAATTGTCAAAGAATAAAACTTCAAGATTTGCGTCCTTATTGATGTGCAAAGTCCGATTTGGCTACACCTTTTCGATCCCTGTGGAAAATGGCGCGAAATTCGCCCCAGAGAGGTGTTTGGGTAGCTATGATCGAGCAAACTGGTAGTGGACGTTAAATGTTATATAGATAAATTAAGAAGAAGACTCCAAAGTTGAAAGTTCAATTTTGATAAATAATGTACCATTTTTGTGATTATTGTATTATTTATTACCGATTTTAAATGGCTTAGATGTTTTTGATATTGTTTATGAGCGAATCTTCATCCACAATCTCTGAGTCCATCAAGTTCTCGTCTTCTATTGTTAACTCGATATTTTCAGTGTCTTCTGACTGCTCTTTTTTGAGTGCTCCACTTGGCTTAGGCGGCGGCACCACATCTTTATTCATCTTAAAATTTTGTAAATATTCCATTCTGTAGTAAGTATGCAAAATTCCTCCCAAAGTAACTAGAGAAGTCGATACAGTAAGGCTGCATAAAGTTTTGAAGTCATAATGAACCCCACCACTTACTACAAGTACACCTAATGGAAGGGCATAGCATATAAGCCAAAGATAGTATCCACCTAATACTACAACTAAATCATATTGTTTTGAGTAATACCATAGAAAAATACTGACTGAAGAAAGGGATATAGTAATCACACACATATTAATTAGTTTAAGGGTCGAACCTTTGCTTAATGTTCAATGGCATATTATCTGCGCAGGCATCCATCCCTGCTTCGGGATTCCCCGCTCTACCACTATGCCAAGCACCAACTGGCTTCGCTGCTGAATGGTCCCTAGGATTCGGGCGCTCAGATTTCGACGGCTGTCCTTCCAGCTCTCGGGCAACAACGTAGGTTGCCTCCACAGAAATTCCAAAAAATGGAATTTCTGCCGACTGTCGGCAAAAGGTCCAACTCAGAGTCCAAGGCGTAACTCTTGGTTTCACGCTAGAGAGCTGCCCGAAGGAACAAAAGATGCCGCTTGCTCTCCCGTTTCCAACTCGAAGCCTTTCCTTCACCTCGAGATAAAATCCAATCCTAAAAGAAGACTTGAATCAGGCTCTGCCTTTGATGAATTGTTTACTTGATATTGTTGTCAATTTCTGGATTGGCAAAACCCTGCCAGATACAGAATAAATATATGCTCGGGGATGCATAGTAGGAAGACCATGCCCTGCCGAGAAACTATATTTAATTATGGGATCAGTAATCACAAAAACGCTAAATATAAATAGGTAGATAGAAAATTCGTATCCGGAAATATACATTTCTATGCTATACATGCAGATTTTTAATCCTCCATATCCAAAAGCTGCAATTTGTGCGGGGATTGAAGTTTCAAGAAGAACTTTGCCTTGGTAAAATCCAAGTCTTCTCATTGTCAAGTTAAGAGTTAAGCTTCCACACATTCATAGAAAATAGCTCCCGTTGATGATATTATTGAATTCATCTATGTCAACAATTTCTTCTTGGCGTGCACCAAACATATACTCCACAATCAGCCCTAAAGTCATAAGAGCGGTTCCAGTGTATTCAGCAGAGCTGTGATTTCTATTTTCATCACTGATAAGATTTAACTTAAAGCAAATGAGATGGGCACAGCCAAACAAAATATATGTTGATAAGGGAATCAAAGCTAATGATGTAATCTCCAATGAAAGTCCTATAGTGAATATCAAAAGTAATGTTGCCCTACTTGTTGAGCAGTCCCGGGTTGAAGAAAGCGAAATCACGCTTTTCCTAAAATAGGCAAACTCTTGAAAGAAACTCCCAGCAATAAGAAGAACGATTCCTATTAGATATTCAGAAATCATTGCTTGAGAATTAATATTTTCTTACCATACTTAAAGCCATAGCTAAAAACAGTAACTTTGTATCTACTAATAGATTAAAAACCAGAAAACAAGAGTTGGGGTCTTATACATGCAGTGGTGTTAGGTTCATGTTTAGACAAGTTGTGGATTTTGTGCGAATTTAGGCTGTGTAGATGACAGTGAGATAGTCACTATATGATTGAGAATCTGAGACGAGCAAATTAATTAGAATCTGCCAATACCAAGAAAAAATAAACTTGCTTAATTAATCATTAAGAGTGGAGTTCATTTTCTAAATTGGCATACTCGAATTCGAAGTCAGCCTTCTTCTTCTGAGACCAGCTGTTTTCGAAATCGAAGTAGGTATACGTCCCTTTCTCTCGGTCATCCGAAACTTGCTTGGGCTCTCCACACCTCTGGAACCAAGTCTGGAATCGCTTATGGTAAATCCACTCTTTCCCTTTCAGTTCTTTTGACGCCAAAAACTGCTGGTAAGTCCCAGGCTGATGATAAAAAATGAAGAAAAGCGTGTCCACTTCTAGCTTTTTATACTGTGCAGGATTTGTGAAAAACGGCCTTTTAGGGTAACTGGGATGGCCTTGGTATGATGATTTTACAATTTCAAGCTTCGATCGCACTCGGTCCTCTGGCCTTATTTGGAAATTAAACGCTCGCTCTATTGCTTTTTTGGCGCTTTCAGTATCTTTGTAATCCCAGGTTTCCTAATTTTGAAATACTGTTTCGATTACTTCTTCAGGCTCTTCTTCTTTGGATTCTTGGAGTTTGTCGATTTGGTCGCCAGCGATCTTTTGCAAGGCGTCTTTGGAATTTCACACTGATATTTTGGGGGTTTCTTGTGTTTTGGAGTCTTGCTTTACAAGTGGCGGCATGACTTTGGGCTCAACTTTTTTTTGTGGGAGCTTCTTCTGGGCATCGTGAGGCTCTTCTTCAGCAATTACAGGAGCTGGGGAGACAGGAGTTTCTGCTATCTCGAGCTCTGCGTAAATTTGTTCCAGCTCACTGTCATAGTAAGACTTATCATTAATATTCTCAATAAAAACCTCAAAAATGTCCTTTAAGTCTCATAATTTTTGCATAGGTAGCTGATCATTTTCAAGCGCCCTTAAAATAAACTCCAGCTTGCCATAATGAAACCTGTGGGTCTGCAGCTGGTTTGCGAGCTCTTCGAGCCTGCTTGCATCAGGCCTTCTTCCTTTCGCGGCTTTAAACGAATCTAATTCAATTTCTAGTGAGGTGGCGCCTTCTTGCAGTTGTTGAAGTGCTGATCTTATTCATTCCCTCGCAGCTTCTCGCTCTTCTTCTTTAGGATCAACTTTTGGAGCTGCTGATAAGCCTGTTTTGGAAAATGCTTTAGTTTTGTTTTCGCGTTCGCAATTTTTGAAGGTTGCCATTAGGTCTTCTATAGTTTTTCTAGCTTCTGTTATCGGATTCTTGTCTCTAATTTCAGGATTTGTCTGATATGCTCGCAGACTTTCTCGGACCCTTTGAAGCTTTTTGATTTCTTTTTTCAGTTCTGATTCATATCGTTCTTTTTGAGTTTGGTTAACTGCAGATTGGATTTTCTTGAGTGTTGAGTTAAAGATTTCGACTCCTTCTTCTACGCTTTTTAATTTTTTATCAATTTCTTGCTGTAAGTGCCTAGCTTTTGCCATTTATAATCTAGCTTTACGTTTTCAAGATTCTTATCTTTCTAAGCAATCATCTAGTCCTTATTGATTTATTTGAAATAATGGCTGAATTTTCCAGCATCTTGTTTCACAAGTATAATATTTAGGGAAATGACAAATAGATCATTGTGAAGGTTTCTTATATGGAATAGCTGTAGAAATAATGCCTTACAAAATTTCTTTATTTTTTAAACTACTATACATGGTTGCTTGCTGTCCAAGATAAATTGAAATGGTGACTATAATAAAGGTGAGCTCATTAAAAGTAGAAGTTAGTTTATCGTTATGTAAAATTAAATGGACGAATCTCTAAATCTCCCTTTTAAGATTGAGATAGATTCTTCCAACAGCTCTTGAGAAAATGTTATTTTTAATTTAATTATATACAAAAAGTATTTCTGAATTGTAAAAATCCTACTTGATAATAAAGAAATAAAAAATCTAATTTTATCTATAATATTGTTTATAATGCAAGCTTTTTAAGAATTAGCTAGATATCTCGCTATAAAAATTGTTAGTTATATATAATATAAAAAATATGTTTGGAATTTTTTTCTCTTTTTAAGGGTTTTAATCTCCAAAAAAGCATTTTCCAATAGCTCTGCTCGCTCTAAAGGAGGAAAGTAATAGAAATTGAAACACAAATAAAATTAGGGAATCTGTCATATGGAATAGATCTGCTCCAACTACTAGTCAATAAGTGCAAGCGAAGTCCAGAAGAGTTAAGCCATGTTGCTGAAAACATTTACAGAATCGGTCAAGAATTACTTACTGCCCCCTCGAAGTTCGACCAAGATTATTTTGGTCGGGGTTAAGAAAAATTTTTTTAAAAACAAATTATATAGAATTTTTTTTATATAATTTAGTAGTTAAAAAAATAAAATATTTATCATATTCTTCCGTATGGTTGAGAGGGTGTAAGGGTTAGAAAAAATAGTGCAAGATGGTTTTCTAACGCTTTTTTAGAACTTGAATACAAAAATCGCAAGCTCATCCCCACATAGTTTAAAATTTTTGAAAAATTGCTTAAATTTATATAGGTCTTGGTCGAACTTTGAGGGGGGTTAATTTTCCAAAAAAATAGGAATTTTCCCTATATCTTGGTCGAACTTCGAGGGGGGGGAGTTAGAAAGCAAGATTTTAAGAATATTATTGGTCTCTGGAAATATTTAGCTCTAATATTCTCAGCTTGCAGACAATATGATCGGGTCTGTGACGTTAAAAATTCTATATCATACTGTTTGAGAATGTGTAGAAGAATCCCTGAATCAATAAAAGAATTGCAATCGGCAATAGAGACAGCAACATCAATGGAGTCAGCAAAGCATAAGCTACCAGGACTCCATTTAAATGCGTGTGCTATTTTTAGAGAAAATCTGAAAGATTTAAAATCAGCCTTAGTCCATGCAGAGCTAGCTTTTTTTCATGCAAAGCAAGCTTTGGAGCTGAGTAATATAGATATTAGTTCAATTAAGCATACTCTGGGTGTTTCATATTACAACATTGGCCTTATAAAAGAAGATATGGACGATTTATCAAGCTCTTTACTATGATTAAAAGAAGGGCTTAAATTCTGTGAAGAAAATGTGAATGATCTGTTTTTAGAGCAAACTTTTAGAGAAAAAATACTTTGTATTGAATCAAGACCTCATTTCTTGCCATTGCAAATTAGGAGCCGAAGCAATACTCCTGCATTACCAGTAAGGCCAGCAACTAAAAAGAATTTGAGAAAGTATAGAAATTGCCCGAGGATGGCGCTATTTGTGCCATCCTCGGGCAACCGAAAATCGTCTCCACACGGGAAAGATTTCCACATGTGGAGCCATTTTTTCACACGTGAGAATCCTGACTTCCACGTGTGAAAAAATGGCTCCACACGTGGAAAATCGTTCCCATGCGGAGCCGATTTTCCGTATTGCCAGAGAATGGCGTAAATAGCGCCATTCTCGGGCAATTAGCATATAGTTTTTTGAAGATGATTGATAGGTCTTCAACAAAAAGAGGGATCAAGTCTAGAAGATCTAATAGAGGAAAGTCTGTCAGTTATGCAAATATGTCTTTAGATCATAGAATGTCAAAATATTACGTTCCTTCATTTTCTCCTGAAGTTAAGAACACTCAAAAAGACAATTTGTCTAATTTTTCTCCTAATCCAGATTCGTATTCATCATTTGATAAGTCAACAGAAGTATCCGTAAAATCAAGCAAAATAAATTACTTTAGCGTCAAAAACGACAAAGTCATAAAATTGAAGAGTGCGAGAAGACACTTAAGCCATCCAACAGCAGGACCATTTATTCCAAGTGACTTTGGAAAACAATACAAAGCAGCAATTAAGATACAATGTTGGTATAGAGCGCAAAGATGTAGAAAGAAATATTTGATAGAAAGAAGACACTATGATTATATTGGTTTTTGCAAAATTACATCTCAGGGGGGATATTCATAAAAAATGGCGTGGCGGACCAACCCATCTCCTAAGCTGGGGAGACCCATGGACCTTGCGGGAGGAAGTTTTAGCTTTTGATATATGCATCCAGCCATGTTTACTTGGCTTTATTTTTGTGAGCGCAATGTCCGAGTTGGCTCAGTTTCGCATTTAGGTCAAGGTCTTACCTCGGAAAAGAATGGAGTTCGGAGTTAGAAGGGGTGGTCCCAGCAATACCAGTGGGGTTCCTCCTTTTCGATCGGGAACGTTCTCAAGCATGATACCAGGCGTTGGCCTCCTGGTCTAAGAATTTTCATCTTGGCCGATAGGCGACCAGAAAATTTGTTTTTTTCGAATTTTTCTAGAAGCCAATCCCTGTTGGTGTGCAGTACCGTGATAAGCAGATGAGTGAAGCGTTATGGAATAGAAACAAGGCTCTTCGGATTCTTGCAAGGGAGCTTTTCTATAATCTAATTAATTGTAAGTGTAAATGCATCCCAGGGAGGATTTTTTTTTTGCAGTGTATATAGAAATATTAAGCAAGCACAGCTCAAGCATAGATTTATGAGAAAGAAAATTGAAGTAAATATAGTAGTTGATGCATATCCACTAACCAAAGGACTTAAAAAGCCAAAAAATTTCAGTGAAAGTTTATCATCACTATGTAAAAGAATTGACATTCCCAGCGACGAAGCCGAGTTAAGAAAAAAAGAAAATGCACTATTTGAGATAATAAGCATTGTAGACAGTAAAATAGAACTATGTAGCAATATGAGCAATAGAGATTGCACCACAATAAGAATAATTTATGAAGGAAAAATTGAACTTAATGAAGTTGAATATTTTATAGAAATTTTTTATGTTCCAGGAGATGATAAATTTTTGGATATTAAAGTCATGAAGGGCGAATCTACCTATACCTGCAGATTTCAGCTTGATGTGCTCCAAGATTTTGATACGGTTCGAACTAAGATCCCCTATCTAATTAGCAAGCTTAAGCTAGAAAACGAAATTTTGGAATTAAAAATGTAATTGTAATGAAATTTACTTTGTAAATTACTTTAATTATAATATGATATTTCATATTATTTTTGAAAAAAATCGCATAAAGATCGATATGCTGAAGATACTGGCTTTGACTTTGATTTTCTTGCTATTGAATGCTTCAGATCTTTCAATATTTCAGGCTTGCTATAGACAAAGTCAGCAATATTTTTAACTGGTATTTTTCTGAAATCATTCCACTCATAAGATTTAGTAACACTTCTTACGGTTGAGGGTGCAGTTGTAAGCCTAGATGTTCGAGATTCGCGAGATGGCAAGCTTGTAGAGGTATGACTTCTGTATTTTAGCTTTGAATCTTGAGTGATTAGCAACTGACTAATAGAAGGAATAGTTTTCCTATGCTTTGCATTTTTCATGAAGTATGAACTAACGCACTGCTCATAAAATTCAACTATTTCAAAATAAGAATTTATTGATAAGTTTTTTCGGATCTTCTCCACTTCTGTCTGTGTTTCAATGATTTCTGTTTTTATCCTGTTTATTATGCTTTCATATTTATTGATTTCAATTTTTTCTTTTGTCTTTAGGTTATCAGAAAAATGAAATCCATCAATTATTTTTATTGGCTGTTCATTTGATATTTTATGTTTTATTTGATTCGACCTATCATAAAGTTCTTGCTTTTGGTCTTTTAGTACTTTTAATGCTACTAGAAGCTCATTTTTAGAGTCTTTTGATGCCTCAAACCGTTTTGATAGCTCAACCAGTTGCTGATTATATTTATTGGATTTTCTCTCAAGCTTGCCTACCCTTGCTTTTAAAGAAGAACAGACATGAGAAAGATCCACTACTTTTGGGTCTGTGTCAATATTATGATCTGCGATTTTTATTCTTTCTTTAAGCATTATATTTGCTTGGCCTGCGTCACGAATATGTTTTTCGCAGTAATGCTTTCAAACATCTTTATTTATTTGCAGTTCTTGGTTGATTAATTTAGGAAGATTTTCAATTTCATTGTGGAGCTCTTCATGGGAAGTAATTACATTCGATTCTGGATCGATTGATTCTGAAGAGCTGTCCATTTAAATTTATTATATAAATTGACATTTTGAGCGTGCTAAATATGTCGAAAATGAAATCATAATCGATTTGCTATTTTATGAAGTCAATGCTTAAATTTATAGCTTTATTACCAACACCTGCACTTAAAACTTGCTTCGCTTGGTCTTCCATTGTATAAGTCCAGACAAATTCCCTCCAATTACATCAATAAAATTGTCAATTGTGCAATTTGCCTGAGCTATTCCAAGGTTTACTCTTGCTGTATCAATTAGGGTACGATCTTGTAACTTCCTAGCTAAGCTGAAATGCTTGTCTAGAAACTCCACAGCTTTCTTATGCTGGCCTTGCTTTTGATACAATAGGCCTAAATGTAATGATGCCTCAGCCTCTGCCGAATGCTTATTATTTTCAGAGGCTTCTTGATTCAGCTGCTCTAGGTGTTTAATAGCTTGAGAAATATTGGACATTTCTTGATAAGCTGCAGCAATTTTGGCTAAAGCATTGGTTACTCCTTCAAGATAGTCAGCATTTCGGCTTAATTCAAGATATCTTTGAAAATACTCCAAAGCAGTCTGGTATTCTGTATTTTGAAAATAAATCAGCCCCATTCTATAGCATGCATTTCCTTGAGCTACAAGATCATCCGCATTTTTAGCACTTTCTAGGCACTTTGAGTGGTATCCTAAAGCAAGGTCAGTTTTTCCTTCTTCCTCAAGTTTGTCGGCTTCCAGCCTATAGACTTCTATAAGGCATCTGCTTAATGTTATTACTGAGTGCTTCAAATCATGTGTTTCACTAATCTTGACTCCTCTTTCAAACATGGAAATCGCCAATTCAATCTGCTTAGTCTTATAAGCACAGTTTCCCAACCCTTGATAAGCAGTTGCAGCTTCATAAAAAAGCTCTCTTTTATTAGCAATTTCTACGCATCTATCATAAAAATAAGTAGCTGCATCATAAATTTCCATCCTTTCAAAATAACTCCCTAGCTCATGGTACCCTTGAAAAGCTCCTGGGTAGTCTCCTTCTCTATTTAATTGTTCTGCAGGGATAAGCCTTTCTCTTAAATCTTTGATCACTTGCTCCTTTATTTCTAAATCTTGAAATTTTCCATGAGTTAAATAGAATAAGTCAATATATGATTGTGGGTAGCCAATTTGTAGGGTTTTAATACAGGCAGTTTCTCGGTTTTCTTTGCCAATGATTTGGGTATGCCCATCCTGGACACTTCCTGTGAGATTTCTTCGAGAGGTTGTGCCTGATCTAGAAGACTGCTGAGGTCGAATTGATTTGCCAGTTGCAGGAATTTCAGACACTTCAAAGTCTTGGAATTGGGTTTTTCCTGCAGTTGTACGCTTCTCAACAGCACCTGAAATTGGGGCAAATTTTCTGCCTAATAAAGGCTTTGGATATATGGGAGCATCAGGCTGAGTCCTCAACATATTTTCTAAATAACTAGATTTATAACTGTTTAGGAATATATATGCCCTTTCAAATACTAATGAAAAAAATTACAGTAAAACATATATATTTATTTTATTGTCAATGCACAACTTCAGAGTTTCTGATATTTTTGGTTTAGTTCATTAAATTCAGAACTCTTAAAGTAATTTCTTCTCCTTTCAGTGCATTTAAATGGTCATCGGCTTCATTTTCTCAAATCAAACATGTTTTCTTCAAATACTTTTTATTTTTGTCACTAAGAAATGATTTTTTATAGTTTCCCTCTTGTGTATCAGATAATTCACATGATCCTTTCAATTTCTGTCCCTCAGGTACACTCTCTATAAAATCATTGATAAGAGATTCATTGCTGATATTTATAGTTGAATCCAAACATTTTTCTCCATGAGCAGCATTTAGCTGACGATCTTGAATGGTATGAAGATTATTGGTGCAAGCCTTTAAGTCTCCTTGCTTTTTATATCCAGAATATGTTTCATAAGTTATTTCATGTGATAATGTGCTTTCTGATATTATAGAGAGTATCAGAATCATAACGTTTAATATCGTTTTAGCCATTTATACCATCACTGCTTCATTTTCTGACAATATGTAGGAAAATTTTGATTTTTTAAAAAAATATGTTTAAGTTTTATTCCGAATGGCTAGAAAACTATCATTGTGGGATTTTTAAGTATCTAAAGAAATAATATGAATTTTAAAAGCATTAAAAAATATTTTAACGAAATTAAAATTTTTATTAAATTAGTTAATTCCATTACTTATCTTAGCATAGAGGATTTATTAAATCTAATAAATAAAAATTATAATAGAAAAGAATTTTGACCTTTTAAGAGACTAAAACCGCTCGACCTTGCTAAAGTGTCATCTACGGTCATGTTCAGCTTGCTTTGTATAAGTGATTGTCTTCTTTCTTGCACAACTGGCTTAGGTTTAAATGATTTTTTAAAGCATATTTCACTTCGAAGTGGCTTAGGGTCATTATAATCTGAAAAAAATCCTTTTCTTGAGTTAATTTTGCTCATATTTTTTATCTCTACTATATCCATCATCATGTCAGGGTTAAAATTTGGAAAAGCGCAAGTTTTATTTGGCTTTTCTGCAAAATGGTTCGTCTTTTGTAAAGAAGTCTTGTTTCTCTCCTTTTTATTTCCATTAAGTTCAATTTCCATTGTTTTAGTACTCAAAACACTTATTGAAGAAGCTGTTGAGCTTAATTTTGATGCATTCGACAGAGGTTTACTGTCATAAACAATTTTCTTTTGTGGGAGCCGATGCATGGAAAGCGCATCACTTATTGAAAGTATAGAAGGATTTATTATATGTGATGAAAACTTTGGTAGGTCATAACTATAAATACCTTTGGATTTGGTAGAAAATACTTTTTCCAAATATTGTCTATCTTTTTGCTTCTTTTCTTCCTTTTTTTCTGCATAACTTTGCTGAAATGGTGTATCAAATACTGAGTTTAATTGCTCCTCAACCTTATTGAAAAAAGTTTTATATAGAGGTTTCCTCTATATAGCGCTAAAAGCGCAGACATTTTTCCAGGAGCTTTCCAAGTTCGTCGGACCAAATCGCTTTTTGGTCCGACCAAGGCATTGATTTGGTGGTGCAACCTACCGATAAATTCCGATCAGAATTTATCGGCCTTACAGCGCCAAACATAGGAAACTTCTATAATTATCTTTATGCTGATTCTTTAAATCATTTTTTAGATCAGCTTTCCTTTTTTCTATTAATTCAGATTTACTTCTTATTTTTGGAATTTTTACATAAGAAGCGTCAGTTTTTGTGTCAGTTTTAGATAAAGGCAAAACAACTTTAGTTAATGGACTCCATCCAGAAAGCCATTTATCTATGCAATTAGTTGCGCTATTTTTCAGTTCTGCTTTTCTTCTCTCTCTTAATTCTGAATACGATCTTGCCCTTTCCTCACCCATCTGCTTTTATTTAATTTTTTTACTTTAACTTATTGCTTGAAATTCATTATTTATAGGTCAAAACGTTAATTAATTTTTTTTGAAAAGATAAAATTTTTATTAAAATATTTATTCAAGTTCCGATAAAATATCAGTCAATTTCTGCGACAACTGCTGCTTTTCTTTACTGATTTCATCAATTTCTTGCCTTCTCTGGTTTTGTCTTCTTAAAAATTGCTCTGCAAAATCGCTGAGATCTTCAGCTAAAGTTTGATATCTTGATGCTTCATCTTCTTCCCCTACTGATCCAACGGACGCCATTTTACTTGCTTCCACTTTCCCCATGATTTCCTTAAGTTTAACTTCAAATTCTACCTCTTTATGTTTTATCTCCTCTTCTCTTGCTTCTAGTGTTTTTTCTTTATCTTTTATCTTTTTAATCCTTTCTTCTGCTCTTTTCTGTTTAATCAGCAAAGCTGATTCTTGATTTTGCAGTGAAGTTTCCCAATTTTTCAGCTTATTTTCTTCTTCTTTTTTGAAATTTAAAAACTCTTGTTTTTTTTGTTCAATTTCATCTTTTGAAGCCCCAGTTTTGCTTACCCTTCATTAAAGAACAGGGTAAAATATTCGAAAAATCTTTTAGAATAAGGTTTCTATTAAAATTTAGGCAGCTTTCATTCTCAAATATAGATTCCATAAATTAAACGATAGCTTTCTTTCCAAATATTTCAAATTAATTTTTTAATATCCAAAAAACAATATTTTTTAAAAACAAATTATTATTCCTCCTCAGAGAGGGCAATATGGTTATATGCTTTTACAGGGGAAGAAGTTAGGTGTAGGATTTTCGCCCTAAACTATTTGATAAATTTTGTAAAAAAAAATTAGCCCCTCGTGGGGGGAGTCATGAAAAATTTTTCTGGGCAAATGTCTGAATATCAAAAAATTTAAAGCAAATTATCTACAGTCATTTTGCTTTCAAGCTTATGGAGGTTGTCAATTCTTCCGATCATTTTTTCCCAATTTTGTGTGAGTTTTTTCCTTCTTTCTTCAAGGGCAGCATCTTCTTGCAAAAGCTCATCTTCTCTCTTTTTAATAGCTAATTCACGGTCTTGAAGGAGTTTTTCCTTTTTAAAAGTGTCATCTCTTACTGGAGACTTGGATGGAGTTCGCTTTTGTGGTGTGCCATCAAATATAACTTTTTCTTTGAGCTGGAGTTGTCTTTCCTTTGTCTCAAGTTCAGTTTGCTTTTGAGCTAGTTTTCTAATTTTTTCATTATAGGCTGTTTCTTTTTGCTTTATTAATTCTTCTCTTTTCCGAAGAGCTTTATCAATATTTCCATCTCCAAAAATTTTTGATTCTTTTAATGCTGCTTCTTGGGCTGCTAAAATTTCTTTTTCTTGTTGCTCTAGCTTATATTTTGTGTCAATCACTTTTAATGCTTCTTGTTCAAGTTGCCGCTTTAAGTGCTCTACCTTTTCAGTTGTTTTTTTCATTTTATCAAAAGCTAAAATACAAGCTTTGTCTCTACTTGCTATAGCTAATTCTTTTCTATTAACAATTTCAAACATGGCATTCCAAACAATTTCATTTGCAATAGTTTTACAAATTATTTTCCCATGCTCTTTATCAATTTTTTGGGCCTTATATTATTCTATTTGAATGCCAACACTCATATAACAATAAAACTATAATGCTCATTTATTCTAAAATCCATATTTTCTAGCTCTTTCTGTTGTTTTATAATTTCTTTTTCCTTCCAGTTAACTTCATATTCTATATCTTGCAGCTTGTTTTCTTTATCCCTTAGTTTTTCCGACCTAAGATTAAGAGTCTGTTCCTTTAATTCAATTTCCTTTTGCTCTCTCAGCAAATCCATTCCTTGATCTTTTAAGTCTTGTGCTGACTCTTTTAAAACTTCTTCTAGCTTCGCGAGTCTAGGAAAAGTATCTTCTGACAATAAGCCAGAAAATGAAAATCCTCGAGGGTTGTATTGCCGGGAAGCGTTGTACTGTTGCCTGCTCAATAAATATTCTTCACTTTCTTGCAAGCGCTGCTCCACCTCTCTTAGACTATCAATATCTGAGGAACGCTGCTCCTCATATTTATGCTGGTTCATGCTTTTAGCATAAGAGCCACCAGCCCCAATTTTCTTTTTCGGCTCATGAAGTTTGGATCGACTCGAAGAATAGGCTGGAGGTGGAGTTAATTGTCTATAATTACGGCTATATATGTCAGGAGATCGTTCTCTGTGCATATTCAATTTAGTTATCTACTTCTCTTAATAAACTTTGTAAGACCTTCAATAATTAGGTGAGTTGCCAACCTAGAATTCATTTTAACTTTAACGATAGAATTTATATTTACCTCAACTTCTTAGTCTGTATAATTTAGGATTTTGATAGAATAGAAGAGCATTTCTAGAAAATTTATTAAAAAAAATTAACCCCCTCAACGAGCGAACAAAAATTTTGTTCGCTCACGGAGGTTGGGAGTAAAAAAATTAAATATTCCCTAAATATTGCATTCTCTTGCATCGTATTCCCTAGATAGAAGCTCAAATTAAATTAATATCAGATTAAAATATCGTAAGTAAGCAATAATTATTCTGTTCATTCCTTATAATTATGGAAAAAGCTTCAGAGAACAAACTTTCTAGTTACTTTGTACCTCTAACCCAAGACCAAATCAAAAATGAAGACGAGAATATCGATTATTACGACGAGTATTGCAAACTTTATGTGTACAATTTATTGTTAAAACAAAAAATTGATGAGCTTGCAGTTGAGAAAGACCGCTTTCAAAAAAGACTTTCAAACCTTGAAGAAAGCCTGTCAAATGGTAAGAAAAAAAGACATAGGCGAACTGCGGATAAAATTGAAAGGCATTATACCTGCCCAATATGTGGGAAATCTTATGGGTCAGAAGCTTCGGTAAATAACCATGTCAAGCTTAAACATTCTTAACTAATGAAATTATTATTTAGAACTGCATCAAGTAGCCATTTGGAATTGATCATTTCTCATGAGTATAGCTATAATCCAGTTTATTTGGCATTTTTTATTTTAAAAATTACTTCGTCCTAAGTGGGAAAAAATTATCCATAATATAGCTTTATGAGCTATTGAAGTTTAATTTCAGTTGTTTTTCTGTATGGCTATTAAAATAAGTCAATAAATTATTGACCCCTGGCTTAATTCGACTGAAATTTCATAATAAAATAATGACTTAGAAGAATATAAAATAATCTCTGTTATTCAAAGTTAACTCTTAAACAGAAAATTTCGAACAATAAAAAATAAATTGTTTTCATAGATAAAAATCAAAAATTATTCAATTATATTTAATTGTATTTTATAATAATCAATGTCGGAACAAAAGCTTTGGGAGAAAATTCTGCAAGAATCTTCCCAAAGGGACCAGCATCCTGAAGGCAATCTTATTCTAGTTGGAAGAAAAAACTGTGGAGTGAAACATCTTATATCTGTAGTTCAAAAAGGCCCAGGCTCTTTAGGAAAGAATTCAGTGTATTCACAACTCATTGCTCCTGATGATCCAATCCCTATAACTTCTCCTATTCATTACTCTCACATAAACGCGAAGAATATTGAAGATCCTCAGTCCTTGAAGATCTCCAGAATAAACATTTGGACCTTGGATCAGCCTGAGCTCAAAGATCTGCTTGAATTTTCGCTCAAGCCCAAACAACTAAATAACACTTTGTTCGGAATAGTACTAGATTGGTCTCAGCCATGGACATTTATGGAAGATCTCCATCAGTGAATTGAAATTTGGCATGAAAAACTTGGAAAAGTCCTAAGTTCGCTGCCGCTTGATGATCTTAAACTTAATATTATTGCCGGGGGCGTAATCTCGGTTTCATTGGCCTGGGGATTGCCTGCAGACCTTGCTGGGCTTCCCTTTACAACTCCAAATCCGACCTTTCCTTCGAGGTAAAATCCAACCGTAAAAGTGGATTTGAGCTAGGCTCCACAATAATGGAATTGCTTAAGTAGCATTGTTGTCCATTTCTTAGCTTGCAAAACCTTGCCCATATAATTAATATGTGCTCAGGGATGGCCTGGAGGCTATACTTGAGCCGAAACACTATGTTTAATTAATACAGCTTGATGATCAAGATCAAATGGTGCAAAGTGTGGAAAGGTATATGAAGGCTTATAAAGACCCATCTGAAGAAACAAAAGAAGAGCAAGTCGATGAGGCAATCCAAGAAGTTCCGCTGCCTGAAGGAGTTTTGCAAGTAAACTTAGGAGTTCCGATCATGATTATTTGTTGCAAAAGCGATTTAATATGGTCTGTTGATAAAAGTCGAGACCAGTGCGAGCGAATTTTGGATTGCACTTTGAAATCGCTGAGAGAGTTTGCAGTCACTTATGGAGCTTCAATTATTTACACCTCTTCTAAAACAGGAACCAATTTGAATACTTTTTACAATTATATAGTTCATCGGCTCTATGGGTTTAAATTTTCCCAAAAAGCCCAAATAAAGCTCACGCACCATAATAGATTTCTATGTAGGCAATTTGAGATAGAGATTGAAGTGTTTTGCTATTCAATGTTAATAAGTGATCTAGATAGCCCTTATCAGTGAGGATTATAGTGAAATAGTTTAAATTTTATCAAAAAATATTAAAGTGATAGAACTCTTAAAGAAATAAAATTTAATTAGAAATGCATAACAGTGCCTTTTATCATGATTTCTGAAATTAAGGCACTTAGAGTGCAATAATGCATAATTTATTTATTTATCCTTTTAGCTTTTTTTGTTAAAATTTAAACTATTCCACTATAATCCTCACTGATAAGGGCTATCTAGATCACTTATTTATCAATGAATAGCAAAACACATCAATCATCCATCTCAAATCGACTACATAGAAATCTATTAAGGTGTGTGAACTATAATTGATAGGGAAAGCATTTTTATCCCTGCAGGATGGGATTCGCCAAATTTAATTAGAGAAATGGATTATTTAGGCATATCAGAAAAACAGTATAATGATCTCTTGCAAAAACCAAAATACCGAGGAGCACGTAAAGAGGAAACTCCGATTGTTTCAGACCAAGACTTTTTAGTGCAAGTTCAAGAGCGGCTTTCAAAATCAGTCAAAAAAGCAGCAGATAATGTAAGAGACCTCATCACAAGGCCACAGCAAATTTCTCTGGGATCTCCAAATGATGCTACCCCTAATCCTGAGATGACAGCCGATCCTCAAGGTGCCAACAAGAACAAGAACTTACAAGAATTCTATAAAATGTTGCTGAAAAAAGGAAATAAAGAAGATGCAGATGCTTACTCTCAAGATCACTGGCAAAAACTCACCTCCGTGAGAGCTAATTCTGTTTAATTTTAAACAGCTTGCATTTTAAAACATAAATTTTACAAATTAAATTAATGTATGTTTTAAAATAATTTCGAATTGGAATTTTTTAATTTTAAAAAAATTCTATAAATTTATGTATAATTTAAATTTTTGTGTGTTTACCAGGAGGGGGAGCTAGTTAATAACTTTGTCTCAATTTAATATTAAATTAAAACCATGTCAAGAGAAGTTCCATACCTACTTTTGGAATGCAAAAACTGTAAGATGAAGTATGAAACACAAGAACAGCTTAGAAATCATCAAGCCAAATTCTGTAAAGACTCAGATTACGGCGATCTTAACAAACTGCAACGGAAGATGGAAGATGCCAAAAGAGACGCGAATTCAATAAATTTGTATGAAAGCTTGCATATGGAAGACGTAAAAAAATTCCTGAAAGGAGAAAATAAAGCCCAAAACCAAGAAGGGGTGGGCTCTGCAACTTTAGGACAGCTAAGAGATCAGATCAGGACCAATGAGAAAGAATTTGAAAAAGCTGCTAATCAATTTCTATCGAAAAGAGAAGAAGACTTAAAAGGAGGCTTAGAGCAACTGAGAGCTGAAAAAGTTGAAATCAGGTCGAAAAGGAGGCAAGAAGAAGGAGCGTTACTAGATCTTATGAAAGAGCTTGAAGAAAAAAGGGAAAGAGAAGTTAGGGCCAAAGCTGAAAAAGATGCAATTTCTCAAGCACTCAAAGATTTGGATAAAAAGAAATTAAATGCACTTGAAGTGGAGAAGAAAAGAGAGCTAAACAAGCTGGAAGACGAAAGGGAATCGTTAAGGCTGAAAGAAGAAGAATTAATGCAGGAGGTCGAGAGGCTCCAAAACAGAATGGACGACAATGAAGTACAGTGAAAACAAGAAAGGGATAAAATTAACTTGAACGCAAGAGCTGCAAACGTAGGGGTCAACATGGAAATCCTGCAAAAGAGACAGATGGAACTTGCCAAGGAAAGAGGAGAGCAGGTTGCCCAAATTAAGCAGAAAAAAGATGCGTTGGAGTTCGAAAGACAAAGAATCATGGATGATCTCAACAGAATTAAAAAAGGAGAGATCAACACTATGAGAAAAAACTCCGCAGGAAAACTTGCCGCATCACAAATCGTAGGCTCCCCCTTAGTCCCTATTAAATTCGCTGAAAGAAGAGCCATTCCGCAAAACGCTCTGCAAATGAGCGAGAAATGAAACGATGACCTTGAAAGGCTTGAAAAGCTAAAAAAGAACCATCAGAACTTCATTCAAAACGAAACAATGTTCAAAAATCCTGAGCCAACAGAAACGCCTAAATCAAGACAAGGAATGCAATTTCCTTCAAAAGTAGATGAGATGATTAATGAGGCTGAGGCCAGAATGAATCCAAAAGAAAGAGTCAGGTATTATGGGCAGATTCAAAATGACTTGAATAATAAAGATCCGTTTAGATATACACCTGATCAGTCTCAGAGGGCTTCAAGAGAAGCAAGGGACTTCCCTAATTCTAATTTAGTTCAGCCTACCATTCAATTCGCCAATCCTCCAAAAGCATCAATACCCAATTTCGGAAATAATGAGCTGACTGGGCAAAATCCAAATTTAAATATAAACCCAAATAACAATTATCAGCCAAGGCTTATAAGCGAATTTGAACAGCTGAGAAAACAGCAACCTCATTCTTACCAGCCGCCCTATCAATCTCCTCCAGTCGGTTATTCTCCTCCTTATGTCCAGCCATTTCAGGATCCAACCCCTCAGCCTCCAATTCCAGCTGAAGATCCAGGAGTCAAATCGCTCAAAAAAGAGCTTAAGAAGCTTAAAAAGAAGCTCAATAATAAAGGAAGGGACGAATTTTACCAAGGCATGCAAGATGCAATAGGCTCTTTCCAAAACAGACTCTCAGCACTAGATAATCCACAGAGCAATTTAAATAGTGAAGTGAAACCAGCTGAGATGCTTCCTGAAGAAAGAGCTCTAAATAATGTACTTCGACAAGAACAAAGCGATTTAAAGCTGCTGTCAGCCTTACCAAAAGATTCAGATCTTTACCAAGCCAAGCTAGAGCATTATAAAGAAATGTCTCAGATCCGAATGAAGATGGAAGCGATGTTGCAAGAGCTCACAATGCAAAGGATGAAAAAGAATTTTGATTTAGAGATGGAACTAGAAGAGAGAAAGCTGCAAAATGAAAGATGGGCTGAGGAACAAAAGCGAGGACTAATTGCAGCTAAAATACAGGGAAATTTAACACAAAATAAACCTATAGCTGCTGACTACTCTCCAGAGACTGGGTTTTTTATTTGTTGGGACTATGCTGTAGGAATCCCAAGAAGATATAAAGAATGCCAAATCGCATATGGTCTATATGAAAGAGGAGAAGTTAGACTGGAGCCTAGGCTTGTCCCACCTGTAAAAGTAGATTAGATTATTAGATTAGATTAAGTTTGTGAGGGTCTTCGCGGTTTATTTCAGCCACTCGCCACCTTCTCCCACTTCAGCCTTTCGGCCTAGGCATGGGATAGCACTTACGCCCTTTTGTCGACGTCACCAAAAAATGGTGACGTCAGCGCTCTCGAGGTGACGCACCCAGGTACTTCTTGGGGCAGCTCCTATCGGTCAGCCCGTCCGTCCGGAGGTGGGAGACGGTAGGTGTTCTGAAGCCTCCTCCTGTCCTCCATTACTACCTTCGTTGTCAGGAGTGTGGGGTTGCCTTTGCGACTCTGGTCTTCTTGTCATAAGTCGAAGTAAAAAACCCTGCCATGGTGTCCTGGCCAGGGAGAAAAAACCTACCCCGGACACAAATTCTCCAGCCCCATCCCTCTTAGACCCATAAAGCCCGAGGCAGTGGGAGAAGGATGGGTCAGAGTAGTCACCATTTTATTTGTGTTGTAAAAGTAGAAGATGATCCATTTAGTGAATTTACTGGAAGAGCTATATTCAGAACAGAGCAAGATATAGCCAGAGTTCCTCCTTTCCCATTAATCAATTTAATTATTGAGTTGCAAGTTGTATCACCTACAATGGATGGACCAAAAGTAGGAAACTTTGGATGGACAGTACTAGATATTTTTACACACCAGCGAAAATTAATTGAAGGACTTTGGAAAATTCCTATATATAGACCGCCTACAGACTCTGCAATTGAATTAAGAGATATTAGAAGTCTCGTCCCTATGCCAAATACTTTTGTTTTTATAAGAATTGTGCAAACTGGCACAAATTCACCTTTAATGAATATTCCAGTTGTTCCTGAGGAAACAATGAATCGATATCGAATTCCCCAATCTCATCTTAGAGACAATCCTATGTCAAACAATGGGTATCTGCAGCAGCCAACCGGATATCAGCCTATGCCAATTAAATCTTCAAGCCAACTCCCAGACCCTACTCAAGACATACAAAACTACCCTTCAAATCCAACTGAAATGATCCCACAATCCAGCCCTCTCGCCAGCAAAGGTCTTGCAATAAAGCTTGAAAGTTTAGTCGGATTCTTATCTAGGTCAGTCTTAAAATTTCAAATCACTATTCAAGAAGGGGAAAGAATTGTCGTTGATAAAAATGGGAAAAACTGCAGATGGATAAGTGACCCGATCAACACCCTGGATACCGATGTAATTGGCAGACTAAGCTCAAATCGTCAGTCAGGTAACCGTTCAGTAGCGATGACTCCTGCTGATGAAAGAAGCCGCCTGGCTTCAGGGTCAAGAGGAAATATGAATTTGACTATAAATAAAGAAACAGTCTTCATCAATGATTTTTATTCAATCGTCCAAAAAACTGACTGGAACGAAGACTTGTATTTGATAATTGAAATTTTAGAAAGATCCTCACAGAGACTTACAACTGCAGAACTTCAAAGGAAAAACTCATTAGATCTTGAAGCATATTTTGCAGTTGGATGGACAGTTTTCCAATTGACAAATCCGGACCTAAGAACTTTGAATTATGGGACAGTTGAATTAAATATTTATGAACCTCCAGTTGCGGTCCCAATATATGATCCTCAGCAGCTTAGACAAAAGGACGGAGCACTTAAGTTAACTGTCGCAGAGCCATCATCTATCTGATCTCCTGACCACAGAAGAAATAGCTCAAATAGAGTCAATCCTCAACGATTAGAAGCATTTTTAGAAAACTTGGCTCCTCAGTTTGATGATTCAAAGTACTTCGAAAAAGGAGATGGCGTCGACTTCTATGTGGATGGGGCCAGGTTTTTGCCTGACTCTACTTCTTGCACTAAAATTGTTGTAAAAGGGTTTACTTCTCAGCTTGATAAAGTTGGGATCCCAGTAGGAGGTTTGCCTGATCTCAATTCTTCAGTTTTTTCACCAATTTTTGGATTTAGGACTGAGTTTCGCTTGCAAACATTTGACCCAACCACCACGATTGTGGTATCAATACTTACTCTTGATGCTATAACGAACGAAGTTAGAGTGCTTGGGTATAGTGCAATCAACCTCTTTTTGAAAAAATTCAGGAAAGATCAGCCAGATAATCCAACTGAGCAAGACTTCATTTTAAATAAAGGACTGTTTCAATTGCCTATTTATTGCCAAGAACCTTATAGAAAGCCTCCATTTGGTCTCCAGTCTTTTACAAAAATGGAAATAATTCCATGCGCAACACTTCTTGTTAGGATAAGAGATGCTCCGAAATCTGAAAATGGGCTGAGAGTTTTGAGTGTAAAAGATGTGTTGGCAAGCGAATGATACCTTAGAGGCCTAGTTATTCCTCCTCCAAGGTACGAAGAGAGAGTTTACAATACGTCTATGTGTATGCCTTCTGTTGTAGAAAGATATTTATATGATGAACGGCTTCGTCGAAAAGACAGCACTGTTAGAGAAGCAACAATTCAGGTCCAAGCAAGAATGGGAGTCAAACTTGACATCAACGATGAAGAAATGCTGAACTGGATTGATCAAAAGCTGCAAGTCAACCCAAGAACTCCGATGCTTGACATGAAATACTTCGCCAAGTATAATCCCAAAATGGGTTTTAAAATTGCAATTGATGCTATTCACAATATTCCTACAGAAACTCCTCATACTGTGATCATTAGTCTTAATCCACCTGGAAATCTATATTCAACATCCAATATCAGTCAAGATGTTGAATTTAATACAAAATTGGACTGAAATAGCTCAATCAGAACTCCAACATTCTTGGATGGATTCCATACCTATAAAAATGTTTCTTTTAACAGATTCCTGCACATCATATTTGATGTTAGGACTATCAACTTATCTAAGAAAAGGCCTGAAGTTATTCCTGTTGGATGAACCATTTTGACGGTCTTTACGGAAGACGGTTATATAAAATCAGGTATTTATCAATTACCTTTGTTCAAAGGAGCAGTGCCAGTTCCAATTTTGTCCGATCTTACTAATAATGATCCATGGTCATTTATTATGAATGCTGCCACTAGACAAGGAGGGCCACAATTTTTGGAGCCTGTTTCTATATTAGTAAGGCTTGTTGATACACAAAGAGATGGACACTTTGCAACACCAATGGAGCTCCAAAGATTGAATTATCAGTTTATTCCTGAAGCTTTACTAGCTAAATCCTCGCATAAAGTTTTAAATTTCTATGCAAAAATTCTTTTTTAAGTTTTAAAAAGCAATATATTTGAAAGAAAAGCTATTTTTTTTGGGAAATTTATTTTTAGGAAGTAAGCTGTCTAAAATTAATAATTTTACTGGAGATTTCATTATAATAATTAAGAATATATATCAATTATTATATTATAAATTTTTTTTACTCCTTATGAAGAAGAGTTAACTTTTCAATTGCTTTGATTGCTAATCAAGAGGGTAAGTTCTCATATAATGCAGCCGCAGAACAGCGTGGAAGCCAACAAAAGAGATTGAAGTCTTTGATACCTTCGAATCAATCTGCAGAAAATTTCTCCAAGAAAATCAATGAAGCAGTCGCAAATGTAATTTTTATTTAGCATTTGGGTTTGAATCATATTAACATTGCTTAAATTTTGAAAGATTTCTATATAGATTACTATTAAATTTTGAAAGATTTCTATATAGATTACTATTAAATTTTTTAGATTTCAATAATGACGAAAATGCATTTCTTTAGTTGCCCATATAAGAAATATATCCCAAAGTTTATTGTCCTTTTCTCTCTTTGTTTGAATTGTCATTACGCATTATCATGCTATTTAAATTTTTTTCTTTTCAAATAAAATTGTCTCTTTAGAATTAGAACTTCTTTCAGGTCTTCTTCATATTCGTGTGCAAATTTTGATTGCTTTCCTCCTTAAGACTTAAATTTTGACATTAAAAGCTAGCACCACCCTCTTGCTCCATTATAAAGCTCAATTTTCAGCTATAGAAAAATTTCCCATAGATGGCGCTGTTTGCCCTTGATTTGCCCACTGGGGAAATTTTTTGGTTCGACCAGTACCATATGGTTTGGTCAAACCAAAAAATTTTCCTCATGGGCAAATCAAGGGCAAACAGCGCCATCTATGGGAAATTTCTATAAATAATTTAATAAATGGATTTACATTATCACTTAATTTTGCAAGAAATTCCCAAACAAGCTTCCAATCCTAACCTTGACATAGAAAATATTTATTTAAAATTACCGTTAAATTTATAATTTAAAAATGGATTCTTGTGAAGATCAAAATCCTTCACTTATACAAGGCGCAACAAAAAGATATTTCAGCCAAGGCTCAGATTTTACTTATAATCAAAATAAAAAGAGAAGAAGCAACACTGGAGGCGAAATCTTTGACCAAGGAAGCAGTAGTTTGTCAAACTCTTTTATTGATTCAAAAAGTAACACCTCAATGACTGATACAAGAAGAAAAAACTTTACAGTTCCGATGCCATTCCAGCTGCACACTGAAATGCGTTCAAATAATAAATGTCTTGCTACTAAAGAAAATAATTCTTCTGAAATATTTAAGAGGCCGATTTTTAAAGCAAGGCCAATGCCGAAATTCTATAAACCTTTATTGCAGAAATCTGCCTCTCTTACAAGCTTATCTGAACAATCGACTTCTTTTTCAAATTCTGGTTCAAATGAATTCAAAGCAAGACCTGTGCCCCATTATAAGCCTTTTGAAATTAAAAAAGAAGAAAGAGAATCAATTGCTATTAAACCATTCAATTTGAGAACAGAAGAAAGAGGCCTTGAAAAAGAAATGACCTTCAATCAAAAGTTGAGGGCGAAGACCATGGTTGAAAATGAGCTCAGATACTTCAAAGCGAACCCTAAGCCCGAATTTAAACCAATACCATTAAAAGAGCCTGAAGGGTCCATCACTCTTCCAGATCCTTTTGTGCTTGAAACGGACTTAAGAGCAAGAAGGAAATCAGTCTCACAAACTACAAGCATTCAGAAGTTTACTGCAAAGCCTATGCCTGATTTTAGTCGTCCTTTCACCCCAGCACATGAAAATAAGCACTTCATTCAGCCATCCAACTTTGAGTTGTACTCTTCTAAGCGAGCAAAAGAAAGAGAGGCCTTTGAAGTAATGATGAAAAACAAGGAAAATATGATGCAAATTGAAACTGAGAAACAGAATCAATTAAAGATGGAAATAGAGGCTGAAGAATTGAAAAATTATCGAAAAAGCTTACTCAACCCTCAATCAGCCAAAAACTTTACTCTTTAATGATTTGGTAAAAATTAATATGATTTTTATTTTAAAAAATGGCATTTTGCAAAAAACTTGCCTTTTTAAATATAAAAATTACGTTTTAGAATATAAGCTTATTAAAATTTATGAAAATTAGTTAGATTTCATTTTAAAACAATTATTCATATATCATAATATTTTTATAAAAAAAATCTTTTGCTCTCTACAGATTTTTTTTCAAAGATCGTTCAGTTAAGAGAAGGTGCTAGAGTTTAAAGCTCAGCCACTGCAAGACATATCTCCATTTATTGCATCTCGGTCACAAGCAATTCTCACCAATCCTCAAAGCCCTAACCTCGCGACAAAAGAGCGCTCCTTGAAAAGAAGATTAAACTTTACAAATAGTGAATGTCCTACCACAAATCACTCTTTATTTTCATCTTCTTCCATAGATAGCCACTGTCCGATGGATCTTGATTAAATAGCGTTAAATCAATTTTTTTTGTAATTATTTCACTATCGATTTTTAACCAAAATTAAATGGGTAATAGCCAAGCCGAGATCTGCAACGATACGTCTATTCACAAAGCCATGTTCAATTTCAAATACATCATAGGCCGCGGTGGATTTGGAAAAGTCTGAAAAGTAGAACTGAAGCGAAGCAAAACCACTTACGCGATGAAAGAAATGCAAAAGCTCAAAATAGTTTCGAAAAAAAGTGTATATTCAGTTATGAACGAAATGAAACTGTTATCCAAATTTCAGCATCCTTTCATAGTAAACATGCAATACGCTTTTCAAGACAAAAGTAACTTATACCTGGCTATGGATTTAATGCCAGGTGGAGACTTGAGATACCATTTTGGGAGGATGAAGAGGTTTGATGAGCAGCAAACAAAGTTTTTCACAGCATGCATTATGAGCGGACTTGAGTATCTGCATGTGCATGGGATTATTCATAGAGATATTAAGCCAGAAAATATCGTTTTAGATGAAAGTGGGTATGCACATATAACTGACTTTGGAATTGCTGGGATTATTAACCCCAAAAATTATAAAGACACTTCTGGAACTCCAGGGTATATGGCTCCAGAGGTTTTGTGTAGGAAATCACATGGGATTGCTGCAGATTATTTTGCATTGGGGGTGATGATTTATGAATTCATGATGGGCAAAAGGCCTTATGACGGAAAAAATAGGAAAGAAATTAAAGAGCGAGTTCTTGCGAGGCAAGTTCAGCTAAAAAAATCCGATATCCCAGCAGGATGGTCTCTCGAAGCAGCCGATTTTGTAAATAAATTAATTCAAAGGAAGCCTGAAAACAGACTTGGAAATAATGGTCCTCAAGATGTAAAGAATCATGTATGGCTCAGAGATTTTCCATGGCCAAGCTTATATGATAAAACAATGGCTTCGCCTTATCTTCCAGCTAAATCTGATAATTTTTCACCTAATGTAGAACTCGATTTTCCAGGAGATGATGACAGCGAAGTAAGCCTTAAGCTCGATACAGTACAAGAGATGTTTAAAGGATATCACTATGAATGTAAAAAGCAGAATAGTAAGTCAGAATCAACTCTTTCTAGTCAATAAATGTTTATAGTAATAATATACGCGATGCATCTTAAACAAGCAATTTTTAATTAAAACTGGCTTAAGCATTAAGATACATTAGATATACATTATAGAGATTCTTTAATCCTTCTGCAAGTCCAAATGAAACTTGTATTTCATCTGTTGCCTCAATCCATTCGATCAGTTTGCCAAGCCCTTTCGCCAAGTTTCCTATTCATTCTTTTTCACTTAACTTATCTTGGCTATTTCTGTCATGATTTTCATCAAAATCTTCAAATAGTTTTTCCATTCATTCATAAATTAAAAACAAATTATCCCCAATAGCATTTACAAATGCATCATCAAGGGTTTGCCGATTAACTACCAAAAGCATCAATGTGTGTATTAGCTCTTGCCTGAAATATCTTTGATATTTTAATACAGTTGCATCTAGAGCCATTAAATCTTTGTCGGACTCTAAATTTTCTATTAGTGAAATAAGCAATTCTGCATCATAAGAGTATAGCTCTTCTTTATAATTTCTCAAAATCTGGCAAGTACTAATTCTTGTTCGGTAGTTGTGGTGATGAATAATGGTATTAATAAGTATTGGTATCAGTTTTTCAGACATATTATAAAACTTATCTTTATGGAAATCGTAGAATTTAAATAAGGTGTTGCACGAGTCCCATCCAACTTTAGAGTTTTTATGGTGAAGACCATTAATCACTATGCCAAGCAGTTTTGGAAAATTATCTCCTAGCTCGTCATAGGTAAAAATTTCGAAAAGATTTCCAACTGATATAATAGCGCTGGAAACAATTTTTGGCTCTTTAGAACGATAGAAGATACGGTGTTTCCCTAAAATCCGGATATATTATTTCAGTAAGTTTAAAGTTTCTATATATCATAGTTATTCGGATTCATTGTTTCCTGCAAATACTAAAAATCAAAATTAAATTTACTATTAAATCAAACGGTAGAAAAAAATTTTCCTACTCATTTATACACAAGAGAGGCGTATTCATTAAATTACAGAATTATAGGTCATGAAATAACGAACCTGTTCTTATACTACGAGAAATATTCAGTCATTTCATGAGAATATAAGCCATGGAAATCTATAAAATAAGAGAATAAGGAGTCTAATAGTAAAAAATGATGAATGCTTATATTATTAGTTTAAATAAGTCAACGTGATATTAAATATCAGATCCATTGTTTCTTAAAAAACGAAAAAGTTTCGTTTTTTTAAGGAAACAACGGTTTGATAGATATGAAAAGATAATTATGAAAACTGCATTCCTATGCGCATTTTGATGTCAAATATTATTACAGAAACATATAACAATACGCGCACGAGACTATCAAAAAACGGAGCAAATGCAAGCAATCTTTGCAGATCAATTTTCTGATTTTATAGACATATAAATAAGAACCTTTTACAAACTGAAAATACAAATCCGTTCTTTCATTAAATTACGAATTAGTTCATTCCCTAAAATTTCCGGGAATTGGAGCTCCTTAAAAAAAAAAAACTTGTTTTATGCTAAAATTTTTGAACCCATTTTTCATATTTCACTGTATCTGCTTCTTAAATAGCAATTATCTTGCTTGAGTAATTATGAATAAATTAATAGCTTATATATCTATTAAAATTAACGCAAAAATTATTGTAGAAGTCCTGCCAAAAAGACGTTCTACAGCAATATTACAGTTAGCATTATATATAGCGCTTTCCCGAGGATGGCGCCATTCCGCGCCATCCTCGGGAAAGCGCTATATAAAATACAATACTTTAAAATTTTACTATAAAATCCTCAGGTTTAATAAGCCATATCGCAGTCCACATATCAAAATTTAAAAATACTGTATTAAATGGTTTACAGACTTTATGTGCAAATTATTTAATAATTTTCGCGCCATTATAAAATATAATGGCGCAAACATACAAAATATCTTACTTACTTACTTATTGCTTAATTATTCGGTGTTTAAAGGTGTCTAGCGCCGCAGCCCTAAAAAGGAATTTTAGCTAAACTAGTGACGTCACGGAGCCATCTTGGAATCGCGTGGTCAGCCTAACCGGCCAAGCATTCTGCCAACGTTAGTCTCCAGTCGCTTGCACGTCTCACACCCGGCGCGTTGCCGTCGCTCGCCCTAAATCAGCTCCTGCGTGTGTTCCGCCTAAAGGTTATCTTCCCGTGGAGATATGCTGATAGGTAAAACTCTGAGCTTATTGAGTGGTATTCTACTTTCAGTGGCTACTAGATTGCAACAGCAAGCTGAAAGGGTTTCTCTCTTTAATAGAAATACTAAATATTAGTAATTTCTCTTAATTCTTCAATTAATACAGTGAAATATGAAAAATGGGTTCAAAAATTTAGCATAAAACAAGTTTTTTTTTTAAGGAGCTCCAATTCCCGGAAATTTTTAGGGAATGAACTAATTCGTAATTTAATGAAAGAACGGATTTGTATTTTCAGTTTGTAAAAGGTTCTTATTTATATGTCTATAAAATCAGAAAATTGATCTGCAAAAGATTGCTTGCATTTGCTCCGTTTTTTGATAGTCTCGTGCGCGTATTGTTATATGTTTCTGTAATAATATTTGACATCAAAATGCGCATAGGAATGCAGTTTTCATAATTATCTTTTCATATCTATCAAACCGTTGTTTCCTTAAAAAACGAAACTTTTTCGTTTTTTAAGAAACAAATGGATCTGATATTTAATATCACGTTGACTTATTTAAACTAATAATATAAGCATTCATCATTTTTTTACTATTAGACTCCTTATTCTCTTATTTTATAGATTTCCATGGCTTATATTCTCATGAAATGACTGAATATTTCTCGTAGTATAAGAACAGGTTCGTTATTTCATGACCTATAATTCTGTAATTTAATGAATACGCCTCTCTTGTGTATAAATGAGTAGGAAAATTTTTTTCTACCGTTTGATTTAATAGTAAATTTAATTTTGATTTTTAGTATTTGCAGGAAACAATGAATCCGAATAACTATGATATATAGAAACTTTAAACTTACTGAAATAATATATCCGGATTTTAGGGAAACACCGTATCTTCTATCGTTCGAAAGAGCCCAATTTTTTCCTTTTTGTTTTTGCTGTTCACTTCAAGGATGGATGTGATATTTGGAATTCAGCTTAGCGACTGCTTGCTAGTGCATAAAAATGAAAGCGCATATGAGCAGCTGATGTAAAGATTTTGGTTTCCTGATGTGCTATGAGATAAAGTAAAGTTTATTATTGTAGAAAAATAATCAGCTGGCAAATTACTGTTTCTAGCGAATGACCCAATTAATTTTAGCACACTGCATCTTAATGGAAAAAGATTCGATTTAAATTTTTGTAGCGATTTGATAAATGAAAAAAGCTGTTCAAGCTGAGAAATAGAAAGCATTGGATATAAATTGGCTGAGGATAGCGCAGTAAAGCATAATGCCATTCTTTCGTTGTCATTGTTTTGCATTGCTTTAAACGTTAAGTCTACTACAAATAGCATTATAGAAAGTGATTTCCCTATTTTAATAATTTCTTCGATAACATCAAATGCACTTGACTGCACTTTTTGGTCTTCGCTATTAATAAACTTCGATAAAATTTCTATTAGCCACATATCAGTTCCTATCAATACTTCTGGAAATGACTTTACAATTTTCTCAAAAACTTGAAGTCTTTCAGAATGCAAATCGTCTGCATAAAATATGCCTTGAATAAACTGTGGACTCAAAATGAATCTTGCTTCCTCATTTCTTTCACTAAATAAAGCAGCAAATACAGAGAGCAACGCGGATTTTAAGTTCAAATCATTGCTGCTGATTTTAGAAAAGAAAGCTTTTATCATAGCTTTGATGTGTTTTCTGTCAATAGCTTCAATCCTCATTTCGCTAACTCCCCCCCCTCGAAGTTCGACCAAGATATAGGGAAAATTCCTATTTTTTTGGAAAATTAACCCCCCTCAAAGTTCGACCAAGACCTATATAAATTTACTAGGAAAATAAGCAATTTTTCAAAAATTTTTAAACTATGTGGGGGTGAGTTTGCGATTTTTGTATTCTTAACTTACCTTAACTTAGTGTCTGGTATTTAAGGTGTCTAGTGCCGCACCCCATAAAAATGGAGTTATAGCGAAAATTGATGACGTTGCCGGGCCATCTTGGAATCGCGATGGTTAGCCCACCGGCCAAGCCTTCACCTGCACTTCGCCCTTCTTCGCCGCACGTCTCACCCGGCGCGATGCTGTCGCCCTTGCCCGACTCAGCTCCTGCGCGTGCTCCGCCTAAGGGTCATCCTCCCGTGGGGATGTGCTGAGAGATAAAACTCCGAAATCTTGAGCGCACTGAGGAGCTGTTCCTTTGGTTATCCCCCAAAGTTAAACAGCTATTGCTGTGCAGAAGTTCTCGAGAGAAAACCCAACCCCATAAATAAAATTCCATGAGGGAGAGAAAATTAGCAAAGCTAATTTCTCTCGAACCGAATGCCATTTTATTTATGCGATTTTTGTATTCAAGTTCTAAAAAAGCGTTAGAAAACCATCTTGCACTATTTTTTCTAACCCTTACACCCTCTCAACCATACAGAGAATATGATAATTTTTTTTTTTTTTTAACTACTAAATTATATAAAAAAAATTCTATATAATTTTTTTTAAAAAATTTTTCTTAACCCCCCTCGAAGTTCGACCAAAAAAATCTTGGTCGAACTTCGAGGGGGGGAGTAAGTATGAAACATGCCTATTCACCCTCTTTCAAATCAAACAGCCTAGTATTGATACTAAAATATAAGAGATATTGCATTATATTTGCTTCTATGCCATTACTCTATTTCTAGCATGTTTGCTAATATATTAAATACCTCATTTCATATCTAAGTATACACCGAAATTTTTTATTCTAATTAATAATGGATTTAATAGATAAATATAATATTTTAAACATGAATCCAGTCGAATTCTCAATTTTTCTAAATAGTGTGTACAATATTAACATACAGCCTAAAATTTGAATTAGGATATCATAAAAATAAGCATATTCTTTATTATTAAGACTAGGCTGTTAATATGAAAAGAGGGCGGAAGAGTGAGAGTGAGTTTTATGCTTAGCCACTCATTAAGCTCAGGAGCGAAATTGAAACTTTTATCAACGAGCATTCTATTTGTGTGCATTTTTCTTGAGCCAAAAAATGCGGGATAGTTTCAAATAAATTAGATATAGTTTGCTTTATGCATTGGTTTAAACTAAACATTGAAGAAATAACAGGAGCTTCAGTCAGGAAGGTATTTAAAGGCGAGCTTTCGATTAAAATCGATATAGTTGAAGCTATAGCTGCTTTTACTTTAACTGATTTTTCCTGCGCGAAAAGTGAGATCAGTGATTTCTTAGACAACAATGTGTCGAGAGGAGCTTCAAAGGAAGGCAAGAAAAGTGGCCAGAATGAAAACAGCTGTTTTGAATATTTTTTGAAAAGTATTTGAAGGCAAAATAAAGCAGAGCACTTTATTTTGTTATAATAGAAATCATCGGTGTTAGAATTGCTTTCACTGTCTGACCCTTCTGTGCTGATGCTCATTAAAGACAAAAGAACTTCTTTTGGCCGATCAGACTCTGATGAAGGCCATAAATAGATAATTCTTTTCATAGTAAGCACCAAAGAAAGCACTTTATTTAACTCTTCACTTGGAAAATGAGGCAATGCCAACTGCATTGCCCTCATTACATTACAGTATAATTTGTACGTGTGCACCGAATCAATTTTAGTGCTAGAGCTTAAAAGCTCCACAAAATAGAGAAGAATTTCTTTTGCAGGGACAGCTGCAACATCTGACTTTGAAAGCATATTAGCAATGCAGTTAATTGCGAGTCTGCAAGTCTGCTCATCAAATTCAAAATTGCAGTAAGGTAAGATACATTAAAATTATTGACCATAACGGAAACCGCTATCCATCGCCTTTTATTGGATCCAAAACGCCAAGTCTATATTGATTTTGGAGTTCGAATAAGTGAAATGGAAAGCTGCATTTTTGATTTCCAATCTGAACCATATGCAGGACTATTTTATTGGGGGGCAGAACCATACTTTGAAAAGTGAACCACAATCCCGATAAGGAAATACTGTGGTAGGAAAATTTGTGTCGTCTTAGCAGAAACAGGAAAATTTTTGGGAGAAACAAGCATTTTTCTTCGGCAGGTATTCCCAAACTCAAATATATGCACAAAGGCACTGGAATTCAGCTCGGTTGAATAGGTCCTACCTGCTCTATAGGGAGCGAGGCTCGCAGTCCATTTTCCATCAACGACATCATTTTATTCCTAAATTGCGTAAGGAATTACTGCGCTTAAGACTGCGCTTTCTACTTTGTAATTGTTGAAGCAAGCTGAGTAGCAGAAAGTGCCTAAAGTTTTCAGTAAAACGCTTTGCTTCAGTATCCCTCTTTGTAATTCTTTTGACAGTGTTGCGATAATCTGTGGCCCACATTGTAGCGGACGTTGAAGTATGACATCACGAATTGAGTAGCTGGAGTTAATGAACTCGCAGAAACTCAGAAATCCTTGGCCTGATTCTTTTATCAGCGAATATGATTCATTCAGCAATGTGACTAATTCATCCTTGGATATAAGATCTAATTGATACTCTTGGCTTTTCAGGTTTTCCAAGATTTGTGATGGGTCTTTTGAGTGTTTTAAGGAATTTAGAGTAGATCTTATGAACTTTGCATTTGGCTTCAATTGTGTATGCAAAGGGCTTCTCGTCTTCATTTTAATTGTATTTATGCAACTTTTTCTGGATGGAGACAAAGGAAAATTCTATTTAATTAAGTTTTTAATTATGATTGCAGATATTATAAATAAAGAAGTGCTGATTATTTTGAGATATTCTTGTGATAAATCAATATTTGCCGAAAGTTTATATAGAAGTTTCCTATGTTTGGCGCTGTAAGGCCGATAAATTCTGATCGGAATTTATCGGTTGGTTGCACCAAATCAATGCCTTGGTCGGACCAAAAAGCGATTCGGTCCGACGAACTTGGAAAGCTCCTGGGAAAATGTCTGCGCTTTCAGCGCTATATAGAGGAAACCTCTATATCATTGAAAAGTCAAAAAAGGAGCTTCTGATCTGGATAGTGAAAATATGGAGCATAAATTCATACTTTCAATATCTAGAAAAATTAAATAAATTGATAAAATCAAAAAATAGCATCATTAACTTTTAAATTTAAAAAATATGAATTTGTTTATAAGATAAAATAAATAATTGTATATGAATTATATTAAGCATTCCTTGCATAAAGATATAGTGCGTTAAATCAGCTATAAGTTTATATTACCAAAATAATGTTAGTTTTTAGTCTTAATTTTATTTGTGCTTTACTTTTAAAGCAATATTTAGGAGAAACTATATCTATTAGGTAGGTAATATTTTATACTATTAAGCTCCTGTTAGATAAATCCAATAGATTTAAAAGATAAATACGAAAATGGATAAAGAAGAATAAAGACAAGTTATATAGGCCAGAGTGCTGTTCTCCTCTGAATTGCAAAGTTAAAAAATTATAAATTCTGTTTTTTAATTTTATTTTCCTATTTTTGAGATAAAAAATAGTCAGTGAATTATTATAATAATGGGAAACACTGATCAAAAACTAGAAACGCTCGGGCTTGAAATTCATAAAAGCTATTTCAGCTTTAAGTGCCCCATAGGGCATGGAGGCTTCGGTAAGGTTTGGAAAGTAGAACAGAAAAAAACAAAGCAATGCTTTGCAATGAAAGAAATGAATAAGCTAAGAATTATAACTTTTCAATATCTTCATAAAATTTGTTTTCTTAATTATGATAAAATTTTCATAATTACTATAAAATATTTTAGCCTATTGAGCATTTAATTTCTATAAATAAATGATGGGAGTAAGGAAAAAAAAGTGTGAGCTCAATACTAAATGAAAGAAAGCTACTTTCAATAATTAAGCATCCTTTTATTGTAAATATGCAATACGCTTTTCAAGATAAAGAAAATTTGTACTTAGTCATGGATCTCATGACTGGCGGAGACCTAAGGTATCAGATTTCCAAGTTGCGTAACTTTAGTGAAGAGCAAGTCAAGTTTTTCGCTGCTTGCATTATAAGTGGGCTCGAATACTTGCATTTGCTTGGAATAATCCATAGAGATATTAAGCCAGAAAATTTAGTTTTCGATAAAAAGGGATATTTAAGGATAACCGATTTTGGAATTGCAAGGACAATTTATATAGAAAACTCAAAAGAAACATCTGGAACGCCCGGATACATGGCTCCAGAAGTTATGTGCAGCAAGAACCATGGAATTGCTGTGGATTATTACGCTCTTGGAGTAATTATTTATGAACTAATGAAGGGAAAGAGACCTTATATTGGGAAAAATAGAAAAGAAATTAAAATGCAAATGCTCTCTAGTCAAGTCCAATTAAAAAAATCTGACTTGCCTTCTGGGTGGTCAATAGAATCTGCAGATTTTGTCAATAAGCTTCTTCAAAGAAAACCAAAAAATAGATTAGGCTTTAACGGCCCTCAAGAAGTAAAAAATCATGTATGGCTCAGTGATATTCATTGGGCGAACTTATACACAAAAACCCTCAAATCACCATTTATTCCCTTATTCCCCCTCCGCGAATTGGAATTATTTTTAATTTAGAAAAAAATTACTATATTTTTTTAAGAAAACAATTAACGTAAAAAATTTGCTATCTCGGAGGGGATGAAATTCACTTATATCAAAGATAGGTTGTAAAATTTAAGATGGGGAGAAGATGGGCTTCATGCTTGATAATAGGTAAATAGTGTATCAAGGAGAAGGTTTATTCCCCAAAATTTTTGGGAAATTTTTTTTAAAATTAAATCACTCTATAAATGATGATTCCTTCACACGACGACTATTTTTTTTTTGGCCTTTTTTTTTGCCTAGCCTCATTCATGAAGCTGCTGAGAGGACTAAAACCTTATTGAGAAACAGAGGCCTTTCCTTACGCGATTAATATTGAGTAAAATTAAGTGAAAAACTCCTAATTAAATCTAAAATTCTCGAAATTTTAAAAGCAATGAATTAGTATTCATGGAGTAAGAAATCTGTTAAGGATGCATTTTTTGTTGGTTAAATCGTTTAAAACACATTAAAAATTAGATTAAAACAATTAGTATGGAATTTGCCCAAATATTAGTAAAAAATAGTTAAAAAATTGTCAAAAAAAAGGCAAAAAAATAGGCCAAAAAAAAATAAGCCAAAAAAAAATAGGCCAAAAAAAAATAGGCCAAAAAAAAAATAGGCTAAAAAAAAATAGGCCAAAAAAAAATAGGCCAAAAAAAAAAATAGGCTAAAAAAAAATAGGCCAAAAAAAAATAGGCCAAAAAAAAATAAGCCAAAAAAAAATAGTCGTCATGAAATAATCGTCGTGTGAAGATACGATAAACGATAGAGGGAGCTAGAAGGTGATAATTTTAAACCTACAAATAATTTTGGCTTTAAAGATGATTTAGATGCATTTATACCTTTGGATTCCGTTGATGAACTCTTCAATGGCTATTTTTATAACCAAAACATTGATGAGTGTAAATGTGATACTACCCAAACAATAAAAATCCGAACCCGTTAAAAGAATGTAAATATACATATATAAATAAAGTAAATAATCTAAATATTCCAATTAAAATAAATTTTTAAAATTAATCAATCTAATATTCAGCAACATAACAAAAAATTGCTGCAAAATTCATATTTTGGATTTTTTACAAAAATACTTAAAAATTGTTAATTCTTAAATATGAATTTAAATATGGATCGGCCAATTGATTGCACGAATAGTCCTGTATTTCAGCATGCTTCATTTACTTTTGACGAAGATAGCACAATTTTTTCTAGTCAATTTGACTCTGGAAACTTAGCAAGAGTTGAGAGAATCGGAATAGGAATTTATCATCTTTGAACTGGGCCAGATTGTATAGGAACTAAAGCTGAAAATTCATGCAGAACTTGGTTTTATTTCAAAATGACTGCCCCCCAAGGCCTTACAGTCACATTTACAGTGAAAAATTTAAATCTTCAAGGTAAATTATTCAGAGATGGAATGAAGCCTGTAATCAAAACTCCAAACGAAGATTGAAAGAGAATTTGCTCTCCAGTAACATTTAATGTATCTGGCGATGTAGGGAATATGTTTGAACTTACGTTTATGCACCATTTCCAAGAAAGAGAAGCCTATTTTGCATTTTGCCACCCATGAAGCTACAGTGAACATTTAAAATTGTTAACTGAAATACAAAATAAAGATGGACACTTTTACTTGCATAGAGAAAATTTAATAAATTCTTTGGAAGGAAGAAAGTGCGATGCTCTAACAGTATCGAGCTGGGAAGGGATCCTTGACCAAATAGAGGTTCAGATTCCAAGTTTATACCCTGATCCTTTAGAAGTAAGAGCAAAAAGATTTTCTAATAAAAAAATCGTGATTGTATCAGCGAGAGTTCACCCAGGTGAGACTCCAGGGTCTCACGTTATGAATGGGTTTTTAAAGTTTATCACAAGTGAAGATCCACGAGCTTGCATGCTAAGAGATTCTTTTGTGTTCAAAATAATTCCAATGCTGAACCCTGATGGCGTTTATAGAGGCCATTACCGAACAGATACAAGGGGCTTAAACTTAAATAGATTTTATACGAATCCATCATTATTGGAACACCCAACAATATATGCAGTAAAAGAACTGCTTATGAGCTATCATAAAGAAGACAGTGAATTAGTGTACTTATATGTTGATTTGCATGGACATGCATCTAAAAAAGGATGCTTTATTTATGGAAATTATATGGATTTTCCTCGTCAAATTGATTCATGCTTATTTGCGAAATTAATGTCCCTCAATTGTGTCAATTTTGATTTTGAAGGCTCAAATTTTTCAGAGAAAAATATGCATGCGAAAGACAAATGTGGGTTATCTAAAGATGGAAGTGGCAGAGTTGCTCTATATAAAGCTTGCAATATTACTAGATGCTATACTTTGGAATGCAACTATAATACAGGTCGCCTTATTAATAAAATTTCACCACTTGACTTACCAGAAAGCGTAGAAAGTGATATTTCTAATGAAATGTACAAAAATGGTCCTCCAGTTTATTCCATACCAATTTATGAAGATGTTGGTAAGGCAATAATCAAGTTTAGTTTTATAAGGCCATAAGCGGACTAGCCTCTAGCCTGACTATCTGACGAAAAATTATATACCCTACGGATTAGCTCTCTAGGTTAAGGAACCTTTTACTGTTGTCTGGTTACTCTCGATGAGGAGAGAATGTGTTGCAGGCAAAACCTGTCTAGGCTATCTGGCAGTGACAGGAAAAACTTAGGGGAGGAATACATCTCCAAGCCTGAAGGTCTACTTCAAAAGTGACAGAGCACTGTTTTCAGCTTCATCGGGACGGGTCCTACCGCTCCATTGGGAGACCTTGCTCTTTTAATGCCACCATTTTATTTCTTGATAAGGCAATAGGAATTTCTCTTTTAGACAGCATTGGAAAAAACTGCAATTCAAGAGTATTACAAAACGATCCTGAGCTAAAAAATGTAAGGCTGCAAGTGGCAGCTTATATAGCTGATCAAATACCTTTTAGGTATGATCTCTCAATTAAAAAAGCTGTTAAAAGCATTGATGACTTAGAAAATTATATTAAAAATGGAGGAAAACTCACAAAATCCAGACTGAAGAAGCCTAGTGATGAAGAAAGTAAGAAAAGAAGAGTTATTCGGAACAAAACTTCTGTATCTTCTTATGATAGAACTTTTTAAAGGATGGAGAGAAGTGTTAAGTCCTAGGTGACTGGTGAGTTGATCCAAGCCTCAGATTAGTTGATTACATTCTTTTTGAAGGTTCGGGGTGGTTTTGCCTGATCGGGCTTCCAAACAGGGTGACCTAAAGACGATCAAATAGAAGGCGCAGGGTCGACTCAAATATCCGGGAAGCAATTTAATGCCCGATAAAGGCAGGGTTGTCCAAAAGGAGGCAGTGGAAGTTTCCCTTGTGTTCTGAGCATTATCAGGGCTTAGAGAGTCCTCTCTTGCAGAGTTAGACCAAGTATGGTCGGGTAAGTCTCCCCAAGAGACTGCTGACGTCATCATTTTTGATAGTGTGACGCCGATGCCTAGGTTCACTCGAACCTGAAGCCGGCGATATGATGGAGAGGGGCTAAAATAAACTCCTAGTAGCATTCTATCTTTAATCTAATCTAATCTTGTGATAGAAAAAAAGGGAGTCAAAACTCTGAGCCTGTTAAGAAGCAAGTCCTAGAGAAGGTAAAAGAAATTAATATTGTTCCTGTGAGGAATTATAATTTTCCAAAATCTTCTCCTGATCTTCCCAGAAGTGCAATCAATAGAGGAAGACAAATTACTAGGACTGTTCTTAATCCCTTTAATAGAGGCTCAAGAAGTGCTAGCACTAAATCTTGTGGAGATGAAGCTTCGAAAAGGAGCAAATCTATAGAAAAAGATAGTAAAATGATAACTGTGATTGAAGCTGTTGGAGAGTAAGTAGCTATATGTGTTTATATTTAAATAAATTACTAGATTAAAAACTATAGCTCTTACTATCACTTATAAGTTAGGATACTAATATAAATTTATAAAGCAAAGTATTAAAGGCAGTTGCTAATAATAAAAATAAGATAATTAATCCTAAAATAGAACGCATCCCTTGCACGCAGCACATGTTGCGCCTCTCTTCGGTCCTGACAAGCCTGCTTGTTTTTCTCTTTTCTCTAGTTCTCTTTCGTTGCTATTTATGTTTGGCTGTGTTTCTGCCATGAAAGATATAGGTGGCGTGGAATAAACATCCGAACTGACGTCTAGCGGGTCCTCATCAGAACTTGAGTCTTCAGAGTCAATATGTGAGTCTTTGGGGTCAACAAATTTTTTCTGGGCAATTTCAAAGTCAGCAAGTCATTTCATCTTAGGAGACGAAAGATCTCCTTTCGTCAGAGACTCTGAATAGTCATTTGGATGAGCAATTGTATTTGATTTAGGCCTAGTTTTAGGCTCTTCTATGTTAATCGGTGAGATTTCTCCGAAATCAAGACCTTTTTCCTCCGTTACAGGCTTTGAATCAATAGTGAGTTTGCCATTTTGCTGAGAATTATTTTGAGGTGAATTTTCTTGTGAAATCGAATATGGAACAGAACCACTTCTGTACCTTGAGTTTTCGATATAATTAGTATCCTTTGATATAAACTTTTTAGCCTCATTCGATCCTGAAGGAGGAGAGGCTTCATCTAGCAATAAATCGAACTCTTTAGAGCTAGTAATCACAGTAGATTGACTTAGAATATCAAAGCTATCCTCTTCATCTTCTGATCCTTTATGAATTGTTGCTCTTCTGGGTTGTGAAGTTAAAAATTTTTGCTTGGCGTTGTTAACTTGCACCTTTTGCAAAGAAAGATCACTTTCTTGTGCTTTATTGTTTAATATGGGAACTGCATCTGTTTGAGACCTTAATCTGCTGATATGACTCAAATTCATACTTACACAAATTACGGCCGACTTATCTAATCTCTCTAAGTGAAAGAACAAAATAATTATAATATAAAATTATTCGGGAAACGAGTTCCTCTAAATGAAAAAGAAATTTAATAGATAAGAATATTCTATATAATATTTTTATATATAATTGAAGATTAGTTAATTGATCTTCCAATTAATGTGCTAAATTTATACAACTATCACCAAAATAATAAATTTTATAATTTAATCACTATTTTTTCCAATTTCAAAAATCAAAATTAATTCCCTATTTTTAATAAAAAACTTGTTATTCTCAGAAAAGAGTGTGCATCCTTTTAGCTGAATTTCTTGCCTTTCTATTTTTTCCCCAGGATTATTTGCAAGTTCAGAAAAATCAAACTGTGCTTTTCCATTAATAACAGATTTTTCTCCATGAAGCTCTATCAGCTTAAAATTAATAATTTTCCTAACATATTTTTCGCTTTTCTTGTGCATTGTAATTACGAATGATAATGGATACTCAAAAATTACATTGGAATTAATGGCATTATATTGCATAGGCTGTGTTTCTTCTAACCCTCTACCTCGTTTTGCAATGACTTTCAGTTTTTCTTTGTTGATAAGTTTAGCTTTTACATAATGGATGCTTACATTTAGCTCGTATTTCACCTTTTCTGCACCTATTTTATGCAAGAATGCCATTATTATTTCAACTTAAATATTAAATTCTCTTAAATTAATAATTCGTCTTTATTAAATTATCCAAATAACTTGCCGAGATAATTGATATTTTTCAAAGATTTCTGAAAATTTCACCTTAGCAAGCAAAGAATAAAAATACTTAAAGACTTCTATTTAAAAATAAACTTTATAGAGATAGATTAATCCTTATAGATCCAGTTTTAATATATAGATGCATTATTAGATTATAATGCTATAGATGGAATTAATTTCATGAAGAAATTAATAAGGGTAAAATTAATCACTTCAAAAAAAGAAAACTTGCTTTTGCCCGAAGGCTTTCCTTTATCAGTAAAACCAAACTATTGGAACTTTATTAAATGAAACTTGGTCCAAAGCACCGCATCAAGTGCTTTAGGAGTTCTCTCTACACAGCAATTACTGATTACCCTAGGCACAAACTCAATTACAGCATCAGCAGCATTGAATTGAATAATAAAGGATGGGCTTGGATTACTAGGAGGAGTGATTTATGCAGGCAGAATTGGAAATAGATTTGATGAAAACTCCAAATATTACAAATGAATTTCAGCTGTGTCAGTAAACCTGGCTAGTGGCTTAGAAATGATTAGTCCATGCTTTCCAAGTCTATTTTTGCCTATTGCTACAATAGGAACTCTAGGTAAAAATGTTTCAGCTTTAGCTGGAAGCGCTTCCAAAGCTGCAATTCATCTCAACTTGTGCCTAAATACCCTTTGATTAGTGAGCAGAGGGTTAGGTTAGGTTATTAAAGACAGACGTAAGCCATATTGGTGATACTGCTACCAAAGACCTCCCATTCGGAGGTTCATTTCTTTTCGACTCCAGCCCAGAGGGTCTATCCCCGATATGGGTTCCACTTCCGGTGGCTTCTGCCTCTTCCTTGCCTTGCGGCTCTTGAGTGGGACTTATGGATTTCTGCGGCCCTGCTACGTGCGATTGGAGTAGATTGATTCAAGGACCCTTGAACTCTGTCGGGTGTTGAATTGCTACCTTAGACAGCTAGCAAAAAGATCGTTCCACTGTGGCCTTGGCTGAAACATCTAGTTTCTCTGCCGAGGAATGCCCAATGGGTCCTCGTATTTAAAGGACGTTGCCAGGTACCTTCATTTCCAACTACAGGAAAGCAGCCAAAGCCTGCCCAGATATACATCTCTTGTACTGCATTTGATTCCTAAACTCGGAGTCCATCCCAGTTCGCCGTGGCCATAAGGTCTGGACCGTTAAACCAAGAAGGCAGGTTGACATGTGCAGCCATTTTAATTTATTAGCGAGCAGAGCAGAGAGAATAGATTTTTTTTAATATGAATACAAATTTTATATAAAACAAATTCGTAATCATTGAAAGGAATATCGAACTCAATTTATGTTTTTGAAAACAGACTTTTTAATATTGATACAATAAGTAAAAGATTTTTTATTTTATATTTAATCAAAATATAAAAAACATTTTTCCTCCTATATGAAGAGAATATTTCTTTAAAAAGATTTTCAAAGATGTTGTTTACTGGCCAAGGTTGAGTAAGAAATAATTTAGCTGATGTTACTGCTAAAAGTGGAACCCAAGCTACAGCAGCAGGGCTGGTAGGAACCTTAATCGGAACTTTGTTTGGATACTCCATACAAAGTTACTGGGGAAGTGTAGCAATTTTTAGTGCGCTTTCAGTCTGCCAGCTCTGAGCATGCTATAAAGGTCTAAAATACGTGGATTTGAATTCATTGAATCCTCAGCGATTAGATATTATCATTAAGAATTTTATCGAACACAAAATTATTTTAAGTACAGAAGAAGTGTCCAAACATGAAAAGTTTTTACTTCCTTATCCAAAACAAAATTTAATAGTGGGGATAGTACCTGAAATCTTTCAAGGACAAGATGGAGGATCTGCGAATATTGATGAAAATGTCGAGTACCCAAATGAAAATTTGAAGAAATACATAATTAGTAGACATGACAACAAGGTTTATTTGCTATATGAAGAAACAGCAGTGAACTCAGATATAATTGAAGGATATGTTTTGGCTAGATGCATATCATGGAATGTCCCTCCTGTGACTATTCCATTAGAAGATCTGAAAAATATTGGCTGGGAGATCTCACAGCCATTTTTATCTCCTACAAACACCCGTTACAAAAATGAAAGCTCTGATTTAACTCAATAGTTTCTAAGTTATTTATCGTCTTCAATTAAAATGCCAGCTCCTGCAAACTTCGTAATAACCGTCCTCTTTATTCTCATCATTTCTCTAAAAGTGTCTTCATTGCCATGATACACTTCGAAATCATGCCAAACCTTCCAAAATTCCTCTTCTTCTGGCTTCCTTGGATCACAAAATTGCGAAATATAATTATAAATTGATCTTGCTCTGTCAATTTCTCCCAATTTTCTTTCAATATTTGCAAACTTCAGCCCAATTTCAATTACTTGGGTAGGGATATTTAAAACTTCATAGACTTCTTCAAAGAGTTTCCTCATTTTGAAAATTCCGAAATAGTCACAAGTTTTCTGTAAATATACATAAAGCATTTCCACCTTTTCAGAATCCAGGACTTCTTTTATTGCTTTTGAGTAAATTTCGATTGAGTGGTTTAATAGCCCATACTCTTCTTCAAGCTTAGCATACAAGCAAAAAAATATTTTTTTCTTATCTTTTGGGCAGTTCGTCAAGACTTGCTCAAAGAGATCCCTTGCTCTTTCAAGCTTTTTTTCTCCATAGTGTTTTACAAATGAAGTGAGGTAGGAGATTCATATATCATATATAAATGGCCATGAAAAATTATTAATTCCTTGCTCGTATACACGAAACGATTCTTCCCAAAATTCATTATTTTGTAAATAAGAACTGTAATTTAAGATTGCTTGAGGAGTCGCGATTTTTAAAGAAATCATCCTATCATAAACAGCTTTTACAGACTCTGTGGTTCCTAAGCTTTCTTCAAGGTCTACATATAGTCCTCATAGCTGCGTTCGCATTGATACTTCTTGCTGAAGACTTAGCTCTTTCGAGTATTTTTTGGCATGCCAGTTGCAAAAATGTTTGGCAAGTTTTAAGGCATCTCCATAGTGCCGATGTTCTAATTCCATTTCTATTCAAGCTTCACAGACTGCTTCGAGCTGTTTTGGATTTTTAAATTTCGATTTCGTTGCTTTGTCTAGTACAATTCTAGCACTCTTCATATCTCCATTTTTCTCATACAGCTTTGCAAACTCAATTCAAAGGTCCTGAGGTCGTCCAATAGCTTTCATAGGATCAAGAATAGTAACAGCCTCAGCATAAGTCCTCAGCATTTCTACAATGTCTCCTTCATGGAGCTTCACTCTTGATTTCCATTCATTCACATCATTTGGAGTTTCTTTTATTTTTACATCAGAAAGCAGAAATTCTCTGCTGTCAAGCAATTCTTCAAGTATTTTCATTTCGCTGTCAATTACATCTTGAGGATAACCTTCGCTTACATATAAATTTAGAAGTTCTTCTTCGAGCTGCGAATAGGCAGCAAACACAACTCCGAAGTCTCTCACGCTTTTTACATCAGCCAAGGCCTTTTTATATACCCTCCTTGCTTCTTCAATTTCTCCTCTTCTGATGTAGAACTCGGCCAACATTTCTCAAGCTCTTCCTTGATCTTCCATTCTGCCCATGCATCTTTCTAAGATTTCTTTAGAGTTCTCAACAGCGTCAGGATTTTGCGAAACCAAGCGAGCAAGAGTGTTCCACAAAGTGCTGGCTTCATCATTTTCCACTACTTCTAATATAAGAGTGATGGCTTCTGATGAGTATTGATATTTTACCAAAAAATCGATGTATTCCTCAATGAAAAATGGGTTGAATTGGAGATATCGGATATAAATCCTTCGCGTTGTTTCATGGATTGGGATAGTTTCTGCCCATTCTAAGTATTTGTCCCAAATCAAATCATGCTGGGTTAACGGAAGCTGCTGCAAGGAATAATCAAACATTCGCCTTGTTTTTGTGATATGATCTTGACTAATGAGAAAATCAAGATATATTAGCCATATTTTAGGCATGAGGTACATATATCTCAGAGCCCTTTCAAAGAGGAGGTTTGCAAGCTCATAATGCTCTTCTGAGGGACTTTCTGATACATATTGAGAAACTTCTGAAAGATAATTATATCACAGCTTATAGCTTCCGGGTATGTATGAGAGTGATCTTTCATATAGATTACATTTCTCCAGAAAAGTTGGAGCCACTTGTATACAATTTCACCAGGCTCGTTGGGAGTATGGATTGTGAATTAAGTCTTCTGTATTTAGGTCAGGTGGGAAAAACACATTCGCCATTGTGTTTTATTAATATGCTATTTTGAGTTTTTAACTATAAATAAAGAGTTTCTACTGAATCTAAATACAATCAATATTATCTGCCAATTAGCAAGAGAAATCAATTGCGTATTTTTAAATTATTAAAAGGAGACTAATCAAGAGCTACTTATATAATACTCATGGCTAATGGGTACCATTCAATTTATAATGATTCAAGCAATCATATTAAAAAATTCGAACTATGAAAAATCATTTATAATATAATATTGATTATTAGGTTTTCATTAGTAACTGTTCTGACCCTTTTTTATAAATTAAGGCATATGGGATGCGGAGAAAGCAGGAACGGCGAAGAGTGGAATCAACGTATAATTGATAATTTGCATGAAATCAGCAGGCTACTTCATGCCCTGAAGCCTCAATCGAAATCCTTATACGAGATGTATTTTAAAATTCAGTCATCGATTGAACAAGAATTGCTCACTAACAAAGATCTCGAATGCGAAAAAGATGAAGTCCTCAAAAAAACAATCATATACATTAAGATGGAAATTATCCTCTTGGAGCAACAGTTCAGACTTTATGGGCACAGAGATCTGAGTCAAGAATCAAGTGCAGGCCCATGAGATGTGTATCCAGGCAGGGCTGTTTCCTGCGGTTGGATTTGAGGTGCCCGGCAACATCCTTTGGATTCAAGGACCCATGTGTATTCTTCTACTGAGAGAAACTGGGAGTTTCGACCCAGGCCAAAAGGGGTAGTCTTTTTTCTGTAGCTGTCAAAGGAAGGCACTTCAACACCTGGCAGACTCAAAGGAGTTGATCCTCGAAATCAAGATACTCCATTGCCCATAGCAGGGCCATAGAAATCCATAAGCACTCAAGACTGAAGTCACAAGGCAAGGAGGAGACAGAAGGTACAGAAGTGGTATCCATCTTCGGGGAAAAGCCCTCTGAGCTGGAGTCGAAAAGGGTTAACCTTGGTACGGAAGGTCTTTAATGACTGCCACCAATATAGCTAAGGCCTGACTTTAAATAACCCAACCATTAAACCCAAAAAAAAAACAATCAAGCTTATGGAAGAAAATGAACAACTCAGTGACTTGATAAACACTCTCAAAGCTGAAAATAGCCAGGAATCTTCTGAAGGCGCTCTAGAGATGGAGGAGCTAAATCTTGAGCTCCAGAACACCAAGAAAGAAAAGCAATTCTATGAATCCACCGAAGAAGAAATCGTCCTTAGCAACGTTTTCACGATTTCTAGAGGAAAAGTAAACACACTTTTATTAAGAGCTTTTCTTATCTGGAAAACCTCATCCCCTAAATCTGAATTTGTCAGAAGAAAGCGAAGACAAAAAACAGTTCTCATCGTTAAAAAACTCAAAGCATTTGAAGACCAAAATCTATTAGACATTAACGAGCTGCTGAAGAAATCCCAGGAAAGAGAATTTAAAAATGCAAAACCATTAGATCTTGGATACACTTTCAAATTTCTTGAGAAATTGATGGATGACAAATTTGATGAAGACTTAAAAATGATTGAGGAAGGGAAAATACCAAGAGAGCTTTCTGATTATTTAATAGAGCAAATCTTCGCAAGATATGAGAACGAAGAGCTTGCTTATAAATTTTTAAATGAGCTAGTGGCATCGTTGCATAGCTTGTTTAAAATGAATCAAACATATGGAATCCTCTTTTGTAGGCTCTTTAATCTCTTTCATGCGCAGCCTATTCCTTACCGCTTACTCCCCCCCTCCGTGAGTGAACAAAACCATTAGAAAAATCGATATTTTTTGCCCAAGAACCCACCCTCCTTGAGTGAACAAAAATTTTTCTAATAGAAAAAATTTTTTATGGAAAAAAAAATTTGATATATAAGTGATAATTATTATAATGAAATCTAGAACTGATTCTGTTTAATTTTAAACGAATTGTTTTTTTTAAAATATAATTTTATAAATTGAATTAATATTTGCTTTCAAATATTTGCGAATTAGGATTTTTTTAAATTTCGAAAAAAAAATTAAACCCCTCCGTGAGTGAACAAAATTTTTTTGTTCACTCACGGAGGGGGGAGTTAGTAATTTATATTACCCAAGCCCGAATGTATTTTCAGCAATTAAAGCAGCTCAAGCCAGTAGCTGACACTCCTGGATCAATTGTTAAAGGGTTTCTTGAAGATTCCTATGGAGGTGAGTCTCTTCTTTCAGATGTCATAATGCTTATTGAACTGCTGTTCAAAGAAGACCCAGCTACTGGAGCTAAAGTGCTAGAAAAATGCAGGCCAACTAGTGTTGGAATGGGAGAGTACTGCTTATATATAGTCTGCAATAAATTTTTTTCAGAAAATATTGACGTTGACGAGTGAATAGAAAGTTTGGGAGCTGGGGAAACAGTACTTTATACAGTAATAGCAAGAAAACTATTGAAAACTGAAGTATGGGTAACTGAAGAAATGATACATCAAATGCTATTGGGAATATTAAACAATAAAGCTGCATCTAAATCAGACTTACGTAGCTTATTAGCCATAGAAAGATATATTGATGGGTACACGCATCAAAAATATCTTATAAATAAAGCAAGCTTCATGAACGCAATAGTAGTTACTTACTTAATATTTACTTGTTTTAACGTCATTTACGGGTGGCAATAACCGGGTCTTCCTCTACTTTGTCGCCGCATAGAGCCTACAAGCTTCCGGTCCGACCTATCTTGATCACCAGTATGCGCCTCTGGGTAGTTTTGCCGACTAAGACGGGAACGCAATAGTTACAGTATACGATGAGCTATGGACTGAAGAAGGTGTTCGTCTCTATATGGAGTTTGTAACTGCAGACGAAGAAAACGGGCTTCTAACGGAGCGAATGTTTGTGGAAAAATGTTTTGAGCTCGAATTATCAATTCCTCATTATGAGCTCGAAAATTTATATAGAGAAGTGGCGACTGAGGAAGGGATTACTGGTGAGGCAGCTTATAAGCAAGTGCTTAAGCGCCTCCAATATGGAGCTTTCAATATTTTCAATATGCCTAGCTTCGAAAATTTTAGTTTCCGTACAAAAGAAAGAAAAACACTTATAGGAGAACAGCGGCCATCAATATCTTCTTTATCATTTCCAATATCTCGGCTTACAATTTAATTTTACTCTATTAATAATCATGAATTAAATTCTATAAATTAAGCCTACCATTACATTAAATCTAATAAATTAAACATTACTAATCAAACTCTGACACTTTCCTTAATTCTTTTGAAGATGCAGTCATATCGTGCATCAGCTCTTTAAAAAGAAGCAAAGAGCACATTTCTTTCAAAAACTCTTGGAACACTACCACTGCTTCTAAGAACTGCTTTTCGCTTTCATTGACGCAATTCTCATTGGTTTTTCTTCTTGTTAGTTTTCTGCTAACAATGATGCTATCATAGAACCCAAGCTTTAAAGGCATTTCAAGCATTTCTTTGACTATTAGTAGCTTTGAGTTCAGCGACGTGTCTTCTAGAAACTTGGAATCGATATCAGAGGCAATGTTTTTCAAAACATGAATAAACATCACATTTGATTTCTTATCTTGTGGCTCAATTAAGAAGTTATTAAGAGCTCTTGTGGCTTCATTGACTTTTGGGTAAACAGCCAAAGCAGAAATAATGCCTGTGAGCATAAGGTTTTCTTGGAATGAATTTCCCAAGAAGTTGTTGAATTTTGACACAACGTAATCCAGAATTTCGCCTGGGTTAAAGGGCTCGTCTTCTTCAGTTTCTATGAATAGCTGCAGCCTTTTTCTAGGAGTCCCTCCAGTTCCTGCAGATTTGGCAATTGGGGACTTAGAAAAATTTTCATTAAGTTTTGAAGCTGATGCACCTGTAAATTCTGAGTCTTCATTCGCAATATTTTTATAGATGATTGAGGACCCTTCAAATGTGCTTGAATATGCAGATGTAATGAAGTCAGAAAATGTGTTAGCGTTGAAGCTAAAAACGCTGCTTGGGAACATAGACATAAAGGTTTCGCAGTCAATTTTGAATTCATCATTAGGAGGAGTACCCGAGAAATTGTCAGTGATCATTAATTTCACGATTTTTCAGTTATTCTTTGCAAGTAAAATATATATAAGCCTAAGTGTGTTGAAAGATAAAAGATAATTATCACAAAGAAGATTTTGCAGAATCGTCTGTCACATTTTTTTAATATCAGCAAGCGGTTTGCATCCTTGATTTCTTATATTCACTTGTGGAGGATGAGAAACATTTTCCACTTTATTTGCCTTCTGTTCTCCTGGGAAGATAATTTTATGCTCAACTGAATATGTCGGCGTAGAAACCAAAGAAGCCACTCGCTTGTCTCCATTTTTCCCTTTCCCTTGCAAAAAATAAACCAGCGGCAGCACAAGGTCCATGTTACTGATTTCCTGCATTATTATGCACAACGCAAAAGTTGCTGAGCACCTAATATTTACATCCATGCTTTGAAGTCGTGGAGTGAGCACCGAAACGCAAAACTCTTCATAAAAATTATGAACAATATCATCCTTAAAAAAATCGTGAATTGTCTCTGCATATATGTCATTCAAAAATTGTGTGTAACTGATTAATTCTTTTATTTGATTTTCCAGAATCTGAAACTTTTCTTCTGTGTCAACAATGACTGGGAGAGTCTGAAAATAAAACACTAGCTTTGTTATCAGCATTAATGAGAGCTCAGAACTTTTTATTGCCATTTCAAATAGAGGCCGATTCTCAATTTGGCTGGCAATAATAAAAGACTCTCTTAGTTCTGGAATTTCTTGAGCGTATTCGTCTTGAAAATATATCATCAACACACTTAAAGGTAAAAATTCTTCTTTGTCACCACTTTTGCAGTTAAAAAGTTCAAGAATCACTGGGTCTTGGTATCCTTGCTTTAGAAGTTCGTTAATAAGCTTTAATACCAGAGGCTTAGAATGGCTGAACTCGTGCCCACTTAAGAGTCTTCCGCTAATGACATGAAAAAGTGCTGTCAATGATAAGTGAAAGGACGACTGTGCCAAAATGATTTGATTCTGAATGCCAGTGAGAAGCTGAACTATAAGATTCAAAACAAAATTCATCAGGCCAGGAGGAAAATCAGTCTGGGCAGCTGCTACGAGCTCTTCAAAGAGACTGCAATCTAAACAAGATTCCATACATACGCCCATCGATCTCTGGCTAAAATCATCAGTCATATCTTCTTGAATCAGAATTTGTACGATTTTTTCAAGCCCTTGGATTTCAGATGAACCAAGGGCTTTTGCCACTTTTGAGGATCCTGGGCCTTGCTCGCATAAAGTTGTGTGATATTTTTGAAATGATTTCCAAAACTTCACAATTTTGTCTAAGTCAGAACCTTTGGCTGGGGAAAGTGATGATTTTAGCTTTCTCCACATAATTATACAGTTATAGGCAAATCTATTTAATAAGAATCATTTTTTTTAATCTGTTATAAACTTTGACATGCAGAAACTAGCGGAAAATAACAAGAAATAAATGATCTATTTTCAAAGAAATTAATCTCAAATAGAAAATTAATTTTTAGCTTTAATCAGGCAGATGTTTTTATGAATGATTACTTAAAGAGCTAACCCCCCCCCCCCCTCCGTGAGCGAACAAAAAAATTTTGTTCGCTCACGGAGGGGGGTTAATTTTTTTTTTTAAAAACAATTTATATATAAATTTTATAAAAAATATTTTTTTCGAAATTAAAAAAAATCCTAATTTGCAAAAATTGGGAAGCAAATATTAATTTAATTTGCAAAATTTATGTTTTAAAACGCAATTTGTTTTAAAATTAAACAGAATTAGCTCTAGATTTCATTATACTAATTATCACTTATATATCAAAATTTTTTTCCATTAAAATTTTTTCTATTAAAAAATTTTTGTTCACTCACGGAGGGTGGGTTTTTGGTCAAAAAATGGCGATTTTTCTAATGGTTTTGTTCGCTCACGGAGGGGGGGGGGGGGAGTAAGTTGTTCAGATCACACCGTGACCATTTCATATTGAAGAAAATAAGGAAGCTTGAGGAACAAGACTTGGCAATTTTTCTTCGATTTCGTTCTCATGATCTGCAATAAGCCTGAAATCTGACGGATTTGAGAGTGAGTTTTCGAAGAAATTAGACTCAAATGTAATAGAGATACTTGAGTTAAATAACGAGCTTTGTTCTTGATGCGCGTGAATTGTAAAAATTGAGTCTGCTTTGCATAGCATAGGACATGGCATATCCAATAGTTCCTCGTGCTGGCAGCTATTAGCTGCTCCATTATGACAGCCAGCATTTAAGCTACCAGAATTTCTATTAGAAGCACTCTCACAACTGTTTTCTTTAACACTGACTTCTTCAGATTTGATTGAATTAGTTGGGCTGTCCGAAGTTTCTAGGAAATCTAACTCAATTGGATGGAAATTTCTCTCGTCAATTTCCATATCAATTGCATCTTCAAGTACTTCATCAACATAATAATTATAATTTATCATGGCTTCGTCTTCCTCATGGATATTTGGACGGTATAGCAGCATGAATCTCTTATTAAGCTCCTGTGGTAAAATAATCATTGCTTTTCTATTACACTCAATTCAGCGGTTATAAATCATAGACAGGCTAGGGTATTTCTTTGAAAGGAAAGCCTGAAATGGAGAAATTGATTCATTCAAGTATGCTTTGACAGCCAAGGATGTGATATAAAGGATAATTTCCAACGGGACGAAATCTTGTGTCCAAGCGAACTTATCGAGGTAAATAGACCACACCACAGCTTCTAAGTCATTGAACATCATTTCTTGGGCAATTCTGGTAAACACAATGGATAAGGGGGATTTCCTTATCTCAGGGGGAATTTTTTTATCGGAAACGATTCTTTTAATAATCGTCTCAGTTTTTTGACTCATACGATAACTGAGAGTCATTTGGGTATAGAGGTTGCACAAAATCTTATGCTTTAGAAGAGTCTTCTCAAGGTCTGAGCCGAAGAGCCGAAGAAGACTAGTTGCCATTGAATCATTCTGAATAGGATTTGAATACTTTTGGACGACATTCTTCATATAAATTATTAGGCAAGCAAATTCAGAAGAAAATGGAGGACTTGCATTTTTATTTCATTGACAGATTTTATTTTATTTATAGAAAAATAAGCACATAAAATGAGGAAGAAAATTTTAAGGTAGATTAATTTTGAAGAAGAACTTTTACTCCCCCCTCCGTGAGTGAACAAAACCATTAGAAAAATCTCTATTTTTTTGACCAAAAGCCCACTCTCCGTCAGTGAACAAAAATTTTTTTAATAGAAATTTTTTTATGGGATATATAAGTGATAATTAGTATAATGAAATCTCGAACTAATTCTGTTTAATTTTAAACAAATTGCGTTTTAAAACATAATTTTACAAATTGAATTAATATTTGCCTTCCAATTTTAATAGAAGTAAGCTTTTTTTAAATTTCGAAAAAAAAAATTAACCCCCCTCCATGGGTGAACAAAATTTTTTTGTTCGCTCACGGAGGGGGGGAGTTAGTGATTTTTTTATAACCTTCAAATAAACTGAATTTATACTATGGTTTACTGTTTAAGTGCTTGATATCGAATTTTTGAATAGAGTATTGAATTCTATAGCCAGATACTGGAATTATTCCAAAGTAGCATAATTATAATATGGAAAGGTCTTTGCTTCAGATCTATAGAGACTGGATGAAAGCTTGCAGACATATGGGTAGAGAGGTAAGCATTAAATTAGAGCACAAAAACAGAAGCCATTCGATCTTTAGTAAGAAGAGAATGAAAAAAGCACCAGTTTGAGACTGATGCTGAAAAGATTGAGGAATTTAGAGAAGGGCAAATAAGAGGACTCGGAAATTACCTTATATACACAGTGAAATCCGAGTTAATTGACAAAAAACCTGAAGATATCACTAACTCCCCCCCCCCCCCCCTCCGTGAGCGAACAAAAAAATTTTGTTCGCTCACGGAGGGGGGTTATTTTTTTTTTTTTAAAAACAATTTATATATAAATTTTATAAAAAATATTTTTTTCGAAATTTAAAAAAATCCTAATTTGCAAAAATTGGGAAGCAAATATTAATTTAATTTGCAAAATTTATGTTTTAAAACGCAATTTGTTTAAAATTAAACACAGAATTAGCTCTAGATTTCATTATACTAATTATCACTTATATATCAAATTTTTTTTCCATTAAAAATTTTTTCTATTAAAAAAATTTTTGTTCACTCACGGAGGGTGGGTTTTTTGGTCAAAAAATGGCGATTTTTCTAATGGTTTTGTTCGCTCACGGAGGGGGGGGGGAGTAAGTAAGTAACCCATAATTCTTTATCAACCCTCTTTCATTCTTAATTTTAAAATATTTAATTAAATAGCTGTTTGTATTCATCTGGATAATTTCCTTTATATATTTTCATTACATCCGCAAAAATTCTTGGTGCCAGTTTAGGGTCTTTCAATTCCATTTCTGCAATAGCAAGTATCAATTTATCAACACAGCTATAATCTTCAATCCTCTCTATATTAGAAATTGCATTTTCTACTATTGTAAGAAAAGAAGGCTCCTTTACAATCAGTCCGGGGTTGTCTGTGCTCCATCGAGGCATCATGACCGCAGCTCCACTGATCTCATCAGGCATCATTTCTACACTGTTAAGTGTGGAGTTTGAGTTGGAAGAGCAGTTGCTGGAATTTTTCCTATGTGTGAGTTGTCTCATTTTAGCACTTTCTGAGCTGTGTGTGTGTCTGTGTGAATTGTCTGAAAGATGCAAAATTGTGTTGGCTGGTGACTGAGTTGATGAGGACCTAAAGTGCTCCTTTTTCAATACAGTTGAAGAATCCAAGAGATCAGTCAAGTAATAAGTCTTTTTAGCATTTTTGATAAATTTGTGGTTTAAAAGACTTTCTGTATCTGGTCGTAATTGCATACAAATAAAATAGCGACTTACCGATCTCTCCAGACCTTGGGGACTTGCTGTGGCCAGAAGCCAAGCCGAGCAGGAAACGGATTCTACGAGTGCTGGGCATTTGTGCTCCAGTTGGTTTTGCCTCCCTCTTCCAGCATAAAGACTTTGTGTCTTTCCGATGACATTTTGGAAAAAAGGCTTTTTACCCCTAGCGACCACTAGTGCCGACGACGAAGGCATAATTAGTACAAATACTAGCTAGGGGGTTTATCTCTAGATGGAACTCTAGTCAATCAAGCAGCTGTCAAGTCCCAAACCTGCATCCTCCGAGGTTCCGAGACAGCATTAAGAACCATGATGAAAGCTGAAGAGAGCTATCTCTGGTGGAAATGCTGGCATATCCAGAGAGGTTGCTCGTAGCTGAACGAGTGTCCTACGAAGACCCGTTTCGAGTGAGACGTAAAAGAAGGAAGAGCCCTAATCTATAATTAATGCTAATGCTAATGTCTGGTCGCAAGTTTGGGTTTTTTTCTAAACATTGAGCAATAAAATCTCTAAATGTAGGAGAGAAGGATTGATCCAGTTGTGGGGATGGATCAGTTTGAATCCGAAATAAAGCAGATAAAGGAGGCAAATCCATGTATGGAGGCTTTCCTGTAGCAAGCTCTATTGCTGTGATGCCAACAGATCATATATCAGCTTTGTAGTCATAGCCAGACTGCACAACAACTTCAGGAGCCATTCAATAAGGTGTGCCAACAAATGAGTTTCGCTTGTTCACACTTTCAGTGATCTGAGCTGTGACTCCGAAATCTGCAAGCTTGACTTGTCCATCCATTGAGAGCAGAATATTTGCTGCTTTAACGTCTCTGTGGATTTTTTTGTTAGAATGCAGATAAGCTAGTGCAAGTAGGAGTTCTTTGAGAAGAATAGGGATGTAGATTTCCTGCAAAGGCCCTCTAACCTTCAAAATGTCTTTAACAGATCCTCCAGCTACGTATTCCATAACAATGTACAGCTTCCCTTCGTGAACAAAAGATTCGTAAAAATTGGTGATTCTAGGATTTTGGCATTCTTTTAATATCTGTATTTCTCTGTTTAAGGTATCCAACGAATCTTCTGTATCCTAATTATAATTTACAGTGAGATCTATCACTTTCATGGCTACAATTTCTCCCGTTTCCTTGGCGAATGCTTTAAAAACTTCGCCGAAGGAGCCTTTACCTATTTTCTCAAGTAGCTCGTACTGCAGCAGACGCTCAATATCCATTATATTATTTTAGTGAGATATGGGTAAGTTCATTTAAATTTAAAATCTTACTCTCCTTTAATTTGAAGAAGATCTTTTATTCAATTTAAGTGGAGGGAATGCTAGGAGTAATAAGTTTAAATGAAAGGAGATTTTATAGCTTACTTATCAATTATCAATGATGATTAATTAGTATATGCACTAGAATTTAGATACTTAATTTGTTATAAATTTTTGCAATTGCTTCTCTTTTCTTAATAATTCAAAACTTGATCTCTGCCTGCTGCTGAGATCATCCCAATAATAAAATATGAATATCTTAAAATAAATAAATTCTCTAAAGTTATATCTCACTCCCCCTTTTAAATTGGCCAAAATAAACTGTTAAGTTTAAAGGAATTTAATATTAGTAAAAACTTTTATACAAAAAAATTATAAATTGAATGCAATATTTTCAAATTTTCATTTTTTATAGAGAATTAATTAAAAAATCAGTTTATTTAGCGTGCTAACTGTTTAGATAGTATTCTAGTGGCACTCTCTCCACTAAACTAGACCAAAGTTATTTTGATAAAAAGTAATATTTTCACTTATAAAATTTTCCATTGAAAAATTTTAATTTTTTTTTCCGATTTATGATTACTTAATGTACCCAAAAACGGAGAATTACCTAATTTGATTCCAATTTTTAAAGAGAAAGTCAGTCATTAGCTATTAAATTAATGTTTTTTGTTAATTGAGGGAGCTATTTCTATGATCTTAATAGATATAAATGATATCTTTTTAATAAAATAATTCAATTTCCATAATTTTTAGTAATTAATAATTTCCTTCAACTTCTAAGATCAGGTTAGTAAATAAAACTCTCTTAAAGGTGATCATGGCTAAGTGAGCTATTTGATTTATTTTTTATCCTAACATATCAAGATTTGCAAGGATATTGATTTTTAACTGAAATTTTATTTAAATTATCAAAGCTTACCCATCAACAACTAATATTTTTATATTCAGCTTAAGCCTAGTCAAATTAACTACATTTATTTAATTATTTTAATAAACGAAAGGAAGTTATTAAAAAAATCATCCCGTATTTAGGCGAGTGTAGTGCTGATAGACATTTTCTTGTTGAATAATTTGCTTAAAACATCATGGAAGAGCATCTTCTCCAAAATGAAGCTGACAGAAGAAGGTCTACATCTGTTGTAGCAACAGAAAGGACATTTCAAATTCCTCTTGTCGAACCTCCTATTATGTTTATCCCAAATACTATTAGCACAAGCAAATACAATTGTCTGACATTCCTCCCTAAAAATTTATATTATCAATTTCACAAATTAGCGAACGTTTATTTTTTGGTTATTGCAGTTTTACAAGTAATTCCTGCGATTTCTGTGTCCAGTGGTATATTATCATTCAAATGACGTTTGGGATCACTCATCTTCTTATTCCCCCCTCCGTGAGCGAACAAAATCATTGGAAAAATCCTATTTTTTTTGCCAAAGCCCACCACCCGAAAAAAAAATTTTTATGAAAAATATATATTGATTTATAATAAGTGATAATTTTATAATGAAATTTCTAGCTAATTATATTTAATTTTAAACGGTTTGCAAAATTTCGCAAATTTCTTGATTTTTACAAACTGGAATTTTTTTTTAATTTCGAAAAAAAATACTTACTATAAATTTTTTTTAAAAAAAAATCAACTCCCTTCGTGAGAGAACAAGAATTTTTTTGTTCGCTCACAGAGGAAGGAGAGAGTTAGCATTTTTTAGCCAGCTCAACCCAGGGATCTTGAGGAAGAGAGGATTGCGTTTTGTTAATGTATATTTGACCGAATTTTATTTGATTTGAGGAGCGCAATGTTAAATATAGCCAACCGCATGCTCACTCTAAGTCAAGGATTTTACCCCTTGGAAGATCAGGCTCAAAATGGAAAGGGATATCTAAGCAGTATCGGTAATTCTCCTCCAGGCCAATCGGAAAGTTTCCTAGCGCGATACCATACGTCGTATCCTGAGCTTTTGAGTTTCCAATTTAGCCAGCAGTGACCAGAAAATTCAAAATCGAAGATAGAATTTTCTAAAAGCTGAATCTTTGGCACGCGACATAGTGATCCAGCGTTTCTAACACAGAGATAGCGATTTCAAGTCCTCTCCCGTGATAAGCAGCAGAGGAGGCAGGACTAGCAAGTGATGCAGCATATTAGAGGGAATAGGCCGAAACTTGCCTTTCTTATAATGTTATCTAATACTAAAGCTAGTGTCAAGTGGTATTCCCACTATCTTATTACCTTTAATTTTTGTGATGACAGTAAGTGCAATAAAAGACTTCGTGGAAGACCGAAAGCGTAAAAAGTCAGATCAAGAAGAAAATTCAAGGAAGACCCAAATAAGGGCTGGTAAAAGCTGAAGAAAAGTCACCTGGCAAGAAGTCAGGGTTGGCGACATAATCCGCGTAAACAAAGATGAGTATTTTCCTGCGGATATCATCATATTAAATTCAAGTGATTCGAAAGGAATTTGCTATATAGAAACCAAAAACTTAGATGGTGAAACAAATTTGAAGCACAAATCTGCAAATAAAGATACCCAAACTTATTTTAATAATGATTCAATGTTCGATGGAATTACAGCAACGATAAGATGTGAAGGACCAAATCCAATGATTTATCAATTTAATGGATTATTAACAATTCTTGACACAGTTTTAGTATTAGCTACCGAGCAGCTTTTGCTAACTACATATTCATTAGTAAGTAAAATTTGTTAGGCCACGGAATTAAATTTTTTGGACTCAGCAAAAGGTCAATTTTTATAAAAATTGTTTAGATTTGTAATCGTAATTCGAACCATCAAAATTTTTTATATAAAAATCTACATTAAAAAAATGGTTACTCCCCATAAAAGAATTTTTTAATTCTTAACAGAGTGCGGATTAAGAGGGAGTTCTTTGAAAAATACAGATTGAATTACTGGAATTGTTGTTTATACAGGCCATGAGTCAAAAATTATGCTTAATTCCCCACGAGCAAGGGCAAAAAATTCTAAGCTTGAAAATCAAATGAATAGGCAAATTATTTACATTTTCTTTTTGCAATTAGGCATATGTGTTTATGCAGCTGCATATTATGCAATATGGTTCAATTTGTCAAAAAGTGACACATATATGTACTTAGAGCTTGAAGAAACCTATAATAATGCTGGTATCCAGTTTATACTTCAATTTTTTACTTGAATGCTTTTATTTACCAATTTTGTTCCTATTTCTTTATTAGTTACTCTCGAAATGGTCAAGTTCTGTCAAGCTATTTTTATATCATGAGACTTAAAACTATACTATGAACCCAAGAAATTCATAAATTTCGATTAATATTACATTTGGAGAAATTCATCTAATTATTTTTCCTTATAAAAAAACACTTTTGCTTAAATTTAGTATTTGCAGAGGAATTTCTTCCTATTAAAAATTTGCAATCAAATAGCATGGAGCCGAACCCACAGATACCCCTGCAAAAGTTCAAAGTTCCAATCTTAATGAAGAGCTTGGGCAGATAAATTACGTTTTTTCTGATAAAACTGGAACCCTCACCTGTAATATTATGGAATTCAGAAAGTTCACTATTGGGGGAATTAGTTATGGAACAAATCAAAGGGTTCCTCAAAACATAAAAATCCCTCACGTAGATTTTGTAGACGATCATTTCGATAAAACTTCGTCAGCTGCTTATGATTTTTTGATGCATTTAGCCTGCTGCCATACAATTATTACAGAAGAGAAAGATGGAGTAATTGAGTATAAAGCAAGTTCTCCAGACGAACTAGCTCTAGCAAATGCAGCTAAGTTTTTTGGGTATGAGTTTATGGGTAGGGACCAAGATTTGAATATGAATCTAAAAGTTGGAGGAAAAGACGTAAAAATAAATGTGCTGAATGTTATTGAATTTAACAGTGACAGAAAAAGAATGTCAGTAGTAGTTAGGATGCCTGATAAACGTATCAAAGTGTTATGCAAAGGAGCAGACTCGATTTTATTGCCGAGAATCAGAAAAAGTGATACTATTGAGCCAACTTGGGCTCATTTAGAAGAATATGCAAACGAAGGGCTAAGAACATTAGTGCTGACTTCAAGGGACTTAACAGACTCTGAATACTTGGCGTGAAACGAAAAATACACTGAAGCTCTCAGAGATATTCATAATAGGGAAAAAAGGATTGCTGAAGTCAGTGAAGAAGTTGAAACAGAGCTGACTCTTCTAGGAGCAACTGCAATTGAAGATAAGCTTCAAGACCAAGTTCCTGAAACCATCCAATTCTTAAGAGATGCTGGAATCAATGTTTGGGTACTTACCGGCGATAAGGTTGAAACTGCTATAAATATTGGATTTTCGTGCAATTTAATTACATCTGAAATGATCAGAATTATTGTTCAGAGCGCAAAAACTCAAGAAGTCCAAGAAGAGCTGCAAAAAGGCATATTATCAACTAAGGCTGGATATGGAGCAAAGTTCGTGCTTGTGGTTACTGGAGACGCTCTGATTAAGGCTATGAGAAACGAAATAAAGCCTTTGCTAATGGAGATCACTGATAGGTGCAATGTAGTCCTTGCGTGCAGAGTTAGTCCACAGCAAAAAGCTGATATTGTTAAGCTCATCAGAAATTCCAAGGTAAATATTCGCACTTTAGCGATTGGCGATGGAGCAAATGATGTCAATATGATAACCGCAGCTCATGTAGGCATTGGAATATCAGGGCTAGAAGGTCAGCAAGCTGTTAGAGCTTCAGACTATGCTGTTGCTCAGTTTTCTTATTTGAAGCGGCTCATGTTCGTGCATGGCAGAGAATGCTACAGAAGGAACGCTACTTTGATCTGCTACAACTTCTACAAAAACGTGTTACTTGCAATGCCTGTTTTCTTTTATGGAATGTTTTCAGTCTACTCTGGGCAGCTCCTTTACAACCAATGGACTTATCAGGTGTTTAATCTGCTCTTTGCATCACTCCCAATTGTAATTTACGCTGTCTTTGATAAAGAAACTGAATATGAGATTCTAGAAAATGACTCGAAGCATTACAAGCTTGGTCTAAGAGGAAGACTATTCACCACGTCAGCATTTTGGTTTTGGATTTTAGAGGCAGTTTTACAAGGTATGGTGATCTGCATGATTTCTCTTAATGCTATATGCACTGTTTCAGGAGAATGGGAAAGTGGTCGTATGGATTCAATGTATGTTTTTTCTGTTCTCGTCATGGGTCTTGTGATCATTGTTGTGAATGTAAAGATTGTCCTTTTCTCCTATATCCATTTTTGGTTTTCTTTGGCCATTGTTGCTATTAGCATTCTCCTCTACTTTTTTGTGTCAGCAATTATAACGGAGTGGCTTCCAATGGCTTCATACCTTGATAACTATGACTCCAATAATAGCACTTCAAGGATGTTTAAGAACCCAAACTCTTATCTTTCATTAATTCTGGTTACTTATTTCTGCTTTTTCTTGACCCCTCTATTATATAAAAGCATTGAATTCGTAAATGTGCTCACCCTTCCCTGAGTGAGTGAACACAAAAATTTTGTTTGCTCACGGGGAGGGCTAATTTTTTTCTATATAAAATAAATTTTTTACTAAATATATTCCAAAATTGAAAAAAAAATTGTGAAAATTGGAAAGCTAAGATTAATTAATTTGTAAATTTATGTTTAATTGAAATTAAACAGGAATTAGCTAGATTTTTCATTATAATAATTATCATTATATATCAAACATTTTTATATAAAATTTTTTGTTTGCTGAATAAGGGTTTCATCCAAAAATAGGGATTTTTCCAATGTTTTTGTTCGCTAACAAAGGGAGGGGAGTCAGAGGAAAACTTGGAAAAGTTGCTGATGTCGAGCTGCCTGAAAATCTGAGTGAAATGGATATTGAAGAGGAAGAAGAAGAGACTAGAGATAAAGTCCTTACCCCTCCGTGAGACAACAAAAACATTTTTGCTCACGAAGAGGTTTTAAATTTATCTATAAATTTTATAGGAAATTTTGTTTGAAATTTAAAAATATCCCAATTAGAAAGCAAATGTTTTTTAATTTGAAAATTTATTTTAAAATCTAAAAATTTCATTATACTAATTATCGTTTATATATCAAAGTTTTTTCATAAAAAATTTTTATTCTCTCATAGAGGATGGATTTTAAGGATTTTTTCAATGGGTTTTGCTCGCTCTCGGAGGGTGGAGCTAATGAATTACCAATTGAAGATAAGCTGAAAGCTCAAGAAACATTGAATTACTTCAGAAGAAGCTGTAAGTTCTATTTTAGATACGGGCTTTGCGTTCAGTGGTGATGCTGGACATGTGCCTCAATTAACAGAGAATTTGATTCACAGAACTTCAATAGGATGGTAGAGCTCATTTATAATTTCCTATATTTTAATATGGATTTAGAAATATTGAAATTAATTTACAAATATGCATTAATTTTCTTTGTTCTCTCTTCCTTTTATAGATTTAGGAGCATTATGCTCGCATTTATCCAAATCAATATGACTATTTGAACTCTGCAAAACTCCAGAGAATTTCATCCATGGGTCATCTCTTATTTGAGAGCACGTTGGCCTTTTATTTCAATCAGTCTGCAAAATTTTTCTTATCAGTGATTTTGCAAAAAATGAGATCCCAGTTGGCTCTTCAAAATTTCCAATCAATATATTTTTATATACTTCTTGGTCAGATTTGCCTCGGAATGGATAATTTCCACATAGAAGCACGTATAAAAGCACACCTAACGCTCATATATCTGCTGATCTTCCATAATACTCCCTCCTTGCCACAATTTCAGGTGCCATGTAGCTTGGAGTTCCACAAAAAACTGTGTTCTTTTTATCACTTGACGTGTAGGTTGAAAATCCAAAGTCAATCAGCTTGACATTATTAGATTTATCAATCATGATATTTTCCAGCTTAATATCCCTGTGAGCAATAAATAATGCATGGCAATAATCTATGGCTGATAATATTTGCCCAAAAATTCTCCTACCTTCACATTCATTGACTCGTCTATTGGGAAGCGCTTTGAGATATCTATGGAGGGACATCCCTCCAACATATTCCATAATTATATATATTTGGCTTTTTGTGTCTATAAATTCTTTCATTTTAATAATAAAAGGATGATTTAAAGTTTGCATAATCATTATTTCTTTTTTGACGTTTCTTTTTTTATGAGGGTCTACCAGTTTGCTTTTTTCATAAATCTTGGCGGCATATCTGGCTTGTGATGGAATATGAAGTGCTTCTTTTACAACTGCATAAGATCCGATGCCAAGTACCTTCCCAAAATCATAAAAATCAATAGGGTCTTTAGCGTTTTCATCTTTATTTGCAGAGCCATGATTTGCTACATGGCTAGTGGAAACAGGTGTTTTAGATCGCTTTTTTATTATCAAAGTTGGTTTGGAGTTTCTAGGAGATGAAAGTTTTAAAATGCGTTTTGTTTCAAAGATGTTTATGTTTTTAGCTCTCTTTTCATTATTGTTACTTGGAGTGCGCTCTGATGTTGTGTTTGTTGGGGTCAAATTGAATGTTATCATTGTTTTACTGAAAATATTTCTTGAAATTGGTTTCAAATTGTTGACTCTATTCTTACTCCCCCTCCTTGAGTGAAAAAAAATTTTTTATCAAAAAATTATTTTGATATATAAATGATAATTATTATCATGAAATCTCAAGCTAATTCTGTTTAATTTTAAATAGTTTGCATTTTAAAACATAAATTTTGCAAATTAAATTAATTTTTGATACTCAATTTTACAAATTTGAATTTTTTTTATTTTTAAAAAATTAACCCTCTGTGAGCGCGATAAAGTTTTGTTCGCTAACGAAGTGTGCGAATTAGTTTCTAACGGACATTTTCCTTGCATTTTTAATTTTAAGTTATTATGAATTTGGCACAAAATATGAATTCTGATCTAATCATTCGTGCTCAATGCTTTACTCCCCCCTCCGTGAGTGAACAAAAAAATTTTGTTCACTCACGGAAGGGGATTAATTGTTATTTTAAAAAAAAATTTATATATAAATTTTATAAAAATTATTTTTTTTTTTCAAATTTAAAAAAATCCTAATTCGCAAAAATTTGAAAGCAAATATTAATTTAATTTATAAAATTTATGTTTTAAAACGCAATTTGTTTAAAATTAAAGAGAATTACCTCTAGATTTCATTATGCTAATTATCACTTATATATCAAAATTTTTTTCTATAAAAAAATTTTTTGTATTAAAAAACATTTTTGTTCACTCACGGAGGGTGGGTTTTTGGGCAAAAAATAGGGATTTTTCTAATGGTTTTGTTCACTCACGGAGGGGGGGAGGGAGTTAGTAAACTGCCAAATTAAAATATTTATAGATCAATATTCAGTTACATAAAATTCAAAGAAATAAAATAATTTGATTTTTAAGGCTCCTTAGTTTGACATTATCACGTTATCGAGCAGGAGACAGAAAAGCGCTGCTGTTACTATACCCAAGTTGTTGAAGCACAAACTGACATTAAAAGTTGCTTCCTTTAGCTCTTTCGGGAGCTTCTTGGTATTCAAAATCAAATAAGCCACATTCACGTAGCTCATTCCTCCCATGCATCCGACCCAAATTGACAAAATAAATTCTCCCCACATCGTTAAAAACAAAAACTCAGCCTCGAACCACCACAAACAAAAATTAAAGGCTTGCAAAGCTGTAACAATTCACACTTGTGGCACTTTAAAGCACTTCAAAGACGACCTTGAGAACAGCACTCCAATTTGATAGCAAAACTGTATTATAATAAACGCATTTTCTTTAAAAAAGCTTCCATTATCCGAATATTTTAATGTTGCTCTGTCCGCGAACCCAGTAATCACACAATATTCTAAAAAATATACACTCCCTAAATTAACTGCCCAAAATCCGGCTTCAGCCCAAATAATTGGGATTTGACTTCGAGAAAATAAGGCATTTCCTGTTTCTGCTGAGATTTTCCCTATTTTTTCAACACTATTATTTTCCGGATTTTGTTCAACAAGTGGGATGCTTTTTATTGAGTTTTGTTTCTTGCTCTTCTTATAAACCCAGAGAAATCCTAGCCAGTAAGGGATTAATAAAGGAGTGACTATTAAAAAAACTTGATAGTTTTCCAAACTTACTGCTCGGAAAATTAGCCATGCTCCAGAGCCAGCAACCCCAGCAAAGCCTGTGCCTGATGAAAATCCAACAATATACTCACTTGGAAACGACTTTTGGAAGGCAAGATTAATGCATTCTCCCCAGGACTGAGACATCCCCATCAAAAGTGTTGCCAATAAAGCTATTGGAAATCCCCAGCTTCCATTTGCGGCAGAACATATAGCCATCACTCCGAAAGATAAAACCATCGAGCATGCAATAATAGTAACTCTGAGCATGGTGTTCATCCCCACGAGGTATCGGAAATTCACAGCAAGCACTAATAAATTGCAGCAAACCAGCATAAATTGGAACAAAGGCATTAAATTTTGTTCTCCAAAATGTGTAGCGATATCTTGCGCACCGACTCCTATCATAACATATCCTAGGTTGTTTACCAGTCCAATTACAAACAAAATTGAGAAGTGCTGCCAAAAATCTATATTCATTTTATTTATAGGTGATCCTGTGAAATTTCATAATTATTTCTTAAGCTAATATGGCTTCAGTCAATAAGAGCATGTCTGCGCTTGCCACTTTGGTTTTCAGAATGCAAAATGACCCTCTAGGGCCTAAAATGATCAAGACTCTCGAGCCAATTTTTATTAAGCACAGAAGGAAAATGTCTCATATTGATCTTAGCTATATTGTAAAGCCTTATGCAAATAATCCTTGAGTTTCAGATGAAATGAAGCAAGCAATAATCCAAAGTACTATAGAATTAAAAGAAAAACTTGAGCCTTTTAATATCATCAATATTTTCCCATGGGTGTCAAAATTTGAAAATACACAGAATTTATTTGTTGTTTTTCAGGAAAAAATGCTTTCGATTGATTGAACTCCAAAAGAAATTGCTATTCTGCTAAGTGCTTATTCTAAAGTTAATGGAAGCACATTTCTGTGAAAAAATATGGAAAGAAATATTCTAAGCTTAAAGAATCAATTAACCTCATATGAAATAAGTGATTTCCTCTTTAGCTATACTAAGAAAAAAATAAAAACTCGGCTATTTGATGAATTAAGAGATATTGTGATGAAAATCCCATTTAAATCTAATGATGCAGTCTACACAATGCACTCATATATAAAAAACGAACACTATGATGTTTTAATAATTGATAAACTATCAAGAGAAATTAATCTCAACGAAATTTCTCTCAAAGAAGTATGCATACTTTATGCTTCTGTTCTGAACTGCCTAAGATATTTTAATGAATTGCCAAAAGCTGCCAAAAACACAAATATAGAGGAGTTCACCAAAAATATCAGTAATTTTACAGTCGAAATTGAGACATTGATTCGTAAAAATTTGAAGATCTTTCATATAATTGATCTATTATCAATCCTTGAAGTGGTCGACAAATATAGCAGGCCAATTTCAATTAAATCTATAGCACAATCAATCTCATCAGCAGATCAGCTAAAAGGGGATCTTTCAATTAAAGGATTTGAAACTGTAGCCAATATCCTTGCCAAAAACAATCTCCCTATCCCAACACCATTAATAGACATAATTTTTACTTTAATTTAGTAAAATTTCGTGTTTAATTAAATTTACAAATACCAAATTTAGGGTCTTATATAACTCTTTCGTTTTAATGGGCTATTATTTGTATCCATTTAATATTCAAAATAAGATTTTACTTTATCCATTTAAAAGGAAAAAAAGAAAATTAGAAATTCCATTTATAATTTTGAGATGCTTAATAAGACTAGGCAGACGAGTGGGTATTATTTTTGATCAGTACTATTCGACCATAGTAATCTATTACAGAGAATAAGCTATATATTGTAAAAATCCTCGTAGCAGAAAGTAGGCTTTTCAAAAATCTTTCCTTTTGCTGGTTCTTGATTTAATATTAATGATTCTGTTGGTTGTTGATTCATTATTGGTGACTGAACTAGCTCTTGATCAATTAATGGTAACTGTGTTGAAGGAGAAAGTATGGAACCAGCACTTCTTGCTCTATTTTCAGGACGAAGTCTAATGAGTCCGTCAACGACTTCAATGTTGGCATTGTTAAACTTGATTTCATTAATAAACCGCCTTTCTTCCTCCAAATAGTCTAGTTGATCACTTCCTCGTTTATATTTTTCATTGAATTCATTAACTATCTTTACATGCTTCATCAAAGAGTCTCTAACTTCCTTAAACTTTTCGTTAATTTCTTCAAGCTGTGAGGAATCTCTTTTTCTATTTATTGGTGCTAACTTATTTTTTAAAGTTTTCATGATGCTCTGCCAATTTTCTTTTGCTTCAGTCTTTTTCATTTGCAGTAAATATTTTTCGATTGTATTGATTATTGAGCTTATTTTCAGCCCACTGATGTTTTCAATGATTTTATAAATACACTCGGAATTGATGTCTTCATCTTGCTGGATCATGGCACCAATTTTACCAATTTGATTATAAGCTCCTCGAGGATATGCAGTGGCAATTCCACCTTGACTTTTAACATCATAAATATCATCAAGTTCTTCAAGTAAGTGCTTCATTTTGTCTGGGACATTTTCTAAATCAAGGCTCCTTTTTCTTTTTAATTCTATATTTTGAGACTTGGAGGCTGGAGCATTATTGATTAAATTATGGAATTCTTCAGCGCTGATGACGTAGTAACCTTCTTTTTCGGCATTTCAAAATTCCCGCTCTCCATCAATTGAAATATGGCCTTCATGTTCATCATCAATGAAGTCGTCATCTAAATCATACAAGTTTTCGTTTACTCCATAAGAACCGCTACTATAGCTTTCTTCACTTCCTTCTAAGTTTCCTTGACTGTTTTTATTTTCATTGCTTTCTCCATGCTCTTCCATCGGTGTGTTCAGTTCAAAGTTCTCATCAATTTTCTCAATTTTGCTTCTGTGCTGTCCAATTTTTTTAGAAAGTGCTAAATACCCATATTTTTCTAGCCTTTCAATCAGCCCTTGCATAAAAACAGGATAAGAGTGAGATTCTTCTGATTCATCTGAAGAAGAATCAGAAATATCATGCTCTTTATTATATTCTTCGACTAAAGATGCATAAGAAACGACTTTATTTTTCGAGAGATCAATTTTGAAAGAATAAGAAAAGGAGTTTTGTGTGCTTGCTTCACTGCCTTCATTAGTTTCTTTCTTTTCAGAGTCCATAGTTTAAGCCAGAATTTTAAATTTACCATTTTAGTTTAGCGCTAAAATGCTTAATCCTTAAAGAATTTAGGAGAAATAAAATGGTGACGTTGACGGAAATTGGACTCCGAGGCGTACCTCCTATGGAGCTGGTAGGACCCATTGCTGATGAAGCTGAAGATGCAGGTCTCATTCCTGTCCTAAGTAGGCCTTCAGTTGTGGGGGAAGCCGTGCCGAAGAGGAAGTTTTATTTCTCCCCCCAAGGTTTTCCCTGTCCCTGCCAGATGGGCTAGACAGGGTTTTCTTACCACATGTTCTTCCTTCATCGGGACCATCGGGCGCACTCAGACAGAAGCGGCTCTGTCCAAAGGAGTTGATCCCTTGGACAGGAGGTTTTGACCAGAAATCAAGATGGTGTCGGGCCTGGGAGTATGTTCACATCAGAACCCGACCTGGAGTCGTCTTTCGAGCTGAGGTGTTGAGGTCCGCTGGTTTCGCCCACGTATGGCCTTTTAAAACTAACTAACTAACTAACTTAAAGAATTTATAAATAAATTGTTTAAAAGTATTTCGTATTTTAATCTGATATGATGAAATCGCTAATTTGATTAAGAAAATTATTAATAATATTAAAAGACACTGATTATTAATAGTATCATCAATTTTAATTTTTTAAATTAATAATAAAGCATTATATGCCTATAATTATAAGCATGGAATATCTAATTGATTTAAATAGAGGATCTCTAAGAACAATTTTTCAGATCCACAGTAGCGAGAAGCAAACTATTTCTTATAATGAATTTATCAAGTTCTGTACTATAGTGAGGATCTATCCAGATATGCTTTCTTCATTCGAACTAAAAAGACTCGTAATGAAAACTGCTAATTCCCACACTTACATTGACAGAAAAGTAGAGCTCGGTTACCTTCAATTTGAAAAGTTATTAGTTCTGATAGCTGAGCATTGCTTTGATGGGATCCAAACAAATGAAAAACTAGGTCTTATGTTCATGCATATAAAGAACCCATGTAAGCAAAACTATCAAGTTGAAATTTTTACAAGCCCTGATAACTATTACCCAAAAGAAGACTTCTCTCCAATCACAATTCAAGCTCTTAGTCACTCAATTGAAAGGCCAGGGATCAAAACTACATCCTTTATTAAATCTAATGGCCATCTTGGTGAATCAACCCATGAGCATATCAATGAATCTTCAATAAAACGAGTCATTAACAAATCAGCATCACTAAAAATTCCATTTAGCAGCATGGGTGCTTTTAAAAATCAAAGCATTTTGAGTCCAAAATTCATTCAACCGACGCCAAAAAATATAAATAAGAAAGTCAAACAACTTTATGCGTTAATTTCTCCACGGAACAGTTCATCAAGAAACATTTCATCTATTTCTCCTAAAAACAAGAATGAGAGCAGCATTTCCATTGACCACTCAGTCATGTCAAATAAATCAAAATCTATAGTAGATTTATCGAAACTTCCAAGTAATCTGCACATCAGCCCAGAAGCAAATTCCATACAAAAATCGAATGACAAAGATAAATTGGATCAGTTAAAGAGCGTCTTTTTAAACTTTAAGTCGAATTTCGAAGAGAAAAAAGCGATAAAAAGACCCTGCATAGGAGCTCAAATGCAAACTTTCATAAAAAATATCCACAAAAGGAGGTATGAGTCTGTAAGATTTATATAGAAAATTGTTTTGAAATTTGCTTTTGAAAACTGGAAACTGAAAGCAATGCTAAAAGGTTAATTATATATTTTAAGAATAATTTTATCAAAATGGAAGAAATGAGCAAAAATCTTTCAAGCTTATCAGAAGCTCTTGATGACATAACAAACCAAATTCAGCCACTTTTTGAGCATGAGTCCCTTTCCCAACTGAATCTCCAACTCACTCCTGAAGATTCTCTCAAAATGAACACAGCAATTGCATATACTTTGCATTCTCTATACTATATCCTTCTAAAAACTCAAGGAAATGATCTCAGCGATCACCCACTAAAAAAAGAAATTGATAGAGTCAAAGAATATGTTTCAAAGGTTCAAAAATTTTTGTCTTCACCCACTCCTCCACCAACGAGGATTGACAAGCAAGAAGCTGCAAGATTAATCACAGCTAACATAGAGGGAAAAGGAAGAGTATTCAAAGGAAGCACTCCTTTACCCCAAGCAGGCCATTTGAAGTGGAAAGAAGATGTTGATAGAATTCTCGGAAAGAAATAATAAACACAGTTTTCTTATATGATTTATTTTCAACTATTTTCTAATTATTGGAATGTTGTAGGTCTTCTATCCATCGTTTCTTCTTTATTTAGGCTATCAATCAGCTCGGTATCTTCTATTGCATTTATTATATTGGCTTCTTTATGCTCTTTAATTTCTCTCAGTTTTTCTAAGTTTGTATTAGCATCGACCAAGTGGGGTTGAGTTTTCAATCTTGCTAATGGATTTTCTGCAGGAGTTGGAACAGTCACTGGGGACAGATTCCAAATCAGCTCAGAATAGTCTTCAATGCTTCTATCGCTTGAAAATTTTGCTGCATGCAGCGCTCCAGAAATGGACATTTTGTTCCATCTGATTTTATCTTTATAGGCAGCATCAGATCTTTCATGAGCTTCGACATATGAGCTAAAATCATGGCATAACAAATAAGTCTCGTTTTTTTCTAACTCCCCCCCGTGAACAAACAAAAAAATATCGTTCGCTCACAGAGTGCGGCTAAATTTTTTTAAAAATAAAAAAAAATTCCAATTTGTAAAAATTGAGAAGTAAAAATTAATTTAATTTACAAAATTTATGTTTTAAATGCAAACTGTTAAATGGATTTTTGCAAAAAATAGGGATTTTTCCAATGGTTTTGTTCATTCACTGAGGGGGAGTAAGTCCTCCAATAAAGATGCCATTTCTTTTGCGTTGCCAAATCGGTCCTCTCTGATAAGAGTGAATATATTCCTTAGTCTTGGATCTATTGGGTGATCCCCTTTTGCTAAACTTTCTCTGATTGATTGAACTTGATCTATTCTGGCTCCAAAAATAAACATATTATCTTCGCCTATTTCTTCTGCAATTTCTACATTTGCGCCGTCCATAGTTCCGATAATAACTCCACCATTCATAACGAACTTCATATTACTTGTTCCAGATGCTTCTGTTCCGGCTGTTGAGATTTGTTCGCTTAAATCAGTTGCTGGGATAATTAATTCTGCAATAGAAACTGAATAATTTGGAATGAAAATCACTTTCATCAAATTTCCGATTTCTGGATCATTGTTTATTACTTCAGCAACACAGTTAATCAGTTTGATGATTTTTTTAGCTGCAATATAGGTCGGCATTGCTTTGCCTGCAAAAATATAAACTTTAGGCTGAATATTGTTTTTCTCCTCAGCTGTCAAATGCTTTAATTCTAGATAATAATAAATAATATAAAGAGCAAGCAATAGCTGTCGTTTATACTCATGAAATCTCTTAATGATGACGTCAAACATAGAGTATGGAGACACTTCAATTTCTGTCTCTTTTAAGATGAATTTAGTTAACCTTACTTTGTTCTGGAACTTTATATCTGACCATTCTTCTTGAAATTTTGAATCGGTGATCTTTGGGTCTAAATTCCTCAATAATGACAAATCTTAGTCTTTGATTAATTTAGTATGCCTTATTCAGCAAGATGATTAGGCCGATATCACCAAACATTCCTACGCCATGCAATTTACATAACGCTGCACACAATCCAAAAATATGATTTCCACATTCGAGCTAAAATATACTTGCAGGTGCGTTACCTCGCCTACGCTTAACTCCTAAACATACTTTATCTAAAGGTCTCCATCTGAATAGAATATCCTATGCCTTCTAGAATCCAGGATCGGCTATCCTCGACGATGCGTTAGAGGATTCACGGTATTGCTGGATAAAGATCCACTCAAATCCCATACATATAAATACACAAAGGAATTCCAAGTATAATTGAAGAGAACTAATTCCAAGCATAGGCATTTTATTATTATCCTCTAATGCTAAATCAGCTAATCAATCACTTCCATCTAAGTATTTATTATAAATATCTGCTAAGCCGTTATTTGCACAATGAATTCACCTTCTTGGGGAAACTCCATTTGTAATGTTGATAATCTTATGCGGAAAATACTCATTAAAATCTTTAAAAACTAGATTCTTTAAAAGATTTGTGTGAATTTGTGAAACTCCATTGATTTTATGGCAAGTTAAGTTGCAAAGATTAGCCATTCTTATTTTTTTATGTTCACCTTCTTTAATAAGTGACAAAGCTTACAGTAAATGGTTTTTTCTATCTTCACTTTCATTTTCATATCTCTTTTGGATTTCTTGCATGAATTGAAAGTTAATGCTATAAATAATTTCTAAATGTCTTGGAAAAAGCTTTTGAAATAATTCTATTGGCCACTTCTCCATTGCCTCAGGAAAAATGGTATGGTTAGTATATGCGAAAACTTTCTGAACCAATTTTCAGCTGTATATTGGATCTAAGTCATAGAGGTCAATCAGAATTCTCAGCATTTCTGGTATCGCTAAAGTTGGGTGTGTGTCGTTAAGCTGAATGGCAACTTTACTAGGTAACTCATCCCACTTGTGACCTTTCTTCAAAAATCTTCTTATAACATCTTGTATAGTTGCAGAGCAGAAGAAATACTGCTGCCTCAGTCTCAGCTCTTTTCCTGAATATGTTAAATCATTTGGATATAGCACAGAAGTAATTAGCTCCGCTTCTTGCCTAGACTTAACGGCTTCAAAATAGTCCCCTGTATTAAAAGAAGAAAAATCAAATTCATTTGCAGGCCTAGATCTCCATAGCCTTAGATTGATAGTGTTAAACGTTCTATAACCAGAAATTGGTGTATCATAGGCCATTGCGATGATATTTTCAGCTGGGATTCAGTTTCTTTTTTCCCTTCCTCCTTCATAGACAGACTCGACATGGCCTCCGAAATAAATATCGTATGCTACATCAGATCTTTCAATTTCCCAAGGATTTTGCTGAATAAGCCAATAGTCTGGAAGCTCAACTTGGTAGCCTTTGATGATTTTTTGCCTGAACATTCCATAATCATAACGAATTCCATATCCTCAGCCAGGATATTCAAGAGTGGCCAGCGAGTCTAAATAGCAAGCTGCAAGCCTTCCAAGGCCTCCATTTCCTAAGGCAGGGTTGATTTCTTCTTCATAGAGGTCTTCTAGCTTAAATCCAAGATCTGATAAAGCTTCCTTATAGTCTTTTTCCAAATCAATATTGTACAAATTATTTTTGAGAAGGCGGCCTAAAAGATACTCGAGAGATATATAATAAACTCTTTTATTGTCAGAAGCTGTGAAGATCTGTTGAGAGTCATTTCAACTCTCAATAAGCCGATCTCTTACAGAAAATGCTGTGGCTCGATAGCATGATAAATTATCAAAGTTAAACCTTGTTCTAGCAAGAGTATACTCAACATGGGAAACAATGGACTTTTGAATTGTTATTAAATCTGAGTCTAAGTATTCAGCCATGAGTTTTCATAACTTGTCTGTTCTTTCTTCGCCTTTTAGCTGGCCATGGAATTCCGGGCGAAATTGCTTTTCCTTTAAAAAGACTCTTGAGCTTTTTCTATGAATGGATCTTCTTGGAGATTTCTGTTCTTCTTCCATTTAATGGCTATTAATTTTTATCATATTAATATCCATTAATTGTCAAATCAATAGTAATTGAAGGCTATTTTAATAGTTTTATCTTTTCCCATGATTGCGAAAACAATTTAACGATTTAATCCTTAAGCTGCTAATATTTCTTTTATTGGATGGAACCTAAGACTCTCATTTCAAGATGAAAAAGTTGGATGGATGTTTTTATCGGAACATTTTGATGGTGTGGCAATTACTAAATCTAATTTTGATTTAACATTTTCTTTGAAAGTTAAAAGGTTTTTTATCATACTAAAATCATTTCGAATAATAAAATTTTCTCCAGCAGCTGTCACGTTTAAAACACTCCGATCAAATAGCATGTAACCAAAAAAGTTGGATATGCTTTTTTAGAGTTCCCAATTTATGCTCGAGGATTATTTTGCTATAATGATAAGCAATAAAAGAAAATTTATTGCTCTTTTAGCGTAAAAATTTTTAAACAACTCGATTTGAAAAATATAAAATCTAGTTCTCCCTTCTGTGGGAGAGCAAAATCATTGGACAATAATTATATTTTTTGGTAAGAGCTAACAAATATTTTTTAATATAATCATCTCTATGAAAAAATATTTTGATACATAAGCGACATTATTATAACAAAATATCTATAATTCTGTTTAAATTTAACCGAATTGAATTTTAAAACATATATTTTACAAATTAAACTAATATTTACTTTTAAAATTGTTGAATATTTTTTTTTGAATTTTGAAAAAAAATTATCCCAAAGTGTCCGAAAAAAATGTAATTTCCGCTAACGGAGGAGGGGAGTGAAGAGTCCCATAAATAAAATGTTAAAAAATAATCATATATTTAAACAGCAAGAAGAAGTTAAATTGGCACAATGCCAAAGAGATACTTCATTGATTGAAAAACAATGCCATTGGCCTAAATTACCTCTCTTGACGCAATTGCCACAATTTTGCAAAAATACCAAGGTTTATTATTTATTGAAAAACTTCACTTTTCATAATTTAAAACTCTAAAGAATACACAATGAGGAAAACAGCAATATGAATGCTCTGAATTATTTTTGATTTGAAAGGATCAGAATCTATTCAAAAACACCACAGCGTCGCAAAATCTGCAGACTCTTCAATGCTGCCGCTCCAAGCTGAAATCAGCTACTTGTAGCTTACAGCAATTGATTGAAATTATTGTACTAATAATACAGCGCAGAGCAGGCACTATCGCCTCTAAGCTTTTGATTTTAAAGATTCTTCGTCTATAGAATATGCAGCAATCGATGCTTCTCTTGAGATCTATAATTAGATGTTATTTAATAAAATAAATTAAACAAGATTGAGATTATATTTAGACTGCATTTGAACATAAAAATCTTTTAGTTGGGAGCCATCAGGAAGCTGTGAAAATTGTGATAAAATTCTTCCAGAATGCAGCCTTAGATTTACGTCGGCTCCGAAAAAATAAAGATCTCTCCAAGTGAAAAGAAGCCCAAAAAGCATAGGATATCGAATAAGTCGTCTTGGAAATTTAAAAAGCAGTGGCCCTACAAATGATAAAAAGATATAGGAAAATACAGCTCCTCTTCCACCCATATATACCAAATAGCCCATATGGTCTATGATTTCTTCCTTCATTTCTTTATCTCTATTTGCTACCCTAGCTTTATTTAACTCTTCACTTATATCTTCAATAAGCATCTTTTTCTGCTTCCAGTTCATGATATTATAATGAATATAAATAAGCAAATGATAAAATTTTCATATTTATTTCTCACAGATAGCTAAATTTTTAATTTTACTTTTATTTAAAAACTAAATACATAGATATTATATCTAATCTCAGCTATGCTTCTGTTTTGGCTCTATAAGGGGAGCTATTTCTACTACCACTACTCACTGAACTATCAGAAACCTTTGCGGATTGTATTATTTGCATAGATGACACCTCATTTTCATTTGGAGCATTATTGCCTTCTTGAACCTCTATTTCATCATCTTCTTTTTCAACCAGCCCTTTTGCTTCTCTCCTTTTAAACCTAAATCTAATTAGGCTATGCCTTTTAAGTCCCCACTCCCTGATTATCATGACTTTCACAGTGACCGCTGTTCGGTTGCCTTAAGCAAAGACTTTCGAAGCCTACGTTTCTCGGTAGTGCGCCATTTATGTATATTTCTCTCCTTTTTAATATCAAATCATAAGTTGTAATTCCATGGCGGATGAGATATACATGAAATCCTATCAAATATGCATTTGAAATAAAAATCAAGAAACTTAAAATCATCATTGACCAAACAATTACCAAGATGACAACATGAGCGTTTTTTCCATAAACGTCTTCGCATTTATCCCGAAAATCACTAGAATCATCAATTCCTAACTCTTCTATCCCATTTACAAGCTAGAAAACCATTAAAAAAATACCTATTCTAAAATTAGACCCTTTAAGATAATTTTTAATATAATTTTTTCGGTATAAATATATTGAAATATAATTAATAACTGTTTTAATGAGATATAGATTAATTCTAGTAAATAGTTTGCATTCTAGAATATAAAATTAGATTTTTCTTTTTTTAACATTCGTATATATTTTTAAAAAAAAATAATCCCCCTTTAATAGCGGGCAAGGTATTTTTGCTCTTTCTTAAAAGAAGAGAGCAAATGAATTTCATAAGCACAGCAAATAATAAAACACGCTTGGGTGATCTCTACAATCCAAATTAAAAGAAAAAATATTGAATAATTCTTGCGGCCCACACAGTTATTTACTCATTTGCAATGGTGGTCAAATTTGTCTGTGCATCTATTGCATCTCATACAATGCTTACTATCAGCACTTACTGGGGAGCTGCAGAGTGAGCAATAGTTTGTATATGATTTCCTAAATTCTTCTCTAAGTTAGAATTACTTTGCTTTTTGGGCTTCTAAGTACTCTAAGACCATTGGATCAGTTGGATCAGAGACTGTTAATATGAATCCTAAAATTATTGTAAAAATTTGCAAAATTCCATATATGATTGACATGGGAATTTGCGCATTCATTTCTTGGACTGGAATTATCAAGGCAAAGAAAACGAAAATCGTAGTTAACGTAATAATCCAACTTGTAAGCTGATATGGGTGATATGGGAGCTGAAGACCAGTGCTTTTCACTTTACGCTCTGACTGCTCTTTATCTTTCATTTTTGATAATTTTTTTCCTAAGACTCGTGATGATGAGATTAAATAATGAAATGATGCTGTGTGAAATAAGTTTTCTCAGAGAAGTTTGAGGCATAAACAGAAGTATAATTAATTTAGTATTGGGGTTACCAGTTAATTTTTATGAAATATCCAGTAAAGCTACAATGAATCTAGCTGCCAAATCCATGAAGCTATAGTAATCATTTTCTAACAAAGTAATAAATTTTAAGTTAAGTGAATATGAAAAATTTATAGATAAATGACAATATTGAGAGATTAGTGAATTATTTAGAAGGTAATTCCATTCATATCATAAATCACAGCCATAATAGAACTTTGCTCATAATGATCTATGATAAGAATATTCCCTACTTGATAATGCTCATGCTTCAAGCTTTTCCAAAACTCTGGTAAGAAAGGATTCCCTAAGTCGGCCAGCTGAATCAGAGTATGTGGCTTCAAGAATTTGATAGAATCCAAAATTGTTTGAGCATTAGGTGTTAAAGTCCAAGAAACTTTGAAAATTTGATTAGGCCAAGTGCTGCTCATATACTGTTGCACAGTATCTTTATTGAATTTAATCATCTTCCTAATAATTGGAGAATTAGCATATGTATTATAAATTGTGTCTCCAGGCCATATAGGAGCTGAATCCTCCTCTGACATAGTGACAATAACTGTTTTCCCACTTTCTATCATATCATTTATCGTGAAATTGAAACTTAAATTTACAGGATAAATAAATTCCCCAAAATATTCAATAATCATGGCTCTGAGATCCCTAATATTTTGATGAGAAGGAAATCCGCTGAAGTGAGAAACTTCAAGGACCAATATTTCATTTTTATATTCTTCCATGAATTTAGAAATATTTCCAAAAAGTTCAGTTATTGGAGAACCACAGAGGTAATGAAAAGTGACCCATTGATTTGTTGTATTGTCCCATCCTGAACGAATATCAAGATATCTTATTCCTCCCAAAAGCTGCTGGTAGAGATTTTGATCTTGGGCTAGTGCAAAATTTCTTGTTACCCATGTTTCATTTTTACCTATTTTTTGGCCAACTGCAGCAGCTTCATTTGGCCAGTCTGAGCCTGCGTCTGGCATCCAAACATCTCCCAGCCAATAAGCGCCACTATCATGAGTTCCTGGAAGCGTGATCTCTTTAAGTGTTTTTTGGCCTATAAATTCAAGAGAGTCACTCATTCACGAGGCTGGATTAATTCGCCCTGCTGGAACTTTGGATAAAACATATGAAATCGCAGTTAAAGCAAATATAATTAAGACCTGAAAGTTCATATATGAAACCACTATTATTATCAGAATTATTTCCCTTCATAATTAGATTGCAATTTTGATATTTTAATTTAAATGGAAAATATAAGAGCAATAATTTATTTCACACTCTAAATTAGGCATCGGCTTGGAGAATTATTGTAGATTTGAAACATTAGAACAAGCAATGTAATTTTTTGGAAAAATTTTTGATAAACAAAAATGTATTTTGAGGCACAACAGACAAATGATGAAAGGGAATTAAAAGATACCGAGGAAAAAGATGCAAAAGATCTGTTGACCATGAATAAAAGTACTACTCATCAAATATTTAAAAGCCAAGAAATAAGAACATCAACCAAAGTTATTACAAAATCTTGATCAAAATCGAGCGGAGAAAAATCTGAAATATCAGACTATAGAAACAGTAATTATATAATTAATAGAAGATCAAGACAAGGGATTATGGAGGCGAATAAAATTATTAAGAATGAAGCTGAAATACAAACCGATGAAAGATATTTGAAGGTATTGAAGGGAATACATTGCTTTTTTTACATAATAGAATTTAAAATGAAAGAGAGTTTAAAAGAGTGCTTTCTTAGTATGTGCAAGACTAATAGTATGAATCAAATATATCATGCTTTGCTTTTAATTGCAGTTAAGCTTAAATTACTTCTAAATAGAAGTTTTATGGGATGGAAAATGCAATGAATTGCTGAGAAAACTAGAAATCTACAGAAATCAACACTCTCATTAGAAAATTTGAATATAAACCAAATTTGCATCAATAAGTTATTTCTAGAAAAAAGTGAGAATGAGACTCAAACTAGCACATCCTTTATCAATATAATCAAATGATTAAATGCAATGGTGCATATACTGGAATTTAATAAAAAAATAAGCTTGATTGTAGGATTTTCAAAAATTTCCCAATTCAACTTGAAATCTTTAAAATTAAGGGCTATAAGGATAATAGTTCGTTTCCCAATGCACGCATTAAAGCAGGCATTTTGCAATTGATCATTATTTAGCATTAGAGGAAGTGAAAAAGAAAGAAAAATATCAAATCTCCAAATAGAATCTTTGTCTGAGCTAACAAATAATTTTTATAGAGCAGCAGAGATTGAAAGAGAAGATATTGAAATACAGACAGATATGAACTATTTTGACTCTATACGTTCAATTCAGTGCTTATTTTGTATTTTTGATTACAAGAGAAAATTAATCTTAAAAGATAGCTTTTGCTCTATTGAAAATGCTAGTGACTTTTCTTCCTTCAGAAAATCTTTAAGAAGGTTGAATAGTAAATTAAAAACGGTTCTATCTCATGCATTCTTGAAATGGAAAGTAAAATGTGATTGCAAATTCTATGTAAACATGAAAATTGATATTCTCAATAGAGAGCAAGTTGAAAGAGAATTGATATGTAAAGGATTTCTCATATTATTTAAATTTGAGTACAAATACAAAATTTTTGCATTTTCTACGATTCGAAGGGGATGCTTGATAAAAAAGCACGATTCTGAAGTTGAGTGTGTATCAAACCAGTTTAAATTACATAAAGTTGACTCTGCAGCTAGCCAAATATATCGGCTAATGAAAAAGATTAGTTACATAAATACTCAAACCTGTTTTAGAATATGAAAGGACTGTATATCTGCACTAAAAATTCTATCATTAGATTTAGAACTTTCTTGTGAGAGAGCCAAAAAAGCATGCTTATTTTTTCTTTATATCCAAAGTAAATTGAAAAAGCAATATATGTGAAAATATTTTTATAAACTCAAACTCAACGCTATAAAATTTTCCCAACAAGTCTGTCTAAACAAACTTGTTGAGAAAGAAAAATTAATTTCAGCTACAAAAATTGCAAAGTTGCTATATTTGCTTCATTTTAAAAGTAATCAAAAAATATTCTATAATTTGAAAATCTTTAATTTACAAAAAGCATATTGAATAGCTAAAAGAAAATCAAAGGCAAAATTTTTATTTTCTCTTTGCAAGCAAAAATGGCTTATAAAGATGCAGGCTTCACTTTTATTATGAAAAATAAATTGAAAAACTCATCAATTATATTCAATTCGTGATTTATTAAATGATATTAAATCAAAAAAGATTGAACTGAACCAATCAATTACAAATGAAAGAAAGGAGCTCGATGAACTAGACAAGAAAATTATATTTCAGCAAGAAATTATCAAAGGCCTCTTAAATGAGCGCGATGAAGTGGATCAGTTTAGTGAAAGCAGTCAGTCTCAAGACACAACTCGTTGCAATGACAGTTCAGCTTTTACTCCTGTGAAATCTTCATGTTCCTATAATAATCTTACTTCTCCCTCAATAACTCCTATCCCTAAATCCATTTCTCGATCACCATTGATCTCCGATTTTTCTCTTAAAACACAAACACATACAGATAAATCTCCCGCTAAAAAGGCTCTTCACATACAGTACAAATCAACTAATAATTCCTATGGGTTACTTATGGCTCTAGTTGTTTTTATTCCCATCATAATTTGCATTTTTATGTTATTATCTTAACTAGAATATAAATTTGTTAATATTAGGCTTTCTTTCTCCACAATAATCCTTCTAATCTTGCGCAAGGCATTTCAACAAATAAGAAGAGGAATAATGCAAATGCCCATGATGCAGCAGCTAGAAAGATAAAATCTTTGAAACAATATATTCCGCTTAGGATTGCAGAGCCTTCTGAGTTACCATAAAAGGCTGTGAGCAAGCCAATGTGCCCTAGAAATACTGCGAAGCTGAGTTTTCCTAAGGGTTCCCAGAAGCTAAGTGATAATATCTTTGCAACGAATCTGAGCCTTCCAAAAAGAAGAGGCAATAAAATCATAGCCAACCCAATAGTATATCCTAGTCTGCATGAGCCTTGAAATACAGCATTTTCTCCATCAGTTCAAATATAGCTGTTTGTTATGTCATTATATACTTGCTTTTGAATCAAAATAAAGAATAAAACTGTGATCCATCCCATTAAAAAGCTAATGATTGCGCCGAACTTTGTATCTCTGATAATTTTGATGATACCATTGCAAAAAGGATCCGGATAAGTGTCTTCTTCTTTAGTCACATAATTTTTGTAATATCTTAAATATATAAACCCAATCCATACTCCTAAAAAGTAAGGTAAAAATCGTATGTATGGCTTGGTGTAGTACCAGTAAAACCAGAGGTCAACATTCATTTTGGGGTCTGCAACATTCACATAGAAGTGATTTTCTGCAGCTAGAGAAATTCCAATTGCTAGTCCAGCTATAACCAGAAGGAGATTAATTACCCATGCTAGCCATTTTGCAGCATTGTAATATAATATAATAAGCAGTTGACCAAGCCAGAAAAATTGCATGTCATTAGCTAAGTACCATCCAACTCCAAAGCATCCATTGCCTTTGCCATTTGGAATAAAGTTATTTAAAAAAAGAAAATTTGTTCACCAATATGAGTCGCATTGGTTGTTAAGTCTTGCTGTAGTAGACCATAATGGGCCATTTCCTAATGATATAATCACGAAATTGTAAAAAATCATTAAGAATCCATAAAGAGGAATTATTCTTAAATACCGATGGATATTTAAATATTTCCATCCGCCAACGCCCAAATGTCCTCTTTTAGCTTCTAAAGTCTTTAATATTAAATATCCTGTAAGAAGTCCTCCAATAAAGAAAAAGGAATCAACTGAATAGTAGCCTCCATACATTATTGCCACCCAGAGCTGAGACGCAATATCTGGAGACTCCATCAGATTTGTAATCACTTTAAAGTGGTAAAAAGTAAAAGCATGCCCAACGATAACCCAATTGATCATAAAAAATCTTAAAGAATCCAGTATAGATAAGTTATCACCCTTTTTTAAAACTCTTTGTTTTACCAAGCGTGCATAATTTGAAGATAAAGAGCAACAATTGAGTATTACGTTATATGTCGATTGTCTTTCATTTTTATCACTTAACTTGTCATTAGAACTTTTAGATAGATAGCTTGCAGCAATACAAAATCCTACCCATGCTATAAGAAAAGTAAGAGTTAACCAACCAGCTATGCTAACTTCCCCTGCATAAGTGAGGAAAACAGCTGGATAAATCCCTACGTGAGTGAGTAAAAGTTTTAATTATATAAGTAATAAATCTTGAGCTAATTCTGTTAATTTTAAGCACAAAGCTTCGAAAACTTAAATTTTAAAAATTTTTTTGTTGAATTGAGGTTTTTTAAATTTTAAAGAATTTTACTTTCAAATCTATATATAAATTTATTAAAAAAAATCCCCGCAGTGAGTGAGCAAACAATTTTGCTCATTCACAGAAGGGGAGTAAGAGGATTATCAAATCCAGACTGCACAGAGAGCTCAAAATCACTATTTTCAGGGTTATAATTCAATAATGAGAATACCGCTTGCTCAGTTTGGCTTTGTGAGCATTCTTGAGGGACACATAGCCCCATGTATATTCTTCCTTGTGTTTGATGACGTAATAGAAAATAATTATTGTTTTGCCTAAGACAACTTCTATAGTGGCCTAAATCATTCAATCCTTTCCCGTTAAATAAAAACATTTCAACACTGTGAGGATAGTTATTCTTATTAAAAAGAGTAAGCATTGTCTGGTTAAATCTCTCTTCAATTGCTTCCATGCATTTTTGATTTGCCAAGCTGACTATTATTCATGCAAGCAAAAGAGCACCTTTCATTTATTGTTAAATTTTATGGAATGAAAATATCATAAATCATTATTTTTAGACTATTATTTTGCCTATTTTTCAATTCCTCTACACATAAAAATGCATATATATATAAAATGGAAAGTCAAGTCTTAACTGTTAATGTGCAATTGATATATTGAAAATAAGCTTTTTATTTTATCGTATTTGATGGATTCAAAAGGGTGGAGCAAAGACAAATCTGCCTTGATTCAGCATTAAGGATTGCATTTTTGAGACCTTTGATGAAAAAAATCGATTAATATGATTATTTTGAGGATGAGGAATAAGGATTTATGGGATTGGAAAGAATGAAATTCTGGAGATCGATTTTTAAATCCTGGAGGAACTAGGATATAAAAAGAGAGAGCCAAGAAGGACACTGGCGATGCTTAAAGCAATTTTGAGATGCTATTGTGTTTTTACTTGCAGAGTGGGAAGATGAAGATGACCTAGGTGAAGAGCTTGAAATAGAGAGAGATGAGGAGGACGAGATAGAAGAAGATGATAGAAGGCAGATGGAGAAGAGAGATAATAGAGAAAATCAGGTTTGGGCAGAAAAAGCAAGGTGGAGATGTGCTGGATAGGGAGAGTTAATTTCCGCACAATAAGCCAGAGCAGCACTAGCAGTATTAATTTGGAAGTTAAAAAATCATAAGAAGCATCAGATAAAGCAACAAAAGAAATAGAAAAAAGCCAACAGATAACCACAACACAAATGCCACATCAGAAAATTTGAGAGAAAAACTATTAGCAAAAACAGATGGCAAGCCAATAAGAAGATTATAGAAACCCAGTAGAAAGATTTCATGGAGGAACTGCAAAAGAAGGAGAAGGGGGGCGATGAAGATAAGGAAGGAAGAAATCACTAGTCAGAAAAAAACTAGAGCTAGAGTGTATAAAAAAAATAGCGTAAAGATTTGATAGACTTTTGAAACGTGATGCTCGGTGTGAAGATGAAGGACTCAAGCAGACGAAATAAAGTGGATAAGCAAATCAAGGTATTCCATGCAAGGCGACTATTAAGAACCCATAAGGCTCCAATCAAGACATTCCATAAACAGATTTTGAGGCATAAGGGAAAAGAGGAGAAAGAAGGAGATAAGACAAGGGAGAGATAAAAGAGTAGAATAGGATGAAAAAGAGAAAAATATTTGCTCCTTCCTTAAAGAGCCATAAGGCTTGCTGTAATGCGTGAGCATTGTATAAGATAATATATTTTGAAAATAAGAGAATTGCAATGATACTTTCTTAGATAAAATATTGTGTCATAGAGCAATTGAAGGAGAAACTTGCTTTTAATGCAACATAGCAAGCGAATTTAAAATATGTTGATAGGAAGAAGCTTTAAATGCAATTTAACAATTGAAAATTCTTTGCTGCCAAAATTCTATAATCAGACTTCTCGATGAACATTGATTGATGGCAATCTAGGAAGCCAAAAGCCAAGCACAAATGGGACGTTGCTTTTTTTGAAGGATGGCTTTAAAATTTATAATGAAACGATTTCAAAGCCAATCATTGTTATTTAGGCAATGCTGATATGAGGGTCATAAATGAAGTTTTGTCAGTCTTTCTATTCTAGATATCAAAACTTATAGCTTATAGTGATACGCACTAATATGCATTTCCTATAAGTACAAAATATAATCCGATTCATATTGTTTTAAAAATTGCAATCCTTTCTTTTTTTATGGCTGTTAAAACTTCTTCAAAGTGCATTTTTTACTATTTTTTAAGTTTCATTTCTTCAGCCTAACTCCTGTTCGTGAGAGAACAAAAAATTTTTTGGAGTTAATTTTATTTTTTTAAAAAATTTATATATGAATTTTATAGTAAAACATTTTTTCGAATTTAAAAATATCCGAAGTGGAAAACAAATATTTATCAAATTTTAGAATTTATATATTTAAAATGCAATTTGTTTTAAATTAAACAGAATTAGCTCGAGATTTCATTATAGTAATTATCGCTTATTTATCATTATTCTTTTCCATAAAAAATTTTTATTCACTCACGAAGGGTGGGTGGGTTTTTACCCAAAAAATAGGGATTTTGATTTTTCAATGGTTTTGTTTACTCATAGAGGGGAGTAAGCAAAATATAACTTTATTATTCAATATGGAATCAGAAAAGTTTTCAAATCTCTCCAACCCTGAAGTTCTGTTAGGATTAAAAAGTCAGCATTCATCCTCCAAAATGAGTGAATCTTCTGAGGAAGCCCAAATCAAGCCCCAATATTTAGATAAGCAATGGCAATGGGCATATCCTACGGTTGAAGGTATTCCTCCAAGCCCTCGTGGAGGTCATACAGCTACTTTAGTAGGCGCCTCATTAGTGATTTTCGGAGGACACTATTATGCAGGGAAAAAAGAAGGATTTGTCTACCTCAATGATACAATTGTATTAGATGTCAATGATAACCGCTGGTATAGGCCTCGAATAAACGGGACTCCTCCAGCTCCTCGGTATGGCCACACCTCAGTTCTGGCTGGCTCTCGAGTGGTTTTATTTGGAGGAAGAGGTGCAAATTCAGCTCATTTTAGGGACCTTCATGCCTTGGACCCAGTTACTATGACATGGTATCAAGGCCCTGAAGGTGGAAATGCTCCAGGTGGACGACTTGACCATTCTGCTAATTTAGTAGGTTCTAAAATGTTTATATTTGGAGGGTGGAATCAAGATATTTTTTATAATGATTTACATGTGCTGGATCTTGCATTAATGGCTTGGACCCAACCAGAAACATCAGGACCTTCCCCATCTCCTAGAATGGGGCATGTTTCTGTTGTGGTTGGAACAAATATTGTGATTCAAGGAGGATTTTATTTTGACCCTAAAAAGCACGAAGATGGAGGTCTGAGGATGGGAAGTATGTTGAAGGAATGCTATTTAAATGATCTTAGGGTGCTTGATACAGAAACCCTAGTATGAAGCAGACTCAGAGTGTCGGGAACTCCACCTTATCCATGCTATGGCCATACCATGGATATTTCTGGGTCTGATATTATTGTTTTTGGAGGATATGGAGCTTTTCAGAAAGGGACAGAAACAAAGTGCGATTATTTTGTGGATTTGAATACAGACACAATGACTTGGAATAGAGGAAATTATATTGGAACCCCTCCCCCTCCAAGGCATGGACACACTTCGACACCAATTGGTCCACATGTTTTAATATTTGGAGGGTGGGAATCGACAAAAGCAATGAATGATGTGGTTGTGATAAGAGAAATATCTGATGCAAAAGATGCAAAATAAGTAATATTTAAAACTTTATTCAAAATTTCAATTATTTTAAAGTATTGAAAAAATCAGTTTGCTGGCAAATTTTCAATTAAAAAATAGGCTTTAAAATAGTGCCTTCATAATTAAATAAATTTTTTAGCAATCTAGCTTTAATGCTATTTGTCATAAGCTAATTGTCTGTTTTCACATTCATGAGATGATATGAATAATTTCACTTGAGTGACTGTTAAAAATGGCAATAAATAATACTCTATAATGACTTCTCATCCATTGCAGTTAATTGAGCAGCTAGGAAGATTAAGAAATTCTCAAAACAACGAGAATAAAACGAATCCCTCCATAGCAAAGCAAGCACAAAATGACTTTGGCCTAAATGAATTGATGAAAAGCTTGTCGAATGAAAAAAATCCAGAGAAAAATAACAAATATCTTGAAATACCAAATCCCAAAGAAAACAATAAAATTTGGCAAGAATTAATAAAATCAACTGGCTTGAAATCAGAATCACAACCTAAGGATTTCATTTCTCCAAATAAAGAAACTCTAGCTTATTCTAAAGCAGATGAAGCAAGGTCTATGACCCCTACACCTATGAAATATGACCAAACGCCACCAAAGTTGCCAGAAAGGTCTATTAAATCAAAAAGCAAATCCCCAATAAGAACTATCGATTTTGTCCCTTCTATTTCTGAAAAATCTAAAATCCTAGCAAGTAGGCATGGAAAAACTCAAGAAAGGCTGCTAAATCATACTATAAAAACCATTACAATAAGGCCAAATAATGCAAGTCCATGCCAGTTCAAGCCTAAGCTTAACCCAAACTCTGTTAAAATGGACAAGGCGATCCATAAATCTAAACACGAAAGATGGGAAACCTTGTACAAGCTCGATTCCCAAAAGAAAGAAAAATGAGAAAAAATAAGAAAAAATGCTCAGGATATTGCTGATGCTATTGAAGAGAAAGAGTGCACATTTGCTCCAAGTATTAGCTGCTCTTCAATAAAAACCCCAAAAACTAAAAAAACATGGGATAGGCTGCATAATTGACAAAAATTCAAAGATCAAAAATTAGAAAAAATAAGGGAAGAAAAGAAAGACAAAGAACTACTTGGGTGCACGTTTACACCAAAAATAAGGGATCTTTCACCTTCTTATGAAGATGACACATTATCAAGAATAAAAGGAATAGGGAGATATTTCGAGCGACAAGCTCAATCCAAGGCATCAAAAGTTGGAGTTTCATTTGACTCAGGGAACTATGAATCTACCTTTTATACTCACAGAGATTTGTCTCCGAGCGAATACACTCAAGCTATAGGAACCCTCCGTGGCGAGCTTCGCTCTATTCTGATGTAATTCATTTTATTACTAATATATTTTTCTGTTATGGATAATAATTCTCAAACATTCTTCTCCAGTTTCTTTGCTGGTAAGAAGCCCAAATGTGCTCACTGCCAAGAAGAAGGCAGCCTTATTTGTTTCTGATGCAAAACTGATATATGTGAATATCATGGCTGCAAAAGATACATTAAAAGGAAAAATGTTGCTATTTGCAATCATTGTTCTTATTCTGATCTTTATAATTCGATAACAGAAAAATTTGAGCTAATGAAGTCTGAGATTTGCGGTGACTTGAAAAAGATAAATAAGGAAAATATGCAGCTTAAAAAAGAAATAGAAATAAATGGCAAATTGTGCCAGTCATTGAAGGAAAAAGCGGATATGAATGAGTATGTGAATAATGAAACGTCTAGAAAATTAATGGAAACTATAAGAGTTAATGAGTTGGTGATTAGTGGATCTAATCAAACATTTAGAAGCCTTGCAGAATCACTTGAAAGGCAAAAGCAATGCAATTTGAAATACAAAGAGAAAATAAACTGCACAAATAATGCAATAGAAATGGTGGAAAGTGAAATCAAAGTGATATCTGAACAGAAGCAGCAAGCTGCTATGCATGTCAATACACTTAGTAAGATATTGAGCTCAAGTGGCCCTGCTGAATCGATTGCTAGAATTCTTTGTGAAAAATGCAAAAAAAGATTCTTTGGTTCTGCAAATCTTGCGAGGCTTTCTTTTTCAGAATCAATTGATAAAAATGACCAAAAAGCGTCATGCGTAAGTTGCTCCTTACTATAAATGCCATGTAATTTATTCTATTTATATCGACTGAATTTATTTCATATATCTTGCACGAAACGGCCCTAGTTGGCTCGTCCTTCTTTCCTTTTGCACTTTTCTGTCAAGAGCATCTCTTAACTGATTGACTTTTTGTATTGTCTTCATATTTCCCTCTTTCTGCTCAGCCATAGCTTTGAGGTTCTGCAAGCTTTCTTTATAATGGCTTGTTTCTTCTGAAAATTCACTACAGACAGCTCTTGCCAGCTCACTGCTCATTTGTGTTTTACATGTTACATGACATAAGAATTCTTCTTTTGAGCCACAATCTCCTACAGATCTATTTGAATCTGTGGACTCTTCATTACTACTTATACTATATGCAGATGGAAATGATGAGCTCCTTTCTGCATCATTTCCAATGGACTTAATTTTATAAACACTACGTTTACATTCTACTCTTTTGTATCCAAGCCTATTGTTTATCAGTGGAGTTTTCACTGAAGAATATTCAACATAAGTTGTTTCGCCTTCTATTCGGATTGTGCATACAGTGGCTAAATCAACTGGCTTGCCTTTTTCGCTAGGGAAAGAAAACCAGACTAAATAATGCTTCAAAAATTCGTATTCTTTGACAATTTCGTAGCCAGAAATATAAGTGTCTCATTTTAGTCTTAGTTCTGTATCAAGTATCAGGTTGAGGATTTTTTCGACTGAGGACTCAATAAAAATTGAGCTGCGGGTTTCAAAACAGTCTTCGGCAGATCTGAAACAGATCATCATGTTTCCGGGATAATTATTTGTGTTTAAGCATCTTCAATCACTTTTATCTTTTTTTGTTTGAATTTGTGCTGGAATTAATTCTTGGCTCGGGATTAATTCTTGACTTTGCCAGGTGGAATAAACCTGAAAAGCTTCATCGCTGTTGTTGAGGATGTATTTGAACATGTGGCTAGAAGAATTTCTAGCCATGCACTCGTCTATGATTTTACAAATTTGAAAAGCTTGCTCTGCTGAATCACCTTGAAAGACCTTTAATAAATGTAGGTCTAAATTCATTGATTTTAAATGCTCTTGATCTAATTTTACTAATGCTTCTTGGATGTCAGTATAAAATCTATAGCGATCTCTGCTTAGTAGTTTGCTTAGACTGTCCAAAGCTTTTGAGGCAACAACCAAAGTGCCACAAAGAGGAATCAAATGATTCAGAAGCATTCAGATTGCGTTCTTTGATAATTCTTCTCTGATTTCGAAAAATTCGTTATCAAATTTTTGAACTGCTTTCGTACTATTTTTGTCTGATTTGTTTAATCTTCGAATGAATGCTGCAACACAACGGTCAGCAGAACTCATTTTGCATTCTTTTTGCCTTTGAGATAAAATAGCCTCTCTTTTCTGATCAGGAATTTCCAAAAACTGTAATAAAATATCTACTGCTGAGTCTAGCTGTGAAACTTCGTTTATTCATAAATTTAACATTTCTCTACGACGCTCAATGCATAAAGGTGTTTTATTGTGAAGTAAGCTTTTCTTAGGGAACCCTGGAATACATATATGAATAAGACACTTAATCTGAATATATTGTACCTGTTCTTTTAGAGCTGAGAATTGCCGATATCGCCTATAAATAACGTGTGTATAAGAGTGAAATTTAGCATGGATTTCATACTCCTGATTAGAGCTTACTGTAAAGACTTTTTGAAATAATTGCTTTGATTCTTGGCTGCGAGTTCTTGGGATTGAAATAGAAAAACAACCATCACTCAAATCCATATTAATTTATTTATATATGTGCATCTAGAATTATTGTTAAATACGTTAAGAGCATCATAGCAAGTTGCTGCATTCTCAAATTTCATCTTAATTCCATTCAGCAAAACTGACACAAAGAATTATCCGTTTGCAGCTTTTTAAGATTTTTAATTATTTTTTATCAAAGCTGATCTGTGAACTTGTTCTCTAGGTCTGATCTCATCACCATTTATAAATATTTTAATTGCATATTTTATATTTATCTCAGATTATTAATATTTAAAAAATATAGCTAACATTTTAAAACAAATTGCTATACGATCAGATCCGCCACAGGATGGCACTCTTAATAAATAAAATTATATTTATTGAAAAATATTAATTTTATAAGCAAAACCAAAATAAAACTTAAAAATGCAAATATTTAGTTAGAAATTTTTGCAAAATTATTGCATACCTCAAATATCTAATATTTTGTGGTCAATGGCTATTTTAAATATATAACAATACATGAAATATCATCAATCCCTCCGTCTCTCTACGTGAATCTTACATTTTCTCATAACTTTCTTGCTTCATCAACAATTTCCTTACAGGCAGTTGTGACTTGGTAACTGTCATAATAATTGCTAGCTATTTCTATTATTTCTTCATTTTTCATGTGCTCATATAGACCATCTGATCCTATGACTATAATTCTGTCTTGATGCATAATATTTCTTTCAATAATTTCAGGCTCTGAGCTGACTCCAACTTGATGCGCAATTGTGTCTCCTAAAGATCTTGTCATCGCAAGTCCAGGCAAGTTTTGATTTTTCATTCATACTCTCAAAGGTCCATACTTTTTCCCACCAATTTCCTGTTCACAAATCCTTCCTCCAGATTTCATAACTCTGCTTGCTTCATCTAATTCTTTAGGCTTATGATCTCTACTAATTGGTATAGAGTCTCACCTCCCATTGGTATTTCTTCCTAAAATAGCTCTTGAGTCTCCTGCATTTGCGCAAAAAATCTTATTTTGAGTCATTAAAACAACACAAGCTGTGGTCCCACTAAACGTGATTTCATAAGATGACCTAAATAGGTCTGAATTTGCTTTCATAAATGCCTGGATTAAAGCTCTTTTCGAAGAACCCAGCAAATCCTCATCAATTTTTAGGGCGTTAACTAACTGTTCAGCTACAAATTGAGAAATTTGTTTCCCTGCAGATCCATGACCATCACAAATTCCAAAAAAATGAGTCTGTTGGTCTGTAAACAAATTAGGATGGATTATAATTGAGTCTTGGTTTTCTTTGAGAGGGTTTCTTCATGTAAGTCCTTTTTTGGTTCCTCATGCATATGAAATTGAGTGCGGCTTTAAATCTAACGAAACTATTCTTTTGTGTAGTGAAGGCAGATCGTTAGGTATTGACATTGCAGAAATATTTCGCCTGTGAAAAAGAGGTATTTTTTTGGAAGGGATTGGCTTAAGGTCTTCAATTAAGCTTTGGGGTTGAGGGCGAAATGGTGTTGGCGAAAGACGAGATGAGTTTGGAATACTTGGAGTGACAGGAGACCTTCTTGGAGATCTCTTAGATACTGCTCTTTTTGGGCTAATGCTTACTGATTTTTTTCTTTGCTCTAAAAGACTGGCAGTCTCCTTTGTAATTTTAAGATTTCTTTTCATATTGAACCTAAAAAAGATGAAATGGAGTTGGAAATTATTAAATTATAAAGTACCCTTCCTGTATTCAGATTTTTAATATCTTTACTTAATAATTTATTTCGCTTCCTCTCTTGGTTTCTTTGCTTGCTTATGGAAATATGTTTTTAATTCATATATAAATCTATCAGCACAAGTATGCATATCATGACTGTATACCCAATATGTGCAATTCTTTGTAATAAACAATTTTATAGCCTCAAACTAAAATACAAATCTATAAAATGGCGAAAGGACTAAAAGATAGGTTCTTAGAAGATCTGAGCTCCATTCTTTCACAAAATCCTATAGACAAAAGTGAGCTTTCCTACAAGTTACAAGAAATAGCAAGGGAAAAATTTGTAATAAGTATCAAAACTACTGCAAAAGTTCAGCCAAGATATTGTGACGGCAATCCTTGCAGCTATTATTATAACCAGCCCCTGGATCTAAGCTATTTGTATAAGCCTCAAAATTGCCAAGTTCATCGATATTGCAGTTACTGCCTTCGAGATCATATCCTCATGTCATTGCAAAAAAATCCTAACACCAGAGTCTTGTGCAAAAAATGCGAATTCCAAAGTAATTTCAATGTCCTTGAAGAAAACGAGCTTTATTTCTTTATTACTCCAGAAGAAAAAAAAGAAATCGAAGCAAATTATGAAGATAATCAAAGAAGAAGACAATGCTACTCAGGGTTTCCAGAATGCTCATATAAAGGAAGCACAGAATACATAGATTACATGGTTAAATATGAATGTGATGATTATTTGTGCTATTTCTGCTATGCATTTCATGTTGCCAGTAAAATTCTGGAAAAAATTAACGAAATCACTCAAAATACAAATGACAGGTTTGTGATACGGCCTTGAAAAATAGGATGCCCTCATAATCATCCTAGAAGTATAAATAATTTTGACATCGACCACGCACTTGATGCAATAAGAAAGGCTGGATTCGAAGAAGAAATAATTGATAAAATTGAAACAAACGTAAACCAATTCAAATCTGTTTTTGAAGGCCGCCAAGAAGCTTTCATTAAGTGTGCAAACTGCAGCAAACTTCAAGTTTATAATTCAGCTAACCCAAGCCCTTGTAAATTCACAGAATGTGGAAAATGTTTATTCCAGAAGCATGATGCCCACCCTGGCAGTTCTTGTGATGATTTACTGCAAGACACTTGGACTCTATCAACAAACGCAATTCCAAATCCATCTCCTGATGATTATAGCGAATCAGCAAAAAAATTTAAGCATACAGCCTTTATTCTTACTCCCCCCCCCCTCCGTGAGCGAACAAAAAAATTTTGTTCGCTCACGGAGGGGGGTTAATTTTTTTTTTAAAAAAAATTTATATATAAATTTTATAAAAAATATTTTTTTCGAAATTTAAAAAAATCCTAATTTGCAAAAAATTGGAAGCAAATATTAATTTAACTTGCAAAATTTATGTTTTTAAAACGCAATTTGTTTAAAATTAAACAGAATTAGCTCTAGATTTCATTATACTAATTATCACTTATATATCAAAATTTTTTTCCATTAAATTTTTTCTATTAAAAAAATTTTTGTTCACTCACGGAGGGTGGGTTTTTGGTCAAAAAAATGGCGATTTTTCTAATGGTTTTGTTCGCTCACGGAGGGGGGGGAGGGGAGTTAGTGGTCTATCTAAAGCAATTCGGCTAAAACTAACCAATCTGTATGAAGCTGAAAATAAATTTTGTGAAAAAAATTTTTTAAATCTGCAAATGAGTATCGAAGCCAATTTTTTATCTGTGATTACTCCTTTTATGACAAAGCAGGAAGCTGAAAATCAAATTAAGAATGGCTTAGTTAAAGACCAAGCAACGCAGTGCTATATATTTTTAAAAGAAATTAATGCAAATCCTCCAGCTGGACAAAATTGCTTTATTGAGTGTGAGATAATTGGTGAAGGCCAATTGGAAAATAAAGTTCCAGCTCAAAGCGATCTAAAAGCTCCTTTCCCAAAAATATTTTGGTTTGGTGATAAATACTATGTTTCTGACTTGAAAGGAATCTTAATAAAAAACATTGGACAAATTTAAATAAGTATTTCTTATAATATATAATATGCTTATAAATAGAAATTTATATATTGAAAATAATTGCTCAAATATGTTCATTTTTAAAATTATGAGTAAAGTTATATTAATTTTCTTAGTCTTACATGCATAAAACTTTATCTTAATAAAAAATGTTTCCACTATTTAAATCGTACCTCATGAATGAGGTCTAACTTTTGATTTTTTATAAAGAATATTTGAAACTTCTGACATACTTATAAATAGTAACTCATAACGTAACAATAGTCTGATCAAGAAAACATCCATAAACTGGCTAGTTTTAAAACAATTTCGGTTATATTCGAAAAAAATAATTCTGGAATCATGATGGTCTGATCAAAAATTTAAATAATGCAAATGCCAGCAACCATAATTCATAAAAAATGGGCTGTAGTGTTAATACAAGAATGAAAAGACCCCAAACAACAGACTTGCCCCGCATAAGTCAAGTCGGAGAAATCAAAGTAAAGCCGGAAATTTTTGTTCAAGAAAACCAGCACCGTTTTGCAGAGGTTTATCGTCTCGGTGAAAGTTTGGGTTCTGGAGGATTTGGCGAAGTTCGTATTTGTTTTCACAGAGAGAATGGGAACAAGCGCGCTGTAAAAATTATGCGAAAGGATCTTATGAAAAATGATAGGAAGCGAGATGATTTGGAAAAAGAAATAAGCATTTTGAAGTCTATGGATCACCCTAATATTGTAAGATTATATGAATTTTTCGAAGATACGAAGCGGCTTTACATTGTTATGGAATATTGCAGTGGTGGCGAGCTGTTTGATGAAATTATAAAAAGAAAAAACTTCCAAGAAATCCACGCTGCCCAAATAATGTATCAGCTGCTCTCAGCAGTTGCATATCTCCATAATCATTCTGTAATACATAGAGACTTGAAACCTGAGAATATCCTTCTGGAAGATACAAATGATTGCTTGAACATTAAACTTATTGACTTTGGGACTGCAATTATGTCAAGTAATAAAGTGAAAGATGCAATGGGGACAGCTTATTATATTGCTCCAGAAGTCTTAAGTGGGACTTATAATGAAAAATGTGATATGTGGAGTTGTGGAGTCATTTTATATATTTTACTATCAGGCAAGCCTCCTTTTGATGGAAGAGATGACACGGAGATAGTCAATAAAATTCGAATTGGAAAATTCAGCATGGAGGATGAGCCATGGACCCGAATTTCAAATGAAGCTAAAAATTTAATTAATGGTTTACTATGCAAATCTGATTCCAGACTTTCTGCTGCACAATGTCTTCAGCACCCTTGGATTACTTCAAAGGCCCGCCGTGCGCTTGCCACTGAAGAAATAATCCAAGAAGTGATGCGAAACTTAACAGCTTTTCATACCAGCAATAAATTGCGGGATGCTGTGAATACCTTTGTGACATCTCAATGCCTTTCCATACAGGACACGCGACTATTACGGGAAGTGTTCCGAAGTATGGATAAAAACGGAGATGGGAAACTAAGCAGGGAAGAGCTCATGGAGCAGTATGTCAGATCAATCGGAGCTGCTGATGCAGAAATTGAAGTAAATAGAATTATGGCTGAGGTGGACACTGATAATAATGGTTATATTGACTATACAGAGTTCTTAAAGGCAACTCTGGATATGAGAAAGTTGTTGTCAAGTGATAACTTGAAAGCAGCTTTCAGAGTGAATGTCTGAAAAAGCACAAAACGTTTTATAAGAAGCTTTTTACAGTCAAAAATGGTAAAAATGACGATATTTTTCGTTATGCTTTTTTAATGCAGAAAAAAAAAATGTAAAATTAAATTTTTCTGTAAAAAATATCTAAAGAAAGGAAACTGTGTCCTTTTTCTAGATCACCATTTCAGAATGTTTGACAGGGATGGCAGCGGAAGTATTTCAGCTGCTGAGCTGAAAAAGGTACTTGAAGGAGGACTTGCAAGTGATGATAAAGTTTGGAACGATCTAATTGTACAGGTGGATCAGAATGGAGATGGAGAAATCGACCTGCAGGAATTTCAAGATATCATTTTGTCAAAGCTTTAATTTATCATGTTTTATTTAAGCATTGAATTATCTTCTAAATCTTATTGTACAGTTATCTTCATTCTGCAGACATTATTAGAAAGGTTAATCTAATTTTGAAAAGGTTTATGGACCGCTTTGCCAATAATAATATAGATGAAATAGCCTTCAAACAGTTTTTTTGATTAATATTATTATCTGCATTATTTACAAAAATGAGACGCTATTAAATTATTCAGGATCTTTTTGCTCCCTCATCAGCTTTACAGATTCGTCAAGAGCCCACTTCAGCATGGCTTCTTCATCTTCTTTCATTTCTTTTAGTAAATCTTCACCTTGTGATACTTTACCATTAAATTCTGGAATCGCTGATTTTAGTGTTTCAGGCAGTTGATCACACATCAGTGTTAAGTAAAATTAAGATAACTCTTCAAGTCCCGTACTTATTGGCCTCAGCTTGGATCACAGCTCTGAATAATGGTAGGTGGGCCAACCTAACAGTAGGCATATTTCTGTCCCCAAGCCCCTTAGGACCTCTCTGATCTTCACCAGACTCAGTTAGACCCATTCTCTTGAACTAAGACTCTCAAAAATTTATGGAGTTCTCTCACTGAGCTCGGATGTCAGACCTGAGCCCTACCTCTAACTGACATTTTTAAATTGTGCGTTAAGTAAAAAAATCTAGATACGGATTCATGGAAAAATTTTGGCCTTATTGAATTATGATCTCCTTCAAATAAAATTATATCCTTTTCTCCTGGATATTTATATGTTTGCTCTTTCTTAAATTAAAGTGGGTAGATGCCATGTTTCACATCCATTACTGCATTACTCACATTGCTTCCGTTCTTTTTCAGGCTACCACCGACCACACGTCAGGTGCCATTTGGTCTTGATCTAAATAGTCCCCAGGCTTCAGACTTTTGGATTTCAATGGCTGCCCTTCAGGCTGTTGGCAATGCCCTTCAGGTATGCTAAAGGTCTAAGTTTACACAGCCAAAAGTTGGTATTACCAGAAAATTCTATTTAACTCAGGATGGCCATCTGGTGATATGTATCGCAGGACTTTCAAGCTCATTATTGCCTGAATAATTCGCTAACTCCCCCCCCTCCGTGAGTGAACAAAAAAATTTTGTTCAGTCATGGAGGGGGGTTAATTTTTTTTTGTTTAAAAAAAATTTATATATAAATTTTATATAAAAATTATTTTTTTTCGAAATTTAAAAAAATCCTAATTCGCAAAAATTGGAAAGCAAATATTAATTTAATTTATAAAATTTATGTTTTAAAAAGCAATTCGTTTAAAATTAAACAGAATTAGCTCTAGATTTCATTATACTAATTATCATTTATATATCAAAATTTTTTTTTCCATAAAAAATTTTTGTATTAAAAAAATTTTTGTTCACTCACGGAGGGGGGGAGTAAATAAAACCAAACCTCATAATAAAATATGCAACAACAAAAAATTTTTGGTTGAGACGAGAAAATTATAACTGCACCATAATTGAATTATTGATATTTATCATACAAATCTTGTGTATGGTGTGGCCTTACGAATAAATCTTGAATTCCTGCACCAAATAAAGCTGGTTGAATACACGTATCTATTTGATCAATAGGATTTATTTCATTTATATCAAATTTTGCTTTCTTTTTAACTGTTTTTCTTATCATACTATAAAGAAGTTTTCTCACAAAATTGGGCAGTCTGGTATAGTTACTGCCTAGTTCAGTTGCTAATTCTTTTAATGAAGCAAAAGGACTATCTAGAACCATACTATGTATATCATCATTGGCGCATGCATAGAAAATAGCAGTTGCAGCGCCCATACTTCTTCCCCATAGTCCAATTTTTCCAACTCTTCTATTTTCTTTAAGATAAGTTATAAGTTTTCTTAGGTCGTGCCGCTCATTTCACCCTAGCGATATATACTCTCCATCTGAAATGCCGCAGCCTGCGAAATCAAAAACGACTAGTGTTGCATTCATAGGAAGAATAAGAGGAACTGCAACTAACCCTTCTGTTCTTGAGCTTGAGTTTCCATGTAAGTATATTACACATGGCAGTAGGTCTGCGGTTCTTTCTGAATCGAAAGGCTCAAAATGAGAGCACTTCATTCAATATCCATTGATATTTGCCAGGGAAAAATCTGTGCGCTTATAAGGCTTTCCACTTAATGTGAATTCTGATGGACCTAGATCAAAATCGCTGTATGTTTCTCTTGGAGGTCTTATGATTGATTTTCATAAAGCTTTATAACCTTTCTTCATGCTTTATATAAAAAATAATGCAGCTTTTATTATTCAATTGTTTCGCATTATAGAGAGTGCGATTTTATAGCTTACTGAAAATTTGGGCATGAATACGGAAAGTAAAATAATTAATAGCTCAATGATCTGCCCTGAACTCTTAGAAAGTATAATAAACCATTTATGATACTTTCAAGGCTCTTTAGCTCAATAATAAAGAACAAAGTTGAAGTGGTATACGCAGGAAAGTGACTAAACTACCATCAAATGACATTCACAGATTCCACAGGGAATCTAAAGAAATGGGAATATGTCTCAAGATCAACAAAAAGAGCAGAGACTGATGGGGTTTCAATATTGGCAACTATTAGGCTTAATGGAAGCTTGCATTTAATAGCAAATGCTATTTTTAGGTATCCTGTATCCAAATATGTCCTTGAATTTCCTGCAGGACTCATTGACAAAGAAGACTCAGATTGCATTAATTCAGCTCTGCGAGAGCTAAAAGAGGAAACTGGCTACACAGCAAGAAGAGAAGATGTAACTGAAATTGGAGAAGTGTCATACAATGACCCATGGAAAAGTGATGAATGCACTAAAATTGTCAAGATTACTATAAACCCTGATTTAGAAGAAAATAAAAATCCAATTCAGGAACTAGAGCCTTCTGAACAAATAAGCGTAGAATTGATCCCCGTAAACGATATGCTCAAGCACATGCTGGAGCTCTGCAAACAAAAAGACTACTTGCTTGATGCAAGACTTTATTCACTTGCACAAGGACTTGAATTGTCTAAACTAATTTAATTTCAAATAAATTAAATATACTGTGGCTTACACTATCTTTTGGTTTCCCAAATAAATGTTTCCAAGCTCTTCTGTAGCTCCTTCGCAAGTGCTCCAACTTGATTTTCTCTGTTTGCATTTTTAGCTAAGCTTGGAGAGTCATATATAGAAGTGAACGCAATTAGGCAGTTTTCGCATTTTCTCATTCTTTCTTCTCGGCTCAGATCCACCCCTCCCATTACTGGCGCTACCAAAGTAGATGTGACGATATCTCTAAACTGTTTTAGCATTAAAGAAGCAACATTAATTCCAGTCCTTATATAAGATTCGTATTTTGAGTCAATAAGCCCTTTAGCCAGGTTTACTATTAATGCGCAGTGCTCTAAATTTAGCCCTTCAGCTTTACTATCAACGAGGCTGTATTTTAGCACGTCAGCAGTTACTGATATATCATTCATCATATTTAATGCGCTTATTGTAGCGTTAACGTCTCCTCTTGCTCAATAGCTTACTACTAGTGAAGCGTTTTCAGTTCGCCTTTTGATGACAGAAAGGATACTGCTATGGTTTTTATAGATTTCGTTTATGATTTCTTCAGTATTTTCTACTGGAAGAGCGTTTCTTGGCATAAAATCATTTACATCAAGCCCAACTGGCTCTTCAGAATTTGCTGCTACAAAGCTTGTCATCATGTCAGACTTGGACTTTTTCTTGGCTTTTGGGATATTTGGAACTACTTTTTGTTCTTCTATTCTAGCAATTTTTGTAATTATGGCTGCACGATGACTTAGTAGCGATAGGAAAAAAATATCCCAAAACTTTGGACGTTTAGAAAAATTAAAGCGGCCGGAAGGCCACTTAGTCGCAGGTGGCAACTTTTCCAGGGTAGGGTGAAGACTTGGGCTGGCTGCTGGGCTTTCTCTCAACCCGCAGACAAGAGGACCGATGGTGTAGCTAAAATCGGACATTTCTGGAGGAGCATTGTGCTGCCTATAAATGGCAGAGGTGGTTTCAGAAGGAGAACGGACGCCTCCCTTATACCTTGAGCACTATCAGGGTTTAAGAGAGTCCTATGCTGAAATTTTTGGTCCAAGTAGGTTTCGGTGAGTCTCCTCTGCAGACTGACGTAAACATTTTTGGTAGTCCGAAAAGGAGCAAAGGCGTCAGGTGGCTTTAGTGCTTAGCGCAACGTGAGCACGATGCTGAAGCTCGACTGGAAAGGGGCCCAATAAAACCCCTCTGTAATCTCATAAACTAATCTCTCTCTATTCTAGCAGCAGCTGTATTTGCATTTAAGTCTTGAGTCCAATATGCGAACGAAGTCCCATTAATTGACAAGCCCACAATCATCCCATCTTTTGAGTTGACTTTTAAGTCTTCCACTCCTCTTCATGTTGTTTCATAAACTCCTGACAAGTCTCCATGCTCAATATCCCATGACTTCAAAGAGTCATTTGTGGCTGAAAATAAAACAGTCCCATCATCATCAAAGCAAATTCTTTGAATAGGCAAAGAATCTGGCGCAGTTGAAGAAATGTGACCGAAGTTTTCCATATCCCAGTATTGGACTACTCTATCTTGATGGCCAGAAGCTATAGTTAAATGTTGAGGATTGAAGCTCATGCATGTGATTGGTGAATTGCTTATAGAGAACTCAAATATTTTCCTCGATGTATTTAAATCCCACAATTTTATGTTCCCATCAACTCCTCCTGATGCTAAAAAGTTTCCATCCGGGCTGAATTCGACTACATTTACTGGCCCTCTGTGACCTTTGAAGGTTTGCACGCAAGCTTTTTTCCTTAAGTCCCATATCTTTACATTGCAGTCTGTAGATCCAGTTGCGAGGTAATTTTGTTGGCCTGCTGGAAATGGAGCAATTGTTGTGCATGATGACATGTGGCCTTTTAAGCTGCTGATAGGCCGTTGGGATTTTAAATCTCATATGATTACTGTGCCGCCGAATGATCCAGAATAGACTTCTTCTTCGTTTGGCGAAAAAGCTACAGTTGTTATATCAGAAGAATGCCCTTGAAGATTTAAGAGGGACTCTTTTCTTGTAATTTTCCAGAGTCTGATGTTTTTAGCATCATCACCAGCAGCAACAACTTGAAAAGACCTTGGGCCGATGGTGGCACAAGTTGCAATGCTGCTGCCAGGTGCGCTTAAGGCGATATCAAACTCAAAATGTATCATATTTATAAATTTGAAGTTCTAAGAATTAACATTTTTATTAGAGATAATGCTTTAGTTAGGGATTAATTTTTATTTCATATTTCACAAAAACATTATTTATTCTCTTTTTTTTCTTGTTTGTCTCGCTCTCCATTAATTTTATGTACTTAAATGAGAAGCCCACTGTAATTCCCGAAGGACTATCTTCACCCATTAACGCTCCACTCGATTGCTCGCCACCAATCGTGAACGACCTTTAAAGTCTCGCTTCTACAAACGAAGGCCTGCACTCGCTACCTGTAGTTGGATGAGTTGTGCCACCATGCCGTACGTCAACAGATTTCATCTTTTCCGAAAATTTGAAAATAAATTTTCTGGTCAGACTCTCGACCAAAATGGAAATCCAAAGCCTGGGAAACAACGCCCAGTATAGCGCTGGAGAAGAGCCCGATGGACCAAACTGTACTCCTTGGTGCTGCTGGACCACTCCTTTCCAACTATGAATCCCATTTCCCCTGAGGTAAAAACCTTTACTTGGAAAGAGCTGCGGTTAACCAAATTCAACATTGCGCTCCACAATCAAGTAAAACCTGCCCGGATATGAAACCCCGAGCGCCAATTTCCCTTTCACAAGGTTACCGCAGCTTTGTTAAACCTCGGCTGCAAATATTGAGAGAAAAAGAGCTGGCTTGCCGTCGCCATTTTAATGTATATCTTGTCTCGCTCTCCAAATGTTACTAAATCTGATGCACCTTCCTGCGAGTATATAAAGCCTCCTTGCTGGCTATCATATATATCGTGAAATTGGTCTCTTTGCGAAGCAGCCTCAACCTTTGTATTTTGGGATTTACCAAGACCGCTTGGATTCGGTCCTTTTGTAGTTACAGCCATTCCCTCTTTTTGGCCTTGTAATTGGCTCCCCATTTCTTTAGTTTTATCCCCTGCGACCTCTTGAATGTTCTTCATGCCCTCTTTCTGATCACCACTTTCGTATGGCTGATTTTTTTCATTTTTTTCTGCCATTTAATTATTATGGTTTCTTTATGCATCATTCAATTTCTGCGATTTCCGAATACTCGGGCTTATAATTTATTTCAAATAGGAATCTTTAAAATAATTAAATATTTTGCCATATTTAATTATGAAAAGTTAATCTTTTTTATCTTACTCCCCCTCCGTGAGCGAACAAAATCATTGGAAAAATCCCTGTTTTTTGCCCAAATACCCACCCTCCGTGAGCGAACAAAACCATTGGAAAAATCCCTATTTTTAGCCCAAAAACCCACCCTCCAAGAGCGAACAAAAACTTTTTTAAAATATTTATTTTTTATGAAAAACAAATTTTGATATATAAGTCATAATTATTATATTGAAATCTCTTGCTAATTCTGTTAATTTAAACAGCTTGCATTTAAAACATATATTTTACAAATTAAATAAATATTTGCTTTCCAGTTCTTTGTGAATTGGGATTTTTTAAATTTTGAAGAAAAAAAAATTCTATAAATATATAAATTTTTGGAAAAAATTAACCCCCTTCTGTGAGCGATCAAAATTGTTTGTTCGCTCATGGAGAGGGGAGTTAGTCATATTATTTTGTGTCAGAACTTTTAGGCATATGCTTTTCCATCTCACTTTTGACCTCTTGCTTTATCTCATCGACTTTTGCTGCAGTCCGAGGCATCACTTTTGTTACTTCGTTGCTCACGCCTCTTTTAAGCTTTTCACCTGCATGCTTTGAATTTCAGTAGCTATTCGGACTATATATTTGATAGCCAATAATTGCCGCTGATATTCCTCCTAGAACCCAGCTCATCCTTATCCCTCCCATTCCGCTCATCTTTATTAATGGACATTATTATTTGAAATTATATTAGGTTATATCTAAGTAGGTCTTGGGTGAGTTTGTTTGTCTCTAACTCTATCTTTATAAATATCAAGAAGAAATCTATAGTCGACCATTCCATCTTTCATAGCAACCCCGATGATCTTCCTCCATTGCTCATCACTCAAAGAAATTTCTCTTAAAAATCCTGACAGCACGTCTTTAGCTTGCTGAAACTCTATTCTCCCGCCTTTGGCTAATGAGTCAAAAGCTGTCTGCAATAGTTTTCTGTTTTTGGAGATCAGTTTGCAAATATCTTCATATTGTCTCGAATTTAAGCCATCATGGACAAAAGGTTTGGCTTTTTGAGCGACAAAAATTAAAAATCCCAAAATTTCGACCAGCGAAAATAAAAAAACGGGCAGAAAGGCACTGGGTCGCAGGTGGTAGAATTCCGGGGTGGGGTGTGGCCTGGGCTGACTGGGTCTCCCCTGGACCCACAGACAGGAAGACCGACGGCGCAACACCAATAGAGGACTTCTGGAGAAGCATTATGTTGCCTTCAAATGGCAGAGGTAGTTCCAGAAGGAGGCATCGGACGGTTACCTCATACGCGAGCACTACCAGGGGTTAAGAGAGCCTTTTCTGAAGTTTTATGGCCCAAGCAGACTCAGATGAATCTCCTCGAATGATGTCGACAGAAAAGGGCGTTAGGTGGCTTCAGTGCTTAGTGCTACATGAAGCGTGAAGCTGAAGCTCAACTGGCTAGAGGCTGAAATAACCCCCTTTTTAACCCCTCTAACTAAACTCTCTCTCATATTGTCTCGAGTCTTCCCATGTGTTTCTTTCTACATCTTTAAACGTATTCAGCCACTCTCTCATATCAAGGACACTATCTTTTCTGATATCAATAATATCAAACAAATCTTTGAGAATAGTAAAAGGTGGTGCTGACTCATTTGCTAGCTGGCAGAGTCTATTTACTAATGCTGTAAAATGAGCAAAAGTAAGTTTTCTGTTTCTTTCAGTGTCAAACTGATGAAAAGCGTCTTTTGGAGACAACATATATGAGTACATGTTTTGTCTTAATGTGTTTAATCGCTGCTGAGCAGTTCCTTTAATGATATGTTCAGTTTCTGGGGTCTTAAATCGTTTTTTAAACTCATCCCAGTCAATCAGTCCGTCGTTATTTGTATCAATTCTTGCCTGGATCATATCAATATCTCTCGCTGTTAAGCCTATATTAAGCTTTCTCATTGCATTTCTGAACTCTGTGATTGAAATTTTCCCTGATTGGTCAGTGTCCATTTGTTTGAAAATATCTTCCAGGCTGTATGGGCTTGCCCTTATAAGTCCTTGTAGTACTCTTAAGGGATCTTCATCAGTCTTAATAGATGATTGGGTCAAAGTAGATGTGGAAGGTCTGGAAGAAACTTTGCTTGAACGGGTGCCTGAAAAAGTACTCATGAATTTGCCATGGTCGAAATGGGTCTTAAAATCTTGGAATCCTATGAGTGAGCTGCTATTAGAGATAGTGTTTCAGACCCTCGTCAACTCACTTTGATCGAATCGTTTAGGAATTAAAGAAACAATGGCTTGCTCAAATTCAGACTTTGTCAGCTTGTTTTGAGGGTAGCCTTTATGATAGCTCAAAAAGAAATCAAATGCTGCATTTATGTCAGAAAAATTGCTTCGAATTGCATCTTTAATCTCTTGCATACATTGACTGGAGTAGTTAAACCCTCCAAGTCCTAAATCCCAATCTTGGTCAGAAATGTATCCTTTCTTATGAGGATCTAAGTATGCAAAGAGCTGCTGAATGAGCTGTTGAGTCAAATTGAAGCCAGATAAAGCTTGGCTATCAGATAGCCACTTGGAAAATTGATCCAAAGTAATTTTCCCAGTATCTCCTGATACACTATCAAAAGCTGCCCTATAGCTGGCAAAGTGTCGGGAAATATAAATCCCCAGTTGTTGCTTTGCACTTTCTCTCCAATCAGCGTTTCTTTTTTCTTCAAAAAGTGTTTTAAAATCTGACAGCTGGATTAAATTTCTTTTATAAGTGTCCAGAAGCTTGTACAGCCTGTCAATTTTATTTGAGTTACACTCTTCTTCTTTGACTTTCAATACATTGAGGACTCCATATCTCAGATCATCTTTACTGATAATGCCATCAAAGTCTTTATCAAAAGCCCTGAAGGCTTCTTCAATTGTTACGTTTTCACTTGAAATCCACTGACGAAGCTTGCTGAGGGTTTCTGATTCCCAGTTTCAGCTGTCTTGAGTCTTGGGGGGCTCTATATTGGCATCTCTTACTACTGCTGCAAAAGCGTCAAAGTCAATCAGCCCTATTTTCTGCTTATCCATAATAGCAAAAAGTCCGTCCTTTATAGGCTGAGATAAAGTTAACAATAAGTCAAGCCCATCTGAGAAATCTTTGGAAGATAAAACACCGTTTCTTTCTCTGTCAAACAGCTTAAATGCGTCTCCATAACTAAGCTTTTTTCTTATCAAAGTATTTCGAATTTCACTTATAACTGACTTCGCTCTATCAGATGGAAGCGGTTGACTAGGAAAAGGAGCAGAAGCATTGATTTCTGCATATGATGAGCTTGAAAGGACTGAATAGATATCTTGAATATCAATAAACCCATCTTGATTTACATCAAATTTCAGTGCCACATCAATTATTACATACCGTGACAATCTTTGTTGCACTTTAGTTAGCAAAAAATCAGCGAATTTTTGCACTGGGACTCTTCCGCCCATTCTTTTTAACAGCAGCTCTGGTGTCAAATTATTTTGCTTCAAAAATATTTGTAGCCTCAATATTGTTGCCTTTAGAGGATCTTGAGGTGGCAGTCCAGGCCCTTCAAGCTTGTCTAAAAACTCATTAAACTCGATAAGATTTGTGCCTTTATTCAAAATATTGCCAAGTCTTTCTATATCTACAGCCTCAATTCCTAAGTTTGCTTTATAGATGCAGTCTTGGAATTTATTTATATCTAGCTTCCCTGTATGCTTCGTGTCAGCTTCCTCAAATAGCTTTCTCAAAGCTTGAGTATCCCCTTGCATTTTCTGTTCAATTTTTCTTAAAATGGCATCTTTTCAGTCTCCATCGTACTCTATAGGAGTTTGGGATACTTGGACCAAAAAATCTTGGACATCTATAAAATCACGTTTTCCAGCTGCGTTCCTCGCAACATCGACAGCATTTCCCACAGTTAAAGATGGGTCTATTCGTTGTAAAGCTTGAGCCATTTCTTGAATACTCAACCTTTGTCTACCTTGAGCATTGATTTTTATTAATATGTCTTCAGGTTTAATTTTATGCGAAATTATTGTATTACGGAGCGCCTGAAGTGGGCCAGCTTCTTCATAAATTTTATTTCTTCATTCATTTATATCAATGACGCTATCATTATTGCTATCAAAATTCTTGAACAGAATGTCTTAATTAGCAAGTAGGCTTGGCTGTGTTGGTTATGCAATCACCAAGAGTCCTTAAGTAGATTCATCCACTTTACGTATTCCTGCCAAACATGTGGTTGGTTGAAATGATTCAGCCAGCCAGCGAGAAAAGCATTGACACTATCTTGCTCCTTCTATGACTTCTAACGCCATGGAGCTTCCTAAGTCTTGTGTGTTGAGAGCGCCTCTTCCTCGCCTTGTCAGCTCAAGTGTATAGTAGAGGAGGACTATGAAGCTTCTGCAAGGGTGACAGCTGAGTAGCTTTAATAGAGAGCAAAAAACTGGAGTATAAGAGATGCTGGGTTTTGCCCTCAACAGTTACAAGAAAATGCTTTTATTCCTGGGCTCAGACCATAAACCCTGGTATCGCACTTAGTTCCACCTTGGTGCCAAAGGAAGTAGCCAGATTAACTCTTTTCAATTACAAGAATTAAGACAAAACCTACCCAGATATACATAAATTAATATCGCACCTGAATCCATTGGTTTCTCATTAAGCGCCTTGTCCACAAGATTAAGAAAGCTGCATCAAGAAGTCGGGTGCGGTTAGGCGCCATTTTTATAATTATCTTGAGCAGAATATCAGCATCTGAAGATACGAAGTTAAATTCTTCCATCGCCCTTCTCCACTGGTCTTTATTAATACTTTTACTTGCCTCAGAAACCATTTTCAAGTGCTGAAAGCCTTGCTCTGCAGTCATTTTTGAACTTCTCAGCCAATTTTTGATTTTTCTTAAGCATCTCTCAGTGGTCTGCTTCGGCGCCTCAAACACTTGAAAACCTCTACAAAATTCTCCTTCAGAAATTTCATCCCGATCTTTATTGATTTTCCTGAACGCTTGATCTGCTTCAAAAGCTTTTATTCTTCCCCCACTTTGCTCACATATATAATTAACGAAATTTTGTTTGGTTAGCACGTTTCCCTTACTGCCCCTCCTCCTTAAATTGGAACAAAATATCTGCAAAATTTGCATTTTTTGAGTAATTTGACTCCTTTTACATTGTCACAAAATTTGTTTTTCAAAGGAAAGTTTTATCAACGAAAGTACTAATTTTTATAAAATTAGTATAGAACTAATTTATAATATAGAACGCTATTTAAACAGTTCTACACTGAAAAGATTTATTTTTTTATGTAATTAAAATTCAAATTATTGTTCTATATTTTTTTTTAAAAATTTTATAGATATATTAAAATTTTGGTTTTAAAAAAAATTAGCACATTTAAATTTGGACAGAAAATTTTTTTTATATTTAAAGTAGGGGAGTTAGTAGCCCTTTTGAAAAAGTCAGGCAACGAAAACTCCTTTAAATATCCTCTAACTTTATCAGAAATTTCATCTCTTGGACCTGGAACTGACCGTGGCATTTTAGTTTCACTCATAATGTCGCTAAAAACTGACACATTTGAAGATGAAGGCGCAATTATATTCCTTGCACATTTTATAAGATCAAGTGGAGATGCTGAAATTAAATTCCCCTCCCTTAGTACTGCTTTAAGCTGATGGATATTAATAGTGATTCCTGCTTTTTTCATAATTGATAGTAACTCTGACGGGCTTTGAGAAACTCTTGGCCTCATCCCTCCCGATTGAGATAATGAAGTTATTACTAGTTTTTTGTCCCAAATAAGCTGGGCAATCGGAATTACTGCAAATCTATCGTAATTTGCAGTCAAATCTGAGGCAACTGAGACTTTTGATTGATGCACTTTAGGGGCATTCATTCGCTGCAGTTCATCAATAAACACTTTGTATCTTATTTTATGGGCAGATTTGCAGTTTGTGGCAGCGACTAAATGGTTGAGGTTTTCTTCAGTAACTAGAGGACTTCCTAGCATTTTGGCAGATTCAAAAAACTCTTCAGTTGAAAGAAGCCCCTTGCCTGAATGATCTTTGGCTTGACAGATTAAGGTAAACTTAGCTTGATTTTCAATCTTAAACTTAAACTTATTATAGGCTTAGCTGCTGCCTATTGCTAACGCATTCACATGAATTCCCGCAGAGGATTCACCTTCTTTGATGATTAAGCAGGCAGGTTTTGGCTCGAAAACTATATTTCCTCCTTTCAACACCTGATCCTATGGCACTGTGTGAAATAGGTTCTGTGTCTCTTGCGCTGTCGATTCCATGCTGAATGGGAAGACTATTGACATCTGCGATATGCTGCTTGAGTTAAATGAAGTTTGACGGCACAAAATCCAAAAAATGAAATTTTTGGGCGACCTTTGACAAATTGGAAAAGTTGAAAGCCTGGGGCATAACTCCCAGTTTTACGCTAGAGAGTTGCCCGAATGGTCTAGGCGCTGCCTGCAGTTGCTGCTGAGCTTTCCCTTTCCAACTGACCCCGCCTTTACCTTGAGGTAAAATCCAATTCTGAAATTTGACTAGGGCTAGGCCCTATGCATTACCATAATTGCTTAACTGTCAATTCTTGGTTGGAAAAATCATGCCACATATAAATAAAATGTGATCGAGGCTGCTTTGCCGAAGGCAATGCCCGAGCCATTAAGCCATTTTATTTATAGCTTGATTTTCAATCAAAAAACTCATGAGGCTAACAGGCTCAGGTCTAAAACTTGTTAATGATTTGGCTTGTCTTGCTAATGGTTTCTCTGTAAAATTATGAGCTGAGCTAGGTCTAATTGGGCTTTCTGGACTTCTAAATGGCTGCTCATCTGTAAGCCTTGATTCAACTTTATTTGGATGTGCTGATGAAGGTCTTGGCCTTACTGTTTGTTTTGGATGCTGTGGCCTTTCCAACTCAATTTTCCTGCTTTCAGGCTCTTTAGTCATTGGGCCAAAAGCTTCCTTTTTTTCATCAAATCTTGACTTTTCCATATCTATACTTGAGAGCTCCAAAGAAAGGTTTTTTTCTTGAGATTCTTGATTTGGCTTCATTTCAAAACTCTCCATCGTTTTCTCAGGATTTCTTGGATTTGAAGGTCTTACCAAGTCGTTTTTTGGCATTGCGAAATCAGCAGTCGGCTTGTTGTCTTCAAATTTGAATCCTTCGAAATTCTTCCATCCAGGCGATGCTGATTGAGCTCTGTTTCTAAATTCACTTGTTTTCTCTGTGCCTACGCGGGCAGTGCTAGGTCTTAATTCAATTCCTAGTGTGTTTCTTAACCACTTTTCTCCATCCTCAGTAATTATCCCTTGTGGCGGGACTTCTTGGAATTTTCTTTGAAACACAACTGCTATAACTTTATTTTTGGCAACTAAGCTGCCTAATCCAGGGATTTCCACCCTAATATCTTCATTCTGCTTACTTCCCTCCCCCTCGTGAATTAACAAAAAAAATTTATTTAAAATCATAGGAATAACTTTTTTTAAAAATTATATAGAACTTTTTTTCTTTCGAAATTAAAAAAAATCTCAATTCGCAAAAATTGAAAGCCATTTAAAATGTAAGCTGTTTAAAACTGAACTGATTTAGCTAGAGATTCATTATACTAACAAAATATTTTTATACTAAAAAATTTTTTTGCTCGATCAGGGCTTTTACTCACAAAATAGGAATTTTTAGAATGGTTTGTCCACTCGCGGGAAAGTTAAGAGAATCGCTGATTTTTCTAATTTCTTGATCCAACCGTTTTTTGATTTCATCTTTATTGATCCCAGAACCAGCTGAAAGCTCCGCATAATTTATCTTTACTGTAGGTACGCTACCTCCAAACCCTTTATTTGAATAAGGCCTAACTCCTGTTGAGTGAGCTATTCCTGAACGAACTCCAGGCGCTAATTCAGATGCAACTATAAAAACTGGCTCTCTTTGATCGCGATTTGATAGTGCCTGAGTTGTCACACCGTCTAAAGAAACCTGCGAGGTGAACGTAAAAGTCCCGAATTTTGGGATGACCACACCTTTTTTCCTTGTGAGGCTTTGGATAAGATATCTTCCTAAGGCTGCCCAAACTTGAGAGTCTTCCATTTTTAAAGAATAGAGAATAGAACTATTGCTTTCTCAAACTGAAATAATTAGAAACTGCTTTTTGAGCTTTATCTTAGAATTACATTTCTATTTATAATCTTTTTCAGTATTTCCACAAATAAAATGCAAAATGATGTGAGAATTATCCAATTGTACGGAAGAAATAAAACGCCTGTTGAAGGCTTATCTCCAAGAAGAAAAAGAAGCTATAAGATCACAGCAAATGCCAAGCTTTGTAAAACATCAAAACCTGTGACTCCTATAACATCAAGATCACCGATCTATCCAACTTCAGATGAAAATCGATATTTATCCCCGTCACTCTTCAGGTGTGGTGAATTATTAATTCCTATAATTTCTTCCCCACAAGTTCAGAAGTCAAATGCACAAATTGTAAAAAAATTGCAATCATTTAAAAAAATTGGATATCAAACTTCTAAAAATATTAGAAAAGATGCACGAAATGATATTAGTATTGCATCGTTTAGAGTCAAGCATTCAACATCAAGAATTAAGCAGCTTCTGGATGCGAAAACGTTGATATCACAAAATGAAATATTAAGCACTGCATCAAATTATTAAATTATTAGTGGGACTTTATGTTAAATAACTTGGCTTGATAAGTCTCTATGGTTTCAGATAGATTCATTTAGGAATAGATTATCTGATGAGATCTAGTAAAAATTAATTAAATACAATATAGCAAGTAAAAAAAAAACGATCCAAAAGCAAAGGCTTATATCAATAATCGTGAACAAAAATGAAACTAAAAATAACTTTTATTATAAAATTAAGATAGCATCATTCATAAATCATGAGCTCTATAAATCGATTTAAAAAAAACGCATGCACTTGCAAATTTTCTAAATGCAATCAAGAAGCTGAATTCTCTTGCAAATGTTCAGAATCATTTTGATGCAAAAATCATATTAAAACTCATCAAATTTCTTCAACAAAAGTGCATTTAGTAAATTCACTGCTTATTGGTGTTTATGATTTAACCAAAAAGGCAATTATGAAGGTCTTAGCAAAAGAAAGATCCAAACTTCGTGAAATGAATACTAAAATCCAGGAATTTATATCTGAAAATAATTTTAGTTTTAAAGCAATATTGAGCGTAACCTTGAAAGAAATCACAAATAATATCATTTTAATTGATCAAATTTGTGTTGAACTTATGAAAACTAAAAAAATACACAAATTCGAAAAAAAAGCTTTTCTGAAAGCTTTGATTCTAAGTCCGCAGGAAGGAATAAGAGTAATCAAAAAATTGTTGAATTGAAATTGAAGCTTCGAAAATGATGATTTCTATATCACTACTCTTAAGACATTAAAAAGTAAGCAAATCGAAATTCAAGAATTTGAAAACTGAATTTTAAGCTTAGAAACCTTTGCCAGGGATGATGATATAGAGACTATCAATAAATCATTAAAAGATGAAATCGATTTAAAATTCAATTTAAACTTCAATACAGACAAATTGTTGATTTATTTGTGCATAAGTGAAAAAATCAAATCAAGTTACCAGGAATACTTACTCCCTTCTGTGAAAAAAAAAATTATATATAAGTAATTATTATGTCATGAAATATCTAGCTAATCCTGTTGAATTTTAAAAAATATAAAATTTATTAAAAAAAATGAATTAATAATCCATAAGTTAACAAAATTTTTGTTCGCTCACAGAGGGGTTAGTTAGAAAGATATGAAAATATTAATAGAGTATTGAAAAGATATATAGACAATCTAAGCTATGATACAAACAATTTATATCATATAAATTTCAAAGATGATATCACTGGATTGTGGACTATTAATATCGAGACTAGACTAAAAGAATGACAAAAACTTCCAACTCCATATATAATGGGTTATCGAGACTGCGCTGTGAAGCTTCCAAACTCTGAGCTGTTTTGCTTTGGGGGCTCTAATATTAATACTGGCGCTGCTTATATACTAGACCTTCAATCTTGAACTATTCGAAAATATTTACCTTCTACAAATCCACGTATCCACTCAGGAGGAATTTTCTATAAAAATGCTGTTTATGTTTTTGGAGGACAAGATCGCAACTCTTTTGACTGCCGCGATGTAGAAAAATTTGATTTAGAGAAGAATAAATGGGTAAAGCTCCCACCTATGATAAGCCCATCACATAATTGTTCTTGCGCAATTTTAAAAAAATAAAAATTTTTTTTTGTGGCGATAGTAATAGAAAACTATATAGATACGATTTATTTATTGAGAGCTGTTCATTAATTGCTTCAGCTGAATTAATTATGAATCGCAGTAAAATATTACTCTCTCGAAATTCAAGGCTTTATATTATCCAGCAAAATGGTCCAATTCTTGAGAGCGAAATAGAAAATGAATATATGTTTAACAGTATTGGCATGAGCAATATGACTTATTCTTACAACAATTCTAAAGTATTTATTGGAAATATTGCTTATTTATCTATATTTTACGAACTAGGAGTCCATTTATACCGGTTTAATTTATCGGACGGTAGCATGATAAAATTGTCAGTATTTCAGAAAGTAGCGCAGCTTCCTTAGCTTTTTGCTATCTCAATATAACGAGCAGCATAAATGCAAAGTAATTCAAGTAATTATTCTATAATGCTTCCAATTAATTTTTTAAATGGATTCTTACACTGAAAGAGGCCTCGAAGAAAAAATCGCATCAATTCGAGCAACTCTTAAGCGTCTTGGTAGCTCATTGGAAGAAGATGTAATAGCTACTCACTCCCCCCCCTCCGTGAGTGAACAAAAAATTTTATTCACTCACGGAGGGGGGTTTAATTTTTTTTCTAAAAAAATTTATATATTAATTTTATAAAAAATATTTTTTTTTCGAAATTTAAAAAAATCCTAATTCACAAAAATTGGAAAGCAAATATTAATTTAATTTATAAAATTTAAGTTTTAAAAAACAATTCGTTAAAAAATTAAACAGAATTAGCTCTAGATTTCATTATACTAATTATCATTTATATATCAAAACTTTTTTCCATAAAAAATTTTTGTATTAAAAAAATTTTTGTTCACTCACGGAGGGTGAGTTTTTGGGGCAAAAAATATCGATTTTTCTAATGGTTTTGTTCACTCACGGAGGGGGGAGTCAGGAATTTGAAGAAGGTGGAACAGGAGCTGTTGCAAGCTCGCACTCAAAATATAGTCAAGATTCAGACTCGTCAGATTCCAATTCTTTTAATATTCCTGCTACATTCGATGCCTTGAAAAATCGCCAGCAGGAATCATACACCCCAGAAGATCCTTGGGAATCTAAGTCCACACTTGACTACGAAAAAGAAAAAAATGCGCTTCTTGAAAAACAAATAAAAGAAAAAGACCAAACTATCAAAGATTTAATGGCTTTGCAGAGCGGCCTAAAGGATTCGATTGAAAAAAACCTTGAAGATCTTAAAAAAGCCCAAGATGAAGCTTATGGCTATAAGCAACAGTTAGACAATTTGAATAACGAAAATAATGGGCTCAGGAGAATATTAGCCGAAAAAGATAGAGAAATTGCAAAATATCGCAACGATTTTGAAAATTTTAAAAAAGAAAAAGAAGCAAGTATGAAGGAGTTTGAACGGACCAGAAGACAAGCAGAAAAAGTTGAGGAATTATTTGAAGAAGTCAATCGATTGAAAGACTTGAATCATGCTTTGAAATCAAGAAGTGGAGAAATAGCGCAAGATCCTAGTAATAGCAGAATTATAAGTTCTTATCAAGAGCAATTGAATATCAGAGACTGCCAAATTAATGAATTAGAGAAAGAAAGATTGGTGTTATTAAAAGAAATTGATAGAATTAAATCAGAAAAGCGCCGAACCCCTCCAATCAAATTATCTAGGGACGAAAATTATTTAGAAGACACCCAATCAAAAGAAAAGGTTTCTGCCCAACCTTTGACGGAACGAGCCCAAGCTGCAAGCTCTTATAAAGAATTGTGCAAAGACATGATGAAAATATTAAGCGTTTCACATAGGAAAGACCTATTTTCAAAAGTTTTACATCTTCAGCAATTTCATGAAAAATTTAAAAAAGAGAAAAAGCTTATCAATAATATAGCAAATCTCATAATAGATTGCTCTCCTCCAAATTCCTTTGAAAAGAGTCCAAACGTTCATCAAATTTGGAAATGATTTACTAAGATTTTAGAAGAATATATGAAACTAAAGCAATCTCCTTATCAAGATATCATAAATGAGCTATGCAACATTGTTAAAACAGATCCAATTAACTTAATTGACGATGTAAAAAACGTAATTTCTGATAACTACAAACTGAAAAGCCAGAGGCAGCGTCAAGATTTTCCTACAAGAGAAAGGAAATTAAGTTAAATTTTATGATAAATCAATATAAATTTTGCATTATTCAGTCATACTTAGCGTAAGTACATTGTGTGAGCACAAAAGTGCTATTTTTCTTCGAAACTCAAAAGGACCCATCAATAATATTTTTGATCCTGGGTTCGGCTTATCTTTGATCTCCTCGAAAGGCTGATACTCCATTCCCTTAAAGATTAACTTTCCATCAGTGAGAGTCATCAAAAAGCACCGGATTTTTCCTTTTTCATCGCACTCCCTCCTTGAAATATCTTTGCAATCTATTATCTCACTCCCTCCTCCATGAGTGAAAAAAAACCATTGGAAAAATCCGTATTTTTTGCCCAAAAATCCACCCCCGTGAATGAATAAAAATTTATTTATAGAAAAATTTTTTATAAAAAAAAAATTGATATATAAGTGATAATTAGTATAATGAATCTCGAGCTAATTCTGTTTAATTGCATTTTAAAACATAAATTTTATAAATTAAATTAAATATTTGTTTCCCAATTTTTGCAAATTAGGATTTTTTTTAAATTTCGAAAAAAAATTAACCCCCTTCGTGAGTGAACAGAGTCAGCAACACAGTTTTTCTGAAACATCCCTCGATCAGTTTCTCCTTCCTCCAAGCCTGAGTTCACAATATTCCCGATGGGATTATCCAGCAGAAAATTCCAGGCTTCTTCCTCACTTGAAAAGCTCCTTTTTAAGCTTATCGTGGTATCTCCTATTTTCAGAAAATTCATAGCGGCAAAGTATTTAATTCTAATTAGCGTTAGATTAGTGGTGAATAATTATATTCAGCCTTGTTATGCATTATGAGTTGATCCCCGACAAAATAAAAACTATCAGATCTGGTTTCCCAAGGGTTGTCTACCATTTGTTGCATAAGATCTTCAGGCAGCTCAGGGATTTCGTATATCACTTCCCATGAGTTCCTGGTATTTGGGATGCAGAAATCTAAAGTGAAATCAAAATTCTTCAGCAGGGTATTCCTAAAGTAGTGTCTTTCAATCATTCGGAAGTTTCTTACCTCTCTGCTACCTACTGTGAAGTCAATTGTACTACCCAATGCTCGGAGCCTAAGAAAATCAGGCCCTAAATGATATTTAATCGTCCTCACTGAGTCATCTTCTTCAATTGGTTCTGCTGGAGCTTCATTGTCATTTTGGACCTCAAAAAGAACCATACCTGATTCCAGATCTCGAACTTTGAAGTATACGAATTCTATATTGTAAACATTTGCAGAAAGGGGGCAGAGGAAGCTTTGAGTGGCTTCTGCCAATTGTAAAACATAATCTGGAGTGATACGGTCCATTTTAATTCTATTAAGGAAAGCTGAAAGAAAATATCCCGAATTTTAAGCGAAACAAAGAAAATACATATAGAATTAAAGGGCGCTTCATGTATAGAAAGCATTTCAGTTTTTACATATAGAAAGATTTAAATACTCTGCCCGCGTTAATTTTAATGACGAGTTTTTTTTATCCCTATTAATGTTTTTAATGGGTGTGATATGATTAGTAATGCTTTGCGAGAATTCTAATAAAATATTTAAAAATAATTTATTTATTTGTGTCTTTAGCAACTTCTTTGCGTTTCTTTAAATCTGATAACTGCAAACATTTAATTCACTCATAATATAATAAATCAATCTTTAAAATACCATCTGTTTTTAATAAGCCTTAGACTTAAACATTTATTTAAGATAGCTAGCCTTGTGGTAGCTCAATATCTTTTATAATTTTTTTAAAATAATGTAGATATTTTTAATTAAAATAGATGTTCATTTTCAGATACATTAATTTTTTTCTTTATTGTTTTAATGACTAATCAAAATTTATCTCGATGTATCTAATTTATTTATTTGGCAGCTGAATGATTATATAATGGTTTATAATAATCTGTTATTTAAAATTATACCACTTCAGCGGTGTCAATATATTTATTTATCATTCACATAAAGAGAAACGCTATAGTTTATTATAATTCAATTGCTTAAGCTTATTGAGGTGGCTTTGCTAGGCGTGGAAGTGGCTTTGGCTGAGAATTTGTAACTGTTTTATTTGTAGATGCTCCTGATAAGGAAATTGACTGTCCCTGTCCCAATTGCAAATGAGATAAGTCTGGGCCAGGGCTGGACTGATGTAAAACAGCCTGCTCTTCATTCTTTATTTGCCCAGAAAAGTCAACCAAAGCTGCCCAGAAGTCAAAGGCATCATTTCTTTCATCAAATCCCATTCCTATGAACGCATGAGCTCCGTTAGGTCCCACCACTCTTAGCACAAAATATCTCGAGCTGTCAGTAGCCCTTTCCACTGACCTTTCAACTGCATGAGGATCAACTGGGCAGGATACAAATAGTTGGTTATCATTCGTAATTAATTGTATAGCGCACTTATTTTCTGACGCAATCACTCTTACTTTTCCTTGGAAAATGCAGTTTTTCCACTCTGCGGCCATATGGCCAGTTGATCTGGCTGACGGTGGGATTTCATAAGCTCTGCACATAGGTTTCTGCACAAGCGTGTATTCTATTGTATCATCAAGTAAGTCCATTTTCCCTATTATATTAATTCCAATGAATGAAAAACTAATAGTGACTGCTGTGAATTTTCTGAAAAATCCAAAAGTCCAGTCGGCTCCAAAGGAAAAACAAATAGAGTTCTTAAAGAAGAAAGGACTGAATGATGAAGATATTGCAGAAGCTTATAAAAGGGTTGAATCAAGCTCGAAAACTGAGATGGCCACTTCTTTAGCACCATCGCCAACTCTTGCTACCCAAGTTCCTTCCTATTCTAGCTTGAAAACAACGACATTAGGCCTCGACAGAAGAGGCTTAACTGTTTTGCCACCGCTAATAGGAATAAGCCACTTGCGAATTTTAGTGATTTCCAATAACGAATTTGTGAGCATTCCTAAAGAAATAAATCTTTTGCAAGATCTTGAAATTTTGAATGCTTCACATAACAAGCTTAAAAATGATGGGATTCCTGATGAATTATTTGATTTATCATCATTGAGTTACTTGAACTTGGCTCATAATGAATTGACGTCATTAGAAAGGTTTGGAAGATTTTTGAGGCTAGAAAAGCTTAATGTGGCTTATAACAGCATTGAAGAAATCCCTGATGAAATTTGCTATATGCAAGAACTCAAGTATTTGTGGATCCAGAATAATAAGTTGAAAAAGGTCACGAAGTATTTAGGACTAATGTCTTCTTTGAGGATGGCACTGCTATTAGGGAATGAAGATTTGCCTGAGCTCTTGAAAAATGCAACCACAAAAAATCTCCATGCAATTCTAGACACACTTAAGTAGCTAAATTTCATTCAAAATTAATTAGCAAAATAATAACCTAATAGAACAATGTAAAAATCTTGTATCTTTACTTATAAATTTGATGGTCTTCTTATTCCTGCTTCTTATAAATATTTTTGCTACAAACGGTATAAAGCTTACTCCCCCCAAGATAGAAACATTTTTTACTGGAAAAATGTCTCTATCTTGGGGGGGGAGTTAAAGAAAATCTTTTATTATAATTGGTTTAATTCTATTCTTTCCTATAATATCTAATAATTTTAAATAGATTTCTAAGAAAATGATTTAAGCACCTGAATCAAATTTCATACCATTAATTATGTCCTTTCGTCTTTTAAGCTGGAGTCCAAAGCATTTTCGCAATGGGACGACTTGGTTCGGTAGAATATTTTGCAAGCTCATCGGGGAGCAAAAATATGACAATGTCCGTGTATGGAAGCGCACAATGTACGCAGAATGGTGGTACTTAAAGCAATATTACTTACATTGGGTTTCCGTCAATAAGGCAGACTGGGCAAACTTCTTTGCCATTCTTCCTAAGACTGACTCCTCTCATGGCTTCCCTTGGAAAGAAACTCCATCAAGATATGCACAATTCGGTGAGGATACAACCAACTCTGATGGTTATGGAGGTTGGTATACCTATATTTGGGTCGCTGGTGCAGCACTGTGGAATGCTTATATCTACGCTTGGCCTAGAAGGTTCGAAAACTCTTATGATTTCTTAGCAGAAGAAAGCAAGCCAAGACAAATCTACGTTGATGGGTTCCAAGCAGCAAATATCGATCAAACTCTGACTTTTTGGTTTGGATATTGGGAATCGCTATTGACTCCTCATAAGTTCGAGTGGTTCAGAAATGAAAGAGCGATTTTCTTTGGGCCTGACTCAAGAATTATGCCGACTACAATTACCCTAAATAGAAGAAACACGTTCTTTGACCACTATTGGCAAGAGACTGGAGAATCCCAAGAAATGCTTTAAACTAAATCTAAGTTTCAGATTTAAGTTTATAGATAAGTTTAAAATTTTTATTAATGAAGAATGGCGAGTCCTCTGCTCTTGAAAGATTGAAGCGATCACGAAGCCAAGATGTGTTAGATAGAAAATTGCCTGTTAGCTTGAAAGATTTTATGTAAGGACTATTAAGAGAAATCTCTAAAGAGAGAGTGAATAAAGTCAGAAGTGGACAAAGGCTTGCAAGCACTGTAGATTTGCAAAAGAAGAAATTCTTACTCCCCCCCCTTTAAATTGGAACAAAATATCGGTAAAATTTCCACTTTTTTGGTAAATTAACCCCCCTTTAAATTCGAACAAAATTTTAATTTTATAATAAAAAATTATATATAATTTTTATCTAAAAGTTTTGATATAAGTTAAATGTTTTTTCTTAACTAAAATTAAAAATTTAGTTATATCTTGCTCATTTTTAAAGAAAAAAGTATAAAAGAACATCTTTTTTAAATAAATTTATTATCCTTAATTGCTAAATTTTTAAAAAAAAATTAATTTTTTTTTTTAAAAATTTTTCAAAAAAAAATTTTTGTTTTTTTTTGATAAAAATGATATTTTTTATTTGGATAGTTTTGATATAAATTCAATAGGAATTCTTTATAAAATTTCAAAATTTAGTTATTTCTTGCTTTATTTTAAAGAATAGAGTATAAATAATATCTTATTTAAACAAAATTAGCACTTTGATCGATAAATTTTCTAAAATTTTTTTTTTTTTAATTTTTTTTATCAATAAAAATAATAATTTTTGTGTAAATAATTTTGATACCAATTAATAGTGGCGTATTAACTAATAATGAAAATTTAGTTATATCTTGCTTTGTTTTAAAGGATAAAGAGTAAATAGCATTTTATTAAACAAATTTATTAATCTAATTCGATAAGTTTTTGAAATTTTGTTTTGTTGAAATTTTTATATATTTTATAAAAAATTTTATATTGATATTTTTTTTTAAAAAAATAAAATTAACCCCCCTTTAAATTGGAACAAAATTTTTAGTTCCAATTTAAAGGGGGGGGAGTTAGTGAAAGATGAATTAAATGCAATAAAGAATGAAAAGCTAAACGAGGCTGTGCTTAGAAAAAGCAGGTCAGACCTGAAACTGCAATCGCTGAATGTAACCCCAAAAAGAGTTGAATATGAAAATACTGGAAAACTATTGGAAAACAATAAATTCGTTGAAGCTCATCCTGCTCCAAAACCCATGTCTTGCTCACTCCCCCCCTCGAAGTTCGACCAAGATATAGCGAAAATTCCTATTTTTTTGGAAAATTAACCTCCCTCAAAGTTCGACCAAGACCTATATAAATTTACTAGGAAAATATTATTTTTCAAAAATTTTAATCTATGTGGGGGTGAGCTTGCGATTTTTGTATTCAAGTTCTAAAAAAGCGTTACAAAAACCATCTTGCACTATTTTTTCTAACCCTTACACCCTCTCAACCATACAGAAGAATATGATAAATATTTATTTTTTTTTAACTACTAAATTATATAAAACAAATTCTATATAATTTTTTTTAAAAAAAATTTTTCTTAACGCCCCTCGAAGTTCGACCAAAAAGATCTTGGTCGAACTTCGAGGGGGGGAGTCAGCGAGAAAGCTAAGTTCTGCCATGCAAGAATATTTGGAAGTTCCTGAGTTCTCTCCTGAATTAGAAAAGAAGAAAACCAGCAATTTAGACTCGTTTTTCATAGAAAAATTCCAATATATCAGCAGCTATTTAGATTCAAACAAGAATTCTGTTCACCTCCCGAAAATCAGCGAGGTTTTCAGCGCTGAAAGAAAATCAACAGCTGATAAAAAGAAAATAAACCAAATTGAAAATAAAATTAAATCAAAATCCAAGGACCCATTCAAGAGAAAAATGCTGTTTATTGATAAAATGATTAAAGAAGAAATAAGAGCATCAATACTCCAGCAACAAACGAAAGAAGAAAACTTGCAGAAAACCGTCAACACAATTGAATTTGCAAGAAATAAAAAAATTTACATACCGCCTGATAAGAGATTTGTAAGATTAAACATCAAAGCGAAAAATTTGCTACAGAAATTTGATGAAAATTTTGTGAATACCTATAGGAGTCAGGAATAATAAATAATGATATTTTTTAGTTTTGTCCTTTCTCAATGAATTGCTTGATTCTGTTTAATAAATCGTCTTTGACGGCATCAGGAAGTGTCAGTTTAGCATGAGGTCGAATTTCGTCAACTAAACCTTTAACAGTTGTGGCTTCTAATGGACGACTTCTTATAATATTTCAGCAATGCTGTTTTAAATCGTCAACATATCCACACTTTTGTAGGCTTTCTCTAACATATTCTTTCAGCCTTGTTTTTTCTCCAGTCTGAGTTAGCTTTTGCTCGATTGCCGCTTTTCGTTGTGCTAAAGCTAATTCTTGTTGGTTCATATTTTTTGTATAAATTTGAATAAGATAGGACTATTTCAGTTTTTTTATTTGCATTTAGAAGCATATATTTATATTTGAATTAAATAATGTTTCATTTGAATTTTATGCATGTCTGAGGCATAAAATGTGTTATTATTGCTTAAAGACTAAGAGTATATATTATAAAGAGAGATTATAAGTTTATTGTCCTCAATTTGAAAGTCAGAAGACGAATTCTCTGTATAACCATGAAATAATTAAAAAATATTGGAGTTGAATATAAGTTAAATAAATGAGTATTGATCATGTTCAAGGAACAATAGAGCTATTGAGAAGTGCTAGCAAAGCTGCACTTTCTCCAATGAAGTTCCGATTCAAAAAAGAGCTCTGCCCTGACCACTTGCCGCCTGCAGTGCTGTTTCCACACGAGCCAAGATTGAAAATAAGATCAAAATCAACAACCAGAATTGGCAAACGTCAAAAGTCATTGAAGCAAGAACTTGACAGAGAATATAAAGACCTAATACTTAAAACCGATCGGTTAATGCATAAAAAGGTTACTGAAAAAGAAGAAGGCCATTTGGATCTTACAAGGATTTCTCCTTTAAAACTCCCATATGTTATTCGAGATCTTGCCAAAAGAACAGCTGTAATTACCAAATTAAAAACAAGCAAAACTTATAAGTTCCTGGATTCTTCAAAACTAGCTAACGACTCAAAAAGTTTCATAAAGGGAGATTTTACTATAAGAATGAACACTAACTCCCCCCCCATCCTTGATCGAACGATTGACTGTAAAAATTCCTAAAAAATTGGGAAAATTAACCCCCATCCTTGATCGAACGATTTTCATATCATGCAAAAATTTATATATATATAAAAATATATTAGTTATCAAAAGTTTGGGAAGATGTGCATAATGAAGTTGTTTTCAGAGACTTTGAGACGACAGAAAGCTTCGGAATCAACCATTCGAAGTGATTTAGTCATCAATCAGGGCTTAAAAAACTCAATAATCTAATAAAATAGAGATTCTTTTAAAATTTTTAAAAAAAAATTTAATTTAATAAGAAACAAATTAAAAATTTTATACAGTTTAAAGGGGTAACTAATAAATCAAAATATTAAAAATTGGTATTTTTATGAGATTAATTCAATTTTTTGCTGTAAAAATAATTATTAAATACTACTCTTAACACTCTTATTTAAAAGTAAATAAAAATATATATATATATTTTATTTTATATATAAAATGACGGCGAGTCGTTCGATCAAGGATGGGGGGGGAGTAAGTATATAAATATTTAAATTATTCTTAGTCTCGACAATAATGCTTCTTATAGACTTGCTTTTCTATTTTACCTATTATTCTGAGACACTCTTCGATAAATTGTGTTGAATTGTGCTTGGTGGACTTCATAGCCGTTGTCATTAATATCTCGGTGAGCGATTCTTTGTTGCAGCACTAATAAGCAAAATATTGTGAATGATAAAGAGTAGCAGGATATGTATAATGATAGGTCTGTTGGCAGCATTGGAGATATAATCAGCACAATCAGGTATCCTACTATACTTACTAATACCCAAAAGCAAGCCACCCAACTCTAATTATAATTTACTCTTAAATACAAAATAAACAAAATTGACAAGCTCAGCCAAAAAATATCTCATAAATAAAACAATAATATTGGCTTGTTAGGGAGATATAACACAATCCCTGATATTTTTGCTAAAATCAGCTGATTATCATTTGCAATGCAGTTTAAAACAAAATAAGCTAAAATAGCAAAAACTAAAACAGTAGCGAAAATTCCCACATTCGCCCAGCTTAGAATTTTCTCAAGTAAAAACAATTTGTGCTTTTTCGCGTGAAAACAAAGCACATCTGAAAGAATTACAAATATTGCAGGACTTATAAAAGTAATTAGGAAAAGCCTTGCAAAGCATAAATTGTACAACGTATAGCTATTATCTCACCCAAAGCCAATTGCAATTACCCTAATCAAAACTTACCATACTATTTATAGATTGAAGGAGTCCAAGTCAAAACAAAAGAATGTAAGATTTCTGAGCTTTTATTCCTCCGCACGATCACGCCATAAAAATCAACCCATGAAGCCCAAGGGAGCCAAAATAAGCTGCAGTGACCACAGTTGAACCAGGCATTTATTTAATTTTTATTGAATTTATATATTGATTAATGAATAAATCCCGGAAAACAGGATTTGACTGCCCACCACATCTTTTACAAGTGTTAGCTTGGATTCTCGAATTTGCTACAATTTTTGTGTTTTATTTTTTTATTGTCCCAATCCAGTCACTTTTGAATCAAATTTTAATGTCAGTTTTATTTGGGATTTTTCAATTAGCCTTTATTTACCATGCATTTCTTTTAACGAAATCTGACCCTACAGACTCAACCTTAAGGCAGAAACCAAGAATAATTCGTTCAACTGATGCATACTTGACATATTGCTCTTTATGTGTTTCTGAAGTAAGTAATGATAGTAAGCATTGTATGAAATGCAATAGATGTGTCAGCAAGTTTGACCATCATTGCAATTTTGTGAATAATTGCATTGGGAAAGCTTAATTTTTAATTAAACTTATCCAAAAGTCCTGTAAATCTAAAGAATACAAGCCAGTACGACCTTAAAAAGGCTGCTCTGCTGGGATGATTATACGACGCTATGCCGCGCGTCTGCAAAGGTTGTCCTTCATGGAAACTAAAAGCAGTTGAATTTCTTGTCAGCTCTCAGCCAAAATGGAAATCTGAGACCGAGAAAGTATATCTCTAGCTCTGCTGGGAAGCCCCTTTCCAACCCTCAGCACATTGCCTTCCGCGGAAAAACCTTGATCTGCAGTAAAGTATGCAGCCAATTAGCTCGACATTGTTTCTGACCAACCAGCCTTCCTATCCGCGGTTATCAGCCATAAAAGCGTCAAGAGAGTGAGTTGGATTGCCCAGGCCATTTTAATGTATGGCGTTAGGAAATGCAATTATTGAATATTTATAAAAGTAATAATATTGTTGGAAATGATGGAAGTAATATTTCTAGTTTGCTGCTCTTATGTTATTTATATTTGAAATTTTGACTCAAATCATATAAAAGATGTGATAAACGGAATTTATGGAGATAACTCAGAATTTGGGCTAATAATAGCATGCTGAATATTAGGGGTGCTATCTCTAATTATTTTATTGGCAAATGGATATTTAATTTCATTGCACGTTTGGCTAATAACACATAAAATAACAACATATGAGCTGATATGCAAAAAAAGATTAAAAAAAACAGGTTTCGACTCATCTGTAAATATTGATTCAGATGAGACAAAAATAATCCCTTCAGCCCTGACAGGATCTTCCAAAAGGAATATACATGCAAGCTCTTAATAAATAAGTGTATTTATATAAAACATTTTTTTTGCATCTATAAATTATTTTTCATTTTCACGATTTGCTATATTGCCGTGAGTAGCTATAAGCTTTAAAGTACTTGAGAAAATAAAATAAAAATACATTTCAGGATTAAAATTCAATAAACTTTATTAAATATCTGTGTGTAATTAATATGAGTGAAAATGAATGGGGTATCCGACTATTTGAATGTTTTCGAAATCCTCAAATGTTTGCGTGGGCAATATTTGTTCCATGAGGAACAGCTTGTATGCATGCTAGTGAAGCGAAAATTTTAATGAAATCAAAAGATGAATCAGTAGCCCTTAAAAGATTTTTGTGCAATGCATGCTTATGCTGTTTTGGCTGTGCTTGAAATAGGAGAGCTTTAAGGAAAGAGTTGGTACTTGATGGGAATTATTTTATTGATCTTATGCTTTGAATATTCTGTCCATGCTGTGCTGCTACACAAGAATGGCAAGAAGTCATGGTGAAAAAAGATAAAGATTCAAAAGTAGCTATTTGGAATTTAGCATAATTTTAGCATCAGATATGAGGTATAAAATATAGGAAAACGCAATATATTAAAGGAATTATATAAAATTTAAAAATCATAATTAATCTATACTTTATATAAATTATGATATCTTTTATATTATAATTTATGAAATTAATAACTCTCTGGTGAGATATTTTTTGCTAAATAACAAGTTTATAAAAAATTCTGTATAGCCCTGAGCTTTTTTGGATCACTTTAGGCTATATATATAAATATTTATCTTCTTAAAAATCCGAACTTGCAAATATTTGAAACAAAATCTGAATTAATTTATAAATTTGATCTATAGAATCTTATTTCATATTCGCTATATCAAAATATTTTATTTAAGCCAAAAAAAATTATATTAAAAAATATTTGGCACTACCAAGGGATTTTTCGAACTGCTTGCTCGTTAACTTATGGGGGTATAATCAGAGATCTGCAGATTTAATCCTGAATGGAGATCTATGTGATTTTTTTTTAATTTTATGCATTATTAAAGAAATAATTTTAAAAAGACTCCACATGCTCATTATTCAAATTGCTATTAAACTTAGCCATTTAGCCCTGCACGATAATCTATCTAATTTTCAAAGCTGTATGCATAAAGAGTCTAATATAAAAATGTGATCTAGCCAATTTATATGGTTATTCCACTATAATTAAACCAAATTTACTCGTTTCACTAATTTAAAAACAGATTATTGCTCACTCAAAGTTTCCAAAAGTATTTAACTTAAGCTGCTTGAGAAATTTGTTTGGCAATGCTATCAAGCTCTTGCTGTCCTTTCTTGGTGATTCTTCTTCCACCATGCTTTCCTCCCTCAATTTCTTCAGTATCGACTTCAACAATTCCTTGTTTTTCAAGCTGTGCTAATAAATATCTCACAATTTTTCCTGATCCAGTCACAAAGTGGCGAGGGGTTGTGCCGTAGTTTTTGCTTCCTCCGTAAATCTTTTGGAGAGCACTGATCCCCAAATGACGTCTAAGATAAACTTTTCTGGCAAGAGCTGCAGCTCTAATGTAAAGCCAGTCTTTGTCATATGGAGCGAGTTGTCTATTGACGCCTGTCTTTACAAAGTCTGCCCATAATTTAAATTAAACGATTAAACTGATCATAAGCAGGCAAGCCTATAGCCTCTGCCTAGCCTCAGCCCCAAGAATAGCCGCCTCCATATATCTCGGAGTTCAAATGAGGAAAATGGAAGGCTTCCATTTTGGATTTCCTGTCTGAACCACCTATCAAGGGATCAGCTCCCTAGGGCGGAGCCACCGTATGTAACGATGACCCCCCCTCAATCTTCATGTCTACTGCAACACAAAAATTTTTCGAAAAAATTTTCATGCCTACTGCAACACAACATTTTTATAAAAAATAATTAATGCATTTTTCTCTAGGTGAGTTTCTCAAAAACCCCATAAAACAGCGCTGCTGTAGGCGTTTCAATGACGTTCTCATCGAGATTTGGACGGCTATTGCCATTGCTCGCCATTTTATTAAACTTATCTAGCTAAAAAGTAGAGAAAAATTTAAGATGCGCATCTAAAATTTGCTGCAAGAGGATTAGGATTATTACAGACAGGCGCTAGCCATATTGGTGGCACAATCACCAAAGACCTCCCGTGCAGAAGGTTCTACCGCTTTTCGACTCCAACCCAGAGGGTCTATTCCTCTTGCGAGTGCCCTTCCGGTACCTTCTGTCTCCTCCTTGCGGCTTCAGTCTTGAGTGGGCGGCTTATGGATTTCTGCGTCCCTGCTACGGGCAATTGGAGTAGTTTGATTCCAAGGATCAGCTCCTTAGAGTCTATCGGGTGTCAAAGTACCTTCCTTCTACAGCTACACGAAAAAGACTGTTCCCCTGTGGCCTGGGCAAAAACACAGTTTCTCGGTAGAGGAATGCCCATGGGTCCTCGGATCAAAAGGACGTTGTTGAGCGCATCTATTTCCAACCACAGGAAAGCAGCCCAAACCTGCCCGGATATACACTTCTTGAGCCTGCGTCTGATTCTCGGCTCGGAGTCCGTCCCAGTTCGCATTAGCCATAAGGTCTGGAATGCTGCGCAAAGAGGGTATGCTGACACGTGTCGCCATTTTAATATATATAATTTGTTGCAAGAGACATGAAAATTATTATTTTTTTTATATATAATTTGCTGCAAGAGACATGAAAATTATTATTTTTTTTATATAAAATTTTATATAATGTATTGGTAATATTTTGATTTTAAGATGCCAAAAAAATTTTGACATGCCATTATATATAAAACTGAGTCTATGGTATGCTAAAATTTTTTTGACATTTTAAAATCAATTTACCATAAATAAGCAAAATGAAATTTATGCAAGGGATTATATTAAAAAATTGCATTTTTGTTGCAATAGACATGAAGATTGAGGGGGGAGGTCATCGTTATAACCCCGATTATCCCGACTAGGGAAGACCATGAGGTAGGCAAAGCCTGTCAAGCCCATCTGGCAGAGACAGGAAAACCTTTGGGAAAAAAATTCCCTCTTCGTGAATTCATCCCCAAGCCTGAAGGTCTACTTCAAAAAGGTATAGACACTGTTTTCGGCTTCATCAGGATAGCCATCCCTGCTCAATAGGAATTACGCCTTGGAGTCCAATTTCCGTCAATATCACCTTTTATTTCTCTCTGCCCATGAAGGAATTTCGATTTTGTCTGTTCTTTTTAAGTACGCAGCATAAGCAGCTATGAACTCGGCTGCTGATACATCCTTCACTACTAGTGCCTTACGGTCCATCTGTGCCACAAATTAATATGGCCATTTTGCATAATCTGGGAAGATAGAGAGGCTATAGAGAAAGAGAAAATGATTTTGCGATGGCCAAAAGGAGAAATATTCAATTTTGATGGGAAAAAGACAAGCGAGTTTATTGGGTGATGTGAAATTTTTGAGATTAAAAATGAGATGAGGAAGAAAAATAATTAGAGATCATAAGAGTTTTATTAAAATGAATAACATTTTCCAATCTAATGGAATTTTAGGGCTGTATTCCAAAGAATTAAGTGATGTGAAAGAATTGCCAATCGGTAACAGTCAAGATATTAATGAAAAACACAAAATTTTTAAAGAGAAAGTTGAGAGTTTTTATAAGACCAGAAAAGAAAACGAAGATGAGTCTATTTCAATCCAGCTTGAAACGAACTATGATGAAGAACACAAAAAGCTGCTCGAATCCAGTGAAAAACTCAAAAACTTTTGCGAAGAAATTGAATCAGAGCTAAATACAAACAAAGAGCTTATTTCCGATTTAGAAGAAACTTCAGAATCGAACAACTACCTCGCCCAGAAATTGAGACAAAAAGCAAAAGAGTTAATAAATAAAGCAACCTATCCCTGCTTGACAGCTATTATTGTGATTTTGCTTATAATGATTCTTATAGAGCTTTGTTATTAACATAAGTTTGTAATAGCTTAACTATGGATAAAGAATATCATAATAGGAAAGAATCATCCGCATCTCCAGGCACCAAAAAAGAGCGCATAATCCGGTTTTGCTATCGTTTATATTCTTCTGAAGGAAATCGAGCCAAAAACATCATGGTTATCCACAAAACGAAAAATTCTTATGCTCCCAATAACTGGTTTCATCCATCGCGAAACCCTATGCATATGAGCTTCAAGAAAAAACAAAAACCGCTGACCCCGATGTCGGCAGCGATCAGGTCATCTTTTAACACAGCAATGAACGCAACATTTACAGAAGGATGCTTGCATGAATACTCGCCGCCAATTACCAGTAGAAAACACAACAATGGATATGTTCCGCACGAATCTTGATACTACAAAGATCAGTCTGTAACCAAAATGCTTTTATCATCTCCAGGCAGACTTAAAACAACTCAAAATTATTCAAGATTTCAGCTGACGAAAAGTAGTTTTAATAATTAATGTAATTTCACCTAATTTAGATAAATAATGAATAATAGCAGAAGATTCAGTTCGTTTGCGAGTGAAGAATTAAAAGGCATCATTAAGCTAAAGCGTAAAAGAAGATGGGTAAAACGCTATGTGGTTTTAGCTGGTGGCAAGCTATGCTACTTTAAAAACCAAAGCGCAATACAGCCTCGAGCTACAATAGACTTAACTGGTGTAAAGGTAAATAACATTGGGCAAGTTAAAGGGGAAAACATATTTGAATTAGTCAAGCCAAACTTTTTTTCTATTAAATTCGCTTTCAACGAAGCTGAAGAATACAAGCAGTGGCTGCATCATATAACTAAATACTCTGAAGAGTTCAAAAATAACGAAGAAATCACTAGCGACTGCAGATATGAAGAAGATGAAAAGAAAAAAGAAACCATTTCAACAAATTTATTAGAAAAACTAAATGTGACTGAGATATCTGGATTGCTGCAACAAAGAATCAAAGAAATAATTGATAAAGAATATATAATTGTAGGGAATAAAGGTGGTGCAATATATGCAGAGAATAAGCCATTTATGAAAACTAGCAAGGAGAGCGAGAAAAACGAAAAAAGCAGCATTTTTATTGGAATTCTTGTGTGGACTATTTTAAGCTGTATGGGGTTTCAGGTCCTGTCAGTTTTGTTTTTAATTGCATTGCTATCTTGGACTCATTTGATGAAGGAAAATAAGCTGAAAGGCAGTAAAAGGGTTTTTGGGTTTAAAACTACAATTTTGATTGAAGGTAGCATTGGCGAAATTTTAACCACTTTAAACAACTCGTCAAGCAGAATCTTATGTGAGCCTTATTCAATTGATATTACAGAAGGTTCAAATATTGCAATATCCTACAGTTTTGATAAAAATATAATAGTCCAGGATATCACTCGTCATTTCTTAAAGTATAATGGATCATATTTATTAGTGGAAAATGTTGGCCCGGATATAAAAAGCATTTTCAAGTTGGAAAGTAAAACAAAAAATGGAGTTATATGCTCATCAGTTACTCATTATGGAAAAGAATGCATATCAAAAGATCCTTTAATAGGAAATTCTGATATAATAATTGCTCTAAAACAGTTAGTTGATATGACGAGCCACTATTCGAGGGACCCTGCCGCTTTTTCGACTGACAACTTTGAATCAGACACTGATGACGAAGAAGAATCAAAGATGTATCACTCTTTAACGGTTCCTTTAAGCAGATAATAAAGCATCCTTTAGCCTTAGTATGTAAATAAATAAAACATTTGACCTAATAAGTTATAAATGGCAGTTCCACCTGAATATGGTATTTCCGCCCATCATACCGAACCGAAGGAAGAAGAAAAGTTTTACCCAGCTCAAGTAAAAAGAATAGTGAATGATATTTTGCAAGATAAGCTTGAGGGGAGAGTATATAATGATGCCACTGCTCAACAGCTAGCTCTTGAAATAAGTAACATAGTTAAGATTAGATGCAAAAATTTGAGAATGCCGAGGTATAAATTAATTGTACAGACTTTTATTGGGGAGAACTTAGGACAAGGGCTGAGAGTAGCGTCAAAGTGCTTATGGAATGCAAAGCTCGATAACTATGCATCTCATTCTTACCAATCTGGGAATATCTTTGCAGTCGTTATTGTTTTTGGATCATATTTTGAATAAATTAATATATAATTCTTTAATAAAGATAAAATATTAAATTCTATAGCTACTAAGATATTTAGTTTAAGCTATTTAGAATAAGAAGTTGCAAAATATCTTTATAAATAAATGATACATCGAAAATTATATTTCTAATAATTGAATTCCATAAGCAATATTGTAAAACTAGTAGGCATTTTTAAATAAATAGATTTAAAACAGATATCATATTAATATTATCATCAATATTTTTAATAAAAATTCCTTGCATTAATTTAGAGCATATTTTCCTACTTTAGGCTATTTTTCATTAAAATTATGTCATAAATGAAAAATAAAGCAATTATGCCTACTCTTAAGACAAATTTTTCCATAAGAAAGTCTAACCTTAAAGGCATAAAGCTCGATTGGGAAGAAATGATAAGTCCAGGAAGCAGTAAGCGAAAAATTACCTCAAATCAAAGCTTAATTCACGCAAATAGTCAGAAGAGAACTAATAAATCCACCAAAGAATCAGACAGTTTACTTTCTCCATACGGATTTCCAGTAACTCCATACTCCTCGCAGCCTAAATCTTTGCAATCCTTTTCTCCAAAAAAAGTCTCTGAAAGGGCGATTTCTGTGCATAAAGAAGACTTAACATATATCTCAAAATCAAGAATTGAAAGAATTCATAATGACAATTCATCTATTGATAATCTATCATACTGTATATACCCCGATTCCGGCTTCGGATCGGGATCTACTAACAGTTTTCGATATCAATATGTAGACTTTGTTTGCCAATGTTTTTTGGTATCCAACTCCATATAGCAAATCTCAAATAGCAAGAAAGAAGAAGCATTATTTTAGCCCTATCCTACAGCACAAATCCCAAGCACAATCCCCAAAACATCAGAGCTCCCATAACTCTCAGAACCAAAGCTAAAAGAAGCATTACTTTAGCCCTAAATAGCAAGAGGATTTTTAATCTGGGTTTAACAAAAAATATTGATTCGCAATAGGGAACTCACAGTGGAGCCTGATCCAAAGCAGGGATCGTACTATAACTAAAGCGAAAAGTGATAAGCTGGAGCTAATTAGAGATATTGCGACATACGAATCATTGTTTTCAGAGAAAAAGTGCTTAAAAAGCAGCTTAAAAGAGCTTTATAGCTCAAGCCAACAAATAAAGTCATCGTTTGACAATTTTTTGCAGCTAGAGAAAAATAGCAAAAATCTAAAAAATAATTTAAATACAGCTATTGAATCTATAATGGCAATGGATTGGGAGCTGGAAAAATTGGACACAAGTAAAACTCCGATAAATATTCATAGAAAAGAAAGTAGTTTTGGAGCAAGAATTTATACGCAAAATGTAAGAAAAGATAATAGCAAACTTATATATGCTGGAATTAGCACGATATCTTGCTTAAACTGTTTGCTAAAAATTGAATGTAATGCAAACAATTATGAATTGCTTGCTACTGCCCAACTGCTCTGCGGAAAAACAATTTCGAATTGTATAGATCTAAACACAAATATCAGTAGAAAGATTTTTAATTCTCAAGTAAAAGAGTTAATTTCTCACTTTTGGCTGAATCTGAATACATAAGCATTAAAATGGTGTGGTGAGCCAACTTACCTTCTTAGCCGATAGATTCATTAGGAATTGGGCTTTACCAAACTAAGTAAAGTCTGGCCATATAGACATTTCTGACCACTGTTCTCCCTTCCGCAAGGTCCTAGCTTCCAGGTTTGGCCTATCGTCATCCAAGACTTTACCTCGTGGGGAATGGTTGGCTGGAGTTGGAAAGGGGAAGCCAAGCAAGGCCAAAGATGACCACTTGGCCAATCGAGTAAATTTTTAGCGCGATACCAGGTGCTCATCCTGGGCTCAGATTCCATTTTGGTTAACAGCTGGACCAAAAAATTCGATTTATCAAGTTTTCGGAAAGGGTGAGCCCCGTTGGTGTACAGCATGGCGACTCAGCATCTCTGACTCTCGGCTCGTCCGTGAAAAGCAACACAAATAAAGGCCATATCCAGATTGGCAAGCAGGAAGAGCGTTATATAAAGGCAATTAACAGTCTGCGGGTCTGCATGGGACTTCTCTATAAGTAATTTAATCAAGCAAGGCTGAATCTGAATACACCTGAAGAAACATTAAATTTTGATTGAAATTGTTCTAAAAAATTCCTTGCTTTAACTATAAATCTTAAAGGGAGCAAAAAACCATATCACACATTAATCCTTAAAGAAGATTCAGGAAATGTCGAACTAAGCATGCCGAATACATTTTTCAAAGTTAACTTTAAAATTGGTGAAATTAGCGACAAGCATTCATTATTTTCCGAAAATCCAGCCAATCTCGCAAAAAGAATCCAAGCAAAGCTATATCATAATAATCGATCTTTTTTCTGAATTGATAATCCGATCAAAGAAAATGTGTTTAGCTTTAAAGAAAAAGAATCTGATTGGCTAGACGATGTATATTTAAGTAAAACCTTTAAAGAGCTTCAAATAAAAAAATCAACTGTTTCAAAAGTCAGGTGTGGAGGGAGAGTTTATAAGTTTGAAATCTTAATTGATGGAGACTCAATCCTCCTTTATATTGAAATGAAAAACTTTTAAAATTTAAAAGATCAAAAAAAATCTTTCAGCATTTTATATTTTTAAATAGCATTTTAAATACACTTCCCCTATAAATTGATCTAAGCATAGCTTTTTACGATTTCAACCTTTTTTAAATTAGGGATAGTTTTGTTAAATTTAAAGGGAAAAGTCAGAGATAATTAAAATTTATTCAGCCACAAATGCAGTTACTATTCCATGAGGATCGAATGAGTATAAACTTTTATCAGCACTCCAGTTTCCTCAATTAATATATTATCCTTTGACTCTTTCCAAAAGCTTAGAGCTGCCTCTTGTACTCAAGCATTTATTTACCCTTTCTTCACATGAGTAATATTCAAGCTCACAGATTTTTTTTGATAAAAACAAATTAAGTAAATTAATAAATAATTATTACATTTAAAAATTATCCTGCTTTTTTTCCCATATCGCTTATATTTATTTGTTTATTTATATAAGCTTCAAATAAATTGGCTGTATCTTCTGCTCTAATTTCCAATTCAGATTCAAAATGACTTGGTAAATATCCAACAGATTTATAAGCTCGTTTGTCATAATTATTATCAAAAACGCTTGAAATTTGTGTAGGAACTGACTCTTCTTCAGACTCAGAAACAGTTTCGCTTATAATATCCTGCACTTTTTCCGTAAACTGTATAGCTCCTTTAACCCTATTTAGTCAAGGAGCTTCAGGTTTACATTTGACTGATTTTACAGTAAAATGGCTAAAAATGAAATCTTCAGTTTGAAATTCCATTGAGGGAAGCAAAGGTTTCGGTAGCGAAAAAGAAGGCCTCACTAGGACTGGGTGGCACTCCCCAATAGAAATTTTTGCCATTGAAAATTTAGAAGCATATTCTGAATCTGATTGAAAAGGCAAGATCTTTATGTCCGGCTTTTCTTCTAGATAGGCTGATACTAGATCTTGGTCATATTTGTAGCCTTCCAGCATCAACTGTCGAGCATGCTCACTTTGCTCTAAAGCTAGCTGCAATATCCCCATCAGCAACAAAACTTTGCCTTTATTCGGCCCTTCAGTGAATTTTAGTAGCTCGTTTAAGTGTATAAACCCAGCTTCATAATACTCCTCCATTATATAGCAAAGCGCTAAATTATAAATTATTTCAGAATTTTCCAGCAAAATTTCTGAGGAAATCTTCATATCTTCTTCCTCATCATTTATCACTTTTTCATTCTCTCCAAAAGCTTGCTTAAATTCTGCTTGTGACTTTTGAAATTCTCCTAAAAAGAAAAAGAAAATTCCTTTATAATTATGCAAGTGTTTAAGTGAGCAAACTTCGCCTTCCGTATGCAATTGTAAAGCTTTACTTAGCCTGCTTATTGATTTTTTTAATGAGCTTTCTAAGTCATCTTTATTATAAGCTTCTTTAATTACATTCAAAATTTCTAAATCAAAGCTGACCTCTAGCCTGACTTCTATTTTTTGAGCTTTTTCAAGCTCTTCAATAGCTTCAGTTATGCTGCCTAGCATTAAAAAGCATTTAGCTTTTTGATAATGAGCTGTCTTTGTGGGTTCTATTGAGCAGGAATTTGAATAGGCTTTAGCAGCGTCATCGACTGATCCTGTGAGCATCAGCAAGTTTCCTGCATACACGTGAACTAAAGGATCTTTAGGCTTAGCAAGAATAAGTTTTTGAAAATCAAGAAAAGCAAGAGTGGTGTCTCCAGTCAAGAATGCGCAGCGTCCACGATAGTAGTATGCTTCAGCTAGATTTTCATCTAACTGAAGAGCAATTGTGAAATCTTGAATGGCCTCTTGAATTAATTTCAGCTGGATATAGCAGAGTCCTCGAGCAATAAAATGAATTGGAACATTATCATCAGCCTTCTCTATAGCTTCTTCATAGTCATGAATAGATTCAATAGGCTTATCTAAATAATAAGAAGTCACCCCTCGGAAGAAATATAAATCGCTCTCTGCTTCTCTAAATTCTATTGCTTTTGTCAGTAAATCTTTAGCCTGATCTGCTAATAAAATTTTCTTATGTCTCCTTGCAGCATGCAAAAGAACTGCTGCTTCATATGCAAATGGCTCAACATTTTTAGGGAATTTTTCATTAGCAGCTTTAAAAAGTTTTAATGCTGAATCTGCGTCTTTTTCAAAAGTTATTATTGCTTGGGAAATCATTAAATTATACTCAGATGCGTTATCAAGCTTTTGGATTTTTCCTGAGGCTGTAAAGTCTCTTACTGACCTTTCATGGTTTTCTAATGAAGCATATCCATATCCTCTATATGCATAGCAATTTCCAAAATATTCCTTCAGCAACGGATTCTTTTTTTTAATAATTCTCGTTAGCAACGCTACACCTTCTTTGAATTTTCGCTTCATTAAGCATAAAACACCATCAACATAAGCTTTTAAAATCCTTTGTTCTTTTATCTCAAGATTAATATCAGTGGCCCTTTTAAATGTATAGAAAGCTCCATAGAAATCTCGCTGCTTTATATGAATTATTCCTAAGTTATATATAGCAGCTCCTGTAAAATTTTTATCAAGCGAATCAAACTTAATGACTTGTTCTAGACATAAAGCAGCATCTATTAGTTTATCTTGATTTAGAAGGACTAAAGATTTATAATAATAAGCTTCTGCGCATTCTTTTTGTACATTGATAGCTAAGTCAAAATCATTAATAGCATTTTCATAGTTTTGCAGATTATAGTTAAGCTTGCCCTTAGAAAGATAAGCTTGCACTTCAGTTCCTTCACATTGGGCTGCTTGGCTGAGTATTTTTATAGCGGTTGGTATATCATTCATCCCGATAAGTGCATCTGATAATCCTAAATAAGCACTCCCTTCAGCTGGATTTAGTGAAATTGCTTTATAGAAGTCCATAACTGCTTTATCATATTTTTCTTGTTTATTATAAAGCTGGCCCCTCAGTATATATGCTTCAGAGTGCTTTGGGAATTTTATTAATCCTCGGCTTAGCTGTCTAATTGCTGTAACATTATCATTGATTGTAACAAAGCACAATGCAAGCGCCGTATAGACTTGCCTATTGTAATAAGGATAATCTCGACTTAAAGATAATAAATCTTATTTTATCTTAATTATTTATAACACGTTTTGCGTCCAAATAACAGGTTTCTCGACCACAGCTACCCCCAGCACCGCTCTCGGGCAAATTATGCGCCATTTTCCTCAAAGCCCACCAAAGGTGTAGCCACCTTGGACTTTGTTCACACCAATGAGGACACCAGTCTTGAAGTTTGGATTGGATGACTCTCCTTTGAGCTCAGGCACTTGTTTAGGTCCTATCGTCACCCTAAGCCTAGGGTAAGTTTTATTCTTCTTGTAAATTCCATTCCCTAAGATCGGGAGTTTGTTAGGAAAAACTACCGGCTCTTACTTCACAAACATAGTTGGGATAATTTTATCAGAGAAAATCAAACCTCATAATTAAAATATGTCAGAGATGCATTTTCTGTTGGGAGACCAGAAAATTCGAGCAACGCCATATTTTAATTATTAAAGATAATAAATCAGGAATCGCTTTTTTATGCTCCCCTAAACAAATGTAGCAATTTGCTATATCATAAAGCGCTTCAGGGTTACTTGGCTCTTCTTTAACAGCTTTTTTGAAAAATTTGAGCCCAGATAAATATTGACCCAGCTTCATTTCAGACTTTCCTCTTTCTAGCAGAGCTGTGAGGCTTTCTTTCTTATTCCGAGCTTCTTCTAAATCTTTAGGTCTAGGGTGCCCACTTATTAATTTACTTGTGGATGGGAGGTTTTTGACAGTTGAAAGCTTATAGCTTGGGCTTATTTCTCCGAGTGAAATATTTCGAGGCCTTTCTGTTGAGAAACTGCGATTTTTGTTAGAGTGCAAGGTCAAGGGCATGTCTTGATAGCAAGTAAATGATTTATTTACTCGAGGATAAAATTTTCTTTGATTGTCGAGTGAGCTTGAACGTGGAGCAGCTGGCCGACCATTTGATTTGTAGCGAACTTTATTTATGTTTTGGAAGGCTATGCTATATTTAATCGGAGCATTTTGATATTGTACAATTTTTCTGGAAATATTTTGATAGCGATTGCCTTACAAGGAAAAAATTTTGACCAAATTCTTTTAAGAAATATAACATATTAAAGCCTTCCTATCAAAAAGCATACACCGATTTTGGAGAATCACAGGAACTGCTGCAATTGGTGCTTGTGCTCTTATTGACATTTTGATTTACAGTATGAAAACTTTAATTAAATGTATTGAATTATTATTTTTTATGGACATATGAATTGATATGATTTTTGATTTCTGAACTCATTAATGATTTACATTTTTATCAAGGTTTTAAGGAGTAGTGAAAATTTGAGTTATATTATTTATTACATTGGCGTTTGAGAAAATTGCTGACCTTCATAAGTTGTTGTTCTATTTGGGCTAACTGCACTTCTCAACTTAAAGCCGCTTGTAAATGGTGGCTTGGTTATTTTATTGAACCTTTTTACTACTCTTAACTGGGCATCAAAATATGGAGATGTCGACATTTTTTTGTTGAGCTCTTTTTTCCTAAATCTTTCAGTAGGTGCGAGCTCACTCCCCTGATAATTGAAACAAAATATCAGTAAAATTTACATTTTTGGGGTATATGCATAAAATGGCGGTGACGAACGACCCGCTCTGTGGTAGGTGTCTTTATGCATATCGAAAGTGTTTTTTGGTGCAAAGAACTTCCCGTGAGTTGGGTTAACCTCGAAGTAAGAGTTCCAGCATTATTTCTGCTGATAGTGGCCTGATCCGATCGGCAATTTTTTGCATCTTTTTTGCCCAGGCCCAAGCTGGGTGTCCGATAGAGATAAAAGATTTACCTGCCTAGGCTGCTTCTTAGCCTGTTCCTAATGAAGTAAGGGGATGAAATTTTATTTTGGTGCTGAACTAAAAGAAAAAGGGAAGACAGATTAGACCAGAATTTCAAGGGCGACAGTGAGGTTCCCGCATAGCCCATATGACTTGGACCGTGGAGGAAAATACCTCTACTGAGGAACTGGGGATTTCGGCCCTGACTCAATTTAACCGTGGCACGCCCACTCCATAGCCCACACCGTGGAATGTATGGTCTCAGAAAGTGGGGATATAAATGCGCAGCTTTAATCTAGTCTAATCTACATTTTTTAGGTAAAAAATCTCTTTAATTGGAATAAAATTTTTATTTTATTAAAGAAGATCAATAATTTTTATATAGTTGTCTTTGACCTGATCAATGGGAGAAATGGAACTAGAATGCTATTTAACAGTTTGCGCTTGAATTGATTAATTTTTGAATTGTCTCTTTATAAATAATTAAAATTCAAAAGTATTCTATTTCATTCATTTAATTATAACAATGCTTGTGCATTGTTGAAACAGTTATGGGTTCTTTAATAGCTAATTTGCAGTTTTCATCTGTTTTTTCTCTTGCACCTGTTTTTTGCTTGTATTTTTCACAAGAATCTCCAAGCTTTGTCTTTGAGCATCTTCAGGCGATACTGCATGGTTGCCGTATCTCTATACTATGCACTATTCTATCTCTCCCATTCTCTCGCAGCTGCTTCTAGCAGGTCTCATATCTTGTTCCATATAACACCATTTGTAATAGCCCAATTACTTGCCAATCAATTATAGTTCTTCTAGCCTTGCTTGCAGCTCCTTTCTCTGTTTAGTGCATATTACGTTTTCAGTTAGCAAATGCTCTTCTATTTCAGCCCCATTGCAGTAGTGGTATAAGCCATCATGTGTCAGGTGTCTCATCTAGCATTAGAGTTAAGAAATTAAAACTAGCTTTTAATTCAATTTATATTTTGTAAATTGCTTATTAAGAAAATTATTTTCAAATAAAAAAACCCCTTTAAGTTGGAACAGAATTTAGTTTTATTTAAAAGGGCAAGAGAGTCAGATAAATTAGCAGGAACTGTAGGCGGCCTCGAAACTTGCTTGAAAGGCATTGTAGAGTTCGCTTCAGTTGCATATGAAGTTGATCTAAAGGCTGACAAAAGTTCAAATTGTTTACGAATTCCTTTCAATTTCACCAATTTTTCAGCTGGTGTCGATAAATACGCTTCTTTGAGCGGCAATACTAGATGCTGTATATATTTTACCTTTATTGAGTTCAATTGTACTTCTGAGCAAGCAATCATTTTTAGTTCATTTGTAGATTGTTTTTCTAAATCCAAAGTATTTTTCAATTCTTCAATAAGTTTATATTGTTTTAGCTTGAAACTTTCTTCATCTTTTATATCCGAATTTTCTGAAGCCTTATTAGCTACTGAAGATTTTTTACAAATTGACTGGAAAAAGTTTTGGAACATTTCTTTTGCTGTTTCATTGCAAATCTGGCTTATTCGGTTGTGAGAGCTGAGCTCTTCTTGCCAATTTAAACCTACTTGGCTAGCTTTTCAAAGCTCTCCTGTACAATCGGGCAATGATGGGCCAAGAGAATTTTTCAGGACGTTTTTATAATGATTATGAAATGAGCAATGATCTGCTGCTATAAAAGAGTCAGAAACAGTCCCAGATCGTTTTATAGGGTTTAATTGCTTTCTTTTAGGCTCGATGCTTTGGGATTTTCTTTGTGTTTTTAAGTTGCTGAATGTTCGATTTAAATTTATATTTTTAAGGCTATCAAGCTGTCTTTCAGTTATTAAGGAAGATAAGCACCCTTCTCATTTGCAAACATTATTAAAGGAAGTATTTGTTCATTTTGGCTTATTATGGCTTGTTTTTATCTGTACAAGTCAATTTTTTGAATAAGTTCCTGATGATAAATATATTGAATCTTTTACTATGATATATCCATACTTTAATTTCGAGGACAATTTGTATGAATCTGGAAATGATTCCTTCTGCATTTGGGGTTGTGGATTATTTTCTATATAAACCTGTATTAATTCTGACACTTCTGAAGCTGATAGTGGCCGTAAAAAAGCTTGCAGATTTTTTTTGCAAGAAGCATAAAAATTTTCTTTTTCGATTACATAAAATGATTTTAAAGCAGAAGGAGCCGATTGACTAAATTTCGAAGCCTGAGGTAATTGAAGGAGTTGCTTTATAGAAGCTGGCTCCAGTATTGAGCTTTGATTATTGTACTCTACAAGGAGATTATTACCTAGAAATTTAAAAGTCGAAAGCTCAATTGAAATTACTTTTGTATTTACATCTTCCTCATATGTAAGTGGCTCAAATGCTGAAAACCATGATGAAATTCCTATGGATTTTTCTTCTCTTGGGTCATAATATATAAACAACGTTAAAGGTGTTCTAGTTACTTCTCTATGCATTTCTAAGCATACTCGTGATAAAAAACTTCCATCTTTTATTTCAAAGTCTTTAATGGAATGCTGGCTGGTGATTTTTCTTGTTTCAGTCAATGTTAAAAATTGATTTATGATGGCTTCAATTTGCGAGCTTAGTTGGAAATTGCCTGAGATTTCAACTTTTCTATCAGCGCTGGCCTGGAATCCTCTTCTATATCCTAATGCAGGGCTATATCCATAATCTTCTATTGACACTATGTTCTTCACCACTATGCTTGCCTTCAAAGAATTCTCAATAATTCCTTTAATTTCGTCTTTAACATTTCATGATGGCTCTGTGACTGTAACTTTTCTTGCACATAAAGATAACAGATGATAAATAAACCTCTTCCACAAGAATTCATCTTGTAAATCTTCACTTTTAGTTTTATTTAACGATTTGGCATGATCAATCATAAAATATGCTTGTCTCTTTTCCTTTTCAATAATATAGCTGAGCATCCTTATGGATTGCTCGAGACTTCAAGTTCTACTGCCAAATGGAAAGCTTTACTAACTCCCCCCCCCCCCTCCGTGAGCGAACAAAAAAATTTTGTTCACTCACGGAGGGGGGTTAATTTTTTTTTTTTAAATAAAATTTATATATAAATTTTATAAAAAATTTTTTTTTCGAAATTTAAAAAAATCCTAATTTGCAAAAATTGGGAAGCAAATATTAATTTAATTTGCAAAATTTATGTTTTAAAACGCAATTTGTTTAAAATTAAACAGAATTAGCTCTAGATTTCATTATACTAATTATCACTTATATATCAAAATTTTTTTCCATTAAAATTTTTTCTATTAAAAAAATTTTTGTTCGCTCACGGAGGGTGGGTTTTTGGTCAAAAAATGGTGATTTTTCTAATGGTTTTGTTCGCTCACGGAGGGGGGGGGGGGGAGTAAGCAATTCGAGATGGCAAGTCAGAATTTAATTCGACCGATCTGTGATATTTTGTATATTTATTAAATTGAGGCCTGACTTGCCAACAAGGTTAATTTGCAAGCTCTCCATTGTCAGCGGACTCGAAAGCTTTAGCAATTTATAGGGATGATCAAGTTATATCTAATGATAAAAGGATTCACTTGCGGGCTTCATCTAAAGAAGTTTTCAGAATTTTTTTGGATATTTTATTCATTAATTCTGCTTCGAGCCTGCCTTTCATCATAAACGATTTCAGTAATGATGCAAATTTTTTTTCTAATTCAGATTTATCAGGGAGATTATAAGGTTTTTTTACAATTTTTTCAAGTTTAAGCTCATAACTTCAATGAATTTTTTGAGAGATATCGCGGCTCGAGCTTGATAGCTGTGAAAGGAAAAAACCAACTGCTCGTTCAATGGGGATTTCTGAACTTGTTGTATTTATGGGGTTATTTGAGTTTAAATGGTGCTCCAGTGACGAAAATAGATGAGGGAAAACAGATTCCTCTGAGTAGGCCTCAGAAATAGATTGGGAGTCATCTTCAAAATCATCTGCATAGTCTGAAGAATCAGTCAAAAATTCAAAAGACATATTAATTAATCTTACTTAACATTATAGAAATCTTCATAATAACCCTAAACATAATTATCGATTTTTAGCAAAAACAATAGAGAAATTTTGTTTACAAACATGACTAACTTTAAATGATATAAAGTTTTGAATTAGGGCAAATATTTAATAAGATATTTATTTCAAACAAAACAGTATAAAAAATTTATGATTTATTTTTAATTAAATACGCTGATTTATTTTAAAGCTGCGCTGCTACATAAATCATGTATCTATCTTCGAAATCAAACCAAAATTTTTTATTCGATAATTAATCAAGTAATTTCTGCTATTTTATATTATGAAAATTACCATTTATATTGTCATAAGTTAAAAACGTTAACTTACTCATATAATATCTAAGATTCTTAAGACTTATGTACACAATTAAAATGGCGAGCCATCCGACCCGTCCTTCTCCCTTACCCTCAGGGAACACGGGGTTAAGAAGTAAACGGGGCCTGGATATTGTGTCCAGGGTAGGTTTTTTTACCTTGGTCGGGACACCACGACAAGGTTTTTTGCCTCTCACAAAGACGAGAAGACCAGAGCCGCAGAATCAGGAGTCACACTTCAGGACTAGAAGGAAGTGAGGAAGCTTGTAGTGGAGCTTGGGGACCTGAAGAAGACTCCGGAAGGCTACTTTTCCCCTCCCCAGAAAGGACGGCGCCGGGTCACTAGACCCTGATCAAAGGAGTACCTGGGTGAGTCTCCCTGTCAGATGGCGACGTCACCATTTTTTGGTGACGTCGACAGAAAATGGAGTGAGCAACAGAGCCGGTGCATAGGGTGCAAGCCTGAAGCTGGCAGAGCTGGGTAGAGGCTGAAATAAACCTCCGTGACCCGCTAAAACTAATTAATCTAATCTAATCTAAGACTTATGACTGCATCGAATATTTTCACTTTTTCCATAAGATAATAAAATGTGCAAAAAGCATGCATTCTATTATAGCTTAATTATTGTGTCCAGAATTGCATTTAATATTAAGACTTCTAATGAATTTAATTTTTCAGGATGTTGAATTAATGGTCATTGATTTAGATAATTAATTATATGAGAAAATTATGGAGATTGGCTTCGAATGAATTATATTTAAAATGATAATTATAAATCTCGTAGTCCGCATATGTTGCTGTCGCTGAACAAGCACTAAAATCTCGAGTGATGAAACTCAAACAAAAACGCTCAAAGAACTTGGGAAAAATAAAAAGCCTGAAGATTTTCAGACAATAATCATCAGACTTGATACTGAAGGAAACCAGAATGAAATCAGTGAGCACAACAGCACACTTCAAATTGCTAGAAAAGACTCTCACCCTCTTTCAGGGTATGTTTTTCCAAGAATTGACAATAATTAATGAGTTTAACAAAAGTTGTACAAAACTCAATTTTTTACCAAGAATACTCCTTTAAAATGTTTAAATAATCTCAAATCTTTTTTAAATAAAATAATTTTTTGTTTGTAATTTATCTTCAATGCAATTCGTTTATTGTTTTGTCATTACTCCAGTATGCTGCCTAAGATCTTCTACTTGTTTTATTAATGAATTCATCTACATAATCATTACATCTTGATAAATTGCATCAATTTGCTTTGCTAATTCCTCTTCTGCAATTTCACAAATTTTCGAACAGTCTGAAGCTCTTGGCCAATCCTCAGGCAAAACATCTTCTCCACGCAGTCTTTTTAGCTGCGAGGCAAGGTGCTTTGATTCATTTAAGATATTCCTTAATTTATCTAATTGAAAGTCACCTTCTTGAAGCGATGGGAAATTTTCTTTATCAAAGCTATCAAAAGAGATCACAGGGCTTCTATTACGATTTCGCCTTGTTGAAGGCATAGGAGATGAGAATCTTTCTGAGTTTACTGCAACGTTGTCAGATACTATTGATTGAATTTCTTTTTCTGTTCTCAATTTGTCACAAAAACAATTTCCCATAATTTAAATTGTGAATTCGTTCTTATTTTGAATTATCGCTAAAATCTGCACAAAATAGCTTCAAAATACAGAAAACCCTAAAAGCATCAAATTATGATTAAAGTTTTAATGATGATTTCAGAATTTAGCCTACTAATTATCAGATATTTTTCAAATTCTAGATTAAAATTTAGGCATGATCCAATATGATATAAATAGTAATTGTGAAGTATGAGCACAAATTGTTTATCCGAACTTTGTGAAGAACTTCAAGAAGCCCTCAGCAAAATTTACAATGAATACCTTCAAGATTTTAGGAAACGCAAAGCTCAACGCTCAGAAAATCTTCGCCCATCAGACCCTCCTGAGCAATATCAGCTCGTCGTAGAAACAAACTACCGCAATGAGCTAACACAAAAAGTGAAGCAAATAGTTCATCAAGAATCCTTAAACTCGATCTATCGCATTTTTTACGACGCTGTCCATCAATTTGTCTCTGATATTTTCACTGACTTAAAATCCCTTGATTCTCAAAACTCCATTCTTAGAATTCTATGTCTGGCTGAAGCCTTTCACACAGTTGAAAACTCAGCACGAGAACTGGGAAAAATCACAACTGGGATTTTTGAAAGAGAGGCTACGTCTATTACTTGTGAAAACGTAACAAAACTTGCCTTTTTTGACAAGGTTTTAAAGCATTTTGATGATTTAATAGAGTCTGCTGCATCTATGGGTGACAAAACTGAAGTAGTGAATGATGTAATTAATTTGAATCTTGAGCTGAGATCTTTAAGCAATAGACTTAGATCTATTTCAAAAAGCTCAGGCAAAGTATTTAAAGAGGACTCTCAGAGGCTGAATTCAAAACTTATTTTAAGTGGAGAAGACAATTGCAATGATGATGTTTCGAATATGAGTATAGATGATATCGTTTCATTCATAAATGGTGAATCGAAAGATATGAAAAAGAAAAGACGGTCTAGAGGCAAAAAGAGGAGCAAGGCATCTACAGCAAGCACGTCTGGGTCACCTAAATCTGCTCATACAGACATAGAGTATCCTGAGCTTGAAAGAGAGATTGAAGAATTCAGCAAAAGGCTGGAATTCACGATGAAATCGCCGAGACTGAAACCAAAATATACAGAAGAGTGGCTCAAGCATTTGAGAGAACAAATAAATAAAAATCAATAGGTTCTTATTAAAATGGTTAGAATAACTCCAGAACTTTTGAGAAAGAGGGCTGAGCACAATGAGGGCGAGCTCTCAACTTTAGAAGAAGTTACTCTGCACCAGTATGATATAGAGAAAATTGAGATTTTGGATAAATGCTGCAGGCATTTGAAGATTCTTTATCTGCAAAACAACATTATTCCGAAGATGGAAAATTTAAACAAATTAAAAGAATTGGAGTATTTGAATTTGGCTGTAAACAATGTCAAAGTTATTGAAGGAATTGATAGGTGTGAAAGCTTGAAAAAGCTGGACTTGACGCTAAATTTTATTGAGATTGATGACTTGGAAGCAAGCTTAAGACACTTAGGACAAGTCAGCACAATTGAGCAACTCTATATGACAGGAAATCCCTGCACTGATTGGCAAGGGTTTAGAGAACTCACAATATCACTTGTTCCACAATTAAATCAATTAGACGGAAAAGATATAACACATACTGAAAGACTGGCAGCCTTACAAGTTCTTAATGAAAGACTGGATGAGCTTAAAGAAGCTATTGAAATAAAGCACCAGAATCCGGAGCTCTACAAAAGGCATTACACAATTGAGAGCAGAGTTGAGCAAGCAAAAGAAAACGAAAGGATTCAAGAAGAAAAAGACAAAACACAGCAGGAATCTGATGAAAAGCAATATGGTATTTCCTAGACAGGAATCAAAAATCTCCCTCCTCCTCCAGTTTACAATCAAAACGGAGAAATCCGTCAATGCAACCAAGGAAATTATGATTATGAATTCTATGAAAAACATGATGGAGGTGTTCAATATATTGTCCTCGATATAAAAGTCCCACGCTACCTTGAAACTTCCCAAATAGGACTTGATTTAAATCCAAATTATGTACGATTAGATATTAAAGGAAAAATCACACAATTAAGATTCCCATGCGAAATTAAAGTAGAAGAAAGCAGAGCACTTAGATCACAGACAAGTGGCAGCTTGCAATTGGTAATGCCAAAAACAAAAAATGATGCTGTTCCGTACTTTTTTTTGAAAGAAGAACTAGAGAAGAAAAAGAAGGAAGAAAAAAGAGAAATTAGCAGAGGGGAAACTAGGATTTTGAAAAATGAAAATAAGCAGACACAAGAAGAAGCAAAGCAGCCAATTAGGAAACGGTTGGAGGAGCCTGAAGAGCCTTGGGAAGATGATCCTTCAGTGCCTGATTTAGAATAAACATGATTTATGAACATATCAATTGGCTTCATTATTGCTTTTATTTTTTAAGAAAATATATTTAAGATAAATCAAATTATCTACTTATCAATATCGGGTGTTAATGCTCCGTTGAATAATCCTCCAAGCATAATTAAAATATGGCGTCTTCGTCTGGGTGTGGCCTCACGGCCATACATACTCGACTCATATTTTAATTATATCCGGCAAGGTTTTGCCATTCCGGACATGAGCAACAATGCCATGGTAAGCAATTCTGCAGTGCAGAGCCTGCCCATGCTCAATGACCAGAATGGTTTTTCTCCTCGAGAGAGAAGGGAGTCCAGGTATGGAAAGGGTAAGCCCAGCAGAGTCTACAGGCAATGCCTAGACCATTCGGGCAATTACCTAGCGTGAAACTGGGCGTTACGTCCCAGGACTTGGAATTTCCCTTTTTGCCGAAAGGTGACCAGAAATTCCATTTTTTTGAATTTCGGAAAGCCAACTCTCGTAACTCAAGCAGCAGCCGCAGAAGCCCATAACCCGCCCACTCAACACTAAGCCTCGAGAAACCGTGGGAAGGGAGGAGATGTATGTCCTGGTGACTGGTTTATATGGCCAGTTTGGACTATATCACAAAGCAGGTGAACCCTAATATTGGGTCCTTGGTGACTGCGTCAACACTACGGCAGAAGCCTGTAAATATTAAGTTAAGTTAAGAATAATCCTCCAAGCATTTCTTCATTTAAAGACATCCTAACTCTCCCATTTAAGAGCGAGCTAAAACATTAGAAAAATGCTATTTTTGGTAAAATTAACTCCTTTAAGAGATTGTAAAAAAAAATTCTAAACAAAAATTTTAAAAAGATATATTTATATATAATTAATAATTCTTGGAATAAGATCACTAACTAATCCTATATAATTATAGGAAGCTTGCGTTCTTAAATACAAATTCATAAATTAAATTAGAATTTTCTTTTCAATTCTGCAAATGAATTTTTTAAAATACTACAGCAAATTTTATAATATATATAATTTTTAAAAAAATTATTAGAAAGGAAAATCTTGCTTACTTATAAAGGAAGGCGTAAGTGGATTTCTTTCGTTTGGTTTTTTTATTCTTTCTTGTATCTTAAATCTTAAAGGATCAAAGACACTGAGTGGCTTTGATTCAATTGATTTTCTCTTTTTAAGAAAAGGAAAGGGCGATGTCTGCTTTCTAGGTTCTTCGTCAAATCTAGTTTTTAAAATGTGCTCAGGGGTTGGTGAAGTAGATTTCATTAATTTTAAGGCTGCATTTCTCATATTTACCCTTTTCTCAAGGTTTTCATCTTTAGGAGAAGTTAGCGCAATATTTTTTTTCCCTTCAGCATCATACGAAATTTTTGTTTTAATTGCAAGCTGCTTTGTTACAACTCTAACCCCTGGTTTATTTTTCGGGGTTGGTGACGCTTTAGTAGCTTCGCTGACTAAAGTGCTAAGACTGATATTGTTTGAGTCTTCAAGCTTTGATGATTGATCATACAAACTTGGTTCAGTCTGCATATGCAGGTACTGACTCTCCCCATCAATTCTTCTCCACTGCTCCACGATACTTTCAATTGTCCCCAATATTTCTTGATTATTTGAACCTTCTTTCCCGATGTTTAAATTTATATATAATTTTCTCAGTTCAACCCCTAAAGCTTCTTCAGAATATTCACTTTCCGTCTGAACTTCTACATCTTTTCATTTTTCAGGGTCTATTTCGCTTAATGAGCTCAGAGTTTGCTGGTTATTTTCTTCACTCCCCCTCTATTAGTAAGGAAACCATTAGAAAATTCCATTTTTTTGAGACAGTGAAGAGCAATTTTTTAAAATGAAAATTTTTATTTGCATATAATAATGAAATCACTAGCTAATTTTATTAAAATTTAAGCATTGTATTTAAAACATAACTTTTTTATATATTTAAAATTAGATTTTTTACTTTTAATTATTGAAAAATGAGAATTTTAAAAAAATAATATTAAATTATTTATATATAATTTTTTCAAAAAACCTACCCCCGTCCATGGGAGAAAGGGTTAGTTTCTAAACCATTTGTTTGTGAATCTTTAAATTCTATTGGTTCTGTTTGAATCTCTTGAGTAGGATTTAAATTTTCTATTGAAGTTTCAGCTGTAATTTTTTTACATTGAGGATCTGGAAAAAAGTTAAAGCCTTTAAGATTTTCTACTGATAAAATTGTTTTTACTGTATTAGGTTTTTGAATTTGATTATAAGGCATCGAGCCTGTAGTAAGTGATCTTGAAATTGGTTTATCAAGAGTTCCTGGATTTTGTTCTAAGGTACTTGATCCACAACCCATATTTTTTATTATTTTTTCTTTTGTACTAAAGGAATTATCTCTGATTTTAAAAATAGCTAAATTAAATTTAGAGATGAAGCTGCTGGGCCAAGTCATGAAGTTCAGCATCCTCTGGATGGTGGCTAAGCAAAAGTCTTGCCATTTTTTGAGCATCTTTAGCAGAGTAAACTTCTTGGTTCGCTAGGTGGCACCTAATAAGCCCTTTTCCAGCCCTCAGCAAAGGTTTTTGTTTATAAAGAATATCAGTGAATTTCAAGAAGTTCTCATAGGAATTAAAATTCATTTTTCTCATAACATAAAAGTGAAAATCACATTGGTCATCAAACATATCTGAATATTGCTTATCAACCCATTCAAATTCCGCTTTAGCTTTTGCAAATTCTCCTAGACGAAGGTAAGCCTCAGCCATTTCGTTTTCAACCCAAGTGCTTTGCATGTCGTGAGTATTTAATTCTCCTCTTTCTCTTGAGAACAGACCAAGTAACTCTTCTGCTTGTGCAGGCTGATTGTTTCTAAAGAGATATTTAGCACTCTTATTGTTGAGATATCTGTCAGAGAAATCTAAATTTCTTGCTTCTTCGACTTCGTTGATGGCTTCTTGGAGCCTCCCCATATGCTTTAATATTCTACCCTTAGTAAGATATAAATCAGGTACTGTAGGCGTATGATCAATAGCTTGGGTAATTAACTTTAAAGCATCTTCATGGTTTTTTAAGTAATCTTGTATTTTGCTGTATAGCAATAAAATCCACATTAAGCACTGTGGCTCCTCTTTTGGACCATTTTCGTGGGTCCACGCATTATATTCGATCACTGCAAAAGATCCTGAAGCTGTAAGCGCTTCAATGTGAGCTTTAATAATGTTTATAATTGTTTCGGCTTTAGCTGGGGTTTTGAGGAGTCCTTTTATATCTGAAAAAAGTGAAGGAATACCTTTGCGAACTCGTTTGATCATATACCTATCAAAAGCTGCAGGGAATCCTGCTACGTCTAATAAGTCAAGTTCTAGCCTAAACATCATGGTGCTTCGTGGAAATGCCCCTTGGAGCTCTGTATATAAACCTAAAATTTCTTCAGGATTCTTGCATCTCTGCAGCATTTCATGATAAATTGAATTTTCTGGGTTTAAATTCAAAAGCTCTCTAACTAGCACTTCAGCCTGTTCTTTTTTCCCTAATTCCAGCAAACATCTGACCATTATTTCTTTCCAAAGCACTTGGTCTAATATCCCTGATTTATTTTCATTCAAGCATTTTTCGAGCCCTACATAATTTCTCATATCTTCCAAAATTTTTGCCTTATAAAGCAAACTCTCTGAAAGCTCAATTTTGCTTAAGTTTGCTCCCATTGACTTGATTAACGATTCTATCACTTTGCAAGCTTTTTCACCATCACCACTTAAGTGTTCAGCGACTGCATAGCTTGCCCAGTTAATCATGACTGTTGGATTTCCTGTCAAAATCGCTAGTCTTGTATCACGAAAAGATTTAAAGTCTCGAGTTTGGAGCTGCAAAAGGCTCAGATTTCTGACAATAGCTGGGTTTTGTGGACTGATGGTATTGGCTTTTTGTATTGATTTGTAAGCCTCTGCATAGTTTCTGTCATTATTTTGTATTAAAGAGAGAGAATACCAGCATAAAGCGCTTTTCAAGTTTTTCATTAATCCGCGCTTGGCAAAATCTATTGCTTCGTCCTTACGGCCTAGAGAGCTTAAAATGTTTCCTTTGAGGGATAAAGCATCACCATTTTCTGGGTAAGTTTCTAAAGCCTTGTCGACGTGCTTAAGGGCTTTTGCATATTGTCTCTTGTCTATTAGTTGAAGCGCTTGGCGAATGTGCCCTCCTTCTTTTTGTGCAAAGGACTCAGCCACTGCTCCAAATGACTCCATATTATGAGACTAAATAATATAATATCTATCATTTGGGATATAAATACCTAGAGTTGAAGCTAAGCTTTTATAATAAAATTACGAATGATTCAAAAAAAGACCAAGCATTCTTAATAATATATAAATTCGAAATTTGAGCTAAAAAAAGCTAAAAGAACGATAGTTGGCTATAAAGAAATATATTATATAAAGATATAAACCTTTTAATTAAAAATGAGATAGCTAAAATGACCTAATAAAAATTTCTATTATATTATCAGAATTATAAAATTAATAATGAAAGGCTTGTCTCCCGACACCAAATTAAGAAACATACAAATAAATTATAGCAACGATACTAAGTATGTATCCCTTCTAGATTACTTTAGCCTTCAGTTTAAAACGAAAGAATAAGATTTTATCGATAAATTACACACTATTGAACTTTTTATGTTAGAAACAATTTAATTAAATCTAGTCTTGATCAGATAAAGATTGAGAGGAATGAGAATTTGTTGAAGATTCACTAAAAGATTGTGAAGAAGGGCTACATATCATTTGACCGGATTTTTGGATAGTGCGAGAGTTGCCCTGGAAAAATTTGATCGAGATTTTTCGATAGTGTAGAGGAAGCATGAATTATCAAAAATTTTCCTGAGTCGATGTCAGGCTATCAAGCTCTCCCTATTAAAAAGCAAACCCATGAAGAAGTTGCATTCGCAAGCTCAGTTCCATATGCAGCGCCTCTTAAGCTTATATCACCTAATAATGTTCCTAATTCTTCATCATGACTTATGGCATGTTTAATGTGTGATGGTTTTATACACTTTTTTTGTCTTTGCAAAGAAACATCTCCTGCTATATCAAGAACTTCAGCTGTGAGATATTCTAATACTGCAGTTAAAAAGACTGATGCCTTTTGGCTCGTTGACGGAGCAATATGAGCTTTTTTGATCTTTTTTGATATTTTAAAGATAGGGAAAATGAGATCACACGTTGAAGATTGAGAATCATGGTCAGATGAATTAGAGGCAAAAGAAAGCTTGTTTGGCTTTGACATTATATAAAGAGGCATTAGCTTATTATCTACTCCCCTTTAAATTCAATTTATATAGTAAACAGTATTTTTTATTTAAAAAACTTAATACAATTTAATGTCATGAAAATAAAAAAATACCAATAGTCTGTTCTATTGTAAAAAGTGGAAGCAGAATACTATCTAAAGAAAGTTGGTACTTTTGATCAGTAATTTTTCTAAATTATTTTTTGTGGAGAATTTGCAAAGACAATTTTATAATAAGAGTTAACACTTCTTAAATTGAAACATATTTTTAGCTCCAATTTTAGGGAGGAACAAATAAAATAAAGATATTTACAGAAAGTTAGTAAATATCTTATGATTTAAATAAAATTAATTAAATGTCCTTTACTTTATAATCGAAGAGATTTTGATTCTTCTCTTTGATTAAAACATGATGTTTACCTGAATTTTAATTTAAGATTTCTTTGATTTAAATTATGGTTGGAGAAAAGCTTATTTAGTTGTAAATGCTTGATTAAATTTATTTTTGTAAGAGCCATTTTAATTGATTTTTACTTTTATGCATATTTGTCTACAGCAGAATAGCAGGCGTTACGTCCTGGGCTATGAATTTACATCTTTGACGACAGGTGAACAGAAAACTCGCTTTTCGAAGAATCTAGGAGATAAACTCCATTTGCTTACCGCATGGAGACCCAGCGCTTCTGACATACTGGCAGCAAGTGCAAGCTCTCTTCCTTGAAGAGTAACCATGAAAGGCTGTGCTTGGACTGGCAAGCAAGCGGCAGAGCGGTACAGAAGTGAATGTGGGCTAAAGATCCTACCAGAAGCTTTTCTATAATCTTAATTAAGTTTAAATTTATGCATATTTGTCTAAATTTCCTTTGCACATAAATATATAATAGCCATATTTCTTTATAATATCAAAAATCGTTATAATATCAAAAATCGTTATAATTAAAAGAATCAATAATGAGTTAAATGCAAGTTTTAATAATAGTCCTTGGAAATGAGTAAATTAAATGTATAGGCACGCTTATAATAACTTAATAATACAAATTTTCTGAAAACATTTTGAATCTTTTGATTATTTCTATTTTACAAAGATTTTTGAACTTTGATCTATATTGATTCAATTTATTAATTCGTTTACTTTAGTTTCTATTTATAACTCACTTGCCACTTTATTAAATCATCCTTTTAAAACTTATCAGAATCATCATGAAGTGTGCTGAGTAATTTTCTTTATTTAAATCTCCTTTTTCATATCCCGTTCTTTCATTCAACCTGAATTTTTTACCTCCTCATTTTCTCTGAATTAAAATAATTTCAAATTTCTCATTTCCTTTTATTTTATTACATCAACCATTCATAATTTATTATTATAATTTTATAGGAAATTCCCTAGAATACGGCAGGCGATTGAAGAGTTAGCAAATGAGTCTATCTCTAGTTAGCTTGATCAACCTGAGGTGGTTCAATAACTAGAGAGTTTCCCTCCATCACTTGACTTATCAGGCAATTCTAGAGAATTCCTTATATATTTTCTCGACTCTCTTAGTCATTTGACAACAAAACTTAAAATTATTGTAAACAGTTTTCCATCTTTGCTGGATGTAAAACAGCATCCTGAAAACGGGCGAAAAAATAGGGGTTAAATAAAATATTAATAGAATGGGAAGTGGTTGCTGCAAGAACGCACTCGAAGATATTGAAGTAGAAAACAGCAAAGCGAAATCTGGTAACTCAGGAAACGTAAGTTTAAACACGACTTTTTCAATTCTTGAAGACAACTATGATTCAATCCCAAACCTCCTTAATAAGCGATCACCAAAAAATGCCAAATCTGTTAATGGGCTTTCTGGGCTAGAAAACGTAGGGAATAGCTGCTATATAAATGCAGCATTACAATGCATACTTAACTGCCAACCATTAGCTGATTATTTTCTGTCAGATGTTTACAAAAAAGACATCAAGGCATCGATGACTATGAAAGGACAAGTAACAATAGCTTTGGCAGAAATTGTGAAAACTTATTGGAAAGATGGGTTTGATGTTATCGTGCCAAGATATTTGGTACAAGAAATTTGAAACAATGCTTCTACAATTGAAGCTGGGAAAGAAAATGATGTTCATGAATTAATGTCGTTTTTGCTTGACCGGCTTCACCAAGATTTAAATAGAGCTTTTATTAGCCCAGCTCTTGGGTGTATTGACATAAATGACAATACACAGGAAACAAAAGCAGCTAAAGCTTGGCAGCTTCATTTAGGAAGCCACTCATCGATTATTGTGGATCTTTTCCAAGGGCAGCTTCGGTCTACAGTAACATGTAAAGAATGTTCTTTCCAATCACAAAAATTCGATGAGTTTTCGTCACTAAGCCTGCCTATTCCACAGCGAGGGAGCTCTTTTACTTTAAACGACTGTCTAAAAGAATTCACTACAAAAGAAGAGCTAGAAAAAGCGTGGTTTTGCCCAAGATGCAATAAATCTGTAAAAGCATTTAAAAAATTCGACATTTGGAAAGTCCCACCAATTCTTGTGATTCACTTAAAACGATTTAAGCTAATCAACAAAGAAGTTCAAAAAATAGAAAACTTCGTGGATTACCCAATAAAAGATTTAAATTTAAGCAAGTTTGTGTCTGGGCCACAAAGAGAAAAACCAGTGTATGACCTGTATGCGAAAATTGACCATGAAGGAAATATGGGATCTGGGCATTATACAGCGACAGCAAAAAATAGGAATAATACTGCGTGACATTTATTTGATGACTCAAATGTGTATTCGGTAGTCCCAGAGCAGTGCGTAGACGAAAACGCATATGTATTGTTTTATCAGAAGGTCAGTGTTGATAAATACTTTAGGCAGTCAAAAAATAAGCCAAACAATTGGCCTCATGTAATTTAGAAGATTTGCACACAATTTTTATATTACTTTTACAATTGTATGTAAAAGATTAAATAATATTGCTTTTATAAAAAATATACAAATTTTAAATATTTTCTGAGTTCAAATCTTGCATTTGTCTCTCGATTCTTGCTCGAGATTCCATTAGGGCAGCGATTTTAGCTTTTACATCAGTTTTAGAAGGAGTGGATTGAAGAGATCTATCTTCCCTCCAAACGTAAATATTTTTTATTTTACTAATAAAAATCTTAACATAAAATTATTAAAAATTTATATTGATATAAATTGGAGTAAAAGTAGCAGATGTGTTTTCTTTAGATTTAAACGGTGATGGTCTTTCTGGCGATCTTCTGCTTGGAGATGAAACTCGTAAATGCCTCAATGGTGATTCAACTTCGGTAGATTCCATCAGCCTTGAAGCAGTTGAAGCTATAGCGCTTTCCCGAGGATGGCGCGGAATGGCGCCATCCTCGGGAAAGTCAACTAAGCATCCACACGGGAACTGGGAGTTCCACGTGTGGATGCCATTTTTGACATGTGGGATCCAACTTCCACATGTCAAAATGGCATCCACACGTGGAACTCCCAGTTCCCGTGTGGATGCCTTCCTGGCTTTCCCGAGGATGGCGCCATTCTGTGCCATCCTCGGGAAAGCGCTATAGACGATCTTGGTGCTCTTTTTGCAGCTCTTTTCTTGATGGAGATTTAGAAGGGGAAGTTGGAGAATAATCTTCCTTAAAATGAGGCAGAGATTCAATATCATGAATAGAAGGAGAACGATTTCTTGGGCTTTTAGATGCAGGAGATGGCTTGCCATAAGGCGATAGTGGAATTGATCTCATAGGGGTATTCAACAAAGTAATTGCCCTTTCTTTGTACTCCTTAGCCCTCTGAGCTAATTCTTTTTGCAAATTATCAAAAAGCTGTTGATTTTTCATCTGCAAATCAGCAAGTTCTTCAGAAAGCTTGTTCTTATCAAATTCTGATTGATTATAATGATTTTTCCAATCCTCACCTATTTTGGTTACCTGATCTAAAAGGGCATTTTTTTCTTCAAGCTGCTGATGCAACTTTTCAATCTCATATTTCATGTCATCAAATGAACTTTTGAGGTATTTACTCTCTGCAATTTTATCTGATAAATCTTTTCCTATTGATTCTATGTCAGCTGATATCGCAAGATTGATGCTTTCTTTTTCTTTAAGATTTTCTTGAAGTATTGATTGCTGATATCTTGCTTCTTTGAGCTCATTTTGGATATTTTCATTTTCTACAGACTTATTGTCGAGTAGATTTTTATATTCTTCTATATTTTGATAGGTACTTTACTTATATGGTTAATAACTCTTAATAAAAATTGACATAATAAAGGAAGGAAATTAAAGTTTTGCATTAAAATATTGGTCTTGAGTGCTATTTTTGCAATAAAAATATTTACTAGGCATATTTTCTAGCCTTAATCTTTCATTTTCTTGGCTAAAATTATCTGAATTATACTGAAGCTGGGCTATTAATGAGTCCTTTTGATCGATTTGAATTTTACCCTTATGAATTTCTTCTTGCAGCGAATTGAAGCTGCTTTGAGACAACTTTTGGATTTCTTCCAGCTTATATTGAAGTTGAGCAATTAGTGAATCTTTTTGATCATTTTTTAATTTTCCTTGTCTAATTTCTTCTTGCAATGCATCAAAACTATTTTGCGATAAATTTTGCACTTCTTCAAGCTTATTTTGAGAAATATTTAATAAATCATCTAGTCTGCGTCTATGAGAGTTGGCTGCTTCAAAGTCTCTTTCAATCTGCTTTCGCCTTATTTTTTCTTCTTCTAACTGTGCCTTTAAGTCTCTGTTTTCTAAAATAACTGACTCCTTTTCTTTAACAAATAAATTATTCTATAAACTATAAATACATATTTTTAAAAAATCTTTTATTTATGACAGTTTTTGTATGAGTTAGCATATCAAGTTTTTGGTTTTCTAATTTTGACTGATGAATGAATTCATCCAATGATCGCTTTAATCTCATATTTTCCTCTTTTAAAGACTTGTTTTCAGTGGATGATAAATAGTTTGTGTGGTTAGCTTCTTCTAAGTTTTTCTTTAATATTGACATGTCCCTTGCTAGTTCTTGATTGATGGCAGATATTTCTAACAATCTTGATTGTTGATAGCTTTGGTCATCTTTTAATCTCATTTTCTCATCAATTTCTATTTGCATATGCTGGCTGCTAGCCTTCAGCTCTGCATAAGCTTCGCTTACAGCTTGCAATTCTGCTCGATTAGCTCTATACTCTCTCATAACTTGATCCAGTCTCAAATTCAATTCATCAATCTGATTATTTTTCGAAAAAATTTCTGTTTCCACTTCATGATTATTATGTGGAATATAAGAAAAGCTTTTATTTACACTGATGGGTGCAGATTTACCATCATATCTTCATGGACTTTTTATTTCATTTTTTAATTTTTCCAATTTATCTCCAGATCCAAAACTCCCATTTCTTTTTAAATGCTTCTTATTAGATTGCTCAGCTGACAGTCTTCTTTTTAAATAGGAAGGCTTTTGCACACTTTTTGCTTCTTTTATTTCTGAATTTTTCTGAGGAGTTTTAGTCTTTAATGGGGTATTTTCTCTGGATTTTGGCTGAGATGAACGACCTTTTGTTATGTCACTTCCTAGCGCTAGACAGGAATTCGATCCGCAAGATATAAATTTTACTTGTTTGCCTTGTAGACCTATAATAGGGACAGGCTTTACGCGAGTTTCATAGTCTCCAGTTCCAAGTTCACCGTTTGAATTTGATCCCCAAGCATATACTGAAAAGTTATTATCAATTGCCATGCCAAAGCACCCACCAACTCCTATATCTCTTATTGGATTTGCAAAACTGAATCTTTGAGGCACTAGAAATTCTCCAAAGATTCCAGTGCCTCACACATAGACTTGGCCTTTGTCACTTAGCACCGCTGTGTGGTTTCCACAAGCAATTTTTGATATAAAAATCCCATCAAGATTTTGAACCTGTTTTGGAATACTAACACTTTTTTTATTGCCAAGGCCTAATTGTCCAAAGGAATTTCCTCCCATCATATAGACTGATCCTGATTTTGTTATAAATCCAGTATGAAATACTCCACAAGATACTTGCAGAATTTCTTCATTTGATTGAATTCTTATTGGGAGCATTTCTCTTTCTCGACGTCCTGTGCCTAATTGTCCTGCTTCTCCGGCACCAAATAAAAATAAAATTCCGCTTTCATAGCCGTCATCGCCCAGAATTGCAGTATGCCGAGATCTATTAATTTTAAAAATAAAAAAATTTTAAAAAAATATAATGAAAAGATGGAAAAAATAATAAGCGAGATCCACAAGACACCTTTTTGCATCGAATAAAATCGGGTATTTTAACTTTTACAGGCGATCATTGTGTGTCTGAAGTTCCGTTACCTAAAGCTCCAAATTCTCCAACACCCCATGAAAAAGCATACCCTTCTTCTGTGATAACTACTGTATGACCCCATCCACATGATACAGATGATGCTCTATAAAGAGATAAATATTCTACTAAGCAAGGAGAAGGGCATTGTTTAACTGATTGATCGCCAATCCCTAATCTTCCTTCACTGTTACTTCCCATAGTAAAAACATGCCCAGATTGAGTTATGAAGCATGAATGCTGTTCACTGCATGAAATATCTTTTATTAGCACATTAAAGCTGCAAAATCTCGGCACAGGATATGTCTTACTAGCTTGTTTTGTTCCAAGTCCTAATTGTCCAAAATGATCGCCACCCCACGCAAAAACTTCTGTATACTCTTCCATTTTAACGACCTTTTTAAATTATTTGAATTTTATTAATCGTTCTTAGAATTTTTTTAACTTTTGCATTTAAATGAATTCATTTTATTGCAAATTTATTGGGAATTTTTAACAATAACTCTATCTAAGCTGAGTCTTTTGTTATGTCTTAATCGTGATCTCTCAAATGATTTCTCTGCATCATCCATAATATAGGAGCTTTGGAAAACCATTGAGTCTTTTAGCTCTGGAATCACAGGCTGCGCATAGAACGATTTATTTGTTGTGTGGAAATATGTGTCTCCTCTTAGTCCATATACATTATTAGGATTATATGGTAAAAGATATACAAAATTTCCACCATCCTGAGTATTTTCGCTTTCTATATCTGCATCAGGATTTTCCCAATTGTATTGTACTCCAATGGAAAGCTCTTTAAGATCTTTCATTTTTAAATCAGAGGTTGTCATGACAGCAACATCAGTGACAGACACTGAATTTCCATTTTCTCCAATTTTTATTCTTGGGACTGGCTTTAAATAGTCTTCATGTGGAGGTTCTGAAGAAGGAATTGAATGATTTTCCCATCTCATAGAAAAATCTTCATCATTCACTTGGCTACTACTTTGAGGGTTTTTATTAATTTTGAATTTTGGTTTATTTGGAGAGGAGGGTGTAGTTTCTTCGGAATTTTCATGAGGATGATTTTTATTCTTTGGAGATTGTGCTGGGATATTTATTTTTATTTTATCTGATTTTAAGTTGGTGTTTGAAGTTTCATACTGGGCTTCTTCCACTTTTGTTAGCTGATTATGGCGAGGCCTATGAGATGAAACTATAGTTGATTGGGAATTATTTGTGTCTGTACTCAATTTTGATAAGGGTCTTGCAGACTCTGAGTTTGTTTGATCTCTGCTGTATGAAGTTGAGTTGAATTTATTTTCTTTTCTATTCAAAGTTTCGTGCTCTCCTAAAGTGGAGTTTGAGTCAGAATTATTAGACGAGCTTTCTTTATATTCATTTTTGGTTCTTATTGGAGATCGCTTTTTAATTGTTTTGTGGTCCATAGTTCGCTCTTGGTCGATTTGATCAATTTCATAGTTCGATCCTGAGTCTTCATTATTTTTATTTCCTTGTCTTATTCTTTTAACTTCTGAAGCTCCAAGCTTACTTTCATTTAATTCATTGTCTCTGGATGTCTGCCTAGAATGGTTCTCACTCCCATTGCGCTTTGAATTTCGAGAAGAATTGATTGGAGATGAGCCTCTTAGGTGTTCTGTTATTGCTTGAGGACTTTCTTGCTCTTTATTATCTCCTTTTTTTCCTTTTCTTTCTTCCAAATATTTTAGCTTTTCTTCTTTCTCTTTTACTGAAAATTCTAATTTTTCAATATTTTTCATCAGTTGTGTGATTTTTCCATATTGACTTTCGAGTTTATCTTGCATTAATGAATTTTCCATAATTTTTTCGTTGTTTTCTTTTTTTAAATTTTCCAACTCACTTTTCAAAAGTTCATTATCTCTCTTTACGTTTATCAATTCACTCATGCATCCATCTATTTCTCTTTTAACTCTTATCAAATCATTTGCTAGATTTGTTTTTTCTTGCTCTAGAAAATTAGCTAAAGATTGCTTATTTGATAGTTCTCCTTTGATCTTTTCATTGTTATTTAAGGCTGCTTGAAATTGTCCTTGCAGTTTTTCAATTTGTGCATTTGCATCTTCTAAGGTTTTTGGGTCCACATAAGGCGCATAAGTTTGACAGTCAGCATCAGATCTGTCACATCTGTTTTCGAATACTTTTAAAACTCTATGTGCAGTGCTTCTCTGTAAAATTTTAAATTTTCTCATCAATCCAGTTTCTAATTCATCAGGATTTAATAAATTCATATCAAAAATTTTCAGTGTCGGAATTTCTCTTTCTTTGCTCATTTCTTGATACAGTTCAGATAAAACTTCTGTAGTAGCTCCACTTTGGATCTCATAAAGTCTCTTCGCCTTTTGTTTAAGATGTTGAAACTCATTATCATCAGATCCAAAAAGTTCATCAATTTCTGCTTTGATTTTTTCTTCTTCAATTCTCATCGATTTTACAAGCTCTTCAGAGGCCCCTTGAAGTTCAAGAATTTTACATTCTAGCTCTTTGACTTGCTTCTGTAATGAAAGTTTGGAAACTTTATTTATTTTGTTTTGAGTTTTGAATTCTTCAAAAATGTTTAAAAACAAATTTTTCATATGAGAGTTTATTCTGGAAACGGAGCTTGCTGATTCTTGGGAGTGAGTTTTCATCATAGGAATGATTTCATCATAGCATTGTTGCCATAATTCAAACTCTTCAGTTAATGAAGATAAGGATTTAACTGATTTTTTTTGAGATTTTTGGATTTCATATGACTCAATTCTTTCTAGCATTTCTCATTTCGTTTGCTTTCCACTAGATTTAACTTTCGGTTCCATGAACTCAGAAATTATCATATCATCCTGTGAGTAGTTATACACAACTACTATATATATATTCCATTGATTTATATAAAGACTACATGAAGGCTATTTATGATTAATAGTATAACTGATTTTGAACAAATTCCAGCTGTTCTGCACTTAGGAGATATCGATCCTGTTTCTCGAGGAGTCTGATTGAAAAATTTGCGAATGTTTTGTGGATCATAAAATGTTTGGGATTTCTCATTAGGAAACACATAGAAATTAAATTCTGGGGAAGTAACTTGTGGGGTCATCCTTGTAATTTGTTGGCTCACTTCTCGAGCCTTGCTTGATATTGGAGGTAATGATTTTTTAGGATTTGACGAAGGTCGAGATATTTTTGAGTCGACTGAAGAATGCCGTTTATTCATTTATTGAACTTATATGAAATATTTATATTAAAACTGAAATAAAACTCATTTATTTGCATGAATATTTATCAAACTCATATAAAAATATAAGTCAAAAAGAAATTAATAGTTTTAATCGCAAAATTCTTTAGCGTGCAAAAGTTTTTTTCCCATTCCAAATCTTTGCAGGTCTCCATAAATTTCTTTGAAAACTTCCACAGCTTCATTATATTTCGAAATTCCTAAAAGAAGCACTCCTTTCCAATACATTGCCTTCGTTCTCAGTATATCTTGCTTTTCTTCATTTTTTTCATATCTGAGATATAATAAATAATCATCAAGTGCGCATAGCCCATCTTCCATATGAACCTTAAATTTTCCTGCTATTTTTCCTATTTTATATAGCTCATCCATTGAAAAACGAGCAAAAAATTTGTTTATTTTTTTGGGTATAAAAATTATATGGGCTTTTTCTTTGAAAAAAAATTATATAAATTTTAAAATTTTCATAAACAAGAAATATATAAATTAATCTGTTCAGTATATTTTTTCCATTCAATTTTTAAAATAGAGCAATTTTTATGTAAACTTTTGTTTTATGCAGCATTAAATTAGGTATCAAGCTATTTATAGAAATTATACTTTTAACTATAAAAAATAAAATTTCGTCAAATTAAAAGGTAGATTATTTATCCAAAAAACGAAAACTTTTCCAATATTTTGTTCTAATTAAAGTGGGGAGTAAGAAAGTTGTATCAGAGCATATCGAAAGTCCTATATAAGAATTCGAAATTTTTGATGGAGAAACCAATGGCATTTCATTTTTATTAGTATTTAATTTCATTTCAGTTTGGTCAGATGCTAATTCTGTATTAATCATTAAGCTTTCAAATCTCTTATGATTTCCAAAACTTTTAAATCTTTCACTAAATGTACCTACCCTTCTATGAGTTTTTGATTTATCTTCTCTGGGCGATATTGGAGAATTAAAAATTATATCGTCAGCTAATATTTTTTGCTTTCTTGGAGGTGATTTTGTCTTATTTTGCTCAGAAGTTACTTGTGGGACATGGCTTATGTTTTTATACATGTTATAATTAAATATAGAAGCAGATTTAACAGCTCTGGAAGCAGCAGATAAAAGTTGCTGGAGTGTTGTAGCTTTTTGGAGGTTATTCGTATAAAATAATGAAGGGTCTGGAATAGGAGGTAAGACTTGTGCAAGGCATTTTAGCAGTGTGATCGCTTTAGCTGGCTTATCCACAAGCACTAAGATTTTTGCATAAATTATATGTGCTTGCATTCATACAAAAGTTGGAATTTGATTGTTTTTGCATTTCAGCACCATTTCTTTTCCAACCATTTTCATAAACTGATAATCACCTATAATTTTCAAGTACTTCATCAATTGAAAGTATCCAATCATTCTTCCATTAGACCACTTTACCGAGTTTTGGAGTAACTTAATTGACTCTTTTTGGTTTCCTTCACACCATAATATTTTTGCTATTAAAAGCTCTCCATACTGTTTTTGGAAACTTTTAACATCTTCACATAGAGATTTGCAGTTATTTATTTCTTCATCACTCATTTGTGCACTCAAGGATTTTTCAATGGTTTCATAAGCCATCATACTTTCATTTATGCTTCGGACATGGTCTTTCATTTCTGTCACTTTTTTCATCTCCGAGGTTTCCAAATATTTTAATGAATTTTTCATAGCGTAAAATTCTTCAACACTCTGCCTTACAGTTCTATAGGCTTTTGCGAGCCAAAAATAAATGGATCCATATCTAAACTCATCACATAGTTTAATGGATTCTTCTAATGCTCCTATAGCTGAGCCTATGCAAGTGTAATCTTGAGCCTTAACTATTAGTTTTCCATATTGGTATAATAAAACTGTATAGTTAGGATAATCAAGATAATGCTGCTGAAGCACTTGGAAGCATTCTCTGAATTTATTTTGTCGGAAAAGTGTTTTTGCATATCTAATACATAGAATTATGTTGTAGTACAAATTTTCTGAAGCAGAAATATAAGAAAATGCAATGGCTGCAATTTCTTCAGCACCATCATATTGGTGACTTTTATAGTAATGCTCCCACAGTCTTACATACGCTTCTGGCCGAAATGGATAAATCTGTATTAAAGCTTTGAGGACTTCTTTTGCCTTAGAAATTTGATTTTCTCTCATAAAAATTTCACTTCATGCTAGCTCACCCTCCGTGAGCGAATAAAAAAATTTTTTTGATTATGGAGGGAGCTATTTTATTTTAAATATTATATAAGATTCTATAGTAAAATTTTGTTTCAAAATTTTAAAAAAATTGCAAAAATTGAAAATTAAAAAATTTTGTAAAATTTATGTTTTTAATGCAAGCTTTTAAAAGAATTAGCTAGATATTTAATTATACTAATTATCACTTGTATATCAAAATATTTTTCATAAAAATTTTTTGTTCACTCACGGAGGGTGGGTTTATACTCAAAAAATAGGGATTTTTCAATGATTTTGTTCGCTCGCGGAGGGGGGGATTAAGTAGCCATAGTATAGATCAATATCTTTGATTTTTGTAGCATAAAATTGAGGCAATTCGATTTCTTTGGCTGGATCTAATAAATCTGTAAATGATAAATTGAGCAATCCTCATAAAGTTTCAATTTTTTCTATGCAAGAATCTAAGAGAGATTTACATGTCAATGCTTCGCCTTTGGTAGTGCAAAATGATTTAGATTGAACCAATGAGTACCAAATTTTATATATATCGTCACTATGATTGAGCTTTGCTGCTTCTTTTAAATGAAAAATAGCTTTATCCATTCTTCCTAGATAAGTGTACAATTTTCCTAAACCAAAATGAGCTTCGTGGCAATCTGAAATTTTCGACAGCAAATTTGAGAAAATTTTATGAGTCTGTGAGATTTCATGATCTGGAATTATATCGCGAATAGATTTCCCAGATACTATATATAGCATAAAACATGAGGCTGGCTCAAGTTTTACTTTATTAAGCGAAAATTCTTGAATGCTTTCTCTGAAGATTTCTTCTTTTATATCATCACCATTATCTGGAATATATTCTGGATCTTCAGAATCTGAAAAAAGAACTTCGGCGACATCAGTAGATTGATGCCTTAGCCGCTTAGCTTTAGATATCATTGTACGATTTTTTTTTGCATATTCGGACATGAGGGAGAGGATTTTCATTTAACTTTCTTTCTTCTTGGCTTAAACTTAGCTAAGATTATAAGAGAAGCTCCCTGTAGGCTTGAGGGCTAGGCTATATTCATCTCCATAACACTCCATCACTTGCTTGCTAGTTGTTACAATCAAGGACCACTCGTGTGCTAGAGAACTGGGTCATCATGTCGTACATCAATGGGGCTCTGCTTCCAGAAAATTAGATTTTCGAATTTTCTGCTCACCTGTAAACCAAAGTGAAATCTCAAAGCCGAGGATGCAAGACCTGTATCGCGCTGGGAAATGCTCCCGATTGGTCAGGAGGAACCCACTGGTGCTGCTGGGAATTCCCTTTCAAAGAGGTAAAATCTTGGTGTGGATAAAGAGGTGGATTAATTCACTCTTCACTTTAATGTATGATCTTTCTTTTTGGCAGCAGTCTTCAGGAAGCTCTAAAAAACTTTCTATTAAAACGTTTTTTTCTGTATCTGTTTCGTAGAAAAGAGGACCATCTTTGTCTATTTGAAAAGTTTTGACACTAGAGCTATCTTCTTGAGACATTTTTAAGGCAAATTAAACTGACTATAAAGATATTTATTTTACGTTTATTTCGAAAATTAAGTAAGCATTTGAAGTTTGCAAGCTGGTTATATTAGTTTGGATGAGTTTTCTATTCTTGTTCTTATAATATCTGAGATCAAGGAATAGTTAAATTTATAATTTATAATTTAGCTTTAAATAATAAAACTCTATAATGAAGCTAGCTCTGCAATATTTTTGTTTTAAGCTCAAAAAACAATGCACTTTAAGCTTATAAATAAAAATTTTAATTTTTTCTTATTTCTTTTTCTAATAGCTTCTATCAAGCATTAAAATTCATATCCATACTGATTATATGTGAGCTTAGATATATTGACAGTATAATTATAAAAGATATCTGCCCATTCTATTTAAATAAAAAGCTACTACTTTTTCTGAATTTTAAAATTCTTATGAAAATACTAATTCGCGATTTAGCTGCAATGTATCATCGTGGTATTTATATGTTGATTTAAAATATAATCTGAATTAGCATTATTTAGACCATAAAATTAAAAAATGCTCTGATATTAGGGATAATTTTTATTTTTATTGACTTTCCATCTAAGCTAAATTATTTTATTTCCCATTTCTAGCTAAATTTAGTTACATAAAAAAGACATAGCTAATGCTTATTGTTTGAGACCAAAAGTTTAATTTTAAGAAAAATTCAATAAGAAATTATTTAAAATTTAGATGCAATTATGATATCTAAATATTTATTGATTAAAAATATTTATTGATTAAAAATATTTATTTTTAAGCCTATTAGCTACTAAATAATTTCTTATTTATCTCCATATTTTCACTTTCAATAAAATTAAAATTTTAATTATTTAATTCGCCAATTGTCCAAACATCGCATTAAGCTTTTTTAGTAGAATTTGGATTTATTTGCATCTTTTCCTAGATTTTATATTTGTCTGATACAAATTATCTCTGCATTTTCTTTGAAATCCTCCAAATAAGCCACTGCCTAGCGTTTGGCATAGCATCTGTACTTGACTTAGCTCTTTCTTAATTTCAAAGCTGCATGGTTTAACTCAATAAAAGAGCATTTTTTATTAATTTTTCAAATAATCTAATTGCTTTCTAAAGTAATTAGTATTGATTAATCTTTTATCTGCAAGATATATGATATAAATTTTATCAACTTGAAACTCTAATCACAGCAATTTTATGATGAACAATCAAATAAAATCAGTGTTTCTGATAATCGAAACTTGCACGGTTATTGAATTCTGTTAAAAATGGCCAAAGGTAACTTTCCAATGCAACAAATGGCCGCTTAAATAGGATTAAGCAAATGTAGCGGCTTTTATATTAAACAATACTCTTTAATTTAACTTTATAAACCGAACACTTTGATATAGCAAATTAACTTAAATAGAATTTAAAAATTAAACTAAAGCTTTTTATGTTGAAGGCGATAAGATACCTTCTTTACTCATCTCTTCACAAATTACATCCTTTCTGAATTTTTTGCAAAATTAATTTTCTTTAACAAGCTTCTTTCTAAGACGAGCTCCTCTTTAAGTCCAACGCTACAGTTAACCAATGATTTTGCCTCTCTACTAATTTTCTCTTGCATTGAAGAGATCAGGTTACTCTCAGACTGAAGTTCTTCAATTTCTTTTGCTGAAGTGGTCAGAAAATTTTTACTCTCATTTATGACCTCATAAAGCTCTTCGAAAAATTTCCCGGTTAAACTGTCAACAATGCCAGGTATTTGGCTGGGTGTGAATTGATTCATCTGAGCTGCTATTTGTCTTGGCAACAAAATTTTTGAGTTGAAATCTGTATTCATGGCTATGTATTTATAAAAATTATGACCACTAAGTTGCTATTAAAAATGAGTTTTGAAAATTGATAAAAATAAGCTTAAAGAGATTTAAAAAGAAGAGGCTATGAGGGTAAAAATTTACAATGTAATAAAAATAATTAGAAGCTTCCAAGCGTAAAGGAATTGTAACCTGCTAAAATAATCTTCCAAAATATTATTATAAAATTCATGATATTTATCATGGAGACAACATCAATTTATTTGATAATTTTATATAATAAATTATGATATTTCACAAAATAATGCTTATCTATCTAATGTTAAATCTTTGCACTAAATTCTCGACATAATAATATTTCCTCCCTCCATCCATTTCTTTCCAAGTTTTTGAGTTAATTTGAACTACCTTAATCCCTCCCAACTTTTCTAACTGATCCTTGATAACTTTCGACATAAATACAGTCCCGACTTCCTCTCCATTTTCATTATACACCATATCTCCTTCCTGATTATATATAATTCCAACTTTTGCAGAATTAAATAATAAATCCGGCTTCCATTTAGTAACTGCATCTTTCTCACTTTCTTCCATAGTAAAATTCCTAATCTTTCATATTTGACCCAAGATCTGAACAAATTTCATCTTAAAATCATAAATATCATCAGAATTTTTTCTATCTAAATAAAAAGTATCAACAGCCTGCAGACAAGTTTCTGTGTGTTCAAGGTTTAAAATATTTAAAATTGCATGGATTTTGCAATTAAATAATACTTCGTGAAAAGGCATTTGAGGTTTCTCTGAATAACTAAGCTCTTTTGATGATTTTGAAGCATCATTCGAGATAATAAATCTTGGTTCTAGCACTGTGCTATATAAAAATGGTCTATAACACATCAGCTGTGATTTTGGGTTCAAAAAAATTTCATCTGTGCGATTTCTTGTATTAAATCTGTCAATAAATCTTTCCTTAATAGCACTTGGAACTGTAGAAAAAATTTCTGGATTTCTAGAGTGCACAAACAAATAGTTAACTAAGGAGTCAAAAGAAATATACTGCCACAAGCGATATCGATCTATTATAGAGTTAACAGAGTTCACAACATTTGTAGAAAAACCAATAACTGATAAAGAGCTTAACATTTGCGAAATTATAGATAATAGGTCCCTTTCTTCTTTTACCCTTGGTAAAAGGCTTATATATTTGTTATAGACTGAAGGGATAAAGAGCCTATGCTGGGCTAGACCTTCAAGAATATGAACATTTTTAATTGACGGGTAAATATTTTCATATTTCGTGGCAAGCGCTTTTCTCACTTCGTTGCTTTCAGAGAAATCAATTAAGCGTGTAAGCTCAGATCCCACTTTGAGCTCAATTGCTTCTAGCTTTTTCTTTAAAGGTTTATCTATTTGGCTCCATTTAGACCTTAGCAGAGAGCCAAGCATGAGCAGTTCTTTATCAGATAAATCATCCATGTAATAAGAAAAGCATTTAGAGATTGCTATTAAATCTACTGGAAGAGATGAAGACCTGCATAGTACGTTTAGAAATTCTTTCATGAGAGAAATTGGGAATTTTGGCTCTGATTCGTCAATATAACTCAAATTTGGTGTACCAAGTGAAAATAGGTCATTTCTTTCAGCTTTGCTTAGCATTATTAGAGTCTTTATAAGGATTTCTCCCCATAGACTTTGGACATCTACATTATAAATCATCTCATTTAATGCATCAAATGTTGGGGTATGGCTTAGATTGTAAGCAATCCCTAATGTAAAAGGCCCTTGCTCTTTTATAAACTTGCCTATAATTATTTTGATATTTTGGATTGAGATATATAGATCTGTACTATCAGGGGCCAATTCAGGGAAAACACAAGAAAAATAATAGGCGGCTTCATGGGCTTTAAGATTTTCCTGCAAAATTATGAGCCCTTTTTCTACAACCTCAATTTTTTGTAAGTTTGTAAGTTTGTTTCGATACTTTCACAAAATTCTAGCATAAGGTTGGATCGATTCGGTTGTTTGAGGGCGCAAAAGAATTTCAGCAGAAGGAATTTCTTTGCATAGATTTGATGAGTAATATCGATACAAAGCACCACAGTATGGAGAAACAACTTCTAAAATGTCAACTATATTTCTTGCAAGTTGAATTTTTAATCTGGATTGGACTTGCACAATAGATTGAATTTGATAATTAAAAATTGGCTTCTCTTTGGATAGTTTTACAATAATGTCTAAAATTTGCGATAAATAAATTTGATTGTCTGCTCAAACGGAATCATTTTTATTGTACTTTGACATTTCTTCCAAAAGTTTATACAATAAAGCCTCGTCCACAAGATGGGGTAAATACGCAACGGTAAGTCTCAGTGCTGAAATTAAATCTATATTTTCTTTGGTTTCCAAGCACATTTTAAACAAATTAATCCTCGATACCAGCTGAGAAAAAATTTTTTTATCATGCAAGAAATACACAAAATCTGCATATAAAGAAATCCCATATTGATCTGTTAAATTTTTTGCTAGGCTAAAGCTTTCTATTAGAGATTTTCCAAAATTTTCAGACAGTTTTTCTTGTTGTGCAAGAATTTTCCCAAAGTTGAAATATTGCGCCGCATCAATATTATATAAATAATTTTTAGGAATTGTATCAAGTTCTAATAACAAACTTAGTGGAATAGGAGCTCCAATTCTATGTATTGAGCTTAAGGTTTGTAGGCTTCTCTCGAAAGCTACTTTTACATCGTTATGGAAGAGTGCAGATATAATTTTGTCCACAATTTCTTTATGCTCAGCATAGCAATTTTTTTGAAAAGAGTCTAAAATTGCTAAAAGCTCGCTATGAGAATATTTTTCTACATTTTGTATTTTTCCTGGAACAATCATTCTTAGTTCGTTCAATAAATCCTCAATTTCTGGATCTTTACTTAATTTTGAAAAAATATCTATGGCATTTCCTAGCTCATAAGCTTTTAAGTCATTTGATCTAAGCTTGACCTGTTTAATCAAATCTGCCAAACTTTCTGTGTCAATTTTTTCAGAATTTTGTTTAAAGCTTTTATCGAAATACCCTAGCAAAATATATAGAGATTTTGTTAAAATATACAGCTGCTCTCCATTCATTGATCTTAAATTTGTAAAAAGGATATTTCAAATTCCCTCTAATGATTGTTTTTCAGAAAATCTTAAAAAATTCACATCAGATTGAGGGATTTGAAAAATTGTGGAAATTTTTTCAAGAGCTTGACAAATTTCGTTAACTGTCACATTGAGAGGGTTTTCTGTAACTTTTTGGTGCAAAATTACTAAATTTGCCAAGTTGCTTGTATCTACATGTTCATCTTCCAAAGCATCTGACAAAATATCTAGCAATTGCTTTTTTGTGTATTTGGCTTGAATTTCTTGTTTAGGCCTTCGCTTAAGTATTTCTCCTATTAAAAACTCTTTAGATAGCCCAGCTAAGAAGTGATTGCTTTCCTCTTCTTTAAGTTCATGTGCATATTTGATTTCTTGTCGCATTACTTCTATTTCTTTAGCTTTTTTACTGTCATCTAATTCAAGCTTCTTTAGGATTTCATTCCTTGTGCCAGTACGGGGTAAGCTTCTTCTAGTTAATTCATCACGAAGCTGAAGCATACTCATAGCGCTCCATTTCTCAATAGAAAAGAAGCGTCTTATCATAATTTATTTATAAATTTGAGAGGCAGGAATTTAATATGGCATGAAGAAATTTAGGGACTTTATGAAGTAATTAAAATAAGCTATGGGATTATAATTCATAAATGGAAGAACTTTTAAGAAACATTCCCCCAGTAACAAAAGTCATGATTGCCTCAACTATTTTACTTTCAGCAATTACTTCAATGAATTTCGTGAACCCAAGGACAATGCTATTTGATATGGCTTTTATTAAAAATAAATTCCAGGTCTGAAGAGTCTTTACAAGTTTATTTTATTATGGAAATTTCAGTGTTTACACCTTTATCCGTGTGATGCTTTTATATCAAAACTCCAGAAGCCTTGAGCAAAATATGACAAGAGTGGATTATCTATATTTTGTAATAGTGACTTATATGTTTTTGCTTCTTTGTGCACCTATTTTTCATCTTAGGTACTTATCGGATGGATTATTTATGGCAATTACTTATCTTTATAGCAAGCGAAATCGATATGGAAGATTCCATCTTATGTGGATTCCTATAGCAATTTCTACAACTTATATGCCGTGGGTTTTACTTTTGCTTAACTTTGACTCTGCAAGCATTATAGGGATTGCTATAGGTCATATTTATTACTTTTTCGAAGATATTTTCCCTAGATTAAGAAGTGGAATAGGATTTCGGCTATTTAAAGCTCCTGACACAATTGAAAGACTAATACACTATTTCGGCGGATAATTTTAAAATAATTTATACATGTGATGTTCTCAGTCTTTTGGTCCTTCTCCTAATCATTTTTCTATTGAAAGTTTTTTCGAATTCAGCAAGCTTGTCATTATAGTCCCAGGCTTTAATTTGCATATCCCAAATCTTTTCTTGCATCATTTGGTTTTGTATGGCATCTTCTTCTGCTTTTTTGATTTCATCTTTTTTGCGTTTGATAAGTCTTCTGGCAATATTCGATCATGTTATTGTCCCTAGAGTGTAAATTCTCAATTGCGTTTGTAATCGAAAAGCTGGGTAGCCTAAGTAAGGAACCTCTCTGACTAGTCTCACAAATTCAACTAAACTAGAAATTACGTCAGCTTATAGAATCTGACCTCTGAGTTTCGAAAAGCTCAACTGCTTTCATGTAATTATTAGGGAAAATCATTTTCCCATCTCTCTCTGCTCGCAAAAAAAGCATGATTTCTTCTTTGTTGATGGTCCCATTTCGATTTTCGTCAATGCATTGAAAGACAACTGAGGGAGATCTTACATTTCAAAATCTGCGGAGGAGTTAGTAAACAATATTTTGCGATGCTTCTTACAAATTCGACAAAGGAAAGACGATCACCTTGCTCTTTTTCTAAATCAGAAATGTATTCAATTAGATAAGGAGCTATGACTGAGTTAGGCCGCTCTTTTATTAATCGAAATATTTCAACTACACTTACTGTTCCTGAGTCGCTAAATGAATTTTACTCAGTATCAATGACATGATAAATATGCCAAAGTTTCCGTATTTCTGATTGAGTTAAGCAAAACTTTTCAACGACATCGTGAACTTTCTGATCTATTTCGAGCTTTGGTATAATTTTTGAATTTCTACACCCCATGATAAAGAATTATCTATTTTTTATCAAATTTCTCCTCAACGCTTTTTAGCGATTATCAACAAAACATTTTCCTATGAAAATTGAAATAATATTTTCAACTACTTCTTGCTGAATCTTATTAAATTTTTCTTTTAATTTTAAATCCTCGCATTTAACTTTGGTCTTCGGGCCTGAAAATCTGATTAAAATATGCCTGAAATTTAGTTACCCAAAATATCGATTTTATGTAATTTTTATAGGTAAGACCACAAACATTTCTTTAGGTAGAGCCATTTCTTAACCATAAACTTTAAACAAGATATAGAACAGCGAAATCTGAAATCACATGAAACAACCCGACACTATGCATTCTCCTGCTCGAGGCAGAAAACTCAACAACCTTCACATCAGTCGAAAATCCATAAAATCAAATCAATTTCATTCCAACAAAAAATCCAAGCCTAACTCTCAGTCGGTAGCACAAAATCAGTATTCAACCTTTCCGCCTAAGGCTCCTCATAACACAACGCAGTACATCATCGACCAACATCAGACTGCTGAATATGACCCATCAGATCTCTTGGGATCTATGCTAAATCTTAAGTGCTTACTCCCCTCCGTGGGAGAATAATAAAAATTTATATATAACATTTTTTTAAAAAATAAAAAAAATCCAAATTCGCAAAAATTGAAGCAAATATTTTATTTAATTTGTAGAATTTTATTTTTAAAATGCAATATTTAATTTGTTTAAAATTAAACAGAATTACTAGAGATTTCATTATACTAGCAATCACAACAATCACTTATATAAAAAAAAATTTTTATAAAAAATATTTATATTATTTTTGTTCGCTCACGGAGGATTAGTTTTTGGGCAAAATTAGGGCTTTTTTTTTAATTTTTTTTTTCACTTACGGAGGGGGTTGGGAGAGTTAGAACTCTAATTAATTATTTACTGGGAACTAAATTTAATTATAAATTATTTTTATGACTGAAATAAATAGCTGATAATAAAGTTATTCTTTGAGGCTCCGTGGCGCAACGGATAGCGCACCAGACTTCTAATCTGGGGGTTGTGGGTTCAAATCCCACCGGAGTCGTTTTTGGACTGGAGAAAGTTTCGATATTTTAATGGCAAATATTTTAGGTTTCTTTTGAATATTGACAATTAGTTGACTGTAACATTAATTATGCATGAAAAGATGCATTTTTCAACCAAATTTTTAATAAATAAAATTTTTGATGCCTATTCTGAAACTCAAAGATGGAAGAGAAAAGTTATCAGTATAATTATGATGGGATTTATTAGGATGAAAGAGGAGAAATAGATTAAATTTTAGCCAATTTAATTGAGACATTAGACTTTATATAACAATTAGCAGTTTAATAAATTTTAGTAAGAAAAGTAAAGAAAAATTAATTTAAACTCCAGAAATATCAATAAATTAATTTTAAAAATATAATATTTTTATGAATCAGTGATAAGGTAATAAATAATAAAGTTGTAAATTTAGTTTATAAAACAGTTATTTTTATTTCAATTTTGAGAATCGCCCAAATTTCCTATTTTTAGATGCGCTGTTCTAGAATTGTTTCTCCCACATATTTACGAAAAAATTATTGAATTTTTCATGATTTCTAGTCACACATAAATGTCAGAAGATATTGAGACTAAAAGAATCATTTACTCAAATGGAAATGAAGTCAATAAGATCAAAAGGTTTCCTACCAATTATGTATCCACCACAAAATACAATGTCATAACCTTTGTCCCAAAATGCCTTTTTGAGCAGTTCAAAAAAGTCGCAAACATCTACTTTTTAGTCGCAGCAGTCTTACAGTCAATTCCTATAATTTCCCCTCTAAGCCCTATAAGTGCAATCGCCCCTTTAGGCTTTGTCCTTTGTGTAGCAATGCTCAGAGAAGGACTTGAGGACTATTTTAGGTATAAGTCCGACAAAGAAACGAACTCGATCCCTGTCAACATTTAAACCTTCCATAATTAATGCTTACCCCTTTTTATTATTTTAGAAAGGTCTCTATTATTTATAGCAAATAACTTTCAATGCCTAATTTCTCAAGAGAACTCATATGAGAAAGAGATATATAGATGGGAGTTTTGTCCAAATGAGGTGTGCACAGATCCAAGTTGGACAAATTGTTATGGTCAAAAAAGACGAGCCCATTCCTTGCGATTTAATAATGCTTGCAAACTCCAATGAAAACTCTGTTGCTTTCATAGAAACATCAACTCTTGATGGAGAAAAAGCATTGAAGCCAAGACAGTCATTTCCAAAAACGAAAAATTTAATAAATGATAAAGATTTCATACGGTTTTTCAATGTAATTGAATGCGACCCACCGAATCCAAGGATTTATCATTTCAATGGAACTATTAGCTATGGAAAGAAGAAGAAGCCAGTCGACAAAAATCATTTGCTATTAGGCGGAGCATTTTTACGAAATACAAGTTGGGCGATAGGTGTGGTTGTATATACAGGAAGAGAAACCAAATTGAGACAAAATTTAATGTCAAGAGCTTTCAAACAGAGCAGAATCGATAAAAAGGTAAACTTATACATTTGCTATATATTATTCGTACATTACATATGTTTTAGGCATGAGTAAGCCCATCATTTTAAGTCAAATCTAGAGATTTGCGGGCAATTCCAGCACCAAAAAGGTGCTGATGACACCAAAATGGTGAGAAATTCCAAAACAGCATTTTACTTTGAGTGGCCATAAGCCACGCACGTGACGCATTGCCTTACCTATAACTTGACTCCTGCATGTGTTCCGCATAAGGGTCATCTCACCCTCCTCGGGTGTATCAAGCGGGCGGGTCAGAATATCTTACACTATGCGATAAGCCATATTTGGCATTTATGGAAAAAAGTGTATCAGATAAAGCAGAATCCCATAATAATAAAATTCGCAAAGGGGAAAGGCTTTAAGAAGAAAACCTAGCCATTTTATTATGATATATATTATTCTTGCAATTTTTCTTTTGCATTACTTGCGCAATCTGCAGTGGCATATGGGTAGACGAAAAAATGAACGAGCATCGATATCTCCATGGCCGAGACTATCCTTCAATTCTAGAAGGAACCTTTTCTTATTTCACCTATTTTTTACTATTAAACACCATGATTCCTATATCATTGATTGTTTCATTAGAATTTCTTAAGGTCGCCCAAGGGTTTTTTATGGAAAGAGACGTTGAAATGTACAGCTCTTTACGAGACAGAACCTGCAAGGTCTCTTCTTATAGCTTAAATGAAGAATTAGGAATGATCCAGCACATTTTTTCTGATAAAACAGGAACTCTGACTCAGAATCGCATGGAATTTAAATTCTGTTCCGTTGGCAACAAAATGTACGGCGAGTTTAGGTCATTGGCTGACAAAGAATTTTCAGTGACTTCTACATATTCTACAAGAGAGATTAGGTTTTCATTTAATACAAAAGATATTGTAAATGACTCGTTTTCGCATAAAGGCAACGAGAAGTTGGAATTCCCACTTCCAATCAAATTTAACGAAAAAATGATAACTTTTCAAACCCAAAGAGAAGTTCTTGATCATTTTTTACGATGCTTACTCCCCATTCCGTGCGCAAACAAAATTATTGGAAAAATCTCTATTTTTTCGGTAAAAACCCACTCTCCATAAGCAAAAAAATTATGAAAAACTATTTTGATATATAAGTGATAATTAGTATAATGAAATCTCTAGCTAATTCTGTTTAACTTTAAACAACTTGGATTTAAAAAACATGAAAAAAAAACCCTGTGAGTGAACAAAATATTTTTTGTTCTCTCATGGAGGGGGAAGGATTTAGCACTATGCCATGAATGCTTGATTGAGACAAATGAAGGCGGAGAAATTAATTATATTGGCCAAAGTCCTGATGAAATCGCATTAGTTGATGCTGTTAGACATGTAGGGTTCAGATGTGGCAAAATAAAAGATGACTCGATCCAGCTTGATATTTTACCCTTTGGATTAGACCAGCAGGAAATTAGGGAATATTATGAAAAATACTGCATTTTAGAATTTGATTCTAATAGAAAAAGAAACTCAGTTATTGTGAGGGACTTGAAGACAAACTTGATATTTCTATTCACGAAGGGTGCAGACAATATAATTAAAAATAGGCTTGATCCAAGTAATTCACAAGAGTATATAGCAAAAATCAATCAGGATTTAGAAACGTTTGCAAAGAGAGGCTACAGAACGTTATTATTTGCTTTCAAAATTATCAAAGAACAAGATTTTTTAATTTGAAAAGAAAAATACGATGAAGCATGCACAGCAATTGAAAATCGCAATCAAAAAATTGCTGATATAGCTGAAGAAATTGAAACTGATCTATTTTTACTAGGCTGCACTGCAGTAGAAGATGCTCTGCAAGAAGAAGTTCCACAAACAATTAATGCCCTGCTAGAAGCTGGGATCAAAATTTGGATGCTGACAGGTGACAAGCTCGAAACTGCAGAAAATATTGGCAGAACTTGTGAGCTATTTGATGACAATATGCTTGTTGAAAGATGTCCTGGATTCAAACTAGAAGCTTGCTGTGAAATTTTAAAAAATATCCTGGAAATTTTTAATTCAGCTGATCAAAATAGTAAGGCATTAATTATAGAAGGTCACGCCTTAGAATATGTGCTCTATAATCCAAATGATCCACATTCAGTCAGAAAATACCCAGAAATCACTGAAAGCTCTGAGCGCGCAGAGATAGCCAAAAACATAAAAAAATTATTTTTAAAAATTGCAGAAAAATGCAAAACAGTAATTTGCTGCCGTGTGACTCCTGGTCAAAAGCAAGAAATCGTAAAATTAATGAAGCATGAAACGGGGGTAACCACTTTAGCAATAGGAGATGGAGCCAATGATGTTTCTATGATATTAGAAGCACATGTTGGGATTGGAATATATGGAGAAGAAGGAATGCAAGCAGTCCAAGCTAGTGATTATGCAATTGGGGAATTTAAATACCTATGGGAGCTGTTACTTGTGCACGGAAGGTTTAATTATATAAGAGAAAGTGAAATGATCATGTATTTTTTTTATAAAAATTTGGTATTTACAATATGGCCCAAGCATCTTTGTTACTTGGGCTCTCCGATCTTTCCCGACAGAAAAGAGCGGAGTTGGCCTAGCGAACTAAAAGTTTGACCAGCTTCCCAAATGGCAGAAAGCTCCCATCATGTTTTTCTGTCACTTGAGGAGTTGGTGGCCAACATTGCCTGGCTCGATCAATTCTCCTCTTTCCCGTCGTGAAAGATGGGAAACCCCCAACCATAAGGCGCTTGGGCTATACCTCAGTTTTTCTTTGCATTTTATTGTGCATATAGTGGACAAACTGTTTATGACGATTGGTATATTTCGTTGTATAACACAATATTTACGGCTTTACCTTTAATGGTAAAAGCATTGTTTGAAAAAGATATAGTTGTTCCTCAAAGAACTGAATCACAAGCTTCTGGAGGAGATTTATTAGCTATTAGGAAATATTTGCCACTTTTATACTGTGACGGGAGATGCAATCGAGTATTTACAAATAAAAATTTCTTATGGTGGATGTTTTTAGGATTTTTCCACTCGTCAATTATTTTCTTTATACCGCTTTTGGCTATTCAAGAAGGGATAATGAATTATAAAGGGGATAATTATGATATCTGGTCATTTTCTGTGATATCTTTTTCCTGTGTAGTATTTGTGGTAAATTTAAAGCTGCTTCTAACTACAAGATTATGAAATAAATTCCACTCTGCAGCTATGCTTGGGACTAGTATATTCTTATATGTTCTTTTCATGCTCATTTATGATAATTTGACACCACTTCAAGCCCGAGACACAGTTCTTGAAGTGCTTACAAGCCCTGTCTTGTATTTTTCTATCATCCTTACAGCTTCATATATTTTTATTTTTGATGGGAGCTCCAAAATAAAATGGCATTCGGATCGAGAGAAATTAGCTTTGCTAATTTTCTCTCCCTCATGGAATTTTATTTATAGGGTTAGGTTTTCACTCGAGAACTTCTGGACAGCAATAGCGGTTTAACTCTGGGGATAACCAGAGGAACCACTCCTCAGTCCACTCAAAATTTCGGGCTTTTACCTATCAGGACATCCCCACGGGAGGATGACCCTTAGGCGGAACACGCGCAGGAGCTGAGTCGAGCGACAAGGGCGACGGCAACGCGCCGGGTGAGACGTGCAGCAGGGCTGGTGAAGCAGGAGTTGATAGAAGGCTTGGACGGGGCTGACCCGTGCCAAGATGGCTCGCCTACGTCATCAGTTTTGCCATAGGCCCTTTTGGGCTGCGGCACTAGACACCTTAAACACCAGATAATTAAGTAAGTAAGTAAGATGGGAGCTCCCATATTTTAAGACGGCTCTTAAAGCCAACTGACAGTGAAGTGCTGCTAGACTATTCGACAGCTATCAAGCAAGAAAAAGTTCACAATACCTTAACATATAAAAAGCTCCCTCCAAGCACTCCAAGCTTTTCATCTTCAAGTAGCACTTAATTTACCATTACCATTAGCATTAGCATTAACATTAACTAATATTATAAAGAGGCCCCGTCATAATAGCTAGGATTTCCCCGCTCTACCTTCACCATTCACGCTTCACCAGGTTGATCACCACCGATCGATCACGACCTTCAAGGTGTTGCTCCTACTGGACGAGGATCTGCACCCGCTACCCATAGTTGGATAAGTTACGCCACCCCAGCAGTACCGAAAATTTGAAAAACAAATTTTCTGGTAGGACTGCCGGCTAAGATGGAAATCCAAAGCCTGGGACGTAACGCCCAGTTTCACGCTAGGGAGAGTTGCCCGATTGATCAGGAGGTACCTTCCTGATGCTGCTGAGCTTCCCTTTCCAACATTGGAAACCATCTCCCCTGAGGCAAAACCATTGGTGTCCGAATGAGCTCCGGATTGACCAAATTCGGCATTGCGCTCCACTGTGTCAAGGTAAAATCTAGCCGGATATACACCTGAGCGCCTATTTTCCTTCCACAAGGTCCCCGGGTTCTAGCAGACTCCCGGCTACAGGTGTTGAGAAAAAGAGCTGGTTCGCCGTCGCCCATTTTAATGTATATATGCACTTAATTTACCAAATTCTGTAAATCTGTAAGTAATAAAATGATAAGGCCTTAATTCTGATATATAGATTGAAATTAAAACTCCTTTTTGATTTTTAAATATTTATTATGCACATTAAGAGGGAAGACGAATTCATTTTCCTATATCCCTAAACTTCAAAATGCATAATTAATTAGTTTACTGAAATTTGTTATGCATTAGAGCAAGCATAAATGAGATTTAGATAATATTAATATAAAATTAATGCATAGTTTAATATTTGGTTAATAAATTTGATAAACCTTAGAGCTTAGATAAAATTGCAACTTACTGGTACAGCTTATCTTTCGAATTAGAGCCCAAAGATCACATTTGGGTTATTGCTAGGGACAAGGTTTTTTTTTTAGAAGCAAACGGTTTTATGGTTTATATATAAATGGAAGCCAAAATCAACCTCAACATAGGAGAACTCCCAAGCCAGCCTGGCATTGAAAGCTATATTGAAATCGCCTCTGGAGAAAATTCTATAGCTCAAGCAAAAGAAAGAGCATCTGCTGAAGTTGGATCTGACATTAATTCTTACAATCTATACGCTGTTATAGGCTGTTCTTCAGCTGAAGGAGCTGAATGTGTGAAAACATATTTGTCGAATGAATGGAATAATTTTTGGGCAAGATATAAGGATGATTATACATTTGGCAAATTTTTTAGCTCTTTTATTGGATGCAATCCAGCACAGGATATTAATGTTAATGGTACCTCAGTTATAATCCATGGACTATCAAGCAAAATTGAATTGGAAAACTCAAATGAAGAAGAAAAAGTCGGTTCATATGATCAGACAATTCTTATTGATATAAACACAGGCCAAGAAATTAGAACTATTCTTAGAGGGGAAAATCCTATTGTGGATGCTTTCGATGCTCTAAAACTAAAAATTTCTTTTTATCGGTCATCTTTTATCCCAGAAGATTTTTGAAATCACCCTGCCTGCAATCGTCGAAATCGGGAGAGCAATGAATTTAGATTTTTTAAAACCCTCCTCACTATATTAAAAAGTGGAGATCTAGAATTAAATTTCAAATCTGCAAGGGAGTTACCTGAGTTTGTCAAAGAAGAAGCTAAAAGCATTTCTGAAAGTTTCTTTTTTAGTGGAATGATGCACATTGTATTTTCTGATTGTTTGTACTTTTTAGGAGAATATTCTGAGCACACTACAGGCGAATTTTATGGCTTTTTATCAACTGATAGTCGATTCACAAAGGTTAAGGTTAAAGCTCCTGGGCTTTTTTGCATTCAGCCTATTAAATACAACAATCATCCAAATTAAAATAGCCATATTCAAATAATAAAATTGATAACTTTTCCAGCTTAATATTTTTTCTTAGATAGAATTTCTTTGCACCCTCATATAATTATTTCTATTTTCCAAAAAAAGTTGTTTATAATATTTTCATATTTAGCAAAGCAATCTACAGAGCACCAACTATATTTTCATTTAAAAACTAATTTTTTCATTTGATCGAATAAATTGAACACTAGCTCTCCCTTCAGTGGGCAAGCAAAACATCTCGCTCATGAAGGGACTTGATTTTTTTTATAGTAAATTATAAAAAAATTACAAAAATATGAAAGTAAAAATTAATTTATTTTATTATTACTACACTAATTTAACGCTGATTTCGAGCATTTCTCTCTTTTTTCTTCATTATTGAATTAATAAAATCCTTTATCAAAGTATCTATTTCCTCCATTTCTTCTCTATGTTCATTTTCCTATCAATTCCAGAATTTTTCTGTGTAAAGCACAATTTCATGAATTTTAAATCTTCTCCAAATAATTTCATCTAAAATTCCAACTTTTTCAATTCCTTTCATAAATTCAACCCTAAAATCTTCATATACAAAACAGTCATCTATTAAATGCTTCTCATCCTCTAAATTTAATTTATAAAATTTATGATGTTTAAAATTTAACAGAATTTCATCATTGATATATCAAAATATTTTTTCTATAAGAAATTTTATACAAACAATTTTTGTTCATATTAAAATAAATTTTTTTAGGGGATGAAACTGTCAAAATCTTAACTTAATTAATTTTAGTTCAATGGTTGTCGTGTAAGGTTGTTTTTCCCAATCTGATCCAAGCTTGTAGTCTGACAAAGCATTTGCGCTAGTTCGATCGCTCCAGCAGCCTTCTCAAGTCTCCAAGATGGCTACATCTCCTTGAGTCTCCACTAGCTCGGACTTGCACACAGTATTTCTACCAGTCTTCAAGTTATTGCATTCTGGCCAGCTTTCGGTTTGATGCGAATATTTAATAATATTGTAACTGTCAAATATTGCTAAAAGAATTGCTACAAGATCGATATTTATGTCAAGTTAAAAAAATTTTCCAGATTCTTAGGAAACCTTGCTGATCATGCTATGCTAGATATTTTCGATTCAGCTGGAAGATTACTTTGGAGCTCAAATCACATACACTCAGCCCTCTGCATGCACTTTCAGACTAAATAATTAATTTTATTTATTCCCCCTCCATTAATAATTGCCAAATAGCATAAAAAGTTTTTATATTAAAATGTTTTTTATACTAACGGGGTTCTTGGCCAAAATAGGGATTTTTCCAATGAGTTTGTCGCTCACAGAGGAGAAGTTATAAATATCAAAAATATTTTTATCTTCAATAAATAATACCTTCTTTACGTACCTAAAAAAGAAATTCATAACTTTTATCACTTGAATATTTTATGTATATTAAAAAAACTCTCAACAAGTCATGGGTGGAAAATGTTCATGTTTTAAAGATCAACCTACAGAAGACAATCAGCTGACAATTTACAAAGAAGTCCACACATCTCAATCCAAGCAAGAGCAAGGCTTTTCCCATGATTTCTCAACTTCTATAATAAATCAATTACCCATCGATACTCCTTCTCTAATAAAGCTTCAAGCAATTCTTCGTGGTTATATCGACCGGATGCTTTTAAAGGACGCCAGAATCGCTTCTCCTTCTTTTCAGATGATGTCATCTTTTTCTCCTCACCCACGAACCTCTTTGCATGAAATTGAAGGGGAAATTCCATCCTACGCCAATGCAAGTACAATAGCTGCATGTAGAAAATTAGGGCCTTTTATATATGACTACTCTTTAAACGATGGAGTAGCAGTTTTTACAAAAGGGCCAGTCCAGCTGGAAAATGGAGCCGTTTATATTGGAGATTGAAATGAAAAGTTCGAAAGGCACGGTAAAGGGGTTCAGATATGAAATGATGGGAGCAAATATGAAGGCTATTGGAAAAACGATCGAGCCAATGGGAAAGGAAGGCTAATTCACGGAGATGGAGATGTGTATGAAGGGGAGTGAATGGACGACAAGGCCCATGGGCATGGGGTCTATACACATACAGATGGAGGAAAATATGTAGGGCTGTGAGAAAATGATAAGCAGCATGGGAAAGGAGTTGAAGAATGACCAGATGGAAGCAAATATGAAGGAGGATATATTGGTGGCAAAAAGCATGGAAAAGGCAAATTTAAATGGGCAGATGGAAGCACTTATGATGGAGATTTTATTAATAACAATATTCATGGCTCAGGCACTTATTGCTGAAGCGACGGAAGAAAATATATAGGAGACTGGCTCAACAACAAAATGGATGGGAAAGGGACTTTTACTTGGCCTGATGGAAGATGCTATATTGGAGACTATATTGATGACAAAAAGCAAGGCTTTGGAGTTTTTACTTGACCTGATGGCAAAAAATATGAAGGCTCTTGGTTTAATGGAAAACAGCACGGAAAAGGAGTCTATATCTCATCAAATGGAGAAAAGAAAGAAGGAGAATGGAAAGATGGAATTCGAGTAAAAACTGCATCATAAGTAACAATTTTATGACTTCGTAAAATAACTAAAAATTTTAAAAAAATGTTTCATGTATAAAAAACTTTAATTTTAAAAAGTTTCCTCTATATATTTAATCACAAATAATCAATCTTTTCTCAACTATTTTTGGATTTTTTTCTCCAAATCGCAAAATAACTATCCATTAGCTAGGTTTCTTGTATAACATTTTTTGAGGATGGACAATCGAGATTACTCAGCTGGAGATATGTCACCGGTTTCACCTTTTTCGAAATTTTGCTTAACTTCTTTACCATCAATAGGAGATTTCAGCATACGGGCGATAGAAGCTATGGACATTGAAAATGACGAAGAAATTAAACCTGAACAGCAAGAAACTCCTCCTATCCCTTGCGGCTGCCAAAGAACACACTGTTTAAAGCTTTATTGTGAGTGCTTTGCCAATAATAGATACTGCATAGGCTGCAATTGCCATAACTGCCACAATTTGCCGGGTTTTGAGGTCCATAGAGAAGAAGCAATTAAACAAATTATTGAAAGAAATCCTGGAGCTTTTAGAGAGGATTTTAGTACTATTCAAAAATCTTGTCATTGTAAGAGGTCGAATTGTGCTAAAAAGTATTGTGAATGCTATGAAGCTGGAAAACCTTGTTCGGCATTATGCAAATGTGAAGGATGCAAAAATATAGGCAATCAGTAAGAAACAAAATAGAAAGTGCAGATTTTAAATGAGAAAATTAAGTAATTTTTATGTTTATATAATTTCACTATAGCTTATTCACCGAAGCTTCTCACCTTAAATTACCCCTCTCTTTTACTCCCACCTCTTAGCATGCCAAATTATTTTAAATAATTGAAAAGCCCTTTCAATTTTAAAATATTGGACAGTATAATTGTATAGGAATAAGAACATGATCCTAAACTATATTTAAGAAAAGTTTTTTTATTTATTGTTAAATGCAGGTTTGATAAAGTATAGTCAGGAACCGATATGTATCGGACAGGGCTGGGAGAATTCTGAGCAATTTCCGGAGTTGGTTCTCGACAAAGTTGATGACCAGACGGGAGTTAAATAAATAGGTCTGATATGAAGTATTTGTCAACTTCCCATATTGGCTCGTCATCTTTGTTGGAGAACTAACCCAAGAGTTGCTCAGAATTCTCACAGCCAGGCCAATCCATATCGGTTTCTGGGCTATTTGAAAAATATCTTTAAAAATCCAAAAATTCATCATGCCCTATTAAATGGATATCGGCATATGCAGAGTCGCCCTTTAATTCTAATTTCCCGTAAATAATTCAAAATTTGCAAGGTTGATGCTTAGTTTGATCATATCCAGTTAAATTCCACATAATTAATAAAAATAAAGTAAGATACTGTTAATGCCCATACAATTTTGTAATTTATTTTTATATCTTACTCCCCCCATTCTTGATCGAAAGATTGACTGTAAAAATTCCTAAAAATTGGGTAGATTAACCACCATCCTTGATCGAACGATTTCATATCATGCAAATTTTATATATTATAAAAATATATTAGTTATCAAAAGCTTGGAAGATGTACCTAATGAAGTTGCTTTCAGAGACTTTGAGACAGAAAGCTACGGAATCAACCATTTGAAGTGCTTTAGTCATCAACCTAGGCTTAAAAACTCAATAATCTAAAAAAATAGAGATTCTTTAAAATTTTAAATTTTTAATTCAAGAAGAAACAAATTAAATTTATACAGTTTAAAGGGGAATCAAATAATCAAAATATTAAAAATTGGTATTTTATGAAATTAATTCAATTTTTTGCTGTAAAAATAATTATTAAATACTTTTAGCCCTCTTATTTAAAAGTAAATAAAAATATATTTTTTTTATTTTATATATAAAATTGTTTTTTCCAAAAAAACTTTTTATCGAACGATGGCGAACCGTTCGATCAAGGATGGTAGGGGAGAGTTATCAATTTGATTTTCTAAAATTCTTAAATCAAAATACGACAGAAAAAAGGCACTTCTCTGTGGTTCTGTTAGTGAAATTTCAGTTTCGCTATACTGCCGCCATTAGACATAATCAAACTATCTTTGACCGCTACCAAGCAAGCATTATCAATGGGGTCTTTCTTACATGTTTATGGAAAACACGGAAACTTACTTTTGTATCAGAAGGAGCTTCTATTGGTTTGTTTGCTACAAACAGTAACAATAAAGATTTAGTTATCGATGAATTTAAATAAAAATCTTGATTAGGCAGTATTTTGGTTCATAAAAGGGCAAATATTTTAAATATGAAGGGGATAGCCTTAAATATAAAATTCAGTAAAGTTTTACATTTAATTAGACTTGATTGCTTAAATCCATAGCATATAAACTGCATAAGTCTTGATTGCTTTTAAAGCTAGTAATATTGCTTCTAGAATAGTAGAAAATGCTTTAAAATCAGAAAAATTGATAATAATGTTAATAATTATGTTTTAAATTTTATTAGAAAGTTGAAAATCAGTAAAAATGGACAAAAAATAACTAGAGGCAATTTTTATATTCGAAGATATCTAAGAAGAGAGAAAATTAGTGTATATTTATTTATAAATCTGCTGAAAACATCACAGTAATATAGCAGCCATTATATCTATAAATAATAATAATTTCATAAAGCCTAACAAGTTTTAATCCTTTCTTTTTATTCATTACTCAAATGTGATATTGTAATTTTATTAAAATTGTTTAATAATAAAATGCTGGCGAGATCATTTCTTCGTTCTTTTTCTTCCTATAGGTTTTCTCTTCCACAAGCCAGCACCCATCTCCTTGACCAATCTCTTCTCCCAACTGAAACTACAACTACTAAAGAAGAACTGCTGAAATATCTCCACGACATGTATACAATTCGTAGAATTGAAATCACTTCTGATAACTTTTACAAGAATAAGAGTTAAAGTTAAGATCACTAGCATACCTATCTGGCGTAAATCCACATAACCTAAGGATTAGTCCATAGGTTAGAGCCAGCTCTTACGGATGCCCCGTTAGCATCGGCAAGCAAAGAATAAGTAAGAGGCAAAACCTGTCTAGCCCATCTGCAGGGACAGTGAAATCTTAGAAGCGAAAAAAATCCCTCTTCGGCAGGCATAGCCAAAATCGAAGGCCTACTTCAAAAATTGATAGTGGCACAAATATAAGCTTAATCAGAGCGCGCCTTAACTTCATAGAGAGTATGTTTCAGAGTCCATCTTCGGCCAACGTCACCATTTTATTTCTTTTTACAAAAATAAGGATATCAGAGGTTTCTGCCATTTAGCTGACGGGCAGGAAGCAATTGCAGTAGGCATGGAGGCTGCAATAACTCATGAGGATAACTTAATTTCAGCTTACAGGATCCATCCTCAAGCTTATATGCGTGGGGAAACACCTCATCAAATTTTCGCTGAAATGTTTGGAAGGCAAGCTGGCTCTTCTAAAGGTAAAGGAGGCTCAATGCATTTTTACAATAAAGACACGAATTTTTATGGCGGAAATGGCATTGTGGGAGCACAAATTCCAGTTGGGGTCGGTTTAGCTTTTGCACTGAAGTATAAAAAAAAGCCAAATGTAGCTGTCATTATGTTTGGTGATGGCGCAGCTAATCAAGGGCAAGTATACGAAGCGAATAATATGGCTTGCCTCTGGAAACTCCCAGCAATTTTTGTCGTTGAAAACAATCGATATGGGATGGGAACCTCTATAGAAAGAGCTGCAGCTAATAGTGAATTTTATACAAGAGGCCATCCAGCACCTGGTATAAGGATTGACGGACAAAACGTGTTAGCAGTCAGAGAAAACTTTAGATTCGCCAAAGAATGGTCACTCAAAAATGGCCCTCTCTGGATCGAAATTGAGACATATAACGATGACCCCCCTCAATCTTCATGTCTATTGCAACAAAAATGCAACTTTTTTAATATAAAATTATATATAAAAAAAAATAATAATTTTTCATGTCTCTTGCAGCAAATTATATACATTAAAATGGTGACACGTGCCAGCCTGCCCTCTTGGCGCAGCACTCCAGACCTTATGGCTACAGCGAACTGGGACGGACTCCGAGCCGAGAATCAGCGCAGGCTCAAGAGGTGTGTATCCGGGTAGGTTTTGGCTGCTTTCCTGTGGTTGGAAATGGAGGTGCTCAACAACGTCCTTTTGATCCGAGGATCCATGGGTATTTCTCTAACGAGAAACTGGGGGTTTCAGCCCAGGCCACAGGGGAAGAGTCTTTTTCCTGTAGCTGTCGAAGAAAGGCACCTTGACACCCAATAGACTCCAAGGATCCTTGGAATCAAGCTACTCCAATCGCCCGTAGCAGGGCCGCAGAAATCCATAAGCCGCCCACTCAGACTGAACTCCCAAGGCAAGAAGGAGACAGAAGGTGCCGGAAGGGCACTCGTAAGAGGGATAGATCCTCTGGGCTGGAGTCGAAAAGCGGTAGAACCTTCCGTACGGGAGGTCTTTAATGACTGCGTCATCAATATGGCTAGCGCCTGTCTGTAATAATCTTAATCCTAATCCTCTTGCAACAAATTTTCGATGCGCATCTTAAATTTTTCCGTACTTTTTAGCTAGATAAGTTTAATAAAATGGCGAGCGATGGCAATAGCCGTCCAAATCTCGATAAAAGGTCATTGATACATCTACAGTAGCGCTATTTTATGGTTTTTTTTTAGAAACTCACCTAGAGAAAAAATTCATTAATTTTTTTATATAAAATGTTGTGTTGCAGTGGCATGAAAAATTTTTTCGAAAAATTTTTGTTGCAGTAGACATGAAGATTGAAGGGGGGGTCATCGTTAGATATCATGGGCATTCTATGTCAGATCCAGGGATTTCCTATAGAAATAGAGAAGAAGTCAGCCAAATGAGAAACAGCCGCGATCCTATAGAAAAAATCAAAGGGATGCTACTAGAAAAAGGAGAAGTCACTGAGCAAGAAATTGAAACTCTAGAAAAGAAAATTAAAGACGAAATCAACCATGCAGCAGAAAAAGCCAAAGCTGAAGCATATCCTGAACCCATTGAGCTTTTCAAAGACATTTATGATCCAAGTCATAAAGTAAAGGTCAGAAACGTTGAATTTAAAGACACAGTTAGCGTCTAAGATAATAAGAATTATTAAAAAGTATTAAACGATTAGAATTACCATTAATATTTAGAATTCTGAGGACCTCCCTCATATTTCATGTAACATTCAAAACTAAAAAAATTAAATTCACTTCTAATTAAATAAATCAAATATGAGAGGAAGGGCAGGAGAACAACTTACTATCTCCACTCCATGAGCGAACAAAAAAATTCTTGCTCGCTCACGGAGGGGGGGGTTAATTTTAAAAAAAAAATTTCATAATAAAAAAAAATTCCACTTATTGGAAGGCAAATATTAATTTAATTTATAAAAATTTATGTTTTTAAAACGCAATTTGTTTTAATTAAACAGAATTAGCTCGAGATTTCATGATAATAGCTATCACTTATATATCAAAATTTTTGTTCGCGAAGGCGTGTTTTTAGGCAAAAAATAGGGATTGTTCTAATAGTTTGTTCGCTGACGGAGGGGGGAGAGCTAGAAAATCATCTCAGCCACAGCAATCCAAAACGTTCCAAAACGAAGAAATTCAAAACCGTGACCAATCAAACGACTGAATTATTGTAAAACTTCATTCGAAATTAAAAACTCTTGAAGGAAAATACAACAATTTCGTAAATACCTGCTCAGCACTAATGAAAGAAAATAAATCAATTTTGGATAATTATTTCCTTCAAGACAGGAGCTCTCAGCAAATTTCTGTAGATCGAGCGAAGTTTGAAAAGGACTTACAGTATATATTAAGTGTCCAAGCCGGGATAAAAGAAGAATCTTCAGAAAGTGGGAGAAACAAGGAAGATTCTTTTGCTGCTGTGAGTGAAAAATTGATAGAAACTCAGTCTGAAATCATGAGGATCTTTTCTGGCAAACTTCATTCCCCAGAGGAGACAAAAGAAGACGTTCTTGACGTTTTTAATAGAATGTCTAGTAACTTATGGGGAGTTTTATTCCGCCAAAAAAATAAAGAAGAAAGTTCCGAAAAAACCAGCGAATTATTAAAGAAAATAGTAAAGCTGGAAGATGAGAAAAAGCTCTTATCCCCCCTCAGTGAACAAACAAATCAATTGGAAAAATCACTATTTTTGCCTGAGAAGTGGGATTTTTTTGGTTTCGAAAAAAAAAATTAACCCCTTACGAAAGCAACAAAATTATTTTGCCTACTCACCGAGGGGGAGTTAGAAAAGCAAGTCAAAGATCTTATGAGCAGAAGCAAAACTTCAGAAATTAATAAAATCCTTATTGAAAAGCAAAACTTAGAGCAAAGGGTTAAAGAGCAGTTTTTGCAACTAGAAAAATTTAATTCTTCAGCTGAATCCTTTGAAATTACATTTGATGAAAAATACAAGCCACAGGAAAATAATAAACTTGTTGAAGTAGATTCTATGAAAAAACTCCTAAAAGAAACAAAAGATAAATATTTTTCCTTTGAAAAGCAGTCAAGAGGCCGAAGAGTGGAATCAAGTGATATGCGGCTTTCTAAGCATTCAGATTCTTCCTTTGTTATGAATAAAAGTCCAAAACCTAACTCCCTCCTTCAGTGGGCAAACAAAACCATTGAAAAAATCCTATTTTTTGTCAAACATTTTTTAATACAACAAAATTTTATTAGAAAATTTTATATATAAGTGATAACTACTATAATGAAATCTCAGGCAGGCTAATTCTGCTTAATTTGAGCAACTATTGCATTTTAAAACGTAAATTTTACGAATTAAATAAAACTTTTTAAATTTTTGCGAATTGGGATTTCGAAAAAAAAAAATCCATAGAATTTATATACGCAATTTTAAAAATATTCCCCTCGAGCGAATAAAATTTTTTGTTCACTTAGCAGGAGGGAGTAAGGAATATTCACCAATAAGAAATAACTCACAAAAACGGTCAATAAGTCCAGCAGAAAGGAAAATTTTTGATTTAAATAAAGAAACTAATCAGCTCAAAACGAGTATAGAAGCAATTTCTAAAGAAAGAGATGTTCTCAAGGCTTGGAAAGCAAATGCCCTGAAAAGTCCACAGTCAATACAACCAAATCTTCAAAAGACAATCCAAAATTTGGAAGCGGATAAGGATAATTTACAAAGGATAATTAAAATTTACCAGGATAAGCAGAGATATTTAATAAGAGGAATCCATTCATTTATTATGTGTACAAGCAGAATGCAAAAATATTTGCGAAAAGAAGATGCCCTCAAATATTCAAATTTATATGAAGACGAAAAGCATAAGTTAGAAATCAGAGTCAAAGAAGTCGAAAATGAGCAGTCAAGCAGCAAATGAAGTACTCAAAGCTCTCCATGGACTACTCCAACTCAAACGCCATTTAGAAGTCGAATTTTATCTAAGCAAGATGACACTTCTGTTGAAGAATTAGGATACTCCAAAGATATTAACTTTTTACAAGATGAGCTAGTTAAACAAATGGAAAGTAGCCAAAATATTCAGAAAAAGCTAGAGGAAGATTTAAATAAAAAAATAAATGAAGAAAAAACTTTGAAACAAAAAATAGAACATTTAGAGGAAATTAATAAATTATCAGCAGATGAAAACACTGAGCTTGAAAAGGAAAATGATAATTTAAGGGCGCAGCTTTCAAAGATGAAAACTGAAGGCCAAAGCGCTCCAGTAAAAGTAGATTATATAAAAATTACGAATTCTTTGAAGATAAAAATTGATGAACTGGAGACTACCCTTGAAGGCAAAGATAAAACTATCGCTTTCCTTAATTCGAAGTTAGAATCTACCAAAAATTCCTATGAAAGCACCAAGAATTGGGCAGAAGCGCAAATATCGCAATTTTTTACAGAAATAAATAGCCAAATCGAAAATTTCAATAAAAAGGCTGATTCTCAAGAAATTTATTTAAATTCTTTAGAAAAATTAATTAAAGAAAAGCTCAATGAAAATTATCAAACAATTGAGGCTATGAATGAAGCCACTGAAGAAAGAGAGCATTTGCAGTATATAATGGAGCAAAACCAAGCGTATGTTGATACAACAATAAAAGAAATGGGTGAAACAATAGAAATCCTTGAGCGCGAGCGCGATGAACTAAAAAACGAAGTTTCTGAGTCCAAACTAGCATTTTTAGAACTTGAAGAAAAAAATAAAAAAAATCTTCAGCTAGAAAAAGAAGTGAAAGATTTAAAGGCAATAATAAATGATTATGAAAAAAATGAAAAAGAATTCAAAACTGAGCTTCAAAAGAGCCATCAGAAAGAGAGCAATTTAGAGCAAGTAAAGTATGAATTAAGTGTTGTTCAAAGGGAAAATAAAAGCTTAGTTGACGCAAATAATGAGAAAGATAAAGAAATTATGAGTATGCAGAAAAGGTTGCAAGATCAGATAATGAGCACTAATTCTACAATTGAAGAATTTGAATTTAAGTTGAGAGAAACTAAGTCACAATATGAAGCCCAATCACAAGAACTGGAAAATATGACTAAAAAATACAATAGCTTAGCTAAAAACTACCAGGAAACTCAAACCAAAACCCAATCTTTAGAAAAAAGAGCATCAGGCATTGATAGAGAAAAAGAATTAAAATATGCCCAAGAAATCCAAGACCTAAGAAATGAAAATATTTCTCTTAATAGACTTTTCAAGCATAAAGAAGAAAAATTCATAAAAGAACTTGAAGATTTGAAAAAGGAAAAAGAGTTATCAAACTTATCAATTCGAGAAAAAGAGACAAAGTTAATTAATGAGAATGAGTCATTATTAAAAGAATTTAAAGAAAAAGAACTGAAATTATCCAGTGAAATTGAAAAAATAAAAAATGAACTATTATTGGAAAAAGAAAAAGAGCTTATATTTATTAGTGAAATTGAAAACTACAAAAATGAAATTTCTCAACTGGAAAAAGTTAAAAAAGAAAAAGAAATAAAATATTCTAACTTCCCGCTGTGACCGAACAAAATCATTGGAAAATCCCTATTTTTTTTTGGGTAAAACCCACCCTTATTTAGTGAACAAATTTTTAGTTCACTCACGGAGGGAGTAAGGAAATTGAGGAATTGAAAAAAGAAAACCATTCACTAGGAATAAATAAAGAAAGAGAAGCAAAAATGATTCATGAAATAGAAGTTTTGAAAAGAGAACACAGTTTATTGGCAAACACAGGAAAAGATAAGGAAATTAAATTGATCCAGGAAATTGACAGTCTTAATAAAGAAAATTCTATATTAAGATCAGCGAAAGAATCATCAGATAAAGAATGGAATAATTTAATTAAAACTGAAATAGTGTCAAGTGAAGCTCTTAAATCAGAAAAAGATGAATTAGCTGGTATGCTAGAAAGAGAAAAGGAAAAATACAAAAAACTAGAAAAAATAAATAAAGAAAAGGATGAATTTTTAAATAAAGAAAAAGAAAAAATCAAAATTTTAGAGGAAAACATCAGTGAAAAAGATTCAAACTTAATATTTTATGAGGAAGCTCTAAATAAACTAAATGAAGAGATTGTTAGCCTGAAAATGGAAAATGAAAGGTTAAGCGAGCTTAATAAAGTAATGACTATGACAAAAAATGGGAATGAAAAAGATAAGGAAATAATTGGGAAATTAGAAGAAAATATTGATAGAGTTCAAAGAGAATTGAAGAAAAAATTGGACGAAGAAGAACATTTGAGAAGCCACTTAAAATCAAAAGAGATAGAAATTGAAGAAATTCAGAAGAAAAATGAATTTTTGGAAGATTAAGATTAAGATTATTTTCTAGCAGGTCTTAGGAGTAGTTTATTTTTATCCCCTCTTTGTCTTCAGGCTCAAGTGACACTATCACCGGCATCACGACCCCTTTCCTGCCGATGTCACCCATTCTTTCGACTCATCTGAAGTTTGTGTCTGAGTCTCTCCTTGCAACGCCGACTCCCTCAGCCACTGGCAGTGCTCAGGGTATGGATAAAATATTATAGTGCCTCCTTAAGTACCACACAAATAAAATGGTGCCACCAGTCACTCTGGACCTAATCAGCACTCGCCATCTTTTAAACAGTATTTTTGGGAGAAGAGCTAGAAAAAAATAAAGATCAAATAGCTTCTCTAGAAAGAAAAAATGCTGATGAAGCCAAATTAAATAGATCAAAGCATGAAGAAACCAAGACATTATTAGCAAACCTTATTAAAGAAAAAGAAGCTTCACAGATTCAAAAGATTGAGAATCTAAAAGATATTTTATCAAAGCTAGAAAACAGGCTTAAAAATCTTAAAGAAAGATTTGATAACTCTCAAGAGCAGACAAAAATACTTTCATCTCTTAATGAAACCAAGCAATTAGATAGCGATGAAGACTCTAATTCTATTTTACTCTCCAAAATTGAAGCACTTGAATTTACTTTAGGCGAAACTCAAGCATGGTCTGATTCAAAAATTAAAGAACTTGACGAGCAAATTGATACTTTACTTCAAGAAAAGGAAGACTTAACTAGCCAAATTCAAGAGCAGAAAAACGATATATCAAGAATTCCTACATTGCTAAATAAAATTGATTCTCTTGAAAAAGCAAATCAAAGTCTTCAAACGGAAAATAAAACACTTAAAGACTCTTCAGTAGAAACAAGCCAGCTGCGTCAACAAATAAATATGAAAAACTTCGAAAATGATGGATTAAAGTATGAAAAGCAGGCATTGAATGAAGAAAAGCAACGATTACTAGAAGAGCAAGATAGATTAAGCAAAGAACTTGAAGAACTTACCACCATAAGTAAAAACGAGCTGCTAAACGCGAACAAAAAAATTGAAAGCCTCCATTTTGAACTAACAACTGTTAAGCATGAATTAGACCAAGAAAAAGAAAAGTCTCAAATTTCTGAGGAAAAAGTAAAAAATACTAATGAGGAATTAAAAGCTATTATTGATCAAAAAAATCAATTGAAAAATGAATTCGATAATTTTAAACAGAACAAACAAAGCAATAGTGAAAACTCTGAAGATGTCGAAAAATTGACTGAATTATATCAAGAAAAGCAAAATGAGCTCAAAAACTATGAAGCTAAAGTTAAGGAACTAGAAAATAAAGTTGAATCTCTACAAAATGAATTAAGTGATAAAACCAACACATTGATGCTTTATGATGAAGAACTTTTCAAACTGAAAAGCGATTATCAAAATTTTTCTACAGAAAAAGAAAACTTGGTTTCCAAGTTAGCTGAAAAAGAGCAAGAAGTTTTAAATTTGAGTGCTGAAAATGAAAGTAGTCATGCTGAGCAAATGCAGTTATCAAAAATCATGGAGCAAGTTTTATCTGATTCTAAGGCATCCAAATTGCAATATGAGCAGACTATCAAAGAGCTTGAATCAAAGCATAATCCTAAGCCACAAGTTATTAGCAGTAGCAATAAAAAGTACGAAGAGTTGTTGCAAGAACGAGAAAATAAAATAGCTGATCTTGAGTGTAAAATTAACTCTGCAGAGGAAGCTTTAGGTGGTTTCTTTAATGAAGATCTATCTAAATCCATCATAAATCTTGTTTCACAAAGGACACAAGGAATCAAAAAACCTCCACCAAGACCTCCAGTTGGCAGATTTAGGTCAAAACGAGCTGGAGAGCAGTCACCCAGTGACCAGCAAGGAGATCCTGATGAATTTAATGTATCAGGCTCTTCACAGAACTCAGACAAAAACTCTGAAAGCTCCTGGGCTTCTATGCCTGCTAAGCTTTCAGCAGATGTCCAAGTGCTTCAGTCTGAGTTAAATGACGAAAAAGTGACTGTCGACAGGTTGCAGCATCAAAATAAATTGCTAAAAGAGCACATCAGAGACTTAGAGCGGCAGGTAAAAATCAGTCAAAATTTCAATCAAGGCGCCCGTGATGGTTCTATGAGCAAAGAGCAGCTTAAAAATACAATCATAAGCTTGATTAAAATTTTGCCTCCTTTGCCTAATGAAGGTGAAGCAACTGTGAGAATTATTTTATCAATGCTTGAGCTAAGCAAAGAAGAAATGGTAGATATTGACAGAGAAAGAATAGAAAGAGATAAAAAATCTGCGAAACCGAAAGGCAAATTTATGGGAATTTTTAATAGATAATTTTATGACATATTGAGTGAATATTTTATTCTAATCGTTTTAACTATATTTAATCAAACGTTTTATAATAAATAAACAAGCTTGATATTGCTTAGAATTAAAAAATTAAGCCCTAAGCCTTTTATATGCCCTTATCTGGCGATTTTTACATAATTTTACTTCTAGATCTTGAAATCCTTAATAGAATTCATTATAAGTATTAAATGAAGACAAATCTAAGCTTGGTTCATGCTATAGTTCATTTGCATCCCAAGCATCTGCATCATGAACATCCAATAATAATAAAAGCCATACTGTTGCGCTAATTGATTGAATTGCGCTGCAGGTTTTGCTTGAGGCTGGGTCTTTTGCTCATTTTGAGCCTCTACCTTTGGTTCTGGTTTTTGAATTTTTGGTTTCTTAATAACTGGCGCTTGATATATCCTTAACTTATAAGATTTTCCGACTTCAATTTTCTCGTTCAAGTTCGCTTTTTTTCAACCTGAATTAAGCCTTACTATTAGTTTCTTTACAGTGATAAACAATAATGTATTTCTCTTTAGTGTTAATTTTGAGCTCCCTGAGTGACCTTTCCAGCACTTTCCCCAATTTTGCGTTGTCTTGAACAGCAAATGACGTAGGATCATGCTTGGATGGTTTTTCACAACTGCAAATCACTTTTGTATTGGCGGACGGGTCTAATTCTTGTGAGGGGTCCATAGTAAAAAATTTTGTCGGTTTTCGGACCCTGGTTGAACTTCTGGCAGAGATTTCGATGACACCCTTTTTATAGTTTGAAGCAAGATGATTGGCTTCCATTTATTATTTCATTAAGAATTTGGTGTTCCGTTTAAGGGTCATTGAGAATGATTGTCTCTGTTAGAAATTGAATACTGATTAAGCTCAGCTTTGAAATATAAAAACTGCGATTAATTTGAAATAAGTGCTATTTAATCTTAATATCAGAAATCTAAAGCAAACCAAAAGGGATCAGAAAAATGTTGGCGAAATTAATTCCTAATGGAACTCTTTATGGCAATGAGAAAATATAGATGCGAAAAAGGATATTTGAAGCTTATTAGCAGGACTGCTGATACGATGTATATATTAGGCTTCCTTAAGAGTCTGAAACACATGACCATCTGAAATTTCGTTTTGCTATATAAGCACTCAGAAAATAACCTGCGCAGCAAGTTAATCTTCTTTTCCATCTTCTTCTCTATCTTCTACTTAAATTTTTCATCTTCCCGATCTTCATATCGATTCTTCTTTATTAAAAAATCTTCATCATCAATCCTTTCATTTACTTTGTCCCAGAACTCTTGGTGCCAGAATAGTGCGCCATTTTTGGAATCAATGCTGTCTATTTATTCTCTGATACTGCAAAATTTCTGACTGATTGCCAGAAACTTTTTCTCATATCAATCAGTCCAGCCTATTGTCTTCCATTGAAAATATTAAAATTAAATTTTAGGGCAAACTTTGGAGAAATATTGGAGAGAGCGCAAGCAGGCGCGTTTTTTAAAGGTTTCACAAAACTTCAATATTAATTCATATTTTTGAAACGGATTCTTGCCTATAATTAATTTGAAAAGTAAGAATGGGAAATAAGCCATTAATTTATAACGAAATTTAACATTTCAAATGTCATCAATGCTATTTGAGGGCTTTTTATTGATGAATTTTTTAGAATTCAATTTATTTAATGTATATTAATTCTGAATTTAATCATGGTATAAATATTGAAAGATGTTTCAGAGGTCTTTCATGTCAAATTATTGCGCACTTTTGATATACAACATTTTTTTTGGGGAAATTTTATGATAGTGAGACACTTGACTGAAAAAACTGGTAAATTTCGAAAAAAAGTACACTATTAAAAAATTCTGGACCAAATTTTCTTCTATGATATGCACACTATTTAAAGTTTACGATCATTAGAACTGCACTCCTCCATGCCAAACGACCATGAATTTTTTTGATAGTGCGATATTTTTTCTAGAGGAAAATTTGTTCGAAGCATTACCGAAAAAAACTGTTAAATGCCTGCCAAATTGTGCATTATTTAAAAATTTCTTGGATGAAATGTGCGCTATTAAAAGCACTCGATATTGGACCTGCACCCCAATTTCAGAGATAGGACTTTGGGGTTTTTAATAAAGCCTCCAGCCTGTATATTGGATTTGCTATAATAATAGTTTAATAGAGGTTACTTTATCTTTCAATAAACTAATTTATTTTTGAAAAATTTTATTCCCTTCTTATATTTTTAATATTATTTATTAGTCCATTTTGAATGACTTATATTTGCATTTCAATAAGCTGACCCCAAGGACCCATTAAATTTACTGTTGATAAAGCAATTCAAAGTCCTATACTTTTAAGTATTAGCTTTTTTCGTTTCTGAAATTCTTGGTTTATTCAAGTTCAATGTATTCATTATTCTTGCAAAAAAATCAGGATCACGATTTATTGTAAATATTTTCTAGAATTTGGGCAACTTTGTAAAAATTGTTAAATAGATAAACATGAAGGTTTAATTTTACTCTTTATTTGAAAAAAATAAGAATAAAAATTCCACAATAAGAATTGTGCTAATAAATAATAATAATTAAGAGTCAAAATGCTGATTAAAGGGATTCTTTTAATGCAATCATTGCCATATTACTTACATTATTTGCCATTTTGCTAATTTTATAATAAATTCAATATTCAATTTAATTGAGTTTCTTAAAATAATTATTATTTGAACTCTTACTTGTTCTGTTATTAATTTATTGCAAGCACGCAATCTTATAAAGCAAAATTATTAATTTCAATTTCAATCATAATACTTTTATCAAATTTTATATAAGACCCTAAAATAATTTTAATAAAATTGATAATGTCCTTTTATTTTTATTGGAAATTTGCTAATAAAATTCCAAATAAGCCTTTGTTTCACATTAAAATATTTTCAAAACATATTTTTTATTATTATTCCCCTAGACACTTAGTCAAAGCAGGGCTAGGTCTACCTGACTCTTAAACTTAAACTTAAACTTAAACTTAAACTTATAGGTAGGCGTCTGCCATATTGGTTACGCAGTCACCAAGGACTCTCCCGTACGGGCAGTTCATCCGCTTTGCGCCGTCTTCTGCTTCGCCTTGCTCGAATTGGGGCAATGATTCGCTGGGCAAGTGTTCAGCTCTGACACTACCTTTCTTCTCCTTCAGCGCCTGATGCCAGGGCACTTCTGAAGTGAGACTCTGCTTGGACGTCTCCTCCTCCCTTTCGGTCCAGTGTTGAGTGGGCGGACTATGGACTTCTGCGGCTGCTGCATGTGTAACAAGGTTGGCCACACAAAAATCCCAAAAAATGGAATTTCTGTTCGACCTTTCGGCAAAAAGGAAAATCTGAATCCCGGGACGTAACGCCCGGTTTCACGCTAGGCAATTGCCCGATTGGTCTGGGAATTACCTGCAGACTTTGCTGGGCTTGCCCTTTCCAAATCCAAACCTCCTTTCCCTTGAGGTAAAACCCAATCTTGAAATTGGACTGAGGGCTAGGCTCTGTGCATTACCAGAATTGCTTACCTAGCATTGCCGTCCATTTCTGGATTGGTAAAACCTTGCCGGATATAAATAAAATATAAGTCGAGTATGCATGGCCGGAGGCCATGCCCAGACGAAGACGCCATATTTTATTTAGGTCTACCTGACTCTATTGGCAATCTGGATCTACCTGGCAGTCTGGCTCTCCTTGCTATGCCTGGACAGAACTAGAAAAGTCTAAGCCATAAAATCGTCTTAACTATAATTATTTCCTCCATTTCTATTCGCCAATACAGTTTTTCATATGTTCACTAAGCACATATTTATTATACATTTCTTTTCCACAGTTCTCACATGCAACCCTAGTTGATCTTGCATGAACTTGATTGAAGTGAAATCTCACTGCGTATTTTGTTTTGAATCTCTTTGCACATTGAGAGCATCTTGCATTTTTATTTTTAGTGACATGCATTTTCCCTATATGTTGCTTTAATCCTTTATTATTTGTCAGTAATAAGCCACAAAACTTGCACTTTAACTTGTGCGGAATTTCTATGTCTTCTTTTTCTGGTTTAATTTGAATTTCTGGTTTGAAAATTGTTTCCTCTTCATGGCTTCTAAATAAATTTGTGTGGGTAAATAAGTCTTCTTTTTTTTGAAAAATCATATTACAACTCAGACATATAGAAGAATTCGGGGTGGAAAAATCTGATAAAAGCAAACCTATGGGGCTAGGGAGAGTCTGGCAACTTTCTTTTCTTTGAGATAAGGCATCAAGCATATTTATTTTTATCATTTATTTTATGCCAACCAACATTTATTCATCGAAAAATACTAAACTTTTGTAATTTTAGCTTGAATGAACATTAATAGACTATTATAAATCTCACTAGTGATGAAAATACAGCTATAATTTTTATTATTTTGACTAATCACAAAAATAAACGGACACCTAGAAGTGAGCGTTATGAGAATCAAAACTTTCAATAAGGATATGAAAATTAAATCAAATTCTTAAAGACTAAAGATATAAATCTTAATGTTTGTATTTTAAAAAATTGATAATTCTATTTAAATAAGTTTTTTTGTTTGAAACAAGAATTATTAAGAACTTCATAAGGAAAATTATAAAGCTAAATAAAATTTTATTATATGAGGAATGTTTGCAATTATCTTAAAATTTTCATAATTTTTTTTTTAGATTTTACTTTTAATCTAAAATATAAGATATATACAAAAATGACCAGAGATGAGGGGCCTGTCCATCTGTGACAGGTGTCCTTATGTTTACCAGATATGATTATTAGGCTGTGCTTATATCCCTGCTATAGTCAGTAGCCTCGAAGTGAGAGACGTGAGACCGGAAGTCGCCTGTTTTGGTCCTAATTTTTTGGGCAGTTAAATTCGACTTTTTGCCAGTAGCGCCTAGCCCAGCGGGTGCCCAATATGAGGCTGGGCGACATATTGCCTAAGCTGCTTTTGTGATTTGCCCCGAATGGTGAAAGCTGTTGAGTTCTTTCTTGGGGATGTCCGGAAAAAAGGAGAGACAAATAACGGTAACGTTCTGGCACAACCTTAGCACAGGGTTGGTTTTAAAATGCAGGATGACGTCTGGAGTTCGAAATGGAGGGCAATAAATGTCCATCAGGCCTTCGCCTATACCGAGAAACCAGGAGTTTCAGCCCTGGCTTAAGACTGCTGGTCCCTGTCACCCCGCAGGACTTCACTGCGGAACGTGCGGTTAACGAAGTGTGGACTAGAAGCATGCTACTATCAACTAATTAAAATATAAGATGATCAATGGATTAAGCGCAAATTTATATATTCCAAACTATTATTTTATCAGAAAATTTCTTTTAACTTGTAAATATAAAAAGCAATAAAATTATTGTTTCTCATAAAATTCTTAACAAAGAAAAGATAACTATCTTTAGCAAATTTTTATTTATAGCAAATTATTTTAAAAACAATAAATTTTGAATTCTGGCAACTAAGGCGAACTTTGATTCAAAATTTCTAATTTTTTATTTGCCATTTAAGTCAAAATTGTAATTATTTTATTTTACTAGTAAATTAAAATGCTGGAGCAAGGGTGCTTGATTATAGCAAATAAGTGTTTAGAGGCTGAAAGAAGAATTTAGCATTTTATACAGAAAACTATAAACTCAATACAACTGCAACTTAAATAGAAAATCATGATCTTAAATTAGATAAATAAATGATAAGAAAAATTAAATCCACCTTTGAAAAAGGTAGTTATAACCTTCAACCTTAGGTAAATTATCGATCTCTTTATATAGTTAATAGAAGCTTTCAAGTTGAATCCCTTGAAAGCCAAAAGAAATTGAATTAGCTATTTAATTAATTAAATAAAGCATTAATGATCTTTATCTTGATATAGTCGCACACATAAAAGCGTAAAATCACAGCCTTTTCTTCCAGATCAGCTCGAGTTTAAGTCGCTTGCTACAAAAATAACCAAATCGAGTAGAAACAGAGTCTGTGAGTATTGGGTGTTTTTATCTTGCTAAGATTTACTTCCCTTGTCTAGATATGATAATAAATACGCATTTAATATTAAATAAAAATAAAAATACATTACGAAAAGGATTTATTTAGCATTTTTTAAAATTACTCACGGGGTGTCGGTATCGAATTGTGCTTGACCAAACAATTAGATTTTTGTTTAAGCACCTATTCAAGTTTAAAGTAGAACCAAATTTAATATCAGAGTTTTAATTATTTAATAGGATAGATATAGTGAGAAATAAATGCCAAGAATGCTATTCTTTTTTCTAGTTAACGAGTTTAATTTAAATATAAATATCCGTACTCTTTAAGTTTATGCCCGTTGCCTTATAAGTTATAGCCATTTATATCATTAAGTATTCTTAACTCAAAAAAATGCAACTATTTAAATTTCAAATAGTATCCTTACTATAGTAATAATTATTATTTTGATTTTCAAGTCCTTATATTATAGAAATTTTTATTGCAGGATCATATGCCTTAAAAAATAAAATAAAAACTACATTTAATTCTTCATTGATTTTTTTGCTTTTTTAAATTTTTATTTGAGTAATTTTAAATTAGATTAATTTGAATTATTGTATTACGTCATTAGTTTAGTTGGACAAGAAAAATGGAAGCAATCTAAGAAACTATTATCGATTAAAATAGTTTCTGATTGAATTTTATATTTATTTATAATAAAGATTATGAGATAATTTACTAAAGAATTAATTCTGATATGGAAAATGCTTATTCATCAAATTTTTTATTAAACAATTTCTTTTGAGTAAGCCAATTAAAAGATAAATTATTATAATTAATTGCTCTAAAAGACAAATTTTAATCAGTAATTTGATCAGCTTTAAAACTAAAAATATCAGTTTCTGTCAATTATAAATATAAATAAAAAAACAATTACTCTTCGTATTTTTTATTACTAATTCTAATGATTATGACTGCAGACTTTTGCATGCTGGACTAGTAAGTATTTGTTATACATGACTTTTCCACATTCCTCACAAACCACTCTTGTCGTCTTCGTGTGGACTTGCTTGACATGAAATCTGACTGCGTATTTATGTCTGAACCTCTTTGTACAATGTGGACATCTGGCATTTTTGTTTTTTGTTAGGTGAATTTTCCCAACATGTTGCTTTAATCCTTTATGTTTTCTAAAAGTTAAATCGCAAAACCTACATTTAAAAATAGTTTTTGGATGATCCAACTTAGCGTCTAAAAGCATCTTCACTAGTGAAAAGACTGAATCGTCCTGGCCTTTTACTGTGCATAGAGTATCAATCTTGGAACCATGAGAAGAACCTTGATGAATGGTCAAGTCATCTTGTAAACAGAAGGATAGACAGCAGCTAGTGCAAGCAAACGTTGAAGACCCAAGTGGTTGAGTCGCTGATAAGAACTTTGGACTTGGGAGTCGGAGAGATTTATCGTATTTGGTGAGATTGGTCGTAAACATATTTATTTTTAGCCTTTAATTTATTGGTATCCAACATTTGATTATTGAAATTGTTAAAATGATTATAAATACGAAGGTTTTTTGTGTATTTTTAATTCAATTAATATTGAAACTTAAAAAGATAAGTTTCTGAGAGCCATATTTTCAACCGTTCATAAGCTTTTGAAAGTTCTTCGCTGCTGCTAGGAAAGAGCTTAGTGCGAAGTGATCACTATTTTAAAATTTATCGTCCAAATTTAAGTGTGATGACTTTTTGATAAATTTATGTGAAAAAATTGTTAAATTTTAATAAGTATAAATATATTTGGAGTATATTTGGGTCATCTTATAAATAAATTTAGGTCAATTTGCTACATTTAAAAGATTAAAATTTTATATTTTTTAATAGATACTTCAGAGGATTCATAAAATCAGTTTAAGATCGCTCTTTCATAGAATTATGAAGCTTAACCTTAGATAAGCCTAAATTCTGTCGCCGTTGAGTAGCTATGGTGAATAATCCATTTACAACTATTAAGAAATATGATAAATAGGCAAAACTCTATTTATCAAAAATTACTCATTTTATTTTTCTAGCAATTTTAGTTTATTTTTTTAAGTCACGGATCTCTGATTAGACTCAATTGTGAAAACACTTCATCATAAAAAATTTTTGAAAAAAAATTATTATTAGTAAAGAATCAATAAAATAAAGCTCAAAATAAGAATATGATGAGATAAAAAAATAATACAGGTTAATCATAAGCTTCTTTAAAAGTTTCAATTATGTTTTCTTAATTTTTGAACTTTTAGCATCTTAAATGGAAGAAAATGGATGACCAAGAGCGTGGGTATCTATAGAATTTACCTTATAAGCATTATGTTATGAATTTACTCCAGCACATTTAATCTATCTTTTAGTTCAAAATTCTTAGATCATTCTAATTTCGAGAGCACCTTTAATTTTTTTTAATTTGCGTTGAATTTCTATTATGCAAATATAAATGCATTCATTGAGCTTATATTAATTATTTAATTAATTTAGAGCTTGGAGACGAAAAGAAATAAAGCTAAAGCTAAATCATAAAACTATAAATATATTCATAGTGTCTTATCTATTAAGTTAAAGGCCGTTTATTACCATCTTTACTACTAAGCTACAAGTCTATGCGCTAGAAAATTTCCTTTAAAATTTTTGCTTTGATTTATGAGTGTGACAAAGATAAATCAAATTATTAATCTGTATTAACTTTCAACTCTGCTTCTAAAGAATTCTGATCTTTTTGGGGTCAAGATTATTTAAGTACCAAGTCTTTAAGGATTTTTGAAGTAAATTCTTTACAACTAAAAAGTTCTTCGGTATGTGCTTCTACTATTCTACTCCCGAGCAAAAGGTCTTTAAAAAACTAAATAAATTTAATTGAAAAATTTTTATTATAATTGAGATTCTGTAAATGGATCAGTAATATAAGAAAAAGAAATTATGACAATATTATATTATGATATTCTAGATACATACAATTTTAAGATATAATTAGCTTATTCGAAGCTATTATGCATGCGAAAAAATTAATTTTAAATTATTCTACCATTTCTCACTATCAAAAATATTTTTCAACTTAAAATCTTAAAGGAACTCATTAGTTTTGTAATGTGCTGGAAATGCATAATTAAGTTCAAACATTAATTCCATAATAGCTTTTAATATTCATATATTCAATGATTTGACTATTGAAAAAATGAGGGCTGTTCATTATAAGAAGTATAAATAATGTTCAATAATATAAGAACTATCGATAAAATTGATTGTATTTATGAAATTTTATTGCTCATGAGATCTATTTCTGCTGCTTTTCATATATATTATATAATATAAATGTATGTTTAAATTTGGATATAATATCAGGCAAATTTAGATAAATAATTAAAAGTAATTAATATAATTTTAATATTATTTATATAATTTAAAAAGAAATTTTTAGTATAGACTTCTCTTTGAATTAAAATAAAAAAAATGAAAATCTATAAAATCTAGAAAAATTAAATAAATTGTAATAAAATTATCGTTAAATAACTTGAACTTTTTTTTACAGTTGATAAGCTTACGAATTGGCATATCATTATTATTAGCAGCTTTTTTATATTATATATTATAATTTATCCATTTATAAAAAATGCTTAATAAATATTATAAAAAACCTAAACCTTGCAACATCGTAAATGGTCATTAAGTGTATATTTATTGTACATTGACTTCCCGCATCTTTCGCAAGAAACTCTTGTTGATCTATCATGTACTTGCCTGATATGAAACTTTAATGCATATTTATGTTTGAATCTTTTATAGCAATGAGGGCACCTTGATCTTTTGTTTTTGTTTAAATGAACCTTTCCAACGTGCTGATTTAATCCTTTCTCATTGTCAAAAGTTAAACAGCAGTGCTTACACTTTATTAGAGACTGTGATGAGCGGTCATCTTCAAATATGTTCCTTAGTGGAAGCTGATTTTTTTGCTTTGGAAATTGAGACTTTCTATGACACAATTTTTTTGCAAGGCTTAGATGCAGCTCTAAGTCTCTTTTCTTACCAAAACTTAAACTACAACTACTACAAATATTCTTTTTCTTAGAAGCTGGTTCACACAAATACGGAAACTGAGGCCCGGGAAGCAAAAAAGGGATTTCTTGTCTGTCATTGGCAAGGTTTAACATATTTATTTTTGGCCTTTATTTTATAAAATTAATTGATGGCGTCCGATTTTATTGAAATATTATGCATAGACTCTATTTACTAATATCTTCTAAGGCATGGTTGAAAGCAATTAAAATTTATCTGCCTTCATTCCAGCTGGATGCTTATAAAAATCTTCGAGCTTAGATTTATGAATAATTTCATTTTGCATATATAATAAAATTGTCTCCTCGGCAAATAATTGCGAGTTAATAGACTATACAACAAAATATGATTAATTATTCTTTTCCTTAGAAGCGTTTTCGCATAAGCAAAAAGGTTTGTCACAGGTAGCTGAACATATTTCTTTTAAGACTTGATTTTATAAATAATTTGACGGTGCCGATTTTATTGAAATATTATGCATAGGCTATATTTACTAATGTTTTAGACGATGACTGAAATAATTATTAGAAACATTGCTTCATTCCAGCAGGAATCATATATTAACTTTCTTGAATTTCTATTCATTCTTTAGGTTAAAATTTTTTATTATCAAAATTAAGAAAAAGAATCTTTCGATTTTTCACGAGCTTATAATAACCTCAAGCATTAAAGAATTAAACGCTTTAACGGCTGCGGGCCTTGGTAATCCTTGCTTCTAAGAGCTAACCCGTGCTTTAGGTTTGTCTCCTTTTCTTAGAAAGCGGTATTTAAATGCCAGCCTCAGTTAGCAGGCTAACTGTATTTATGCGTTTGCCTCAAAACGCAATCCAGTCAAGTACTTGGCTATATAAATTAAGATTTATTATTAATAATTTTCCATAGTTGCATAGTAATTAAATTTCCTAAGACTAATGACATACAGTATGAAATTAGACCTAAAACAAAGGCAATTAATAAGACAGAAAATTAATTTTTAATAAAATCTTAAAAGATTAGACATCAAGCTATTAAAATAATTTTTTTGAGAAGCCAATAAACGTTTTAATTGCGCCATAGTCTTGATTATTTGTATAATAAGGGCTACCTAAGTTTTATAACTCAAATTGTGTAAAAAGAAGTCTAAAAGAATATTGGTTGTGGGAGTGGCGCAGGTGGCTTTTTAAGCTGAAAATTGGAATATTTCACAATTTTATTAAATTCTAGCTTGCGAAAATAAAAAACTGTCATAATGATAAAATTTCTCTCATTTCTTATAAGGTTTGGCTTTCCCAAAGAATCCTTATCAAGACATATCAGTAAACAATGTAGAAGAATTACAACTTCTTGATATAATCATTTGGACACTTAGATGGTTTAGGATTTATCCGATCAACATACCGAGAAAGTGGAAATTTAGGCGGAGTACGTGCAGGAGCTGATGAACTCTTGATGGCAAGACTCTGAGTGAGATATTCTACTAGCTGGGAGTGTAAATTGTTTAGGAGTGTCTGTTCAAGTGAGCAAATAATTACTCAAGAAACTTAAAAAATATGAGTAACACTGTGAAGAGCCCCATTATAAATGGATCGAAAATTTGACTTTCCTTATGATCCATACAAAGTCCAGCTAGAATTTATGCAAGAGCTTTATAAAACTCTTAGCATTCAAAAAGTCGGCATTTTTGAAAGCCCAACTGGAACAGGAAAATCTTTAAGTTTGATTTGTTCATCTTTCAAATGGCTCACTCCCCCTTACTTAGGGATTTAAACATAAATTTACAAATTAAATTAATATTTGCTTTAAAATTATTTCGAATAAGGATGCTTTAAATTTAAAAAACAAATTATAAAGTATATTTTTATGAAAAAAATTAACCCACTTCCATTAGTGAAGAAAATTTTTTTGTTCACTCAGGAGTTAGCGACTTTAAAAATTCCTCCACGAATGAGGTGTCTGAGCCAAAAATCATATATACAAGCAGAACCCATTCACAATTAGACCAATTTATTTCAGAAATTAAAAAAACAGTCTGAGCTTATGGTGCAAATAAAATCCATGTCGTCAGAGTAGGCTCAAGGAAGCAGCTTTGCATTAATACTGAATTGGAAGAGTTTAAAAATTCGCGTGAAATTAACTATAAATGCAAAGAGTTAGTAAAAAAGCCTGAAAATGATGAGGAAAGATGGAGAAAAAATGATGATGAGCAAAATTGTCCTTATTTTGATGGTGCCAATGATGTATGTGACCATATTAGTGAAAATATCTGTGATATAGAAGATTTGCTGCTGGCTGGAAGAAGAAATTTTGGATGCCCTTATTATGCTACAAGGCAAGCTATTGAAGAAGCAGAAGTGGTTATAGCCCCTTATTCGTCAATTTTAAACAAAAGGATTCGCAAAAGATCAAAAATACCTCTAGAAAACTCAATCCTTATTATCGATGAGGCTCACAACTTAACAGAGTCTATCATCAGCGCATATTCAGCTTCAATGCAGCTGAAGCAAATAAAGCAGTGCATAAAGACCTTAAGTGCATACTACAATGAATATCAAAGTAGATGGAATCCTTATAAATCAGGAAAAATAAACGATGTTTTACAGTCCGTTAAACAATTTGAAAATTTCATTAAATCAGCGTTAAGGACCTCTAATAGAAAAGGATTTTCAACCCCAGTTAGAAACTTTGTGAGGGATTATGATTTGCATAGATATGATTATAAAGAAATTCTTGAATTCATAAATCTCGATGATTTAGCAAGAAAAGTTATGGGATATGGGGTGACTAAAAGATTAGCTTACGGTGACACAACTTATTTTTACGCTTTAATTTAAGTTTTAGTTTACGTAACTCTTCAAATCCCTGACTTCTTGGTCTCAGATTGGACTACAGCTCTTAATAACGGTAGGTGGGCCGACCTAGCTGTTGACCTCTATCTGTCCCCAAGCTATTTAGGACCTCTCTGATCTACACCAGACTCAGTTTAGACACATTATTTTGAGCCCAGATTCTCAATAAGTCGTAGATCCTCTTACTAAGCTCGTTTAGGATCTGAATCCTACTCCCTAACTGACATTTTTAATTGAGTCGCTTTAATTGAATTTTTCGAATGCTTCGTAAATGATCCTACAGATTCTTGCATAATTTTTGATAGAGGTGAAGAAGTTGGCGACCCAAGAATAAAATATTTGCTATTGAATCCAATAATTCCTTTCAGGTCAATATTAAGCTCAGTTCGTTGCGTTATACTGGCTGGAGGGACTATCGAACCTCGTCAAGAATTTTTAGAACTTTTTGAAGACATTCCGAAATCAAAAATAACTTTTTTCTCATGTGGGCATGTGATTCCATCAGAAAATTTATTGCTTTCTATTGTCTCGAGAGGCAAAAGTGGAAACCCATTCAGGTTTGTATTTGATAGACGAGACGATTTGGACATGATGGATGATCTTTATAGATTACTTGTTGATGTAAGTCAAGTTGTTCCTAATGGAATAGTTGTTTTTCTTCCATCCTTTAGTTTTCTTGGAAAATTAAAAAATCATATAGATTCTAATTATTTAAGAAAATTACAAAGATATGCTCAGATCTCGAAGTTTCATGTATTATTCTTGGATAAATATCAATATTTTATTTGAAATATAAATAGATTGATTAAGCTATTAGAAGCAATAGCTGTTGTAGCTATGTAAGCAATTATTCTATGATAATAGGAACGAAAATATATTAGATCAATACTCGAGATATGCGAAAAATGGAGGCGCAATGCTTTTTGCCGTCACTCGTGGAAAATTAAGTGAAGGAGTTAACTTTAGCGATGAACTGGGAAGGTGCATTATTATGGTTGGCTTGCCTTATTTAAATTGTTTTGATATAGAAGTTAAAGAAAGAATGAATTTCTTACATCCTCATTTTATTATTTCATAAAACGGATCAAAGCTCTGTTAAAAAATTATTCTTTTATATGCAGAGGTATTATAGAAAAAAGAGAGTTAGACTCAAAACTTAATGGGTTTACAGGAAGAGAATTTTATGAAATGAACTGCCAAAAAGCAATAAACCAATCAATAGGCAGAGCAATTCGGCATATAAACGATTATGCTATCATTTTATTAGTTGATGAAAGGCACACCATTTATCAGCGCCCATTATGGATGAGATCTAATTACGTTGATCAATGTGAGGATGATCCTACAAATATAATAGGCTCCATTGAAGATTTCTTTGAGGATTTCAGAAAAGATAAACAAGAACAAAGTGAAGAAGAGCAAGAAATCGGTGCATCAATTTTTTGTAGAAAATCTGTCTCTGGCAGAGATCTCCCAGGCATAATTGGTCGAATTATTCCTCTTGAAACATTTGCTTAGCAAAACTGGCTATGAAGCAATATCAGAACAGAAAAATACCTTAAAACACTGAGGAGAAAAAGATTAATTAAATATGACATCTCAGCAAAAGAATGAGCTAGCCTCAGCAGCACATACTAATATTTATGGTTATGAATCTAATAACTCAGAAACAGCAACATGTTATGTAACTCTAGATCTGCATACATTTTAATCGGAACATTTTGCTAGTGTTTGTAATCGGCTAATTAAGATTAAGAATTAGAGAGCAAATATTTTTACCCTTTTAAATCGGTTATTATGATTATTTTGTTTAATTTAGCGCTTATCTAATTTCAAATTAATTTGCCTTCGAATTTTCCTAAAATCAATAGGGGTTTGAGTCCTATAAAAATCTTTCTTAACCGTGCTCATAAAGTGATTATCCGTTATTTTCTGCTTCAGCAAGCTTTCATCAGGTTTTGTAGCTTTATCTATAATAGATGACTTTGAAAAATCTTTAAATTCCTTTTTAGACTCACTTTCTCTTATCAAAATTTCTCTCTCTTTTAATGTTTTCATTGAAATTAAATTTTTAATTTCTTTGTTTTTTTGCTGAGCTGCAAGAAGTTCATTAGAATTTGCTGGTTTAAAAGAATCCTTATAAGATGTTGATGAGCTTAGCCTTAGTCTCTCATCATTGTGCTGAACTCTTGACTGTTTTACATAATAAGGGTTATTAGTGCCTCAATTGAGGTAACTTGAAGAATAAGAAGTTTGCGCAAAAATATTAGACTGAGGAGGCGGCGTTGGGTAGCCCTTTGAACTGACTTTTGGAGGATTTTTACAAATTGGCTTGAAATCCTTTTCATTTGTAGTTTCATATGTAATTGGATAATGACTATAAGTGTTTTCAGCAGATCTTATTGGAGAGGTTTTAGCGCATTGGCCTTTAATAAATTCGTTTTTATATTGAGATCGATACATGGAGATGGGATAAGGATCGTTCAGCTTTGCTGGACATTTATGAGTGCCGCATGAGCATAATTCGCAAATGCATTGGTGGTTTTTATGGTCGTTTTCAGAAATAATCCCAATATTTGGATTTGATAAAGGACAGTCTTCAATAGAAGAGAACTTTCTTGGCAAATTTTTCGAAAAATTCGAAGAGTTTTGTGATAACGTTGCGAGCGAGGAAAAGCTTTTATTCATGCAGTTAATTATCTCTTATTTTGATAAATATGCAGGATTTGTTATAAAGTAAAAATTTGCTAATATTAATGATAAAAAGTAAATATGCATTGATATGGCGGAGGCGACCCAACCTCTTGGCGTTATTTTATTGATACCTGCAGGCAATGTCCAGGGAGAGAGGCCAAGTCGAGAAAAAGGTACTTCATCCCGACTGTATTAAGGCAGAGGCTTTCTCATGCCACAGGGAATGATACCTGGGATATGGGATTTTTCCTCCTGACATGGACTTGGAAAGCGCGAAATATAAATTAGGAAAAAGGCTCAAGGCCTTTAGTAAATGAACAACTAGGAGCAAGTAGGTTGCCGATAGGCGAGGCTATCAGCTGCAGCCGGTAAATCCTCACAGGAGTTGATGAGCTTGCAGAGATTAAAATCCTCGGCGGATTAAACAAGGCATCATAATTTAATTTTAATTTAATGATAATAGCTATATTTAATATCAAATTAATATCTTTTTTTCGCAGCATTTTCGAGTTTTTGAGTTTCAACTCCAAGTTCTTTATAAACAGCTTTGAGCAATCTAGCCGACTCTTTCCAGCATTTTTTAAGCTCTTTGTTTGCTTTTATTAAATCTCTAATTTCTTTTTCTTTGATTTCCAATTCCACCTTCAACTGCTTTACTTCATCACTATTTACTTTTTCGGGTGATGGCTTTGTTTCTCCAATGCTTTTCCTTTCTGATTTTAATTTTGCTGCAAGTTCTTCTCTTTCTCTTTGCAGCTCGTTTAACGCTTCTTCAGTTTGTGTGATCATTTGGGTGATTTTTGTGTTATTTTCACTTTTTATTCTATCTAAAGTGTCGCGATGACGGTTTTCAATGATCTTTATCGTATCAGCTTTGTCTTTTAAAATTTCTTTAATTCTTTCATCTTTATCAATCAGCTTCAGAGTCAGAGCATTTTTTTCACTCTTTAGAGCAATAGTTTCCTTTTCGAGTTCTGTACATTTTACTTGGCAATCTTGATTTTCCAACTGGCTTTGTTTGGTTAAGAGCTGTATTTCTTCATTTGTTATCTTTGCTCTGTCTTCGTATTCGCTTACTTTAGCAATTGACAATTTCTCATTTAGTGACAATTCTCGTATTTTGATTTCTTTATCTTTAATAATATTTTGCATTACGATGGTTTCTTCTCTGCATTCTATGTATTTTTTATAGCTTAATTCTTTTTCTTCATGAAGCCTTGTGATTTCTTGCAATAAATGCTCCTTATTTTCTTTTAGGCTGTCTAATTCATTTTGCAGCTTTTCTACTTTGAATTTTATATTTTGGCTGCTAATAGCATTAAGCACATTTATTTGCTCTGTCAGCTCTTCATTTTGTGCAGTTAAAGTTTTTATGTTATCATTTGCAAAAAACATTTTTAAGCTATGCTCCTCATTGAGCATTAAAAAGCTTTCCTCAAAACTTATGCATTTTTCTTTGAGCTTTTCACATTTTTCTTGCAAATCACTTAAATGCTTATTAAAAACTTCATAATAGTCAGCAGTTGGGGCTGATATAGAAAAGCGCTTGCTTTCTTTGCGTTGATGTTCTACTTTGTTTGGCTCTTCAAAATAGTATTCAGAAGGGACTCTGTTTATTGAAGAAAAGCTTTCATCACTTACGACCGAGCTGCATTCGAGTTTTTTCTCATATTCTAATTCTTGGATCCTTATTTCGCTGAACTGAAGCTTATCTAATGATTCCTGGGCATGCTTTATCACTTGTTTTAGCTGCTTTTCTTTATTCTCTAATGCGAAATTAAGGCTACCATTCCTGGCCTTTTCATGCTCCAGCTGCTCTTTGTAATGCATCATTGACTTTCGTATAGAATTTATTTCTTCAACCTCTTTTTCAAGCTTGTACACTTTATCATTCAAAATATGGTTTTGCCTTTTGATTTCTGTATTTTCTCCTTGCAAAGTATTATATTTTTCGAATTTTATTTTATATTGATCCAACAATTTCTCTAATTCTTTCATCTTGCACACGCTTGAATGTGCCATGTCTAGTTCATCCCTCAGCACAGAGTTTTTTTTCTCGTACTCTCTGATGACTTCATTTATTTTTTGCTGCATAACCATCAATTTTTCATCTTTTTCACTTATTTTTTGATCAAATTCAATAGTAAAGTATTCTGGTGAGCAAGTGCCAGATGGAGATTTTCTTCGATAAATTTCAGTCTCAAATTCAGTGTTTTTCATTAATAGCTCATCCCTCTCTGTTATAATTTTTGTATTTTGGTCTGTAAGCTCTAGAATTCTCTCTTGCATTTCTTGGATCCTGTGGGCCATTTTTCGCTTATCGTCTCTAAGCTGAGCAATTTCTTTGTCTTTGTTAGAACAATTGGAAGGGGAAAAACCACCAAAATCTTCCCCTATAGCTTTTTTTATGAAAAGCATAAGGATTATTTGGTGTTTTTCTTCAAGCTGCATAATTGGATGTATGAAAGTTTCTTTCATAGGGCAGTTTATAATAGCAAATACAATAACTTCCATTAGATTGATCATATCGATAAAATCCGCTGTCCTAGCGATATTGGCGAGCTCTATTGATTCAATTTTTTCGTTTTGGATATGAAGTTCTTGGTCTAAATAGAGCTCAATTGCTTTTTTAAGCCTTCTTAAGTTTGCAAGCTTTAGTGCTCAGTTATTGTGCGCATCTAGAGTTATGCATTCTAAATCAAAATAATCAGGGGATCTAAATGGACTTTACACTTTAGACATTAATTCATAGAGTAGAATTCCATCTGAAAAATCTGAAAGTCTTTCGCATTTTTTGCTTAAATTTAAAAGGTTCAGCTATATTATTCTTACTCATTGAACCAAGCTATCAGAGACTTGATCATCCATTTTAAATTATTTGGATATTAAATTCGCTTGTATAGACTATTTATTATAAAGACGACTCTATATATTCGTACTATCAACAAATATATAAGAATAAGGCCAAAAATAAGCATTAAATAATTAGTTTTTTATTTTTATTGTAAATTAGATAAAAGTTCAGTTTAGAATTGCTAACCTATAATATGAGTCCATATTTTCTTATAATTTCAAGCTCTTATAACTAAAAAATGTCAAACGAGCTTCTCAATCCTTGGGTATTCTGGTTCTTCTCAGTCCCTAAATGTACAAATAAAGACTGGGCTTTGTGCTATGAGCAGTCATTAGTCCCGCTTTGCGAAATCAAATCAATCGAAGAATTTTTCAACGCCTACTGTTATCTTGAACGCGCAAGCGCATTAGCTAGAAATTGAAACTTATGCTTATTCAGACAAGGAAAAAAACCAATGTGAGAGTCATCCCCTGACGGAGGCTGCTGGATTTTAAGAACCCAAAAATGGGAAAATGAGTCTGACTCTTATTGGGAGAGGCTACTTATAGAGTGCATTCGTGGAGGGTTTCCAGATGAAGTTGATGGAATAGTGGCTTCTTCTAAGCCAAATGAGGTGTATATTCAAATTTGGATGAGCAACGCACACAATTCACAAACTAAAATAGCTGAGAGCATCAAAAATTGTTTAGGACTCAGCTCAGCACATATGCTGCTGAAATACCATAAAGAGAGTATGATAGACATGTCAACCTTTAAGAACGCTAAACTTGTCAAAGTGTAATTAATTGATTTTTCAAAAAATTTAATAAAAATGAACTCAAGTCGAGGGACTCAAAGTCCTATTAATATATCCCGAAGCTCAGTTGCTGAGTCTATAAACAGCTCACGATCGTTAATTAATAGCTTAATATCTCAATCTCCTCCACATTCAAGAACTCATCAGTCTAATTCTTCGCATATTTTCACAATCCCTTACACCTTAACTAAAACTTTTACCTCAAATTCCCTTAGCCCATCAGTATTAAACGTCAATCCAAACAATGATGATTTGCCTAGCATTAAAGAAGAGCAATCTATAATTGCTGATCAATTTCAACGCCCTCATCATTCTAAGAGGAATAATCAGTTACCTCAGCTCAATTCTGTCAGAAGTATGCCAAATTTTCATACAGAAAGATATGAAGATATTACTATCCCTATGAGAATTCTATATGGAATTGTAGAAATTTATGGGGTTGGGTTTAGTTTGTCAAGTAAAACTGGATATGGAAACCCATTGGGGGTTGGAATTTTTATTACAAAAAATTTGATTTTAACTGCAAATTCAGCAATCCCTGATGAAATTTCAGCATCAAGGTGCTTTTATCTGCTCACCATGAATAAACAGGAAAAATGCCTATTTGATAGCAGGTCTTTTTTTTATACAAATAGAGGGCTTGATTTTACAATAATCGGGGTTGCGAATAACCGAATAGAAAATTCTGTCATAGAAATAAGGGATAATTTCAGCTTAAAAGACGCTGATAATATTATTTATTGAAATGCTGGAGTAGTTACAAAATTAGTTACAGGGATTGATGACTCTATTTTTAGCTATATGGCAGGCGGCTATGTCGCACCTGGTATGCCGATTTTTGATTTAAACTGAAAACTGCAAGGAATTCATCATGCTTCTATAGCAGCTTATAGATTTAATCAGGGAACAAGAATTGATATGATAATTAAGACACTTTGTAGTGTTAAAAATATCTCCAGCAATTTTGAGCTAAATAAGCTACTTATTGAATACTCAAAGAAATTCCATATGAATTTGAATAGAAATAAGGGAATTTTCGATGAAGGAAAATATATGTATTATTTTAAAGGTGGAAATAGAAATATATATCGATATGAAATTCCGACCCAAAAATGATCCCAAGTCAAAGTATCAAACCTCGAGCAGTTTTTGACACAGGAAACTCTTAATTGGAAATTTAATTTGAACAGCAGATTGGTATATATTCCTGATGGCAGCATTATAGTAATTGGTGGAATTGGCTCTGATGTAAATTCTTCAAAAGCTGATGTATACCATTTTAACACAGATAATAATGAACTTTATAGAAGATCATCAATGCTTGAACGAAGAGAAGGCCCAGCTGTTATTTATAGACAGAGATATGTATATGTTGTAGGCGGAAAATATAGTTACAATACATGTGAAAAATTCTCACTTGATAATGATTCGTGAAGTTATATAGCACCTATGATATATGGACGATTTGAGCCCACAGCAATATTTTTTATTTTTTATTAAATTTATTTTTTACTTTCAACAATTATTAAAAGTAAAATAATCTACAGCAATAATTGTAGATTCAGAAAAATATTTATACGTTCTTGGAGGCTATCCTTTAGAATCTTCAGGAAAAAGCGTTGAAAGATACTATTTCGTCGAAGATCGTTGAGAGAAGCTAAATATTGCATTACCTTCTCCTTTAATCCATGTTGCCTTATTTCCAGTTTCCCTTACAAAATTTGCAATTCTTGGAGGATTAAATTCCAGATCAGTCAGAATTTTTGAAATAATTAAGCCACATTTAGAATATGAAGGATCTAGTAGTCAGGATGAAATTTTTAAAGTTTATGACACAGATAGACTCCCAAGCGATATTGAAACTACATTTCCGATGGTTTTTTATAAAGCAGAAAACAAAGTTTATTTCATAAAATCGACAAATGAAGAGTCTCCTGAAATTTTTAGCTATAATTATAATATCTTTTTAACTGGACCAGTTAATAAACCACTTGAACATAGAAGAAGAACGGTTTTCCCGACTATGAGAAAGGCTACACAATTCGCTGTGAAAATGAAATAATTTAATGGAATTTATAAATTTTCTTAAATAATATCAAAATATATACTGCTCATTAATTTGCTCTACTTGTCCTTTTTAAATATAAATTTGATTTCAGGTTTTTTACGATTTTTCAAATGATGATTATTATCCAGTTCACAATAAAATCGTATACGTTTTTTATAAAATGTGGGGAAGCTTATTTTTCCTAGCTCTTATAAGCTTTGTGGTCTCCTCAATCATAACTTTACCACACATTCTAGCACATCTTGCCCATTTCAATAAGCCAGAATTTCAAAATAACATATGCAAAATCTTAATCCTGGTCCTGTTTATTTCCTTATCAAACCTGACAAACACCTTATCATTTGAAATTCTCAGATTTACCTTTATGCTTATTTCAAGCCTTTATACATGCTACATCGTCTACTGTTTTCTTGAACTCGTCATAAAATACACAGGTAGTGAATCAAAGCTTCTGATCAACTTAGAAATGAAAGACCAAGTCAAGTATCCATGGCCTTTATATCATATTTTTGGGAGTTTTAGACCGAGCTATAATTTTTTCAATATTGTTAAAGTGGGTCTCTATAGCTCACACACCGATATGGATCTCAATTGCCAACATTTTTAAACATGCCACTTTTAATTCACCAAATTGCGCAGAAGCCATTTTACTGCAAAATACCACTTTTCAAGTAGAGATGAGAGAAAAGTTGTTTTAATTTTAAAAATTTCCTTAAATTTATTTTGTCAATTATTAAAATTAATTAAATTTGTTTCTTTAAATTTACTTTGCTTTCGCTTACACTCTAGATAAATTTTTTAATTGAGTAAGGATTTAATCTTTGCTAGTCATTACCACCTGACTAACTTTCTTGAATAAATGTCAACCGTCTATGTCATCTTGGCTCACAGAGAAATCCATATAGGTATGCAAGCTATACCAGTTCATGATTGTAAATTCGGCTTATTTGTTTTTCGCAAATTTTCTTTTGCTAACTTAACTTATATTACTGAGAGTTCCCTGCTGGGTCTTTAAATCCTTATTTCTTCGCTGACTTTACTATTCTGCTTGATTTTTAGTTTGTCTGCGACCTTACAGAATCGCTGCTTTCGGAAAAGGACTGGCATTTGCTACCTGGAGTAGAAGTTTAGTCATCATGCTTCGTGCTAGACATAGCTTACCAGTCAAAAAAATAAAAAAACAAATTTCTGGCCATATTTCAGTAAATGGAAAAACTAATTCCAGGATGAAAATGCTAGCAATGCGCTGGGAATTTATGTTCCTTTACTCTGCCTTCCATATTTCTCATAAGCCAATAAGCCAAACTTGACATTAAGCTTGGACTAGGTAGTACAATGCCAGAATTACTTGCCTAGTTTGGTGTCTCTCTCTTAGCTGGTAAAAACTTATTTAACTGAGATGCCATATTTAATTGTGCAAATTTTCTACTGTAATAAAGATATTTTGTTTATTGAATCATTTATATATATTTTATTTAGAATGAATATTAATATAAATTATGCTAAATTGGTTTGGTGTATAAGGAATTGATGAGCAAAATTCATAAATGATTATATCATTTAGTACCATTTATGAATTTTTAGGAATTTCTGCTATTTTTGCTTTGGTTTGCTTTTCATTGCTTTATAATATTGTTGAAGATCTCATAGAAACCTTTAACGCTCCAGTAAAATTTATATGTATTATCGGGGTCGTTATTTTGCCAGCCCTCCAAAAAAGTGTTTTTGGGATGTTAAATAGTGAAATCTCCAAAAGTATTGAGGTAATATTGCTTAGTGTAGAAATGATAGCATTTTCTATGCTAAATAGATATGCTTTTAATTACGAAGAGTTACAAGACGATCTAAGTCCTATCTTGCAGCCAATAAAGAATTCAATTGTGCAGAATATAAAGTATCTGTTTACTTCAGAAAGCAAAAAGAGTTCTTTAATATAAGTTTTTGATTCTTAATAATTTATGGCAAAGGTCTTTATTGACAATATAAATACCTATATAGGGCAATCACTTCTTGAAGAGATTTTAAATCAAGACCCAGTGCCGAATATTTGTGCAACCCTAAATCCTTCGTTTCCTATAGGCTCATATCCAGGGATTTCAATTCTTGAAGTAACTTCCATATAGCGACATGATAATTTGTCATTTAATGCTGCTTTACTTGAATGCGACATAGTTATCTATGTATTTTTTAATTTTATTTTCATTTAAAGAATTATTTTTTTATAAATTTTTTATAGCATTATCTATGATATGCACACAGCAGATCTTAATGAGCTTCAAGACAAAGCCAAAATCATTGATGCTTATCATGCTGCTAAGCCCCGCACTCTTATTGTAATTTCAAGTGTTATGACATGGGGTGCTACAATTCCTAAACAAGAAGAAATGACACCTGAAGACATTGAAGAGCTGAAAGAGCAGCTTGGAGAAGACATTACAGAAGAAAATATCCCAAAATTCAAAACTGTGCCATATGAGGAATCTGATTACAAAAAAAGAAAAGCTCCAGAAAAATAAGCTTCTGATATTTGTATATTCCATATAAGTAGGCCAAATATCTTGATGCAAAAATTGAATAGCCTACTTTCTTTAGAAATTAAGGTTCTGAGTATTCATCGTTTAGCTATTTTTCTTAAATTTAGATTATTAATTTTTAAAAACAAATACTAAAAATGGCTAATTTATTTGATAAAAATATACAAAACATGGAAAGGAATTGAAACTTTAGTCCTTAGCATAGGCATGAATAAGCCTGATCTTAGCATCTATGTAATAGCAAGCGGAATTTTATATGGAAACGGCGAATGGCTCTTAAATTACCACTTTAGGTCTGCATGGCTCGAAAACCCTGAAGAGCTCCCCTATATCGGCTCAGGTGAAAATTTGGGTTGCATAATATTTGCTCTGCACGTTTTGGTATTGAAGCATTCTCTAGATAATTTTCCCAAAAAAATCCTTGCTAGTCATTACCAGAAATAGCACTAAATATCTGATAGGAAACAATTTAATCATATATATTTTCTATGAAATGTTGCATAAGTAAAAGTGTAGAACAAATGCATGAACCAGAAAATTTCATTCCAATGATCCACGTAAAAGATCTTGCTCGTAGCGTAAAATTTGTCCTCCAAACAAAGCCGCAAGTGCATTACATTTTTGGTATTGATAACGCTAAATCTCAGCTTCAAAAAGATCTAGTTTCTTCTATATCAAATGGTATTGGAACAGGCAAAATTCGTAGTGTCAGCTATGAATCGGTAAAAAACGAAGAATGGAGTGAAGCCTTTTGCCTTAATTGCAAGCTTAAGCCTTCGAAAGTTCTTTTACCTCCCCAGGAAGGTGAAGAGGAAGAAGAGGAAGAGGATGAAGAAGAGGAAGAAGGTGAAGAAGGCCAAGTGAGATTTAAAAAAGAAAAAAAAATCAAGCTTGAGTGGCACTGTTTAGAAGGTTTCCATGCCAATGTGCAGAAATTAAATGTCGAATTTAATGAAAATCGAGGACTGAAACCAATAAAAGTTATGGTTACCGGCCCACCAGCGTCAGGAAAAAGCCATTTTTCCAAAAAATTGGCAAAATTTTATAACGTGCCGTGGATACATGTCGGGAGTGTAGTCAATGAGTTGATAAACATGCCAGGCGAATTCGGAGATGAAGTAAGAAAAGAGCTTGAAGAAATCAAAGAAACAATGCTAGATGAGCTAGAGCAAAATAAAAAAGAAGACGAAGTGATTGACCCAAATTCTGTAAAACCAAGAATTCCTGATAAAACTTTGATAAAAGGATTTAAACTAATATTGAAAAAAAATCCATGCAGGAATAGGGGCTATGTGCTTGATGGGTGGCCTAAAAATTATGAACAAACTTGGAAACTTTTTAAGATAAAACCTCCGCCCAAAGAAGGAGAAGAGGAAGAAGAGGAAGATGAAGAAAATCCTGATGCTTCTAAACTAGTAGTGGATACGTCAATTTATGCTGAATCTCTGATCCTTTTTCAGGGTTCTGATGATTTCTTGATAAATCGTGTAAAAGCTCTTCCAGAGTCCGCGATTGAAAATACGCATTATACCAATGTTGATATGAATAGGAGGTTAAAGGATTATCGAGTTTCTAATGAAGATCCATCTGGAAACCTGGCCGTAAAAGATTTTTTTATTGAAAACTCAACTGATATTTTCCCTATAGATTGCAGTACCTCAGAAAACGATACCTTTGAAAGCATGAAAATTTATATTGAGAGGTTTGGAAGGCCTTTTAACTATCAAACTCATCAAGAAGAAGCAGAAAATAAAAGAATTAAAGAAATCGAAGAAAATATTGCTGCAAAGAATAAGAAAAAGGCAGAGCAAGAAAAGCGTGAAGAAGCTTTAGAGATTGACGCTAGAAAAAAAAGAGAAAAGCAAGCTAAAGAAACAGTGGACAAAATGCATTCAGATGAAAGACAATTATTAGAAGAAAGAGCACAGCCTTTGAAAAACTATTTACTAGATAATTTGCATGAAGTATTAGCCAAAGGACTAATAAAAGTCTGCAAAAAGGAAAGAGCTGACCCTATTGATTATTTAGCAAAATACCTCTTCAAGCACGGCGACGAAGTTCCCCATCCCGATCCATCTCTTTATTAACTTAAAATTAGATAAAAATGAACTCTAGGATTTTTAGATTCTTTTCTCAGTTGAAATTCCCACCGACCTACCCTGAGGACCTTTCAGCCTTCAAAAGGATGGTTTATTACAGATGTACAAGGGCCGGCATAAAAGAGGTGGAATACATCTTGAAAGAGTGGGCTGACTTAAACTTGGAACAAATGAATAGAGAGCAGCTCATCCAATTCCAAGATGAAGTTTTGAATACAGAGACTCCCGAATTACTGAAAATCTTGATGGGACAATCTGAGCATCAAGACAAATTTTATTTGGTAAATTTGAGAAATTACGTGGAAAGTAAACTTAATTCACAGTCTAATCCATAATTTAAGACTTAATATGAGCTTTTATAACAAATACGTAGGAGGTGGAAAGCAAAGTAGGCAGCAGATTAATGATATGGATATTTTAGATATTCTAGACCCTGATGCGACTGGATTTATTGATTGTGAAGATATTGTAAAAATTATTTAGAAAGCTTTGAGAGGAAACTTGCCTGAAAAATTGCAAGATAAAGTTGCCGAAATTTTAAAAAATTTTGTATTCGAATTCAGATCATTTCGAATGCCTTGCGATTTATTCATGGAATACTACAAACCTGCCTCAAATAGTAGGAAAAAAACTCCTAGAAAAGTATCCTGCACTTTAAATTCGTTAAATTCCACTCGAAAAAGTTTAGATTCAAGCTCTGATAATCTGTTCAGAACTACATCCATATACAAAACAAGTATAATGAGCTCTAATGATTCAGTTGGAGCAAGAAGAAGTAGCTTATCGCCTAACTCCCCCCCCCCCCCCTCCGTGAGCGAACAAAACCATTAGAAAAATCGCCATTTTTTGACCAAAAACCCACCCTCCGTGAGTGAACAAAAATTTTTTTAATAGAAAAAAATTTTAATGGAAAAAAATTTTGATATATAAGTGATAATTAGTATAATGAAATCTAGAGCTAATTCTGTTTAATTTTAAACAAATTGCGTTTTAAAACATAAAATTTTGCAAATTAAATTAATATTTGCTTCCCAATTTTTGCAAATTAGGATTTTTTTTAAATTTCGAAAAAAATATTTTTTATAAAATTTATATATAAATTTTTTTTAAAAAAAAAAATTAACCCCCCTCCGTGAGCGAACAAAATTTTTTTGTTCGCTCACGGAGGGGGGGGGGGAGTAAGAAAATTCGAACATACACTGAGCTATATGAAAAGAAAAAAGAGAATGAAAAGCAAACCTTCCAAAGATCAAGCTTATTATTTGATAAAATTGATCAAAAATTGAACAAAAACAGATTTTTCTCACAAGGCAGCTTTATTGAAAATAATTCGGTTATTATTCATCATAAGAGTTTTGCAACAAAATTTGCAAATGTTGAAGCTCTTATGGAGATAAGAAGACAGCATTTAAGATATTCTTCAATGAAATCATAGTAATTAATATTCGCTTTCGAATAATCATAACTTACACTTTCCATTAGGCTTGATATAATTGCTGTTAAAAGCACCAGTTTCAAGCTATAGAAATTTCCATAGATGGCACTGTTTGCCCTTGATTTGCCCATGAGGAAAATTTTTTGGTTTGACCAAACCATATGGTACTGGTCGAATCAAAAAAATTTCCCCAGTGGGCAAATCAAGGGCAAACAGCGCCATCTATGGGAAATTTCTATATGTCAATATAAAATAAAAATTAAAGTCAATTATCCTAAAATTTTATTATTCTTTAGACAAGCTTAAAGCTACCTGTGAATTGACCAAACTTTGTAAACGCAGCCTATAGCTAATTGACTGTAATTTCATTAAATCCTGCACATCTTTTATCAATTTTGCCTTCAATTCCAGCTTATCACATTGAAGTTTTATCATTTTGTTCAATACATTATCAATCTGTACATCTTCTTGAATTTTAATTTCTTTTGCTCTTTCTATAGCTTTTTCAATGTCAATATTCTGCTGAATATCAACTAGTTTCTGTGTAGCTGGGAAGTTGTAATCGCACTGTCTTTGATTTTCCATTTCCATTAAATCTCTAACGGGGATTTCTAAATATTTTTTTATACATTCAGATTTTTCTTTTCCTACTTCTTCAGATATAGCATCCCAGTCTTCATTGTGCTTTTCTAACGCTCTTAAGAGTTTTATAAAGCTTTCTTGGTCCCAATCAGCCCCTTTTCCTAATGCAGCATAATTATAATGACTTAATAAATCCTCTTTTTGAAAATTTTCTTGATTCAATTCAGATGGGAAGTTGCCTTGCTCATAACAGTCAGAGCACAAGCAAAAATCCATATTCTTAAACCAAACAACCCCACAAATATTCCCACAAAATTCGCAATAAGGACGTCCAAGCTCAAATAATCTCTTTTTAGGGTAAGAAATATGTCCAGGTCACGCCAAGTCTTTTGAAGCCTCTGGATAAGGCTTTGGGGCAAAAAAGTTTATTAATCCCCAATGCTCTAGAAATGCATGCAAACGAATTATAGCGGGAGCATCGCCAGTGAGAACACGTCTACAGTGAGTTGCGGATAGATAGCCTGTTGGCTTGTCTCGATAAAGTTTTATTATATAATTGCGATATGTGAGATAAACCTGTGGGGTTTTTGATGGATATTTTCCATTAAAAAATTCCTTCATAGAGTCAATTTCTATTTGATGGATGCTTAAAGGGTCAAACCAAGCAGCACAGCTGGGGATTGTAGCGGGCGGAAGGGTAGATTGAGGAGAGAGAAAAGGGAACTGTGACTGTAGAGAAAGATCAGAAACTATGGAATAGCCATCTTCTTCTTTTTTAAGAGTTAAAGTGAGCTCGGCCATTATGGAAAATTATTAAAAGGATGAATTACAAATTTTCATTGCTTAAGCAATTATTTATTAGATTTGGAATTGATTCAATAAATTATGAGTTTAATTTCTATCAATTTTATTATGGAATTTCTTTGCTTAAATAAGATGTTGATTTTTCTTTTCACTTTTTTAAAGAGACGGTTTACCTTAGAAACTATTATAAATATAGTTAAAAAAATGAATCATTAGAATGATAAGAACCTTTATAGTTAAATAATAAATGCAATTTCTTATTCTTTTGATAAAGATTTTTCTCCGCCTTATTCATACAAATATCAATAAAAACTTTTAAGTCTAAGGTTTATTTATTAAGCTAATAAGCTTTTCGCGAACTTCACTTTCTCTAATCTTTAAACAGGCGATTTCTTCTCCATTAACTCTGATTACTGGGACTTTTTGTTTGTATTGTCTAAGAAGAGAAGAATCTGAGTCAATAGGCTTTAAGGAATATGTAAGATTTAATTGTTTTGTGACTCTTGAAAGTATAAAATTTGCTGCATGGCATGGAGCACTAAATATTGTTTACCAGCATCTTTTGACTAAAAGCTCAATATTAATCATATATCATATGAAAATATAAATTTTGAAGTTATATTTAAATTTCTGATTACATCAATTTTATAATTTTCTTTTCAGTCAGACTAAATGAATGATAAGACTTAAATCCCAAGCATCCAATATAAATTGATCCATTATTATAAATCCAATTTACTTGATTTGGATAGCTTTCTTTAACTCCTGTTTTATTCAACCTTTTCCACACACTTTCATCTCCTATTTCACTTTCATATATACCTCCACTGCATTCTATCAAGTACAATCTTTCAATCCCATTTATCAAAATTTTCTTTTTTCCTTTTGAGCAATTAGCACCTCTTAATCACTTATTAGTTAATTTCTTAACGTTTAACGTCCGATACTACTTCATCTATGCATATTTTCCTCCTGCTTTGGGAAATCTGGTTCGGACACCACCTGGTTTTGATCTGAATATCCCTCAGCTTCAGGCTCTCGTATTTCGATGTCTGTCCTTCCAGCTCTTGTGTGAGGTCTCAGTCTTCACCTGCTTAGAATTTGTAGCCATCTTCAGAAAATTCGATATCCCTAACTCCTCTCCTTTAAATTGAAGTTAAAATGTCCATTTTTAGATACTTTATTCCATCTTTAAATTGGAACAATGTTTTTAATAGGATAATTTTATAGGTAAATACTAATTTTTATAAATTTTTTTAGACGTATTTAATGGAAAAAGTGGAAGCAGAATGATGTTTAAATAGTTTTCGCACTTAATTGATTAATATTTTAATAATTCTTTATAAAAATAAATTAAAATTTAATGTATTCAATTTAATTTTTAAAATGCTATTAAATTTTGCACCTCTTTAAACTGAATGGGATTTTTTTTTCCAATTTAAAGGGGGGAGTAAGGGATAGGTGCCAGAATTCGCGCTCTCTTGGGTGTATTGCACTATCATTGTTCGCTGGTTAAGCAAACATCATAATCAAAATTGTGAAAGGAGGAATTTCTGATAGCGAGAGCATTCGAATAGCGCCGTATTTTTATCATTAGCAATTAATGTCAATTCTTGTATAAAAATTTGGCTTAACGTTATATCTCCATATTTCATCACTTTGAAACCCAGAAATTAGAATATGTTTATTATATACAATAGACGCACATTTATAGTCTGCATGTGGCAAAGGGTCCAGATTAAACCATACATTTTTTTAAAAATCGAATCTGCTTGCTAAAGGTATACAAAATTTCTCACTAATTTTACCACCAAAACAGTAAACAGAATCATCATAAAAAACCGCTGACGAAAACCAGCATGGCACTCCGTCTGGTAAAGCCTTCGAATTCCAATAAGCATCTTCAAGATCTATTATGCAGGCAGCCCCGGTCATAGGATCGTAATTTCCATAACAAAATAATTTCTTTCCAGGAAGCGGCGCTATGCAAGTATTACGATGAAGAAGTTCGGGTGTATCTATGGATTCGTATCAGGGCAAAGATTTTTAGTATCAAAAATTTCCAATTTAGCCCCTTCAGCATTTTCATTTTCTCTATCTTTTCTATCAATTAAATATAGGAATCTCTCTGAGTGTAAATTAAAATATTTAACATTTTCGCTAACTCTGCTGTATTCTGATCTATAATTCTCATAAATATTTTTAATTCCATCGTTGGAATCAAGAAGCCATTTTCAATCATTATTATATAAAATGGTGAACCTTTTAAAATCTTGGTCAATTTTTCGAGTGTCTATATCAGGATCTTGACAATGGTTTAGAGCTTGCCTTTGAAAAGTGGACAGATCTGTAATTTTGTCTTTTATTTCTAGATATTTGAGATTTAGCTTGCTTTTTAAATCATTAGTAGTGTCTTCTTGCATTTTTACTTTGTCGTTGATCTCATTAATTATTCTAAAAATTTCATCAAAATTATCTATATTAGGATTGGAAACTGGCCTCTCTTCTTTTCATTTTTCTATTTTTGGGCTTAAAAAGCTTTCATAAATTTTCTGTTCAAAAGAGTGTAATTTTTCATCAAGAGCAGCTGGAAGATAATTTTTAATAAAAGAATTCACCATTTCTTCTATATCTGATCTCCACTCGGAGAATAGTTTTAAATTTTTTTCAAACTTTTGTTTTTGAGGTACTGATTTTTTAATAACTTTTAATGCTTCTTCAGAGTCTAATAGCAAGCTTTGCATCAATTCATCTGCTTCAAATATTGAGATATTATTAGCACTAGAGATTTTATTTTCAATGATATCAATTAATCCTATCTCTTCGTCAATTTTTTGGAAATGTAGACATAAATCGGCTTCAGAATTTTTGATATTTTGGCTCATACATAAAAATGGCGTAGTAAATCAGCCCAACCTCCTAACGCCTGTAGCTGGGGAAATCTATATACCTTGTGGAAGAGAGCTTTGGCATTCGGTATTTATCCATCAGGTTTTATTTGGTTTGGTGGAGCGCATTGTCCGAGTTGGCGGGACCTCAGACTCGCATCCAGGTCAAGGTTTACTTCAAAGGAAGATAGAGTTCGGCGTTGGAAATGGTGCCCCAGCAATACTGGTAAGGTTCCTCCTGATCGATTGGGAACGTTCCCTAGCCCAATTCCAGGCGTTGCGTCCTGGACTAAGATTTTCATCTTGTCCGATAGGTGACGAGAATTTTTTTCTTTCAATATTTCTAGAAGCCAAACCCCGCTGGCGTGCGGCACTGTGACCCAAGCTTTCCGACTACAAGGGAGAATGTGCAGGCTCATGCCTGGTAGTAGCAAGACTTTGAAGGTCATGCTGCGATTGTCGGCGAAGCTGATTAGTGGAGCGTTATGGAAGGGGAATAGGGATCTTCGGATTCGAGAGGGCTTTTCAATAAACTAACTAAGATATTTTGGCTCAAAAAATTCATAATCTCTGATTTATTTTTTTCTCTTGCTAATTTTTCCTCTTTAAGAAAATCTAATACTGCGTTTTTGGCTTTCTTGTTGGGCTCTTTTGCAGCACTATTAATTTGATGGCTTAAGGTTGCATTATTTAAATGATTTGATAGGTGATCTTGGCAGATATAAGTATTTTGGAGAGTGCATTGGCAAAGATATATATAGCGCTTTCCCGAGGATGGCGCGGAATGGCGCCATCCTCGGGAAAGTCAACTAAGCATCCACACGGGAACTGGGAGTTCCACGTGTGGATGCCATTTTTGACATGTGGATCCAAACTTCCACATGTCAAAATGGCATCCACACGTGGAACTCCCAGTTCCCGTGTGGATGCCTTCCCGGCTTTCCCGAGGATGGCGCCATTCCGCGCCATCCTCGGGAAAGCGCTATAGTTGGCCTTGTGCAGCCAGGCTCACAACAATTATTTTCTTGCATTAAGTATTATTGTAGAATTGTAATTGAATAAACCAATATGATTTTTATAAAATAAAATTCTGAAATTTTGGGAAATAAGAAAGGAAATTAGGATAATTATTGATAAAGTAACATAAGATTTTTTAAGTTTATTCTGATTTATTCGTTTTAATTTTGGTGTTAAAGTTAAAGTAATTTTAAGCGAGGTACCAAAATTCTTGAGCACTAATATTTTAAAGACTAATTATTGATAATTGATTATCTCTGAGGCGCTTAACTGAAAATTTCTGATCCGATATGCATTTAAATGGAAAAATATATTACCAATGAAAGTTATTGAAAATTAATTAAATTATTTCATGATATTCTCATAATATTCTCTTTCCCTTTTGCTGGCAACTCCTTAACCAATATTGGCTATTCCAACTATCTCAAATAGTAAACCCAATTGCTGTTTAAGATTTGCCATTTTGGGAGACAATTTGAGAAATAAAAGTTGGCTGAGCTAACTCTCTTATAATTGAAATATGGCGCCGCTCGAATTTTCTGGCCTCTCGACCAAAAATTCATCTCTTGCATATTTTAATTATGAGGTTTGGTTTTACCCTGGTGAAATTATCCCAGCTATGTCAGGGGAGCAAGAGCTGTGTGGTTTTTTCTACCAGAATCCTGATATTAGGTAATCAAAATTTCCAGAAGGGTACCACTTACTCAAGGCGGTAGAGACTGCGACCTTTAGGGTGCCTCTCAGACCTTGGTAAGTGCCTGAGCTCAAAGATCAATTCGAAGCCCAAACTTCAAGACTGGTGCTCTATTTTTGTGATCAAAGTTGGAGGAGGGCGCCCTTTGCGAGTCCGAGGAAAATAGCTTGAAATTCACCTCAGAGGTGTGTTGTAGGTAGCTGTGGTCGAGCGACCCTATAGTGGACTTCAAACGTTTATAGATTAATTAAGTTAATTAAGATTAAGAACTAACTCTCTTAGTTGGCTTGGAAGATTTAAGGGACTCATAGCAGAGCTCAGAGCAGTTTTTTTGAATTGAAGAAATATTAAATTCTATAAAACCTTTTATTTGCACATATTTAAAAGCTTTGGATCAATCTATAAGAATTGATAGAATTATTGAATAATTATCGATTATTATTGATTATTTAAAATTATTATTGAATGATAAAGAAAATAATGAAATTTTAAGAAATTATGAAAATATTAAGAGTATTATTTTTGCAAAATAAAGAGAGGAGTAAGGCTTTTTAACTAATTAAAATTAAAATTAAAATTTATAAGAATTTAAAATATTAGAGCATTAAGCTTCATAATTTTTTATTTATTCTTAATAATCGGTGCGATTAATTATAAATGTCCCAAGGTCGACTATTTGGCTCAGATGTATTTGACCCAAAATTCATAATAATCCAAATCTTATCCTTGCAAGCAATTTACTATTCCTCATCTTGTGCATTTACAGTTCTATTCGACCAACTTCTGGGGCTAAATATCCACATCTCTCAAATTTTTAGCACATCTGTCCTAAATCTTCAAGACGCTTATAGCTTGGCAAGTGTTTTAGCCTGTATTTTGGTTTCTTTTATATTGATTATTAGTATCGTTTTAATTGTGGAACGTGCTAGCAAATGTTTAGAAAAGCTGCGATGAATTTAATTGCATATGATAATAATCATAAAATAGGCAATTTAAGGAAAAAAGTATAGATTTTTGGCTCAACAATTTTAATTTTGCACGTAGTTTGCGTGACTTTTTATGAAGGATTTCCTACAAATTTAATATGATGGGGATTGAATCTTGTGGCGTTTTTTGTTATTGTCATTGTGAGCGAATTTTTGTGCATTAAGATTGAACAAAAAGAAATTTCATTGACATGGATTGATAAAAAAAATGAAAAGAAGCAGGCACTTCCTTACTCACCTCACTTGATGAGCGAGCAAGAAGTTTTAAGTTTAAATGTTTTAGAAATAATTTTATAAACAATTGATTTTAGATTTAATAATAAAACAATTTGCATAAATTTATGCTTCAAGGATACAAGAAATATGATTTGACATAGTTAGCCAGAAATCGCTTCATCATAATCATTAATTATATATCATAATATTTCATGCAATACTTTCATATTAAAATTTTTGACTGCTAGTATATCTGCTTCCAAGAGGGTAGAGGTTAGTAAAATAATAATATTATAATTGTTAATAAGACTTTTGCAATAAAAAGCAGATATCCCGGAAAAAGAGTCGGTTCTTGATTAAATATAATCTGAGAAGAGAGATTAATTCAATATAATAAATATAAATTTAACAATTAAATATGAAATATAGTAATAATATGAAAAATAAGCTAGAGGCAAATAGTCAATCTTAGTATTGAGATTTCAAATAAATTCAATTAAATTTGATATATGCGATTTGATTTCTCTAGAATTAAGATTATCAGTCTCTTTCAAAGGATCATAAGTGTGCGTAGTTGGTCAGATTCAGTTTCCATTACATAAATTTAAATTTTAATTTATTAAAAGTTTGCTGGAGCATAATTCTTTATTTTTCAAATTAAACTGAACAAGATTCCAATCAGTAGTAATAAAATAAAAGCAATCTTCATGAAGCAATACATATGAACGGCAAGGATATCCTTCTGCTATCATATCAGCATTCCCAATTAATGTTCATTCATTGATATTATTTAAGCCACTCTCATAATAACTTCTATTGTGCTCAATTATACTTTTTTTAATGCATAGCTTATTTTTTTAAGTATAAATCATCTAATTCCATAATAATTTCCCAATCCGATTTAGTATATATATGCTTTATTTGGAGTAGCCAAACAAGTTTTTCCAGTGCAATTAGATAGTGCGACCGGAATAGTTGAAAACTTATTTCCCAAAATGTTATATTTTGATATAAACTGAGACTCAAAACCTCCTATTATTATATCTCCATTTAAAAACGCGCAAGAAATATATCTGTTATTGTATATTTGATACGGAGCAAGCGTGCTTCAATTGTTCATTTTAAGTGAAAATGAAGCTGAAATGTGCTCAGTTCCTCCAAATAAATACACAAAATCGCCAACTTCTATAAGGCCTGCATAACTGCTAAATTTTGAAGAGTTCAAATGGATAATGGAATTTGAAGGGGTTATAATGAAGCTTTGTGATGAGAATAAACAAAAAATAGAACCATCATTTAGCAAACAAGTTGTGCTATTCCATTTTATAGTGAGATTTTTTAATTCTGAGCAAAAGGTCATTACATCGAGGTCATATAGTTCTTTATTTATAAAATATTTAATTACAGGCTGAGTATTTCCCTTTGTTTTTGGTTTAAATTCTTTGAAGTTTTTTCAATGAAATACCCTTTTATGATCTTTTACAGCAAAAAGATTTGTGAAGTGTCCATCAAAATTCTCATTATAGACTATAACTATATTTTCATCAGTGTATTTTATTTTTTTCGCTTCTTCAGAAGATAATTTTAGTAATGACTCAATAAAGCTTAGATCGTGCAAATTATTAATTTCTTCTAGAGAATTTATATGATAGATATATTTGTCTGCTTTTTTCTCTATTAATGAAAGTTTCTCCAAAGATGTTTTTGCTGCATCATTTATTTACTTTATTAGTGATGATGATTCTTGGATAATTTTTAGCTGGCTTTCCTTTATTTGAAATTTAATATCTTTAAAGAGCTTTGAAATAATCATTTTTGTGTCAGGATCAGGGATAATTATTAGTTTAGTGAAATGATGATTTCCGGATAATTCTCCATGAGCACCACAATGGTCCAAGCATAATAATGCATTTTTGCTATTGCAATCGCACATATAAATTGGTTTATTTTGGCAATTCATAGAGCAGGCTAAAAATTCGTCCGTACTTTTCTCTTCCAAGCCCATGAAAATTAATTTATATTATTGCATCTCAATTGATTGATATATATTTTTAAAATGACAGATACTTTAATTTGAATATATGATTTCTTGCTTAAATTGTATTTAATTATTATAGATTTATAATCCTTATCAAAGGATTTTTAAATCAATAGCAATAATTTTTATAAATAAAATTTAGAAAATATCTTGTCTGTTTAAATAATTATAAAATTTTCAGCAATTTCAATTGATTTGTGTTCAAATAAATGAATAAAACGGCATTCGATTTGAGAGAAATTAGCCTGCTAATTTTTTCTCCCTCATGGAATTTTATTAATGGGGTTTGGTTTCTTTTGAGGCTTCTGCACAGCTGCAGCAATTTACCTTTGAGATAACTAGAGGAACTGCCCAGCATTGCAACCAAAAAGCTTGGGGTTTCACCGCTTAGCACATCATATAATGATGACTCTTAGGATGAACACACGCAGGAGCCTAGTCAGGCAACGGAATGGGCCGGGCAAGAAGAGCTGGCCAGTTAAATAGACGGTTTATCTAGGATGTCCGACCTTTTGGATCGGAAATGCTCGTTATATCGCCATTCTGGCTCTGTCTTTGACCTTGAACACTTATTTAATGCAATGATTTGTCTTCAAATCGAATTTGATCAATTTCATATTAGTAGTAATAAAATAAAAGCTTTCATTCCGAAATAAATTATAAGAATGACGAGGCCAGCTGCCATTGAGCATATTTGCACTTCCAATAGGTTTCCATGAATTGATATTATTTACCCCACTCTCATAATAATTTGCCCCATACTCAATTATATAGCACCTGCTATCGGTTGCTAGGCAAGTTTTTCCCTTTAACTTATGCAATTCAATAGGAATATTAGAAAAGCTATCATTAACTATATTGTAACCCAAAACTACATTGGAATCAGAACCTGCAATTATTATATTCCCATTAAAATGCGCACAAGAAATGAATAAGTTATTCGCCACTGGATACTGAGCAAGTGCTTTTCAATTTTCTGATTTTAATGAAAATTTTGCTGAAATATTACTTTGGCCCCCAAACATATACACAAAATCATTGACTGCTACAAGACCAGATTCATGGCTATATTTAGAAGAATCCAAAGGTTTCACAATGTTTGCTGGAGTTATAATATAAGTGCTTGCTCCACAGCAACAAAATAAAGAGCCATCATTTAGCAAACAAGTAGGATCCCATAAACACCAATTTGCATTGCATATTTCACCTAATGATAAAACATCAAGCGAGTCGACGTCTACGCTATGCATAACAGACAAATTTTCTTTGAAATATTTTATAACAGGCTTCAAAATCCCAAAATTTTTTACGTCAAATGCATTCCCAAAATCTTTAACTACAAAAATATTTTCGAAATTGTTTTTTAAATGCTCGTTATGAATTTGAATGATGGAATCTTTTGAAATTTTAAGGTATTTTGCGTCTTCTACTGGCAATTTTAATAGAGCTTCAACAAAGCTTTTACTATTTAAATTACTACTTCCCTGCATGCCAGAACAAATGTCTATACATTCGCTTATTGATTTTTCTAAGCCTATAAGTTTTTCTATTGATGTAGAAGCTGCTTCATTTATTTGCTTTATCAACCATGATGATTCTTGAATAATTAGTAGTTTATCATGCTTTATTTGACTTTTTAAGCTTTTCAAAAAATGCGAAATTAGGCTATGTGACTGGGAATTTTGAATTGAGGCGATTCTGGCGAAATAATGATTTCCATCTGACTCTAAATGTATTCCAGAATGATACTGGCAAAAGGGCAACTTCATATTCTTGCAATTGCATACATAAATCGGTTTGTTCTCGCAGTTCATACAGCAAGTCAAAAATTCTTCCATTTATACCTTTAAAAACAATTCTATAAATTTCGAATTTCATATTTAATGCATACTCTAGTCAAAGCTAATCATTTTTTAGATTAAAAGCAATAATTTCTGGGATATGCTTATATATCGAGCTCTTTACTTCGTCTGCTACCAAATTTCCTCTTTCAATTCGTTTTTTCCTGTCATGTAAAGGCTAATGTTGAATGTCCTTATCACTCTATATTAATCACTCTTTTAGCTTTAGTTTATTTCATATCAAGCTTAGATTAAAGTTCATGTTTTTAAATATAAAAAAACCTTGCTATCAATCTTAATTCATCTATAAAAACTTGCATGCACAGGTTCCTGGATTTTCTCATAATCTAAATGAATTCTTCTTAAAATTTCTGCAGTATTGTTTTATTTTATATTTTCTATATATGGAGTGAAAGCTTTCTATTTCTTCAACCATTTAATGTACTTTTTAAGGTTAGGGTTATATTATGAAATTATACACATTATTTATTATTGTTAGATGAAGATGGCGCAATTTTTGAAGATCTTCTCATCCTGTTAAACTCATCCGCGCTCACTCTGGATCTATTTCCAAACTGAAAAGCAAATCTAAATAATAAGATGGCTTTGCTCTCTCTCTGAGAATTATTGCTCAGCGATTTTACTATTATAGGTTCAGCTTTACAGGTGAGCTTTTATTGCATGTCAAATATGGATTACCACATAGGTTAGACAGCTGGACAAATAAAAGGAGGAATTGTTTTTACTGCTTAGGAGTATGGCCCATAGACAGAGCACTTGAGTAAGGTCAACGAGACCAGAGAAAGCTTTCTAGCCCTTAGGTCAGTCCTCTGGAATGCTTGTCAGATAAGATGGCTGCCGAAACCTGCAATCGGGAGCTAAAAGAGAGGTTCTGATATTACTTCGTGCGAGAGAGATTATTATTTGAAATTAAAATTAATTAAACGATTAAACTGAAAAGCAAATCTAAAGAGTGTGCTTGTGTCTTTTCCTTTTTTTCTAAATAATAAGCTTGGATATTTTTTCCTTTGGACATAAACCCCGACAGATATAATAATAGCCCATCCACATATCACTAACTCCCCCCCTCCGTGAGTGAGCAAAAAAATTTTATTCACTCATGGAGGGGGTTAATTTTTTTTAAGAAAATTTATATACAATTTTTGTAGAAAAAATTTTTTCTCGAAATTTTAAAAAATCCTAATAGGCAAAAATTGGGATGCAAATATTAATTTAATTTATAAATTTATGTTTTAAAACGCAATTTGTTTAAAATTAAACAGAATTAGCTCGAGATTTCAATATACTAATTATCACTTATATATCAAATGTTTTTTCATAAAAAAATTTTTGTTCACCCATGGAGGGTGGGTTTTTGGGCAAAAAATAGGAATTTTTTCAATGGTTTTGTTCACTCACGGAGGGGGAGTAAGGCAATCCATGGAAAATTACTATTGTTCGTTAAAATATCTATTGTTGTCAAAAACCCTAACCACATAACCCCAATGATACTAACTCCTTGCCATCAGCTAAATCTTGGATAATTATATGGTTTATTTTTGAATATAAATATTACATAGATGAGTAATACCAGTAAAAATAAAAAGCCATGTGTAGCTGCTTCAGCTCTTTTTACAGTTTTATTCATCACAATTAAAGTAATTTGAATTATAGTTTTTGCCATGAGAAACAAAGGCAAAGTCTTTACATGTAAAACTGATTGAAATTCCTGTCATAGAGGTCTACAAAACACAGCCAACGGCTCATAAGTTAAAATAGCAATTCCTGATAAAATCGCGTAAATTACATGATCTCCTTTTCAACAAAATTGATAGCAATCTTTAGATAGAAAAGAGTCAGTAAAATGATTTCCTATCGACTCATCACACACAAATACATCTAACAGCACAGAAACAAAAGGAATAAAACATAAATTTCCTAAAATAGGCATTAAGAGATCTGCAAGCTGGCCTAAAAATCTAAAAATAGAGACATGACTATATTTTTCATCAAGCCTATAAAACACAGTAATGCACAATACTACCCAAGTTACCGAGAGTCCTAAAATTGCATCACAGATCCCTCAAAATACACCATTAGACAATTTCACAAAGTTTCCCAGATCCAGAGAAAGCGCTTCTCCAATACTTGATAAAAAGCTATTAAAAGACCGATAATCAGGCCCCATAGATGCAAATTGGAAAAATTCAACAGCAATAGTAGCGCCTACAATAAAATCTTGGGAAGAAATTTCTTTTCGTTCTTTTAATTCACCAATTTCTACATTCCATCATTTTTTCCATATATAAAAAGTGATGATACTTGTGACAAAAGCTATGGAAAAACATATCCCAAAAACAAGATATCGGCCATCGTAAAAAGTACGGATCTTAGAGTCAGGGAAAGGACAATTTCCGTTTTGATTTCTTAAGTCAGGTGGCTTTATGATAGTATATTGATTATCATAGAAAAAAGGGTTCTCGAATGTTAAATAGCGAGTATTGGAAGGAGTGTACAATCCTATATGATAGACCACCAGGCTATTGTTTATAACTTGATTGCTATCAATGCTCATAGAATCCATTTCTCTATCATTGCTGCCTTGAGAAATAGCTAATGTTCCAGAACACCCTGAAATCTTGATATTTCTGATAGTATAATTAAGCTTATAGCCATCAGTATAGTCTTGGCCTCTATTTATCATGAAATCTAAAGCATTTGCAATTAGAAACGCTGAATCGAAAAAATTGCATGAAAGATCGCTCGGGGTAGTCTGATAATCATTTTTGAGATTATTATAAATACTTTTCCCTAATGCTCCCATTCAAACTGGACTTTGGAAAACAAGCATAGGACAGCCAATTGCAAGTCTTTTATGTCTATACGCATCATCTTTAGCTCCTATATCAATAAGAGCAGCGGAAATTGCAGAGAAAAAAATTAAATCTCCATTTCTGGCTCCTAAATCGTAAAATTTTTCTAATGTGTACCCTAATAAATCATCATACATAAATTCTACTACAAGTCTTGCATTAGAGTCTAAAATTCCTTGCAAAACATATGAATAATTACCTATATTATCTCTAGTAAGACCTGGAGGTATAGCTCTATACTCATTCGGATTTACGATAGTAAGTCCAGCATTATCTGCTACTTCCTTTAATGCCAAATAAGATGAAATTCCCCACGTCTCGTTTTGATATAAAATTGCAAAACTTTTCCAGCCCAAAGCTTTTAATAGATTTGGCATTTGGGATGCTAAATTTGAATCAGAAACTTGGACTCTCGAAAATCATGGATAAACTGAAGTTGAGTTTAATGCTGAAGATGATGTAGCAGATCCAACAACAGGAACTGTTAGATTAAGCAATTTAAAGGTATTAAGGGTTGCCATAGTGACTCCTGATGTGTATGAAGATACAGCCCCTAATCCGAATTTGTCAATATCTTTTAAAAAGCAGCTGTAACCATAAGTAGGATCATAAAAAGTGGATCCACAGTCATATACGAATAAGCTCATTTGAAAATTTTCAAGAATTCCTAAACCTTCATTAATCATTTTGATTGCCATTGAAGTCCCTCTAGCATATATAGGAAGAGTGGCAAATGATGCTTTGCCATAATTTGTCGTTCCAGCATTTATACTGATAGGTAGAGTTTTCTTTTCAGAAACAGGAGGAGTGGTTGTATTTCCCGTAAAAATTATTTTTTGAGTTATAGAAATACTAGAAGAAGTTAGCTTTCCCACAATCGTTCTTGATCCATCAAAATAATTTACCAATGAAAATGAATTCCCACAAAAATTGTAAGGACAAATTTTTTCCATAGTATTTTTTATCTGAAAATCATTGTCTATATATTCTTCAAGAGCTGCCAAAATATATAAAACTGCATTCGAAATATAGGCTTCTTTTGAATCAGTATATTCTTGATTTTCTTCAGTAATTAGGAGGCTTCCATCAATTACTGTCTTATAATAGCTTTCTTTTCCAAGCACAATCCCACTACCTAGTTTTGTTAGTTTTTTTGTAATAAGAGTTTGCTGAATGAATGCGGTATCTTCGGCGTCGCTAAAAACATAGTACAATGTCGCACCGAGCGGCATAGCTATTCTGCCTATAATATCGTTTATGTTTGAATTTGGCTCAATCGTAACGCTTTTGAAATACTCCGAAAAGTCCATCAGATAATCAACAATAAACGTATTTTCATTTGAGTTGAAAATGATACCTTGGGTTCAATTAAAATGGCTAAATAGCACATTTAAAGCATTAAGATATCCAGGTCTAGATGAAGAACCTGAAAAAGTTCAATCTGTGAAATAATTTAAAGAGTCATCGATCACAAGATGAACCGTTTTTAGATCTCCACATAAGTGTGATAAGTAATAATGATATGCAACATTTTCTGTTAAATCTATCAAAATTTTAGGGCTGTCAAGTTCATTCAGTAAAATAACTATTCCTTCCAAACTTGTAGCCGAGTAGTAATCGTAAGATGAAAAAACATGGTTTTCTGTAAGTAGATTTAAAGCTGAATTTGAAGTAGTGTCATTTACAAAAAGAACCAAATTTAAAGCTTGAGCAAAAGGAAATAAAAAGATGATTACAAGTTCCAGGTAAAAAGTGATGAAATCTGTCATAATTATTTTTTATATTATGGCTAATAGAGATAAAAAATGCTCTGCATAAGTGAATTACCCAGTCAGAATTTTAATATTGATTATAGTAATTATTGTTTATTGAAATTACTTATTCTTTATTAAATTTTTAACTAACTGGATTTTTTGGAGCTCTTCATAAGAAGCTCTGAAACGGATTTCAAATTAAATCCCACAGAACATACTGAATGGAAATCAAGATTAATTTTTTTTTAGAGCTTTCTTTATGAAGCAGCTGAATTAGGGGATATTATACTTAGTTAAGTATTTAATAAAAAAAAGTAAATGAAAGAGCTTGAAATTTTAATAATAAATATTGAGAGTAGTATTTATATAGAGATTTAGTTTTATTAATATATGATTAAGTTGTTTTACTCATAAAAATGCAAAAAAATTATATATTTTACATATTTTAACGAAATATTAAAAAGAAGCTGCGCAGTTTATATTTAAAACCTAACTCTTTTTGCAGGCTTGTGTATGAATTTATTTTAACTGCTAAATGGAATTGAAACATTAATTTGGTCAACATTTTGTTTTATCACTTCATCATCCCATGATAAAACAATTTTTGCTCCTTAGAAAGGGATAATACTTTTTGAAAGAATTCGCTATATATATTCTAATAAACAGTTTTTAGAAGTCTTTATTATCAGCAGGAATTTCTTTATATTTTTAGTTTAATTTAAAAAATTTACATTGAGCATTATTTCTATAAATTCAGATATTATTTATATAATAGTTTTATTTCTTGTAATTTTACAGTTCATCATGCATAAGTACTTGCATGCATATTTTAGCCTTTAACCATGCTTATAAAATAATAGTTATTTCTTAATAATTTGCTTAATTACTCTTTCCATTTAAACAAAATTAAATCGCTATAAGATAAAAACGCTGAATAAATTTATATATTTATTATTATCACTGATAACGTAAAAACGAACATTTTAGTTATTTACAGTAAGTGTCGATGGCATAACTTTTGAAGTTGAAAATTTATTTAGCTCTTTTGCCCTTAATTTTGAGCTATTTCCAAATTGAAAAGCAAATTTAAAGAGTGTGCTTGTGTCTTTTCCTTTTTTTCTGAATAACAAGCTCGGATACTTCTTCTTTTGCACGTAAACTCCGACAGATACAATAATAACTCATCCACCAATAACTAATGCTATCCAAGGAAAGCTTTTACTTTTAACTAAAATGTCTATTGTTGTCATAAGCCCAAGTCAAATAACGCCAATAATGCTGACTCCTTGCCATCAGCTAAATCTTGGGTAATTATATGGTTTATTTTTGAATATAAATATTACATAAATGAGCAATACCAGTAAAAATAAAAAGCCATGTGTAGCTGCTTCAGCTCTTTTTACAGTTTTATTCATCACAATTAAAGTAATTTGAATTATAGTTTTTGCCATGAGAAACAAAGGCAAAGTCTTTACATGTAAAACTGATTGAAATTCCTGCCACAGAGGTCTACAAAACACAGCCAACGGCTCATAAGTTAAAATAGCAATGCCTGATAAAATCGCATAAATTACATGATCACCTTTTCAGCAAAATTGATAGCAATCTTTAGATAGAAAAGAGTCAGTAAAATGATTTCCTATCGACTCATCACACACAAATACATCTAACAGCACAGAAACAAAAGGAATAAAACATAAATTTCCCAAAATTGGCATCAAGTAATCAGCTAGCTGTCCTAAAGTTCTAAATATAAACACATGATTATATTTTTCATCAAGCCTATAAAACACTGTAATGCATAGAATTATCCAAGCCATTGATAATGCTAATATTACATCGCAAATAGCCCAGAAGACCCCGTTTGACAATTTCACAAAATTTCCTAAATCTAGTGAAAGAGTTTCCCCAATTCCTGACAAGAAGCTATTAATAGAACCATAGTCAGGCCCCATAGATGAAAATTGAAAAAATTCAATAGCGATTGTAGCTCCTACAATAAAATCTTGCAGAGAAATTTCTTCTTTTGCTTTCATGTCTTCTATTTTCACATTCCATCATCTTTTCCATATATAAAAAGTGATAATACTTGTAACCAAGGCTATGGAAAAACATATCCCAAATACAAGGTATCTACCATCATAAAATGTTCGGATTTCCGAGTCAGGAAAGGGGCAATTACCATTTTGGTTTCGCAAATCTGATGGCTTTATGGTGGTGTTTTGATTATCATAGTAAAATGGTTGAGAGATACTTAAGTATTGTGTACTGTAAGGACTATATAAGCCTATGTGGTAGACTACAAGATTATTATTTATAATTTGATTGCTATCGATGCTCATAGAATCCATTTCTCTATCATTGCTACCTTGAGAAATAGCTAATGTTCCAGAGCATCCTGTAATTTTTATATTCCGAATAGTGTAATTGAGTTTATATCCATCAGTATAGTCTTGGCCTCTATTTATCATGAAATCTAAAGCATTTGCAATTAGAAACGCTGAATCGAAAAAATTACATGAAAGATCGCTCGGGGTAGTCTGATAATCATTTTTGAGATTATTATAAATACTTTTTCCTAATGTTCCCATTCAAACTGGACTTTGGAAAACAAGCATCGGACAGCCAATTGCAAGTCTTTTATACCTATATGTATCATTTTTAGCTCCTATATCAATGAGCGCTGCGGATATTGCAGAGAAAAAAATTAAATCTCCATTCCTGGCTCCTAAATCATAAAATTTTTCTAATGTGTAGCCTAATAAATCATCATACATAAATTCTACCACAAGTCTTGCATTAGAATCTAAAATCCCCTGCAAGACATATGAATAATTACCAATCCCATCTCTGTTCAGTCCTGGAGGTATTACTGCTGTATATACGATTGTAAGTCCAGCATCATCTGCTACTTCCTTTAATGCCAAATAAGATGAAGTTCCCCACGTTTCATTTTGATATAAAACTGCGAAGCTTTGCCAGCCTAAAGCCTTTAATAGATTTGGCATTTGGGATGCTAAATTTGAGTCAGAAACTTGGGCTCTTGAAAACCATGGATAGACTGAAGTTGAGTTTAATGCTGAAGATGACGTCACAGCCCCTACGATTGGAACTGAAATATTTAGCAGCTTAAAAGTTTTAAGACTTCCCATAGTGACTCCTGATGTATATGAAGATACAGCTCCCAAGCCGAATTTGTCAATATCTTTTAAAAAACAGTTATAGCCATAAGTAGAGTCATAAAAAGTAGCGCCACAATCATATACGAATAAACTCATTTTAAAGTTTTCAATGATTCCTAAGCCTTCATTAATCATTTTGATTGCCATTGAAGTCCCTCTGGCATATATAGGAAGAGTGGCAAATGACGCTTGGCCATAATTTGTCGTTCCAGCATTTATACTGATAGGTAGAGTTTTCTTTTCAGAAACAGGAGGAGTAGTTGTATTCCCTGGAAAAAATATTTTTTGAGATATAGAAATACTAGAAGAAGTAAAATTTCCTACAATAGTTCTTAATTCCTTTTGAAAGTTTACCAAAGAAAAGGTATTTTGACAAAAATGGTTAAAACATGATTTTTCTAAAGCCTTTTTGACTTGATAAGAACTATCAATAGATGACAATGAAGCATCAATTATGGAAATAATCTGCAATATTGCATTAGAAATGTAAATTTCTTTAGAAATAGCACTCTCTTGGCCTATTTCAGAAATTATAAGACTTCCATCAATTATCGCATCAAAATAGCTCTCTTTGCCTAAAATAATTCCATTCCCAATGGCATCAAGATTTTTTTCAATAAGAGCTTCCTGTATTGCAGAGCTGTCTACTTCATCGCCAAAAATATAATACATTGTGGAGCCTAATGGCACAGCTATTCTACCTACAATGTCTATTATAGAAGTTTCCTATGTTTGGCGCTGTAAGGCCGATAAATTCTGATCGGAATTTATCGGTTGGTTGCACCAAATCAATGCCTTGGTCGGACCAAAAAGCGATTTGGTCCGACGAACTTGGAAAGCTCCTGGGGAAAAATGTCTGCGCTTTCAGCGCTATATAGAGGAAACCTCTATATATTTGAATTTGGCTCAATTATCACACTTTTGAAGTCTTTTGAAAAATTTAACAAATAATCCTTGATATAGGAATTCTGATTAGAATTGAATATTATTCCTTGGCTTCAATTAAAATAGCCAAATAAATTTTTTAACGCTTCCAAATAATGTGCCCTTGAAGATGACCCAGAAAAAGTTCAGTCCGCCAAATAATCCAAGTTATCTTCAACGATTAAATGAATAGTCTTTTGTTTTTCACATAATTGTGATAAATAATAATGATTAACAACATCATTGGCTAGATCAATCAAAATTTTTGGGTCTTCCAAAGAATCCAGTAGGGACGATACTTCTTCAATATTTGTGGCTGAATATTGGTCATATGAAAACAATGATTGATTTTCCTGGAGAATTTTAAAAGCAGCTGCTGAAGTAGTGTCATTGTGAAAAAGAATTAAATTTAATGTTTCAGCAAGAGAGATAGAAAGCATCACCATAAACCATAGGCAAGCCTTAATGGCGTTCATATTGTTTATATTTACGCTCTTAATCAAAATATTTTTAAATAAGAGATTCTATAATTAAGATTATTAACAGGTAAAAAATTATCCGCTTAAGTTAAAACTGGTTTCATTAATTTTTTAAGACTTTTTTATTTAGTCGATTTAATTAATTGTGCTACTTTTGAACGAAATAACTGTAATAACCGACGCTGTAGAGATTATTACTATTAATTTACTTTAATTTCATTCATTGAACTTTATGTTTTTAAATATGTGTGCTGATTTCTAAAACGAAAGCGTCTTATTTATAAGGTCCTTTTATTATCGCATTTAATAAATTAATAAATTAATTTTAATTAATTAAGCTAAGAAATGCAGGTTTTTTTTAAAATGGACTAATCTTGATTTCCAAATTGTTTAATTATCACTGATTAAATTAATTACTTGAATTGCTGTATGATAATTTTGCATTTCAATCATTCATGATTGAATTTCATTCAATAGGCGGATTCAATTATTTTTTAATTTTTAAAGTATTCATAGCGATACTCCATAATTTTGACCAGCAAGAAATTTTGAGGGCTATAAGCACACTAGTTTTATTAATCTCAATAATTTTCACAAAATGAAATGTTTTTGAGCTAAATTAAATAATAATCCTTTTATTGCAAGCTTGCAAAAATGGCAAGCGATATCAATTTTATGAAATTAAATACATTTTCCGATAAATTTAAAGTAAAAATCACCTTATAATTTACATAATATAAAATAAATCATTTTAAAAATATTATGATATTTTCTCCATAAATCGCTCTGATTTTGCTCTTATCATTGTTTTAAGCATCTCAATAGCTTTATCTTTATCTTGAATTATTTTTGTTGAATATTTTTTGGTATCAGCTTCAACATTTTTCATTTTATCCTTCGTTGTTTCTATTTCTGCCTTCAAATTTTCTATATCTTTTTCGAGCTTCAATACTACTTTGTTTTTCTTTGCAATTTCTGTGTCTCTTTTGAATAATTCTTCCCTAAGAGTAGATAAATGAGCAATCGCCTCTTTTAAACGGTTTTCTCTTATAGTTAATTGCCCTTCGCTAGATTTTCTATCATTCAATAAATATTGCAATTTTGATTTCAATGAAGCAATTTTTTCAATCAGTTCTTCTTCTTTCGCAGAAGAATCCTTCAATCTTTTCTGTAAAACATCAATTCTTTCTGTCAGTGTATTTGCTTTTGCTATAGCTTTTGTAGATTCAACTTCTTTTTTCATTGCTTCATTTCTCATGTGTTCCATCTTATCCTTAATTTGTTCTGTTAATTTTTTAATTGAATCAGATTTCACGGAATATAATTTAATATTTTCTGCATACATTTCTTGATGCTTATTCATCATGTCTTTTAGTGATTCTATTTGAGTTCTATAAGCATTTTCTTGTGCTTCAGCTTTTTTCACTTGAATTTTTGCAGCTTTAAGCTCCTGCTCTAAAGTTGCCATCACATTTTTTACAGAATGTTCATCGATCATATCATTTTTCAAATTTTTTCTTATTTTATTCAGTCCATGCTTTATTTCAGCTACCCCAGCCCTTAGACTCTGCAAAAACCCTCCAATTTCAGGCGAATTTCCTCCTATTTCTTGAGCTTTTTCCTTGATGTTTTCTTCAATCTCCTTTATTTTTTTCTTATAATCTTCAATATTATTAAAAATGTTTTCGTTTTCTTCTTTTTTTCTCCTTGCTTCTTCTTCATATTGCTTTACCTCATCTTCTAAAACAGATACAGAATCTGCCTTGATTTTGGCTTCTGCATATAATTTTTGCAAATTTTCCATATCTGGGATCATCTTGTCTACTTTTCCTGTGAGCTCACGATTTAGCTCGCTCATCTGTCTGACAACGACTGATAATTGCTTTATATCGTCTTTGACCTCATTTAATTCTTTTTCTTTCATATTAAGCTTTGTTTTCAAACCTTCATTTTCTTCTAAAATTTCATTTTGCTTTGATATTAAATATTCTTTTTCTTCTTTCCATGCATTTTCTTTTTTTTCATGTTCAGCCATTTCCTGATTGCAATGTTCTTCCTGATCAACTTGAACTTGCTTCAAATCTGAGAGTTCTTTTTGCAGTTTTTTGTGCTGTTCTGTTATTTCCAACTCATTTTTTTTGCTGTCTTTAATAATCTTTAATGAAGCTCTTAAGGCTAAAATTGTCTTATTCATTTCATTGATTTGTCGATCTCTTACTAAAATTTGATCACGGAGTTCAGCATCAATATCATTGATTCTTGGGTCTAAAAGCTCCAAAATTCGTTTTTTTGACGAAATTTCGTTTTCGAGATCAGCAGTTTCAGGTCTCATTCAAAGCCAAAACTCTTCTTCTTTGTTTATCGGTTTTTTTGGTGGAGACGGATTATGAGATTTACTAGTAGCCGCTTTTTTGGGATTTTTCGGAGATATGACAGCTGATAGCGAAGTCTGTGCTTTGGCTCTATTAGATTTCATATTTATTTACCTTAAAATTCTAATTTAGATTTAATTTCCTCAAAGGAGTAAGTAAGTAGAGACTGAATTATTTGCAAAGATGTAGGCTGGCTGCTGACTATATTAACTAGAAAATCCGCTTTTAAATTTGTTGTGATTTTTGGAGCTCTTCCATCAATTGAAATTTTTATATCTAGATAACGGGTGCCCTTCCATATTCTGACCGAAAAATCTACCCTTTCTTGCTTGGCATCAAAATTGTGCCATAAAATTTCAAAAGAATTACTTTTTAGCTCTTCCTCCATTAAATCTGTAATTTGTTTTAGAAGATGAACTGGTGTTAGAAAACTCATAAGAAAACCATTTAGGACTTCTGGTATCACTTTGTAAACATTTAAAATTTTTTGGCGAAAATATTCGATATAGATGAAGCGCATACTTTCGAGACGTTGCCTTTCAATGTCTTTCTTTGGGACTGCTTCGATATCCAGTACTAAATTTACTATATATCCATGTTGAGTCTCTGAATTCGACAGCTTTATTTTAAAGTTAAACCTAAACTCACCAATTCTGCTCAATATCGCTGCTGCCTCCAACGCCCCTTGCTTAACTACTTGTGCCCCTGGGAAAAGCTCATTAATATTTCTATTCAAAAAAATCATCGATGACAACAAAGCATGCATAGATGCTATAAAATTCAAAATAAATGATAAAGCTCGCTTTACATGCTGAGGCTTATGAAGCTCTAAAGTCTGATATAGAGGCTCTTTGTCACCTATTTTTATTGTATTACTGTATCCTTTCAGATCAGGATCTTCTAGTGTTTTAGTTACTAAATGGTGCAAACACTCTGCGAATTTGTGTATAGGTTTCAGCTTGGGGTAAATTAGTCCCATATCTGCAATTTCTAGGGTTGTGCTGAAAGATTGAATTCTAATAGAAACCATATGTACGTTCATATAGCAGATTTTTACTTCATCAAAACTATTAGCCATACACTTAAATCCTGCAGCCTGATACGAATACGGCACATAATTTTTCCCAGCCAAATGTGCAAAATCACTCAAACACTCATCCAGAATTAACTGAAATTCCGCAGATAGGCACAATGACCTATAAATTTCGCTCAAGTTTACAGGACACCTCATATATCAATAAATTTCATACAGCTGTGCAGTCAATAAAGAAGGATGTGCAATCAGCGCAGGCTGTGGAATTCCTTCTTTATTTGGTCCATCTCTGTTATTAATAATTTTTGTAGTCAATGAAATTTCTTTATTGCTGGTCTTAATTAGCACAGTTGATGACTCATGAGTCAAAGTTTGCATAGAAATATTAAAATAATTTGACAATTCTTGGACTACTTGCTCAATTCTATTTGATATAAGCACAGAGTGAAAGTTTATTTGGTTTATTTTTTGTTCAATTGTATTAGCAATTTCTTGCATGAGGGCTTTGCCGAGCTTGTGCATTTCTTTTAAGTTAAAAATAAAAGTTAGTGTTTCGGAAGGTTTGTCGTATATAAGCTGATAGACGGGGTTGGTAATTGTGTATGTTTCGGATTGTGAGGAGTTTTCGAATGGAGAAAACCCTGAAGGGACTTCGGAGATTTGCACGTTTAAACAATTGCTAAATTGGATTGATGCTTTGGCTGGGTAGGTGGCGTTCTGAAATAAGCATTTGAAATCGATTTCTTGCATATTAATTTTTATAAGTTTATTAATAGCTTTAAGATAGAGTGAATAATAAATTTAGAAAAAAATGATAGGCAGCTTCAAAAGTGCTTGAGGAAAGAACTTTAATGAAAGTTGTGAGTATGATGGGATGAATTTATTAAAATTGAGGGCATTGATGATTATGAAAATAAATATAAAAATCTAAGCACTTGATCTAGGAATTATTTTGGGACTAATGATGAAATTAAAGAGAAAGTTATTCAAAAAATGTTTGAGATAAAAGCAGACTCAAAATATATAAAAGCTGATAAATAATAAACGCAAATGAGGTTATAAAGAAGCTACAAAACTGAAAAAAAATTAGAAGAAATTCTAAATAATTTTACAGAAAATGATATAGAAAATGTCCTAAAGCTAATATTCAGCAAGCGGAAGAAGCTGCCGAGCTATAAGTATGATGCAAAGAGCAAAGCTAAAGAAACGCATTTTTTAATGATGGGATCCAGAGTGTCGGAGAGCCTGTATCAAAAATAACTATAAATGGCTGAGGAGGAGTCCCAAGTGAAATAGAGCCATAATATTGGGCGTCTAAATAATTTGTCAGAGGAATATTAGTTCCTTTATCTGAAAAAGGCATATTTATCTTCAGGGGTTTTATTGATAGGGCTTAGAGAAATAGAAACAAGTCCTAAGGTGCAATATGAAAAGCATAGAAAGAATCAAAAGTTCATCTTTAAAATAATTTTTCCCAATTAATTATTGATTTAAGCTTTGAGAGATTAAGAATGCAAATAATTTTTGAGGAAAGTCACTTTAAACTTTAAACCGCAGTTGAAAGTCCAATTCTTAAGTTGCCCATGTCGAAGAGAGTGTAATAAGTTCTAATAAAGAGGTCACCAAGGATAATTGTATTATCCATACCAGGTCCTAACTCATTTTAATCTAAAAAAGCTAGAATTTTAAAAGAAACTCCATAATTTATTAAATTAAATTTTATAAGCTTAGAGTAAGTCTTCAGGTTGCCATCCGTTGATGCATTGATAGGAGTTTCCGTTAGGGATTTGCAAGACATAAGCACTTGGAGGCATAGCATAAGTAACTCCTCCAAGAACAATATTTACTGTTGGAAGCTTACTTATATTTGAACAATCTTCAGCTACTACTCCAATATTCACATTAATTTCGTTCACAATATTAAAGCTTCCTACAAGCAGTGAAGTCGTAGTATCGAAAGTTGCATTGAATCCAGTTCCAGAAATAGCTTGTCCGCCTACGCTTATAGCTCCTATCTTGATAGTCCACATCTCTTGCTTGTATAGAGGAATATAATTCCAGTCCCCTTTCGACAACGTTGAGTTATATACTTAACTTAAGTCAATTAAACGGCTCCATGTCAAATGACCGTGGATTTTTGACAGTGTGCATTTCATCCGAAAATTAACGGTTTTTTTCGGTCAAATGTCTCACTATTAAAAATTTTCGATCAAGAATTTTTCGGAAATGGACACTATCAAAACGGCAAAGTTATTTGACATGCACCCCAATTAAACTTATATAGAAGCCCGCCGTTATTCCGAAGGACTACTTCTACCCGTAATTCTCCACTCATTTGCCCGCCGCCAATCGTAGCGCGACCTTCAAAGCTTCGCTCCTGCAGACGAAGGCCAGCGCTTGCCACCTGTAGCAGATGAGTTGCGCCACCTTGCAGTACATCAACAGTGGTTGCTCTTTCCGAAAATTTGAAAAACAAATTTTCTGGTCGAGCTATGGCCAAAATGGAAATCTAAAGTCTGGAACGCAACGCCCGGAGAAGTGCCTGATGGGCCGTGCAGTAACCCACGGTGTCGCTGAGCTACCTCTTTCCAACTCTTAATCTAGTGACTTACACAATCAAGAATGGGCTTTTTTTGATAGTGTCAACAACAAAAGCTCCGTTTTAGATAGTGTAACTCACTATCCCATTATCCCCTGACCCCCCCTTTTAAATCGGGACAAAATATATAGGTAAATTCCTATTTTTTTGATAAATTAACCCCTTTAATTTTACAATAAAAAATTTTATAGATAAAAATCATAATTTTTATGTAAAAAGTTTTGATATAAGTTAAATCTTTCTTCTTAACTAAAATAAAAAATTTAGTTTTATCTTGCTCTTATTTAAAGAAAAGAGTATAAAAGTATCTTTTTTAAATAACTTTATATCCTTGAGTGCTAAATTTTTAAAAAAAAAAATATTATTTTTTTTATTTAAATAATTTTGATATAAATTCAATGCGAAATTCTTTAAAAAATTGAAAATTTACTTATTTATTGCTTTATTTTAAAGATAGAGTATAAATAACATCTTATTTAACAAAATTAGCACTTTGATCGGTAAATTTTTGTGTCAATAGTTGATGCCCAATTAATAGTGTCATATTAACTAATAATGAAAATTTAGTTTGTCTTGCTATTTTTTAAATGATAAAGAGTAAATAGCATTTTTAACCAAATTTATTAGCCTAATTCGATAATTTTTGAGAATTTTTTTTTAGAAAAAATTTTCTTAACCCCCCTTTAAATTGGAACAAAATCTTTTGTTCCAATTTAAAGGGGGGAATGAGGTGAAAACCTTGAATGAGTGAGCTGCGGTCGACCTAATTCGACATTGCGCTCCACCAAGGTAAGTAAAACCTAGCCGGATATACTTACCGAGCGCTAATTTCCCTTCCATAAGGACTCCAAGGCCTTTCGAGCCTATGGTTACAGGTATTGAGAAAAAGGGCTGGTTCGCCGTCGCCATTTTAATGTAGATTGTTGAGTTATATACAAATCCAAATAAATAAACATAAATACTCATAAGGATCCCCCCCTCATTTGTCCCAATTTTCTAGACTTTTTTTTCTAACTCCCCCCCCCCCTCCGTGAGCGAACAAAACCATTAGAAAAATCGCCATTTTTTGACCAAAAACCCACCCTCCGTGAGTGAACAAAAATATTTTTAATAGAAAAAATTTTAATAGAAAAAAATTTTGCTATATAAGTGATAATTAGTATAATGAAATCTAGAGCTAATTCTGTTTAATTTTAAACAAATTGCGTTTTAAAACATAAATTTTGCAAATTAAATTAGTATTTGCTTCCCAATTTTTGCAAATTAGGATTTTTTTTAAATTTCGAAAAAAATATTTTTTATAAAATTTATATATAAATTGTTTTTAAAAAAAAAATTAACCCCCCTCCGTGAGTGAACAAAAATTTTTTTTGTTCGCTCACGGAGGGGGGGGGGGAGTAAGAAAAAAAATTTTTTCAGGATCTCATTTGTCCCAAAATCTAGTCAAAGATGATTTGTCCCATATATTCTACTCTTTTTTGGATTTTTTCGAATATCCTAAATTTTTAGTTTTTACTTTAAAAAAACTAGAAAATGAGACAATTGAGGTCCTGAAAATTTTTTTTTCTATCAAAATTTTGACTAGAAAATTGGACAAGTGAGGTCCTAAAAAAAATTTTTTTTTTCTATAAAAAAAAACTAGAAAAATGGACAAATGATAAAAGACTAGAAAATTGGACAAATGAGGGGGGATCCTTATAACAAAAATAAGACAATTTCAGCAGAATTTATATAGCCTCCTAATGTAAGAGTGCTTCCTGCTTGATTTGCATTTTTGGTTAAATAAAATGCAAAGCTGTTATTAGTTACCAGCCCTTGTTTATATAAATAAGTGAATGCTAGAGGAGGCAGCTTCTCTACAGAAGTTGAGAAATAGGCCATTCCTAATATCCCATCTGGCTTGGTTTCCAACCAGCCAGATCCATCAAGATAGGTCATTTCTCCAAATTCAACGTCTTTGACAGTGAATCCGCCCCAGGTCAAAGTGTCTTGCGACACAAAGCCATTAGCTTCACCTTGGTCATAACCAAAATAAAGAATATCCCCATTCTTTTTATATGTGGATGATGCTGCTGAGTTATAAGTATGGTGCGTATGGCAAGCTAGGGAGGTGCATGTTTTCGATGGCACCCAAAGGAGTGGAGAATTTGTATCGAAAACAACAGTAAAAGGCTGAGGAGGAGTCCCAATCGAAATCGGGCCATAATATTGAGCATCTAAATAGTTAGAAATCGGGACATTACTTGCCCCAAACAGCCTTCTGAGCTGAATAAGCTTGAAATAAGCATATTGCTCTTCTTCTGTCTTATAGGTATGAGAGAGAGGAATTTCAATGACTCCGAGAGCTGCAATAAAAAAAAGTGAGAGAACAAATATCTTCATCTTATTTTTATATTTTCGCCAAGATAAAGTTGAAAATGGAAATCAAATTTTGGGTATATTTAACAATTGACACCATTTAGATTTGAATATAAGCGTTTTAGTCCTTCCCAAGACAAGCTTCATTAAAGAAATCGAGAAATAAAGAGCTTGAAAATATTATATAGAGATTAAAAGTCAAAGATTTTTAAATTGAAGATTATTACTTAAAGGGCAGTAGAAAACCCAACTCTTGAGCCACCCATATCGAAGTGAGTGTAATAAGTTCTAATGAAAAGATCTCCAGCAAGGAGAGGAGCAGCATGGAGATAAATACGGTCTGCGAATGCCTACCTGCAGAATTTTTTGTAATCTTAATTAAGTTAAGTTTAAGGTGTAAATTACGAGCTCAACGATGAGCAACTTCAATATCAATATATAGCGGATGAAAATTTTATATTAGGAAATAGAAACACCTAACTATTCGATTTTTTGATTTCTTGTTTTTATGAAATCTATGGAACAAGAAATATTTATTTTGTGTCTAAAAAGATGTTTAGTTTCGCAGAATAAGTGGGTTTATTTGTGCAATGCACCTTTTATACCTGTTATCATACACTGGATTTAATCAAAAATTAATTATTTCTAGGGATAATCCTGGAGTATGAGTGTATGATATGTTTCTGGATTCTTATAGCCACTATTCTCCGATGAATGGGAGTCTTAATAAAATAGCTGATAAAAGCCTAATTAAATTTGCATGAAAAATAATTTTTTATTTTCTCAAAATTTAATCAAGTGTACTCCTGTGACGATCCTTTATCTGAGTGAAGTCTTATTTATGAATTTAAGAATGGATTGTTATTTCCAAAGCTGAACCAAATAACTTTAATTTACACACATTTTGAGGGATCAATCTACTATCTTAAATGATTTAGTATTATATAAATTTAAGATGAAAAAATTTAAATATATAATCTATGCACTCGTATAGATTTCTCTTTAGGACTTTTACAATGGACGGCTGGAGTGCTGGAATATTCAATACCAGGGAAATGGGCTCGACAGCAATTTATAATAGCTATTAGTATAGGATGAAATATAAGTAATCGGTAGAGGTTAGGTTGATATGTAAGCGGACATTAAATGGAACTGGAAAGAGTAATGTCAGGGAGAAAGTAGCCAATATGTGAAATAAGTGCATAAAGACTGTCTTTATCGTGGATTCCCAGCAGCTTGGGACAGTGCAATCTGAACTAATCCTTACTTCCTGAGTCGCAGGATTTTGCTGTGTTCGACCCATATTTTATTGCCGACTTTGACAAGCCAAGGTAGCTTGGCGAGCTTAATTATAAATGAAAATGAAAATAAGCAACGCTACAATATTTTATACAAGATTTTTGATTATCGTTGAAAGTCTTGTATAAATATTCTAATCTACATGCTCAATTCTGGTATATGAAAAGGTGATACTTATTGCTGTTAGCGTTTAAGAGATATTACTTGAAGCGGATTCGAGCGAATTAGGCTGCAAAAAGTATAGAAATTGCCCGAGGATGGCGCAAAATAGCGCCATCCTCGGGCAATTTCTATACTCATTAAGAGAGGCTTATATGTGTATTATAATTAAAAATCTTGTATAAAATACTTTCAAATTTACATTTTAATCTGGTATATGTAAATGGCGATACTTATTGCCGTTAGCATGTAACAGCTATTACTGCAAGCGGATTTGAGCGGATTAGGCAGCAACAGGTAATTATTGAATAAAGCTTATGCGTGCATTATAGTTGAAAATCTTGTATAGAATATTCCAATATACATATTCAATTCTTGTATATGTAAATGGCGATACTTATTCCCGTAAGCATGTATAGAACTTTCTCTTCAATAACGCGATAAGGCGTGCTTCCTGTTTGACTAAAAGGTCTTTGAACCATTAAAATCTGCTGTTCCTTTTTGTAAGAGAGGCATACAGTGAAAATAAAGAGTTCTGCACAATCAATCTCGAGAACTTTGAAAAGAGGCTATTTGCAAATTTACATTTTTGGCTCGTCAAATGGATCTGGCGAGCCAACCCTGGCCGGTACTTGAAATAAAAAAAATGATAGTTGCCAGAGTTTTATTAATTTTCTAATGGCGAGTATGATCAGAATTTTAATAAATGGCACAGGATATCAGAAAACCTACTCAAAAAATATTCATTACGTTAAATTGGTTAATGTCTTGATAATAAATGCTTTATCTTGGTGCCTATATTAATCGCTAGTCATCTTTATGAATTTTAAAAACCCAAAGAGGAAATTTTTAATAGACGTCTTAAAGCGAAACTTACAATAAAGCGCAGCTCCATGAACTCTCATTGCTGCCTGAAAAAGATGCAGTCAGTAGTGATATTCATAACTCGAGTTTTTCTTTGTCACTATAGCCATCTTTTAGAAATTTAAATCAATAAAAGGAAATTTTTAATAGAGTTTTCAAGTGAAACTTAAAATATAAGCACAACTCCATGAGTTCTCTTTGCTGCCTCAAAAAGATGTAGCCAGTAGTGATATTCATAACTCGAATTTTTCTATAGTCACTAGTCACTATTTTGCTCGTTATATTTCGCCATCTTTCTTGTAAACCATATTAAAAAATTAATTTTCTTAATTCACCTCACGCAGTTTCATTCGAAACTTGATATTTAAAGTATTAAATAAGCAATTTGGTACCTTTTATTTTCCGCTTTCTGGACTCGAGCACAAATATTTTTTGTTCGTTATATTTCGTTATCTTTTTTCTAAGCCATATTAAAAATTGAAAATGTAATAATAAATTTTAAAATTTAAAGTTTAAATAACGCTATTTGATACTTTTATTTTCCGCTTTCTTGACTCGAGAAAAACTTTTTTTGTTCGTTTAAGCCGTCATCTTGATTTTCAAAGCCAATAAAAAAATTAATTTTCTTAATTCACCTCACGCGGTTTCATCGGGAACTTGATATTAAAGTATTAAATAAGCTATTTTTGATGCCTTTATTTTCCGCTTCCTGGACTCGAGCACAAATTCATTTTTAGACATTTTTTGTTTGTTTAAGCCGCAATCTTGATTTCAAAGCCATACCAAAAAATAATTTTCTTAATTCACCTCACGCGGTTTCATCCAGAGCATCATATTTAAAGACTATATGAACTTTTTATATCTTTATTTTCCGCGTTCTGGACTCGAGCACAAATTCATTTTTAGAAAATTTTTTAATATACTAAAGTTAAATATTCAATTAAATTTCTTATTAAATTAAATTAATATAATTTTTTAATTATTATTTCAAGCCTTAATTTTCTTAAAGGAAAAATCTGCATGTGATGAATGCTATATTATTATTACCAAAAGGAATTATTAGATCGGTTTGAAAGGAATAAGTTGTCTGATCCTGTGCCATTTATTAAAATTCTGATTATACTCGCCATCAGAAAATTAATATAATTCTGGCAACTATCATATTTTATTTCAAGTACTAGCCAGAATTGACTCACCAGATCCATTTGACGAGCCAAAATGTAGATTTTCCATATAGTCTCTCTTCAAGTTCTCGAGATTGATCAGGCAGAATTCTTTATTTAGGCTGTTTGTCTCCCCCATGAATAAGGAATAGCAGGTTTCATATGTGAAAGATCTTCCGGTAAAGCTAGGAATGCGCTTTATCGCGCTATTGAAAAGAAATTTCTATATATAGATTTGATGTTTTAGGAGGGAGTGAGAAATATGACTTATTGCAAAATAAATAAGAAAATTTGGCTCCAATTCCTTATGGGCTGAATTTTCAATATGGCTGCAATGCTCTTTTTAGAAATTGCATTTAATGACAGGGCATTATCTTCAAAATATTGTTAGTTATAGTATAAACTGGGATGACTATAAAGATATTCCTAATATAACTTTACAGGAAAGTTTTTTCAAGACAATACTGAAAGGGAATGATAGAATTTATGTTATTGAGAAGGGAGGAAGGATTTTTGAAAGTGAAATAAATGATGCAAAGAATTGAAAAGTGGCTGGGGATAATAATATTGATAGCGTTAATCAGTCTTCAGTAGTGAAATATAAAGACTGCCTATATTTTGTATCTTCAAAAAAGGTTAGTAAGGTTGCAATAATATAAAATCAAAATGCTATTTTCTTATCTTGATTTATTTTTAATTTAATATTGGGTATTTTTGTCATGACCTTCGTATTTCCTCAGTAGCTGTACTAGTTGCATGTATGGCAGAATATAAATCGCATGCTAAAACCTCTTTTAAGTTGAGAATCTAAAGCCTTACATTCTAATTTACCTAAAGGTAGGTGTAAAAAATTAAAAATAGAAGAGTTACAGAGCAGAAAATCTTTATAATAATGATTATACTTAAAATAGCTTCTGATCTATAAATTATGAATAAATATTAAAGCAAAGTCACATTATTTTCTCTAAATTTTATTTAGGTTAAATAGCTGTAGAAAATCCAACTCTTGAATTTCCCATGTCAAAAAGGGTGTAATAAGTTCTAATAAAAAGATCTCCCAGAATAATTGTATTTTCTAGCTCAGAGCCCATGTCTAAAGGTTCCCACCCTAAGATGCACTCATATTGGCCTCCGCTCTCCACCTGCCAGACATAGGCACTCGGTGGCATCGCATAATTAACTCCTCCCAGCACAATATTCACTGTAGGAAGACTAGACAGATTTGAGCAATCTTCCGCAACAGCTGGGATCATAGACACCACCTGATTTACAATTTTGCTATCTCCCATGAGCAACGTAGTCCCAGTGTCTACAATAGCTTTAACTCTCCCTCCCTGAGCACAAGCCATCGGAAAATCACTATTTTTGGGTATAAAAAAGCACCCTTTGTAAGCTAATAAATATTTTTTAATGTATAATTTTGAAAAATATTTTAATATATAAGTGATATTTATTATAATGAAATCTCTAGCTAATTCTACTGAATTTTAAACAGTTTGCATTTTAAAACATAAATTTAGCAGTTAATTTAGCATTCAATTTTTGGGAATTGGGATTTTTCTAAAATTTCAAAAATAAGTTAACCTTAAGTGCGAACAAAATTTGTTTTGCTTGTTCATGGATAGGAGGAAGGTTCTTTCCAGTAACATTTTTGCCGTTAACTGAAATAGAGTCCATCAAAATCAGCCACCATTCTTGCTTATATAAAGGCACATAATGCCAGTCTCCTTTAGAAAATGTTGAATTATAACCTCCTAGTGTAAGAGTGCTCCCAGCTTGATTATCGTTTTTAGTCAAATAAAATGCAAATGAGTTGCTTGATACCAGTCCTTGCCCAGCTAAATAAGTAAACGCTGGAGGCAGGCCATCTGGAGAAATTGATTGCCAAGACATCCCTAAAATCCCATCAGACTTGCTAGTAATCCAAGCTGTTCCCGGTAGAGTTGTCATTTCAGCGAAAAGCACATTTTTAACTGTATAGCCTCCCCAAGTCAACGTATCTTGGGAGATAAATCCACTGCAAGCTCCTTTACCGTATTGAAGACTAATAGAGGTGCCATTTTTCGCATAAGTAGAAGAAGCTGCTGAGTTATAAGTATGATGCAAGGAGCAAGCTAAAGACGTGCATTTTGATGATGGGACCCAGAGTGTTGGAGAGCCTGTATCAAAAACAACTATAAATGGCTGAGGAGGAGTCCCAAGTGAGATAGGGCCATAATATTGAGCGTCTAAATAATTTGTCAAAGGAATATTAGTTCCTTTAAGAAGTCTTCGGATTTTAAGGTATCTGAAAAAGGCATATTTCTCTTCAGGAGTTTTATTGACAGGACTTAGAGGAATAGAAACAAGTCCTAATGTGCATATGAAAAGCAGCGGAAGAATTAGAAGCTTCATCTTTAAGATTATTTTCCCCAATTTAAAAATGGAAAGATATTATGTTATTTTTCACCAGATTAAAAATGGAGTGACATAAAGATATCTTCACCAAAAGAAAGAGAAGAAAGAATTATATCAATAATCAGACGATTCTGTAAAATTAATTAACTTTAGCGATTTCTTGATAAAATAAGTAGGATTATTGATAATTAAAGAGTGCACTTTTAATAATTTAATATAAAATAATTAATTATTGATTTAAGCTTTAAGAGATTAAGAATGCAAATTGCTTTTGAGCAAAGTTACTTTAAACTTTAAACCGCAGTTGAAAGTCCAATTCTTGAGTTGCCCATGTCGAAGTAAGTGTAATAAGTTCTAATAAAGAGGTCACCAAGGATAACTGTATTTTCCATTCCAACTCCTAACTCATTTTCATCTAAAAAAAATTAAAAAAACCTAGGATTTTAGAAAGAAACTTCATAATTTATAGGATAAAATTTTATAAGTATAGAGTAAGTCATCAGCTTGCCATCCGTTGATGCATTGATAGGTGTTCCCGTTAGGGATTTGCCAGACATAAGCACTTGGAGGCATAGCATAAGTAACTCCTCCAAGAACAATATTTACTGTTGGAAGCTTACTTATATTTGAACAATCTTCAGCTACTGTTCCAATTATGGCATTAATTTGGTTCACAATTTTAGAGCTTCCTACAAGTAGCGAGGTCCCAGTGTCGAGAATCGCTTTGAATCCAGTTCCGGAAATAGCTTTCCCGCCTACGGTTATTGCTCCCATCTGGATAAGCCACCACTCTTGCTTGTATAGAGGGATGTAATTCCAGTCCCCTTTCGACAACGTTGAGTTATATACAAATCCAAATAAATAAACAAAAATACTCATATAATAAAAATAAGACAATTTCAGCAGAATTTATATAGCCTCCTAATGTAAGAGTGCTTCCTGCTTGATTTGCATTTTTGGTTAAATAAAACGCAAAGCTGTTATTAGTTACCAGCCCTTGTTTATATAAATAAGTGAATGCTGGAGGCAGCCCATCTGCTGAAATTGAGATCCATGCCATTCCTAATATCCCATCTGGCTTGCTATCCACCCAGGTAGATCCAGGAAGAGATGTCATTTCTCCAAATTGAACGTTTTTGACAGTGAATCCGCCCCAGGTCAAAGTGTCTTGCGACACAAAGCCAGTGCAAGCACCTTTGCCATACTCAAGAGAAAGCGCTGTCCCATTCTTCACATATGTGGATGACGCAGCTGAGTTATAAGTATTGTGCATATAGCAAGCTAGCGAGGTGCATTTTGACGATGGCACCCAAAGGACTGAAGATCCTGAGTCGAAAACAACAGTAAAAGGCTGAGGAGGAGTCCCAATCGAAATCGGGCCATAATATTGAGCGTCTAAATAGTTAGAAAGCGGGACGTTACTTGCCCCAAATAGCCTTCTGAGCTGAATAAGCTTGAAATAAGCATATTGCTCTTCCTCTGTCTTATAGATATGAGAGAGAGGAATTTCAATAACTCCAAGCGCTGCAATAAAGAAAAGTGAGAGAACAAATATCTTCATCTTATTTTTATATTTTCACCAAGATAAAAATGGAAAATGGTGAATCAAATTTTGGGTCTATTTAAAAATGACGTCATGCAGATTTGAATATAAGCGTTTTTAGTCCTTCCCAATGGCAAGCTTTATTGAAGAAATTAAGAAATGAAGCCTCACAAATATTATATAGAGATTAAAAGTCAAAAATTTATAAATTGAAGATTATTACTTAAAGGGCAGTTGAGAACCCAACTCTTGAACCACCCATATCGAAGTGAGTGTAATAAGTTCTAATGAAAAGATCTCCAAGAATAAGTGTATCTTCCATGCCAAGACCTAACTTCCCACATTAAATAGAAAAAAATTCTGTTCCAATTAAAAGAGAGTTAAATAAGCAGCCAAAAATGCAAAATTTACCCATATATTGTTCCAATTAAAAGGGTAGAGTAAGTCATCAGCGTCCCATCCGTTGATGCATTGGTAGGTGTTTCCATTAGGGACTTGCCAGACGTAAGCGCTAGGAGGCATAGCATAAGTAATAGATCCGATCACAATGTTCACTGTTGGGAGTTTGGAAATGTTTGAGCAGTCTTCAGCAACAGTTCCAATTATGGCATTAATTTGGTTCACAATTTTAGGGCTTCCGACAAGGAGAGTGGTGCCAGTATCAACAATAGCTTTGAAGCCAGTTCCAGTGATAGCTTTTCCACCTACAGTAATGGCTCCCATCTGAATAAGCCACCATTCTTGTTTGTAAAGAGGGACGTAATTCCAGTCTCCTTTGGACAGGGTTGAGTTGAAGCCTCCTAAGGTAAGGACGCTTCCAGCTTGGTTTGCAGTCTTGGTGAGGTAAAATGCAAAGCTGTTGCTAACGAGTCCTTGGCTAGCTAAGTAAGTAAAGGCTGGTGGGGTTCCATCTTCAGCAATTGCTTGCCAGGCCATTCCGAGGATTCCGTCTGGTTTGCTCTCAATCCAGGTTGTGCCAGGAAGGTGAGTCATTTCTCCGAAGAGGACGTTTTTGACAGTGTAGCCACCCCAGGTCATGGTGTCTTGTGAAATGAAGCCAGTGCAGGCACCTTCTCCGTATTGAATGGAAATAGCTGTTCCGTTCTTCACATAGGTGGAGGAGGCTGCTGAATTGAAAGTGTGATGCATGTAGCAGGCGAGGGAGGTGCATTTGGAAGATGGGACCCAGAGATTGGATGAGCCAGTGTCGTAAACGACTGTGAATGGTTGAGGAGGGGTTCCAAGGGCGACTGGGCCGTAGTATTGGGCATCCATGTAGTTGGTGACTGGAATTTGGTTTCCTTTTAAGAATTTTCTGAGCTTAAGAAAGTTGAAGTAAGCTAATTGCTCCTCTGGGGTGCTGTAAATTGGGGAGAGTGGAATATCAACTGCTCCGAGAGCAACGATGAAAAGGAGAGATATCGCTAAAACCTTCATCTAAATATTATAAGTTCACCAGTGCCAAAATGGCAGCGTGTGAGGCAAATAATTTCACCACTTAACAAGAAAGGTGGATAGATAAAGAGAAAATTAAGGTAATTAATTCTGAAGAAATTTAGGGGTATTTTTTAAGTTCGTAATCGATAATTAAAAGTTTATGGCTTCCCCTAAGAATGGACAATATTTTTGTTGATTATGGAATGGTTTTTTGAGTTTATTTTAGATTTTGAATTTACCAAATTTGCATTATTTTGAAAGGAGCATTACTATATATTATCAATTTTATACGTTGTATATTGCAGCCTAAAATTTAATGAAGTTTACATATTAAAAACATTGAATATCTGTGAGAATGTTACGTAAAAACGGTTTTATCTCCAAAATTTTCTCGCTACTTCCAGAGCATTGATTTTCCTAATATTCATTACTGGAGCAAGAGAATTTTTTGCGTTTTTGCTTACTCCCCCCCCCCCCTCCGTGAGCGAACAAAAAAATTTTGTTCGCTCACGGAGGGGGGTTAATTTTTTTTTTTAAAAAAAATTTATATATAAATTTTATAAAAAATATTTTTTTTCGAAAAATTTAAAAAAATCCTAATTTGCAAAAATTGGGAAGCAAATATTAATTTAATTTTTGCAAAATTTATGTTTTAAAACGCAATTTGTTTAAAATTAAACAGAATTAGCTCTAGATTTCATTATACTAATTATCACTTATATATCAAAATTTTTTTCCATTAAAATTTTTTCTATTAAAAAAATTTTTGTTCACTCACGGAGGGTGGGTTTTTTGGTCAAAAAATGGCGATTTTTCTAATGGTTTTGTTCGCTCACGGAGGGGGGGGGGAGTTAGAGTTTATGGAATGATTAATTTATTAACAGAACTGAATTAGAATGAAATAAAATGCATTTAGCAAATTTTCTTTTGATTTCTTATTTTCAGCCTAAAAATATTTAGATTAATCTCTAATTTAATTTTATCTGAATGTATAAAATAAAGAATTTTATAGTTTCAGAACTACTTTTTCTAAATTTACTAATATTTTAACTTAATTAGAAATAAATTTAATGTTAATTTGCAGTTGAAAGTCCAATTCTCGAATTTCCCATATCAAAAAGAGTATAATATACCCTCATAAACACATCCCCAAGAATGATCGTGTTTGCATCTTCAGTACCTGAAAAATCTTCAGCTTCCCACCCATTCATGCACGAACTTCCTGATCCATTAACTCTCTCCCTTTAAATTGGAGCTAATAAAAAGGTAAAATTTCTATTTTTGGGTACTATAAGGCTTTGAATTTTTATTTTAATAGAAAAAATTTTTTAATTAGTTTTAGCCTAATTTAACGAGAAAAGGTGCGAATTTTATTAAAACAATTTTCACGCTGCATCTATTAATTTAACTTTTAATATAATTTTTTTAAAAAAGCAATTAATCTCCGTTTAAATTAGAGGTTAAATTTAAAACGGAGGAGTAAGTTACGTTAAGTTATTAATTAGCCATAAGAGGAATAACCACTGACCATTACCTTGTCTTGGGTCCAAAAAGTCAGTATCAATAGACCTCGGGAGTTCAAATATACGTACTTCCTATAAAAAAGTCTCATAAGTGGGCGAATTTACCACCAAGCTTGCAATTGGTCCTACCGAAATTTTTTTTTGTTGATCTAACTAAATTGTGAACTCAGCATCATATCACTCATAGATGAGCTATTAAAGGGAATTTTCTATAAAGAAATGAAAGCTTCATTTGAATTCCCGATCTTAACCAAATCTCCAAGATCAGCGTTATGGGCAACTCCACCCTCTTAAATTGCCCAGATAGTTATGATAGAGATAAATTATGTGGTAGGCAAAATCTGTCTTGTCTAAAGGGAATATGAAAATCTCCAAGGACAAGCAAAAGTCTTCTTTGTCAGGCTTCCACAAGCCCGAAGGCCTACTGAAAAGCGACAAAAGCGCCAGAATTAAACTCGATAGGATAGGCCCTGCATGCTCCAAAGGGAATTCTCCTCAGAGTCTATCTTACGTCAAAGTCACCATTCTATTCTCGTAATCTATAAAGTTAAAGTTGAAATTATAAAGCGATAAGTGGATAAACCATTAGCCTGCCTATCTGATGTAGCCCACATAACCTAAGAATTAGCTCCTAGGTTAGAGCCGCCTCTAGCGGATGCCCGTTAGTCCCGATATGCATAGACTAAGCGAGAAACAAAATCAATCTAGCCTATCTGGCAGAAACAGGGAAAACCTTTGACTCCCCCCCCATCCTTGATCGAACCATTGACTGTAAAAATTCCTAAAAATTGGGAAAATTAACCCCCATCCTTGATCGAACGATTTTCATATCATGCAAATTTTTATATATATAAAAATATATAGTTATTGCCCGAGGATGGCGCTATCTTGTGCCATCCTCGGGCAATAACTATATTAGTTATCAAAAGCTTGGGAAGATATACATAATAAAGTTGTTTTCAGAGACTTTGAGACGACAAAAAGCTTCGGAATCACCGTGTGAAGTGATCCAGTCATCAACCTAGGCTTAAAACTCAATAATTTTAATAAAATAGAGATTTTTTAAAATTTAAAAAAATAAATTTAATTTAATAAGGAACAAATTAAATTTATACAGTTTAAAAGGGGTAACTAATAAATCAAAATATTAAAATTGGTTTTTTAAAATTCATTCAATTTTTGCTGTAGAAATAATTATTAAATACTCTTAACCCTCTTATTTAAAAGTAAATAAAAAAATAAATATATATATATTATTTTATATATAAAAATTTTTTTCCCAAAAATTTTTTTTTAACCCCCATCCTTGATCGAACGATGGCGAGTCGTTCGATCAAGGATGGGGAGGGAGTGAGAAAAAAAAATTTTCCCTCTTCAGTAGGCATCTACAAATGAAGGCCAACTTCAAAACGTAAAGAGGTACTATTTTCAGCTTCATCAGGACGGGTCCTACCTGCTCCATAGGACCTCATCTCTGAGTCCCTTCTGTCAGCATCACTATTTTATTTATCATGATTCATTAGGTATCTGCCAAACATATTGATTTGGAGTCAATACATAGCTAATCCCTCCTAGGACAATAGTCACATTTGGAAGTTTCGACAGATTTGAGCAATCTTGAGCCACAGTTGGAATCATTGCATTGATTTGGTTGACAATCACACTGTCCCCTACAAGCAAAGTTGTTCCACTATCAAGAATCCCTAGTATCCCACTTGCAGAAATCGCTTTTCCGTTTACGCTAATAGAATCTATGCTAATAGTCCACCAAATCTGTTTAGTGAGAGGAATATAATGCCAGTCACCTTTAGAAAGAGAAGGATTATAGCCACCTAACGTAAGAGTGCTTCCAGACTGCCCAGAAACTTTTGATAAATAAAATGCAAAAGAGTTGTTTGATATCAAACCTTGGCTGTATAATAAAGTAAAAGGAGGAGGAAGGCTATATGCTGAAAGAGAGGGCCAAGCCATTCCTAAAGTTCCGTCTTCTTGGGAGTAAGACCATGAGGATCCTTGAAAACTTGTCATTTCTCCAAAGACAACTTTTTTAATTGAATATCCGCCCCAAATCAGGGTATCTTGAGAAAGAAAGCCGCTTACACTGCCTTGGCCATAGCCAATATAAAGCGATGTGCCATTTTTTACATAAGTTGAAGAAGCAGCTGAGTTATAGGTATGATGGTTAAAGCAGTATAAAGACGTGCATTGGCTTGAAGGTACCCATAAGTTGGAGGAGCCTGTGTCGAAAGTAACTGTGAAAGGCTGTGGAGGAGTTCCAATTGATATAGGACCGTAATATTGGGCATCTAAATAGTTAGCGATAGGAACTCCAGATCCTTTAAGGATTCTTCTCAGCTGGACACGTTTAAAGTAGGCCAATTGCTTATCAGAGGTTTCATAGATAGGGTATAAAGGGATTTCAATGATCCCTAAAGCAGCGATAATAAGTAGTGATGATATCAAATAATTCATTTGATTATTAAAATTCATAAAGATAACGACGGATGATTAGATTCTCCAACTAACAAAATGGAGTTAATTGTGGCTCTTTTTATATAAATTCATGAGTTATGGCTATTTAGCCTTGGGTTTTCGATAAGCAATAAAAATTTTTGATTAAATATAATTCAAAATATTTTATTTATATTTTGATCTATTAAGCGTTGAATTATATTAGAATATAAAAGAAATCTTAAGGATTCAAAAGAAGTAGAAATAAAATCAGATTTTTGCCACTAAATAAGAGTGTATGCTATTTCTTCCTAGCAAATGCTGGTAATTTCGAATTTTTATTAATCCTCCTTAAATTTATGCTAATAATGAACGAAATATGCTATTCTTCATTCATTTTACACTTAAATAAAATGCTGGCTTATCCGGCCCATCCTTATCAAACACTCTCGGGGTTTTTTGAGTTTAAGAGGGACTGGTCTGGAAATTGTATCCGGGCAATTTTTTCCCACTAGTCTGGACACCACGACAGGTTTTTACTTCGATTCAGAGATGATTAGGCAAGAGTCCACATGAAAACTCCATACTTATGGATGCGAAGGGCAATGGAGACCAGAAGGAGGATTCGGGGTCGCCTCCAGCCACCCATCTCCAGGTAGATGATGCCGACCGCTAGGAGTTTCCCGAAGGAAGTGCCTGGGCACGTCTCCCCAAGAGATGCTGAAGCCACCTCTTTTTGTAGCATTGCCAGAAAAGGGCGTAAGTGTAACCTGATGCTTAGGGCTGGAAACCTGAAGTCGGCCAAGGTGGAGAGGAGCTGAAATAAGCCCGAAAATCTATTCTAATTTTAATCTAATTTAATCATTTATTTTAGATATAGATGCTTACGTAGTTTCCATGATAATTCATTTTTTTGCATTCTTAGCTATATTAGAAGTCTCTTTATAATTAATCATAGGCTTAAAGCAAACTTTTCGTAGTATAATAAGGATCCCCCCCCCCATTTGTCCAATTTTCTAGTCTTTTATCATTTGTCCATTTTTCTAGTTTTTTTTATAGGAATAAAAATTTTTTTAGGACCTCATTTGTCCAATTTTCTAGTCAAAATTTTGATAGAGAAAAAAAAAAATTTCAGGACCTCAATTGTCTCATTTTCTAGTTTTTTTACAGTAAAACACTAAAATTTAGGACACTCGAAAAATCCAAAAATGACTAGAAAATGGGACAAATCATTTTTGACTAGATTTTGGGACAAATGAGGTCCTGAAAATTTTTTTTTTCTTACTCCCCCCCCTCCCCCTCCGTGAGCGAACAAAACCATTAGAAAAATCGCCATTTTTTGACCAAAAAAACCCACCCTCCGTGAGTAGTAAACAAAAATTTTTTTAATAGAAAAAATTTTAATGGAAAAAAATTTTGATATATAAGTGATAATTAGTATAATGAAATCTAGAGCTAATTCTGTTTAATTTTAAACAAATTGCGTTTTAAAACATAAATTTTTGCAAATTAAATTAATATTTGCTTCCCAATTTTTGCAAATTAGGATTTTTTTAAATTTCGAAAAAAAATATTTTTTATAAAATTTATATATAAATTTTTTTTTAAAAAAAAAAATTAACCCCCCTCCGTGAGCGAACAAAATTTTTTTGTTCGCTCACGGGAGGGGGGGGGGGGAGTTAGAAAAAAAAAACTAGAAAATTGGACAAATGAGGGGGATCCTTATAAAACTATTTCGATAGGCTTTCTACAGACTTCTGTAAATGCAATTTTTCCTTAAATTTGCCTTTTCCTATTAATTTTTTTAAAAATCTCCAACTTTTCAGAGAAAAATATAATTCCGTAAGCATTAGCCTAAATTTTTAAGCAGAAAAAATTTATTTTCATGCAATTAAATATATATTCACTTTAATAAATCTTAGAAGCAATTTTTCCAATAAACTATATAGCCTGATCCCGCTTTAGACCGAGCTTGAAGGATGTCAAGGCGTGAGATTGGGATTTGATTGCTGGCAAAATAAACTCCTCATCTGATGTTGTGAGACGTCAAACAAGCTCAATCAAAGCAGGGATCAGGCTTTATAAAATTCCATAATATATTTTAGCGAGAAATGAGTAAAAGGTCATATTTGTTAAAACCGATTGACAGCTCCTTTGAAGCTGTCTTACCTCCTGATAGCCCCAGATCTGCGATGCTGCCACCTTTAAAATTTCCCGATATCTATAACGCTGTAATCTCCGAAGCTGTTTCACGCTCCCGCAGTCGCAGTGAGTGTCCAAAAGTTATTAAAAAAGAGCCTAACTATGAAAATAATTCAATTTTATCACAGGCAATTGATGGTATTTTCAAAGTTCTACCTCAAAATACCATTGGGGAAGTTAAGGCTTATGATCTCGTAAGGCTTTTTATCAGTCTTAAACTATCAGTGAATTCGAAAAGTATCGTCTCTCTCTTTACAGTAGATGAAAATATACCTTTCCATACGATAAATATCAGCAAACATCACCTTTTTATTATATGTGATGACTCCTATGCTGAAAAAACGCTTGAGATGTTAACTTCTGAAAGCAAAAAAGAAAAAAAACTCACACTGAACCATAGGAATTACAGAGTAAAAAACTCTCAATCTGAATTTGACCAATATTTAGCAACGATTAGGAATATCTGGGATAGAATTGATACCGGAAAAGTTGGGTATTTATTTTGGCTGGATATTGCCAAGCATTTAGTCGAGCTTGGTATTGTAAAAAATATTTCAATAGGAAAAAAACTTTTAGCGATTTTTAAAAACGATAATGTGAAATTTTTGCAATTTCAAACCCTTTTTAGCAAAGGTTTAATCAGGAAACTGATATTGGATGTCGCAAAGATTTTGCAGTCATCGAAATCACGGCACATTTCTCCTTTTATAGCGATATCAACAAGGAGAAGAAAAATTTTGCTGTCAAACGCAATCAATAAATCTCACAACGAATTGAGCGTTTTTCAGCAAATCAATGATTTCGAATCAGAGTACAGTAAAATTTTCATTAAGAATGATATATATCATAATTGTTAATAAATTTCAATTTAGCTTAAAATTTTCTTATGACTTAATTCTAAAACTGAATAATCAATAACTCATTCTTCTTGTTGTGGTATTTTGGATCCTCTTTATCCTCTATCAACTGAGTCAAGCTATGAAAAAATTGGATATTTAACTATTTTACTTTAATTATCAGCAATTCTAATATTAACAGCTTCTTATTTCAATAAGATTGAATTTGAGAAAATTTTATATACTTTAAACAAAACCATTGGAAAAATCGGTATTTTTGCCCAAAAACCCACCCTTCGTGAGTGAACAAAAATTTTTTTAATAGAAAAAAATTTGATATATAAGTGATAATTAGTATAATGAAATCTCGAGCTAATTCTGTTTAATTCTAAACAAATTGCGTTTTAAAACATAAATTTTATAAATTAAATTAATATTTGCTTCCCAATTTTTACAAATTAGAATTTTTTTAAAATTTCGACAAAAAATTTTTTCTATAAAATTTATATATAAACTTTTTAAAAAAAAAAATTAACCCTCTGTGAGTGAACAAAATTTTTTTTTTTCACTCACGGAGAAAACTTTTTAATTTTCCTCAAAAATTTTAAGAAAAATGAAAAAACTCAATATTTACAATTGCAAAGATTAGATAAATTAATATAAAATTATGAAAGATTTTAGGAGGTCAATAACAAATTTGCAGCTAAGATTGGTGATAAATTGAGAAATAAATGTAAGCAGAGTTGTAAGTGTTATAGAAGTATTCATTGAAGTAATTTTAGGAATTTTGCTAATTGCAATAGGAACAACTTTGCAGGTGGAGCTTGTAGTTCTTTCAGAGCTTCTTGCTTTTGCGATCGCTGCACCTAGTGCGTTTTATATCAAGATGCCTGACTATAATAAAGTAAGGCTTTGCTTTGGAGCTGAAATAATTGGACTACTTGGAAGTATCATTATGATTGTGTTTGCTGATACATGGCTAAATGCTTCCAATGCATTTTGTGATGAAATTTTTACATATTCAAGCGATTCAAGTTCAGAGTCATCATGCAAACAATTAATGACTGCCCGATATATGATGGTTTCTGCGCTTTCTATTCAAATCACTTCCAGATTTGTTTGCTCTATTTTTATTGCCTTACTCCCCCCCCCCTCCGTGAGCGAACAAAAAAATTTTGTTCGCTCACGGAGGGGGGTTAATTTTTTTTTTTTAAAAAAAATTTTTATATATAATTTTATATAAAAAATATTTTTTTCGAAATTTAAAAAAATCCTAATTTGCAAAAAATTGGGAAGCAAATATTAATTTAATTTGCAAAATTTATGTTTTAAAACGCAATTTGTTTAAAATTAAACAGAATTAGCTCTAGATTTCATTATACTAATTATCACTTATATATCAAAAATTTTTTTCCATTAAAATTTTTTCTATTAAAAAAATTTTTGTTCACTCACGGAGGGTGGGTTTTTGGTCAAAAAATGGCGATTTTTCTAATGGTTTTGTTCGCTCACGGGGGGGGGGGAGTTAGCTATAAGACGATATATAAAAACCCATGAATTGTCAGAACTATTGAAGGAAGAAAGAAAGAGGAAAAGAGCCGAAGCTTTAAGACAAAGAGAAGAAAGGGATAGAAGAATCAAGGAAGAAAAGAGAAGAGATTTAAGAGAAAAAATCGAAAAAATGAAGAAAGAAGAGGAAGCGAAATTAAATGAAAAACTGCCATCTCCCATTATAAAAAAAGTGTAAATTTAAATTTAAAAATTATGGAAATAGATAGTTAAATTTACTTCTGAAAAGTTATGAATATTTCGGCTTTTTCTGCACAACTCCAGAAAATCACTCTGCTATTTTTAAAAAAATCAAAACAGCTGCATGCATCAAAGTTTAGAAATAGCAAGCTAAATCTTAATATAAAGTTAGTAAGAAGAAGCATTAAATTCTCAGGAATGCTAAATATGGATTTTTTTTATTATAAATGTCTGTATGACTCTGGGAATCAAAATTTTGATTCAAAAGCCATAAGTATATAATTCATCCATTTAACAGATTCAGATTTTTATTATGTTTTGAATAATTTGCAATCGTAACCAAAAAGTAAAGATATCACAAATATGATATTTCTACTGTCAATAATATAAATAAAATAGAAGCATTCGTAGTTAAACAAATTTGCCACAAAATCTATTTTCATATCTTGAATAAGCCAAATAATATAGATAGTCACGAATGTTAGTTCTATATTTGCTAAAATTTTTTTTGGGAAAAAATTTTTATATATATAAAATAAAAAATATATATGTATTTCTTTTATTTACTTTAAATAAGAGGGTTAAGAGTATTTAATAATTATTTTTAAAGCAAAAAATTGAATTAATTTCATAAAAATCCAATTTTTAATATTTTGATTTATTAGTTACCCCTTTTAAACTGTATAAAATTTAATTTGTTCCTTATTAAATTATTTTTTTTTTAACAATTTTCAAAAATTTCTATTTTATTAGATTATTAAGTTTTTAAGCCTAGGTTGATGACTAAATCACTTCGAATAGTTGATTCCGAAGCTTTCTGTCGTCTTAAAGTCTCTGAAAACAACTTCATTATGTACATCTTCCCAAGCTTTTGATAACTAATATATTTTTATATATATAAAAACTGTCATGATATGAAAATCGTTCGATCAAGGATGGGGTTATTTCCCAAATTTTTAGGAATTTTTACAGTCAATCGTTCGATCAAGGATGGGGGGCGAGTAAAATAAAATTTTATATGGAAAAGCTATGGATACTAAATTGAATAATAGGCATTTACTTACATAATATTTAAGCTAAAATGCAGAGTGGCATGATGTATTTTCTATATAGAATTCAAGCAAAAATAGCAACATGGGAGCGCGATTCTCATGAACTCTACGACTATAACACAAACGAAATAATAAACACCACAATCACTACCAGTAACCCATGCTATTTATTACGTAATGGAAACGAACTTCAATTTTCTCAGTCTTTAATGCTCCCTCCTAGCACCCATGCAATGAAATATGATTCAAAAATATATACGCTCGAAAGTAATTTTAAAATAGAAAATATAGCGATTTCACCTGTAGATGCAGTAGATGGGAAAAAACTGGAAAGAAATCGATATGAAAAACTATGGCTTGTTGTCAATGCACTGAAGCCAGCAAATGGAGTAAAAGGCTATAAACTAGCTGAAGGTGACGTAATTAGGCTTGGAAGACTGAAGTTTAGAGTTAAAGAATTAAAAGGAACGCCTAGTCCAGGACTGGAAGGGTTCAGCATGCACGACATGATGAGCATCAATGACGGCAGTGACGAGTTACAAGAAAGCCCGAGCAGTCGAATGTTCAAACTTCCATGCAAAATCTGCTTACTCCATCCTTTAAATTTAAATAAAAAAACTGGTTTCAATTAAAACAAATTGTCAAAGGCAAATTTATAAATATAGATTTAAAATGAAAACTTTGTTTAAGTCGTATTTTTAGTCATTTTGTATTTAAATCAAACAAATTATATGTAAATTCCGAGATCAGAGACATAGATTGGGGGTATTTAAGGTATTTGGATAAAAACTATTATTTTTATCTGAAAGGATAATGCAAAGAAGGTTAATTTACCCAATGGAAATATTAAAGACAGGATATTCCAATTAAAGAGGAGAGTTAAGCGAAGCTAACGAAATTGACAATCCTTTAATAGCTCCATGCATGTGTGCTGGAACTATGAAATACATCCATATCAAATGCCTGCAGCAATTTTTAAGATCAAAACTTTCAAGCAGATCCACCGACTCCACCATCTCATTTTCATGGAAAAAGTTGTGCTGCGATTTATGCAAAAAAGCTTACCCTTATAAGATCGTCATAAATAAACAAATAATTGAGCTTGTAGAAATCCCAAAGCCACCAGGCCAATACATCATTATAGAGTGCTTATGCAAAGACAAAAACTCTAATAAAGGGCTTCATGTGATAAGTTTCTGTAATAAGAGCTTTGTGAAAATGGGAAGAGGCCAAGACTGTGAGCTGAGAGCGAATGATATTTCAGTTTCAAGGCTGCATGCCGTCATTAAATTTGATAAAGGGAGTTTTTATCTGCAGGATAAAGGAGGGAAGTATGGGACACTCATACAAATAAAAAGACCAATTATATTGGACACGAATTTAGTTTTCCAATGTGGGAGATCACTGGTGAAATTTAATATCAAGAAGCAGTGGAGCTTAATTCCTTCATGCTTTAGGGTTTCTTATAATTTTGATTCTTTTGCAAGACCTTACCCGTCAAGTCATTTGCCACTACTTCCGATGAATACTGGGATTCCTTTAAGTGTGAATGACCCTTACGAGTTGCTTGCAAGAGCTGGGCTAACGCATGGCCTACCAGAGGATTATAAGACACATAATAACTTATTGTTCGAGCATAAACAGCTAGGGCTGAATAGCTCGTATGAAGGAGAAGATGATGATCCAATGGATAATGAGTCCATTGAAGAAGTGCAGATGGCAGAACTGTCAGATGTAGAATCTGGAAATGAAGCGACAAATCGCTATGATGTCTCGATGTAGAGGAAAAGAAGTATATTTATAATTTTAGAGATGAAAGAAAATGCATATATGGAAGAAGGATCTTATTTTTCTACAAAAATAGGGATTTAATTGCAATAAAGAAGTTTTTTTGAGCAAAGCTGAATATATCTATATTGTTTAATTTTTTAAATTTCTCATTAATAAAGTGCGTTTAAATCTTTATATTTTTAATAATATATATCTGAAAGAAAGGCATCAACACTTATAGTAATATAAAAACTTCTAGAAATCTTATATGCGCAAGCAATTAAAATATTGATCAAGTTATCATATCTATATAAATCATATTCCATAGAAATTGCCAATTTTATTCTTAATTATACGCCCTTCCTATAGATGGCGCATTGCGCGCCATCTATAAGAAGGGCGTATAATCATTTTAATTTTTATTTTTCACACAGTAACCTCTAATTTTTATTCTGTCCCTACAAATACTAAATTTCTAGAAACTCTATACTCACAGTATTCTCCCACACCATTTTGATATTAATTTTAGAGGCTTATAATGCTCAGCCGATTACTTAGCTCAGTCTCTTCCAGGTCTCTTCAGCGCTCTTTTGCATCTAAAAACATCAAGTTCGGCAGAGATGCCCGTGCACTCATGCTAGAAGGCTGCAACAAGCTTGCTGATGCTGTCCAAGTAACTCTTGGTCCAAGAGGGCGTAATGTTGTTATTGATAGACAATTCGGAGCTCCAAAAATCACAAAAGACGGTGTAACAGTTGCCAAAGAAATTGAGCTTGCTGATAGATACCAAAATATTGGCGCTCAGCTTGTAAAACAAGTTGCAAGTCGTACCAATGAAATTGCAGGAGACGGGACAACAACAGCTACTGTATTGGCCAGAGCAATATTTGCTGACTCCCCTCTGTGTGTGAACAAAAACAATGGAAAAATCCTATTTCTTTCGTAAAAACCTAACCTTTTGTGAGCGGACAAAATTATTTTATTATAAAAATTTTTATTAAAAAGTGTTTAGACATATAAGTGATAATTAAGATTAAGATAATGAAATCTCTAGCTAATTCTGTTTAAAAATTGTATAAAAATATGAATTTTACAAATTAATTTACAATTTGCTTTCCAATTTTTGCGAATTGAGGATTTTTTAAATTTCGAAAAATAAATTTTAATAACTTTACATCGTGAGTGAACAAAATTTTTTTGTACTTACTGAGGGGGGAGTGAGGGTGTTAAATCAGTCGCATCAGGGGTTAATCCTATGGGAATTCGCAGAGGGATCTTGAAAGCTGTAGATGCCATTGTAAAAGATCTCCATAAAAGATCAATAAAGATCATAGACACCAATTCTATTAGGAATGTCGCAACTATTTCAGCAAATGGAGATACAACTATTGGAAATTTGATTGCAGAAGCTATGGAAAAGGTCGGAAAAGATGGGACTTTGACTGTTCAAGATGGGAAAACATTGTATAATGAGCTTGAAGTAGTTGAAGGGATGAAATTTGATAGAGGGTACATTTCTCCTTATTTTGTGACTGATACTAAAACCCAAAGAGTTGAGATGGAAAATCCTTTGATTTTATCCTCTATTATCTATAATATTATTATAAAAATTAGTATATGCAAAAGTATTATTCAATATAAGCCTGCTTATTAACAGACAAAAAAGTCTCATCAGTTCAGTCAATTCTAGCCCATCTAGAATTCGCCATGAAGACTGGAAGAAGCATCCTTATCATTGCGGAAGATGTTGAAAGCGAAGTTCTAGCTACTTTAGTAGTCAACAAGCTTAGAGGAGGCCTCAAGGTCTGTGCTGTAAAAGCACCTGGGTTTGGCGACAACAGAAAAAACACTTTAGTCGATATTTCAGTCCTCTGTGGAGCCAATCTTGTATCAGAAGAACTCGGAGCTACCCTCGACTTAACTTTTCCGAAAATTGACAAGAGAATTTTCTGGCCAGGCTATCGATCGAGATCAAACTTGTAGCCCTAGAAGCAACTTCCGTTATCACGCTGACATAATGCCCGATTGGCCAAGCCAACGCAGTCTGAACTTGCAGGGCTAATCCTTTCAAATGTTTCATCCTCCTCGGGGTAAAACCTTGCCCTAGCAGTCGGCTAGCCCGACATTGCGTTCTGTCAAACCAAGGAAAACCTGGCCAGACACTCTCATTGCAAGCCGATCTCCCGTCCATAAGTTCCTCAGACTCTCCTACGCTATTTTTAATTTTGGGAGCTGCCCTCGACACTTCAGAACCAAGCGTAATGGGCACTGCTAAAAAAGTCGTAATTACAAAAGACGACACATTAATTCTTGACGGTGCTGGTGAAGCTGAAGCTATCAAAGAAAGAGTTGAACAAATCAGGCAGCAAATAGAAATCACGAAAAGTGATTATGATAAAGAGAAGCTTCACACATAAAAATGGTGTAGAGCCAACTTATCATCTTAAGACCTGTAGCCAGACAAGAGTCTGAGAACATGTGGAAGGGAAATCGGCTTGCGATGAGAGTGTCCAGCCAGATTTTGCTTGGCCTGGAGGAGCGCAATGCCGGGCTCGCCGACCGCCAGGGCAAGGTTTTACCCCGAGGAGGATGAAGCGTTTGAAAGTGATTGCCCTGCAAGGTCAGAGTGCGTTCGATTGGCCAATCGGGCATTTTACAACGATGCCGGGAGTGCTCCTGGGCTACAAGTTTCATCTCAGTCGATAGCCTGACCAGAATAAATTCATTTTTGAATTAACCCCGTCGACTCTCTGCACAGTGACTCAGCGTCTTTACCTCCTGGTACAAGTGCAGGCCCTTGTCCAGAGGCAGCCGCACAAGCCTTAGGCTGCGGAATAAAACTGGCGAGCAAGGGACGAGAAAAGCCAGTGGGCTGGAGGGAGCTGCTCTATAATAATTTAATGAATGAGTGATAAAGAGAAACTCCAAGAAAGACTTGCCAAGATTGTAGGTGGCGTTGCCGTAATTAAAGTAGGAGGTGGCTCTGAAGTCGAAGTCGGAGAAATCAAAGACAGAATCACCGACGCTTTGAATGCTACAAAGGCAGCTGTAGAAGAAGGAATCGTTGTAGGAGGGGGTGCTGCCCTTTTATATGCATCAAAGAAGCTTAAAGCAATTAAAAAAGAATCAGATCCAGACGAACAAATTGGGATTAAAATGGTAGAAAATGCATGCAAAGTACCTTTGATGACTATTGTAGAAAATGCTGGGAGAGATGGAAGCGGAGTTGTTGATTACTTGGAAGAGCTCGGAGATGAGAGGATTGGATACGATGCTGCAAGCCATGAATATGTGGATATGGTTAAAGTAGGAATTGTGGACCCAACTAAAGTGGTGAGGACTGCTCTTGAAGATGCTTCTAGTGTAGCTGCTTTGATGACTACCACTGAAGCTATGATTGTGGATGTACCAGAAAAAGTAGCTGCCCCTGCAGGTGGAATGGGAGGAATGAGCGGAATGGGAGGCATGGGAGGTATGGGAGGAATGTATTAAGCCTAATCTCCATTTAAGTAATAATTTATAGACTAATTTAATTGGAGGTCACATCCTGCCAGATAAAGCAGAATTCTTAGAGAAGGTAAATACTATTTGAAAGCGCAATTTAATTATATTAAAAAATAGCAGAAATGCATTTAGAGCTTCAATTAATTCAGAATCAAAAGTGAACAATTGCTGAGCATTAATATAATAGGGCTCTTAGTTTCCGAAATTAAAGGAAAATGCAAAATTATGAGTATTTTAATAATAAGTGATGATCTTGTATTGTTTCTTAAACCATGCTAACTTAACCACCACTAATCTAAATCCCTGAATATATAATAAGATTTTATATAGAAATTTCCCATAGATGACGCTGTTTGCCCTTGATTTGCCCACGAGGAAAATTTTTGGTTTGACCAAACCATATGGACTGGTCGAACCAAAAAATTTCCCCAATGGGCAAATTAAGGGCAAACAGCGCTATCTATGGGAAAATTCTATATTAGTCTTGATTTAACGGCTAATTGGTGATTTTTCAGGACTGCTTTTAAAGATCTCTTTACTTGGTGATACAGAATTCAATATTGAATTCTTATACTCAGTCAGCGAACTTACAGGCTTAGGTGTCGCAGGACTTTTCGAATACGAAGAAAAACTCCTATAGGAATTTTCTCTTGTATTGCATCCTTCACTATATTCTCTTTTTCTCGGACGAATTGGCGTTATAGGCTGCTCCATTATTTCTTTGACTTTTTCCCTGGTTGACTCAACTTTTTCTTGGAGAATTTGGCTTTGATACTTCTTTTCGGGACTCCCTCTGTATTTCTGAGGGGTTGAGCTATAATTATTTGGTCTCAACGCTCGTTCAATTGTTTCCCTTTGATTAGCAGGCGCCACTCTTTCAATGATTTCTTCTGCCTTTGCTTTTATTCGCTTGCTAGACTCAATTTCTTCTTTTTTAATATTATCCATAAGCTCATACTTCAGTTTCTCTATTTGCCTCAACAAATTCCTTTCTAAATCTTCTACCTTTTTATTAAAATCGCCGTTAAGCTCAGTGATTTTTCTTTGGAGTCCTTTTTGCTCATCATTTCTTATATCTTCTAGCGAATTTAAAGCGTTTTTTATATTTTGGTTGACCTTTTCTACTTCTCCATGAGGGTCATACCCTCTATTTTGAGCCAGAACAAATTTTGCATAGTCTTCTCCCCTTTTAAGAATTGCTTTATGGAGTTCCCAGCTATCAGAATCTTCAAAATTCGGAGTTTTTTTGGGTGATTTTGCAGAAAAATCACTGATTTTTTGATTTAACGTTTTGGAGTATTCAAAGACCCTTCGTTCAACTTGACTTAATTCTTTCGCTATATTTGGTTTCGGACTTTTTGGGTCTTTATAAAAACTTCCTGATGAGGTGCTTGAAAAAGTCTGTGAAAACTTTTGATTGCTGTTCATTTAACTGAATTTATTAATTTTTGATAATGAAAAAAGTGGTAAAAAACATCCTCGCAAGAAAAAACCATCAAGACCAACCGAAAACGTTTACACAGGACGGATACCTAGTGATGGAAAGCAAATCTCTGCATAACTTATCCAGTGCAGAACTATGCGAAATTATTTATAAATTTGATTCTGAAGTCAAACGACTAAATCAGCAGCTGCAAATTCCTCAGCAGGAAAAATCTTCTAGTGAAAACGAAATTATCGCAAACCAAAGGATAGAAGCTTTGCAAAATGAGCTTAGAGCTATGAGGAAAGAGCTGGAAAATTCACAAAACGAAGCGAAAAAGCTATCGGAAGAACTGTCAGGGAAAGACAGTCAAGGGCTGAATTTTTCCGAGCAATTAGAATTTATACAGTTTGATACTCTGCAGATGCCTAATCCGTGCTGCTCGAATAAAGACCAGGAAATAGAAAAATTAAACGAAGAAATCAGATCTTTGAAAGAATCTATAGAAACAATCAAAACCAACCCACAGATGCAGGAATTAAAAATCACAATAAATATGATGGAAAAAGAAATTGGAAACCAAAAAAATCAAATTCAAAGCTTAAGTTCTGCTAATAAAGGATTCTTAGAAAAGCTGCAGATATTGAATAAGCAAAAACAAGCAGCAGAAATGGAAGCAAATAAAGGCAAAATTGAGATCGAATCGTTAAAGAAAGAATTAAATGCAATGAATTTTCAAAAAGAAGATTTGGTGAAAGAATTAAGAAATTGCAAAAGCAATTGTGCAGGAAAGGAAGATAAACTTCAAAAAAAATGCAAAAAAATTAAAGAGATTAAAGAGAAGCTTCTTGTGAAAACTAATGAGTGTACAAAACTTGAAAGTGAATTAAACAATGAAATGTATCAAAATAAAAATAATTTGTTTGCAATTAAAGAAAATTTTCAGAAAGATCTTGAAAAATTAAATATTGAGAAAGAAAACCAGAACAAAGAATACCAAGAAGCAATAAAACAACTGGAACTTTCTACAGAGAATGAAATAAAAATAGTAAAAGAAAAAATTATCGAAAAATCCAAAGAAAATGATAACCAAAAGTTAAAGATTTCAGAGCTAGAAAAATTAATTGAAAATCAAAATACTAAAATTTCTTCTCTTGAAGCTGATGAAAAATTACTCAAAGAAAAGAATTTAAAAAATAAAACAAAAAAATCTGCTCTTAAAGCTCAAATTTCTTCTCTCAAAGACGAAATTCAGCGCGAGAAAAATCGCTCTTTAACCCATCCTGAACCACAATTCACATTAAACCTTATAAATATTTCTCCCAAAGATGCCCAAGCTTTGCAAAGCGTTTCCTTTGAGCTCGACTCTCTCTATAAGCACCTGATGATAATGATGATGAATGGATCTTCATCGCTGTCTTCAAATCCCGTAAATTACTCCATCCCATGCCAAGATTTCACTGCTTTTGAAGCCAAACTTAATAATTTACTAATGCAAATTCGTGAAGCTTTAGATTCTCACCCTGAAGAACCTCAAAGCTCATCTTGAGCCTCTAACTCCCCCCTCCGTGAGTGAACAAAACCATTGGAAAAATCCCTATTTTTTGCCCAAAAACCCACCCTCGTGTGAGTGAACAAAAATTTTTTTTTAATAGAAAAAATTTTTGTGAAAAAAAATTGAAAATATAAGTGATAATTAGTATAATGAAATCTCGAGCTAATTCTGTTTAATTTTAAACAAATTGCTTTTTAAAAATAAATTTTATAAATTAAATTAATATTTGCTTCCCAATTTTTGCAAATTAGAATTTTTTTAAAATTTCAAAAAAAAATTTTTTCTATAAAATGTATATATATATAAACTTTTTAAAAATAAAATTAACCCCTCCTCCGTGAGTGAACAAAATTTTTTTGTTCACTCACGGAGGGGGGGAGTAAGCTAAAATCATCTCTGAGAGCGAACTTAAATTTTAAACAAAACAGCCCTGTAAAAGTCCTCACGTGTTTTTCTCCGAAAGAGGAAACTAAAGTCTCTACTATAGCAAGGCCAATAGCCCCAAAAAAAATAATTAATAAACAAGGTGGAGGGAGAACGCCTGATCCTACGAGGGTTAGAAATGATAATAATGCACATGAGAGAAGAAATAGTAGCAGTAGCCTTTAAGTAAAATATTGTAAAAATTCAGTTAATTTTAATATTTGGATATTAAAATATATGGTCCTTTAGAGAATTTTCTTAAATTTTAGAATTTTTGCCTTATCGAAATAAAAAAGCTGCCAAAATCTTCCAGCACAGTATGCAGAATTATGATAAAGTCTAATAATTTTTATTAAATAAAAGTTTATATGCAACATTATATGCAACATTATAAGCACTTAATTAAGATTTATATAATTTTGCTTGCTTAATTTTCGTAAGGCGATTTTTTATGCCTTCTTCCAGACGTTGGTCTTTTTATGCTGTATGGTGATCCTTCAGTTTTAATTGTTCTAGGAGATCCGTCAATTTTCATAAACCAAGGAGATCCTTGCGTTTGTTTTGGGGAAAATTTGTCATTGCTAGCAGTTGTAGGACGAGTAAAAGAATTTGATAAGACTTGGCTTGGGTCCACACGTGAAATAGCTTCACTAATGCTTGGTTTTCTTGCTTTCAATACAAAGGAAGCATCATAAACTAGGTGATTCCCAACCATATAGTATCCATTATTTGAAGTGTCTTTGTTCCCATGAAATTTACAATATAAAGGAGTTCCTTTTATGCGTTCAGCAGCTATTGATTTCTGCTGTTGACTATACGATCCTGGTCCAACACGAAAGCCAGTTTTTTTTGCTTCGTCATCATATTGAGCAAAACGTCTGCTTTTCGAGAAAGATGGTCTTAATTTTCCAGGAGAACTTGAAAGAGATCGGCCATCAAACGTCACAATAGGGTCATAAAATTCAGGAGTCCTTTCTTTCGGGCTTCGGAAGCCAAGATTTGTAGGTCGCATTCTTAAAATTATTTGTTGCGAAAATTTATAAAGATGCTGCTATGAGATTTCTTTGTCTGAGTTGGGGCTTTAGCAATTTTATATTACCTTGGAAAATGGGCCATTAGGACTTTTTCTAAATCCCCTCTCCCTCCGTGAGCTAACAAAATCATTGGAAAAATCCTTATTTTTGATAAAAAACTTACTGTCCATGACTAACAAGAATTGCAAAAAAAAAATTTTTTGGATATATAAGTGATGATTAGTATAATAAAATCTTTAGCTATTTCTGTTTAATTTAAACAGCTCGCATTTAAAAAGATAAATTTTACTTTTTAATTTTTGCGGAGTATGATTTTTTTTTAATTTCGAAAAAAAAATATTATAAAATTTATATACAAATTCGTGAGCGATCAATATTTTTTTGTTCACTCACGGAGGGAGGGTGAGCAAGATTAATATAGAAAGCTATAAGGACGGCTGGGTTATGATCACTGGATCTACAGCTGGAATTGGGAAAGAGTTTGCTAACTACCCCCCCATCCTTGATCGAACGATTTTCATATCATGACAGTTTTTATATATATAAAAATATATTAGTTATCAAAAGCTTGGGAAGATGTACATAATGAAGTTGTTTTCAGAGACTTTAAGACGACATAAAGCTTCGGAATCAACCATTCGAAGTGATTTAGTCATCAACCTAGGCTTAAAGACTTAATAATCTAATAAAATAGAGATTTTTTTAAAATTTTTAAAAAAAAAAATTAATTTAATAAGGAACAAATTAAAATTTATACAATTTAAAGGGGTAACTAATAAATCAAAATATTAAAAATTGGTATTTTTATGAAATTAATTCAATTTTTTGCTTTAAAAATAATTATTAAGTACTCTTAACCCTCTTATTTAAAAGTAAATAAAAAACAATATATATATATTTTTTATTTTATATATATAATTTTTTTTCCCAAAAAATTTTTTTTAACCCCCATCCTTGATCGAACGATGGCTAGTCGTTCGATCAAGGATGGGGGGGAGTAAAGAATTCTCTAGGAGAAACTTTAAAGTACTTTTAATAGCAAGGAATGAGAAGAAAATCAATGAGATTATTAGAGAAATCAAAAAAGAAAACCCTGCAGCAGTTGTAGAATATAGCGCTTTTTGCACATTTGCTTTGAAAGCAATTAGATTTACCATAGATGGCAAGATCTATATCCATAATATAAGTTTATAAAAAATTTAAGTAGTGTTCAAGGCAATATATCCCTCAATTTTTAGAGCATGTTGCAAATTAAAATATTTTTTAAAATACTAACTCCCCCTCGTGAGCGGGCAAAACCATTGGAAAAATCCCTATTTTTGACCAAAAACCCACCCTTCATGAGTGGACAAAATTTTTTTTTGTTCGCTTACTGAGGGGGGGAGTAAGCAACATTTTCTAAGTTCTTAGTTTAGATTCAATGCCTTTTTTCATTAGAGTGTTTTTATGTGAAGAATATATCATTAGACTAGAAAATTTGAATAGGATCTAATTGGCTTTAGCTTATTTGAATTTTGTACGTTGGCTCCATTTTTTAAAATTTTGACGAGTCTAAATATTTTGATATATCGTGCTAAAATTAGCATGAAAATAATTTTGGGAGATTTTATCGATAAAATTTATATCTTTTAAAGTATTTTTGTTATATTAAGCTTCATCTTTCTCCAAAAATATAAAACACGTCAAGATTATGCAGGAGATTATTAATGTTACACCTATTGGAGTAATCTGCATGAAGAGCTATCAATAGCCTTATTGACGCATCGCATATTAGCAATCATAATGATATCACAGTTAATCGCTTAATAAAGATTGATGTTTTATTTATTTTATATCAATTGTGTGTTTTCAGCCATATAATTCACATTTTAAATTTTAGCTTGACATGCCAAACTATTTAGGTTCGTCAAATTGTAAAAATGAAGCCAACACACAAATCCTTGCAAACTAAAAAAATCGAATCATCCATGCCAAGATCGCAGATTCCCTTATTTCAACTTCAAGAAACTACTCTCACAAAAGCAGAGCATTGAGCATGAAAGCAGAAAATTAAGCATTTCGCAAGGGATTAAACATTTTATTAGTTTTAAATTTAATATTCTGAGTCAAATTAAGGCGCGTGCATCTTTCTCTTTGCTTCGCTTAAATATGTATGCCATCGAAATAGGCTTCGCCCTCTTATTCAATTCTCAGGGCTTTTAAAGCAAATGCACAAAAAATTGTATATCTGGTAGCTGATTTTAAGTATTCCCATAGAGACCCTGAAAATTTTTATCGCACCCTAATTTCTTCACTTGCCAATTATGAAATTTCTATTTTAGTGAACAATATAGGAGTAGCTCACTTCAAATTTTTGCCAGAACAAAGTCTTGATGACATTGAAGAAATGCTTGGTGTTAACATTTACCCACAGACCATGATATCTTATCATTTACTTCCTAAACTTTTTCAAAGGTATAAGAGAGAGAATAAAAGATCTCTTATCATGAACATTTGTGCAATTATGGATATAATGATCACACCTACAGCTAGCATATACTCAGCTACTAAAATTTATAATGCATATTTAAGCGAGATTCTTAGATATGAAAATTCAGAATTTATTGATGTTGCTACTATTAAGCCAGGCCCTGTGATGACAGATTTGGTGGTAAACAACCATGGAGAAAATTTTCCTATGATGATTTCTGCTGAATCTTTTGTTAGTAGCTCATTAAAAAGCTTGCATAAAGGGATACAGTATGGCCATTGGAAGCATGCGGTTTTTGCAAAATTTTTTGAAGTGGTTCCTTATCAAATAATGATATTTTTTGTGCAAAAGTTGATCCCAATCGCTAAAATTTTCCGTTAAATAAAGGACTCTTTTCATACCTATTAAATTATTTTTTAAAATGAGTTCGATATTATAGAAGATTTTTGGAATACCCAAATTTGTTTATTACTAAACTATGGATTAAGAAATATAATTTAATTCAATAAATTCTTAAATAATTGTTAATTACTGCCTTTTCGTGTACTGCAGTATCTGATCGAGCCTACTTGTTTGCTCTGCTAAAAACTTATCTTGCTCTTTCAGCTTAGCCATGGCTAAATCACTGTTTTGCTGATTCGAGGTGTTAATTTTATCAATTGTATTTTGGAGAGCCCTTAGCTTTCCTTCCCATCCTCCATCATCGCTCTCTTTTTCATACTCTTTGCAGACTTGGATATACTGTTTGGATACAACATTTCTTCTGGTGAACATCATGCTTTCTACTTCAATAATCATATCAAGCAGCTCTTTGGCATCAGCAGCTACACTGTCGCTGAGCACTCTTTCATACGTATCTCCGATAATGGAAATTAATAAATTGAGCATAATGATAGGGTTTATGATTAAAGCACATGTCAAGCACATCCACTCAATAATATTATATGCTTAATTAAAGAGATTGAATAGTATTATAGCTTTATCATTACTCTTTACCTATCGAAAACTATATTTTAGCTTGCTGCACTTAAATAAACTAGCTGTAAATATGCATAATCTTCCCCTTCAAAGTTTCCCAGCACCAAATTATATGAAACTTAACTCAACTTAACTTTTTAGGTTCTGTGTTTAACGCCATTCACGGAGTAACCCCTCCCAGAGCTTCCCGCTGCTTCTTCGCCGCATAGGGCCCGCCGACCGTCTGGGGCCAGTCAGCCTCGATCTCCAGTACGCGCCTCCGGAGCAGTGTTGCCGACTAAGGCGGCTCATGCCTGAGCTACTTCGCTTGAGGACATGGGTTGCCATTCCGAAAATCCATAAAAAAAAATGGATTTTCTGGTAGGCTTTCGGCAAAAAGGAGAAACACGAAGCCTGGGACGTAACGCCCAGTTTCACGCTAGGGAGTTGCCCGATTGGTCCTAACGGACTTGGCTGAGCTTCCCCTTTCCAACTTGCGTGCCTCCTTTCCCATGAGGGAAAAATCATTCCCGAAAGTAGACTTGGGCTAGGCTCTGAGCACAACCAGAATTGCTTACCTAGCATTGCCGTCCGTTTCTGAAATGCAAAACCTTGCCGGATATAATTAAAATATGAGTCGAGTATGCATGGCCGGGAGCCATGCCCAGACGAAGACGCCATATTTTAATTATACCAAATTATATGAAATTTTCAAATAATCCAGCATAACAGGAACTTCCATTTTTCTTTCCAACACAATGAATAAAAATGTAAAAGCGAGCGTAGAATAGAGCAAAAGTATCAAAAATCCTGATATATCAACAGCAACCTGAAATAACAAATTAATCAGATACCTAGTTGTCGTCAGTAGCCTAAAGTATGTAATCCCTCTTAGCCAACTCAAAAAGGTCGCCAAGGCAAATATAGACGCCATCAAATCTGGCAGCAAATGAAACCATTCACTTGTTAAATAAATAAACATAAACATCCCACGGCCCCAATCCACATAATTTCATATATCTTCGAAATAAGACGCCCCAGAAATCATCATCTGGAAACACTCGTAAAACAGCAGAAACATATTCACCACAGACAGGACTATTTGAAAGTAAAAGTTACCAATATAAAAAGCTGTATAAACGCAAAGGGTTATCATATAAGTAAAAAACATGCCTCCTTGGTACATCATAGTGTATCTTGCAGTTTCCCATTTATAATTAATAATTTCTTGTACCAAATCGCTACGCAAGACATCTAAGTTAGGGCAGTCCGCTAAAGATTCAAGGAAATCAATGCTTTCTTTGCTGCCCATTACAAAGTTGATTCTTACATAGCTTTCATAAAAAGTAATGCCCATCCCTTGAGAACTTAGCATAGACTCATCTAAAAAATCTTCGGGTCTGACTCTGCAATGTTCAGAAATATGGACAATTGGTAGATCTGCATCTTTATCGCAAAACTTAGGCAGGGATCTTCTATTGGCTTCTTGGTATATGACGTCGTATAAGTCTCCTAATAGAGAGAACCCTTTTTTATTCATATCAACGAGGTCGTTTTCAAGCATCTGCAATATAAAAGGGTTCAGTTTTCCGATTTTACAGAGAGCAGACACGACTTCATCTCTTACACCTTTCATTTCTCTTAATAAGCAGATAGATAAAGGATGAAATCCGTCCTTAGAAGGAATAATTGGCGCTGATTTCTGAGAAAGTGATGCGCTCAGGTATTCTTTGTAGTTCAAAAATGCGTAAAAATGCAGGGTGTTAAGAAATTCTGGGAGAATGATAAAGCTGTCCATATCAGGGTCATGCTGAGGGTGGATGTCATTTATAAGGGATAAGGTTAAATAAAGCATCAACCCCCTCTCAAAGCCTATAAAAATGACTGGAATTTTCAAAAATGGTTTTTAGATAAAAAAGTACAGAGGGTACATTTTTGGATTTTTCAACAAGGAGGTGAAAAAAGTTAAGGTGTTTTAAAGCAGCAAAAACCGAGGAAAAAAAGTACATATAAAAATCTATAATTTATCAAAACTAGCAAACTTAAGAAGAGAAAGCTCAAGACAGGATTGCATAATAGACATTAAATATAGCCCATACCCCTATATCGAAATCTTTATTGAACAAAATGCAATGGACAATTGAAAGACCAAGTCAGACTCTATCTAAGGGAAGAGCTGGATCTCTATACCAGTAAGATAAAAAGTGACATGCTAAAAAATGGTTTACAAATGCGAGCAAAGTTTACATAAGAATTAATTTTTTAATAGAGATAACTAATAGAGATGGCATAATTTGGCCATAAAAGGGTTATAAATATTAATATTTTCATATAAAAATCGATGGTATTTTTTCTCTGATTTTTTTTTCCCCTTTGTACTTTTTTCCTGCACACCATCTAATAGAATTGTCTGTGATAATTATCAGCCTTTATGCTCAACTATTCTGCATCACTTTCATTATTTTATATTTTACATCGTACTTTTTTCCTCTTATTTTGAAAGACAAAAATTATATTTGTATATCATGCCATTCTTACATTTATTTAGGCAATATTGTTTGTTATTTGTTAATAAGCAATATATCCTGTCTATTATACAATCCTATCTTGAGCTTTCTCTGCTTAAATTTCTTAGTTTTTATAGATTATATAGAAATTGCCCGAGGATGGCGCTATCTTGCGCCATCCTCGGGCAATTATTATAGGTTTTTATACGTCTGCTTTTGCTGTTTTAAAACACCGTTTACTTTTTCACCCCCCTTCTTGAAAAATTTAGAAAGCACCGTTTGTGCTTTTAAATACCAAAAAACCCATTATTGAAGATTACATTCATTTTTATAGGCTTTTGGAGGGGGTTGAAAAAGTACAGTGTGCTTTATTTAACCTTACCCTTTATAAGCGACTTCATATAAGTCAAGAATTTTTGCTTATTTTCTTCAGGACCAAGAACTCTTGGGTTTGGAGAACTCAGAGGGTTTTCTTGTAAATAGATCATTTCAAGCTCCCCTGTAACTATAAGTTTTTCATCAGAAGAAACAGCCATCGACAATATTGGCTGCTTTCGAGTAAGAAAAGTAAGAGGAATTCTATATTTAAGCGAAAAAATTTGGATTGTTTTATCTTTTGAAGACGTTAGTAGCGTTTCGTTGTCTTTTAGCACATATACAGAAGTGACATAATCTTTGTGCTGCTTGAAAATGGTTTCTTGATTTTTTTCGAAAATATTCCAAATTTTCACAACTCCCATTGAACTGCCTGAAATGATGTATCGATCGTTCATATCAATAGCTATCGTTGTTATTTGTTCTTGAGCTTGAATGCAGTACCGCTGAGAGCCAGTTTTCACGTTCCATACTCTTAAGGTTTTATCGCTGCTTCCTGATATGACTGTTTCTCCATCATGACTTACACAGACTGACCATATACTTTGTTGGTGGCCTTTAAGAGGAGTGTTTTCCATCGTTCCAATATGCCAGACTAAAATGACTGAATCTCCACCTCCAGTGATTAAATAAGTTGAGTCTGAGGTAAAGCACATATCTCTTATAGGCCCTCTATGTGCTTGTATTGCTTGGTCTCTTACTCCCCCCCCCCCCCTCCGTGAGCGAACAAAAAAATTTTGTTCGCTCACGGAGGGGGGTTAATTTTTTTTTTTTAAAAAAAAATTTATATATAAATTTTATAAAAAATATTTTTTTCGAAATTTAAAAAAATCCTAATTTGCAAAAATTGGGAAGCAAATATTAATTTAATTTGCAAAATTTATGTTTTAAAACGCAATTTGTTTAAAATTAAACAGAATTAGCTCTAGATTTCATTATACTAATTATCACTTATATATCAAAATTTTTTTCCATTAAAATTTTTTCTATTAAAAAAATTTTTGTTCACTCACGGAGGGTGGGTTTTTGGTCAAAAAATGGCGATTTTTCTAATGGTTTTGTTCGCTCACGGAGGGGGGGGGGGGAGTTAGCATTTTGGTTTTTAAATCAATCACATATAGCCAGCCAAGCTCATCTCCTACAGCCATATATTTTTCATCAGGCGAACAGCAAGTTTTAAGCCCACATCCATGACTTGTCAGTATTAAACTTGCTTCGTCAGTTTCTGGGTCCCAAAACCTTACAGCTTTATCACTTCCACAGGAAACTACGCATTTCGTCTTATCAGTCAAAGCAACTGAAGTAAAATTATTTCCGAGGGCTTTGAAAACTTCTTCTTCTAAAAATTGAGGGAAACTCCATACTTTGACCGATTTATCGTCTGAGCAAGAAATAATGAAATCCTGTTCAGGAGATATTAAAAGATCACAGATTTGGCCTATATGTGCATTCAATGTGACTTCTCGGCGCTCTTTGTCAAGATCCCAGACTTTTATAGTAAAATCAGCACTTCCTGAGACTAAAAAGCAGCTATCAGCACTAAAAGCAAGTGATTTTATGCGCTCAGTGTGGTCTGTATAGATGACGAGAGGGGTAAAATCTTTGATATTCCAGACGATAACTTTGTGGTCTTCTCCACCTGATGCTAGACATGTAGACTTGGGGTTTGTTGCTAAGCTTCATACACAGCCAGTATGAGACTTCAAATTTAAGACCTCTTCTTGAAATTCGTTATCAAAAACATCTTTTTATTTTTTTAAAAAATATCTCTTTTTTTTTTATTTAATTTTTTATTAAAACCATCAAAAAACTCTTATTAAGCAGTCATCGCCTCCAGAAAATACAAACCGATCATCAAGAGTGACAGCGACACATTTGACCGCTCCACCATGATTTATTATAACTCTTTCAGCAGTTTTTTTGTTCATATTCCATCTCCTGACAGTTTTGTCATTACTTGCGGAGTACAATAGATCATGGCTTGCACTTAGGGTGATATAGTTTACCTGTTCAGTGTGTCCTTGAAATTCAAACTCCAGCTCGAATCTTGGAAGCTGAAAAACTCGAATAATTGGGCTTTCTCCACATACAGCAGCTCTGTTATTGTTTTCGTCTAAACAAATCCCATACAGCTGTCCATAGCCCAAAGGCACATCATCAGTAATTTTTCCTTCAAGTTTGTGATATCGAGAGACATTGCCATTTGAGCTACCATAAAATAATGTAAAACCATCATAAGAAAGTGCTAGACAATTATTCCGATTTATTATGAATTTTAATTAAGTGTTAATTTTTCCATTTATATCATTTTTTTTTAATTGTCATGCAAACTATCCTAATGAGTATAATAGCAAAAGGAGTTGATACTGTTGTTTCAGCGTTTTTTAGAATGTAGGTTTCAGCATCTGTAATTTTGGAAATGAGAAGAGTTTGCTGGGGAGATAAAGCTTTTTTCATTTTGGATTTCTTGGTTCGCTTAGAACCGTCGCTTAGAAAATATGAAGTGAAGAAGGAATGCTTTGGAGCTTGCTGTGAAGGATGTGGAGGAAGAAGAGGTTGCTTTAAGTCTTCCATAATGAATTTATTGAATGTTAATTATCCATAATAACCGAGATATATAGAGATAATTAGAAAAAAATGAGACTTTGCTAGTAATTTATTGCTTACTCCCCCCCCCCTCCGTGAGCGAACAAAAAAATTTTGTTCGCTCACGGAGGGGGGTTTTAATTTTTTTTTTTTAAAAAAAAATATATATATAATTTTTATAAAAAATATTTTTTTCGAAATTTAAAAAAATCCTAATTTGCAAAAATTGGGAAGCAAATATTAATTTAATTTGCAAAATTTATGTTTTAAAACGCAATTTGTTTAAAATTAAACAGAATTAGCTCTAGATTTCATTATACTAATTATCACTTATATATCAAAATTTTTTTCCATTAAAATTTTTTCTATTAAAAAAATTTTTGTTCACTCACGGAGGGTGGGTTTTTGGTCAAAAAATGGCGATTTTTCTAATGGTTTTGTTCGCTCACGGAGGGGGGGGGGGGAGTTAATGGTTTTTTAGAGAAAGGATTATAAAAGGCAAGTAAAGATATTTTGATATTTAAGCTTAAAATGAATATCATAATTTTAAAAATAAATGCTTATAATTTTTAATATTATTCAATCGGCTGAAGAAAAAAATTAAGAACTCACCTTTTTCTCATGAACTTATTATAATTTCTATCTGAGCTTATGTTAATATGATGCAAGATTAATAGATTTATGAATTTTATAGCTAATAATTATTTTTCTTATACTTGCGAAGTTCATTAGACTTTGATATCTATTTTTTGGTTTCTTTAATGCAAATAAATAATTAAAAATCAGTTCCTTTAGTCTTTTTTAATCTTTAAGTATATAGAATTAAAAATGTTATTATAAATCTAATTGCAATGAAAAAGCTTGTTGTTAACTCCTGATCTTATTTTTATACATTAAGAAGGATAACGATAAGCAGTATAAATTTTTTATTCATTGTAATTAAGTATATATTTTGATAGTAAGCACTAATTAAGCCATGATTTGCTACTAAACACTCTATTTATAGCTTCAAAAACTTTGCTTTCACCTTTAATCTGCCTCGGAAAGTATCTAAATCTAATATTTGGCGAAGAGTCCTCATCATTTCTCTCATTTATATATTTCACTACTCTCTCATTTGCCACCATCACATTATTTTTCTTTTTTTTCTTAATTTTTCAAACAGACTTTGGCAGCTTAATTTTATCAACAGACTGCGATTTCATACTTTTATTTCGAATCACAGCTGAAAAATTTGTTAATTGCACTCTATCTACAACATTTGTATGAGTTAATTTATGTTTCACTTTTGATCTAATTAGGACTTTTTCATCTGAGTCTAATAAAAACTTCGCTGGAATGATATTTGATTGAGTTCTATTATGCCCTTGTGGAGAAGAAATTGCAGTAGAATCGAAAAACGATGAGTTTAAACTTGGGAGTTTATATTTATCGGTTGGGTCAATATTTATTTCATCATGACTTCTGGATTTTGGCAAAAAGGATTTAGCGAAAATTGTTGAATTTTGACAACCAGCAAGTCACAATTTGTTTTGTTTATCTTCGATAAATAAAAACTCACAGTGTATTATAGTACAAATTCCTGAGAGAGAAGACATCAAGTCATTAGAAACTTTTTTGAAGGATTCTTTTATTAAATTATCAGTAATATGCTCAATTCTACTTATTCGGTTTGGATAGTTGTGGTTATATATAATTTTTTTAATGTCTATTTTATATGAATCTTCTGAGGGGTCAATACTTACTACATAAAAAAAATCATAAGTAATCATTGAAAATTTATAAAGCTGTAATGCTTCAATATCTTGAAAAACCATAGGAAATGATTGTCCCATTAACTTCGTCAAATTTGATAAATAAAGGATTTTTCGTGTACCGTCTTTTCGTACGCTAAAGCAAGTTTTCCTGTCTCGGTATTGAATTTTAAGCCAGTCGTCTTTATTGTCTAGAGCATTCTTAAAATGTGATTGCTCCTCTTTTGAAAGATTATGCCTTAGAAAGAATCTAACGATTTCAGTTGATTTCAAATAGGATTTCGGTTTTGAATGAATGTAGCCAATATTATCTGTATAGACTCATAGGTCAATATTATTTTCAGAATCGATAAAAACAGTATCCAAAACCTGAAGCTTTATTGGAGGTTGCTTAGGATGAGTAAGGAGAGATAAGAGAAGTCATCTCCAGGAAAGCTTGATTGAATTATTTTGAGTTAAATGTTCCATAATAAGAATATATATAAAAAAGTTTTAATGAGTTGGAATATACGAAAAATAATTTTTTAAGATAATGAAATTTGCAATTATAAAGAATATTATCTCAATAATAAAATACTGAAATATTCACAGATTAAGAACTTTTTAATATATCAAGTAAGAAATAAATTATAAAATTCTGAATTTATTAATTTTTTGTATTTTCAAAGTCTTTGATTTCTTTCTGTTTAAAATTTTTCATCTTAAATTTATATATGCTGAGCCATTAAGATAATAAATTGATCCCTCAAAATATGTGTAAATTAAAGGTATTTGGTTCAACTTTGGACATAACAATCCATTCTTAAATTCATGAGCAAGACTTCATTCAGATAAAGGATCTTCACAGGAGTTCACTTTATTAAATTTTGAGAAAATAAAAATATAAATTTTTCCTGCAAATTTAATAAGGGTTTTATCAGCTATTTTATTAAGACTCCCATTCATCGGAGAATAGTGGCTATAAGAATCCAGAAATATATCATACACTCATACTCCAGAATTATTCCTAGAAATAATTAATTTTTGATTAAATCCAGTGTATGATAACAGGTGTATAAAAGGTGCATTGCACAAATAAGCCCACTTATTCTGTGAAACTAAACATCTTTTTAGACACAAAATAAATAGTTACTTTATTAATATAAAATTTTTTATCTGCTATATGTTGATATTGAAGTTGCTCATCGTTGAGCTTGTCTTGGGACGCACTAAAACGCTTATATTCAAATCTACATAGCATAATTTTTTAAATAGACCCAAAATTTGCTCTAACAATTTGGCGAAAATATAAAAATAAGATGAAGATATATATTCTCTCACTTTTATTTATTGCAACGCTCGGAGTCATTGAAATTCCTCTCTCTCATATCTATAAAACAGAGGAAGAGCAATATGCTTATTTCAAGCTAATTCAGCTAAGAAGGCTGTTTGGGGCAAGTAATGTCCCGATTTCTAACTATTTAGATGCTCAATATTATGGCCCGATTTCAATTGGGACTCCTCCTCAGCCTTTTACTGTTACTTTCGACACAGGATCCCAAATCCTTTGGGTGCCATCGAAAACATGCACTTCACTAGCTTGCTATACGCACCATATGTATAACTCAAAAGCATCATCCACATATAAAAAGAATGGGGATACGGTTATTACTGGTTATGCTAGTGGCTTTGTGTCGCAAGACACTTTGACCTGGGCGGACTCACTGTCAAAGACGTTAAATTTGTTGAAATGGGTTCTCTTGTTGGATCTGGCTGGGTGGAAACCAAGCCAGATGGGATGTTAGGAATGGCCACACAGCCAACTACTATAGATAAGCTGCCTCCTCAAGCATTCACTTATTTATATAAACAAGGGCTGGTAACTAATAACAGCTTTGCATTTTATTTAACCAAAAATGCAAATCAAGCAGGAAGCACTCTTACATTAGGAGGCTATAACTCAACGTTTTCGAAAGGGGACTGGAATTATGTCCCTCTATACAAGCAAGAGATGTGGACTATCCTGATCTCAGCCATAAATGTAGGCGGAAAAGCTATTTCTGGAACTGGAATTAATGCAATTCTCGACACTGGGACTTCACTGCTTGTTGGAAGCTTTAATATTGTGAACGAAATTAATGAGAATATTGGAGTAGTTGCTGACGATTGCTCAAATATAAGTAAACTTCCAACAGTAAATATTGTTCTTGGAGGAGTTACTTAGGCTATGCCTCCAAGTGCTTATGTCTTGCAAATCCCTAACGGAAACACCTATCAATGCACCAACGGATGGCAACCTGAATACTTACTCTATGCTTATAAAATTTAATTAATAAATTATGAAGTTTCTTTTTAAAATTCTAGCTTTTTTTTAGATTAAAATGAGTTAGGAACTGGTATGGATAATACAATTATCCTTGGTGACCTCTTTTTTAGAACTTATTACACTCTCTTCGACATAGGCAACTTAAGAATTGGACTTTCAACTGCGGTTTAAAATTTAAAGTGACTTTGCCCCAAAAAAATTTTGCATTCTTCTTAATCTCTTAAAGCTTAAATCAATAATTAATTGAGGAAAATGATCTTAAAGATGAACTTTTGATTCTTTCTATGCTTTTCATATGCACCTTAGGACTAGTAGTTATTTCTCTAAGTCCTGCCAATAAAACCCCTGAAGATAAATATGCCTTTTTCTGATAAAGGAACTAATATTCCTTGACAAATTATTTAGACACCCAATATTATGGTCCTATTTCACTTGGACTCCTCCTACGATTTATAGTTATTTTTGATACAGGCTCTCCAAAATTAGCGGAGCTAATTTCACTCGAGCCGAATGCCATTTTATTTATGGGGTTGAGTTTTACTTAGAGAACTTCTGTACAGTATCAGCGGTTTAACTTTGGGGATAACTAGAGGAACCTCTCAGCACACTCGAGGAAGGTGACCCTTATGTGGAACACACGCACGAGCTGAGTCAAACAAACCGTGGCGGCAGTGAAGCCCGTCGAAGCCGGAACATTGCATTTGTCTCGTTCCCTGGAGCAGCAAAGTGGATCGATCCAGAGGTCCATGGGCCTGACACGTGGATAAATATGGTGAAAGCCACCCCGTAGTGGACGTTAAACGCTATAGATAATTAATGATAATAATACAGGCTCTGGGTCCCATCATCAAAATGCACCTCTTTAGCCTTGCTCTTTGCATCATACTTATAACTCGTCAGCTTCTTCCACTTATGCAAAAAATGGCACCTCTATTAGTCTTCAATACGGTAAAGGAGCTTACAGTGGATTTATATCCCAAGATACGTTGACTTGAGGCTATACAGCTAAAAATGTGCTTTTCGCTGAATGACAACTCTACCGGAACAGCTTGGATTACTAGCAAGTCTGATGGGATTTTAGGGATGTCTTGGCAATCAATTTCTCCAGATGGCCTGCCTCCAGCATTTACTTATTTAGCTGGGCAAGGACTGGTATCAAGCAACTCCTTTGCATTTATTTGACTAAAAACGATAATCAAGCTGGGAGCACTCTTACACTAGGAGGTTATAATTCAACATTTTCTAAAGGAGACTGGCATTATGTGCCTTTATATAAGCAAGAATGATGGCTGATTTTGATGGACTCTATTTCGGTTAACGGCAAAAATGTTACTGAAAAGAACCTTCCTCCCCATCCATGAGCAAGCAAACAAATTTCGAGCGCACTTAAGGTTAACTTATTTTTGAAATTTAGAAAAATCCCAAAACCAAATTTGAATGCTAAATTAACTTCTAAATTATGTTTTTTTAAAATGCAAGCTGTTTAAAATTCAGCAGAATTAGCTAGAGATTCATTATAATAAGTATTACTTATATATTAAAATATTTTTCAAAATTATATATTAATATAACTCATAGAATTTTATTTTAGTTTAATATTTAAAAGAATTAGCTAGAGTTATCAAAATTTTTATATTAAAAAAATTTGCAAGATTACGAAAGTGAGTTTTTGACTAAAAATAGGTGGCTTTGCTTGCTCAGAGGAGGTAGTAAAAAATTTATTTCTATGTGCAGTTAATTAATTTGCATGAAAAAGTTGAAGATGCTTTATTCAAATTCAGAAAATTCAATAATAAAATGATATGAGTTTCTTTATGGTTACTCCCCCCATCCTTGATCGAACGACTCACCATCGTTCGATCAAGGATGGGGATTAAAAAAAAATTTTTTTGGGATAAAACATTTTATATAAAATAAATATAATATATATATATATATATATATTTTTTTTTTATTTACTTTTAAATAAGAAGGTTAAGAGTATTTAATAATTATTTTTGCAACAAAAAATTGAATTAATTTCATAAAATATCAATTTTTAATATTTTGATTTATTAGTTACCCTTTTAAACTGTATAAATTTTAACTTGTTCCTTATTGAATTAAATTTTTTTTTTAAATTTTAAAGAATCTCTATTTTTTAGATTATTGAGCTTTTAAGCCTAGGCTGATGGCTAAATCACTTCGGATGGTGGATTTCGCAGCTTTTGTCGTCTCAAAGCTCTGAAAAAAACTTTCATTAGGTACATCTTCCTAAGCTTTTGATATAGAAGTTTCCTATGTTTGGCGCTGTAAGGCCGATAAATTCTGATCGGAATTTATCGGTAGGTTGCACCAAATCAATGCCTTGGTCGGACCAAAAAGCGATTTGGTCCGACGAACTTGGAAAGCTCCTGGGAAAATGTCTGCGCTTTTAGCGCTATATAGAGGAAACCTCTATAACTAATATATTTTTATATATATAAAAATTTGCATGATATGAAAATCGTTCGATCAAGGATGGGGGTTAATTCCCCAATATTAGGAATTTTTACAGTCAATCGTTCGATCAAGGATGGGGGGGAAGTTAGTAAAAAAAATTTATTTTATTTAATAAAAATATATCTGTTTAGAATAAAGTTCTTCTAGACTCGTTTTATTATCATGAAAGAATTCAAAGCACTATTGTTCCATTGAAATTTTTATATTTATGTTACATAATAAAAAATGGCAAGAATGTTTCTCCTTTTTGGTTTTTTTCTATCTTTAGTAGTTGCTTTAGATAAAGCCTCTAGCCCAGTTAAAGATTTTATGAATGGATTCGAAATAGGCATTAACAAATCTCCATCCTGCTCTGAGAACTGGAAAGAGTGTGGAACTTATACCGGCCAGCTTATGAAGATACCAATATCCGATTTAATTTCTTTTTTTAGAAGAGAAATTCATTTTTCTGATGCTCTAGAAGTTATTGAAGGTTTCCAAACAAGCTTCTCAAGTATCTGGGGATGCATCAGCACAGTTATTGATGTAGGAGCAGTTGCTTTCGATATCTATCACTTTACCACTCCAGGCTTCCAGAACGAAAATACTCTAGAAATGGTTTCAGATGTCCTTAATTTCTCATGCAGCGTTCAAAAAACAGCTTTCGACTTTGTCTTTATAATGAATACTTGTGGTGCTGGAGCAAATTTAAGTTTGGAAAATGTAATCAGTAATTATTACAATCATCAAGATCAAGTCTCAAGCTTAATTGCTTATGCTAAAAATTGTGAAACTAATTATCGTCAGTGCGGCAAGTCTGTAGGAGATTTAATCCAACTTTTACTCAAATAAAAAATTATTTCTTATATTTTTATTATTAAAAAAGTAAATGGATTTATGGATAGAAACTAACTCCCCCCCCTCCCTGAGTGAACAAAACCATTAGAAAAATCCCTATTTTTTGCCAAAAACCCACCCTCCGTGAGTGAACAAAAATTTTTTAATAGAAAATTTTTTATGGAAAAAATATTTGATATATAAATGATAATTATTATAATGAAATCTAGAGCTAATTCTGTTTAATTTTAAACGAATTGCTTTTTAAAACATAAATTTTATAAATTAAATTAATATTTGCTTTCCAATTTTTGTGAATTAGGATTTTTTTAAATTTCGAAAAAAAATATTTTTTATAAAATTTATATAAATTTTTTTAAAAACAAAAAAATTAACCCCCCTCCGTGAGTGAACGAAATTTTTTTGTTCACTCACGGAGGGGGGGGAGGGGAGTAAGGATTTTTCGATATTGAACCCTTTAGTTTTTTTAAAATTTTATTTTCAAAAGCTTATAAAAGATTATTATATCAAAATAATGACTGAATCTTATGAAGCACTCATTCAAAACTGAATTTTTTAATTGGCCATACCATTTTAAACTTCAATTGTTGCAATCATCAAATGCAATAAATCCTAACATGCATAAAATTTATTTTATTTATTAGTGTGATATTGCCATAAACCATAAATTTGATAAATATTAATTCAAAAAAAATTATGAAAAAATACTTTGCAGAGCATGAAAGGTAAGCTATTTTGATCTTAGTATATTAGCAAATTTTTATTGATTTTAGTATACTTAATTCATAATAATGTCTAAAGAACGACGAAAAGTCATTTTTCCAGGCGAACTCCCATCTTTGCATGTTCCTGTAAAAGCTTCTCCTCAAAAGAAGCGAGGCCTGCCCACAACTTTGAGCTCATTTTTGCCATCAAAAGATATTATGAATATCCGAAAATCTCAGCGAAAAATCGCACTTTTTTCCGCAATTATTTCAATTTCTACTATTGTGTTTGCTTTTATTGAAAATGAAGAAGAATATTCCAATCATCAGACTACTAGTACTACAAGCAACATTCTTCGATGATTTATCATGATTTTAACTGGTTTACATATATATTGCATTTTCAAATATTACTCAGGGATTATTGAAATTAAAAAAGCTTATAAAGAAATCACAAAGAAAAGCAAAATACAATATGATTATAAACTGATGAAATATATGATTATCGAGATGCTTTCCACCTGCTTTTTGGTTCCCCCTTATATTGACTGAAAAGAAAAATTTCATCAATTAGATACATATGCAATTGTATCAGTTTCCGATATTATATATATTTTATCCTTCCTACGGCTTTACCATATAGGAAAACTTTTATTTGAGATTTCTTCGTTTAATTCTGCAAAGGCTTATTTTTATTCTTCCTTGCAAAACACTAAAACTTCAGTTTCGTTCACACTGAAATGCTATATGCAGATGAATTCCTTTTTATGCATGGTTTTATTATCAGCTATATTAACAATTACTGGCGGGCTGATTTTGCATGTATTAGAAAGAACCACCCCAACAAGTTCATTTGACTATATATGAGATGCATTTTGAATACTCTGCCAGACCCAAGAAACTGCTGGTTATGGCGATATTATACCGAAAACCCATTTAGGTCGTGCTGTAGTCGTTATAGCATGCACATTTGGAACTTTTTTTGTATCTTCGATGGTAATTGCAGTAAGAGAACTGACCTCGTTTTCTGATGATGAAATAAAATTTTATTCATTAGTCAAATATAAAAAGCACATCAAAGAAAAACTAGTTGATTTGGCTGTACTTGTAATACAAAGGTGATGGAAATATGCGAAACTTCGGGTAGCAAAAGAGCCAAGAATTAAATTTCTTACTGCTTATCGAACTGCTTCTAATAAATTTCACTTCAGCCGGACGCAAATAAAGATTCAAAGAAATCCTTTATTTCGCGAGCAAATGAATGAAATAAGTACGATGACTGATACAGTCATGAAAAAAATGCAGGACTATCTTAAAAATTCAAGAATCTATGAAAGCTTAGGAGCTCATTTTCTCAAAGACGAGTTCACAATTTTAGAAAAAATTAAAGCAATAAATAAGAATTTAGTTAAAATCCTGAAACCTGACAGGAAAAAGCATACAACTTTAGCACTCCCAATAGATGAAATAAGGCAAAACTCTTCTCATTCAAGCAATGGAAGTAATAGCAGCAGAGCTGCTATGAAAGGAAGAAGGCAAAGCGCAGTTAAAAAAATGATTATGAATAGGCTTGGGTCGTTTGATTTTAGGGATAAAAGGAGTATAATCTCTGAAATATTGTAGATCATTATGATCATCCATTTTAATTTTCAAAATTAATTTGCACTTGTCAGATTTTTTGAAAAGTAAAAACGAAAATGACAAATCTCCGTTTATGGTTTTAAGATGCCTAATCAAACTTAGACTGTTATAAGGCAGTGCCTTGGATTATATTTTTTCTGATCGGTATTCTGCTGGAGTATAGCGATCTATTATTGCACATGAATTATAAAAGCGCTCTTGGCCAAATAGTTTCATTATCAGGGATTGAAAATATTTATGATAGTGAGCCAAATTCAGCTGGAAAGAAAAATTTTGAATACAGTAAACAAGACTAAAGACTTACAAAAACCTATTATTTTTCAAAAAGAATGTATAAATAATAATTATAATTAACTCTCCCTTTTTAAATTAGAGCAAAATATCGGTAAATTAGCATTATTTGGGTACTTTAACTCCTCTTTAAATGGAACAAATTCTTTTAATAGGAAAATTTTATCGATGAAAATACAATTTTTATAATAAGCAAAAATAGTAGAATGCTATTTAGACACTTTTATACTGAATCGATTAATTTTTTTATAATGCTTCATGAAAATAAATTAAAAATTCAATGTATTGTGTTCAATTTATATTTGTCTAAAAAATTAAAAAAATTACTAATTTTATAAAACTAGGTTTGATTTAATTTATTGGAAAATGTGCAATTAGAATGCTATATAACAGTTTTTTCACACTGAATCTATTAATTGTTTTTAATTATTTCTTCATAAAATAAATTATAAGATTTAAAAATTTTAAAAAGATATTAATCCCTTTAAATTGGATTTTTTTGTTCCATTTTAAAAAGGAGGTGCAAATTATTTCATATGGTATTTTGCCATGCACACAAATCTTTGCTCTAGTCCGCAAATTTCATAAAACCCTTTGATCTCATCTTTGCAATCTAGGATCACTTTGTAGCAGCCAAGCTCTCTACTTAAGTTCACTAAAAATGTGACTAATTGCTTTCCAATTCCCCTGCCCTGGCAATTTTTGGCTACTACAACATCTTCAATATGTCCGCATTTGCCTCCTTCATATAGTAATTTTTGCTCTACTAGTAATGTTCCATGAGCTACTAATTTTTGTGTAGCTAAATCTTCAAATACAATTACATAATATTCATTAGGCCTGCTATTCATGAAGCTTAAAGTCCTACAAAATATTTCTTCAGTCAAATTTCCAACCTTGGTCAATGTTGACAAAAGCTCAATAATTCCTTTCTGAAAGTCTCCAGACTCCAATCTCCTTATCACTATTCCTTCTATTTCTCTTGGCTGGAGAACGTTTTCCATAATGAGCTTCTTATGCTTTACAAAAATAATAAATTATTGTCAATATCTGTTAAAATTCATAAGAAATATTAAAATTACTTATAATCTATTTACAAAATGGACGAAGATGAGAAGCAGATCAAACATTCAGAAAGTTGGCTTCTTTTTAGAAAATTTAGAGATATGGAAGAAGAATTACGAACTGATGTCGATTTGCAGGTTTTAGAAAGTATTTGGAGCTTTTTCAAGCCAATAGCAAAAGGCATGTCCTTTGGCTGCACAGAAATTTATGGGATGTACAACATCTTTAAATTTAAGAAAGCCAAGCAGTTTGCTCTTTATTTCTTACTGGTATTCAATGAAAAAGTTATAAAATTAACTGGACTACAATAACTAATTAACCAAAAACCTTTCTAATCCCTCTGTGAGAAAAAAATGGAATAATCTTGTTTTGAATAAAAGGTGAGAAAAAAATTATTTTAATTTAAAAATTTTTATGAAAAAATATTTTGGCATATAAGTGCTAATTATTATAATGAAATTTCTAGCTAATTCTATTTATTTTAATTTCTTACATTTTAAAACATAAATTTTACAAATTAAATTAATATTTACTTTCAAATTATTTCGAATTGGGATTTTTTTTAAATTTAATAAAAATTTACAATTATAAATTTTGAAAAACCTTCCACAACAATTCAAATATTTCTATCCGCTCACGGAAAGGAGAAGTAAACTAGTGCTTATTAGATTATTATATAATAATTTTAGAATTAATTTCTAGTCACAGGTCTAGAAATTATTCTAGAGCGAGATGATAAATCATAGAGAGATTTATTAAAAGTTCCAGGAATATCATAAGCTCCTGGCCCAGGACTTTCAATCCTCTGAAAAGATAAATTCTTATTTCTTTTTTCTTTCCCAAATCCAATGTTAGAATAATTTCCTTTTTCCTTCAATTTAAAGCTAGGGGAGTATGCTCCTGGGTCAGGTGTAAAATTTTTAATTTTCCGTATAATTTTTGGCCGAAACGAAAACTTCGGCCCATCAGCCCCAATAGGACTGAAATTATAAGGATCATAAGCCCCAGGGCCAGGATCATTGCTTATTTTGAATTTTGAGCTATCAACTTTTCCTTTCATACTATAACCTTTTTTTTCTAGTAGATTAAACGAGGTATTTATTGAATAAGTGTCTGGAGACGGGGAATCTCTCCCTTTAGGATTGAAAGGCTCCCAACGTTTTCCATAACCAAAAGAAGTAGATCTTTTCTCTAATGTAGATGGGAGGATAAAATAACTGGGATATTTTGTATGGCGATCTTTAGAAAAGCGATCGGCTTTACAGAATGATCAATGAGAGGTGTCTTTCCCCATTGTAGTGAAAACTGGAGGGCAAATTTCAGAGCTTGGCAGTGTTGAAGCTCGTGCATGACTGAGTGTGATTTTTGAGTTCTTCATTTCAGTTAAATTTTTATTAGTAAAATTGCTTATTATGTATTAATTTTTTCTTTAATGTCAATTTTTGGTCTGGATATATCAAACTGCCCTCTCAATTGACTTTTGCTTTTTCTCGGAGTTTGGGCTGCAGAAGATACTAGTCTGCTCTTAAGAATAGCTGAACTATTCTTATATCGAGCCTGCAGTGATGGATTATTTGAAGCTCTTGTTGAGGAAGGCTGATGAACCTCTGGTCATTTATTCGCATAAATGGCTACTGTTTTTTGATTGATTTTATGACGGCTGCTTTCTGGTGTCTTTTCAAACCTTCAAACTCTCCTTTCATTTTTCTTGTCTTTTGATGGTGAATTTACCAGCCAATTTAGCTGTGTTGATAACTCAGCATTGAATTTTTTGAACCCATTCAAAGAAGGTCCATTAGATTCTCCATCATCGCAGGATAAAGATTTTAGGTGTTTTCTTTCGATTGATCTATTTCTTAAATCTTCATAGTATTGGTCTGCAATTTTTCTAACTCCCCCCCCTTTAAATTGGAACAAAATATAGGTAAAATTTCCACTTTTTTGGTAAATTAACCCCCTTTAAATTTAACAAAATTTAATTTTATAATAAAAAATTATATATAATTTTATCTAAAAAGTTTCGATATAAGCTAAATGTTTCTTCTTTCTTGTTTAAAGAAGAGAGTATAAAGAGCATCTTATTTAAATAAATTTATTATCCTTAATTGTTAAATTTTAAAAAAAAAATAATTGTTTTTTTTTAAAAATTTTTATTTTTGATAAAAATGATATTTTTTATTTAAATAGTTTCGACATAAATCCAATGCGAATTCCTTATAAAATTTTAAAATTTACTTATTTCTTGCGTTATTTTAAAGAAATAGAGCATAAATAACATCTTATTTAAACAAAATTAGCACTTTGATCGATAAATTTTCTAATTTTTTTTATCAATAAAAATAATAATTTTTGTGTAAATAATTTTGATACCAATTAATAGTGGCGTATAAACTAATAATGAAAATTTAGTTATATCTTGCTTTGTTTTAAAAATAAAGAGTAAATAGCATTTCATTAAATAAAATATTGATCTAATTCGATAAATTGTTTTGTTTAATTTTTTTATATAAATTTTTTTTTTATAAAAATTTTATATTGATATATTTTTTTTTTTAAAAAAAAAATTAAGCCCCTTTAAATTGGAACAAAATTTTTTGTTCCAATTTAAAGAAGGGGGGAGTAAGTTTTTCTCTTTCTTTTTTTGTTCTGATTAAATATTTTTCTAATTCGCTATGATTCGTTACTTCCATATATCATAAAACTATTTTAATAAACTACTACAACAATATTTTATTTAAACAGAAATTGTATATATTTATCAAAAACCAAATAAATATTAAAAATCTCAAGGAAACTGCTTGCGTCATCTAAATCTTATTTTTCACATTTAATTTTTCATATTTATTAGAATGAATCAGCGAGCTACCCCAAGATCCAAAATTGAAGAGCTCAAAACTTTAATCAGAATTAGGCCGCGAACTGGTAAAAAAGCTGTTAATTTAAACACAACGATCACGACAACAATTAGCAATATTTTGGCCAATTCAGATAGAAATCCTACAAATAACACTTTAATCATTTCAAAGCCATCAATGGCTTTACATTCCTTAGGGAAAAGCATAGGAAATCGAAACCCAAGAGCTTATCGAGGGATTCCGACCTTTAATTTGGCGAATGTAACACTAAATAGTTCGTTAAATTCAAGCGCATCAACTTCAACAAGAATCCCTAAGCCACCTTCAAAGCCCAAAGAAACTCAATTTATTCGAAAAGTTTCTCAAAACACTCAAGAAAGTGGCAAACCTCAGCTTCCAATCACACCAAGTTATGCTATCCAGCACTATAAATCTGATTTCACAAATTATGAAATAGGAGAAATTCTTGGGTTCAATGAAATTTATTATTGAGGAGGAAAAATAGCTAAAGTAGTAAACCAAGGCCCAAATCATGGCTTTGATGACGCAAAAGCAAATTATTTGCTTTATAAGCATGACCATCTTGCTTATAGGTATGAAATTTTAAAAGTTCTTGGGAAAGGGTCATTCGGGCAGGTATGTGAATGCTTTGATCATAAAAATAACGAAAGCGTTGCAATGAAAATTATTAAAAATAAAAAACAATTTTTGCCTCAGTCAGCAGTGGAGTTAAAAGTATTGAAAACAATAATGGAGGAAGATAGCGACAATTCGAATAATGTTATTCATGTAAAAGATTATTTTATTTTTCGTCATCATTTATGCATCTCAATGGAACTTCTCAGCTCAAATCTTTACGATTTGCTTAAACAGACTCAATTCAAGGGCCTTTCTTTAGGGCTCATTCGGAGATTTGCTATACAAATCTTAATCGCTCTCAAGTTCACTAAAAAACTAAAGCTGATCCATTGTGACCTGAAGCCAGAAAATATCCTCTTGAAGCAAGCTAATAAATCAGGAATCAAAGTAATAGATTTTGGTTCTGCTTGCTTTGAGTCAGAAAGAGCTTATTCTTATATACAAAGTCGGTTTTATCGCGCTCCAGAAGTTATATTAGGAATTCCATATGGTATGGAAATAGATATATGATCTTTTGGCTGCATTCTTGCTGAATTATATACAGGAAACCCAATTTTCCCCGGAGAAAGTGAGGCTGAACAATTGCAAATTATTATGTCGTATTTGGGTGTTCCCCCCTCAACTCTATTGTCAAGAGCACCACGAGCAAGAATTTTTTTTGATGGGGAAGTGCCACGCTTGGTTCCAAACTCTAAAGGGAAAACATATGCACCTTCTTCTAAAAGTATTTTAAAATCTATCATTACAAAAGACAGTCAATTTCTTGATTTAATTCAAAGATGCTTTGAATGAGATCCAAATAAAAGAATAACCCCAGAAGAAGCTTTATTGCACCCATGGATTACAAGTGGACTAACAAAAACTCGACCACCTGACGAAGCTAGAAGGCATCGTCCAAATCTTATAAAGGAATCACTGAAAAATATAATGATAGAAATTGATTAAATGTAAGAAATATGGTTTTATAATTTCTAGAAATGGTCGATAGAGAAAATCTCGTAGACGAGTCTATGCAGCTCAAAGGTGAAAACTCCTATTATGCATCAAATGTGCCGGAAGAATCAAAGCTTCCAGACGACAAAAGAATTACATCAGGAGGCACCCCTCTTTTAATCGGTACAGATCAGCCACATCAATTACAGAAAAGAATAATTCCAATAACTGCCTATTCATGGAATGATGACAATGCTAATAAAAAAGTGGCTGTATACATAGAATTTCCAGAAAGCGTGAACCCTTCACAAATTCACTGTGATTATCAGATCAGATCTCTTGTGATGAGCTATAATTATTCTGACACTGAAATAAAGAGGCTCACAATCCCTAGGCTGAACAGAGAGATCAATCCCGCTGAAAGCACCTTCAAAGTAAGGAAGAATAAAGTGATTTTGTATCTCAAAAAGGCTAAGGACGAAAACTGGCCACTATTGGAATTCCGTAATTAATTAAGAACAAAGGGATTTCTTTTTAAGTAGGTGTTAATGCTTCAAAATATATGAAAATTCTGGTAATCCTTGGGGTTTGTGACGTTCGTGAAACAAGAGGATCACATTGATCCTTATAATAAAAATGTCTAAGGATGCCAATGGTCACCAATGAAATTTCAAGGCTGAAGAATTCACACCTTTCAGTTTTAAAGTCCCATCAAGCTACAGTTTAAACCCACAAGCAAGCGCTTTTGTTCCTGATGGATTTCAGATGGATTTACCAGCACAAGTAGAAACTCCAGCCCCACCAGCTATTGAAATTCCTAAAGAAGAACCAAAAATAACCATAGAACAGCCACAAGAAGAAACAAAAACAAAGCAAAAAGTTTACACTCTAAGTTTCCTTATGAGTCTGAGAGAAAATTGCAAAATCTTGTCCCCCAACATTAAAATACCAGATCCTTACAACCCATTTTCCAAAAACTCAAACAAGCGCGGATCAAGAAACAAAGGCAAAACGGCCAATTTCGGCCAAAGAGACACAGGTTTTCAACGAAATGAATCTGTTTTTACATCTTGCAGCATTTTAGTGAAAGCCGAAAACTCCTTCGTCGACAAGCTTAAAAAAGAAGTTGGGGATATAGAAAAAATGGCAAGAAAAATCAGAGGGATTCTAAATAAGCTTGCAAGAGATAACATGGAAAAGCTAGGATCTTCCCTTGCTGAAGAATTCGAATACAACTATGAGCTTTTACATGAATTGGTGAAGTTCATTTTTGAAAGAGCAACAGCATTGAGTTTTCCAGACCTTTATGCTGATCTTTGCGGATTCTTGAGAAAAAAATTCAAAGAAAAAGACGCTGAACTCAGCAATGGATTCAGAATAAAACTCGTCGAAAAATGCAGAGAGTGCTTCTATAATGAAGACAAACCTTTGGAAGCTGACGCACTGATGGACGCAGAGTACAAAAGGCGACGACGGCTTATTGGGAATATTAAATTTATCGGCTTATTATACAAACAAAGAATGATAAAAGCTGATATCATGTTCGAGTGTTTCAATGTTTTATTGAAAGAAGACACAATTTGCGATGAAACAATTGAAACATCCTGCCACTTGTTCAGAGAATGCGCTCCTCTGTTAGCGCTTCGAAAAGCTGAGCAGCTTCTTGAGTGCTATAACACTCTTTCTTCATTCAGAGCTGATATGCGATTTTCTAAAAGAATCCAATTCATGATACAAGATATCATTGACAAGCATGAGAAATTGATGACTCCGGAAAAACAAGCGAAAAGTTTAAACTCTTCGCCTGTTAAAGAAGTCAAAAGCCCAGTTAAAGGAAAAGGTGTAAAATTCGCCTTTGAAGAAGAAGACAAAGAGACTAGCAAAGAAACAGCAGGGCCAGCACCCACAATTTTGAAGAAAAGTATTTCTCAGGACTTTAAAGATACGCTAAGAGGGACTACTAAAGCGTTTTTACTAGATAGAGATATTGCAGCTGCTTTACTCTTCACATCTGTGAGCGGACAAAAATATTGAAAAAATACGGATTTTTTAAGTAAAAATTATCCTCCGTGCGAAAAAAAATATTTTAAATATAAATTTTTTCATGAAATAATATTTTGATATATAAGCGATAATTAGCATAATGAAATCCCTAGTTAATTAGTGCAATTTAAGCAGCTTAAATTTAAATTAATTCTTGATATAAATTGAGATTCTTTTTAATTTTATAAAAAAAATTTATGATTTACCCCCCCCCTCCGTGAGTGAACAAAAAAATTTTGTTCACTCACGGAGGGGGGTTAATTTTTTTTTTTCAAAAAAATTTATATATAAATTTTATAGAAAATTTTTTTTTTCGAAATTTAAAAAAATCCTAATTTTGCAAAAATTGGAAAGCAAATATTAATTTAATTTATAAAATTTATGTTTTAAAAAGCAAATTGTTTAAAATTAAACAGAATTAGCTCTAGATTTCATTATACTAATTATCACTTATATATCAAATTTTTTTTCCATAAATTTTTTTCTATTTAAAAAAATTTTTGTTCACTCACGGAGGTGGGGTTTTTTGGACAAAAAATAGCGATTTTTCTAATGGTTTTGTTCACTCACGGAGGGGGGGGAGTTAGTTAAAAAACAATAAAATTTTTTTTGCTCGCTCATGGATAGAGGGGAAATCAGAGAAATTTGAGATGATTTTACAACAAAACGCGGACAGTCAGAGACAAATGCTGCACATTATTCTGAAATATGTTCTCAGTGAATATGGAAAAGATGGGGAGTTTGAAGCGATTTGTGATGTAATTTTACGTCTAATCGAGCATTCAAATGGTAAAGTTGATGGCAGCATATTTGAGACAAGCATTTACATGACCATAGAAGTAATCAATGACATCAGGCTTGACTCTCCCAATGCTTCAAACTATTTGAGACACATTATCATCTATTCGAAGAAAATCGGAATAGAGTTGGATCAGGATGCTTTGATAAAGCATCTCGACGAGTATTTATCTAGAAAATTAACCGATTAATAGTCCTAGCTAAATATAAAAATTTCTTTAAAAACTAGCGAAGAGTGGTTTCGATCCACCGACCTCTGGGTTATGAGCCCAGCACGCTTCCACTGCGCCACTTCGCTTGATTTTTCCCGTCAAAACTTTCTCATATACATTACAAGAATTTTATACCATTTCCCTCAAATTTTCCATTTCATCGAATTTCCCTACAATAAAGCAAATTTGCTATGACTAAATTGAAGGAAACTATAATATAAGAAAATACTTATTTAGCTATGTTGAGAGTGAATGTAGTTCGAAAGGACCTTCCAAGCTTGGGTTTCTTCATCAACATCAGTGACGACGACTGACGAGCATTTAACAATGTGTCTGGCTGTGCCTGTAGTATCGACTTTGCACATTCCAGCCCATTCTCCAAGAGTGTTTCTATCAGAAACCATGACAAGTGGGACGTCTTTTTCAGTGCAGAGAGCACGGATGAGTCCTTTGTACTCTTTGAGGTCGCAGTTCTCAGCTAAAAAGCAAACTTTTGCATCTCCTCTATCTATGGCTCTGGCAGCTTCGTTGATGCCTCTGAGAAGGCCATCACGATGTGAAGCTTTCTTAAGCACTTCTCTGATTGCGTCGTAGATGTTCATTTCTGCTGGCGCTTCAGTTTCTTCGACTTGCACTTGAGGTTCTTCTGCCATCCTAGCCACTATTATTTATCAAATCAATATGAAGGAATTTAGATACTTTAATTATTAGGCTTGTTATCACAAAATTTAATCTTCTTGTGAAGATAAGTACTCTTCCTCTCTTTCAGTTAAGGAAGGGATGTTTATCATAATTCCGCCTACGAAATTTGCGCCTTCTTGAGCTGCTTCACTCGTTCTACGAATCTTTCTGGCTGGGGTTGCATTTATAGGGAAAGGGTTTGTATTTATAAGTCTTGGCTTTTTCGTTGCGATGTCCTTAAGAGAGAAAAGGCTGTTTTCAGTTAGAGAGAGGTTGGATAACATGCTAATTTCCTGGGTTGTAAGAGCTCTTGAGTTTTGCCGTTTATGATTATTTATATCACTTTGGCTCATGTTGCTGGTATTAATAACACCTGCAGACTTACTTGTTGCAGTTGATATCGACGAAATATCACAAAACGCATATTTTTCAGGTGTCTTTTCTTCATCTTCATATGGTGGGCGAGAATAGTCAAAACCATCAAAAATTTCATCAACGACATTAGGGTTTCCATCAAGAAAGTCTGAGTCAACAGAAAGGCATGTATACTCAGGGTCAAAGTTTGAAGCCCTCACTGCTGGACGAAATGGAGGCAGTTTTAGCTTATTGAAAAGCTTATCCCATTGAATATTGTGACACCATGGATGATCTTTTATGTCTTTAAAGCCATTTTCATTACCCAGACGAAGGTCAGGATTTTTTTCCATCAAGCCTTGCAAGAGGGATTTGGCGTTTTTTGAAAGAAAATTAGGGACTGGAAGGTCTTCGTTGAGGATTTTCCAGTACATACGAGAACGGTTGGAGTCGTAAAAAGCTGAGAGACCTGTGAGCATTTCGTAAAGCAAAGCGCCTAAGCTGTAGAAGTCAACTGAGCGGGTGTGGCCTTGGTTGTTAAGCATTTCTGGGCTCATGTACTCAGGAGATCCACAAAAACTATAAGTTTTTTGGTGGTGGCTAAGATTTTGCTTTGAAAGACCAAAGTCAGTTAGCCTTATGTGTCCATCAATATCTAATAAAATATTTTCAGGCTTTAAGTCTCTATATATAACCCCATTATCATGCAAATGCTCCAACCCCAGCAAAATTTCCCCAAAGTAAAACTTGGCTTGTTCTTCCGTAAACCTCCCTAAGTTATGCAAATGAAAGAGCCTTATCTTAATTAGCAGATGCGTAGTATTTGCTACTCAGTCACCTAGGTTCTGAAGGATTCATCCACTTTGCGACGTCTACGCCTAAACGTGATCGAATTGATGACGACCAGCGAGTTTCAAGTAATTTTCTTGTTCTCTAGAATCGTATTTTTGCTATTAAGTGTGCACGAGGGAGTTACACTCCTCCTTGCCAAATTAAGGCAGACACTAGACTTCTGAGTCCCTGCTCTGGCTCGTTGGAAAGCAGCTTGATTCAGAAATCTGGAGCCTACAGTGTTGGTGTCTACCTTGGCAACTACAGACAAAAAAAAGCTTAATTCCTAGCCCAAGGCTGCAACCCATGCTATCGTGGCGAAGGTCTACCTTAAGGATCCTGAAGGGCACTGCCAGGCTACCCATTTCCAACAATAGGAACTGAGCCAAAACCTACCAGGATATCATAAAGCTATATCAGACCCCAATCTCGTCTGGTTTCTCGCCCAATTTGCCTTGGCCATAAGTTTGAGAAAATTGCTTCAAGAGGTTGATTCTCTTAGGTCTCCATTTTATATATGCAAGTGAAAGAACAGTTCACCTCCTGGGCAAAAGTCCAATACTAAATGCAACTTTTTTTGTGTCTGAAAGGCCCAATGCATTTTTACAATAAAGGGATGATTGACTTTAGTCATGATATCTTTTTCTGTCAATATTTGATTTACCTTGTCTTCGCCTTTCACGAATTCTTTGTCCATTGTTTTTACCGCATAAAGTTGCCCGGTATCTTTTTTCCTGACTTGGCTGACTGTAGAAAACCCTCCTTTTCCTATAACTTTTATAGGGGTAAAATGACTGCAACAAACTTCGTCAGTAACTTGTTGAGAAAAAATTGCAATCAGGTCTTCATTGTCTTTAAATCGTGATAATGAGCGATCATAAAGCGTTAAAGAATAATCCAAAATATCTGAACAAATTTGAGTGCGGAAACTTACAATATCAGGTCGATCAGAAAGTCTAATAACTTCTGAGAGCAATCAACCGCTTGTAAGTGACTCGTCAGGTACAAAAATTGAAAATGATTCAGAGTCAACTTGTATGCGAAGCGTCTTAGATTTGTCGATTAAGGCGGAGGATCGACGGGTTTTTGTTTTCTGGCTTGTGGAGACTAATCCATGATGAGTGTGCATTTGAGTGGCTTCTTTTGGCCCCATAATTAGCTTAATGTTTATATTTAGAAATGAAAGTGATGCGATAAATTGAATAAAGAAATTCAATTTTATGTATCAATATTTTTAACGCAAAGAGCAAAAGAAAGCTATTTTTATTAATAAAATCGAGATATAAATATCTCTCTCCACCCATTTATTTATTATAAAAAGGAAAAAGGAGATCCTTAAGTGAAACTTGATGATTATAAATAAATTAAATATACATAAAATGGCGGATGACGTCCGACCCGTCCTCTCGAGACGGTTACCCGTGTATATCCGGGCATGGTTTTTGGAGCCAGGAATTGGCCCAGCTATGTCTTGGGACCTCAAGGCAAGAGGTCTAAGCGCAAAGACCGCTGTTTTTGTGACCAAGACCCTTGGGCAGTTATTCGTGACTCCTTTTTGCCAGCAGCGCCCAGCCCAGTGGGTGCCCGAAATGAGGCAGGGCGACTTACCTGCCTAAGCTGCTTCTGTGATTTGCCCCGAATGGCGAAAGCTGTTGAGTTTTTTCTCGGGATGACCGGAAAAGAGGGAAGGCAAATTAGACGAAAAACGGGGGTCTCTCCAGTTAAAAGGTGCCCTTCAGTGGGCAGATCTGGCGACGTACGGACAGAGTTGGCGCAAGATTCAGGGCGGCGAGTCAAGTTGGAAATGGAGGCGGCCAGCGAAGACAGTATGAGCTGTCCCTTGACCATCACCTCTACCGAGAAACCGGGGGTTTCGGCCCGGGCTTGAAGTGGCCACGCCTTAGCCACCCTACGGGGTTAATCTCCGTAGAACGTCACGGCGGCGAAGTAGGGACTTAAAAATACATAGCATTCTAACATAACATAAATAAATTAAGACTGTTTCGGCGTCTGAGTGTTTTTTGATATGTTGGATTTAAGCAAAGAGTAATGTTTGAATATATAAATGATATAATTCCCAAAATCTCATATGAAATATAAATACCAAATTATAATATCATTTTCTTTAATTTTATTAATTTAGTAAACAATAAAATGCTTCACTCTATATCAAATGAATTAATATGGCGAAAAAGAAAAGAATTATTTGATTATTCTAACCAATTTATGAAAATTTGCACAGTTCTTTTAATTATAAATTGCAGAATTTATTGTTTTTTAGCCAGCTCTGAAATTTTTATTTTCGGGATATCTTTAATGCTCTTGCTCGGAGTTTTATTTTTCCTTAAATCAACTTCGATTTTATTTTTAATGCTAACTGCGGGTGAAAATTGATTTTTTATTTTTTCGTAGTATTCTTTCATTTTATTTCATTTTTCGCTTTCTCGTTTTTTGGATCTAAATATTTCTTACTTATCAAAGGGAAATTCTCTGAACATGTGGTAATATTGGTTGAATTTTCCTTTATAATCTTTTGATGTAGAATGGGATCTTGCCGTTATCATGCATTCAGAGCCTGAAGAAGATTTATTTAAACTTTTTTGGTAGCTTAGTTCGTTTGTGTCTAATCCGGAGTCAAAATTGCCAGCTGTGTTTTGCTTTTTGTGAGTTCTTATGCCTTTAGGTTTTTCAATTATATGTATAAACATAACATCATTTGAAACCTGCTTCAGAATCATAGGAGGTGGGAGATTTCTTTCTCTTATAGTAATAATTTCTTTTCTTGGAGACTCAAAAGATGAAAGTTCGCTTTCATTTGCTGTCGACGTGTCTTCGTTATTATTTATTTTCGCTTTCTTATATTTTATTTCTTTTTGTTCAGAAAATTCTTTTTCTTCAGAAAATTCTGTTTCTGTAGCTTTGTGTTTTAGAAAATTTTGAAAAATTTCGTATTGGCTTGATGAGTCAGCCGTTTTTATAATCGGAGTTTTGGTGACTGGTAAGGGGTGAATATTTATTGAAGTAGATTTTTGGAAGGAAAGGTTATGAATTGAATGTTTTGGGAGTACATTTTTTGGTGGAGAAGATGCAAGAGGCTCTTCTGGAATTGATGATAACTCGGAAGATCTAGATTTCAATAGCGAAGAAGACCTTAAAGATTCCAATTTCGCTCGTTTCCGCCTAGCAAGCTCATCAAGATACTCTTGCTCTACTTTGTAATATTTAGCTAATGCATCTTCAGTTTCTTTTTTCTCAGCCTCTTCTCAGTATTTTTTGTATTGCTTTAATTGGGCTCTTGCTTTCCGGATTTCCTCACCTTTTTTGAGGTTCATCACTTTAAATTCAGCAATTTTTGATGGGTTAGGCCACATTTGCAAACTATTAAGTTTGATTATTTATTTATATTTAAGTAAATAATGGATTTCAATTAACGCTAAATTAATTTTTCCATCTCTGAAGATACTAGTTTATAATTTTTATAATTGAAATTTAAGGAAGTCAGTGATAGTAATAATTTTGTGTATAGAATTTAATTATTACATTTAACTGAATACAAAGTTTGGAATTTCTTCTGTTTGCAGCTCCACATCAGGGACTTCTTCAACCCCATAGAATTCCGCCATTATTTTGACTACCATCTCATAAATTCTTGAATTTTTATGAAACTGCAAATCTTCCAGTACATCTAAACCTCCTAACTCAAAAAACTTTATCCCAATTTCATTTACCCCAAAGTATTTCATTGATGAAAAGCAGTCTTTTCCAGCTGTAAGCATTTTTTCTAAAATTTTTAAAGCCAGTTTCAAAACTCCTGCTTCCTTATTTTGTAAAACTCTTATTAATTGCGGCAAAATCCCTGACAGTCTAAGCACAGTTTTTTTATTTTTGCTTTCTGAAGCATTTCCAATAACCCAGAGTGCTTCTTTCTGTATTTCCATATCGGTATCAACGAGCGCATTAGAGATTTTCCACACTTCTTGATGGTCTAAAACACAATTTATTTGGTCATCAGTTCCTCCCATAATATTACTAAAACATCAAAGTGACTCTTTTCTAATTCCTCTTTTAGAGCTATCTAATAGTTTAAACAGACTATCTAACACTCCTAAATTCAGTAAGGTTTGGGTATGAAGATTTATTTCTGATGAAAAAATATTCCCAAGGACTCGCAAGGCAGGAATTTGAATTTTATAATTTTCTCGGTTCACAAGCAAAATTATAATCGGGAGAATTCCTGAATTGAAAATCATATCAACGTATTCTACCCCAGCTGAAGAAATATAGGAAAGAATATAGCAGCAATTTGAGAGAATATCATCTATATTATGCTTCAGAGCAATTGGGATGATTCTAAAGCTTTCTTTGAAAACATGATCAGGAGGATATGGAACTCCTTTGCATAGATTTGTGATAGTCCAAATTATTGTTGATAAATGCTTTTCGTTGATTTCACTGTTTTGTAAAATAAAATTTGCTAAATATCCTAAAACTCCTGCTTTAATTGCCTCATCTCTGACTTTAAGAGATTCGCCAGCTAAGTTTCCAACGATTCATATACAATAATGTAAAAATTCATTTAATTCATTGTCCCTCAAAGCTCGTGTTAAAGCATGCAATAAATTCCCATCCAAAAGTGACTTCACTATAAAATTTGGCCCTGATGATAGATTAATCATACACCATGCCGCAGCAGACCGAATTTCTTTTTCTCTTTCAGATAAAAATTTTATAAGTTTAGAACAGATTTCTTGCTGAAAAATCATATTGAAGACAGCTAAATCAGCAAAGGGCAATAACTTCCCTAGCAAAACCAAAGCCTCTTGCAAATTTTCACGATTTTGTGAGTTAATAATTGCTAGTAGTATTGAAAAACGATCCATAGGGGCTATTTCGGCTGAAATTAGCCGATTTTCATGCATAGCAAGCTCAGTAGGGACAAAATTTGTAGGAAACTCGAATTCCTTCAGGTTTTCTTTATTATAGTCTGAAACTATCTGATTGCCATCTACACAAACAGCTCGTTTCTTATGGATGTTGGCTAGTCTATGTTTTCTTCTCAGCTCAACAGCATCATCATCTCTTTTTCTTTTCAGTTCGCTTAAATCAATTCCTTTTTGATAATTGCGTTTGCGTTCTTCAATCCTTTCGCTTATTGAAATTTCCATTATTCCGCCAAGCTTTGAACTTTAATTATTTAAATTTTTTAAAGAAATAGGAAACTTTTTATAAGGTAATATTAACTGAACTGTAAATTTATAATTGATTCATAATAATTTTTTATTCAGAAATGGTCACTCGCAATCGAATGGATAAATACCAAAAACTTGAAAAAATAGGCGAAGGCACCTATGGAGTTGTGTATAAAGCCCGAGAAACAGCAACTGGGGATTTGGTTGCATTGAAAAAAATCCGATTGGAAACAGAAGACGAAGGAATCCCTAGCACAGCAATACGAGAAATTTCGCTTCTTAAAGAGTTAAAGCATCCCAATATTGTACAGTAAAGCTCTATTTAGACTATATGATGTGATTCATACTGAGCGTAAATTAACATTGGTTTTTGAATTTCTAGACCAAGATCTAAAAAAACTTATTGACGCGTACTCAGGACAAGGCCTTGATATTGCCACAACTAAATCTTATTTATATCAGCTCCTTCGTGGAGTTGCGCATTGCCATGCCCATCGTGTACTTCATAGAGATTTAAAGCCTCAAAATTTACTGATTAATAGAGAAGGAGCGTTAAAACTAGCTGATTTTGGCCTTGCCAGAGCATTTGGGATTCCTGTCAGAAGCTATACTCATGAGGTTGTTACTCTTTGGTATAGGCCACCAGATGTCTTGATGGGGAGTCGAAATTATAATACATCAGTCGATATTTGGTCTGTGGGGTGTATTTTTGCAGAATTACTGAATGGGAAACCTCTTTTCCCTGGAACTTCTAATAACGATCAGATTAGGAAAATTTTCAAAGTCATGGGGACGCCGACAGAAGAGAGTTGGCCAGGTATCAGTCAGCTTTCAGAATATAATAGGAATTTTGAAAGATTCCTAGGAGAAGATCTTAGAGTCATTGTTCCCAGACTAGATGATGACGGCTATGATCTATTAAGTAGGATGCTGCAAGTTAACCCCATCAATAGAATTAGTGCTGCAGAAGCTTTAAACCACCCTTATTTAAGGGATGTTCCTGACTCAATCAGAGATATGAGGTAAATAATAATTCTCTTAACGTAAAAATGCAAAACCAGGCCACGATTGAAACAGATTTTTTATTTTTAAAAGAAAGAGTGAAGGGCTTTAACAAGTATTTAAATCGGCTGAAGAATGCTAAAAAAACAATAGATAATGAACTGCCTTATAGTTATAGACAGAGCGTGCCAAAATTTAAATCGCCTTTGAAGGTTATTCACACAGACTACTCATATAAGAATGTAATATTATATGGAAGACTCTGTGATATTGCACAAACTAAAAGCCCTTATCGGCATGAAAATCTGACGCCTGGACCTCGATCTTTAAATCTTTCAACTAGGAAAAATGAAGCTAAAAGGGTTTATACACAGAATAATCTCCTCGCTAAAAGATTGGTGGGCACAGAAGCATCACTATCAATAAAGCAGTTAGAAAAAGATTACAAAACTTCTCAAAGGTACCGTTCGCAAATATCAAAAAGCAAAAAATTGGGCCAAATAAAAAAGCTGCTTTTCCAGTCTCCAAGCCTATCTGACAGATCTCATCACCTATCTACATCTCTGCAAGATATTAGGAAAAAATTTTCATAATACCTCTGCCTAATTATAAAATAAATGAAATAATTTTCCTTATTTTTCAAAAAGTATTTATTATAAGGTTCAATTATAACTAAATTTTTATTTAAGAATTACTTGTGTTCTCGATAAGTTTACTTAATAACTCGGTGTTCTTTCTAACTTGAAAACCTTATTGGTTGAAAAGTATTTGAACGTTCGGTCTTCATAATTGACGATGGCGAAGTATTCTCCGTGATCCTTGTGATGGATTCTCCATGTTTTGGCTCCTTTCTTGTACCCTTTCTCTATTTGCTTCTCGATGACAGGGCCAGCCCTTCTTGATCCTTTATCGTTGTCTACTGTGTACCATTCGTAGTTGGATCCTTTCTTGCTGTGTTTAGGGGTGTATTTACTGATAGGGCTGACACTTCCAGAAGGCTGAGAATTCGGGTTTGAAATGTGTGATGAAGGCATTTGTTGACTGTCTAATCTTCCTATTTTGAAGCTTGGTTCGTTGTCTAAAGTCCATTCTGGGTCATAATTATAAGAGTAAAACTCTACATTAGCCCCAGGAATGACTTTACTTGCCAGCTGGTTCAGCTCTGCTTGCAGAGATGCATTGATTCCGCTCGAGCTAGAGATGACCTTTTCTAGGCTTGCTAAGCATCGATGAATAAGCTTCATCTTGTCATCGATTTCAGCGATGCATTTTTTTTCTGCACTTTTGTTTATCATGATGTAGTTTTCGGTGTTTTTGACGCATTTTTCTTCCATTTCTTGGAGAAATCTTTTAGCCGCTTGTATCTTAAGGCAAATTTGGGCTTTGGATTCAGTGGTGATCTCATTTGCATATGCGCAGCATTTCTTTATGTTTTTCTTGGATGCTTCGAGCTCTACCATATATTCTGATAGCTCTTTCATTTTTGTGTTCGCGGTAAATGGTGTGTTTTTACGGTCTTGGGTATAGAGATTGCTGGTAAAAGGGTCCGTGTTGAGAAAATGCGAAGGAGGTTCAGAAGTGATCCCCAAACCCCAAGGTGAAGTGGGGTCACTGGGGTAGCTTTCCCATTGCGACATAAAATCATCCTCGAGTGATTTCATTGTTGGCTGGGAGATGTACGAAAAATTACTTCTGAAATTCGGAGCTCCATTTGAGTTTGTGTAATACAGATCATAACCTAGCTGTGGATAGGTTCCGTTAAGCTCACTTTTATGTGTGAGCTTAATCGGGGACTGTGCTGAATGATCTGGAATAGTTTCAAGTGTGAAGTCAACTTCACATAAAGGGCATTTTCGAGAAGTCTTATAGACCATCTCTAAACACTCTTCATGAAATGAATGGCCGCACTGAAGAATTTTGGGCTTTATAGCAATTGTGTATTCTTCACGACAGATTGGGCATTCATAGCTATAATCCTCCATTTTATTAACAAAATCGACATCAAGGGTTGGTTATCTAATGGAGGACTTTTGATTATTATAAGAAGACTATAAAAATTTTTAGTGAATTGAGAGGATTAAGAGATTGGTGATAATTAAGATATATTAATTTTGATAGGGAATAAGAAGATTGTGTGCTTGATAAAGGGAGAAGGAATAAGAAAAAGGGACTTACGTGATGTCATAAGATAACATATGATTATATTATATGTAAATAAGCTTTAAAGAAGCATCGTTTGGGAATAATGAGATCAAGGAGATGTGGATCCCAAAAAAATAAATTAAGGCAATTAAACATTATGAAAAATCCCCTCTTGTTTTAAAATTGTTTAAAATGGCTCAGTCAGTCTAATGAATATTATTTATGATATAAATATGCTAAGAATTAAATTTTTTAAGGTTTATTCATCAGCACATAAAAATAAATAAAAAATAAATCTAAAATTAATCATTTTGATGATTCTTACTATTCAAAGTTAAAGAATAGCTAAAATTAATTTTTCCTTTTTCATAGAATATATCTACTCAATTTTCATTAAAATTTAGATCCTTCTTAAGAAAAATGCTAAAATTTTTTGGTAATAAAATGTATTTAGCAAATTTAAAAATTTGATCACCATGATATTTGACTTTATGAAATTAGCCAAATATTAAATTCATAGAATATCTCATTTAATTAAATATTCCTTAAAAAAATCATAAATCATCAATAATTTTTGTAACATTTTTTTGAAAGCCAACCCTTTTTTTCTATAACCAATTGACTAGATGTCAATATTTTTATAATTTAAGGCTATTATATCGTACCTATCCTATCTCGTCTAGATTTTTATAATAGATTCTGCTTTATATCTTTTCCTATAGCTCTTTATGAGTCATTATTTCAAAATCTAATGCATTATCCATTCATTAATAAATGACTGATTCCAGGCAAGAGAAAATTAAATCCTATACACTTTCTATGCCTTCATTTTTAGCTAGTAAAAGAAAATTGGTCTTGAACCCTTTAGCTACGAAGAAATCACCACAGAGTTTTTCGAGAAGAAATTCAGAAGTGGGAAAGCTTCCCCCGATTGTTTCTCCAAGACCACGCATAGAAAGTTGAGATTGCCAAATAAATTCGGCACTAGACCTATTAAACTCACCAAAAACCGTCAGAAACTCACCCTCATCGTCGAAGTATCTCCCTTTTATATATGCCCAAAATGGGCTTGAAAAAGCCAACGAAATAATGCCAGATCTTAAATTGAGAAGGGATTTCGTCCTTCCAATTACAAGAAAAGATTGTTGTGTAAATTTATTAGAAGATTGTAATGTACAAGCGAAAAATCCAGAAATTCATAAACGGCATAGGACGCTCCTTATGCAAAGTGTACAGGAAGGGTAACCTGATTTGTGCATAGGCTTATTATATAATTAAGTCGTATAATTAATCCTGCGATTTTAAGAGAATCTTCTAATAGTTATACAGCCTTAGGCTAATAAATGGATTTTTCATTAAGATTTATAGACTAAACAGATTCTCATTGGTGTTTTTGATAATCATTATTTATGCACTTTTAATAATTTTTTATAAATTTAATATTTGGATGAGTAGCTCAGCGCAGTCACCAAAAAATATTTTATCCACTTTTTAAGAGATATTAAATACACCTTTAAATCAAACAATATGCTGACCATTACTTAAGAATATGGCAGAATGGCGCGAAGTTAATTGTCAAGATCGATAATCATCTCATCGATAGGATCTTGAATTTGATATGGAAGCCCACAGCTTCCTTCAGTCCAATAATTCATCATGATTTCAGTTGGAGTGCACATCTCAAACCTCATCAAATTGCTATTTAAATTTTCATAAGTTTTCCCATTGCTATGGACTTCATTAGTAGAACGCCCATGAGCCTTAACCTTTCTGATATCTGGTCTTGATCTTAGCAGCGACTCAATTTTTTCTGAGTCCATATGATACTCTTCATAAAATTCATCATCAGTGTTTTCTATTGATTGATTATCAGATATCTCTGACTCCCCCCCCCTTTAAATTGAAACTAAAAATTTTGTTCCAATTTAAAGGGGGGTTAAGAAAATTTTTTATAAAAAAAAAAATTTATATAAAATTTTAAAAAAACAAAAAATTTCAAAAATTTATCGAATTAGATTAATAAATTTGTTTTAATAAAATGCGATTTACTCTTTATCATTTAAAACAAAGATATAACTAAAATTTTATTATTAATTAATACGCCACTATTAATTGGTATCAAAACTATTTACACAAAAATTATTATTTTTATTGATAAAAAAAAAATTAAAAAAAAAAAAAATTTAGAAAATTTATTAATCAAAGTGCTAATTTTGTTTAAATAAGATGTTTATTTATACTCTATTCTTTAAAATAAAGCAAGAGATAAGTAAATTTTGAATTTTTGTAAAGAATTCGTATTGAATTTATACCAAAGCTATTTAAATAAAAAATATCATTTTATCAAAAAAAATAAAATTTTTTTTGAAAATTTTTTTAAAAAAAAAAATTAAATGCTTTTAAAAATTTGCAATTAAGGATAATAAATTTATTTAAATAAGATGCTCTTTATACTCTATTCTTTAAACAAGAGCAGGATACAACTAAATTTTTAATTTTAGTTAACTCCCCCCCCATCCTTGATCGAACGATTGACTGTAAAAATTCCTAAAAATTGGGGAAATTAACCCCATCCTTGATCGAACGATTTTCATATCATGCAAAAATTTTATATATATAAAAATATATTATTTATCAAAAGCTTGGGAAGATGTACATAATGAAGTTGTTTTCAGAGGCTTTGAGACGACAGAAAGCTGCGGAATCAATTATCCAAAGTGATTTAGTCATTAACATATGCTTAAAAACTCAATAATCTAATAAAATACAGATTCTTTAAAATTTTTTTAAAAAAATTAATTTAATAAGGGAACAAATTAAAATTTATATACAATTTAAAGGGGTAACTAATAAATCAAAATATTAAAAATTGGTATTTTATGAAATAAATTAAATTTTTTACCCTCTTATTTAAAAGTAAATAAAAAAAAATATCTATATATTTTTTATTTTATATATAAATTTTTTTTCCCGAAAAAAATTTTTTTTAACCCCCATCCTTGATCGAACGATGGCGAGTCGTTCGATCAAGGATGGGGGGGGGGGAGTAAGAAGAAACATTTAAATTATATCAAAACTTTTTACATAAAAATTATGATTTTTATATATAAAATTTTTTATTATAAAATTAAAATTTTGTTCCAATTTAAGGGGGGTTAATTTACCAAAAAAGTGGAAAATTTACCCTATATTTTGTTCCAATTTAAAGGGGGAGGGAGTGAAGGTGAGATTTCTAACTACATAAGGATTACCTCTGAACTGAGGGACATAAATCTTTTCTTTGTCAGAATTAGCCTTCTGAGCTTTTGGAAGTCTCTCTACTCCATCCTTAGTGAGTGAACAAAACCATTAGAAAAATCACTATTTTTTTCGCCCAAAAACCCACCCTCCGTGAGTGAACAAAAATTTTTTTAATAGAAAAAATTTTTTATGAAAAAAAATTGATATATAAGTGATAAGTAGTATAATGAAATCTCGAGCTAATTCTGTTTAATTTTAAATTAATTGCATTTTAAAACATAAATTTTATAAATTAAATTAATATTTGCTTCCCAATTTTTGCAAATTAGGATTTTTTTAAAATTTCAACAAAAAAAATTTTCTAAAAAATTTATATATAAATTTTTTTACAAAAAAAAAATTAACCCTCTACGTGAGTGAACAAAATTTTTTTGTTCACTCACGGAGGGGGATGGAGTTAGAACTTTTGGCTTTTCTTCAATGATCTTTTTAGGACGACCAGTTTTTTTGATTGTCGGCTTCGAAGACATGACGATTTTTGCATCAGGATCAACTGATCTGATAATCTTTTCTGTTTTTGAAATAAATTTTGAAATGGCTTTCTTTATGTTGGCAATCGTCAGTTTATGCTTTCGAGGCCTACCCTTTGCTGCTTTAGTGACTGTTGTATTCCTCATTCGATAATTATCCAATCAAAATGGTAAAATGGGGTATAGGGTTTCTAACTATGAACCAAATTTTAGTTTATATTTATTAAATGCTTATAATAGATAATTTAGAAGGCTTTTATATTTTCATTTCGATTTTTGCTTATTGAACAATTAAAAATGCCGGCTGGGGGTATATGTAAGGCAATTTCAACGATATAAAAATTTCAGATAAATAATCTTTTAAAACAAATTTAAAATTATTATGCTGCAGTGAGCGCTTTAAAATGGAAGCATATTTGGTCTGATATCCTAATCACAATTTTAAAAGCATACTCTAATAAAATATTATTATAATATCCAACTATAAAAAATGCAAAACTTTTTAAATATTAAATTTACATCACTCAATTATTCACATCTCAAGACCATGAATTTCCATATCCATCTTAATTTTTGTAAAAATTTCAAAATACTATCAAGAAATCTACTAAATTAATTTGAATAAAAATCGAAAAGAAAATTTTAAAGCATAGTTCTTCATTCTTTATGATAAATAAATCTAGCAAAAGAGTATGCTGTCTATCAAAAGAAAAATGAAGATATAAAAATTTATATCCGTTTTACAATAAAGCAATTATATGTCAGAAGAACAACCTCTCTTTAGTGCAGATTTTGATATTACAACAGAACAGCTTAAGTAAAGCTTTATATAGTCAATTTTTTGATATACATGAAATACGAGAAGGTGCGAGCATTATAAAATTAAAGACTTATGGAGGAATTAGCTCACTCTGCAATTCCCTAAAAACAAATGATAAAGAAGGCTTATCACACGTGACAAAACAAGAACTAAAAGACCGTAAAAAATTGTAAATTTCATTTAGCTTTGGAAATAATAAGGCAGAAGTTCCACCTACAACATCTTTGCTAGAAATAGTTTTTGAGGCGCTTCAAGATTTTACTATCCAATTATTGCTCGTTGCTGCTTTAGTTTCATTAGTGTTGGGTGTGTTAGAAGATCCCAATGAAGGATGGTATGAAGGAGTATCAATAATGGTCGCCGTTTTAATTGTCGTCTCTGTGTCTTCCGTTCAAGATTATCTCAAAGAACTCCAGTTCCGCAAGCTCAATTCCGAAGTAAAGCGCTTGAAAATAACAGTTATACGAAATGGGAACACAGAAGAAGTTTTCACAGATAAGCTAGTAGTAGGAGACTTAGTTTTATTAAAGCCTGGAGACATTGCACCAGCAGATGGGATTTTATCAAGATCATACGGAATTTTAGCTGATGAAAGCACTATGACTGGCGAAAGCAAACTTGTAAAAAAAGGTGACAATGATCCTTTTATTATTTCGTCCTCAATCATCACTGAAGGCACAGGAGAAATGATTGTTTGCGCTGTCGGAAAAAATTCTTTAATGGGCAGAAATCAAAAGCTATTTAAAAATGAAGTTTTAGACGAACAAACTCCATTGCAGATAAAGCTAGAAAAGGTGGCAAAACATATAGGAATTGCTGGAGCTATTGCGTCTGTGTTGATTTTCATATTCCTTTCTATATTTACTGTCGAAGAAGCAATTGTTGATGGAACATGGAGTTCTGACAGTACAAGTGCTATTATATCAGCATTTATTATAGCAATTACAATACTGGTTGTAGCGATACCTGAAGGCCTTCCTTTAGCTGTCACATTGAGTTTGGCATTTTCCATGAGAAAAATGAAAGATGAAAATATTTTTGTTAAACATCTAAGTGCTTGTGAAACTATGGGAGGATGCCAAGAATTGCTTATCGACAAAACTGGTACCATCACTAAAAACGAAATGAAAGTTGTGAAATTCCGAATCGGAGGGAAAAATGTGAGCTCAAAAAATTCAAAAATTGATGAAAATCTAGGAATGATTATTGCAAACTCAATAGCAAGAAATACAACAGCCGATGTACATATGGAAGACGATAAACTAATTAAGACTGGAAATAGGACAGAATGTGCCATGCTGATGTTTTTAAAAGAATGTGGCTATGAATATCATAATTATAGAGATCTAGACACACAAGCTATGCAGCTTCCTTTTAGCTCTGACTCTAAAATGATGACAACTCTTCATGTAGATGCACAGGAAAACGGATTTTTGTACGTGAAAGGAGCACCTGAAAGAGTCATCGAAAAATGCGCATTTTATTATAAGGAGGATGGCATCCAAGGAGAATTGACTACAGAAATCATTGAAAGCATTAATGCAACCATCGAGAAATGGTCACAAAAAATGAGAAGAACATTAGCCCTAGCTTATAAATCTGGCACCCTTGAAGCATTAAATTTGGGAAGCAAGCCAACTAAAGAAGAATTGGATGCTTCTTTAAATGGCATGATTTTGATCGGAATTATCGGAATTGAAGATCCTATCAGAGATGAAGCTGCATCTGCACTTAGCCAATTAAAAGAAACTGGAGTAACTGTAAGAATGATTACTGGCGACTGCAAAGATATTGCTGCAAGAATAGGTAAGCAATGCTATTTATTATCTCCAGATTCAGAAGTCAATAAAAATACAGTGCTGCTAGGAAGAGACTTTAGCGTTAAAGTAGGAGGAATCAAGGTGGATGAAGATGATGAGAAAACCACATATAAGGTTGGAAATGAAGAAGAGTTCAAACTTATTGCTGAAGATTTAAAGATCTTAGCAAGATGTAGCCCACAAGATAAATTATTAATTACAATAGGAATGAGAAACCTAGACAGAGTGGTTGCAGTTACAGGAGATGGCACAAATGACGCTCCAGCTCTCCAAAGAGCTGATATTGGAATCGCAATGATGACTGCGACTCCATTAGCCAAAGAATCGGCCGATATCATTTTATTAGATGACAACATCCAAAATCTCGTCATAGCTGTCAAATGGGGTCGAAATATTTTCGAAAACATCAGACGATTTTTGCAATTCCAGTTAACAGTCAATATTGTAGCTTTGTTCCTATGCCTATTAGGTGCAGTTAGTGTAGCTAGCTCTCCACTATCTGCAGTCCAGATGCTTTGGGTCAACCTTGTTATGGATTCTTTGGCTGCATTAGCACTATCTACTCAAGACCCTGACAAGAGAGTATTAGAATCTCATCCTTATGGAAAGAGTGAGTATATAATCTCCAAAGAAATGATTTTCAGCATAATTGTTCAGTCCACTTACCAAATTATAGTCCTTACCTTAGTCTTATTTTTAACTCCTACCTTACTTGGAATTGAAAATGGTTGGGATGATGGTGCACTCCATTATACCATATTTTTCAATGTGTTTGTCATGATGCAGCTATTCAATCAAATCTCCTGCCGAAAAATAAGAAAGGATGACTGGAACATTTTTGATGGAATTGGAAGCAACTGGCTCTTTGGTGTGATCATTGGGCTTGAATTTGTGATGCAGATCCTCTTTGTGCAGTTTGGAGGAAGCTTTATGAATACTGAAGAGCTAACACCTATCACACACTTATGCTGTATTGCTATTGGGATAAGTGTGATTCCAGTCGCGTTGTTCACGAAGTTTTTGATTACAAAGACGCTTTAATTAATTATTTGAATATGTTCAGATTGCAGCTGATATTTTTATTAATTAAATCTATGGACTATTGATGAGGATTATTTTTCAGTAAATACTGTTAATAAGTTAGCATCAATTTAAAACGTAACGCAAGAGCAACCGATCTTATTTGCCATTAAATTTGAATTTGGGCCAATATTTTTCTCATAGACTTGCAGTTGCTTTATAAAACCAATATTTGGGTTGCTGTCTCTATGTCTGTCCTTGACATATTGCAATGCATTGATAGCTGTAAATTTCTTCTTATACATCAAATAAGCTGTGACAACCGCGCAACTCCTAGATATTCCTTGAGAGCAATGCACCAAAACTTTGCCGTTGTTTTGTATTGCATTCTCAATTCAAGAATTACACTCAGGAAAATGCTTTCTCAGGTTTTCTTTTTCGTCGTCCCATACATTGATTCGCTTATAATGAAAACATATAGGAAATTCAGGCTCCAGGTTATTTCCGACGATAAGGATGTGGGTAATCCCAGTTCGCTTTAAAAGCTCAAATTTGCCTGCAGAAAGTTTATTTCCTATATAAAGCCCTTCATCAATAAAATCAATGCTGTACATTTAAAATTTATGATAATATTTACTTAAAGCGATTTTAAGATGGTTTCTGCTGATGAAATATCAGTTAGCTGCCCACCATTCTCATCGTTGAGCAAGGTAATTGTTCCATTTTCTACAAGAGCTGTGAATCTTCTAGTCCTATATCCTAAGTTTTTCTCTGATAAATCCACACCGGCTTCTATTGCTTTGGTAAATTCCCCAGATCCATCACAAATAAAAGGTATTGTAGTGTCTAATTCTTGGGCAAATTCTTTCAAAACAAATGGATCATTTATTGACAACCCAATTACTTCAACACCTTTGTTAGAAAAACTCCCATGAAGTTTTACAAACTGAGGCAAATGATGATTTGTGCAAGTTGGTGTAAAAGCGCCGGGAAAACCTACAAGAACGACTTTTTTGTTTGCAAAAAGTGAGACTGTATCAATGTCTTTTGCGATTGTGTATTTTCTGGCTTCGCCAGAAGTGACTGCAACTTTGAGTCATGGGATGACCTGGTTTGTGTGAAGAAGACGCTTGCAAAGGCTATTCAACATATTTTATTGAAATTCTGGGATGCAAATTTGATGTTATGGTAAAATTTAGTGAAAACTGAGAAAATTAAGGAAAATAAGCTTACAAATGGTCTTTAAAATATTTTATGCCTTTGATTTTATCAAGTATTGGAAGGTCTATTTGATTCAGGGTGTATAACTTTGGAAGAATTTTAGGGATTGGTGATGAAGCTTGTGATGAGCATTTTTCGATTGGGTTTTTGAGATTTCCTTTTAGGGATATAGAATTGCTAGCATTTTGTGTGCAAGATAGTATCGGATTGCGAAAAGTTCTTTCTAATGGCTTACATCCATGCAGAATATGATCACATCTGGCACTTGATATTTTAACTTTTTTATATTCATTTTGGATAAATTATCTAAAACATAAAATACATTATAATCTAGCACGCTATTTCATGCAAGGTATAAAATGTTTCAGCATAGGCAATGAGCTTGATTTCGATAAAGATTCTACCCTTCCTTCTTTATCACCAATTTTCTCTTCTTTTTTTCACTTCACATCACTCTCCAAAAATAAATTTTTTATCGGCGAAATTTGTGACGACCCAGGAAATTTCTTTTTTCCTCTCAAATAAATTCCCCTCCTACGCTTTTCCAAGTCTTCGTATGCAAAATTATAAAGCCCTGAATGCTCATTTATCATTATTTTATATTAACTTATAATCCAGGGTGTCTTCTTAAATATGTAGGAAATCTTGGAATCCCATCATTGCTTAGTTCTTGATATTTATAAGTCACAACAGAGCCAATAGGAGGTGGATCTTGCCTTTCTGCGTCAGAAAACCCTGACCCAATTTTGAATTCTTTTCCATTGTCCATGCGGACTTTTAACGCGCCAAACATTCCTTTAAACTTGCCTTTGCCTTGTTCATGAGCTATCACAGTAGCTTCTGCGTCTTTAAAAGACTTGACTTTTAAAAGTGTTGAAGTTCTTCTGCCTTCATACATGCTTTTAGGTTGCCTCAGCATAACACCTTCACCTCCCAAAGCTTCAATTTTCGCTGCTTCCTGAGATAAATCTTTTTTTCCTGTGCAAATACGCTGTGGGAGAACTTCTACGTATTGGTTTGTGGTGGCTGCACCGAATTTTTTTAAATATTCAAGTCTCTCTTCAAATGGAGCGTCTATAGAGGGAGCATCAAAAAGCATGAATTTTACTTTATTTCAGCGAGACATATCATTTTTGCCGTTATTAGTGCAGCGCACAATGCTGACACATTCTTGGAAGGCTTTGCGGCCAACCCAGAGCTCACCGTCTAAGCTGACTGTTTTAGGGAGTCCTTCAACAAAAAAATCAGGCACATCATATGGGTTTCCTTGACGCGAAACAAAAGATTTTCCGTTTCAATAGCAGCGAACACCATCTAGCTTTTCACTGAGCCACCAACCAGTTGGGTCTTGGTTTTTTAGGGTATTAGCAAGCATGAGAGAGATCACTTCTTCTGGTGGTCCAGAGCCAATTTCATAATCAAAGTCTCTTGCTCTTTTAGCTGGGAGTTGAGGCTTAGCCGCGTTTTTGGAAGATTTAGAGATCGTTTTTGGGTCTTCAACTTCTTCTATATCTGAATCCATTTTTATAAAGCCCCCAAAATTTCATGAAATATATGAGCATTAATATGAAAAAAGAGATTAATTTTATTCATATTTCTATGAATATGCCGCTATGGATTCTGAAGAAATAATGAATCTAGCAAGTTTTTTAATTAGCAATTTTTAATTTTTACGAAATGCTATATCTAAAATGATGTGGAATTGAATTAATTTTTTTAATTATTTTATAAAATCGGTTTATAAAGCTTCCTTAGATTTATTCTATTAACTCTTCTTATAAAAATAATAATTTTTTAGAGAATAATAATAGTTTATATGATAATTAAATTACTAAAATTCATATAAATGAATTAAGTATTCCCATGGGCCTTGTGCACTCTCTAAAAGTAGCCCAAAGATATACTTTGAAAATCCAGCTTCTTCGTCACATGCGAATACATCATTGAAGACATCATTAGAAAGCCTACAGTAAAGATATTTTTGGCATTTCTTGTCACACTTTTTAGCCTCGAAAGGATATTGAGCAAGCCAGTTTGCGTAGAATTTTTGGCCAGTTGCTTCATCATCAAGTACCTGGTCAGCTAATGCAGCAAATGATAGAGGTGACATATCTGGCATACTATGCCAGATTGTACTAATTATTTTATTTTTATGTCGTAATCATAATTTATTAAAAAAATTTAAACCAGCATAATATTGAACCAAATTTAAGCCTTCTTCAAATTAAATTGATATATATTCATCCTTGAAATTGAAGACTTCTTCAAATGTGGCGCTTTCAGTGTTTTGGTTAGCTGTATATAAAGGTAGCCTATATTGGTGGATATTTACAAGGTGATGTGTCTTTACGTCATACTCATAAAGTCTGAACGATGGGTTTTGGTCTGAATAAGTTCCAAATGAAGGAGCGGCAATGTAAACGCCAGCTGGATCAGCACCAGGGATCAATGAGTGAACCACAAAGAACTCATCTTGGTGAGTGTGTCCAAAGAATTGTCCTCTGATAGTGTTTTGGAACCTGTTTACAAGGGTTCTGAAATGTCTTGACCATGTTGAATCAATATATTTATCTCCGTGAGGAATATGCCCTAATATGATAACTGGCTCGTTGTTAGCTTCTGCTTGATAAAGTTCAGTTCTCAACCATGCAAGCATTCCTGCAGGATCGGTGTTGTTAGGAATGAGCCATCCGTTCATGTTGTCTCCGAGCTGATTATTAAGTCCAATAATCCTGAACCCAGTTGTAGGCTCTAAGGCCGAGTAGTAGCCGTTTTGGGAAAATTGTTGAATTTGATCAGGGCCAAGCCATTCACCCCATAATGAAGTCAAATTTCCAAGTAAAACTTGCTCATGGCCAGGGTGGAAAAAGTCCATTGGGAAACAATCATGATTCCCAATAATAGGGAACATTGGAACTTGTAAATAATCCTTGAACATCTGAGTCAGCTTGATTGTCACATTCATTTCTTTTTCTCTTTCATAAGCCCAAACGTCATGAGGAGGATTGTCACCAGTCCAAACTACGAAGCTGATAGGAAGGTTCTTGATCTGTTCCAGAAATGCGATTGCTGTCTGTGGAGGTGTGTCGCAGCTTGCGCGAGATCCCCAGTATCCAGCTGTACCGTTACCTGATCTGCAACAAAGAGGATAGTTGCAATCTACTTCTGATCCAGGCTGATAGAAAAAGTCAATGTGCATGTCAGTCACCTGTAACACAAAAAATGTTTCATTACCTGTTTGAGGCCATGGCTGAATTTCTGGCATGTCTTGAAGTACTTCACGCTCGTATTGAGTCAAGTTTTCTAATAAGTATTCTGGATGAGCACAAGATCCAATTTTTGAACAAACGTAATCAGGGCTAAGGAATTTCGCAATGGTATTTTCTGCATACCCTGGCCCATAAATGTCAACAAGTCCTTTACAAACTTCATGATGCTCAAAGAGAGAGCAAATCCCTATAAGGATGTCAGCGCCTGAGTCAAGGAATGCTCCACTGCCCACTGCATCTTTAAGAGCTTCAACAATTGCATGACACTGTAAGCAGTCTGGTTTGCGACGTGCTGTGACTTGCAGGGCTAAGACTGCAAATGCAATGGTTAAAATCATTCGCATTTTATAATTATTCAACCGATTTGAAATGGTTAAAAAATCATCAACTTAAGAGTTTATTAATAGGAAAATTTTCGTTCCATTTCTGGAGAGTAAATAATAATAGTGAATAAGAAAATTTTAATTCCCAATATTACTAAATCTCATATAGGCAATGCCTTTGAGTAGCGCGCTAGCGCCCGAGGCTTCCCGACGAAGTCTGGGCGGTGGTTTGACCAGCTGATGTTGGTCAAACCAACATCCAAAATGACAAATTCTTCTCATATAGAAGATTTGTCAAATTGGATGCTGGTTTTTGACCAACATCAGCTGGTCAAACCACCGCCCAGACTTCGTCGGGAAGTCTCGGGCGCTTAGCGCACTACTGAAAGGCATTGCCTATATATAAATACAAAGAGACAACATATTTATATTTTTTGGTTCCGATGAGCAATTAGGCTTCCAATTTTATAAAAAAAACTTAAAAGCTTGATATAAAGATTTTATATTTGATTAAAGATGACCGAATTTTAACTTAAGAGATTATCATATTTTTAGACATCCGAGACGTCACGTCTTAAAATTTAAAACTTTCCGAATCAAAATGGTAATTTATAATTCAATTAGAATTTGCATAAAGATAAATATGAGACCTCAGTATAGAGAAAAACCTTCCCCTGAAGAGTGCGAAGAATTAAAAAAGCTTGGTCTTGAAAATGATGATATTAATGAAGCGTTTATTCCTTTAGATTTATCCGAAGAAAAAGTCCCATTCACTTGCATCAAAAAAATTCTTGAGTGCCCTCTCTGTGGGCAGATTCTAACTCCCCCCTCCGTGAGCGAATAAAACCATTGGAAAAATCCCTATTTTTTGCCCAAAAAACTCAAGATAAATTTTTTATGAAAAAAAAATTTGATATATAAGTGATAATTAGTATAATGAAGTCTATAGCTAATTCTGTTTAATTTTTTTTAAAATTGCGTTTAAAACATAAATTTTATAAATTAAATTAATATTTACTCCCCCTCCTCCGTGAGTGAACAAAACCATTAGAAAAATCCCTATTTTTTGCCAAAAAACCCACCCTCCGTGAGTGAACAAAAATTTTTTTAATAGAAAAATTTTTTTATGGAAAAAAAAAAATTAATATATAAATGATAATTAGTATAATGAAATCTAGAGCTAATTCTGTTTAATTTTTAACGAATTGCTTTTTAAAACATAAATTTTATAAATTAAAATTAATATTTGCTTTCCAATTTTTGCGAATTAGGATTTTTTTAAATTTCGAAAAAAAAATATTTTTTATAAAATTTATATTTAAAAAAAAAAATCAAACCCCCTCCGTGAGTGAACAAAATTTTTTTGTTCACTCACGGAGGGGGGGGGAATTAGGATTATTTAAAATTTCGAAAAAAAAAAATTTTTTCTATAAAATTTATATATAAATTTATTTAAAAAAATTAACCCCTCTCCGTGAGCGAACAAGATTTTTTTTTCGCTTATGAGGGAAGGGAGTAAGAGATCCATTGATTTCCAAGCTGTGTGCTCATATTTTCTGTATGGAATGCATTTTAATGCATTTAAATACAAGCCAAATTAAGGATTGTCCGAAATGCCATGTTCCTTTAGACAACGAATCAAATTTAGATCCTGCGTATTTTATTGAAAGCATTTTAGCAAAGATTATACAAAGTTCAGAAAATGCAGCAAGAGGAGATTATGATATATAAATAATATTTTTTAAAGAGATCAAAAGCTAGCTGAGAGGTTTGGCTATCAAAAGCGCTTATCTAAAATAGCTTTTTCATTTTCTGCATATATGTTGGCTTTTAGGTTAATTATGTCTCTATCTTGATTTAATTATTCGTTTTTCAATAAAAAGCATTAGCTTAGCTAAAACAATAGAGATTATTTCTTAATTAAAATGGTCGACATAAAGCTAGATTCGCCTACTAAATATGCAAACCATTTAGAAGAGCTTAGAAATCTCTATTGCGATTTAACAGAAGAAATAAAGAAGGAAGAATCTGAAAAACTTGCAATTTTTAAAGAAATGGATATAGTAGCAAATCGTCTTGCACAGATTGAAAGAGAGCTGCAATCAATGGAAACTAATAGCAATAATATTGATGTAATAATCAAAGAAATATCTAAAGGCTATACTAAAATAGAAGCCAGCACATATTCTTTATATATGTTAGCAAGTCGACAGTTAAAAATGCTTAAAAGAAAGTTTCCTCTCTAACAATAATTATATATTTATACTTTTATAGTCTAAAAGATAAAGAAATAATCTTGAGTAAAATAGCTAGAAAATAATTTCAAGAGTCCAATAAATTCATAATAAAGCTTTGCAAAATTAAATAAATCTAAATTAAAAATTGCATATTTAAAAAAGATAAAAGATATCTATAGGATGAGCATCACTGAAAAAATGTTCTATTATTATTAATGTGCATGATAACATAAAATATTTTACTTAGCATGCATTATAATTAAAACAGATCTCCAGATATGAGAATAATTTTTTTAGTTAAAATGAAATAATATGGATTCTGATATAAAGCTATGTTTGCCATATCATACTACTTCACCGATGATTATTCATAAAATCTGATAAATAATTTAAAATAATGACAACATACCAAAATCCACAGAGTGTTCCGGCTTATCCAAATCCTCAATATCCTACATATCCTACTAATCAGAACCCTTCAAATGGGTATGCAGGAGCCCAACAATACCAAGCTAATAGAAATTCTCCTATCATTTATATACATCCCAACGAACCAAATCGAGCAGAAAATGCTCAAGAGCCCTCATTCATGAGGACTGATAAAAATGAAAGAAAAGACTTTATCAAAAAAGTATATGCTTTGCTAACCATTCAGCTTGCCATAACCACAATTTTTGCAGGAATTACAGTTGCAGTAAAGCCTTTAAGAGATGGGCTTATATTAACTTATCCTTTATTTTGAGTCTGCATATTTATATCCATTGTTTTGCTAATAGCTTTATTTTGCAGCAGAAGATTATCAAAAAAATACCCATATAACTATATAGCACTTTTTATTTTTACACTACTAGAATCTTATATTATAGCGTTTATATGTGCATATTCAGAGCCTCTTGCTGTGCTTGCTGCAGCAGTAATGACTCTTTCAATTACAGCAGGATTAACAATCTATGCTTGAAAAACAAAAAAAGATTTCACGCTTATGGGAGGATTGATCACAGTGCTAATTTTTTCTGTATTTTGGTTTGGGATTTTTATGATTTTCTTGTATAGTACATTTCTTTATTTGATATATGCATTTATTGTTGCTTTGATTTTTGGGTTCTATATTGTGTACGATACTCAACTAATTGCAGGAGGAAGATATAATGAACTAACATATGATGATTACGTCATTGGGGCGTTGCTATTGTATATAGATATTATTGGGCTGTTTTTAATTATTTTGTCACTTTTTGGAAATAAACGTTCGTAGATATAACTTTAAGCTCACATGAGCAATTTATAAAGATATTATATTATCTTAAAGTCATTTTTAACTAATAAATTGAATTAATTATTGAGGTAAAATCCATAACTATAAAATGGGAATGAGTGCTTGCCAAAAATGCTATAAAGGGATAGAATTTGAGCTAGAATTAGATAGAAGAGATATTTCAACGTCTAAAATGAGTCAAAATTATGAAAATGATGCTAAGTATAAAAGAGATTCAAGTTCTGACAGTAAAAGAAGAGAAATAAATCAACCAAAAAATATTCAGAATAAGAAATCTTCATATTCAAATTCTGGAAATGAAGTCCACAACCGCCTGACATAGATTTAAAATATGTACGAAAACCATAAAGACGAATTAATCATAAATTTCCAATTCAGTTTTTAATTATTGTCTCTTCTTCTTAAGTCCTTCAGGAATTTTAACAGGTGGCTTCCATCTTATCACACATATCAAAAGAGCAAAACCTATAATGCTCAAAGCAAAAGAAATAAGCAATGAATAATCTTGTAAAGGCAGCTGTGAGAGAGTTATTTTAATGCCTGGAGGAAATTGCTCTACTAGAAAAGAGTTTAGTTGAGCAAGTTTATCCATTTTATATTATAGTTTAGAGAGTTAAGAAGATCGCTAGCTTTCTATTATTTGATCTGCCCAAGGGAACTTCTTCTTAATTTCATCCATCATTTCCTCATCAAGCTCAGGCTCAATTTCCCATTCTGCTCTAATCAGGTCAATATTTTTACCTTGAAACAGAGAAGCAGTAAATGCACATAGTATTTTTACTAAATAATTGATGTCTAAATAATCAGCGATGTCTGCAAATTCGCATAGCTCTTCAATGCTCAATTTATTTAAAAATGCCCATTCTTCAGCAGTTACAATGTCTTGGAATTTCCGAGTCAGAGGCTGAGAGGGAGGCTCTGGAAATTGATAGGCAAATATATTGCAATATTTTACTACAAGCTTTATCTGATGCTTTGTGAAAAACGGTATAGGAATTGATCCTTCATGATATTCATTTATAATTTCTAATAAAAATTCAGAGCATCTCCCTATTTTAGTCGACACTGGGATCTTCGCTCCTTCAGCTGATATAAAATTGATATTTCCAGCAATGTCTCCGTCAGATAAAAGAATATCTTGTTCCATAATTAAATTTATTAATGGATAAATGCATATTTACTATATGCAGCCGAGTTGAAATTTGGAAACGCAATTTTTAAATCTTCCCTTGGCCCGAAAATTTTAATTTCTCTTATGTGAGTGTCTCTTCCATTATGCTGATTTTGTAAAACCATCAGCTGCACGATATGAGTTTTTACAGGCCTAAAAGCACCTCCTTGCTGCTTGCCCAGTGAAAAATTAAACCAGCCTGTAGGCTCGTCTAAATCTACGGTTTGTACTTCTCATAGGTCAGTCGTAGTATTTCCTAAATAAATTGACAGCTTGCTTGGGGTGTAGCTTTCGTCAGATTTAAAATCAACAAAAATACAAAATTCACTCACTGCGATTTTTCTAGGAAAGAAGACAGTAACAGTGTGAGGCTGGACTCCGTCTGATTGCCAGAAGGTATTTACATTATCATCACGCAGTTGTTCAACTCCGTTTCCAAGCTTAGCAGATGATAAGGTCCATATCCCAAGCTTTCCTATTTCCCGGCGATGTGCATTTGCGGATAGCGGGATCCTGGTTTTTGTATAAGGCCTATCAATTGGGAAACCTTCAAGTTCTGAATGACTAAATAAATCAGTGACATCGGTGAACGGACTTCCTATCGGTGAGAGATAGCTCATTTTTTCCTAAATATATAAAATAAAAATATATTTTTTTTATATACTTTTAAATAAGAGGGTTAAGAGTATTTAATAATTATTTTTACAGCAAAAAATTGAATTAATTTCATAAGAATGCCTTTTAATATTTTGATTTTTTGGTTACCCCTTTAAACTGTATAAATTTTAATTTGTTCCTTATTGAATTAAAAATTTTAAATTTTAAAGAATCTCTATTTTTAGATTATTGAGTTTTTTAAGCCCAGGTTGATAACTAAAGCACTTCGGATGGTTGATTCCGTAGCTTTCTGTCGTCTCAAAGTCTCTGGCAACAACTTCATTAGGCACATCTTCCCAAGCTTTTGATAACTAATATATTTTTATATAAATAAAAAATTTGCATGATATGAAAATCGTTCGATCAAGGATAGGGGTTAATTTTCCCAATTTTCAGGAATTTTTACAGTGAATCGTTCGATCAAGGATGTGTGGGAGTAAATATTAAATTTGCATCTTTTATAAAACACTGCCAAAGTTTGCATATCCAAGCTTAATGTGGCCGTTAAATATTACTTTAAAATGGAATTCAAAGAAAAATCTGCAATTGTGAGCTCAAGAGACTGCCCCGTGTCAAATTTTCAACAAAAGCGCCCTTTTATGCCTGGATTTGATACAAAATTCAATGATAATAAAAAACGAAAACTTTGAAATGGAGTCGAGCATATAAAAGCGGCCCCATCTAACAATCTGACTTCTGAGGAAAGAGAATTATTAAAAATTGAAGCTGAAATTAATGAATTTGAGCGGCAAAAACTCTTAAATTTAATGACCTATCAAAGAAGCAAAAATTATACACCAATTAATTTGCCACATCATAGCACAGTCCCTCAACCGTTTGTATTAAGAACCGAACAAATACCTTGCGCAAAGGACCATTTGATAGAAGAGCGATGCTTGAACGCAAGACCTATTTTTAAAGCCCGCCCTATGCCTAGGTACAATGAGCCTCCCATATATAGAAGCGATAAAAAATTAACAGTCCCGAGGGAATTTGAATTTTCAACCCCAACCTCAACCAGGCATATGGATTGCCACTATTCAACTCCTACAAATCTCTGCCATAGTGTGGATTTTTCCCATAGCATCTGTGACAGTCCTGCTTTTCATGCTAAAGAGATGCCTGATTTCTCGAACCCTTTTACACCCACAAAAAGTTTTACGCCAACAAAGTTCCAGCCTTTCCACTTAAAAACAGAAGAAAGAGGAAGTTCTAAAAAGAAATCAGAGCAGCTAGAATATCAAAGGAGCTTGCAAGAAAATTCTATTAGTATGTTTAGAGCAACCCCTATGCCTGATTTCACACCTCCCTCATTAAAAAAATCAGAAAGACCCCCTACTACGCCTATCCCATTCGTATTGGCAACTGAACGAAGGAGCATGGAGCGCCCCCCCTCTTACTCCCCTTCTACCTTTCAAAATTTCAAAGCCAAGCCGATGCCAGATTTTTCCCACCCCTTCTTCCCTGTTAGTAACAACATGGAGCTCACGCAGCCCATGGATATAGAACTTCACACAGATAAGCGAGCAGAAGAAAGAGCTGCATTTGAAGAAAGTCTTCGAGAAAAAGAAAGACAAGAAAGTCTGCTAAGAAGTTTGGAAGAACAAGAGAGAAAAAAGAAAGAAAATCATGAGGTCCAGCTCTTCAGAAAGCAGGCTGAATTTCGAGCTCGACCTATGCCAGGGTTTTACTATTCTGGCACTGAAAACAATAATCCAAATTTCAAAGAAATTGTTTCAACTCATTATTCCTTCATGGAAACAGAGACTTCAATAACACAAGATGAGGAAATGACTGATGCGCCATAAATTATAAATAAAAGTTATATATTTTCTATATCTATATCGCTTTTTCGCTCTTCGTCGCTGTAATCGCTGTCTTCTTCTTCAACATTGGTCATTCTGGCGAATTGGATGTGGTCGTTTGGATCTTCTTCTTGGTTTTCTGCTACTTTTAGATTTTCAGGTAGCTCACCAAGAGATTTTAAGTTTCTGACCTCATCAGGTGTGTATTTAAGAATGATGTCAGCTTTTGAGTCTTGATAGTCCCTCAAACCGACTAAGACAATGTCATCCATCCCTATCCACACTCTTCTTTTCATCTGACCTCTAATGTGGCAAAGACGCTTTACACCATCAAAACAGTAAGCTTCTAAGCGGCCATTTCCAAGCATCCTGAGCACTTGTGCGTATTCTTGCCCATCTTCTTTAAAAGTGAGCTCTCGTTTGAACTCAGTTGATTCGTTTTTCCCACGACGCTTGTTTTTGCCACCTTTACCTTTTTTCGGCATTTATATTAGAAAATAAAATTGTCTAGAATGTATTTTATTCTTTTAGTTGCTATTGCCTTACTCCCCCCCCCCCCCTCCGTGAGCGAACAAAACCATTAGAAAAATCGCCATTTTTTGACCAAAAACCCACCCTCCGTGAGCGAACAAAAATTTTTTTAATAGAAAAAATTTTAATGGAAAAAAATTTTGATATATAAGTGATAATTAGTATAATGAAATCTAGAGCTAATTCTGTTTAATTTTAAACAAATTGCGTTTTAAAACATAAATTTTGCAAATTAAATTAATATTTGCTTCCCAATTTTTGCAAATTAGGATTTTTTTAAATTTCGAAAAAATATATTTTTATATAAATTTATATATAAATTTTTTTTAAAAAAAAAAATTAACCCCCCTCCGTGAGCGAACAAAATTTTTTTGTTCGCTCACGGAGGGGGGGGGGGGAGTTAGGGAAGAATTTAAAAGAATCCTCTTGGTTAAAGAGCCAAATTAACCCAGGTGAAACAAAATTATACACAGTGTCAAAGAATGACCTTTACCCAGACAGTGCATATGAGATAAGGGTTTCTTATCTAGGCACTATTGGTGCTAATTTTTTATTAAAATGAGATTGTGATAGCCAGAGCAACCTAAGACGCTTATTGGATATAGAAAAAATAGTTTTCCGTACAGACAGCAATAGAAACATCATAGGCCTTTCTTGCTCTGAATACAAACTAAGAGTTAAAGCTTACAGAAATTCGCGAGGCTCTGATGTTAATGCAGATACGCAAATTATCCAATATGAAATTATTATGGAACGAGTTGAAAGTTTCACGCTTATTCCTATGAGTACTTTTCCTATGATTATAGTGACTCTTTTTATGATAGGAACTGCAATTTATATTTCAAGGCTTTTAACAAAATAATTAATATAAAATATTATAAATTACTTGAAAAATGGCTCATAAAGCTGGAATTCAAGATTCTGATAGTTCGGAGACAAATCATTAGATTCACAATAATTTTCTAAAGGATCCTTTATAGTTGTAGAAGAGTCCTCAGATGATAACAATATTTGTTTAGGTCTACTATGAGGAGAAAGCTTCCTTGAAGACGCGAACTTCAAAGACTCCGTTTTAATTGAGTTGCTTCTTGATGAATTTCTCATTCGAGGCGTAGTTTGAAGATAACTGATCATGCTTAAATCCCTTCGAATTTCTTCAGAAATTTGCTCTTTCGCTAATTTTTTTCGCTTGAGCTCAGTTTCAAATTCTGATTCACACGAATTAGAAATTAAAGGCAAATTTTTATCATGTTTTCTTAATAAAACTTTTCAGTCACTTGGCCCTCTAAAGGAGTATTCTCCGAACTCTTTTTTGCGTTTAATTGGTGTTTCTGGAGATTTTGACCTCTTTGCAGGTTTCGTTTCTTTGAACTCTAAGTTTTGATAGTTTTTAATCAGTGATATCTGTTCTAGCTGCTTATTTGTTAAGGCACTATTTGGAAGTCTAGATACTTTAACTGATGAATTTTTCAATGTAAGCAATTTTCCAAGAGAATAGCTATCGTCCACAAATTCTTTATGTAGCTCTTCTGCCAGGTCATATTTTGGAAGCGGAGAAATGCTCTTTTTAGAGTGCTTATTTGTTATTTCTGCTTTGACATAAGGATGGAACCTCATCTGAAGCTGATGGTCACTTGGAATTGTTTTATATGATCGTAGCTCATTTTTGATAGGCGAAGGCGTTTGGGAAATTTCCTTTAAAATCCTCGGCTTAGAAGATCGGGAATGAATTGAGAATTGAGGATGCTTCTGATGAAATAGTGGATCATATCTGAGACGAGGAAGCTTAGTTAATGCAAGTTGCTCTATTGTACAGCCTTTTCTTAGATTAGGAATATTTTTACACTCAAAAGATTTATTCATTATCATTAGTAGGATAGTAAAATAAAAACTGCTCAACATGGATTGCTATTAAGATCTATTATAAAAAGTAATGGAAAGCACGCACATAGAAGTTCACAATGGAAGCATCCTCAAAAAAGCTAATCACGTCAGATTTGTATGCATTTCAGACACGCATGATTATACTGATAATTTGATTTTGCCTGATGGAGATGTCTTGATACATGCAGGAGACTTTACACTAGAAGGGAATTATATGGAAGTTGCCAAATTTAATCATTTTTTATCAAAACAAAAACATAAATATAAAATTGTAATAGCTGGAAATCATGACTTTTCTTTTGATAGTAATAAATATAATGAACTTTTACAGTTGCATGAACTTCCTTATCAAGCAAGCTCAAAGGAAATAAAAAGTTTATTAAAAAACTGCATTTATTTAGAAGATTCATATGTAAGAATTTATGGCTATAAAATATATGGATCTCCATGGACAAAAGAGCATTATCCTGGAGCTTTTACAATAGCAAGTAGCAGTGAAATACAAAGAAAATGGATGATGATTCCTGATAATACTGATATTTTAGTCACTCATTCGCCTTCATATATGACCTTAGATTTAACGATAAAGTATCATAATGCAGGCTGTCAATATCTAGCTGAAGAGCTTCTTAGAGTCCGTCCTAAAGTTCATATTTTTGGCCATATTCATGAATCTTCTGGATGAATTGAAAACAGAGGAATTACTTCGATAAATGCAGCAGTGTGCAATCGAAGATATCAGCCAAACAACCCTGCTAAAATTTTCGATCTACCAAGGCTTGGCTAATTAATCATTGTTGTATATATTGTTAATAGTATATAAATTTTAATGCACCCTAGCTATATTAATTAAAATTTTTTATTTTATTTGCTTACATATTCTTATACAATAATAATTTCATAAAATATATTTATCTTCTGATGCTAGCTCGAAAAATTTTATATTTAAAAACAATTGATAATGGAGGGTCTAAATATTTATTTCCCAAATATTATATAAATGCAATATAATTAATCATCAATCTTTATTCACTAAACTTAAAGCACTTTCAAAAACTTTAAATTTTATGATCATCTATAATACCCAAAACTATAATTAAAGTATAACTCGTCTTAATTTTACTACTTTAAAATTAAACTTATTTTCGCTATGGAGAACTTAAATTCTTTAAAAAATGCAGTCTGTTGATCAATCCTCTTCAACAAATGTCCAAGTTTTCTGTCGTTTCCGACCACTTGACGATCACGAACGAAGCCTACCAAACCAGAGATTTATTGAAATTTTGCCTAATTCAAAATCTGTAATAGTGCACCCAAATAAAGAAAGTCGTGAAGATGCACAATTTTATTTTGATTATATTTTTGACGAGTTTTCTTCCCAGCAACTTGTATATGATAAAGGAGCAAGAAGTGTAATAGAAGCCGTCATGCAAGGATTTAATGGGACAGTTTTTGCATATGGCCAGACATCCTCAGGGAAAACTTACACAATGTTTGGCCCTAACCTTGATGACCCAGAAGCAATGGGAATAATCCCACACATGATAACGACCGTTTTTTACAACATAGAAAATTCTGACCCCACAAATGAATACACAGTAAAAGTTTGTTGTTTTGAGCTTTACCTAGAAAAAATAAGAGACTTATTTGACACATCCAAAGAGAACTTAAAAATCAGAGAAGATAAGATGAGAGGGGTGTATTTAGAAGGATTAACAGAAATTTATGTATCAACTGGAGAAGAAGTGCATGAACTCATGAAGTATGGCCACCAAACAAGAGCGGTTGGTGCCCATAGGATGAATAATGAATCGTCCAGGTCACACTTAATTTTTTCCATAGCAGTTTCTCAAACAAGTACAGAGGATTTTACTACCAAAGTAGGAAAACTGCATTTAATTGATCTTGCTGGGTCTGAAAAAGTAGATAAAACAGGTGCGGAAGGAACAAGACTGGAAGAAGCCAAAAAAATCAACAAGTCTTTGACAATTTTAGGGCAGGTGATAACAGCTTTGTCGGAAGGTAAAAGAGGGTATATTCCTTATAGAGATTCAAAATTGACAAGGATTCTTCAAGATTCTTTAGGTGGAAATTCAAGGACTAGCTTAATTATCACTTGCTCACCATCTTCATGGAATGAACTTGAAACGATAAGTTCATTGAGATTTGGAATGAGAGCAAAAATGATAAAAAATACTCCAAAAGTAAATATAGAGTCTACTGTTGGAGAGCTAAAATTATTATTAGCTGCTGCCAAAGAAGAAATTCACCAGAAGAATAAAAAAATCAAAAGATTAGAAAATAATCAAAGTCAGCTTGAAGAAAGTATGAGTATGATGGATTTTGAAATTGATAAGAAATATGAGGACGTTATTAAAGAGTTAGAAGAAACAAGGGCTAGATTATCATTAGAAATTTCAAAAAATTCCAAGCTCAATAGTGAGCTATCGCAGGTGCAAAATAATTATGATGATCTAAAATCACAATTTGACGCTCTTTTAGCTCAATCTAAGCTTATTGATGAAGAATTCCAATCGGTGGAAGAAATTTTAAAAGTTAAAGAAGAGCAAATAGAGCAGCTCACTGCTTTTAAGAATTCTTATGAGAATGGGTTTACAACTGCCAATGATGCAAAATTAAAGCTTGAACAAGTTATTATTGAAAAAGATTTAGAAATAGAATTATTAACTTCGCCCCCTCCATGAGCGAACAAAAAAAATTTTTTCACTCACGAGGGGTTAATTTTGTTTTAAAAACATTTTATAAAAATATTATAGAAAAATTTTTTCTTCGAAATTTTAAAAAAATCCTAATATGCAAAAATTGGAAAGCAAAGCAAATATTAATTCAATTATAAAATTTATGTTTTTAAAAAACAATTTGTTTAAAATTAAACAGAATTAGCTCGAGATTTCATTATACTAACTATCACTTATATCAATTTTTTTTTTCCATTAAAATTTTTTCTATTAAAAAAATTTTTGTTCACTCGGGCTTTTAGGCAAAAAATAGTGATTTTTCAATGGTTTTGCTCACTCACAGAAGGGGGAGTAAGAAGAAAATTAAAATTATCACCAACAGCTTTTTCAGAAGAGGATAAAGTTAGGCAAGAGCAAAAAAGAAAGGAAGCTCAAGAAAAAGCAATTATAAGCAAGTATGCGCCTTCTTTATTGGATCTAAGTATGGATAGCCAAATAGGTGATGAAAACTGGAGATTAGAGAAAAAGAACTTAATTGAAAATTTGAAGCTGAGAATAAAACAAATAATTGATCTGGAAATTGCTCTTGACGATTCTAAAAATGATTATAATAGTTTAGAGAATAGCATGAATCTTGATGCAAAAGAAGCCAAACGCAGAAATGACCATTTGCAGCGAAGCCTTGAGCAGCTTACCCTTATGTACCATCAGCTTGTTAACCAAAATTCTGCATTGTCTGTAGAAAAACAAATTTTAGAAAAAAAATCAACAAGATTGTCTGAAAAATTAAAATTAATTGAAACTTCTTCTGCAGCTCTAAAAGGAGAACTTAAAAGAGCTAAAGAAGAAATAGACCAGCTTAAAGAAGAATTAAACCAGCCAAATTACTTAAAGAACACGATGGGAGCTTTAGCTCCATTAATACCCAATTCAAGAATCAAAAAGAGGATACGAGGTGGAGGAAACCAGCAGCTTTTGGCTACATTTGCTGTGCAGGCTAAAACATACTCAAATCTCAGAAACTCATTTAATCAATTTGAAGTTGGTAAATAGCTTAATTAAGACTAATTAGGTTAAGCATTAAGCAAAGCATTATAAGCCTCTTCAATATTGATAATAAAATTGTCCTTTTTCTGCCATTTTCTCAACAGAGATGCTTCTTCTTGAAATGTAAGTTTAACTCCAAGGCCTTCAATAGCATCCAAAAAGTGCTTATATTCTATTTCTTTCCCTAGCTTAGGGTCAATATTTTTCAGCATTTCGATCAAAAACGTTTGTGCTGAGCCATATGATTTTGAATATCTCATAATCTTTTTCAATATTTGTGGATAAGAGGCTTGAGGAAAATCATTAGGTCTTTCTTCCATGTAATTGTGAGTGTATTCATCACACTTGGTAAGGAAAAATCTGTAGCTTTGCAAAATCAGTGTATTTCCAATCATACAGTCTTTGTGTTGATAATATTCTTGACTGTATGGATTTTTGAATTTTCTTCGTTCCAAAAATTTGCCTCCAACGACTCCTGAGTTTCGGTCAACGACTTCGAAAACTTTTATAGTATCATCACCAGGGAAAAATAAGACAATAAATTTCCCGAGCTCATCTTCTGGATTTGAACTGACAAGTTTTGCTTCAAATCTGAGCACGTGTTGGTCATTATCAAAAGCTTTGTACATGTCAACTTTTGGAGCATTTGGTAAGAGCTTCAGAACATTTCCTATTGAGTCTTCTTCGCTGCCAAAGCCATTGTGAGGAGGAATAGGGTTAGGAAGGATAAATCCTTTTGGTCTTTGTATTTGAATTGGCTTTACTTCTATGTTGAGTTCTTCTAAATACCATTTTTTGGTGAACTCATCACAATCAAAAATGAGTAAATCTTTTCCATATACAGTTATACTGTTACCACAAATTAAATCGTTAGGAGTATAATGATCTTCACTCCTCAGCGCTAGCGCTGGACATGGGGTCAAAATCGGTGTCTTGGGAACTTTCATCCTTCTCAATAGCATCGGAAAAGTTTCATTTCCAGTGTTCACCTGCTTAAGCTCCTTAATTTCCATTGTATCATCATATAAATAATAATTCATCCTATAAAACTTCAATCCTCCATCATACGAGGTATCATTCCACATCACATCAAATGAAAGCACTTTTCTATCATTTTCTATGAAACTTCTCAGCTTTTTATTAGGATGTCCTCCTCCAAGCTTTACTTCATTATATTCTTTTACGTCCATGGTATCTGGTGGCGGTTGCTTAAAATTCACCATTAATCTTGTTACGTCAAACCTGTCCTCAGGATAGTTTTCAGCTTCCCCAAGATCTACCCCTTGCTCAGCGTAAAAATTCCTAGTAAACTCATCACAGTCTAAAATCCTGAAAACTCGTCCATACATAGTAGCATTTTGCCTTAATCTAAAATCTCTCCATGAGTAATAAACCCCATCACTCCTAGGAATCCTATGCTTTTTCACAAAAACTCCTTGAGGAATCCCACTGTTTTCAACTTTAGGCTCTGTAATAAATGTAGTTTCGTCGTCTAAATAATGCATGATGACGCATTTTCTGACACGAAAATTTTCAGTTGAGCTTTCATGAACGGCTAATGTCAAATGACAGTGGATTTTTGACAAGGTGCATTTCATCGAAATACATTTGGGAAAAAATTTTTAATATTGCGCATTTACCCGAAAATTAACGTTTTTTTTGGTTAAATGTCTCTCTCTATCAAAAATTTTCAACCAATTTTCAGCCAAAAAATTTTCGGTGAAATGGACACTATCAAAAAGACAATGTCATTTGACCTGCACCCTTCATGAACTGCCTCTTGGAAATAGCCATAAAAACGCAAGACTTGACGATCGTGCTTAAGCCAAGCTGGAGGGTTGCGGGGGATTGCATAGTTGTCAGGAGTTTTAGACCGAGCTTGGGAAGGATAATTCATGAGAGTTAGTGTCTTACGGAGCTCTGATACAAGGTCAGGAGTGGCACTTTCTTGATGAAATTTTGTACTTTCAGTCATGTGGCCATCACGGACTGTGAACATCTGGTGACGGTGGAAATTCGTTTTGGTTGGGTCTCGGAATTGATGACCTGGAAGCTTTGGGATTGAGGCTGAATCCATAATTTATTAAGAATAACCGAAATTTTTATGCTAAAATTATTGAAAGTGATTAGGAATTATTGACATGAAATTGCTTATTTTCGGTTAAATTTTAAAATTTTTAAAGTCTTCCTCTTCCTCTTCCTCGACCTCTTCCTCTGCCAGTTGGAGAGTTATCTTTAGCCTCTCCTCGAGGTCCTGGGCTTGTATCTCTAGGAATTATGCTACCAGTTGTAGTTTTCAAATTGGTTACTTTATTGTCTTTATCAGGCTTCTCTGTAGTTGGAATTTTAGTCTCATCATTATCGTGGACATAAAAAGAGTCTCCTCTGCCTGTTGTATCTTTCATTTGAGTCGCGACTTGAAGTTTTAAATTTTTTACAAAAATCTTTTTGATGTAGAATTCTCCTATAAGCGTCTATAGAAGTTTCCTATGTTTGGCGCTGTAAGGCCGATAAATTCTGATCGGAATTTATCGGTAGGTTGCACCAAATCAATGCCTTGGTCGGACCAAAAAGCGATTTGGTCCGACGAACTTGGAAAGCTCCTGGGAAAATGTCTGCGCTTTTAGCGCTATATAGAGGAAACCTCTATAAATAGAAGTTACCATTGAGGTAATCATGAAAAATAAACTTGAAATATAGAGAAATGATTGGTAGGTTTCTGGACTAGACATATTTGCGCAGTCCATGTCTGATGGGATCATTGATGGATCTGTTTGATCTCCACAGAGCTGAGTTGAGGCTACGGCGAGTCCAAAAATTACATAATAAATACATCACGCAAAGGTCAAGACTAGAAAAGCGGCTGAAGAAATCAGCAGTTTTTTATTAGCTCACCAAACGTTTAGGATCATGAATATTGCACTAAAGAAGCCACATATGAAGAGAAACAGTTTTACCCAAGGTCTCCATTCATCTGTATCAAAATCATCTTTATAAGATTCGTATAAGTAAGGAATTGATAGTAGACTTGCTATTGCAAGAGTGATCGTTATTCCTAAATTATAGTAAAGAGTCATATATTTATTATGAAATTCAAAGCATGAATAAATTTGAACTGCAAATGAGCAAATTTTACCATTTATTAACATTGAATTCAAATAACGAAAATTAAATGCATTGTTTTTTTACTTAAGAAATTTTATCGATTTTTTATTACAATCAGGTTTAAAATTAGCAGATTATTAAAGTTAATAACTATTATCAAGTAGTGATCATATACTTTATGTGGAATAATTATGAGATACCTAGAGCATTCTTTTTTTAGAAGCTATACAATTTTTTTTTCTAAATTCAAAAACAAATTAGAATAATTTTTTAATGATATATATTTTTTTAATTTTTATCTATTAGCTTAAGAAACTAATTCAATTTGAGTGCTTTCTATCTGATATTCATCTTCAAATCTTGCCACTACCTCATCACCTTCATATTCCAACACATTAAATTTAAGTGTTGTAGGAACTCTTCCTTTTCTAGATCCTTCAAGTTTTCTGAGAAGTGCATAAGCTGTGCCAGTTCCTTCTCTGTCTACCCTTGGACATGGATAAATTTCAATCCCTCCATCTACACTAAGTAGTGGTTCTAAAAGTGTAGACTCAAGATGCAAGTTTACCACAACGTCTTCTAAAGCTTGGTTATGCAAAGTATTTGATATAGAAAATTGCAATAATAAGCATGAAGGGTAATTATGAGCAACCATCGTAACTATGTATTCTGCAGTTTTTTCAGTCAAAATTACACTATTGGTAGAGGATAGAGGTTTTCCTAATTTTTCAAGTTCAGCTATCCCTTGATATAAGTTTGTCTGAGTTTTCTCTGGCAGTGATGGACCTTTATATTCCTCTGGCTCTTCTTGTATATGCCTTGCTAGTTCCAATGTAAAAGTTCTTCCTGTATCTCTACATTTTTTGACAGCTTTTTCTATCTGTGCAATCGAAACAGGAAGTGTAGTCTTAGGGAATTCATCCTTTTCTAAGTAATCTAAATAAAATCTGGCCCTTTCTCTGACCTCATCATCTTTGTCTTCTAAACATCTATTTAATAGGACTTTTACGTTCTGTGCCAGTTCTGGGACTTTAGCGAATTTTCCTAGTGCAGTGACTGCAGCTGCTCGGGATTGTCCTTTGTCGAGGATAAAGCGATTGTAGATAAATCTGATAAGTTGTGATGGGTCTTCTGACTGAGGACCAAGCTCGCCTATAAGATGGATTGCTTTGCATTGGAGGATTTCATAGTGACAGTCTTCAATAAATTCAGCAAGAATAAGCATTATTAAATCATGAGAGCTCGGCAAGTCTTGGAGAATTTGAAGTAAGGTGTCTAAGACAACAGATTTTAGCTGAAATCCACCTTCCCCTTTTAAGATGTCTCCTACAAAAGTTAATAAAGTTTTTATTTTTCTAGGCATTCTCAAGCATAAAATTTTCAAGGATTCAATTAGTTCGATTTTGAAGTCATCAGTAATTTCTGTCATAAATTGAGTGATTTGTGTAATTAGCCTATCAACATTTTTTTCTGTGCTTAATTTTAGTAATGTAGAGATCGCTAATGTTGCTAATGATCTATTAGATTCAGTGATTAAAGGTTCATAGTCAACGAGTGATCCAACTAATAAATTTTGGCATTTTATTGCATACTGATTTATGGTTTTAATCCCTGCGAATTTTGTTGTATTTTTTCCAGAAGCCAAAAACAGCTGCAAAACTGAAAACCCAGAGCTAACATTTTTATTTTCCCATAGCTGCAAAGCGTACTCAGCTAAAGTTTTGGAAGCTTCAAACACAATCATGTCTTGATTTCTTTTGAGTGAGTCACAAAGATATTTTTCTATGCTGGCCAACGCTGGCTTGTCAAATGGAATAGTTTTTATTGAATATCGTATAAATCTAAGAAGCTGAACTTGTGCCAATGGGTTTTTAAAACCAGAAGAAATCATAAATTCAAAGAACTTGGAAAGGGCAAGAGGGTCATTTTTCTTCATCTCGAACAATAAAAGCATAGCGTGGTAATGAATATTTAAATTTTTTGAAGATAGCTTTTCTTGGACTTCTGTCACCCATCTTCTCACTACTTCTGGATGGCTTTTGCATAATTTGAGACCAGCGATCATAGCAGCTGAGCTGACTGTATCATTATTATCGACGATTGAGTTTTTAATAAATCTCTCCATTTGAATCAACAAAGAAGGATCCAGAATCCTGGCCATGACTCTTAGCGCGCTTGCTCGGTAATAAGGATTATCTGATGTGCTCACATCTCTGGATAAGGAACTTGTAATCATAAAAACTTCGCCTTCTTTAGGACTGAGCTCTTTAAGCAACAGATAAAGCATCTTACGAATGTGAGGGTGCTGGGATTGATAGAGCTTAGAAGCTCTGAAAAATATTTCAGTTGATTCGTTCTGTGAAAGTTCCTCGCCTTGGTTTATGAGGTATAGGATCTTGGACATCACTGGAATTACTTCTTTAGGATCAATTGATGATGCGTCAAAGCACCGGGAGTCTTGAAGAACACGAGCTTTTTCGATTTGAGCGAGAGGGTCAGTTTTTACTTCATGTCCTTCTTTCATTTTGTTTATAATTAATGGTCGAATGGGATTTTTGGGGATGAAATATTGAGAAAGTTTGGGAAATTGAGGAGTCATGACAAATAATGAAATTGAAATTAAATAAGAAAAGATACTCTCAGAAAAAATTAGAATATTTTGGCTTGTATAGAACAATTAAAAGGATTGTTAGACTTGGAGCTGACGTGGAATCTTAGAAAATATATCTCATAATTTTATATAAATATGAATTATATAAAAAATCTATTTTATTACTTTGGTCTACTTCTATTAAAAGCTATATGATATTGTATTATATTTTTTCTGGTAACATTTTTTATATTAATTACTTCTTAACTGCATCAAATTTAAGCAAATATCTACAACAATTTAATCAGATCTCTTTTATTAGATCTTAGATAGAGTCCTTGGTTTCCTTTTCCATATACAAAAGCAATTTTATCTGACTTGAAATCTTTTACAAAAGCATGCACATAGTCTTTATTTAAATTTTCTTTAGGTTTTTCAATATACCTATTCAATCTTTTAAATGCTGATTTTATGACTTTGTCTTCTTCGTTTATTTGGTTAGTTTCTCTTTTATTTAAATTTTCTAAATTGTTACACTCGCTGATTATCTTGTCAAGACAAAATTGAGAACTTCGTCTAGTAGATTTAGGCTTTCTTGGAGAATTCGGAGCTGTGTTTCTATATAAATCACAAGAAATTGGCCGAGAAGTAATAGCAGAGTTCGTTATAAAAGGTTTTAGTTCTAATTCAAAATTTTTTCGCTCAGTGGCTGGGATTTTATAATTTTTTTTAATTTCAGAGAGTTGTAAATGCAGTTTGGGACTTGACTGTTTTGAGGAAGGCCTAGATAGCAAAGGATAAGATCCTATACTATGAGAAGGTTTATGCCGAGCTGATGTGAAATTATGCTTATCATTGACTATAAATTTACTTGGATCAGATGGGACAGGCTGCAATTGTGTTGGCATCTTATTTTCAAGCCTTGTCAAAGAACGCCTTAACTTTTTAGATATAGAAATTGCATCGTTTGTAGATAAAAGCCCAGCTTCAACTTTTTTCTTTTTATGCACATGATCTGTTATACTTGCAACTGCATCTTGCAAGCTTTTTTTCGGGCTTCAGTTAAGTTTAAAATGCTCTTTTGAATTAAGTGTGGATTTTTTTGATGTAACTAAGTTTTGCTCCATTTAATTAAATATAAACCATATGAAATTTCACAAGAATTTTCGAGAATCCCTTTAAACTAATTTCTTGCGCTTTTGTCTTTGAAAAATAAATATAGTAAAATATGATGACTAGACCCATAAGGGCAATTTTTTAAATAGACTAAAAGTCTTTTTAATCTTTTTTTCACCAGAAATACTAAAACAGATTCCTGTAAGTTGAAATTACATAAACCAAAAATAATCTGCATGCCCCCAAAAAATTTGACAAAGTTAGTGGCAAAATTATAGTTTGCCATAAGTTTTCATTTTGGTTTCTTTTATATTTTTTTGTTCGAACAGACTTTATCAGGAAGAGATTTCTGATGTCAGTCTGGAGTTTCCTGATAATTTTTTTAGATCTAAATGGAGTAAAAAGAGTTTTGGACGAGTAAAAAATCGTCCTTATGAGCCCAGTCATTATAGTTCACTATATTCTCTATTTCTCTTATAATTCTAATTGAATTACATAAAATGTCAGAAGCCAAACATCCGCTTCGATCAAGTCTCCCCTCGCTCCAATCTTCACAGCACGAACGAGATGAAGAAGAACTGCGAAATATTATTTACGACTTAGATCAAAGCATCCTCGTTAACAAAAACCTGCTTAAAGATGTAGTTTCTACCCTAGTCCCTCAAAAAAGTAAAGAGCATTCCAATGACACTCAAGTCACTCATTTAATTTCCAGTAAAATTCATGATAAGCTCCTAGTGGAAAATTCAAGAATATTGCAGGCTATTGAGAGAATAAAGCTGGAAATAGAAACTGCAAATAGCAACATTCAAAGTTTTGAAGAAAAATCAGCACAAAGCAGAAACAGGAGGAAGGAGTATCAAAAAAGGATACAAGAAGAAGCCAAAAAAATGAGGCAAACACTTCATAATAAAGAAGACGAAATACAAAGATTGGAAGAATATAGAAGCAGAATTGATGAAGATATAGAAGAAAGCCAACAAGAAGAGCAAGTAACTCCTGATAAAATTATTGAAGAAGGGAAAAAATTGGTTAATAAATTAAGCAAGCAGCTTAAACAGGCTGAAGAACAAAGGGATATTGAAGTCAGAAAATGCAAAGATTTCGAGGAAGACATAAAAAAAATCCAGGGATTAGTAAAAGTTGCAATGCCAGCAGGAATTGATATGACAAATGAAACGTTAAAAAAAGACTATGGACTTGGTTTAAATTATGAGAATTATTGGTTTGACTGTGAAATGGGTGGAGAATCGATCGACACTATTCAGTCATCAAATCTGACGATAGAAGATAATATTTTTCCTAATAAAGTGGATTTTGCTAGCAAAAATAAGCATTATCTACCGAAATTGAACTTATCAGTGGTAAGTCAAGGGGCTTCGCCAGAGAGAAAGCAGTCACCAAGGGTAGAGCTGAGTAAGCTAGAGCTGGCATTGCAGATCAAGTGTGAAGAAATCAATTCTTTACAGAGAATACTTAGTCACCTCGAAGCTCAAGAATATTATTTGAGTAAAGTGACCAATAAGACTGATATTAAATTGTAAAATGAATAGTAATTTTATTTTACCTTCAGTTGTTTAAATTAAATTATTTATCCAATTATTAATTTTATCTTCATAATAGCTCGATAATAAATAAATTAGGTAATTATACGCCCACATGCATTTAAACACTCACTAATATGCGAATGTTATTTGGTGAAAAAATAAAGAATTCATTTATAATTATGGAATCATTTATCAATTCTCTTCCTAAAGCTGAACTTCATATGCATCTAGAAGGTGCATTAGAGCCAGAGCTTCTCTTAAAATTAGCTGAAAGAAATGGAGTCCAACTTCCTTATACCTTAGAAGAGCTAAAATCACGGCGAGAGTCTTATGAAAATCTTATGGATTTTCTTCGCGAATTTAATATTGGCACCTTAGTTTTAAAGAATTATCAAGACTTTTATGACATGCTCTGATCATATCTCTTAAAATGCTCCCAACAAAATATTGTTTATACAGAAATAATGATAAATGTGTGCAGATACACTGATGATGTCTCTCTAAATTCAGTTATGGAAGCTTATAGAAATGCTTGTCGTAACGCTGAAGCACAATTTGGGGTAAAAGCAAAATTTATTCTGAATATATTAAAAAATGCTTCATATGAAGCAAATTTGAGAATGGTAGAAAGCTGTGCTGCATATAAAGATATTATAATTGGTTTTGGAGTTGCAGGTGCTGAAGTTGTAGCATATTCAAGCAGCTTAAAGCCAATTTTTGAAAGAGCTAAAGAATTAGAACTTTGCGGAGCAAATAAAACCAACATTTGTTGCCATGCCGGAGAAGAAGGAGACCCAAGCTACGTTATTGATGCTTTGTGCGGAATTAATGTTTCTAGGATTGATCATGGAGTCCGCAGTCTAGAAGACCCATTTTTAGTCAAAGCGCTGGTGAGCCTTCAGATCCCACTTACAGTCTGTCCTTTATCAAATCAAAAGCTGAAAGTACTGGATAGGTATTTTGGAGGAAATCATGTAGTAGGTAGGATGATAGAAGAGGGATTAATGGTCACAATTAATTCTGATGATCCTGCATTTTTTGGAGGATATTTGAATGAAAATTTCTTAGAAGTCGTTAAGAGTTTAAGTCATTTATCAGAATCAGAAATAAAAGACCATATAAAACAATTATGCAAAAATTCGTTTTTAGCAGCATTTATTTCTGATGAAGAAAAAATGTATTACTGCAACCTAGTTGACCAAGCTTACAGCCAGCAGTCATAAGATAACGATTAGCATAGCCTTTATTAATATTTTTTCAATTTACGCAGATTTAGGAAACCAACTTCTTTTTACTGCAATCATCAATAATTCAAAAATTTAAATTAAAATTTTCTGAATTTGAAAATGTCATATCTTTTTAAAAACAATTTTAAATCTTGCAACGCTATAAATTATTATCAGAAATTTTCAAATTTAAAAAATACCATACTAATTACAAATCAAATTACATTAATAATTTATAGATGCAAAACCTGAGTATCATGAAAATTGGGGGAGCTAGATCTCCACAATTACTAAATACTGACTGTCATAGATTTAAGAATATTGATCAAAATTCACCTTCATTATTAATGAAGTCCTTGTCTCAGTCAAATTCAATGCTAGATCCAAGATTAAACCCAGGATTATTCAAAGAAATTACGGAGCAAAAATATAGAGACTATAAAAAGTTAAATTTCAGAGTGGGATTACTATTAAATTCGCTTGAAGATACTATGGAAGCTGTTAGCGTTAGAGATGACTGTTCGCTGCAGCCTATTCCTATAAGGCTAGATATTAAGTGCTCAAGACTCATGAATCGACGAAGAACCGATCCAATGGGGTTTATTAAACGAGTGGAACCCAAACATTTTTATTAATAATTTATTGTATTATTTCTGTTAAATAAATATTTTATAAGAAAATAAACTTGCTCTTGTTTATATTTACAAACAAGAAAGGTTGAGTTTATTTAAAAATTTTCGTTTTCAGTTCTGGTCAATATCATATTTTAAACAAAAAATAATAAACTATTTTAACATATAATAACCAAAAAGATGCTGAAATTTTACATTTTTCAAAATAACTTATAGGGCTTTCCCTTGAATAGCCCGGTAACGGGCTGGCTTCATCCCGTTATCGGGCTATTCAAGGGAAAGCCCTATATCAAAAACTTATAATTTAGCTGGCTTATTTCTAATAATTAGATTATTGCGACTTAGAAAACTCGTTTTCTGGATCATAAGTCATAGTGCAATCTGAGTCATCAATTTTATATCCTTGCGCTAAAGCTTGGAAAATTTCTGGATTATGAACTTTTCCACGCGCATCCACTCCAATTTTTCTATTGTCTATATTCTCATAATACTCATGCCAAAAATCTGCCTGCAGCAATAAACCGTGACTCAGATTTCCTTCTTCATCAAGAATTTCAGCGAATTTTCCACCATAAGGATATGCTTTAGATTTTCCTATATAAGGCATGGTTTTTCTTGAAGTTTGGGAGAATAATCTAATATTTGCAAGCTCCGTATATGTATGAGTCCCAAGACGGTAAGGCCCAACATTTTCAAATTTCCACAGCCCTCCTCTGACATACCAAATTTTATTGACAGCATATCTGAGCTCATAGAGATACCAGCAATGGGGAAGGACAGCTAAAGACATGGCAATTGGAGCTAGCCACCATGCAGACCCGAAAAATCCGTGCCACCAAGCCCATCCCAGTGCTGGGGTCGACCAAGTTCCGAGACTCCAAGGAATAGGGAATAATACCGAGGTGTTGTCTTGAGGGTCAAATTCGTAGATAAGGATTTCACCTTTTTTGTCAAATTGGATTGGCTTCGAAGGCTTATAGGTTTCTATTGGGCGAATGTAGCCAGATGGAGGAGCTGCTTGGCTGAGCTCTGTTTGAGACGAGGTAAAAGTGCCTGGGAGCTTATATCCAAATCTTCTTAGGCTTGATCTGAACATTTATTAATATTTTTAACTATTGATTAACAAATCAAATTCTCTGAATTTATATATACAAAATTTTCTTTTAATCAAACCAATCTATAATTTATTGATCCTTTGTGATTATTTATTTGTTTTTCCTAAAATTATATGCATTCCAAAATAAAGAATAATCAAAAATAATCTTAAAATTATAAACAAGCTATAACCAAAGCACTTATTTCGTTTTTACATTTATTTATGATTAATAATATGGTCTAAACCTCGAGTATCTAGATCTCCCATAAGCGAAAGATCCTCTAAATGACCCACGAAACCTCGGCCGTGATTTATTATGCCCTGGAAGATTTGTTCTCTTTGGCATCACCTTAAGTTTTCTCCCTTTGAAGCTTTTTTCATTCAAACTCTGTGCTTTTAACACTCCACTTTGGTCAGAAAATTCTATATATGCATATCCTTTGGGGATCTGCGAAAATTTGTCAATAGGGATTGTGACACGTTCAATGTTTCCACAGCCTTTAAAAACATCGCGCAATTCCTCAGTGCTAGTACTGAAATCGACATTTCCTACAAAGATAGAGCGGTTATCTATTTCTTCGACTTCGTGAGGCTTAAGGTTTTCTTCTGGGGATGATTGGGATTTTTCTGGGGTGTTTTTGGCGTCGTCATTTGGTTGGGGTTTGCTTTCGTCCATGTTAGGCAATTATTATATGAAAATTGATAATAAAGGATAATAAGGAAAGTATAAAGGCTTTTAAGGAATGCTAAAATATTGAAGACTTTGCAATAACGAATAAAAATAAAATTCTTTAAAACAGTGTGAAATACCTTATCTGTAAATTAAATCTCAATAATTTCGATAAAGCTCTATTATTTATTTGCTTTCTTCCTCTTTTTTCTCTTCTTTTCCTTCCTCTATTTCTTTCTGTGCTTCTTTTTCTGCTTTATCTTTAGCTTCAATCTCTTCTCTTCTAGGCATATGGCAGGATACATACGGCTTGAGCTACATAAAATTTACCTCAAAATTGTCAATATCATCAGGAACCTCAATAATTGGTGTTTTTAGTCGATTGTATCTGAACCCTTTATGAACGAATTCTCCATAGAGATTTTTGCTTTCTCTTTCAAGCTTTGCTATTGTTAATTTTTGCCGATATTTGTCTTTGATGGTTTTCTTGATATTATTGACAATATGAAGTGGAACAAGCCCTGGCTTCTTGTGAGCATGCTTGCCTCCAATTTTATAGCTGTAGTTTCCTAACTCCCCTTCCATGAGCGAACAAAATAATTAGAAAAATCCCTATTTTTTTGCCCAAAAACCCACCTCCATAAGCAAACAAAATGTTTTTAATAGAAGAATTTTTATGGGAAAAAATTTTGATATAAGGATCCCCCCTCATTTGTCCAATTTTCTAGTCTTTTATTATTTGTCCATTTTTCTATTTTTTTTATAGGGGAAAAAAAATTTTTTTTGGACCTCATTTGTCAATTTCTAGTCAAAATTTTGATAATTTTCAGGATCTCAATTGTCTCATTTTCTAGTTTTTTAAAGTAAAAAACTAAAATTTAGAACATTCGAAAAAATCCAAAAAAGACTAGAATAGGACACAAATCATTTTTGACTAGATTTTGGGACAAATGAGTCCTGAAAAAAAAAAATTTCTTACTCCCCCCCCCCTCCGTGAGCGAACAAAACCATTAGAAAAATCGCCATTTTTTGACCAAAAACCCACCCTCCGTGAGTGAACAAAAATTTTTTAATAGAAAAAAAATTAATGGAAAAAAATTTTGATATATAAGTGATAATTAGTATAATGAAATCTAGAGCTAATTCTGTTTAATTTTAAACAAATTGCGTTTTAAAACATAAATTTTGCAAATTAAATTAATATTTGCTTCCCAATTTTTGCAAATTAGGATTTTTTTAAATTTCGAAAAAAATATTTTTTTTATAAAATTTATATATATATTTTTTTTTTAAAAAAAAAAAATTAACCCCCCTCCGTGAGCGAACAAAATTTTTTTGTTCGCTCACGGAGGGGGGGGGGGGAGTTAGAAGAAAAAGACTAGAAAATTGGACAAATGAGGGGGGATCCTTATAAGTGATAATTATTATAATGAAATCTCGAGCTAACTCTGTTTAATTTTAAACAAATATAAATTTTACAAATTAAATTAATATTTGCTTTCCAATTTATGCGAATTAGGATTTTTTTAAATTTCGAAAAAAAAATTTTCAATAAAATTTATATATTAATTTTTTTTAAAAAAAAGTAACCCCTCCGTGAGAGAGCAAGATTGTTTTTATTCGCTCATGGAGGGGGGATTAAGGATTTTCTATAAGCACTCATACGTGTAAAAGGTGTGAGGACATTAAGCATACCCATATTTAATTTCTTAGAAAATTTTATTGATTATTGGAATGATCTCCTCTGGTTTCGAAATTTTTAGTCTTTATTGAATAATCGAGATTCTTGGATATTATTATTAGATTTTCAAATTTTTTAAGTATTTAATACCAAGATTTCTTCTGATTGTCCTTAATTTATCAAATAATGAAAATTCATATTCATCTATAACTTAATTTATAATTTTATTGCATAACTCTGATTAAATTTGTATTGATATTATACTTATGGATTAGGAAGTGCAGGTGTCGCACTCACACACATTACATCAAAATTCATTGGGAATGCTGACTCAAACGAGAATGCTTGCTGAGGAATCGAAGGCAGAGTCACAATTTCTGGTTCTGGGACATGTCTTACTTGTCTCGGCTTTTCTTCTCCTTCTTTCATAAAATGAGTCTTTTCATGAGCAGTCAAGTTGCTGGATTGCGTAAACCTCTTATTGCACCCTGGCACTGAGCACTGATAAGGCTTCTCACCTGTATGTGTCCTAAGGTGAGTCTTTAAATTAAAATCCAGCGAGAATCTTTTACCGCAAAATTCGCATTTGAAGTTTTTCTCTCCGGTATGCACTAGCATATGCCTATTGAGCTTGGAGTTGTCCATAAATTGCCGTCCACATGTCTCTACTGGGCATATACATTTCCATTTTCATAAAAAATATAATAGCATTTTTATAATAAAAATTATTTTAGATTATTAAAACTGCTATATTTGTAATAAAATTATTTTTTATAGTAAAATTCAGCTAAAAAATGATATAGGAGTGTATATTGCTTCTCCCCAAAAGTCCTCTGATGTTTCCTTTGAGGCACTTTCGGAATTTCCACAGCGTGATTTTTAGGCTTTTCCTCAGTTTTTGGCTTTGGTGGCTTGAGAGGTTCTTCAGTTATGCACAATCCACCAGTGACTTTTTCAAGCATGACAAAAACAGGTTGGAATCTTTGAGTGTGAAGTTTGGCAATATTTAAAATTGTTTGGACATTAGGAGCGCCAACTTTGTTTAAAAGATCTACTGGAAGCCTTATTTTAAAGTCACTGTCAGAGGTAGATGTCAGACGATTATCAGCCATATTTTGATTAGGCCAGATTATGAGCTTCCGGTATAAGCCCAACTTGAAGACTTAAGTTATATTGAGAAGAACGTTATTAGCTCTTTCTAAGCCATATTGGATTAAACTAGGTTTTAGAAGCTTTATATTGAAAGATGTCTGATCTTGAAAAAATGAATTAAAAATTTCGGCCATGATGGTTTTTAATTTGAATAAATAGTGAAAGAAAAGCAAATTATTCGAAATGTAATGAGAATAAATAGAAAATGCTAACTCCCCTTCTCCGTGAGCGACAAAAAAAACTTGCTCGCTTACGGAGAGGGTTATTTTTTTTTAAAAAAAAATTATATACATTTTTTTCTTCAAAATTAAAAAAATCCCACTTCACAAAAATTGGAAAGCAAATTATTAATTTAATTTGTAAAATTTATGTTTTAAAGCGCAATTTGTTCAAAATTAAACAGAATTAGCTATAGATTTCATTATACTAATTATCACTTATATATAATTTTTTTTTCCATAAAAAAATTTTTCTATTAAAAAAAAGTTGTTCCCTCAACGGGTTTTTGGTCAAAAAATAGGGATTTTTCTATGGTTTTGCTCGCTCACGGAGGGGGGGAGTAAGTGTATATCGGAAAGAAATTAAATATTATATTATCAATTGATAATTAATAAATTGATTTAAATAGGCTTCGAAGTTCAGATTTTATAGCAAGGGTGGTTTTAGGTCTTGCTGGAGACTCTTCAGTAAATAGTGTTGAATATTTATCTGTCAGTCGCTTTGAAAGTACAGAATCAGCTCTTTCAGTTGATGGATAAAGCCTTTCAACTGCAGTTTTTAATTTATATCTATTCTGGGTATTAGTTTCTTCTTTTTTTCTGTCTGTATTGTCTCCAAAGCTATCGAAATTGTCATTGAATGTGGAATGGTTTAAATATTTCTTCCTGTCAATTTCATAATAATTTACAATATTTCCTTCCCGATTACAATGTAAAACTCCAGCATCCATTGCATATGAATCATAGCCAGTTGATTTATTATGACTTGGAGTTACAAGCATCTGATATTTACTTTTTACTGCCAAGTTCTTTTTCTTATAAATCCTGTACTTTCTATTGATTTCTTCAAATTCCTTTATTCTTTCAGGACTTGCATTGCTTCGATCTTCAGACAAAAAATGCTTCTCAACAAATAAATTTTCATTATTATAGTCTAAATGCTTTCCGAACGCTGTTTTAGGCAATTTTATAATTTGCATTCCTTCTGGTCTCGGAGCATGCTGAGACTTAAGATATTCTGATATCGATGCTTTCTCTTCTCTATGATGGGTAGGAGATTTAGGCTCACTCCCCTCGCCTTTTGTAAGCGATAAAAATCATTGGAAACATCCCTATTTTTAGGTAAAAACCACCCTCCATGAGCGAGCACAATTTTTTTTTTAAAAAACTTAACCCTCTTCCTTAGCAAACAAAATATTTTGCTTGCTCACACAGAGAGGGGAGTCAGTAAAATCAGAGCATTGATTTCGAAGCGCTGCTCTTTCGAGCTTTGAGATATAGTCATGCTTTGTTTCATATAGTCATTTAAAAGGACTGAAGCGGATTGGCATAAAATTTTATATTGCAATCTTATTGAGATACAAAAGTTTGTCGATTTCCAGAGAAAAAATAATTAAAGAAATTATAAGCATTATTAAATAGCTTAACTATTAAATTTGCCAATAGAGATAAATTTTTTTAATATAATAGAAAAAATTAAGATTAGTTCTAGCGGGTTACTGGGTTTATTTCTACCCTTACACTTCACTAATTAGCTTCACGCTTAGTGATTCTAGACACTAACTCCAACTAACTCTCTTTTTCTGTCGACGTCACCAAAAAAGATGACGTCAGACAATCTGTCGTGGTGCCTACCCGTTCTGGTCTTGATCCTTGCCGACAGCAGGGCTTGACGTATTGTTGAAACGTCCAAAAATATCCTTCTTGGCCTGTCTTAACCCTATTGCAGACTAAAGATTGCCTTAAAAGAAGTATACACCTCAGTATGTCGTCTGTGAGTTAAGAAAAAAGGTTTAGCACCAAGAAAACCACCTCAGGCTCGCCGTTTTAATAATTCTCTAATAGAAAAGAGGATGTTTAAAGCAAACTTGGAGCTCTATCCTCTTCATAGCATTTAAATGACTATATCTGTATAATGATTTGCTAATTTTGGTCACATGTCGTTTTAGAGTCCTGTACCCTGTAGAGCAGGTTCTTCTATGAGTTATTGATACATTTAAATCAAGGTTCATAGAATCAGATGGTCTATGAATTTTCTGAGGGATCTTACTCATTTCTATATGATAACTGCTTAATTATTGGAAAAATACAAAAAATAAATTTTAAGCAAAAATTCGTTTTAGTTATTTATTGAAAATGAAGATTGAGAGCTAAAATCCATCAGCCTATTCCATAGTAAAAGTAGGGAATATATGCTTGCAATGAAGCATGCATTCTATAAATTAGATATATATTCTATCTTATAGTTAAAATTTTTGGTGTAGATGTATGGCATTGGCTCCTTTTTGTGTTATCTCAAATCTTTTCTTTTTCATGCTCAGCATTACTAAGCTTTTATTTTGCGTCTTTTGTACGAATAGTTTATTTATATACAGACATTATTTGAAGAGAAATACATTCACTTTCAATTATTTGCTCTTCTTTCATTTCTCAGAATAGCTTTTCCTCTTTAATGGTGTAAAGTTTTAGCTCGCCTTCTAAAGAGGATTTAGGTCTTATTTAAACAATTTTATAGTAAATTAATTTACATTTTTATTAAAAAATAAAGAGCATAAATTGAGGCAATGCTTTTAAATTTTGTTTAATTTTTTAATTCATAAATACAAAATTCAAAGAGGAACTCAATTAAATTGAATAAAGCTATCCTTTAAAGAAATTATTATTTTCACAAAAAATTTCTATTTAAAAATTAATTTGCAAAAAAATGGAAAATTCACCAATTTTTGTCCTAATTTAAAGAGAGAATAATAAATTTACCATAAAAACGCATTTCATAGAAGCTGGGTCTTTTTATAGCTATGGCATTTATTCTCCTGCAAACTTGTACTTTTAAAATAATGATTTCAATCTTTCCAACCATTTCGTATGGATTCAGTATTTGGGGGATTTCAAAACAGCCTTTTATATTAACTAATGCTTGATTATGATAATTATTATATATATAAATTATTTTAATAACATTAAAGATCTTTATATAAGTCATTTGGTAAGACTCTTAATGCTGGATTATTTTAATAGCAAATAAGTTTTATTTTTTCACCATAATAAATTATTTAATATTCTCCAAAAATGAGGATTAGGTATTGGGATATCTATTAATATCTTAAGCCTGCTAAAATGCTTCTTCATCATTTGGGGTCATATTTTTGGGTAGCTAATATAATTGCATCCTTCCAGTGATTTCGTCAGATAAGATCGGGCTAAATTTAAGTAAAATAGTTGAGGATTTCCAATTTTATCTTATTTATTTTATAAAATATCAAGCTAAACAATGCTTTGAAATTTTTAAACAAAGCATTTCATGTAAAATCTTTACAACATTTTAATCTGAATGACAAGGTTTCATTTATTTTAATACTAAAAGTTCTTTAATTTCCCCACCGCTAATAAAAATAAAAATGCAACAACCAACATTAGGATATTGGGACATCCGTGGCTATGCTGAGCCTCTGAGAATGCTTCTTACTCATTTAGGAGTTGCTTTTGAAGATAAGAAATATCACTATGGCCCTGCTCCTGACTTCGACAAGCTAGATTGGTTTAATGTCAAAGAGACCTTAGGCATGAATTTTCCAAATTTACCTTATTTTATTGATGAAAATATCAAACTAAGCGAAACTTTGGCAATTTTTGAGTACATTTGTGCGAAGTATAATCCATCATACCTCGGCAGTACAATCATTGAAAAAGCTTATGTTTCAATGATTGCTGGCGTTCTCAAAGATTTCAATGGCCAAGTTGGCACTGCATGCTATAGCCCAGATGCAGCTACACATGTGCCTCAAACTCTTGAAAATCAAAGATCAGTCGTGGCCAGAATAGTTAAATATCTTGAAGGCAAAACATTTTTAGTAGGAGGCCATCCCACATATGTTGACTTTTATTTGTACGAAACAATTGATAGACTTGATGCAATTGATCCAAGCTACACAGCTGGGATTTCACCAATCATCGCAACTTACAAAAGTCTTATAAGAAGCTTAGCACATGTGGAAGAATTTCTTGCAAGACCAACTAAGCCGCGTTTCTTTCATGGACCTCAGGCTAGTTGGCAAGGGTAATAATTAAACCTTTATCTTTTTCACTCTGATACGCATTAGGTTAATTAACAAAATAGAAGCTCTACTAAATAGTAATGGAAAGTGTATAAAACTTAATTTAAAAATATCTTTTATTTTTGAGAGTACCGTCAATATTCTTGGGTTTAAATTCAATCTGTAAGAAACTTATTTGTTAAACAATGGACATAAATAATTAGAGTTTCTTCTTCAACTATAATAGCTCATTTATATTTATTGATTACTTATCCAATATTATTAAATGATTTGTCTGCATTTTGATTTTTGTATATAACTCTCTGAGATTTCGCATAGTTTCAGCCAAAATATTATTAATCGGTATTGCTAGAAATTGATTTCTTATCAGAATTCTGGTTGGTCTACTGATCGAAACAATCAAAACCACCCTAGGACGTTACATGGACATATCACCTGCAACTGGACTTGCTGCATAGTCCCATCTTCCTGGCTCCTAGGTCTCTGTCTACTGTTGTTACCGGTGGCATCTGAATTGTCAGTGTTGCTATAATTCATTGGTTTGAAATCTGCTCACCACCAGCTCCATCTCAGCATAACTGACTCTGCTCCAGTCACTTTGCCTTGACCCTTGGCAAGAAACCGGACGAGTTAGGACAGTAAAAAAACCTTTTAAGAGGGCAACAAACTCACTCACAGAGGGGAGGAACATTCTATTAATCAAATAGTTTCAGGTGATACTGCCAAGGTTTTCTAAAATATTGTTATTAAAATCAAATTAGATGAAGGTGAAGAATTAAATCAAATGCAGGCTGATTAAATAGAATAAAAATTTGGTCTTGATGCATCCCAATATCTTGATTTTGGATTAATTAAGCAATAACAAAAGGTCACTGTGATTCTCAATTTTTAGCAGGTATCAATTGTGGTATAAGCCAAAAAATAGCTTGTAACTGATTTTTTGGGAAATTAATTGTCGGTTTCTTAATAAAAACTTAATAAAAATTCTTGGGCTTATAATTTAAATAAAATTTTATTATGAATCTGAAATTCTATTTAATTTAATAGTAAAATTAAAATTATTTCCCAACCGCTAATGAGTATTGAATAAACTAATAATTTTTATCCTAAATGCAACAACCAATATTAGCATACTGGAATAACCGTGGCTTTGCTGAGCCTCTGAGAATGCTTTTGACTCACTTTGGAGTTGCTTTTGAGGATAAGCAATATGTTCCAGGTCCTGCCCCTGATTTTGACAGATCAGATTGGCTTAGCGTTAAAGAAACTTTAGGAATGGATTTTCCAAATTTGCCTTATTTCATTGATGAAAATATTAAATTAAGCGAAACTTCAGCAATTTTCGAGTACATCTGTGCTAAATACAACCCGTCCTATCTTGGCAATACTCTTGCTGAAAAAGCTTATGTCTCAATGATTGCTGGCGTTCTTAAAGATATTATGGGCAAAGTTGGTATGGCAGCCTATAATCCAAATGCAGTTACCCTTGTTCCCCAAGCTCTTGAGAGCCAAAAGCCAGTGATGCAAAGATTTGTTAAATACTTGGTTGGAAAAAGATTATTAGTCGGTGATCATCCTACTTATGTTGATTTTTATTTTTATGAGGTACTTGATAAGCTTGATGCTATTGATCCAAGCTATGCAGCTGAAATTTCGCCAGTTTTTTTCTACTTATAAAGCTTATATAAGAAGCTTACTCCCCCCCCCCCTCCGTGAGCGAACAAAAAAATTTTGTTCGCTCACGGAGGGGGGTTAATTTTTTTTTTTTAAAAAACAATTATATATAAATTTTATAAAAAATATTTTTTTCGAAATTTAAAAAAATCCTAATTTGCAAAAATTGGGAAGCAAATATTAATTTAATTTGCAAAATTTATGTTTTAAAACGCAATTTGTTTAAAATTAAACAGAATTAGCTCTAGATTTCATTATACTAATTATCACTTATATATCAAAATTTTTTTCCATTAAAATTTTTTCTATTAAAAAAATTTTTGTTCACTCACGGAGGGTGGGTTTTTGGTCAAAAAATGGCGATTTTTTCTAATGGTTTTGTTCGCTCACGGAGGGGGGGGGGGGAGTTAGTAAATGTTGAAGAATTCGTTTCAAGACCTAATAGACCACCTTTCCATGGCCCAATGGCTGGATGGAGAATTTAATAACTTAAATTATTTTATTTTAAAAATTTAAAATAAACAAATTTGTAGTAATAAACCGGTATTTATTTTAACTCTATTGCGTTTCTTACTTGCTTTAAGATAGGTAACCATGTTGGCGGGTCATAGACTCTTTTAGAAGCTTCAACTGCTTTTATTATATTGCTATACATCTGCCCATCAGCATTTCCTATAGCCGATCCAAGTATTTTGTCTGGTGCTGCGATTGCATCTATTATATGGAGGCTGTCTTTGGCTAATTCTCTGCACAGATTTACTTCAGCATCTTTTACTAGTCTGATTTGGCTACCATTAAATGCATTTTCCAAATAAAGCCCACTATTTTTTTCGACCCTTTCTAAAACAAATAAATAAAAGAGCTTCTTTATCACGGCTCCTGTCATTTGATTTTTTTCTAAAACTCCATTTACTAGTTTTAATAGCTGCTTGGCTATGATGCATTCGCCATATGATTTTCCTAAATCTTGTAAATAATGCACTTGTGTGTTATTTCAGGCGTCAAACATATCATCGAATTTTGGACCGTTTTCTTGCAGTTTTGCTATAGATTGGTGTAAGAGTCAGTTTACACGATATTCCATAAGTTCAATTAATAGTTTCTCATTATAAAGTTCTTCTTCAGTGCTGAAGTCTACTTTAAACGATTTGACTTGATCTAAATCTAAGGTTAGATATGATAAACTTGGAGCAGTAATTTTAATACCTTTGAATGCTCGCTGTACCTGCTTGAAAATAAATTTTCCAGCTTGTTGGATAAGAACAGTATTATCACCTTCCCAGGTGGTATGAACATCACTCATGTTTCTATGAGAGTTTAGTCTTGAATATGCCTGAAAGCCCATCCCGCCAGTTGCTTCTCTGCATTCTTGTGTTGCAGCCACGGCAAAGCTACTGGAAATATTTTTCATTGCAGAAAGTATTGAGTGGTATTCTGCTAGCTCATTGCATTCAGGATCGTCAAAAGTTTTACTTCTAACATTTTTAAATTCTTCCATTAAAAATATCCCACATGATTTTATACCAAACATCTTCGCTAAATGAGGAATTAAGCGATATTGCTGAGTTTGATAATCTAAAATAGGGATCTCTGGGCCATTTTGCTTGGAAAACTGTTTTTTAATTGCTGCAAACCTTAATGCAATAGTCAGGGAATGCCTCATACACACTTCACTGCCATTAACAACAGCAATTCTACCTCTTATTAGTCCTCCTAACATAATTCCTAATCTTTTTTCTTTGTTTTTAATAGAGCTTTTGAATTTTCCATCAGTTGTAATTTGGCTTAATCTGTCTAGCAAACAGTCATAAGGAACCCTATAGTCATTAAAAATCAAAAATCCATTGTCAACCCCATCTAAGTATATTTTCTTTCCGCAATCCCCAAGAATTACACCAGGAAGTGGCTGATGTGTTTCGTAATCCCTAATAGGAATCACAAAAGCATGCACTCCTTTATCAACTCCATCAACAATTAGTTTCGCAAACAATGAGGTCATGTTGGCCGTTTTACCGACTGCTCCAATTAGCCATTTCGCGGACGTAGGCCTTGGAGAATTTATTATAAACTCTCTCGTTTTGTGATCATAAGTTGCTGTTGTTTCTAATCCAGCTACATTAGAACCATGCCCAAGCTCAGTCATTGCAAATGAGCCATAATCTTTTAAACAGTAGGCTCTATCAATGCTGTTCCTATGCTTTTGAGTTCCTAAGTTTTGGATAGTATCAAGGTAAAGGGTAATATGGACTACAAATCTTGTGGAGGTCATCTGACAATACTCGCCAAGGCAATAAAGAAATTCGGATTTCTTCGCAGGATCTTTCATATCAATGTCATAAGTTAGCTGGTTTGAAGTATAAAGAAAGCCAAGCTGCTCTATAATTTTTTGACGTAAAGGTTCACGACTTAATTCAACATCTTCGGTATGGTCAAAAAGTGGACTTGAACACATTTTGTTTCTGAGTTCAACAATTTTAGGGTAAAAAGAACCAAAATAGACTTCGGCAACAGTAGTTTTATCGATTTCTTGGCTTCTGCTTAAATATTCAGCAAGCGAAGAATCGTGATCAGAAACAGGGAATTTTGAAACAAGATGGGACTGGAGCAATTTCAATCGATGACAGCCAGACATTAATTATAAATAGTTGCTAATAGTTCAGAAATTTAGCTAGGGTAAATAGAGAATATGTGGTAACTATGAAGTGATTTCAGTTTTCGATTAATTTAAGTGTCCTAGGAATTTTGCTATAAAAATTTTGATGCTATTTTGATCTGTCCACGAGAAATTAAAAATTTAATGAAATAAAAGGTGAACTATTATTTATTTCGGTAAAGAGAATAAGTAGTGATTTTGTGGAATAGCAATGCTTATAAGCTGAATAGCTTATGAATTATTAATAAAGTCACGAAGAATTGTTTATACTTTTCAATTTATGATATTTTATTAGCTTTTTAGGTAACCATGCATATATAGCTGAGCAGTCAAAATCTCATGATTTGTCAAAAATTATTTATTCTCTATCAATATGGTGAAATTATAATATCTTCTTGATTTAATAATTAAATATTAAATTCCCTCATTTTTAATTTTATTTTAGTAGTTCCCTATTTTAATTATATTTTTTACGATTTGCTTCTCTCTCTCGCTTTATTCTAGCATCTTCCTTCACTTTTTTCTCGCGGTATGCATCTACTTCTACTTTGTTTAAATTTAAAATAATTTGCTTTATGCCTGCGCTCAACCCAATTCCTCCAAGCCCAAGTAGTATTAATTGTTCATTACTCATTTCATTTAAGAACTGATAAGAAAAGCTCCCTGCCGACTTTTTAAACAAAAATTGCATAAAACAATACCATCCTCCTAAATACACATCAAAAATAAGCAAGACCCAACTGCTTGGGACAGCAAACTCTTCAATAAATTTCATATCATATATAACTAATCCCAGCAATCCTCCACCTGTCATTAGGTCCAGGTAATATTCAGGTATACCTTTTGTGTTTTCATAATCCTCCTCAATTTCTTCAAGCTTAAGCATCTGTATTGAATATTTAAGAATTATTGATATTGACAGCAAGGAGACAGTCATAAGATAAATAGATACCAATAGTTCCTGCTTGATTTTAAGGATTCGAATATTGAATGTTGACATAAATGCAAGCAAAAAGTATGTGAATGAGAGATAGCAAGAAACCCATTCAATTGAAGTGACTTTGCTGAAAACTCGGATTTTTGCGACCTCATGTGTTTGGTGAGAAGCTGAAAACCATAGAAGAACGTGAACTACAATCATAAGTAAATATCATATTCTTGCCATGATTATTTTATTAACCACCCTGCGTAAGCACGAAAACCATTGAAAAATCCCTATTTTTTGAGTAAAAACCACCTTCGAGCAAACAAAAAATTTTTTTTAATATGCAAGTGATAATTATTATAACGAAACTTCTAAATAATTCTGTCAAATTTTAACAGTTTCGGTTTTAAAAACATAAATTTTCCAATTCAAACAAATGTTCCCTTCCCCATTTTGTAGAATTGGGATTTTTTTTAATTTCAAAAAGAATCTACTATAAAATTATATAATTTTTTTTTTGTAAAAAAAAGATATGATAGACAATTTTTTTTTCTATTAAGGAGGGCAGGATAAGAAATTTAGGATTATTTGATTTTAATATGAATTAAGGAAAAACAAAAAATAAGTTAGGAAAGAGATCTTGGCTTAAAAAACAGTGCCATAATTATAAAATTAAATAATTTCAGATTGATTATCTCAATGCGAACCCTATAGCACAGCTAATCAGTAAAGTTGCAATAGTAACTCCAAATAATCTCTTATCCATAACCCTTTCTCCTCCACTTCCAAATCTTTCTATTTTTTTAAGCAAATTCCTAGAGCACTCCAATGCAAAAACAAGTAATATTTGCCCTGTGATGCAAAAGCCAATAATATAATCTAGTCCAGCTGATGCAGCACTTCTAATGATTTCACAGCAATCTGAGTTCAAGCACCCATATTTTTCTTCCCCATCATTTTCATCTATTTTTCCTATTTGGTCTTCATCACATTTCAGCTTATCTTTTGAGCTCTCTATTTCTATATATTTCTCCTTGCATCCTAGGTAATTTAAATGCTTATCTTGCATTATATTCAGCAATTGATAGCAATTTGTGCTAACAGAAGCTTGAAAATCTTTTGTTGCAAAAACAATAAGCATGCAATAAAGCCAAAGAAAAATGAATAGAATTACAGATATAATTTGAGAAAGAATGATAAGAGAAATATGTTCTTTATAAGCAGCGAAAAATGAAAACTGAGTATAGATCAATAAAATAATGCCAAGAATAATACCTGAGTGAGTTATTATAGGTGCTAAGTTTTCTGAGATGTCCAAAGCATGCCAATATAGTCAATATATCCCTGTGCACAATATTAATCCAATAGCAGATATCAATATGCTGATTTGAATCACTTGTACGTAATTGTGAATATTTTCATAGTCAATACTAAGTTTGCAAGATAAATAAAATATATAGATGTACCCAATGATGTATTTTAATGATGCTCCACTAATGAAATATAGTGCTCACTTAACTTTTCAACTGATATCAGGATCCTTAATTGATTCTAACAAGTTTTGATGAGAAATAACAGATACAATTCCTATATAAAAGAAGCAAGAGGCCACTAAATGCAGAATGTATAAAGAATTTGTAAAAAAATCCTGAGCTACAATATTATTTCACTGTGTTAGCATTTTTATATGTTTAGTTAGCGATTCTTTTGTATATTTCGCCCCAAAATAAACACAAAGAGTTGCACAGATCCCTATTAATGATACAAATGGAGGAAACATCAAGAAATATTTATTTGTGTGGTGAAAAGCCATTACTCCAGCTATAAGAACAATAACTGGAGCAAATAGAATCCCTATAGCAGCTATCTGAAGCCGATTAAGGATTTTTTCTTCTTCTTTTATGGTCATTCGATTTGTATGCCTTTCTGAAATTCGTGAAATGCTTGGAAAAGGTTTTAATAAATTATTTTGTGCTTCTGTCATTTGAGGCATTTCAATCGATTGCTTAAGTTGATTTTCTCCTTTTTCATCCTCATCAGTAAAGTTTGAGTAATTCTTCATACCTCTTTGCTTTATCTCCATATTAGCAAATATTTCCAATAAAATTTTCCAGCTAATTATCAAAAGAATCAACAAAAATCTTTCCTTAAAATCTATAATTAAAATTATTATTTTTTAGAATTTTCTTATGCTTGCACATTGATAATTATCCTGGTATTTTTCTCTCCATTTAATTGCTCACTTGAGATTCCCTGCACTGGATTTTTAAATAAAAGAAATCTTGCGCGATGTCAGCAGCTGTTGTAAGAGAGCGGAAATCCATAAGGACATATACATCTCCTCCTGATGCAGGGCAGCCTGAGTATCGAGACTATAAAATTGAAAAATCAATTCTTACGCCATCTCTTTCACTTCCTTATCAAAGCCAACCTGAAATAAATATAGTTCCTGATAGCAAAGTAGAGGACTCAATAAATCTTTTTATATCAGAAAATGATGAAAAGGAAAAGAATCCTAGAAAGCTGTCCCCAGATTTTCGACAAGAAGAAATTGACAATGTCAATGAAGAAACAAAATTTCCAATTGATATTAAAGGCTCTTTATCACTCGTTGAAGAAGATTTTCCTTCAGACGAGTCAACACCATTAGGTGCTAAGTCAATCTTTTCTCAATTTTCTAACGAAAAATCGAAGCTCAAATATTCTGAAGACGAAATAAGGAAAGCAGGGGATGAGGACTGATCTTGGGTACTACCGATAGAAATAGTAAAAATTCTGAGAAGGAACTGCGAAAAGCCACAAATGCTTATGGCAGCCAACTCTAATTATAAAAATAGTTGGCGTGCTGAAGAAGACGAAACACAGAAAAAAATCAGGCAAGGCGCAATTGAAACTACAAAAAAAGTTAATGCAGAGAAAACAACTAAAGAGAAAGTTCTATGCCAAATTAAAATAATCTTGAATAAAATGAGCCTTGTAAATTTTGACAAGCTTAAAGAAGAATTGTTTGAAATTGCTAAGTCCAATGAAGAATATCTAGAGCCATTAGCAGGCGCGATTTTTCAAAAAGCCTGTTTTGAGAAAAAATATGTGGGGATGTATGCTGATTTATGCAAATACTTATCTAATGAGTATCTAGATTTTCAGCTTGGATATAAAGTAGATCCACCTAAAAAGACACAAGATAGTTTATTCAGGAAAATTCTCTTAAATATATGTCAGGAATCTTTTGAAGATATGTGAACAAATAATTTTAAGTACAAAAATGAGCCGGTTTATAAAGTTAAAAGTTTAGGATGTGCAAAATTTATTGGTGAACTTTTTAAAATTGGTTTAATTCCACCAAAGATAATTTTTACTTGTCTTATGGAATTAATTAGCCAAGATTTTAAAGAAAAATACAAAAACCCTGATATAAACTCTTTGCAACTTGATGACGATAAATTAGAAGGAGCAATTTTAATACTACTAGCTGGAGGGTTTGCTTTTGAAAATGAAAAAAATTTATCTAGAACTAATGCAGTTGTTAATGCACTTACTCCCACCATCCGTGAGATAGCAAAAAAATTTTGTTTGGGGGCGAACTTTTTTAAAAAAATTATTTATGAATTTGAAAGTAATTGCTCTTTCGAAATTTAAAAAGATTCAAAATGAAGAATTTTTTTAATATGTAAAACATATGCTTAACAAGCTGCTTAAAAATTAACAGAATAGTTTAGCTAGATATTTCAAAAATAGCTTAATTATATTAATAGATTTTTTATAAAATCTTTTTGCGCTTTCACAAATAGGGATATAGTGAAATAATGACTAGAAATCTGACTAACTCGCGAAACAAATTTTTAATACTTGTAACAATTATTTAGGATATGATTGAACTAAGAGCCTCAGGCTGGCAGCCAAGGCCAATCGAATCGCCTATCGTTAATTAAATTTTATTAAGCATTTTAAAATCTCATTATATTGTAGAAATCAGCTAATCAGTTCATCACATTTTCATAAATAATTTTAAATTAATAGTCTAATATGCATCCATCAGCATGCCTAAAATTGTAGCAATTCCTATTTTAGATCATCCTTGCACAAACCAAAAAAAGTTTATTAAAGATAATAATTTTATCAATAAATAAAAGCATTTTTAATAATATTGATTTTTATTCAGAAAGAAAACAAGACTAATTAATTAATAATTAAAGAGTTGTGATTAAAATAATAAGGCTTCTTTTTATGATTCATATACATCTTTATAAAACTGCTTAAAAATCATATATTAAATGGAATCTCCTGTGAGTGCATCTCAATCTCAGCCTGACATTAAGAAGTTCATTAAACACATGCACAAAAAAATAGAAGAAATTAGAGTACAGATGTTTGATTCCAAACAAGATTATGAAAAATTAAGAAGTGAAGCCAAATCTCTGGAATCTCAAAATAACGCCGAAAGCAATGATATAACTAATAGGATACTTGATGAGCTAGATAGGCTAGAAAATCAATTTAAAAAGCAGATTAATGAAGAAAAAACTGAAGTCAGCTTCTTGAAGCAGCAAATTGCAAGTGTGACCCAAGAAAAGATAAAGCTTGAACAAAATTGTTTGCTATTAGGAACAAGAGTAGATGAAGCTGAAAGGGTGGTGGGAATTGAGCTAACTCTGCCTTCTATTGAAGATATTAGACATTTCTAATATAATAAGCGATTATACATTATGATATCTTATAAATAGAACTTATTTGTATCAAAACAAATCGCTACTTAAAATAAATTCAAAATTAATTATTTCATTGTTTGGACAAAACTTATTGAGCATGGCCTTTTATGTTTCAAATCCTGAATTGAAATATTTTGACTTCCACTATTAGTGTGGTAAAGTCTATTAACAGCGTTTCTTGCAATTTTTTGTTTTTCTCGCATACATTGCCTAGATTTCTGGCTTCGATAGTTATAAGTCATCTTCATAAAAGAATCAGAGCTAAGATTTCTTAATCTAGGATGTTTTCTTAATGTACTTGTGAAAATATTTCTCTCAACACCAGGAACATAAGCAGCGTGCAGTCCTCCACTATCACGAGCAATATAAAAATCTCTCCCAGAGCCATCAGAGTGATATTTAAAGACTGGAGAAGCTAGTCTTGGCGCAGGACTGAAAAACCGTCGATTCGGACTTGGGTTGGAGCTTTTAAAGCCTGACGGTGAACTTGGTCCTGAGTTTATAAAGCCTCCATTGTTTACTGAAATATATTTATCCCTCCCATTTCCATCATTGCTATAATGTGTATATTTCGGCATAAAAGTTCGATATAATGATCCTGCATCCATTTATAATATAAGATGGGAAACTCTCAAATAAAAGAAGAAAAAGAGACTTCCGAAGTGAAGGATCAGGTCTTTGAAAGCCAGTTTAAGCGAATTATTTATACTCCAAATAATTTCAACAACGACCCAAAAAATACCGAATGAAACAATGTTTTGCTAAAAATTGAAGGCGGAGTTTTGTATTCCTTTATGGACTCTCGTTTAGAGCATAAAGTGAAAATCAATAAAGCTATAAGCATTTCGGCGGAAGATGCACATTTAAAGGAATTTTTATTAGGTCTCCAATTATCAGGAGAAGATTTTATTTGGAGGCTAAGGTCGGAAACTCTGGTTGAGTTCATACAATGAAAAAAAGCGCTGATGATATGCAGAAGGCCGGAGTGGCAGAAATCGAATGTTTGCCAAGAATGTGGGGCTGCTTTTCATGTTTATAGAAGAAGCCACCATTGTAGATCGTGTGGAAGACAGTTATGTGATAAATGCTCTTCTTATTTTATGGATTTGGAGTCTATGGGATATATAACTCAGCAGAGGTCTTGCAAGAAGTGTATTAGCGAGTGAAAAATGATTAGAAATTCTACGACGGGAAGTATGATAGAAGAAAGGAAAAGAATTAGCAGATCGATTATGAAGCAGAAAATGTCGCTTCTAAATGCTACGAAAGACTCGTTTCTAGAAAAAGATTTAAAAGAGTCGTCTAATCCGTCTTTATTATGTGGTATGGGAAAAGACGGATTTTAAATAATTATATAATTAAATGTTTAATAATAGATAGCAGTTAATATCTCAATATTAGAAATCATAATAGAGTGCAGAATGACTCAAAATTTTTTTATGAAATAAGTTATTTCTTTATTATGATAAACTATTTCAATATGTCTTAAAAATCTTTTTTTTATCAGTTTCACCTGTTAACTTATTATATAAATAAAGTCATTTAAATTTATAATTCATTACTTTGATGTATTAAAAAACAATGAATTGATAATTTAATGGCATCTTCTATACAAAAAAATTTTATCATAATTAAAATATGGGTCAGAGTCATTCATACCAATCTTTAAGAATCCAAAATAGCTTAAAGCATAAGCACACCCATCGATTATCAGACGGAGATCGTCCTCATGGATCATCAAAGACATTTTGCATCCTTTTTGATTCTGAACAAGTCAACATCCAAGTACTGGACGATAACTTGACCTGTGGCTGACTATTATCTGAAGTAATTCGGCTCTATAAAGGAGATAAACAAATAATAGGTCTCCAAACTGTAAATAATATAGATATCCTTGATTACTGACTAAGCGACTATGAAAGACCGCTTCAACCTTTCAAAGACAACGAAACTTTTGTTCCTATATATGAACAAGAAATTTCAAACGAAATATCAACAGCTCATTTTTTACCAATAAGGACTATAGGAAAAGGAGGATTTTCAAGGGTGATTGAAGCCAGAAAGCTAGACTCTGGGATTATTTATGCAATTAAAATTATGAGCAAAAGCTTTGTCATTAATGAAGAAAAAGTTGTACAGATATTAACTGAGAGAAGCATTATGGGAAAAGTTAAGCATCCTTTTATTGTAGATTTGCATTGAGCCTTTCAAACTGTAATTTCTAGCTAGGGGAGAGAGCTTTTTCTTGTCATGGATTTTTGCCCAGGAGGAGAGCTATTTTTTCATCTACATAACCTTGGAAGGTTCACTGAAAAACAAGCCAAATTTTATTTTGCTGAAATTTTGCTAGGATTGGAGTATTTGCACAATGTGAATGTTATATATAGAGATTTAAAGCCAGAAAATATTTTATTAGATATGGATGGTCATATAAAATTAATAGATTTTGGCTTGTCCAAAGAATCAGTTTCTAATAGAGGGAGAAGCTATTCATTTTGTGGATCGCCAGAATATATGAGTCCTGAGATGCTGAAAGGCACTGGGCATGGCAGAGAGGTTGATTTTTATAGCCTTGGAGCTTTGCTGTTTGAAATGTTAACAGGCCTTCCTCCATTTTATGACTCAAATAGATCGAAAATGTATATGAGAATTCTTCAAGAAGAATTAAACTTACCAAATTTCATTAGTGAAGAAGCAAGAGATTTATTATCAAGACTCCTTGAAAAAGATCCTGAATTGAGGATTGGATCTACTATTGGGGCCGAAGCAATTAAAGCGCATCCATGATGCCAAAAAATTAATTGGAAAAAAATTGAAAATAAACAGATTTTGCCACCTTTTCGACCAAATTTAAGATATCCGAATTTTGATCCTGAATATATGGCGATTCCAATAGATTTAAATGAATTTTTCGAAAATTCTCCGAATTTGCCAAATGACCCTTTTGAAGAATTCGATTTTTCGGGCACAGAAAATGAGCAAAAGCTCTCTTTATTTCCTAAAAATGCCGTTCAAGCAGACATATCTGCTATATCAACCCAAGCAAGCAAGTCTACAGGCTTCATAAGCCGAAATATTTCTTTGACGACAGTTTCAGCAATTGCTGAAGAAGAAGACGATGTAAACACTACTCATATCAAAGAATTCCAGCCTGCAAGCTCGCCTAGAGCTTTATTAGATCAAGCAAAAAGAAGGAGAGATACAGAAGTTTCTGAAAAAAAATTTACATTTTCTTTGAAAGATTTAAAAAATCCTCCAAAGAAAAGAGCTCTTAATTTAGCGATTTTCCCCAAAAATTCAAAGCCTGCCCGAATAATTAATGATAGACAAAATACAGAAATTTTGGTTAAAAGTCCTAAGCCTTATTTAACATTTGACAAAGAAATAAATCAATTAGCTGAATCAGCATCTCCGTCAGTAAGAATCGCTAAAAAACAAAAAAGGCACACATTTAAGCCAGAAATAATGAAAAAAGCTCCAAAATCCCAAGAAATTTTACAAGCAAATAAAATATCTGATGTTTTAAATGAAATAGAAAAGAAGCTAAAAGCAAAACCGGCTAAAAAACGAATTATAAAAACTAAAAATAATGTAATAATTTAAAATTAAGAAAAAATGGCTTATTTAGCTAGTGCAAGTGACTTATCAACAATATACGAAGTTAATGAAACATATGCATCTATGGCCTCAGCACGGCCATTACCCGATAGCTTTATAGAAAAAAGCATTGAAATAATCATATCAAAAGCAGTAATAATTGAAGAAAATGCATTTACCAGATATGCGCTCTACACAATAACGGGAAGAGATAGTTCAGGACCATTTGAAGCCTCCCGAAGATATAGTGACTTTTTAGCTTTGAGAAATCAATTACTATATCGATGGCCTGGCTGTTTTGTCCCTCCAATTCCTCCTAAAAAAATTCTAGGAAACCTTACAAGTAATTTTATCGAATCTCGAAAATCTTTACTTCAAAGGTTTTTGCAGAGAATCTCACAGATAACTTTTTTATATACAAGTGAAGAGTTCCAGATGTTTATTAGAGGCACGTCAGATTTTGAAGTGATTATAAAAAATTTAAAAGTGGCGACAAGAGATATTATGATTGTATTTCATAGTTTGTTCTGTGAGTTCGTTGATGCTGAGATTACTGATGAAATTAGAGTAAAATTGGTTGAATATGATAATTTTTTGAAAAATAGCTTGGGGCTGTTTGTAGAGTTTGCGAAAGCAGTTAAAATGATAAAAGAACAGTTTGAGAGGTTTAAACGGCATTTTTTGGATGTAAACTGCAAAATTAAAGCTGTAGAAAAAGAGTACATAATGAAATTGCAAGAAAGCGAAATGCAAATTGATAATGCACAAGTTAGGTTTGCAATTCCAAACCCTTTTAAAGAGCTTCACTCCTGGGCTAAAAACGAAATTGCTGACATCTCAGCTATGCTAAATACAATTTCGATTTGTCATTCGTTTGAAAACCGAAAAAAAAAGCTTGAAAGGAAGCTCTCTCTAGAAAATAAATTAGTCAACAAAGCACAAAAAGGTATTGACAATATATGAAAACAAATGGCTCATATCACCAAGAAATACCCCGAAGACCCCGAGCTTAAGAAAGCTCGAATTAAATCAGAAATCGAAGATATCACACAAATTTTGAAAATAATGACGGCTAGGCTGTGCGAAGAAGAGTTGCCTGTGTTCAAGGCAGAAAGGGTGAAAGCATACGAAGACATGATGGCATTGTACTCAGAGCTGACTCTTGAAGGTTTTACACGAATATCAGAATCAGCTATGAGGGTGCATATAGAAATGTTAGATAATTAATTAAAATCAGCTAAGAATGTATATAGAATGTGGTTACTTTATTAGCTCTTCTGCGCTGACTGGATAATTTGGAATATTGCTGCTTAAAAATCACCTGAACCGACTACTACAAAGAGGAAGAAGGCTAAAAGAATTGGACCAACAGTAAGACCGTCATCTTTTTGTTTCTACTTGGAAATTACTGCAAGTGAGGATGGAACTTTGCCTCTTTTTTCGATATTTGACATGTGCTGTTCAGTGACCAGTCTCATTTGCTTCTTGGATGACTAAGTAAGACTTACCATTTTATATTTATCAATTTTCCACGTGCCTTGATTTTTAAAATAATTGTAAGAAATATTTAAAATTATGCTTACTCGCCCCCTACGTGAGCGAACAAACCATTAGAAAAATCCCTATCTTTTGCCCAAAACCCTCCGTGAGCGAACAAAAGTTTTTTATGGGAAAAATTTTGATATATAAGGGATAATTAGTATAATGAAATCTCGAGCTAATTCTGTTTATTTTAAACAAAATTGCGTTTTTTAAAACATGACTTTTACAGATTAAATTAATATTTGCTTTCCAATTTTATAGAAGTGTGATTTTTTTAAATTTCGAAAAAAAAATTCTATAGAATTTATATTTAAATAAAAATTAATCCCCTCCGTGAGCGAACAAGAATTTTGTTCGCTCACGGAGGGGGGAGTTAGCTTATTATTTCATAAAAATTAAATAATTAAAGCCTCACATATCCTACTAGATTTTCTTCATAAGGAGTTGTTATTCTTTTGGCTTTTCTTCTTGCAGCAGTGAATTTATTATAAAGTGCTGACGAGATGATTCCTAAGAAAATAATAGAAATAAGAACTAAGAGAGCGCTCCCAAATTTTGATTCTTCTATATGCACATCAGCTGTATCTGTGCAGAATTTATCGTAGCAAATTTCTTTACAATCTTTTTCTTTATTTTCAACTCCTTGACAAAACGCATCACATCTGCTCTCACAAGACGTCATTTTTATTGGTTTTATATTAACAGCATGAACAAAATCCCAGTCTACTTTAAAGCCTGTGTCTAGGCTTCCTGCATCCTTACTTTTTTCTCTATAAATATGGTCACTACCATTAACATTAAGAATGTGGGTGTAATTTTCTTCGTGCTTCACAATTTGCATATCCCATTCGCTGTCTCTTTCATTCGTGCAATTGGTATCTTCCACATCTCTACTGAGTGAGCCATTAACCGTGACATTATGACGAGGAAACCTTATTTCAAAATCTTTATCCCAGCCACCTTCCCGAGGTTTGGCTTCAGATTCATAGTAGCCATCATGCTCTCCTGAGGGAGTTTTCCATTCTATATAAGTATCAGAAGAGTTGGTCTCTGGGTCATAGCTTTTATATTTATCAATTTCTAGAGCATGCTCGTGATCATGCTCATGATGACATTCGCCATTTTCTTCGTGATGGAGGTTAATTTCCCCTTTAATATATCTATGGTGGCCATCATCCCTTTTTTCTTCGCACTTCTGACACTTGCATTCCTTGCCCTCGTGATGAAGTTCTGCATCTTCTTGATGATGCTTATGGTGGTCGCCTTCTTGATGATAATTGTGGTGCTCATCCTCATGGTAGCAGTCATAGTCCAAATATTCGTCATCTTCTTTTATATCAAGCCATGCATGATGCTCTTCATATGTTTCATTATGGTCTCCATACCCTTGGAACTTTAATTTCTTTTCATTTCCATGCTCGTCTTCTTTTTTGACTTTAATTTTCCAATGGCTGTCTTCTCCTCTTGGCAATTTCACTTTAATTTTTAAGTCAGAATAAAGCTGAGTTTCTTTAATTTCTGATACCAAGCAGTCACAACCACATTGATGAGTGCATTGAACTAATGCTGAGCCTTCAGAGTATTGCAAGCAGACATCACAGCATTTTAAGCTGCAGCCTTTTTCAGATTCATAGTATGATTTTTCTTTGTCACTGACACTGTTTATTTTGTAGTATTTACCTGCCTCAGTTTTTATGAAGTGCTCTTCTATAAGTTCTTTTGAGATGACAACAGAAAACACCCCTAATATAAGTAATGATAACATTATATTATCCAACCAAAAATATGGAAGATATCAGAATTAAAGTGTCTAAAAATGTTGAGTAAATCGCAATAATTAGGCATTCCTTAATTTACGAGTACTACGCTATAAGCCTATGCTTTCACAAATTATTTATTATTTGTAGGTTTTACAGCTATTTTGATAAATATTATTTTTCCAAACAATTATTTTGCCATCGAACATGAAATTCGACATTTAAGTGATAAATAGACTTTATTTAAATGGTAAAATTATAACTATCGCAAGGATGCTTTCGAAAAACGAGCTTGATTCAATACAGAACTTGAAGGAAATTTCTGAAAATCATGAGTATTTTGGATTCATTAGAAAAGAAGAAGAGATCTTGTGCAATGTATCGGAAAGCATGAAGACGTTTAGAAGAGAGAAAAGGCTTGTAACAAATATAGAGGATATTAAAAGGAAACAAAATGAACGATCGAAAATAAGAATCAGAACGAACGTCGAGACATCTACTAACATTTGTAAAGTAAACCATAAAAGTGAAGAGCAGACCTCAAAACATTATATATATAGACCTGTTGACAATATTCCGATCCTCCCTCCGATGGAGAGCTGCAAACGGATGAAAATCCATGGAATCCCACTTTCTGACATAAAATGTAAGTGCGTTCAAGTTTCTAGGGGAAAAGAAGAAAAATCAACAAGCATCCATTTATGAGAAAGATGCAAATCCCCCACTTGCATCAGGCTTAAAAGGAATAGTGAAAGCAAACATTCACAATTCCTCCCCAGGCTTCCTATGAATTTGTCAATTTTTTCGAATTTGATGCTGAACTCTAAATTTAAGAAAAGTATCAACACCTTGGAAGACTCTCTTACAAACGTTATATCTCCAGTAAGGTCAATGAGTCCAGAAGTAAAAAGAGAATCCACTGCAAGTGTGCACAAATATAAAAAAATGAGAACAAGATTTTTTGATGAAAGCTCTAAAGGAAGGAGAAAAGAAATTAAGGATGCATTGAGCAAAAGCTCGGAAAATAAGTCTTTTGCAGATTACGTGAAAAGCAAGATTTGTATAAATGATCAAGCTAATAAAAGTTCGCTTAAATAAATGATTATATATTATATTTTTAGCAAGCCTAGCCCGTCGAAATTATGACTGAGTAAGCATAATTATATGGAGAAATTTATATAAATCAATAAAATTAAAAAAGATGCTAAATTTGTAGCTAATTATTAATAATATCTCTTTCAATGGCTCTTGAAATGCAGAAGTGAGAAAATAAATATAAGAAAAAAGTCAGAATTCAGCAACTTTATGTGATTTTATTGGTAGAGAAACTCCTCTTTATTAATATCTTTTAATAGTTTGATATTAAAATAATTAATGAACTACAGTATTTTTGCTAAATCTCTTATGGTTGTCTTTTGTCTTATGACAGGAATTATCGATTTTTTGCTATTTGTCGAAACTTGGGATGCAAGCCTGGAAGGCTCCGGGGTAATAATAAATGTTGGAGTATGGCTGATTGGGGTTTTTGATATAACGCTTGATGGTCTATAATCACTTGGGGTCAATTTTTTCAATTTATGCAAAAATGAGTCTTTATCTATTTGAGGAAGGCCAATTTTAGGAAAAAATGACGACTCTATTGTTTGGAAAAATAAAGAGTCTTTATGATTCATTAAAGCTTCTCTCGGCGTTAAAACTCCTGCAGGCAATTTTGGCTTTTTATATGCTTTCCTAATAAATATTGGGATCTGATTTATCACTTCTAATATTCCTGGCCTCTCTTTAGGTTCTTTTTTAAGCAGAGTTGAGATAAAATCTACTAGTTTAGGAGAATATTTTACTGGGATTGGTCTTGGCTCACTATGTATGATATTAAGCCCAAGAGTGATCATATTATCACCTGCAAATGGCACTTCAAGTGCTGCCAAAGTATAAATAATGCAGCCTAATCCTCATATATCTACCTTATGGCCATATGGCTGCCTTCTTACCTGTTCTGGACTGAGAAATAATGGCGTCCCCACATTGGAAGCATGCAGCTCTTTTCTGTTTGAAATCTTCGAAAGGCCTAAATCGCCTATTTTAATCCTTCTATTTTGATCCAAGAGCACATTTAAGCATTTAATATCCCTGTGAATAATATTATGAGTGTGCAAGTATTTAATCCCCAAACAAATTTCATAAGTCCACGTTCAAATTTGTCCTTCCTCAATAGTCTTTCTTTGTTCCTTCGAGCTCTTTATAAAAGTATTTAGATCTCCTAATGCGGCATATTCCATCAGTATGAACATGGTATCATCTTGAATCAAGCTTGCATAGTATTTAATTATATGAAAGTTATCGAGCTGCTTCAAGATTTCTACCTCTTTTTGAGCTTGCTTGCTTTTTTTCGACGACACCGAGCTTAAATCTATTGCTTTGACGACATAAAATTTCCCATCATTTTTGCTTCGCACTTTGTACACGACTCCTGAAGTCCCTCTTCCTAGCTCCTCAATAATAGAAACCCCTAGAGAATTCATATTAATTCAAATTTATTTACTTCTTTTCAATTCCTGTTTTTATTTTAATACTTTTTCTACTATATCTTATATAGATGGGACAAGGCCCTAGCAAAATTAAAAGGAACTTTACAGCTTGGCGACTGTCAAGAAAAAAAGGCAATCAAAAACTGAAGACCAAGACGTCATGCCCAGTGTGTAACCAAGAGTTCGAGAGCTGGAGAACCTATGATGACTTTAATTATCATATTGACTGATGCTTGAACCAGTCAACTCAATCTCCACCTCCTGAGCAGAAATCGTCTCAAAATTTGAAATGTAAGCCGCTAGATAAAAAACTAAAGTGACTGAGAAAACAAATAGATACAGTCAGAATTCCATGGAGCGAAGAATTCATCAAACTAGGAGTCCAGCGAGATAATATTTTCGACGACTCCTTAAGGCAGGTTCTGTCACTTACAGACAGAGATATGAGAAAAGAATTCCAAATCAGTTTTCAAGGAGAAATAGCTCAAGATGCAGGAGGGCTGATGAGGGAGTGGGTGAATTTATTGATCAAGGTTTTGTTTGCACCTGATTTGGGACTTTTTGAGTTTACTAAGACTGAAGAAGTAGCTTATACTATACCAATAAAACCTGAAGAGCATATGGAAGAACTTTATTATTTTACTGGGAAAGTGCTTGGAAAAGCCCTTTTCGAAAACATCCCTGTTAATTGTCCACTATCTAAAGTGATTTTTAAGCACTTAGTAGGGAAAAAAGTCACATTTTCAGATCTAATATACCAGGATCAAGCTTTGCATAGTTCATTAAACTATGTCACTACAAACTCAGTAAAAGGGGTGCTTTTTGAGACATTTTCAGTAATAAAAGAATATCAAGGCCAAGTAAGTGTCATCCCCCTCATTCCTGATGGAGAAGATAAATCTGTGACTGACGGAAATAAAGAAGAATATATTCGACTACGATCCCAATTCGAAATCGAGACAGGCTTTAAAATCGCTTTAGAAAATTTAAAGCTCGGCTTTTACTCTGTGATTCCAAAAGAAATCATATCTGAGCTCGAACCTGATGAAATCGAACTTGCTCTCTGTGGATCACCATTTATTGACATAGAAGATTGGAAAGAATTCACTGAATATCGGGGTGCATTTCATAAAGACCATAGAGTGGTACAAAGGTTTTGGGAAATAATGAGAACGTTTAGCCAAGAGCAGCTGGCAAACTTTTTGACGTTCGTTACTGGGACATCTAGGATCCCTATAGAAGGGTTCAGTTCCTTAAAAACCTTGAGAGGAGAAAAGGCAAGATTTACGCTGGACTCTATGCCATATACCGAAAAAGCGCTGCCAAGAGCTCACACGTGCTTCAACAGACTTGATTTACCACTATACAAAAGTAAAGATGAGCTGAAAGAAGCATTAGAGTGTGTATTGAATAATTATACGATTGGTTTTGGCCTGGAATAATATTTATGCTATATAATAATATTAGATTTACTAGTGGGCTTTTTTAGGTCTTTTATTTGTAGATCGTGGCGGGCTTATTTTACGTTTGAGGTTTAAACTCTTTATATCTGGAAGGGTTAGGACAGCAGGGTTCATGAGCGTAACTACATGCTGAGAACCCGCACTGATTTCTTCTATAGGCTTGGCTACACTCCAAGCGACTAATGTTGGCATGGATACGTTCTTTTCCTTTCCATTAAGCAGAACATATGTGTCACCAAATCCCCACGAATAAATCCTTTGTGTAGAAGTAATTGCAAAATTAAAGTGCGGACCACACGCAATTTTTCTGACATTGGTTAAGCTAGGGATTTCTTGAGGAGTGTAGTGCGATTCAGTTGTGTTGAGACCAAGCTGATAGTCATCGTTTCTTCCCCATATTAGGACTCGGCCGTTTTGGAGAAGGGCAAGAGTGTGATTGTCTCCTCCAGTAATATATTGAATATCAAGATTTCTAAATCCCCCCTTTTAATTGGAAAAAAATTCTGTTTTAATTTAAAGGGTTTAATTTTTTTAAGAAATATAAATTGAGCACAATACCTTGAATTTTAATTTATTTTTATGAGGAATTAATGAGCAAAGTTAATCGATTTAGTGTGGTAACTGTTTAAATAGCCTTCTACTTGCACTTTTACATTAAATTAGATCAAAACTGATTTTATAAAATTCGTTAAAGCAACCAAATATGGAAATTTACCTATATTTTGTTCCAATTTAAAGAAGGGAGTAAGTTCAAAGATTTCATGAGGAACGCAAGTATTTTTCGTGCTTCCATCTCCCAGCTGTCCAAAATTATTTAACCCCCAGCCATAAACCTTATTATTGCTTGACTTTGCAAACGAGTGGTTTTTCCCCGAATAAATGTGTTCAATATTTTTCATACCAATGCTTTCAATCTGTAAAGAATGAGCAATACTTTTTCTTGACCTCGGCATTCTTCCTATTTGTCCGAACTCTGAATCTCCCCATGCATAAACTCTGTTATCTGCAAGAATCAAGCTATGATTAGCTCCACTGACGATATCTTTGATTAATTTGCTTTTCTTGAATTCATCGCTTCCAATTTCAATTGGGAATTTATGCCCAATTTCCATGTTACCTTGGCTATTTCTATACGTGCCCCATGAATAAAGTTTTCTTGTATTGGCTGATAATGCAATTGAGTGGGAATCCCCTGCAGTGACTTTTGTAATAAATTCGACTCCAGAGATCAGCATGGGAATGTTTTCTTCGCCAATCCTGCCAAGAGCTCCATCGTCATTGCATCCCCATGAGTAAACGCGACCTTCTGAGGTGAGAGCTAATGTGTGCATACTCCCACATGCGATCATTGTGACTGATTCTGGGAGTTTTAGAAGTCTGGGCTTTCGAGCATTAAAAACATTGGGAATTCCCAGCTGCTCGCATTCTCCGGAACCGCAGACTAATACTTGCTCATCCGATTCAATATCCATTTAGAACCTTATAATGGACTCTGTAAAAATGGAGAGAATAGGAAATTTCCTTGAAAATAGTAAGTCAGGATAGCGCTCCAGGAAAAAAACTCTAGGGTATTTCTATTTCTTTTTGCTAAATTGTGGCAAAATATTAGAATTTCAAAGGATTTAGATGAATTTCTTTTATTTTATTATAATTTTATTAGAATTTTAACAAAAATTGAGGCTTATGCTTTCTTAGGCAATGGCGGAGGAGGGGGGATATTTGCTGGAATTTTATTAGGCAGCGGAGGAGGTGGTGGAGGTGGGTTAGAAACAGGTGAACGGCTATAGTAATTGATCATCATTGAAGAGGTCGGCGATTCTTCAGATCCTAGCATTCTGGAGTCCTCTTTTTTGTCATATCAATTAAAGCTGTCTTCGTTCCTAGGTGAAACATCAGAGGACTGGAATTTTGCTGAAGACTCCATACTCATCATTCTTCCTTTGTCAAATTGAGTTGATGACTGCTGAGAATGGGCCGAGGACTGAATTCTGGCTGATGAAGCCTCAGATGATAAAGGAACTCTTTTCATGTTATTTTCTATTGAAAAGCCAACATTCATCATAGGGTCTTGGTTCTTTGCAGGCGAAGTTTCTGGGGTGAAAATTGGGTTTATTAAGCTCATTTCAGCTCTTTTGTGTCTTTCCTTGGCAGCTTCTTCGTCTAGTAAGTCATGGAGAAGAGTTAACAATTCTGTGACTCGATTTAAATCTTCATGATCTGGACAATGCTTTAATAAGTTTTTCCTTATATTATAACAATGTGAAAGCTTATCTAAGGCACTTTTATAGTCCTTGTTTTTTATATGAATTGACCCAAGGGCTTCTAAAACTTGGGCAACTGGAAGAGAACTCTCAGAACAGTTTTTTATTCGCGTATTTAAGGCTTTTTGCAACAAAGTTGTAGCCTTAAACATATTTCCTTTCATTTTGTTAAGCAGAGCTAGATTATATTCACAATCAGCCACTGTTTCGTGGGAGTCTCCTAAGTTCTCAATCCTGATTTCATGCGACACAGTAAAGCTCATGATCGATTTACTAATTAATTTTTGGTTTTGGTAAAACAGTCCAAGCATGAAGTAGGCATTGCTGGTTTCTAAGCTGGATCTTCCAAGATGCAGCTCTATAAGTTTGATATACTGGACATACATTTTTTCAGCATTAATATAGTCACCACATGCACAAAGTAAATTGGCTAAGGTCGAATATACACTTACTTTAGTCTTCAATTGTGTATAAGTCAAGTTTAATTTTTCGCCCTTTCCTTCGTCTGGTCTGAAAGAAGATACTGGTATTACTTCATGAGATCCTGAATGAGAAGCCATTTTAGCTGAAATTTGTAGTAGAATTTGTCTTGCCTGATTTAATTCGCCTGACTGGATATAAGCTTTTGTGAGTATGATTCCATCAGTCAATAAATCATAGATGTCAAAGTATCGATTTCGTTCGTATTCACTGATAACTCTATTGAAATAGCTGCGGCCTTTAGCAACCGCATTGGCTGGGTTTCCTTGACAAATGCTTGTGATCATGTCTTTTCTTATTCGATATCGGCCTGTGTATACTTCTTCATCTGCAAAAAAACTGTTTTCTGGGCCAGCTTCGAGGTCGAATTTTGAAATTTCAGTTTCGCTTAATGGAGTGATATTTGATAAGTCAGCTGAAGGTGGCTCAGAGATGTCACATTCTGGAAGATGAGATTCTCAGTGCTGGATTTGATGGGCCTCACTGCAGTAAAATACTGCTTTGCAAGCAGAGCAGCACATTAGAGTGGGTCTCTTGCAGACAGCGCAGAGAAATCTTGATGAGTCTGACACTGATTCTTCTAATTGATCATAGCGAGTAGTCATTTTTAATTTATTGTTATTCTTATGAATTCATTTATAGTTTTGGTTTGCATTTTAAGTGCTCTCATATCATAAAAAGAGTTATTTAGTTTCTCCAAAATATTAATTTGTTTAAATGGGTACCTTATAATTAGATTAGAGTTATATTATTATGAATAAATAGAATTCTAATAGTAATTTTAATTAAATTACTTACTCCCCCCCCCCCCCTCCGTGAGCGAACAAAACCATTAGAAAAATCGCCATTTTTTGACCAAAAACCCACCCTCCGTGAGTGAACAAAAATTTTTTTAATAGAAAAAATTTTAATGGAAAAAAATTTTGATATATAAGTGATAATTAGTATAATGAAATCTAGAGCTAATTCTGTTTAATTTTAAACAAATTGCGTTTTTAAAACATAAATTTTGCAAATTAAATTAATATTTGCTTCCCAATTTTTGCAAATTAGGATTTTTTAAATTTTCGAAAAAAATATTTTTTATAAAATTTATATATATAAATTTTTTTTAAAAAAAAAATTAACCCCCCTCCGTGAGCGAACAAATTTTTTTGTTCGCTCACGGAGGGGGGGGGGGGAGTTAGTTATTTAATTAAAATGGCTCTAATAAAAATAACTATAAATTTTAGCCCATTACTAGATGCATGAATCTTCAAGTTCAATGACTTCATCGTCATATAATGACCCTTCTGAATCTCCAAGCAGCTGAAAACGAAGCCAAACTCTTAAAGATATCAAAATAAATCTCCACCAGCCCGCTGATCTTGAAAAAGCAAAAGAGTATAGATTAAAAACATCAATTTCTAAATGAAATGGAAACATTCCCAGGCAGCACCGCATATGCTCAACTACAGCTGAAGACCTAGGAGAATATGGTGTAGGCCTTGAATTGCATTTTTTATTTCTAAAACAGCTTATTTTTGCATTTTTCATTATAAGCTCAATTAGCATTTGGCCTTTATATACTAATTGAAAAGGAGGATATTTAGAGGACCAAGAAGCAAATTCGTATACAGATCCTTTTTCTATTGCAAATTTGCATGGAATTTCAAGTAATGAAACTGTTTTGTCAAATGCAAAAGATTTGCAAGGTGAAATTGATCGAGACTATTTTGATATTTGGGTGAGTGATACTATGTACACTGCTTCTTTTATTCTGATGATTTTAATTTTTAGTATACAAGGGAACTCCAGGATCAAAAGAAATAATAAAAAACATGACAGAGTCTCTGACTATGCAATAAAAATCAAAGGAATTCCAAGAGAAGGAGTCACAGAAGAAGAAATAAAAATTCACTTTGAGCCTTATGGAGAAATAATCGAAATTTATTTGGGAAGACGCTATAAAGGCTTGCTTCGCTATTTTCATAAACGCTCTATTATTTTAACCAGGATGGCGACCAGGGACTCATTATTAACTTTTAAAAACAAGGAAAAGGAAAACGACAAATTGCTTAAAAAACTAACCAAAAGACTGAAGATTTTAGACAGCAATATAATAAAGAAAAGCCAAGACATCGTTAGTCATGATTTTTTGCCAATAAAAACAGTTTTCATTATTTTTAGTACGAGAGAAAGCAAAGTAAAATGTTTAAAAGCATATAATGGAAGTTGCTTCAGGTCTTATAACAAAAATTTGCTTTTTCAAGGCAAAAAGTTAAAAATTACTCCTGCGCCTGAACCTTCAGATATTATATGAGAAAACCTTGAAATCGGCAAATTTTCAAGGTTCATGAGAATAGTTGTGTCAATTATAGCCGCAGCATTGCTGATGCTATTTTCAGCTGGAGCTTTAAATTACCTTAAAACTCAAGAACAAGCAATACCAAGTACGAGTAAATGTTATGACCTGAACGGTAATTATGATATTTCACTTAAAGAGGCAGAGGACACTTATAAAGATAGCACTGAAATTTTATGTTGATGCAAAATGCAAGGGTGGAGTAATTTAATTACTGACTCTGAAAAAGCCTCATACTGTTCATCTTATATGGAAAAGTGGGTATTTCAAGAAAGTATCAAATATCTTGCAAGTTTTGGAGTCATTGTCATCAATTTTTTCTTGAAATTTGTATTACGGAAGCTCACATATTTTGAGAGACTGAAAAGTCTGAGCGAGCTCCAAAAGAGAATCATGATAAAAGTATTTTTTGCGATTTTTATAAATACTGCTATCATCACATTAATTATCAATATCACTTTCCCATTGTTTCCTTCCTCAAATGAATATATATTGAGAGGAAAATACCAAGACTTTTCAAGGGACTGATACTTAAAAGTGGGCTCAATATTCGTTGCTATGATGCTTATAAGTATTTTTTCTCCTCATGTGATTTATTTAATGATTTTTTATCCATTGGGAATGATAAAGAGAAAATGCTGCTGAAAAAGGTATGCTACACAGTATGAGCTGAATTTAGCATATCAAGGGCCTGACTATGATATAGCAACAAGGACATCTCAGGTGTTGAACCTTGTTTTGACTTGCTTTTTGTATTCAGGAGGAATGCCCATTTTAAATATTATCTGCTTTATTGCGTTGATTTGTATATATTGAACAGATAAATTTCTGATATTGAGGCATTTCTCTCGTCCTCCTAAATATACAGGAGAAATTTATATATCTGCTATCAAAATTTTGATGGTCGGAGTTCTCTTGCATTGCTTTATATCAGGGTGCATGTATGGAGCACCAGATATATTTCCGAAGGGCTTTTATAAGGATGGAGAATATGTTCAAGCAGATTCTATTAACTTTATTGACAGATTTACAATTCCATCTGGAATATCAATGATTTTATTGGGAATTTCTGCGCTTATATTATCAATTTTTATATTATAAAAAAAAGATGTATGAAAGATATACAACTATTTCAATTTATATAATTAATAGTAAATTTAAGAAAAAATAGTAATAATTACACAAACTCTGGAGCTTGAACTCTAGACGAAATAAGATAGAAATGAATTTTACAAGATTCATAAGCTAGGACATTAATAAATTATAAATGGTATGAACTTATTGAATTGACAACGTCCTCCAAAAATAATTAATTTTTTTTGAATAAATGCCTGGATATACGCTTTTATAACTCCAAGAGATAATTTATTGAAATTTCAGGGATAGGATCTTTTATAAATCACATTCTCACGGTACTGTTTATTTCAAAAAATTTGGAACATAGTGTATGACTTCTAAATATTGATGATGCCGAATAGTTATTCAATAAAATAAGTGCACAGAATTCATACAAATAGAACATAAGTTTTGCGGCAATCTTACTCAAGATAAGATAGCCTTCACAATATTTGCGATTAAAAATGCAAAATAATAATTATAAGAAACTGCACTTAATAAACTACATCAGGTTGAACTTTTGTAAATTATCAATAAAATTTATGAAATTTGCTTACTCCTCTCCTCTGTGAGTAAACAAAAATTAAGTGCCTCATGGAGTGAGACTAAATTTTTTTTTAATAATTTATATTCTATAAATTTTTTTCGAAATGAAATCCAAACTCATAAAAATTGAGAAGTAAAAATTAATTTATTTGTAAAAATTTATGTTTTAAAATGCAAGTTATTTAAAATTAAGCAGAATTAGCACGAGATTTCATTATACTATTTATCACTTATATATCAAGTATTTTTTCATAAAAAATATAAATTCGCTCACGGAGCATATTTGGGCAAAACATATGGATTTTTCCAATATTTTGCTTGCTCACGAAGTCGGGGAGTTAAGAAGACTTCATTACAATTTTGCAGAAACTAAAGAATTCAGCACATTTAACGAGGTTTTACCTGAGATTAAAAAATATGGACTTGTTAGTTATAATGTAAAATATCATCCTGTTTATAGGTTACTTATAGACAGCATGGCTCATGGCAACGAATCTCATTTCCAGATGAAAAATGCAGACTTGGCCATAAAAAGCCAAGATTTTAATATTGATACTACAAGAACCTACTTACTCCCCCCCCCCTCGGTGAGCGAACAAAACCATTAGAAAAATCGCCATTTTTTGACCAAAAACCCACCCTCCGTGAGTGTGAACAAAAATTTTTTTAATAGAAAACATTTTAATGGAAAAAAATTTTGATATATAAGTGATAATTAGTATAATGAAATCTAGAGCTAATTCTGTTTAATTTTAAACAAATTGCGTTTTAAAACATAAATTTTGCAAATTAAATTAATATTTGCTTCCCAATTTTTGCAAATTAGGATTTTTTTAAATTTCGAAAAAAATATTTTTTATAAAATTTATATATATAAATTTTTTTAAAAAAAAAAATTAACCCCCCTCCGTGAGCGAACAAAATTTTTTTGTTCGCTCACGGAGGGGGGGGGGAGTTAGAAGAAAACAGTGCAGGGATTACCCAATATGATTCTCCTATTAAGAAGCAAAATAGTATAGAAGACGAAGATGAAAACTCTGAAGGGGAAGAAGAAGAAGAAATAAAGGTGGACAGAGAAGAAGGGCTAATGAGAAAATTATCAATTAGATCTGAAGAGAGGGAATTTAGTAGAAAATCATCAATTAGGTCATCAAGAGGAAGCTATGTTGAAAATGAGAAGCATGAAAAAATAAGAATAGTGGAAGATGATAAAGGAGAAAACAAAAGTAAAAATCATGGAAAAAATATCTCATCAATTGATGAGAGACTGCAAAGGAGAAGGCGTAGAAAGCATTAAGTTAATTAATTAATCCAAATGGATTGTGTAGAAAAGCAGATTTGATATTGGTAAGCTTAACTGATAATCATTTTCACATAAATAAATATAGTCATTTAGCCCTATACCTTTACATAATCCCTACTGAAAGCAATTTTTTTTCTTCGAATTCTGATGATTTTAGATGAAATGGGCAATATTATCTAATCAGGCAAGATCTAATTTTTGTTTGCAATACACGTAAATGTGCTATGTTTTAGTGAGATTTTTGAAAAATTGCAAACTCATATGCAAAATGTTTGAAGCATAATATAAATTCTTTTATAAATTTCTGGTACCTTAATGTCTTATTAAAATTATAAAATTCATGCATAAAGGGAACAGCAAATAAGTGAATTTTGGCAGAGTGTTGCTGTTTTAGCAATTTTATTTAAATATTGCTTCAGTGTTTAAAGCCTAAATAAAATGCCTTTGCTCTTCCCAGCCTTTTACTTGTATAAACTGCTAGCATGGAGCTCATTTCCTTGGCTCATAAGAAGTATCATTACTGTCCATTAAGATTTAAAGATCTCCTTTCTTGACAAATATTAAAAATAAAAACGACAGTTACTAGAAATTTTTCGAATCACCCTTTTAGTCTTCTCATCAAAGGCATCGTATATTTGAAATTTAATTCTAAAAGCAACGAATTCTGAATAAGAATTAATAATAGTCTCCATTAAAATTTATAATAAATCGTTCAATTGGTATTTTTCAATATTAAAAAATAGAGTGGTTGATTCAATTATATAAGTATAAATAAATTTATTAATATGAAAAATAATTCACTAATTATTACCCATTAACACCATTAAAAATAATGAAAGAGAGGCTCCATGCTATTTTATTGGAACTTTTTGCTAGTGAGACATTTCCTCAGGAAATTTGGTCGAAATTTTTCTTTTCAATCAAATGCTTCGCTAGCAAAAAGTCTAAATGAAAAATGCGCCGAAAGAAGGTCAAAAGGATAAAGAATTCACATCCATCCTCTACGGCTGCATGGAAAACTGTTGCGAAAAATTATTTACCACGAAATTTAACTTAAGACGTCACATAGAGACAGCCCATAAAAAGACGACAGAATTCACATGTTTAACCTGTATGAAAACTTTCGCGAGCAAGCAAAATTTGTGTGAGCATGAATACCTTCACACAGGTGATAAGCCCTTTAAATGCAATGATTGTCATAAGTTATTCAGGCAGTTAAGCCAGTTATCTCTCCATAAGAGAATTCATTTGAAGCCAACTTGTGGCCTTAATACAATGAATTTTAATAAAGGGATAAAAGAAAGAAAATGGAAAGTGTTCAATCTTAATAGGTTCGAAGAAGACGAAGAAAAAGTCCAGGAAAGTGTTGATAATATAGTGTCAACTTTTCCTCATTTAGAATCGAACATTGATCATTTAAAACTCCCAAAGATATCGGAGAATATCAACAATAAGGACTTTTAAAGATTTGTCTATGATAATTAAAAATTTCTTTTAATATCTCTATTATTTTTTCTAATCGCCATAAAATAGTCAGAAATATCATTTTGATATTTCTATAACCCAGCTATCTGTAACTTCTAAAACAGAACCTATCCGAATCCGATATAAAAAAATATTAAACTCAGCTTAACTTTGATCTGAATATGCTACCTCGACCCCTCATATTTGAAATTATCACATATCTAGACACTCCATCTCTTCTCTCCATTTCTCTTGTTAGTCGAAATTTGAATAAAGCAGCAAATTCCCCATGTCTATGGAAGAGAGAATTTTTTAGAATTTGGATTCCATGTGATAACACCCCTGCTTTACTTTGCCAAGATTTCCATATAGTGGACTGCTTTGATGTGGACTGGAAAGGTCTTTGTAAGAAAGGCCTACATCTTCGCAGTGATTGACTAAAATTGTCAGGATTTGTACTTTCTTCTTATGAAATGCTTTTCCTTTATAACGAATTTACAGGAAGCTTAAAAGCGCCGATCATTCCTTTTCCAGCCTTGAGAAGAGATATACAAAGTTTCCCAACAATTTTGCAAGATTTACTAGGAAATCCTGAAGATCAGTTTGAAGGAGACTTTGATTATGAAGATTATACCATGGCTTTTGCGAGCTGTCTCAGGGAAAGGCAAGATGAACTATATGCTGAAATAGAAAGTATAAATGACTTGAAATTGCTGACATGCTATAGGTGAAATATAGAAAATACTGATATCCCTGCAGAGCGGTTAAGTATTGAATCAGTTTCTACAGACTCTTCAGACACTTTTATTGATTTTTCTGGCCAAAAACAGACGGAAAGCATGGTTTTGAACTTTTTTGAAACTATTAAAAACACCCTTCAGTTTTTCTGTGATGGAATTACTGGGGCTTTAGTTGAGAGCGATGATTTGGTAAGTGAATACTGCAATAGATGGACTGATTATTGTGCAGCCATGAAAACTATTAATGGGTTGTTTCTTCCTTTGACAGAGATGATAAATGAAATTTATGAGAGTAAGTTTCCTGATAGCCCGAATTTTCCAAGAATGAATATGATGAGGCTTATGCCAGCTATATGAAGAAGGCATGTTTTTGAAAAAATAAAAGATAGAATTGCCAGCAGCCTTGTAAATAATGTAAATTATCAGAGGCAAAAAGTATATAAGGGAGAAAATCCAGATCTAGAATTCTGTGATACTGTCAAAGGCCTTATTGAAGCAGTTATGGATATCAGCTTAAATGAGCTAAGTGTGTACTTCAAAAACCACTCCCAGCTTCAGCTTGATGGCCCATACTCATTCCTCCACTTAGAACTTATTTCTCAATCAGCTGAATATTACAATTCTTTAAATTTACCTATAAACACCCTTATTGATTTTTTTGAAAATGAGCATGCTTTTTCTACAGCATTTTTGCCTCAATCTACAGCTACTCAGCTAAAAGTATTGAAATATAAAAAAATTCAAAGCGAAATTCTCAACATTTTGTCAGCTGAAATCATAAATTATGCACCAGAAGATCACCCGATAAGTATTAATAATTATGACATTTTATCATCTGTAATTGGGAAAATCCTCTTACAGGTCGATAATAATCAAGAAAAAGTTATAAGGTTTTTATTGTCTTGCAAAGAGCATAAAGAAATTGTACAAAAATTTAATGACATTCAGCAGATATTAGATGATAGCTCAAAAAGCGAAGAAGATGAAATTATTGAAAGGAGGGCAAATATTCTAGGAGTCAGGTTTGACGCGACACCCGAGGAAATAATGCTTTTTTCCTTTTCTAGGGATATCAATTTTAATCAGATGTCGGGTGTATTAAAAGCTTTTTCAATTTATTAATTAGGTAGCTAACTATCTAAATACTTATGAGCACAATTGGAATTAATGTATCAGAAACTGAAAAATAGGGACATTAATGGGAAGTAGAGAAATTCTTGGAATAGAATTTGTTATCAATTCCTCTTAATTACTAGGCCTAATATATTTTGTAAAAGTTAGCATCAGGTTTAAATCATTGATATAGTATCAGGTAATATTAATGATATACATAATTGCTAAATTACAATTAAAGTAAGAGGTCTGCTTTTTGCTTTATATGATTTTCAAGATAGATTCTTATGTCTCTCCTATAATAACTATCTGCTAAATCTTTAGCATCTTTGCCTTCAATATCAGGCTCTCCTATCGCCATTTTATACCTTTCAACTAAATATCTTACAGTTTCTAGCTGATCCATTACTACTGCTCAATGCAAGCAGTTTCTCCTATACCAAGTATCTTTTGCCTGCAAGTTTCCTTCATATATAATCATTGCTTCCAAGCACGAAATATTTCCCTTGCTTGCAGCTATAATTATAGGCGTAAGTCCTCTGTAACTTTGTGTATTAGGGCTTGCTCTATTTTTAAGCAAAATTTCAACGATCTCTAGATTTCCTTCTTCTGCTGCGTAGTGCAATGCGCAAAACCCATCATCATTATTTAATGGCTGATTTAGAGGTAATTTTCGCTTTAAAATCTCTCTTAAACGCGTTGGATTTTTATGTAGTGTTATTGCTTCATATAATTCAAGTTTTGACTGTTTGCTCAATGTATATTCTCATGAATTTTCAGGGGTTGCAGTTCTGGCATAGTCATATGCTTGTTTCAATCCATTGAAATCATCTTGAACTAAAGGATTTTCTAAGCTGTTCTGGCTCATTTGTGCTCTTGCCCTGAGTTTCCCAAAAGCATCTGCTTCTAATGAAGCAGCACAGTCATGGGCTGGATGAATTCATTCAGGAATGGTTGAGTTAAATCTGGTTGATAAGTGAGGTGAAAAGTAATCCAATGGTGGCGGAGTAATAGGCTTTTCTGCAGCTTGATCCCCTCTTGATAAATACACATAAAATGGAGATCTAAGCGCACCCGAGCTCTTGATGCAAATTTCTCAAACTTATTGTCAAGGCGAACTGGGCAAGAAATCAATCAAGATTAAGGCTAGATATGTGCCTATGTATGTCGGATAGCTATTTGATTTAGTTCCTGTAGGCGAAAAGAAGTAACTTGGCAATGTCCTTTAGACTATAAGGTGAAATTTATGCAAATACCCAGGGTTTGTCTCTGGGCTTAGGAATGAAGCCTTTTTCCTGTAGCTTGAGAGCAGGCATCCAGCACCCGCTAGATTAGGGTTTTTTCCTGTATCGATCTACTTTTCCAATTCGCCCGATGAAGGGCGATAGAAATTAATGCTCAAGACTGGAGCTATTACAATGCAAGGAGGAGATGAACCTCTCTTGTGTTCACTTAGCTGCATTGATAACTTAAGCAGTTTCTAGAGAGAAAGAGATGGTATTTAAACATCTGCCAGGAGCCATCTTTCTTCGAGCAAGCTGTGGCATGGGCGTCACAAGTGATGAACCCTTTAGGTCCTTGGTAACTGCGTAACCAATACGGTTTTCAACATCTGTAATTTTTAGATTAAGATTCCCTCTAGATATTCTTGCAGTCATGGGCTCAACTGAAGGCGGAGGAATTTTTGGTTCTGGTCTCCTTAGCTTTTCAATAATCTCATCCATTTTCTTTCTTTTAAAGAACTTATCTCCCAACGATTTGTTTTATTTATCTTCAAGCAATCCTCTTATTTAAAGCACAAATATAAAATGGAAGATTTAATCTCAGTCAATTTTGATTACCAAGCAAAAGGATCCGATTTTCAATTAGGCATGCAAATAGACTACCCATCCCCAGATATTTATGAAAATACGACTCCATGTCAAATGACAGTTGATTTTTAAATAGTGTATTTTTCATCGAAATAAATTTGGTCGAAAATGTTTAAATATTGTAGCACATGGTCGAAATTTAATGTTTTTTTCAGTTAAATGTCTCACTATCAAAAAGTATCAACCAATTTTCGACCAAAAGTACTTCAGTGAAATGTAACTATCAAAAATGCACTATCATTGAGTATATACCCGAAAATACAGCATATAAGCCTCACAGCAACCAATCTTCTGCATCTCCTATACCAAGTATCGATTTAAACCAAAAATTACTCGAAATGGTTACTCAGCAATCAGCTTTTCAGCAGCAAATCATAAAGCTTCAAGCTGATTTATTGCAGATTGAAAAAGAAAGCGCAAGCAAAGACGCAGAAATCAAAAAGTTAAATAAGCAAGCGAAACAGTTTCAGATTCAGATCGAAGAAAAAACTAAAAATCTGCAAGAGCTTACTATCGATTATCAAGAAAAATTCAGAAATTTTGAAGCTGAAAATCAAGAACTCCAATCAGCTAATTTAGATCTAGAACAAAAAATCGCATCATTGTCAGCCGCATTAGAACAAAAAACTGCTCAATATGTAAAATTACAAAATGCTTATAAAGAAAGAGAAAAACGAAGAAGCACTGCTGAAGTCATGCTAGATCAGCAGGAAACAAACAATAAAGACTTGATCCAGAAAAATGTGATATTAGAGAAGCAAGTCCAAGATCTAGAAAAAAAGAATAATGAAAACAACAGAATTATTATGAAACTGAGAGCTGACATTCAATCCACAGATGAAATTATGGGACAAAGAGACTCACAAGTAAAGAAAGTTTTAAATAAAATTAAACAGCAAGAAAGTGAGATTGTAAAATTAAGAGAAGAAAATAAGAAAAAAGATGACACTATCTCTAATCTACAAATAAAAGTCGACTTTTTAGAAAAACACCTTGAGGAGACCAAAACGGTTTATAAAGAAAGAGATATGAAAAAAGCCTTACAACAGATATCTGCAAAAGACAGCGAGTTAAAACTTATGAAAGAAATGGCTAAAAATTGGCAGCTTCAATTTAAAAAAGCAGCTGATTCTGGAAAAAGCAAAAAGCCTGTAAAACTGCCTCCAATTGCGATCGAAGAAAAATCTATTGAAAAACCATCAGATAAAAAATTAAGGTTCAGAGAGAATTTAAGAGCTAAAAATTTCAGAAAACCTGACGAATCGAAATCAGCTGAATCAAATATTATTTCAGCTCCGGGGGAGTCAGAGACATCTCCACACAAGCAGGTAAGAAAAGGAACCCCAAAGCCTAAAGTTCAAAAAACTTCACCTGATAGTGCTCTTAACAGTGTAGCCTCATCAATAAAAGGATTTCCTGAAATAGAAAGGATCGAGGTGAAAAGTGACGCATCAAGTGGCTTTGAATTTGCTTTTAGAGGTAAAAGCGATGATAAATTTAATGAAGATTTTGGAAGCCCGAACTATGATAAAGATATTAATTTTCGAAATATTGATAGCCCCGAAGCTGATTATAAATCAGTGTCTTCCCCAGAATTTGAAGTATAACGCCTCATATTAATTCGGAGCTGAAATATATTAAATAAATAAATCTGCAGCTTGGTGTGTATATCGAAATAATTCAATTATATTATGTATAGTTAAAAGCGCGAAAATTAATATTGAAAAAATTGATCCAAGGAATCAAATAATAAAAATTGCGTGGCGAACCAACCTGCCCTTTTGACAACTGTTGCCAGACGAGAGTCTGGGGACCTTGGGGAAGGGAGAGCAGCGTCTGGTATGTTTATCCGTCCGGGCTTTACTTGGTCTAGTGGAGCGCAATCTTGGGTTGGCCGGTTGCAGGCTCACATCCAGGGCAAGGTTTTACCACAGGAGGATTGAACTTGGAAGTTGGAAAGGGACCACCAACAAAGTAGAGGGCATTCGCTTGGTCAATCAGGTATTTTCCCAGCGCGATACCGAGAGTAACGCCCTGAGCTACAAGCTTCATCTGGGTCGATAGCCTGACTAGAAAATTCACTTTTTTAATTTTCAGAGAAGGTAGCTTGTCGACCCACTGCACTGTGACCCCATTGTCATTACCTCAGGGTGCAAGTGCAAACCCTTGCCGGAGGGAGCAACACATTTGTAATCATACTGGCAACCAAGGAGATGATGAAGCAAGGGATATGGAAAGCCATTAGTTGGATTGCCGGGAGTTCCTCCATAATAATATAATGAATGAATGAATGAATGATCCAAGGAGCCAAGGATATATAAATAACACTGAAGAAGCACCACAAGAAAAAGAATTTGTTGAAAATTATCGCGAAGAATATATACCAGTGAACGAATCACCAAATTTTCGAGGTGAAGAAGAAGTCAACCAAGAAGAGAATTATCCTGAGCCATCATACCCAGAAACCACTTATCCTGCAGAAGAGCCTCAAAAAATTAGCCCAGATCCTCCTGCAGATGTAGCTGAAACTCAGCAAATTAAAAGTAACGAAATTTCTAACTCCCCTCTGTGAGCGAACAAAAAGTTTTTTTCGCCTACAGAGGGATTATTGTTTTTTTTAAAAAATATATAGAAATTTATAGTAAATTTTTTTTTTCAAAATCGTAAAAATAGGAAACCAAATATTTATTTAATTTGCAAAATTAAACAGAATTAGCCTAGAGATTTCATTATACTAATTATCAGTTATGCATCTTTTTTTTTTATAAAAAAAGTTTTGTTCGCTTACGGAGGGTGGGTTTTTGAGCAAAAAATAAGGATTTTTCCAATGGTTTTGTTCGCTCACAGAGAGGATAGAGAGGAGGGGGATTAAGCAGCCAGAGCAATTAGAGGAAAACCCTAATTGGGGTGAAGATTTAGAAGATGTTGATTATTTTTCTAGAGATAAGCATGAAGAAGCTCCTGAAAACCCAAGAGATCAATATGAACCTGAATTGCAACAGCCAATTATAGCTAAAAAAGAGTCCATTAGAAACCCTCCAAGCGAGAGAATAGTAGAAACTGAGCCTTCCTCTCAAACTCAGAAAACCCAATTAAAAAGTGAGAGAGTAGTAGAAGCTGAGCCTGCCCCTCAAACTCAGAAAACCCAATTAAATAGCCAAGCGACACAGCAAGAAGAAATTGAAGCAGAAGTGCTAAATGAAGAAGAAATACCCAACGAAGAACCTGAAGGTACCTCTGAAGAAGAAGGTGAAGAAGTTGGAGACGTTGATTTGGAAGATCTAGAAGAAGATTTTTAAAATAAATTGGTTAGATTTGCCATTTTAAATTAAGCTGTATTATTTAATTTATTTTAAAAAGCATAATAAAGTAGTCAAGGGCATTTATTAATTAAAAAAGTCAACAAATTTTACAAATTTAGTTAATTTTTACTCTCGTCCCTTTAGGTGAAGGCAACGCTGATTTTTTTGACTTAACGGGAGCTGATGATTCTACTGTTAACTCATCTAAAAATCTACTTGGAATTAGCTGCTCGCCATTATTACTTTGCTGCGCACAAGAGAGTACTAGAAATCTTTTACTTCTCGTACAAGCTACATAAGCAAGTCTCCTTTCTTCTTCAAGCTGCTCTGAATGTGTATTTGCAGGCAAAATGGACTCATTAAGTCTAATTAAAAACACTAAATCCCATTCCTGGCCTTTTGCTTGATGTATACTTGTGAGAGTCACAACGTTTGCAATTAATTCATTTGTTCCACCAATGGACTCTAAGAAAACACTTAGTCCTTGAGCCCCTCTTTCGGTGTGGCTTCTTGCAAGTTTTTGCAGAGGTTCAATTACTTGTTTATTAATTCCTAGCCTTTCACACATCAGCTCAATAAGTGCGGATGGCGGATACCTTTCTAGTAATTCTTGGAAGTGTGCTATTGTGATACAAAATTCATTGAAACCTGTTTTTAATTTCCCTTTTCCGGTTAAAGATATTATTTTGCAAGCTTCAAACATAGGGATTTCTTTGACACAACTCATTTCTTTAAGTTTGTCGATAGAATTGGACCCAATACCTCTTTTTGGCCAATTTATGATGTCTAGCAATATGTCATCGCAGTTTGTGTCAAGAATAAATTTCAAATAAGAGACGAGTCCTCTGATTTCTGCGTTAATCATTATATTTTTTTCTTTAGGGATTCTTTGTCTTACAGGAATTCCTGCTTTTTCGAATTCTGGCTGCAAATCATTAAAAATCCGATGAAGTCTATATAAAACTGCAATATTTTTATATTCCAGCTCATATGCATCTTTTATTCTCAACAAAATGTTGACAACTTCTTTAGCCTCTTCTCTTATTGATTGAGCGATAAAAATTTGGCATTTATTCCCTAGCGTATTATTTGTAAAGACATGCTTGACTTCTCGCCTTTTATTATTTGAAATTAGCCCTTGTGAAATATTGACTATATGCTGTGTTGATCTATAATTTTCATTCAAAATTATTTTCTCGGATTCTGGATAAAGGTTTTTAAACTCTTCAAAAACTTGGCTCGTTGCACCTCTCCAACCATAAATTGCTTGGTCGTCGTCTCCACATACAGTTACATTTGCAAATTTTCCAATTAGCTCGATTAGTTCTAATTGCATTGAATTGGTGTCCTGAAATTCATCAACAAGAATATATTTATATTTTCGTTGATAATTTTCTAAAACTTGCTGATTGCTTCTATTTCTCCGATATATATTTTGAAAAAAAAATTATTTTTTTTCTGATGATTTATAATTATTCCATTTATTTAATAAATTGAGTAAGCATATTTGTAGTTAAATACAGAATATCGCCTAGGTCGATTGACTTCATTTCTCTAAGTTTCGAGTTGTATAGCCCAAGCACCTTTATGGCTCGGGGTTCTCGATCTTTCCTGATAGGAAAGAGGGGAGCTGGTCTAGCCAAATAATGCTGACTTGACCTAACTCCCCAAAATGTAGAACCTTGCATTATGTGGTTCTGTCACTTAGGGAGTTGTTCAAGCCAACATTAGTTGGTCATACCTACTCCCACTTTCCCTTCGGGAAAGATCGTGAAATCCGACCAAAAATGTTGCTTGGCTATATATAAAAAACAAATGCTGGAACGGTCTATTTAATTTTTTCAAAACATTCCTGTCTACTTTTGCTCGACACAGGACTCCATTAATATAAGAAAAAGACCCCGGCCTAAGGTTCAAGCTAGATCTCCTGATTTCAGTCGGCTGATCATTAATCTCTTCCTGCATAACAGCCATTTGTTCTTCGCTTAATGGCTTGACATCTTCTTGATACAAATCGTCCTCTGTATATCTCTTTAAAAAATCGTTAAGTGCACTTTCAAGAACTTTTTTCTGCTTGTTCCCTGAAACTATTTGGAAATCATAAGGAATTTTGGCTCGTCCAGCATTAGCTCGTAATATATACAACGCAAAATGGTGGAAAGTCCCTACAGTCAAATCATCAGCTCTTACATGTCTTGGCAAGTTTAAAGATAGCCGCCTTTTCATTTCCATAGCTGCTTTCTTTGTAAAAGTCAGGACTAGAATATTTGTTGGGCTTACGTTTAAATTCAGTAGGTATGCAACTCTTAATGTCAAAGTTAAGGTTTTTCCTGATCCTGGAGCTGCTAAGATCATCAAAGACTTGTCTAGAAATTCTGTGGAAGCTTGGAATTGATTTCTGTTTAAATTTCGAAAATCTCCATGTTGAATCATTTCAATATAAAATATCCCGCTCTTCACATATTTTCAAATCACAGCTTGGCTTGTTGTGAATTATTTTAAATTTTAATTAATTAGTATCTTTAAAGAATATAGCCAGGCTAATTATTAAATTTGTTATTCTGAATATATTGTATTCTATGCAAATATAATTAACAATTTATAATAAAAGCAATGCCTAAAATCAGCATATAATATAAAATATGTTCTTATAACAAAAATAATTCTCATTTGATGAAATTTTAAATTATTTTTATGCTAATTTTTGCGAAATCCCTCTTTTTAGTCCGCATCTAATTTCTCTGCATTTCCCCATCCGATCTAAAATTCCCCAAAATTTTTAAGGGCCAACCCAATAAAAATATAGTTCATTATAATAAATAATGGCCGCAACCAGAGTTTACTTTGACATTACCATCGGAGAGCAGCCAGCTGGAAGAATCGTCTTCGAGCTTTATAGAGAAACTCCAAACACCGCCGAAAACTTCAGAGCTCTGTGCACTGGCGAAAGAGGCATGGGAAGATCAGGAAGACCACTTCACTACAGAGGTTCTGGTTTCCACAGAATTATCCCTCAGTTTATGTGCCAAGGTGGAGATTTCACCCGTGGAGATGGTACCGGTGGAGAAAGCATTTACGGTGAAAAGTTCAGAGATGAAAACTTCATCAAGCGCCACACTGAGCCTGGCCTTTTATCAATGGCTAATGCAGGTCCTAACACCAACGGATCACAGTTCTTCATCACCACAGTCCCTTGCCCACATCTTGATGGCAAACATGTTGTTTTCGGAAAAGTTGTGGAAGGAATGAATGTCGTCAGAGCTATGGAGCAACAAGGAAGCCAAAGCGGACGCCCACGCCAAAGAGTTGTTATTGCAAACTGTGGCCAGCTTTAAAGATTAAGTAATCAAGGATTGAAATAAATTTTGATAAGTAATAAGAAAGGAGGAGAGAAATAATGCTTCTGATAGGGCAGAAAAGAAAATTAGCAAGCTTTATTGTGAAGGAATAAGGGTTATGGTTTTGAGATTTGATGAAAAATTATTAGGATTGTGGCTGGGCTGCTAATAAGTCTTAAAAGAGATTATAGCGCTAATGATATTTTCAATAGAATTTAAATTTTAGAAAAATATAGAGAGATTGAAATAATGTTGCATTATTTATACAGGAAGAGCAGGTAAAAGGTAGCTATCGTTTATAAGATCTTTTGCTTCATCATCATTTATGAAACTACTGCTTTCCATATTTCTTAGCATTTCCCAAGTAATTCTATCTTTTCTCTGCATAAGCTTCATCCTTCTGAGATCTAGTTTTAACTTATTTGGAACTGATATCGATCTCTTTGGGTTTCTTTCTTCTTTTTCTCTTTTTCTTAACTTAACTTAACTTAATTATTCGGTGTTTAAGGTGTCTAGTGCGGCAGACCCAAAAAATGACCTTTTAGCTAAACTGGTGACGTCACGGAGCCATCTTGGAATCGCGGTGGTCAACCCAAACGGCCAAGCCTTCTATCGACGCTTCGCCTCCAGCCGCCGCACATCTCACTCGGCGCGTTGCCGTAGCTCTGTCTCGACTCGGCTCCTGCGCGTGTTCCGCCTAAGGGTCATCCTCCCGTGGGGATGTGCTGAGGGGTAAAACTCTGAAATTTTGAACGCACTGAGGAGCTGTTCCTTTGGTTATCCCCAAAGTTAAACAGCTATTGCTGTGCAGAAGTTCTCGAGAGAAAACCCAACCCCATAAATAAAATTCCATGAGGAAAAGAAAATCAGCAGAGCTAATTTCTCTTGAACCGAATGCCATTTTATTTATTCTTTTTCTCTTTTTCAATCTAAAATTCTTTGTTTCACTTCTGTTTGATCTTTAAATTTGTATTTTTTACTTAAATCATACTCCGGCATCCTAAACCCAGCTTTTTCGTTTGAAAATGCGTATTTAAAACCTCTGGTTTTTTGCATATAAATTTCTTGGTTATCACATTGCAGGTACTGGTAAAACAAATTTCTTTTTGCAACGAGGCCAATTTCAGACTCTTCTGCACCTACTTGAATATTATAAAATATTTCAGCCAAACAGTCCACAGCAGAGAAAAACTGCGATAAAGTCATTTTTCTGCCACATTTTGAATTATTTATAAATACTTTTGAAGCTTGCTGCGGATTTAACCTTTGCATTCCTTTTTTATCTGAAATCCCGAAATCATTGCAAAATTTAAGAAACTGGCTTAATGTCATAAATTGCTTTAAATTTATCAAATGATCAAATGTGGGCGACCTTGTCAATTCTTGTGTTTGTGAAGCATAAAACGAAAAAATTGCTTTAAGGCCTTTAACTTGCTTTTCCATAAGATTTTCTTCAGAAATTTTTATGGATTTTGTATTTGAGCTAGAATGGATAATTTCCATCTGGTCAATCATGTCTTTTAAGTCACTGATACAATTCATATCAGAGCCATAAGTGTTTATTAGTTCTTTATACTCATTTATTGTGTTTTGCAGCTGAGCATGATAGGATAGGCGGCTAAAAGATTCTTTGGCTGCCCATTCCTCAAACAGTTCAAAACACTGCGAAAATGTTACCCTCAGGTATTTCATAGAAGATTTTGCAGGTGAGCCCTTGATGTGCTTGAAACGATTCTCAATCATTCTATCAAAAAGAAAAAGGTCTTTTTCTTCAGGAAGCTTCATTAATTGCAATATTTCTCGTAGAATTCTCTTTAGTTTAATAGCTTCAATCATTTTTTTCCCAGTTGGGTCATTAGCGAGTAAAATATTTTCAATATCGGCGTGGTATTCTTTTAAATAAGGCTCAAGCCAATTTTGTTTAGCTTTTCCAAGTAAATTTGAGGTGTTTACACTTTGAGTAATTCTGCTTTTAAGATTAATAGGAGTTCTTTGCTTACTTTTCGACAATCTTTCACTGTTTGGAGTATTTCACTTCTCTTCAGTATCATTTGAAATAATGGTTGATATCTGTTTTTGGTCTAAGCTTATAGGATGATTTAAAGCTCTTATGAAATTGGTATCATTTTCTGCATTAATCATAATCCCCATTCCTTTTGTTAAATAATTTTCAAGCCTTGTCTTAAATTGCTCTAGTGAGACTTCTCTATTTATTTTTTACTCGGGGTTAATAATCTCGTCATGATCAAAAGGGTTTTTCTTCATCTTGAAATAATCTTTAACGTCCCTTAAATCTATATCAAATTCAGCATTTAAGTCTTGAAGTATATAAGATATGCATTTGTGTATATTAATTTTCCCATTTCTAGCATACTTTGAGAAGATTTTCTCAGTTTTTTCTCCTGAAATTAAATCATCAAGCAACTCTTCCATTATTTACTATTCTTTATCTTTTAATAGCAAACAAATTTTATATATGCTTTCATTTTCTTGAAAAATTATATGAATAGATCTATTTATAAGAAAATTTATAAATAATCCAACCTTGCAAAATGGAGCCAGGAAGCAAGACCTTTCAGAAGAAAAAACTCTTTTATGTCCTCACAAGTGCAGGAAAGCCAGTCTGGACTCGCTATGGTGAGTGTGCAGATCTTGCTGTCTTTATTGGTGCATTAGCAGCAATTATCTTCAAATTCCAAAGCTATTATAATGGTGTTAAAGACTCCTTGCGATACCTCCGCACCTCAGATACTTATATAGTAGTTCTATGCACAGAAGCATTATATTATGTATGTGTTTCTCGTGGAAAAGACAGCTTAGAGTCCTTATATCATCAATTAGAAATGCTCCACGCAAAGGTTTTATCAACGCTGACAAGCAGTATTACTCAGACACTATTAAGCCGTCCTGGGTTTGATGTAGGAAATCTGATGGGAGGCACTCATGACGCATTGGATACTTTAATCAGGACAAGCGCTATAAGTCCTTGCTTCCTTGAAGGATTTATGCCAGTTAGAATGCCTATATCGCAGAGAGCACAGATAAGCTCAGCGTTTAAGAACAACATGCATGAAGATATACTATACATTATTAGTATATTGGCTTATCGTACTACAATTATTAATAATCAATTTCTATGAAATCGAAAACATTGACTAGCTCACATAAGCTCCATATTCAATAATATTAAATTTATACGGATTTCTAATGACCCCTGAATTCATGATATATAAGTACTGCAGAAGAGGAGAAACAATTCATCCAATCGATATTTTCTTATTGACAAACTTGCTTACCTCTTATGCCTCACTGAGGTCTACGATGTCCTGGACGCCTATTTGTTTGCCAAACTACAACAATGAAGGATTCGTGTATGCTTATATCACTTTTATTCAGGATACCAAAATCGGGGTCATTTTGATTTCAGATAATGCAAGTGCATTTAAGGATCTTAAATTGAGGGCTGATGGAATTGAAAAAGAAATTGTGAGCCTTATTCCAGTGCTTATGGATGGGATTAGAATGATGCCGTATTCTATTACTACGTGTGAGGCTGCAGAGTTTAAGCATTTTTTATATATGCCCAAAGGAGACCAATATTCCATGCCAAGCTTTTATCCGTCTACTAGAAGGATTTTAGAAGAAATCCCTATTGACTGCTACAAAAGAACGTTAAGAAGATACTACTCAGCTTTTAAACTGTCATCCTTTTCTGAGTATTTCAAAGGATATTATGTTAGGATTGATATATATAGAAATGAACAAATTGTATGTGTAAGGCAGCCAGAATTTACTTTACTTGGTTCTTTATCTCCACTTATTTCAAGTGCAAATGTGATGCAGAGCATTTCACAGCTTTTAAAATGGCTTAAGTCAGAAGAACAAAACCTTTTCATTAAGTAGCTAATGTCTAATATTATTTAATTCTTATTGAAATAGTTTATAAAGCCTAATAAATCTCATTACATGAAAATTAATTTCATATAAAAATGGTTATCCAAAGGTCCAAAGTTTTAAGCTGCCAGTTTATTGTACTTTAGCCGGGCCCCCCAAAACTATAAATAGCTACGCAATTTTAGCTTTATAAAACATAATGGAAGTCCTTCAACCGGCTACTCGTCCAAACTACTGTCGCCTAGGAACACAAATTCCTCTCTTCGGCAACTTTTTCAAATTCAATCTAGCTTCAGGCACTGACATAATACAAAAATACGCGGTCTTTTTCAACCCAGACATCGCCGCATCGCTTGGCAAGCATCGTGAAAAAGTTTTACGTAAGGCAAGTTCTCAAATTGTCCCAGTCATTGGAAAGTATGTGTTTGCAAATACAGCTATCTATGCAGCTCAGTCCAACTCAGGAGGAGGGGATGCAAGCCAAACTTACACTGTTAACTATGATAACACAGATTATATAGATTTATATTGAATAGATCTCTTGACCTGCTAATATATTTTAATTAAATAAATGAATTTACTGACATTATATCAGTATACACCATTACTCTTCAACCTGTAGGACGGGTTGAAAGTCAAGAAGAAACGAGACATTTCTATAACAAATTTTTTAACTCTGTACAAGGAAAGCTCAGCTTAGTCATGATAGGGAGGAAGTTTTATAACCCTGATAGGGCTATTGACTTGCCTCAACATAAAATGAGCATTTGGCCTGGATACGCTTCTTCTGTAGGAGGCTATGAAGGCGGAGTAATGATAAACATTGATATATCGCACAGGTGCTTAAGGACTATTACTCTCTACGATCAAATTATGGAGCTTAAAAACAAGCCAAACACTGATTTTAGACAAGCTGTTATGAAGCTACTGATTGGGTCTATTGTATTGACACTTTATAATAAGAAAAATTACAGAGTTGATGATATTGATTGGGACTCAAGCCCACTTAGCTCATTTGCTGATAGAACCGGCGGACAATGTACCTATAAAGACTATTATGAAAGAAGATGGCAAAAGCCAATTCAACATGACGACCAGCCACTCCTCCTGTCAAAAACCAAAACTGTGGACTGCTACTTGATTCCTGAATTCTGTGTCATGACAGGGCTCACTGATGAAATCAGAGCTGACTTCAACATCATGAAAGACATGGCCAACGCAACCAAAAAAGAACCCCAAAGCAGGCTTCAAGAGTCAGGCGGCCTTATAAAAGCGCTCAAAGACAATCCAAGAACTAATGCCGAAATCAATGAATGGAGGGTCAACATCACCCCGGACCCAGCTGCCTTTGATGGCTTTGTGCTGCCTGCTGGGAGCATCATGATGGGTGGCGGGAATTCATTCAAAATAAATGAACAGAACGGAAGCTTTGACCGTGAAGTCCAAAACACAATGTTCCAGCAGCCTCCATTGGACCGCTGGGGTATTTTTTACTGCGAAAATGATAAAAGACTAATTGATCAGTTCATGACTGTTCTACAACAAGTTATTGGGACTTATAAAGTCAACTGTCAAAAGCCTATGATGTTTGGAGTGAAAACTGATAGATGGAATGATTGGGATCAAAAGCTTAAAGAATGCTTAAACCCACAAGTGCAGATGATTGTGTGCATATTGCCAGGGGCAAGAGGCAAGTCAAGGCTTTATGATGATCTTAAAAGACTTACGTTTTCACAGCTTCCTGTCCCGAGCCAGTGCATTTTAAACGCTACTTTGAAAAAAGATAAGGGTCTAAGATCTGTTGTTAACAAAGTAATGATGCAAATAAACGCCAAAGCTGGAGGAATTCCATGGGCAATGCAAGGATTACCTTTAACAGACCAACCTACTATGATAGTTGGAATCGATATATTCTCCAAAAGAAATTCCCATAGTGTTCTTGGCTTTTGTGCAACTACAGACAGCAACTTTGGCAGATACGTGTCTTGTCCTAAAGTAAATAACCCCGGTGAAGACCCCACAACCAAAATTGCTGAATGCACTTATCAAGCTTTATCCCAATTCAAAGCAGAAAACGGAATCTTCCCCAAAAGAATTTGTGTATTTCGAGACGGAGTATCCGATTCTCAAATAAAAGTCCTCTTAAACGGTGAAATCCCTCAAATGAAGCAAGCTTTCAAAAGGCTCCAAGACGAAAACGTAATGCAAGAAGAGCCAAAACTCATATTTGTAGTGGTAAATAAACGCATTAATGCAAGATTTTACCATAATCAAGGAGGCAGGGTCAATAACCCACCACTTGGGACATGCATTGATAGATTGGTAGTTGATAAAGCTGGCTACGATTTCTATATCATGCCAGCTAAAGCTACACAAGGTGCAATGACCCCAACTTACTTCACTGTTGTTTATGACAACTCTGGAGCAAGAGCTGAAGAAGTAGAGCAACTGGCCTATAGATTATGCTACTCGTATTATAACTGGAGTGGATCTATCAGAGTTCCAGCTCCTTGCCAGTATGCACACAAGCTTGCATATCAGTATGGAGAAAGAGCAAACCAGCAGGGACCTCCAATTCCTCATCAGCATTGGCAAAATACAAGGTCACTATACTTCTTATATGCTTTATTCATCAAATTACCATCAAAAGCTAAAAATGAAAAAAATCCTATTTATTAAGAAAATATTTTTTTGTTCTTATATGAGCATTTTACATCATATTTATTATGGATAATTATGCTATTTTATTATAGCTTTCATAATAGTACTATTTACCTTATATCCTTTTTTCTCTTAAATATAGGATTGGCTTCATATCTGTATCATGAATATTATATATATATTTAAAAATTAAAAAATTTTTGCTTTTAAATTTAGTTTATAATAAATATGACTACACCTTCAAGAAGGCGTCTTATGAGAGATCTCAAAAAATTGCAAACTGATCCGATCCCAGGGATTTCTGCAGCTCCTAGCAATGATAATATTATGCTTTGGAACGCTGTTATTTTTGGTCCTGAAGATACCCCTTGGGAAGGAGGTACATTTAAATTGACGATTGAATTTTCTGAAGAGTTCCCAAACAAGGCCCCTTTAGTAAGGTTCCAAACCAGAATGTTTCATCCTAATAGTAATTCCTAACTTCCTGTAAAAATCAAGGAAAATCATTGTCATTAGGAAAAATAAAGCACTCTCCGTGGATTAGTAAAGGCATATTTATAAAATAATAAATACTATAGGTCTTAAATGATTATATTTATGCTAACTCCCCCCCCCCCCTCCGTGAGCGAACAAAAAAATTTTGTTCGCTCACGGAGGGGGGTTATTTTTTTTTTTTAAAAAAAATTTATATATAAATTTTATAAAAAATATTTTTTTCGAAATTTAAAAAAATCCTAATTTGCAAAAATTGGGAAGCAAATATTAATTTAATTTGCAAAATTTATGTTTTAAAACGCAATTTGTTTAAAATTAAACAGAATTAGCTCTAGATTTCATTATACTAATTATATCACTTATATATCAAAATTTTTTTCCATTAAAATTTTTTCTATTAAAAAAATTTTTGTTCACTCACGGAGGGTGGGTTTTTGGTCAAAAAATGGCGATTTTTCTAATGGTTTTGTTCGCTCACGGAGGGGGGGGGGGGAGTAAGCATCATCAATTTTAAATTAAACTACATTTTCGCTTAAAATTTGGGATTTTGAAAAAACAATTATATAAATCTGTAAAAAATATTAATCCTCCACACATGAGCAATTAAGACACTTTTGCAGTTTACAATGATGGCACTATTTGTTTAGATATTTTACAGAATCAGTGGTCTCCGATTTATGACGTTCAAGCTATTTTGACTTCAATTCAAAGTTTGCTTTGCGATCCAAACCCAAACTCCCCAGCAAATAGTGAAGCTTCAAGAATATACGTTGACAACCCTCGGGAATACAATAGAAGAGTCAGAGAAGTTGTCGAAGACAGCTGGTGCTCTTAGTAATAGCTAATAAATATGAAAGTATCTTTAGTGTATCTTCTTATACTTCTTTTAGCCCTAGCTTGCAACGATGATCAAGTGCAAACTGACTCTGGATGTGTTAGTAAGTGTAAGAATGCGTTTTACAATATCACAGCAGGAGCTTGTCAATCTTATAAAACTTGCTCAGCAGGAATGGTATTAAATGAGACCAGCAATAGCTGTGAAAAAGACTGCGGGCATGGATATTTAAACGGAACTCAGTGTGTCTGCGATGTAGACTGGGCTCTGGAGAATGGAATTTGCTCACTGCCCCTCCGCGAGCAAACAAAATAATTTTGTTTGCTATCACAGAGGGTTAATTTTTTTAAAATATATATATTTTATAGTAAGTTTTTGTTTTTTTTGAAAAAAATCCGAATTCAGAAAATTGGAAAGTGAAAATAAATTTAATTTGCGAAATTTTAAATTGAATCTGTTTAGATCTCATATGCAAATTATCATATATTTCCAAAATCTTTTCTCAAAAAAATTTCTGCATTCCGATAATTTTTTTGATTACTCATAAAGGTTGTTTTACCCCAAAAAATGAATTTTTCTAATGGCTTGTTCACTCAGGATGGGTAGAGTCAGAAGAAAATAGTGATTATAATTACAGCAGTGAGCTATTACTAAATTTGAATTGGTTTTATTGAGCAATTATAATAGAACTCCTGATGTGTATTATAGTGAACATTTATTTTTATTGCTCATATAAAAGAAAAAGTAAACGAAAGTTTCCATTAACTAAAGTCTAATTAGTTAATATTAATTTTGATAAATTTGTACACTTAAGTAACTAGAGTTTTGAGCCTTGAAAAGAGATTTGCAAATTTATTTTGAGAAGGCTGAGATTGCACGCCTTGAGATAGAGGCTTCATTTTTTGAGACATTTTGAAAAATAAAGAGACTGAGCTTTTTTTGGGAGCTTGCTCAGATTTCGAAATCCAAGGAAATTCCAATGCTTCTTGGGCATTCGGCCTGTTGTCAGGATTATTTGAAGTTAGTTTTCTTATGGTGTCTATCCCCTGTTTTGATATTGATTTCAGCCTTTGCTCTTTGAAATTAATCGTATTATTTCGATTTTGAATCAAAACAACAGTTTTTGAACCTAGACTTGAGCCTGTGAACGGCGATTTTCCTGTAAGCAGATGATATAGCAAAATTCCTACGCTATATATATCAGCTTTAAAGTCATATTTTTCTTTTCTAAGGATTTCAGGCGCAATGTATCCAGGGGTTCCGCATCTTGAGCCGCTTAATTCTTCTAATTCGCAAGCAAGCCCAAAATCACAAATTTTAAAATCATTTGGATCTTCTTTTGACATAAATAAAATATTCTTTATTGAATGATTATTTTTATATAAAATGCTTCTATACTGAGACAAAATAATGATAAATTCAACCTAATTTGAATATTTTCAAGCTTAATATCTCTATGAATAATATTTTGAGAATGCATGTAATTTATGGCAAAAAGAAGATTTTCCAAAAAACTTGCAGCTTGATCTTCACTCATGGGGCCATTATTTTCTATTTTTTCTCTCAAATTCCCATCTGCCGCGTAATCAAATACCATATGAATATCAGTTGCACTCTCATAAACCTTATAAAGTGAAATAATGTTCGGATGATTTAGCTTTCTCATCGTATTTATTTCATTACTGATCGCTGATATCCCTCTTTTTGACTTAGCTATTAATTCTTTAGAAATTGATTTAACCGCAAATTCATCTCCGGTTGAATTTTCAATAGCTAAAAAAACAGTTCCATAATTCCCTTTTCCAATTTCCTTAATAATGCTATAGTCATTTTCAAAATCTGATAAAATCGAGACTCCGTCTAAATGTATCAGTCATTTCTCCAGTTCTTCTTCATCTTCAGTATAAAAGTCTTGAAAATAATTCCTTGAGCTGATTCGGAAACCAAATCTGGTTTCTTTTCCATTTTCTTCTGAGAAAGGTGTAACTGTTTTCCAGCTGATTGAAGAAAACATGACGGGACAATCATTTTCATGATAATAAATGCAAGTAGTGGTCAAAGAAAAAAAGGTTTCAAGCCACTCATGGTCAGAATTTCAGAGTTTAAGCGAGCCTTCGAAAACTGAGTTTTGGTCAATATCATTTGATGTTCTAGAGATGTCTTTCACTTTCTGCCAAAATTTGTTGGATTTACTGGCGTTTTCGTCGATTTCTGAGAAAATCGAATCCATTAAAATTTATGTTAAAACAAGCCATTGTTAAAGAATTTAATAATTTATTATACGATGAACGGAATCTAAATTTAAAATAAAAGAAAGTAGTTTGGAAGTAAACCATTTTATAATGGTGAAATAAAAGAGCAATGGCTTTAAAAGTTTTTATGTTTGAAATATAAAAAATTATAAATTGATGGTTAAGTTTACCATAAAGCTAAAAAAACAATATGTTTAAAAGTACCGATATTATAATTAATATAAAAAGTCATCATAAATGTTTAGCTAAATTGAAATATGCATTCATCGGGATTTGTATTTTCGTCTGAATGAACCAACAAGCTCTGACTCTGAGGACTTGCTGTGAATGAAAATCCATCATAAGTCGGACTGCAAGCTGCAGTCTGGGCATTTTGGTCAAAACAAACACTATCCCTAGCTGGAGAATTCGTGAATTCTTTACTAAAATATTTGATATCTGCAGGCCCATTGACATTCGGAACAAAAGGTGGCTGAATTAATTTGTTTTCAAGTAGAAACCAATCCAAAGTTCTAAACCATGGATGAGATTTTATTTCTTCAGCTCCTAGCTCCCCAGTTCCTAGTCTTTGTTCTGGACTTTTTTGCAATAAGCCTTGCAATAAATCTTTTACATCAGGAGACATAGTAGAAAGGTATTTAATCTCCTCAGACAAAATCCTTCTATATATTTCTTGACGGTGATTTACATAGAAAGGAGGGAGACCTGACAGCATTTCAAAAATAATACATCCTAAGCTTCACCAATCCACTGCTTGGCCGTGCCCTTGTTTAAGCAAAATTTCAGGGGCTAACTCTTCTCTTTAAAAGAAGCAAAGCTTATTGAAATCTCTATTTTTGAGGAAATTACTAAAGGAGAAATCAAGAAAATTTTTGTTATATTTTCTTATAAATAATTAATATTATAATGAGATCCTATTAATTATATTAAAATTCGGACAGCTTGCATTCTTAAATCTAAATTTTACAATTAATTATTTATTTAAAATACTTTCTAATAGATTTTAATGAAATTTAAATAATAGTTTAAAATAAATTTTTCAGCCAGCCTTACTGAAAAGTGGTAAATCTTGTTTGCTTTCAAAAATGGGAGTAAGTATTCGGGAGTTCCGCAGAAAGTCCTGGCTGATGAGTTATCCATAATATTTTCTTTACTTCATCCTTTTTAGCAAGCAAAACCATTAAAAAAATCATTATTTTTTGGAATAATAATTGCTTATAATCATAACACCTTTTTTGAATTTAGAAGAAATAATAATTATATATTAATAATTATAATAATAAAATATCCGGCTATTTCTATTAGCTTTTAAACAGTTTGCATCATTTAGATTACTTATTTGCAATATAGTTTTTTTAAATATTTTTGAGAGAATATTATTATGATATTTTTAAATATCAATTTTACTCTCTTAGCAAACAATTTTTTGCCCACGACTCTAAGGAGCTAGAAAGTCCAAAATCCGTTAATTTTGCATAGCCATCTGCGTCGATCAGTACATTTTCTGGCTTTAAGCTAAATAGAAAATTACTCTCTATACACGATATTGTTCTTATGCAAATGTTCGAGGGCTAGTATAATGCAGCCTGCGTAAAATCTGGCCCTTTCTTCATCAAATCTTTTAGCATGATTTAAATGGAAAAAAAGTTCTCCTCCAGGACAATAGTCAAGCACCAGATACAATTTTTGGGAATTTTGAAAGGCATAGCGGAGTTTTACAATATATGGGTGTCTGATCCTTTCTAAAATATTCCTCTCGGTCCTAGTGTGCTCTATTTGGTTTTTGGCTGCTAAATTTCTCCGCCACAAATAGGCCAAGGTTTTTGGCTTGCTCTAGATTTCAAAAATTTCAATAGGAATATTTAAAAGAAAAAACTTAATTAACTTAAATTTAATAGGATTAGATGAATGTTGCAATATGATAAATATAAATGATATTTAAAATATTTGCATATAAAAAATATCATATTAAATATAATGTTGCTCTTACAGGGTAATTTTCTCATATGAAGATTTTTCGAATAGTATTTTACACCCAAAGCGGTGTAGTAAGTGTTTCTTTTTCAAGATTTTCATTGCATAGACTTCTTGAGTGTCTCGCTTACGGACAAGTAGAACTTTACCGTAAGACCCTTTTCCGATTACGCTTACTCCCCGAAGATTGGAGCAAAATATTGGCAGTAATTTCTATTTCTCTTTTTAACCCCCCTTTAATTGGAATAATTTTTACTTTAAATTTTAATTTGATATAACAAGTTCTGAGCTAATTTAATGGAAGAAGCGCAAATAATATGCCATTTAGCCAGTCTTATACTGGATAATTAAATATTTTAATTAATCATTTATGAAAATAAATTAAAATTCAATATATTGCGTTATATTAATATAGTCTCTTCTCCTCTTTTTTTAGGCTCAAGCATACTTCCCATACTGATGAGCCAGCTTTATATCCCAGAAAAAACGAAGCTTGGAATCATACTTATTCCTAAAAAGTCACAAGGGACTATATTTTTTAAAGCTTTAAAAATATTTTTTATAGAGGAGTCATGTAACCCCTTTAAACTGAACAGGAGTCTTTTACAATTTAAAGAGGAGGAGTTAATAGATTAAAATCTTCAATGGAGACTTGAGACCGATTCTCAATAGCCATAATATATTATTTGTAAGATGCTGATCATAAATGAAATTTCTTAAGTTATCAGGAATTTCTGGTATATCACAATAATTACAGTATAAATACATTGGTCTCTAAATAGCTATTTTAGAAACTTAGTGCCATTATCTTTAAAAAATTAAATGTGAATTTTAGAGGACCGAATGACGCTTTCAATTTACATATCATTAAATTTTTAAAAATGTACTTTTAACGGAATTATGTGCAATATTAAAATTATTATAAATTCATATAACTTTAAAATAATTCGTGCTTTCAGATAAAATAAAATTAATTTTATTTAGGTTTTTAACCATAGTATTTAAAAATTATGATACTTAAAATCAACCGCTATAAATTTCTATGTAAATTGAGATTAGATAATTATCTAAAAGCCGAAATCAAGAATGACCTTAACAGGCAAATCACTCTTTTTTAAATCGGTTGCAATATGATATTCACTCGCAGATACTTTAGTTAGCTCCCAACTTTCTGTATCGAAAGGTCTCCCATCTTTAGGACTTATCTGGAAATTTTTCTTGCTAAGATCACGCTCCAAATCATTCGCAAAAGTAACTACAACAACTCCATTGTTGAACTTAAGTTTATACCCCACAGTAGCATTATAGCAAGACGCAGAGCCTTGAGAGAGTTCGCTTCCACACCTATAGCATTGAGGATCACTAGTACAAGTGTTGCAGCTTTCAGCGCAAGCTAAATAAAAATTACTTGTGCAAGTTACTTTGGACCCATCATTATACTCGAATTTTCCTTTTTCACAAACACAAGATCCATCGACCAAGGCAAAGGTATCAGCACAAGAGGAACATGAAGACTTGTCACAAATGGTGCAGCCTTCAGGGCAATCTAAATAAATTGTACGTTCACAAGAGCCTTCTGCATTGTAAAATCCATCATTGCACTTACAAATTGTATCAGATGGGGATGCATTTGGGTCTTTACAAGAACTGCAGATTCCATTTGAACAGTCATTGCAGGTAGGATCACAAGCTGATTATAAATTACGTGTGCAAGAAAATGAACTAGAGTCAATCGAGGTAGCGTAGTAGCCGCTATTGCAGCTGCAAGATCCATCTGTTTGAGGACTTGCATTTTCGTCTTTACAGCTTTGGCAATTGGTATCTGAGGTGCATTTGCTGCAGCCATTTCCGCAAGCTAAATTATATTTTATACCCCATTACACTAAATATTACTGTGAAATATTTGTAAAATATAATAACTGCATTAATCTGAATGCTAAAGTATACCATTGCAAAGGGCAGCTTTTTGAACTGAATCTGGATAAAACCCATCATTGCAAGAGCAAACTCCATCTTGAGCTAATGCATTTTGATCTATACAACTTGTGCAATGTTGTTTGGCAGAACATTCTAAACAGGTTGAGTTGCATAAGCCAGGGAAGACTGTATTATCTGCTGGATAAAAGCATGTGGTGTCAAGGCACCCTTGTAGTGGATGACAAAATGAGCAGCTACAATCCTTTGAGTATGCTGGCTCCTCGAAGCCATCATTATCAATTCCAATTATATTAGGGACATCATTTTCTACGTCTAGTCCACTATAAACCAAGAACTCATAAATGAATCCATTAAAACTGTTAATACCATCAATCCCACTATCTCCTAGCACAATATTTCCATCAGGAAGATCGTGTGGATCACTTCCTTCATCTTCCCATGTAATCCAAGCTGAAGGGGTGCTTCCCTTATTAGGCAAATAAATACTCCATTTGTGAGGATCCACTGTCAAATCCCATTGCATTGCTATTAAGTACCATGATCCTATATAAAAACTACCATCATCAAATGTAAGTTCAGTCTCTTTTTTACTAGAGCCATCTGATTTTCCAAATATGACACTTGCTCCGTCTCTTCTTACATACCAGGTTGAGCCAGTGGTTTCAGATGGGAGAAAAGTAATGATGTTCCCTTTTGTTGAATCTGCAGGATAAAACCAAAAGTGGGCTGCTAACTCTCACTTTGGTAAGAAAGCAAAAATATTGGAGATTCTCTAAATTAGAAATCATAAACACAAATTTATTTAAAGGAAATTTTATAAAAAATATTTATTTTAACTAGCGATAATTATTAAATGAATATCACAAAATTTTAAATAGCTTGCTTTAGAAAACATAAATTTCAAAAATTAAGTTTACTTGCAAATTGGGATTTTTATTTTCAAAAAAAAATTGAAATGAAAATTTTTAAAAAAAAATCAACTTAAAGCAAAAAACCTTTGCTCTCTCAAGGAGTCAAGAGTAAGCCACCGTTATCAACAGCATATTGGCCAATATCTGTGGTATATGAGGATTGACCTGAAAAATAGGAGCTGATGCATCCCATCACTGGTACTGGGTCAGATGGTGTTAAGGCGTCTAAACCATTTTCATTTTGATTAGGGATATTCCCGTCTGAGTCTTCATAATCTGATGTTAAAGTATAGCGTGCTTGAGGCTCAAATGCTGCTACTAAATTAAGCCCTGGGCTGGCACATAGAATTAAGAGAAAGATTTTGAATAAATTTCGCACAGCCATGAATTTATATAATTTGTTTATTGAGCATGCCACCATTTTTGATTATTAATAAGGATTATTTTATTTATTAACATATAATAAGATGATGTATATTTTATAATTGACAAGATTTTTGAATTATTTGATAGATTTATTCTTAAATTAAAGAAGATGGCTGAATCATCAATTCATGAAAGCAAATAAATTCATAGCCTTTGTTGAAAGGAAACTATAAAATTTGAATTTTAACGCTAACAAGTAGACCTTATAAGTTTTTGATAATCCATATTTAGCACGATTAAACTGAATTGAGAATTATCTATCAATAGAATAATAAAGATTAAATAGAGATTATTTATTAGGTTAAACTTATCATTAAATTACCTTACTTTACGCACCTATTATTTTGATTGCAATAAATCTTTTTCTCTTTAAACATCAATTTTAGTTTCTGAAATCGAAACTTTAATGACCATTTTGCTTCACATAAAATTCAAAAAAATAATAAATTCAAATAATCATGAAAATTAATTAAATAAATCCACCATATCTCAATCCTTTTGCTCAATAAATTAATAAAAATTAATTATACTTTAGTCATAAAGATTTTGTCAAATTCTTTCTCAAAATATAAAATCTATATATTTTTTACCGTTGGTGTGTCTTGGCTTATTACTCTGATCACCTGCAAAGTCGACGTCGTTTCTTCAAGATGTTCAATAATTGCTTTTAACATTATTTCCGCACATTGTTCTCTTGGAAAATTAAAAATCCCACAGGAAATGGCTGGCAAGGAAATCGACCTTGAGTTCATTTTTACTGCTTTAGTAAGGATATTGTGAATAGTCTTCAGTAATAGATCAGTTTCCCCTTGTTTGCCATCAGCATAAATAGGCCCGACAGCATGAAAAAGATGTTGGCATGACAAATGTCCTGGATTTGTCCTGATAACATCCCCTATTTTCAGACCTTTGTGTGAAACGTCATTAGAATGGCTTTTCAAAGAGCTGATTGAAGAGTTCTTTCTTCTCAGAATATCAGTTCTTTTTCGCTCCTTTAAAAGCTTCTTGTGGAGGTGATCATTGCACTCCCTCTGAATGCTAATTCCGCCATGTCGCAAAATGCTAGCGGAGCCACACATGGTGAGCCAACAATTGGTGGAATTTACAATTATATCTACGCTGTCATAAGCGATATCGCCTTGGACGATCTCGATATAGGTTTTGTTAACACAAGTTTTCCGCTTAAGTGAAAATTCAGGTGTATGAGTTCTTTGATTTGAACAGCAAAGTCCCATTTCTTCGTAAAAAACTAATTATGTCATATCTTGGATTAGCTTATAAATACAATTTATTAGGGAAAATATAGATTTCTTATGAAATATGTGAAAATAGGTGGAAATTATTACTATGGCCCATTAAAATTAATAATTTTATTTGCTTTGAGAGTCTAGATCTGGCTTCAAAATATCATTGATATTAGATTTAAATTTCAAAAAAAAATATTTTTTTTGGTGTGTATGCGAAAGAAAATGCTTTAAGTATGGGACTTCACAGGATTCTATTGTAAAAAGTATATATCAGATTCTAATAAATTATGCTATTAATGTGTTTAAATTCTTAAAACCCCCCCCTCCCTCCGTGAGTGAACAAAAAATTTTTTTTAATAGAAAAATTTTTTATGGAAAAAATTTTTGATATATAAATGATAATTAGTATAATAAAATCTAGAGCTAATTCTATTTAATTTTAAACGAATTGCTCTTTAAAACATAAATTTTATAAATTAAATTAATATTTGCCTTCCAATTTTTGCGAATTAGGATTTTTTTAAATTTAGAAAAAACATATTTTTTTTATAAAAATTTATATATAAATTTTTTTTTAAAAAAAAAAAAAATTAACCCCCCTCCGTGAGTGAACAAAATTTTTTTGTTCACTCACGGGGGGGGGGGAGTAAGTTATAAGGGGGCATATGTCTTCCTTACAATCTAAACTAAACCTTCAATTATTTCTGGAAGCAAATATATTTGATTCCTTAATGCAAGAAAAGAAATAAAATGGTGACGTTGACTAAACTTGGACTCCGAGGCACACTCCCTATGGAGCAGGTAGGACCCATCCTGATGTGCTGAAAGTAGGGCCTCTGTCTGGTGAAAGTAGGCCTTCAGGCTTGGAGAGATGCTTTGCCGAAGAAGGAAGTTTTATTTCTCCCCAAAGATTTTTCCTGTCCCTACCAGATGGGCTAGGCAGGTTTTGCCTACCACATGGTCTTTCCTCATCGGGGCCATGGGAGCGCTATCTAAGAGCGGCTCTGCCCAGGACGAGCTATCCCCTGAAGTCGGAAATCCAAGATGGCGTCCTCGGATGCCATTTTGGAGCCGAGACGGAGCGGATGGTCAGCGCCTGCAGGAGTGCTTATGGCCGGATATTTAATAACTTAACTTACCTTAATGCAAGAATTGCTAAATTAAGCTTACATAAAAAAGAATAAAAAGAGCCAGAAATCCCCATTTCCCGTGCTATCTTTTTCAAGTATATTTTCCTAATTGGTATCAAATGATCTGTTAGTTTTTTTGTAGGCTTGACTAATGCCTAACTCCCCCCCATCCTTGATCGAACGATTGACTGTAAAAATTCCTAAAAATTGGGGAAATTAACCCCCATCCTTGATCGAACGATTTTCATATCATGCAAAATTTTTATATATATATAAAAATATATTAGTTATCAAAAGCTTGAGAAGATGTACATAATGAAGTTGTTTTCAAAGACTTTGAGACGACAGAAAGCTTCGGAGTCAACCATCCGAAGTGATTTAGTTATCAACCTAGGCTTAAAAACTTATTAATCTAATAAAATAGAGATTCTTTAAAATTTTTAAAAAACAAAATTAATTTAATGAGGAACAAATTAAAATTTATACAGTTTAAAGGGGTGGCTAATAAATCAAAATATTAAAAATTGGTATTTTTATGAAATTAATTCAATTTTTTGCTGTAAAAATAATTATGAAATACTCTTAACACTCTTATTTAAAAAAGTAAATAAAATAAAATATATATATATATTTTTTTTTTTTATATATAAAATTTTTTTTTACCAAAAAAATTTTTTTAACCCCCATCCTTGATCGAACGATGGCGAGTCGTTCGATCAAGGATGGGGGGGAGTAAGTAAAAAATACTCCGAAACCATTTTCTTGATCTTTTAATGCTTCATTAATTTTGCCAATATAAGTGGAAAGCTCAGTCTTATTTTTTGCATAAGCAATTTGAAGTAAATACTTATATATTGATAAATCTTGTCTCAATTTTTGGAGATCAGGAATATTTTTGAGCATCACTTTACTCTTTTTTGCATAACATAAGGAATAAGCGACTTCATTAAGCACTTCATCAGATGAGGCAAAATATATATAAGGTTTTGGGTAAAAGATTGCATCTGTTCCATCTACTGCATTATTTTTAAGTATCTCACTAACAGCTTTATCAAGTTTTTTTTTATTAAATCTTGATACCACCACTCCTAAACTCGTATCTGAAACAAGCGTTTTATATCTCACATTAGCTGGATACATTTCTTCTAGTCTGCAATCTAACCAGGCTGCATCATCAAAGAAGCTTTTATATAAAATCCCAGATTTCGGGTTCTTAATAAAATTGTTGTCATAAAGGTGTTTGTCTGCTACAGCTCGATTTATCTTCATTGTTATATCATAGGATCTTGGGAAAAAATTTACTTTGAACAAAGGGAGCTCATATCCAATAAAATCAAGTCTGAATAGATGAATAGGATTATTAAGCATCAATAATTTAAATGAATAATATGCATGGCTAAAGGATAACTTTTATTAAATAATGTATTTACCTTTATATAATAATACTAAAAGTGGTGATCATTTTGGAAGTCTTTGAGTTCTAAGTTAAATCTTTCAATTTATTTGCCAAGGAGCAAATTACAAGATTGCTCTATTCAAATTTTATGGTAAAATATTTTTACAATGCATATCAAATGCAAAATTAAATAGATTTGCATTTACGGACTAGTATATTATATTATTATCTCATTATATTGAATAAATATTTAGCTTTGCCTAATTAAAGCCAATTATTAATAATAAATTTAAATTAAAAGTAGTTTCATTTATCCAATTAGCAGACACTTCCCAAAAAATCCAACTAAAATTCCAAGTATAAAAGCCACTATTACATAAAGATTTCAAAATCTCACCCCTTTTTTTCGCTTCCCTTTTCTTTTTCGTTTTTTCAACACTTTTCATGGTTCGATGCTTTCTAATACTTCATTTTTATCAGTTTCTGTATAAATTGTTTCGCTTCTACAAGTTCTAACGCTTTCCAAGTCTATGTTTATATCATCTGTATATGAATTTTTAAAGGCAACCCCTAATTTATGTACTTCAATATTTGGATCTTTTCAATCAATTTTGGCAAAATCCTCAGAAGTCACACATTTAGCTAGGACAAGAAATTTATGTCTACGCGTATTCACGTCAGAAATCGGTAAAAGTACAATCCTGACTTTAAGGCACGAGCATGGTGCAATAAATCCTTTGGAAGGACAAACGTTGAAATCATATGGAGAAGTTGTTTTTAACTTGAAGGCTATTTTATATGAAGTGCTATTACTTAATGTGAGATTCGTAGTCACTTTCTGGGGGCCTTGCTGGAAAATCAGCTTGTCTTTTGGAATAAGTTGAATTAATTCTCGAGATTTATTAAGTGTTTGCTCTGCCATCTTAAGTAACTATAAAAATCGATCAAATTGAAGTGCTTTACAAATTTCTGATTTTATTGCTTATTTAATTATATCAGTAAAAATTCCATTTTTACTAACGAAATATAATGAATAGTGCTCTACTATAGAAGCCTTTAGTATAAAAATGTTTTAATTGAATTTTTATTAGTTTTTGGATTTTTTTAATTAGAATTAATAACAGTTTCCAATTTTTCTATTAAACTTTATTTATAATCAGCTAACAATAAAAGCATTAGTCTTTCAGTTTTAAGTATATAAATATTTAACTAATCTTAGATTTAAAATAATCCTAAAGAATAATACAAAGAACTATATAAAAAGCGAAATTTCCGAGCGGTGGGGAGATAAAAGTTTTTATTGCATTTTTGTTTATAAGAAATAAAAATGATAATAAGAATCATGCTATTACTAGGCTTTATAGTTTCAGCTCAAGAACTAAATATAACCACTTCTTTCACTGAATTAGAAGCTCAAGTTCTCGACATATTAGCAGATTTAACTGAAACTAGACAAGACTTAGAATATCAATTTGATGTTTTGGCAAAAATTTCCTTTAACCAGACAATTGCCAATATGATCCAAACAGTTAAAAATTATACAATAAAAACAAGGAGAACAAACAGCAAAATTAATAAAATAACCGATGTCGCCATTCTTGATGTATTTAACTCAGAACTTGAGAGGAAAAGAGACCTAGCAAACTCACAATTGAATGGAATTGAAAAGCACCTCGACAAAGGAACAATGACGAACAGGCTTGAAAAGATCATTGATTTCTGGTATAAGCGTTCCCAAGTCCCTGACAAAGACTTGGAAATTGTTGTCCAGATGGTTGAAAAAAAGGCTGGACAAATCCAATATTTATTAAAGAAAACTTATAGTTTAAACTGGATTTATATTCTGCTCGTCATTATTGCAGTCGGCGCTATCTTAATATTAAAAGGAGTAATACAAGCACAAAAAAGACATATATTCTAACTAATTCTATATTTGAATTCAAATAAAAACACCTTAAATTAGTGTAAATCTCGAATATTAACTATTCTTGAACACGCTAAAATACTGTACAGCAAGATTTGTTAAAAAAGCCAATTCGTTTATACTCATTCAAAAATTGTATTTGATAGAAATTTAAAGCTCCTGGCCGATTCTTCCTAATCAAGCTGACAGCGTGGTTTTGGTCTAGTCCCGCCTCCATTAGAGCAATTGCGACTAGCACTGGTGCTCTTCCGAGGCCAGCTAGACAGTGTACAGCTATACTTGGGGTATTCTCCGAAACCTTTTTAATGCTTCCTCCTTCAAAGAAAGTCGTCTTTACAAGTTCTAACCATTCAATAATTTTGTTTCTTGGTGGAGCAGATCCATCAGTAAAATAAAGTTCCTAAATAGAGCTTACATGGACTTTGATGCCTTTGTTCTCGAAAATGCGATCATCGTACTTCCCTTCACAAGTTCTCACTAGATGGACCACTCCTTGAGCTGACAACTCTTCTGCATATTCTTCAGCGTTTTCTTGAGATGGGGCATCCATTACGATGAATTTTAAGCCACCTCTTGCGATAACCGAAGGCTTGTTTATCATATTTACAAGTGAGGCTGAAATGGGGATTGATAAGAATGTCGGATGAATATCGGATAATAAAAGAAAATGCGTTTTAATTCATTATATCAGTTTAAATAAGGGTAAGTAGTTATTATAGAAAAATGATTATTCAGCATAGAGAAAATAATAAATTATTTCGCAAAAGGTACAAGATATTGCTTAGAGAATCCATATTCAAAATTTGTGAAAGTAATTTAGCTCATATTTTCAGCTAATAATATTCAGGTTTATAAATTAATGCTGCAATGAGCAGTGAAAAGCTGTGAAAATGAAGATTTAGCTCAGTTTGGATTTTAATTTATACTTAAAAAATAAAAGTTGAGGAGGTTTATTAGTTCCAACCCACATAATTGATACTTCTAAAAGAACCATTTCAGCATTCTCTTATTAAAAAAGATGATTTATTTTAATAAGGAGAAGTAATTTTAAAAAATGATTAATTAATTTTTTTAATTATTCATTTTTAATATTTAAAGATTCTAATTTTCTTTAAAATATATCTACATTATAACTAATCTTAAAAGCTTTGCCAACTGAATTTTTAAGTGAAATCCAAAAAGCATCCCACCTTTTAATATCTAAATTCGAAGGGCCAATCAAAATGAGGGACAGTTCTAACATTTGCCCATTTTATGGCAGATTTATAATTTCTATTTAAATGGTAGGGTTTACTTAGGCTGGTGGAAAAGGAAAAGGAGGCAAAGGAGGCAAGGCGGCTGCAGGAAAGCATAAAAGAGTGCCTACATCAAGATCTATCAAGGCAGGGCTTCAATTTCCAGTTGGAAGAATTCATAGACTGTTAAAAACAAGAATGCTGGCTTCTCATAGAGTTGGTGCAACTGCTGCTGTTTATACAGGAGCAGTTTTAGAATATTTAACTGCTGAAGTGCTCGAATTAGCTGGAAATGCAAGCAAGGACATGAAAGTTAAAAGAATCAGTCCTAGGCATATACAGCTTGCTATTAGAGGAGATGAAGAGCTAGACACTTTGATCAAAGCAACTATTTCGGGTGGTGGAGTTATCCCACATATTCATAAGAATTTGTTGATCGTACCTAAAGAAAAGACAGTAGAAGTTTAAGATTAATCATGAATTACCTTAGTTAAATAGAAATTTTGCTATTTAGTTAGTATAGTTATTATTAGGGCTCTATGTAATTTATATTTCCTCAGGTATTTTTAGTCGAGTTTTTTTTTCCTTGTGAAGTTTTGAACTTTTTTTTAAGAAATTGTCTTCCAAAAAAAAAAACTATTTCTTAAAATACGATAAAATGCAATATGAGGAAAAAATTTCTATCAAATGGCTATCAGCAATTATTAGAACGTTAGCGGAAATTTTTAGTGATTTTTTTGAACTTTTACTCTTGGATTGCTACCCTTGGATCTTTTGGAATCCTTTATTTGATAAAATTATTTTTGATGTATAAGAAGGTAAGTAAGGCATTTCTCTCTCTGACTCCCCCCCCCCCTTTAAATTGGAACAAAATATCGGTAAAATTTCCACTTTTTTGGTAAATTAACCCCCCTTTAAATTGGAACAAAATTTAATTTTATAATAAAAAATCATATATAATTTTTATCTAAAAAGTTTTGATATAAGTTAAATGTTTTTTCTTAACTAAAATTAAAAATTTATCTATATCTTGCTCTCTTTTTAAAGAAAAAAGTATAAAGAGCATCTTATTTAAATAAATCTATTATCCTTAATTGGTAAATTTTAACAAAAAATTAATTTGTTTTTTTTTAAAAATTTTTAAAAAAATTTGTGTTTTTTTTTGATAAAAATGATATTTTTTATTTGGATAGTTTTGATATAAATTCAATAGGAATTCTTTATAAAATTTCAAAATTTAATTATTTCTTGCTTTATTTTAAAGAATAGAGTATAAATAACATCTTATTTAAACAAAATTAGCACTTTGATCGATAAATTTTCCAAATTTTTTATCAATAAAAATAATAAATTTTGTGTAAATAATTTTGATACCAATTAATAGTGGCGTATTAACTAATAATTAAAATTTAGTTATATCTTGCTTTTTTTTCAAGGATAAAGAGTAAATAGCGTTTTATTAAAAAAATTTATTGATCTAATTCGATAAGTTTTTGAAATTTTTTTTTTTTTTAAATTTTTATATTTTTTATAAAAATTTTATATTGATATTTTTTTTTAAAAAAAAAAATTAACCCCCCTTTAAATTGGAACAAAATTTTTGTTCCAATTTAAAGGGGGAGGAGTAAGTATTAGATTTCAACGATATTTGAAGGTTGAAGTAAAATTACCAAAGATACCGTCCTGTCCTCTTTTTGGATGCTCCATATTTTCAACTAGACTTATAACTCCATCACTCAAAGCTCGATAATATAGTCACTGCAAGATATAGATTCGTTTAGTATTTATTTTCTGGTTATTTTTTTAAAATTAGATAAAATTTAAGTATATTTCGATTTATTCTTTAAAGTTAAAATACATTTTGTCTTATAAACAAAGATGCTTTAGACCAGCTATAACAAAAGAAAACAAGTTATAAGACTTTAATAAGTTCTTAATGCTAAAAGATATTTAAATCTTTTTATACAAATAATAAAAAGTATAATTGTCTCTAATTATTTTTGCTATTTAAGACTAAACAAAGACTTGCAACAAAAAGATTAAATGATGAGGGGATATTAAAGTATAGTTTTGGTGCTAATTATTTTTGATATTTTAATATGACTGTCATTAATTATTGGCATTTAATTTATCATTTTAGTCTTACGAAATCTAATCAGCAAGCAGAAATATTTTGATGCTATTAAAAAACATTAATAAAAATTACTTCAAATATCGAAGATTTTGTTCAAAATCAAGAGAAATCAATAATACTTAAAATTGTAGCAAAATAGTGAGATGGAAAAGAAAGAGTAATTTTTCTTGAAAATTCCATGGGCTTCTCATTTCTCTTTGCTATATTTAATGGCTAAGGCATTTTGATTTATCTATAAAGAATTTGAAGTTTCAAATTTTGAGTTAAAATCCCTCAATAGGCATGTAAATAATTTCACTTGCTTATAAAGAGGGAAAGAAAAAATTAAGCATCTCTTAATTTAATTAACCCTTGATAGTTTTGTAATTAAAAAAGTAAAATGCTGCTTGAAATGGTCTAACTAAGCTTGAGAATCTTACCAATCTATTGAGGAGTTACCATACTAATTTAAAAAAATTATTTAAATTTCAATGTCTAAAGTTGATGAAGCTGAAAAGTGAAAGAAAAAAGCAGCCGAGCTACAATTTAAGGTCAACGAAATGGAAGGAGCCGTTGCAAAACTGCAGAGCGAAGACAACACTTCTGACGCAAAAATCGAAAGTCTAAATAAACTTCACGCTCAAAAAGTCCGAGCTCTCATGAATTCGATTCAAGATCTTAAAAAGCAAACAGCTATGGCAAAAGCTCAGAACAAAGAAAGCAATAGATCAAAACTCATTGATAAATTAAAAACTGAGCTTGTACAACAAGAAATAGCTATTCAAGCCTTAAGAGACCTTATAAGAGATGATGAAAAATGTGATGAGCAAATAATTTGATAATAATAAAATGGCAGTGGTCTCTCCTCTTGAGTGATATTTAATTATTATGGGGTTTGGTTTATGTGTTTTACCTTTATCCATAACGCCAGAATATGGCTTACTACAAGGGTAGGGCAGATTGACCCAAGTAAGAAAGGAAGTATAGGGGTTTACCGCTTGAAAAACGAGAAGACACCCTTAGGTGGAGCACACGCAGGAGTCAAGCGAGGGCAAGGCCAAAGTGACCCTTGAAGGATCCTAGAAAGCTTTTTGCCAAGTAGAAGTTTGGATATAGGCTTCACTATTTTAGTTATGTAGGGTAGTCTTAAGTTGGAGCTAAAATGGTAGGCTTATGCATGTCCAAATCATTCTACGGAAGAAAACAACATTTAAATATTGAGTAATTAAGTAAGTAGGATTAACAAATAATTGAGTATCTCAATAAAGGACCACCCCGGATCAGGCCTCTCAGCAGAGATCAGATTAAATTAAATTTAGTGAGGGTTATTTCTGTCCTACCGCCACTTCAGACAAATCTTTTTCATGTCGACATCACCAAAAAAAATAATGACGTCAGCTGTCTCTCTCTCAAGACTCAACCGACTACCACAGGTCGAACTCTGCAACAGAGAACTCTCTTAGCCCTGGTAGTGCTCAAGGCACAAGCGAAATGCCACTACCTCCTTTTGGACTACCCTACCTCGATCAGGTATAGCAGTTGCCCGATGATGGCGCATTGAGCGCCATCATCGGGCAACTACTATATCAAATTGCTTCCCATAAGTTTGAGCCAATTTGATTGCCAGTAGATCAATGAAAAAAGCCATTCTGGAAATCAGACACAAGACCTTCCAAAAGAATGGGATCCACTACCTGAGGCCTTGGATCAACTGGCCATTCATCCAGAACCTTATATTTCTTGCCATTTTTTAAAAAGTTCTCATCAGAGAAGAAATGAGAATCCAAATAAGAAGATTAAAAGGAAAGCTCTCAACTACATCAAAACGGTCTTCAGAACAAGCATTAGACGATTTAGATAGAATTTTAAACCCGCCTGACCTTGAAGAAAATGAAGAAATGAAGAACATTGATCCTCTTCAAAATGAAAAAATTATAGAGCTCTTAGAAGAAATCGAGAATTTAAAGCTCGATTTAAAATCTAAAGAAACTGCTGCAGAGAGCTTGAAAAAACAAAACAAAAAACTCAGCGAAGCACTACAAAGCATGCAGATGAAAGAAAATGGGTATGAAATAATTGATATTAAAGTAAATAAGCTTGCAGTGGAAAGGGAAGAACTGGTTTCACAGCTAAATCAGAATGCTCAGATTGAAGGACAAACTTTAGCAAGACATGATGAACTAGAAGTTGGGCTAAAAGCAGCTCAAGAGCAGATAAACGGACTGAAGAAAAAGCTTGAAAATAATGTGATAGAAAGGCAAAAATCCCTTAAAGAGATTGAAAGACTGCAAAAAGAGCTTGCAATGAGTTTGGCAAGTGTCAGAGATCTAGAAGGCCAAATCGCATCTCATGCTACAGACTCTGAAAGTAAAGTGAGCGATCTCCATGCTTTACTTTTACAAAAAGATACGAAGATTGCTGACCTGGAAACTGATGTAATAGAAAAAGACAACGAAATTTCTGAACTTAAATCTCAACAAGCCCAGCTAGTAAGAAAGGACACAGAAGATGGAAAAGACTTTGAGATTGAAGTTTTAAGAGCCAAAGTCAAACAATTGACACAAAAAGCTAATGTCCCTGAAGACTTAATAGCTGCAGAAAGATCAGAAACTGAAAAATACAAACAAAGAGTAAAAGATTTAACCAGACAAGTTGCAGAGCTCCAAGAACAGGTGGAATACTTAGAGCAGCACAACATTGAAGCCCAAAGACAAGGATCAGCCTTATACTTGGCTGGAAAAAGACCTGCGGAACCAAAACTCCCTGCAGACTACCAAACCACCAAAGATCTATGCGAGAAGCTAAAATCTGAAATCAAAGAAATAAAAATCCAGCTACAAACCAGAGATCGAGAGCTGTTAGAAGCCAGAAATGAGCTTAACAGCCAAAAAGCTGCTGTGGTCGGACTCAGACAAAAAGTAAAGCAAACTGATGAAGAAAAAGTCGTCCTTGAACAAAAAATTTTTGGGTTTTCTGCACAGAAGCAAAGCGCAGTGGACGAAAATTCTACGATAAAAGAAAAAGTTATTGAGCAGTCCAGAGATGTAATTCCAAAGCTGAGAGTTGGCATTCCTCCTCAATACAATGCAGTGCAGCTGCTAAAAGCTTCTAGAGATGTGATGAATAGGCTTGTGAGAGGCTAATAATAATTTTAAAAAAATATAAAAATTTCCAATATTATTATCAATGGGTAGTTGCAATTTTAAATCTGAAGAGCCCGATACAACAGTTTCGATTTCAAAGACTCATTTTCAGTTTCAATACGTCATTGGCAAAGGTGGCTTTGGAAAAGTCTGGAGGGTGGAATTAAAAAGAACTCGAGAAATCTTTGCAATGAAAGAAATGGCAAAAGCCAGAATCCTTGCCAAAAAAAGCGTGAATTCAGTTTTAAATGAGCGAAGACTTTTGTCGATGCTGAAACATCCTTTTATAGTGAACATGAAATATGCATTTCAAGATCGGGATAATCTGTATCTCATTTTATAGCCAAATTAGAATTAGCGACATATATAGTATATTAAAAATAGAAAAATATGGAAATAGAATTATTATGGGGCAAATACATATAAATTTGAAAGGAGTATTTGGTGATGGACTTATTAACTGGTGGAGACTTAAGATTTCAGCTAGGAAAACATAAAAAATTTACTGAGGAGCAAACGAAGTTTTTTGTAGCATGCATTATCATTGGGCTGGAATTTTTGCACACCAACGGTGTGCTGCATAGAGATATCAAACCAGAAAATTTAGTACTGGATAATAGAGGATATGTGAGGATAACGGACTTCGGAATTGCAAGAGTCTGAAATCCTGACAATGCAAAAGATACCAGCGGAACTCCAGGGTATATGGCTCCTGAAGTCATGTGCAGGCAAAATCATGGGGTTGCAGCTGATTATTTTGCTGTTGGGATTATTGCTTATGAATTCATGTGCGGCAGAAGGCCATATCTAGGAAAATCTAGGAAAGAAATAAGAGATCAGATATTAGCAAGGCAGGTATAAAATAGAAGCTAAATTCAAGCTTCTGCCAATACCAATCCTCTATTTTTTAATAAAATAAGGCCAAAAAATATTTGCAATTATGTTAAGTAATAAGAAACCGTATACAAATAAAAAGAAACGAAATTCCAGAAGACTGGAGTGTTGAGGCAGCTGATTTTATTAATAAAGTAACTGATATATAGCTTGTGCAAAGAAAGCCCACAAATAGACTATAGGGCTTTTCCTTGAATAGCCTGATAACGGGCTGGCTTCATCCCGTTATCGGGCTATTCAAGGAAAAGCCCTATAGGACTTAACGGCCCTACTGAAGTAAAAGAGCATCCTTGATTCAAGGACTTCGAATGGGCAAAGCTTGCAGCTCGTTCTTTGGTTTCTCCATTTATACCAAACCAAAGCGATGAAAACTTTGATATGAGACTTCAGCTTTCTGATGATCCATGGAAGGATGCAGATAGCGAAGCTCTCCAACAAAGCGCGACTTTGCTTAATTCAAACACTGCACAAAATTTATTTGCTGGGTATTTTTTTGATATCAATCAAAATAGCCAGACAGATAATTTATCAACTAAATAAAATTAATTTTTCATAAGTTTTCATGAGATTTTATAGCTTATACAAGATTAAGATTAAGATTACGCTGGGTATTTAAAGTCCCCACTTCGTAGAAGACACATTCTACGGTTTCCCGTATGGTGGCAAAGCGTCGAATTCAAGCCCGGCCGAAACCCCCGGTTTCTTGGTAGAGGTGATGGTCAAGGGACGTCTTATACCACTTCCTCCATTTCCAGCTTGTCAGGTCGCCTAAGTTTACGCCAGCACTGCCTCTATCGATCGCCAGATCTGCCCATTGAAGGGCACCTTTTAACTGGAGAGACTCCCGTTTTGTCGTCTAGCTCGCCTTCCCCTCTTTTCCGGTCACCCCGAGGAAGAACTCAGCAGCTTAGGCAGGTAAGTCGCCCTGCCTCATTTCGGGCACTCACTTGGCTGAGCGCTGCTGGCAAAAAGAAGTCACGAGAGTAACTGCCCATGGGTTCGGTCACAAAAACAGCGGTCTTTGTGCTTAGACCTCTCGCTTAAGGTCCCAAACGTTGCTGGGCCAACTCCTGGCTCCAAAAACCATGCCCGGATATACATGGGTAGCCACCACTAGGAGGGTGAGTCGGTTGCCATCTGCCATTTTATGTATATATAGCTTATACAAAATCTTTATTTAGCAAGATAAAAAAGATAAGAAAGATAAGCTCTCCAGACTTGCTAGTCATCATTGATTGCAATTGTTTCTTTATTCACTGCTCTAGGTGAATTAATTAATATGGACTTAACTGTTGTGAAATCTAATTTTTCTTATTTTTATGCTTAATGAATTGAAAATTTTTGAGATTTTTTCTACACCTGAAGGATAAACTGGAAGTTTTCAGTTTAAGAATTGCATTTACTGACTCCCCCTCTGTGAGCAAGCAAAACCTTTGGAAAAATCCCTATTTTTGGGTAAAAAACACCTCCGTGAGTGAACAAAATTATTTTAAAATAAAAATTATTTATGAAAAAATTATTTTGATATATAACTGATAATCATTATAATGAAATCTCTAGCTAATTCTGTTTAATTTTAAGCAGCTTGCATTTTAAAACATAAAGTGTGAGAATTACTTCTTTTAAATTTTAAAAAAAAAAATTAACCCCCTTCGTGAGCGAACAAAATGTTTTTTACGCTTACGCTTACAGAGGGGGGAGTGAAGCGAAAAAATTAATTCTTGGTGAGTTTATTTTTACTTGTAAGTTATAATAAGCGGTCAAATTTGACGATTTTACAACTGAAAATTCACAAAAATCAAGAAAATTGGTTTAAGATAATTATTTATTATCCATATAAGCTCTAGAAGCCACAATGGTAATAATTGAATAAATGGTCGATCAAGCTCGGGTAGCTGAAGTAACTAAAGGCATCTTCACTTTTGCTGATACTGATGGATCAGGTGCTCTTGATAGAGAAGAGTTCAAGACTGCACTTGGCAAAATGATTGCTGAGCATGGGATGAGTCCCCTTACTGACGAACAGTTCGACCAAGAATTTACAGGACTTGATGTCGATGGAAATGGGCTTATTGATGAAAATGAGCTTCAAGCACTGGTTGCTAGGCTCTTATCAGCTTAAAAATATTTGCTTAATTATGTTAAGCAAAGCCTTTTAGTTAATTTCTTCTTACAAAATAATTCCTGCTAATTTTCCGACTTGTTTTCCTATCAGTAGTTGCATTTATATGTGTTTGGACATAATTGAAATATGGTTTCACTTATGATAATGATTTTCAACTATTTAAGAGACAATTTTAATGAAAACGTTAACTAATTGATAATTTTCTACTCGAGATCCATTGCTGAGACTTCAGTTATAACTAAAGGATACTCCTTCTTGACAGCTAAGGTAAAACTTACGTGTAACTCCTCTTGGGAAATTATATTCAATTGTGCTTTTATATGCCTTGTGATTATAGTTTCTCAGCGTTCTCTTGTGGTCGTGCCCATCTTTATCCACAGCAACCAAATCGACTGAGCTTCCTGATCCTAAGTCATTAAAGATCCCTGATTCCACAGCTTTTGCGGCTAGTTGCATAGCTTCTTCTTTCTAAATATTCCTTACAGTCATATGATCACGGTATTCAGTTTCAAACATACTCATAGCTGCTAAGCTTCCTGACCCCATGGTATGGAATGGATGATGCCGATACGTCCCATCAGCAGAAATCATAAACAACTGAGGGCCACTTGCATCAACTCCTCCTACAATCAGATATGCGCCGATATTTCCACCATACTTAAACAAATGCTCTGTCAGCAAAGTAATTGCAGTGATTACTCTGCTTTGCCGACCTGAGTATAATCTGAGTAATTCTAGCTGATATAGCGTGGACACACCAAAAGCAAGCCTTCATGCTGAGTCTTTTCTTGCAGCCTTTAGAGCTTAAAAATCACCTAGAAGTGACGAGTCAATTCCAATTTGACAAAGCCGGATTCTTGCCCCAGGATTTATCAACTCGGAGTTGACTTATCATCTGTAGGTGACTAGCCACATATCAAGCTTGTCAAGAAAGATTGAGCACAAGGGCAAGCGAAAAGCGCATGTAGGCTATAGCCTATGTTGAGAGTCACATGCTCTAAATCAGCTGCTGTACCAGCTCCTGCAGCAAAAATATTAGGAGCCAGCATATGCAATTTGTCGCACATCTTGTCTAAGACCATTGATCCTCCTGTAGCTCTGGTATCTGCGCCTAAAACGACTCCGCCTTCATACATTAGCCCTACAATGGTTGTTCCAGTTTTTGTATAAGGCTTAACCCCCTGTAATAAGTAATTTCTTGCTTTTTCATGTTGGGTTTTTGCATAATTTTTAATTGTAGCTCCAATGTTAAGTAATTTTCGATCTCAATTTACTATTTGAAAATTTGTGCAAAAACCCACAATGAAAAAGCAAGAAAATTTTTATTACTGGGAAGGGAGTTAGGAGCGACTCCTTGATCTAAAAGGGTTTTATTCCTTTCAAACAGATCATGGTTGAAGCCATCAATTGGGAGCTGATCTAAATAATCCATCTTTATAGCATTCCCTTAGAATTTCATAAATTAATCCTTCAGAAGCTTAATATCTGCTTAAAAATTGTTAATAAAAGTAAATAAAATATCTGATCTAATAATACGTTAAGCTAGAATTTAGAATTATGAGCGCTTGATGGAGAGGTCTTAGCTTCGGGCAGCTGCTCGTCTGAGGGCTTTTTTTCATCGCAGCATTTTGATAGAGCAGAAAAGGCAGCGAAAGAAATCACCCCTAAAGCAAACCCCAATGATGCATAGACTATCATATTCTTGGTATCTTTATCCATTTTTAATTATTATTTTCATTTAAGTTTATTCGTAATCAATCTTAAATAATAAGCACTCAAAAATATTTTCTTCAGAATCCGTTGCAAATACGCACACTTCTGCTGGATTAGGCTGTGAAGCTGCTGGAACATGCATCCACAAGTATCCTTTCGCTCCTCCCTCCAGAGAAATTCTTGGCTCTTTAATTTCCAGCACATTTGGATGTGATGACCTAAAGTGGAAAATGGCCCATGTCTGGCTTCTGTTCACAAACAGCACTCTTTTATCTGTTGGTTGCCCCAATTTGCATTTTACTTCATAAATTTGTGTAATTGTAGCCGCAGAGCTCTCAATCCGAATAACCCATGCATGAACCAACTGTCTATGGAAAATATCCACACAATGCACCCTTATTCTTTGGATTTGTGGAGAGTCTGACCTAATCATAACAGGCAAGCTGTTTACGCTTCTTGGCAATAAAGTAAATGGCTTATCATGAGGTGATGGGAAAAACACACAATCGTCTTTTGAGGAGTACAAAGCGACTGTACGAGCTTCATCTCCTGGGCATGCAAGTCTAATAGCTGTTGCTTGGCCCATGGTTACGTTTACGTCTTATCTTATCTTATTAACAGACAGATTTCGCACTAATTTTTATGCAATTGCTGAGGATTTCCAATATAGGAGATTCAACCATTTTGCGACCGTGTCTTCCACCAGGGATAGCAGTGTCTCCTCCTTATTTTTGGCTACAGTGTTGTGTGGGCAGTCTTCAGATTTGTGCGGCCTTGCTTGAGGGTTTTTTTTTGGTGGGGAAACAAGGGTTGTTCATACAAAATCCCAAAAAGATGAAATTTTTGTTGACTCTCAGCAAGCGCAGCCAAGGCGTAACTCTGGTTTCTGATAGTAAAATGCTCGATTGGTCTAGACATTGTCCCCTAGACATTTCTGGGCGACCCCTTTCCAACTTCCATGCCGCCTTCCCCTTGAGGTAAAATCATACCTTAAAAGCTGACTTGGGCTACTCTGACCAGTAAAACACTTACCTAGCACTGCTGACCATTTCTGGGATGTAAAACCTTGCCAGAAATAATTAAATATGTACTTGAAGGAAGTCCATATAGCCGGCCGCGAAGCATTGAGACGTCATATTTAATTTGTTACGTTTACGTCAACTCCTACTAAGGAGTGAAGCTTGATTTCCCAGTTGGCGACGACCTCACTGCAATAAGGATCATCATATGCGACTAAGTTGAAGCTTAAAATGTTAGGGGCTGGAGGTGTTTTTAGCTCCACACTGATTTCGCGCTCATTTTCCCATTGGACTATAGCTTTCTCAAGGCTGCAATGCAGGATTGGTTTAGTTAGCGTTTCAGAGCTGTAAAGAGGAGGGATGGCAAGCTTGACAGTACGATTTTCACACTCATAGAAGCGCAAAATCTGGTCTACAGGTGAAGACTCAGGGACTACTTCTAGCTCCATTGCACAAATTGGTGACCCTTTGCTTTGATGGATTCACGCTGTGATCATTTTTGGCTGAGGATTCCAAGAAATGAATTTAAAGATAATAGGGCAGGACTCCCCAGGTCTTAATATTATGGAGTTATCTGGCGTTATCATATCATATTCAAGTGGTCTATCATAATTGAAATGATTAACCCACCATTGTCATTCTGATACATCTTTGACTACGCTAAGTTCTTTATCTTCTATAATAACGCTAAAGCATTCTTCTCCTATTTGTGGATTTCTCAGCATATACTGGAACGTAAAAGCCTGCCCAACTCTTGCGTGAATTTTTTCAGCAGTACTCATATATTCTCTTAAAGCTTGTTTTATGGCCATTGGCTTTCTGGATTCTCTGATTATAGAAATTTCTTTTAATTGTTTTTCTTTGTCCCAGTCCTCACTTGTGATTTGTTGGGTTTGTGATTTTCTGAACTCCATAATTCTCAGCCTTTTCCTTTGGTCTTCGTTATCAATTGCAATTGGCTTTTCATCTGGAAGCGGCACAAGCACTTTGCTTCTAACTTTATATTTGTGTCTTGCCTGTGGCCCTGTTAATTTTAATGCATCTTGTGAAGGCTGAAGTCTTACTGATGGTGCCATCCCTTGATTTCTTAATAAAATCTGCAAAGAGCCTATCTGCTCTTTATTTTCATCAAATACAGGATACTCTTTAGTAGAGACAACACTAGCTTTGCCTTGTCTGACAACTTCTACAAGATTTATTTTTGCGTTTCCTATATGAATATGGCTTTCTGCGTTTCAAACTTCAATACTTAAGCTTTTTTTCATCAGATATTTAGCAAAGTCAACTTGGTCCCATACAGGAGGCTCTACTTCAAACTTCATAAGCAGCTCAGGATTAGGGCCATCTTTTTCAAGGACCCAAGGAACTCCTGAATCACCTGTTTTTATAGTCACTGGTTCAGTCATAGTGTGAGGAAACACATAAAATCTGACTCCAAAACAGACACGGCTTGGCATTCTTGACCCTCGCACTGGAGGACGGTATGCAAGGAATTGGATGACAAAATTAGCAGCTTTCAAAGGGTCTTGAGCTTCTATGTCAAGCCTTGGTCGAATTCCAGAAAATTCTTCATTATCCATAAGACCTCGAATTCCTGCTCTGACTAGGCGGGCTTTATCAGCTCGACTGAGTGCTCTAGGCATGTCTAAAGGCATAGTAGAAAAAGATGTTTCAGGTCTTTGTCCATTGAGTGGCACAGGGGCAATAGCATCAATGTAGCTGAAATCGACGTTTGAGTCATAAGCAGACTGCATATTTTGAGCTTGATATTGAGGCTGCATCACAGGGGTAGTGACTGGCCTTGGAAGGGTCTGGGTTAGTGATGGCCTAATTTCGATACTTTGAATTTGAGTTAGCTGAGGAGGGCTTGATGGGGGTGGCTTTATTGGAATCAGCTGAGGTCCTGCTTGTGTCTGTGTCCTTGCTTTTTGTAGCTCAGCTTCTAGCTGCTGTATTTTTCTCATCATATTAGCTTGCTCCTGTCTATGCCTTAAATCATCTTCTGGGTTTCCTTCTTTAATGTTTGTAATATATTGAGTTTGTACGATAGGAGCTGATCCTTCTTTCATTGACAAATTAAAAAAGACTTGTATATCTAGGCTTACACCCCAAAGCATTTTTCCAGACACACTTCTTCCTGGACCTGGAATCATAAACGCATTGTAGTCTCCTTCTTTGAAATTTAAATGAGGAGCCCATGCAAGGGCAACTTTTAGCATTTCACCTGGAGCGCCTGGCTTGGGAATTTCTAAAGCACATTCAAGCTCAAAAACAATAGCGATTAATGGGTCAATAGCGGCATCTCTTAGAGTAATTAATGTAGAAGCGACAAAGGAGTCCTCAAATCTTTTCAAGAAAGCTACACTTTCTGGACCCCCTCCTCCTAAATAGTGCCATGAATTGTGGAGACCAACAGTAACTCTAAGCTCATTTATTCTAACAGGCCGAGAGTCAGCTCCAAATGCTTCTTTTCTCCAGGCTTCAGCAAAACTTTTTATTCTGTCTTCTATTTCTTGAGCTCGAGGTATTTCAATATTTTTCAAAAATAAATTTGCTGTTGGGCCAAGCGCGATGTGCTCTGCAGGGTTGGAAGGCAGATATCTCCCGGCCACCCCAGGAAGAATTTCATGTGGGCCGCAAAAAGTGTCTGGAGGAAGCAGCCCATATACGATTCTCAGCTCTTCGTAAGCTCTTATTTCATAATTCAAAAAGAACCCGGGCTTGGGTAAAGGATTCTGAGAAATGGTCAAATTTCTCAAGCTTCCTGAGTATAAAGGAGATTTTTGGCCTTCATTTTCTTTAAAACAAATTAGTCTTGTCCATCCGATTGGTTTTCTTCCTATAACATTATTAGCTGATTGTGTAATTTCTAAAATTTCACATACAGCTTCAACATCTTCATCAGTAATTGTAGTATGGTAATACACCACAAGTTCTTGGCCAAATACAAAAGTTCTCCCAAAGAAGGTGCTTTCTGATTTTTTATAAAACGTTATTGAAAACTGCAGAGACTCCATTGGGACTTGCGACCCTTCAAGCTCATGCAAGATAAGGATAAATGGGATGCTGGCAGTAGACCTGCGTGTTTTATCTGGCGCAGGAACTGAATCGTGGAAGTTTGTATTTCGAGACCATTCTATGAGTGCCGTGTTGTCTGACATTATTTGAACTATAAATGAATTTTAAATACTTATCTATGCATCTATATGCTCCAATTTTCAATTACTTTCAATGGTAATCTTAATATTCTCTCTTTGATCCTCTTCTTCCATCAAATCCGCCTCTTCCGCCATCATATCCGCCTCTTCCACCTTCAAATCCGCCTCTTCCGCCTTCAAATCCGCCTCTTCCACCTTCATATCCGCCTCTTCCACCTTCTTCATAATCATCTCCTCTTCTGCTTCCATATCCTCCTCTTCTACTTCCGTCAAAATCATCGCCTCCTCTTCTGTTTCCATATCCTCCTCTTCTATCTTCTTCATGGCTATCATCAAATCTTTGTCTTCTTGCTCCAAAATTATCACCATGATCTGCAGTTCTTGACTTAGGCAGTGAAATGTTGACGACCAAGGCTCTTCCATCAAGCTCCACTCCTGAAGATTTCAATGCTTTTAAGGCATCATCAGCATTTTCGAACTCAACGAAGCCAAATCCTCTTGGATTGCCTTCTTGGTCATTGACGATTTTAGTGCTTACAACTTTTCCATACTGTGAAAAGTGCTGGGTCAAGGTATCTTGGTTTATTGAGTTGCTTATGTTGGCGACGAAGAGCTTGTTATTCTTGGTGGGTGGCTTTTCTCCAGCTGGGGCAATTTTGATGGTCCTTCCAAGTAACTCTTTTCCGTTGTTCTCGAGGGCTTTTTTGGCAGACTCAGCACTGCTGAATCTTATAAATGCGAAGCCTCTTGATCTACCTTCTGGGTTTTTAGGGATTCTTATAGTGATTTCTCCTAATCCGCTGAAAAATTCTTTGATTTCTTTTTCTCCAGCAGACCAGTCAAGTCCTCCCATAAAAAGATCGGTGTCTGGGTTGTTGAAAGCAGGCTGAGGAGTTCTTGGCTCAAAGGAATCTTCTGATGACTGATTTCTAGAGCCCTCGTCGAATGTGCCGAATTGTCTCAAAGTGGAGACTGGTGCTGTGGAAAATGCTTTGTAGAGGTTGAATCCTAATGAAGATGGCTTCATAAAAGGAGTGGCAGCCTTTCTTCTGATGACAGCGCGACCAAGTTGCTTGGCAAATGTAATAAGCACCATTTTATAATCCTGCATTGCAAGCCAGAAGAAATTTTACGAACAAAATGAAATTTAATAGTAAAAAGCTGGATCAGTAATTGTGATATATCATCTAGGAGAATAGATATAAATGTAATTTGTAGATAATTGCGCTAGTGAGGATAAATAAAATTATAATGTGGGACAAATGAGGATTTAAATTTATAAATAATTGGGAAGAAAAATGAAATTTTAATTATAGCAAGCGGCCTAAAGCTGAGAGGTAAAGAAATGAATTAGAATTATGGGCAATTCAAGGTAGAAGACTATAGATAATAGGGTATTAAACTTAGAATTTAACATTTGAAATATCTGTGTATCTGTAAGCTATTAGAATTTTTAGAAAACCTACTTGTTAGAGTGTGAAGATATTATTAATATCATAATAATATTAAAAAAATAATCAGAGAATTAAATGAGAATAAAGATTCTCTTTTTAAAAAAACCTAATCTGATTAAAAATTATAATAAAATGGAAAAATTAGACGAATATAATTTAAAAATGGATTTTCCAGTTCAAGAACCAATCAGCCTAGTAAAATCTGATGGGAGCTGTCTCATTACCTCCTTAAACACCTTAGAAATCGTCCAACAATACTCCGAATTGCAGGCGCATATTCCTCTTTGCGAAAAAAATCATGAAACTGCTGACATCGAAATTGAAGACGACTCCCAAACTATGGACACTGAAACTGAGCAAGAAGACAGCTCATCCCAACGAATTAAACCGATGAATATAGACGCTATAAAGTATCTTTTGCCTATGAAAACTCGTCGAGCACAGAGACTAACCTTAGTGCTGGACTTAGATGAAACATTGGTTCATAGCGAAATTAAGCCAATCCCAGCAGCAAACCTAATAGTCAACATTTTTTTTGACGAAAGACCTTGCTCCATCTATGTAAGCTTCCGACCTGGCCTGTTCAGTTTTCTAGAAGCCGTAGCTGAGAAGTTTGAGGTTGTTTTGTTTACAGCATCCCATAAAATCTATGCAGAACAGGTCTTGAAGTTTATTGACCCAGAAATGAAAATTATGAAATACCGATTCTACAGAGAGAGCTGTGTGGAAACAAATGGGACTTTCGTAAAAGACCTGAAGGTGCTTGGAAGGGATTTAAGAGAAGTTATCATAGTTGATAACTCAGTTCAAGCATTTTCGCTGCAGCCTAATAATGGGATTCCAATTGTTTCATGGTATAATGATACCACGGATAGAGAATTATATAAAACCCTTGATATACTTGACGAGCTGCATGGCACAGCTGATGTGCGTGAAGTTCTCAGTCTTAAATTTAAACTTAATGCAGGTTGGCTTCTACCTATTGCTAACGCGCAGTTACCAAAGATCGCCTAGGAGATTTAAACTCTTTTCAACGTCAGCAGGAAGAACTTCTTTGAGTTAGATGACTAGTGGGCGAATATCGGCTCGATCACCACCTTTCCTTCTTCTGCAAGGTCTGACACTATGGCATCTGTAAAATAGGGTTATGTGTCTCAGTCTTCTCCTTGCTTTTTTGTTCCAGTGTTGAGTGGGAAGGCTATTGACATCTGGGGCATGTTGTTGGGTTGAACGAAGATTTTCTGCATAAAAATCCCAAAAAATGAAATTTTCGACAAAAAAGGAAAAATTCAAAGTTTAATGCTAGGAAGATGCCCGAATGGTCTAAAATTATCTGTAGACTTGCTGGGCTTTTCCTTTCCAACTCACCTTTTCCTTCGAGATCCAATCTTGAAAGCGACTAGGGCTAGGCTCTGTGCATTACCAGAATTGCTTACTTAGCATTGCTATCCGTTTCTGGGTTGGCAAAAACCAGCGGATATAGATGAAATGTGCTTGAGGCTGCGTTGCCTGGAGGCAATGCCCAACCGAGACACCATTTTATTTATGTGAAGTGTTCAGTCAAAAATACAAATCATTCAATATGAATTAATTAGTTAATTAACTTTTTATTTAATGCAATAGCTTAAGTAAGCATTAGATTAGTTTAATACATTGCAAGTTCTTCACTCTGCCCCTTTGAACCTAAACAAAATATAATAGTAAAAATTCCCATTTTGGGTAAATTAATCTGCATTTATTTGAAATAAAATGTTACAGTAATTTATATATAGGGTTTTACCCTTAATAGCTCGATAAGGGCAGATGATTTCCGGTGGAATCATCGAGTTGGTCTAACCAACTTAGTGCATTGGTCGGACCAACTCACTTGTTGGTTGGTTGGACCAACTCATTTGTTGGTTGGTTGGACCAACTCATTTGTTGGTTGGTTGGGACCAACTCGATGATTCTATCGGGAATCATCCACCCTTATCGGGCTATTAAGGGTAAAACCCTATAAATAAATTTGGCCTAATTTAATTTAGGGAGACAAGTAGAATGTTATTTAAACAGTTTTTACGTTTAATTGCTTAATTTTTTTAATAAATTCTTCATATAAATAAATTAAAATCAAAAATATTGCGCTCAATTTATTTTTTTCAAAATTAAAAAAATTAATTCGTACTAAATTTGAAAAGATTTTTGTTCCAATTTAAACAGAAGGAATCAGAAAAAATAGAGATTATTAGTGTTTATATTTTGAGCTGAAAATAAGCCTTTGCACCCACATAGGAATATCTGGCAGATTTTCATCGGTGTCTAGCCTATTTATCGGACACCGATAAATACTTTCAATGATATTTTCAGCTATTTGTATTAATATAAGGACATATTTTTCAATCTCGGAAGTGCCTTCATTTAAAATAGAAATCCTTTGAGGAGCATTAGGATTGGCTTCTCTATATTTCTGCTCTTCTTTGAGTAATCAATGGTGAAAAACTCGTTTCATAAACACAGAACCATAATTTATTAATTTCCCGTTATAATCTTCTTCAGCCATATGACTGTCACTGTGAGAAAACTCAAGCATGAGGCTCCCAAGATGAATTTTAACTGAAAATCAGCTGGGAGTGGCTTTGGTCAAACCTGACTGGGTCTACCTTGCTCTATGCAGCCTAGCTCTACATAGCAGCCTGGCTCCACCTTGCTGTCTGGCTCTCTAGTTCTACCTGGCAGCTTGGCAATCTGGCTCTACCAAAATAAATTACCTAAGTTTTGAAAAATAATTTAATGAATTGCGCAATGATATATTAGAGCCAGGTAGAGCTAGTAGAGCCAGGTAGAACAAGATTGTCAATTAGAGCCGATTGCCAGGCTGCCCAAGATAGATCTGGACTGCCAGAAGATCCGTAGAGCAAGGTAGACCCATCCAGGGGTGACCAGGCTTTTCCTGAATTTTTAGCTGTTACAGCTTCTTCAAAGGTATTTTCTGTTTTTTCTGATTCTCCAGTCAATATGTTCCAAGTTTGTACAGTCCCTTCTGAGTTTTTTGTAATAATCCATTTTTTGTTATCACATACTTCAAATTTGTTTATATGTGGCAAACTTTTTATTGTTTTTGTTTCAGCTGACTGTATTGTTTTAATATCTCCATTTGTATCTGATATTCAGATATCACTATTAATACCTAGCACATCTAGCACAGGGAATTCGTTTTCAATTACTTTTTCAGAGGTTTTTGAAATAATTTCAGTCTTGAACACATCTCCATGCCTATCCCCAGAAAATCTAAATATCCTTTACATAGTCCCAGTATTTCAGTCCATTTTGAGTGCATTTACAGAGTCAGAATGTATATGGAATGACTCAATTACTTTATGTGTGCCTATGTCTCATAATTTTATCGTCTTATCAGCTCCAGCTGTCAAGCAATTTCTTCCATCAGGGCTTATTATGATTTTTCGTGCATGATCTGTATGTCCTTTTAAGTCAATAAAATTTTTAGCTCCTCGAGTGTCCATTATTTTGGGTGTCTGAATATTTCTTACGTTATTTGAAAACGTCATTCCTATAAGTTCTCCTGTTTCATCAGCGTCTATACACCAAATAGAGTTGCCATTTGTGTTTAGAACTTTTATCGACCTTATTTGGTCTAAATTCGAAATTTCCCATCTTATAAGAGTATAGTCTTGGCCTCCGGAATATAAAATTCTTTGGGATGGAATGTATTTAAGTGTTTGAATATAGTCTTTATGATTTTCAATGATACGGATTGGATCAGTAGCAAATTCTGAAGACTGAAGTGATCATATAGCAATAGTGCTGTCATATGAAGAGGAAAAAAGAAGTCCTAAAGTTGCATCAATTTGTATATCGCTTACTCAGTGAATGTGCCTGTCATAAGCATGCTCGATTTCAAGAGTGTTTAGATCGTATTGTCGGACAATCCCATCTCTGCCAGCTGAGAAAAGATGATTTTCAAAGGCTTGAAGCCTATTTACACCTTTAATATGGGATTGAGAAATTCCATCTCGAAAAAGGACTGAAATATTTTTTGATCTTGTTTTCATTATAAAATATTTATTATGAGATTATAATTATTAGGTTATGAAGCACTTAAAATCCAAGTCCTTGAAGATATCAAGCTGTGCACAACATGAAAAAAACTTTTAATCTCATCAACGATTTTAGGGTATTGGCCTGCTGTTTTGATATAGAAGCATTAAGTCTTCAGACCTCAGCATGCCAAAGAAATTAGGCTAAAAAGAAATATATAATTAAATGACTATATTTTATTAGAACCACTGTCATAACTATACTTTATGAAAAATGACTGACAGCTTTTAACAAAAATACTTTTTATTTTTACATCTGTAATAAATTATGTATTAAATAGCAACAGATTCCAGCACATAATCACTTCCAGCACTAGAAAAATTCAACACTCTAAAATGATTCGCTTTCAGCAAGCTTTCTAGCTGTCCTCTTGATCTGATTTTACCATTATTCAAGATCATCAAATGCACATCAAGATATCTTTCAAGCAAAGTAGATTGGCCTATCTCAAGCATGAGCTCAATTATAACTAGTCTATTCCCAACATTTAAGGATTGTCTGCATTTTCCTAACTCCTGTAGATAAAAAAATTTGTTCGCTCACAGTAAGGGATTAATGTTTTTTAAAAAGAATTATATATAAATTTTGTAGTAAATTTTTTTTTCAAAATTTAATTCGTGAAATTAAGAATTAAAACATTATTTTGTAAAATTTATGTTTTAAAGTGCAACTGTTTAAAATTAAGCAGAATTAACTAGAGATTTTATTATACTAATTATATATTATATATCAGAATATTTTTCATAAAAAATTTTTTGTTTACTCATGGAGGGTGGGCTTTTACCCAAAAATAGAGATTTTTCCAATGGTTTTGTTCGCTTAGGGAGGGGGGAGTAAAATTCCATAACTTTGTCATCAGGATACGAATAAAGGACATGCTTGATAATATAAGTATCAAATCCTGAAGGAATACTCTCAAAGCAGCTCCCAGCAATGAAATTTATTTGCTTTCCTGCCTGATTTATTTTTTTTAAAGCTATATCTCTAATCTGCGGTTGTTCAAATAATGTGAATTCAAGATTTGGATATATTTTTGATAGTTCTATTAAGAGTGTTCCGTCACCTCCTCCAATATCAATGATTTTATGAGAACTCCTCAAATCTATTGCCAACGCAACTTCTCGGGAATTTAAATTCGTAACACCTGCCATCCCTTCATGATAGATTTCTAATGTTCCAGGAATTAAGCTCATTGATTCATCCATGCTTTGATGAAATTTAAGTTCGGGAGCTGTAAAATTTGATGATAAGCAGCCAGGAATGCATGTCAGGGTTTCAAATTTTCAAGGGGATAAGCTGAATTTGTAAAGATTTGCAAGATTTTTTTCAAGAAAACGTTCGGATAGAGGACTATTAGAAAAAATATTAGTATTTGGGTTATAAGAAAATAGCCCAACAGATACCAGCTGTAATAAAGCTCTTTCTAGTTTGTCAGAAACAGTTGAAGTCAATTCAGAAAGCTGGCTTGCCGTTTTTGGCCCTTCAGCAAGCAATGCAGGAATGTTATGCTCTAAAGCTGAAAATAATAGCATTCCTATCTGAGGCCCAATCAATAGCATATTAAGCTTGCAATCTAAATCATTCTGTGCCATTTATTAATAAATTCCCAAAATTGTTTCTTTCATTAACTTAAAAATATATCATTAATTATATTTAAAGTAATGCTCATTGTATTCATTTATAACAGAGTTTATGCAAAATCTACTCCTTAACATCATGATTCCTGGCAAGCAGGGAAGAAATAAAATTGTGACATTTACGGAAGATAAAGTCCGAGGCGCACTCCCTATGGCACAGTAGGGAGTTTCCCGATAAATCTAAAAACAGTGCCTCTGTCACTTTTTGAAGTAGATCTTCGGATTTGGGGATGTCTGCTGAAGAGGGAAGTTTGTTTCTCCCTGAAGGTTTTCACTGCCCCTGTAAGATGGGCTAGACAGGTTTGATTCCCACTTAGTCTTTGCTTACCGGATTAGCGGGTATCCGCAAGAGGCGCCTCTAACCTAGGGAGCTAAATATTTAAATTATATGGGTTTATGCCAGATAGGCAGGCTAGTGGCCTATCCGTTTATGACTTTGTAACACTTAACTTAAAATAACTTAACTTCGTAAGTCGGTATATCTAATTCAAAAAATTATTAATAAAAATTAGTTATATATAAATAAGGACCCCCCCCTCATTTGCCCAATTTTCTAGTCTTTTATCATTTGTCCATTTTTCTAGTTTTTTTTTATAGGAAAAAAAAATTTTTTTAGGACCTCATTTGTCCAATTTTCTAGTCAAAATTTTTGATAGAGAAAAAAAATTTTCAGGACCTCAATTGTCTCATTTTCTAGTTTTTTTAAAGTAAAAAACTAGAATTTAGGGCATTCGAAAAAATGCAAAAAAGACTAGAAAATTGGACAAATCATTTTTGACTAGATTTGGGACAAATGAGGTCCTGAAAAAAAAAAAAATTCTTATAAAAAAAAAGACTAGAAAATTCGAAAAATGAGGGGGGGTCCTTATAAGAATATCTAAATAATCAGTTGCTATTTATTAAGATATTCTTAAATATTCCATATTTATTAAAATGTATTCACCTGGCCTATCTCCACTACAAGAAGAAGCTTTGATGAATTTCCAAGCAATAACAGACAACTACGATCCAAATGTAGGGATTGACTTTCTTTCTCGTCACAACTGGGATGTAACAGCAGCTTCAAACACATATTTTGCATTCCAGCATCAACCCCCTCCATCTCAGCCTGAAAGACTAGTTGATCCTGAGCCAGATTTTTATTCTCCTCCGCCTCCTCGAGCTTCTAAGTCATTTTTCAGTAAAATCATGAATGCATTCACTATATCCGAACCAAAAGAAAACCCATGCGCTTTAAGATTTATCCAAAGACTAGCATCAGCAACTAAAAGCAACCCAAATGTCCCATTCAGCAAAAAATACTTGCAAGAAGTTTTATCAGAGTCGCAAAAACGAAAACGACCACTTTTAATGTTTGTATGTGGGGTTGACACTCCTAATGAGTTTTTACTCCCCCCTCCGTGAGTGAACAAAAAAATTTTGTTCACTCACGGAGGGGGGTTAATTTTTTTTTTAGAAATTTAAAAAATCCTAATTCGCAAAAATTTGAAAGCAAATATTAATTTAATTGATAAAATTTATGTTTTAAAAAGCAATTCGTTTAAAATAAACAGAATCAGCTCTAGATTTCATTATACTAATTATCACTTATATCTCAAAATTTTTTTCTATAAAAAATTTTTCTTTTCGAAAATTTTTTGTTCACTCACGGGGGGGGGTGGGTTTTTTGGCAAAAAATAGCGATTTTTCTAATGGTTTTGTTCACTCACGGAGGGGGGGAGTAAGAATTTTTTAAAAAAAAATCTTTTAACTAAAAAAATAAAAAAAAATAAATATTCTACAAAAATACCTAAAGCTTTTTAAGAGATGTCCTATGCAGCAGTTTAATAAAAGGTATAATAAGTGACTCTTTTATTGCATGAGGTGTCGAAATGAATTCAAGTGATGGAAGGACTGCAAACGTAGTTTTATCAATCCAAAGCTACCCTTGTTTCGCAGTGGTAAAAGTTGATGAATCGTCAAAGCCGCTTATACTTGATAAAATTGAAGGAATGGTCACTGTAGAAAGGCTTGCAGAATTTCTAGAAAATAATGTAATCGCTTTTACTGATATGATGTATCCTCATCTTAAAGAAGAACGACTCATTAGAGAACAGCAAGAAAGAGAGCTTAAAGAAGCAGAAGCTATTGTCAGAGAAAGAGAAAAAGCTGAAAGAGAAAAGCAAGCCAAAATCAAACAGGAGCTAGAAGAGCAGAAACGAATTTTAGAAGAAAAAGAAAAAATCAAGCAAGAGAAAAAAAGAAAAATCAAAGAAGAGCCGCCTGAAGGTCCTGAAATTGCACATTTATCATTAAGAATGCCAAATGGGCAAAAGATTGAAAGAAGATTTATGAAGGAAGATAGGATTGAAAATGTGTATGATTTTATTGAAACTCTTGACATTCAAAATAAATTCCAAATTGTGTCTGGGTTTCCTCCTAAAGTGCTTGATGATAAAGAAAAAAGTTTAGAGGCTGAAGGGCTGTTCCCAAAAGCAGTTGTACATGTCAGGGAAGTTAATTCGTAATGAGTATAAATTAAATGCGGGAATATAATTATAAAGGTATGGATTATAAAAAAGAAAATTATGGTATGATATTTAAAATATTTTTTATTCCTTACTCCACCAAGTAGAAATAAAACAATGACGATGACGGAAATTAGTCACCGAGGTGTATATCTTAGCAGCAGTTAGGACCCATCCTGATGAAGCTGAAAACAGGGTCCCTATGATTTTTGAAGTAAGACTTTAGGTTTGGGGAGACTTATGAAGAGGGAAGTTTTATTTCTCCCCAGACAGTTGTCCTGTCACTACCAAATGGCCTAGACGTTGGCTCTGCCCTAGGGAGTGATCCATTGGACAGGTGACTCAGATCGAAAATCCAAAATGGCAGCCTTCCATTTCCTCTTTTTGTCTTGCGGGGCAATGGAGGCTGCTATTTTGGAGCCGAAACGAGGCAAAGGTAAGTGGGTTTTTTCCGCTTATGGCCAGTTTAGCCGTTTAATTTATAATTTACCTCACAGAAATAAAATGGTGACGTTGAAGGATATTGGCTCCGATACGCACTTCATCTGGAGCAGTCCGGACCCATCCTGATAAATTTGAACCAGGGAATTACTTAATCCAGAAGAAGCAAGATATTCAATTAGCCTTTCAGGAAAAAATCTGACCTAATATTCCATCTCCATAATTATCTGGATTTTAAATAGTTAAAATAAGATAAGGGCTATCCTCTAATGGTGAAATTTAAATGATCCATAGAGTAATTTTTTTATATGATAAAACGCAATTACTTCAATTTTTACTATATTTTTATTTCTTTTAATTCTATTATTAATAAAAAATATAGTGATTTCGCCTTAAGCTAAAATTCATAATTCATCTATGAGTTTATTTAATTTAAAACTATTAAAATTAACATTTAAAGAAGATAATATTTTAATATTTAAAAAATATGCATTGTCACCGTAATGTCTAAACCAGGCTCATCAGCCCCTATATATATCTTATTGCTGCACATACTAGTAATTCTATCAATGCTTTGAAGTGTTCCTGAATTAGCAGCATTCAAAGAGCCCTCAACAATCGTATATTGGTATCATATATTTAGAACTTTGGTATTTTTAGTTTTTGTCTGCTATATAAACACAAGCTATAGAAACCCAGGCTTTGTTCATGAAATTAAAATTTTTTCCGACTCAATCCCTGCTCATCCTACTGAAAATATCTCAATTGAAATATCATCAAGTCATAGGTCACAGGCATCTATAGGATTTGCCAAGCTAAAAGACTCTAATTATGATGCAACTCCAACAAAATTCAGCCATCAGCGCTATATCAGCACTGACCACGATGGCTCAATTTAATTTGATCGGAACTTTTTGATAGTGTGGCATTTGCTTGGGTATTTTAGTAAGAATTTTTCGCTTGTAATAAATTTGATTAAACTCCAAGTTCTCATCAAATGACTGGTTACTGACCATGATGATCCTGAATCTATCATTCAAGGAAAAGCAGGTAGCCAAGTAGAAAAAGAGCTAGAAGATGAAAATTCAGGCCCAATGCAAATAGATGTATTAGGAAACAAGCCTATTATAGATGAATTAGAAGAAGAGGACTATTCTTCTCGATCGCCGACTTCTGCAACACCAGGGGAACAAAAAATCCAAAAATTTGATGATGTCATTGTAACTGAGACGAGATTTTGCACCATTTGTACACTGGAGCAGCCAATGAGAGCTAAACATTGTAGGGATTGTGGAAAATGTGTAGCTCTTCACGATCATCACTGTCCGTGGCTGGGGATTTGTATTGGAGAAAGAAATAGAAGGCAATTTTGAATGTATTTATTGATTGAGTCTGGGCTGATATGGTGGTCTGGGTTTTGGCTGTTTAGAAGCTTTGATATGAGGGGTGGCATAGTTGAATGGATGGAAATTAATTGGCTGAGACTATTTGCGTCAATATTTATTGTATTTTTTGCTGTTATGGTGACTTGTCTGCTTTTATTTCATACGTATTTAGCGATGACAAACCAAACAACATGGGAAAATATTTCTTGGGAGAAAATAATATCTATTTAAGTAATCTTATATATTTATCAAAGATTTTTTGCTTGTTTTCTGTCGAAAATATGCACTTTAAGCATTTATGCAATGCTCAAGTATAACTAATAGGTTTATCATACTTGAAAAAGTGACCAAAAGAATTCGGAAGCCCATTCAGCAAAGGAATTTTATGAAATTTATATTTTTATTGCTGTAGGCCACTTCCTAAAAATTACACAAGCTGAATCATGCCCCTTAGGCTTCCTGAAAAAAAGCCGAAAAAATGTTTGTGCCTTGTTTAAATTAAAAATAAATATATATAGTTAATTACTACCTCGCCTAGATGAATTTGATGCTTCCCAAGAATTTTGAATTCGCATTTGTCCTGCTTTTGGAGATTTAAGAGGCTGATTTTGATATGGCTTATTTAAGTTTCTGGAATTCTTTTTAGTTTCATTCTTGTTCTTAATCTTTATTTTAATTTTTTTTTCATTTCTTAATAACTGCCTCATATAATTAATAAATATAAATAATTTGCTCATATAAAATATAAAAAATAATAAATTAATGCTTACCCTCTCAATTTTTATTTTTAAAAATTTTCCGCTTATATAAAAATAATAACCGAAAGTTATTATTCACTTTATGTTTTATTTTCAAAACTTACAAGTCAGGAACATTCTCGCATTAGAAGTTTTTATTTTCTATAACTTTCTTAACACAGATTTTCTTGAAGTTGAAAGGATAAAAGTAAAGTGTCAAGCCAAATATAGAATATTTATGGTCATCCGAACTTAGATATTCACCTGTTTCTTGATTATCAATGTGATCATAGATGCCTTTAATATTTCTATTTATTTTTTGATATTCTTTTTCATCATAAATATCGTATTTAGTAGCTGGGAGACTTTCTTCAGAATTGTTACTCCATTTCGATCGTGGTTTGCTTACAGTTGAAGAGCTTCTTTCTTGTGACATTGTGTCATAGATTTGCTGGTTTAACTGTAAAAGTTTATTATTCTGCATAGCAAGACTTTGAAGAAGTTCTTCCCTATCTTTTATTATCATTTCTGGAGTTCGTTATATTGCATTAATTAGAGTATTTAATGTGTCTAGCGCCCACATTCAAACTAAAGGGACAGAGCCAAAATGGTGACATTACAAGCATTTCCGAAATCAAAAGGTCGGACCATCCAAAATTAATCGCCTGCCAGCCTAGCCAGCGATTCTCACTCGGCGCAATCCCATCGCCCTTCCTGACTCAGATCCTTCTTGGTTGTGCTGAATAGTAAGTCCCTAAGCATTTAGGAGTAGTTCTCTTGGCTATTTCCAAGGTTAAACTGCTTTTGCTGTTTACTCTCCCCTACTGAGTGAGCCAATTACTAGAAAAATCCACCCTCCGTTAGAGAACAAAAATTATTTAGATATGAAATTTTTTTATAAAAAATATTTCGATGAAAAATCTATCAAATTCAGCTTATTTTAAACAGCTTGCATTTTTAAATTTTGCAAAAAAAATTAATTTTTCCTTCTCAATTTTTTGAAAAAAATTACTATAAACCTTGTATATAAATTTTTTAAAAAAATAAACTCCATCTATGAGTGAGCAAATTTTTTTTGCTTTCTTCGAGGGAAGTTAACCCTATAAATAAAATTTCAATATAGAGAGAAAATTAGCAAAGCTTCACTCGAACTTAATGCTATTTATCCATTTTTGGAGTGTCACTTCTAGGGAAAGCTTGATCATGAATAGGCGCAAGGTCGATTTCAGGGTCAATTTGCTGTGATTTTATTTCTGGGACCACAAAAGTTGGTGTTTTTTGCTTTTTATGAGAAATCACTGGCTTTGAATTGATCTCAGTTGTTTGAACAGACTTACAGGAATTTATTTCTTGAGGGTTCAAAAAGTCATTTAAAAAGCACAAGTTCCTATACAGAGCTTCTTTTCATTTCCCATTCTCTAATAATTCTGAAAAATAGCTCAGTCCTGATGCATTCTTTTTAAAAGTGTCATATAAATCAGAGTCTATATGAAGTTTTCTCATAACTACATTCCAAACGTTAATAATATCAATATCCCACCCTCCATTGTCTTCATTAGCTGCTGAAGTAAAGCTTGAGTCTTTTACTTTGTTAGCTTCATATAGTTCTTTTCAACTGGTAGCCTCAATTTCTTGCTTTGCTAGCTGAGCTCTTAGGGTGTTATTTTCTTTTATAATATTTTCGTATTGCTGCTCTTTGGAGCTCATTATTAGGTTAAGGTCGTGAATATGTAACTTTATACCTTCAATTTCTCCTAGTTTCCCTAGGAGATCTTGGTTTTTCCGCTTTTCGCGAGTAAGCTCTTCGCGGTACTCTAGCATTTTTGAGTAGAGTTCGTCTTTCTTATGCAAAGTATCAGCTAAGGCGTCTTTAAGCTTATTTTTTTCATCTTTAAGCTTTGTGATGAGGTTTTCAGACTGACGAAAATCTTCTTGGATTTTTGAAATCAAATCCTAAATGTTTATATAAGAACAATTAAATAGTCTGCTAGCTTTTAAGCCAAATTATTGTGAAACTTTATAGGCCTTTTAGAATAATAAGTATAATACTTTATTCATGATAGTGCATTCTTTTAGTTCATTTTTAAGCTTCATTGTGCTCTTCGTTGCTTTGTGAATACTCCCATCATCAATTTCATTTCGAAAAGGATGATTTAATTGAGAATTGGCCTTCATTTTTATATCGCACTGTAATTTTTAAATTTAATTGTAAGATCTATAAAATATGTGATTAAGAAAAACTCATTCGCAAGAATAATATAATAAATTGTCACATTCTCATATCAAATTTTGCTAAAATTACAAAGGTTTGAAAGGTATAATAATTAAATATTTTTTGAAGCACATAAGCACCAATCTATAGGATTTGTGCTTATGCTTTAAAATTATACAAAATAAAATCACTTTAAAAATTGCCAAATTTATATTTTATTGCTTACAGAGCTACTCTTCCATCAGCACAGCTGATCGAAGAACTATCTATGTCAAAAATAAAAAATGTGATAGCTTAAAGATTAAAATATTAATATAATCATTGTCAGAAATATTTAAATTAGATTTTTATTTCCATCACAAGGGGATAATTTTGATATATCTATAAAAAATGGAGCTTCTGAACTCTTTTTCTGAAGACTTGCCTCTGATCAAATCAATTGAATCTTCAATCTCAACTACAGAGGCTTACCTCTTAGGGTACTCAAGAGCGATCTACAACCAAGATATTAATCAATCGATCGACTTTTTCAATAAACTCAACATTTACAAAGGGTCAGATTTTCTCACTGAGCATGCCGAGCTATTTCTACTCTACAAGTTCTATTCAGGGTGTTTGCATGAAGCTGAACTCTTATTGTCTCTTCTTATTGAAGTAAATGCCTCACACATGCTTCGTCATCTGATTTGTGAAGATGATCAACAAACCTATAAAAAAATCAAATCTATTTTTAAATATAACGCACTCGATGATTTGCCACAGGAGCCTGCCATCAGAGAGCCAATTGATTGTCCTATATGTCTCGAAGAAATCCCTGACGAAGAGTCTATACCTCTAGAGCAATGTGGGCACAATTTCCACCAACTATGCATGTACAAATACCTTGAAACTAAAGTAGAAGCTCGGCAATTCCCAATTCTGTGCCCTTTGGATACTTGCAAAATTGAAATCGATATGTATGATCTTAAAGAAAGACTAGGGCCATATTTATATCAATTATATGAAGACTATACATTCAAAGAATACGTACAAAACCATCAAGACGAGTGCACATGCTGCCCAACTGCTGATTGTACTTATGTGTTTATACCAGACTCTAATACAGAATTTAGCTGTCCTGTTTGTACCAAGCATTATTGTTTAAGATGCAGATGCATTTTCCATCAAAATCTAACATGCGAAGAATATATAGCTGCCAATGGGAACGTTGAAGATGCACAATTTTTAAAATTTGTCAGGGGGGCAAAATTTAAACAGTGCCCTCAATGCAGGTTTTGGGTTGAAAAAAATCAAGGTTGTGACCATATGACGTGCAGATGTGGGTTTCAGTTTTGCTATGTGTGTGGAGGGGTGTATCGTAAGTGTGCTTGCGGATAAAAATTATATTAAGATAAAATTTAGAATAGATATTTCTTTGCTTAATGCCACTCTTAAGAAGACTCGTGAAATTTGCTCAGCTGAGGGGATTTTTTGATTTTTCTCGAGAAGCTCAAGAATGGTACTTTTGTCTCTTTGGGGCTTTGGAGTGTGCAGACTAGAGACTTGATGGACTCGAATTCAGAGACTGTATTTTCAGCTAGGATAAATCCTACTAATATCATTAGCAGTTATAGGCTCAGCCAGAGCATAGTTCTAAGCGTCAGCCCACCCTAATTACTATCAGCCGTCTTTAGCAGTAAGAGAGAAAGGGGAGCTTATTTGCGATTTATATTAAGAGAATTTTAATAAATTAAGGTGTGAATTTCCGAGCAGGCGCGATGTTAACACTAATATTTTTCCCTTTGAAGAGGTAGTCATTAAATTGAAGTGCTTCATAGAGAGCTTCTTTGCTTGAAAATTCGACATAAGCACAATTCTTATGCGTAACGAGTTTAAATCGAATAATATCACCTATATTTTTGAAAATTGCTTTAATTTCATCTGAGCTTGCTTCTGTAGGCAAATTTTTAATAACGATTTCTGCTATATTGCTAGCATTTCTCCCATTTATTATCTTTCTTCTTGATTCTTCTATCTTCGATGCATCATCTGCTTTATTTATCCTAAGTGTTCTCCCAAAAAATAGAGCTCCATTAAGTTTTAAGGCCTTGTTCACTTCATTTTCACTGGAAAATTTAATAAAGACGAAAGGCTTTTTATTACCAAACCTATCAAGTGAAGTTTTAAGTATTTCAGGATTTCCACATTCTTTGAAAAAATCTTTGATATCTTGGTCTGTAGCTTCGAATGGTAGATTTCCACAATAGATTTCGAGAGGGTGGGATTCATGACTAAGATCTTTTTGGCCTGGTCTGGATATTCATTGCGCTGCTAAATCTCCTTTATCTTGACTTGTATTTATAGGATTTGATGCAAAAAGTCTTGATGCATTTGGATGCATAAAAGAAACTTTTGGAGTTTGCTTGAAGAGGAAATTGTGCCTTAGTAGATATCTAAATCTATTAGCAATAGCAATCATCTATTAATTATAATAAAATATATTCCATTAGTTACTAGAATAGCAAATTATTGCAAATTAAGATATATACCTCAAGTATTCGAATTCCTCCAAATGAAACTTATAAGTTAGAGCGAATCATTACCAAGCCGAAGTAGTAAAGCTGCTTATATTAAAATGAAGTTTTATTATAAGCTATAGCAATTCACCTAATTAGTACTCGCATATGTAAATTAATTAGATTATTTTCGAGAGAAACCTTGCAAGAAAATCAGATCCTTACTGTGGATTCATTAGCCTCATAATTAATATCAAAAAATTATATTCCAGTTAATTTTTATCTTGACAATAAACATTATAATAAACTGTATTGTTGATTATGATTAGCAATATTTTCAGTTATAGAATTAAGGTTAAAAAGGATTTTTAGAAAATGCCAGATCAACTTTGAGCTTTTGGCCATTGAGTTTAAAATCATTATAAGCAAGGGCTTTTTCTGCATCTTCGTTGTTAAAAAACACAAACAAAATAGCAACTTATCCGACCCGTCTTATTTCAAATTCTCTTAGGTTTGGTTTAAGAGGGGCTGGGGCCTAAAGCTTGTTCCCGGCGGTTTTTTATCCATCACAACAGGGTTTCTTACCCCACACCATAGACAAGGAAACCAGAATCTTTAAACAACTCCACGTTTCTGGATGCGAAGGGTAATGGGAGCCAGAAGAAAGATTCATGGTCGTATCCTATCTCCCATCCCAGAATAGATTATGCCGACCTCTAAGTGCTGTCCAAGAAAGTACTTGGATGCGTCTCCCCGAGAGATTGCGGTGTCGAGAGAAAAGGTCTAAATGCCACCCAATGTCAAGGACGAAGAGCCCGAAGTCGATAAAGAGTGGAGAGGTGCTGAAAAAATCCCGAAGACCGATTCTAACTTAATCTAATCTAATCTAATCATTGTTTAAAAATTCGACAAATGCAAAGCGCTTATCTTGCTTTCCTGGACTCCCTTGTATCTTTACTTGATCAACAGCACCTACAGCTGTAAAAACATCCATAATATCATCTTCATTAGCTTTCTCAGGCAAATTCCAAACAAAAATTACATTTGTTTGCTTTTGTTTGTTTTTATTAATAATTTCTTCTCTTTTTTCTTCTATCTTTGCTGCATCATCAGCTCTGTTGATTCTCAGCTTTCTTCCCATAAATATAGTCCCATGAAGAGCGAGAGCTTCATTAACTTCTTTTTCATTATCAAATTTTATGAAAACAAAAGATTTCTTTTTGCCAAGCTTATTAAGTAGTGTTTCCTTTATCTGTGGATTTCCGCATTTGCTGAAAAAATCAATGATATCTTGGTCTTTGGCATCAAATGATAAATTTCCTACATAAATTTCTAAAGGATGCGATTGTAGTGCAAGATTTTTTTGGTTTTTCTTATTGATTCATTTCATATTAAGTTGATCTTTGCTGCTTTGAGTTGGTGGAGGATTTGTTGTAGAGAATCTCATTACACTAGAAGACCATAATGAGACTTTTAGAATATGCCCGAGAAGGATTCTTTTTTCTAGTAAAGACATAAATCTAGTAGTCAGCATTTATTATTTTTTTAAATATGATAAAAAATAATATTAAAAGCCTTCAGAATTCCAAGAATATTCAATAATAATTTACTAATTTCAGATTTTTATATTGTTTTTCCAGTATACAATTTTCTCTTTAGTTTGTATAAAAGCATATGGCTTATTTTTTAAATATAATTAAATTTCGGAGAGACTAACAAAAGGATCAATAAGATAATTGGCGCAAATAACAAAGCGAATTTATGCTTTTAAATGAGAAATATTTAGAATGTGAATGCTTTTCTCAATAAAATCTAATAAAAATAAGCAAATTTTAAGAAAATATCTTTATAACGAAAGATTGAATGCCTGGTAGACTCCTAGAACAAATTAGAATGAGCAGTGAAAGACAATAATTAATTCAGGAGGATCGATTAATTATTAAAATTATTCTAGCTCCCCCTCCTTGAGCGATTAAAAAATTTCCTTCTCTAAATATACTATTTTTTTAAATTTTATATGTAAATTTTTTATACCAATTTTTTAAAAAAATCCCATTTAGAAATAGCAAGATATTTAACTATAATATAAAAATATTTAAAAAATTATATAAAAAATTTTTGTTCTCCACTGGGTTTTTTGTTGTTGTTGTTGTTGTTGTTGCTGTTGTTGTTGTTGCTGTTGGGATTTTCAAAATTGTTTGTTCGCTCATAAGAGAGAGAGTAAGCTACCTGTTAATCAAGCGTCACCAATTGATGAAAAACATTAGTTAGCTTGGTTGACTAGAAGTGACAGAACTAAATACATTGCAAACTTTAAGAAAAGCTTCTCCTGCTAGTGGATGCTTATTCTTGTCAGGATGTAACAACTTAGCCAGCTGCCTGTATGCTGAACTTGCGTTTTCTTTACCCAAAGACTTTGAAAAGTACTTACTCCCCTCTCCATGAGCGAATAAAAAAATTGTGTTTGATGGATTAAAAAATTTATAAATAAATTTTATAGTATTTTTTTTTCAAAAAATTTAAAAGCATCTCAATTCGAAATATTTTTAAAGTAAATACTAAGTTGATTCATAAAATTTATGCTTGAAAATGCAAGCTATTTAAAAATTAAACAGAATTAGCTAGAGATTTCATTATAATAATTATCACTTATATATCAAAATATTTTTCAAAAAAAAAATTATATTCATTCATATAAGCTTTTAAAGAAAAATCGGAATTTTTCTAATGATTTCTTTTTCTTACTCCCCCCCCCTCCGTGAGTGAACAAACAAATTTTGTTCACTCACGGAGGGGGGGGGTTAATTTTTTTTTTAAAAAAATTTATATAAAAAATATTTTTTTTCAAAATTTAAAAAAATCCTAATTCGCAAAAATTGGAAAGCAAATATTAATTTAATTTATAAAATTTATGTTTTTAAAAAAGCAATTCGTTCAAAATTAAATAGAATTAGCTCTAGATTTCATTATACTAATTATCATTTATATATCAAAAATTTTTTCTATTAAAAAAATTTTTGTTCACTCACGGAGGTGGGTTTTTGGGCAAAAAAAGCGATTTTTCTAATGGTTTTGTTCACTCACGGAGGGGGGGGAGTTACGGATGGGGGAGTTAGCGTATACATAATCTTCAGGAGCACATAATATTTTGTATACAGTAAGAACCTGCTCATAGCTACAGTCTCCAGAGAAGCGGGAACTTGCAATAAACATATCAGCCATTGTTTTTGCGTCACTTTCTATCTGATCTTCATTTTTGAATGCTTTTGCGTTTTCTATATTCATATTTCTCTCCAGCTGCTTTCTTGCTTCTTTGAATAGCTCTTCTTGCAGTCTGGCTTGCTCTTCTTCGATTTTTTGCTGCTCTAACAGCCTTTGCTGTTTTTTATTAATTCTGGTAGCACAGCTGCATTGCTGGCACCATTTTTGAGTATAATATTTTGAGTAATCTGATCTCCATTCATGACCTTGTGAGCATATAAACTCCAACATTAAATCCATTTCTTCATTAATACATTCGCCTCGATTAGACTTGGCTCATTCTTTGGCTTTTTTCTAACTTCTCCAATTAAAAGCAAAATCCATAAACTCAGTTAATTTATTTAGAAATACAAAAAAGTTTCTATGGTTTTTAAATATTTCAATATAGCTTCAAAATTCCTAATATAGCCCATTCCCGGCTATAGATTGGGCTTAACCCGATCTTTGCCGGGAAACTCGGGGGTTGTCTCTATCACTTTCAGGTTACGAGTCAACTCCCCGAGTTGGCAAATAGCCGCTATATGGTGATTTGCCAACTCGGGGAGTTGACTCGTCACCTGAAAGTGATGGAGACAACCCCCGAGTTTCCCGGCAAAGATCGGGTTAAGCCCGATCTATAGCCGGGAACGGGCTATATTTGTTATAAAGATTTTCCATTAAAAAAATTATATAATTTCTAAAATAAAAAGAGTTATGCTGCAATTACCAATGAATTTATAATTATCATTATATAAGATAGGGACTAAGTTTCTGGAACATTCTCAGCATCATTGCCCACTCAATAAAACCTCAGCAGATTCTCACACGTGTCCCATTCTACATCGATACATAAGACTAAAGTGAGGATTCTCACAGGTGGAGGACAAGCAAAGACCTCCATGTTGCCGCGCTATTTCTTTTGCCTGCTCTCAGTAGTCGTCTTCTTCCATAGCCATCTCTTCACAAACAGTCCCCGGCCGAAAGTAATATTCAGAATTTTTTGAAAGGACACAGGGAGTAGATGGCTGATCTTGGCTGCGGCTGTTCTTGCGGAGCTCAGGAGGTCATGCGAAATAGTAGTCTTGGTTTTTTAAGCAAAAGTTTGATAACTCTTCATTTGAAGAATTCGAATCTGCCCGAGGTCTAAGGTCTAGACTGTTTTTCCTTGACCTGCAGTTTGAAAGGTTTGGTGTAAAACGCCTGATTGAGGCGGCCTCTGAAGGCTGAGATGTCATTTCTGACTTTAAAGACAACGGGCCGGGAGAAGCCGGCGGAACAAAAAAGAATACATATTCATTATAATTCAACCATTTTCTAAGAACTTCTTTCAGAAAATTAAGTCAACTTTGAGTAGTAATTAGAAATTTTTTGAATTTGAATTGCAATTGATTAATAAGGCTTTATGATTACTTTTGCCTGTTTAATTCGATTCTTTTCATTTATTTGTTGTTAGATATCAGAACCACATAAATTTGTGTTCTTATTTGTATGAAATTTAGTCAGAATGGTCGAGAATTTTTATTGTTAAACAAGGAAAGCTATAGTTTAGTTTTGCTTTCGATTAAAATTTAAAATTTTCCTTCAAAATTTTATTTTTATAAATGATTGCCTTTAAATTGTTTGCTTCTGATAAAAGCCTCAAAAGTGATGTCTGAAGATAATTTAAACATTTTGATTATAACGAATTGAAGATAAGTATGGTTAAATATAAAATAAATTATAGCATTATTTTAATAGAATTGAAACCGAATCAAAGAAAAATGAAGCAAAATATTGCTAAAATTAGCCAAGTATCGTCATAAAATAAATTACCGCTTAGACAAGTTATATTTAAGAATATTACGTACTAATTAACTATTTTCAACCCTAGTCTTCCAAATTAATATTTTTTACCAAAGCATTTTATAATCCAAATCAATTATATTTTGCACTCTCAAAATTACCCTATTAAGGATTTTTATTTTCAAAACTATGATTAACTGTCTTAAATGCTTATTCCTTACCATTTCAATTAAATTTGTTTTATTTTGTCGATTTAACTTTATTTCTTTATGGCACAAACAGGGATCAAACTCAGAGACTGCATTCGTTCTTGCGAAGAAACATGGGTAGAAGAAACAAAACAAGAAGCCTCTCGTGGGAACGTAGAGGCTCAAATAACTTATGCACAAGTATCATTCATGTAGATGCTCATCCGAGGAGTAGGAGGCATGCGTCAAAACATTAACTTGGGAATCCAATATTTGAGAACTGCTGCTAAAAAAAGTGCAGAAGCTTCAATTAAACTTGGAAAAATATATCTGAAAGGTAAAATTGTACGTCAAGATCTCAATGAAGCTTATTTTTACTTAAGACTTGTGACACTTTATAAATGTAAATGTGGGAGGTTTGCAGAACAATATCATGCAAACCGAGTTAGTAACGTACATTTATGCTACCCTACAGAAGCTCTTGAATATTTGCGACAGCTTCCTAATGATCCTATGGCTGAACAACGATTTAGAGACCAATTCGCAGCATGGAGGGATAATAAATCAATCCATAGATAAATTAATATAAACATATAGATAGATTTTCAAGCTAAACTAGTTATTTAGATGATGATGAAGTTCCCGTATCTTATATTGACAAACCCAGTTTTGAGGATTGAGGTCATGAAATATGGCATGATAAACGAAAACATCATAATAAAAAGCACAAAAGCGGGTCTGTTTCTTTTAATTACCATTGTAATAGTACTCAAAATTTTGACGGCTAGGCCTTTGTTGTTTCTAAACTTTTTCGATATCATAGATAAAATCACATAGGACCAAAAAATTCCAACTCCATGGACTATTGACATAGTTGTTTTTACAAGAAATCCTATATTTGATGCCCAAGCATTGTAAATAACTAAAGAACCAAACAAGCACCTATTAACCAAAAAGATTAAGGCGAAGGCCAGTTCAACTACTTTGTAAATCTTCGTCTCTTCCATGTGTCTAGCTTTGAGAATTGAACGAGATAGGTTAAATGGATTCGACATTTCTGTGATGATGATGCAAACTATATAAGCAGTTACTTAAAGATGGAGAGCCTCCGTAGGTGGCTGCCATAAGAATATTTCCGCCTATTAGAACAGCTAAATGGTGTATCCTCATCGGCCAATCAAAAAGGCTAAAAATTTCTGAGTATAACATATCATAGACCATATAGCCAACCGTATGCTAACTCCCCCCCCCCTCCGTGAGCGAACAAAACCATTAGAAAAATCGCCATTTTTTGACCAAAAACCCACCCTCCGTGAGTGAACAAAAATTTTTTTAATAGAAAAAAAATTTTAATGGAAAAAAAATTTTGATATATAAGTGATAATTAGTATAATGAAATCTAGAGCTAATTCTGTTTAATTTTAAACAAATTGCGTTTTTAAAACATAAATTTTGCAAATTAAATTAATATTTGCTTCCCAATTTTTGCAAATTAGGAATTTTTTAAATTTTCGAAAACAATATTTTTTATAAAATTATATATATAAATTTTTTTTAAAAAAAAAAATTAACCCCCCTCCGTGAGCGAACAAAATTTTTTTGTTCGCTCACGGAGGGGGGGGGGGGGAGTAAGTAAAAAATACGCCTAATGCAATTGCTTGAGTAATTGTAGTGACATCATTATAGTGCAAGCCTCCATCATAAAAATAGATCGCAAAAGAAAAAAGTATCGCATTAAGAGAGTGGACAATCGAGACATGCTGCCCTATGAAGTCTCTTTTTTCTTTTTGAGGTAGATATTCAGGTGGTTTTATAAGAAACGACAATACAGCCGAAAGGCAAGAATAAAACACTGCACCTGCTGCGACTGGAATGTACCTATCCATTTATATATTAGAATTTGTGACATACTTAAAAAATTAAATTTAACAACTTTTTCTTAGAAAGTGATGCAGCTTTCCTCTTGAAAAATTCATAGTTTTGAGTTTCTGAAGAAATTCACTATGTCTATCCCTTCGAGGTTTTGTCTTCATAAAATATTTTGCATCAGGAAAAAGCTGACTTGTTATGGCATCATGATCCAATACTTCAGCTTTAACCGTTTCTAATGGAACTTTTCTCTTGCTTTCTTGGCTTTGACTCTGAGCTCTTTGTCTTGAAACCGTCCTTGATCATTCGTCAGCAATTTTCATTTTCGCAGTCTTTTCTCCATATTTAATTTCAAATAAAGCATTACTCATATCATTCAGCAACTCATTAATATTGTCTTTTTTGGAGCTTGACCGCAAAAGCGTGTTTTTGCGTGGAGAATTCATTCTGCTTGATAAAGCACTACTTTTTTGACTACTGCTGGGTAACCTTGTAGGAGAAGTGCTTGAAAAGTTTTTATTTGCATCAGGGGTTGCTGGTTTCTTTTTGTTACTTTCAAATAATGTGTAGATTTCATAGCATCTATCACATACCTTGACGTTATCATAATAATGAAATGGAGCTCGCATAGCAGTCTCATGAAGATTTTCTTGCTCAATATCTAAGGAACTATTATAGCAGTTAATAAATTGCCCTATATCTACCTCAACAAGATCTTTTGTTTTATCAATGATAATTTTTTTACCAAGAAGAAGCAATCGATATGGTATTATTTTCCTTATGATCTTGTCTTTGTTTTTTGAGTTTTGTTCAATTAAATTGTTAATTCTTAATAAGTATTTAACTTTTTCAATGTCCTTTTCTTTGCCACTAAAGTAAGTAGCTCTTACTTTGTGTAACTAAATAGAAACATACCAAATCATCATAGTCAATTTCTTGTTTACTGGAAAGAGACTCTAACTTAACTTAAATTACTTAGAGTGTTTAAAGTGTTGCCCCGATCTGTAGGATGATTACCAAAGGGCATGGTCTTTAATCGGAAAATGTCAAGCAGCAAAAACTTATGGCTCCTAATTTCCCTATATCAGAGCTCTCACCTTATCTGATGAGCCGCCATGATATTTTGGATAAAAGGCTCACGGTAAATCTGAACCCCATAAATAGAAATTTAGCAGAGCTAGCTTCTCTTACACCATTTTCCATTTAATTTATACTGGAAAGAGTTTCAGAAGTTACTATAAAATTGCAAAAATCTCCTGGGCATTTGGAGCTGATATTTGGCTTTGGACCAATTGAAGCAGAGCTTATTCGTTTGGTCCATGATTTTGTTGTCATCATAAAAGAAGCTTTTGAGATTGAATTTTCTTGTAGGCGGCCTTGTGATTGAGTTCGCTTTAAAGAAGTGCTCGGCCTCGTTACAAGCAGATTTGCCACCTTGCAGAATCTGCTCCCCATAAGCCACAAGCTATCATTAGCACCTTCAAAAAATATCAACTGCAGCTCTTCAATACATCTCCTGCTGTTTTTCTCGACAACTCTTAAAGCACTTTCAGTGATTTCAGCCAGCTTATCATTATAATTTTGAGCAAAAACCTTAGTCACCTCTCAGGTTTCATTTTTTAGGCATTCTTTACTGCAGTTATACACTAATTTTCCTTCTTTCTTTTTGACAGTTACAATATAGCGGGAATTTTGATGTTCAGCACTTACTGGAAATGCCTGGATTGCTTCGTTTTTTAAGATATTTAACGAAAATAATTTTGAGAGACTTGTTTTTCTGTTTACGAGTTTAAATGTATTGTCACGAATAAAGGTAATTCCTGGGTCTTCAGGGTTTGATATATCATTATCATAGTCTAGAAGACTTGTGGGGTGATTAAGAAATGATAAAATAATTTTATCAACTTTGGTGTTTTCTGTATGCTTTTTCTTTATGAAGCCTTTACGGTCTGTAAAGAGTCATTTGCAATTGGTGGGAGATTCGGAATCGTATAGGAGGGTATCAATAAGCGGAACTCTGGCGCTGAATAGTGAATTCTCTTTCCAAAGCTGGCTAATAAATCAAGCACAGTTAAATTCCATATCTATTAATTCTCAATTTTTAATAATCGAATCATTTCTTTAAAGCAAGCTCATTAAATTTTATACTGAAATAATTAAAATAAATTAGAATATTTGTAAGAGATCCCCAACTAGATCTTCAATTAAATTTCAAGTCTGAAAGTGAATTGCCTGAATATTTAAAGATGACTAGAGATTTGCTGAAAATGAAGGGTTTCATTTTTACATTAAAATTTTATTTCCTCAAATATTGAGCTTGCTGAGCATGCAACAGATGAGTTAGATGCATTTTGGTCAACCGGCAGCAAATTTCAAAAGCTTAAAATTTATGCAGGTGGCCTTTTCTGTGCTCTTATACCTTATCAAGTATATTTTATGAAAATACCTAAAGGTAACTAGTTATGGATTAAAAAAGTCAAATAGCCTTAGTATAATGACTTTATTAAGCACAATAATTTATTGCCCTAAGTATTTTAATCTATAAATCTGTGATAAGGTTAAAAGATGGAAATGAAAAATTCACAAAATACACTGATTTTAATACATCAATTGCCGGCCAATTTTTAAATTGAGCAGAAATAATTTATTAATAGAGCTATTTAATGCTTCGATTTTTATTGAAATAATAAAATTAGCTATTTCAATACAAATAAAAGAATTTTCGTTCTAAATTTATCTAAATCCACCCTCTGTGAGCGAACAAAAAAATTTTGTAGCTATGGGAGTGGCTAATTTTTTTTTTTAAATTTATAAATAAATTTCAAATTAATTTTTTTTTCGAATTTAAAAAAAACCTAATTCGCAAAAATTGGAAAACAAATATTTATTTATTTTGCAAAATTTATGTTTTGAAATGCAAGCTGTTTAAAATTCAACAGAGTTAGCTAGAGATTTCGTTATAATAATTATCACTTATATATCAATAATTGTTTCCATAGAAAAATTTTTGTTCGGTAGGTGGGATTTTTCAATGATTTTGTTCGCTTACGGAGGGGGGGAGTAAAAAATCCTTGCTCATGGCTCCATTCACAATATATTAAACAAATAAATATCCTCAAATCGCTTTTTATCTAACTCCCCCCATCCTTGATCGAACGACTCGCCATCGTTCGATCAAGGATGGGGGTTAAAAAAATTTTATATATAAAATAAAAAAAATATATATATTTTTTTTATTTACTTTTAAACAAGAGGGTTAAGAGTATTTAATAATTACTTTTACAGATAAAAATTGAATTAATTTCATAAAATTACCAATTTTTAATATTTTGATTTATTAGTTACCCCTTTAAACTGTATAAATTTTTAATTTGTTGCTTATTAAATTAAATTTTTTTTTAAATTTTAAAGAATCTCTATTTTATTAGATTAATAAGTTTTTAAGCATGGGTTGATGACTAAATCACTTCTTATGGTTGATTCCAAAGCTTTTTTTGTCGTCTCAAAGTCTCTGAAAACAACTTCATTAGGTACATCTTCCCAAGCTTTTGATAACTAATATATTTTTATATATATATAAAAATTGTCATGATATGAAAATCGTTCGATCAAGGATGGGGGTTAATTTCCCCAATTTTTAGGAATTTTTACAGTCAATCGTTCGATCAAGGATGGGGGGGGAGTAAAGATATTTTATTTTAAATAAAAATGATGATAATTTTCCCATAAATGAACAGCGGAGTTCAAATTCCTGTGCAATTTCACGATTCTGACTTCCGAGAAGTGCAAATTCAAGACCAATCTGAAAATCCAAAGTCTCCTTTCATAATGATACCTGCAGGGTCAAGACCAGGAGGGTTTCAGCCGATCGCTCTTTCACAGCTCGATTCTGTTCCTCCAATTGTATCCCCACTAGATCCAAAAGATATAAAATATCGAACCGTTCTTAAGCATTCTAAAAGAATGCGCCTACTCACAATACTTGATATGATTCTTTGTCTTCTTTACTTGCTGATTGGTCAATACATCCTTTTGTTTTTAGCTTTCTTTGCACTTTTAGGCTTTTTTTCATCATTTAAGCTTAGCAGAGGTTTATTGATGTCATACATCATTACATTGATCTTTATCATGATTTTAAAAATTTTATTAGCTGCTGAAGGAGGTGCAGTTGCTGCTGTGCTGATGATACTTTATTTTGTAGTGGAAGCTATTATTTTATATTTTGCTATTAAATTTTTTAAGCTGCTAGGGACATTAGAGCCTCAAGAAAGACTAGAGTTATTGATGCTACAAAACGGCCCAGTTAGCTCAAATCAAGGGATCACAAGAAGTGAAGCAGCACAACCTGTTCAGATCCCAATAGGAAGGCCATTAAATGAACAAGTTCCAGATAACAGCCCTCAGCTAACACCAGATTTTGCAGCACCAAAGTTCACCAACTTGCAGCCTGTTCAAGCAGAATTCCCAAGCTTGCCAAATTATTCTGAAGCTGAAGAGTTGCATGTGAAGCCACTGACCCCAAGTGACAGATTAGAATAATTATACATTTGAATTAATTTTATATTTCTGTTATGTATAGCAAGATATAAAGCCTTTCTTATAGAATATTTCTTTACCTCTGTGAGCTAATAAAAATTTTTGTTCGTCAAGAGGGTTGAAATTTTAAAAAAAAAACCAATTAATTTATTTTGTAAAATTTATGTTAAATGCATGTTGTTAAAAATTCAACAGAATTACCTAGAGATTATATTAATTATCATTTATATTATTAAAAATTTGTTTGCTTATTGAGTTTTTTTTTTTACCAAAAAATAGGGACATTTCCAATAATTTTCTCGTTCACAAAGTGGAGAAGTTAGCAATTTCATTTAAGATGTTGGTTGCTCTGTATCAATTGTGAAAAAGCTCATATGACTTCTGCCAATAGACTTACTACTCCCCCCCCCCTCCGTGAGCGAACAAAACCATTAGAAAAATCGCCATTTTTTGACCAAAAACCCACCCTCCGTGAGTGAACAAAAATTTTTTTAATAGAAAAAATTTTAATGGAAAAAAAATTTGATATATAAGTGATAATTAGTATAATGAAATCTAGAGCTAATTCTGTTTAATTTTAAACAAATTGCGTTTTTAAAACATAAATTTTGCAAATTAAATTAATATTTGCTTCCCAATTTTTGCAAATTAGGATTTTTTTAAATTTCGAAAAAAAATATTTTTTATAAAATTTATATATATAAATTTTTTTTAAAAAAAAAAAATTAACCCCCCTCCGTGAGCGAACAAAATTTTTTTGTTCGCTCACGGAGGGGGGGGGGGAGTTAGCAGAAATTTCTTTATTGAAGTTAAATTCGTACCGCCCTGGCTCTTTTTCTTCAAGAATTGCTTTTGTAACGTCACTTACATTGATCATCCCTGGTTGTCCTCCACTTTCCATTTTATTCGCAATTAGGACATCTGGCCCATAGATATCATATCTTACAATATTTGTTCCTATAATGCCAGCAATGACTTCTCCTGTATGAAGACCAATCCTCATATTCAAATTAGAGCTGTGGAGTCTGTTAATTTCATTGATAATTTTTATCATTTCTTGAGCCATCTTCAGCATATTTACACATTCCTCGCCTATATTCCTGTTCTCATTTCCATTGTAGCCCATAACCACATAGCAGTCACCTATTGTATGGACTTTATATATACTATTTTAAACTGCTCATTATTTAATATCAGGGCCTAATAATATATTTTGAAATGTTATTTTGTATAATAAAAATTAGAATACATTAAGCTCCACACATTTTTTGTCAAATTGTGTAAACAGCTCAGATAACATTTTTACAACTTTTTTAGGAGTTTTGTTAGAACTTCATGCAGTAAAGCCAACAATATCAGCAAAAAGTAGCGTGACGTCATTCAGCTTGTCAGTTATTGATTTATCCTGCTTCATATTTTCTAGAACATGAGGAGGCATCATTTGGACTAAAAGTTTATTTGTTTCATCAATTTCTTTCTGGGCAAGGTGCTGCAAATTGAAATTTATTCTGAGTCTTAGCTCTCTTGAGTAAGCTGCATATAAATTTATTATGATAAAACCGATAATAATGACTGAGTTAGCAGCAATTAAAGTAGTGCCACTATCAAGAAAAGCAAAAATCAGCCAGGGAATGAATATCATAATATCTGCTCATATTATGATAGAAACTGGCATGTTGCTAGCATGATTAAGTATGAGAATTATATAAAGAAGCTCAAGTGCTACATAATCATTTGGCACAATATTTAAAATAGAGGATCGTTAGAGGACTATGCTTCTCTAACGTCCTTAAAAAGAGGAACTTAGGTTCTTCTGAGAAGTCTTTGGACGAAAGAGACAGCTTCCTGGAGGTGTGACACTCCGTCTGGTGGCTGGAAAGAGAGTACCTGCTGGTGCTGAGGGCAGCTGGTTCTAACGGTATGACCATGACCCTTATCCGTTACTCAGAACCAATACTGTTCCTACCTTGAAGGCGTCAGAGAAAACAAGTTTTTAAAGATAATTTCTATTCAAATTCAAATCATTTGGCACATCATTGGAATAAATCAAATAAAACAGATCAATTATAAGCATCAAAGCTAATACAGATAAAGTAAAAAGTGGGTATATTCTAAGTCAATGAATAAACTTATGAAATACAAGTAAAATAGCTAAACAGCCTACTTCTGCGATCCTAAAAATTACTATCAATCCATCCGTTAAGTTTGATACATAATAATATTCAATAACAGATATCAGTAATAACAATCCAAAGTTAAAAAACGCAATTATATGTCCAATTAGCACCAGTCAATAATTAGCTTTGGCTTTATTTTTTCTGAATTTTTTTTGGTTTCCTGTTTCTTTGCATTGTAAATTGAAAAGTTTGATATTTTGTATCATTTCAGTTTCTTTTCGTTGAAAAACGTCCATTGCTTTTGTCATGTCAAAATGAGAAAAAATAGATTTGCTTGTTGAGGCTTTTGGATCTTCAGACTGAGTTGTGTCTAAATACCCGTTTATAAGGGATTGTTTTCTTACAAAAATTGGAGACTCTTTCATATTGATTTCTTCTATATCTCTACTAGTTTTTGCTTCAGAGACAAAATAGGTGTCTAAAAGTCCTTTTCCTTTGGCTTCAACTTTATTGAAAATAAAATCCAAGCCTTTTCTGCTTTCTAGCATTTTATATGTGTCAGTTGAAATTTGAATGGTATTTGTTTTTTCCAATGTGGAACACATGCGGCTTGCTGTATTTACAGTATCTCCAACTAATGAAAATTGAGGCTTATGGTATCCTACAACTCCTGCAGTGACTGGTCCAGTGTTTATTCCGATTTTCACTTCTAAATTCGGTCCATACTTAAGCTTAATTGAGCTGATATCTTTAATGATTGATAATCCCATTTCTATGCATCTACGAGCGTGTGACACTTCTTTTAGCGACTCACTCATTTCTGCTTCACTATCTTTCAGCCCTGCACAAGCCATATAAGTTTTATTTACTGTTTCTATTTTTGTGACACCTACCACATCGCATAGCTGGTCAAATCTTTGAAAAAGGGCATCTAAAAAGGTAGTCAACTCTATTGGTGAATATTCTTTGCAAATCCTATCAAAATCATAAATATCGCAAAAAAGGACTGTGACTGTCCCTTGGTCTTCAGCTATATATCGTACTCCTTTTTTGACACGGTTTCTTACAAATGCAGGGAGCAAATAGCTGAGGATTGTTTGGATTTTTTCGACACCGTTTTCTGCAATATTCATTAACTTGTGCTCATATCTTCTTGACCTTTCTAAGTTGTAGCCAATAAAGCTTGATGTTAAAGTAATTGAGACTACCAAAATAAATGGAATGAATGCAATAAAAATAGTCTCTAATGCTCCAGAATACTTCTGATGATTTCCATAACAATAGTAAATCAGACTTATAGCAAATAAAATGACGTTTATGATATTCAAATGTGTTATTTTTACCCAGTCTACATTAAAAAGAATGTAAGTGATTGCTGGGACAATGGCAGCTGATAGAGGACCGATTTGTTGGTAGCCAATATTTGTGCAGTGCATTGCAAATAATCCAACACAAATTATTGTGAGAGTATATTGAACATAATGCTTTTTAAAGTGTTCTAGTAAGATTATCAAGAGAACTATGGTGAATCCTAATGCTAAAGCTATCCTTATAATTGTATAATCCATAGATACATTCAGAAAAATTGACTCAAATATAGTCCAAAGTATTAAAATAACCCAAATAAAAGTGCAAATTGTCCGATACATAGCTATATTATCACTAATATAATGGTCTCTATATACTTTTTCAACATAAGGCGACTGGAATTTCAACAAATTGTTCATATCAAACCCATTTTTTTCGCCTTTCGACTTCCAATGAGTTGAATTTCTATATACCGACAGCAAACAGTTACTAAACTGTTCCAAGCGCTCATATATGCACTTGCAGGTTGCATTTTTCGCCTCAACCGCCCACACTTTTTCTCTGAATCCTGATCTAAATATAGAAAGATAGAGCCTTATAGCATAATGAGGGACAATAGATACCAGCGGAGTGACAAGGATTATCACTAAAGCAATAGAACTTTTGCTTAAAATGTCCCCAATCCCGATTAGCTCATAGTTCGGGAATGGCTGATCTGTACATATTATCAAATAGCAAGCTAAAAAAGTCAGAGACAGAAAATGTGAGCACACATAAACTATGCTAAACGAATAAGTCTCTATTACAATATGCAGCAGCACAGTAATAACTGTCGCTATAAATAGCGCACATCCAAATACATCAAAATTCCCAGTCATTCCTTCTTCATTTGTTAAATCTAATTCTGCTTCTGTGACCCACAGAAACAAAATTCCTCCTTGGATTATAGAATGCATGCTATAGTAAAATAAAACTTTATAATTGAATAAAGAATTTTTAATTCCTTGAGAATACAGCAGCTTTAAGTCAGCGTTTTTTGAGTCTGAAATGTCTTGGTCGAATACGCCAAGTACTATTAAAGGAAAAGTGGTGTATAATAAATTATATCCGACTAATAAGCCTGAGTTAAATATAGATGTGCCTGAAAAATCACTTATAAAAACATATCCAAATGTAATCACAGTAAGGATGAAATTTTTATAAAAATACAGCAAAATAGCTCGTGACATTCGGGAATAGTTTCAGTGGCCATGGACAAGGATTAGTTCTTTTAGTAATGCAAAGTGGCTGATTGCGATTTCACAGAAATTTTTGGCATGGTTGTCTTCTTTGCCTTTAATGCCAATACCTACATCAGCTTCTTGAATCATTGCAATGTCACTATTGCTGCTTCCTATTGCAAGGACTAAAGGCTTATAGATGATGTTTTCTTTAAGAAGTAGCACTAAATCTGCTTTGTCTTGAGGTAGCATATCAGAAAAGCAAGCTGTCTGTGCAGTCACTAGTAAGCAAACTAGGAGTTTTCTTGTATCTTCAGTACTTAAAGCAGTCCGAAAAGACATTCTGTCTATTGATAAGCCAAATTTTAAGGATCCTGGATAGAATGGCCGATTCATTAGAGTGAAGTTTAGCATGCACTTGCTTTCTAATGTCATTAAAGGATGGAGAGACAGCCCTTTTGTCTTAGATCGAAGCTTATCTTTTAGCATTGAGGCTTCTTCTAGGTATTCACTCACAATGCTTTCATCAGGCTTCATAGAATTCATTTCTTTTACAAAAGGGTCATAGCTGGCATAGTCAATATGTGAAGGGCTTTTGGAAATATTTTCTATGCCTACATCATGAAATACTTTAGAGCTGATAACTTTTTGCAGTCTTTTTATACATGCAAATTCGTTGTCGATTTTATTTATAGAGATTTGTCTTGATATACCCGTTCAAAAATTAATATATTGTTCTTATTGAGGCAATTTAAAGAAAAAATGTATATATGGACAATTGATAGATCCTGACTGAAAAGTTTTGAGCCATTTGCAGAGGCCAAGGTACTGTTTTCAGAGTCACCGCTGACCATAAATACTTTCATTCCAGAAGCTTGTAAAGCTTCAATGCATTCAATTGTTTCAGGAAGTATCCTGTCTTCTATCCCAGCAATCCCGAGAAAATCGAGGTTTTTTTCTAATTCAGCATAAACGTTTTCTATTTTCCCATCCACATTTAGAGGCGATCTCTTAGCAATGTCTAATTTTGTGAAAAAATCAATTATTTCGTGGCTTTTTAAAGTTTTCATTGCAAATAGTAGTGGGCGCTGACCTTCTAAGCTGATTCGGGTTGCTTCATTTGAAATTTGGATTTTTATGGTTTCATTATGCAAGAGAGGAACTATAGACTCATAAGAGCCCTTTACCAATAGTACAGCATTTTGATCTTTTTGTTTAGTGATGATTCTCGTTTTTAATTGGTCTGCTTTTGATGCTTTTGCCCCAAGGATAGTAAATTCTTCTTTGATTCCATTAATTTCGATTTCACAGAGCTCAATAGACCGAAGAATTAGTTTAAATCCAAGCTCTTCTGCAGCAGTCACCAATGCGATTTCTTCAGCCAGAGGGCCATGATATTGATCGCCACTAGGAACTACTGAGTTGCACAAAGTCATGCATTTTAAAAGTTTTCATTTAATTCCTTCTTTCTGAGCTAGTGCTTTTCTTCTGAGTTTTTCTAGCTCCCTCCTTATGATTGAGCAAAACTATGAGCAGCTGACATTTTTGAAAACAAAAATTATTAAATTTTTCTCTATAAACAAATTTTGTAAAATTTTATAAAATTTTTCTATATAGATATAAATTTTTTTAAATAATAATTTATATAAAACTTTTGCCCAACTCCATGAATAGACAAGCAAAGCAAATTTTCACTCATGGGAGTAAATTATTTTCTACAGGCACAATATGTTGCACCTCAAGGCTGTCAGCTAGCTGAAAAGTGCTATCTTTATTATTAAGATTGTGAAATAATGGTTTATCCTCATCGGCATTAGAGTAGCTTCTTTCATAATTATGATATCTGACATATTGTTCATCTTCTACAGAAATGCATTGTAAAATATATTCATTTTCTGTAATTGTCCCACTTTTATCAACTACGACATACTCTATTTGTCCAAGATTTTCATTAATGTCTCCAGTTTTGAAGCCAATTTTTTTGTTCATGGAGTATTGAATATAAATAACCTGGAGAACCCTGATGATGTCCATTGATACAAACAGAGAAATAGGGATGATGTTATTATATAGCAAAGTAAAAGTAATGAAAATTTGGACCAGGGAGTCTTGTGAATAGTCATCATTTGATAGATAATAATATGCTAGAATAGAAAAAACATTCAGCCCTACAAGCACCAGTAATATAAATAAGACCCATTTATTGATCTTTTTTTCAACCTCACTTGTTTTTCTAGTAGGAGATTTCGTGTTTAGTAAAGTCTTGGTTTCATGGCCTGCAAATGCAACTAAACCAATCACCCATGGAACTCCGCCTATAACTCCACCTCTAAATAAAGCCTGCTCAATCCCTATTTCCAATGCTTTCGGAAACCCATGCAGTTTAATTTTCCCTTTAAACCTAGCGAAATCTTTATTAGGCTCTTCCACATATACAATTCCTTGCAATTTCCTTAGCGCTAGGTCTCCATCCCCAGGTGCTAATAATCTTTGCAAATCAGGAATTATTTTTTTTTGGTTTGAGTCAGAATTCCCAATAATCCCATTTGTATCCAAATAAGGATACTGAGACTCAGACCCTGATGAAAGTAGAATCATATCAGCAGGGACGATTCCTCCTTCATTTAAGAGTATGATGTTCCCTACGATGATATCTTTGCTTTTAATCTTTTCAAAGCTGCTGCCACTCCAGCAATCATATTCCATTGAGTTCATATTATCGTCATCTTTGGATCGGTATAGGTCATCTATTGCATCTTTAGCTAATGTAAAGAACAGTAGAATTGCTAATGGTACAATGGTACTTCAAGAGTCTGTAGGGTTCAGGTTGAGTGGAATCAGCTGGAATACAGAAACCAAGAGAAATCAGATGTTCGATGTCCTTTGAAATTGCTCGAATAAGTTTTTAGGAAGAATTGAATATTTAGTGTAACGAGTAGATTTGACAGAATTGTTAGGAAATAAAGATATATGAGGAGCAGAACAGCCATCAACTTTGAATTCTCGTCAATGAGTTTCTTCTTTGCGTGCCATAATTGTTTAAATCAAGTGAAGCAATTTAATAGAGATGAGGCGTTACACAATTCTGGTTTTCTATTTTAAGGCGAATTATTAATAAAATTTTATCATGATCTTTATGATTTTAAAGCTTAAGTGCTTGTGTATTTAAGATATAGAAGGAATAGAAAAAAATTATATAAAAATGAAGGGGTTATAAATGTGATAAGTTAGGGTGGAAGAAATAATTAATTAATATGAGATAGTAATACAAAATTAATAGGTAAAATGGAATTATTCTAAAATTATGCATTATGCTTTATAATTGACTAAACAGAACTCAATGAAAAAAATTATTATTTATGAAAATGCCAGTTATTTATAAAATTTAAAACGTTTATTAGCAACTATTTGGTATTTTTATTAGAAAATTATCTAAAATGAAATATATCATTTGAAAATTATAATTAATGTCAAGAGATAAAATAGGACTACAGATAAGAACTGAATTATTTGATCATGGCGTTTTTCCTTGTCCACAGCGTCTTAATCAAAGCTCAATCGTAAATCTTGTTAAATCCCTTTATCTTTCAGCATCCCACGATGGAAAAATTACTATTTCTCAATGAGCTGAAGCTGCAATTAAGCAGCTTTCTCTTACTCTTCAAGAAGCAGAAATCTACTTCGAACTCTTTAGAAGTTTAGCCTACGAGCGTAAGCCCCAGCAGCCAATAATCGATATAAAGCCATTTGCAATATTTTTAATATTACAGCTTTATAGCACTGCTACAACAAGAATCAGCTTAGAAAATGCTTCAAGTCTCACTTCTAAATTCAACAGTGACGGTCCAGGCTTCTCTGCCTCAGGCACTTATCCAAGTCCAGCTTCCTCTCCTCGAGCTAAAGCAGTTAGAGGCTTTTTATTCAGTCAGCCTGCTTCAGATTTTCAAATGAGCCATCAATTTGTATATTTAATTATAATGAAAGTTCAGACTCATTATTATTTTATAATTTATATAAAAAAGTCTATTAAATTAGGTATAAAAAGCAACTTGAAATTATTGATGAAAGTTATTAGCGCAGATTTACAAGCAGCTGAGGTTGCTTTAACTTCAACTGAATTCAACTCATTAGGATTTTTATGTATCCCTACAACTGGCACTCCTGAAGTCCCTATAAGCAGAATGGTTCCTTTTTACCAAACCAAACCACAAACAGCAAGGGTTCATTCTGATGATCTTTCAGAATGGATCAACAGAAAACTTGTGTGCGTTACTAATGAATCAGTAGCTGAAAGGCCTGGAGTTCTTTTATTGACTGGGCTTAACCGAAGTGTAGTTATTAAAGGACAAAATGAGTGCCAAGGAAAAGATATAAGGCTTTCTAATTGTGAAGAAAGCTACGTGTATTCATTTTTAATTTAATTTACCTACAGAAAAATTATTTAAAAATATGGAAAATTTAAGGAAAACAGCTATATATAAATACAGCCGTAAAACAAATATCAATGATCAACTGTCGAGAAGTGACGCTATATGTGGCTGCTGTTTCTAAGGTAGCGACTATGGATAAATGCGAACTATGCACAATAGCATTGGCATCAAATATGCTGAGGGTTGGAAACTCAGTGGACTGCACAGTTTATACTTATTCTCCTTTTCCTCCAGTTTTATATGGAGATAATAGGGGGATTACATTAGGCCCTTTTAATGTGTATTATCCTGAAGTTATCAGAATGTTAGAAGCCGCAGAAATTCCTAACAGCAGCATAAACCCAAAATGCATTCACAACTGGTCAGCACCTATAGAAATGAATTCAGAACAGTCAGGACACTGTTTCACATTATTGCAGCCAAAAGACTTTTTTAAGCTTGTACTCCCAAGCCAATTCGGTGCTCAAAATCCTGTCCTTCAGCTAACCCCAGAAGAATTTGTAAGCGCTATAAGGATCCGCGAAGAATATTTCGCAAGTATCCAAGGCGCCATTGCAAAAGCAGGTTTAAACGAAGAACAAGAGAGAAGGCTGCATTTATCAATCCAAGGATACTTCCGGGAGTGGCTTGTGTCTTCTGGACACGTTAAAGGTCCTTTAGAATTAGTAAGAATGATTGATCAAGAATAAAATAATAATTATAATGAGAAGATTCCTTCCTAAATCTCTCGGCCTCAACCCAAATTTCAATTTGACAGGCTATGCAGATATGAAAGGCTGCAGCTGCAAAGTTCCACAAGTAAAGCTTCAAGAATATCTCAGAGACGTAGGCATTGATATGAGCCAAATGGAATCCCCTGATAGCTCAATAGTGCCAGTTGGCAATGGGATGGTCCTATGCTCAACTACAGATTTTTTTAACCCTTGTGTAGCAGACCCTTATTTGCAAGGCCAAATTGCTGCTTGCAATGTATTGAGTGACCTATACGCGCTTGGAATCAGCACCTGTACAAATATGCTGATGGTTTTGGCTGTAAGCAAGCTTATTGACGAAAATGATAAAAAGATAGCGACTTCTCAGATGATGAAAGGGTTTAATGACATGGCAACAAAAGCTGGGACTACAGTAACTGGTGGGCAGTCAATTATAAATCCTTGGCCTATTATAGGAGGTGTAGGGATGTCAGTTGTCCCTGAAACACAAGTGATATATCCACGTGGAGCTCAGCCAGGAGATATGCTTGTATTAACCAAACCATTAGGTTGCCAGCTTGCCGTCAATCTTTATGAATGGTTTTACTACAAGCCTCATCAGCTTGAAAAGCTTACAACTAAGCCATCTGAAGAAATAGTCAATGAAATATTCAATAAAGCTTGTGACTCAATGGGCTCATTAAATAGAAAAGCAGCTGAGCTTATGCATAAATATGGATCCAAAGGGGCAACTGATGTAACTGGGTTTGGAATTCTTGGACATAGCAGGAATTTGGCTTCAGTGCAGCATGCGGATGTGGATATTGTGATACATACTCTGCCAACGTTTGCTGGAGCTATACAGTTTGATAAGCAGGTTCATAATTATAGGTTTATTGAAGGGTTTTCAGCAGAAACAAGTGGAGGGCTTTTAGTTATTCTTCCAAGGGAAAATGCACAGTCTTATATAGATGATTTTGAAAGACAAGAAGGAAGGCAGGCGTGGATTGTTGGGGAAGTAGTGCCAGGGACAAAGCAGGCTAGAGTTGTTGAGAATCCAAAAATTATAAACGTATAAATAATCGTACGCTATAATTTGAGAAATATTCTTAATATTTTATTTGATATTCTTTATGTAAATAAAAATGTAGCCATTATTAGTCATTAGGATTTTCGAGATCATGAAAATTATTAGATTAGAATTTTTTCACAGTTTAGATCATCGAAAAAGAAATATTAAATTTTTAGTAGATTGCAAAAACAAAATATGCATAGAATTTTAATATCTTATGCTTTGCAAGGCATTTTGGGTATTCAAAGTGCTATTGAAAATAATATCGAATTTTCCAGAAAATGGAGTTTAATATTTATAAATAGTAAAAATAAATTTTCAGAGTTTTGAAGGATTTTGAAGTGATCATAAAGTAACTTCAGAATTTAAATATTGTAAATGTAAAGAATTTTCTGTCTCTATATTTAGGATCAGAAAATACCTCGAATGTTGGCTTTCAAGTTAAAACATCAAATAAAGTCTCTGGCTTAATTTCACAGCAGAAATAGAGCAATGAGCGTCAAAAAATAAAATTCAGCCATTATCATGTGAGTTTTACTTGAGGTAAAAATAGTCTTATTCAGGCACATAAATAAAATAGCATTCAGTTCAGAAATTAGCTCTGATAACTTCTGTACGGCAACAGCGGTTTAACTTTGGGATATCTGAGGAACTGCTCTCAGTGCAGACAAGAGGTTCAGATTTTATCACTTACTCCCCCCCCCTTTAAATTGAAACAAAATATAGGTAAAATTCCTACTTTTTTGGGAAATTACCCCCCTTTAAATTGAAACAAAATTTTATTATAATAGAAAATTTTATAGGTAAAAATCATTATTTTATATGTAAATACGTTAATACCCTATTTAATATGCTTCAAACATATAAGATTTAGAAATTAAACTCTATTTTGTCCAATTGTTATGGGGAGAGTTAGAAGAATACCATTTCAGCAAGTTTACACTTTGAGATTGAGAAATTTATGAATTAATTTTTCATGAAATTCTTTAAATTTATATAATTTATTTTCTATAAAATTTTATCTCTGAAAAAATTTTTTTATATATAAATTTTTTTATAAAAAAATTTTCTTAACCCCCCTTTAAATTGAAACAAAATTTTTTGTTTCAATTTAAAGGGGGGGGGAGTTAGAATATCCAGGAGGGTGAACCTAAGGTGGAACTCACACAGGAGCTGAGCTAGGCAAGATCAGCGGGATCACTCAAGGTGAGAAGCGCTTGCCAGGATGGCAGTCAATTTTATGGGATGGTCCGACCTTTTGGATCAGAAATGCTCGTGACGTCATCATTTGGCTCTGTACCATTAGTGGAAGTGTGCTATTATGCACACCGTAAACACTTTAATTAATGTCTTCAAGCGCATTTAATTATAGAGTTGTAAATTTAAACTTAATTTCAATAAAAATCGAATAAATTGAAAGCTTAATCCCGCATGCTCAAATAATCAATGATTCCTCGCTTTTCCCCCTTTAAATTGGAACAAATATACCAATTTAAAGGGGGAAGCTAATAAATTTTGTTAGTTTAAAAACTATTTGTCCTAAAAATCAAAATTGTGTTTTTCTGACGACATAAAAATAATAAAAGAAATACCGATTAACAAAGATATTTATAAGACATTATTCAATAACTCTGAAAGCAATAGATGCGCAATATTTAAATATATATGCTTTCTTATCCATATTGAAATATGCAAAAAAGCCCTTTAAGAATTTATTGGCTTTTTATGATAATATATGAGAATACTAATATATATTTCTTGCTCACCCTCCTTGAGAGAACAAAACCACTGCAAAATTCTTATTTTTAGGTAAAATGCCATGGACAAATAAAAAAAATAATGGATGATAAATAGCATAACGAAATCTCTAGCTAATTTCTGCTAAAATTTAAACAGTTTTGCATTTAAAAATAAATTAAATTAATTTCTGCTTTTCATTTTTACAATGTGGATTTTTTAAATTTCTAAAAAATACTATAAATTTCTATATAAATTTTAAAATAATAACCCCCTTAAAAATTTTCCTGGCCTCTTAGAAGGTGAACGTAGCTTAACGTAATCATAATCCTAATCCTTACTCCCTTTGCAAGAGAACAAAAAATATTTTTGCTCGCTCACAGATGGGGAGGAGTTAGCATAAATAATTCCATAGAATTACTGCAAGCTCAACTAAACCTCTTTCCTAAATTTTTATAAACCTTGGATCATATTTTTCCATTTTATTGAACAGTATTAGAGATCCACATAATTTAAAAAATTAGTTAATATTACTGTTCATATACCCACTTTGTGAAAAGTTAAGGAACATCTGCATTATTTGCTGCTCCCTTTCCCTCGAATTGATAAGATCCACCAATAATTTTTGGTTCACTTCGATGGCGTCTTTGTACTTTTTCTCTAAAATATTTATAGTGTTTTGCATTTGTTCTTGTTGAGTTTGAAGCTGAATGCACCTGTTCAGGATAACCTCATTTGCGCTCTTAATGGTATTAGCCATTGTTTGTGAAAGTTCAGAAGTTTTCCTATGTATATGTTCCAACAGGTGTTTCTGTCCCTTTACAAAATTAGGGTGGCTGAAGATTTTATACTTTTTGTTTAAAAATATAAAGGTTTTATGGGATATATAGCGAGAAATGCTAAGTTTCATTGCGGAAGGTAAAATAATTATAATAATTAACTTAGAGTGAAGATTTGATGATCTCCAGAATCTTTGACCTTATGGAAATCATACATATTCAACTGTCTTATGAAACTGGCGAGGTTTCGATGTTTGAAGTATTGTGGCAGGATTCGTGATGAAAACTCATTCACATTTTTGATTATGAAGGAGTTCCCATCATCGGTTCAGCTAACTATGTCATGGTAATCTTCATTGCTTACCATGTCAAATGTTTTCGCAAGAAAGGACGTCGGTCTTACTCTATCTTGTTTGGTTTTGGTCATAATTATTTTTATTATAGCCGATAGTAAATGCTAAATTTTCCATTTTATTCTAGAATCGAATATGGCTATAAAAGCAAAATTTCATTTGTCCAAAAAATAAAAATTGAAGCAGCTATTTCTAATGGATATTAGTCTAATGAATATTTTTGCTATTATAATCAATATGAACGATAAGGCAAGAAAGTTTTCCTTAGTGTGAAATGGCGATTAGACATCAAATTAATAATTCCATTTTAGTTTGAAATTTTCTCAATTTTCAGCTAATAGATAAAGTATTTCTAGCAGTGGGAGAGGTCATAGTTTATTTATTCAAAATCCCAAAAAGTATTATTCAAGTATCTCTTTCTAAATCCTAATATGCTAATTGAAAGAAAAAATAATCTTTTTCTCTATTCAGTTTACATTGTTATTCGTGTATAAATTCCTGATAATGATGAAGGGTTTCAATTAAAGAAGTTGATTTTGCATGCTATTCAGTCAGATTGTAAACTTAGCCCTTGATGTTTAAAAATCCAGTCATTTGAAAAATAATTTAGCAGTTGGGTTATGATTTAATGATGAATATTGAGTATCTGAGAGACATTGTATGCTGAATAGAATCCCAAATAAGCGCCTCAATCAAAAGCTGATAAAGTTCTAGATCACTTTATTTTTAAGATTTATGGGACATATTGGTGATCAGTATTTTCATAGTGAAGTTATCTAAAGATTGAGAATTTTATAAAAGCGAAGGTTTAAACAGCTGCCATGAATTGGCATCTGGAATATAAATCGAAGACTTAATTTAATTTTTATTTTCTTCGAATAAACCAGCCAAGCTTCTAGATTAACTTGATTTTATATAAAAATGGATTCCGAATACTCTGGAAACTGACTGCAAAAAACAATTTCACATAAATAAACAATTGGAAAAATCGCAAAATTAATTGTGTTTTCCCCAGTATTTCACAGTTAATTTAACTTAAAATCAATAAAATGATTGAAAGCCCTAAAAGTCTTCCTTCGCAAGTACTTTTGAGCTCTTTAAGTTTCTGGTACATTTTCATTTCTTTTGCGTCATTTTTCAAGCATTCATCAGCATATTGAAGCAGAGGATAATTTAAGGCTTCGTATAACGATATTGTTCCATCCATGATATCTCCACTGTAAATCAGCTCAACAGCTTGAAGCATAGGCTTATCACTATTATGAAGCCTACAATAAGCCTGCCCTTTTAGCCCTGGCACACAGACACATTCACTTAATGTCCCATCAGTGCTATTACAGTCATTATTACTTTTGCATTCAACTGGCAGCTCTCCAATCGAAATTGATGGCTTTTTACAAATCCCACTTCTAATTATTCCAGACTTGCAAGCTACTTTTGAGTCTGCAGGCTTCCCTGCTTCTATAGAGAAATTTGGAATGCATTTTTTGCTATCACAAACCGACCCAGACGCACATTCATTAAATTGAGTGCAGCTTTCTCCTAACTTTTTTTTCGGTTTACAAATCCCTGCATTCTCAGTGAGCGCACAATAAAAATTTGGTATGCAAGGGCTAGATAAGTCGCATTCATCATTTTTTTCTTTATATTCTAAGCATTTAAGGTCTATTGGGTTATCTTCAACACCTTCTACACATTGCTGAGATGTTAGGTTGTAGAGATTAAAGTCAGGACAATAGCTTGAGTCTGGACACGGTGTGTAAATAACAAGATCTTCAACTATTTGGATGCATTGATCCATCATATGCTCTCGACAGATAACTGTTGGGCAGAATAATGCTGAGACAAATGTGAGAAATAGTAAAATGAATGTAAAAATGACCACAAACATTAATTATATGAAGCTAATATGAGTTATTTTGACTGAATGGTGCTTTAGGCATGATATTAAATGATATATTTGAGAGATAAGGCTCAATATGATATTAACTTTTTTAAAGTATAGCAAATTAGCATAAGAAGTGATATATAGAGATTAAGCCGCCAATAAATTATTATTGAATTAATAAGTTGATTTTATATTATGAAAATACTTCTTATCATATTTTTTAAAATTTTTAATTTTTATTATTTACTTTTATAGCATTTGATTAAAAAATTAATTAATTATTTGAAGAAAAGCAAACAATCTTTAAATGCAAAGCTAGTGTAATAATATAAAAGAAGTATAAAACTTTGCAATTGAATAGAGAGATATAATAATATGGCGGACTCTGAAAATCCATCACAACCAGCTGAAGACTTAACTGTATTTGTCCAAAATTTGCTGCAGCAGATGCAAGGAAGGTTTCAACAAATGTCAGATGCAATTTTAAACAGAATTGACGATATGGGAGGAAGAATTGATGAACTTGAAAAATCAATTGGCCAACTTATGGAAGAAGCAGGAGTTGAAGAAGGGAAATCACCAAATCATTAGCAATTAATTAAATCAATTTATTATTCAAGGATCCTTTTCGCTTTATTTCGTCTTTATTCGTGAAACTTCTATGATTAAGTTTCTATAAATATTTTAAAATTTACTTAAAAGCCATTTCGAGTATAAAACTTATCGTTTTCCAGACAATCTCATTTAATTAGCCAAATTAAATAATATGAGCAATAAACAACCTAGCCAGGAACAAAAAGTTGATGATGATATTAGGAAACAGTCAGAATTAGCGGAACTTAACAAATCTGTCACATTTTATCAACAAATTCCTGAGACATGCACAGTTCTCCAAGTTGCATGCACACATTATAACGGCTTTGTATTAAGCACGTCTGGATTAGTATACTCATGAGGAGAATGCACCTATGCTCTCGGCAGAAAACCTAAGAATCCTTTAGAGGCTAAAAAGCCTGCTGTAATAGCAGCTATTAAAGAAAAAAACATCATAAGTCTTGCATGTGGAGATAGCCATGTCATTGCACTTGACAGTGAGTCTGAAATTTATACTTGGGGAGACAATGAAAGCGGCCAGCTTGGAATAGGAAGCACAACTCCCTCGTATACTCCTAATAAAATCACTATAAAAGATGACCAGGCAGCCGGAATCTCTGCTGGCCCAGTAATCAGAATCTCTGCTGGCCCTGATTTTTCCTTTGCATTAGTCCAAACTGAAAGCGAAAACGGGATTTCTTATGATTCTTTTGCATGAGGAAACAATAAAAACGTAAGGCTTGGACAAGGCTCCAAATATGGGGAAAGGCAAGAAATATTCACAGAGCCTACAAAGATCATGAACCCTGGATGGGAGTCGAAAGAGCCTGACAAATTAATGATTTCCAATAAAAGAGGCAAAAACATCGTCTACAAAACTAAATTCGGCCCCGAAATCGCTATAGGTGGTGTCAGCAAAAACGAACTCGCCAAAATCAACATAGAAAATGACAACTTAAAAAGACGCCTCGAAATTATGACCAAAAAGGTTAGCGAAATAGAAGACGTCCTATTTGATAAACGAATAAAACCTTCCCCTAGCGCCTGAAGCGAAGACGAGACCTTAAAATCTTTCCAAAACATATTAGAAGAAACCATACAGACTGATGAAAACTGCAAGCTGAAAATTGAGGAAAAAACCCAGATGATTGAAGAAATTAAAGTGGCTATTGAAGCAAAGGAAAAAATGATTATTAGTAATGAAATTGATGAAAGAAAAGAAAAAGAAGAAATTGAAGAACTGGAAGATCTATTGGCGATTCATAAGCTGAGGATGGAAAAAGAAAACGGGAAACAGACCGAGGATCACACAGCTACGACAGCAAAGACGAATATAGCGAAAAAGAGTGAAAAAGTTAAAAGTTTTGCAAAAACCAAGCTTGAATGTCAGTCTGAGCTAATTAAATTGCAAACGGACTTGAAAGAGCTGGCAGAGGATAAAGCGAAGCTTATTAAGCAGAAATTTGAAGCTGAGATTAAAATTGAGTTGTTTACAACAATGGTGGAAATAAGAAAAGACCAGCTAGTTCACGAATTTTTTGATAAAAATCAAAAAGCTGTCGAAACAGACCTTAGAAATTTTATCTCAATTTATGATGCTGCCAATGACGCTGCAGTTGAAAATCTCAGTAAATCCGTATTAAATAGCTGCCTCACTAACTACATACGGTCTTCCAACCACATATTTAAACAACTAAGACAAGAAATTTCAGAAATTCAAAAACGTCGGAAGCTAGATCAAGATACTTTCAGGGTTTTCCAGCCTCTAAGTCAGTTATGGTCAATATTAGAAGATAATATTGATCTCCGAGAAAGAGTAAACCATTATACCCAAGGAACGCTTTCCTTTTTAACAGAAACTGAAGCATTTCGCGATGAGCAAGAAAAATCAGAAACAGATGAAACTACTAGCTATATTGATGAAAAAGAACTTATGAAAAGGATTTTGGCCAAGTCAAATCTAGATACGGTGGAAGATGAAGCTTTAAGTTATGACACAAAAGATATGAAAACCAAGCGAGAGACTGAAGAAGAGGAAGAGGAAGAAACTGAAAGAAATGAAAGAGAGGAAGAGGAAGAGGAAGAAGAAGAAGAAGAGGAAGAAAAAAATTCTGAAAATTATGAAGAAAATGAAGGAGGGAGTGAGGAGTATGAAAATAAGGGAAGGGGAAGTGTCCCAATAGAAAATAAGAAAGGAGAGAGAAACAAATGGGGATGCTGCTAAAGAAAAGAGAAATTGAATTAATTATATTCTTATAAGCAAGTGTTCTTACAAAGTGAAGTGATCTACTTTTTGAGTTTGATTTATGGTCTTTTTAGAACATTTTTTTTCTTGCTTTAATTAGAAAGAATTATAGTAGGCTGCATCTTATTTCTTTTGTATTATTAAATGAATAATTTCTACCTTTCTTTTGATAATTAGAAATCCCTTACTTCCTCTTAATTCAACCCTTTTCTCAATTTCTCGATTTCTCAATTTTTCTGCTAGACTATTGCTGCTTTTAATCACTTCAATTTAACTCTAAATGACTAATAATTTTTAAATATCACAAGTTTTACTCTTTCCCATATCTAATTAAAGAATGATGCTTTATGGCTAAAATATAAGAAATTTCCTAAAGCAATTCAACTAATTTATGATTATTTGGAATAAAAATAGATGATTTTTAGCGATTTTATTTAGCCTCTGGTATCCTTCCTTGTTCTTATTAGACTGGATTCTTCATCATCATCGTTTGTCGAAATAGAATCTATGCCTCCTAAAGAAGCAATCATAGTCTGAAATTCTGGGCTTTTTATTAGAAATGCTGATGGATTGATTATCGTACTTGATAGCCTATAATTGTATTTAGCAATTTGCATCTTAGGCACAGCAGTGTGATACTTTGTCATAGCCCTGGAAAAGTATTTGGCATATGTGAATAACCCCATATTTTATAATTAAACTTATGAATTTTTAGCAGAAAGTAAAGAAAATGCATAGCGATTGTAATATCGTCTTAATTTTACGATTTATCTAAATAGATATCTCTTACTCTCCCTCCGTAAGGGATAAAAACCATTGGAAAAATCCCTATTTTTTGGCCAAAAACCCATCCTCCATGAGCGAACAAAAATTTATGGAAAAAATTTTGATAATAAGTGATAATTATAATAAAATCTCGAGCTAATTCTGTTTAATTTTAAACAATTTGCATTTTTAACATAAATTTGCAAATTGGATTATTTTTAACTTCTCAATTATTTTGAAAAAAAAAATTATAATAAATTAGTGAGCAAAAAATTTTTTTTGTTTACTCACGGAGGGGGGAGCTGGTAATCTACTGTTTTGTAATTTAAAGTGCGCTATTTTGCATACTTTTTATGAAGAGTGCTTTAATGAATGGCTCTGTTCTATGCAATGTCCAAAGTGTCCAGATTTAATAAAATTGTAATAGAAAATGAAAACCATATTATATAGATATATAAGAGTAAAAGTCTTATCTCTTATTTAGTAGCAAAATTATTAGAAAAATCTCTATTTTTAGGAATAAAAAAAGTATTTATATAAAATCTTTAAAACAAATCATAATTTGACATAAAGTTAATGATTATAATAACGAAATCTAGTTTCATTCGATTGAATTAAGATACCTTGCACACAAATTTAAATTTAAAATTCAAAAAAAAATTATAAAGCTTGATTGAAAAAAGAAAATTTAACCTCTCTTAATTAGTAAACAAAAAAACTGCTGGGAAACCAAGTGGGATAGTAAATATTGAAAATTATAAATTTAAATTCATTATATCCATTTTATTTGTATTGTGCTCTAGCAAGTTTACTGCTATAAAATCACACAATATTAGTAAGAGTGCACTAATTCAAAGATATGAATAAGGTAGACTTATTAGTAATTTATTTTATATTAATTTAAGAAAATGAATGACAATTCATTATCATCTAAAGCAGAAAAAAGTATACCGTTCTTTAAAAACTCCAGAGTTGACACATGCTCTCACATCATCATGAAAAACGGACAAGCTGTTGCTGTGCCTTATATGACTAGTTCACCATGAAATTCCAGGAGTTTGTATTGTAACGATCTGAAATCAACAGAAAAAAGAAGTCTTTCCCATGACGTCCACAGAGTAAGGCAAAATCTGCACGCTGGAATGCATTCAAAGCCTCTTGAAAGATATTCTCCTGATGCACAAAGATCAAGACTTAAGAATGATGAGTTCATTATACCATATAAAAATACTTCACAGATTGTTATTGGAGATCGAAGCTCTAAATACAAAAGGCACTTTCTGACGACTGCTCAGAATTTATTGAAGAGGCCTTCAATCGAGCTCTCGACTAATCTTGGAATTTTGTCTGAAAAAACCAAGTGGATTAAATATAAAGAGGATAGCTAATAATTAAATGATTTTGAAAAATTTCTTAAAAACTGATCAAAATATTTATTTTGTGAGCTAAATAAGTCATTCTGAATGATACTTATTAATAATAACAAGATATTCTAACAAAAATTAGATCAGTAATTCAAATAAAAAATTTAAAAATTAGCAGCTAAAGAGATCTATCTGTTCAATAATAATTTTCAAAAAATAATCAAATATCCCAGCAGAGAATCTATTCCGAATTTGTGCCATTTTATAAACTTTATCTAATTTGTTTCATATTTTTATTTTAATATCACTATAATTTTCCATTTAAAAACTTCCTAAGACATATTTTAGGCTCCTGATCTCGTTAAAGACTTTCAACATGTCAATTTCATCTTCTTTCCAATCTGAATCTTAGACTAATTATTTTCTGTTAAGCTTAATCTTTCTCATACCCCATCCTAATCAAATATGGCTAATATACGACTAACATCTGGCTCTGACACGGAATTAAAAATTCGACTTTCAGTAGACCTTCTTAGCAATGTAGACACCAATAAGCTTAAAGCTATGATTCACAATGCCAAGCTCTACTCACAGAAGTATCAACCTGTCTTCGTAATGCTTGAGAAAACCCCAGAAGGCATCGTAGTAACTGAAGAGCCATTAAAGCCTCCAAAACCAAAAAATGAAGCAAAACCCAAAAAGCAATCTTCTGATTTAGACGAAAGTCCAGTCAAAAAACACCATCATGGAGGTGGGGACAAACAGTATATTTGTCCAATGGAGACCTGTGGGAGGAGGTTTATGGATAATTCCAAGTTGTGTAGGCATATGCTTGTCCACACAGGGGAAAAAAAGCATAGATGCGATTTTTGTGGGAAAAGATTTTCGCTAGATTTCAATTTAAAAACACATTTAAGAATTCATACAGGGGAAAAACCTTATCAATGCACATACCCAGGGTGCAAAAAAAGATTTAACCAGTCAAGTAACTTGACGGCACATGAAAAGAATCATTATATTGATGGAAAAGAAGAAAAACAAAGAAAACCTAGGACTTATCAACCGGAAGTGGTTTCGTTACCTTCGATACCGCAGAGCTCGTTTTCTATGGAGGCTCAGCTTCCTATGATTTTTGATTTTTCGTGTTTAAGTGCGGCACCAGCGTTACCTAATAATTAATATAAAAATAGATTTAAATTAAATTTAAAAAATAATTCTAGAAAGATATATTAGGAACATAGCGAACTGGTACAAAAATAAACCTTAAATGTATTAATATTAATAAAATTTCAATCTATATTATTTAGTAGGAATTGTATGATGGTATTGAAATCAAATAGAAATAAGATTTCATTTGCAAAAACTTGAATAAGTGCAGAGGGTAATGGAAATTTAAACAATGCATATTGTGTTTTTTATGTATATTTCTCAAAATATAATGATATGAAATTACCTCTATATTTATATTTGAATTTTGAATTAGAGTTTTAGTTTTTCAGTCATTTTTAACTATTAAAAAAAGCCACATGAGTTTGGACCATACTTGCAATATCTTCTATTTTAATTTGCCCGAAGCTTCCTTCAAGTCCTTTAACGTCACAAATAAAGCCATTAATATCTTCAACCCCAAAATGTATTATCCATAAATTAAAAAAATTTCTGATTTCTTTAACTCCCCCCCCTCCGTGAGTGAACAAAAAAATTTTGTTCGCTCGCGGAGGGGGTTAATTTTTTTTTTTAAAAACAATTATAGATAAATTTTATAGAAATTTTTTTTTCGAAATTTAAAAAATCCTAATTCGCAAAAATTTGGAAGTAAATATAAATTTAATTTGCAAAATTTATGTTTTAAAAAACGCAATTTGTATAAAAATTAAACATAATTAGCTCTAGATTTCATTATACTAATTATCACTTATATGTCAAATTTTTTTTCATTAAAAATTTTTCTATTAAAAAATTTTTGTTCACTCACGGAGGTGTGGTTTTTTGGGCAAAAAAATAGGGATTTTTCTAATGGTTTTGTTCACTCACGCAGGGGGGGAGTAAGAGAAATAGTAATTTCACCTTTCAATTTAAAATGAGTTTCAAATACGAATTTTGTTGCTTCATAAGGTCTCAATTAGGCTGCATGTCTTTTCCTTGGAGATTTATCTCTTATCATCTTCACCAAAGCTTTTTCCTCGATCTTTAGCTGGGCAAATGTCTCTGATGAGGATAAAATTTCGACCAAATACGCCTAGGAAATGCCTAGCATAGAAAATCATGATCAAAAGACAAGGTACGCTCAATTCATATCCTAACAAAAACCTTTCAATAGCTGATTTAAAATTGCAGATGCATATATTATCATTTTCATCAGGCGAGCATTCTTTACAAAACAATCTAAGCTCATCCCTATTTAGTTTCATCCCAAATAAATCTTACTAAATTACTTATAGAGAAATCCGCTGTAGGCTGCAGGCCATTACTAGCCTCCGAATAAAGCTCCACCTCTTGCTTGCCAGTCCAGGCACGGCTCCACTTTATTGCTCCTCAAGGACGAGGGCTTGCACTTATTACCCGAGAAGCTGATATGCTGGGCCATTCTGAACCTCAACGGGGTTCGCTCTTTCCGAAAATTGAAAAATCGAATTTTCTGATAGAGCTGTCGACAAAAAGAAACCGGAGCCCAGGTAGAGCCAAGCATCGAGCTTGGGATTTGCCCGACTGGCCAAGCGGAAACCCCTGGTCTTGCTCGGCGTCCCCTTTGCAACTCCAGCGAACAATCTTCTCACGAGGTAAATCCTTGACCTGATTTGAGTATGTGGTCGGCTAACCCGACATTGCGCTTCATCAATCCAAGTAAAACCTTGCCGAATACACATTTCCGAGCGCTTTCCTCCCTTCCTCAAGGTCTCTGGCTGCCCAAATGAACCTACTGGCTAAGGTGTTAATAGTGCAGGTTGACTCACCCGCCATTTTAAAATATCCAAATAAATCTAAAATCTTTTCAAGATTTCTAGCAGGAATTATTTTTAATTTTGTAGAAGCTACCAGGAAAAATGTTTCTTCAACAAATTTATCCATATTATTCAAAAGAGAAATTTTTTCCTCCCCAGTTTTTGTCCGTTTTATATCTCTATAAATCATTTTTAGTTGTCTATAAATTCTCACTGTTCTTTTGACTTTATTTTTTAAGCTTTCACATATAATTTCATTGATAATTTTTTGATCTTTCATTAATTCGATTTTTGTGGTTAAGACAAGCCAATATATGATTGAAGGGATTAAATATCATATTAATAGCAGCCAGATAAAGAAAGACAATGAAAAAAGTACTGCATTTATATTGGATTGAGAATAAAATGATGGAATATAGATAAGAGCGCATGAAGTAATTCATAAAGATGAGACCATTAAAAGTCCTTGAGTTGAATATAACAAAAATCGTGGTCCAAAACTGTCAAATCAAAATAGTAATTCGTGTCGATTGGGTGGTCGACCTTGAAAAATATAGCAGCAGCTTAGTTTAAATGGGTTTATTTGGCACAGGAACAGTCTGCTTCTTGGCTCGGATATTTCAATATTTGGAATAACACCATCAAGATATGAAGGATACTTGGTTGAATTAGGCCAACAAAACGCCAGGCTGTTTTTTTTTCCTGCTGCTTTTTTACCGTCAAAAAATATCGGAAAAATCTACCTTTTTTTCCTGATGACCCTGCTTGGTTGTGCTTTCAATAAAGTATTTATTTAAGTTTTTCGTCAAACTCATTCTTGCTTTATCTTGGGGAATCAACTGCTTGTAGATTGATTTCAGTTTCATTAAAAATATTATAGAAGTAAAAATCTCAAAAGCAGGAATAATCCATAAAAATACAATTTCGGCTTGATTTCCCATAAATAAAACAATTCTTCATAATAAAATAATAATTACTGTAACTATAAATCCCATTCATGTAACATGAAACGACTCTTTAATTACCTTCCCTAATGATTTGCATAAATATTCTCCGAAATCAAAGCCATCGTCAAGCCTCATTTCGATTGGGCACGGTTGATAATTTGTCTTAGTGAATCCTTTCTTTATCTCTAGAATTTCTTCAATAAAACTATTTCCTTCAGCATTTATTTTTCCATCTAGGATATTTTTCCATTTCTCAGCATACATGTTTCCTATTAAAACTAGTGAAAATCCAGTGAATAATCAAATAGAAATGAATAGTGCAAAACCAATTATTATAATATTCAGCTCATTTTCAAAATTTGGAATAATATTCAAGTAGTAGAGAAATGATGTTATAAATCATAGCACTACAAGGATAGATAAGTCAGCTAAAATTGAATGAAGAGGAGGCATTAGGGATTTTTGTAAATTTCTCTGGAAAATTTTGTAGAGATCTTGCAAAATTAGAAAAATAAAGCCAATTGCCAGTATCTCGCCAGTCAATATTGTGTTTTTGTTTAAAAATCTTTCTTTTAAAGTTTCCACAAAATTGTTGGAAATAAAATCAACAAACCATCCATGGCCATTTTTCATAAGAAATTGTTCTGATTAGTAATATTATACTCTAAAATAAATGGGACAACCTATTTTAAACTTATATAATCTTATATCAATTCTATTCTATTATTTATAGCAATTCTTTGTGTATTACTTATGATTTAATCTCCATTATATAATATTATATCAAATATATTGCAATTTCCTATGGATGGCGCTGTTTTGGCCTTGATTTTTCCACTGGAAAAATTTTTGGATTTGACCAGTACCATATGGTTTGGTTAAACCAAAAAATTTTCCTCGTGGGAAAATCAAGGCCAAAATAGCGCCATCCATGGGAAAACACTATATCAGAAATAAATAACCAAGATACAAAGGAAAACAAAAAATAATAAATAATACTGATATAATTAATCTTTACATCTAATCCCCAAAGCTTCTCTTTTCATCATGATCATCCTATTGTGGTACTCTTCATTTTCTTTGAAAATTTCATTCTCAGGCTCTTCTTCGCTCCATGAGTCAATTTCGCTGTCGTTATCTTCTGAGTCAGCATCAATTGCACTTAACTCTCTAGGCACATCAGGACTGCTTACATATTCTCCTGCTTCTATTCTCTCTATGACAGCTAATCTTTTTTCTTCTAACTCATTCATCAATTTATCATATTCCTCATCAGATAAATGGATCTCGTCTCTTTTTTCTTTATTTAGCCAAGGATGGGCTAAACATTCTTGGGCAGAAGCACGCTCTTCTGGCCTAAATCTCAGCATAGGAAGCAAAAAGCTGGCTAAATCTTCAGCTTCTTCTGGAATAAATCTGTATTTTTGGATAAGCACATCTTTTAGTAACCAGATTTTTAAAGAGTATATGCCTTTAAGTCTGCCAGATTTATCAAAGAATTTTTTCCCTTCTGATCCTGATAGTGCCCAGTCTTTAGGGATGAGGCCTAGAGTCTCTATCATTTGAGCTAAATGGTCATCGTCTTTTTCAAAATCACTGCCTGATCTTGGATCAAACAGGAAGTCACCTGTGAGCAGCTCAAATAACATGCAAGCAAAACTCCATAAATCTGCTGTAGTATTATAATTAATACCTAGAATTACCTCAGGCGACCTATACTGGCGGGTTTGAATTTCTGTCGAATAATGTTTATGCACCCAGCATGCATTTCCTAAATCTGCGATTTTTATATTAATATCTTCGCATACTCCTTCTTCAATTTCATTTTTATCTTCATTAATACTGGATTTAGTGGACTCATTTTTACTTTCCATATTAATCTCAATTTCGCTTTCTAAGTTCTTTTTCTTTCTATTTATTTATATACATTAAAATGGCGATATGTGTAAATCTGCCTTCGGTCGATCTTAAAGAGATGGAGAACTGAATGGACTTCAAGCCGAGAAACAAGTGCAGTCTCAGCAGATGGCTTCCGGTTAGGTTTTAGCTGCTTTCTTGTCATTGGAAAATGGAGGTGCTCAGCAATGTAATTTGTACACTTGGGCATCCTCTACCGGAAAGCCGGAGTTTCGGTCCGGGCATCAAGGAGGAGCAGTCTTTTTCCTGTATCTGCCAAAGAAAGGCACTCTGGCATCCGATATACTCCAAGGAGTTAATCCCTGGAATAATACTTCTCACAATCACCTGTCATAGGACGCAGAAATCCATAAGCTGCCCACTCAAGACTGAAGCCGCAAGGCAAGGAGGAGACAACTGTACCGGTTATGGCTAGATCTACTGTGCAATTTGTCTAAAAGCGGATGAGCCACCCATATGGGAAGTCTTTGGTAGCTGAGTCACCAATATGGCTAGCGCCTGTCTTTAATAATCCCTATCCTAATCTTTCTTTCTATTTCTTTTCCTTTTTTTCTTAGGCTCTACCACATTACTCTCATCTGTATTTCCCTGAGTTTTCATTAATTTTGCTTTTTCTTTTTTTCTTTGTCTGTATTTTTTTCTTTTTTCTTTCAATTTATTTCGTTTTTCAATTTCTTGCTGTTCTTCAAGGCTGAAAAATATTTGAGGTGTTATCTCAGATTCTGGAGTTTCTAAAGCTTTTGAATAGGAGATTTTATTGAAAAGCTGCCCTTTGACTAAAATTTCATTGATCTGAGCTTGAGTTAACTGTACTAAAACGTTTTCAGGCTTTAAATCTGTATGAATTAATCCACAGATTCTATGCAAATAGTCAAGGCCTATCAAAACTTGTCTAGAAATTCTTCTGCATATATGCATAGGGACTCCTTTGTACTTATAAACCTTGATGATTTCCAGAAGGTTTACTCCCAAAATTTCAAAAACCATACAGACATGTTTTCCATGTGGGCCTTTGTGAGTAAATGAATTCAATAATTGAACAACATAGCATGGTTCTTGAGAGTTTGGTTCGTATTTTGCCATAGATTCTATTCATATATCCTCGCAGGATTCAATAATTATAAATTCATTATATATGTAAAAATATCTATTTTTATTCAAAAATAATAGGATCTTTGTAGCTTCCTGAAACTTTCATAAGGATATCAATTTCATCATAAGCTGCTTCAGTGTAGTTCTGGGCACTTTTTTGAATTTTCATTGCAACAAAAGTATTGAATTTGGTATCCTTGCAGAGCCAAACAGTAGAAAAATGACCCCAACCTAATTTTTGAATTATAATATATCTGTTTAAGAAGAGATCGCCAATTGATACTGGATGGTAGCCACCTGGTCTGTAGTCCTCTGCTTCCTCTTCTTCATCATTTAGAATGGTAGAAGACGAGTCTTGCTCATAGTTTGGCTCAATTTCTTCATTAAGTTCCATTTAAGTTTATAATTCCGCCGGATTATTTTAAATTGAGAAATTTGAAAAATGAATTTTTATTTATTTGTGAAATTTGATGAAGTTACTATATAAAATCGACTTTATATTTAATAATAATAAGAAATAGCTGCTTAAATTCAAATTTAATGGCTAGGCGATGAAAATAGATGCATTCAGTCGCAACATTTTTTAATTTCATCTATTTAAAAATAGTTAAAATTTGCTGCAATAAATATAAAAGATTATCCCTTTATATAAAACAAAAATTTTATTTGAATTTAAAGCAGGCTAATTTCTTTTGGAAAAAATTAAAAATTTTAAAATAAATTTTTATAAGATTTATCAATTCAAACTGCTGATTTTGTTTAAATAGTATTATATTTACACTACCTAATTTAAAAAAGAACAAATTATAGGAACCCTTTAATTTTAGTGATATTAAATTGGGTATCAAAGGTTGTTCCATATAAATATATGTTTTTACCAATTAAAAATGGGTTAACTTCCAAAAATTGGAATTTTACCGATATTTTGTCAATTTAAAAGGGGGAGCTATTATATTTAATTAGTTTTTTTCCAAAATATAATAAATGCAGGGATCTTCATGAGAAACAGCAGAAAGCTTAAATACACTGAAAAATCTAAAATAGAGCTAGATGGATATATTGCAAACCATATGAAATCATATACCAACGAAGCTATAACTAGCTTTGAAAGCTGCTTATACATTTTTGTTGTCTCAGATCTAGTTGAAATTTTAAAAGCTGCAAATATAAAAATCATAAGCTACATAAATTTTACATTGACAAAATCTGGCCTTGAAATCATAATTAGCGTCGACATCAAAAGTAACGAATATATCAAATAATGTGTAAACGATTTTTGGCTCGCAAAGCTTGGGAGTTCTATTTCTTTCGTAACAACATCAATTTTTGCAGACAAAATAGACTTTACTGAAGTCCTTGGAGTTCTTGCTTCTTCTTTCAGCATTCATTCATTTGGATGATCTAAATTACTAAAAGGTTTAAATAATTTCCCAACTTGTTCTTCTAGCGATTTCAGCTCTTCTCCATCAAACTCAATATTTTCGTTTTTCTGATTAACCAAGTCTTCATATTGCCCAATTCTGCTCCAAACCCATTGCAATTTTAAGTGCAGCTCTCCTTGTTCTTTTCCTTTTGGGTCTTTATTTTTCAAGCTATAAAGCTGATCATGTTTGATTTGGTCTTTTAATTGGCTTAATTTTATAGATACTTCTCCAAGATAGTCATCATTGTCTTCAGTATCTCTGTCCATAACTATGAGCTTCAGATTCCCTGTGCCATGCTCGATATTAAATTTGAATTCTTCATTCCATTTGGGATTTACAGTGGCCTGGATATCCTTGGTTTGAAATGTCTGGTTTTCGCATTCCAGGATTACATAAGGGTCTGATAAGCCACTAGAATCCATTGCTAGTAAATCTTGAGCATCAACTACGTTAACTGTTAGCATGCTGTCTTTCATGATCCCATACTCGTTTTTCTGCTCTTTTTCTCTAGCTTCGCTTAGTTTTCCTTGGTACTCTTCAACTAGTTTTTTATTATCTTTGATTTGTTTCTTTAGTTCCCGGATTCGTTTCATAACTATGTACTCAGCATCAACATATGACCCCACAAAGTCCCCAGCGGTAATAAGGGAGTCTCAGTCTTTATCAATCCTTGCATATAGCTCTTGGCATAAGCCTGCATCAAATGGCTCATTTTGCTTGTTAGATAAAAACTCATGGATTTCTTCAAATGTAAAAGCTTTGTTCCCTGTTTTATCCAAGGTGTGGAATTCTTCCATAAGCTGGTCATAGCGGTCTTTTAAGGAGCCTGTCATTGGGAAAGAGCCTATTGATGAACGGAGGCGAATTAAACTGAGGGATGGAGAGCGCGTCCCTAATGTTGATCGCCTTTGATCTGAAAATGGATCAACCATAATAATGGAAAAATTCTAATTAAAATTAATTATTTAAGGCAGAGGTAAAGGAAAGATAAGGGATGCTAGGATTTTATAGTTTTTTGGAAGAATTATAATTCAGGTTAGAGAGAATTTTAGAGGAATTTCGGAGGCAAATTATGGAGTATAGCAAATAATAAACATGTATAAATATTGAAAAAATATTTGTGTTGTTATGGATTAATAAAGAGAGATTTTGATAGATAAGTAAAATTAAATATAAAGATAATAATGGCCTTTATTGTTTTCTATTCTCACCCTTAAATTGGAACAAGATATAGGTAAAATTTCTATTTTTTGGCATTTTAAACCCCATTTAAATATGAATTTTTTTCAAAAGGAAAATTTTATCGGAGAGATATTAATTTTTTTATAAAATTAGTTTTGACCTAATTTAATGGAAAAAGTATAAGTAGAATATAATATAAACATTTTTCATACTGATTTGATTAATTTTTTAATTTAATTCTTCATAAAAATCAATTAAAATTCAAAATATTGTGTTTCAATTTATATTTTTTTAATTTTTAACGATTTATTAAATTTTTTTTTATAGAGAAAATAGTTTCAAAAAAGGGGCTCCCTAAATTAAACATGATTTTTTTTGTTCCATATAAAACGGGGAGTAAAGATCGAAAGATCTAGATCAAATTGTATGGCTGACAGCAATATCATTTTTTCGATGGAATTCTCTTTTGGTTGAAATTTTAAAAGCCAGACATTTTTAAAGCCGTATGAATTTCATTTTGATAGCCCAGATAAAGCTATCACTTATTAATAATTTTAAGACTAGCATAAAAGTTATAACATATCTATTTGCTAAATATAAACGAATTTCTTGATGGCCATCTGTGCTTTTCATATCAAGGCATCATATAGCCTGTTCCCGGCCATAGATCGGGCTATGCCCGATCCTTGCCTAGAAACCCGGGGGGTTATCTGCGTCACTTCGAGGTGACGAGTCAATTCCCCGAGTTGGCAAATCACTATATGGTGGCTGTTTGCCAACTCGGGGAGTTGACTCGTCGCTAAAAATTGACGCAGACAGCTCCTCGAGTGTCCTGGCAAAGATTGGGCATAGCCCGATCTATAGCCGGGAACTGGTTATAGCCAAGCACTCGTGACTTAATTTTTTAATTATTCTAAATTGTCTTCTTTTTAATCAAAAAAGATTTATCTATCAAATATTAACCAGATTTCTACCTTGACCTATTAAATTTGTTGGTTAATTTGTGTAGCTAGACATAGCTTTATAATTAATATGCGCACCAAATCAAACTCCTCTGAAGCTCCTTGCTTTTTACAAAAAACTTTTGATATGCTGAACAATGAAGAAAACGCTGACATTGTTTGCTGAACACAAGATGGAGCTGCGTTTGTCATTAAGGATAAGAAAGAATTCTGTTTATCAGTCCTGCCCAAATACTTTAAACATAGCAACTTGGCTAGCTTTGTAAGGCAACTTAACATGTATGATTTTCATAAAGTCCGCCGGTCTGGTTCTGAGGATATTTTTAAACACCCCTTATTTGTTCAAGTAATAAAATGATGACGTTAAGCTAAGACGCACCTCTATGAAGCAGATTGGACCCATCCTGATAAAGCTGAAAACAGAGCCTGCCCCTTTTAGAAGTAGGCCTTCAGGTTTCGGGATGCCTTGCCGAACAACGAAGTTTTTTTCTCCCCCGAAGGTTTTCCAGTTTCTCAGATGGGTTAGGCAGATTTTGTCTATCAAATAGTCTTCTCTCATGGGGATTAACGAGGCACTCTACAGATGGGCTCTCCCCTAAGTCTGTTTAGGTCAAAAATTTTAAAAGGGAGCCAAGATGAGTGACAGCTAGTGGTTTTACCCACTTATAGCCAGCATAACCTTTTTTTCCTTTATTTTACTTATTTGTTCAGCAAAACCCTGATTTTTTAAAAGAAATCAAACGAAAATCAACTAATGTTAATTGGCCAGTAGTTTCTGCAAATACTCTGAATAAGCCTGATTTAGCCCCAATATTGCAAAAAATGATGGATTTGCATATATAATATTATAATTAGAACAATTAAACTCTATAAATACCTAAATCTAAACCTTGATAAAAATAAGGACAATATCCCCATACATTTTTGTTAATTATTCTCATAAAATATAGCTAATCAAGAATCTGAAATAATGATCAAAAAACTTGAAGAAAGAATCGACGAGCTTTCAACCCAAAGAGAAGTCCTCTCTATGCAATTTTGGGAAACTCAAGAAAGAATGAAGCAAATAGAGCATGCTGTCGTTGTATTGGCAAGTTTTATGCACTCAGGCGGAGATGATATCATAAGATATATGGAAAATGAATATTCATCAAATGTAAGGAGCATCCAAACAGAAATCCCTCTTCCACCCAAAAAACAGAAAGTTGAACATCTTAACATTGAAGAGCTGTTTGAAATCCCTCACGAGCAAATCAAAGATGTCGAGCATCCAAAGGATTTGGTAGAAAATCATATTCCGGATGCTGATATTTTTGAAGAAAGTTTAGAATTCTTGCTAGAGTCTTAATATTATTATCGTTATTTGCAGATTTTTGAACTTTAGCACCTAAGTGTGGAATTTTTTTTTTCCGCGTGTGAAAAGGTGTTTTTCACGTATGGAGCCCTTTTGATTTCACATATGGAATCCTCTCTTTTCACACGCGGAAAAAATTCCACACTTAGGTGGTAAAGTTCAAAAATCTGCAAATAACGATAACAACTTATAAATGTAGACTGTTAAACAAGCCTGGGGAGGCGAGGGATTAAGAGATCTTTTGGCTAATTAACACTTCTGGAAATTACTTATACTTGGCTGCTTTCTTTTGTTTATTTCAGATATAATATCATTGCCATTTTAAATCTTGATAACTACAAAAGTATTAAAAGATTTTAGTAGTCTTCTTTTTATTTGTTTCTTTGCAATCGAATAGACTAATATTTTGAAATTTTTTGATGTTTTTGAATTTTTTATATGAAAATACAAAAGCAGCATCTTTCAACGTAAATTATTTTTGCAAAGATTAAACTTTCATTATTAAATTAAGAAATGTTTAAATTAGCCTTTAAGCTTCCTGCATGAAAAATGACCTTAGTTTAAATCAAGCTAAATTGGAACAAAATATCGATAAGGTTTCATTTTTGTGTCCTTTAACCCCTTTAAATTGGAACAAAATTTTATTTTTAAAAAGAAAATTTTATCGGTTTAATGAAAAAAATGCAGTAGAAATTATTTAACAGTTTTATAGTGAATCTATTATTTTTTGAATTAGTTCTTCTAAAATAAGTTAAATTTCAAATTGTACCAATTTTTTATTTTTATAAAATTTTTTCAAAAATAAATTAACCCTCTTTAAATTGAAACAGGATTTTTTGTACCAATTTAAAGGGAGGAGTAAGAGAAATAGTAGACTAATAAGATAATATAATTAAATAATTAAAAGATAATCAAATATTTATGTTTGCTTTGCCAATAATCTAATTAAAATGAACAATGAAGGGTTCAAGGACAGGAGAAGGCGTTTAAGTTCCAGCAGCGATGAAGACTTTATGAAGCTTTCTGATGGTATTTCTTACAAAGACCAAGAAACCTATAAAAGTGAAGAAGAAAAAAAGCCTGAGAAGCTCGAAATGAAGAAAAAGCCCACAAATTTCCAATATCAAAAACCAAGAAGGGGCAAAGGACGCGGAGGTAATAATAATTGGAGAAGAGAAGACAAGCCAAAGCCAAAAAATAACGAAAAACCTCAGACTCATTACAGAAAAAAGATTGTCCCCAAGTATGATCTCAATGCCCAAGAATTCCAGCCAAGTGGATTCAATGCAAATGCAAGCGATTTCGTAAGTTTTAGCCAGGTTCCATCTGGATTTAACCCATCTGCTCAAGAATTCAACCCACAGTTTGGCATTGACGCTCCAGAGTTCAAGCCAAGCTTTTATTAGCTTCTCAAAGTTGTTGCTTTTGATGAAGCCAAAAAGAGTTAGTAATATCTTACATGAATATTTGGCTAAATATAAGGTAAAATAATTATTAAATATATGAATTTATATGATAAATTGGTTTTTATGCGAAAACTAACAATTAATTAAGGAGTTTTAGCCGATTTTTTAACACAACAGCGTCTGTTCCTAAAATAAAGTCGCTGCATTGCAGCTCTTCGAACTCTTTTGTCCCAGAATTAAAATTATAGAACACTTTTACCATATCTCCAGTCAAAGAATGAGGAAAACTTACAGGACCACAAAGCTTATTAACAGCCCCCAATGATGGGTCATGAGAGTACAACGCCCTTATTTCTCTTTTCAATACACTATTGAAAACTATTATAAAAAAATCTGTATCTTTGTTTTTATCTATAGTTGACAACATTAGTTCTCTCTGGTTTCTATGGAAATCCCCAGCTAGGCAGACTCCTGTTATTGCACTTCTAATTAGTCTTCTATTCGAGGACTTATTATAAGTAATTTTTGGCAAGTGATTATCCCTTTTATATTTTTCATCAATAAGTTTTTTTACTTCTTCTGATTTTAAATTAATTGGTGACGGCGTCCGTCTTATCCTGTCTGAAGAAGGAGTGCTGATCTTGATATTTCTATTTAAAGGTTTAGGGCTTGCATAAGGACTTTGCTGTGGACTTCTGCTTGGCGATCTTGATTGTTCTCTATTTTTTAATTCTTCAATTCTTTTTAATTTTTTTTGTTCTCATTTTTTGAATTTTACAGCTCGCATTGAGTCTGTGTCATTATTTACTAGTATAACAACTGGCTTGTTCCCTTTAGAGCTTTCTTCTGAGTCTTCTTGTGAGTGGATCTCAGTTAAAACTTTTACAGCGTTTCCTTCGACAATGTTGACTTCTTTGCCGAAAGATTTAAAACTTGTATATACATTCATGTCTTCGCCGAAGCTTGGGGTATAGGTCTGGTGGAATTCAGATGGGGAATCTTTGCCTGGCTGCTGGTTTTGTGTTTCTTGGAAAGCTTTAAGCAGTTCTTGTCTAATGTGATGCTTTTTCTTTCGCTTTTCATTAGATCGTCTGCTTATTGAATTTTGAATATTTTTAATTTGTTCAGAAACTTCTCTCTGAAAAGAATTTTTAACAGGCTCTGCTGATGAGGAAATCATAAATTTCGCCTGAGTTGTAGATAATGGAAAATTTAAAGAGTCTTGCTGGAAGCTTTCTTTAGAGCCTGATTGTGTAATAGAAGGCTCAGCATGTGCTTGTATATGTGATTCTGAATCAAAATCATCAGAGTAAAGTTCACTGCCACTGTCTTCTGATATGCTTTCTTCATAGCTTTCATATGATTCACTTTCAATTGATGAGTTTTCATTAGTTTCTTCAGGAGAGGATTCTTCTATCGATTCAGATTCAAACTCTTCTCCATTAGTATCTGTTTTTTCTAGAGTTTCTTCTTCATTGCTTGTTACTGTATCATCATGTTTTATGGTGTTTTTCTTCCTAATTACTTCATACACTTTTTCCATTTCCGAATTGCATCCCTTTAATCATCAAATTTTTCAATGTGATATCTTCTTTCTTTTTCATTATTTTAAAATAATTCCTAAAAGTATTTAATTTACTCAATTATAATGTGTCTATGTATTTTTGAACAAATGAATCAAGAAATGAGCAAAAAATCTTTGTAAATTTAATTTTAATAGATAAGCTTAATTTAGAAGATGATAGAATTTCTGATATATTGCTGCAGAGTACTAGTTCGCAAATTTTCTTTTCTCGTTAGTCTTTGTTTTTCCAAAATAGATGCCAGACAGACAGCAATTTTAAATAATTTTTTTGAATGAAGAAAATACAAAGATTACCAATAAATCTACTTATTTATTTTAGTATTGGCCCTTGCATTGCTTGAATAGATCGAGATAGTTTTGGCAAGCTCCAATATTATTGTTGTTGTACTGCAAGCAGTTCAAAAAGTCTTGGTTCTGTTGGCTGCACATGTCTTGAACTTGTTGCTGCTGAGGCTGTGCTTGCTGTTCGTGAGCTTCTGAGCCGCTTCCTCCCATCATTCCTCTGACTGCTGTATGAGCGATTTCACTTCCTGCTCCAAAAGCCATCCCTTGCATGACGACTCCACCGAGGCCTGACATTATTCCCGGTCTTTGCTGAGCTTGAGGGGCACTTTGCTGGGGTGACGGTGCAGGCCTTGCAGACCTTGAAGGTCCTGAAGTTCTTGAAAATCCTCCTGATCTCATTCCTCCTCCACTTCTTCTTGGCATTTATTATTATAATTTGGTATTATTTTCCTAAATTTTTGCACTGAATTTAATAAAATAAAATTATAAAAAATATCATATCAAATTATTGAGTTTTGAAGCAAGCAATTTTGAAATAATCAATAAACGTTAATATAAGTTTACTAACAAAAATAATGTTATAAGTATTATAGAAAAGCAGATATTGAGATAAATTGCACTAAAGATTAAAAAATTAAATAATTATGATCAATATCCTTAAAAAACCTCAAAAGTTTATTTCTATATTAGAATTAATAATTCTCAAATATTCAAAAATATTTTTAGGCTATATTTAATATCAACTAAATCAATCCATAATTTGTGTATGCAATCCTTTGCCAGTGACAATTTTAAACAAAACTTTTAATGATCCAAAATAAATGGAAAGTAAGTTCCTTAATACAATCCTCCGTGAGAGATCAAAACTAATAAAAAATCCTTAATTTTTGGGTAAAAAGCTCACCCTTCGCAAGCGAACAAAAAATATGTTTTATAAAAAACTTTTTTTTTTTATGAAAAAATATTTTGGTACATAAGTAACTATTATAATGAAATATCAAGTTAATTCTGTTCAATGCCAATTAGCTTGCATTTATAAACATAATTTTCACAAATTATTCAATATTTGCTTTTAAATTATTTCGAATTTTGATTTTTTTTAAAATGTTGAAAATAAAAACTACTTTAAAATTTATATATAATAAATATTGTAAATCCCCAATAATAGCCCCATAAGCGGTTGAATTACCCGCTGAGTTTAAAATTTGGTCTGACCAAAACTAATAATTTTTGTCAGACCAAATTGTAATTTTAGCAGAAAATTCATCAGCTTAAAGAACTATTCATAGGAAATAAGTAGATTGTAGACCCTCCGTAATAGAACAAAATTTTTTTTTCACTCACGGATGGGAGAGTTAAACGTTTTCGCGGACGAATTTTATCCCTAGAAAAGTCTGAGCGATTCGACTCCTTAGTTCCTATCAATAAAAACATAAAACCTTCTCAAATTTATAAAGATGACTCTCCAGATCCTACTCCAAGAAAATCTTCGAAATCAAGTTTTCATAGCTACCACCAAGATTCCTGGAAAAACGCACACAAAATAACCTCATCCTTTGAAAAGCCTCCCACTCCCTATATCAATTGAGCTGATAAGCACCAAAATGTAAGAATGAGTGTTGGAAATTCCAGGCTTAAACGAAAAATGAAAACTTTAAGAGACGAATATTTTTCAAATACTCCGAAAATAGAAGGAATACCGAATCTTCCAATTAAATTAATAAACTCAAGCTATCAGTCTGATGCAGAGCAGAATTATAGCTTGAGATTTACACCTGTTATGAAAAAATACTCATATTCGATAAAGATGAGAAATAAAGATCTCTCGTCTCCGACTGACAGAGAATACTTAACACCGATAGGATATGACTATAGTCCTGTAATTTTTAGTAAAAACAAGTATAAATTTTAATTAAAGCGATTTTTAATTATATAGAGACTGAAGCAAGGAAAAGAGACACACAGGGATCAATAGTCCTGAATTACTTGAATATAGGTGCTTATCTATTGAAAGCTCAGGCTCTCTGGATATATTTTTAAATATAGAGGGTTTCCTCTATATAGCGCTAAAAGCGCAGACATTTTCCCAGGAGCTTTCCAAGTTCATCGGACCAAATCGCTTTTGGTCCGACCAAGGCATTGATTTGGTGCAACCTACCGATAAATTCCGATCAGAAATTTATCGGCCTTACAGCGCCAAACATAGGAAACTTCTATATCTTTATAATGTAAACATTTAACTAATTTCTCTCAATTCCCAAAATTCCATACTTTCCAATTAATCAAATAGAGGCCACATGTCAGATCCAAAGAAAAAGATTATAAAGAAGGGTGCCGAGCCCACAGAATTTGAGTATCATGTCGCCCAAGCTCTTGGAGAGATCGAAGCCTCAGCAAGCGATCTAAAAGGTGAGCTTCGTGATGTAATGATCACAGGAGCCACTGAATTCGAAGGAAAGTTCAGAGGATCTGTTCGTCAAGCCGTCATTATCATGTTCCACTACAGATCTCTTCAAGCAGTCAAAAAAATTTACGCACGCCTTTTAGGAGAGCTTGAAAAAAGATTTTCAAGACCAGTGGCTATTATTTTCACAAGGACTATTTTGCCGAAATATCTTAAGTCTAAAGGACAACAAAAACGTCCTTATTCAAGAACACTCACTGCAGTCCATGAAGCTATTCTTGATGACTTAGTTTACCCAGCAGCTATTTTAGGTAAAAGACAAAGAATAAAGACAGACGGAAAAAGAGTCTACAAAGTATTGCTTGACCCTCGTGACAGAGAAAAATTTGAAGACAGACTAGACACTTTGAGTGCTATTTACAACAAATTGACAAACAAAGAACTTGTATTTGAATTTCCAGTGAGTAGAGAGTTCCCAGTTTAAGTAAACTTATACAAGATTCTAAAAATTAGTATTTTTCATAGTCGTAAATTATTTTCCATAAAATCAAATTTCTGCTAGAATTCAATTAATATCAAGAAGCAAACGCAATGCTGATGAGGCAATCACTTGAACCCAATAATAAAGGAGATGCTTTAAAATAATCTAGGAAGATACCAAGAAGCAGCTTTGAAAGCTTTAACCAAGCATAACAAAATCAATCCAAATGAAGCCGATTTTGTATTTATAAAGGCAATGAATCTTTAACCTTTTGAAAAAGATATCAAGAAGCAATGCAATGCTATGATGAAGCAAATCAAACTTGAGCTACTCCAATAATCCTTTAGAATTTTTGCAGCCGAGCTAGAGTCATTTTATAATAATCATATAAGCCCCTGATTTGTTTATTTACTTTAACCGAGTAAAAAGAAGAGCCAAAGGCGCTGAAAATCCAGAAATGTTTTAACTGAAGGCATAACCCAATTCCAAAGAACTATTCATCTTAGAAGAATTAGCAATAGAATTGAATTGATGATTCATGACAGTGAAAGTGAAAGTGAAGTAGAAGAAATCAAGATTTTAGAAGGAAAGGTCAGTATTTTACTTAGTTGGGTTCAAGATTTTAGAAAATTTAGAAGTTATAAGAACTGAAATGTGCATTTCTCAACTTCCAAATGGGCAATGCCAGAATTTCTAGGAATACCTTGATAATTGATAGCGATTATAGGCTTAGTAGGCTGCATATTTTTCTTGCCTCTCTTACAGATAGAATAGCAAATTGACAGTATTTTGGTAAAATATTACAAGATGATTAGTAGAGAGTTTCTTTATAAATTGACAAAAATAATTATAATTTGAAAAGATAAATTCTTTTGGATATGGGACTATAATAGACACCCATTTCAACTCTATAATATTTTTACAAATTTATTATCATATTTTTATTATTCTTTATTAAAAAACGATAATAAGCTTTCTACATTTTTAGTAATTTTATTCAATGAGCGCAAAGTTCACAGAAACTTTACGCTACATTAAAGAAGAACTTGCTCCTAAAATACTCGACAAAATTGAAAATGGAAATCCAGCAGATCTAGGATCCAATGTTTTTACTAATGCTTGCAATCTTGTTTACGAGGTGTCTGGCGGGGTTTATGAATTTGACTTGTATGAAGAATATGTCAATCTTGTCATAAATTATACTGAAAAAATAACCAAGCCAAGACTTCTTCAATCAGAAGGAAGAAATTTATTAGTTAATCTCTATAAATCATGAAAAAAGCACAAAGTTCTTGTCCATTGGCTCAAAAGAATATTTTATCATCTTGACACCTCGTTTATTCTTAAAGAATTTGAATTTACACCTATAGTTCCGATGGGATTACAGATATTTAAAACTGAGATATTTGATTATTCAAAAAGAAAAATCTGTAAAGCCCTTTTTGAACAAATACATAATGAAAGAGAAGGAAATGACAGCAATGCTAGCTGTGTGAGAAAATGCTTATCCTGCCTTCGAGAAATTTTTGTAAGCAATCCAAGTCTAACGAAAAGGAAAAATCAAAAGAAAATTATATGCGAAGGGATCCCCGATTATAAATTTTCTAAAAAAATTGTTGAAAACCCATATTTGCAGAAAACCAAGCTTTATTATGCTTCTAAGCCCATAGGATGAATGTCAAGCCTTTTGATTCCTACAAATTTCCAGGAAGCACTTAAAATATTTGAAGAAGAAGCAGATAAAATTAGAGATTATGAGGATTTACAAAATAAAGTTTTAAATATTATCGCTGAAGAGATTGTAAAAAGAGTTGCCTTGAGTTTAGCAGAAATGCCAGAAATTGGGAAAATAAGAATGTTTGATCAAGATAAAAGAGATGAAGTGAAAATGCTATTTGAGATTTTTAAAAACTATGAAATTATTTTTCAATCCATCATTCCTGAATTTGAGCTTTACATTGAAAAAAAGGGTTTAGAAATTATATCAGATGAAAAGCTTCAGCAAGATCCTATTGAATACACAAGATCAATACTAAAATATAAAGCAGAAATTGATGAGCTTATTAATTATTCATTTTCCAATCATTTTACATTCCAAAAAAGCAGCTCTTTTGCATTTCGAAATTTTATCAATAAATTCTCATGCTCAGCTTCTAATGTTGTCTATTATAGTGACTATATGATGAAAAAAGGACTTATTGGGCTTTCTGATATAGAAATTGATATAAGATTATCTGAAATTTCTATAATTTTTACATTACTATATGATAAAGATATATTTATTAGTCACTATGCTCGCTTTTTGGCAAAGCGGTTATTGGATAAGACTAGCATAAGCAATGATGCAGAACAAATATTGATTGAAAAACTTAAGGTTGAGGGCGGCCATGCAATTGTGAATAAAATTTACAGCATTTACCAAGATTTTTCTCTATCAGAAGTTATTACAGCTGAGTTTAATCAGAACTACAATCAAGACCGTCCTCATGAAATTCAATTTTCTGCACAAGTCCTAAAATCAGGGTGCTGGCCTGGGATATCGTCTGAGATTTGCTTATTACCTTATGAAATTCAAGTGCTAGCAAAAGAATTTTCTCTATTTTATAAACATAAATACGGTGGACGTAGTATTACTTGGACAACTGGATTAGGAACTTTTGAAATCTGTAGCTTGTTTTCGAATAAAAATTACAATTTTATAGTGAACCCTTATCAAGCAGTCATACTGCTTATGTTTAATAATGGAAATGCATATAGTGTCAGAGAATTGAGAGAGAACTCCAAATTAAGTGACAATACCTTTAAAGCCAATTTCATCAAATTTTTCAGCCCAAAATCAAAAATATTTAATAAAGAAAGCAAAGGGAAGACGCTAAATGATGAAGAATTGGTTACAATTAATGAAAACTTTAAAGCTGCAATGGTTAGAATTAATTGCATTCCTAAAAAAACAGTGAGAGTTACCAAGCCAAGCCATAATGAAGAAGTAGTAGTTATTTCTGAAAGAAAGCAGATGTTGGATGCTATTATTGTGAAGATTGCCAAAGCCAGAAGAGTTATAAAGCATCAAGAGCTGGTATCTGAAGTCCTCGAAGAAGTAAAGAGTTTTAAGCCTCAGCCTAACATGATTAAGGCACAAATTGAAAGCTTGATTGAAAGAGAATTCTTGGCTAGAGATGCTAATGATCTTTCAGCTTATAACTATATCCCATAACATCTCATATTAATAAATTTATAGTTATAATTCTGTGTAGTGGAATTAGTCTGATATTATTAAAAAGCTACTCCCACCTTTTAAGAAAAAACCTATTTAAAGTGGGTTAATTTTGTTTTTAAAAAGTTATATGGAATTTTTCTCACTAATCCAGCGATCGTCATCGTTAGATTAAGTATTGGGCGAAATAAATTCTGTAATAAAAAGGTCTCTCAAGCTTTAAAGTCAGATCAAACCCTACAAGCCTATCTGCTTCGAACAAGATACTGATATTACTAGAACGGCAGATACAATTCCAATCGATTGCAATGGGTATTAGGGGTGGAGCAAAGGAAAGCTAATAGTTGTGCTAACTGCCGACTCTTTGCTAAAAGCGGAGGTCATTTTCATAGCTAGGTTTCAAGGAAGATCAGAATTGAAGAGATTAAAGACTAAGCTATCGGCGCCATGCCAAAAACCATGTATTTTTGATAGTGTGATATTTCCTAGGGTCAAATCATTTGATAGCCATATATTTGGCCGAAAAAATCTTTAAATTTCAACCAAATAACTATTTAAAAATTTCCTTCGATGAAGCTCACACTATTATAAGCACACGATCATTGAGCTTATAACTAATCATTCTGATTATTCTAATTTTTTTATATAAAAAGTCATAAAAATTTTCGCTTTAGAATAAAGTTTTATCTTTTTGTTCCAATTAAAAGGGACATGAGAAGTTTTAAGTTTTCAACAATCTAGTGAGCTAGAGAAAATTTTATTATGCTGAATTAGTTACTAATGTGGCTTGATCTTTATTATTTGTTTATCTATCACTTATGTAAATATAGAAACCATTATTTAAATTATAATGTCTTATAGTTTGTATTAGTGATTAGCACTTTAAAGAATAAATTAAAACCTTAGTACTAAATCACCGTTTTAACTTTAATAACATGCTTGAAGACCTTATCTGCGTTTTCCTATCACTAAAGCCGATCATTGCTGCAGAAACGGTGCAATTATTTATAATCAGATAATATTATAATTATGATAGGTTCATTGCTTATGATTTTTCTTGGATTTTTTAAATTATTCGCATTTTCATTGAAATTAATAGCTATTCGCTCTTCTGTTCCAATTAATCCTTTTCACTGCTGCAAATCAAATTGAATGTATTAAATGAGAATTTGGCATAAGATGATGTCTCAGTCAAAAAAATAATACCTATTACTTTATAGCTTTCCCTATGCTCCACAGGTATAGCGGAAATCCTACTCTTGCTCCTCTGCCCACCGCATCTCGATAGACCCTGGCTGTTTTTTCACGTTTTAGTTGACACTATATCATTCTTATATGCCTAAAACCTTCTGCTTTTAAATTACTTTCCAATTGCCTCGTCAGTGCCTAGGCCATACTTCTCCATCACCTTTTTGCATCTCAAATGCAAGGCTAAAAGTAAAATCAACCCCTGATTTCTTGGAGATATCGAAAAGAAGGATCCATAGGCGTAAAGACGCTATACAGTGTATATTCTGCATCTCAATAGTAAGGCAGATTGAAATATCAGCAGCAATATGCTCTTTTCTTTTTGCAAGACTTAATAAAACAACTAATTATAATCATGTGATGAAATAATGAGCGATTGATGCATTATGCAATTTGATGCTATATAGGTCGAATTTTCTTAAAGCGATAAATCTTTATTTTACAAAGTTGTTACCTGAGATGCTTGCTTTAAAGTGAGATCGAACTTCTAGAGCTGATTTTGATGCTGAACAAAGTAAATGGAACCTTTATAATAAACGATACTTGAATGGTAAGCGTTAGCTGTAATGCTATTAGTTCCTATTTGAGTCCAACTTGAAAAATTGTTTTCACCGCTTTCGAAAATTCTTCCCACTTTCTCAAATACATATATTCTTCTGTTTCCTTTAAGTATCAATTTACAATAGCTAGCATTTAACGCCAAATTCGGAACCTCTTACTCCCCCCCCCCCCTCCGTGAGCGAACAAAACCATTAGAAAAATCGCCATTTTTTGACCAAAAACCCACCCTCCGTGAGTGAACAAAAATTTTTTTTAATAGAAAAAATTTTAATGGAAAAAAATTTTGATATATAAGTGATAATTAGTATAATGAAATCTAGAGCTAATTCTGTTTAATTTTAAACAAATTGCGTTTTAAAACATAAATTTTGCAAATTAAATTAATATTTGCTTCCCAATTTTTGCAAATTAGGATTTTTTTAAATTTCGAAAAAAATATTTTTTATAAAATTTATATATAAATTTTTTTTAAAAAAAAAATTAACCCCCCTCCGTGAGCGAACAAAATTTTTTTGTTCGCTCACGGAGGGGGGGGGGGGAGTTAGTAGTTATTTTGGGGAATGCTATAAACTATTACTTTTTGAAGACTATGGCTTGTTATAAATATTGAATCTCTAAATCGCGCATTGGAGCTATACTGAAAACTTAAACCTTGGGGTAGAGGAGCCATACTTTCTCACACATTTTGTTTAAAATCATACCTTTCAGCCAGATTATTGTTACCTCCTATTAAATAAACATAATTATTGAAAAATATAGGATTAACATGATAATTGATCTTTGAGTTTTGCAGCTGCTTTAAATTTTTATTTTTGTCGATCGTAAATGTGGTGCCTGAACTAGAATTATTATTGCAGCAATAAAAATAAGTTTTATCAGGAAGTATGCAGCTTCCTGTATACCCATGGATTGATTCTTGTGTTGGGAGAGTTACTGTAGAAAAAATCTGGAAATTATCTAAGTTTATAGTTGCAAAATTTGAAGAACTATGTCTGAAAAATGAAAGCTCGTTTGATTCAAATTCATCTTCTATTTCTGCTATTAAAGAAGCCATAAAAGGTCTTTTATAAATATTTTCAATAGCTTCATTTACTTCGTTGCAGCTTAATTTGCTTATGCTTCACCAGATCGTCTTTCGTTGAATGTCTGTAGCGTTTAATTTTAAAATATTTTCCATATTATCTTCAGTAACAATATCAAGAAACTCCCCTCCATTATATAAAATTTCAATCATTTTGTCGCATCTTGCTTCAGCCTCATTTATTTGATTGATATATTTCTCAAAAAAAAATTTCCATGACTTCTCCTCTTCCCTTTTTGGACTTGAGCTTAGCTTTGGTCGCCATTACATCTAAATTTATTTTATTTAAAAATATCATGGATTCCAAAGCACAAATGCTAGATATCGTTAACGACGACATAAAGCTCCATTGCATTACTCAAGCAATTTTTGCCGAGCACAATCGAAGTGATAACAACACAATCGGATTTGACCAATTCTACAGCATCATCAAAGCAATGAATCGAAACACAAGCTACAGGCCGCCTCGTAAAGGCGAAGTCAGAGAAATTTTCAAAGAAATCGACACTGATAATGACGGCTTAATCTCTTTTGAAGACTTCAAAATCCTAATTAGGCGCGTCCTTATGTGTGCTTTAGATATTTAATGCTAAAATAACACTTCATGTAGAATTTGTATTAAAATGGACGTCGTAGACAAAGAAAGACACTGCGAATTCATTTCTTTAGTCTACAAGAACAACGTCCCCCAGATCTATACCATACTAAGAGACTACCAAATTGACCCTTTTCTCCCTACAGACTCCAGAGGTTACTCTGCACTTCACGTGTGTGCATTAAATAACAGTACCACAATCGTGAAGTTTCTTATAAGATATGTCCAAGAATTCTATAAAGAAAAATCCCAAGAAATCATCCACAATTGGGTCAACCTCAAAAATTTAGACGGCTTTACCTGCCTTCACCTTGCAGTTTTCAGAGGAAATCTTGTAATTTATAATTAGAAACTTGTGAAGCTGTTAATTAATCTTGGAGCAGACCCAAAAGCAGTGACAGGCCATGGGCTTGGAGTGATTCATATAGCGGCTCAAAATGACCAGATTATGATGATGGTTTATTTTAAAAGTCTGGGGTTTATGCATGAAGATCAGGATTATAAAGGGGCAACTCCTTTGCATTGGGCTTCTTATATTGGCTCAGAAATGGCTACTTGTGTACTTTTATCGTGAGGAGTAAACCCGAACTGTAGGGACGAAGAAGGACAAACGCCTTTGCATTTGGCAAGTATTAATGGGAATGCAAGGATTGTGAGAAGTTTGTTATTAAAAGGAGCTGAGCCAAATGTATCTGATTCCAAAGGAAGGACTCCTACTGAGTTGGCAAGGGAAAACGGGTTTGAGTCCATTGTAAGCTTGCTGAATAAACCAGGGTGGCTATCTATATGTGGAATTAAGCCACCACAGAGGCCTGTAAAATATAGAAGAACTTTATTGGTTTTATTTTTAGGATTATTGATTTTTGGCTGTGTGTCAAATTTACTAGTGATCCACCAAAATTTGGAATTTTTTATATTAAACGGATTTGAGCTGTTTTTATTTTTTATTATTTGTCACAAAAATCCTGGGTATTTGAAGAAAAATCCTGAGACTACTTTGTTGTCTTTATGTGAGGAATATGAATGCAATCAAATTTGTCCAGAATGTATATTGAAAAGGATGCCGAGGTCTAGACACTGCCAGATTTGCAATAAATGTGTAGAAAAATTTGACCATCATTGCCCTTGGATCAATAATTGTATAGGAGGGAAAAACCTTGGACTTTTTTATATTTTTTTATTAGTAACGCTTATATTTTTGCTATGAAATTCATTTATGCAGCTGCAAATTCTTTGGCATTCTCAGTATTCTTCAATAATCGATTGTCCTCTATTAATCCAGCAAATTCTTTCAGGAGTTTCAGCGTTTATTTCTTTGGGATTTTTCATGCCGGTTTTGCTTTTATTTACTGTGCAAACCAAAAATATATGCTCTAATACAACGACTAATGAAAGATATTCGAGGACTGCAAGGGGAAGTTTGCAAGGCTATGAGAGATCGGATTCTGATACTTTGGTTAAAAGAGATAACTGTCTTAGGAATATAATTGAGATGTGCTGTAATTCTAATCAAATCAAGAGAGAAAATATAGAACTAAACGAGATGCTTGAAAATAACGATGTGCGGTACACTTGGGTAGCAAAAGAGTATGAATCATTAAAAAAAATGCTATTAGAGTAAGTTTAATATATTTATATATTTTTAGTACTATAAATCCCTTACTGCCCCCCATCCTTGATCGAACGATTGACTGTAAAAATTCCTAAAAATTGGATCCTTGATCGAACGATTTTTAATATCATGCAAATTTTTATATATATATAAAAATATATTAGTTATCAAAAGCTTGGGAAGATGCACCTAATGAAGTTGTTTTTAGAGCTTTAAGACAACAGAAAGTGCGGAATCAATCATCCGAAGTGATTTAGCCGTCAACCTAGGCTGAAAAACTCAATAATATAAAAAATAGAGATTCTTTAAAATTTAAAAAAACAATTTAATTCAGTAAGGAGCAAATTAAAATTTATACAGTTTAAAAGGGTAACTAATAAATCAAAAATATTAAAAATTGATATTTTATGAAATTAATTCAATTTTTTGCTGTAAAAATAATTATTAAATACTCTTAACCCTCTTATTTAAAAGTAAATAAAAAAAATATATATATATATTTTATTTTATATATATTTTTTTTTTCCCGAAAAATTTTTTTAACCCCCATCCTTGATCGAACGATGGCGAATCGTTCGATCAAGGATGGGGGGGAGTTATTAATTTTAGCTTGCACAGTGTTTTTTTATTAATCTGCGACAACTCTAAATTTTCGAAATAATATTCATTTTTGAATTTTATTAAAAATTTAGATTTCTTATATATGCAAATGAAACCCAATAGAAATAGAGCAATTGTATATAAGAGTTTCTTATTAAATTTAACTTGCTATGCATATTAATATGAAATTAACTTTGAGAACAAATTAATGGCAGAATTTAAATTTTCAGCCCAGCAGTGCACACCTCAAAATCTGGTACCATTAGCATTATTCAAATAATTGTTTTCTATATAAATTCCCTTTAAATTAATTTAAAGATTAGGAAATGGGTCTAGTAGAAGATTCACTGATATCTTCCTATTGTTCAGAATTTTCACTTGGTTTTTATTTTTATTTGTTTTCAGTCGATTTTTGATTATTGGCATATGCCCAATGCTATGATTTGCTTTAATAACCCTTGGCGTGCTAAATTCATTATGATCAAAGTTGAAAGAGAAATCTTCAATGATCTGAATTTCTTTCCGTCCTCGGGGCGAATAATGCTTTATTTTATTTGAATTATTTGTGATTTCAAACTTCTTTTTTAAAACTGGAGATTCGCATTGAATTGAATTTGGAATTTTTTGAGTTTCCAGAAAGTGGATTGGGCTTGTAAGCTTTCTCCTTACAAGAATAGTTTCGTCCATATTTTTATTATAAACTCGCCTAATTTTCATTAATTTTGCGCAAAAGCGCAGGTTTTTATATTGTTAGTTAATGTGAGTAGAATATTTGCTGATCTAGCAAAAATTATGATTATGTATTTTTTGCGACAGTAAATAAGGTAATAATGGTTGGGTTATTCCAAATTTTATATAAGAAAGTAATTCATTATCAATTATTAGAAAAATGATAACTTATGATACTCAGCAGTCTAGAAGACTAAAGAACAGCGATATTTTTGTTAAAAATTATTTAAAAGCTAGTGCTTCACTGCCTCATTTATCACCAGAAAATACTTACAAATTAAAATTGCCACCTGCTGCTTATGAAATTAATAAACGGAGTTCATCGAGATTAGAAGAGTTTGAAACTTTATTTTCAAAAGGATATATCTCTATTACATCTAAAAATCCAGAAAAAGAAATTTCTAACTTTTTATTTATTAACCAGACATAAATTACAAATTAATTTGATTTTTATATCGAAATTATATCAAATATTGTATATAATTAAACTATTTATGAAATTTGTAATATCCGTGTTTCATATTTTAAGGAAGGTTAAGTCCAAGCCACAGGTAAAAGTCTTTAAGCCTAATATAACTAACACAGAAAAAGCTAATGCAATATTTGAAATCTGTATTGGAAAAGGAAGATTACGAAAAACTATAAGTATTGGGTGCTTACTCCCTGTCCTCCCTCGACGTGAGAGTGAGAGAACAAAAAAAATTGTTTGCGTTAATATTTTTAGTAAAAATTTATCGTGTAAATTTTTTTGAATTTGATCAAAATTCATATAATTGGAAATTGAAAAAAAATTATACTTAAAAATGTAAACTTAACAGAATTGTCTACAAAAATTATCATTTATATATCAAAATTGTTTTTTTTAGGTATTTTTTTACCCCAAAATTAGAGATTTTTCCAATGTTTTTTTTTATTTGCTCACGAGGAGAGGAGTTAGTAACTCAATCTATAGCTTTAACAACAAACTTATCAGTCTCGTCTCAATTAGATGCAGAAAGATACCAACTTGTATTTTTTGATCCCTTACAATCAGAAAGCTGTTTTAATCCTTCAGAATTTTTTTACACTGACCCTATTCTCAATTTTACCTTGGTAGCAGTCGATAAAACTCCTATAACAATGAATAAAAAATGCTATTTTCCAATAATAAGAAATTTTAATCTATCAGAAGGCTCAAAAGTTGTAACTTATTTCCAAGGGTTTGAATATGCAGATATTGACATGATAGAAGACGATTATTTTTATTTTAATTTATTTTCAAAAAACCCAAATGGTGCGCCATTATTTACAGAAAAACTAGACTTTCAAGGAATTCAGGTGGTTGCAACACCAAACTACACCACAAAGCAGGCACTCAGAACTGATGCCATTTTTAAATCGCTTTGAGATATCAGATATAAGCTTAAAAACCAAGAATTAATTGACATGCTCGAAGAATCGGAGCTTGAAGAAAAGCCAAATAATCAGCACGGCCACGATTTTTTCTGATTCGAGTGGCTGACCACCAATATTTACTATTTTAATTTTACAAAACAAACATGAAAAAAAATAAAACCAGAAAATTCACGAGAAATTAATAACTGACTCCCCCCCCCCCCTCCGTGAGCGAACAAAACCATTAGAAAAATCGCCATTTTTTTGACAAAAAACCCACCCTCCGTGAGTGAACAAAATTTTTTTAATAGAAAAAAATTTTAATGGAAAAAAATTTTGATATATAAGTGATAATTAGTATAATGAAATCTAGAGCTAATTCTGTTTAATTTTAAACAAATTGCGTTTTTAAAACAACAAATTTTTTGCAAATTAAATTAATATTTGCTTCCCAATTTTTGCAAATTAGGATTTTTTTTAAATTTCGAAAAAAATATTTTTTATATAAAATTTATATATAAATTTTTTTTTAAAAAAAAAAATTAACCCCCCTCCGTGAGCGAACAAAATTTTTTTGTTCGCTCACGGAGGGGGGGGGGGGGAGTGAGAGAATTGGCACTTCAATTGAAATAACAGACTAGGAATTGACCCCAAAGGAAATTGAATAATTGCAGGAGGCATTGAAAATAGCAATGGAAATCCAAGCAATGAAATTTTTTTATACAAATCAGAATCAAATATTCTACAAAGGCTGCCTAATATGCTTGAGCCAAGGGAAGAATGCTCAGTTGTATGCATTTCTCATTTCATTTATATCCTAGGAGGTAAGAACAGCAATGCAAGCTGTGAAAGATATAACAGAAATCTAGAAGAATGAGAATTAATCTCACCTATGATTTATGAAAGGTATGGCCATGCTGCCCATGCAATGAACGCTGAACAAGAAATTTTTGTTTTTGGAGGAAATCCATATGAAATTGCAACTACAATTGAGAAATATAATATAGGTGATGAAAAATGAGAAGAAATTGAATTGAGGCTTTCTGAGCCATTTATACAAGGAGGGTTATATAAAGTAAATGAGAATAAATTGATATTGTTTGGTGGAGCCTATTCTAATCAAGTTAATGTATTTCAAATAAATGAAGAATCATCAAAAAATACCCAAGAAGATAGCTATAAATACTCAATAAATAAAATTAAAAAGCTAGCCGAAAATATTCAAACATTTTTCCCTACATTTTTAGATTGAAGCCAGAATTCTATAATCATTATGAATGGAACTGAAAACTTTAACAATTTTCGGGTATCCAAATACTCCTTTGACAACTATACCGCATTTGAAAGAAAAATTAGTAAAGCAAAGAAAGGTCCTCAATCATATCGACGGTTCCCAGAATTAACTATTTTGCATTCCGCACGATTTTTGCCTCCACTATCAAACAAATATGCTTCAGTACCTATTTCATGGTCTCCAAAATTTTCATACAAAGGGTTTTATTATTAAGTGCTAGCTTAATTATTACTTACTCCCCCCCCATCCTTGATCGAACGATTGACTGTAAAAATTCCTAAAAATTGGGGAAATTAACCCCAATCCTTGATCGAACGATTTTCATATCATGCAAAATTTTATATATATAAAAATATATTAGTTATCAAAAGCTTCGGAAGATGTGCCTAATGAAGTTGTTTTTCAGAGCTTTGAGACGACAGAAAGCTGCGAAATCAACCATCCGAAGTGATTTAGACATCAACATAGGCTTAAAAGCTCAATAATCTAATAAAATAGAGATTCTTTAAAATTTTAAAAAAATATTTAATTTAAATTAAAATTTATACAGTTTAAAAGGGTAACTAATAAATCAAAATATTAAAAATTGATATTTTTATGAAATTAATTCAATTTTTTGCTGTAAAAATAATTATTAAATACTCTTAACCCTCTTATTTAAAGTAAATAAAAAGGGGGTCTATATATATCTTTTTCATTTTATATATAAAATTTTTTTCCCCAAAAAAATTTTTTTTAACCCCCATCCTTGATCGAACGATGGCGAGTCGTTCGATCAAGGATGGGGGGGAGTTAGTATCCCACAAGAAATAAAATGCGACCTCGATGGAAATTGGCCAAAGAAGCACTACCTGAGCAGGTAGGATCCATGCTGATGAAGCTGAAAACAGGGCCTCTATCCATTTTGAAGTAGGTCTTCAGGCTTGGGGAAGAGGGAAATTTTGTTTCTCCCCAAAGGTTTTCCTGTCAGATGGGCTAGACAGGTTTTGTCTTTCACATAGTCTTCGTTTATCGGGATTATCGGGCATCCTACATTGGGTGGCTCTAGAGGGGTCTCTCCGGAAAATTCAAGAGGGTGGAATTTTGACTGTAGCATCATATTACTCTGGTGTCTATGCACCCCGCGTAGGTCACGTTTCCTGAAATCAAGGTAGTCCAGCTAGTTGGGAGTCTGTCATGGTTGTGTAAAATATTAATCTTAATCTTAGTATCCCAGAAATCGAAACCATTTTAATTCATAAAGTTTGAGTATATAATTAATTTACTTTAGTATAATAAAATACATGTTAAATTAAGTATCAGCTTTTACTTCTTCGGGCTCATCATTGTTTAAAAAATTTTAAAAATGGAGCCAGAAGAAGCTCAGAGTGCCATTCCTTCATCGACAATCATGACGATAAATGTCCACAGACTATCTAGCCTATTGATTTTTTTACATATTCATTATTATAAAATTTAGGTTTTATTTTTTTGTTGTAATGTCAAATATCGGCCAAAAAAAAATCTATCGATTCCCTGCACCTGGCGGAAGGTCCGGAGCTTTGCCAGCATATTGGGCTTTTCACTAGGTCCTTGAAACGTACAGCAGCAAATTCATGATGACTCTTCGAAATAAAGGGTGCAAGGAGACTTCGTGTTGAGCTGGGGACGTGAAGGTAGCCCAAACAATCATCCCCAACCGAGTTCCCCTCTGGAGTAGGATGTGCAACCGCTAGATTTTGGATTCAGAAGGAATAGGGATCCTTCTGAGAAGTTGTGACGTCACCAAATTTTATAAGTCATCATAAGAAGAAAATTTTTCCAAGTTTTACAAGAATTTTTTTTTAAGTGGGCCTGAAAAAAAAGCTTTAGAAAATTAGCAATAAAGGGTTTTAATTAATATAAAACTCTCCTTATGGCTCATCATGCTGCTCATCTTCTTCATCACTCATTTCTTCAATAATAGGATCGCTATATTGAAACAGCTCTATCGCCCCTTTTTCTTTCAATAAATCCAGCAAAACCGGCCCATCCACACAGGAATGAAAAATAAGCTCAAACCTGTTTTCTGGTATTATTTCACTTACAAGCCCAGTTGCCGTTCTTTTTTGAGTAGAATTTGGTTCTTGGAAAATAGAATCCAACGCAATCCTAAATGCATTTTCCAGCATTGAAGGAATAATCCTTCCTAAATGAGTTGATGAAAGCTCAAGGCATGGGTTTGTATTGACCTCTAGCAGCCAAGGCTTTAAATCTTCATCCAATAAAAAGTCATACCCAAATATTTCAAAGGTATGGATCCTATGGTTCGGGTCAAGCTTCAAATAAACTGCTTGAATTGTATCCTTTACCATTGTTCTGATAACAGGCAATACTTCTTCATTAAAATTTCTTTTTTTGTCATTGCAGTTTTTATCAAGGTACCTTTGAAAATCTGAATACGTCATTTTATTACCATTTTCATATTTCCCATAATCCTCAGAATTTTTTTGAACAGCGTCATTTGTAAGGTGGATATATTTATTTGTTATATTGCTGATAGAGAACCCTTTAGAAGCTGTCCTTAAATATCCTTCATTATAAAAATAGCCTTGGACGACACCATTGTAGCATGTAATTAGTGCATAGCACCTTATATCAAATTTTCTTTTATTTATAAGAAATGGCCTCTCTATGTATTTTTGTACAATAAAAGTATGTTTTCCTGTGCGAGGACAAGGGTTATTTTTTAGTTCTTGTTTCACTTGGTCAATGCTTGCACATACATTAATCCCAGTTCCTCTATTTGTGTTTTCCCCTGGCTTTACAATCCAAACATTCAAGGGTTTTTTCCCTTGGTCTTCTCTTTGTGAAATTTCATTAAATGCTTGTTCAAATTCAGCAAAAGTGGGGTCTTCTTCCCCATCTTTTATATGATAAGTAATTGGGGTGTAATTAAATACATTTTCTCCTATAGCTGTATAATATTGTTTCAAATTTATAAATAATGCTTTTTTATTTGATAAATGGTAGTTTCTCTCAAGCTTGTTATGCATTTTTATTTCATTGCAGTTGTAGGTTTGGCTGCATGACAAATGTGAGTAGCTTGCGGCTTTTGTGATTGCATCAAAGCCTAAAGGAGTTAAATCAACAATTTTTATTTGCTGGGAGCTTGTGGAGGAGGCTGGGTCTAAATATCTGACGTTGGTAGAAATTGTGATTGGAGGGGTCGCTTCTAGTTGATGCTCAATTTCTGGAGGTAAAATTGGCAATTTTTTTAGGAAATCACGGTCTTTTCATTGGGTTCATATCAAATTTGCAGAGTCTATGTCTGCTTCTTCAACTCTTGACCACCAATATCTAGTGCTTAAGCATTGCTTTACTAATGCTGAATTATTTCCTTTTCCTAAATAATATTTATAACTCTCCCCCCCCCCTCCGTGAGCGAACAAAACCATTAGAAAAATCACACATTTTTTGACCAAAAACCCACCCTCCGTGAGCGAACAAAAATTTTTTTAATAGAAAAAAATTTTAATAGAAAAAAATTTTGATATATAAGTGATAATTAGTATAATGAAATCTAGAGCTAATTCTGTTTAATTTTTAAAAACAAATTGCGTTTTAAAACATAAATTTTGCAAATTAAATTAATATTTGCTTCTAATTTTTGCAAATTAGGATTTTTTTAAATTTCGAAAAAATATTTTTTATAAAAATTTATATATAAATTTTTTTTAAAAAAAAAAAATTAACCCCCCTCCGTGAGTGAACAAAATTTTTTTGTTCGCTCACGGAGGGGGGGGGGGGGAGTAAGTAAAATAATTCTCTGTAGGGGTTACAAGTGTCATCCCATTGCTCCAGTTTAGCTGCAAGGCAAAATCTTTTAAGATTTGGCCTTTTGCTTTTCCAAGCCATTCTTTGTCTCTCATTGTTTCTTTAACCGAAATTTTTTCAATTTTTTTGAAAACAGGCTTGCGTGGCTGAGGGGTCAGGGTTGATTTTCGCACCTCAACTTGCTTTGCAGGCTTTAAGATAATTTTATAAGTAATTTTTACCGAAATTATTTTTTTGGCAATTTTTTAAATATAAATTTATATACCCATTTTGCAGGCGTTTTTGTCTGGCTCACAAAAGGAGCTCCATTTGTCTTCGGCTTTCTCAAATTATATGCTTCATAAGCTGCAATTTTGCTTTTTTTAATTATCAAATAATTCGACTTGCTTGGGATTTCTGATTTGCTTTTAAAAGTCTCAATCCCATCAATGCTGTTCCCTTCTTTTTTCCTTTCATCTTTTCCCCCATCTTCTCCTGCTGAACTTAGTCCTGTAACCTTTTCATCAATAAAAGAAATATTTGTGGCATCATTTTAATCGGTATATTTTCCTCATTTCTTATAATTTTCTTTTTTTTCCAAATATTTTATAGTATTTTAACTTTTTTTCTAAATAAAATCTCACAAGAAAAATCTGACCAAAAATTAAGGAAACGTCGCACGAGAAAATTGTTCAGTCAAATGTCATGCGCGGATTTGTGGCATATTTGATCTTGTTTATTTGCATTCCATGCTTTAACAAGTTCGCATGGGATTTGTTGTCTTTACTCGGAATCGAGTTCCTAGGCCACAGGCTTTCGACATCTGGAGTATTTGTGGTAGATTTTATGATTTTCCGCTCAATCCGAGGGGTCAGGCCAGTCCTTGGTTTTGATCTGCCGAGGAGTTTTTTTACTTTGTGAGGATAAACTGTGATTAATGGGGAATCTAAATTTTGAGGTATTTGTGAAACTCTTGAAGAGTCAGCTGTGCTGATACCTAGAAGTCTGCGAGATGCAGATGGGTACTTTTTATTACGGTTAAAAGGGGAAATTGTACGAAAAACTGTAAACTCAGACATTTATATAGATTTTAGGTAGTAATTTTGTTAAGAAATCAATTAAGTGCAATTATATAAAGAATAATTAGAATATTTAATAATCACTGAGATTATTAAGGGTTATAATTACTTGTCATATGACGTTTCAAGCTTTGACTGCCTTTATGAATACTGCTTGCAAGATGCGATGCTGGCTTATTATCATCTGTATGTATTTCAGTTTTGAATGGAACCAAAATAATTACAAATCTCCACACAATTGGAACAAATCCCCAAGCTATACAAATAAACCACTGCTCAACAGTAAGACCGTCTAAATGGCAGCCCATAGCCCAACTCCCGACTTGGATCATAATAACTTGTACGCCAAAAGTGAAGAACCATATAATAATAAACAGCCAACTTTGAAGCATATTTGACATGATGTTCCATTCCTCCAACAGTTTCCTTGAGTTTATTTCATTGAATAATTGAAATAGCACAAAAACGTTGAAAATAAAAGTCATCATCCTGCTTGGGCCTATATCAGGATCATTGTATAAGTCATAGTAATCTTTTTCACCATCAAAATGATAGTCTCTTCCTGACCTTACGTAATCTTCACTCTTTGGGTTGTATAAAATTCTTTTTCCTGAGCCATATTCAGGAATGAAGTATTCTCCTGCGTACATCATAGCAAATAATATAGCGATCTGTATTATTGCTTGACCAAAAATTTGCTTAAACATTCTTGGGGTGATTATAAAATCTGACAAATTGTGAGGCTTTCTCATAAGCAATGCGTCTGTTGGGGGTTCAGTTGCAAGGGCTAAAGAAGCAAAAGTGTCCATAATTAAGTTGACCCAGAGAAGTTGAACAGCTGTTAATGGAGATTGCTTGATAGTGACAGCTCCTATAATAGCGCATGTGACAGCTACAACGTTCACAGTAAGCTGGAACTGAATAAATCTTTGAATGTTATCGTAAATGCTTCTTCCCCACATCACAGCTTTTACAATTGAATTGAAATTGTCATCGAGTAAAATGATATCTGCAACTTCTTGTGCGAGCTCTGTTCCAGCAATTCCCATAGCAAACCCTACATTTGCTTTCCTGAGAGCTGGGGCATCATTAGTGCCATCTCCTGTAACAGCAACAACACTTCCCATTTGCTTTAGTCCAGTCACAAGTGTATATTTATCTTCAGGCTGAGATCTCGCTAACACGTCAAGATGTCCAATGATCCTTATATACTTTAAAATGGCAGCCCTTTTTCTCAACCCCTGTAGCCAACGTCCCACAGGGGGTGGGGACCTTGTGGAAGGGAAATTGGAGCTCGGATGGTATATCAGGCCAGGCTTTACTTGGCTTGGTGGAGCGCAATGTTGAGTTTGGTTAACCGCAGCTCATTCCAGGTCAAGGTTTTTACCTCTTTTGGAAATGGTATTTAGAGTCGAAAAGGAGTAGCTCAACAGTACCAAGGAGTACTAATTGGTCCATCAGGTTTTTCCCTAGCGCGATACTGGGCATTGCGTCCCAGGCTTTGGATTTCCATTTTGGTCGACAATCCGACCAGAAAATTCAATCTTTCGAATTTTCGGAAAAGGTAGCTCAGTTGGCGTACGGCACGGTGATACAGCTCATCCGACTACAGGTAGCGAGTGCACATCCTCGTCTGTAGGAGCGAAGTTTTGAAGGCTGTAAGACGATTGGTAGTGAGCAGCCGAATGGAAGATTAGGGATGAAGGTAGGCCTTAGTTGAGAATTCCGGTCAATTTTTCATATAATTAATTAATGTTAATGTCCAATGATCCTCTTAAAATTGTCAAAGTTCCCAACTACATCATTTCTAACTTTTTTATCTCCAGCATTTTTAGAGTTTCTAGGACAGTCGCATAGCTCAGTTTTGCATTCTTCACAGATAACTCCGCCGACTTCTTTTCTGAAATCTTCTCCAATCATAGCTATACTGTTATCATCAGCAATTCCTATACTTCTGGCAATAGCTAAAGCAGTTATAGGGTTGTCACCTGTAACCATTCGGACTTTTATAAAAGCATTTTTACAATCTTGGATAGCTTTGGTTACTTCATCTCTTGGAGGGTCGTAAATTCCGAAAATCCCCAGCAGTGTCAATCCATTTTTTTCAAGAACTGGGACACCTTTTTTGTCAACTTCGTTTAATTTATCCATGTCGTCTGCAGAGAGATCTTTGAAAGCAATTCCAAGAGTTCTAAGACCTTGTCCAGCCATTGTTTCAATGTCTTTCTTTAAGCTTTGTCTTCTATCTTCGTCTACATCAACGCAAATAAAATGGCTACCACTCTGGCCTGTTCTTCTCCCACAGCCTCGGGCTTTGTGGGTTTAAGAGGGCCGGAGCCTGGAGGATTTGTGCCCCGGGTAGGTTTTTTCCACTAGCTAGGACACCAAGGCAAGGCTTTTTTTACCTCGACCTATGACAAGTAGATCAGAGTCGCAAAGACAACCCACACTCCTGGCAGCGAAGGTATCAATTGAGAGCAGGAGGAGGCTTCAGAGCACCTACCTTCTTCCACCTCCGGACGGACGAGCTGATCGTTAGGGTTTTCAAGGAAGTGCCTGGGTGCATCACCCCGAGGACGGCGATGTCACTATTTTTGTGACGTCGGCAAAAATGGCGTAAGTGCTACCCATGCACAGGGCGCAAGCCTGAAGTGGGGGAGGAGGCGGGATAGTGGGCTGAAATAATCCGGCAGAGACTCTTTAATCTAATATAATCTAAACATCTACATCAACCAAAGTAGCATCTAAAGTCAATTGTTTTTTGCTTGATTTCACAAGATACTCCGAAGCTCCAACGACATATATTCTTACCAGGTCTTCTGAGTATCCAACAACAACGCTTCCTCTTTTCCTTTTTGAGGCAAATGGATTTGTCACAAGAACGCTTTTTTGGACATTCTGTCTGATTTGCATATAATCATCATGTCCAAGTCCTAACAGCATCTTGACCATGGCTAATTCAGTTTTAGACCCAATTTCCTTAGGTTTTCCAAAATCATCTGTTTCAAGCCTTGCAGTAGAGGTCAAACATATGGCATCTTTTAAGAAAGCAAAGTAATCTTCATGCTTCTCAAACATGGTCTTAAATTTAGGCTGATCATAAAGATTTCCATCAACTGAGTATCGTTGGACTTCCATGACATTTTTAGTTAGTGTTCCAGTCTTATCTGAACAAATGCAGTCTGCACCTCCCATTGTTTCGCAAGCATGAAGTCTTTTAACTAAATTCATGTCCTTTTGCATTTTTCTAACTGAGTAAGCAAGAGAAATTGTGACTGCAAGAGGAAGACCTTCTGGGATAGCGACAGCAATTACAGTTATTCCTACAATTACGGCATAGATCAAGTCAGTTATGCTGTCTCCAGTGTCCCATTCATTAGCTCCAGTGCCAAGTTCAATTACAAATCGCAGCCACAATATTAAAACGACAAAGACACCTGCTCCTAAGCCGAGTCCTGAAATTCTATCAGCTAAATTCTCACTCCCCCACCCTTTAAATTGTAACCAAAAATTTTGTTCCAATTTAAAGGGGGGTTAAGACAATTTTTTTATTAAAAAAATCAATATAAAATTTTTTTAAAAAAAAATTTTAAAAATTTATCGAATTAGATTAATAAATTTGTTTAATAAAGTGCTATTTACTCTTTATCATTTAAAAAAAAAAGATATAACTAAAGTTTTATTATTAGTTAATACGCCACTATTAATTGGTATCAAAACTATTTACACAAAAATTATTATTTTTATTGATAAACAATTTTTTATAAAATTTATCGATCAAAGTGCTAATTTTGTTTATATAAGATGTTATTATACTCTATTCTTTAAAATAAAGTAAGAAATAAGTAAATTTTGAATTTTTGTAAAGAATTCCATTGAATTTATATCAAAATTATTTAAATAAAAAATAATATTTTTATCGAAAAAAAATCAATTTTTTTTTTAAAAATTTATCAATTAAGGATAATAAATTTATTTAAATAAGATGCTCTTTATGTTCTCTTCTTTAAACAAGAGCAAGATATGACTAAATTGTTAATTTTAGTTAAGAAGAAACATTTAACTTATATCAAAACTTTTTACACAAAAATTATGATTTTTATCTATAAAATGTTTTATTATAAATTGAATTTTGTTCCAATTTAAAGGGGGGGTTAATTTACCAAAAAAATGGAAATTTTACGACATTTTGTTCCACTTTAAAGGTGGGGAGTCAAGCTTAATTTCCAAAGGAGTCATTTCTTCATCTTGTTCTGCAAGACCTGAAATTCTTCCTTCTTTTGAGTACTGTCCAACAGCAATTGCGACCATTTCCCCACTCCCTTCAACTACATTAGTTCCTGAAATTACAATAGGTGAAGGGATTTCTCTTTTTGCGTGATCTCCTTCAGCTCTTGTTCCTTTTTTCATCCATTCTTTAAGTCTCTTTAAGCACTCTTCGTGACCTTCTTTATCAACATTATCATTTTCACCAGTAAGAGCAGACTCATTTGTCTGTAATCTTTGAGCTTTAATTAGAATCCCATCAGCAGGGATAATTTCTCCTTGAACCAGCTTTACAATGTCCCCAACTAATATCTCGCTTGGGTGCAGAGTAAGAATTTGTCCTTCCCTTATAACTGATAAATGAGCCCTGTTTTTGTGCATATTCTTCAGCTCAGAAAACTTTTTTTGTTTAAAGTAGTTGTTTGTTGATGATACCATCACAACAATGAAGACGGCCATTAAAATAGCAAACCCTTCGATCCACGCGTATTCTGGATGATCTTCAAGTGTAGCGCCAATAATAAGACTTAACGTCCCCATGACCAGAAGGATTCTGAGGATCTTGTCACCTAGGGCATCCCAGCAAAGCTCGCAAAAAGTATCATTCTTTTTTTCTTCCCTTTTATTTGACCCGAAGGCATTTATTCTTTCTTCATTAATATCTGCGGCTTTGAGGCCTGTATCGAATTGCACGCCCAAAAGATCTTGAAAGGCATCAATTCCTCCACGCTCTTCAATTTTGGTAATTTCTTCATCGAATTTCCGATCCATATATGTATCGACTAGCACAATTAGCTCTTCCTTTGCAATAAACTTAGAAGAGGCTAACAGTGTTCTTGATGCTTGTTCTGGTTGTTCAGCCATATATTGATTATAGGCCTTCAAATATTGTACGAAAGAAATCAACACAAGGGGAAAAGAAGCAGCGAGAATCTAATTAGAGAAAGTTTATAAGCAGGACAAATGAATTTTGTAACTCCCCCTTCCGTGAGCGAAACAAAATTATTAGAAAAATCCCTATTTTTGGACCAAAAACCCACCCTCCGTGAGCGAACAAAAATTTTTTTTAGTAGAAAAATTTTGTATGGAAAAACAAATTTATATATAAGTGATAATTATTATAATGAGATCTATAGCTAATTCTGTTTAATTTTAAATAAATTGCGTTTTAAAAACATAAAATTTTATAAATTATATTAATATTTCCTTTCCAATTTTTGCGATTTAGGATTTTTTTTAAAATTTCAAAGAAAGATTTTTTCTATAAAATTAACCCCCCTCCCTCCGTGAGCAAACAAAATTTCTTTGCTCGATCACGGAGGGGGGGAGTAAGGATATTTTTGAATTCGGAAATTTTTGGTAAAGATTTTTTTGAGGGTGATGTTTTTATTTCTAACAGAAATTCACTGTCTTCTAGGAAAAGTGAAGAGAAGGGATTTCAGTAAAATTTCAGAAACAAAATTTCAAAATTGGATAAGATTATTGATTTTAGTCTAGATCATTGGAGGCTTGTACTCCAAAAATATTGCAGTAACTGATATGTTTTTAAGCCGCAACAAGATAATCTGCACTGATGAGAAAAAGAATAGAGGTAGATATTGAATCCTTAATCGATTAGGGAAAACCCTAAGAAGAAGCTTAAGTGAAGAAGAAAATTTTGTATGGGCACAAAATAGAAGTTGACTATTTAACCGCAGAAAATGAGCGATTCAACCATTAATTTGAAGGTAATTTATTTATCTTTAAGCAAGTAAATTTCTTTAAGATACTATTGACTATCCCAAGTTTTTATAATTAGCTTGCAATTTTTTTACCTCCATAATTCATTCTAATCCATCATTTGAGATAGAGCAACGTTATTTAAAAGCGATATCTCTAAAGAAATTCTGCTATTTAGAATTTATTCCAAACTATAGCTATAAATTTAATTGTTTAAACATCTTTAAATGGTGGACAGCATTATGATTATTATTATTATTATAGATTTGCCTTAAATTCAGAAAAGAGCATCACATAAAATTAAATAAATTAATAAAGAAAAACCAGCAATAATCAGGAAATAACCACTCAAAATTATAAAAATTCTGGAAACGAAAATTTTTTAATTATTTATATAAAGAGGAAAGGAGAAGAAATAATCTTTCAATCTTTTTTTGCTTGGCTATAAACTCATGCAATAATATTTATGTTTTATTTTTTGAATTGAAATAATGACCATAATATTTTACGTGATATCTAAGATTTTAGTTAAATATTTATTCAAGCAATTATATAAAGAATAATTAGAATATTTAATAATCACTGAGATTATTAAGGGTTATAATTACTTGTCACATGGCGTTTCAAGCTTTGACTGCCTTTATGAATACTGCTTGCAAGATGCGATGCTGGCTTATTATCATCAATTTGTATTTTTGTCTTGAACGGAATCAAAATAATCAAAAATCTCCATACAATAGGTACAAATCCCCAAGCTATACAAATAAACCACTGTTCAACAGTAAGGCCATCTAAATGGCAACCCATAGCCCAGCTGCCAACTTGAACCATAATAACTTGTACGCCAAAAGTAAAGAACCATATGCCCATAAATAGCCAAGTATGACAAATATTTCCTAAAATTCACCATTCATCAAGTAATTTCCTCGAATTTATTTCATTGAATAATTGAAATAGCACAAATACATTAAAAATAAAAGTCATCATTCTACTTGGACCTATATCAGGGTCGCTAGAGTAGTCATAGTAATCTTTTTCGCCATCAAAATGATAGTCCCTTCCTGATCTGACGTGATCTTCACTCTTTGGGTTATACAAAATTCTTTTTCCTGAGCCATATTCAGGAATGAAGTATTCTCCTGCGTAAAACAATGCAAATAATATAGAAACTTGCATAATAGCTTGGCCAAATATGTGCTTAAACATTCTTGGGGTTATAATAAAATCTGTTAGGTTGTGAGGTCTTCTTTTTAATAAAGCATCTGTTGGAGGCTCAGTTGCAAGGGCTAAAGAAGCAAAAGTGTCCATAATTAAGTTGACCCAGAGAAGTTGGATTGCCATAAGTGGAGATTGCTTGACTGTAACAGCTCCTACAATAGCGCATGTGACAGCTACAACGTTCACAGTAAGCTGGAACTGAATAAATCTTTGAATGTTATCGTAAATACTTCTTCCCCATTTTACAGCTTTTACAATCGAACTGAAATTGTCATCAAGTAAAATAATATCGGCGACTTCTTGAGCTAGCTCTGTCCCTGCAATTCCCATAGCAAACCCTACATTTGCTTTTCTGAGAGCTGGAGCATCATTAGTGCCATCTCCTGTAACAGCAACAACACTTCCCATTTGCTTTAGTCCAGTCACAAGTGTATATTTATTTTTCATAATAATAATAACGGAGACTTATTTGAAATTTCCTACTGGACTCACTTTGTTATGATGAAGTTCAGTTTTCCAGAGAATCCTGACCTAGCAACACCATTTAAGTGACGGGGTTAAATTGGAACAAAAATCCTGTACCAATTTAAAGTGAGTTCAATTATGTTTTTTAAAAAAAATTATATTAATTTTTTCTTTATAAAAAAATCTTAAAATTTAATTAAAATAGATTAAATAGGCCACTAATTAATATTTTCACCAAAAAAAATTCCTATTAATACAAAAACCTATTTTAATTTAAGGGGGTTCAAAATACCAAAAAAATAGGAAATTTCCTATATTTTGATTCAATTTAAAGAGGAGGTGACATACATTTAAGTGAAGCACACGCAGGAGCTTAGAATATGTGACGAAAGAGCTCAAAGTGAGACGCGCAACTGGGCTGGTGGGTCTTCTTTGGAAAGTCTTCCCCATATTTGATTCAGGATAATGGCCCATGAGGTCGCTAATTATTGGCAAGTTCCTATTTTTGTTAGTGGAACTAGAAACTATAAACAGTAATTTATTATAACTTGCATATTTATCTTCTGGCTGAGATCTCGCTAGCACGTCAAGATGTCCAATAATCCTTTTAAAACTGTCAAAGTTCCCAACTACATCATTTCTAACTTTTTTATCTCCAGCATTTTTAGAGTTTCTAGGACAGTCGCATAGCTCAGTTTTGCATTCTTCACAGATAACTCCGCCGACTTCTTTTCTGAAATCTTCTCCAATCATAGCTATACTGTTATCATCAGCAATTCCTATACTTCTGGCAATAGCTAAAGCAGTTATAGGGTTGTCACCTGTAACCATTCGGACTTTTATATAAGCTGTTTTACAATCTTGGATAGCTTTGGTTACTTCATCTCTTGGAGGGTCATAAATTCCGAAAATCCCCAGCAGTGTCAATCCATTTTTTTCAAGAACTGGGACACCTTTTTTGTCAAATTCGTTTAGTTTGTCCATTTCATCTGCTGCCAAATCTTTGAAAGCAATACCAAGAGTTCTAAGACCTTGTCCAGCCATTGTTTCAATGTCTTTCTTTAAGCTTTGTCTTCTATCTTCGTCAATATCTACCTGTGTAGCATCCAAAGATAGCTGCCTTTTGCTTGATTTTACAAGATATTCAGAAGCTCCAACGACATATATCCTTACCAGGTCTTCAGAATACCCAACAATGACACTTCCTCTTTTCCTTTTTGAAGCAAATGGATTTGTTACCAAGACACTTTTTTGAACATTTTGCCTAATTTGCATATAATCATCATGTCCAAGAGATACTAACATCTTAATCATAGCCAGCTCAGTTTTAGACCCAATTTCGACTGTATCATTTTTTTTATTTTTTTCAAGTCTTGCAGCTGATGTTAAACATATAGCATCTTTTAAGAAAGCAAAGTAATCTTCATGCTTTTCAAAAAGACTCTTAAATCTGGGTTGGTCATATACAGATCCATCAACTGAGTATCTTTGGACTTCCATGACATTCTTTGTGAGAGTCCCAGTTTTATCTGAACAAATGCAGTCTGCACCTCCCATTGTTTCGCAAGCATGAAGTCTTTTAACTAGGTTTTGCTCTTTTTGCATTTTTCTAACTGAATAAGCAAGAGAAATTGTGACTGCAAGAGGAAGACCTTCTGGGATAGCGACAGCAATTACAGTTATTCCTACAATTACAGCATAAATCAAGTCAGTTATGCTATCTCCAGTGTCCCATTCATTAGCTCCAGTACCAAGTTCAATTACAAATCGCAGCCATAATATTAAAACGACAAAGATGCCTGCTCCTAAGCCGAGTCCTGAAATTCTATCAGCTAAGTGTTCAAGTTTAATCTCCAAAGGAGTCATTTCTTCATCTTGTTCTGCAAGACCTGAAATTCTTCCTTCTTTTGAGTACTGTCCAACAGCAATTATAACCATTTCCCCACTCCCTTCAACTACATTAGTTCCTGAAATTACTATAGGTGAAGGGATTTCTCTTTTTGCGTGATCTCCTTCAGCTCTTGTTCCTTTTTTCATCCATTCTTTAAGTCTCTTTAAGCACTCTTCGTGACCTTCTTTATCAACATTATCATTTTCACCAGTAAGAGCAGACTCATTTGTCTGTAATCTTTGAGCCTTGACTTCTCCCTCAGCAAGCGAGCAAAATAATTTTGTTCGCTCACAAATTTAATTTTTCAAAGAAAAATTTATATAAAAATTATATAGCAAATTTTTTTCTTCGAAATTTAAAATATTAATTTGTTTAATTTAATTTTTGAAATGAAAGCTGTTTAAAATTAAGCAAGAGATGATTATACTAATTATCACTAACGTATCAATAAAAAATTTTACATTAAAAAAGTTTTTTGCTCGCTCACGCAGGGTATTTTTTTACCCCAAAAATATGGATTTTTCCAATAGTTTTGTCCGCTCACAGAAGGGGGAGTAAGAAGAATTCCGTCAGCTGGAATAATTTCTCCTTGGACTAACTTTACAACGTCCCCCACCAATACTTCACTTGGGTGCATGGAAAAATATTCTCCATTTCTCAAAACTGTTATAAGTGCTCGATTTTTGTGCTCATTCTTTAATTCAGAAAACTTTTTTTGCTTAAAGTAGTTGTTAGTTGAGGTTACCATGACAACAATGAAGACTGCCATCAAAATGGCAAAACCTTCAATCCAAGCATATTCTGGGTGCTTTTCCAGTGTCGCCCCAATTATAAGGCTTAATGTCCCCATTACTAAAAGGATTCTGAGAATCTTGTCACCTAGTGCATCCCAGCAAAGCTCGCAAAAGGTATCATTTTTTTTTTCTTTTTTATTAAAATTATTAAAATGGCATGATCTGACGTGAGAGTTGATCCGGAGCCAAAGAAGAGGATCACATGGAGATAGCTCTCCAGGGTGTTTTTTGGTCCAGACCCGCTGTAATTTAACTCTAATTTAATCTTTTTTATTTGACCCGAAGGCATTTATTCTTTCTTCATTAATATCTGCAGTTTTGAGGCCTGTATTGAACTCCACACCCAAAAATTCTTGAAATGAATCGATTCCTCCACATTCTTCAATTTTTGTAATTTCCTCATCGAATTTTCGGTCCATGTATGTATACTTTTTCATAAAATTTGTTATTTCAGCAAATATGGGCAATATTTGTAATCATTTAAAATAATTTAATTGTTTTTTTATGCATTCATATAAAAACGTATATCCACTAATTTGATTAATTCTTCTTTGGCAATGAATTTAGAAGAGCCTAGTAGCATCCCTGATGCTTGTTCTCCTTGATCGGCCATTTATTGATTATAAGCCTTTAAAATTTGTTTGAAATAAGTCAACACAAATGAACAGAAATTTTTATCAATCGAATAGAATTTGCTGGAATAGCTTCCCAGCAAATGATAAATGAATATTTTTGGGACTAGGAAAATTTTTAATTAAAAATCGAGCTTGAAACGAAATTTTATAGGGTAGTTTCATTTTGCTTCTAACAAAAATTGAGTTTTTGATAGGCTTGGCAAAGGGAAGTTTTATTAGTAAAATTTTAAAAAAATTCTTAATTAAGTACCCATTCGTGGAAATCTTTCTTTTGGAAGTTTACAATTCCAACATGTTGAGTTACTCATATATTTTCAGCTCCATTAAAGCAAAATCTGTCAATAATTAAAAGTTGTAAAAACGAACCGTAAATTACTTATCCTCTTAACTGACGAAATTAAAATAAATATACATTTTTTATAATTTAATGCTATTATTAGAAAAATTAAATATTTTTTGTTTATGAGGAAATAGAAAAGACAATAAATTACTATTAGGATTATTGAAGCCTAATTTTAGATGTAAAAAGCGATTTTGATGCGAGTTTTAATCATTAAATTTCCTCTCTTTTAAAACATGGCTTGATGACTCAATTGCCATTTTGTAACAGTTTTTCTTTAATCCGAATTCCAGAATTCTAAAAATGGCTTGAAATTAAGATATAGCCCGTTCCCGGCTATAGATCGGGCTATGCCCAATCTTTGCCGGGAAACTCGAGGAGTTGTCTGCATCAATTTTTGGCGACGAGTCAGCTTCCTTAGTTGGCAAATACCCACCATATAGTGATTTGCCAACTTGGGGAGTTGACTCATCACCTCGAAGTGACGCAGACAACCCCCCAAGTTTCTCGGCAAAGATCGGGCATAGCCGATCTATAGCCGGGAACTGGCTATAAATAGCAAATCAAAACCCAGTTTTGCTTCCAAAACTTACTCAGCTGAGAATATTTACCCATGAAACTGCAAAATAATAAAGAGCGAATAGCTTAAAAAAGAATAATTTACATTTTTTCGCTATTAAAAATTAAACGAAGGATTTTTGTAAAGGATAAAAATCGAGGATTTAACTACATCCTTGAAATTAAACGAAGATATAGAAAGACATTGATTATGATAATTATGAACTGCTATCAAGTTGGATAGATAAGCACAAAGAAGCATTTTTTAAAAGTCGTTTTATCTCATTACCCCTTTAATAGGAACAAAAAATGCAGTGCAGTTTTTTTTATAAAAAAAAATAAAAAATATAAATTGAACACAATAATGAATTTTAGCTTATTTTTATGAAGAATTAATTAAAAAGATTAATTAATTCAGTATGAAAACTTTTTTAATAATATGTTTTTGCATTTTGGTTATTAAATTAGGCCAAAACTATTTTATAAAAACATTATTTATTCATAAAATTTTCCAATTTAAAGGCGTTTAAAACACTCAAAATGGATATTTTATTTATATTTTGTTCCAATTCAAAGGATTGGGGATTAAGAAAGAGGAAAAGGAGAAAAATTAATATTTCAATTCGATGCTGCTGAGCTATAAACTTAATAAAGCAAGATAAGAATGTATGAAATTCATACTCTTTTTAAAAGAATGATTTCCAAAAATATCTATATTATTTAGCATTGACTACTCCTAAATATTCTAGCTTGATACTAAAACATCCATTAACGATTGATTACTAAATCTCACAAAATAAAAGCATACAAAGCAAAGCTGCCTGAGCTGATTCAAAGGAATAAAAGTAAAATTATTCCAAATCCAGCATAGTGTTCCTTTCCTTATGATTAATTAAAAAATCAATAATTTAATAATCAATCCATAAAAAATTAGCAATTTTAATTAGATATAACACAAAATTAGCATTCGTATACTCTTTTAAGCGACTAAAATGCTAAAATTGAGACCTATATTCTCTTTCACTATGAATTAATTATCAATGACTCAGGATTTTTATAGTTCCATTTTTTTTAAAAATGAATTATTTTGTTTCTGGCCCAGTTTCTGTAGCAATCACTTTTTTAGTCTTTTTATTCCGAAAACAGCGGCAAAGGCCACTCGCAAAAATTGCAAATGATCGACTTTTTACTTTTTGTTGGGAATCTTTGGGTTTTTCATCTGTATCCAAAGTGCTGTCTTTTTCTGTGATAATTGTTTGATCGAACAATGAATTAATATTGTGTTTTGCAGAAATTTGTATAGATGGTAATCTAAAGGTTACCGGCTCTCTTGGGTCAGGATGAATCACTATAACTGGAGGAGTCAAGCTTCGATTCATATTTAACAAATTTTTATTTGAGAACAATTGGAATTGATTGAATAAGATCTGAAGAATGCTATGCACGATAGATTATTTTATTTTTTGGTCGAGTGAGTGTGAGCTATAATTTTAATATCAATAAATTATTTACAATAAAAAGAGTGAAGTCTGCATTAAATTAGAAACATTTGATATTTATTTATAATAAACTACGCATATTTAGTTGCTATGGCTCTCAAGTATATGAATAATAAAGATAAGAAGACTACTAAATTTAATAAATGAAACTGAATTTAATAAATACTTAAATAACCAGTTATTAAATCATCCAATTAATATTTTTAAATTTTTTCCCATTATATCTATAGTTCTCGTTTTCTAAGTTCTTCAAAAGTCTTAATGTCGGTCTCCCATGAGGGCAGTTTCACGGCTGCTCTAATTTTGAAAGGTTTGCCACAATTTCTTTCATATGCCTCATTTCTAATGAATCTCCAATCATAACTGCTTTTCTGCAAGCTCTCGATGCAAACATAGCTCGATATTTATTTGGTCTTATAAGCCTTGAAATAGAATCTTCATCTTGTATAAAGCAAACTTTTTTAAGCTTTTCTATCATTTCATATAAATCGTCTGTGTCAAAAACTATATTTTTACTAATAGGAACAGCGCAAACAGTTAATCTCGATCCAGGCTCATTATTTTCATTATATTGTAATGAAAATCCATTAATTCTTACTCTCTGTAAGCAAGCAAAACTTTATGCAAGCTATTTAAATTAAATCATTACCCAAAATTAATTATAGTATTTAACGTTTATATAAAAAATATTTTTTTAAAAAAATTATATCAAACTTCGATACTCGTAAAAGGGTTTTTTTCATAAATTTTTCCACTCAAGAAGGGGATGCTAGTATTTGTAGATAATCAAGAAGCCAGACTTCATCACTTGGGCTCAACTTGAGAGGTTTTGGGATCACAAATGGCTGGATATCTATAGAAGTTGACAGTTGGAGCGTCTCAAATTGGTATTTTTCATCAGCAGCGTGTTGGTCTATGATAAATAAATCATTTGTAGAGGGAAGCTGAGCCATAATAAATCCTTTATTAAATTGTCCAAGAATTTCAAGCTTAGTAAACGTTGACTTATGGAATTCTGAAGATAAGCTAGGCACACTGATATCTGATTTTGCTGAGATTTCATTAAAAATGTCTGGAATATTCATAGGTGCTTCTTTCAATTTTGGTATTTCTCAAGTAATTTTTGAAAAATTCCAATCAATTGTGACTGCTTTTGGTTTTGAATTTATTGGTTTTAGTATGGCTTGAATTTTCTCTTTTGGAATTTCATGATCTATTTGCTCATTATGAATTTTTATTGGCTCAACTTGGCCTCTAGAAGCTGCTATAGAACTTTCTCTTCAATAGCGCGATAAGGCGTGCATCTTAGTTTGACTAAAAGGTCTTTGGACCATGAAAATCTGCTTTTCCTTCTCCATAAGAGAGGCAAATAGTAAAAGTGAAAAGTTCTGCTCGATCCAGTCTCGAGAACTTGAAGGAATTTTTTTTGGTCTGAATTAAGAATACCTGAGTTATTGTGGAATTTTGATTTCTTGCAAAAAATTTTAATTTTAATGTATTTTGGTTCGTCAAATAGTTTTTGACGAGCCAATTCTGGTTAGCACTTGAAATAAATAATAAAAAATTGCCATAAATTTTTTAATTTTCTGATGTTAAGGATGATCAGAAAATTTACAAAATCAAGATGGCGGCTTAAACGAACAAAAAATATTTAAAATTAATTTGTGCTCGAGTCCAGAAAGCGGAAAATAAAGGCACCAAATAGCTGAATTTAGTTCTCAAATACCAAGTTTTGAATGAAACCGCAAGTAGTGACTTAAGAGTTTTAATTATTTTACATAGCGTACAAAATCAAGATTGCGGCTTAAACGAACAAAAATGTTTAAAAAATAAGTTTGTGCTCGAGTCCAGAATGTGGAAAATAAAGGCACCAAAAAGCTTATTTTGGTTCTCAAATATCAAGTTCTCAATGAAACCGCAAATGGTGACTTAAGAGTTTTAATTTTTTTTATATCAGTACAAAATCAAGATGGCGGTTTAAACGAACAAAAAATGTTCAAAAATGAATTTGTGCTCGAATCCAGAAAGCGGAAAATAAAGGTACTAAATAGCTTATTTTAGTTCTCAAATATCATGCTTCTAATAAAACCGCATATGATGACTTAAGAGTTTTAATTTTTTTATATAGCGTACAAAATCAAGATGGCGACTTAAACGAACAAAAAAATTTTAAAAAATGAATTTGTGATTGAGTCCAGAAAGCGGAAAATAAAGACATCAAATAGCTTATTTTAAATCTCAAATATAATGCTATGAATGAAACCGCAAATGGTGACTTAAGAGTTTTAAATTTTTTAATGACTTATAAAATCAAGATGGCGGCTTAAACGAACAAAAAATTTTAAAAATGAATTTGTGCTCGAGTCCAGAAAGCGGAAAATAAAGGCACCAAATAGCTTATTTAGTTCTCAAATATCATCTTCTAATGAAACCGCATATGATGACTTAAGAGTTTTAATTTTTTTATATGGGTACAAAATCAAGATGGCAATTTAAACGAACAAATATGTCTAAAATGAACTTGTGCTCGAATCCAGAATGTGGAAAATAAAGGCACCAAAAAGCTTATTTTGGTTCTCAAATATCAAGTTCTCAATGAAACCGCATATAGTGACTTAAGAGTTTTTAATTTTTTTATATCAGTACAAAATCAAGATGGCGGCTTAAACAAACAAAAAATGTTCAAAAATGAATTTGTGCTCGAATCCAGTAAGCGGAAAATAAAGGAGCCAAATAGCTGAATTTAGTTCTAAGATATCAAGTTTTGAATGAAACCGCAAGTGGTGACTTAAGAGTTTTAATTTATTTTACATAGCGTACAAAATCAAGATGGCGGCTTTAAAACGAACAAAAAAAACTCTAAAAATGAATTTGGGTTCAAATTCAGAAAGAGAAAACAATGGCATCAAATAGCGAAATTTAAATAAGAAAAATTAATTTGAGAAATATAAAAGTTATTTCTTAGAATTCTTATTATTTTATTAGCAAATATCTGGGCGTCTTATAGCTAGAACATATATGCTTTCTTTCACTCTTCTTTAATTTCGTTTTTTTGATTCTGTGCCATTTATTAAAATTTCTGATCATCCTTAACATCGGAAAATTTAAAAAATTATGGCAATTAATTATTTTTTTGATTTCAAGTGCCTGCCAGAATTCGTCAGAACCATTTGACGAACCAAAACCTATTAAAATTAAAAATTTTTGCAAGAAAAAAAACCCTCACAATAACTCAGGTATTCTTAATTTAGGACAAAACAATCCCTTCCAGTACTCGAAACTGGATCGGACAGAATTCTTCATTTTCACTATTTTCCTCTCTTATGGAGAAGGAACAGCAGATTTTCATTGTCCAAAGACCTTTTAGTTAAACCAGGATGCACATCTTTTCGCGCTATTGAAGAGAAAGTTCTATAACTGCATATCTATATCATTTGGCATCTCAATTACCTTTGCAGGCACTGCTTGGCTCTTCGAAATAGGCCTTAATGGTCCTATAGGCACTTCGAAGAGTTTTGGCTTCTTATTTACTTCATCCTCATTTATACCTTTAAATCTTTTATATCCATTAAACGTAACATTTTCCTCTTGTGTACTCTCAATTTCTTTTTTTATAGGCAAGAATTGAATATTTTCTTTGCAAAGATCAAGGATCTTAATTCTGATTTCTCTAGCTAAAACCTCCTCATTCTGTATATAAACTTCTGTTTTATCAGGCGTCAAATTGCAATCATACCCTTCTTCAGCTTCAAAACAAATAATATAAATTGGAGCTTTCATTGAAAAATCCTTATACAAACTTGCTATAGCTCGTTTTATTTTAATAGGAATCCCAATGATTCTTTTATTAAAATAACAATATTGGAAATCTTTTTTAAATTTAATAGCACAATTCGGCTTGGAAATATATCCATAATATTTTACATTATCAACTTCTCCGTAAAACTCATTCATAGATTTTTTAATGTCTCTTCCAAATAAATTAGCAGCTTGTTCTAATACAGATTGAGCAGGCAGGCTATTAATTAATTCATCTCTGCGGCTCCCTTCAATATGTGTAAGCATAATTCTTTTATCAATATTTATAAGTGCATAGGCTTGCACAAGTTCTATGATTTTTTTAACTGTCCCTCCTTTAAATGAACTGCTAAAAGGGGCTAATTTTTCTAAAATAGGGAATTTCCTCCTGCTTAAAAGGGGGAGAGTAAGGTAAATTTTAGATTTATTGCTGAGATCATTCAGTCTAACAGGAACATTGTTAAAAATATTGGTCACTTTTACAGTGGTCCCTATAGCTCTGCTAGCATCTTCTGTGATTTTTTCTATTATTCCATCATCTCCATATATAAGTTTATGTCCGATTTCTAAATCTTTATGCCGCGTAATTATTTCTATTTTGCAGAGCTTAGAAATAGATGCAAGAGCTTCTCCTCTGAACCCCATTGTTTTTATAGTTTTTAGGTCATCAATTGTAGCAATCTTCGACGTAGCCCCTTTTAAACACAATTTTTGGTAGTCATTAGGATGAATTCCGACCCCGTCATCATATACTTCAATCCCTCCAATTCCACAATTGGTGAGGGTAACTCTAATAATGGTGCATTTTGCATCAATTGAATTATCAATTAATTCTTTCACTATTGCTGGCATATCAGGGATAGCCTGCTCAGCACATATTCTATTTGATAATTCCCCTGTTAGCTTTATCATTTATCTTTTATAATTAATAAAAAGCCTTTATTTAAATAGCTAAATAAATTATTAATATAATTTCTCTATTCTTTATCAGGATCAATTCTCGATATTTCTCTTACAGCTTCCGAAAAACAATTAATAACAGCTGCATGATAATGCATTTCTGCATTAATCAAATGTGAGAGCATATATTTCAAATCCGTCACATGGGCTTTTTCATTCTCCCTAATACTTTTTTCCAGCTTTAAATTTGCATCTTGGACAGCTTTATCTTTATCCAAAACATTTGTCGACGCCCTATGGATTTCTTCTGGCTTGATATCCCTTGAGTCAGGCCTTTCTTGGATTTTATTTAAAGTTTTGACGCTTTGCATCATTTCTTTGTCAGCTCTTTCTTTTACAGATAAAGAGCGCCTTTGGTCTTTGATTTTTACTGGATAAGCTTTTAAGGCTTCTTGGACGACAGTTTTCAAATGAATTACGCTGTCTCGGTGGGCTCTGTCGATCCCGTCTAGCGAAGTGGCATAGCAGTTAAAAGACATTGATAATGACCTATGGGTTTCTAAAGATCCGACCTCAAGCCATTTCTTGCGAAAAGCTCCTCGGGCGTGGATGATGTTTTCTTCTGATTTTACCATTTTTTTGAGAATTGAGTATAGTGCTGTGAATTCTGCAGATTCTTTGTCAAGTTTTTCTTTATAGCGTCTGCTTCTTTCGTCGGTCATTTAAAAATGGAATTTATTCAATGGGTTCATTATACGTGATTTCTTTGAATATTATGAAAAATAGTATTATTGTGGGTAAAAATAGTATAAGGGAAATGGTATATTTAATTTATTAACCGATGAGGCCAGCTACTGTTATGTCTAACCCGATATCGCAGACTTTCCATCATGCGAAAACTCGAAGCTATACGCCAGGTCTTACCCGATTTTCAACATCAAGAAAACATGCTAGAAATGCTTCACAGTTAGATAGCTATATTGCACCTTTAGCTGGGATTCATCACTCCCAGTTCCCTCCCAAAGAAAGTGAAAGACGAGAAATCACTGGACATATGGGAGCATTAAAAAAAATTTTCAATTCTTTTAGGGAAGATTATGAAAAAGCTGATAAAAAGTTATATAGTCTTTTGGCGTTATTTCTGATCGGCTCCCATGAGCTAAAAATCGGTTTCCACGTGAAACCATCTTTGGCTCTTGGGAGCCGATCAGAAATTTAAGCAACTGATCATACAATTTTCCTCAAATTTCTAAAAAATACCAAAATTTTTATTTTTATTGAAAATTCATAGGAAATGTCATAGAAGCTTTAAATTCGCAGTTTTCTCAATACAACACAATAGAAGAAATCAGTGGACTTAGAGCAGCAAGACAAGAAGGAAAAATAAAATCTTTAAAAAAGAAAACAGAAGAAACACAAAGACTTCAAATCGAGGAAAATTTCAATCGACAAGTAAACCTTCATGTGCTAGAAAGGATGAGGCAAACCAAAATTCATATGGATTTTAAAAAAAATTCTATGAAAGAACAAATAAAAGTCCTGGATTATTATTTAAGAGATGAACAAAGAAAACAACTGACAAGCAGAGATGGGCAGTTTAAAGGAATTTTCGCGTTTAAAAGTTTACAGCAGAGCGTAAATGACGAGCAGAAAGCTCATAATCTGCAATTAGAGATGATTGAAAAAGAATATAAATATACAAAAAAAGCCAATAATAAAAGAGAAGATAGGAAGCACAGACAAGAAGAAATCGCAGAAGCTGCCGCAAACGAAGACCGTGACCTGAGATACAACAAAACCCGAGAAGCTTTAATGCTCAACAAACTGTGGTACAAGTACCTAGGAAATGCTTTAAAAATCCAAATGGAACAATCAAAATCAATAGAAGAAGCCTTCCAAAAAATCAGAGTCGTTACCGGTCTTTATGATATTCAAGAAGTCGTCCAGCGATTCCTCACACGAGAACAATCATACGCCCAGCTTGCCACTATGGTAACTGAATGCAAAGCAATATGCAATAATTATAAAAATAAAAACACCGAACTCTCAGACCTTATTCATGAATTTAAACTAGCCGAACAAACAAATAAAAACGTTAACACAGAAATTTTAAAAAATAAAATTGCTGACTGCTATGAAGACCTGACAAAAGAAAAAGATAAATATTTTCGCTCAAAAAAGACAAGGACCAATATTTTGTTATGGGCTAAAAAAATGCTGATGAAGTTCAATAAAGGGCATACAGACCAAAAGAATGAGGATATTAAAGAAGTCATGCAAAGCTTAGCGAATGAGGTCAAATTTGCGATACAGAAGACAAAAGAGCTGGGCGCTCCTTTAAATATAGCGAAAAAAGAAAGTTTGAGTGAAATTCAAGGGATTTTTAAAAGACTAAACCCAGAGCTGCAAGTCAAAATGATGAGAATCGACCCTGAAGAAATTCTTAAAAAAGAAGCTTCAGTTGAAGACTTAGCTCCAGCTTCGTATAGTCCTGAAATAGTTGAAGAAATCCCAGACAAAAAGTATAAGCTTCACCCATTTGTTCCGGAAAAAGAGAATTCAAGCTCATTTAGGCATTCTAAATATGACAAACATAAATAAATTTCCAAATTTTTATTTCTCCAGCATCATTTTTCTTATTTTATTAATTTTTACAAAGTTGCCTTAAAATTATCCATTAATTAAATTTCAATGTCTTTATATCTTTAAGCATTATTATTCAATAAAAGAAATTAATAAATGTCAATGCTACTACCTAAAGAACGCATTGACTCCCAATACATCTTCAATATGATGCAATGCTACCCCAACAAACACTTGATTATTGACGTTCGTGACCAAGCTGATTTCAATAGCATGCATCTAGTAAACTCAATAAATATCCCCTATAAGTCAAGATTTTCGAGCTCCCCAGACATTGAAGAACTCAAAAGCAATATTAGAGGCGACTCAAGGCTTTTTGATAGGAGAAGAAGGCTAATGATTATTATTGTATATAGCCCACCATCCATTGTGTTTTCAAGAGAAGTTGAATTTATCCTTACAAAGGACAAATGTAGAGAAGTCTATGTGCTTGAGGAACCTTTTTCTAGCTTTGCTGAAAAATACCCATTTGTGTGTGAGATAGGAGGAATGGTACCTTTTGAGGTCCCAAGGTATGGGTACCCAAATGAAATTATTCCGAATAAGCTGTACTTGGGGAACTTTCACCATGCAGAAGATGCATTGGTGCACCAAAATTTGAAGCTGACTCATATACTGAATGCGACTAATGGGTTTTCTCATAAGTTTGAATCAAAAGGAGTGGTGTATCTAAGATTAGGCGTTGAAGACTTAGAAACTGAAAATATAAGCGAATATTTTCAAATAGCGTTTGAGTTTATTGATAACATAATTTCTAGTGAAAAGTCTCGTGTTCTTGTACATTGCGCACAAGGTGTAAGTAGATCTGCAGCTTTTGTAATTATGTACATTATTAAATCTATGAGTGTCAGCTATGAAGAAGCTTTTCAGTTTGTTAAGAGGCATAGAGAAATTATAAAGCCAAATGACGGGTTTGCATACCAGTTAAGGTCATTAAAAAGTATTTCTGAAGAAGTCAGTCATACAATGACGAAGGTCAGTATAGATTAATTGTATTTAGACTTCTGAATAAATCAAATTAGATTTAATTTCTATTAAAAATACAGTTTAAAACCATAAAAGCAGCAAAAATAAATTAATTTGTGCTTTAGCATTATTTAACCAATTTTTATTTTCTCCATGCGGGAAAAAAATTCTGCTATAAAAGTTCAAGCAGCCTGATTTTTTTGAAATCTTTTAGTTTGGAAGTATTATGGAGCCTATATGGCCTTAAATCTACGTCTAATTTGTTCCTCATACTTATGTCAGGCTCAAAATCACTTTTTACTCTAAAGTGATAGTAATTTTTCATTTTTAAGCTTTTTTCGCTTGTGTGTCTTTGATGTTCATCAATCTCGATATCTCTAAATGAATGAAAATTATTGTTGATTTTTGAAATGCTTTCTGATCTACCAATTTCTCTATATGATTTATTTCTCTTTTTGGTTCGTTTAACTAAACTTTCATATGAATTCGCTTCTTTATAAGGTCGAGGATAGAGTACTTCTAATCCTGAGTAATAATCCCTTCTAGGAGATACACTTTTATTAGAGCTTTTAGGGCTTAATCTGTGGTGTTTTATTTATAGAGTATTTTATTGTATCAAAAAAATGGCAAAATAATATTTTTCTTGTTTTTAACAGGCAAAGATTAATTTAATGTGTGAGATAATTATGAAAATCAACTGAAAGGGTATAGGGTTTTGTACAGGAGGAGGGCAGCCAACTAGATGCACAAACATGACTTCTTTGTCACTACCTTTGTGCATAATAGGCGGGTATAGGTGGGATTTCTTTCTTAATTCATGAAATGGGGTTTCTTCAATCATAGAGATAGATTGCGTCGATTTATGTTTTAATCTGGAATCAAAATTTATGGTCTGGACACCTTCATCATGTACTCGCTTTTTAGGCTTTTTCAGTTTTTTAAGAAGGTGCTGAAGATAAGCATCTTCTAACTCTTGCATTTTGTAGTGGGCATCTTTTCTTTTTTCGTTTTCTTCTCGGGCTTGGATTTCTTTCTCTTCCTTCACCCAATTCTTTAATTTTCTGACTTCTGCAGCTTTTCTCGCTTTGAATTCTTTATATTCAAGCAATTTTCTTGGGTTCGGGTACATCATTTTACCGAAATTAATGCAGTCATTTATCAGTTATCTTATTATCTTAAGAAATGATAAACTTATCTTTTACAAATTGTAATGCTTATAGAGGCTATTTAATCTGAAATAATTATAGCCTGTTAAACTGATTATAAGGACCGTAGAATTATCTTATCAATATTATTTTTCTCTAAAAGCTTTTTTGTTAAGTATTTACTAATCATTATTTATTCTTAATTTAAGGGCAAACTGCTGGAAGTATATCCGACTCGCTAGGGTTCATCGTGAAATACGACCATATTGATTTTTCCAGGATATCGTCAATAAGATCTTCGCTTTCTTGTACAGGACGCTCAGGGAAATATGTATAATCTCTCACTCTATCAAGGAACTTTACCCCTGATTTCTCACCAGCAAACAATGAGAATTCAGAGGTTCGTTTCTTCAGGATGACCGATCCAATGATATCACCATTGGAATTAATCCATTCTAAGTTTAAACTTTCTTCTGATCTGAAGGTTTCTATAGTCTTTCTAGCCGCAGAATGACTTGAGAAATTGAGAATGGCATAATTGACTACTTAATTTTATTTAAAAAATTATTATAATATAAATTTTTTTTAATAAAATTAACTTAAGGCATAATCATCTTTGACCTCAATGCTTTTGATTCGTGAGAAGTTGGAAAATAGGGACTTTACGAAATCTGTGGTCATCGGAAGCTTGGTCCCAGAAATTTTGATGGTTTTGTTGAGAGAATTTCCTGTAGGGACCACTTGCTTCTTCAGACTTTCAAGGAGATTTTCGTATTTTGAGGCATCATTGGAGAAAAGATGCTGATACTTGATTAAAAGCTCGCAGGCTTCTTGTGTTTTGCCTTGCTGATGTAATACACCTGCCAGGTCTTTTACTGAACTTTCCACTCTTTCGCCGTTGGAAATTGCAGTTTTGTAATAAAATTCAGCCTTTTCGAGATTTTTCTCAATGTATTCAGCTTTTTTGGCCCAGGAATACGGGGATTCTTTGCGGGGAATTGGATATAAAGGGTGTTTTCGTTGCGTTTTTGAGGGGCAGCTTAAAGGAGATGATGGCTTATCTAACATGGGAATTTCTGATCCTCTCAGAGAGCTGATGGTTGCCATATTATATGTAATTATAACTGCAGATACTGGCAATCGAATAAACGCTTGCTAAGCCAAAATTTTTGAAATATTTTTTAATTTAAAAATCTGAAGGTGTAGACTCCTCATATGCAATTTTAAGCATATTTATAAAAATAAAATTTAGTTGATGGAAATATGAATTGTTTTGGAGAAAATTGGAAATGTTATATACCATGGTCTATTAATTTGCCATTATTATTTGATAAAATTATAAATATCAAATTAAATTGGATAATAAATAATTTATATTTGAAATTAAGTAAAATTACCTCGAGAAATCTCTTACAAATCATTTTGAAAATCTTGTACATATTTTTAAATACACATTTTATTTATCCTTTTATCTTTTATCTAATTTTATTATCACTTATCTGAACTTCTCATTATGGTGCAAGTTAAACTAAGTTATATAAAAGTTATAATAATCATAAAAGGATAAACCCGCCCATCCTGGCTCAAAAATTTTGCCCTTTTGGATTTTCGACCTGAACCACCTATCTAAGTGATTAGCTCCTTCGTACAGAGCAACTGTCTGAGATGTGCCCAGACAGTTCCGATGAGGAAAAACCATGTGGTATTCGGGAACCTGTCTAGACCATCTGGCAGTGAAAGGAAAACCTTCGGAGGACAAACTAAATTTCGGTGCTCGGCAAGGCTCCCCCAAACCTAAGGCCTATTTTCAAAAAAGAGTATTTAAATTTCTGATCAAAACGATCGAGCTCACCCTATGATGTCATCAGGATGTCTCAGCTACTTACTGTGAGTGAACAAAAAATTTTGTATGTTAAGAAGGGGGTTAATTTTTTTTTTCTTCAAAATTTAAAAAAATTCGATTTGTAAAAATTGAGAAGTAAAAATTAATTAAATTTGCAAAAATTTATGTTTTAAAATGCAAGTTGTTAAAATTAAACATAATTAGCTTAAGATTTCATTCTAATGATTATTACTAATATATCAAAAATTTTTTCATAAAAATTTTTTGTTCGCTCACGGAGGGTGGGCAAAAAGGGATTTTTCCAATGGGTTTTGTTCGCTTGCGAAGGTGAGGGGGAGTTACGGAATTGCTGTGCGATTTTCATCCTCCAGGTTCTCTCAGTTGTTGCAGGTGGCACGTGGACCGCCTGTGCCGTTAGAGTATATATAAATTTGAGATTTTTTCGCAGCTTGCTCTATCTTAGCCTTCACTAATTCTGCTTCAAACAGCTTATCTTGACCCTCTACAGGATATCCAAGGCATGGTCTGCGGCATGCAAAAGCTCTTTTAACGGGGCAAAATCTATATGCAGAGGGAAGACTTTAAAAATGGGGAGAGGCACTATTTCAGCTTCATCAGGATAGGCCCTACCTGCTCCATAGGAGCAGCCTCAGAGTGCAATTTCGATCAACCTTATCATTTTATTTCTTTATGGTGCAAAGGAATTTTAGCAAAGATTAGCGGTCTAAAGATGCTTAATATTAAATTTCCATAAATAAAATGAGTCAAAATTTCTAGCCATTTTTGGCATGCCACTTTTGATACCCAAGGTGCAAAGCCATTTTTTGGTGAAATTCCGCTTAAAATATGACGAGAAAATAGACATTTTAGTTTTAAAACATAGCTTGGATTTATTTTTGCTAGGCTTCAAGCTAATTATGAGCATTAATTTCACAATGATTTATTCAGGATTAATTTAAAACTAGAAAAGCAAGTTTGAAGTTTATAAAATTTTATTAAAACAATTGAATATCCCTATATATGATAGGTGGTTTTACTAACTCCCCCCCCGTGAGTGAACTAAACCATTAGAAAAATCGCTATTTTTTGCCCAAAAACCCACCCTCCGTGAGTGAACAAAAATTTTTTTAATACAAAAAATTTTTATGAAAAAAATTTTGATATATAAATGATAATTAGCATAATGAAATCTAGAGCTAATTCTGTTTAATTTCAAACGAATTGCTTTTTAAAACATAAATTTTACAAATTAAATTAATATTTGCTTTGCAATTTTTGCAAATTAGATTTTTTAAATTTCAAAAAAAAAAATTTTTTATAAAATTTATATATAAATTTTTTTAAAAAAACAAAAATTAACCCCCCTCAGTGAGTGAACAAAAATTTTTTTGTTAAAGTATGATCAAGGATGGTTAATTTATCTTATATAACTAACCTGACTTGTTGTACGATTCTGCTATAGAAAACAGCACGCAAGATACTAAGTTCTCTTCTTTTATCAGCTGGAACAGCGACTGGAGGTGTTATTGCAATAATAGCCCTTAATTGACTACTATGGTCATCAATTGGGATAAATTGGACTAATAAGAAATTCAATCTAAATGCTCGCTCACTCGGCAATTCTGGAAGATAAGCATCAGATATGACTTCTTCCACAATTCCATCAGCTTCTGCTTTTCTTGTATGGTAGCCCCAGAGATGTTGGCTTCCTTGAGTGAAATTTAATTCTTCATGACACAGTTTGGATCCATCCGGGTAAACTTTTTGAATTTCACTTTTCTTCACGATACCTGCTATATTATTTTACCATGTATTTATAAGAAATTTTAAAACAAAATAAACTGAGGAAAAATTATCAGAAATTTGGATAGTTCTTCTTGGAACTGGTTCCAGTGTCCTTCAAAATACTCAAGCGCTACTTGAGCTGGCTTGTTAAGAGGACCTTCAACTTTGATGTTCCAGGTTGGGTCTTCGTCAGAACCAACATATGATCTTACAAATTCATCTGAATACAACTCTCCCCATTCGTGAGACCTTGCCAATGCAGCCATCGCAGCTCTATAAGCTTCTTCGTTTTGAGCTATTAAGGTTTCTTGTTCAGATGCCATTAAAATTATGATTAATTTTAGTTTATCTACTAATATCAATAAATTAAAATTTTAATTTTATTGGTAAACTTGGATATTAAATATAATGTAAGATTTATAAGTTTTTAAGCAAAGGTAATTTAGGGTTCTATGCCAAAAGATTTGCATTTGGCAATGAAATACATTGGTAAAAGTATTTAAATAGTGACATTTGATTAAAATTTAACTCTTTTTGGGTCAAATTGTCTCATTATCAAAATCTTGGCCAGTTTTCGACAAATATACTTCGGTGATGTACAGTATCAAAAGTATATGATAATTGTGCTAGCACCCTAATTTAGGTGAATGCTTTAGCATCTGATTTGGCCATAAAATTAAGCTATATTGCACTTTTTTATAATTTTGAAGCTCATAAATAATTAATTAAGATTTTGATAATTTTTTTGAGAAATAGCATCGGATTTTGCTTAATGAAGCTAATCTCTCTATGGAGAAAATTTGGATGATATATGATACAAATGTTTGTACATAAAATGGAATAGATATAATGATGCCATCAATAAATTCAATGATACCTATTATAGAGGATATACTAATTGCCTGAGAATGGCGCGCTATTTGCGCCATTCTCTGGCAATACAGAAAATCGGCTCCACACTGGAACGATTTTTCACATGTGGAGCCATTTTTTTTCACACGTGGAAGTCAGGATTCTCAAGTGTGAAAAAATGGCTCCACATGTGGAAAATCTTTCCCGTGTGGAGCCGATCCTCGGCAATTTCTATATCTTAAAATTAGAGAGAGCTTTTCTCTTATATAAAATAATTATCCATTTAAAAATCTTATTTAATAATTTAAATTCTTTCAAACTTTTTTTACTCTCAGTCCCTATATCGATTATGATTACCAGCATTCCATATTTTATTTATATACAAACCTAATAACTTACTTGAAATCTATGGGAAGTTGCAATTTTAAGTCAGAAGATGCAGATCCAACAGTTTCTATCTCCAAAACCCATTTTCAATTTCACTATGTAATCGGAAAAGGAGGTTTCGGCAAGGTTTGGAAAGTCGAACTAAAAAAGACAAGAGAGATTTTTGCAATGAAAGAAATGTCAAAAGCCAGAATTCTTGCAAAGAAAAGCGTAAACTCAGTCTTAAACGAACGTCAGCTATTAGCAACACTTAAACATATGTTTATTGTGAATATGCAATATGCTTTCCAAGATAAAGAAAACATTTATCTTGTTATGGATTTGATGCCAGGAGGTGATCTTAGGTATATATTTATATATATATAAAAACATTTGCATTGAGGGTGTTTTATACAAATAATTAATAAAATTCATTTTATGGGAAACTTTTAATTTCTATAAATAGCATATCACCTAGGCCGACAAAAAAAATTCACAGAAGCTCAAAGTAAATTTTTTATCGCTTGTATTTTAATTGCTCTAGAATATTTGCATAACAGTGGAATTTTGCATAGAGATGTAAAACCAGAAAATCTGGTTTTAGATGATAAAGGCTATGTAAGATTAACAGATTTTGGAATCGCTAGAGTGTGGAACCCAGATAACGCTAAAGACACTAGTGGTACTCCTGGATATATGGCACCAGAAGTAATGTGTCGACAAAACCATGGAGTTGCTGCTGATTATTTTGCCTTGGGGATTATTGCTTATGAATTTATGAATGGGACAAGACCTTACCAGGGTAAGGCTAGAAAACAAGTAAGGGAGCAGATATTGGCTAAGCAAATCCAAATAAAACAAGAAGAAATCCCTGAAGACTGGTCAATTGAAGCTGCTGATTTCGTTAATAGGGTATGAATTATATAGCTTATTCAGAGAAAGCCTGTTAATCGACTGGGGTTAAATGGTCCTGATGAAGTGAAAAATCATCCTTGGTTTCGAGACTTTGATTGGAAAAAATTATAGCTTTTGAGCATTTTTTAACGCATTTTGGCATTTTAAAAAAAACTTTTGTGACCAAGACTATAAAATTAAGGTAAAATATATTCTAAAACTAAAAAAATATATAAAAAAAAAAAGAATAGAGAGAATAATTGATAGAAGAATGGAATCACCATTTATTCCTAGTCAAAATGATGATAATTTTGATTTAAAGCTTCATCTCGCTGATGATCCTTGAAAAGATGCTGAAAGTGAATCTTATCAGCAGAGCGTCGAACTTCTGAGAACTCCTTCAACACAAGCACTTTTCGCTGGATATTTCTATGATATTAATCAAAATCCTGGCACAGAAAGTGAATCCACAAAAAATTAAAATTATGCATTAGTAATTTTAAATCAATTCAAAATTACAAATATAATAAAAATAATTTTCTTTATTTTCTCATACGCTTAAAAAATACTTTAATGTCTGAATTTTTAGGGCTTTCTCTTAAATTTTCTGATAAAAATTATTTCTTTTCAATTAAAAAATCTTAAAATCTCTAATTTATTCAACAGCCTTTTTTTGCTTTATCAACTTCAATAAAAATTTTATTTTTGTTTTAATTTCCTTTTTCAATACATCTAAATTCATTTTGCTGCTTGAATCTATATATTAACTGTAACTAATTCAATATCCACATCATTTTATGTTTATGGCTTATGGCTTCTAAATAAATGTTGCGTAGAATCTGCACTCGATTATTTACTAGCGCTGAAGAAGCACCCTTGCTTATTTCAGACCATAGTTTTGTCTCGCAAGTAAAATTATATACATTTTTATATTAATTTCCCTATAAATTCATTTTTTTTATTTTTTAAAAAATTAATTAAATTTTTTCCTATAATCAATTTTGCATAATTTATAAACCAAAAGCTTTAAATTCTCTTGACTTAGAGATGATTTGTTTACTAGAACAAGCCATCATCAACTTTCACAAAGACACAGAAAACAAAGCATGCTTATTTTTAGGTTCAGGCAAGGCTTTTTGTGCAGGCGGCGACATAAGAGCTTTATACATGGCCAAACAATCTGAAGAAAATTCCTATATTCTTTCCGAATTCTTTAAGCGAGAGTATATAGTTGATTATGCTCTAGCAAAACTTAACCAAATGCAAATCTGTATTTATGACGGAATTGTAATGGGTGGTGGAGTTGGGATTTCTATACATGCACCTATTAGGGTAGCGACTGAAAACTCAATATTTGCAATGCCTGAAAGTGGGATTGGATTTTTCCCTGATGTTGGTGGAAGCTATATTTAATTATATAAAATAAATAATATTGGCCTAAGATAATTCACTTTTTGCTATTAAAATTATGTCACACGGAAGTCATTATTGAGAATTTATTATATAAAATTGATATACTTTCTACCAAGATTGCAAGGAAGTCTTGGGTATTATTTAGGAATAACTGGCAGCAGATTGACTGGCTACCAGCTTGTTCAGGCCGGAATAGCAACCCACTTTGTCTCAAAAGACAAAATCAGCGCTTTAAGAGATGCACTAATAAGAGATATAAACGCTAATACAAAACCTGAAGATATTATACAAATCGTCGATAGTTTTAGTGAAAAGCCACAAGAGCCTTTCACAGAACTAGAAGAAATTGAAAAGTATTTTAGCGGAGCTACATCAGTGGAGCACATCTATAAAAAGCTGGAAGAAGATAAAAGTGACTGGGCTCAAAAAAAACAAAAAAGACTAGATATCATAAGTCCTTTATCACAAAAAATAATTTTTGAGCAAATAAAACGTGGGAAAAATCTATCTCTGGAAGATTGTTATGCAATGGAATATAGACTTTCTCAGCAGTTTATGGCAGGAAAAGAATTTTTTGAAGGCGTAAGATCAACAATTATTGATAAAGATAAAAATCCGGTATGGGAGTATAAAAATATTTTCGAAGTGCCAGATGAAGTTGTATTGAAACACTTTGAAAAAATTACCCCAGATTCGCCTGATTTAGATGTGAAAGCGGAGCGTGATGAGCTTTTAAAGCGCTAATAGTCTTTTAATAACAATAATCAATTTAATAGCTATTATTTTGGACTTTTTTTTGCGAATTTATAAATTCTATTGTAAGCTCAGATTTAATAAGGTATTATAAAAATGGAATTAATACCTCTAAAGTTTAGAAATAGCTTTATTTGGATGTAAAACTCATAAAAATTATAATTTTCATAGATATCTAGTTAAAAATATTGAAAAAAAATTGAAAAATGAGTCCAAATTATTTTTCAGAAATTTGATGATTATTTATGTATAAATTCTATATTCACTAATTTAGAAATTTTTAAGACTCATATGAGGAAAGAATTTACATAATTGCAAGCTGCTCCAGTAATAAACTGAAAAAATTCAAAATTTACTAACTATAAAGCTATATTTAATAATTAATAATAAATAATGATTGATAATATATTAGAATCGATTTAGCTTTTCCATGATGGTATTGTTGGATTATTTTTGCAGCAATAATTTAAATCATGTCAAACATAAATATCACAGAAGAAGAAATCCCAGCAAGCTTCCTCAAAGATAAACGCAGAATTGAAAGTCTAGAAAAGTCAGCTGAAAAATATTCCGACCAGGGGAACTTTCATAAAGCGTGCAATACTTATGAAAAAATAGTTCAACTAGACCCTTTAAGTGAAAAATCATGGATTTCTCTGGGGCATTGTTATTATATAATTCAAGACTATAAGAAATGCTACGCAGCCTACCAAAAAGGTATGAATACTTTTAAAGGGCGCCTCGACCCACAGCTCTGATATGGCTTAGGAATGCTTTGCCAAAAATTTTCTTATTATGACCAAGCAGAAATGTCGTTTCAAGAATCATTAAAGTGTGACCCAGATTTTGAACAAAAACAAAATATATTATTAAAGCTTGGGATTTTGTCAAAACAAGCACTTAAATATGAAGAAGCTATCAATCTGTTTAAAAGCTGCATACAATGCGATAGCAGAAATATCAATATTGTAACGCAAGCTTACTGCTGCATGGGATTTTGCTATAATATGCTTGGGAGTATAGGTGAATCTTTGCTGTCTTATAGATATGCAGTATCTGTGGAGTCAAATCAATATACATTGGCATGCCTTGGATGGGAATTGCTTAGCTTGGGCCATTTTGATGAGGCTCATCAGTGCTTGGAATATGCGAGTAAAGCTGAAAACAAAACAGAAAATTATGAAGAGAAGCTTTATTATATGTTGGCAATGTCAAATTTGCAAAAAAATAAATTTGAGGTTGCATCAGAATATTTTGAAAAAATATTATATCATTTTTGACTAAAATCGAGGCAATTTACTATAAAAAATATTAATTAAATAAAAAATAATACCAATATAAATATACAAAGCCAGCATAAAAAAAAATTCATACGATTTTTCAGCTTGCTGCAGCTATGGAATTTTAAAAGCCAAGCAATCAAAACAATCAGAAGCAGTTCAGCTCTTATTCAAAGCTGACCAAGCTGGTACTAAAGCAGAAGCATGGCTAAATCTAGGAGTATTATATGAACAATGCGGCCAAATTGAAGACGCAATAGTTGCTTATCAAAAAGCGCTGACTTTAAAAAATTATGAATTAATTGCTCAGGAAAGAATTAATAATGCTGGTACTGGCAAATGTAATTGTGAAATGTTAATTCATCCATTATTTGACCCTACAGAAATTATTGTAGCCAAAATTGATAATAATTCTTTGGATTCAAAAAATAAAGATTTTACGTGGATTCCTCCCCCTGAATTTTTCGCATGGCATGCAGAGAATTTTTATCAAGGATTTATGAATTTTATGCAAAATATGAGAAACTGTGGGCAATTTGATGGGATCATGATAAAAGAATGCAATGATGAGGAGCAAGCTGAAATTCAGAGAGGAGAAAATGATATAGATTCAACTCAAGTGGCAAAAGGTAGAAAAAAGAGAAAAACAAAATAGATGACACAATGATTTTATTAATATTTATCTGATAATTTTAATTTCAACTTAGGAGATAATTGTGCATTTAAATTATTGAGATTATTATGGCTAATTTTAATTATAGAATTGGACATTATTACAACATGGGCATGCCTGCTAAAACTATAACCCAAATTGATGATTTATTAACAAGAGGAAATGAGATCTTAGATTATATTAAGATATTCTCCTTTGAACAATTGAAAAAAGAAAAAGCAAGCATAAAGCATCTTTTGTTACAATTTAGTAGTGATGATGATGCTAAACATCTATATCATGCTCACAAAGTTTCTCTTGTATTTAAATCTCCACAGTTGGCATGAAGAGATTGCATTTCTGGCTTAAATAAATAAAATGGCATTCGGTTCGAGAGAAATTGGCTCTGCCAATTTTCTCTCCCTCATGGAATTTTATTTATGGGGTTGGGTTTTCTCTTGAGAACTTCTGCACAGCAACAGCCGTTTAACTTTGGGGATAACCAAAGACACGGCTCCTCAGTGCACTCAAGATTTCGGAGTTTTACCTCTCAGCACATCCCCACGGGAGGATGACCCTTAGGCGGAAAACGCGCAGGAGCTGAGTCTGGACGAGCGACGGCAACGCGCCGGGTGAGATGTGCGGCGATTTATCTGGCGACTAGCCTCATAGAAGGCTTGGGGTGTGGGCTGACCACATATTCCAAGATGGCTTGGTGACGTCACTAGTTGTCGCTTTGACCCTTTTTTATTAAGGGGTGTGGGCACTAGACACCTTAAAGACTATGTAACTAAGTAAGTAAGTAAGTAAGTAAGTAAGTAAGTAAGTAAGTAAGTAAGTAAGTAAGTAAGTAAGTAAGTAAGTAAGTAAGTAAGTAAGTAAGCATTTCTGGCTTAAAAGCTGCTAAGAAGCTTCAAAAAACATTTAATGGAATTTTGCAGACTGTCATTTTAAATAACTTAGAGAAAATCAGCAGCAGCATCTATGAATGTAAGGAATTGGAGGGTATTTGGAAAATTTCAGAGGAACTTGATTTTATCTCACAATATATTCATCCATGATGTAAATCAATACTAGAAAAATCAATTAATAAATCCTTGGATTCAATTTGCTCTTCGGAAAACAAAGAAATTCTAAAAAGAAGCCTTTTATTTCTGTCAGAAGTCAAAACAGATAGAAAAAGTGAATTAAATGAAGTAATCATCTCTATATCGTATTCTACATTAGAATGAATTAAAAAACGAAAAGAGATTTTAAGCAGGAATAGTGAGGCAGAAACATTACAAAATTTCAAAGATGCTAGCGAAGAGTTGATTGATCTTATTAAAGTTGCTCTAATTAAAATCGACAATTTACAAGAAAAAGTAAATCCTGCACGAAATAAAATATCAAAAATGATAGATGAGATAGGTATTACTAGAATAAGAAACAGAGTCATGGACGAGAGCAAAATTGATTTTCTGCCAGATGATGAAAAGCTATTAAATGAAAAAATTATAAAGTCAAAGATAATTTATGATGCTTTAGACTATATGGGAGAAAAAGTAAGGGTTTTAATCCAAAAAGGTTGATTTGATAATAATTTACCTATATGTATTAAAGGTTATTATTATAAACTTGAAGCCCCCCCGTGCGAAATATTTAAAAGCGATTTATTGCTTACTAAATATCTTAGCGAAAACCATAATTTATTTTTGAAATATTTTGGCTGAACTTTTGAAAATAGAGTTAAATGCGAAGATGGAATCTATTGTATATATTCAATAATTACAGAAGATTTTCCTGATGTATTATTGATAGATGATATTATTACTCGTAGAAATAATAATCAGAAATATTCATATGCAGAATATTCAATAATTGTTAAATCCTTATTAATGGGATTCTCATGACTAGAATCAGAAAAAATTCTTCATCTTAACCTAAAGCCCCATAATATTTTTATAACTCGTGATAAAAAGATCAAAGTTGCTGGATTTAATAGCTCTAGAACCTATATCGAAGATGATTTCTCATGTTCAAATAACAAAGAATGGCACGATCTTTATATAGCACCTGAGATCTATCTTAAAAGTCTAACAGAAAAAAAATTCGATCTAAGCTTTGCAGAAAATGCTGACATTTATTCTTTAGGGCTTATTTTTATGCAAATGTATTCTTTACTTCCTATTAAAGAATTGAACACTCCTGAGTATTATGAAGAAATCAATGATTATGTATCAACTTTTAAGCCAAATAATGTAGCTAATCTGCTTAAAGGTATGCTTGCTATTGATAGCGCTCAAAGAGTTAGCTTTAAAGATAGTTTACGCAATTTTATTAATGAAGAAGAAAAAGGACATACGAGCATACAAGCTAAAATCTATGAGCCAATAAAAGATCATAATTTAATTGAAAATCATCTAGCAGACTTATTAAGGATCGAAGAAAGCATGCTTCAAATCAAAGAAGATTTTGGCATCAAATCAAAGAGTTTGCCTTATGGAGTGAGTCTTGAATTTAGAAAAGGATTTTATTATGACAGGCCAATTCTCATTAGAACTTATAAGCATCAAGATGAAAAAGAATTACTTCCGTATATTAAAGAAGCTAGGCTATTGCAATTTTTAGCAGGGAGGCATTCTACTTTTATAGACTATTATGGCTTAATTTATAATAGCTCACAACCTGACTCACTCTCGCTTATTACAGAACGTTGTAACTGAAACTTGATGGAAGATATCACACATCGACAGAATAAAGGAAATTTTTTTGACGAAAATGCTCTCAAAACTTATATTGGATTATTTCATTTTATTTAATTAGATTTTAGCTGTTTAATGATTAATATAAATTTTAAAAAAAATGGTTGCTATTTATCAATATTAAATGCTTATTGGCTATGGATTTAAATACTTTTAGAAGGGTTTGCAGTTCTTAAACAATTAAATATAGACCATAAGAATATAAAGGCTTATAATATTTTATTTAATTCAGAAAATAGCCTGAAGATTACTGGGTTTGCCGTTCCAGAAACAGAAATTATTAGTATTTGTAAATTTCCTGAAAATCAAAGCGATTTCTTTCAAACTGAAGATGATTATTGGTCACCAAAAAAAGAAAAACATGATGGTATATCTCAAATTGATTTCGAAAAATCAGATGTCTATTCTCTTGGTCTCGTAATTTGACAGATGGTCACGCTTTGTCATACATCAACCTTTAATTTAAACTGCTTAAGCCAGATTAGATTTCCATGAATTTCCTATATACTAAAATGAATGCTATGCGTAGACCCAAACAGGAGGAAAGATTTTGCTGGTATTTACCAAGCAGTGATTTCTATCATGCCTCATTAAAATAATCAGCCTAATTATAGTTTTATTATTTAAAAAAAAATTAAATTCGTCTCTAAAATTTAAAAAGGTTTCATGATTTAAAAGACAAATATTTGATTTAAATTTAATATAAATGATCTATTTTTGGTCTGGAGTATAATCCCATGAAGATATATACTTCTTTTCTTGGAGTGGCGCTGCAAGCGCAGGCCACTCCATACGGAATTCCTGTGTTGGTTTAACCAACATAGGAGTTGGTCGAACCAAAACTGTGCGTTGGTTCGACCAACCCATGAATTCCATATGGAGCGGCCTGCGCTTGCAGCGCCACTCCAAGGAGGTTTCTATATCTTGAAAATCCAAGTCAAATTTAGTCCTTTGGATTTTATATAAATTCAAATTACTATTAAGTGAATTACTATGTGATCCTTGTGATTGTAGATTTGCTTGTATCCTTCTCGGATTTAAAGACATTGCTAGTTTTGACTTTCTTGCGTTAATTTGTGGTGTGAGTATTGTCCTTTTTTGCTTTAATTTCTTAGAATTTTCAAAATTATCGTGCATATGAGTAGCAATCAAGCTTTTTCTGAGCTTTGAATTACGCAAATAAAATGGCGACTTCACCGATCTGTCCTCTCCCTGATCTGTTTCGAGCCAAACCAAGCAGGAAATGGAGTCTAAAGTACTGGGCATTTGTGTCTCGGTTAGGTTTTGCCTGCCTCAACCGGCAATGAAGACTTTGTGTTTCTCGATGGAGATTTGGGGAAAAAAGGCTTTTTACCCTGAGAACCCACTAGTGCCGACGAAAAGGCATAGCTGGCACCGATACTAGCTAGGGAGTTTATTTTTAGCTGGAACTCTAGCTCAAGCAACAGCTGTCAAGTCTTAAACCTGCATTATCCAAGGTTCGGAGACAGCATTAAGAACCAGACCGAAAGCTGTAGGAGAGCTGTCTTTTGTGGAAATACTGACAATCCAGGGAGGTTCGCTCACAACTGAGTCTTCTACGAAGACTCGTCTCGGGCGAGACGTAAAAGGAGGAAGAGCCCTAATCTTTAATTAATGTAATATCTGAGCTTTGAATCATTAAAACTTTCTTCTTTTGATCATTGAGAAACTCCAAGCTTTTGTCCTTGTATTCTTCATATTGAACTATTTTCTATTTTAGTTACTGGCACTGTGAGTCTAGGTCTATTCAGTCTTATTTTCTGTTGCCCAAATCTATCAAACTTGTAATGGTGGAAAATATTATTATGAGGAGTTTGTGAAATTTTGACAAAAGATCGTAACTGCAAATGCTCAGGTTTATCATTTTGAGATACGCCTAAATATACACCTTTGCAATAGTTCATTTTAATTCTTATTAGTTATTATAAATAACTAATAGAATAAAAATAATTTTTCTATTATTTTACCTTTATAAATTACTATAATACAAGAAAACACCAAATTTTAAGCATTTTTCACTGTTTTTAATTTATATATTAAATTTTGCAGAAATAAACTAATTCTATAATTAAAACATAAAAATTAAGCTAAATATTTATTGAAATCATCTGAATCGAATTATTCGCTATCTAAAACAGCTAAAGTAAATAATAAATCATCCTAAAAAAATAAGTTTAATTAATTCATCAATTCCTATATGTATAGGTGATAATCGAATTAATAATTAGCCAAATAAAATAATTCTATCATAGCCCAAACCTCATCTTGCTAATTAACTAAATATGGAGATATAAAAGCTTTCATAATAATTTACAATGGAGCAGCCTGAACCTACAGTAAAATTCCAGGTTTTACGAGAACAAGCCAGAGTCCGTATCCTAGAAATCCTTGACTTAATCCAAGGTCCCAAATTTTTAGCAATTGATCCTTGTCTTATTGGTCCTTTAAGCCTGATCATCGAAATGTCTGTTCTCAAAGATCATGGAGTTAGTAAGGTAGGTGCCGTAATTTCCAATGACATGGATTTCGATTGCCGTGATGTCATATACATAGTCAGACCTACAATCCAAATGATGCAAACCCTAAGTTCACAAGTCCACGAATGCATTGCTAATGGTGACAAAGACCACAGATACCACTTATATATGTGCCCCAGAGTGACCACAGTCTGTGAAAAAATATTAATGAGCAACGGCGTCATGGGAGAATTCGACATTATCGAGCAGCTTATGATTTATTTAATTCCTCTTGAAAATGATCTCTTATCAATGCAGATGGAAAGATCTTTCAGAGAACTTGTATTAGACCGCGACTTTACCATGTACCACTACATCGCACGAGCCATTTTGCAGTTAGAGCACGTTTTCGGTCCGATTCCTATAAAAGAAGGCAAAGGTATCGCATCATCCCATGTCTTAAGAATCCTAAAAATGCTTGAAGAAGAAGACCCAGACTATGTCTCTGAGCATCCTATAAGCGAAATTCAAGGCGCTATTTTAATTGATAGAGAAATTGACATGATAACTCCTCTATGCACCCCACTTACATATGAAGCACTAATTGACGAAGTTTTTGGAATCGCTAATAACATTATTAAAGTCGCCCCAAAGGTCCTAGAAAAAGACGACACTGATAAGCCTATTCAGGTCTCTTTAACTTCTAGTGACTCAGTTTACCAAGAAATCAGGGACCTTAACTTCTGTGTGCTAAAACCTTTACTTGTGGAGAAATTGGAGTATATTGATAGCACTTATAAAGAAAAAGACCAACAGAGGACTGTAGAAGACTTAAGTAAGTATATGAAAAAGTTTAAACAGGCTCATAAAGAAGCGGCATCAGTGCAGAATCATTTGCATTTGGCAATTCATATCACGAATGAAACAGTTAAAAACCCGTTTTTTAATCAAAATTTGGATATTGAGCATTCAATCATTATGGGGGACACAGATCCAATGATATTAGACCATATAGAAAGGCTTATTGGCATGGGCGAAGACCTCTATACAGTTCTCCGGCTGCTTTGCCTTATATCAGTAACCCAAAATGGCCTAAAAGGCAAAACTTTTGATTTTTTCAGAAAAGAAATCATACAGAGCTACGGCTTTGAAACCATTTTAACACTATCTAACTTAGAGCGTGCAGGGCTGCTTAAAAAGCAAGAGGTTAAAAGCAATTGGAGCAATTTAATGAAATCATTTAGACTTATAAATGAAGATGTAAACCAAAGGGTCCCTGATGACATTGCTTACGCTTATGCAGGATACGCCCCACTGTCATTAAGACTTATAGAAATGCTTTATTCGACTGGCTGGGTAAATGAAGCTGTAAGGTCTTTGCCTGGAGATTATCATACAATTAGATATGATATTGATGAGCAAAATAACCCTGGAAAACCAGTAGTAATTTTATTTTTCTTAGGAGGGATCACCTTTGCAGAAATCGCTGCTGTGAGATATCTAAATAAGCGGCCGGAATCAAGAAAAGAGTTTGTGATTGCTACGACACATATAGTGAATTCTCATACATTTTTGACGTCAGTGAGTGAACAAATTCATAATTAAAATATGGCGTCTTCGTCTGGGCATGGCCTCCCGGCCATGCAGCCTCGACTCATATTTTAATTATATCCGGCAAGGTTTACCATTTCAGAGATGGACGGCAATGCTAGGTAAGCAATTCTGGTAGCTTTCAGAGCCTAGCCCTAGTCTATTCTCAGGGGTGGATTTTTCCTCGTGGGGAAGGAGGGTGCAAGGTTGGAAAAGGGGAAGCCCAGCAAAGTCCTCTGGACCATTCGGGCAACTCCCTAGCGTGAAACTGGGCGTTACGTCCCAGGCTTTGCATTTTTCCTTTTTGCCGATAGCCGACCAGAAAAATCCATTTTTTTGGGTTTTTCGGAAAAGCAACCCATGTACAAGCAAGTAGCTCATCCATGAGCCGTCGAAGACGTGGACATTTGCCCTAGAAGCACCTTGGTGATCGAAGCAAGTTTGTCTCCAGCAGACTGGTGGCCCGATGCGACGAAAGGCGAGTGATAAACCTGGAGTTGTAACCCCGTAGTGGACGTTAAGCGATATAAAATTCTAATGTAATAATGTAATGAGTGAACAAATTCAAAATGAAATAGAAAGGAGTAGCATAGATTAATATTCCAGCTTTATTTAATTAAAAAAATATGATTTTTTATAAATTTTATACAAATTTATTATAAGCCAGCATAAAATTCAATTAATTATAAAATGAAATGCAAAGAAGAGTATAGTGGATGGTCTTTAGGCCGACAGCTGCAAGTTTCTTTTGTAACGACTACATTTTTCTTATCAGCAGTACTTGTTTTAATCACAAAATTTCAATTAGACTGGCTTAGAGACAGTCTTTTATCAAAAACTCATGACGTCCTCGCAAACTCAATTACAGATCAAATGGGGACTTTAGCAAGGGAAAAGTCTGCAGTCGTCGAGCAAGAACTAGACAATGATATAAATTTTGTAAAACAGCTAAAAGAACTTGACAAAACTATGCTGGGATGAGGAAATTACAAAGATCCTATTATTGTCCCAAATGCGCCTATTATGGATAATGATATTTCTTCATCTTCATTGTCTTTAAACGAGTATGGTGTAAAAGTTACATATGCCACAGGTGTTTTTCAGACAAGAATTGACCCTATTTCAACTGATGGGGAATTGCTTATGAATAACTCAGCTGCGATGGACCAGATATACCCAGTACTTAATAGAAAAAAATATTTAGCGATGTATGCAGGATTTGCGACTGATGAAATTATCCATTATTATCCTGGAAAAATTTTTAGTGATTCTTCGTATACTCCGATAGTTCAAGAATGGTATTATAGCGCTATTAATAAAGAAGGGTCTATTATAATAACTGAGCCTTATACAGACACAGACTCAGAAAAACTGATATTTTCAATTTCTACAGCTATAGCCAATGCTAAAGGCGTTTCTGGGATCGATGTTTTAGCTTCTTCCTTACAGCAGCCTTTTATAAATGTTACTATTTTAGACTCAGGCTTCATGTTCCTTATAAGCTCAGGAGGAGTTGTAATTTACGCTCCTGAGTCCTGGGCTTATATGGGCACAGCATTCAGAATTTATGACCAAACTTTAACTGGGATTTCCCAAGGCCAATGAAATCGCTGAATTCTGGACCCAGACCCATACAATAGGTTTTCATTCTCAGATATAAACGGGACTGAATATTATGCTGTAATAAATCCTGTATATCCAGCAAATATGCCTAATATAACCCATTATGTTATGTCGTGCGCTGTACAAAGTGAAACTGAAGATATGCTTGATAGTATTTCTAATAATTACCAAAACACTTATTATGCCATTTTCTTTATGATTCTTGGAATTGCTGTAGCTGTTTTTATAGTGATTACGACCTGTGCTTATTTTATTACAAGGAAAACCAGCAGACAGTTGAAAAATATTGAGACTGTTTTTTCGAGGATTACTCATAAAGGACTTTTTCCAAATTTGATCAAAGGAATTGGGGCTGATGTATTATTGGCAGACTCTTCAGGGATGAAAAACTTGATGGAAGCTTCACTGGACAAGGTGGACAAGATAAGGGATTTAGAAGATCAATATGAAAGCTATGAATGGGGACTCACGAGACCTGCAGATAAGTACTTGTTTACAAGGTGAAATGAAAGACTATATCCTTTAAATTGGCATAATGAAAAACAAATGAGCTGGAGACATGTATTGCCAAAGCTTACAAAAATTGGCCAAGAAACAAGGCCCAGTTAAATTATCTTATATCTATTTATTTAGTAATTTTACGCTGATTTTAATATTGTATACGTTTATAGGCATAATATACCTATTCAATTTTGCTGAATATATTCATAATTATTAGTTTGGTGACTAATAATATAAAATCATGAGTCTTAATAAGTGATTGCTATATAAATACTATTTTAAATTTGAAAATGATTTTAATTAATTTTAAACAAGGTATTAATTAAACAATTAATATTTATCTTTTTGGATTTGCTTTTCAGGCCTAGGTATGCTATTTAAAAATTTTAATTTTTTTTCAAACTCTTCTATATCCTCGTATAAATCATTTTCAGGAGTTTCAATTATTTTAGAAATTGGTGAATTGCTATGTGATCGATGCTTTACTGATTTAGGCTCAAATAGCTTGTAGGCGCCTTCTAACTCTCTCGATATTTCTTTACTCCCCCCCTCCGTGAGTGAACAAAACCATTAGAAAAATCGCTATTTTTTGCCCAAAAACCCACCCTCCGTGAGTGAACAAAAAATTTTTTTTTAATACAAAAAATTTTTTATGGAAAACAAAATTGATATATAAGTGATAATTAGCATAATGAAATCTAGAGCTAATTCTGTTTAATTTTAAACAAATTGCTTTTTAAAACATAAATCTTATAAATTAAATTAATATTTGCTTTCCAATTTTTGCGAATTAGGATTTTTTTAAATTTCGAAAAAAAATATTATTTTTTATAAAATTTATATATAAATGTTTTTAAAAAAAAAAAATTAACCCCTCCGTGAGTGAACAAAATTTTTTTGTTCACTCACGGGGGGGGAGTTAGAAGAAATTCTAGAGGTGTTAATTGTGCTGGGGCTTTGAATTGATTTTTGAGATGAAGACCTAGCAATAAAAGACCCGACTTGGCTTATATGAGATTCATTTAATTTACGTTTGAGCCCTTCTAACTGGACATTTAGGTTTTTCATAGAGTCTGAGCCTGTCCTTGTAATCGGCTGCTTATGCTCAACTTGGAATGTAAAAGCACCAGAAGCTTTGTGAAACTCAGATTTATTCAAAGCTTCGTGGATATACATAAAATGGCGTATGGCGACCGACCCACCCTCTCAGTGGTGGTTACCCATGTATATCCGGGCATGGTTTTTGGAGCCAGGAATTAGCCCAACAACGTCTGGGACCTCGAAGCGAGAGGCCTAAGCGCGAGAGCCGCTGTTTTTTGCGACCAGACCCATGGGCAGTTATTCGTGACTTCTTTTTGCCAGCAGCGCTCAGCCCAGTGAGTGCCCGAAATGAGGCAGGGTGAATTACCTGCCTAAGCTGCTTTAGTGGCTCGCCCCGAATGGCGAAAGCTGTTGAGTTCTTTCTCGGGATGACCGGAAAAGAGGGGGAGGCGAGTTAGACACCAAAACGGGGGTCTCTCCAGTTGAAAAGGTGCCCTTCAATGGGCAGATCTGGCGGACGACGAAGCGGAGTTGGCGTAAACTTAGGCGACGATCCAAGTTGGAAATGGAGGTGGTCAGCAAAGCCGGTATGAGACGGCCCTTGACAATACCTCTACCGAGAAACCGGGGGTTTCGGCCCGGGCTTGGTGAACGCTCTGCCACCACACGGGAAACCGTGGCATGCGACCTCGGACGTAGTAGGGACCTTAAATACCCAGCGTAATCTTAATCTTAATCTTATTCAAAGCTTCGTGGTATTTTTTGTAGTAAGGGGCTTGGTATTTTATATTTGGCCGTTTATCAGCTAATAAATCTATTCTATTTTTTAAAAATGAATAACAGCTAATTACTAATAAAAAATTATTTTGGTTAAATATAAGCAATTTTCTCATCATATAAGTGCTTATATTCTATTAAATTGTATAATAAATCTGTAGGACGCAGCGAAAAAAGATCATAGGTCCATTTAGTGTCTTTAAACGTGAAATCCTGATATTCAAATTTTGCCTTTTCTTTTAAGTGGTCGATTTTTCGATTATTCAGAAAATTCGCAGTGTCTGCATTTTTAGCTAGATTTGGGCTGTGTTTAAGTATTTCTGAACGTCTTAGGTCAGATTTTAGCAAGGTGCTTTTTGAGGTTTGTAATGGATTTTCTGGGCTCATGCCATAAGTCAAAGCAGGACATAAAACTTTAGGGCCGATTCCTGGAGGAGGAGATATAGAGTGGTATTTGGTGTGTGGGATATGAAAAAATGTTGGAGCATCTGGAGAAATTGAGGTTTTGTCAGTTTTATTCATTATGGAACTTATTAATAAGCTTAGATTTTTAAAAGATAATAACTTTTGGAGAGAAATTATAGCTTGTCGAGGAAGGGTGAGACTCTTGAAATGAAAAATCAATGTAATTAAGCGATTAAGTTAAGTTACAAGCTATGTGGTTATAAACGGTAAACCCACGAACCGTCGCCCTTTTGGCTTTCCGACTTAAAATACTCATCCAAAGGATCAGACCCTAAGACAGAGCCGCTATTTGTGGAGTGCCTGATGAGGAGTAACCATGTGGCAGGTAAACATGTCTAGTCCACCTTGCCAAACCTGATAGCTACAGAGGCTCTGTTTTCGGCTCCATTAGGATGTTTCCGATCTACTCTCCTAAGATGTGCCCCTCGAAGTCCAATTTCTGTAAATGTCACTATTTTATTTCCCAATGGATTAATAATAGAAAATAAGTAGCAAAAAGCGACAACAGCAGGATTCGAACCTGCGCGGGAGAACCCAACAGATTTCGAGTCTGACGCCTTAACCACTCGGCCATGTTGTCGGTCTGCTGTTAATATGTTAAGGTATTTAAATAATTATCCAATTTAGGATTTAATATAGAAGATTTGATTTTATTTATTTCCATAAAAATGTATATTATATCAAATAAAATTCAATATAACCTACATATTTAATTAATTAAAATAGTAAATAAAGCACTAGCCCTGCTTGAAAATGAAACAGTATATAGTTGTTTTTTTTAATATTGAAAAATAAAAGATATAACAAAAAAATTAATGTTAAATTAAGTGACTCTACACTAGCTCATCCTCCTCAGGAAATTCATCTGCAAAGCTTTCACCTTGAGAGCTATCTTCGTTAAAACTTATGGCTTTTCCTGTTTTATTTTCAGCTAAACTTGGATTTTTCAAAATTTGCGAAATATTTTCTGTTTTGCCTATTAGAAAATCAGGAATTTTTTTTTCGAAACTTGACTTATCGATGTCACTTTGTTTAATTGAGGGAGATTCACTGCGTGAATTCTCAGAGTTTAGCATTTGGTTAGCCTTAGCGATTCTATCAAATGAAGAAACAAAGGGTTTTATATCAATTTGTTGGTCTTCTGTTTTAATTGGCTCCAAATTTGATCTTTGATTGTAATTAGGCCTTGGTAAATCTTTTTTTGGATTTGCGGCAGGCAAGATTTCTTTGTCTAAGTACTTAAAAAGCCTATCAGTTATTGATATCCTTTCCTTATTCATTAATTAATTGTGTTTATTATAATTATTAAAATATATAAATTTAAATTAAAAGGTATACGAAAGGACGATAAGGAGTTGTAGAATCCTCTTCTTCATGAGTTTTTTCAATTTTTGGATTTTTAAAACTAGAAATTCCAACTTCAATTTGCAATTCTTCAGATTCAAATTCTTTTATTGGGCTTTCGAGCTTTGTTTTTTCAACCTTTTCCCTTTGTAAATTGATTTCATGTTTCTGCTGATCTTCTGTTTTAGATTTTTTTAATTCGCCAAACTCATTCAAAACCTTTTTGTGCTCATTTTTCAATTTTTCAAGTTTATCTTCGCTTTCTTTAAGCTTTCTTTTTAAATTCTCATTTTCTTCCCGCAAAATCTTATTTTCTGCTTCTGTTTTTTGTATGCTTTCTTTATGATTTTCCAAATCCTGAGATTTTGCTATACTTGTGCTCTCATCGTCTATATATTCAAAAATACTTCCTTCCTCACTTTTCCTCATTTCAGCCTTTATAAGCTGTGATTTAGCATCTCTATATTTTTCTTCAAAAATTTGTTTCATTCTCAATGCATGTTCAAATTTTATTTTTAGATCAGTGATATATCATTTTCTACAAAACTTGCCCTTTCCTATTATTTTATTTCCTAAATTTATCATAAAATATGAATTCCAGCAGAACCTGATATTCTCATTTAAAATAATTTTTTATATCTTCCAGCTCTTCAGACTGCTGCTTAAGCCTTGAATTTTCTTCTTTTAAATACATAACCTGTGCTTCCAGCTCTTCAATCGTCTTATAATTACCTGGATAAAACTTCTTCAGCTCTGATTCCAATACCCTTAATTGATCTTTATAATGCTCAGTCTCACTTTCTTTAGCCTGGAAAGCTGCTTTTATTTCGCTTAATTTGACTTCCATTTCGCTGACTTGTGAGATATAGTACTGATTTATCCTCAACAAATTATCCTTTTCAGTCCTGATATTTTCAGCGTCATGGTCTTTAGAATTTGTCCTATAATTCATAATAAAAATTTTAAATGAGAATTTTCTTATAAAAATCAAAAATTTATAAGCCCCTTATATTGAATTTATGGGGATCAAAAAGCTACTAGAAACAATTACAGAAAAAGCACCTAGAGGTATCAGAGAAGTCCCATTGGAGCACTATGCAGGGAGAACTGTGGCTTGTAATGCTTCATTAACTATGTATCAATGTTTAATTACTACACAATATATCCCTAGCAGAGGTGCAGGAATGCTTACAGACGAAGCAGGCACCCCAACAGCCCATTTAGTTGGCCTTTTTAACAGAACAATTCAATTTTTAGAGCTTGGAATCCGGCCTATCTGAATATTTGACCACAAATCTCAACGAAAACATAACGACGACTACGAAAAGAAAAAAACTTTAAAATTCATTAAAAGAAAACAGAACCAAAATCTCGGAAAATCCTCAGAAGAGCCAAAATTCCCTAAAAGATCAGTCAATTTAACCCCAGAAATGGCAGATGATGCCAAAAAAATGCTTGGGCTTTTAGGCATCCCATCAGTAGAAGCTCCAGGCGAAGCTGAAGCTCAATGTGCAGAAATCGTAAAAGCAGGCAAAGCCTTTGCAGTTGTAAGTGAAGATATCGACGCCCTCACATTTGGCGCTAAATTTCTAATAAAAGGAATGAATAACAAAAGAGAGCCTGTGACGGAAATAAACCTAGAAGAAGTCTTAAGGGGGCTAAATTTCACTTTTGACGAATTTATTGATTTTTGCATATTATTAGGGTGCGATTATTCTAAAACTATAGAAGGAGTTGGGCCGACGACGGCTTATAAGATGGTTCAGCAGTGCTCGACTATAGAAAGGGTGGTGGAATATATAAAAAGCACAGAAAATAAAAGATATAATTTTCCGAAGGTTTTTGCATATGAAGACGCTAGGGCGATTTTTCAAAATCCTAATGTGATTTCGATAGAAAAAATTGAATTGGAATGAAAAGAACCTGATGAAGTAGCATTGGCAGAGTTTTTAGTAAATGGAAAAGGGTTTAATACTAGTAGAATTGAAGGGGCGATGAGAAGGATTAAAACTTCACAAGCAAAGCCTGCACAACTGAGGCTGGAAAGCTTTTTTAAATCTGACCCATTAAAGAGACCACCGGCGCCTGCACCTGTAAAAAAATCTTTTGGGTGGAAAAAAAGGAAGCGTGAAGAAAATTAACGTATTTAAGAATTGTTTATTTATTAAAAATATTTTTTATATGAATCATATACAATAAATTATTTTTTTAAAAAAAAATAATATTAAATTAAAATTAAATATAAAATTTACTGTAATTATTTATCAGCTTCCCAATCGATCTGAAGTATAGTGTCAGAAACTTTAATTTGGCTTCCACTTTTTAGCTTGCAAGGCGCTGAATGCTCTCTTCCACTTCTATTTTTTCTGAAAACTGAAAACCATGTGCCATTTACTGTAGCTTTACTGTCAAGCCCATCATAGAGCAGCCACTTTCCTTCATCATAAACAACCCTGCATTGAGTTCTAGAAATCGTGTTTTCTGGAAGCTGAATATCACAAATCTGTGATCTCCCTATTGTGAAAACTTTGTATTTTTCTTCAGCTGCGAATTTCCATGTAGAAGGACTCATAGTTTCTTCATTATCGTTTGGGTTTCTGCTTACTTTGATAGCAATATAAGGCCCAATATCATCAATAGCTAAATCAGACTCAGTAAATGTATACTTTTTTATAAAAAATTAAATAATATTTATTATACAGGATTTTATCACGAATTATTGTTTTTAAGCAATATTTTGGTACTCTTCTAAGGTTTGTTCAGAATTAACTGTAAGTGGGACAGGATCGCATACAACTCTATCGATCTCTATAATTATATCGCTTCCAATCAAAAAATTTTGCCCTACTTCAAGTTCGATAGGATCTACATTGGAAACACGGATATAAGTTCCACACATGCTGCCTAGATCAATTAAAAAAGGAGATTTCGGCTCTTTTAAAAACAGAAGAATGCAGCGAAACAGATCTTGAGGGAGAAATTGCAGTATTCTTAATTTTATTAAATATTATTTTTAATATAAAAAAATTGTTTATTTATATGGATTTTTTACCCAACCGAGGATGATAGCCCATAAGAAACGCAATCCAAGTATCCGGGATCTCTTTATTAAAAAAATCATTACAATCTATCATACAATGGGAACGGCTAATTGCACGGTCACTTGCAGGGAGAGTGATGTCGTTAGGCCTTTTTCCATCTTCTGTCACTTGTTGACGGCCAATCCTGATAGTGCGATCTTGTGGAGTTCTTTGAGAATTGATAACACCTGTTGCATTAACTGTGAAAACTTGAGGAATTGATTGTTCTACGGAAGTCCGAACTATCTGAATAAAAGATACAGAAATAGTTAAAAATTTTTGAGGCTGAGGCGAAGGGTTTTGGAGGTTTTCGTTTTTGTGTTCTTCATTGAAAGGGTCTTCATTAGACTGATTTTCGCTTTTTTCCATTATTTTTAATTTTTGGTATGGAAATAGGTTTATTTGAAAAATTGAGGATAAATTAAATACTAAATACAGTAAATTTGGCATTTAGATTTAAATTCTTGGAAAATAAGCCTAAATTAACCTGAAATAGATTCATTATTGAAATTTTGCTTATTAAAGTGCCAAAAATCCATAAAATTGTAAATAAATAAAATTTAGAAGATCAATTACATGCAAATTAAATTTAAGTCGTCTCCATCAATAAAATGGTATATACAATACGCCATAAAGGCTTCTGGGATTATGCAGTTGGAAATGGCTATTATGATAGAAACTTCCACAACTTCATCAAGAAAATTGAGCCACCAAAAGAGCAGACACTGTTTATCACACGAAAAAACGACTCATACTTCCCATTCAGATACTTGCATGTATACAGAACATTAAAGCGTGCTGGCAATCAATTCTTCCAAGGAAATGAACTCATTCAAAATGTCTTCACATTAAGTCTTCGTGCTATGTACCAAAGAGTTCCAGAAGAAATGTTCACCCAAAGATATGGAGGTTGGGATATGCTAGTTCATAAAGGAGAGCGTCATTGGGAGCTTATGACTTATAACCAGCATCCTCTACAACAAGATCTCTATGAAATGGTCAATAAGTATATCCACGAAACTCAAGGAGAGAAATCTGAAGAAGAAAAAGAAAGAGCTTTAGAATTTGTTAAGAAATTAGATACCTTGACTAAACAAAAGAAGGAAAGGCTTGGACTTAAAGAATACGAAACTCTAGAGCAGCAAGATCTTGCAGATACATTTGATGAAGCTATGAAGGAAGAAAGAGCTGCAAGAGGATCACAATTTTATGTTAAGCCACAAGAGGAGGTAGAAAAAGAAGATGAGATTGAAAATCCTAGAAGAGTTTCATACTTTTATTAAGATAAACTCGAAGTTAAGTATCAAATATATTATCTTTTATAATGCCTAATTTGGTATAGAATTGCTGTTTGGAGGAAGAAAAATGAATTTCAATTAAAATTTACTTCAGATAGCCATCTTCTATATTACTGTTGAAAAAATGTTAAAATGGTTTGTATAGAATACAGAATACAGCAATTACTTTTCAAAACAAAATAAAATAAAGTGCACACAAATTTAATAACTTTAAATTTTAAAAAAGAGGTCTTTATGAAAATCCAAAGTGAGCAATTAAGAGCACCTCAAGAAATAACCATTATTCCTTCAGTCTTTATAAGTATTTTTACCCATATGACGAAAGATATAGCTAGCACAAACGAACTTCAACGAAAGATCGGGATATGAAGAGCGTCCATATTAATATCCCATTTGAAACAATTTATTTATCGGAATCAAATATAAGTGAACCAGGTTTTTCTGAACACACAAGAAAAATTAACTGTCCTGCTTGGAATTTTTCCAAATTTTAAAATATTAGGCTAGCACTCTGCATGGACTCTCAATGAATCAGAAAGCTTTATAATAATTTCACATCAATAATAGAAAATCCCTAATTTTAATGTGAAACATTCAGAAGGAGTGCAAGCAGGTCAAGAACTTTTCACATTTGAAGTCTGAAAAGCTTCTGAGAAAGAATTTACTTGAGAAGTTGCTTTTTTAATTTACTTTGCTACCATATAGTCACATATAAATCAATATATTTTAAGTTTTATTAAAAAATTAGAGAAATTATATATTTTAGCAAAGAATAAGAGTGCGTATTTAGCAGAATAAATAATTTATAATAACCTATATATAAACTATAATTAAAAGGGGCTCGATTATAAAATTATGATAGACACTCAGCAGTCAAGAGCACCTCAAGATATAATTATTCATCCCTCAGTCTTTATCAATATCTTTGAACACATGATCAAATATATCTCCAGTAGAAATACATTTCAGCGACAGGTTGGTATACTCCTTGGCTATGAAGAAAATTGTTGTGTTCATATCAATATCTCGTTCGAAGCAATTTGTTTAGAAGGGTCAAATACAAATGAACCAGATATTTCTGCTATTCAAAAAAAATCTTCCAGCCTTCTTGGAATACTCCCAAATTATAAAATATTAGGCTGATACTCTACCTATACACTCAGTGAGTCTGAAATGATATTTTATAATAATTTCACTTCTCTAATAGAAAATCCTTTATTATTGGTATGAAATGACTCACTGGAAATCCCAAAAAATCAAGAGCAATTCTTATTTGGACTCTATAAAATTTGTAAGCACGAACTTAACATGGAAATTTTTTCCGAGCTTATTAAGATTCCATATACAATTGGAATAAACCAAATAGCTTCTCCTAGTTTTCATAATTTTCCTGTTTTTCCTGATTCCCCTGATTCTCCAATTAAATCTAAAAGATTTTTTCAAGAAAATATTTCAACTGACATTTATACAAAGCAAATTAAAGAAATTGAAGGAATCATCTTAAATTCTCTGATCATAACAATTATTAATCAGTTATGTAAAGGAGATCAAGCTTTATTATTAAATTTATCAAATTTTAATCCCAAAAATTCTCATATGGACATTTATGTAGAATTAACAAGCTTAGAGATTAACGACGAACTATTAAGCAAGAAAGTATTTTTTATGAAAAAAACTGTCACAGGCATATCAAAATTTTTAAAAGAACTTAAAGAATCAATAATGAGCATGGATTTGAGAGAAACACAGTTTTTAGAAGACAATTTTACAATTATAAAAAGTTGCTTTAATAGTGCAAGCCAACCAGTCATTTTTAAAGAAACAAGATTTTCTAACATTCAAGGTATTGAAAATTTTATAAGCACTGCAAATGCTTATGACATATTATCAATAATAAATTGCATTACATATGATAAACTAGAAGAGCAATCTATATCATTTAAATTCTTATTTAAATGAATCGAAAGTAGCTGGTTACCTTATAGCAAGTTTATACTTAGATTTCTATCTAAAAAAAATACTGAATCGCCTGAAGCTGAGAAGAAATATTTGATATGAAAATTAAAAAATTGCGATGTTGTCAGAGAATATGAAAATTATGGAAAATGAAATAGCTTGCCTAGAAGTAAATTTGAAGAATTTTGCTTACTTTGAATATTTGCAGTCAGAAATAAACACCAAATAATTGAAAAATATGAGCATTTAATAAAGGATGTTTACCAAAAAATTCTTGACTTCAATGATCCAACAGATGAAGAAATCAATTCATTTTTTTACTTTTTATTTACAATATTATCCAGCTCCAGCTCAGAGCTTTATTGCAATATAGGAGAATATATTGATCGTGTAGTAGATAAAATCAGAACAAGGTAAACCTTAAACAGCATTATAAAAATCATTTTAAAACTCAAAGATGAATGCGTATTTAATGAAAAAGAATTTATTCAGTCTTTAGATTGCATTTTCCCAATATGTAATATGAAAGTCCTTTTAAAAATATTTACTATCAAAGAGGGTTTTGGAGGTAATTTCATTTCTCATTATTTAGAAAGACATCTGCAGCTTTCTGAAGATGAGTATCGCCAGCGCGTCAAATACGCATTAGATATCCTAGAAGAATATATATGCCACTATAGAAAATATCTTGATATAGCAATCTTAGATAATCTATATGAAAAAGTAAAAATTGAGAATTTTTGAAATGATAATCTATATAAAGATATACTAAAGAGACTTACTCAAATACAAATAGAGTCTGGAAGTTATAGCCAAAGCTTCTTAGATAAATATTTTGAAAATTTAACATTGCAAAACCAAGATTCTATTGATTTTAAAGGTTGAACTGATAATTTTAAAATACTTTTCATCTATATGTTTTTTAGCAAAACTATAGAAGAAAAACAAAGAAAGCAGCAATTAATATTTGAATATATCAATAGATTTGCGTCTGATATCTTGATATTTATATCTAATGTAGATATAAATCAAATTTTTTCGATTTTAAAACTTAGCTGCGGACTTATTCCTAATCTACAACAATCACTAAGTGAAACCTTTAAGAGAATCATTAATGAAAGCATTCAAGTCCCATACTTGAATTGGCAAAAAGGCACTGGAAAACTAATCGATCTTCATGGTGAAATCTTAGAATTAAATTTTGATGAGCCTTGTATCTTAATTCCTGACATGATAAAACACGTTTTTAATAGGATTATCTCATATTTAGATTTTAGTTTTAGCGACAGTGAAGATATATAAGACATTATGGATGAGATAGATTTATGATAGGGAATGGAAGCTATGATGGAGGGAGAAATTGAGGGTGAAGAGAATTTAGGCGAAATTGGAGATGATCATGGAGACTCTTTTGAAGAAATGAGATTGTGAATCGCTCAGCAAGAAGAAAAAATACTAGATGGAAATGAGCTGATCCTGGCCACAGGATCAATTAATCAAGCATCAATTGAGGTTATCGTGAGAGAAAAAGAAGACAAAGAAATCTTTGTGTCTGCCAGAGCAGCAGAATTGGTAGAAGCAATTAAAAGGAAACAAAAAGAGGATGAGAAGCCATGGATGGACGTGAAATCTTATGGGAAAGATGCAATCCTAAATGAAGAAGATGCTGGAGAAACAATTGAAGAAAACATCTGGGGAGATGCTTGTGGAGTAAATGAAGAAGATACTGATGGAAAATCTGAAGGTGCGGCGAAAGAAACTAAAATGGAAATCGAAGGAGAAACTGATGGGAAAAATTAAGGAGAAAATCATAGGGAAACTCATGGAGACACTGAAGAAGAAGCTAGAGGAGAAATCAGAGAAAGAAGTGATGAAAAGACTGAAGGACTTGAAGCATGGAAGAGAAGGAAGAAATGTGAAAGGAGATTATTATTATTATTATTCTTACGGTTTTCGTCCAGCATTTGGACCAACTTTCCCCTCCAAGTATTTTCTAATTTTAAAAATTTCTCCAATAAACTTCCTTATTTCTTCATTAACTTTCCAAATATGTTCACTATGTTTCAAACGCATAATTTTGTCAAACCTTCAACCACACAGAATTATTTCGGTAAGACTCAGTAAATAAAAATCCTCCTTCAGTAATTTTTCCATTTCATTTATTAGTTTCACCCTGCTACTCTCATAAATGTAGCAATTTTCAATGGCATGTACTTCATCCTCAACTTGCTCTCCACAAAATCTGCACTCTGAGCTATCTGCTATATGTCGGACGAACCTACAATGATTAGTGAAATTCGATCCAGATCTCAACCCAAAAATTATGCTGACAGCCTTGCTTGTTTCACTAGCACCCTGCAAACATATAGGTAGTTTGTATCGAACTTCACAATCTGATAAATATCTGTACAGCTCAGTCGTTTTTCACCTTTCAGTTGCCATTCTCTCAATTTTCTTGTCTTCAAATGTCTTTATTATTTTAAACAAGTAATTTTCAATATCTACATCCTCCAGCCCATATTTCTCTAAAACTCCCCTATCTCTTTTCGCACGGTAGGAGCTGCTGCTCATTTATTCTTAGAAGATGTTGGATAAGCGGGTCATTCTTGTGCTTAAGCCTATTTCTAAATGACAGTAACCTCTTGTCCATTCTGTCTCAATGTTTATTAGATTTAGATCACCAAGAACTGTTTCGTTACACGCATTCCTATGAGCACCTAATAGCCTTCTTGCATATGAAAGGAGATTATTAAAGCAAATTTCATTTGATAGTTAATTTTAAAAAAACCATAAGGATTTGCTGTGAACTTATTGCTCATTGAATAATGCAATGCGATGTGATGTAAATTTTATATAAATAGCAGCGGAAAAGCTGAATAAAATTTAAATTTAAAAGAAAAGCACAAAGAATACAGTTTCTATATTCATGATTAAAGTTTAGTTTATAAATAAACGCATAAAGGCAAATCAAAAATAAAATATTTAAAAGCTATATGAAAAATATTCATTAAAAACAAATGATGCGAAAAAAACCCAAAAATAATTTTCTTAAGAAAACTTATCAATAATATTGCTATTATAATATAAGTGAAAGATTTGGAAATAAATCCAAGTAGAGCAAATGATAAATTACTCCTATTTAAAATCTCAAAGTAATCAATAAATATTTTACATTATCAAATCTAAATAAGAGGAATAGTAACAAGATAAGAATTAAAATCTTGATTTCTCAGATTCAATTCAAAATTGGCTTGAATACTTTATCAGAAATTTTTTTATTTTATCCCTCGCCCATATTGGGCTATCTTAAGAATATGCCTATAAGTAGAGTTCTTTATATTTAAGCTAATGTTAATGGAAATTATGGCGGACTTCTCTATATATTTAGTTAATTTAATGCTAATAGTTTGTCATAGAGGATGGATTTCTACCCTAAATTAGGGATTTTTCCAATGGTTTGGCTCGCTCAAGAGGGAGTTAGAAAATATTGGTTTTAATGGAAATGCAATTGATGATTTGAAAAATGATTTGGATGGAATAACAAAAATGAACTATATAATTTTGATATATCATGTATAAATTGAGAAGATTGTAGGCAAAGTGACACAATAGCTAAATATTTGGTGGTGCTTTTTATGGATATTGGGATTGTTAATATGGAAAAAAATTTAGAATATGATGAAGATAATACTGAATTATATAATGAAATAGAAGATTACAGGAAGAGCCAACTTGAAGTTTTCAAGGAATGCCCGAATTGCTTTGCCTTTAAGACCATTTTCGACTTGAACAATCATTTTGCTGTACGACAATTGCTTTTATCGAGATTTTTAGGCATTTTTCAATGTTCACTAGATTCGTCTCAACTTAAAGAGGTTTTATATAACCTCAATAACTATGCTTCAACTGTTGTGATGGAAGAGCCTAAAAGACTGCCTTCATATATAGAAAAAGAATTAAAAGAAGTAATTCATTATAAAGCTGCTGCAGCTGCATATAAAAAGCTTGGTATGGACATAGAGATTCTTCATGACCTAAAATACGAATTATTCATATTTCCAATCAGAAGCAAATTTTTAGGGATTACATTATTTGGTGGCACAGTCTTACTGAATAGTTCATTGTTTGATAGAGATGAAGATTTATCTAGGTGTTTCCAAAAAATTACTTTTGTACACGAAATAGCACATTTAATTAGAAGAAGGTCAAACAATGGATTCTATGATGCAAAAATTAAAACACCAAATGTTTCTGGAATGCTGACTCCTGGATCTCCAGGATATATTAATGCAAATGAGGCAATGATGTGTGATGAAGGAGGCCAACAATTAGAGAGAGAGCTTTTTGGATTTTATGTGACAGAAGTTAATATGAATCATATTAAATATATCAATAAAAATGCTAACTGAAATAAAGAACTTCCTGATTTCAAAGATGGTTTGGCTAATATGTTTGATGAAACACTTTTTACCTATCATTATTGTAGAGCAGAAGACTTGCTCTATAGAATTGATAGACTCTCACACAGCGAAGCTTAGAAATTTTTAATTAAGGTAATGCAAAATTATAAGAGTAATTAATAAACTAAAGTTTATGGAATTAGATTTTAATCATAAAAAATATTTCAATAAAAGAATATATTATTATGACAATAATTTTCCTATAATTATGAAAGATCTTATTTTTTGAAAATAGATATAATCAGATATAAATTCTTAATATTAGGTTTTAACTAAAAATAAAAATAACTTTCCACAAGCTTTTCCATTTTAATTCGCCAGTTTTAATTGTATAAAAATGTGGTCCACACTGCACTCAAAATTACGCTTTTCGAGTGGCAAAAGGCTCAACTCAACATTTCGAGCTTCAGAGATAGTTATCGACCTCACAAATAATCCTAAAACCATGCCAGCTCTTGACGAAACCTTAATTTTTGGCAAAAAAACAACAGACCACTTATTTTCCGTCGATTGGGATGCCAAAAGAGGCTGGCACACGCCTCAAATCACTCCATATCAACCCTTAGTCTTAGACCCCACAAGTTCGTGTTTCCATTATGGAACTGAATGTTTTGAAGGAATGAAAGCCTACCGGACAGCAACAGGAAAGGTCCTCCTTTTTAGGCCCGAAATGAACGTCCGAAGGCTCCGAAAAAGTGCAGCAGCTTTAGCTTTGCCTGATTTTGACGGTGAAGAATTCCTCCAATGCATACGAAAATTCGTAGATATTGACAGAAGATGGGTCCCTAATAAAAAAGGATACTCAATGTACATCAGGCCGACCATGATAGGGACGCACCAACAGTTAGGGGTTACCAAGCCAGGAAAAGCCAAACTTTTTATTGTAAATGCTTTGGTGGGTCCTTATTTCCCTACAGGTTTTAAGCCAGTCGCCCTTTATTGTGATGAAGCAAGAGTAAGAGCTTGGCCAGGTGGTGTTGGTGATAAAAAAGTGGGAGGAAATTATGGCCCAGGGATAGCTTATACAGATGAAATAAATAAGCTCGGGTATCAACAGCTGCTATGGCTTGTAAACGAAAATGTCACAGAGGTAGGGACGATGAATTTCTTTGTCCTTTGGAAAAATAAAGAAGGAGAAACTGAGCTGATAACAGCTCCACTTGATTCGACAATACTAGAAGGAGTCACCAGAGACTCAATTTTAGCGCTTACTAACAGCTCCCTCCATCAGCTAGGAAAAATCTCTTTTTTGGGTAAAAACCACCCTGGGAACAAAAATTTTTTAATATATAAATTTTTATATAAAAAACTATTTGAGATATAAGTTATAATCACTATAATGAAATCTCGAGCTAATTCTGTTGAAATTTTAACAGCTTTATTTTAAAATGTAAATTTTACAAATAAAATTAATTGTGTTTTTCGAAATTGGATTTCTTTCAATTTTGGGGCTATAAAATTATATATGATTTTTAAAAACCCTTTGATGGAACAAAATAACGGAGGAGTAAGGAATGGAGTGAGTTTAAAGTGTCAGAAAGATCCTTTACTATTCATGAACTTACTGAAGCTATAGAGCAAGGAAGAGTTATTGAAGCTTTTGGAGCTGGAACTGCATGTATTGTATGCCCTGTTAAGAAAATTTTCTATAAAGGGAAGGATTATGAAATCCCTATGAAGCTTGGAAATAGTGGACTGCTCACAAAGAGACTTTTGGATCATGTTTTATCGATACAGTATGGAGAAATACAACATCCATGGTCATATCAGGTAGATTATTAAATCTAAACCTAAATCTTAATAATAAATCTACTTTTTGATGAAAAATTGATAAGACTATGCACATCAAAATTAATTTTTATTTTTGTATAATGTTAACAAAAATAATAAGCATATTTAAAAGTTAAGTTAAAAGTTTATGCTGTCCGTAAGAGAGTAACAGCTAGCTGTCGCCTATCTTGACTCCATTTTCTATTCCCGACCTGAATCGCCTGTCCATGTGATCAGCTCCTTAGGGCAGAGTGACCGATGATAAGACCATGTGGTAGGCTAGCTCATCTAGTAGGAACAGGAAAACCATTGGGGGAGAAACGAAACTTCCCTTTATCTGAAGGCTTAATCAAAAAAGTGAAATATACACTTTTTCAGTTTTTTAAGGACAGATCCTACCTGCTCCATAAGAAGTGTGCCTTGAATCCTTCTTCTGCCATATTTAAAAGGAATCTGCATGAATGATCCTATTTCCATATATCGCAATACAGAATAAAGCTCGCTAATTATATCTCATCAATAAATATAGCTTTTTACTTCTGTCCATTTATTTATCCTATACATGAGCTATTTTTTGTTTTACTATTTCTATTTATCAATTTCTGAGCTTTATTTTCCATTTATTAATATAAATATATATAAATTTTGCCTTCTTATGCTATAAAAATATTATATCTTTCACAGCTTTATTCAATTTAAGCAAATTATGGAGTGGTGTCTTTGGAGACACCGAATACATTAGAATTTAAATAATGCATCTAGCTGTGTAATTTAAAAAACTATCATATAGGCACCCCAAAAAAATTTTATGGATAATTTAATAGTAAATTTAAGAAAAAATAGAATTATGGTTGGTAACTACAAAATTTGGCACGTAGGTATTTGAAAATTAATAAAATAGCCATTTAACAAATTTTAAATAGTTAGTATAAAAGAGAATTTAGTTGGTAGGAGCCACATTTTGAGATAAAAGCTCTGTTATGACTTTTATAACTCCAAAAAAGATTTATATTAAATTTTAGAGCAAGGTATCTTCCATATGTCTATACTGTTTATTAGGAAAAATTTAGAAGATAATGTACCACTTCTAATATTGCTTACTCCCCCTGTGAGCGAACAAAACCATTTGGAAAAATTCCTATTTTTGCCCAAAAACCCGCCCTCCGTGAGCGACACAAAATATTTATGAAAAAAAATTGATTTATAAATTTATATATAAATTTTTTTAAAAAAACAATTAACCCCCTCCTTAAACGAACACAATTTTTTTATTCGCTCACGGAGGTAATGGGAGTTATGATAATTAAATAATTCAAATGAATGCTACTATTTTTTTCTTAAATTTATTACTAAATTATACTTAAAATTTTTTCAGTTGCATGGATTTTTAATTTCTAATGTATTCGGTGTCTCTAAAGACCTCACTCCATAATTTGCTTAAATTGCAGAACCTCTTTCACATATCAAAGAATTTTTTAATACGTAAAGATGCTTTGAAATAAAATGTCAAATGGGATTATATGCTATCTAAAAGTACCGCTAAATTGTTAAAGAGCCATCTATCCTCAACTGTTCGATACTTCTCTAGTGATAAGCCTCCAAAAGGATTCGAAAAGTTTTACCGCCAAAAGAAGCAAGAATCAGAACAAGAAAACAAAGAAAAACCTAAAGATACGGAAAAAGATAAGCCAAAATCAGATGAGCACAATTATAAATCTTTTAATGAAGATTTAAAAAGCTTCTGAAATAATAATTTCAACTTCAAACAAGGCCCATTTCCTTGGTGGAAAATAGCTGCCTTTATAGGAGGAGGTGCTTTTGCTCTACAATGAATTTTATCGAGGCCATCAGAAATTATTCCTGTAGTCACTTTTCAAGAATTGGCCAAAAAATATATCAATTCAGATTCTTTATCAAAAATTAAGCCATTTTTGATTAATAAGGTCTCTATAAATTTAGAAATAATAATTAAATAAATTTTCAATAAAATTAATGAAATAAATTATATCATAGAGTTTTGGCCTCAAGGAAGCCCTCCAAGCTCTCTTTATGATATTTATGCAGTTGATCAACATGGAGAAATAGTCGCAAAACTCAGATATCCAGACATAAATTCTTTCTTAAGCTCATTAGCATCAGAAGAAATGTCTCTTGGGAAAAGCAAAAAAGACTTAATACCTATTGAATATCGTGAAAAACCTAAAAGTCCTACTGAAAAATACTCAAGCATTTTCAAATTTTTTTCTCCCTTTTTTTACATTTTCCTTATCTGAGGCATCATGCATTATCTCAGTACTAAATTCCGCAACAAATCCAAAGAAAACCCATGGTCAGGTGGGGGTGGTTTTCAAGACATTTTTAATATGCATTTTCCCTTAAATTGTCTATTTTATAGTAAGTTGAATATTTGTTATTAAAATAAATAAAAAAATATATATCAAAAGGGAAATTTAAAGTATATGGAACTGATGGCACAAAAATTGATGTAGATTTCAAAGATGTAGCTGGATTAAAAGAAGCCAAAAAAGAAGTCATGGAATTTGTGGAATTTTTAAAAAATCCTGAAAAATTCAAAAAACTAGGAGCAAGAATTCCAAGAGGTGCTTTACTAATTGGGCCACCTGGGACTGGGAAAACTTTATTAGCCAAAGCAACAGCAGGAGAAGCAGGAGTCCCCTTTTTCTCAATTTCCGGCTCAGATTTTGTAGAAATGTTTGTAGGGGTCGGAGCTTCCAGAGTTCGGCAGCTTTTTAAGCAAGCCCGAGATAGGGCGCCTTCTATTATTTTTATCGATGAAATTGATGCAGTTGGCCGTAAGCGTCAAGCAAGAATTGGTGGAAATGATGAAAGGGATAACACCTTAAATCAGCTTTTAGTAGAAATGGATGGATTTACTACAGATACTCATGTCGTCGTAATGGGTGGGACAAATCGAAAAGATATTTTAGATGGAGCTTTATTGAGGCCAGGAAGATTTGATAGGACTATAGAGCTTTCTCTACCTGATATACAAAATTTTATTAATTGGCTTCCCAAATAGATTAATTCCCATTTATTTCAATAATTTATTATATATAAGTATATTCACGAACGTGAAGAAATTTTATCAGTCCATATAAAGCCATTAAAACTAGACCCCAGAATCCCTTTATCTGAATATACAAGAAGAGTAGCTGCTTTAACCCCTGGCTTCAGTGGAGCTGATCTCTCAAATGTATGTAATGAGGCTGCTATTTATGCTGCAAGAAGAGGTAAAGAGTTTGTGGATAAGCTTGATTTTGAAGCTGCAACTGAAAGAGTTATGGGAGGGCTTGAAAAATCTAAAAAATTGAATATAAAAGAAAAGAAAACTGTAGCTTATCATGAAGCCGGGCATGCAGTGGCAGGATGATTTTTAGAAGGCGCAGAACCAGTGCTCAAAGTAAGTATTTTGCCAAGAACAAAAGGAGCTTTAGGGTTTTTCAGTTTTTGCCATCAGAAACAAATTTATATTCTAAAGAAGAGTTATTAGACAAAATTTCAGCGATTTTGGGCGGAAGAGTTTCTGAAGAATTATTTTTTGGAAAAGTGACAACTGGCGCTCAGGATGATTTACAAAAAGCTATAAGTTTTCGCTTAATGTTTCAGATAGGAATCTAATTTGGTTAGTCAAATTAAATAGATAGCTTTTGTATAAAAAATAGGTAAATTTAAGATAAAAGGTATACACAAATTGCACAAGCCCTTGTTATGAACTTTGGTATGAGCGAAAAATTAGGGACAGTTGGGTATCATATTGAACAAGAAGCATTAAGCAAGCCTTTTAGTGAAGACACTAATAGGATCATTGATGAAGAAGTAAGAAGCATTGTGGAATGGTGCATTAAAAAAACTAGAAGCTTGTTAGGAGAAAAGAAGGAATTAGTAGAAAAATTAGCAGAAACTTTGATAGAAAAAGAAATGATTAAACATAAAGAGCTTGTTGAAATACTTGGAGAAAGACCATTTGAATATCAGCAAGAATATCAAAAATATTTAGAAGAAGCCAAAAAGAACCAAGTATAATTGTAGCTTACTAACTCCCCCCCCCCCCTCCGTGAGCGAACAAAAAAAATTTTGTTCGCTCACGGAGGGGGGTTAATTTTTTTTTTTAAAAAAAATTTATATATAAATTTTATAAAAAATATTTTTTTCGAAATTTAAAAAAATCCTAATTTGCAAAAATTGGGAAGCAAATATTAATTTAATTTGCAAAAATTTATGTTTTAAAACGCAATTTGTTTAAAATTAAACAGAATTAGCTCTAGATTTCATTATACTAATTATCACTTATATATCAAAATTTTTTTCCATTAAAATTTTTTTTCTATTAAAAAAATTTTTGTTCACTCACGGAGGGTGGGTTTTTGGTCAAAAAATGGCGATTTTTCTAATGGTTTTGTTCGCTCACGGAGGGGGGGGGGGGGGAGTAAGCTTATTAATTAAATAATTTCATATGAAAAAGGTACATATAGAAGTGTTTTATTATGATTTAGTTTTATATCTAATGAAATTCAATCAAAAAAATTTAATGATGATATATCCCTAATATACAAGACATCCAGGATACTTCTCTCTGAAAGATATAGCTATCACAATACCCGCACCAGTTCTTTCTTACACTTTTTATACAGCAATCCAAGCATTGATAACAATTTCTGTGTTTCTCTATAAAAAAGCCTAAAAATGATGAAATTCTTTTACGTGTTTTGCATACTAAACATTCTGAGATCAATAATCTTGGATAAAAATTCTCAGACATCTCAATGATCATTTTAATGTCATCTGAATTATAATCAATTGAGCAAATTGGGCAGCTTAGTAATTCTTTGTCAGAAATAGTCTTTTTTAAGCAGTCAAAGCATAAATCGCATCTGCATGGGCATTTTAAAACATTTCTGGGCCTATTGCAAAGCTCGCATATTGCGAAATTAATACAATTTGCCATTTGATTTTTATTTTTTATTCACTTTATTTATTTATAATATCAATTCAGTCAATAGCTTGAATTAAAAAATTTCTTTAGCTAAAACCAAATTTACTTTTTAAAAAATATTCTCATTCTAAATATTTTGATAAATCAGATAAAGTATATCTAGAATTAGCTATTCATCCTTTTTTAAATAATTTTATTGCTTTTCAAAACTCATTAGCATTTTGGCTTAGCATTATGAATTGGCAATTTTTAAGTATTTTAGAGTTTTAATCTCTGCATATTTTGAGTAAATATCATAGCCACTATATTTGATTTTCAATTATGAATTTATTTTTCAGGACGATTATTGATATATTATATAATGCCATAATTAATTATTTAAACAGCAGATAATAATTTTTTATAGATATCAGATTTTTACTAATTTAGCAATGAAATTGAAACGGAAAGTATTTCTCTATATTTTGAAAAAATTTTCTTAAACTCCCCCCCTCCGTGAGTGAACAAAACCATTAGAAAAAATCGCTATTTTTTGCCCAAAGCCCACCCTCCGTGAGTGAACAAAAATGTTTTTAATAGAAAACATTTTTATGGAAAAAAATTTTGATATATAGATGATAATTAGTATAATGAAATCTAGAGCTAATTCTGTTTAATTTTAAACGAATTGCTTTTTAAAACATAAATTTTATAAATTAAATTAATATTTGCTTTCAAATTTTTGCGAATTAGATTTTTTTTAATTTCGAAAAAAAATATTTTTTATAAATTTATATATATAATTTTTTTAAAAAAAACAAAAATTAACTCCCCTCCGTGAGTGAACAAATTTTTTTGTTCACTCACGGAGGGGGAGGGAGTAAGCATAATAATAACATTTTATCTCGTTTCCAGAGCATAAAGCTATTTCCTCTTATTTAGGATTAATTTAATTTAATTTTAAGCCAATAGAAAGGTATTTTAGTGCCATTATTAGAAAATTATTGGCCAGTTATTATTACTATTTAGGTTTATTGGATAATTCAAGATTATGCACCATAATGATATTAATTACTAACAAGAGAATTTTGATGTCTAATAATCATTTTAAAGAAAAACAATACTTGCCATAAAATGCAAGGTACCTCTGAGCAAATTTCAGACAAAAAAATACCAGAAATGAATATTCAACTACCACCACTTTCAGAAATCAAAACTTTCGAGCTAATAGAAAAAACTGAAGATTCTCCTCCAATCTTCGAATTACCCAAAATCGATATAATAGCCCAGAAATTCGCTTTCCATCATTCTATTTATCAAATTTTTTTATCCATAAAAAGTCCTAAAACTCTATCTAAAATATTTTCAAAAATGTTATTCCCATAGATTTCCTAAATTATAATCTCCAAATCTTTTATATTTAAATACTGATAAATGCTCTTTTTCTTATTATCTCAAATTTAATTGATATTCTTCTAATAATAACAATCATCATCTTTTATTTCACAGAATACAAATCGATCTCACTCGTTTCCTATAAATATTCATACAACTTACTTACTTAATTATTAATACACGCTTAACGTCCAATACCACATTTCCTGCACGGGTATCCGTCCTGCTTCTGGGTTTCCCCGCTCCACCAAAATGTCGTGCACCACCTGGCTTCAAGGCTGAATGGTCCCATCGGCTTCAGCGTTCGGATTTCGACGGCCGTCCTTCCGGCTCTCTGGCAAAACCAACTTGGGTCCGTCAGGCACCCTAAAGGTCCCAGTCTCCACCGCCTGGGGTTGGTGGCATCCTTCCAGAAAATTCAATTTCCCTAAGGGACAGGAGTCCTGCGTCGCGCACCACAGGCACTTGAAGCCCTGTCATCGCCAGGATAAATTCGCTATGAAAGCCAAACCTCATAATCAAAAAATTGAGGAAGAGAATTTTCGGTCGGGAGACCAGAAAATTCGACTGACACCATTTTTTTTGATTATAAATATTCATAAAACAATTTTATATAGAAAAATCCATATAATAATTTTATTTTATTAAATATTTATCTTATTTCTCATATGAGATTTTTTGAAACTTCAATTAAAGATGAAAAACCCTCAATCAAGAGAAAGAAAAAACCCAAATTGTCAAATACTACCACTAAATCCTCAACTTCTACTGATTTAATCTCTCAAGAGAAAGATCAAGACCAACTGTCTGAAGTAAGAAGATCAGCCCGCATAAAAGAAATAAGACCAGAAAAAAGACTTAAATATACAGACTATGTGCTCAGCTCTGGAGAAGAAGATGAATCTGAACCAGAAAACGAGTCTGAAGAAATAATTGAAGCTGGAGATGGCACAAAATTCAGAGTGCTTTCAGTTGACAGCACAGATTTCGTGGAATGTCTTCACTGCTATAAAGTTATTCAAGAAAAGTCTATACAAGCTCATTTAAAATCAAGGGTTCATACGTCCAAAAAATAATTAATATGAATATCCATTAAACTGTCTTAATTTCTCTATAAGAGCCATATTGATTCAATTTTTATTTTTCAAATTTTTGATTCTACTAATACTTTTTCTTACTATAAAGGATATTTTTTTATATTTTATATAAATTTTAGGCAAAAATTATAAAAATCACTATAAAGCCTTATCTAGCCCTAATTCTCCTAATTCCTTTATAATTTAAAATTTTCTTCCTTTTCATTACAATTTAACTTCATATTATGGCTGAAAAATCAAACAGAAGATCTAACAAAAGCGCAATTCACAACGTCTCCGCTGCCACAGTTCGACGCAGAGTGGGCGATCTCAGCAACTCTTTGCAACGAATGAGCATCGAAGAACGCAAAGACAAAACTGGAAACTTCACCTACAACCCAGATCGCGTAATTGGCAATGGCAGCTTTGGTGTCGTTTACCAAGCCACAATTGCAGAAACAGGCGAAACAGTTGCTATTAAAAAGGTTTTCCAAGACCGCCGATATAAGAATAGAGAGCTTCAAATAATGAAAGAGCTGAGACATCCGAATATGATTGGGATGAGGCATGCTTTCTATACTTCAGAAAACAAGCCTGATGAGCTTTATTTGAATATTGTTATGGATTATATTCCTGAGACTGTTTATAGTGTGATTAAACATTATAAAAGAAATAAGCTGTCAGTCCCTATGCTACTGGTTAAACTTTATAGCTATCAGATGATGAGGGCACTGGCTTATATTCATCAATTAGGGATTTGCCATAGGGACATTAAGCCACAAAATGTACTGGTAAACCCTAATACACATGTTTTAAAAATTTGTGATTTTGGGTCCGCGAAAAAATTAGTTAAAGGAGAACCAAATGTAAGTTATATTTGCTCTAGATATTATAGAGCTCCTGAACTTATTTTTGGGTCAACTGATTACTCTGGGACTATTGACGTGTGAAGCACCGGTTGTGTGATTGCAGAAATGCTGCTAGGGCAGCCTATATTTCCAGGGGAAAGTGGTGTTGATCAGCTTGTCGAAATTATCAAAATCCTAGGAACCCCAACTCGTGAACAAATTTTAGATATGAATCCAAACTATACTGAATTCAGGTTCCCACAAATCAAGCAGCATCCATGAAATAGGGTTTTTAAAGCAAGAACTCCTCCAGATGCAATTGATTTCATTGCAGGTTTGCTAGTTTACTCTCCCCAACTTCGTCCAACCCCTATGCAAGCTTTGTTACATCCTTTTTTTGATGAACTTAGAGAAAGGTCTACTAGTCTTCCTAACGGAGAAAGCCTGCCTGATTTATTTAACTTTACCCAAGAAGAAATCGATTCTACCACATTTGACATCATACAAAGACTTATCCCATCATGGTACTCATCTAGGTAAATATGCTAAATAATTTAATATATTATATCCTTTTTTCCATTAAATTTGGATTTAATTGATTTTCAAGCTATTTTTTGCTAATATATGAGAAAAATTATAATCAGTTAAAGGAAAATGGATGCAAATAAAATCCACTTCTTTTATAGAAATCCTGCACCAAATTTAATGACCCCGAAAAGATTTCATAGCACTGTTGGAGCTCCTTTAAGAAATCAAGCAAGAATGCTGAGGCAGATTGATTTAAATAACACTTTTAGGTTTTTGAAAACTGATGGAAATCCAATAGCGAAGACTGATAAGTTTTTTCCAGATATTAGGAAAAGCCCATTGAGATTGGGGAGAAATCTAATTAAAACAAAAGCGCTTAAGATGATGCAGAAACATGATGGCAGAAAAACAGAAAGAAATACGTCAGTGTAATTAATGAAGGATGAAGTTAATTTTTAAGGGCTTGAAAAATAATAAAATAGAGTAATAATAGATATAGAAGGGTGTTAAATAAGATCGAGATAGATCATTTCTCATAATTAATTTTTTTAATAAATTCGATTCTTGCTATTTAGCAATAAAATGGATACAAGATTAAGCTCATGTATTTTTGAACTTATTGAAGTAGGTATCTAGTCTCTTATATATCTGTATAATTTAATAAGAAGAATGTTTAAATTCAAATATTTATAAACCGTTTTATATTTCATTTAGAGTGTTTAAATTACTAGCTACCCCAATCTTCTGTGATCGAACAAAACAATTGGAAAAATCCTTATTTTAGGTCAAAAACCACCTTTTTAAGTCAGCAACATAATTTTTTATAAAAAAAATATTTGATATATAAGTGATAATTATTTTGCCTAATTCTGCTGAATTTTAAATAGTTTGCATTTTTTTAAACATAAATTTTAAAAAATTAAATTAATTTTGCTAAATTTTTTTGCTCGCTCATGAGAGGAGTTAAATTAGAAATAAATTTATTGCTATAATCCTTTACTTTGATAAAAACTTTCAAGCACATCGCTTAAAAACTCATAAAAATCTCGATTTTCAGGCAAGCTCATATTTTCTTGCCATTGGCTCCCTTCAAACCTTGAAGCATATTTTTTTACTCTTTTTACCATTCCTTTTGCCAATTTTCTTGAAAAATAATTCAGTATCCTATAAGGTAAATACTTCAATACAGGATCAAAGTTTGATACAAGTTTGATATATGTCCTATTTCTATTAATCGGCCTAATCACACACCCAAAAAAATTTACAATCGCTCTCGTTACTTTTCCTTTAGGGGGCAGCTTTACTCCTTTAAATTCATCTTCTTTATCACAGGAATTTGAAACAATCATAATACATCCATCACTTTTTAATAAATCAGCTCCATATCCATATAAGCACGTTTCTCTTTTTGCAATTCCAGCCACATTATAATATTGCAAAATAACTTTTCTTGACCTTGCAATTTTTTTACTAACTCCCCCCCCTCCGTGAGTGAATAAAAAAATTTTGTTCACTCACAGAGGGGGTTAATTTTATTTTTTTAAAAACATTTATATATAAATTTTATAAAAATATTTTTTTTTCGAAATTTAAAAAAAATCCTAATTCGCAAAAATTGGAAAGCAAATATTAATTTAATTTATAAATTTATGTTTTAAAAAGCAATAAAATTAAACAGAATTAGTTCTAGATTTCATTATACTAAGGTTGTTTTTTTGCAAAATGGGATCCATAGAGGATATAAATCAGTCTCATACATTAATGTCAATAAGTTGAAGACAGGCAAGTCAAAAGTTGTTTCTGACATAATCGAGCATGTAGGAGTCCCTGGAAATAACTTGATATATTATTAAAATGGCGATATGTGGCAACCTGAACTCTTGGCGCAATAGTCCAGACCTTATGGTGATGGCGAACTGGGATGGACTTCAGGTTTCCTATGGTTGGAAATGGAGATGCTAAACAACGTTCTTTGAATCCGAGGACTCATGGGGATTCCTCTACCGAGAAAACCAGGAGTCTTTTTCCTGTAGTTGTCAAAGAAGGCACTTCGGCGCCTGGCAGACTCAAAGGATCCTTGAAATCAAGCTACCAATCGCCCGTAGCAGATACGCAGAAATCCATGAACCGCCCACTCTAGATTGAAGGAGGACACAGAAGGTACCGGAAGTGGCCTCCACCTTTGGGGAAAGATTTTGGGCTTGAGCCCCGTTCGAGAAGTCTTTGATGACTGTGTCGCCAATATTTCTAACTCCTGATTTTAATAACCTAACCCTGGGACTAACTTGTGGCTGATTTTTATAGCGCCATCATGGTCTGTAATTCATCCTTCAGTATCTTCTAGTTCCTTGTATATTTTTCGTATCGCATTATAGTCATTTTGGATTTCCAATAGTTTAGGAGAATTTCGCAAATCGATTTTTGATTCGTTTATCAGCTTATTTAGTTCAAAATAAGCACATTGTATTCTATCTTCATAATATAAATTTAAGACGCTTTCAATAGTTGCTTTATTGCTGATTTCAGGCAAACTGTCGTCTTTCTCAAGCTCGATCTCAATTTCTGATTGCAAAGTTTCGTCACATATGATGCTTTCATCTAAAACTTCACGTATTTGCATCAATTCAAGCTTTGGGGCTTGCGAAATCAAAATTAGTTTGTCATCTGGTGGAGGGTTTATTATATCTTTCCATTGAATCATCCATGGATCAAGCTGATCCAATATATCTTTAACTTTTTCTATGCCAATTTCATCTTCAAGCTCTTTTTCAGCATCAAGTAAAATCCTTTTAGCCTCTTTTTCTCTCCCATACCAATAATGGTTTATTCCTTCAGCAATTTGTGAAGCAAAGTGTCTAAGCAAAACATCTCCCATTATTTTTAAATTAATATTGAAATTACTTAAACGTCTAAGATTCATTGAAGTCTTCAATTTTCTTTAACAAAGTTTCTGCATAGTTTGGAGAATAATAGGAAACGATGTCTCGAGGATATAAATTATTGATCGCTTCTTTGTACTCTCTAAGCTTCGTCCCAGGAGGAGCATCAATTTCTTGTACCTTTTGTAGCCCACCGCTCTGCACAAATGTTTTTCTTGCTGCTATATCATGAGGTAGAGTTTTTGCGAACTGATTGATAACGTATTTCAATATATTAGGTGGAGCTATTCTTATTTATAGCATAGAACTTTTGATATCATCTAAATAATCCTTAATTTTAACATATAAATGGATTTTTTTAAATAATTATCAATAGATATTCACTTCAAAAGATATAATTGTAATAACGGCTCCAAGGCAGGTAAATAAGTACACATCTGTACAATGCTCTTAAGGGCTCTTTTTGACTTTGTCTTCAAGTCTTCGCTGCTTTGTTCATCTATATAAGCTGCTAATAAACAATTAGGTACATCTAACTCTGCAAGCGCTCTTGCATGATCTGCACTATGTCTCCCAATCTGTCCTAAAGACCATGCAGATGCAGCTTTTATATGATCTTCCCCTTCATTTTTAAGAGCGTCTTTAAGTGGCGGAATTCCTTTAGAAACAATTACACCCATAGCTAAACTTTCGTCAAAAGCACCGATATAGCCTAATGTCATAATTCCAGGCAGTCTTGGGTTTCCTTTGACTTCACTTATATAGTCTATTATAGTATGCATAAAATGGTGATGGCGTACGACCAGTCTCTTGTGTGAAGGTTACCCGTGTATATCGGGCATTGCTTTTGGAATCAGAAAAGGCCTAGGTGAATTGCTTGCTCAAACTGCTATTATTGTTTGCCCCGAATAGTGGAAGCAGTCAGGGATGACCTGAAAAAAGACTAATAGGCGGCTCCTCCAGTATAAGGACCCTTGAGTGGGGCGATCAGATTAGAATAAGATGCAAAAGTTGGCCTAATAAGGATGAAGGACTGAGTTGGGGGTGCTCACTATGGTCTGCGGCAGCCACTACCGAGAAGCCAGGGTTTCGGTTTAGGCTCAGAGATACCAAAGGTGGAAGTCCACCCAATTCGCTTAGGCCACTACACAGCTCCTAACGGCGGGCTGTGCAGATATCACTCGTCGAAGTTGGGACTTTAAGGATGCAGCATAATCTAATCTAACTTAGTCTACTATAGCTGCAGCACCGCCTGCGTTTACTATTAATTTTGCTAAGGCAGGGTTGTGCTTCGCAATTTCTCTTATGCAGGTCGCAGCATTTTTACGGACATGGGTGTCGACGTCTTTAAGGCAATTGAGAATTCGTGGGAAAATTTCGGCCTCTACAACGGATTCTGCAAGTTCTGGAGTATGCTTAGCTATTTGTGCTAAACAAGAGCATACTTGGCGTTTAAGCTGAGAGTCGGGATGGTTGATGTATTGGGACAAATGTGGAACTGCCATAGCGTCAACTATTTTTTGAGCTAAATCGCTAGAGTGACGGGCTATATCACTCAAAGCACTTGCAGCAATTCTCCTAACTAACTCCCCCCCCCCCTCCGTGAGCGAACAAAACCATTAGAAAAAATCGCCATTTTTTGACCAAAAACCCACCCTCCGTGAGTGAACAAAAATTTTTTTAATAGAAAAAATTTTAATGGAAAAAAAATTTTGATATATAAGTGATAATTAGTATAATGAAATCTAGAGCTAATTCTGTTTAATTTTAAACAAATTGCGTTTTAAAACATAAATTTTGCAAATTAAATTAATATTTGCTTCCCAATTTTTGCAAATTAGGATTTTTTTTAAATTTCGAAAAAAATATTTTTTATAAAATTTATATATAAATTTTTTTTAAAAAAAAAATTAACCCCCCTCCGTGAGCGAACAAAATTTTTTTGTTCGCTCACGGGGGGGGGGGAGTAAGAGAAAGCTCTGGCTCCTGCACACAAAGCACTAAAAGACGTACAGCGTCTCCTTCAACAACACGACTTGCTAATTGGCCGTTATGTCTAGCTATATACCCAAGCGCCCAGGCAGCGCTTTCTTTTACTCCTGGGTCAAACTCCTCTAGACATGTAACAAGTGCTTCAAGCCCTCCACTATCAGCTATTGCCTGCGCTAGCTCTGCTGAATGTTTTGCGACTGCTCTCAGCACAAATGCTGCAGCTTTCTTGTAAAATCGGTTTTGCTCTGCTAAAGATAGCACTAATTGAGGCAAAATCCCATGTGCCACCACCTGTTCAGCGAGGTCATCTGAATAATTGGCTAATCTCCCAAGGGCTAAGGCTGCTGATTGTTGTATGCTTGGCACATTGTCTAATAGCAAAGGCCTCAACAATGCCATCACACCAGCGCTTTGTAAAGCATCAATATTCTGTGGCCGTGTCGCCAGCTCTGCAACTGTTTGAACAAATGTGACTCGAGCTTTTTGGTATTCTTCAAAAGGCTGAAGGACTGCTCTGCTCATTTTGAAATTAAATAATAAGTTTTCAGATAAAAAACTTAAGAAATTTAGGAAAAATAATCTGATTTTTAGTGAATTTATGCAGAAAATTTGAAATTAAAAATTGTTAATTAATGAAGCAGCTTGATTGTAAATATCGTGCAAAAACACCAGAAATTCAGAGGGCGACTGTGCAGCTTATAAACTCTAACCATTATCCTGTCAAACTTCCACAGTTATCAATAACTTCGACACAGCCTTGAAGCACCTATAGAAATACACTGGAAAAGTTGAGGACTTTTACTGAGGAATTTCAAGAAGCCAAAGATAACAGAATTATTATCCGGCCCCAGAAAAGGAAACTGGCAAAAATCAGCCCTGATTATAAGAAAGAAGATCCCTATTGAAGATATTTACTAACAACCAGATCTGTCAATGAAGAGCATAATGAGTTTGAGGAGATTTATAAAAGAGTGGAGGTTGATAACTGGAGGCTAATGAAATTGAAGATTGTGAGACAATAATTCAAAGTAATTTTTGCAATTATATGAGGATTAATATAGAAATATTAGTTAAAAATTTTAAGGTTAATTAGAAAAAATTGATTAAAGAATGAGCAAGTAAATTTCCTGTGGGTAAATAAGATAATTATGAAAATTAAAAGCAATCTTTTGTTAGTTTTAGCTCAGATTTAGGAGGGATAACTATGGCTTCTCTATTTTATGAATTCTGATACCGATCAAAATTCTTATAATATTGAAATAATCTTGCAATAATCCATTTATAACTGCTATAACTTTATTATATAACATAATTTTTTCCGAATTTTAAACTGAATCTATTGAAACTGCATATTAGAGGATAGCAATTCCTTATACTTTTAAATCTATCCTCTCTTAGATTTCATTAAGTATAATTTAAATCTACCATTTATCAAATGATTTTATCATTATTTTATATGGATTATTTCATAATTACTTGAGATCGTTTGCCTTCTCAATCTTATCAGATTTATATCGAATGTTTATATTGTTTTACTGATAATAGAAAAAATTTTAATGGAAAAAAATTTTGATATATAAGTGATAATTAGTATAATGAAATCTAGAGCTAATTCTGTTTAATTTTAAACAAATTGCGTTTTAAAACATAAATTTTGCAAATTAAATTAATATTTGCTTCCCAATTTTTGCAAATTAGGATTTTTTTTAAATTTCGAAAAAAATATTTTTTATAAAATTTATATATAAATTGTTTTTAAAAAAAAAAAAAATTAACCCCCCTCCGTGAGCGAACAAAATTGTTTTGTTCGCTCACGGAGGGGGGGGGGGGAGTGATAATATTTTTTCATTTTTCTAATATATAATAGGAATCACTTATGATTTTTATATTTCTAAAAATTCTGAACGATTTTTGTCAGTTTTCTTATTTCTGTCTTGTATTTTTTTAATAATTTTTCAAGATTTTTTTGTGGAATAATAATATAAAATGTCTCTCGATAAGTAATTCATTTTTTATCTAAATAATTTTGAACTTTTCTATTACTTTCACTATCAGAATGTGTGAACCATATAACAGAAAGAGGGCATTGAAAGCAAGGGAAAATCCTGCTGATAGCGAGCCTTATAAAAGATTTAAGCGCTCTTCTATGGACGAAGAATGTATATATGATACTACTATCAGCAAGAAATCTGATAAAAGAATGGGCGCGGACAGAAAACTTATTAGCCAATATGAGGAAGTATATCTTGAGTTCATCAGCTCAAGAATTTCTCAAAAATCGCTGACTCTTATAAGAAGAATCGTGCATTCGAAAGAAATCCCAAGCGAAATCAGAGGACAGCCATTATTCAAGTATATTTTGGATGTCTATGAAAAATTGTCACTCAGCGAAATTGAGGTAACTGTTTGAGCAATTTATTTACTCCCCCAGTGAGTAAACACAACATTGAAAAATTCTCATCTTCCATAAACGAGCAAAAAAATGTATTATTAAAAATATAAAGAATTGTATATAAATTTAAGCTATAATTATTATAATGAATTCCCTAGCTAATCCTGTTAAATTTTAAACATAAATTTTATAAATTAATTTTTGCTTTTCGATTTTTGTGAATTGGATCTTTTAAATTTCTGACAAAAATATATAACTAACCCCTTCTTTAAACGAACAAAATTTTTTTGTTTGCTCATGAAGGAGAGTTAGATAGGTTCGTTTGAAATGACAAAGAGCTTCCCCTTCGTCTGCTTTTAATAATTTCAGCCTATGCTGCAAAATCCTACCTTAGCGATACTAAAATTTTCTACGAGTATATATCCTCAAAAATCCAATATCTATAAAAATTGGGTAATCAAGAATTACTGAAACTTTGAAGTCAGCGGAAAAGAATTGAATATAAAATACACGAGTTTAAGCGAGTCTGTTCTTTCTTGTAAAGAATTCAAAATAATTGAGTATTGTCTTTTAGATTAATTAACAATTATTTTTTAAATGTTTTTAATAATTTAAAAATTTTTATAATAAAATATATATAATGTATTGGTAATATTTTTATTTTGCTTATTTATGGTAAATTGATTTTAAAATGTCAAAAAAAATTTGGCATGTCATTATATATAAAACTGAGTCTATGGTATGTTAAAATTTTTTTGACATTTTAAAATCAATCTACCATAAATAAGCAAAATGAAATTTATGCAAGGGATTATACAATTATTATGTCGATGAAATTTTACAATCATGCCCTCCTTATCGCCAAGACCTAAAAGAATTAAGTTCTGGATGTGAAGAAGACTGGGATCTTCTTGATTTTGATTTAGATTCATGCTCTACTAAAGCTTCAAACTCTTTTTCTGAAAGTGTAAGGAGTGAAATCGAGGCTAGAAATTCATATTTCAGCTTTATTAATCAGTTTCCAAATTATTACAATTTTGGATATCCTCATATAGTAAATAGTTTGTATATGTTTTATCCGAATGAGGCTTTTTCTTATGAGATGGAAAATTCTGGACATATTCAAGTGCCGCAGCAGATTTTTAGACCTGTCCCAGTTAGATGTGTCTTTTCTGAAAGGACTGCCTAAGGTCTCATTTAAAGTTAGATAACTTTATTCATTTAAATTATAAAGTTAGCTAAAAAGTTTTATACATAAGCGGGACCCCCCACTAGCCGGACAACCTTGACTCTAAGAAAGGTAGTCTATGCTGGGTGCATATACACAGAATGCAAATGGTGTAAGGCCCAGCCAAAAATTCCACCATCTTGAATTTTCCTGTGAAGCTCACCTAATATAAGGATCAGCTACTAAAGTAAAAGCCACCCTCTGTCGGGTGCCCGGATAGTCCCGATAGATGAAGACTATGTGAGAGGCGAAACCTGTCTAGCCCACCTGACAGGGACAGGAAAACCTTTAGGGGAGAGACAAGACTTTCCCTCTTATCAAGGCACCTCTAAAGCTGAAAGTCTACTTCAAAAGAGATAGAGGCCCTGCTCAGGATGGGTCCTACCTGCTCTATAGGGAATGCGCCTTGAGATCGATTTCCATCACCACCACCACCATTTTATTTCTAAATTATAAAGAATGATTAATTATAATAATATTATGCGTTTTTCATTGTTAAGATGGATTTGGCATATTTTAGAATATTTATAAGAATTTTCTATTAATAATATTCCTTTTTATATATAATAAAGGCTGTAAATTTAAATAATAACTGGAATATAAAAGATCACATGCATTATTGTAGCAAGAATACATCAAAATTTAAATTGTTATCAATAAATGAGCTAGACTATTTTAAGTTATCCTTTAAGAATTTTCACTAATCGCTTCCATATAAAATATAGGTAATTCCCTAGAATCGCCCGGCAAGGGCAGTCATTGGAGAGGGAAACTCTCTAGCTCAGATTGGCCAAGCCAACTGGAGAGTTTCCCTTTCCAATGACTGCCCTTTCCGGGCAATTCTAATGAATTCCCTATATATACCTGTCTGCATAATAGCACAGCATTCTTAATATAACTAATCAATCAATAAATTCATATTATCAAACATATATGGACACTACATTAAATATAGACAAAGGCAATGCTACTATCATATACTGGATCAAGTAAATTTTTGATATATTTTCTACTTGATTACCATGATTTGTGCAAATAATCAAAATTTGCTTTGAAGTTGGAGCTGCATAAACGGCTATCATCATAATAGCTAAAATCCTGTCCTATATATTTTTTACTATAAATCCAATTGTGTAAAATAATGTGAACATTGAAATTCCTATTAATGGCATGATAATTAATTTCCCCAAATTTATCATCCAGATATGAATTCTATATAAAAGCCACCATTTTATGTCAGCTGTTGGAGGATATCCTTCACTTAGATTTGAACCTAAAATAATACAAATTAATGGAGTTGTCATTGCCCCTGTATCTTGAACGGCTGAAAATACATTTTTTTTCAATACTGAGCCTGACCCAGATATCACATATTCTTTCATATAAGGAATCAGTGCTAAAATTATAGCAATAATAGCTACATATATCGGCGGATTCATAATATTTTTTATTTTATAAATCCAATCTTCTCTTTTTACTAAAATTTTTTCATTTTTTTCTGTCATATCTAAAAGCTCTGATTCAATGTTATTATCTTGATCCTCTTTTTTAAGCATCCTATATATATTTTACCCATATGCAATTATTCATTTGTATATTGTTATAAAGACTGTATACACTAATACATCGGTAACCGCACGATTTTTAAAATGACTCTCAGTCACAACGCTGCTTTCTCCCAGCACATTTGCATAAACTAATGAAAAAGCTAAAGTTTCCTGAACACCTATACAGCACATCATTAATTTTTTAATTTCATTATTTGCGTTTGTTAGGGTGCCTAAAAGTCACCCGATTCCTGAGCCAGCAAACATATGGACTAAATAAAATTTTACAAGTGGCAAATATGAAAATAATTCCAAAATTTTCCAGTTCAGAAATGGTTACTGATTTTATCATGTCACAAAATATGATTAATTTTGTTAAATTAATGCTAGGATACTGAGAAGGTAATTATTTTTTGGGAATAAATAATGATTTATCTCTCAAAAATAAAATTTTTAAAATTAGATAAAAAGGGCTTAATATAAGCAAGGTAAAATCAAATTTATGACCAGCTTTGAAATTCTATTTGATGTTTCTATTGTGAGGATCTATATAAAATGTACTTTTAACCTGGTTAATAACACTCCAAAAAATATCATAACGAACACAATTACTGTAGAGTCAATAGTCACAATAATCGAGTCAAGGATGATGGCCATTTTAATGGGTGACCCGGAATTTAGTAGGCTGTACTAAATTCCGTACTTTTTTTTACCGTCAAAATGACTGAGAAAAAAAAATGTACTTTTTTTGTTTACGGAAAAAAATACATCATAAAATTTTTGTACTTTTTCTAGGATGGGATAAAATAGTACATAGTTTTAGAAAACCATCAAAACGGGGGTAAAAAAGTACACATGGCAAAAAACTCGTTAATAGAGGCAGGTACAAATAAGCTAAGAAAATAGAATAATTAAATTAAATAAAAGTGTATAATGTTGTATATTTTCTTAAATATAATAATAAATATGAATAGATTAAAAGAACTGTGCAGTGTCTTAGACAATATATATTTTTTTTTGATTGTATTTTTTTTTTTAAAAAAATATTAGTAAAAAAGTTCACTATAATTTTTGTATATATTGTATCGATAACGATCTATTATTCAAAATCATTCATAATAAGACTAAAGTATTATAATCGTGAAGTAATATCTAATAGCATGATTAAATGTTTAAAAGTATGCACGGAATGCATAGCTACAGTTTATTTTAAAAAACTTAAAAACTTACGTAAAAAAGTACAAAAATTTTTTTGTACTAAAAATTCCAGTAAAAAAGTACATGTACTTTGTTTTGTACTAAAAATTTCAGTAAAAAGTACATGTATTTTTTTTTATACGGAAAAAAGTATATGCTTAAAAAAATCAATTAAAAAAAAAGTACTATTAAAAATTAATAAATTATGGAAAAATAATTTAAATAATATTTAAATAAAACATATGAGAACGCATTTTCTATGTTCTACTGTACATGAGTTCATAAATATTATTTATCTATTACGTTTTATTAGCTTTATTCCAGCTTCATTTGATTTATTTGGACTACGCTTAAACCCTTGCTTGGTAAAAATTTTTAAACAAGTAATTTTTTATTGATTAAGTGGCTTCTTGCGTTTGCAGCAGCAGTATTCAGTCTCCTCCTTCGTTTGCTTACAGATTCAGAAGTTTCCCAGTAATAACTGCATGCAAACTTTGACTTCATTCCTCTGGAGATTCTTAAACAAGCCTGCATTTTTTATTTTTTGCTAATATGAGCTATAGGAAGGACTTTTCTGCTTTTATTAATTGAGTCAGTTGCAGCAAAACTAAGGCTGAAGATAGAAGTGAGGAGTTCAATGCTTGAATACCAGCGTCAAAAAATAATAATATCTCTGTGAATTATCTGGGAGATTTTTAATTAGTTTATGCGAAACTCTATTTCCATAATAATTGTCAATAGAATAGTTGGCGCTGAATATTTCTAAATTGTAAAATATATTTAGCATACGACTTATGTCTTGGAATCTCCTAGATTTTATGACTCAGATATTACCAAATTTTGCAAAGAGGGACTATAGATCAATAATCCTTATGCTTGGGAGCTTTTATTAGATCCATCATAATAACTATATCCCAATCTATTTTTCAAGTTCTTGAGCAGTTACTGACACCATATACTTTTTTACTTTCTGAAAGAGCTTCTGCATAAACATTCACTTCTTGATTATTTCAATAATAAATTCTTCTTTGAAAAAATGGCCCTAAATAAATTTAATGGTGTAATTTGATTTGATCAATGAGATTTGGATATTGATCCAATAGGAGGCGTATTATCTTTTCTATTGAATTCGTATATTTCACTTCAATTCTCAGAAAAAATTTCATCTTCAAAAGCTTCAAATTTATCACGTAAGTAAGCTGCTCCTAATGAACTACTTGATGAATCTTCTGCTTCAATTTGTTCTAATTTTTCACTCTGCATATATTTATTTTATTATAGATTTAAAAAATTAAGGAAGTGTTTTTATAGTAGTATTCTTCAGTAGTATTTTTCAGTAGTATTGGCTAATTGTGATGTTAAATCATATACAGTAGAACATAGAAAATGCGTTCTCATATGTTTTATTTAAATATTATTTAAATTATTTTTCCATAATTTATTAATTTTTAATAGTACTTTTTTTTTAATTGATTTTTTTAAGCATATACTTTTTTCCGTATAAAAAAAAATACATGTACTTTTTACTGAAATTTTTAGTACAAAACAAAGTACATGTACTTTTTTACTGGAATTTTTAGTACAAAAAAATTTTTGTACTTTTTTACGTAAGTTTTTTAGTTTTTTAAAATAAACTGTAGCTATGCATTCCGTGCATACCTTTAAACATTTAATCATGCTATTAGATATTACTTCACGATTATAATACTTTAGTCTTATTATGAATGATTTTGAATAATAGATCGTTATCGATACAATATATACAAAAATTATAGTGAACTTTTTTACTAATATTTTTTTAAAAAAAAAAATACAATCAAAAAAAATATATATTGTCTAAGACACTGCACAGTTCTTTTAATCTATTCATATTTATTATTATATTTAAGAAAATATACAACATTATACACTTTTATTAATTTAATTATTCTATTTTCTTAGCTTATTTGTACCTGCCTCTATTAACGAGTTTTTTGCCATGTGTACTTTTTTACCCCCGTTTTGATGGTTTTCTAAAACTATGTACTATTTTATCCCATCCTAGAAAAAGTACAAAAATTTTATGATGTATTTTTTTTCCGTAAACAAAAAGTACATTTTTTTTCTCAGTCATTTTGACGGTAAAAAAAAGTACGGAATTTAGTACAGCCTACTAAATTCCGGACCACCCCATTTTAATATTATTTCAATTTTAAATTCAGATATATCAATTATTTATTAATTAATTAATTTTCTTCCTCTAACAAAGAGTCTAAAGGATCTTCTTCATCTGAACCGATTTGCTCTAATGGGTCGTCATTTTGCTTTTTCCCACTAAATTTTCCTTTTAAAAAAAAATAAATTTTAATAATTTGCTATTTTTTTATTTTATTTTAAAAACAAATCCATTTAAATAGTGTAAGAGGATTTTCGCCTGTCGAAAGACTGAAATCCCATCCTCCCGAGCCAGAACTCATATTCCCAAGACTTTGGTCTCTATCAACCTTTCTATCTTTCGGCAACTTTACAAGTGTTTCAAGCCTCGGCAGATCAGCACACATATGCGTCCTTATATATTCCACCCCTTTCGCTTTATTAAAAAACTTTTTTCTTAACAAACTTTCAGCAGTTGGCCTTAATTCTGGCTCTTTCTGCAGACATAAATTTATCATTTCTTTAAAAGAAGCGTCAAACTCTTCATCTTCATCGAGTGAAGGTGGATCATTGCTAATAATCATAAGCATAACTTTCATAGCTGGATGCCCAGCATATGGTGGTCTTCCTTTAGCTAGTTCAATAGCGGTTATTCCGAAGCTTCATATGTCGACTTTATTTGTATATGCCACATTCCCTCCTGATTCTACCACTTCTGGAGCCATTCAGCATGGGCTGCCTGCAAAAGTCCTTGCACTCATACCCTGTCTAAGTTTGGCAGCGACCCCAAAATCGCCTAATAAAATTTGCCCACTTCGACTTACCAGGATGTTCCCAGCTTTGATATCACGGTGAATTTGGTTGTTTTGGTGGAAGTAATAGATGCCTTCAAGGACTTCTCGGAGAATAGAAGCTAATAAGACTTGATCTTTGATGCCTTCTTGATATCTGTGTTTTAATAGGTTTCCGACACTTCCACCTTCAAGTAGAGGCATTACCATCCAAAGCTGCCTGCCAGATAAGAAGCATACATGATAATTTTTTTTTTAAAAAAAAAATTATTTTATTTAATTCTAAAAATTAAATATTTATAATAATCCCATGATAACTTAAAACATTTTGATGAGATGATAGCCTCATGATTTGTATTTCTTTCCTAATTTCTTCAATATTACTATCAGGATAGTTTTCCAGCTCAATTACTTTAATTGCTACTTTTTCTCCAGCGTTTGGACCTTCCAATGCTGCAGCAGCATACACCTACCTAGTAGTTACGGTCCCAAAAGATCCATATCCAATAGGAGCTTCTAGTTCATAGCCAGATTCTGACAAAGGCCAAGTATTAGCATACTGCATTATTAAATAAGAGTTAAATAAAGTTACCAATCTAAAAATGGGTCATCTGAGGCTCGTATCGGCGGAGACAAAGTAGCGGAGTCTGGGTAATTTCCAAAATTGGTGGTGTCACTAGGGGAGCTGACCCTTGGTTTATATGGCATATCAAGTGATTTCAGAAGAAGTCTTGACCAGTCAAAACCTGAAAACCATCTATGGTTTTTGATATGCCTGATGACTAATCTTTTTTTTTTTTAAAAAGAATAATTAGCGGGTTCTTGATTAGTGGGAATAGAGATATCATTTGAGCCGCCTTTAAGATTCCCATAACGCTTGGAGAGGTCGATCACTACTAAATGCTTTACAAGGCTTCTAGCATCTGTGTCAAAATTCCTTGGGAATTTTATTTTGCACTTGAGGATTTTTTGATAAATCGCCATAGGATCTTCATCACTAAAAGGGTCGATTCCTGCAAGCATTTCATAAAGAAAAATCCCAAGTGTCCACCAATCCACTGCTTTCCCATGTCCTTTATTTAGTATTTTTTTCTCAAATTAATATTCCCCAAATTTTTTTTTCCAATATATTTTTTAACACCTCATGCAAAACACTATAAAATTTCAGGCGCTATATACTCAGGCGTCCCACACAAAGTATAAGTCCTCCCTTCCACCCTCTTGGCAAACCCAAAATCTGTTAGCTTCAAATACCCATCGGCAGCTATTAATAAATTCTCAGGCTTAAGATCTCTATAAATAATATTCATCCGGTGCAAATACTCAAACATTTGGACTATTTGTGCAGCATAAAGTTTCGCATGATTGTTGTCGAGCTTTATGACACTGCGCAAATATGTAAATAGTTCGCCTCCTTGAATAAACTCTAATGCGAAATATAAGTAGCTCTCATCTTGAGTGTAGCCTATAAGGTTTACTAGAAATGGGTGGTTTATTTGGCGAAGGATTGCAAACTCTGAATTTACGTGATCGACTTGTTTTAGTTTTACAATGTCGAATTTCTTGAGGATTTTTAACGCAACGAACCGGTTGGTTGATTTCATTCTTGCGAGCTTTACCCTGCCAAATGAGCCTGTCTAGGGGATACCTGTTCCTAAGGTTTGGAGAATTTCAAGTTCAGAAAGCTGCATTCTTCTTGCCATTTTGGAAAATTATTTATAAAAATGGACTCATTTTCAGGTTATGTTTGTTTTTTTATTATTGTAGTGAATAAATTGAAATTAGAATTTTTTAGTTACCTTAGGAATTTGGTTAGAAAATTAAAAAAAAGGAAGTTTTGGTATATTATAGATAGAATTTTATAATTAGTTTTCAATATAATAAGAATATACAGAAAAATACATAAAATCTGTCTTATTGATGATCAGCAGTTATTTTTAGGTCCTTATTAAATAATTTTAATTGAGGATTTATTGAAAATAAAGATAATTGTTAAAGTTTATCAATAATAAAACATTACGTTTACTTACTCCCCCTCCTCCGTGAGCGAACAAAAAAACTTGTTCGCTCAGGGTTAATTTTTTTTTCGAAATTTAAAAAAATCCCCACTTCGCAAAAATTGGAAAGCAAATATTAATATATAATTTTTAAAATTTATGTTTTAAAACGCAAATTGTTAGATCTCATTATACTAATAATCACTTATATATCAATTTTTTTTTCATTAAATATTTGTATATCTTAAACTTAAACTTAATTATTCGGTATTTAAGGTGTCTAGTGCCGCAGACCCAAAAAATGGACCTTTTAGCTAAACTGGTGACGTCACGGAGCCATCTTGGAATCGCGGTGGTCAGCCCAACCGGCCAAGCCTTCTATCGACGCTTCGCCTCCAGCCGCCGCACATCTCACCCGGCGCGTTGCCGTCGCTCTGTCTCGACTCAGCTCCTGTGCGTGTTCCGCCTAAGGATCATCCTCCGTGCGGATGTGATGAGGGGTTAAACTCCGAAATCTCGAACGCACTGAGGAGCTGCTCCTTTGGTTATCCCCAAAGTTAAACAGCTATTGCTGTGCAGAAGTTCTCGAGAGAAAACCCAACCCCATAAATAAAATTCCATGAGGGAGAGAAAATTAGCAGAGCTAATTTCTCTCGAACCGAATGCCATTTTATTTATAAATATTTGTATATCAAAAAAATTTTTGTCTACTCATGGGTGGGTTTTTTCGTCAGAAAATAGGGATTTTTATAATGGTTTTGTTCGCTCACAGAGGGGGGAGTTAGGAGCTAGCTTTTCTTCCAACTTTCCTTTTTTACAAATAGCAATAAAAATAGGCAGCCTCTGCTTTAAAGCAGGCACATGCTTAAATTGGCACCTATCTCCATATACGCAAAAACCTGTCTCTGAAAAGCTTTTGCATTGCTGAGGCATTTGGATGAATTTCTTTCTCAGCTCTTCTTTTCCATGGGCGAACATGCAATTATCACCGAAATGGCATTGGCTATTAAGCCAATTTTTGCATATCTCCGTTTTGTATTTGACTCTTAGGTCTTGCTCAATTGGTTTTCTGAACGAAAAAATTGAAAATTCAGGTGCTTGATAGTCTAAACGGGTTGAAATCAACATTTATAACCAAACGTCCATATTTAGGCCAAATGTTCTAGAATTCATCACGAAATAATAAAATAAAATTTAAGCTTCTTTTATTGTTTTTCTATTATATTTCTGCATTGACTTAACCATAAAAGTAATATAAAAAGGTTTAATTGTAAGCATGATGCTTCTCAGTTCATTTATTTTTTCTTGAATTTAATAATTATAATGCCAAAATATCTTTTATTTGATTTATCTTTATTTTTATTTTTTGTATTATTTTTAGAATTATTAATTTCCCCTCTTATAGAAGATCTTGTAAATTTCATAAAGCTATAAATGTATAAAGGTATAGATATATAAAGAGGATCTACTTTAAGTAATAAAAAGTGTGCTTAAATTAAAATTAAAATTTTAAAAATTATTCAGTCAAAAGCAAAAATAATTAGCCGATTATCTTTTTAAAATCCTCCACGAATAAGTATGCAGAGACCTCAAATAATTGTCATACCTCCCTTTAAATCCTGTAATTGCCTTTTTATCCTCAATTAGGCTAACTGTTTTTGTTTCTGGACCTTTTCCTTTGGTTCCTTCAACATAAATTTCTCTTTCTTTTAACGTCTTCATTTTTACAGAGTAGATAAATCCGTTCCCATATGTAATTTCAATCCAAATTATACTATCAAATCCATTCATAACTGCTTTATGGACAACTTGTCCAGGATTTTTATTATAATGTTTAAGCAGCTTGCTTGCCCCATCAATATAATACCCAACTTCGAACCCAACGACATATTCTTGGGTAACGAAGTTTATTTCTTTCAAATGCATTATTTGGCTTTGCTTGATAAATTCTCTGTCATCAAAATATGTTTCACCTTGAACAGAAATAAATCCGGTGGGAGGGAAATTCTGAGGCATATTTGGGTCGTTTCCTAAAATTGTAATGCTTTGCGAGCTTATGTCTGCACTATATATAGGTTTTTGAGGTCCACGGTATGTTGCACCACAACCCATTTGGTCAAGCACAGATGCCAACCCCCCCCACCCCCCCACCCCCCTACCCCTACCCCTATCCCCCCCATGCATGGATCCCACCCCCACCCCCACCCCCACCCCCACCCCCACCCCCACCCCCACCCCCACCCCCACCCCCACCCCACCCCCACCCCCACCCCCACCCCCACCCCCACCCCCACCCCCTCTATCATAAAGGTAAACATATAAGTATAAAATCTTACAAATAAGACATACAATAAAATTTTAGTAATTCATAAATGGATTCATAAATAGATTCATAAATAAATATTAATGATCATAAGTATATTTAGCATAGACTGATATAGCCAATATATTAGTAATACATTTAAAATAAAATACTTGCAAAAAACTTGTTACATAGAAAGGAATCAATAAATGACTCAAAAAATATTTTGATATCTCTATAAAGTCTTTTACTCCCCCCATTTAATAGCGAACACTTTTTAGTTCGTTATTAAATGGGTCTAATTATAAAATTCTTGGGAAAAAAAATATATAAAATTTATATTAAATATCTATGATTTTTTTATATAAAAATTTCAAAAAAGGGTTAATAATAAAAAAGTCAAATGATGGCAACATAAAGAGAAAGCGCCTAAATATGCGAAAAAATAACTATTGCTAACTCCTCCCCTCCGTGAGCGAACAAAACCATTAGAAAAGTCCCTCACTCTTCGTGGGCAAACAAAAATTTTTTTAATAGAAAAATTTTTTATGGAAAAAAAAGTTTGATATATAAGCGATAATTATTATAATGAAATCTCTGCCTAATTCTTTTTAATTTTAAACAAATTGCGTTTTAAAACATAAATTTTACAAATTCAATTAATATTTGCTTTCCAATTTTTGCGAATTAGGATTTTTTTAAATTTCGTAAAAATAATATTTCTATAAATTTATATATAAATTTAAAAATAAAAAAATCTCCTTCGTGAGCAAACGATATTTTTTTGTTCTCTTACGGAGGGGGGAGTAAAGCACCATCTTAAGATTAAGCCACTATTAGCTCTTATTTATTACTCTTTGCTTGATTATGCTTGTCTTTATCTTACTCTAACTACTTAAAATTAGTAAACTGTAAAGACTAAATTAGCTTATATAAATTTTATAGTAAATTTTGTTTCGGTATTAAATGGGCCTAAGGAAAAAGTTTTAGGGAAAAAAATGACTGTTTTGTTCGTTATTAAATGGTGGGGGGAGCTAGCCTGCATTCTTTGGAAATTTTTGACCTTTATATGATTTAAAACACGAGGTATGTGCTTGAAGGTTCATTGAAAATATGCTTCCTCGTTAGCAAACTGTATCCGATTTTTTTTTATCATCCATATGACTTTGAATTTTTTATGCTGTGAGCAATTAATACGTTTTATTTGCCTTTAATACAGTTTACATTATATAGGGGGGGATGGGGGGTGGGGGTAGCATCTATTAATGGAATGGGGGTGTGGGTGGGATCCATAGATGCAAGGGGGGTGTGGGTGTGATCCATACATACTATCTGAGGGGGTGGGGGTGTGATCCATACAAACTATCTGAGGGGGTGGGGATGTGATCCATACAGGAGTGGGGGTGTGATGTATACATCCAAACTGGGGGGTGGGGGTAGGGGGGGGTTGGAATCTGTGCTTGACCACCCATTTTAAATAAAATGTCATTCGGTTAGAGAGGATTATGCTGATTTTCTCTAATTCATGGAATTTTATCTGTGGGTTGGGTTTTCTCTTGAGAAATTATGCACAGCAACAGCAGTTTACTTTGGAATAACCAGAGCTGCATATTGCAATCAAAAGGCCCAGTGCTTTATCTCTCAGCATATCTGAGAAGGGTGATCCTTAGGCGGAATGCGTGCAAGATCTGAATCAGGCAAGAATAACGGCATTGCACCTGTGAGAAACATAGCCAGGGTGGCAAGCGGTTTATTTGGGATGGTCCAACCTTTTGGATCGAAATTCTCATGACGTCACTATTTTTGCTCTGTCCCTTTAGTGGGAGTGTTGAGTTAGAAACCTTAAAAAGTTTAATAGTGCATGCATGCTCCACAGCCCATTTAATGATTATTTTACAGCCTTATATTTAGAATTTATTATATTCATCTTCTGATCTATGCTGAGAAGAATATTTGAAAAATTTAATACACAAGAAGAGACAATGGAATAAAAATAATTCAAATAATTTTTATGATTTTTGTGAAGTGGAATGCTGTTAAATTATATAAATAATTAAAGCACCAAGCATATTGCTATGCAATTATCAGTAAAATAAGAATGAACTGAAACGTCTGAGAAGCTCAAAAATGGCACAAGAGACCTTGGATTAATTTTTTTCAAACTATAAAAATCAATTAATAGCTTGAGCGAATTCAGATCTTATGTAGAACACTTTCAGTAAAATTCAATTATTGGCATAATATTCTTATAATGCACACTTATTTTCAAAGTAAAAGTTATTTAATTAACTCCCCCCCTCCGTGAGTGAACAAAAAAATTTTGTTCACTCACGGAGGGGGGTTAATTTTTTTTTTTTAAAAAAATTTATATATAAAATTTTAAAAAAAATTTTTTTTTTTCAAAATTTAAAAAAATCCTAATTCACAAAAATTGAAAGCAAATATTAATTTAATTTATAAAATTTAAGTTTTAAAAAAGCAATTCGTTTTAAAATTAAACAGAATTAGCTCTAGATTTCATTATACTAATTATCATTTATATATCAAAATGTTTTTTCTATATAAAAAAATTTCTATTAAAAAAATTTTTGTTCACTCACGGAGGGTGGGGTTTTGGGCAAAAAATAGGGATTTTTCTAATGGTTTTGTTCACTCACGGACGGGGGGGGAGTAAGCAAAATTATAAAGGAATTTCATTTTTATTCAAGATAATTTAATTTAAAATAAGAAAAATATTAATTGTGAATTATTATGGCTCTCTAGCAGGATCAATAATTGCATCACGCTTGGCATAGCTTTTGAAAATCGTTATCCAGCAAGTGAAAATTATAAAAATCCACTCAAATCTTGATTTGAATACTCTCAATGCAAAATATGCTTCTTTTATTGAGCCAATATTAAATTATTTTAATATTGTGACAACCTTTGCAGTATTTTATAAAAATAGAGCTTATATTTTTCATACTCTAGCATTAAATTAATTAAATGAGTATATGTCGCCTCAACAAACTTTGATGCTTCTTGGTTTTGTTTCACAAATTTTTCAACTTTCGCTATCATAAACCACTCATATAATGCTAAAATTGCAGTAAAAATAGCCTAAATATCCAATACCAATGCAATAAGCATATCTCTATTCAAAAAAATTGCAAAAATTACAAAACTGCATATAATCGTAAAAAGTGCTACCAGTCTTGCTCCAGGCGCTGAAAAGCGACTATGCATACACTGAGCATAGCCTGCAGACATATAAACTGATATCATAAATATCGCTAATATCGTACAGACTAAAAAAGGTTTCCATACCATAGAGAGGTAGCTCAATAGCACAAGTTCTGATAATATTACAAAAGACATCAGAAACACAGAAAACGAGGAATCTCTTAACCGACTATTCATGCATCATACATAAATATAGCAGCCTATATAAATAAGTCCAGCAATTAATGGGATTCAATAAATTGGCCATAAAATAGGAATTAGTCCATTACCAAAAATAGAAAGAATTAGGGTGGATAAAAGAGCAAAGAAATACTGGCTTGCTTCCATTACTAACACAACGGTGGGGAGAGAATATTTAGGAGGAATTGGAGCTACAATAATCTGCGTTCTGATATCAGTCAAGCCTCCGTCCACATTTAAAAGAGGGGCGCTTAAGCTTTCTTGGTTCATTTGTTCAGCCATTTTCAAATATTTTAATCGAATCTTACAAGATTACCTGAAAATTATTTTCTTTTTGGATATGATGAATAAAAATAATTGAAAAGCTCTCAGGTTATATTTAATAAAGACATAGAAAATTTTATTAATAATTTTGTATAGGATTTAATTGATTATTTGGCAAATTGGTTATCTGTATAAGAATTAATTATTCAGTAATAAATAGTAGCTTATTATAAAAAAGATGAGCTTTTATGATGAAATTGAGATAGAAGACATGGAATGGGTTGAGGATTTGCAAACATTTTTTTATCCTTGTCCTTGTGGAGATAAGTTCAGAATTTCATTTGAAGAACTTTGCTTGGGAGAAGAGGTCGCAAGGTGTCCAAGCTGTTCATTGATGATTCGAGTAATTTATGATGAAGAATCTTTAATGAATTATGGAAGCATAGACATTTAAGAAAACACAAATATATGTATAAAAGTAAAAGAAAAAAGAATAAACACAAACAGAAAGAAATTGAAAATTTTTTAATATAAAATTGAAAATTTTGATTTAATCCTTTAATGATGTTTATTTCTTAGATGTAAACAGAAGACAATTTAATTAAAATTATATTTAATTATTTCCATAAGCTTTTAATTTATAAAAATCTTGGTATATTTATAGTCTTTAGTTGCCTAATTTAAAGGCCATGCAGCAAAATCAGCGAATTTGTATTTTCTCCTGACTCTCCCCATCCTTGATCGAACAGCTCGCCATCGTTCGACAAAGGATGGGGGTTAAAAAAACAATTTTTGGGAAAAAAAATTTATATATAAAAAAATAAAAAAATATATTTTTTTTATATACTTTAAAATAAGAGGGTTAAGAGTATTTAATAATTATTTTTACAGCAAAAATTGAAGAATACCAAATTTTAATATTTTGATTTTTTTGTTGCCCTTTAAACTGTAATTCTATTCTCTTAATCCCTCAATCCAAATAATGGAATTCTGCTAGCAAGCTTTCTATATATATTGAACATACTTATTTTCCATAAAATAAACTAATGATAACTAATATATTTCTATATATAATATTTTGACTTAATTCTGAACGGCTTCCACGAGCCAAAAATGGGTTTCCACGTGGAATTTCTGGATTTTCTTACGTGAAATCATCTTTGGCTCATGGAAGCTGATCAGAAAATTAAGCAACTAATTATATATAAAAATTTGCTTGATATGAAAATCGTTCGATCAAGGATGGGGGCTAATTTTCCCAATTTTTAGGAATTTTTACAGTGAATCGTTCGATCAAGGATGGGAGGGAGTGACGAAAAATTAATGTATTCTTGCAGTGATGAACTGCTAGAGTCTGGGATATGAGACAAGAGGTTAGGCTATAGTCTGAAATCTCATATGTAATTGCCCAGGATGGCGCTTCTTGCGCCATCCTCGGGCAATTTAAAAAATGGCCCCACACTGGGAATTGAATCCACGTGTGGGGCCATTTTTAGTGCGTGGAAGTCGATGTTCTCCACATACCAAAAATGGCCCCACACGTGGATTCAATTCCTGGTGTGGGGCAATTTCTATATAAATTTCTTTCACGCTTGCCTTATTACCAATGCATCCTCGCTAGCGACCTTTCCTTTATAGTCTGAGTTTAAACCCAGATGAGGATGTGATATGAGGAAAACCAGTTTTGCTTTGAAAGTAATAATAGAGAAGATATTCACTTCTTCTCAATCAGCACGCTGCTTTTAAAGGCAGATTTTACTCTGGAGTCAAATATTGTGGAAAAATACCATTATAACTTAAACTGATGGGTATTCAGTAGCTGAAGTAAAATAATGATTAAAGTGGCAGCAAATTATACGAGCTGCTCAAGCTGAGAAGAAATAATATAACTCTTAATCTCAAAAATAAATATATAGCAAAAAAAATTTTCAATATATTCAAGGAGATGTTTTAATAATACAGATCAAAAATAGAAAATCAAATTAGAGAAATTGAAAAATTATTTTTAAAGTATTTTTCTATCAAATACTGTTGGAAAAGGTAAAAAAAAAGTAGGGATAAAATCTGGCAAGTAAAAATGTCACATAACACCTTTTCCATACCTTTTTTTTTAAAAAAATTGCTGTAGGAAGAAAAATTCATATTGAAGAATAAAGCAAATTAAGCTTTAAAGTAAAATTAATTTGTGAATTTTATAAAAAAATACTAAAAAATTCACAAATGGAAACCGTTTCTTTTAATTTTAGAAATTCTTTGTGGCTCCTTACTCATTGAAAATATTTGACCTTAAGCTAAATTAACTATTTTTCAGCAACTCAGACTCTTAGTTTCATATTTTTAAGCATATATTTTTATTTAAGCAGATAATTGGATTTATAATAAAAAACTAAATGAAAACAAAAACAAGTCCAATTTCAGCCTCTTCGGCAGACTCAGCAGGTAGTGTAGATCTTTCTTATCCAAATGACGATCTTCAGCAGCTAATCCAAGAAATAACTCAATATCAGCCAAAAGAGACTCAAACTCCATTCAAAGGTAACTGTCTACTGTTGACAGCTGACCAAAGATTTTTCGTGTTTTGCAGTGTTGAAGGAAGGGTTGCTATTTTGGATAGAATTACAGGAGAAATAATTAATGATGTCCTGCTTCCTGGAGGAGGTCTTTATTCTATAGCTTTTTACCAAAATGAGACTTATGTCTTTTCAGGTGGCAAAGATACAGTTATCAGGCAGTTTCTTCTTAAAGATTTCTCTTTAGTGGCTCAATTTAAAGGTCACACAGAAAAAATCAGTGAAATTATGTTTTCCCCTGACGAAAAATGAATGTATTCTTGCAGTGATGATGGAACTGTCAGAATCTGGGATATGAGCCAGGAAAGTGTTTCATTTATAATGTATAAGCATGATGACCGAGCTTTGTCTATGGATATGGCTAGAGATGGGACTATTCTAGTAACTGGTGGCGCTGATAAAGTAGTAAAAGTGTGCGACTTAACTGAAAAAAAATTAATTACAACTATTACTGGACCAACTAACAGTGTATGGGAAATAAGTATAAACAAAGCAAAAACAATGATAGCCGCTGGAGATAATGATGGAGTTGCGTGGATATGGAAATTTGAGACGTGGGAAGTACTTCATAAGTTACAAGGGCATTCAAAACGTGTTTCGTGTTTAGATTTTATAGATAATGATGCCAGAATAGTTACAGCAAGCAATGATGGCTCAGTCAGAATCTGGGATTTAACCAAAAATATGAACCCAGTTATCATGGAAAGACATACAAATTGGATAAAGTCTATGTTAATCAGTCCTGATGAAGAATATATTTTTACTATATCAGAAGACTATAAGCTAATTTCCTGGAAAATTCTCCCTGCCAGAAACGAAATAAAGCTGGTTGGCCACACGTCTAATATTTATAACACCCTTTATTCTCTCAAACGCAATGTTTTCCTTACAAATGCCAATGACAAAATGGTCATCAAATGGGATCCATATGCCCAAAAAAAGCTTCATCAATGGGATCACAAAGATGGAATTTATGCTATGTGCATGACTGCTGATGAAAAATATGTGATTGCTTGTACTGCAGGTAAAGAAATGTATTTTCTTAACCTCGATACCCATGAATCAATACAATTTGATTACTGTAAAGATGATCTTGACCAATCTTTAAAGCCAATTATCAAAGCTATTATTGCAACACCTGATAATAAATATATGCAAGTTTTATAAATTGCCCTATAAGGGCGGGTATTGGAGCTGAAAATTTTCCAGTGGCTGGACCAATTGGAGAGAGGCTTATTTGACAACTCTCCAATTGGTTTGGCCAGACAGCCACTAGAGAGTTTCCAGCTCAATGTCCTGTTTTATAGGACAGTTTATAGGATTTAGCTATATATAATTACAGGGGACACTGCTTTTAGATTAACTGTAAGAGAATATCAAGATCCTACAGGCGGCGCAGATTTGCCAATTAAATATATTTTCAGAAAGCAAACTAATACTGTGTGGTCTTTAGCTGTAAACAGTGACTCTTCAATAATTTTTTCAGGTAGCGAAGATGCAACTATTGTGATGTATAGCTTAATTGAATGAGCACCAATAGCAACACTTGAAGGGCATACAAAAAAAGTAAAATGTTTATCAGTCTCAAAAGATGATAGGATTTTGATTTCAGGGTCTTGGGACTCAACATTTAGGATCTGAAGCATCCCAAAGAGAACTTGTCTGAAGGAATTTACATATCATACAGGAGCAATTAACCAGATTTATTTTCCAAATACAGAAAATTATTTTATCGTGGCTTCAACTGACTGCACAGTGTCATTTTGGAATATGAGGGATTATAATTTTATAACTCAGCTGAAATATAATGATCTTTGCTTACTCCCCCAAAACCATTGAAAAAATCTCTATTTTTTGACCAAAAAACCTACCCTCCGTGAGCGAGCAAAAGATTTGATATATAATTTATAATTATTATTATAATGAAATCTCTAGCTAATTCTGTTTAATTTAAAATAGCTTGCATTTTAAAACATAAACTTTGCAAATTAAATGAATATTTACAGCTCAATTTTACGAGTTGCATTTTTTTAAATTTTTATAAAAAATATTTTACTATAAGATTTATATCCCCCTCCGTGAGCGGGCAAAATTTATCGTTCACTCACGGAGGGGGGAAGTTAGCTCTCACATTGACTCCTGATGAAAAAGTTTTAATTGTGGTCGAAAAAGAATTTGTGTATTTACGAGAAAACCCAATGATGAATAATGAGTTTGCAATCTATGGCACTGGCTCAAATCAATACAAGCTGATAGATTATGCTTATCGTCTTATAAATGGCAAACCTGAGCCACATGACCCAATACTTGATAAATATATTTTTACTCCTACGCTTACCAATATGGCACATTTATACGCATATTTTAATCATCCTGATTTACTTTCCTCAGCCTTTGATAATGGAGTTTCACTATTAAACTCTAAAAACCAAAAAAATCCATTATCAATTGCTATAAACAAAGATTATATAGACTGTGTATACTCTACTTTGAATTATCTTAAAACCAAAGTATCTAATGATCCTTATGCAATGCTTTTCTTCGAAAACGATCTGATTGATTTAAATAAAAGAGGTATTTCATTGCTAGATGAAGTCTATGATGTCTTATTGATTAAAGGAACAGAAGAATGGTTACCCAAGTTTTGTTCATCCAATAATAGACTGCCTAACTCCCCCATCCGTGAGCGAACAAAACCATTAGAAAAATTCCTATTTTTTGCCCAAAAACACACTCTCCATGAGAAAAAAAAATGTTTTATGGAAAAAATTTTAATATATATATGATAAACATATAGCTCATGCACCGATATAGATTTATTTATCGAGAAAAATGCAATTGAAATACAATGACCAAGAAAGACTCTATTAAAGGAACGGGCTGGATATCTATATCAGGAAGTGCTAAAAAGTAACATGCCAAAAAATGGTGATAAGTGTGAAAAAAGTTGACAAGTAAATGCGCCAATTTTTAAAATGGCTTTATTATTAAAATAATTTAAAACTTAAGAAACCCAATTAGACTTAAGATAATAATTGCAAATTAATATGGGGGGCTATTTATTCAATATTTTTCAATTTTTTAAAATTTTATGTGCAATTTCTTCCATAATGGACTCCATCTTTATAATCACTTAAGTCAAAATCCTACTGGAGGTTTACATGATATGCTAACTGGAGTTATAGCACTTGGTGTCCTATAAAGTTATTCGCTCGGGAAGTTCCCCCTTTGCTTTTTCAATTTTGAGAGTTCATGTGCAATTTCTTCCATAATGGACTCCATCTTTATAATCACTTAAGTCAAAATCCTACTGGAGTTTTTGAATGATATGCTTACTGAGTTATAGCACTTGGAGACCTATAAAGTTATTTGCTCGGGAAGTTCCCTTTTGCATTTTCAATTTTTAAACTCATTTCTATAGCTTTATCTCAAGCACTTTTTAAATAAACAAATAATCAAAAATATTAAATCTACTATAATTTATATGTAGATTTATTATAAAATTATTATTAATTTTTAAGACCTTTAAAATAAGATTTTTAGTTATTAATCAATCCCAGTCTAATTTGGTATCTTATTTTAATAATAAAGCCATTTTAAAAATTGGCGTGTTTACTTGTAAACTTTGTCACACTTGTCACCATTTTTTGACATGTCACTTTTTAGCACTTTCTGATATAGAGATTGAGCTCATCTCTTTGAGGGACTCTGTTTTGCTCGTTCAATAGTCCAGTACATTTTGCTCGAAAAGAAATCTATAAAAGGGTATGAGCTATATCATGAAATCTATAGCTAATTCTGTTCAATTTTAAACAAATTGTGTTTTAAAACATAAATTTTACAAATTAAATTAATATTTGCTCTCCAATTTTCGAGAAGTGGGATTTTTTAAATTCCGAAAAAAAATTTTTTTCTTTATAAATTTTTTTTAAAAAAAAAAATTAACCCCTCCGTGAGCGAACAAGAATTTTTTGTTCACTCATGGGGGAGTAAGATAATTGGATCTTTTCATCTTGATCCAGACCCAACTGATTTTTTACCTGCTGAAAGCTTTAAAGCAGAAAATGTAGCTGGGAGTGGAAAAGCTATCAATTTTTATTATTCTGCTATTAGTCTTGATATGGAGTTAGGCTCAAGCGGCAGTATTGCGTTTATGAACAGCGTTGTTAACTGCTCAAACCAAGATATATATAGGACGCAATTAGTAAAAGAAATCTTAGACAAAAAGTGGCAAAAAATCTGATGGTTTGTCGTACTGGAATCTTTATTTTATTGAAGCTACTTATTGACATTTACAATTTATATCGTGAATTTTGTAGGAGAAGGCGGCTATTTGGCGCTTCCGTTCTTTTTTAATGAAGTTTTAATGTTCTATGAAATTTATCAAGTAGCTTCAGGAGGGTGGATGTATTTTTCAGACTACTGAAATTATATCGACATTTCAAGCCTTGCACTATTTAATGCTTATGCTTTTTCTATCTGGAGTGGTGATATAGATCCAACAGGTAACAAATTAAATACAATTTTGGTAGTTATAACTCTCCTAGCCTTTATTAGAGGAATTTCGTATTTCACTGTTTGACAGGAGACAAGATATATGATAAACCTGTTGGCGGTGGTTTTTATACATATGATACCTTTCTTGATACTGCTATTTTATACAACCATTACTTTTGCATTGCTACTTTATGCATATGAATCAGACCCTTCTTTAGATTTTATTACTTTTCTTGAAAATTCATATACATTGAACTTAGGCGGCATTGAAACTGATGGCTACGATTCTATGGATTGGGTAATTTTTGGCTTGTCCACACTTGTTAACCCTATTGTTATGCTTAACCTCCTGATTGCTATCCTCGGTGACAGCTTTAACGATGTCCAAGACAACCAAGAAATCGCTGATAAAAAAGAACTCGCTTCCATCATTCTTGATATCGAACTTCTTATGTCTTGGAAGTGAAAATCAAACAAAAAAACATTTTTACAAATCTGCAGTGAAGAAAAAATAGATGCAATCAGTAGCTGAAACGGCAAAAAGAAAGACCTTGAAGTTACATTAGATACGCTTACAGAAACCCTTAAAAGAAACTACAGAAATATGCAAAAAAGCGTTGATAGCGCTACCGCTGCTTTTGAAGAATTAAAAAATAAATTAGATGGGAAAGAAAAAAAGAAAGAAGGCGAAGAAGAAGAAAAAAAAGAAGAAAAAGAGAAAACAGAAGAAGAAAAAAAGAAAGAAGAAGAGGAAAAGAAAAGCATAAAAGAAAAGATGATGCAGAAAGAAGAAGATCTGCTCAAAAAAATCAAAGCATGTTACGAAAAGTTTTCTCAATTAGAAAAGATAGCTTCTGAAGTCATAACGGAGCAAAGGCCCGGAGACTAAAACTATATTTAAATATTTTATAGGTTTTATATATAAAATCAGTTAAATTTCAACTTATTATTAAAATGCTATGCATAAATCTGTATCTGATTCATTTTGACATTTAAATATTATGATAATTTTCCTTTTGTCACTCATATCAAGTGTTTCCTCATATGAATGCGGCGGAACAACCTCAAAATCGTCATACAAAGTAGGAGACCGTATCCCAGTTTGTGTAATTTTTTGAAATGGCTCAACCACAAAAACTATCACTTTTTACCCTAAGCTAGATGACTATTCAGCAGTAGAAGTCAAAGGAATGTTCGCAGGAATCCTAGCAACAGGGAATTATAGCTTAGCTGTACAAGCAGAAGCAGGTAGTAATACAACATTCCTCCAATATATACAAACAGGTGCTCACAATGTTTCTGACTTCGTAGCTCCAGTCTACAGTGTCGTCGTCGAAATGAGGGATGGAAAAGTAAAAGACGTAGTCTGGGACAATGACTGTGACCTTTGTGACTATGGCTGCCTGACCGATACAGGAGATGTCTGCACGGTGGACTTGTGTGATTTGCAAACGAACTCAACAGACCCTCTTAAGTCTGATTGTGACCCCAAAATCTACGTCTCTTGGATGGGGAAAAAGAGGCTCCATGTCAAATAACTGTTGATTTTTGACAGTGTACATTTCATCGAAATCCATTTGGTCGAAAATTTTTGATAGTGCGACATTTGGCCAAAAATTAACGGTTTTTTTTCGGTCAAATGTCACTATCAAAAATTTTCGATCAATTTTCGGCCAAAAATTTTTCGGTGAAATAGACACTATCAAAAAGGCAAAGTCATTTGACCTGCACAGGGAAAAGATGACTCAGGAAATTATCTTATGAGCGCTGGGTACCGAATTTCTCAGTTCAGGAAATACAGTTTATATGATACTTATAAGAGCGCAAAGAAGAGCTTTTAATTAAGATTTATAATAGGATTTATAATTGATTGATAAACAGTTGTTAAGATTAGAGGAAAGTGCTGTTATCGGGGGTTGCTTTGCTATAAGTCATGCCTGAAAAGATATGTCTGGTTTTGATTAATTGTTCAGCTTGGGCGTGGTTTCCAAGTTTTAGAGAAATATAGATAGCGAGACTGAGGATAGGAGCTGGGACTGGCTGAGAAGGCTGAGTTTGAGGCTGAAAAGTAATGTTTAGAAGGTTTAAAGCGGAATTTAAAGCTTGCTGTGCGAGAGGAATGTTGCCTGAATGCAAATGGGCACAGGTGAGATTTATGCTTTGAATATATGCTGAGCTATATTAATTTTACATATAGATACAAGCTATATCCCTTATAAAAAAAATTATTAGGATAATATTCAGTTTGGTATATGCATTTTCACATTAAATTCTGCACCTAATCAAAGAATAAATATCAAATTTTTTATATAAAAATAGAAAATATTAACTCCCCCCCCCCCCTCCGTGAGCGAACAAAAAAATTTTGTTCGCTCACGGAGGGGGGTTTAATTTTTTTTTTTAAAAAAAATTTATATATAAATTTTATAAAAAATATTTTTTTCGAAATTAAAAAAATCCTAATTTGCAAAAATTGGGAAGCAAATATTAAATTTAATTTGCAAAATTTATGTTTTAAAACGCAATTTGTTTAAAATTAAACAGAATTAGCTCTAGATTTCATTATACTAATTATCACTTATATATCAAAATTTTTTTCCATTAAAATTTTTTCTATTAAAAAAATTTTTGTTCGCTCACGGAGGGTGGTTTTTGGTCAAAAAATGGCGATTTTTCTAATGGTTTTGTTCGCTCACGGAGGGGGGGGGGTGGAGTAAGTATTTTCTCTATAAAATTTCTCCCAAATTTGCATATCTAGAATTTTGGTCTTCAGTAAACACTGCTGAATTCGGTGACAAAGTGGAGTGGCATTTTATTTTTAATTCTTTTGGGATATGAGAAAGGTATTCTATAGCTTGTCTAGGCTTTCCTAAAATAAGCAGTGCTTCAGACGCATACATTGTAGCAATAAATCTTTGAGGATCAGTTATATCCATATGCAAAAGCTGCTGGGCTGAAGATAACGCACATTGAGGTTGAGAATTCATAGCAGAATAACACAGTAATAGCAAAATATGGACTTTTAGCTCTTCGTCCTTGCACAGTGTCAAAGCATTTCTTAAACATTTTATTGCTTTTTCAAGCGGCCCTTCTTGCACTTTTTCATCTTCGTCTTTAAAAATATACGTCACTTTGGACGGAAGGACATATTTTTTATCATTTTGAGACATACAAATATCGCTCAGCATCTCTCGTCTCCCGATTTCAAGTCCTTGTAGGCTCAGCATTACATAACATTCAGCAGCTCGGTACCAGAATAGTGGTTTTCCTTGCATTATTGAAGCAATTTCATGCAGACAGTCTAAAGCTTGTTTTGGCTTATGAGAATTAATAAAGGATAACGCTGAGTTATATAGGAGTTCCCCTCTTCTTTGTGAAGCATAATGAGTTATAGTGGCAAGAGGCTTAGAACTGTCAATTAAAGTTTGGTTTCTGAGAGTCCCACAAGCTTTGGAAAAATAAAAACGTGCCAGTTTTGGCTTTCCTAAGCGTAAATGGATACAGCCAAGGTTGTTGTAATGGAAAATAGGGTGACTTAGTTTTTCTTTTGATGGCTGACAGGACGGGTGGGATTGCCGGTCACCTAAAACGGGCAAAATTTCAAGCTGGGCTCTATTTAAATGCTGAAGTGTAGAGTTCATGTTTCCTTCTGTATATGCGATTTCTGCATTTAAGTAGTTCTTAATAGCAAAATATTGTGAAGCCAGCATCGCAAACATCTCAGGGTCATAATTTTCTGATTTTACTTTGGTCACCCAGTTTTGTTCAGCTTCATTTAGCGCTTTTTTAGCTGGTTCTGCTTCAGATAATAATAAATGGTATCTACATCTCAGGACATTTGTAGCGAACCAATATTCCCCTTCGCTAAGCTCATCACTTGATTTATCATCGACCCAGCTTCCTATAATAAGTGGATGGAAAATGCCTTTTTCTGGGTTAAGTTTTAGCACGCTTGAATATATCCCTGATTTTTCTAAGGTTTCTAAGGCTGCGTTGGCTTCTTCTTTGAGTTCCATTGCAAGATAAGTCTCAATTCGTAGAAAAGAAATTTTGATACTTATATAGTCGTCAATGCAGTCAAGGCTTGAACAAAGAGGTGTAAGGTATTGAAGAACTGCCCCATAGTGTTCTAAATAAAATGATAAAACACTCTCTTATTGTAGAACATTTTTTTTTTTAAAAAAATTAATATGGTATTTTAGATATATAAAGATTTTGGGATTGTTTTATAAAAAAAATAAAATATTCAGGGAAAAAAGAATAAAATATAAAAAAAAATAAAAAAAAATAAAAAATTATTGTAGATGCTTACTGCTGATGGGCAGTCAAGGGATATCATCCGATCTAAAAGCTCTTGAGGATCTTTGCAGCCTTGTCGATAATATTTCACAACCTCAAGATTATGCTTATTTTGGTCCCGATTTTTTTCGAGCTCTTCTAAAGCTGCTTGGAAGTTGCCTTCTGCAAAGAGACTAAAACTCCCCATAAATTTTATTAATCTTATATGAAAATGGGTTATAGCTTAGGTGATCCACTAGTGACTCTAACAAGGACTTTTCCTGTGTTTTCCCCTTTTAATAGTAAACGTAAAGCAGATGGGGCATTTTCTAAGCCATCGACGACGTGTTCGCTAAATTTAAGCTTCTTTTGTTGGAGTCACTTGCTGAGATGCTTTGTAGCGAGGCCGTACTTGTTTTTGAAGTCAAATACAATGAAGCCGACTATTGTGGCTGACATAGAAATTATGAGTCTATTCTATTTAGCAATAAAAATAAATTATTTTATTATGGAAAAAAATAATAAAAAATATAGAAAAAAATCAGGGATTATAGTATAAATTACCATTACGGGTAATAATGCACAGGAGGTGCTGTCTTTTTATTATATGATGAAATCGCCCCACACATAACAATTCTTGCGTATTTATTGATATTTAATAGTGCAGCGTCCAAAATTTCTCCACCAACGTTGTCTATGTATACATCAACACCATCAGGACAAGCAGCTTTTATAGCTTGTGACAGATTTTCAACCTTTTTATAATTAATAGCTCCATCAATTCCTAGTTCTCTTGTAAGGTATTGGCATTTCTCATCAGAACCAGTTAGCCCGATAACTTTGCAGCCTTTCATTTTCCCCATCTGGCATATTAAGGAGCCAACAGCCCCTGCAGCAGTTGAAACAAGCATTGTTTCGCCTTGTTTTGGCTTAGCTAGTTCATTTACTGTGAAATAAGCAGTATCTTGGCTTATAATGACTGTTCTGGGACATAAATTTATTATAAAAATATATAGGTTTATGGGAAATAGAATAAGGCCGGTTATCCCTAGAACTCCTAAAAATAATCGAGGATTCTCATGAGGTGGGAGAAGAGTCAAATGATTTGCAGGTAGCTTTGAGTATTCTTGCCAGCCAAGGAGTCCTGATACGTAGTTTCCTTTTTTAAAAGCGTGGCTCTGTGATTCAATGACTTGGCCAATGCCGAGACCTTTTATAACTCCGCCAACAGGCACTGGGTCAGTATATGATCTTTGGCCTGAAATAAATTCTTTTAATTTGTATTGATTTTAACATATATAAATTTTATTACCCAAAAAAAGCATAGCATTTAAAATATTTTATGCCATAATTAATTGTATATAGAATATAAACTCTTTGTGAAGCATCAACAGACAGCCATTCTACCTTGACTAAGACTTCTCCTTCTTTAAGTTGGCCAATTGGCTCTTCAATGACTGAGAAATCTTCATCTTTTGGTAAATCCACAGGGCGCTTAGCCAAAATGACTCTTTTGTTCATCATGGAAATAATAGAAGATGACGCAGCATAATAAATGAAAATAGCAAGACAGATTATTGGTAGTCCTTAAATTTTAAATCTGCAAATAAATAATCTTCCAAATAGTTTAGCGCCTTTAGGTATTATGACACAAATTATATTGATTTCTAGCTAAATCTATATAATAGCTTAAATTTAAATGCTAAATAATTTTAAATTAATTGAAAATAATGCTCAATGATTATTAATTCTAAAATTTTATATTTAATCAGCACCATCAAGTAATCAATAGTAAATATGTCAGAGCTTGAAATCCCGTTACTAATTCCTCAGGCCAGCACAAAATCTATAGGAAACGCAATAGAAACAGAAGGTCTACAACAAATAACCATGCCAGAAGCCACTGAACAAATCCAAAGCATGATATCAGAAAAACTGTCAAAAATTCATATGATATTTCCCTTAACTTACCCAGTAAAAACCTAAAGCAATTTTTTACTGGGCAATCCAAGGGAAACCTCTATACATTATTAGATGATCCTCGAGAAATCAAGGTAACTGCTGATGAAAAAGCACTTGTTATCCTATCAGAAAAAGTTTTAATAGTAATAGATAGAACCACAGGAGAACGAAAAAGTAAAAGTTTGCAAATAGAAAACCCGCAGCATTTAGAATTAATAAAAAGTCAGAATCTTGTAGTTATCAATGATAAATCTAGCTCAAAAATATATAAACCCAGCTAAGATGAATAGAAATATTATATCCCTATTATCTCTTCAAAAAACCTAATAAACGATCCTTAGAATATTTATCAATTATGAAATTTCGAACAAATAAAAATCCTTGACTGTCACAAATCCAATGTTTCTGGTATTTTTATAACCCCTGACGATAAATATCTATTTTCCTTAATTGAAGACGATGAAGTAATCAGGTGAAATATCAATAACTTCGGCAAATTCGACGATTTTGCAAGCGAGCACTATGAAAACGCGACCAGTTCATTTGGGGTGCAGGTCAAATGACATTGCCTTTTTGATAGTGTCAATTTCACCTAAAAATTTTGGCCAAAATTGGTCCTAGTGAGACATTTGACCGAAAAAAAACCGTTAATTTTTTCGGCCAAACGTCGCACTATCAAAAATTTTTCGATGAAATGTACACTGTCAAAAATCCACGGTCATTTGACATGGAGCCGTTCTTTTGACAGCAGTTTAATAGCTTTTACCTATAAAAATAAATTAGCAGTTTACTCCATAGAAGCCATTTCAATGCAAAATGAAAAAGAATTCGATGGAATTATTACACAAATAAAATTTGCAGCATCAAATGATATTATAGTTGTGGCCATTAAACAGTATTTAAGGCTAATAAATACAAAGACACTGGAATTTGTACAAGGGATTTTCCCGGAGACTGTTGTCACTTGTATAAGCACATATCCGCATGATGATATTATAATTGCAGGACATAAAACTGGGGAAATTTCGTTGTTGGATTATAAAAATAATCGTCCTGCGATAAAAATGGCTGTATGCAATACAGCAATATCAAAAATATTTTTATGCCTATTAAGTCACTATTAAATTCACAATATTAAAAATGCCAGTTAGGGATAGGTCCTAACTCCTGTTAAATAGGTAATGGTCCTATCATCCGAGCTTAGTGAGAGAAGTCAATCTTCTTGAGAGCCTCAGCTTGAAGAAAAGAAGTCAGTGCTGAGGCTGGCACTGACTAGAGAAGTCTTAACGGGCTTAACAGTTTGAGGGTTAGGTCGGTCCACCTATCGTTATTCAGAGCTGCTAATGTAGCTGGACCCTCAAGTAAAAGAAGAAGACTAAGGGCATTGCCAGAGTAACTCGTTAAACTTAAACTATTAAATTTTGCTCAGTTCTTATAGCAAGCCTCCTAAGGCTTTTAAGACACTCCAGTAGGGTATAAGTAATAACGGCCAAGAAATCTTCACAATGCAAAATGACGATAAAAGGAAATTGACATATACACAATTCCCTCAGCTAGACCTTTGAAAAAAGTTTGAAAGGAGAAAAGTCTTTGGGTTTACCCCTTCAGGGAAACTTATATTTAAATTTAAAGATCAGCTTTTGACCTCTGATATCTCATTTGACTATATTCAAGAAGTTTACAATGCAGAAGGGATAAGTAACGTTTTATTCACAAGATACGGAAAAATCATCGTTTCTTGTTTTTTCCAAATTCATGTAATTTACAATGGAGAAGACAAATATATGGACGACAAAGATATGGAAGAGCCAATTTGTATGAAAATAAACCAAGAAGGCTCATTGCTGTTTACCGGAGGAAAACAAAAAATCAAGGTATGAGACCTCGAACAAATGATGCTACAAAAAGACTGAAAAGGCCATGAAGAACAAGTTTCATGCTTAATCCTAGCTCAAAATGACTTAAAATTGATATCAGGAAGCCATGATAACACTGTAAAAATATGAGACCATAAGAATCATATGCAAACTGGGCTATTAAAAGGCCACACAAGCTGTATTAATGATTTAAAGCTAGCAGAAGATAAAAATTTGTTAATATCTTCAAGCTCCGATAAGACTATCAGGGTATGAAATTGGCCTCTTGAAACTTTAATTTGCACATTAAACGCGACGGCTGATGTCGTAGGAATTCATGGATAAGGTTATTTTTTTAAAAAAATAATTATTTTTCGCAAAAAAAAATATTATAAAAAATAATTCATGTGATAAAAAACTGCAAATTTTTGATGTCGGCAAGCGCTGATGGGAGAATTTCGTTTTGAAGCATGAAAAGCTATACCTTAGTTTTCTATAACCAAGTGCAAGACCGAGTAAAGAAGTTTTGTGTGTCAGATGATGATAGGTATATGGCTTATTATTTAGGAAATGAAGATAGTTTTTTAATAGGGAATCCTCTGGTTTCTGAAAATGTGACTGTTTCTGGGCCTTATCATGACTATTATGAGTATCTTTTATATCTCAAAAAAATCATGGCATTAAAAGATATCCCTGAGCACAACCCTATGATGGACCAATGGGTAATTTTGCCTCACCTATTAACAGCTCCTCATTTTTACGCCCTAGTCAATTTGCATTCTTACCTAAAACGGTCCTTAGAATCCGAGTTCAAAGTTGTAGAGTCCTCATTTGGGGAAACCTCTTTATCTATTGCCTTATCTAATAAACATAGAGAATGCAGAAACATAATCATAAAAGCAATGATAAAAAACTACAAAGGCAACCCTTTTTCCTTATCAAGCTTAACCAAAGAATGCTTTATTGACCTAAACAACGAAGGTTTCAGATTTTTAGTCAAGCTTTATGACCTGATTTATAGAAGATGCAATGGTTTTAACCTCCCTAAAGAATGTTCTTCTAAAATAGTCACCCCTATTTTTTACCATTCTAATGAGATTGTCCCATATCTCAACAATTTTTTTATAGATTCAAATGAAAAAGGGTCAGAAAAACAGATTTTTTTTATGCATTGTATAGTGCCATTTAATACACAGACTGGGTCACAGGAGAGTATTGATTTTTTAAAAAGCGTGATTGAGTCGCCTAATTCTGATATTTTTAGGACGAAATTTGTGCAGGCAATGCTAAATGATAAATGGAAAATGGTCAAATTTTATTGCTACTCACAAGGGCTGCTATATTTGCTATATTTGTTATCTTTAATGTTTTATATTGAATTTTTTATAGGAAATGGAGCGTTTTTAGCTGTAACCTTTGTATTGAGCATTTTATTGTCGTTCTATGAAATCTATCAAGCAGTCACAGAGCCTATGGACTATATTGAAGACCTATGAAATTATATAGACGCCTCAAGAGCTCTCCTTATAATTGCCTATGCCATTATGATTTGGGCTGACGCAGACTATGACAGTTCTTCAACAGTCTTATTATTAGGCTCATTTTTATCATTTTTAAGAGGAATCACCTATTTTAGACTGTTTACTCCTACAAGATATATGATTACTTTGCTTAAAGAAGTCTTCAAAGACATGCTTTCTTTTCTGGTTCTTCTTTATTACTCCACTCTTTCTTTTGCTTTTATTTTCAAAATTATTGATTCCTCAAACCTAGATGGCAGTTTAACTGGATATATTGCACAGTCTTATTTATAGGAATTTTCATTAAATGGCCAGCAAAGCTGGCCAAATTATTTTTTAATCAGATTAATGAATAATTAATCGAAATCCTTATACTTGATTTAGGTAACTATGACACTAACACATTTGGAGTGGCCGAATCCATAATTTTCTTTATTGCCACTATGATAAATCCAATTATCATGATGAATCTTCTCATATCTATCATAGGTGACACCCACGACCGAGTCCAAGAAGGCTTAGAAGTGGCTGATAACAAAGAGCTTGCCGAAATGATTTTAGAAATGGAAACACTATTATTCTGGAACAGAAACGTCAAAACTAATATTTATTTACAAACCTGTATGGAAGATGTAATAGTAGAAGGACAAAATTGGTATGGAAAAGTAAGAGAAATTAAATTGGTTTTAAAACAGATTAAAGACGCACAGTCTAAAGGGTATGAACAAATTTCAGAGGACTCAAAATCGGTTAAAGATAAGATCTCTGAGTCAGAAAAGAGGCTGATTCAGGAAAATAAGCAGCTGCAGCAACAAATGGATGAGATGAAAAGAGAAATAGTCAATTTAATTAAAAATAGGTAATATATTTTAAATTCTCTTTCAGAATCCGATTAATTATTAAGAAAATGCTACTGCTGACTTAAATCAGTAACATTAAGGCAGTCTTGTATTTGTAGAGCTTGTGATACAATATACTCAAATTCCTGACACTCCGCGCATGCAAAATTCCTCATCATTGTTTCGTATCGGCTTGCTTTTTGCTGCTTAAACCTTGGTATTTCTCTTCTAATCAGCAGCAGGCTTATAATTTTATTTATCATTGCAATGCTTTGTAATTCTTTTTCTAAATACTGATGATTTGACTCAGCATTTTTAATATATTTTTTCGAATAAAAACGCATTTATTTTTATTATAAAAAATTATTTTTAAACTATTTATCTTAATGAGCTTATGGTCTTGTTTGGATTTTGATGAAAATATTTGTGATATCGGTTTTCTCCCTGTATGCATTTTTTGCAATTTTTGTTTTTCAGAGTCAAAATTCCCTTCAGCTTTGTCTAAAATTTTTTTAAATTCAGATTTCTTTTGGATTGCTTCTATAATACTTTGCTGATCTAGAATTTCAGCTCTTGCCCAGTCTAATAATATATAAAACGGATTTGTATAAGTATCTCTAATTTCCACATTTATTTCTCTTCCACCAAATCCATTTGCGTACAATTTATTTACATTTTTTATGCCTTGGATCAGCCCTGATAATTCTTTATCATAAATCCCAAAATAATCCACGCTGATTTTGCATGAATTTTCGAATTTTTGCAAATTTTCGAGTCCATCCTCAAAAGTGCTCAACAATTTTTCTAAATTTCTTTCGTCTTCGTCAGTGACTTTTTGGCTCAAAAATTCCCTAAAAACTGCTTGATAATTTTCAGAAATTTCGTTATAGTCATATTTTTTACAGTCCCCTGCCAATTTTTTGTAGTCTGATGATCCGCCTCTAATAAAGGTTTGGAATTCTTCTGATCTGTAGAAATAAGGCAGGGAAATAAGTTTGCATATAAATAAATCAAGCAGCTTTCTTCTCTGCTCAATAAAATTTGGTAAAAAATTACCCTGAATAGAAAATTACAGAAGCTTGTTTTCCTGGCAACTGAGGAATATAGCATCCAGGCCAATTTCTGACTAATAATTGTCGAAGGGCTCGGAATTCTTTATAGCGCCTTGCGACTTCAAAAATTCCTGTTGAATCACTGCCTTTGATTGTATAGATGACGTATTTTTTAAATGTGCCTTCTTTTATAATTGGATTGCATACAGAAGCAACGGCATGAAGATCTCGATACTGCTGAATTCTAGATAAATCTGTCTCTGTGTTTTCTTCAGCTGGCGAGTATAAAAGATTTTCTTTAATCAAGCTCTCTTTAGATTCTTCGTAATTGCCTTTAAAATCAGAAAGTGGATTTTCCATAATAAATTCACCAATTATTAAAAATTAAAAAAATTATGATTTTCTTTATTTTTTAAAAAATATTTTTTTTTTTAAAAATAATTTTGGTACCAAAATTACATTAATTTGCTAATGCTAGGCCAATTCGCAATTTTTTGAAGTCAAAAACTGTGTAAACTTTTCGTAAAAAGGTGTCTCCAAGAACTATCAAAGGACCTTTAGGAGCTGGGACATCCAATGGCATTAATGCTAGTGAGCATCTATGATGGCTAAAAGTGACATAATCATATTTTTCAAATGTGTATAGCTCATTACCAATCTGAAACGAAATTTTTGGCAGTAAATCTATATTAGAGCAGTCATGCTTTATATGTAATAAAATTGATAAATCTTCTATTAACTCAGAAGGAGCTGCAATAACAGAAGTCCCAGTGTCCAGCACAGCTGGACAATTCCCCCTTTGTGTAATTAAACTTTGGCAAACCCCTATTGGCATGCCATTGATTTTTATATCCTGCAAAGAAATTTGCCAGTACTCTTTACTCGTCACTGGGTAATAAGTGATATTTCCTAGGAATTTTTTATTATTTATTGACCCAATTAGAAGTTCTCCATTATCCCCATCATCTTTTCCAAGAGAAATCGACAAAATATTTTCCGAAAGAATCCCTTTATCTTTAATTGTTTTCAAAATATTCGGTCATTCCGAATCCTGAGGAATACCCAGCCCTACAATTCCAGCAAACGGCAAAAATTCAAAAATGTTCCCTATTTCTGAGTTTACAAGGCCAATATTAAGATTTTCTATCATCAGGTCTCCGATTTCAATATTTTCTTTTATCAAATCTCCTTGGATTATCCCGCTTCCATACTCAACCTCGAAGCTCATATTTAGCTCTTTTATTGTGTCAGATTTATCAGGATCATATGTTTTATGCTTTTTACATCCTCTTGATGTGCAATATTTTGAGGCAACCCAGAGGTGGTTTGATCCTGTGTCAAACATAACTTTTATTGTTTGGCCTCCGACTTTAATTTCTCCATAATGCTGTAAGTTTTCATATACCGTTATAGGTAGATTAATGGAAAATTCCAATATAAAATTGTGTGTATAATATGAAAATTTAAAAAATAAAGGATAAATATCATAAAATTAATTTGGCATGCAGGAGTTTAGATGCTGAGTTCCCAATTTAATATAGTTATAAAGAGGAATTCCAATACAAGCTTGTATGAGTAATAAAATTGGCTCAATATTTTACTCAAAAAATTATTTAATAAAATAATCATTTATTTTTTTAAATCCTATAAAATTATCATTTCGCTCAAAAAATAATTTCTTTCCATTACTCAATGCAAATTTCCTGTAACTTAAACTCCCATAAAGCTTCACCTTAAACAGGGATAGAAAATCCAACCAAAACTCTTAATCCTAGCCAATAAAAATTGCTTAACCCTAGTTCTTTGAAAAAGAAATTTTTCTCTCTTAAACTTTTAAATCTATATGCATTTATTATAATCATTTAACCTTGGCTCTTATCCAATATTGGCTTCTGGTGGGTGATACTTCTTGATATGATTTTTCATCATGTATTTGTTATATATCCCTTTTAAACTGAGCTAAAACTTTTAAATTCTCTATTAATTTCCTATAAAAAATCATATAAAACAGAATAAACCATCATCCCGCATTTAGTGCATCTTACTCTTGTAGACTTGTCATGCACTTGCTTTATATGGAAATTCAAAGCATTTTGGTGCTTAAATGCTCGGCCACACTGAGTGCATAGTGACGTTTTTTCAAAATGAGTGTGAGCTTTTCCTATATGCTGATGCAGTCCCCGCTTGCCTTGGAAACTCATAGAGCAACAAGTATAAGCCAAATCGTCAGGATTTTCGAAGTTCTCTTCAGGCAGAGATGGGATTTCTTGCCCCTGAGAAGAATCCATCAGATTGCTGAGGTACATCCAATTTAGGCAGATGTACTGAAGCATCGCTGCGATATTCTCGTTTAACTCTTGGAAACTTTTTTGGCTATCATTTTGATGGGTTGGAGAGCTTGTAAATTTTGAGTCCATGATTGTCTATTTATAATTATAATTTAATAGACTTTTTGTGATAGAAAAAAAAAATTTTTATTAGCTGAATAATATTTTTTAAGGGTCGTGAATAAAACAGGAATTATTTTATATGAGATTTCAGACTGAAAGAAATTTTTGTTGCCCAAGATGGCAGTAGAGATAAATTTATGTTCGCAGAAACCCATAAAAAGACTTTGGGATTAAAAGAAAGGGCTTGGGATTAGGTTTGTGATTCTGAGAAAAGAAATGTATATTATTGGTATAAGAATTAAATATAAGCAGATCAATTGAAATTTTACGTGAAAGAATTATGGCTGATTAATTGGGATTGGGAGGTTTTAAAAGTTTTTTTTATGATTCTTAAAATCAATATGGAATTTTTTAGGGAGCATCAAGATTAGGTAATAAAATATTTAAAACAAATTAATATGGAAATAGATGATTTAAATTTAAAATTTATTGCAGAAAGCTACCAATTTAAAAGACTGACTTTGCAACCAATTACTCTTATTAGATAGGTAAAATCTATTAGATTTTTTGCAGAAGATTGACTAAAATTTTTAATTAGTTCAGTAATAAGTATAATAATACATTAAGAATAAAGCCAATAGATAAATTCTATTGTATATGGCTTAAAAATCTGCATAAACTGAATTATCAGAATTTTATTGCAAATCTATTGGTTCTAATTTCATAAAAATAGTTTTTCCACTTTCATTCAAAACTTAGACAACTATTACAAAGTAAATTCAACTCTCTGTCTTCATAATAAAATTAAATTTTAGCCTAATAAAACCCTTTAATATTTTGCCTTCTTTCTTTACCTTTAAGAACCATATTTAAAAGATATTTATATGATTTTTTATCAACCCAGATAATTTTAGTTATGGCTACACAATATATCCAAGGTCTCATTTCAGATGCAAATTTTTCTGAAGAAATTATTGATGCTGTAAAAGGCTCAATGGATAACTTATTTTGTGATTTTTCAGAACAAATAAATTCAAATCCCAAATTATTAAATCATGTCAGGCAGAGATTTAAATCGAAACAGCCAAAAATTCAAGCAGAAGAAACGGTGCAGGTCCAATGATCGTGCACTTTTGATAGTGTGCATTTCATCGAGGTGCATTTGGTTGAAACCTTTTGATAGTGAGACTTTTGACTGAAAAACAGTTAAATTTCGACCAAATGCACACTATTTAAAAATTTTCGACCAAATGTACTTTGATAAAATGAACACTATCAAAAATACATTGTCATTGGCATGGAGCTGAAGAAACACCTCCAAAGCCAAAGGCTGTAATGGATAAAATAACAAGGGATTTACAGCTTATAGAGCATCATGTAAAAACTGATCTCAATAAAGAATTTACAAAAAAGCTTAAAGAAGAAAGACTTGAGCGCGAGCGTCGGCATCGAGAAAGAGAAGAAAAATACACAAAAAAACTTTTAGAAGAAATTGGCTCAAAACAAAAAGAACGTGAAGAGTTCCAAAAGTTCCAAGAAATGGAAAAACAAAGAAAAATCGAAGAACAAAAGCTAAAAGCTGAAGAAAGAAAAAAAGATATAGAAAGCAGAAAAGAAATAGGAATAAAAGAATATAAAAAGGTAACAAGCAGCAAGCCTCTATTTAAACAAATGGAAGATAAATTCAATCAACAAGTCCTAATGCCAGCGCTTGAAAAGAAAAAAGCTGAGCTTGCTAAAAAAAGAATGCTTTTCCAGCCAATAAATCCACAAGAAATATATGAGCATTCCAAAAAAGTCAATGAAATTCGTAGAGAACAAGAACAACGCCGCCAAAAAGAAATTATCCAGCGTTCTTTAGAAGAGCAAGTAAATTATTTTTCTAAAAATTTTCAGACACATTTTACAGCAGCAGTCATTGAAGAAGACAGAAAAAAACGAGAAGAAGCTGAAAAATCGAAAGGAGATTTAATAAACAGAAAATTAAAAATGATGCAGTACGCAGACCTTGTCAAAGAAATGTTCCAACCTACTGTTGACAAAGCTAAACAAGTAGAAATCGAAGAAAGGCTTGAAAAACGAAAAAAACAGAAAAAAATCATAAATAAAACTAGTGTAAAAAGCTTTTCAGGGAAAGAGTCAGAAATTGAAAATCAAGAAACTGTCTCTGAAGGGGTTTTAGCGAAGCCGACAAAATGGAAAAAAAATCCTTTAAAGATGCCTGAAAAACCGTCCTTGAAAAAAGAATTCGCTAAAATTGATTATTTGGCAGAAATGAGAAAAAATCAAGAAAATCAGGAAAAATTGGCAGAAAAGCCTGTTAATTGGCAGCGGGAACTGGAAGATGAAAATTTATCAATAGAAGAAAAAGCGAATAGGATCAGACATAAAGCAGAATTAATAGAAAAAAAGGCGAGGATTCAAGAGTTTAATATAGGCAAGCTGAATCCTCAAAACCAGCAAGGTCTGAAAGCTACAGAGCAGGTAAATGATATGATTATTGAGTCAATTAAAGCGAAGCTTGCTTTGCTTCAACAAGTAACTGGTAAATAATTTTTAAAATAAAATAAAGCGCTTAGCTTACAATACGGAACCCTGAACTGCGAATTGGCCTAGCGCCAGGAGTAGACATTCTGGAAGATACTGAAACTTTGTCAGAATTTGGCCTTGACACCTGGGAAATTGGTCTGGAAACCTGTTTTTCGCTTGTTTGCCGGAATTCTGGGGAAGTTTTATTGAATGAGCTTACTCCAATTTTTATGTCAAATTTATATAAATAAATTTATTAAATTAAAAATATGAGGAAGATTAGCAAATTTTCAGTTTTCTGGCCATTTTCACTTTGTGCTTGGCTCATCGCTCTCTGCCAAAGTGACGCAGCTGGCTTAGTTAATGGATCATATAGTTTTTCTGAATCTTTTCCTTGAAAAGCTGCATTATTTATAATATTGTACCCTCTATATCTGGTCTCCATAAACCTCTCATGCCTGATTCTATTCAGAGTCTGCTCGTTAACTTTATCATCTAAAACCACATCTTTCTCCTTTACCTCTTTTTCATAGTCATATCTTGCATTATATCTTTGTTTAGCCATTTTCTTTTTCATATCAATTTCCTGCAATCTTTTTTCATCAACTACTCTCATATTAATAGGTTGATACAACGTCCTTATAAATAAATATGGCGTCCTTGGCCAGGCCATCAACCTTGGGCACATATTTGATTATATCAGACAAGGCTTCGTCAACTCAGAAATGGACAAAAATGATAGGTAAGCAATTCTGGCATTGTGTGGAGCCTAGCCATTGTCCGCTTTCAGGGTTGGATTTTATCTTAAAGGAAAGCGAGGGATTGGAACTGGAAAGGGGAAGTCCAGAAGGTCTACAGGCAACGCGTAAACCAATCAGGCAAATCTCTAGGAAACCACCTTCAATTAAAAAGATACAACGCCCCCTCACTGTATTTTACCCCATTTGGCAATTTTTCTATTTGGTCTTTTCCATGGACTTTTTCTCTTTCTTCACGGATTTTCTGAAATTCTTCTTCCTTATCTGGGTCAACGTAGCTTACAGTTACAGGGTCAAAGCTATGGGTTTTCCAAAATAACTCAGCAGCTTGCTGCTTATAAGCTTCTTTATCAATGGTTGATTTTTCATCATGATGCTGCAGATATCGGTTTGTGATTATATCAAAATCTCTATATTCAACTGCACAAATTTTATAAGTCTGAGGCTTGACTTCAGGCCGTGGAGGCCGCTGCTCTGGAGGTAAGAAATGATGGTCTGCAAAATCCAGGCACGAAATTATATTGTAATCTGCCTTAGTGTTATTTCCAAGCCTCCTGCGCTTATAGTCAGGCACTTTTTCTTCAGGGTAGCCTGGAAGTCCTTCTAAGCCTTTTAGCTTACTTTCTAGGTTTACGACATCAAAAGTCTGCTCATAGCGAAGAGCTCTGTCTTTATTTTTTGCTAAAGTGTCGATAAAACGGTCTTGTTCGATTTCTTGGACTTTTTGTTCAACTTCAGGACTTGTATAGACTTGGAGGATTGGATTATAACGACTTTCAAGCTCTCTTATGTCAGAATGCCGGACTCGGACAACAGGAGGAGGGTTAGTTCAGGGAAGGTTGGCTTTTTTGTAGGAGTAGTCCTGCATCATTTGTTTCCATTCTTCAGTTGCAGTTTGTTCCATTTGCATTTTGGTTTATATGGTAATATAAAAAGTGAATAATAAGGCGATGCATGTGAAATTTTGCAATCGAAATTTTTTCTTCTGAGCTTATTTTATTATATGAGGTTCCGATTTCCTAGAGAATCCTTAATTTGTTATATCAGATATGTAATGGGTAGGGGCACACAGCCTGCTGGTCTGGTCATTTAGTCATTGGGAGACTTAGGATTTATCCGTTCAGCACGCCCGACTTTAGAAAAAATGCTCAGGAGCTGAGTAATAAGAATGCAAGGCACCAATTGAGATGCACAGTCGATCTGGAGGTTCATTCCTTGCAATGTCTGTCATATTGTGCGCCATTTTAAGTGACAGAAAAGCCCTATTTTATACTAGTGCCTTTTTAAAGGAGAAGCACTAACTCCCCCCCCCCCCCTCCGTGAGCGAACAAAAAAAATTTTGTTCGCTCACGGAGGGGGGTTAATTTTTTTTTTTTTAAAAAAAATTTATATATAAATTTTTTTATAAAAAATATTTTTTTCGAAATTTAAAAAAATCCTAATTTGCAAAAATTGGGAAGCAAATATTAATTTAATTTGCAAAATTTATGTTTTTAAAACGCAATTTGTTTAAAATTAAACAGAATTAGCTCTAGATTTCATTATACTAATTATCATTTATATATCAAAATTTTTTTCCATTAAAATTTTTTCTATTAAACAAATTTTTGTTCACTCACGGAGGGTGGGTTTTTGGTCAAAAAATGGCGATTTTTCTAATGGTTTTGTTCGCTCACGGAGGGGGGGGGGAGTAAGCACTATAAACACTGACTAATTAATATAATATAAAAAATTGGATTTATTTGAATATTTGGAATGAAGAGAAATGAGAAAGAAATTTAGGATGATTTTTTTGGTAAAATAAAAGATTTTTTTGAAAAAATAAGATCATAATAAGTTTTGCTAGAAATTTATTAAAAATACATAGAAAAATTATAAAATGTGAAACAATTTTGTAAATTTTGAGAATTTCCCCAATTTTATTTATGCTTTTGAATAAAAATGATAAGTTTTGTATTATAAAGACTTGCTGGCTATGAAGATGATACTTTTTATTCCTATATGCAAAAGTGGTCAATATTTACAAGCAAGGGCTTTTTCAGAATATTTTATAATAGAGAAAAGAATTCCTGTTTAAAATCTATCTCTTGGCAAAATAAAAATTCAGAGTCCTAATTTAATTATAAAAAAAATAAAAAAATCCACTATAAATGGTTAATGCGAGAGTAACACAAATATTTGACCTGAAAATTGATAACTTGATACCGTTGAATTGTGGCCTTATAATAGTTAACCATAAAAATGCCAAAGCGTAAGCGATCAGACACAGAAGATTCTGGAAGAAGACGTCAGTTCCTAGGCAGGTAATGACTAAATAGAGTGGTAAATAGAAGCAAAGTCAAAAAGGTAGAGCTTCTCTCTATTGGAAAGCTGCAGCTAAAACCTGAATGGAGCAGGAAAAAAGCCTTTTCTATCTTTTAAAAATGTTGAGAAATCCAATTTTTCCTATTTATTTTTATTAAAAAAATATAGAAAAAATCTGATAGTAAAAAGTGGTTAAAAACCAAGCGCTTTATAGCCCTAAAACCAGGCTGGTTTAACGCGGGCTATATTTTCCCTAAAGGCTACTCAGCCAATCTATTCTATAAAGACATTATTAACACAGATCAAAAAGTCTCTTATAATTGTCAGATTGTCAAAATAAATTGAATGGTTTTCGGTTTGAGAGAAATTAGCTCTGCTGATTTTGTCTACCTCATGGAATTTTATGGAATTCGATTTTCTCTCGAGAACTTCTGCGCAGCGGTGGCAGTTTAACTTTGGGGATAGCCAGAGGAACTGCTCCACAGTGCACATAAAAAAATTTAGAGTTTTAACTCTCAGCATATCCGAGAAGGGTGTCCTAGGCGGAACGCGCGCAGGAACTGAGCTAGGCAAGTGCGACGGCACCGCATCGGGTGTGAAACGCTGACTAGGGTAGCAAGCAGTTTATTTAAGATGGTCCGACTTTTGGATCAGAAATGCTCGTGACATTACCATTTTGGCTCTGTCTCTTTAGTGGAAGTGCTGCATTAGAAACCTAAAAGCTTTAATTAATGCAATGTAATATCAGATCGTCGATAACGGAGGAAAACCACTATTTAAGGTCACTTCTAGCAGCCTACAAGAGACCTTCTCTGGCAAGTCCCCAACAGCTTGTTGAAAGCAAATTTTAGACCGAATCAATGAAACTCTTAAGTCCAAAAAATTGCCTGTCGTCAAAACCCAAGTGGCTGGACCTGAATATTTTGGCTTAAATGACCCTTTTATTGTGGAGGCTATTGAAAAATTAGACGGAAATAAAAAATGTGAAGTTTATTGGACAGAAAAAGAAAAAATTTTAAAAGCGAGAGAAGAGTATGAGATGGAAGGAAAAAATTCAGAGAAAAAGCCAAGGAAAAAGAAGAAAATTGAGGATGAAGAACTGGATTTGAGCAGCGAAATGACATTTAGGGAAGCTTATGGAGGAACATGGTCAGCTATTACAAGGGATGAACGGCATAAAAAGAGGTTAGTTAATATGGGGAAAGAGCCTGTTATAGAAAATGATGATAATCCTATACCAGACTATGAAGATCCGATTACATTGCAGCCTATTGTGGTGCCTGCTTTGTCGCCTTATGGCCATGTTGCTGGATATTACTCATGGACTCAGTCACTTAATCTTTTTATCTTAATTTTTCTGCAATTTATAATTAATTTTAAATATGTGTAATTTTTTTTTTAATATACCCAAGATTTAGAGAAACAAATGGACTTTGCCCATTCACAAAATTGCCACTGACAATTGAAAGAATTATCAAGCTGAACAAGCGAAATTTCCATCTTTATAAGGACTATGTGGATCTTAATAATTAATTCATTTTGGATACATACTATTACCTTCGGATAGACAATTTTCTTTAAAAAAATAAGCTTTGAATTAATTTTTATCATTTTTTATACTATTTCTATTAAAAAAAAAAATATAATTCTTTTAATAATTATAAACTCCTGAATTATAAAATTAGGTATATTGAGATTAAAATTTATATTTCAGTAATCTTTTAGCTTATCACAATTTTATTTCAACATGGATCTACCTCAAAAACGAAGTCGCTTTTCTGAAGATAAGCTAAAAGTTGTTCAAGACATATATAAACGTAACCAATCTAATCCAATGGCTCCTGGTGGCATGAAAATGCCACCTCCAGCTCAAAATTTTTATATGTATCAAATGCCTCCTCAATGGCCATATCCTTATGCAGCTCCTCCTATGGTCCCTGCTCCTCCTCTCCCTCAGCCTCCAGCTCAAAAGCCAACAGCGTCTAAACTTTGTACTGACAGTCTCAAAAACTTCATAACTAAGGCTTTTAGTAAGTGCCAGAGTGATGAGGAGCGAGACTATATGGAGAAGCAAATTAAGGAAATTATTCAAACAGTATTTTTATTTTTTTTAAAAAAAATATTTTTACTGGAAATAAAAAAAAATTAAAAAATTATTCAAACAGCGAAAAATAATAATAAATTTCACCTTCAGGACTGAAACAACACAGAATTGCCACTTCTTCCGAGAGAAATTATTGTAATGCAGATGAATAGTCTTCCGGTTCAAATCCAACAGCCTCAAGTAAGCAGAAGAAAAACAAGGTTCCAGCCAGTAGAAATACATGATGACCCGAAGCCTAAAAAGAGAGAAAAAATCGAAAAGATTGAAAAAATAGAAAAATCTAATTTTCCTCCTAATTATTTTTTTATTTTTTTTTAATATAGATATCATTATTAATTATATAACAAATTTAAATTTTTTTTAATTATTTTAAAGTAGTAAGTCAGATAATTTAGAAAGTGATTGAAAAATTGCAGGTACTTGCACAGATTTAGAAAAACAATATTTCCGACTCACCTCCAAGCCAGACCCATCTACAGTGCGCCCAGAGCCCATCCTTCGAAAAGCATTAGCCTGGTTTAAAGACAGATGGAGACGTAAAGAAATAAAATACGAATATTTCTCCGACCAGCTCCGCTCAATACGTCAAGATCTCACTGTTCAAGGTATTAAAGATAAGTTTACGGTAGAAGTCTATCAGGTCCATACAAGACTAGCTTTAGAAGCTGGAGATCTTGACCAATGCATCTCATGCATGAGCAGGCTTTTTGAACTTTATGATGAAGGATTATCAGGAAAACAAGCAGTAAATAATAAGCAGGAGTTTACCGCTTACAGGATTATTTATTTTTCACTGCAGCAGCTTTATATACAGCTTGAAAAATGCTTAAAAAAATTGTCAGTCGCTGATAAAGAAACAGAAGAAATTAAGCATGCGCTGGCACTGAAAAGTTCACTTATACATGGAAATTATCATCAGGTATTTAGACTTAGAAAAATTGCCCCAAATATGGGAGCTTATATGATAGATATTCTATTTCATATAAAAATAATTTCCCTATACAATTTATAGTAAAAAAGCTATTTTATAGGCGAAAGTATATGTTTTTACAAAAGTTACGAAAATTTTCTCTATTAAAAATTTTTAAATCGTAAGAGCTATTTAGGTATATGCCAAATGTGCCTTTGGATTTTGTCAGCCAAGAATTAGGTTTTTTAAACAGTTTAGAGGCAGAAACATTTATTAAAGAATGCGGAGGAGTTATTAATGCAGGTATTATTGAAACTAAAGAATCACTAGCAGCACTTAATTCGAATTTAGGATAAGGATGTATTAATTTAATTTTATCTGAATAAAACATTATCCATACATTACTTTAGTTTTTAATTCACGAATTCTTCCTTTTTTTTGTTGCAGCTTATTCTGAAGGTAATTTAGGTTTCTTATAAGCAGCTTTTCCCTTTCCTTAAACTCTTCTAATTGCAGCTCTAGAGGATCGACTGTATTATACCACAGTCTGCAAGTTAAATGTTAAATTGTTAAACTGGCCATAAGCGTTTGTCACGCTAGCCTTTGCCCCGTCTCGGCTCCAAGCGGGAAATTCCTCTTCCCATTGCTTACTTGGTTTTCCGGTCTGAACCACTCCAACCCAAGGGTTAGCCCACCTGGGCGCTCCGCTAGTCCCGACAGAGAAGGACTAGGTAGTAGGACAAAACCTACGGAGGAGAAATAAAACTTCACCCGGGGAGGACAAGAGACTCCTTCTCCATGCCCTACTAGACCCCATCCCGGTCATACTTCGGTCGAATGGATTTGTGGAGCCCTGCCTTGCCCAAAATGGGTGAGACGCCTCGGAGCTCAACTCCGTCATACGACACCATTTTATTTCTTATACAGTCTGCAAGGGATTTCAAATAAACAAAAATCATAGCCTGTATTTCTGATGACTTCTCCGAATCCTGTATACTCACTTTTATGACATATTAAAAATATAGATTTTCGCTCATAAGCGTAACGATTTGAAATTATTATTCGCCGCTCAGCTTCTCTTTCGTAAGTTTTTGTTATACTATTTCTAGTAGATGTGGTAATTATTTCGTTAATATTTAACCTTCTGAATAATATATTTTCTTTTTGCAAGGACTTAATTATTTATTTTATTATTTACCATTTTGACCAAAAAACTATGGTTTATTAAATTCCTAAAATTTAATTTTTGGGAAAAAAATAATTTGCCCTTTCCAAGCCAAAATTTATAAGTCAGATTTTTCGAATTATTAAAAATTAAAATAAATATTTTTTATTTAATAAATTGATTTAGTGTTCCTTTAATATTTACTGCTAATTTTATATGTCATAATCATAGAAAAGATGCATAATAAGGATTTAAAGGCTCGAAACATCTTTTTTGTGTAGTCATCGGTATTGTCTTCACTTAGTTTGCAGACTAAAAACTCTCTATGGGAGTTGTTCCGCTCTATCTCATCAATTCCAGGAAATTCGTGCCGATCTAAATAAATAGGTTGATCAAAGTATAGCTCATTCAATCGTAATTCCTTTTCAGGGTTGACAGCCTGCAAAGGATAATTTTTACCTTTTAAGTGAATAATGATTTTTCGAGTTCGCCTTTCCTCTATTGCTCTTATGTTCTATATATATAAAATGGCAAGTGATAATCCGAACTCTCATGGACGGTTTTCTGTACATATTTGGGCATTGCCTTTGGGGCCACGATTTTTGCATAGCAGTATCTGGTGTACTGAAGCGAGGGACTTAAGCACAAATCAGTAGTTTTTGTGGTCAGATCCAAAGGGCAATTACTTGAGACTTCTTCTTGCCAGCAACACCCAAGCTATCAGGGCGACTTACTTATTTAAGGATGATATAAAAAAGGAAAGCAAATTAGACAGTCTTTCTAGCAAAGATTCCCTTAAACGTAGGATCTGGCCAGGAGTCGAAGGCAGGAGATGGTGTAATAAGGGCAAAGGGACTGATTTGGAAATGGGATGCCTGAAATACTTGCGGACTCAACAGGATAGGACAACCGAAAAAATTTGGGCTTCGGCCTAGCTCAATAGTACCAGAGGTGGGATTTCACTTAATTCAAATCGAGCATAGCAGAATACCAATAGTGGAAGTAGCGGCTTAAATAATTAGCATCAACCAACTAGCTCTTATTTTCTGCGGTAACTCTGGAGGTCCAATTCTAATCGCGGGTCTATGTGAGTTGTTTTTCCTTTCAGCTTCATGATTATGGATAGCATTAGCATTATCTAACAAAAAGTCAGCAACTTTATCTCAATTCTGGTACCTGTCGTATGCTTCATCAATCAGATCATCGGCAAAACCCATGCTTCTTAAAAATTCCCGGACGTCTTCTTGGCTCATTTATTATAAAAATTTTCTTATAATAAAAATTTTTAACTCAGGCAGATTTTAATAGCTTTTCTTATTATTAATCGATATTTTGAAGTATAAGAAAGGTCTCAGTTTTTTCTTTGTATAATTAAAAATTTATATTTCAAAATAATCTAATGGTATTTTATAGGCATTGATGCAATTTTTATTTATTAATAAACTAAAAATAATTTCATATATTAAAATTAATTTATTAAATTTGAGTAAACAAAATCCTAAAAGATTCCGGATTCATAATTAATAAAGTCTTAATTGTATATATCTAATTAATAGCAAAGCTCAGCTCTGATTTTATATTTTAATTTTTTATCAAATAAATAAAATTTAAATGAATATAGCATAATAACTTAAATGTAATAAATCACTATTAATTACTTATACTTATATCTGAGAATCAATCAAAATTATACCTTCTATTAACTTTACCTATAACCTTAATATATACAACTATTGACATTCCAGCACATTTAATTATCAAATTAGTTTGGTCCAGTATAAAAATCTATTTAAAATGTATTAATATTATATGGGTGGACACTTTAAATAAATTTTGATGTATCTGGGAAAATTAATCATATTTTCAATATTTAAATTTAGCTTTACCACTTATCCATATAGCGAGTTGGTTTTTATCACTTTTGATCCTTCTGGAGCAATAGTCTCACTCTGCGAGTCCACCCACCTGCTTGTTTTTTCTCCATAACCATCATATCTCAAATAAATTAGCTCTCCCATTGACTGCACAATAGTCGCTTTTGTCCATTTTTGTCCTGCAATATCAATGGCGTCTAATTTTTTCCCTTCCTGCAAGCATTCTTCATCTATTTCCCCATCACTATCCCATTCAGCTGACCTATCAGGTATGCTTCCTTTCATTACTTTTTTGAAAAATTCTACTTTATCAGCAAGATTTTTAGGTAATTATAGTAAATTTTTTCATAAAAATTAAAAAAATCCTTTTATATAATGCAATTTCCATTAAATTTTTTATAACACCCAATGATTTTTAGGCGTGTAATTAGAAGTGCTCCAATTCTGTGTCCTTGGCTTATAAATACTAATAGGAGACCTTCCCATTCCACTAGCTGTAGGATACTGACTATCCTTAAGCCAAACTTCTATCCATTTAATATCTTTATATTTCCTTAACACCCATTCTCTGACTGGCTGAATCCTCGTCATAATTTTGAATAAATAATCAATACACGTCTCAGTGGCTCTATAATAGTTTTTATTATCCTTCATAATTTCATTAAAACTCTTCAAAATATAGTCAACCCTATCCACTTGTATAGAATCCGGCAGCTTTAGCATCCACGTAAGCTGCCTCATATACGGCCTAAATGCATCAAAATCATACTCTCTAATAAAAGTCAACAAAATATTTATATACTGACAAGAAGCTGCCAAATTATGTATACAAATAGTCGCGTACAGCTGCCCAACGGCCCTTGAGCCTATTTTATTTTGCCCTTCTACAGCCAGTTTAACCATAGAATTTTTTTCCATAAGTTTATCAATATCAGTAGGAGGCAAAGAACTGGTCCCAAGCTGCAAAGTAGCTAATAAATATGCAAAAGAAGAACCTATTGATGAGCCAATTCGGTCACTTCTGGATTCGTCGTCTATTACAGCATATTTATCGTACCCTAAAAAGATGTCATTATGTATATAACTTTCAGGAAAATCAGGGTAAAGCACTTTTTCGTCTAAAATGTGGGAGAGCAAGCGGCTCATGAGCTGGGTGGAATGGATAACGTCACTATTGAATTTTGTGAGTCGGTAAATGACTTCGAAATATTGGGAGAAATTTTTGCTTTGGGGCTTTTTGGCGAGGTATAAGCGGTTTAGGAGACGCTTTAAGAAATTTTCTTGGACCAAGGCGGAGACTGATTTTATGGCAGAATGGATGATCCCAGCTATTATTCGGCGCTTTTCGTTTACTGGGCAGTCCATTAGTAGCTCTCTGCAGGTTTCTTTGAGAGAGACAAGCTCTAATAGCCATTCACTAACTTCTGGGTCATTTTTCAGTTGCTCTTTAAGCATATTCACAAAAGAAGGCAAAAATAAAATTTCTTTAGACCTGATCATAATTGTCAAGAAAAATCCAAGTGAAAATTTTAATATAATCCCTCTTAATTTTCCTTATTTTTTTTCAAAAATTTTCTAATACCCAAATCTATTCATATATTACAGCATATCTGGTCTTCCAATTTTCAATAATTTTAATACAAAATCGCAATACTCAGGACTAAAGCTAGATTTGCATCTCCAATATCTCTCGTTTTCGTCTTTTACCTCATGAAACTCTTTTATTTCTCCATCATGTCTGTCAAGTGAAAGGCTTATCAATGGGTCTTCTGACGAATTTTTTATTGCATATGCATTGCTTCTTTCGTATATCAGTAAATAGGCATTTCTGTATTTTTCTCGGTTATTTGTGGTTGAAGATGAGCTAAAAGACGATGAGGAATAAGACCATTTTTCTTCACCACCAAAGGCTTCATTAGGGATGTCTTCTGGGTCAAACTCCCTGACGACAGTATCATTAAATTCAAACCATCGCCCTGATTTTCGGTCCTTGATAAAAGAATAGTAATGCCCACTTTCAGCGGTTCCCATATGTATTACGATGCCTTTTAACGTGAATTTGTAATATTCGTCTGGGTATTTTCTATTAGGAATTTCTTTGGTGAATTCTTTATTTTCGTTTTTGGCTTGCTCTTTTTCTTTAATTATTTCTTTTCGTTCTAGACCTTCTTGTGTATGCTTTTTATCATTATTATGCCTTAATTTTTTTTAAAAAAAAAATTATTAATATTTTCTATTAGATTCAGGTATATAAGGCTCCATATCAAGTTCTAATGGAAATTCACAGTAATCATTAACTTTAATTCTTGACATTGTATCAAAATCAAATTCAAACCTCCTCATGCTGATAATCAGAATATTTGGTAAATGCTTTATACAAACTCTTCTTAGGGCTGTCACTTTGGCTTCACAATGGTCGCATTGGTATGCGTTGTCTCCTTCTAAGACTTCTCCTTCAGTGAAGCTTTCTAAGCTTTCATATAAATTTTTCTTGGTCCTTATAGGGCTTTTTATTGAATTTTCTGATAAAACAGAATTGGAAAAAAAATAGGGATTATAAGAGAAATTGAATACCTGGACTGGCAACGTTAAAAATGGCTCATCTCGTTCACTTTTGTGGGTGCAGGTCACTTTTCCAATCATTTCTGTAGTGTTTAACCCTCCAAAATGATTTTTCACTATATGCTCATAGGTGTCGCCTTTCAGCTGATTTTCAAGCCTGTCCATGAAATTATTGAAAAATTCGTCAGCGTCCATTTGCTCATGAAGATTTACCGGTTTTCCTTCCCAGTCTTTAAAAGCCCCACAAAAAGCTTTAGGGTTAATATGTTGCTTATCAGAATACAAAAGTCCAGCAAAAATCGACTGAAGCTGATACAGCAGACTGTCCTCAGGAGGGTTCCCACTTTTGTCTTGAGCCCTCAAAATTCCATCTCTAAAGCTAGGAATATTATAATTTTTTAATTAATTGTCAATTTTTATTAAAAAATAAAAAAAATACATTAAACCAATTTATTACAGTATAAATAACTGCTGAATACTAGAATTCATATAACAAGTCGACCCTAAGTTCTTAATCCCTACAAAGCCAGTCTCTGATTTTTCATGGGCATTTGGAGAATAATTCCAATCCGCAATTTTCCCAGTCCTCCAATGTGGATCTTCATGCAGCTTATTTAAATATCTCATAGTCTGTATCAAAGCTTCTTCACTAGAAAAACAAAGCTGAAGAAGTAGCATAAACGCTTCTTTGCGGGACTCAGGACTTTTGCATTTGGGTGGGATATTTTCAGCTAGATGGTTATTGGTAGGGATTTCAAATAGGCAGGAATGGAGTACCAAGTAAACTAAATCAGTGTTTATGTCCCCTTCAAATTTTTTAATACCGACTTTTAAGACCTTTAAAATTCCACATAAAATGTTGTCGATGTCTTTATGATGATTTATAATGAATTTTAGTAAAAATATATCAGGAAAATAAAAGGAGAATAAGGAGAAAACGGGATACTAGATTTTTCAGGCATTTTTTGTGTTAATACACTGATTAATTTTTGGTTGGATTCTCGCAGTTTTTCTGTTAAAGCTGCTTCTCTGACCATGTGGGCTAATAAATTCCAATAGTGTTCGCTCATTTCTGGGTGCTCAAATGCAGCATCTAACACCCCAAGCATAAGCTCTAATATAAATTCGCTTATTTGTGGATGATGAACTGAAAGCTCAAGCAATAAATTCATCATTGTAGACGTAAACAGCTTATTCTTACATATTAAAAGAGCATCATGCACAAGCTGTGGCATTTTTTGATGGTTTTTAATGGTCTCGATACATAAATTTGCATCTTTTTCTCCTAATAAACATATAAGTTTATTAGCGTTTCTAGCAATTGTGATTTGGTCCTCGTCGTTTTGGGCAGCTGTTGCTACTAGCAATAAAGAATCAAGGACTTTGCCAATAATTTGAGGAGTAGGTGCATCAGTTGATATAGTTTTTTTATGCTAATTAAACGGTGGATTTTAAAAAATAATTCCCTATTTTCTGATAAAATCAAAAATAATAGTCTATTTTCTAGCATTTAATTTACATTAATAATCATAAAGAAAAAAATTCTTGCAGGAGGTTTACTACAACTGAGTTAAATTTCAAAGCAAGGGTCGGGTTTTTCCCAATCGGCACTTCAATTTCCATATAAATAGAAATTAAATAAACAACCCCTCCTACATCAATGAATTTTTCAGCCCATTTTTCATCTTTTACTAGTTTTTCTATAATAAGTAAACAATAAAGCAGCTTATAAACAGAATTATGGTCTAATAACTGCGGCAAAGGTAACGTCAGCTCATTAAGCTGGTTTATAATTCTTTCATTTATAGGTAAGCTTGTCAATAGAGCCCAAGCTTGGTCGACGTAGTCTTGGTCAGGCTGTGACAAAAGCTGAAAAAGGGTATCAAGGACTTGCTGATGTTTCGCAAGTAGCTGTATTGGCGTAATTTCGTCCTTTTTCGGCTGCACAAAATCAACGACCACCAGTGTCGCTTTTAAAGAAGTCAGCGGCAAATCGTCGTCATAAGAGTCATATCTGACGTTTCCTATATTCATAACAATGCTTTGGGAGTGTTTTTTATATAATTCAGCTAATTTTCTCCTTAAAAATCCAAGGGTCAATCCACTATTAATATAAACTTTTTTATAGTCAGTTTCATTGGCAGCTTTTGCATAATAAAGCATGGTATTTCCGTTGGTAGGCTCATCTTTGGACGCAGAGTCCTCTAAAAAGGTCATCAAAATCTTTAAAATCCTTTTAATGATTTCTGAGTTGTTTTTATTATCGTCTATATACCGTAAGCAGCTGTCTACAAAACTGACCCAAATTTCTTCTTTCCTAGCAAAAAGCTGCTTTCCAAGCCTCATATTGAGATTTACTACAAGATAGGTGGTCTGGGTTATTATTTGAGGGTCCTGGGCTTTGAGAAGAATTTCCATTAATGCAGAAAGGCCTATTAAGTTTACATTAGTCCTCAGCTGAAGTGTAATCCCACGAGTTTCTATATTTCTTTCATTGGCGTTTACTACTAAAAATAATTTCTGAAAGCATTGGTAAGCTTCTATAGTAATTGTTTCTGGGATAAGCTGCTCAGGGTTACAAAAAAAATCCTCAAAAATTTCAGCCAATTTTGACTGGAAAATGTCCCTGCATACTTTTTGGAGCCACTTGAAAAACATTTTTTTGTCTTTCGGTGTCACTGGGTTTTTGACTAAAAACAGCCAAAGTTTGGCGAAATCTTCTATTGTGAGGGTAAAGGATTTTGATGATAAAACGTACTCTAAAAACTCGATTCTTTTTTTGATGTTTTCTTTGTGGGAATATTTCCCAATTATTTCTGGGAAAAAAGAAATAGGAAAATATAATGGAAAATTAATAGAAAAAATGATGGTTTTTATAATTAATTATAAGAGGGGTAATATTTCTTTTTCAGTGACTTGTCTGGTTTCTGCGATATTTGTGGCTTGGGCAATATAGTTTTCAAAGCTGCTGATAATTAGCTTGATGAGACCATCGACCTTAGAATCAAGCTTTTTGAGCTGCTCTTCTTTAGAATTAGCAGAGACTTTATAGATCGAGAAATTATCAAGAATTGACATTGACAGTTTTAATGACTGTGGAATTGAATGGCCTTCTTCTAGATTTTTTATGCAGAACTCAAGCCCTGACCATAGCTTATCTTTGCAAGCTGGGATTCTTATGATTTCTGAAATACAGTCAGTCGCTAGGTCATTAAAAGCCAAAGGACTGGTATCCAATATACATTTTTTCTATATATTCAAGAAAAAAAATTTTAATAAAATACCTATAAACAGCCCAATTTACCACAGTATAATAAATCATAAAAAATTGGGACAGCAAATTCATCTACCTCAATCCTCGCTTTATATGCAAAATCCATTGCCCTTATAGTAAAATCTTTAAGGACCTTCAAATATCTTTCATCATATTCATAGACTGGCTTTGTCTTCATTTTATCATATAAAAACAAATGGAAATCTTTTTTAATAAAAGGTGCAATTTCTACAATAGTTTGATAAGTCGCGATCACTAAAGAATCGTGCTTGTTTTGGGCAGAGCTCCACAAGAGTTCTAAATGCTCTTGTTTTAGTGCGTCAGATTTGCTTAAAAATATTAAAAGATCAGAAACTCTTTTTATCATCTCAATATGTGAATAATCCAGCACCTGCTCTATTATTTTTTCCCTTATAAGCCACTCTGACATAAGTGATGGTGTCAAATATCTTGTCCCTTTGGAATACCCCTGGACAAATACTCCTCTCTGCATGACTCTTTCAGCCATATCTTTAATTTCATTCAGCCCCTTAATCCTCTTCTCAAAATAAGGCGATTTCAAGCACTTTACCGCTATATCTAGCTCAGCCATTTCTATTAAATTTTTTTATATTATATACTTATTTTTTTATGTTTATTTATTTTTATATATAAATTTACTATAAATAGCCATAAATCCCAATAGTCATTTTTCCTATCAAATTCATTCATAAGCCTTCTAAATTTTATTAAAATATCAGAAATCACTTCTTTGTCCAAATCCTTAATATCTCTAGGGGTCATAGACTCCAGTCTCACCCCTAGCAGCAAATCCTTGAAATTCTGTACCCATTCATCTGCAAACCCTTTAGAAAAATATGAAAAAAGCTCATAAACTGGCAAATTCTGTATAAATTCAAACGGCATTTTTTTCTTTTCACTATATAAGTCTTACTCTTGCTCATTTAGCAGGCCTAAAATCGTTTGAAATCCTCCAATTTTTGCAAAATAATTCAGCACGTACAGCAGGCACAAATTTCCGCTTCCTTTTGTAGTGATTTCACTAGTCGGCTCATAGTCTTTTGGCCAGAACGAATAAGTCTTCATATACTTATTAGTCCTTTCATCAAGCCCAAAAATCCTTCCAAGCGTGCACAGCAGCTCTGGCCACGCCATAGCCAGTGCTACTGCATCATCAGTCAAAAACAGCCCTGGATTGGCGATTCCTTCATAGTAAAGTGGAAATAAATCTTTTGCATTTTTCATTCACAAGACAATATAATCAATTACAGTTGTAAAGTAGCTCATTGCTATATAAGGTTCGACTGATTTGTTCTTATAAGTGTGAGTAAGGAGGCAGTCAACTAGTGTAAACATTCTGCCTCGGAGGAACTGTGTGGTCTCATAAGGATCTCCAGTTCTCAAGCTGCCTTGCATAAGGTCTTTTAGCTGCTTGTCCATTTCTTCGACTTCTTGCTGGGAGAAATTTCAGTAGCGGATTGCTTGCTTTTTTTGTCCTGTGTAGTTTCTGCTGAATTTTCTGAATGGGGCAATTTTATTTGAGGAAACTGGAAACGTGACATCCCATTTATCGCTTCAGCCGTCGTAGCGGACTTTGAGAGAACTTTCGTTAGGAGATATTTCGATCACTTTGGTCACACACCAGATGTTCATGGTATCTCTGGCATCTATGAACCCACCTAGTCTATAAAAACTCTTTTCTAAGGACTGGCCAGCCATTTACAATTATTAGAAGTTTAAATCTATGTAGTTCAGCATATAATTTCACTGTTAGGCTGTTACTTAGGCATATTTATGAGATAGGGACTTCAGCAGGTTGGGTTTCCCTATTGCACATCTGGCACTCCCCAGCCTTTTTGCAGTCTTCTTTAATGCAGTCGAAAATATAGCCTTTGCAGCACTCACATCCCATAGATGCAGGGTACCACTGCTGCCTTCTTTCGATTTCTTTTTGTAAATCTTCATCACTTGAGTGCATATATGGGCAAATTGCTCTAATTAAGCAGTTTCCAGTTTCCTTGAGAAATGGACACATCATGCTTTCTTCGTGCGCTTCAGGCCCTGCTTCGAAATTCATCATTTCTTTAATCAAGTAATCGATCTGATCAATATCATCTTCTACCTCATGCTGGATTTTTGCTTCTTTTTCTTCTTCCACGTCATCTTTGATATCCTGATACCCAAACTCATAAGCTTCTTGAGGGAGCTCGGGCTGTTCTTGAAAAATCGCTGGACTTGTTAAATACCTATAGAGGTATTCTTGGTTCATCCACTGGCTTTTTGTCAATGTAACATATATTGAAAATGCTGGAGCTTCATGAGAAAACTGACAATAAGGATTTTGGCATTGGAAATCTGTGAATACTGTGCTGCAGATAGGCCTGTTGGTAGCGTCAAAAAATCATTCCACGAGTTCAGGATAGTTTTCCATAATGATTATATGCGAATTACTTGCTCCCCCTCTTTAAATTGGAACAAAATATAGGTAAAATTTCCATTAGCCCCCTTTAAATTGGGAAAAATTCAATTTTATAATAAAAAATTTTATAGATAAAATCATAATTTTTATGCAATAAGTTTTGATATAAGTTAAATGTTTCTTCTTAACTAAAATTAAAAATTTAGTTATATCTTGCTCTTGTATTTTGAAGAGAGCATAAAGAGAATCTTATTTAAATAAATTTGTTATCCTTAATTGCTACATTTTTAATTTTATTTTTTTAGATTAAAATAATATTTTTTTTATTTAAATAACTTTGATATAAATTCAATGCGAAAATTAAAAATTTAGTTATTTCTTGCTTTATTTTAAAGAATAGATCATAAACAGTATCTTATTTAACAAATTAGCACTTTGATCGATAAATTTTCTAAAAATTTCTTTTTTAATTTATTTTTTTATCAATAAAAATAATAATTTTTGTGTGAATAGTTTTGATACCAATTAATAGTGACGCATTAACTAATAATGAACATTTAGTTATTTCTTGCTTTGTTTTAAAGGATAAAGAATAAATAGCATTTTATAAAAAAAATTTTCTTAACCCCCCTTTAAATTGGGACAAAATGTTTTGTTCAAATTTAAAGGGGGGGAGTTAATTAATTAAGCTGATAAGCCGTCTGTCTTGGCCATGTGGACAGCAAGGTCAACCATTCTGTTAGAATATCCCCACTCGTTATCGTACCATGCAATTAATTTCATGAAAGTCTTGTTAAGGGCAATTCCAGCCTTGACGTCAAAAATACATGAGTGACTGTCATGGATAAAGTCAGAAGAGACCACTTCTTCGTCAATTACTCCGAGAATTCCTGCCATAGGTCCTTCAGCGGCTGCTCTAAGAGCACCGACCACTTCTGCATAGGTTGCTTCCCTTGCCAGCTTGACAGTGAGATCTACAACTGAGACGTCTGGGTTAGAAACTCTGAAAGCCATCCCAGTAAGCTTGTTATTTAGCTCAGGGATCACTTTTCCGACTGCTTTTGCAGCTCCAGTGGTTGATGGGATAATGTTAACGCCTGCAGCTCTGCCAGCTCTCCAGTCTTTTCCTCCTTTTGAAGGTCCATCAACAGTAAGTTGAGTTGCAGTCATAGCGTGGACTGTGGTCATGAGCCCTTCTACAATGCCAAAGGAATCATTTACGACCTTGGCCAAAGGAGCCAAACAGTTGGTTGTGCATGAAGCATTGGACACTACGTGGAGCTCTGAATGGTAGCTTGTATGGTTAACCCCCATCACAAACATAGGAATGTCGTCCTTTGGAGGGGCTGAAAGGATAACTTTCTTAGCGCCAGCTTGGACATGGAGCATGCATTTGTCTAATTGAGTGAAAATTCCAGTGCATTCCAAAACGTAATCGACGCCGAGGGTGCCCCAAGGGAGACGAGTTGGCTCTTTTTCAGCAATTACAGTGATTTGATGCCCGTTAATGACAAGTTTGCCGTCTCTGCCTTCGACTGTGCCTGGGAATCTGCCATGGACGGAGTCGTATTTAAACTGGTAGACCATGTATTCAAGATCCATGAAAGGATCATTGATTGCAATTACTTCTACGTGAGGATTCTCAATTGCAGCTCTGGTGACGAGTCTTCCGATACGTCCGAAGCCATTGATACCAACCCTTACTCTTGCAGCCATTATTTATTATTAACCACGATTAAAATGCACACGATATGGGATAATATGAGAAATTTTATAAATCTGATAGAGGTTATGGGTAGTGGGAAGGGTTTCTAGGGGATTTGTGCTGAAAATAACACTTCTGCTTACTCTAATATGAGCAATTATTTTTTATTGAAATATTATAAAATTAAGATAATAGATTGTTTTAAATAAAACTGGAAAAATTATAATTTTTTATATTTTTGGGCCTAGCTCCCCTTTAAATTAGAACAATATGGGGTAAAATTTTTAATTTTTTGGTATATTTCGTGAGAAATATCGCTCAGATTTGACACTCTCCTCACCACGATTTCTTTTTAAATGAAACAGAAAAAAGAAAATGACAAGTTCATCATTCCTGCTACATATAAACTGAAACTGTTAAGGAGCGGGAGAGCGCAGTCAAAGTCAATATATGACCTGCTCGCGCTATAATTAGAAACCCCTTTAAATTATAACAAATTTTCATTTTTTCTTTGGAAAGTTCTATATATAAAAATAATAATTGCTGTGTAGTGTTTTAACTATAAATTTTGTGTTTTAAAAGAAATTCCTCTTTATGTTGGCAAATTTTGGTTTTAATTTAAATAGGAGGAATAAGAAAAATTAAGAGGGGTTCCTTTTAAAGAAATTGCATGAAACTCTTGCTCAATGCTAAATTTATAAAGATGCTGTAGAAGATTATTAAAATCACCAAATGGTCGAAGATTTTTGCGTAATTCGCAGTCTTTAAGTGGTTATTTGCATATTCTGTTTAAAAACAAATTCTGGAAAATGGCTTTTAGGAATAAGTATAGACTTGTAAAAAATCTTAAAATAGTTGGCATGACTGGAATCAGATAGATATAAGATTGTTGCTTTTTCCTGAATGCTAATATAGAAGAGTAATATTCAGTTTATTCGATATTTACACATTGAAAATAATATTTTTTCATACCTAAATTTTTATAAGCTAGCATGTAATTACTTTTGCGAGAAATATAAGGGCAATGTCTAGACCATATTACTTACTTGAAAGCGTGTGAATTTTTGTAGTATAGCCTGAGCGCCTTTATGGCTTAGGCTTCCAAATCTTTCTTGTGGAAGGATGGAGTTAGTCTAGCCAACTAATGTTGGTTAAATCAACTCCCCAAATAGCATCATGTGGCTCTGTCAATTGGGGAGTTGGGTCAATCAATTTTAGTTGGTTAGACCAGTTCCATCTTTCCTGTCAGGAGCCCAAGTCAAAAAGCTTCTTGGAATATAATAAAATATTAAGGTAAAACCATTTTTTAGTCTAAATCAATAATGCCTTATGTTTAAAGGGAGATAGCTAATACAGCGTAATTTTAATAATTCTAGTTAATTAAAGCTTTATAAATTACTATTTCCTTATTTTGATTTTTTTAATTTTCTTTTTAGATTTTCATAGTTAAATTTTTTTACTTCACCTTTAAATTAAACAGTATATCGGTAAATTTTTTAGAATATGCTTTTTTGAATGGAAAATTATATATATGAAAATATAATTTTATAAAATAATTTTTACATAATATAATTTATTAAACAGCTTTCACACTCATTTTAATAAATGGATTGCTAAAATACGGATAATATTTTTTTTAAAAAAAAAAAACTTTTAAATTAGAACAGAATTTTTTAAATTTAAAAGGGGTAAGGCTAAATATTTTAGAGTAAATGCTTATAATTGTTGAAAAGCACTGAATGGCACATTAAAAAATTCAAAATTAGCTTACTCCCTATTCTTCCGTGAGTAAACAAAAAAATTTTGTTCGTTAATGGAGGGGATTTTTCTTTTTTAAATAATTTATATATAAATTTTATAGAATTTTTTTTTATAAAATTAAAAAAATCCTAACTCGCAAAAATTAAAAATCAAATATTTAATTTAATTTGTAAAATTTATATGTTTTAAAATGCAACTTACTCAAAAGTAAGTAGAATTAGCTAGAGATTTCATTATACTAATTATCACTTATATTTAATTTTTTTTTTTTAAAAAATATTTTTGTTCGCTTCTAGAGGGTTTTTGGCAGAAAATAGGGATTTTCCAATGATTTTGTTCGGTCACGTTAGTTATCGCAAATAAAAATGTCCACTAATTTTCATCATAAAATTTTATATAATAAAAAAATTATTCAATTTTATAATAACTTAATTTTTATTCTTTGCAATAATTTATTAATTTTCACTAAATTAAATTATCAGTTACTTAACTGAAAGAATGATATATTGAGAGTAGATTACCAATTTAAATGATTCAAAAGTTCAGTTCTCACTTAGAAAATCTTAAAAAAACATTATAAAATATAAGCTATTCTAAGAAAATCAGGATTGCTTTTAAAATTCAAATTTTATCAAAATAGTGATATCAGATCTAATAAGGCTAAAATATATCCTTATTAAATCAATACCCAACAATAAAAAATCACAAAAAAATAAATTAATTCTTCAATGTCAGGTATAAATTACTGACTCACTTTACCTCATATTGAAATTTCGGAGAATTAGTTAACTAGATAAAATGGAGAAGCCGAAATTCCCATATAATACTTCATCAATAGTAGCAGACCTTCTTATGACCTGGTCGTTTCCGATGATTGCGAAGTATCAAAAACTTGAAGTCAACCCTTCAACACTCATGGATATTCCTGCTAATCTCAGCCTCGACTCCTTATATGAAAAGTTCTCCCGGAAGTGGAAAGATGAATTGTTAAAAAATCCCAAACCCAATTTATTCTATTTTATTTATTTTTTACTAATTTTAATATATATAAAACTAATATAATATTTATTAAATACTGAATACTTGCTCTCCTGGTCTTGAAAGAACGCTATATATATTCAAGCTTGAAATCCGCCCACCCCAAGTCCAGCTACTTATCTTTGATAGTAATATATCTGAAAAAAAAAATGCAACATAATCGGTATTCAACAATTCTAATAAAATTTTTAGCATATTTGATTATATATATCTTTTGTGGATGGTGATAAAATATCTCGCATATATAAAGTTAATAAAATGTTATAATAATTTTTTCCAGAATTTTTTTAATCCTTATTATTCATCGAGCGATAGTGATTAGTTCGATTAAGGATAAGCACTTAGAGTCCTTTATAAGATTTTCGGCTGGGAGTACTTTTTTTGCATACTCCCTATGGTATTTAGCTATATTTTTCTTCTTTGCCAATCAGTTCTGGTCATGTTTTCTATACGGTATATGAACTCTGATGACGTTGATGATTATCAAGGTGCCCTGTTAATTCTCGGCTTTGCTGGCTTGATGATAATAGGGAGTCTTTGCAACAATCTCTCAGGATTAAGAATTGTCCTTCTAATTGGGAGATTAAAAAATATGATTTTTATATATAAATGGCTGGGAATTTATAGAAAATCTGCAAAATAAATATTTATTAAGGGATAGAATACACTTTCACGCGCAGTGGCCAATAAAATTCTCGATATAAAACTTACAGAATTTCAAGGAAACAATAAAGGAAAAGTCATAAATTTGATATCAACTGACATGGAGCTCCTTGAACTTTTTATCACTTCAACTTGGATGTGGGTTTTGCCTATCTAGTTAAATTAAAAATGGTTAATTATGAAACTCTGAAGGGTGAAAGAGCTTGCTAGCATTAATAGCGTATTTTAGAAAAGAAAAAATAGCATGCTTATGGCTGCAAAAAATTTAAAAGCTGCAAATTTCAGAAAAAAATAATTTAATTTGCCTATTTATTTAGCAGGTGCCTTTATTGTCCTTGGAGTCGTAATGGGACCTGCAGGAGTGATAGGCTTGATCGTCTCAACTCTTCATGTGCCACTTATTCTTTGACTAAGTAAGTATACTATTTGAAATTAATTTTACCTACAATATAAGCATTCTTATTTTACATGGCCAATCACATTACTAATAATAATTATATTATACCTTAAATTTTCATTTTCCAAGCCATTTTTCTTATATTTTTCATTATAAGTAAGAATATGTATTGAGAATAAAAATATCTCTGACACAAATAAGTGACATGAGAATTAAAACGATCAGCAATTTAATTGAAGGGATCAGAATTGTGAAACTTTACGGCTGGGAAGAACCTTTTATTAAATACCTTTGTGAGTATAAGAAACAAGAGTTCAAAAAGTTTATGTCGTCTGGATTTATCAATGGATGCTTAAAAGTCCTTATTTTTAGTGGGACGGGGATTACAATATTTACGATGCTGGCACTTTATAATGCTTTTGGGCATACGATAAAAACTGAAATTGTGTATTTATGCTGCGTTAAGCAAGCATGCTTTTGTTTGGTTTAACTTCCCCTTTGAATTAGAAGAAAATAGATATTTTCTACTTTAAAAGTGTTAATTTTTTTTAAAATAACTATGTTTTTCATAAAAAATTAATTATAAAAGTTATCAGTTTTTAAATATTATTCTAATTATAACCCCTTTTGATTAGAATTGATTGTAGGTAAATTTACGATTTCAGCGACAAAAAATTTTGTCTATATAAATTACTATTTACCTAAAACATATCCAGCTACCCAATAAAGGAATTTACCGATATTTGGTTCCAATTTAAAGGAGGAGTAATGTAAAATTTAATATAAACTCATTTTTAAAGTATTTTCCTCACAATAAATTCTATTAATTCAATTGAAAGGTATAGGTTTTTTCAATTTTATTCCAAACCCAATACTCGGTTGATACAGTTATAACAGGAGCGAGGACTACCCTTCTCCTATTAACCGCTATCAAGCGATGCAACCAATGCTTACTGATCCCTGAAAAATCCCATATTCCAATAGAAGAGTCTCAAAAAAGGCCTGTAAGAGTTAACCATGCCTATTTTTCATGGCAAGATATAGCACCAGCTAATAGCAAAACTGACAGTAACTTATTAGAGGATAATGCCAATGAAATTTGCTTAAATGATGTCAATTTCAAGCTGAAAAGTGGAGAATTATTATTCTTTTTGCAATAAATAGATATAAAAAATAGCATAGCTTAGCCTTTCGTTATATATTACAATTAGTATAGTCGTCGTTGGACCTGTAGGAGCCGGAAAAAGTTCTTTACTAATGGGACTTTTAGGTGAAATAAACATCGTCCAAGGAGACTATCAACTAAATCATACTGTAGCCTATGCCTCAGATGAGCCTTGGCTGGTCGCTGGGAGCATCAAAGAAAATATTCTTATGGGCTTAGAATATGATGAAAATGTATATAATGAAACTGTAGCAGCTTGTGCACTCGCCAAAGATTTTCAGTTATTTGAAGCTGGGGATGAAACTTTAGTTGGAGATCGTGGAATCACTCTAAATCACCCTTTAATAATTAGCAAGGATTATAAATATTATTGCTATTATTTAAGATATCTTTTAGCAATTATAAATAAAACATTGACTAATTTTGTGTTTTTTCATTATCTTAGTGCATTATTTTGAAAAATAATATTTTTTAATAAAGGATAAAAAACGTGTTGTTATTAAATAGCTAGAGTAAGTGGAGGCCAAAAAGCAAGAATTTCATTAGCAAGAGCTGTCTATTCACAGAAAGAAATACTCTTCCTTGACGATCCACTAAGCGCCGTTGATGCTGAAGTCAGTGGAATTCTGTTTAATGAATGCATAAAAAAGGCATTAAAAGGAAAAACTGTCATTTTAGTCACTCACCAAGTCAATATCCTTTCTCAAGCCGATAAAATTTTAGTTTTAGACGCCGGCTCTCAGATTTTCTTTGGAAAATATGAAAAATTTTTGCAAAGTCCTGCTGCACTCGCAGTTATTGGAGAAATTGGCTTTGAAAAGCATAAAACTCATACTGGACAAGAGACTGAAAAAAAGGTTGGAGAAACTGAAAAAGTTTTCGCTAAATTTTCTCGCCATTTTTTTAAAACAAATATTTTAATAAATTTTATTGCAGAAAATTAATTTTTAAAATAATTTTGGATTAAGCAAAAAATTGATGAGGAAGAAATTGTAAAAACAGTCAAAGCCTCCACAATTTATTGGCGATATTTCAAATATGGATTTAAATGGACCATTGTCCTAATCTTTATAATCCTTGTGCTTCTCTTTTCCCAAGCTTCTTATCTCAGTATAGTTTATTGGCCATCATACTGGTCTCGCCAAAGTTCAGATGAGCAAGACGAGTCTTATTATTTGTGGATGTTCGGTATATTAGTCGGAGTTCTGTATATTGCAGGCATTTTTAGGATTTTTTCAGTCATAATGCTATGCAATTATGCCAACAGGGATCTTCATAACGCGGCTGTAAGAGGAATCACTGAGACACCAACTGTTTTTTTCGATAAAAACCCAACTGGTCGTATAATCAATAGGTTTACGAAAGATGTGGGGATTATTGACGAGCCTATGACACATATGATTTTGCTTGGAAGCGATAGGTCATTGTTTATCCTTGGCTCAGTTGTTATGATGTGTGTCGTAAATCCTTATTTGATAGCATTTTTCCCTATATGGATAATAGTGGCAATTTGTGTATTTAAGTACACACTGTCTATAACTAAAGGATTTAGAAGCCTTGAATTGGTATCTAGGAGTCCTTTAATGGTTTTAATAAAATTTACTAGAGAAATTATCAAAAAAAAATTTTTTTTATAAGAAAATATTAATTAGTCCTATAATAACTTGTATAAACGCAATGATAAACGGCTTATCCACTATCAGAAGTATGGATATGCAGGAAAACTTTAAAAAACTTATAAATGGACTGATAGTAGAAAATTATAAATCGTATATTGGCTATCATATGTTCCTCAGATTTTCGCAGCTATATGTTGATTTAGGCTGCGTTCTATTGACTATTGCTAATGTCTCTCTTATTATCGGTACAAAAGGGAGCCTAAATCCTAGTTTGGCAGGAGTCAGTCTATCCTTGACCTGTGGACTTTTAGGAAACTCTTCAGTTTGGACTAAAACTATGGTCGAAATCAGCAACTTAATGGCCTCAGCCCAGCGGCTTCTTGAGTATGCTGATCTGAAGCCTGAAGGAGCCTATGAAACAGCCAATAAATTTGCTATAACAAAAGGAAAAATACAATTTGACAATGTTTTTATGAAATATCGAGAAAACTTTGATTATGCCCTAAAAGGCCTTTCTTTTACAATAGAGCCTGGCCTTAAGGTTGGAGTTGTGGGGAGAACCGGCGCTGGGAAGTCCTCAATTTTACAAGTTTTATTTAGACTGGTAAATCCTGCTCAAGGGACTATATATATAGATGACCAAGACTATTTAGTAGCTGGCCTTCACCAATTGAGAAAACAGATGTCAGTGATTCCTCAGCAGGCTATTATTTTTAATGCAACTTTTAGGGACAATTTAGACCCATTCCATGAGCATAGCACTGACGAAATTTTGGCAGCTCTTAATGAAGTAAATCTTAGCGGTATAGTAAGTTCATTATCAAATGGCTTAGAAACCTATATAAGAGGGGAAGGCATAAATTTATCATCAGGTCAAAAACAATTAGTATGCTTAGCCAGAGCCATTTTGAGGAAAAATAAAGTGGTAATGATGGATGAAGCCACGGCAAATGTAGACAATGAGACTGATAATATGATAAACTCTATAGTAAAAACCAAATTTGAAGGCTGTACACTTTTAATTATTGCCCATAGGCTGAGGACTATTATTGACAGTGACAAAATTCTGGTAGTTTCTGAAGGAATCTGCAAAGAAGAAGGCAAACCAGCTGATCTCGCAGCCCAGGAAGACTCATTTTTCAGAAAAATGATCGACCATACAGGCGTTGAGGAGTCAAAATATCTGCTTAATAAACTCAGCATATTCTAAAGATTTTTATAAAATTAATTTCTTGAATAACTACAAATGTTGCATATATTTTCATTGGCCAGGTTCAGTTTTCCACATCTTTGGCATCGCCAATTTGTCTTTTTCATAGCATGCTGAATTAAATTTGTGGTAATATGAGAAATTTTAGGCTGAGGTGGCTCCATTGCAGGAGCATTTCGTTTTTTAGTGACTTTTAAATAGAGACCTTGCCCATTCATGGTATCTACAGCCCTTGCAAAATCTGCCTCAGTTTTTAATGGTCTTCAGAGTAGGGATTCTCCGTCATCTTCAAATTCAACAGTCAAATAATTTCAAGAGACTCCTAGCTCTCTGCTGACCCTTTGAGAAAGCTCGTGGATACTCCTTGGGAAATCTGAATAGCTTCTAGGGCCTTCTTCGTTGACATTTAGAATAAATGATAAATTTTCAATTGGACCTAATTTTTCGACCATTTTATGATTTATAGAAGCTAAGTTTTAAATAATTTTCATATGAGACTGCAGTTTATTTGTGGTGATTATGTCCTATGAAGAGAGATTCTCTTTTTGTAAGAAATTTTCAACACTGGGAGTTGCGCGAGTATGGAGTCATTGAATTTGGGATGCTTTAAGCTGAATAAGCTTCTGATTATTCTTTTTATTAAACTATAGTGACTGATTTGCATATCCTTCAAAAAAATTAATCCAAAATTAATATATCTTTATTTCTCTATCATTTACAAGATATTCTCCTAAAAGAAATTTAGTTATGATCATAAAAATATATCCCAAAATCCTCCTAATCCCCTTCTATTTTCCGCTCATTTATTTCTCACTACCCCAAACTCCCCTTTCTCTTCCCTATTACTAATTTCCTAAAAATTATCCTATTAGCTTATTTTCATCATAGCCTAATAAAAAGGGATGGAGGACTTAACCTACAAAGCCAAACTCGCTGAACAGGCTGAGAGATACGACGACATGATTAACATCATGAAAAACGTTATCAACCAAGCCACTGAGCTCAACGTGGACCAAAGAAACCTCCTAAGTGTCGGCTACAAAAACATTGTCGGTGTCCGCAGGACCGCATGGCGAACAATTTCTGCATTAGAAGCCAAAGAAGACTCTCGCGGAAACGCCAAAAGAGTGGAACTTGCCCGTGCTTACCGTCTGAAAATTGAAGAAGAGCTGAACAAATCTTGTCAAGAGATTCTTGATGAGATTACACTGATCCTCAATAAAAAGCAAAATTCCAAAGAAGCCCAGGTCTTCTTTTTAAAGATGCAAGGAGATTACTATAGATATATGGCTGAGTACCAGACCTCAGAAGTCAATAGAGCTAGGTATGGAAACGCTGCAGCTGAGAACGCTGCGAGAGTTTACCAGCAGGCATTGGACCTTGCAACTGCTGAGTTGCCACCTACTCACCCAATTAGGTTAGGATTGGCTTTAAATTATTCAGTGTTTTTCTATGAAGTCAAAGAACAGCCAAACGAAGCATGTAATATGGCAAGAAATGCATTCGACCAAGCCATTGCAGAGCTCGACAACTTAGACGAAGACCAATATAAAGACAGCACCACCATCATGCAGCTCATCAGAGATAACTTGACACTTTGGACTTCTGAAATGCAAGAAGAGCCAAAAGACAACGCTCAAGTAGAAGACCTCTAACTAAGAAATTTAACAGCAGGATTTTTTAAATGGTTTTTATTAATTTTCGTTCAAAATCAGCCATTCTGATAATGCAAAATCTATATAAATTCCTTTGTGATTTATTTTTATAATAAAATGCAAGACGAAGGACACGAGTAATTTTTATGAAGATTTTCGTCACTATTAGACGACATAGAAAGCCAAAATATAGCCCCGATACAAGAAAGTTATCAGCAAATCCTTAACAAATTTGGGAGTGTAGGGATCCGGGCCTGAAAAAATATTTTAAATGATTTAAGCATACAATACAGCATTGATTTGAGCCCTATATTGAATGAGCTGAAATCTCAAAGCAATGATGAGTATTTTTTATGTAGTCATTTTCCAATTGAAAATATATTGGAAATAATCAAAAATTATTGTAAAGCAAAATTAATGGAACAGCCGAAACGGTCACCTCCGAAGATTGGAAGTAGAAGCAGCATAAGAAAAGCTAGCGAAAGATATGGTGAATGGTAATATTTAATATAAAATATTTTATAAAAATATTTATTAATTATAGAAAATAGGTATTGAATTTTTATTTTTTAATTTTTTTTTTAATTTAAATAATTTATATTGAGTCTGACATTGATGAGAAATTTGCATTGGAAAACCCTGAATTTCAGAATAAAAAGAATTTTGATGAGTTTGTTAGAAGACTTAATTTGAATAAAGCTTGGCTAGGCAGCACATTAAGCACGATAAGTCTATATGAATTATTTGATGAGCTTCTTGCTAAATGCAAAGTAAATGCAACACTCAATCAAATAAAAGGCTTTAAGGAGCAGTTACAAAGCTATATAAAAAAAGAAAACCCATCATTTGACTATGAGCCGTTTATTATGCCAGAAATCGACAAAATGCTTGAAAATGAAGAAAAAGATACAAATGAGAAGCCAAAAATTGACCAAGTTTCTCTAGAAGACTTTATAAAATTGATTAAAAACTGGTTTAAATTTGAAAACCCAGAACTATTACCATATCAAAAAAATCCTTCAACTAAGCAAAGTTTACAGCCTAGTTTTGTCTCAAAATTTTCAGAAATCAGCCTTACTCCTATGAATAATTCTCAAAATACAACCCAGCCATTAGATTTCCAGCAGAAACTTATCCAGACAATTTCTGAATACGAAATGATCAGAGCCCAAAAATTGCAAAATAATGAGGACGTCTCAATTATTGATAATCTAATTGGAACTTTAAAAAATCAGCTTAAAAAAGCTCCAAGTACTTCAAAATCAAAAAAAGAAAAAACTTTTGAAGAACGCTGTCTAAGTGGTCTCCATGAAATTTTTTCCTACTATGCTGTCCAGCAGAAACTTCTAGGAAAAACCCCAACTTTTGACGCAATTCAAAAAAATTCTGAAACACTTAATATAGGGAAATATTTAAAATTTTGTAGAGATTTTGGGCTTATCGATAAACATCGCTCGTCAGAAAAAAAGTTTATAACCCAACAAACAGCACAAAAAATTTTTGCAAAATACTCGGTTTTGCAAAAAGAGATGGATGAAGCTATAACATATTTATTGATTAAAAAAATATTTTTATTATTTTTGATTATATAATAAAGTATGCCAATCAAGCTAAAAAGAATAATTTTATCCAATCTTTAATGCTAATGGCACAATTTTATTTTGATGCAGAGTATGATAAAATTTATGGGACAGATTATAAGTCTCTTACCCCAGATGAAAAGAAAATCCAATTTTTCGAGCTCATTGGCTGCCATGACGCTCAGATTTTTTCTCAAAGATTAAAAGGGTTTATAAGGCCTTTTGACTCTGAAGTACCCTCAAGGCTGCCAGAAAATGATATAAGCAAAAGATATAAGTTTCAACCTGTGAAAACTCAGCAGCAAAAACAAATGGTTGAGGAATGAAAAAAACAAAAAGACACTGAAAGGAAGCAGCAGCAATCCTCTATAATGGAAAAATCTACACGTATAAAAATTTCGTCCTGTGAGCCAGCGCCTGCAGATGCTATTGCGACAGTCCACCAAATTCCTGCACCTGAAGGGTATAGGGCCTTCCTATAGATGGCGCGCAATGCGCCATCACCGAGCCATGTCGGAGAGAGGTTCCACACGAGGAATGGTTCTACGTGTGGAACCCTCTCCCGACATGGCTCGGTGATGGCGCATTGCGCGCCATCTATAGGAAGCCCTATATAAAAACAAAATGATGAAAAAAAATGAAACTGTTACATGAAAAGGGTTAGGGGAAATGACTGTAAATGATTTATTAAAATGGTGCAATTTTTTAGTCAAAGAATTGGTTTTTTTATACATTATAAGGCTTTTTTCATTGAAAAAATCTTTTTCCAAATAAAAAGCATCATCAAGCTATTAAAAGATGAAGAATTCAATTATGACACATTAATTGCTGACAGCAATGACAGCGGTGATGAGTTTCTAAAAAAGCAATACCCCCTGCCAAAATCTCAATCCCAAGCAGTCCTTGAAATAAATCCAAAAATATCATACAAAAAAGAAGTTCTCCAAAACCATAACGAAGCACGGCATTTAAAAAGCCTGACAAATAAGACACTTCAAAGAGCTGATGAACTGTTAGAAGCAGCCAGAAAATCTGAAGATAGTCGGATACAGCGAGGGTTAAAATTAGTTGATGCAAGAATGAACCGAATGAACCAATACGCTGCTAAATTAAGAAAGGGTAATTAATACTTTAATTAAACTATCTATATAAAAACTAAAAATTTCTAAAACTCAAAGAAATTTAAATTTTGGAATTTTTAATTGTTGGATGATAAAAAATTGTGATCATAAAAATGGATGATTGGTGTATATGGATATATTTAATTGAAATTCTGATAAATAATCCGATATATAGAAGAAATATGAATAAAAAAATATTTTTTATTAATTAATTTTTTAAAAAAATGATAGGGAAATGGTATAAATGGGCCTGTGTATGACCAAGTCGATCACTTCTGGAAAGGTCAAAATAAGTGAGATAAAAAAAACTTACAGATTGTCAGATAAAGACAAAAAGAAACTTTGGAAACGGAAATCGATAAACGCACCTCAACTTGTAATTAGTAACAACCTCTTGTATAAAAGAAGGATGCTACAAATTGAAAAAGTACAGACACAAGCGCTGATGACAGCTTGTGACAGTAATTCTTGTTCAGCAATTGCGTGCAGCTGTATACAGTGCAATGAGCTGAACTTAGTTAAGTTAAGCTAAAAGTTATGCTGGCTGTAAGTGGTAAACCTATAGTTGTCGCCCACCTTGGTTCCAAAAGGTCGCTCTTTTGGATTTCAGATAAAAGCAGCTGATCCAAGGATTAGCTTCCTAGGCGGAGCCACAGCTGTCTGTGAGTACCTGATGAGGAAAAATGAGGGAGTGCGCCTCGGAGTCCATTTCCGTCGACATATAATTTTATTTCCGAACTGAGTTAGGAATTAAATTAATTCTAAAATTTTGTTTAAAGCCTTCACTTTTTTGCTAAATTTTCAGGCTAAGTCGAAAAGGAACTTGCTATTAGAAATCTACAAGCAGCTTATCCTGGCTATATACATTAAAACGGCGACACGTGTGAATCTGCCCTCTTGGCGCAGCAGTCCAGACTTTATGGCTACGGCGACCTGGAACGGACTCCGAGCCGAGAATCTAGTGCAGGGTCAAGAGATGTGTATCCGGGTAGGTTTTGGCTGCTTTATTGTGGTTGGAAATTGAGATGCTCAACAAAGTCTTTTGGATCCGAGGACCCATGGGCATTCCTCTACTGAGAAGGTAGGTTTCGGTTCATGCAGCATGGAAGAGTCTTTTCCTGTAGCTGTCCAAGTAAGGCACTTTGGGACCCGAAAGACTCCAAGGAGTTGATCCTTAGAATTAAGCTACTCCAATCGCTCGTAGCAGGGCCGCAGAAATCCATAAGCCGCCCACTCAAGACTGAAGCCTAGAGAAAAGGAGGAGACAGAAGGTATCGGAAGTGTCACAGACCCTCTGGGCTGAAGTCGAAAAGCGGTAGAACCTCCGTAAGGAAGGTCTTTGGTGGCTGCGTCACCAATATAGCTAATGCCTGAATTTTAATAACCTTACCTAATCTAATTTGTGCTGGCTATAAATGACTGGCCGGCCATATTTTGTATACACATTTACAATTAATTTTTATTTTTTGAATAAACTTAGAAAGTCATAACTTTTGAGTAACCAGCATAGAAAATATTTTTAATTTAATTCAAATTGAAAATTATGAAGGAAATTTAAAAATATGGATTTTATGAGTAATGATATTTGCAAGAAATTTCGCTTAATCCTAATAAAAATGAAACCTTTTAAGCCTTATATAGACAAAAGCAATAAAATTTTAATAGAATCATACGGTATTGAAAGGAACTAGCAACTTATTTTAAAAATATATTATAGCTGGTTAGAATATACGAAAAAATATGCTAAAATGAATAAGATTAATAATTTCTAAGCCAAAAATAATTATCTTAAGACATAGAGATAGAAAAATAAGAAAGGATTTTATTACATAAATTTTTCCAAAACTTATAATAAATAATTATTATTAAGAAAAATTTAATAATTTAGTCTTTTAGAACTCATAACTAAATTAAATATAAACACGTCAGCTATTTTTCAAATATGGCTTATCCTAATCCCTGAGTCTCTCTGATATATAAATAATGGAAGATATAAATTTCGATACAGTGTTCGACAGTGTTCTCGATCAATATTTAAACCCAGACCTTGACCAAGCCTCAACAAATGTTTCCCCAATAGAAAATGATGGGATAAATTTTTTTAGAAAAAATTTTTTCTCTGTGTGTTGTTTACAATAAAAATAAATGATTCTTAAAAATAATAGCCAAGTATAATATATATAACTGTTTTTATTAAATTATTTAGGATATCATAAAATGAAGATCCTTACTTCAATTTGGATCCCATTCCCACAGATAATTCTCAAGATATATTTCTCTCAGAAAAAGATCCAAAAATCTTTTCTTCATAATTATTCATTAAATTATTACAGAGAAGCTCTTGGCCAGCAAATTGCTTTTCTTGTTCCTTGCTTCGCACTACCTCTATGCTTGCCCTGGTTCCACAGGCTAAGGCTTGTGCTGCTCCGGACGAGGGCTTGCACTCGTAATCAGGAGGTAAAGAAGCTTGGTCACCGTGCCATATGCTGACGGTTTACATTTTCCTAAATTTCAAAAAATATATTTTCTGGTCTGGCTATCGACAAAGATAAAGCTTGCAGCCTAGGGCACAACTCCCAGTGGAAAATGTCCGATTGGCCAAGCGAACGCCCTGGCCTTACTGGACTATCCCTTTCCAGCTTCCAAGTTTCATCCTCTTTCGGGGTAAAACCTTGCTCTGTATGTGAGCCTGCGGTGGTCAGCCTGGCATTGTGCTCCACCAGACCAAGTAAAACCCACTTTCCCTTCCACGAGGTCCTCAGACTCCCGTCTGGCTACAGATGTTAAGCGGGCAGGTTGGCTCTCCACCCCATTTTTATGTGTGTATTTTTTCTTCATCGCTTCTGCTGCAAAACTTCGACAATTCCGATTACATCCGATCAGAAATCTGCTCCTTGTGTGGGAAAAATCTTGTAAAATCAGAAGATGGCACCTGCAAAATTCCAAAAAAGCGAAAAAGGCTTGATGCCACCCCTTCTTGTGCATCTACTAAAGTATGCCTGGACTGCAAAAAGCTTGACATCAAAGACTTAAACAGCTACAAAAATGCTTCAAAAACCTCAAAAATGGTCATATACTCATCCCTATATATATCCCACCATTTTTATTTATTTTTCTCTAATATAACCATTTTCACTATTTCCATATAAAAAGAGAAAATGCTAAAAAGGCATTTTTACAAAAAAAGAGCGAGGAATTACAAAAATTGGAAGAAGAGGAAAAAATAATCCTTGAAAACAGCAAAAATTTGCCTATTGAAGAACAAAAAAGGCTGAAGCAAAAAATGAGGAATAGAGTCTCCGCACAAAGGAGTAGAGACAAGAAGAAAGAACTGCTGACACAGCTGATTGAAGAAAACGAGAATTTAAAATCAAAAAATAATGAGCTTAAAAGAAGGCTTATCGAAGCAGAAAATGAAAATGCTCATTTAAAGAAGCAGCTTTCACATGAGTATATTGGAGACTCAGGCAGCATGCCCAAGACAGCTAAGTACCTTTCTCTTGGATTTATTGCTGCTATATCAGTAATAATGATAGTGTCGACTTCTCAGCCACAAATGCAAGGGACTGAGCTCAAAGCTCTGCCTTCAAGAAAATTGATTGAAGTCCCAGCAATTCGTCAAAAAGGTGAGGTAAAAATTATTGATGAAGTAAGTATTTTTCCTGATAAAGATAAATACTTATAATTTTTATAGTAAATATATATTTATTAAATAACATTTTTTTAAAAATCATGTTTCAGCGTAGAAGAATACCTATAAGTGAGCTAAATGAGTATCGGCAGAACCGCATGGATATGTATGAAAACGTCCCAAGTTTCCGGTCATTTGAAGGTGCAAATGATCCTTGTGCTAGAAATATGATAAATCAAGTACGGGATGGGAAGTTCACTACTTTATTCTGCCCTAGTATCCAGGCATTTTGGGATCAAAGCCAAGAATCCCCAAATCTGCAATTTATCCAAATCGTGACCCCATTGGAAAGTATGTCAGGCTTAGCCCCAGCGACGCCAATAGATCCATCACAGGACTATATGTTAGAAATCATATGTAAAGTAACAGATGTCAAAGTCATGCCCGCGATATCTGCTACTATAGATCCATAAACTTATTGTAAATTCTAATTTTAATATACTTTTTACCTTAATTATTTTAAAATTTTTTGTAAAAACAAATAAGAAATTTTATCTATATAGTAAAGTATATCTAGTTAAGGATTAAGCACTTTTGAAGAGTAAAATCCCAATCGGTCCTATGTAAAAATAAATATAATTCCTTGCCTCAAATGTTACGTGGGCTCCAAAGTGCCTCCCCACAATGCAATGCCAATGAGGCTGGTACCTGTCTTCAAAAGTTTTCTTTATATGAGAAGCGATTTCTTTTTCAGTACTTTTCGCAGATATTGCATTGATGGCAGTCTCGATTGCAAAATCTTTCATTTCTGGCTCCATTTCGTCAATCTTGATAACTGCGCTAAGGTTTCCTGAAGTCATTTTTATTTATATCATATTTATCAATGCTTTTTAGTATATTAGATGAAAATTCATATTTTCTATATAAAATAAGTACAAAGATTTATATTTAATCAATTATTTAATAAATTGAGACTATATTTGTTTACAACTGTCCTATTTAATTTTATTGAAATATTTATTTAAGCCAGCTCATTGAAAATCCTCATAAAAGACTCCGCGCAAGAGACTGCTTCTGGTCTTCTCTCAGGATTTTCATCAAGAATTTTCATCAAAAGTTCAGCAATATTTTCATCAATTTCTGAAAAATCGCGGTTTTCTTTATAATGTTTTTGAGTCAAAATATAGTAGCATAAGCACCCATATGCATAAATATCACAATAAATATTTTTAACCCCTCTCAGAGCTTCTGGAGATGCATATAATGGCTCTTTATATGATCTCGGGCTGATATTTTCATATCCAATAATAGCGGAATTTTCTAAATCTCCAATTGCAAAGGTATTTTTTATTACTTTGAAAACACTCCATGGAGAAATGTTCAGTGATAAAATTTTCTTCATATGCATAAAGCTGAGCCCTAAGCCGAGCCCAATAATAATTTCTAGCTTGTCTTTAAGTGAAAATCTTAGCTTATTGAACACGTCAAATAAGCATGGGAATGAATCTAATACTAATGTTTCTTTTCCTTTGAAATTATAAAATATTGGATTATTTCTATGAATATTAGTCAGGGAAAAGTTTTAATTTGCCTAGAAAATAGATTTATGGTTATGTGATATAAGTTTTATTTAATATAATTAGATTAGACACCCCATAGCATCTTAATATATTTGAATGTGGCAAATGCATATGTAAAAACGCTTCTTTGGAAATTCCTTGTATTTTTACTGGATCTCTTGGGTGTTTTAAATGAACAAGCCTGCCTCCCATGTTGCCTTTATAAATAACTGAATATTGATCAGTATTTCTTACACGAAAAGGCTGATATTGAGATATCAGCTGTGGAGGAATTGAAAACCAAAAGCCTTCAGTCCAGTTCGGGATTGATTGAATTGTTGAAATTAAGAAATCTCTATTAAGTTCGTGCAATAACAGCTCGTAGTCTTCTGATGAAGAAAAGCTGACAGACTCCGCAGTAAACGAGGAATTAATTGTAAAAAGAAAATCAATAGAATCCCCTTCAATTTCAACTAAAATATCGTCGTAAGGAATTCTTGATAAGGCCAGTCTAGAATCTTTATATAGTTGTAATAGCAATTGTACTAAATCTCATTATTTTTAAGTATAAAATCTTAAAGTATTCTTTTGAGGATATTTACTATAAATAATAATGACAAAAATGGGAATAATTTAATAATATTTTTATATATAAGAGGAGTAAGCCAGACATGATTTCTTCTCGATGCTTGTGATAAATAATTGCAAGGGGAAATTCGAGGATCTTCCTTTTAGGCCGAATTTTGGAATTTGATTGAGGGTTGATGATAAGTGAAGCAGAGGGCTGTCTAATTGTATTTTTTTCAAGCTGATCTTCATATTCTTCTGTTTCTAAGTCAGAATCTCCTTCTGCAGGCTGATTTGGCTCTTTATCCTTACTTGGTAAGCTCTCACTTTGTAGATGTTTGTTTGACATTAATATAATAAAATTATCAAAAATAAAATTATTGTATAGTTTATACGCCTTAATAGATTTCTAAATAGGTGAGTTGAGATTGACAGTTGATTTGGCATTTATTGCCAAATAAGCTATAGCCATGACCAGTGTTTTTCATTGTTTTGGGCAGATAAAATTATTGATTTGACTGATTAATAGAAGTATCTGCTTTGTTTTGAGCCAACCATGACCAGTGAAGATTAAAGAAAATTAGTTTAAATTTAATTAAAAAAAGCCAAAGTGATGGAACTCTTAAAAAAATTGATAAGAAGAACCACAGGAATTAAGTCGAGATTTTTAAAATTTCAATTTTCTCTTATGCTCACGTCTATATCTTTATATATATTTTAACCAATTTTCTAGAGGGTTTCCATATAAATTACACCGTATGCATATCTGCTAAGTTTCTTGCTGCCTTAAAAAACTTACTCCCCCTCCTGTGTGAGCAGACAAAAAACTTTGTTCACTGACGGAGGTAGTCTAATTTTCTTAAAAAAAATTATATAGAAATTTTATAGGAAAAATTTTAAAAAATCTCAATTCACAAAAATTGGAAATTAAAAATATTATTTAAAATTTATGTTTTAAATTCCAAGTGGTTTAAAATTCAAATATATATATCAATTTTTTTATAATTTTTTTTTCGCTCACGAGGTAGGTTTTAACCCAAAAAAATAGTATTATTAATAGTTTTGTTATCTCAGGGAAGGGACTTAGCATTAAAGCCTGAATTATCTCAATGCCATATTTTATATGTTTCTTAAAGCTATAAAAAAAAAAAATTATAGAAATTTTGGTATGAAAATTAAGCCATAATCATACTTCTCTAAATGCTCATTTCTGTCTAAAAAGTCCTGCTACTCTTAATTTTGTTTAAAATTTATGTTCTTATATTAGCCTAGTACAATTTAATCATAAAAAAATTAAAATTTTATTATTTAATAAATCTATCAAATTATTATATTCAAAAAAGATGTATCTAAGAATTAAGTCAAATGCTTTAGTTTTAAATTTTTTAAAATACATTTACCTTTCATTATATGAAATTTGGTTCATACTAATTCATAATTAGTGTATTGCAGGATTAGATATTGCCATTTTCCCTTTTATTTATTTGTCAAATATGTTGAATTGGCAAAACCTGATCTAAAAATGGAACGAATATAACAAAATCCAGTGGCTCATGAGATAAGAATTAGTCAGATTTTATTGTTTTAATCGAAAATCATGATAAAGTATTTTTAAGAGTTCCATCATTTTGGCTTATTTTTAATTAAATTTAAACAACTTTACTTTAATCTTCACTCGTCATGGTAGATAACTTATTTGGCAATGAATGCCAAAGTACTTCGACTGTCTATATATCAACTCGCCTATATAGAAATCTATTAATGTATACCCTCCATAAAATAGGCTTCAATGATTGATAAAATTTTTCGGTCTCCTGCCAGCATTATTCTCTCTTTAAACAATAATATTTGAGAGAAATCACTAACTTCTCAATGGTTTTGCTACTTAATATAAAATAACGAAAATGAAGCATTATTAACAAAAAAAATTATGATTTAATAATTAAAATTACAAAATTTTAGATCTAATTTGAAGAATACATTTTTAAAAATTAGCCTCCATAGAAAAATGGTTAAATGCAGAGAAGATGAGTAAATTTTATCAAACCTAATCTCATTTATGGCTTCTTTATGATTTGGATATTGCTACTTTTATCTAATTAATTTATTTTCATATTTTGCTAATTGCTTTTAAGCTAATAATATAACTCTAAAACAAAATCTTATATAAATTCGACCTAAAGAACTGAAACAGTTTCTAAATACTATTAGAGTGTGAATTAATTTTATTTGAATCCATTTATTAATAAGTAGATGGCCTTAGCATAGCTTAAGCCTCGACAAATATGAGATAGAGATCTGCAAAATGTTATCTTTATTGGATTATTAATTTCAATGAAAACTGGCAAAAGCTTCTACACCAAAAAAGAGTATTATGCAAAAATTTAGATTCCTATCAATTACTAGAAAACAAGCAGTTACTTTGCTTGGATAAGGCTGAAAATGATCAATTTTTTAAACCTAAACCATGAATTTCAATATTTTACTCCATTTTTAGCACAAAATCCAGTTCCAACCCAAACCAATCAATCATCCAAAATTCCTTTAATTATATAAGCTCAGTAAAACCTTTAAACTATTTGATTTATTAGGAAAATATGGAGATTTTTAACGAAAAAGCAAATTCAATTTCCTTCGACAGGCGAGATCGCTCACGAACCCCTCTGCCTCCAAAATCAGCCACCCCAAAATTCCTCCCCTCTATAAAAAGAAAGCACAAGTCAACAGAAAGACCATCAAAGCATAAATCAGACAAAAAAGAAAAAAATTCAATATCACGTGAAGAGTCAGCATCAATAGGCCTAAAATATTATCGGCTCCCTTCTAACTACCCTAAGCATTTCGATACGTTTTCTGAGTACACTAACAAAGAAGGCAAACAAATTCCGCTACTGCACCGTGGAATTGTTGTGAAAACACTATATAATCTGCATAGAGATGTCCAGCCTATAGTTAACAAATTCAATCTCCATTATGCAGCTTTGAGCGAAAACCACCCAACTAAAGGAAAAGCTGCGTTTACAAATAGAATTCCATTAAAATTTTTTGGGCCGAATGCACATGCCCATCATATTTTAATTAGGATTAGACATCCCAGCTCACCTAATGACCCCAAAAAATTTTATAATAAATCAACTCTGCTTGCAATACTTTTCCATGAATTAGCGCATATAAGACACATGGACCATAAGCAGGATTTTATGCTATTAATTAGGGATATATATTCATATGCAAATAGGATTAATTTATTTCCGAAAGATGAAGAACATCAAATGCCAAGCTGCAGAGAATGGGAAAAATTAATATATAATTTCAAAGGCCGCGTTTCTGATGAAGTTTTGAATGACTTATATAAATCAAACGATGCAAGTTTTACAAATTAATTAAAAATGCTTATAAATATTACGGATTTTGAGAATAAAAATTTACTAAAAGTCTAGGACATTTGCGATTATTATTATAACTAAAATTTTAGTTGATAGTATTATAAATAATAAACCTGAGAAGCTCACTATAAGATTTATAATTAATTATGCACGAAAATTATTTAATTTGCCATTCATTAACAATTATTAATAGATTTTTGTGTATTCAATCGAAAAATTGCTGCTAAAACTCATTTTTTATATCTTTATTGATTTTTTGTATAATCATAATGGAAACACCAACAGATACTCTGGACGAAAAAATCAGAAAAATTATAAGTGAATACAGCTGCATACACTGTGGCAGCCCAATCAGCAAAAGTGCGCAGCATAGTGAGCTATATCGAACTTCCCCAGCCAAATTTAATTTCGCAGACCAAGCAGACTCAGTTAAAGACCAAGGCCAAAATGCTAGCTTAATAAAGCCATCTTCAGAGTCAAATTCTCTATTTTTAGAATCATTAGAAACCTTTGCTGCGTTAAAATCAAAACTTCCTCAGTCTTCTCAACCCCCAATAACTCCATGTGCAGGAGTCGTGATTCCTTTGAGATCAGGAGAAACAGTCATTTCGCATGGAGACGCGATCAAAAAATTCAAAGTAACTAGAGCTGTTCCTTTGAAGAAACATTCTGAAAGTAAAAAAACACAGCAGCAAAACTTGAAAAATGAACGAAAAATCAGCTTAAAACCAAAAAATGAGGCAAAAATTACCCCAAAAACTCCTCTTTCCAGCACAGGACCAATAAAGACTCCGCTAAAACCAAAAGAAATTTCCAGCCCAAAATCTCCTAACTCCCCCCCCCCTCCGTGAGTGAACAAAACCATTAGAAAAATCCCTATTTTTTGCCCAAAAACCCACCCTCCGTGAGTGAACAAAAATTTTTTTAATAGAAAAATGTTTTATGGAAAAAAATTTTGATATATATAAATGATAATTATTATAATGAAATCTAGAGCTAATTCTGTTTATTTTTAAACGAATTACTTTTTTAAAACATAAATTTTGCAAATTGAATTAATATTTGCTTTCCAATTTTGTTCACTCACGGAGGGGGGGAGTAAAGTAATAGAATTTTCCTTAAAAGAATATTTTGTGAGCAAAGACCTTTCCCCAACCCCATTATTAGATGTCCCTAAGCCATATCCCTATAAATCAGCTGACTTAGAGCAGCCATCTCCAACACCCCATAGAAATATCACAATAAATCTAGTAGAAAGCATAAAACAGTGAAACCCTTTAGACTCTCCTAAAACAGCTGATGCCTTAACAGCCAGGTCAGCTGCATCTCCTAATAACAAAAAATCCAGCTATAGAGCCTTATTAAGTAAATCCCACAGCACAAAATTTATTGACATAAAAAATCCTATAATTGAAAAAAGGAGGTTTTCCGAAGATAACGTAAAATCTAATAGTGATTTCGCCCCAAGACTTAAAAGAAAGCCATAATACATTAGGGAAGTCTATTATAAATATTTCATTTATATTTTAAGTATTTTTAGTCCTCTATTATAAGCTAGTGCAATCCAGTCTGGGTTTATATGTGACCTCTGCACATTGTTGATTTCTGATTCTATAGAATATGAATATATCGGGGACGAGCTTTGGCTTTGGCCTTTAATTTCCCATATAAGTGCCTGATGGTCATCACTGCCTGTAAGCAGCTGGTTTCCTGACACAGGTGACCAAGCAAGCGCATTTACACAGCTATTATGTCCTAACAGCTGAGTTACCGGCCCTGACAAATTTCGTATATCTAAAATCACGACTGTTGAAGAATCCATTACAATGGTCGCCAAATAATTCGGATCCAGCTTGCTCCACGCCAGTCTTAAACAAGGGTAAAAATCCTGCCGCTCATACAAAACAGTGCTGGACTCCAAATTTCTCAAATCAAACTGTCTAACAGACCCATCGCCTCCAGCTGTTGCAAAAATATTAACACCCTGGGCAAAAGCAATATCATAGGCTTCTTTGTCGTGGGCGATCATTTTGGCTCTGACTTCTTCACGCTCAATATCCCAAATTGCGCAGGTTGAGTCTATTGAAGAGGTCCCAATCATCGTCAAATCAGTAGAATTCCAGTCAAAACTGGTCAGAGGAGGTGGGAAATCTTTTTTAGATATATCCACAAGGGTGCTTTTTAAAGAAATTTCAGTTTCATGCTGCCATATCCTTAGACAATCACCAACAGACGCGAATAATTCTGAGTGAGCGCCAGATGTGTCAGGGCTAAATAGAATTTTGGTTTGTGGATAAGTGACCTCTTGTTGGGTTTTGCATTCGTAATTTTCTGAATTTTTGTCAATAATTTGGATTGAATTGTGCTGGGTTTCTGTGAAAGACCCAATCGCAAGCCTATAAGGGCTGCTAGGGGAGTTGGAGAAAGATAAAGAATAAACAGTTCAGGGAGTTGTGTAGTCATAGTTAAAAACCTCTTGAGGTGGGTCTGAAGACATTATTTAATTAAAATTACCTCTTTAATAGGATTTTTCATCACAATTCCTTCTTATATAAGTTTCGATGCTTTCAAGTGTTATAGAATTAAGCTTATTTGCGTCATAATGAGAGGTTTGGGAATGGAGTACTCTTAAAAGTGCTCTCTTGCAGGCGTCAATTCTCTCAATATCAAGAGAAATTTGGGTAAACAGTAGCTGGATTCACTGATTTCTGAAATTTAGTTGGTTGTATTGCTCAAGAGCACAAATTGTGCTTGATATCGCAATTTCTAAGGGTCTATATTGGGAGAGCTCATAGTTTCCATAGCAGACGCAGGCAAAAGCATCAAGGCGGTCATAGATCCTACAGAAGTCGTTGTCAAGGCCAGTTAGAATTAGCAGTCTTCGGGCAAGCTCTGAAGCTGTAGTTATGTTAAGCTTCCATTCAAGCTTATGCAAAATGAAGACTTCTGTCAGTTGTATTTCTGAAATTCTATGTCTGCTCCCTGCATGAGTTAAAGCATCCTGCAATGTGAGTTGTTTGCTTTCGTTAAATTTGATTGAGATCATTATTGTTACGATTCCAAGCAATTGCATAACGCTTTTTGCTGTTTTTACCTTAGAGAGAAATAAATCCATCAAAGTTATAGCAAACTGAATTGTTTCAACCCGTAAGTTCAAATCGTGAGACAGCTTGAACATCCATTGTACTAGCTTGTCCCGCATTCAGCCTTGAATTTCGTTGCCAGCAAGAAAATTTTCAAGGGGAGGCTTGTCTCTTTCTCTGCTAAGAAGAAAGTTCAGAGATTCAATGTTATTTTCAAATACTTGGTTACACTTTTTAGACATCTTCTATTTAATTGGAAGTAAAAAGTTTTTAGACTTTACACGCTCTTAAATTATTATAAATTTAAAGACAAATAGAGCAGTTTTATGAAATGGCAAAACAAAAATATAATCAATTTTTAGTTGCATAGCTAAAATTGATGAATTATAGCTGTTGCATAAATTAAGGTTATTGGTTAATATTAATCATTACGAAATTATTAAAATATTATGTTCTTCATTTTCCTTAGATTCCCAATTGAGGAGGCTTATATTTTTTGGTTATTATTAAATTTATATTATTTAAAGAGCTTATAATATGAAAATAATTATACAAGAGTAATCTTATACAATGTTTTTTAAATTCTATTAAATAGTTACTAATTATTTTAAGAAAAACATACGATTTGATCAAAAGGAGAGTAAGAGCAATTTTTAATCTAAAATAATCATTATTAGTAATGAAATGCTATAAAATAAAGCTAATTTAAATTTTGTTAATTTCTTTTATTCAAAGCTAAATCTATGCATTAAAATTAATTTCATTTCAATTTACTATGCATTAATTAATCAAAATAGGGTTTATTAATAAATTATTGAGCCTTAATTAATTTTTTTGGAACACTCACAGACCTAGGGCTATATTGTTGAAGCTTAATAAAATCAGACGAATCGTAGCATACTTTGCAATAAGTATAAGTAGGCTTCACAAGTACGTCACCTTTTATACTGCCAAAATCAATTTTCGACAAGCTCATATTGGGATCTGGCTCATGTCTCCACGAATTTTCTGCTGTTGGCTGGCTTCGCTCATCTTGTCTATTAATTTGGTTCCTCGGAGACATTTGCATTGCTTTTACCCAATTTCCGTCTGTAATTGGCCTATTATTTGCTGACTTGATATTGTATAAGGTCTCTTTATTATGATCAATAAATCTGACATCCAAATTTAGCGGGGAAAGAGTTTTTGGCCTTGAAATAGCAGTCTTTGTCATCGGTCTTTCATCAGCTTCATTGCTTGGATTCAATTGAAGCCTCATAAGCCTTTTTAACTCACCTTTTGGGCGTATATTCAAAACGTTTCTATGTAAAAATTTACAGCTTGTTTTCCAAATAATTTTTCATATAATCAAGCTCATCTCTAAGACTTTGATTGGTTTGTTCTAATAACTAATTAGGAAATACTGAAATTTTCTTAATTTCGTCTGGGTATCGCTTTATACCTCTGAGGCGATGCTTAGTAGGAGAAGATGTCTCAGTGCTAATATCAATTGATGGTAATGTGGTAGATAAGGTATTTTCATAAATATATGATCTGTCAGTGCCTATTTTTTGGCATCTTTTTCCATTACGTTCAGCAGGAATTTTAATTGGACTTATTTCTCTAACTCCTCCCCCCTCCGTGAGTGAACAAAACCATTAGAAAAATCCCTATTTTTTGCCCAAAAACCCACCCTCCGTGAGTGAACAAAAAATTTTTTTAATACAAAAATTTTTTATGTAAAAAAATTTTGATATATTAATGATAAATATTATAATGAAATCTAGAGCCAATTCTGTTTAATTTTAAACGAATTACTTTTTAAAACATAAATTTTATAAATTAAATTAATATTTGCTTTCCAATTTTTGCGAATTAGGATTTTTTTAAAATTAAAAAAAAAAAATATTTTATATAAAATTTATATATAAATTTTTTAAAAAAAGAAAAAGTTAACCCCCCTCCGTGAGTGAACAATTTTTTTGTTCACTCACAGAGGGGAGTAAGAATAAAAGTTTTTCCAGCTGTTTTTTTGAATTCTTGAGATATTTCATTTTGCGAGTTGCGGCGCTGTTCATAAAAATTTGAATTATTTACTGTCTGGATTGCTCTGGTAGCTAGATTTGGGAGAACCTTTATATGAGACTCTATTGCTTGATGAATTTGAGAATCAAGAGACATTTTAATTTAATTAAATAACAAAAAATTATGGTAGTGGGCCTAAATATCCAGGCTCTCCAGGTCTTAATCTGTGAGATTTGCTGTACTGTGGATCAAAAACTTGAAGATTAGGATACTTAATTTCTTGGCTCCCAGGCTCTTGTTTTATTGCTTCATAGCTCTGGTGTGATGGGTCAGTTGTATGCTGCACTTTTTCATATATGACATCTCCTTGTCTAATCAAAGCTGGCTCTATAGGCTTATCAAAAGACGCCTGAGGGATTTTGTCAGACTCTTGAAGGTTGCTTCCTAAATTCTGCTCATGCTGCGGCCTAGCTGGCGTACTTTGAATTTGTGTAAACCCCTGGTCATATTCAGGCTTAATATATCCAAATTGATAAAATCCTCCTTCAGCTGCTCCGTGTTGTAAATTAACTGGATAATACACAAATCTCAAAAATACCTGCCCAGCATTTTTTTCTTGAAAATTTATCGCAAACCATCCTTCAAAATTTTTCATAAGAAATATATTTGCGAGTGGGATTTTTGCGTTGCCGATTTCTTCATCACCTTTTATAGGTCTTCTGTCCCATATAGAAACTTCAAGAGAGTCCTCATTTGTTACCAAAAAATTAAATTGCTCTTTTCAATTAGGGAATTTTCCGGCATTTATATCAATATTTGAGCATAAAGTTTGTTTCCCGACTTTTATCATACAGTAAGGATCCATCGTGCCAAATGTTTCGACGTCTCTGACAAGCTTGGCGCTTGCAGGGTGTACTTACTTACTTACTTACATAGTCTTTAAGGTGTCTAGTGCCCACACCCCTTAATAAAAAAGGGTCAAAGCGACAACTAGTGACGTCACCAAGCCATCTTGGAATATGTGGTCAGCCCACACCCAAGCCTTCTATAAGGCTAATCGCCAGATAAATCGCCTCATCTCACCCGGTGCGTTGCCGTCGCTCGCTCCGACTCAGCTCCTGCGCGTGTTCCACCTAAGGGTCATCCTCCCGTGGGGATGCGCTGAGAGGTAAAACTCCTAGTGTCTTGAATGCACTGAGGAGCCGTGCCTTTGGTTATCCCCAAAGCTAAACGGCTGTTGCTGTGCAGAAGTTCTCAAGAGAAAACCCAACCCCATAAATAAAATTCCATGAGGGAGAGAAAATTGGCAGAGCCAATTTCTCTCGAACCGAATGCCATTTTATTTATGCTTGCAGGGTGTACAACTAAGATTCCTGATTGATTTGCCATTTTAATTAAAAAATTATGAGCCAACCAATTCATTTTTTTGTCAGATTTTTATTATATTATAGTTAAATTTCTATTTTTTAATAAATATAATTTTTTTTATTGATTTATTATAATAAAGGATAATTAAGCTATTAGTTAATCTGTTTTGCGCCTCTCAAATTTTAGAAGTGGATCTGTATACCTGCAGAGCTCAGGTAGATCTCCATTGGGACATCTTAAGCCTGAAATAAAACGACCAGCTGAAATCAGCCCTATTGAGAGCTAAAAGATTGCAGGGACTATATCTGTTAATCCACCTGAAAATTCTTCTAGCTGAGCTTTAGTCTCGTGCTTTGGGGGTAGTGTAAAATCGTGCAATGGATGGGTTTCTTTTTCATGCTCAAAACCAATCAGCTTTGGCTCAATATTTCCTATTTTTGAAGGAAACTCTTGAGAGCCAGGACTAAATTTCATATAAATTCTAATCTGCCCAGCATTTTCGTTTTCATGATATATTCCGATTCAGTCTTCTAAAATATTTGTAGTAAAAATATTTTCTAAAGGAATTGTGGCACTTCCTATTTCTTGGTCGCCTTTAATTGTCCTCCTATCAATTACTGTAAGCTTTATATGGTTCTCACCAGAAATTTTAAATATGAATTCATCACTCCAATGAGGGTTAGTCCCCCCGCTCTCACAGACTTTTGTGCTGAATATTTGATCATCAATTTTAATTTCACAGTAGGGACTCATAATTCCAAGCATTTCTACATCTCGTACTAATTTTGCACTTATAGGCTTTATATATAAAATACCAGATTTTTCCATATTATTTTTATGGAAAATTTGAATTTCTACAATAGTTAATTTTCTGTTAAGCTTTATTAAATAAACAAATGTGAGAAGTAGCTTATAATTTATATTAAAATCTGCAAATTCAATCTGATAATTTAAATAAATTAATCGTTTTTAATTAAAAAGATCTAATATCCTTGCTGAGCAAGGAATAATTAATATGACGGTGACGAAATATATCCAGATGGAGGTTGCACCACTTTGGGCGCCAAAATGATTTTAGGCCTAAAATAATGCAAAGACCTTTTAACACTCTCTTACCCTTAGCACTGCCTTGAGCGTGCCTTATGGGGTGAGTAAACTTTAGAAGTCAGCTGGTGTTATTCCAGTCCAGGTATTAATTATCCGGATGATTTTTGGGATACGGGCTTTTCCTCCCGATTCCAGGTGGCCGTAGTTCTTTTTTTTTCCTATTTTTACTGACCCTCTAAGTTGTCATCGGGCTAAACTTTACCTCCATAGCGCCTGTAAAGATGTACAGCAAGAGGAGTCTTTCTAATCCGTCGAAACTCAGGGACTAGCTGTAAGCCCCAAGTCACCAAGGAGACGCTGTTGATAAGATTCATGGGAACCCTTGGCAAGCAGAGGTCCGGTGGTCGAAAGCATGAAGAAGCATCAATCTGGAAGACTTGAAATCCTTTAATCTTAATCTTGCTGAGGAAGATGCTGCCCCATTCCTTGTTGGCCAACACCCTGTCCTGCACCCAGAAATTCTTCATTGAACACTATCTGAAGTCTAATTTGGCCTGCCACACTTCCTTTATGAATCAAATCAACCCAGTCTTCAAACTGCTTCATGCTAATCACATTCATTAATGGAAGAGTTGCAGCGCCAAGTTCTTTATCTTTTGCCAGAGTTCTTTTGTCATAAACTAGAATATGGATTTGGTCCTCCCCAGACACTGAGAAGTTCAGCTGCTCATTCCAATTAGGGACCTTTCCGCCATTTTTGCAATAATTCGTTTTCTGCTCTTGTGGGCCAACTCTGATTAGCACATATGGATCCATTGTTCCTGTTGCCTTGTCCTTAATTAGCTTTGCGCTAATTGGTCTAACGATAAGGTTTCCGCGACGCAATTGCTGAGCCATTTTATATTTATAAATTATAGGCCATTGTTTGCAAAAAATGGACATTTTCCAATCTGATAAGGAGAAATTAAAATAATGTGGTGAAGAAGTAAAGCGCTTTACTCCCCATTGTGAGCAAGCAAAATCATCGGAAAATCCTAGTTTTAGAAATTAAGCCAATCAGTAAATATAGAATAATATTATTAAATAATTAATATTGTAAAATCTCTAGAAAATCCTATAAATTTTAGACAGCTTTCATATTAATTACATTGTTAGATTAAAATTTTGAGAATTTTTTGAAATATTAAAATATAATTAAAAAAAAAAAATATATGAGCAATAAATCGTCTTACTTACTAGGATGAAGATAGAATTTTTTATCAAAGGCAATTTTGAAAAGAAGTGCTTATTTAATTTGAGGAAATCGAATAAAAATTGTATAAGATGATTATATTTTTTGAAAAATGATATTTTCTTTAAAAATGAAGATTTGAAAGCTCATTTTTTTAAGCTTTTTTATCAAATTTACTCAAAAATTTAAAGGATTATATACATTCTTTTATAGCTTAAATTTTAGATAGTTCCTTTATTTATATTCCATAAAAATACAATAGAATATAATATTTTCAAAATATCAATTCTTTTTTCTCAAAAAAAAAGAATTTACCTTCGAATTGAAAAATTCCAATTTGAATCCCTATAATATTAAATTATTCCACATAAAATCTGCCTAAAAATATAATCAATTTATTTCATAAATGTCAGAGAAACCCAACTTTCGGCAACGAGCCATATCAGACCACGATATTCCTTCAAATTCTTCCCACCCCATCCGCATGCGCATATGTGAAGCCAATTTCGAAATAAATATCGCGACCCTCGGCTCTCAGCACCCTTACGTCCGTATCTTTTACGGAAACAACAAATGAAGAACCGAAGTCGCAAAAAATTCAGGAAAAACCCCAAAATGAGATATCGAGTACAAACTGGACCTTGAAGGCGACACAATCCAAGTCGTAGTTTTCCACAAAGGCTTTTTCTTTTCAGACCCAGAAATAGGCAGATGCACCATTTGCTTAAGTGAAGTTGTACAAGGCCATCTCGTCGAATGGTGAAATTTAACAACCCCAGCTGGCAGCCACGCTGGGGCAATTTTAATAGCTTTTGAAATCCCTGATAAAAGGATCCCAGATATAGCAGTCTCTATGTGGACAACTCATAACGCAAACAGCTCATGAGATGTAAGAGCCTGCAGGGCTTCTCCTATGGAGTGGAAGGTAAGGAAACAAAAAAACTCAAAATTCAAGCCGCAGCTGACACAAAGGACTCCAGACCGAAAATTTATGCATTTTTCGACAGAGCCAGATGAAGTGTATGATTTAGACCAAATAAAAACGGATTTGTCTGAAGAAAATGAAAGACTGAGAGCGCAAGAACTTAAGGTAAAGAAATTGTTTGCAAAACTAAAGGGGGAAAGTATTGCGCTAAAAGATGAGAAAATTGAGCTCAGGAAATGCAAAGAAATGCTGCAGGAAAAAGAAGAAAAAATTCTGCAGGATAAAAATGCGCTAGCGAATGAGAAATTGATGATAATGAAAGAAAAAGAAGAAATAGAAAAACTCAAGCTTCAGTTAAACCAGGATTATACTAACTTCCGTTGAGCAAAACCATTTGGAGAGCCATTTTTATATAAAATATAAAAAATTAGCCCAACTTTTTTAATGAGCAAATAAAGAAGGAGGTAAGCTTAAACAAGATAAATTAAAAATCTGCGCCCATAGGAAAGTCCTTGAAAAAAGGAGCAAAAAGATTTTTGAGACTATGAGACACATAGAGCGACACAAAGAAATGATCGAAAATTCTCCAAGCAAAATCAAAAATAAAGAAGACGGGTCTATTGATGATGCTGAGCTTGACCAAGAACTGGACGACTATGACGTCGACATCAGTGATGGAGAGCTATATGAGCTTTAAAGTATGTAATGGGCAAATTAAAAATTAATTTTTTAGCTCCTCCTATTTTTTGGGTAAAATCCACCCTCCGTTAGCGGACAAAAAATATTTTCACATATAAGTATAATTATTATAATGAAATCTCTAGTTCATTCTGTGTAATTTTAATTAAATTCCATAAATATTTGCTTTAAAATTATTTTGAATTGGGTTTTATTAAAATTTTGAAAAAATATTTACTATAAAATTACATATAAATTTTTTAGCCCCTCTCTGTGAGCGGACAAAATTTTTTTGTTTGCTTAAGAGTAAAGTATTTTTAAGCAAAAAAAGCTATTAAAAAAATCATTCTTAAAAAATCCTATTTTTTTTGATTTTTAATCAATTTTCACCCAAACCTATGTAAACTTAATGATAATAATAAATGATTGCCATCATTCTATTGCTTAATATTGTAGCTTCTGAGGACCCAGCAGCATGTCCAAAGTACAAATGCAAGACCAAGGACATTAAGTTTCCTGACGCCAGCGTCTGTATGCTCTATAACTCTAACGACACTACATATTACGTCAGCTCATGTGACCATGGGTATTATTGTGCAGCTCTTCTAGAAGAAAAAAGCGCCAGCTGCACGAAGCCACTGCCTCCATCTCCTAATACAAAATTACCTGGGGAAAGCTGCTTTTATGCAGAAGACTGCTATTTAAATAGCACCTGCATTTCTGGGTATTGCAAAGGAGTCCAAGAAAGCAATTACTGCTATAGCCACGAAGACTGTGATGTAGGGCTCAGGTGTAATGAAAATAAATGCAAAACACAAATTCCAGCTGAAAGCAAAGGCTGCATTGATGACTCAGACTGTGTTAATAATGCTGGCTGTGATATCCAAGACTTAACTGATCCGTCAGTCAATATCTGCAAGAATTATTTCACAATTGAAAATTATCAGTCAGTTAACCTGAATTGCACAACTGACGGACAAATAAATTACATGTGCGATTCTGGATTTTGTATCCAGCAAACTGAGAATTCAATTCCTCAATGCTACCCAGCCCCAAAGTCAAGCAAAAAAATTCCAACTCTTTGTGCATCCCATAATGATTGCATATCTAAAACAGACGGGGAGTTAAATTTGAATTTTACTAGTGAATGTCTCTGTGGGCTTAATCAAAAAGGAAATAGATATTGTGACGTTTTCCCTGGGGACAGCCCTTATGTCAATTATGCAAAAATAATCCAGTCGTGGGTGAAGAGTAAGGCTATATTAAAATGCAATACATATGCAAGGTTCAGTGTAAACTGTATGGAAACTTGGTGGGATAAAAAGAAAATGGATGAGCTTATATATTATGATTATTATGTAGACGTCTATTCTTTGATTCATGAAGCGGAGGATTGCGTGGTTGAGGCTTATTTTTCAAGCTATTGGGAAGCTAAAAAGGCGTATGATAAGGAAAGCTTGGCTAGTGTTTTAGGGGTTACAGCATGGATGCTTTATGCAATAGATTTTTAAGTAATAGATTGAGTTTAATCTAATAAAAGGATTATTCTATTTATTAATCGGATAATTATATTATAGTTTTTTTAAAAAAAATACATTTTTTGCCATCATGGAGACACCAGCAAGCTACAGGAAAAGCACAATGCACTGGTGAATTTCGGCTTTAATGAAGAAGGAGCAAGAAGAGCACTGAGACTGTGTGGAGGGTGACATTGATCAAGCTTTTAGTCTTCTACTACTATTGGAAGAGCGCGGATTGGAATGTATGGATTTAGATGAGATCGAAGATGAAGATGAAAGTGAGGAGGCTGAAGATGTATATGAAATATATGAAGAACCTTATGAAAATAAAAATTCAAGACTTGCATTAGCAGATGCTGGAGCGTGCATGGATGGAGATAGTGATGACGATGACGAAGGCATTTGCCGCGAAAAATTAACAAAAACGAAATGGAACCGAAAAATCAAAAAATTTAAGAATCTAAAAAAAGCTGAAGAATGAAATGAAATATGAAGAAAGCCTAAAAAAGAAACTGACTCCCCCCCCCTCCGTGAGTGAACAGAATTTTTTTGTTCACTCACGGAAGGGGGTTAATTGTTTTTTTTTTAAAAAATTTATATATAAATTTTATAAAATATTATTTTTCGAAATTTAAAAAAATCCTAATTCGCAAAAATTGGAAAGCAAATATTAATTTAAATTTTTTAAATTTATGTTTTTAAAGAGCAATTTGTTTAAAATTAAATAGAATTAGCTCTAGATTTCATTATACTAATTATCATTTATATATTAAAAATTTTTTCCATAAAAAATTTTTGTATTAAAAAAATTTTTGTTCACTCACGGAGGGTGGGTTTTTGGGCAAAAAATAGCGATTTTTCTAATGGTTTTGTTCACTCACGGAGGGGGGGAGTGAGGAAAATCAACAAAAATTTAAGAAATTCAAAAAATTGATAAAAATCGAAGATTGAAGGAAAATAGATTGAAAAGAAATTTATAAGAAAAATTAAGGGCGCCGCGGGCGCGATTAAAGCATTAATTATTATTATATTATAGTTTTTAATAATAGCCATTTTAAGTTTATTCATTTTATAGGAATTCCATAGATGATAATTAAATAAAACTAATAATATTCTCAGCGTATAGAAAAATAGTAGTTAAAAATTATATAAATAAGATTATGTAGCTTTAAGGATTATGGTAAAAATCAAAGATAAAAAAATTAAATAGTTCTCTTTTCAATGTGGCAAGCTCAGAAAATTATTATTTTTCTCAAAATCCTAGGCCATCTCCAAATTTCCTAGTCATATCTGTCCTTCTCTACTTCTATCCCCTAAAACCGCTTTAAAATTCAAATCTCATCCTAAAAACCAATAATAAAGATTTATATTATTCAATCAGTTTCTTTAAAACCATTCTAAAAATAAATCTAATAAACAATGCTCACACAATCTGCATTAACAAGCTTTCAAGCAAACTCAAAAAGCGCCTTCAGCAATGATGGGCAGCTAACAGACCGTACTCGTGAGCTCCGTCGCGAAATAAAAGAAGTCCTTGATTTTGAATATGATCATCATGTCCTCGAAGTCAAAAGACATCGCTCATTTTTCTCAAATAAAGAGCAGACTACACTGAAAAGGCAGCTTGACAAGCTGATATCGTCAAATAAAGAAAAAAGGAGAACTTTGCGAAAACTTGTGATGGAGACAAGAAATTATGACCCTTTTGCAAGTGATTTCTCAACCTGCAAACTTTTTAACGAAGGCTCTTTTACTGAGAGAGCATCAATAGTATCAAGCATAATCGCCCCATCACGCGAAGATATCATAGAAAAAATCGAAAGATACAACCAAAAAATCGAAGAAGCAGAACAAGAAAAATTAAAAATTGAGTGTGTCCTAACAAAAGAAAAAGAAGGAAATCTAATATGGAAAGAAAGAATCCAGCAGCTCAGCGAAATGCACAGAAGGGTGACTAAAAGCCACGAAATTTCGCTGATTTCTAAACAAAGAGCTATTAACAACCTCATTTTAGGGCAAAATGAGACGATTCTCTATAAGCAAGAAATGTCGAGGCGTCAAGAAGAATACGTCCAAGTCTATACTGAGCAGCGCAAAAGATACGATGAAATTCAAGAAGAAATTGACAATATCGTCACAAATATCAGTGGAAATGCTATAAAACAGGCTGAAAGAAGACGGGAAATAACCACTATGATTGACAAGCTTGAAAAGCAGCTGAGAAGGCATGAAAAAGAAATAAGGGAAAAAGAGAGGCTGGAAAACGCTTATCAGAGCTACCAGGAGCAGCTCAGTATAATTAATGAAGTCTTAGAAAGATATGACAGAGACACTTTTGACTGTCTTGACGAGGAATCTTTGACTGGGATTATTGATATGTATAAGTTCTTGATTTATCAAGAAACGTCACTGAGCTCAAGATTCCAAGAGCTGACTCTGGATTTTTTAGCACTGCAAAAGCGCTATGAAGTATTAGATGGGGAGTTGCAGGTGTTAAAGACTAATAATGATGAATTTGGAGGTCAAGAAACAAATTTACCGAATACGTTTAATATGATGAAATTTTCATTAGAGGATAATTTATCGTCAAAAAATGACTATACTGAAGAGTCAGAGATGCTTATTTTGAAACTTTATTTGATTATTATGAATCTTGCGATACTGTCTATTAACTCTATGAGGACTATTAATGAAAGATGCCCGAGATTAGGGCTTGATAAAGAGCCGGAGTATATGGAAGCTGCTTCTACTATAGAAGAGCTGCAAAAAGGGTTTTTGAAGAAGCGGGAAAGCTCAATCACAAAATCTCCTGTCATCCCAAAGCTGAAAGTAAGATTAAGTTATGATGAGTATTCATGGTTGCTGCTTCCTATAGTGCCATGCATTCCGCAGGCGAACGCCTGCGGGGTAGGCTTTCTCAAGGTAGATTGAGCCCGAGTCGAGACTCCGGTTTCTCGGCTGAGGCATTTTTCCTCCTGGCCCTGATTCAGGCCAGATTTTGCCGGGAACCCAATTTCTAATTCAAGTGCCAAAATTACGCAACTCCGCGTAGCTTAGGCCATATATCATCCAATTGAGGGATAATTTTAGACTAAAGAGACTAACCCTGAGATCTCCATCTAGCCTGCATTCCCCTTTTACTCTCCGGATCATCTTCGAAGAAAAACTCAATACACTTACACAGATTCGGGACAGGCCACAAAAGCAACTCAGGCAGGTAAGTCTCCTGCCTCTTTCGTACAAACATTCTGGGGCTTGGGTGCTGCTGGCAAAAAAGATGTAAATAGCTGCCGCTCAAGCCAGGCCACTATTCAGCAGAAATAGTGTTGGGCCTCTCGCTTCTTAGGTAACCAAACCTTGGGCAGCTCCTTGCACAAAAAGCCACGTCTAGATATGCATAAGGACATCCGCCACGGGGAAGGACGATTTGTTCGTCACCAGTCATTTATATATATCCCAAAGCTGTATAAAACTGAATTTTTTGACCAATATCAAGAGAATTTTTCAATAGAAAATTTCAAGAAAAATGTAATGCCATATATTTCTCTAAAAAAAACAGAAATAATTTCCTGCTTTAAAAAAGCGTTCAAAGACAACGAAGATTCCAAGCTTTTTGCGAATTTAATTAAAGAACAGCCTATGATTTTGTATTTCACAAATTCAAAAATCCTTGACAATTATCTGAATAATAAGAATAAAGAGCCAGCTCAAGGCTCTCTGCATGCATTTTTAGATATAATTGAGCTGATTTCTACAGGCCATATGCTGTATCAGCATCAGTTTATGCGGCTGAGCTCGGTTATTTCTCCATTAATTTTAAGCTTGAATTCTAAGCGTGTATATGAGCTAGAAGAGCTTGAGATGTTACTGTCTAAAATCCAAGAAATAAATCATGAGCCAAGGGCTGAAGAACCCTCACAAGTCAGAAGAGTTACTAGAATTCCAACAATAATTAAAGAAAGGACTGTCAATAAATTTATCCCTGTCGAAGAAAATGAGGTAGACTCTCCAGTGGTATATAAAATAGTCGAGCCTTCGAGGTCACAAGAAAAACTAAATGTAAGGCTGACTGATGAAGAAGCGGCAATAAAGCGAATGAAAAGCATATTGCCAAAGCCGATTATGGAAAAAGTAAATAAGTCATATGGGTCTGATGAGAATGAGAGGGTGCTTGAGGGGACAATTAATGTCAAAGACATAACTCTCTATAAGTGAGAGAGAAAAATGTTTTCTAGCTCATTAATTTTGTTTTGGATTAGCCCACTCGAAAAATTGGGAATTAAATTTTAATTAATTTATCAAATTTATGTTTAAAAATGGAAGGCTATTTAAAATTTAATATAATTTTATATTTCAATATAAAACTATCACATATATATCATGGGCTTTCTATAAAATAATTATTTTTTCAATGGTTTTGCTCGCTACGGAATGGGGAGAGCAAGGAAAAACTTGTCGCAGTTTTCGCCAAGAAACATCCTTTATGAAGTCAAAGATATTGAGAGGAAAATAAAGAGGGTGAAAACTGCTGAAAAGAAGGCTGGAAATAGAAATAAAGCAAATTTAATTGATGTCCCGCTGCAGTTTAGGTTTTATAGCAAACCCTGGGGGTTAATACAGAAAGCGCTGAACAGCAGAGATATTAGTAAAGATAACACTAGGCCTTCGACACAGCACAAGACAGCGAGGACTTCTAATTAGTATTGATAAAGTATTATATGAATAAATTTCCTTACTCCCTCCCAATCCTTGATCGAACGATTGACTGTAAAAATTCCTAAAAATTGGGAAATTAACCCCCATCCTTGATCGAATGATTTTCATATCATGCAAATTTTTATATACATAAAAATATATTAGTTATCAAAAGCTTGGGAAGATGCATATAATGAAGTTGTTTTCAGAGACTTTGAGATAACAGAAAGCTACGGAATCAACCATTCGAAGTGATTTAGTCATCAACCTAAGCTAAAAAACCCAATAATCTAATAAAATAGAGATTCTTTAAAATTTATACAGTTTAAAGGGGTAACTAAATAAATCAAAATATTAAAAATTGGTATTTTATGAAATTAATTCAATTTTTTGCTGTAAAAATATTATTAAATACTCTTAACCCTCTTATTTAAAAGTAAATAAAAAAATATATATATATTTTATTTTATATATAAAATTTTTTTTCCCCAAAAAAATTTTTTTTTAACCACCATCCTTGATCGAACGATGGCCAGCAGTTCGATCAAGGATGGGGGGGAGTTAAATCTTTTTATTAAAAAAAACCCTTTTTAATCTTCAAAAAGGTTTATTATAGCTCAAAAAAATGATAGAATATTTTATTGACTCTATGTTGCAAAATAAAATCTTATTTAAACAATTTGTCTTTATTTTGCATCCCTAAAACCTTTATATTCACTCTTCTATATAATTTTTTTTCTTGTTCCTAAAGCTTCAATACATTTTATTTTAAATCTCATATTTAAATGCTAACTTCAACCTCATCTCCTACACGGTCGTTTTATGATCCGCCAGACCCTTACAATCCTGCTATTGTTGATGACCTTCTCCGTGGCGCCAATGACTGGAGGAACATTCAAGACATCGTTCGCCTCACTTTCAAAGCTCTCAGTGACACAGTCAGAGCACAAGGCCAAGCTCTCAAAGAAATCGAGCGTCAAATGCCATCTCGCCTTACCCGCTCTGAATTCCACTCCGCGCTTGCCCAAAAAGCTGATTTTACTACAGTTTCTGAACAAATAGCTGATTTACGGACTTCTTTAGAAAACAGAAGCACTTTTATAGAGCTCCAAGCCAGAATTGATGACAAAGTCTCTCATAGTGAACTCAGCTATCTTCTAAGCACAAAAGCATCAATTGATGACTTAAACGTAATTGCAGACGCAAAAATATCAGCCAATGAGATGAAATCAACTGTTCACGATATTTATTCAAGGCTAGAGTTTATTCAATCAGAGATAAATCGTCAAATTCAAGCATTGCCAACAATGAAAGACTTAGAAGAGCTCAGTTTTGAGGTCAAAGGAAAAGCAGGCATAAAAGATGTAGAAGACATGCTGAAGTTTTTAGATGACAAGCAGACCTCAACTGTGGGGAAAAAAGCTAATAGGAATGATGTGGACAGTGCACTTAGCAGAAAAGCAGACTTAGCAGACATCAAAAAGATCATGGGAGCACTAGAGACGAAAGCAGAACAGGAATGTGTAGAACAAATCCAGGCTGCTCTTGACGACAAAGTTGACAGAGGCGAGCTCAATCAAGTAATTATTAGAGACATAAGCCAAAAAGCAGACAGAAGAGAAATCGACGCTTTACAAGAGTTCACGAGGGAAATCAAAAGAGACCTAGAAACCAGGGTTTCTGACGCCAGCATCAACATTGAATCCTATTTCAAATCCCTCAAGAACGAAACTGAACAAATAAGAACTTCCTTTGCCACAAGCCTCGGCAACAAAGCAGATGTCAGAGAAATTGACAAAATCCTTACAGGTCTGCACAGAAAAGCAGAAACAGACCACGTCAACGACTGGATTAATCTCGCTAAAAAAGAGTTCAGTGAGCAGCTAAATGCTAAGACCTCAGAGCTGAAAGCCCAACTCAGGAACCATGAAGAAGCCATTTTTGAAAAAACCACAAATAACGAGCAAGCTTCTAAAAGCCTAGACCATGACGTAAAAAATATAAAAGACCAGCTCAAAGCGCTCCTCGAGGAAAAAAAAATCGATAAAGACGAAAACTTAAAATTCGTGAAAAATTCGATTTCGCAAAGCAAAAGCGAAATTAATGCAGATATTCACACAATTTCTGAAGAAATAGATAGGATTATGAGGACTATAGAAGAAATAAACTCAGTGAAGTCTTCAAAAGACGAACTGAGTGATTTATATGACCAAATATCAGCAAGGATGGAAGAGAAAGCTGACCACAGCGACTTAGACAAAATTGTTTCAAATGCTCAGAGGGATTCTTTGAACTCAGTGCAGTCCTTAAAAGATGATTTTAGGGTCAAGGTGTCTCGGCTGGAAAATGAAATTTACTCAAAACTTGACCAAAAAGTGTCCATGGCTGAACTTCATACCTATTTAAGCGAAAAAGTCGACGTATCTCAAGTAAACCGGCTTATAGGCTCCAAAGCTTCTCAAGACGAAATCACCACAGTCCGACGTGAAATAGAACGAATCTTCCAAGAGCTTAAACTCCGCGCTCTCAAAGAAGATATGGAGCATCATATTTTGACTACGAAAAACGCCTTAGAAGAAGTAGGAAAAGACATGCTTCTAAAAGCCAGCATAAAAGATATTTGCACCTTATTAGACATGAAGGCAAGCGTAGAAGACGTAAACCAAGCCCTTATGGACATCCACAAAGAGCTAGACACCAAGGCAAACCATCAAGAAGTCGTCGAACATATGAACGAGCAGTCATTAATTAATGAAGCCTTGTGCAGCGAAAATACAGTAGGAAGATGGATATGGAAAAGCAGCGAGGTCAAGAACGGCTTTGCGATTCCCTGGGAAATTCAGAGTGTTAACACTTGTCCAGAAAATTTCTTGTGGGAGCCTGAAGGGACTAATTTAATTGTGGTGGCGCCAGGGCTGTATGAGGTGATGTTTGGGTTTTATTCAAAAAAGAAGCCAACGGTACAGCTGCTGGTAAACGGAGAACCGATATTGTCTGCAGTGAATAATGCATCGTAAGGAATATTTAGATATGTAATACACCATAGCAGTGGACGGCTAAAAGGGGTAAATTCTCATGCGTCAGGAAATATTACAGGGCTGACCTTGATTGACTTCTTAGCATTGCCAGCAAGATCAAGGCTCTCAATTTCGTATACAGGAGACTCAAACGCAGAAGGATTCTTTGGATTGAGGAAGCTTTAGAATTTAAAATAATTTAAAAGATAATCAGTAATCTTAGATTATCTAAAAGTTAAAAATGATTGCAAGAAGATTTAATGCGATCAATGATAGCACTGAGCTGCTGTCATTTTTATATCCATCAATTGCCCTAGCCAGCCCTACTCTATAGTTATCCATATCAAAAGTAATATAAAACCTTCTAATAAAGACATCTCCTAGCAGCCAGCTTTCTTGTTCCTGATGACTTAAGGGCACTAAATAAGATCCACTAATAGGATAAAAGTAATCTTGAGATTCTAAAGTATATTCTTTCCCATTTACCACAAATGTAAGTTTTGGATAATCGCTGCTCGGTTTATTAAAACAAATAACAAAATTTTCATTGTCAGGATAATACTGACATCCATGCTTTTTCACCAGATCATTTTGTATGCTGTTAACTGTGTCAGAAGGTCCAAAAATAAAGCTACTCCCTGTATCAATAATTGCTGGGATATTAATATTTAAAGTATGGTCTCCGAATTTGACACTTTCACACATAATTTCCCAATAGCCAGGGTTGACAGCTGTGTCGTTAATTATGCTCACATAAGTGAACTCTTTTTGGGTTGAATACGTAGCGAGGTCTGAGCCATCAATCATAAGATTTGATTGCGGTCTTTTTCCAAGCCAATTCAAGAAAAAGGAAAATTGGCGGTTTTTGATTTTTCCTTGCTTTTGAAGCTGAGTTACTAAGGATGGGTAGTCTTCCAGTCGGTCCAGAGCGAAACCTACTGAGCCGTCAGCTCTGTAGTTGTCATTGTCTTCTTCATTATTAGCTAGCAGAAAAGCATAATCGGTTGCATTAATTGAAGAAGAGTCTCCTATCGCCACTGTATCTGTTACCATTTCTCCAGAAATTTCGCCTTTGAGGTAAGTAATAGTCTTATTGACTCCAAGGCTTTTGTAAGTGGTTGAGTTCGAAGGAGAAAAAGTATTGTTGCATTTGTGGCATGTGGTGCAGCCTTTTTCAATAACCCAAAGAATAGTGCTGCTTGTATCAAAGAGGCATGAGAAAGATTGCGCTGGGGTGCCTATAGAAATCATGCCGTAATATTGTGCCTAGGTAGAAAGTTACATTCTGATAATTTGTGATTGTTGAAGAGCTTCCTCCAAGAGATTTTTCGATAGATTTATAATGCATTCAAAACTCTTCATACGAAGAATATGGAGATTTGAGATCTATTGATATAAGAGAGAAAACGAATGGGAGAGAAAACAAAAGGAAAAGCATTTTTTCTGTATTATTAGATATTTATTAGATGCGAAATTAAAAATTAAAGAGTAAGCCTATTACGCAACTAATCGCTGCAAATATCAAATTGTTTGCTGCACTTGGGTCAGCCCACACAAATGAGCTCGAAATTGATCTTGCAAAACCAATCCTTTCTTCATCCATATCGAAACTTATATAAAAGTTCCTAATAAAACTGTCTCCCAAAAGCCACTGATTTTGACTCAATGGTGAAATTGGTAGAATATAGATATCATCAATAGCATCATAAAACAGATATTGCCCTATATCGAGAGCATATGAAGTCCCATCAAATACCCAATTCAATATTGGACCATTAGTGCCTTCAGGGCATACGACTAATCCATCTGACTCTGAATACTTACATTTATGGTTATTTATAAATTCTTTCCAGATCTTTTCGACTGATTTCTTAGGGCCATAAATAAAGCTCGTCCCAGTATCAATAATAGCCTCATTGCCAGAATCAAGGACTTCATCTCCCATTTTCATACGGTCACAGTCTATTTCCCAGTAGCCAGGGTTTTTCTTGGTATTTGTGATTAGGTCGACATATGTGAAAGAAGTTTGGTTGGGGAGGGCGTAGGTAGATAAGCTGCTTCCGTCAATCATGAGGTTAGATGATAGTGATTTGCTCTTCCAGTCGAGGAAAAAGGCAAATTGGCGGTTTTGGATTTGACCTGCTTTTTTAAGAGCAGTAATCAAGCTTGAATAGCCTTCTCCTAGGCCATCTAGTCCAAATCCTACCAATCCATCTGCTTGGAATCCATCGTTGTCTTCTTCATGGTCAGCCAAAAGAAATGCAAAGCTTTTTGCAGAAACTGATCCAGTATCTCCAATAGTAATAGTGTCTTCAGCCATAAATCCATCAGTTTCTCCTTTCAAGTAAGTCAACTGCACAGGCTTGGTTAAATTTAAGTACGTATTCGAATTCTTTGGGTTGAATGTATTATTGCATTTGTGGCAGCTTGAGCAGCCATTTTGTACCACCCAAACAGTTGTGCTGCCTGTATCAAAAAGACAAGAGAAAGACTGTGGAGGAGTGCCAAGGGTGATGCTTCCATAATATTGAAACTAAATTAATTTTACATTTTCAAAGTTTGTTATTGCAGTCGAAGAAGTTAGAGACCATTTCTTCTGAGCTTTTGAGTTTCTATAGTGTTCCAAGAATTCATGATAGGTATTGAAAGGAGATTGAAGGTCTATAGAAATTGTGGCAATAGCCAAAGGAATGAAACCAAAAAGCCATAACATTTTTATTAATTCAACATTTGACATGAGAGAATATTATGAAGATATTCAAAAATGATATTTAATTGGTACTGAGAATTGGCCTGACCTCTTAACCCTGTAGATGATGCTTGATATGGATGGGGAACTTGAGGAAGAGAGTGAAGTGCTTGATATGTGAATCGCTAGGTTTATAGAAGGAGCACAACAATACTGAACTAATAGCCAAGAGGTGATAGATGCAGGATTTTAAGATTCTAACTAGTTATCTGGCCTCAAAAGAGCTTTTGCAAGTTGCCTAATTTGTCTTAAAAGATATATAATTTGTGATAGACTGATACTGTCTTAATAAAACGCTGCTAGCCTATCAATAAGGCAAAAAGGTTGTTGTGGAGTGCCTTAAATTAAGCCAAATTTAAGACATTTTAATAATATATATTCTGCCTCCAAGAGCTTTGATAGATTTATAATATAATCTAAATATTTATATAAAGAGCATAAAAAGAAAACACATATAGGTGCAAAAAAGCAATTGTGAGAGAAAATGCAAGAAAAAACATTTATACCATATGACAAGACAATTACTCTAAAGCGATGATTAAAAGTTAAAGAGTAAACCTAATACACAGCTAATTGCTGCATATACTAAATTGTTTGCAGAATCATCAACAAGACCAGATGAGCTCACTTTTGATCTTGCAAAGCCAATTCTGCTATTGTCCACATCAAAACTGATATAATAATTCCTAATAAAGACATCACCTAAAAGCCACTGATTTTGATTCCATGCCTGAATCGGCAGAATATACAAGTCATCAGGCTCATCATAATAAAGATACTGTTTTCCGTTTAATGTGTATTGTTTTCCGTTAAAAACCCAAGTCAATATCGGATAATTGCTTTCATTAGGCTTTGTTTTACATAAAACAAGATCTTCTGATTCAGAATATCCGCAGCCACTGATTTCTAAAACTGAATTGTATATAGCTCTGACAGAACTTACTGGGCCATATATAAAGCTAGTTCCAGTGTCAATAATACAAGGAGAGCCCATATCAAGAGCTGTGCCGTCACATTGGAATTGGTCACTGCTGATTTCCCAATAACCAGGGTTAATTTGGGTATCTGTTATGAGGTTTACATAAGTAAAAGCAGTTTCATTGGCATATGTAGCTAAGTCGCTACCATCAATCATAAGGTTAGATTTTGGCGACCTGTCGAGCCAATTGAGGAAAAAGGCAAATTGGCGATTTTGAATTTGACCTGCAGTTTTAAGAGCAGTAAGTAAGCTTGGGTAGCCATCTCCTAAGCTATCTAGTGCAAATCCTACCAGTCCGTCTGCTTGGAACCCATCGTTATCTTCTTCATTATCTGCCAAAAGAAACGCGAATTTAGTAGCAGAAACTTTCTCATTGTTTCCAATGCTGATGGTGTCTTCAGCCATGAATCCGTCAGTTTCTCCTTTCAAGTAAGACAATTTCGCTGCTACTGTTAAGTTCTTATATGTATCGGATTTGTCTGGGGTAAATGTATGCTTGCATTTGTGGCAGGTTTTGCAGCCAGTTTGTACCACCCAAACAGTTGTGCTGCCTGTGTCGAACACGCATGTGAAAGGCTGTGAAGGAGAGCCTAGACCGATGCTACCGTAATATTGAAGCTAAGTTAATTTTACATTTTCGTAATTTGTGATTGGGGTTGAAGGAGAATTAAGGGATGATCTGCTTTTAGCTTTTCCAGCTCTATAGTGATTTAAGTATTCATGGTAGTTCTTAAAAGGAGATTGCAGGTCTATAGAGATTGTAGCGAAGGCTAAAGAAATTAAACTGCAAAGCCAAAACATTTTTATTGATTCACCATTTGATCAATATGGATATAAAATTCAATTTTATGCAAAAATTAATAGCTTTTAATAAGAATTTATGAATCAACTATCTATAATAAGCCAATTGTGGAAAAAATAAGAGGGTTTTTATTATATAATGGTATAAGCATAAACTCCTTTCAAGGTAAATCAAATAATGGCATTATAAAGAATTTCAATCAATAATTTTTTGAGTTCTTTTAATGATTCCAAACAATTAGAATAAGAAAATGCAAATTTAAAATTAAAATAGTCTGCATATGAGCGAGAGATACCCATAGCTAAAGGTAAAAAAGGAATAAAAATTGATATTTTATAAAAAACAGGAGAAAGGCTTCATTTTGAGGTTTATAATTTATATCGGTCTTTTTCTCATAGGGATTTTATTTTTGTAATAGCATTTCTTAGCAACTCTTTGCATTCCAAGACCTTATCAAACCTCTCAAAATATTGGCTAAATGTGCAACCATAAATTTCTTATATTTCTGAAAATGAAATATAATAAGAATAATATTTTTGTATGAGATATCATAAGAAATAATATTTAAGAATTTTGAATTATACAAATCACGGCTTAACTATTAACTAAATTTTAGCTGTTTTTATTTTAGATTTTTTAAATTAATCTTTAACCTAACTATAGGCTAAAGTAAATTATAGCCGCAATACTCCAGGCTGTAGCAATTAAATTGGAAGCCCCATTTGATGCGCTCGCTATAGATCTTGCCAGTCCAACTCTCAAATTGTCCATATCAAAAGTGATATAAAAGTTTCTTATAAAGACATCTCCAAGAAGCCAAGATTCTTCCTCATATGGACATATAGGCAAATAAAAATACCCGCTCCAAGAATCCTCGTAAAAGTATTGCAGCGGCTCCAAAACATAGCTTTTTCCATTAATCGCTAACTCAAAAATCGGGTACTTATGATCCTTAGGATTTTTCCAACATCTCACAAGTCCTGACTCTAATTCATACTCACATTCATGGTTACTTAACAATTCACTTTGAATAGCCTGCACAGCTCTACTTGGCCCATAAATAAAGCTTGTCCCGGTATCAATTACAACTGGGATTTGCAAATTCAGCTCATTTTCATTAAATTTTACACTATCGCACAAAATTTCCCAAAAAAAAGGATCAGTGCTAGTTAAATTTACATAAGTAAATTCAGTATCATTTGAGTATTTTTCTAGGTCATACCCATCAATCATTAAGTTAGATTTAGGAGATTGCCCTAGCCAGTTCAAGAAAAATGCGAATTGGCGGTTTTGGATTTTTCCTTGGTTTTTTAAGACAGAAACCAAAGAAGGATAGCCCTGCCCCAGACTGTCAAACGCAAAGCCTGCAAGTCCATCAGGTCTATATCCATCATTATCCTTTTCATCATTAGCTAATAAAAATGCATAATTTTCAGCTGAAACTGAAGAAGAGTCTCCAATAGAAATAGTTTCGGCTGACATTTGGCCAGCAGTGTAGCCTTTTAAATACTGAATTGAAAGGTCTTCAGATAGGTCTTGGAAGGTTGAAGAGGCGGATGGGTCAAAAGTATTACTGCAGAGGTGGCAGGTTGTGCAGCCTTTTTCTACAACCCAAACCGTTGTGGAGCCTGTGTCAAATAGACAACTGAAATTCTGAGGAGGAGTTCCTAAAGAAATTGTCCCATAGTATTGGGCCTATTTTAAGCTTACATTTTGGTAGTTTGATAAAACTGATGAAGAATACCCAAGTGCCTTTTGCTTTGAGACTAGGCTGATGTAGCGCTTTCAAAACTCGCTGTAAGACTTATAGGGGGAATTCAGCTCTATTGAAATTGAAGCTAAAACAAGAGGGAGAGACAAGAAGAGAAACCACATTTAGAATTTATAAGGACAGCCATAAAATATGGAAACTTTTATATAGCATTGGAATTATGATTTTTGAAGCTGATATTAGAGGATTTAAATTATCAAGTATTTTGATTATATTTATCTGCTGCCATTATCTATAATTAATACACATTTATTTAAAATCCATTTTCTAGAATAGAAGATATTGAGCTTTTTTAATCAAAAGAAACTGTGAATTTATATAAACAGCTTGCTATACAATTTAATCCCTAAATAATCTAAATTTACTTTAAATAATAATTTTATAGTAAAATGTATTATTATCTTTACTCCTTCCTCCATGAGTGAGCAAAATAATTGTTTTGGCTCACAGAGGGGTTAATTTTTTTTCTTTGAAATTTAAAAAAAACCTAATTAGGGAAGCACATAATTTGTAAAATGTTTTTGTTTCTCATGGAGGGGAGGTAGTATTTATCACACTAAAGGAAAATCTTTAGATCGGATTAACCTTATAGTTCAATAAACTCTCGCACACCCCAGATATAATTTTTTCAGAGTAATCTTGGTATCTTTTGATACCATCCTCTTCCTCACTATTAAGATCATCTATTTTTTCATTTTTATGAACCAAATTTTCTTCAAGCTTCTTCAAAAATGAAATCCTTTTACTTTTCTTCTCTGAAAAAAGCTGGCTTGGGATACGATCAACCGACCCAGCTCTCCCCAAACTTATTTCTGACTTAGCTTGCTTCAGCAACTTTGGCAAAAATTTCGCTTCTCTGCTTAAAACTTACAGTTTTTTTATTTCAGTCCCTAAAATACTCTCTGCCCTTAAAGTATTTGCCTGCTTACTCTTCTCATCTTTAATCAACAAGTTGTCTTTGATATATATAATAATTTGATATAATTGATAATTGAATTCTCAGTTAATAAAAATTTTTTAATTAAAAAGATTTTCTGCTAATTTTTTATAATATTTAAAAAATAATAATGTTTTCCTATATAGGAAAGCTAGGGAAAATTCCTTTTTCCTCCATCGTCTTAAGCTGGCTCGATACTTTTTCCTGGATTTCTTCATACTGCCCTTTCAAAGCCAGGCTAACCTTTTTCTTCATTTCCTGCTTTTCTTCTACTGTTAGCTCTTCATTAAAAATTTGTCGATGAGACTTCATAAAAGGCCCTTCTCTGCTTCTCCTTCATGAGCTGTTATTTCTATGACAATCAATTCTTGACTTTGAATTTTGAAAAGGTGTATGATTTCTCACCGAAAGATGACTAAAAAACCTCGATAATTCCTCAAAAGAGTCTGTATGCTGAGTCGGTGACTTTCTTTTTAGCTTAATTTCTGGGGTTTTAAGCTCATATCTATTAACACTCACTTTTGGACGAACCTCTCTTTCCCTTCTCCCATATGTAGACTTACTCCTCTCCTTTTCAGACTTATCAACCCTTATATGTGGGTTCGGCGACTGGTTCAGTAGGTATACAATTCTCCCTTTTTTGCTTCTCATAATTTCATGATTTTCTAACAAATTAAAATTATTTTCTATTACTTATAAATGAAGATAAATCAATAGCAGAGCTCCAAAGGTTACAATTGGGCTAGCTGCTGAGGTAGAGTTGTTGTCTGATGATATTGTCCCTGCTTGGGTAATGATTTGTAATTTTGACATGACGTCGTCGCTCATTATTCTTGGCAGTCTTGCATTGTTATTTTTTGAGGTAATGACTACGACGTAACTGCTTTCTGGTAACAAGTTTGAATAAGTGATGGTGACAGTTGTATTTACAGCTACTGTTTGGTTATAAACCATAGTGGCAGGTTTTCCATAAGCGTTAACTCCTAAGGTGACTTGTCGGGAGGATGGGATGACGTCGCCGTCATTGATTATTTGCATATAAAGGGTTCCGGCTGTTGCGCATTTCAAAGTTATGGTTACAGCTGTTTTTGTAGTTGTGGTCGCAGAAGGTGCTTCAATCCAAGTCGGCCTTGGGTTTGATAATACTGTGATGGACTGAGCTATATTATAAGTCAAGTCCAGCGTAATTCCATAAGCAGATAATCTTTTATTTAGCTCTGATGGAATTGCCATATAGGTAACTGAGTCTTGAGGGCTTGGCAAAGAAGAGGTAGGGTCTGAGTATATATAATAGCTAGCTGTAGTATAAGAAGAATCATCTAAATACCTAGAGGTTGGGGTTATATAAGCAATCAGAGATGAAGATATGGCTAACTGCTGAGCCAGCACATTAATAACGGTCGTTGTAAGTAATGTCGAATTGACAGCTGATGCAAATTTAAGAGTAATCATAATTGAGTCATAATACTCCGCTGTATAAAAATCAACAGAAAATACACTTTCCATCACATTTTGATTCAAATCTATCAAAATTCCATACAAAATATAGTCGTGCTCTGTTGTCAGCCCAGAAATTGTAAACTCGTATATGAAGCTTGCCCCAATGTAGCCTGTATAGTACCCTGCTGTATTATTTGAGGCATAGCTAATTAGGCTTGTATTAGAAGGCAAAGCCAAACCTCTTTCTCCATAGGTGTAATAGAATATAGAGGCTTCTGTCGCTTGGAATGATATGTCGACCATATGCTGTTGCTTTGGATTATTTATCACAAATGAGGCAATTCCAGGGTCAGTTGTGTCATAGTTTGAAATAGTCACGTGGAGGGATGAGCTTGACAGGTAAAATGAGGCTGCGTCAGTCCCTGCTAATTGGAGAGCTATTGTATATATTCCTACAGTAATGGTTGCACCAACTGTAATGGTAAAGCTGCCTTTTGTAGACCCTGCTGCAAATGATAAGGCTGAAACTGTGATTAAACTGGGAGGTGTAAAGGTCACTGATAAACCGCTTGAAGGTGCAGTCTCTAAGTATACATAAAGTGGGATTGAGGTACTGCCTGTCATAAGTGTAGGAATACCTTCAAAGCTGACTGCATAATTATTTTCATTGCTTATAATTAGTCTAGAAATAGGTGGATCGTTATATAAGTCATAAGTATCTCCAGTCATTGTCCATTTTATAGTATAATTCCCAGTACTAGAGCCTGTTGGGCACATAACGGTAAAAGCTGAGGATATTGACCCTTTGCTAAGATTAATTGATGTAGGCGAAATAGTCACCAAATTTTGAACACCATTTCCTAACAACTGATAAGTAAATACCAAATCAGACCTCACTGGCATTTTCGTCGAAGAAGTATGTATATAAAACGTAATCTGAGTCCCTGGGGTGATTTCTAACACCCCATCAGCAGTACTAATAATAATATCCTGTTTTTCGTCTATATAGCTCACAACGTCTCCACTTGATGCAGTTCCATAGCTTCTGTCTACAATTGACATTGTATCCACATTAAAAACTGACATCACAAAAGCCTTGCTGATTCCTTCTGAAGATGAGGACTTTACATCTTTAAAAGTAGTCTGCAAGTAATAAGAAGACCCAATACTGCCTGACGCCCCTGACATCACAAGTAAATTGTGGTAAGGGTTAGAACAGGTGACTGAGGATACCCAAGAAGAGGTTGCTGTGGACGTTGCTTTGGAGACTGCAAGGGTTGAGCAGTTATAGGAGTCGCTAAGACCTGGGAGCTCTCTGTCAAAGTTTTCCATAGGGAACCTGTACCAGATTTGGAACTTGCTTGGAATTGAGGAGAAGGTAGACGTAAATGTATAGGCAGCTGTTGCAAAAATAGAGTAATTGTCAAGAGAAATAGAGTTAAGAGTTAAAAGGGCTGGAAGATTAGATATTGTCACAGTCAGTGAAGATGTTAATTGATCAATTACTTTGTTGTTTGCATCAATTGAGACTATTGAAAAGGCGCTTGTGGTTGTTGAGGATATAGGGTTAGGCACATTTTCAATGATGATATTAAAAGCTGTCCCTGCAGCAGTCTGAGCGAAGCCACTGAGGACTACTCCGCGCATATAAGAAGAGCTGTCACAAGTCAAGGCACCAGTCAGGAGGATACCTGCAGATGAGGAACACCTTAGCTCGCCCATAAAAGCAGGGTACTCCTTAGGGAACCAAATGACTATTGAAAAAGTAGTATTCAGCTGTGAAGCTGTAGTTAACGAGAAATTATAAGTTGCCAATTCAGCCGCATTTTTAGGCCAAAAGTTGACTGTAGCTTGAATAGCAGTTGTCGTTGCTGTATAAGTGTTTAAATAGAATGCGGAAGACGGAGAACTAGGATTAGTCGACATTGTAAGACTACTCCACATTGACGAAATCTGTATAGGGGATGTACTATTGGTAGGAACTGTTATATCAGGAATTATCAGAATCATTTCAATCCCAGCTGGGAAGCTTTTATAAGGTTGAATTGTAATTACATTCCCAGATTTAGAGCAGGATGAGTACTGAAGATTGAATATGCAATTGCTGGTATCCATTGTAGATGGTAAAGAAAAACTGCTTGGGACTGTGATAGTAAGGCTTCCTCCATGAGGCACAGAAGAGTCAAGTGAAAAATCAAGCAGAAATTGGCCTTTAGTGCCAGCTGACATTGGGAAAAAAGAGAGGGCTGTAATATATACACTCCCAGATACAGCAGCACTCGTCATATTAAAGCCTGTATAAGTAGCACTATCAATGGTTAGCGTTGCTGATGAATCATAATAGGTCGTCACTGAAAAAGAGCCACTTGTAGCTGTAGATGGATTTTTGACTGTCAAAACTTTTACAGAAAAAGAAGTTCCAGCAGCTATTGTAGTGAATCCTGTAATTTTAATAGTCTGAGAGCTAAAAGTACAGGTTGAAGCACTTGATAATAAATATGAATATGAGCAGGTACTGTATACTAAGTCAAAACCACTTGGAAATGTTATTACGATATATCCTCCTGCTGGAATAGAAGTAGGGTTTACTATGGAAAATCTAAAAGTGACATCTCCTGCAGTCTGATGCATTGAATTGGGAGACACTGAAAGAGTTAAAGTATTATGAGTTGCAGAGGTTAATGATACCGAAGAACTGGCTTGGACTGCCAAAGTGCTATTTGTTATCATAGTAACTTGAAGATTTCCTGAGCCAGATCCTTCATATGGCCCGTTTTTCATTCCTACAATATTAAGAATGCTTGAAGCTGAATGGCTTATAACGTCGTCTATTGTCATATAAACTGCTGGCGCATATGAATTCTGGAAAAGGCTGTATTTAGTTATTGGAATTGAGTCAATGCTCATAGAAAAGCTTTTGGAATTAATACTCCAGAGAGCCGGGAAAACGATTAATAAGAGATCATAAGCTTGGGAATCTGCTGTAGGAAGCTGTAAGGTAACATTCAAAGGTGTAACAGTCCCTACAATAGTATTGTCTCTGGATATCGTAGATGTTGTCCATGTAGAGGCTGTACTCGAAAAAGTCACTGAAATAGAACTTTGCTGGACAATTTGGGAGACTGAATTGCTGTCTGTATAGCCAGACTTTATAGTTATGCTTGTAGTAGCTAAACTTGCCCCATTTTGGATTAATAAAGTAAAACTTATAAGTGTCCCTGCTGCAATTGAATCGAAATTTGTAATTTTAACATTAGAAGAACCGCTAGCTGTAGTCAAAGTGCAAGTCACTGAGGCTGTCTTTAAATCCTTTAGTGTATATGGTGAGCAAGGGATTGAAGTCGCTGTAGAATAGGCATATCCTGTCCCTAACTTGTCTGGGAATGCAGATGAGGTTGGAAAATCAACTGAGAAAAATAGTTTCCTGTTATTTACTATAGTAAGAGCTTGATCAACTTGGATGCTAAAAGTATAAGGATAATAAATGCTGACAGCCTTAGAATATGAAATTCCTGTTTTTCCAGCAGAAGTATCGAATGCTTTTGGATTTAGAGTTGTTTGAAGAGTAGTCAATGATTGGCTACCTATTTTGATAACCCATTCGAGAGGATGAGATTTAGAGCTTGCAAGTGTAGGATAATTGAATCCAAGAGCTGGGGCTATTTTAATGGTTGAAGCTATACTAGAGCCAGTATAAGTTGTTTGGAAATAAATAGACTGACCACTTCAAGTTGGAGAAGAAATAGTGGTCAAAGCAGCATTGCTGCTATCCAACCATGTTAGCGTTATTATATCTCCTGCCGTAATGCTGCAATCGCTCGGCATATAAATAGTAAAACTTTCTATGCCTGAATATGTACGAGTCAGGCCAATAGTAGCATAGCCAGTTCCTCCAGCATTGTTCTGGTATGTAAATGAAGTAGATGTAGGTTGGGATCCAGAATACGATGACGCCAATGTAAAGCCCCAGGTTGCTGAATTTGTATCTATAGTCATTGAACTTGAATTAATCGTAACTGACGTCGTTATTGTTGCAGAAGTGATACTAGATGATCCAACAGTTAATAAATTTGCAACTGAAATAGTTTTTCCTGCATCTATTGCTCCAAAGTTACTTATTGTAGCAACAGTCCCACTCACTGCGCATGAATAAAAGCTTCCATCAGTTTTGTTAGGCAATCCACTTACAATATAGCAAGAGCTTGAATCTAAGGTTGCTTTATAATCAATAGTAATAGTTCCCCCTACGGGCACTGCAGTTTGAGTTGTAAAATTCAGTAATGTATATAATGTATTTCCGCTAGAAAAGTCACTCCCACTTGTATAGGGGTCATGTGAGATTGAGCTTATTACACCTGCTGGGACTGCAAGACTAGATATTGATGCCCTGTCGACGATAATTTCTGAGTTCGGCATTATTGTTTGGACTATGAAATTTGCTGCACTAGCAGACAAGCTGTAATAGGGATTCATAATTGAAGTCACTTTAATCCCGACTTGAACGCCTGAGGCTAAATTTTGAGAAAGACCTGATAAAGTGAGGATGTTTCCTGAGCTTGTGCATGTATAAGTGCCAGGAATCACAGCGACCCCTGTTGAATAAGCTACAGGAATGCATGAGGTAGTTGAAGTTATTGAAAAAGGGCTTGGGATAGTTATCGTAAAAGTAGAGCCAGCTGATAGAGAGCTGGCAAGCGTAAAAGTAAATGTATAGTCACTAGTTTTTGTCAGTGCAATCGTGGTTGAGGTTACTGCCCCAGTCATCGAGGTTACTGACTTAGCAAACCCGATTACCCAAAAAGCAAAAATTTCATTTTTCTATGCAATTAATTATAATTTTTTCTATAAAAAGCTAATATACACTTTATAATGAATAAGAGCTTTGGTACTATTTGCTATATTCAAAGAATAAAAAACGTTTAGCCAGTGGCAAAGTTTCTATCACTATAAAAAGTTATATTTTTTTAAAAAAAATAATGCAAAAAACTCATATATATTTCGTTTCCCAAAAGCATCGTTAGAATCAATGATTTGTCCTCCATTATGCATTTGTGAGTAGATTGTAAAGTATCCAGTTCCCATAGAGCTTGATGGATTAGTTATATTTGGAACTTTTACCCTTAAGCGGGTAACTGAAGAGATTGTTGATGAGAGGGTGATTGTGACAATAACATTGTTTGATTCAGAGCAGGAGTGGACTACATCATTGATTAAACAGCTTTGCCCAGTGCCCATGCCTATATCTGAAAACTGGCTTGGGAAAACTATGATTAAATAGTCGCCTGCTGAGATTCCTTGCTCGATCTCCATGAAAAACCAATAATCGACTCCAGTTTCACCCGCGTTTGCAGAGGAAGGAGAGACTGGATTAGGCTTGGAAGTATCTGCAATAAGATAAGAGTTTGCCAGGCTGAATAAGATTAGATTAGTTAAATTATAGCGGGTCGTCGAGGTTTATTTCCCCCCCTCCTTCCAACGGATAGCTTAGCTTCGGCGCTAAGCGCTACCATCACACACCATCTTTTTGCTTCTGACGTCACCAAAAAATGGGTCTAAACGGGGAGACACCCCTACCGATCGGTGTCGCCTTTCTTGGTCCCAAAATTCTGCAAAAGACTCCCTTAGCCTCTGACAGGGCTCAAGAGTATAGGTGGATCGTCTTTTGTCTCCTCCATGGCCTGTCAGAGCCTTATTGCAGGCTCGAAGATTGTACCCATGGAGCAGTATTGGGAGTCTACGCCGGTAGGGACTCTGCAAGTAAGGAAAAAAGATTTAAGGCCAGCTCCTAGACCAAAAACCCACCCGGAGAACTATCGCCATGTGGCACGCCTTTTCTGGGCCCGGATCAACTCGTGGGTCACCAGAAGTCCACGTTAGATCACGCCATTTTAATAATTCTGCTGAATAAGAAGATAAACAGATATCGAACCATTTTATGTTTGTTAGACGATCAAATTTATTAAAAAATTCAGTTTTTTTTGTACTGCTGAAGAAGGGAGAGATAATAAAGACTGATTAAATTAGAAGAAATAAAATATTGAATTTGCGGAAGCTGCAAAACTTAGTTTTCAAGATTGAGAAGTTTGAATTTGGCTCCTGAAAAAGCCATATTATGAATTAAAAAAAACAACCCGACAGATTATTTGAAAAAGTATGATAGTGGATTACTGAAAATATAATTAATGCGAAAATAGAATCTCTGAAATTTGTAGATTTTATAGTGAATTTATTTTGATAATTAATAAACTAAATTAATTTATTAATTAAATTATTGTAGTAAAAGCTTACTTCTAGTTCGTGGTAAGATTTATTTTTTTATTATATAAAAAGTTTTTTTCGGATTTAATATGAAAAAATAGGGAATTTTATAATGTTATTGCTCGATAACCAAGGAGGGGGGTTATTATATTTCAAAACCTTTTTGCTTTTGACAAGAATTTAATAGACAAATATAAATTTCTAATATATATTTCACTTAAACAATTTCTTATAATATGAATTTTTGGGAGCTGGAGATAGCCGATGAAATTCCCAGCATTTTAAAAAATCGTGAACTCCATGGGACCACTGACATCTATTATATAGGAATAGTTGGATATCCAGGAATTGGCAAAGTAATTTCTAAATAGACAGTTTCAGCTGATTTTCTCAAAAAAGAAATCAACTCACGTCTAGAAAATCTTTATCCTTCTCCTTATGTTTTCACAGAGTTTTGCAAGGTAATCCCAATGGATGGATTTCATCTCTACAAATACGAGCTTGACGATATGCCAAATCCTAAAGAAATGCATTTTCGAAGAGGGGCGCATTTTACATTTGACCCTCAAAATCTCTATTATTATAAGCTAGCTATTTTACATATTTTTGCGGCGATTAAAGCTCTGGAATTAATTAAGCTAATTATGAAAATAAGGAAAAATGGCTAATTCACCATACAAACTTTCCCATTTAAAACTAGGAAACCACCCTATAAACTTCCCTTCATTTTCACATACACTTGACGATCCTCAAGAAGATACTATATAGTACCCCCCCCCTCGTTTGTCGCATTTTCTAGTTTTTTTTTAAGGGAAAAAAAAATTTACAGGACCTCGTTTGTCGCATTTTCTAGTGCAAATACACATTGTCGCAATTTCTAGTTTTTTTAATTTTTTTTTGATGTCGCAAATCTTAGTTTTTTTAAAAAATAGTTTCTGATTAATTTAATTGAGTAATTATAGAGGAGTTTACCTTACATTTGCCTGCAGAGGGTTAGCAGGCCCGAGTCCTTCCAAGTCCTTCCCAGTCCTTCCCAGTCCTTCCCAGTCCTTCCCAGTCCTTCCCAGTCCTTCCCAGTCCTTCCCAGTCCTTCCCAGTCCTTCCAGTCCTTCCCAGTCCTTCCCAGTCCTTCCCAGTCCTTCCCAGTCCTTCCCAGTCCTTCCCAGTCCTTCCCAGTCCTTCCCAGTCCTTCCCAGTCCTTCCCAGTCCTTCCCAGTCCTTCCCAGTCCTTCCCAGTCCTTCCCAGTCCTTCCCAGTCCTTCCCAGTCCCTTCCCAGTCCTTCCCAGTCCTTCCCAGTCCTTCCCAGTCCTTCCCAGTCCTTCCCAGTCCTTCCCAGTCCTTCCCAGTCCTTCCCAGTCCTTCCCAGTCCTTCCCAGTCCTTCCCAGTCCTTCCCAGTCCTTCCCAGTCCTTCCCACTTTTACTCTCCCCTTTTTAGAGAATAGATTAAATTAGCTAGCTTATTAACCCCATTCTCCTTGCGCTTCAATGACCTGCCTTGCTCTTTCATTTTTCACCTTAAGAATGGAATTTTGCACTTCCTCAAAAGAAATTTCGTCCCATGACTCCTGAATGGCAGCAATTAGTCTGGCTTTGCTGTCAGGCCTTCTTTTTTTCTCCACTTTCCTCTTCAAATTGGCCCAGATCATCTCAATTGGATTGAGATCTGGGCTCTTCGGCGATTGAGTCTTCACATCAATCCCGTTTTCTCTGCAATATTCCATAGTTTGCCTTGCAGTATGGGCTGTTGCCCCATCCTGAACGAAGGTGTAGTCTCCATCTAAAGGCTCAATATAGCCCTGGAGAATGTCTCTGATATAGGCCTGGGCATTGATTGCATACTTCTCCTTCTTTATGAAGAGCATTTTGCCAAAAACGATAGAAATTCCTCCCCAGATCATAATTGAGGTTTTTCAATTGATAGGCTCTTCAATCGTTGCGTTTATCCCTTCTTTGCACCACGACAAATTAGAGTTACGAAAGAGATGCACATAGCACTCATCACTGAAGATCCATGAAGCGATATCTGAGTCAATCAAAGACCTAGCCCAGGACATTCTCTGCTCTTTATGAGCTTCAGTTAGCTGTAGAACAACCCTCTTCTTCCTATAGACATATCCCCTCTTCTTCAGCTCTTTTCCTAGCTGTTCTTCGCTGAAGTCAACTGTCTTTCTTTTGAATTGGGCCCTCAAACTTGCCTTGCTGACAAAGCCTGTATCCTTCTCACATTCCTTAATGACCTCAGCAAAGTCTTCATCACTTCAATGCTTTAGGGGAGATCTGGATAGTGCCTCTTCTCTTCCAGCCGCTTCGTCAGATTCACTCTCAGTATTCTCTGCAGCAATTCGCTCAATAGTCCGTTTAGAAGTCCCCAAGATTGTCGCAAGTTCTTCGTTTTTAAAGAAACCTACGTCAATGATCCTCTTGACTATGCTCTCTCCATCATTCCATTTTCTTAGGAGGAGGCGATAGTCCATGGTCCACAAGCTTCCGCCTGAGCTCTAAAGTGTGCTCTTCAGGATTGAACTTGTTGGTGTAGTGCCTGATCGTCGTCAGGCTCATGTCCTTGCCACAAGCAGCAAGACGCTCTTGGATCTGCTTTGCATTGAGCCTCTCTCCATAGGCCATGCTTTGAATCATTGCCGGGATTTTTATCGGCTGGTCCTCAATTTCGCGCAACTCCATTAATTAATATGGAAGACTAGAAATTAAGCTATCAAATAAGGAAATAGGCATGAAGATAGGGGAATAAGAATGGTGAATGGCAAGTGGTGAGGCTTAAGCAATGGAGCAGATAATGGGAAGCAAGCTGTGGGGATTGAGGAATGGGAGCAAGGATTTTGAAGGAAGAAATGATGAAATTTCACTAACTGATCCCTTGACGAATTTTAATTTTTAGGAATTTATATAGAGAGAAAAAAAACCTAGAAAAATGCGACAAGCGAGGTCCTGAACCGATTTTTTTTTGGCTTAAAAAAAAACTAGAAAATGCGACAAATGAAGTCCTGAAATTTTTTTTTTCTCTTATAAAAAAAAAACTAGAAAATGCGACAAACGAGGGGGGGGGTACTATACAAGTTGATCCAAATATTGTGAAAGTTGTAATTATTGAAGGACTGTATTTATACTGTGAGCTGCCTATTTGAAAAGAAATAAGGGAAATTATTGATTATAAAATTTATATAGATGGGAATTTAGATGAGGCAATGGATAGAGTTGTGCAAAGAAATGCAAGATGTTTAAATATGAGCCTTGAAGAAACGGCGTATAAGGTACAGCATAATGATAGGCTGAATGCAGGGGTTGTGGAAGAATCAAGGAGATATGCAGATAAAGTTTTTAGGTATCAGGAAAAACCAAGAGAAATTTTGAGGCTATATGAATAAAATTAAAATATAATTTAATTATAGCTCAATAATATTATAAATTATTATAGTAAATAGAATCTTATCCAATTGTAAGTTGATATATAATTTATTCCAAAGTATCATTATAGTTAATATTTGGACAAATTCTATCTTCTATACAGGGTTTATTGCTATTTTATAAGCTAATTATTAAAGGTTTTAACTTTCATTTTTGAGTTTAATTTTAATATGGATCCATGGCAACTTAAACTTCTCTGTTTATCTAATCCTCCTCAATCCATTACAGTAGCACCACCTTCTCCACACTTCCCTTCTTCTGATAACCCTCCTTCTTCACTCCGAGTCCCAGAATATCTTATCGAGCAGACCATAATTTCCGAAAAAATTCAAGAATCCCAATACAATAAAATTGGAGGCTACAAACCTTTAGAATTCTTACTCCCCCCTTCGCAAATAAACAAAATTTTGTTCACTCACGGAGGGGGTTTTAATCATTTGATCAAATTTCTGATCGGCTCCCACGAGCCAAAGATGGATTTCACACGTGAAAATCCAGAAATTCCACGTGGAAACCCATTTTTGGCTCGTGGGAGCCGATCATAAATAATGCCAAAAAGATCATAATATTTTTTTAAAAAAATTTAGGTAAAAATTTTTCCAATTTTGTAAAATTGTATTTAATTTGCAAAATTTATGTTTAAAATGTAAGCTGTTTAAAAATTTATGTTTTAAAATGCAAGCTGTTAAAAATTCAGAAATTCGCTAGAGATTTCATTATACTAATTATTACGTATATATCAAAATTGTTTTTCATAAAAAATTTTATTCACTCATGGAGGGTCGATTTTTGGTCAAAAAATAGGGATTTTTCCAATAGTTTTGTTCGCTCACGGGGGAGTTAGAAACAATTGATATTGCAGCCCCAAAAGCAAAAAAAACTCAGCCCAAGCCTTCAAATCCTCTCCCAGTCCAAAAATTCATTATTGACAATTCTGAGTACGAAAAGTCCTATGATGAGCTCCAAAGATTAAATTCTGAGCTAGCCCAACAAAAGGAAAATGCAGAATATAAAAAAAAGCTGGATTTATTAGAAAAAACTTTAAATAGAATTGAAAATGTATCAATAAGACTGAATGAAATTTCTGACAAAAAAACACAAGAGAGATTAAGTGAGCTGGCTTTTGAAAATGAGAAAAGTGACATCAAAGACATTTTGAAAAAAATGAATAAAGAGACTGATAAAGATGAGGAAAGCAGAATAGGGGAATTATTGGCAAAAAATAAAGCCATTTATAGCGAAGTTGATACATATTTAGATAGTAGGAAGAGCAAAGTTGTAAATAGGCCGAGCTGTATTCAAGTAAATCCAATGCGAGTAGCAAAAATAAGAAGGGTGTCTCAAGTCAAAGTTGTTAAATATCCTCCAATTTCGCGTTTTAAAAGCACAAATTTCTAATTATAATGAAATATTAACGAAAACCTTAATGACTCATTAATTTTTTTTGCAAATTCAATCATTAGAGAAAATTTTTCTTACTGATGACAATAATGAAATAAAGATTTCAAGCTAAATAAACTTGAATATAAAATGGAAGAAAGTAACCAACCCAATTCTTCTCAATACGACTCCAAAAAGCTCCTCTACAAATACCAGTTCGCCTTTCTCCTCATGCAACGATCATTCAGCTCAATGGGCAAAATAATTTCTACTTGGGAAACCCGCCAGCTTTTCAAATCCATTTCAGTCTGGAAAATCCACTGTTTAGACTCCCCAAAGCTCGAAAAAGCCCAAATCCAAGCAATTCTTTCTACCATACAGTCTAAGCTTGACAACTTAAATTCAGTCCTATCCTCAAGGGTCAAGCAAAATATGCATGCAAATCTGCTTCGGATTTTGAAATGCGCAAAGCTGAAACACGTTCTTGATAAGGCTAAGCAAGAACAAGAAACAATACAGGCAGGACATCAGCAAGAATTAGACGCAATGACCCAAGAACTCAGCAATCTTCAAGAGAAGCAAAAAGAACTGGAAAGTCTGGTGAAAGATTTCAAAACGAAAGAAAATCAATAGAGCTGTATATAAAAAGACATTTTGTGAATTTTTCAGTCATTTTTAATAGAAAAAAATCATTTTTTTGTATGACCAATCAATATAAAGACCAAATCAACGATTTAAAAGCAGGCAGAGTTCAAAATGCGGCAGCCATTGAAAGAAGTAGAAAGCTAGCCCAAGAAAAAGAAGAAGAACTGATGGAAAGAATTGAGGATTTAAGAGAAGAAAACGCACAATTAAGTGAAAAATTAGCTGCAGTCGAAAATAATGTGACTACATTTATCCAAGAAATGGGAACATTATTGGAAGCCAGCGAAGAGTCTAATAAAAAGAGAGCTAGTGTAAGTAGTAGCCAAAAGCCTAAAAAGACTGGTAAAACTGGAAAAAGAAGCAGAGGGCCGACTATAACTTTGGATTTGGGTAAGTGATAAACTAATAATATTTTATTATGTGAAGAAGTAGATTAATATTATTTTTCTCTGATTTCAGCTATTATTATAGTTCGAGCCCTATTTGGATCGAGCTCGAATGACGTTGGGAGACGTAAGATGGGGAGTTGACGAACCAACTTTTGATGGATGTGCTAAATCCCTAGGTAAATCCTCTTGTTATTGGAGATTCACTATCTGAGGAGTTGAATTTGCCAGAAAACGTTAACTCCCCATCTGGCGTCTCCCGATATCAGTCAAGCCCGATCCAAAGCAGGATTCTGGCTATATTAGAATTCTAATAATTTTAGTTGACATAATAAAATGCACAAGGATTTTTTGCTCATATTTACACTTTTAAGCTGACAAATAGTTCTGGGCAAGCCTTATTAGACTTAGATTACTCAATTTAACTCACCTAAACTTGGGCCTCTGAGTGCTCAACCCGTAAGATCACTTTTTCCTTGGATTTGTCGCTACCCAACTGTGCGTACGGCCTTTCGATAAGCATCACTCATTCTCTCTCCCTTGAAGATGCTTGAGAGCTAAGAAGTCGTGAGACCATCAGTGGCTTGGTGCGTGCCTCACTCTATCCGAATTTCCTTGTTCGTTATAGGGATTACCTCTGTCGGGCAGCGGAAAGAGGTAAAACGTGAAGTAAGAAAGCCAACGCCATTTTTTCCCTATTAATCAGAAGTGCACCTGATAAAGCCTTTCCCCATAATAATAAAATCAGGAAGAGGAAATTCACCGAGAGAATTCTCCTCTCATCCGAGCCATTTTATTATTATACTGGGCAAGCTAGCAGAAAAATTTATTACGATTTCTCCTGAAAGCCAATGAGAATATATCAGTAAATTTACTTGTGATCCAGGTAAAGGATCCTGAGAACTAAAAGCAAAAATCCATAGGCCTAGTGATCTCTCCAGTACACAATTTTTATCGCTAGAAACCTCTATTTACTTGGATACTAATTGGGACGAAACTTTAAGTTTCCCAGCTTGTAAAGACAAATTATCTTCAAGTAAAGGGATAAAAAACGTCAAAATTCCTCTCAATGGAGACTGATCTGAGCTCATTAAAGGAACTTTTTCTCAAACTTCCCCTCACGTTTGGTTCTTTGCCCTCTCAAATTGCAATGCAACAATCAATAATTCTCATGAAATCCGTGTAGAAATGCATTTTTTAAATTCTGATAAATCAGAATTCTCAACAGAAGATAAAGACTTACTGCTACTATATATTGCAATTTTTATAGTTTTTGCATTAACTTTATCAAGAAATATTTATAGCTTGCGACTCCATTCAGCTGATCTAGAAAAAATAACTTTCCTTAAGAACGATTTTTTCTAAAAAATTATTTAATTTTTTATTTATTTTTTCCTTGTAATGGGCGATAACCATAATTTGCTTATTTTTAATTAATATTTACCTATTTAGGCAAAAATAGCTAATAAAAAGATATATAGAGTTGTATGCTATATCACCTTATTAAGGTTTTCAAGCAAACCAGTGAAATTACTCCAAATTTAATGATGCTAAACTCAGCAATTTTAATAGAGTTTTTTGGGTTGGTCTTTGAAGTTGCCCATTTGTTAGTTTATTATAGTAATGGAAAAGGGTGGATTATATTTGATTTCTTTTATCATTGCTTGTTTATAGTTTCAGGGCTAGTTGTGAGCTTTTTATTCTTGATAATGGCTGATGGCTGAAGCTTGAAATATAAAGATTTCCCAAATTTTGAAGAGCTGATACCGATTTTACTATTGCAGGTGCTGATAAACATCTTATTTGTAGGGTTCAGCAAAGTTATTGATGATTCCTACTACAAATTTAGCGATTTTGAAGGAATTCCAGGCGCTTTGATGCTTATTTTTAAAATCTGTATTTGGTGCTGGTTTATTTTTACCATAAAATCACAATTTAATTCTTTGCCCCCAAGAAAAGCCTCCTTTTTAATGAATTTTTCAGTTTTAGTATCTTTTTACCTATTAGGCCTGCCTCTGCTAGTATCCATTTCCTGGCAATTCAAAAACTACCTGCGAAACCGAATCGTAAAAATCGGCTACAATTTGATACAAATCCTGGTCTATTTTTTACTTACACATTTATTTAGTGACAAGAGCAATTACTATAAGATTTCTACTCTCTCAGAAAGTAGCCTGCCTGGAAAAAGAGCCTACTAATGTGCTTTTATAAGCTTATTAATTTAAATTGAGCTTAAATTTCTTCATCAACAGTCACTTCTTGTAAAGCAGATTCTAGCTCTCCAGAAGCTTCAAATCTTGATATATAATTTTTCGGTGCAAAAGGACAAGCAGCCGTAAATAAATCATGTTCTCTCCCCTGGACATAATCAAAAGCTTCAATCGGCAGCACAAACCACCTTAATTCTTCTTTATCGTCTGGGATCACAAAAGCATCCTCAGCATAATTGCAGCCTTCATATCTTTTTTCTTTAATTTCTGCCAAAAATCCTCTAGCTATTTCTAAATACTGACTCCCCCCCCCTCCGTGAGTGAACAAAAAAATTTTGTTCACTCACGGAGAGGGTTAATTTATTTTTAAAAAAATTTATATATAAATTATTTAAAAAATATTTTTTTCGAAATTTAAAAAAATCCTAATTCACAAAAATTGGAAAGCAAATATTAATTTAATTTATAAAATTTATGTTTTAAATAGCAATTCGTTTAAAATTAAACAGAATTAACTCTAGATTTCATTATATTAATTATCATTTATATATCAATTTTTTTTTCCATAAAAAATTTTTGTATTAAAAAAATTTTTGTTCACTCACGGAGGGTGGGTTTTTGGGCAAAAAATAGCGATTTTTCTAATGGTTTTTGTTCACTCATGGAGGGGGGAGTGAGGTAAATTTTTTTCTTTTGTTAAATCCATTTTTTGGTAATGCATTTTTCCAGACTCATAAGAAATGTCACTGAGCCATTTGCGGATTTTTTTCCTGCCTTCTTTGGTGAATTCTCTATGCATAAAAGCAGCACGGTCCATCATAAATTGATACTGACTCCCCCCCTTTAAATTGGAACAAAAATTTAATTTTATAATAAAAAAATTTTATATATATAAATCATAATTTTTATGTAAAAAGTTTTGATATAATTTAAATGTTTCTTCTTAACTAAAATTAAAAATTTAGTTGTATCCTGCTCTGTTTAAAGAATAGAGTATAAAGAGCATCTTATTTAAATAAATTTATTATCCTTAATTATAAATTTTTTAAAAAAATTTTCAAAAAAAAATTGATTTTTTTTGATAAAAATGATATTTTTTATTTAAATAGCTTTGATATAAATTCAATACAAATTCTTTACAGAAATTCAAAATTTACTTATCTCTTGCTTTATTTTAAAGAATAGAGTATAAATAACATCTTATTTAAACACAATTAGCACTTTGATTAATAAATTTTCTAAAATTTTTTTTTTTTAATTTTTTTTTATCAATAAAAATAATAATTTTTGTGTAAATAGTTTTGATACCAATTAATAGTGGCATATTATTAATAATAAAATTTTAGTCATATCTTGCTTTGTTTTAAGGATAAAGAGTAAATAGCATTTTATTAAACAAATTTATTAATCTAATTCGATAAATTTTTGAATTTTTTTTTTTATAAAAATTTTATAATGATTTTTTTTTTAAAAAAATTTTCTTAACCCCCCTTTAAATTGGAAACAAAATTTTTAGTTCCAATTTAAAGGGGGGGGAGTGAGGCAAAAACCATATAGCATTTTCTGCTACAAATTCCAAGGCGTCTAAAATGTAATCAATTGTATCTTCGGTCGCAAAATAATTGAAATTTATCCTTACAAAGCCAGGCCGGAATAAGTCAAAACCATCTGCTAAGACTTCCTGAAAAGATTTGGCAAGCTCGTATTCGATATTTAATAAATTAAATGCATAAGGCCCAGCACAAGCGCAGCCACCTCTGCATTCAATTCCAAATAAATCGTTCAGCAGTGCAGCCATAAAGCTGTGGTGGAAAAATCTGTTCCCACATCTGATTAAAAACGAAAAAATTGGTAATCGATTGATTTCACAATTCCCTAGCAGAGCAATATTAGGGTTTTGTGACAGCCTTGCCAATATTTTTTTAGCAATTTCAAATTCTCTTGCCTCAATGGTTTCTACACCTACAGCTTCTTTAAGCTGGAATACAAGGCCAGCTCTGATGGCTCCAATTATATCAGGAGTCCCTCCTTCTTCTCTTGCTTCTGGGTCTAATACATAAGTATGGTCTCTTTCTGTGACATAAAATACAGTCCCACCACCAGGCGAAACTGGGATATCATTTCCAAGTAAACGCTTTTTTACTACCAGCATCCCAGGGGTTCCTGGACCTCCTGGGAATTTGTGAGGGGAAATAAAAATCGCGTCTAGAGGACTCATAGGCGGATTCATGTTAATTTTCACATATGGGGCTGCGGCTGCATAGTCAAAAAAGGCAAGGGCGTTGTACTTGTGGAGCAGGGTCGCAATGGCTTCTACATCACTCACGATCCCTGTCACATTAGAAGCTGCAGAAAAAGAGCCGAGCTTGCAAGGAAAAGCTTGATATTTAATAAGCTCATTTTCTAGAAATTCTAAGTCAATTTTCCCTTGTTTGCATTCAGGGATTTGTATTACTTCAGCCCCAGCCTCTCTCCATGGTAAAATATTCGAGTGGTGCTCAAACACAGAAATAAATACAATTGGCTTGGATGGGTCTGGAGGGATATGTTTTGCTCTTTTTGCCAAATTTCCCTGGTGTATTTCTGAAGAAGTATGTTCCAGAAAATTTCCCTGGGTTTTAAAGTACATTTCACATAGAGTGCACTCATAAATCCCAAGGTGATTTTCTTTGAAATAGCAATGTTTGTGGCCCCATTCAGTCTTTTTAAGGACTTCTACCAGTTTATTGATAGAAGATGTGGACCCGCTGCCACAGAAAATTACGACGTCTTCATCACTGGCGCCGACACATCGGGATATGATTGATCTGGCTTCACTTCGGAAAAAGGTGGTCTGAAGGCCTACCCAAGATGTGGAGGTATGGGTATTGGCGTAGTTTGGCATTATTACGTCTCTTATATAGTCCTCGATAAAGGTAAGAGGCCTTCCTGAGGCTGTGTAATCGGCATAAATTAGAGGACGCTGTCCGAAAGGTGTAGTAAACATATAGCGATCGCCTATTACAGAGTCGCAGATAGTGTTTAGAAGAGCTGTATTCATGGTAGGGTGGGAATTGGAGGTTTTTGATTCTTCTTGTGGCTGAGTTTCTGAGGATGTTTTGTGTTGAGGATTTATTTGATTTGGAGCCACAGACATTATTGTAATAAAATAAATTTGAATAATTTCATTGAAAGTGCAAGGGATTTTTATATAGCTCGCAATTAGGCTTATTTATTTTTATTTTCAATTAAGAGCTTGAAAAGGCTAATTCTAGTGTCAGAATTATTTATTAAAATTTATTAAAATTATATTCTAGTAAAATTCCAAAGGATAGGAAATTTGAGGTTAAAGAATAAAGGAGAACGATTTTTAGTGCATTTAAATAATTGAATGCTTAAAATATATTTTAATTTTTTTAACCAAATATTCAGTAATAAAAACAGTAGCATATAAAGCCATTTTGAAAACATATTTATCAAGCTAGGGGTTTTCATTTTAATACAGAAATATATTAAAAAGACATTCACGAATTTATTTTTTTAGCGCAAGTCGGAGTAATTTTATTTTTGCAGCTTACTGTATTTGGCAGACTTTTTTTATTGAGCCGTAAACCAGCTCTCCAGTTGGACTATGATTTTAGAGCTTGGAGGCTATATGCTCTTAAATATTATCCAATTAATCTTATAAAGTTTCTGAAATACCTCTCCCCTTCTTATGACTTTCGACAATTATGGCTTTGATGATCTGCTAAATATAGTCTTTTTAAATCTCAGAAGGAAATCTAAACTTGCTTTAAAGGTCAAAATTATTTCAAGATCCATCAACTCCCTGATGACGCCATCCTTAATTACGTAGCATTGATAGAATTAAAATCAATAACTTTAGGTCTTTTGAGATAGAAACAATAGTTTGAAAGGAAGCTAAGCTTATATGCATTGACCCCATGATTTTCATTGAGGCAATAATTTTTTCTGTCTTACTCCTCTACCTCTATAGAGGCTGCATCTCATTATATCAGAACCTAAAATAGTGTAAAGTTGCTTTAGAGAATTTGGTACAAAATTTTGATAATATGATATTATTTGGATTAGTTAAATTTCATATGAATATATCAACAAGTTTCAAATAAATTTTCTGAGCAACTAAAAATGAAAGCATATTGTATAAATAAATTTTTTTATAAAATAAAAATTAATTAAATTTGCAATTTATAATGATACAGATTTTAAATATAATAAATATTAAATACATATCAAAGCATAAAATTTAAGATATATTTAAATAGAGCAAATGTTTTTAATTGCTCAAGAGTTATAATTTTCTAAAAAATTATAAATCTCATAAACTAGTAAGTAAGATAGAGGATATCTCGCAAAAAATCTTGCCATATAATTCAGATTCAGATATTTCAGACATTGATTTTTAATTTAAGACAAAAATGATGACGTAAAATTTGCCTAAAATAAATGGCATAATTATAGTAAAATATCAATTGGATTGCAATATAATTTTCTTCTTTCCTAATTATATTACAATTAAAATCATTGTTAAGCAAACATGCTATCCTAGCTAACTCTCCCCCCTTCGTGAGTATCAACAAAATTTTGTTCACTCACGGAGAGGGGTTAGTTTTTTTTAAAACAAATTTATATAGAGGTTTCCTCTATATAGCGCTAAAAGCGCAGACATTTTCCCAGGAGCTTTCCAAGTTCGTCGGACCAAATCGCTTTTTGGTCCGACCAAGGCATTGATTTGGTGCAACCTACCGATAAATTCCGATCAGAATTTATCGGCCTTACAGCGCCAAACATAGGAAACTTCTATATATAAATTTTATAGAAAAAATGTTTTTCCGAAATTTAAAAAAATCCTAGTTTGCAAAAATTTGGAAGCAAATATTAATTTAATTTATAAAATTTATGCTTTAAAACGCAATTTGTTTGAAATTAAACAGAAATAGCTAGGGATTTTATTATACTAATTATCACTTATATATCAATTGTTTTTCCATAAAAAAATTTTTGTTTACTCACGGAGGGTGGTTTTTTAGGCAAAAATAGGAATTTTTCCAATGATTTTGTTCATTCACAGAGGGAGGGAGTAAGCAATAAATATTAAAATATTCAACTCACGAGCGTTAGATAAAAAATAAAAAATTATCTTAATTAGTTAAAAAATAATTAAAATATGAGAAGTTTTTAATAAAACTATAATTATAAGAAAATCTAACCACAGATTCAGTATGAAATCACATCCATGATAACTTAGGAACAAAAGTATTATCGAATTCAAAATTGCGATTTTCTTGCACTATTTCAAAGCCAACCCTCTGAGCAAAAATTTCTTGGATATATAAATGATAATTATTATAACGAAAATCTCTAGAGCGAATTCTTTTCAATTTTATATAGATTTTATTCTAAAACTCTAATTAAATTGATTCTACTTTTCATTTTTATAGGATTATTTTTAAAAATTTAACTTTCTTCGTGAGTGAGCAAAATTTTTGGCTTTATCATGGAGGGGAGTATAAAAATTCGCTAAATTATTTTAAGGAGATCCCAAAATTAAGTATAAATTTAAGCATCCAAATCATTGTTTTAGAAAAATAGGCAAGCAGTGTAATCATAGTTAACAATATAAAATATTAAGCTAAACACTTTCAAGTTAAATGCTTGTTTCACCATTTTACCATATTCCCGACCTATATTTATTGCCATTAAATTTAAGGAAAGCTATTAAGCTTAAGGGAATCCAATAACTGATTCGTGCTAAGGTAATTAAAATACTGGGAATAGATAAAAATGGTTAGACTTTCCTAGAACTGCTGATCCCTAGGGCTCCCTTACAATGAATAAAACTATTATAATTAATTAAGATTAAGATTCGTGATAAGGAACCATGTTGCAAGACAGCTTATGGTAGACTAAGTTGTCTTGCTCGAAGTTATGATGTTCGACTTCAAATTCCCACCCCCACTTCATAACTCTCATGACTTGGTAGCCACATAAGAAAAATAAACCAAATAATCCAAGCCTAAAAAATGTAATGTGGCTAAATATCACCTTTTCACCATTTCTTTCAAAGGATCCGCATGGGCGGATCAGGTGTCTGTTGTTTGGAAGTTCATTTCTTGGGATCAGACCAGGAATTTCCAATGGAACACGTCGTCTAACAGCTTCTCTTTCCCAAGTCATAAGCTGAGTCCATGTAAATTTTGACATTTTCTAATATTACAGGGAATTTCACCATTTTCAAAAAACATACCTGTCGAGCTGTTTAAAAAGCCATTTTTTTGCCATTAAATATTTTATTCTTAAAATGAATCTCTCCACACAGCTTCTTTGTTACCTTTGAGTATCTTAAACTAATTCATTGAGAAGCATTTAGGTATTTTTATTTTTAAGCAGTTGAATCAAGTATAAAAAGCTGAAAAACCAGAATAATTTAAAAATTAAGATTATAATAAATAATTCTTATAGTGAAATCTTAAATTGCAGGTCTTGGCTTACGCTCCTATTTGTAGCACAGCCACCAAGGATCTCGAGGAGTTTCACCATCTTTATGAAAACGACAGGGAGATTTGGATAATGATACACCTGGCGAAGAAAGGCTCAGATATCACCTTTCCCCTCTTCACTGCCTGACATCATTGTGAAATCAAAACAAAAAAGTAAGGCTTTAATATATCAATATTTTAAGCATAAAATAATTTATAAAAGATAGCATCATTTGGTTTAATTAAAAGATGCTGGCTATTTTAGCTATTAGTAGATTATAAGTCGAAATACTTATACCGCAAGAAGTTTTTTTATTATTAGGTAATTGGTTTACCATAAATTTGTGATATAGCATGCTAAAATAACGCAGGGCTAAAATAATCAAAGAACAAACTTTTAATTCAGCGAGTATGATAGAATTCACAAGAAAAATTCTTTAAAAATCATCCTTAAAAATTATAATAAATTGCATTTTTACCTTAGCATTATTTATATAATTTACTGATTTTAAAGAAAAATAAACCTCTGATTTTTAAGCTAAAATTTTTCAGTATACAATTATAGGGGCTTTAGCTTTTTCTACCATTAGAAGATTTGAAGTTGATTTTAGCTCAATTTTTCAGTAGCTATAACAAAACTATATGAAACCCTTATTATCTAAATAAACTAATTTATGATCTTATTAGTAAATTTGCTTGATGAGCGTCATACAGATGATAAAGTGCTCTCTGCTAAGGTCTTGAGATGTTTTAATTGTTTATTTTTCAAATCAAACTGTATAAGTCTGTAATCATTAGTTATAAAGTAAAAGCTTTCTTCATATAGCAAAGAATCTAAAATATTAAAGAATTTTTTAATCCCTTTTTTCAGTTGAACATTGTTAATCTTAACTATATCTTCTTGATATTTTATTTTTGCAGCTTTTTCAGGAGACAAATTTAAGAGTGATTCAATGAAGCTACTGCTGTTGAACTGATTGATTTTATCTAAGGTGGCACATAAATATATATATTCATTTAATCTTTTTTCTATAAATAAAATCTTTTCTAATGATTTTTCAACTTTTTCTTCTATTTGCATTACTAGTATTGATGCTTCTTGGAGTAACGTTAGTCGATCTTGCTTTATTTTCTGCTTTAAGCCTTTTAAAAATTCAGAAATTATTTTTCTGGTTTGAGGATCAGGATTTTTCATGATTGGAGTGAAATGGTGGCTTCCAGGTGTTTCTCCATGCTCTCCAAGGTGGCTTTGGCATAAAAACACAGATTTATTATCAGAACAATCACATAGATAAATTGGTTTGTTTGAGCAATTTATTGAGCAAGTAATCAACTCATCCATAATTGTATTCCTTCTACAAAAATTCCATAAATTTAAAGGAATTTGATAAGACACACTATTAAAATTCAATTTAAAAATATAATGATATCAGCTAGAAGCCTCATTTTAGAAATTAATTCTATTTAGTCTTGGGTAATTTTTTTAAAATCTTTTATTCAATATTGGAAATAAATATATTGTGGAGCAAGGATTAGCTCAATTATTTATTAGTTTTTGGCACAATTTATTCATAGACTTATTTTTTGAGTAAAATATAAGATTCATGTCTGTATTAAATAAATAATTTATATCTTGAGGCAATGAATTAACAGAGAACAAATTAACAATATTTTGTAGTCTTTATTTTAAATAATCAAAACAAATTTATCTCTAATCTACTACCAAGACAGATCTTTGACTTGCCCAGCGTGTCTTATCTTGAAATTTTGCATTAGATAATAATAATTTTAAGCTGCACTGATTATTAATTTACCTAAACTTAATTTCAGCTTAAAATTTATAAAAATCTCGATGAATAATAAATTCAGCTGATATTGCTCAGTATACTGAAAATAATGTTCATAGGAAAAGCTTTTTCAGTGTCGCTGTAATCAGAAGACAAGAATGCTCTTCCAGACCTGAAAGAAATCAACTATTAGCATAAGTGCATAATACCTGCAAGCTCCATTCTTTTCTTTACTTGGCTTTATTTTAACATAAGATTTAATTCTAAAATGCTAGAAGATGAATCCGCCAGCATTTACCTTATTTTTTCTATTTGTATCAAAATTAAATTCCTATTTAAGATTATGAATCTTTAATTTAAAAAAATTAAAGTTAAATTATAAGGTCTTGAGATGTTTTAATTGTTTATTTTTCAAATCAAATTCAATGAGTCTGTAGTCACAAGTTATGAAGTAAAAGCTATCTTTATATAGCAATGAATAAGAATGGCGAGGATAACCTTCTCCAAATATGTTAGAAGTCCCAAATTGTGTTCATGTATTGATATCGTTTAAGCTACTTTCATAGCAGGATCTATTGTACTGAATTATATAAGCTTTGTTTTTGGTTGCTAAAATAGTCTTTCCTGTGCTAGTATTTAATGTAATTGGAACATTTGTATATGAATTATTTGAAATATTGTGTCCGTATAGATATTGAGATTCATAACCTACAATTAATATCACACCATTAATAAAAGCACAAGAAATAAATCTGTTGCCTGATACTGGATACTGAGCAATTGCATTTCAATTGTTTGATACAAGCGAAAATTTAAAAGAAGCGTTTCCATACCCTCCAAACATGTAAACAAAATCATCAACTGCAATAAGTCCAGAATAGTTACTGTACCGAGAAGAATCCAAAGGAATTATTAAGTTTTTTGGGGTTATAATAAAAGTTTCTGAATCGAAGCAACAAAACACAAAGCCATCATTTAGCAAGCAAGTTGGATCTCATCCTTTTCAGTTTTTATTTATGTTTTGAGAAATTGAGGTTTGCGACACAACATCAACGGCAAATAGAACTCTGTCTCTAAAATATTTTATGATTGGTTCTACTTTTATAGGCCCTAAGCCTTCAAAGTTGTCAATATCAAATAAAAGTTTTGCTTCTTTAACAGAAAATAGACTTTCTATTTTTTCTTTTATACCAGAGTTGTTAATCATCATTATATCTTCTTGCAATTTTATTTTTACTGCATCTTCAGGAGATAATTTTAATGCTGATTCAATGAAGCTCTTGCTGTTTAGATTATTGACTTCTTCCAAGGTATCGCATAAACGTATATACTCGTCTAATCTTTTTTCTATACTTAAAAGCTTTCTTAATGATTTCTCAGTTGATTCCTTTACTTGTTTTATTAGCAAGGATGATTCTTGAATTATTTTTGACCGATCTTGCTTTACTTGAAGCTTTAAGTTTTTCAAAAATTTATAAATAGTGATTTTGGTTTGTAGGTCTGGATTTATCATGATTCGAGTGAAATGATGATTCCCAGCTGATTCTCCATGCGTTCCAAGATGATTATAGCATATAAAGATTTTTTTATCTGCGCAATCGCATACATAAATTGGCTTATTTTGACAACCTATTGAACAAGTCACAAGCTCATCCATTATTTATCAAACTCTACAAATATATATTTTTAACTGGGCTTATTCTGAATAATAATTAATGAATCGACTGATTTAAATGAGAAATTAGAATTCCAAATACTAATTAACTACTTAGTTGGATCGCAATAAAACATTTGCATTCTTCAATAGATTTTATTTATTTAACTAATGCGTAATAGGTAAACAATTATTAAATGGAATTAATTGGAAAAGACATTAAATTCTCTTGCCTTGTCAGTAATAAAACTAGCAAAATCAGAGATGCAACACCCGCAAGCTCTTTTTCAACTTTTTAGATTATTTTTGTATTAATTATTCAATTCTAACCACTTATTAAGAAAAAGTGGAACTGTAAAGAGATACGTTTGTTCAAATATTGATAATATGTTTTCCAGGCTTTTTATTGAAACCAGACAAAATGGAAGCTGTGGAACATGATTGCTTGCTTTTCTGTATTATTTGCTTTAGTCGTCGCAGAGGAATGAATATATGGCTTGCTGCTCTTAGCCAATTCACGAAGATTATTGCAGAAACTCACTTTCTATCTGTCCCCATTCCAGAAAATCTGGATTCCATTTGTAAGATTTCCTTTCGAGCCAACCAGAGCATTTGCACAAAGTAATGAGTTTTTATCTTTAACAATACTTGGGAGTAATTAAAAGTATATTAGTCATATTGGTGAAATCAATGTTCTCAAGATCGTAGAGTTTATTAATAGCAGCATGATCAGAAAGACTAAAATGATCTTCCAGACCTAAAAGAACTCCATCTATTAGTATAAGCACATAATACCTGCAAGTCCTTTCTTTTATTTGGCTTTATTTTAATATCAATATTTATTTCTAAAATGTTAGTAGATGAATTCTTTAATTTTTTAACTTATTTTTTATCTTTGTATAAATTAAATTCCTTCTTAAGATTATATTAAATTTATAAGGTCTTGAGATGCTTTAATTGTTTATTTTTCAAATCAAATTCAATGAGTCTGTAGTCACAAGTTATGAAGTAAAAGCTATCTTTATATAGCAATGAATAAGAATGGCGAGGCCAACCTTCTCCAAATATGTTAGAAGTCCCAAATTGTGTTCATGTATTGATATCGTTTAAGCCACTTTCATAGCAGGATCTATTAAAGTCAATTATATAAGCTTTGTCTTTGGTTGCTAAAATAGTCTTTCCTGTGCTACTATTTAATGTAATTGGAACATTTGTATATGAATTATTTGAAATATTGTATCCGTATAGATATGGAGATTCATAACCTCCAATTAATATCACACTATTAATAAAAGCACAAGAAATAATTCTGTTGCCTGATACTGGATACTGAGCAATTGCATTTCAATTTTTTGATACAAGCGAAAATTTAAATGAAGCGTTTCCTACTCCTCCAAACATGTAAACAAAATCATCAATTGCAATAAGTCCAGAACAGTTACTGTATCGAGAAGAATCCAAAGGAATTATTAAGTTTTTTGGGGTTATAATAAAAGTTTCTGAATCAAAGCAACAAAACACAGAGCCATCATTTAGCAAGCAAGTTGGATCCCATCCTTTTCAGTTCTTATTTATATTTTGTGAAATTGAGTTTTGTGACACAACATCAACAGCAAATAGATCTCTGATTTTAAAATATTTTATTATTGACTCTACTTTTATAGGCCTCAAGACTTCAAAGTTGTCAATATCAAATAAAAGTTTTGCTTCTTTAACAGAAAATAGATTTTCTATTTTTTCTTTTATACCAGAGTTGTTAATCTTTATTATATCTTCTTGCAATTTTATTTTTACTGCATCTTCAAGAGATAATTTTAATGCTGATTCAATGAAGCTCTTGCTGTTTAGATTGTTGATTTCTTCCAAGGTATCGCATAAACGTATATACTCGTCTAATCTTTTTTCTATACTTAAAAGCTTTCTTAATGATTTCTCAGTTGATTCCTTTACTTGCTTTATTAGCAAGGATGATTCTTGAATTATTTTTGACCGATCTTGCTTTACTTGAAGCTTTAAGTTTTTCAAAAATTTATAAATAGTGATTTTGGTTTGTAGGTCTGGATTTATCATGATTCGAGTGAAATGATGATTCCCAGCTGATTCTACATGCGTTCCAAGATGATTATAGCATATAAAGATTTTTTTATCTGAGCAATCGCATACATAAATTGGCTTATTTTGACAACCTATTGAACAAGTCACAAGCTCATCCATTATTTATCAAACTCTACAAATATATATTTTTAACTGGGCTTATTCTGAATAATAATTAATGAATCGACTGATTTAAATGAGAAATTAGAATTCCAAATACTAATTAACTACTTAGTTGGATCACAATTAAAAAATTTTGCGCTTTTCAAAGATTGTCTGTAGTTTTTCAGCTTCTTATTTAAAAAAATACACAAAGATTAAATAAATCAAATAAAATTCACAGTAAATGCACAAGTGTGAAAAATTGTGATGATTTTTTTCTTGATATAGCTTTTCTGTTTAAATCGCAAATTTTAAGTGTGACTGATACAGAAGTTTCGTCAATCATCAATTTATTTTCTAAAATTTTATATTTTACTTAGCTAATGCCAAATTATTAAACAATTATTAAATCGAATTAACTGGAAAAGACAATAAATTCTCTTGCTTGTCAGTAATAAAACGTGTGAAACCAGAGATGCAATACCCGTGCTCTTTTTAGATTATTTTTGTATCAAAATACAATTCTAACTCTTTTTTTAACTCCTTCCCCTCTTTAAATTGGAGCAAAATAGAGGGGTTGCTTGTTTTGAAACAAAAATTATAAAATGCTTATAAAAGTTTTTTCGAATTTATTTTATTTTTACGTAGAGAATCAGAATGAAAGAATTACGTTAAATTACTTCTGCCTTCTAAATGGCAGTCCAATATGTTTTTAAATATTTATGTCGATTAAAGTACAAACTTTTAAACAATAATTTTATTAATTAATCAGAAAGAAAATATAATACCTGCAAGTTCCATTTGAGAAGCTTTAATTGTTTATTTTTCAAATCAAATTCAATGAGCTTATTCCCACAAGTTATAAAGTAAAAGCTATCTTTATATAGCAATGAATAAGAATGGCGAGGATAACCTTCTTCAAGCATATTTGCAGTCCCAAATGGTGTTCATGTATTGATATCGTTTAAGCCACTTTCATAACAGGATCTATTGTAGTCAATTATATAAGCTTTGTTTTTGGTTGCTAAAATAGTCTTTCCTGTTTTACTATTTAATGTAATTGGAACATTTGTATATGAATTATTTGAAATATTGTATCCGTATAGATATGGAGATTCATAACCTACAATTAATATCACACTATTAATAAAAGCACAAGAAATATATCTGTTGCCTGATACTGGATATTGAGCAATTGTATTTCAATGTTTTGATCCAAGCGAAAATTTAAATGAAGCGTTTCCAGATCCTCCAAACATGTAAACAAAATCATCAATTGCAATAAGTCCAGAATAGTTACTGTATCGAGAAGAATCCAAAGGAATTATTAAGTGTTTTGGGGTTATAATAAAAGTTTCTGAATCGAAGCAACAAAACACAGAGCCATCATTTAGCAAGCAAGTTGGATCCCATCCTTTTCAGTTCTTATTTATATTTTGTGAAATTGAGGTTTGTGACACAACATCAACAGCAAATAGATCTCTGTTTTTAAAATATTTTATGATTGGCTCTACTTTTATAGGCCTCAAGACTTCAAAGTTGTCAATATCAAATAAAAGTTTAGCTTCTTTAACAGAGAATAGACTTTCTATTTTTTCTTTTATACCAGAGTTGTTAATCATCATTATATCTTCCTGTAATTTTATTTTTCTAGAATCTTCAGGAGATAATTTTAATGCTGATTCAATAAAGCTCTTGCTGTTCAGATTATTGACTTCCTCCAAAGTATCGCATAAGCGTATATACTCGTCTAATCTTTTTTCTATACTTATAAGCTCCCCTAATGATTTCTCAGCTGCTTCATTTATTTTCTTTATTAAAAAGGATGATTCTTGAATTAATTTTGACCGATTTTGCTTTACTTGAAGCTTTAAGCTTTTCAAAAATTTAGAAATAGTAATTTTGGTTTGTAGCTCTGGATTTTTCATGATTCGAGTGAAATGATGCTTCCCAGCTGATTCTCCATGTGTCACAAGATGATTATTGCATATAAAGATCTCTTTATCCGAGCAGTCGCATGCAACAATTGGCTTATTTTGGCAACCTACTGAACAAGTCACAAGCTCATCCATTATTTATCAAACTCTCCAAATATATATTTTAAATGGGCAAAAGAAGTCTTATTCTGAATTATAATTAATGAATCGACTGATTTAAATGAGAAACTAGAATTCCAAATACTAATTAACTTCTTAGTTTAGTTGGATCGCAATAAAATATTTGCATTCTCAATAGATTTTATGCTTCGTATTGAGAAAGCGCACAAACTTTACGATAAATCAAATAAAATTCACATAAAATGCACACATAGGCTATATTGTGATGATCTTTTTCTTGATAAAGCTTTTTTTGTTTAGACTGCAAATTTTAAGTGTGACTTATACAGAAGTTTTGCAATCATCAATTTATTTTCTAAAAATTTTAGATTTTATTTAACTAATGCGTAATAGGTAAACAATTATTAAAAAGGAGTTAATTGGAAAAGACATTAAACTCTCTTGCCTTTCAGTAATAAACTAGCAAAATCAGAGATGCAACACTCGCAAGCTCTTTTTCAACTTTTTAGATTATTTTTGGATCAAAGTATTGAATTCTATTTACTTTTTAAGAAGAAGTAAACTGTAAAAATATAAGTTTGTGCAAATATTGATAATATGCTTTTCAGGCCTTCATTGGAGCCAGACCAAATGGAAGTTGTGAAAAATGGTCGCTTATTTCCTTGCATCATTTGCTTTAGTCGGCGCAGAGGAATGAAATATACGGCGCGCTGCTCTTAGCCAATTCAGAAGATTGTTGCAGAAACTCTCTTTCTATCTGTCCTCATTGCAGAGCACCTGGATTCCGTTTACGAGATCAACTTTTTGAGCAAATAAAGCATTTGCCTAGATTAATTAGTTTTTATCTATAAGAATACTTGGGAATTATTAAAAGTTTATTAGTCGTATTGATTAACCAATGCTCTCAAGAGCGTTGAGTTGATTAATAACAATATAATCAAAAAGACAAAAATACCCTCCCAGACCTGAAAGAAATCTAACTATTAGTATAAGCATAATACCTGCAAGCTCCTTTCTTTTATTTGTTTGCTTCATTTTAAAATCAAGATTATTATTTTAAAATATTATGAGATGAATTCTTCAGCTTTTAACTTATTTTTATATTTGTATCAAAATTAAATTCCTATTTAAAATTATTAATCTAAAAAATTAAAGTTAAGCTATAAGGTCTTGAAATGTTTTAATTGTTTATTTTTCAAATCAAATTCAATGAGTTTGTAGTTGTAAGTTATAAAGTAAAAACTATCTTTATATAGCAATGAATACGAATGGCGAGGATAATTGTGGTCAAGCATGCTAGCAGTCCCAAATGGTGTTCATGTATTGATATCGTTTAAGCCACTTTCATAGCAGGAGCTACTGTACTGAATTATATAAGCTTTGTTTTTGGTTGCTAAAATAGTCTTTCCTGTGCTACTATTTAATGTAATTGGAACATTTGTATATGAATTATTTGAAATATTATATCCGTATAGATATGGGGATTCATAACCTACAATTAATATCACACCATTAATAAAAGCACAAGAAATAAATCTGTTGCCTGATACTGGATACTGAGCAATTGCATTTCAATTTTTTGATACAAGCGAAAATTTAAATGAAGCGTTTCCATACCCTCCAAACATGTAAATAAAATTATCAATTGCGATAATTCCAGAGCAGTTACTGTACCGAGAAGAATCCAAAGGAATTATTAAGTTTTTTGGAGTTATAATAAAAGTTTCTGAATCGAAGCAGCAAAACACAGAGCCATCATTTAACAAGCAAGTTGGATCTCCAATTTTAGAGTTCTTATTTATGTTTTGTGAAATTGAGGTTTGTGACACAACATCAACGGCAAATAGATCTCTGTTTTTAAAATATTTTATGATTGGCTCTACTTTTATAGGCCCCAAGCCTTCAAAATTGTCAATATCAAATAAAAGTTTTGCTTCTTTAACAGAAAATAGACTTTCAATTTTTTCTTTTATACCAGAGTTGTTAATTTTTATTATATCTTCTTGTAATTTTATTTTTACTGCATCTTCAGGAGATAATTTTAATGCTGATTCAATAAAGCTCTTGTTGTTTAGATTGTTGACTTCTTCCAAGGTATCGCATAACCGTATATACTCGTCTAATCTTTTTTCTATACTTATAAGCTCTTCTAATGATTTCTCAGTTGTTTCCTTTATTTGCTTCATTAGCAAAAATGATTCTTGAATTACTTTTGATCGGTCTTGCTTTACTTGAAGCTTTAAGCTTTTCAAAAATTTAGAAATAGTAATTTTGGTTTGCAGGTCTGGATTTGTCATGATTAGAGTGAAATGATGCTTTCCAGCTGATGATCCATGCGTTCCAAGATGATTATTGCATATAAAGACCGCTATATCTGAGCAATCGCATACATAAATTGGCTTATTTTGACAATTTATTGAACAAGTCACAAGTTCATCCATTATTTATCAAACTCTACAAATATATATTTTAAATCGGCAAACAAGTTTTATTCTGAATAATAATTAATGAATCGACCGATTTAAATGAGGAATTAGAATCCCAAATACTAATTAACTGCTTAGTTGGATCGCAATAAAACATTTGCATTCTTCTATAGATTTTCTGCTCCGTATTGAGAAAAGGCACAAAGCTTATAATAAATAAAAAAATTCACAATAAATGCACAGGTGTGCAATGTTTTGATGATTTTTTTATTTATATAGCTTTTTTTGTTTAGATCTCAAATTTTAAGTGTGTAAAAAGATTTTAGGCAATCATCATTATTAGCTAATCGGTAAACAATTACTAAATGGAATTAATTGGAAAAGACAATAAATTCTCTTGCCTTGTCAGTAATAAAACTAGCGAAATCAGAGGTGAAATACCCACAAGCTCTTTTTCTTTCTTGTGGTTAGTTTTGTATCAAGCATTGAATTCTAAATACTATTAACTCCTTCGCCTTCTTTAATTGGAGCAAAGTAGGATGTTTATTTGCATTAAAAAAAATTATAAAACAGTTTATAAAAGTTATTTCGAATTTAATTTATTTTTATGTAGAGAATTAGAATTAGAGAATTTCGTTAAATTACTTCTGTCTTCTAAGAGGCACTTAAATTTTTTTTTTCAAATATTTTATGCAGAATTATTTCAAAAAATTAATCGGTTTAATGTGAAAACTTTTAAATAATAGTCTTATAAAAAGTATACTGTTATCAATAAACTCGACGCTCTTGAGAACATTGGTTTCACCAATATAAGTAATAAAATTTTAATAATTCCCAAGTATTGTTAAAGATAAAAACTCATTAATTTAGGCATATGAGCTGGTTGGCTCGAAAGGTTGATAGTGCAAATGGAATCCAGATTCCCTGCAATGAGGACAGATAAAAAGAGTTTATTAGCTATATTGGTGAAACCAATGCTCTCAAGAGCTCGAGTTTATTGAAAACAGTATAATCAGAAAGAAAAGAATGCCTCTCAGACCTAAAAGAACTTCAACTATTTTAGCACAAGCACATAATACCTACGAGCTCCATTCTTTTCTTTGTTTGGCTATTTTAATATCAAGACTTAATTCTAAAATTCTTACTAGATGAATTCTTCAGTTTTTTAACTAATTTTTTCTCTTTGTATAAATTAAATCCTATTTAAGATTATATTAAAGTTATAAGGTCTTGAGATGCTTTAATTGTTTATTCCTCAAATCAAATTCAATGAGTTTGTAGTCGCAGGTTATAAAGTAAAAACTATCTTTATATAGCAATGAATAAGAATGGCGAGAATCACCTTGTCTAAACGTGATAGCAGCCCCAAACGGTGTTCATGTATTGATATCGTTTAAGCCACTTTCATAACAGGATCTATTGTACTGAATTATATAAGCTTTATTTTTGGTTGCTAAAATAGTCTTTCCTGTGTTAGTGTTTAATGTAATCGGACCATTTGTATATGAATTATTTGAAATACTATAGCCGTATAGACATGAAGATTGATAGCCTACAATTAATATCACACCATTAATAAAAGCACAGAAATATATGCGTTGCCTGATACTGGATACTGACTCCCCCCATCCTTGATCGAACGATTGACTGTAAAAATTCCTAAAAATTGGGGAAATTAACCCCCATCCTTGATCGAGCGATTTTCATATCATGACAATTTTTATATATATAAAAATATATTAGTTATCAAAAGTTTGGGAAGATGTACCTATTGAAGTTTTTGTCAGAGCTTTCGGACGACAGAAAGCTGCGAAGTTAACCATCCGAAGTGATTTAGTCATCAACCTAGGCTTGAAAAACTCAATAATCTTAAAAATAGAGATTCTTTAAAATTTAAAAAAAAAAAAATTTTAATTCAGTAAGTAACAAATTAAAATTTAAACAGTTTAAAAGGGTAACTAATAAACCAAAATATTAAAAATTAATATTTTATGTAATTAATTCAATTTTTTGTAGTAAAAATAATTATTAAATACTCTTAACCCTCTTATTTAAAAGTAAATAAAAAAAAATATATATAAATTTTTTTTCCCGAAAAATTTTTTTAACCCCCATCCTTGATCGAACGATGGCGAGTCGTTCAAGGATGTGGGGAGCGAGCAATTGCATTTCAATTTTTTGATCCAAGCGAAAATTTAAATGAAGCGTTTCCATACCCCCCAAACATGTAAACAAAATCATCAATTGCAATAAGTCCAGAACAGTTACTGTATCGAGAAGAATTCAAAGGGATTATTGAGTTTTGGAGTTATAATAAAAGTTTCTGATTCAAAGCAACAAAACACAGAGTCATCATTTAGCAAGCAAGTTGGATCTCATCCTTGTCAGTTCTTATTTATATTTTGAGAAATTGAGGTTTGTGACACAACATCAACAGCAAATAGATCTTTGATTTTGAAATATTTTATGATTTGCTCTATTTTTATTGGCTTCAAGCCTTCAAAATTGTCAATATCAAATAAAAGCTTTGCTTCTTTAACAGAAAATAGACTTTCTATTTTTTCTTTTATACCAGAGTTGTTAATCATCATTATATCTTCTCGTAATTTTATTTCTAATGCATCTTCAGGAGATAATAATTGCCATCATGGCATGATGGCGAAAAAAACCCCCCAAGAACTCGAGGCCAAAAATTTTAAAAAAATAGCCTCGAGGGACCACGGGGTCGCAGGTGGCAGTTCCAGGCTGCAGACTTGGGCTGACTGGCTTCCCCTCGACCCACAGGTAAGAGGACAATCGGCGGACACTTCTGGAGGAGCATTATGCTGCCTGTAAATGGCAGAGGTAGATCCAGAAGGAGGTGAGGGATGCCTCAATCATCCCCTAAGCGCTAACAGGGGTTAAGAGAGTCCTGCGCTGCAATTTTTGGTCTGAGCAGGTTCGGATGAGTCTCCCCGTTAGACTGATGACGTCACCATTTTTGGTGGCCCAGAAGGAAAAGGGCGTTAGGTGGCTTTAGTGCTTAGCGCCACATGAAGCGTGAAGCTGAGTTTCGACTGGCTAGTGGCTGAAATAACCCGTTAATCCCCTCTAACTAAATCTCTCTCTCAGGAGATAATTTTAACGCTGATTCAATAAAGCTCTTGCTGTTTAGATTGTTCACTTCTTCCAAAGTATCGCATAAACGTGTATATTCGTTTAATCTTTTTTCTATACTTAGAAGCTTTTCTAATGATTTCTTAGCTGCTTCATTTATTTGCTTTATTAGCAAGGATGATTCTTGAATTATTTTTGACCGGTCTTGCTTTACTTAAAGCTTTAAGTTTTTCAAAAATTTAGAAATAGTAATTTGGTTTGTAGGTCTGGATTTTTAATTATTCGAGTAAAATGATGTTTCCCAGCTGATTCTACATGCATCCCAAGATGATTATTGCATATAAAGACCCCTTTATCCGAGCAATCGCATACATAAATTGACTTATTTTGACAATCTATTGAACAAGTCACAAGCTCATCCATATTTACAACTCTACAAAAATATATTTTAAATCGGCAAACAAGTTTTATTCTGAATAATAATTAATGAATTGACTGATTTAAATGATTTAAATGAGGAATTATATTCCAAATACTAATTAACTCCTTATTTGGATCACAATAAAATATTTCCATTCTTCAATAGATTTTCTGTTTGCATTGAGAAAAGGCACAAAGCTTATGATAAATTAAATAAAATTGACAGTAAATTAACAGGCGCGCAATATTGTGATGATTTGTTTCTTGAAATAGCTTTTTTGTTTAGATTGCAAATTTTAAGTGTGTAAAAAGAATTTAGGCATCAATTTATTTGTTAAAAATTTTAGATTTTATTTAACTAATGCCTGGCAGGTAAACGATTACTAAATGGAATTAATTGGAAAAGACATAAAATTCTTTTGCCTTTCCACTAATAAAACTAGCTAAATCAGAGACGAAATACCCGCAAGCTCTTTTTCCTTTTTTATATTATTTTGTAATTAAGGTGTTATTAAATTATTGTTACAATATAAAAAGCTGAAATTTTAGTATTGAAATATAGCCTTTATAATAAATTCGGTGATGATTTGAGGATATGAGCCCATAAAGGCTAAATTAATAACAAAATTGCAAATGAAATTAAATGAGTGACTGAAATTTATAATAGCATATATTCTAACTAATTATTAAAATTTTGAATTTTAATTTATTCTAATTGCACTTTTCCATTGAATAGGCCAAAGCTAATTTTACAAAAATTCATATTTTTCCTAAAAGAGCTCCATCTATCAGCATAAGCACATAATACCTACACCTGCTTTCTTTTATTTGCTTGGCTATTTTAATACCAAGATTTAATTCTAAAATATTAGAAGATAAATTCTTCAGTTTTTTAATTATTTTTTCTCTTTGTGTAAATTAAATGCTATTTAAGATTATATTAAAGTTATAAGGTCTTGAGATGTTTTAGTTGTTTATTTTTCAAATCAAATTCAATGAGTTTGTAGTCGCAAGTTATAAAGTAAAAGCTATCTTTATATAGCAATGAATAAGAATGGCGAGAATCACCTTGTCTAAACGTGCCATCAGACCTAAATGATGTCCATGCATTGATATCGTTTAAGCCGCTTTCATAACAGTAGTTATTGTACTGAATTATATAAGCTTTATTTTTGGTTGCTAAAATAGTCTTTCCTGTGCCGACAAATAGCGTAATTAGAACATTTGTATATGAATTATTTGAAATATTGTATCCGTATAAATTTGGAGATTGATAACCTCCGATTAATATCACACCATTAATAAAAGCACAAGAAATATATGCGTTGCCTGATACTGGATACTGAGCAATTGCATTTCCATTTTTTGATCTAAGGGAAAATTTAAATGAAGCGTTTCCATACCCTCCAAACATGTAAACAAAATTATCAATTGCAATAAGTCCAGAGCAGTTACTGTACCGAGAAGAATCTAAAGGTATTATTAAGTTTTTTGGGGTTATAATAAAAGTTTCTGATTCAAAGCAACAAAACACAGAGCCATCATTTAGCAAGCAAGTTGGATCCCATCCTTTTCAGTTCTTATTTATGTTTTGAGAAATTGAGGTTTGTGACACAATATCAACGGCAAATAGATCTCTGTTTTTAAAATATTTTAATTTTGTAGGCCCCAAGCCTTCAAAATTGTCAATATCAAATAAAAGTTTTGCTTCTTTAACAGAAAATAGACTTTCTATTTTTTCTTTTATACCAGAGTTGTTAATCTTCATTATATCTTCATGTAATTTTATTTTTAATGCATCTTCAGGAGATAATTTTAATGCTGGCTTAATGAAGCTCTTGCTGTTTAGATTGTTCACTTCTTCAAAGGTATCGCATAAACGTATATACTTGTCTAATCTTTTTTCTATCCTTACTCCTCCCCCCGTGAGCGAACATAACCATTAGAAAATCACTATGTTTTGCCCAAAAACCCACCCTCTGTGAACAACAAAATTTTTTTTAATTAATAAAATTTTTTTATGAGGAAAAATTTTGATATATAAGTTATAGCTAGTATCATGAAATCTCAAACTAATTCTGTTTAATTTTAAATAAATTGCATTTTTAAAATCTAAATTTTACAAATTAATTAATATTTGCCTTCCAATTTTCGAGAAGTAGGAATTTTTTAAATTCCGAAATTTTTTTTTTTCTTTAAATTTATATATAAATTTTTTAACATTCCTCCGTGGGTGAACAAAAAATCTTGTTCGCTCACGGAGGGGGATTTAGAAGTTTTCCTAATGATTTCTCAACTGCTTCATTTATTTGCTTCATTAGCAAGGATGATTCTTGAATTATTTTTGACCGGTCTTGTTTTACTTGAAGCTTTAAGTTTTTTAAAAAATTAGAAATAGTAATTTTGGTTTGTAGGTCTGGATTTTTTATGATTCGAGTGAAATGATGCTTTCCAGCTGATTCTACATGCATCCCAAGATGATTATTGCATATAAAGACCCCTTTATCCGAGCAGTCGCATACATAAATTGGCTTATTTTGACAATCTATTGAACAAGTCGTAAGTTCATCCATTATTTATCAAACACTACAAATATATAATTTTAAAGGGGCTTATTCTGAATAATAATTAATGAATCGACTAATTTAAATGAGAAACTAGAATTCCAAATATTAATTAACTGCTTAGTTGGGTCGCAATAAAACATTTGCATTCTTCAATAGATTTAGGCACAAAGCTTAAACATAAAATAGCTATTTAAAGGAAAAAATCATCACAATATTGTATACCTGCGCATTTACTTTTAATTTTATTTGACTAAAATTTAAGGGGTTTACTGCTTTAGATATAGAATAGTTATAATCAATCTAAATGATAAAAACAGCAGCATACTTTTGTCACGAATAATGCTCATTAGATTTAATTGACTTTATATTTTATAAAGACATATTCACTTTCCTAATCGGAAGTAGAGCACAGCTAAAGCACAATAGCATAATTTCTTTGAATATTTCCTTATTGAGCTTCTAAATATGAAGCATGAGAATTTTTGTTTTTTAGCCCATTTTATTGGTGTCCAAGATTTTACAGCTAATACACAATATGCTCGATGCTACATAAGGATTGATTTAACGTTTTTCTCTTGAGCTGGAAGGACATTTATTTCTAAAACCTTTCCATAATAAGGTATAGATGATATTTGATTTATAAATTATGCTTACTCCCCCCCCCCCCCCTCCGTGAGCGAACAAAACCATTAGAAAAATCGCCATTTTTTGACCAAAAACCCACCCTCCGTGAGTGAACAAAAATTTTTTTAATAGAAAAAATTTTAATGGAAAAAAATTTTGATATATAAGTGATAATTAGTATAATGAAATCTAGAGCTAATTCTGTTTAATTTTAAACAAATTGCGTTTTAAAACATAAATTTTGCAAATTAAATTAATATTTGCTTCCCAATTTTTGCAAATTAGGATTGTTTTAAAAATTTCGAAAAAAATATTTTTTATAAAATTTATATATAAATTTTTTTTTTAAAAAAAAAAAATTAACCCCCCTCCGTGAGCGAACAAAATTTTTTTGTTCGCTCACGGAGGGGGGGGGGGGAGTTAGAATTAATGTTTACAATTTTTATATTTAAAATCATTAATTAAACTATAAGGTTTTAAGGCGTTTTAATTCTATTTTCTAGTCTTCAAATTTAATTGAATTAGCCTGAGAGTAGTAGTTACAAAGTAAAAGCTATCTTTATAAAGCAAAGGATATGAATGGCGACAATCATTATAAGTAAGCATGCTAGCAGTTCCAAGTGTTGTCCATGTATTGATATCATTATAGTTGCTTTCATAGAAGTTTTTGCTGTAATCAATTATGCATTTATAGATGAATTTGAATACAGTGCTCTATAAATATAATCAGCTGCTCAATTCTAACAAAAATAAATATATAAGCTCTATTTTTAGTAGCCAAGCAAGTTTTTCCTGTATTAGAATTTAATGCTTAATTAATTATCCATATTTTCTAAACTCAAACCCTAAAGTTAAGGCCCAAGCCTTTTTCTCTTTTTGAAGCATATTACTATTGTAATGTGTAAAATTTAATGTGATAGGGATATTTGCGTATAAATTATTCGAAACAATATATCCATGCATACTTGGAGAATCATAGCCTCCAATTAATATCGCACCATTAATAAATGCACAAGAAATATATCTGTTATTTGACACTGGATACTGAGCAATCGCTGTTCAATCGTTTAGCTCTTGTGAAAATTTTAATGAAGCATTGGCAGTTCCTTCAAACATATAAACAAAATAATTAACTGCAATGAGCCCAGAAAGTGGACCATATTTAGAGGAGTCCAAAGGAATTATTGAATTATTTGGAGTGATAATAAAAGTTTCTGCCTGGAAGCAGCAAAAAACAGAGCCATCATCCAGTAAACAAGTTGGATCTCACTCTTGAAAATTTTTATTAATATTTTGTGAGGCTGAGCTTTGTGATATAACATCAGCAACAAATAGATCTTTGCCTTTAAAATATTTAATATTTCGTTCAAAAACTTTATAATTATTGACGTCAAATGCACTTTTGGGATCTTGAACGATAAAGAGATTTTCTCGTCTTTCTTTCAAATTTTCGTTATTAATCTTTACTATGTCTCTTGATATTTTATTCTTTGCTACAGCACTCTTATTTATAATAAGAATTTGATTGCAATGCATTTGGATATTTCTTAAGCTCTAATATTAAGACTTCTTTATAAGCCTTCTATATATCACAGCCATTTTCCAGATTTTATATGCATATAAGTACAAAATCGTATTCCAGGCATCTAAAAACCAAAGCACAAAATAGAAATATTCTTAACAATTAATACCTAAAGGCTTTAGTTGCATATACAAAATTCCAAATGTAGAATTCAAAAGAATATTCTCGCCAATAAATCTTAAACATAAAAATTAAATAAACAATAGCTTGATTATACTTAAAAATTATATAAAACTTGCTAAGATTATAAAAAATAATAATTATCTCGTGGCCCATTATAAACAGTAGAAGCACTTAGGTCACTTATTAAAAATTGTAACCCAAAAAAAGCTTTCTTAATTTATTCATAAAATCATCATTTGCATTTGCTGAAGCCTTTCACAATATTAAAATGGAATTAGCGTAGGAGTCATTCCCTACAGTTCCACTTATGTGAAAGAGATCCACTATCTCTGGAGGGTTGGAGCTAAAAGAGAAGATAGCCTGAACTGATACTGGCTCGGCAGAGAGTTCTAAGGGGCTGGCGCAAGTTATCAAGTTTAACAGTCGGCCCGTTTTCTCAAGGTTATTCAGAGTTGGGCTTGCACATAGCGAAGACGATTCAGAACTGGATGAATTCAGAGGAATAGAGAATTTGTTAACTTAAACTGAAGCCATTTTCAGCAATAAGCTATACTTCTATAAACAATGTTTAGTGGTAGATGCTTTAAGGAAAACTGCTATAATAAGCTTGCTGGGAAATGTGAATGCGAAGGAAATATACTATTTTGCATTGAGCATGCACCTGAACATTTCCAAAAATCCAACAGTAAAAGGCATCAATGGTTGAGCTCCTACATCAAGCCAGCAGATGAAATCAAGCAGCCAATCATTGAGAAGTTGACTGAGCTTAAAAAAGATATTCATATTTGTTTAAATTTCCAAGAATAACGTTAAATATAAACTTAATATTTATCTTAGAAAGTATAAAACCAATTAAACCATGGTTTAGACTATTGAAAATCGCATATTAAAGGATACAGAAATGAAGTAATTGCAGAAGCAAGTGAAGTAATCAAAAACCTTAAAATTGCATTTGGGAAATATCTCGATCAAATTAATCATATAGAAAAAAGATGCACCAAAATAATTGAAGGACTGATGAGCGGAGAACAGTTTCTTGATGTCTCTGCTGAAGATGATATGGAAAGTGTGCTTAAACTTAATGCCCAAAGAGCCCAATTAAGAATGGCTGAATGGGGTGCAAAACAATGCTACTTGGATTATAGGGAAATAAATGAAGTTATTAGCAGAACTTATGAAAATCCTTTTAATCCTTTTAGAAAGGCCATAGAAGATACTATTGAATCAAATGAGCTATCATTTTTTAGGCATAACTCTCAAAATTTTACTACAATAAATTTAGATAGCTTTCAGGTAACTTCTACGATTACTCTTCCAGTTCAGGAAAATATTCATGGATATACCCAAAGCTGCATACTGCCTGATAAATCTTATTTTTATTTCGGCAATGCAACTATCAATTCAGGACTAACATTTACGGTAGACAAAAATAAAACCGTTCGACTATTGCAAAAAGCAAAACAAGGTTGCTATATTGATGCTGCTTTTTATAAGAATTTTATGTATTTGATAGGAGGAAGTACTAATATGGCTGAAAGGTATGATTTTGCCAAAAATTCGTGGGAAAGTATAGCTCCAGTACCTCAAGGTTTGAATTTCAGTTACAGCTGCAGTGCTTTATTGAAAGATTCAATTCTTATAGCTGGATATTATTTGAATAAAATGATATGCTATAGCATTAGTCAAAATAACTATAAAGATGTTCCTAATTTAGTGCTGAATGCTAATTGTCATAAATTTATGATGAGAGGAAACAACAGAATTTATTTAGTAGAGAAAGGAAACAGAATTATGGAAAGCGCTGAAAACGATTATTCAAGCTGGACTCAGGTAGGCGACTGTGGTATTGCAAATGGCGGTACACTTCAATCAAGTATTGTTCGTTATAAAGGTTCTCTTTACTCCATTCATTATGATAGCCAACTATGGAAATTCGATCTGGCTTCAAAGCAAATCTCTCAAGTAAAAAACGTCTAGATTTAAATTTAAGTTTTATATTGAGATTTCATACTAAAGCTAAACTTCCTTCCAACTTTGAAACCCGCTATTTGTAGGCTGCATGTGACCTATTTTAATGAGATATGCATCCTTTATAATTATAAGAATAATATTCTGGTTATATACCAATTCAAATACTTGTCTACAAACAATTTGTAATTTCTAAAATTGAGCTTTTTTCTTATCAGTACCTGGTGTTCTATTAAGGATGAGTTATAACATTTGACCATGCATTCTCTTCATTACCTTGATTTTTATCAGGATGATATATAAATAATAAGCGTCTCTTTTTGGCTTCAACGGCTTCATTGCTTGAGTACTCGTATAGTTCAAATACTTCAAGTGCAACCTTATACATATCCTTCTTAAACTCTATGCTGTCTTCCTTTCTTATAGCTATAGCATACTCTTGGAAGCTAAATATTTTCCAGCTTTATAGCCTACAATTCCGCCAATAGCTGCACCTATAGCAGATCCTATTCCTGGAAAAATGATGGTTCCAATAATACATCCAATGCTAGCTCCTAATAAACTTCCCAATAATCCACCTCCTTCATTACATAATTCTTTGAAGGCTTCACTCCCAGAAATTCTTCCAAACATCCATCTTGCAATTATCTGAGAACAATTAACAAGCGCACTCGTAAGCGCATAGCCCATTGGATTCATCCAGGTGCTAAGAAAGTTAGCATTATTTGCAACTGCTGCTGATGCCGCTGTAACCATTCCTTCAATTGCTTGCTTTCTCCTTGAAGATGTTTTGCCACTTCCCATTATATTTTATATAGGGGAATTCATCTATAAAAATGTCATATAGCTATAGTCTAATTCAACCCTTACTAAATAATAATTAGGCTATTTATTCAAAATATCGAAATTGTATGACTGAATAAAAGATTAATTGAAATTATTTGCTATAGCTTTTGAATTTAAAGCTGCGTAAGGGTGGGTCGGGAGTATACTTGAATTCTTGGTAATACGGATTTTGGCAGCACACAAAAGGTTGAATTTAATCTGAAGACTAAATATTTACATTGTTCAATAAAACTCTATAGATTTTTTGCTTCATATTGAGAAAGCGTACAAAGTTTATGCTAAATCAAGAAAAATCTATACTAAATGCACAGGTGCGCAATATTTCGAAGATATTTTTCTTGATATAGCTTTGTTTTTTCGGAAATCATCAATTTATTATTAGATTTTATTAACTAACTTAATAATTAAACAATGAAAATATTAAATACTCTTGCTTTATCAGTAATAAAACTGGCGAAATCATAGATGCAATACCACAAGTTTTTTTCGTCTTTTTAGATCATTTTTGTATCAAGGTCTTGAATTATAATCAGTTATTAAGGTATTTCCGTTTTCTTTTTCCTCAAATTTTACAGCTAGCACTGAATTTTATATATATTTACCATTGGTTCCAGAGAGATAATTCACACAAGAATTATATTTAAAGTCGATTATAAAGTTTTAAGATGCTTTAATTGATTCTTTTTAGGTCAAATTGGATAAGCCTGCACTCAAAAGTTGTAATTAAAAAATATTTTCTAATTGCAAAGATTATGAACGACGAGAAGCTTGTTGAAATATGTGGTTCATTCCAATTGATGCTCATGCTTTGTTATTGTGTAAGCCACTTTCATAATAATTTCTATTGCAGTCAACATGGGTTTAACAGGAATTTGATTTAAAAATTCTATATATATTCTAAAAAATTTCCTTTAGCTTAAAATTAAGTAAATGTCATAAAAACCAAAGGTGAGAGTACACAAAGCTGCTGAATTACTATCATATTTTCCCTTGCGGCGCCATATTCTAGTATCCATATAGAAAAGAATGCAGTCTTTAGCACTCTTTTATTCTCGATAGTTATCTATTGCATATGATAAATACGCCAAAGCATCACTAAGATTTTGCTCCCAATGGGCCTTCTGACAAAGAGAATCTAGTCTGTGTTTCAATTTTTAATAGATAAGTTGCATACCATTTTGACAAGTATTTTCTATAGTGATATACTTGGTAACTTGGTAACCAACTGCGAAGAGTTGAGAGTAAGATGAGCCATCTTGATCGTAAGCACATATCATTCAAGAATAATAAACATTTGATAAGAGAGTCTTATAGGCTGTCATGTGTCAAAAACAAATTGAGGAATGAAGTCCGATCATAAAAGATTGCTATACACTAAATAAATTAATGCAAATTGTAATAAATCTAAGAAATTAAGTTACCTATCATTAAAAATTGCAAAAAGATAAATTTATATATAAAATTGCTAATGCAACTTAAGTTATCAAAATTTCAGCATGCTTTTAAAAAAATTTTGGCAAATCAATGAAGTTGGTAAAAGATGCACCAAAATTAATATAAAACTATAATGTGAAAAAGAGCTTCTGAATGCTGCTACTAAAGATGATATAGAAAACTTGCTCAAACTCAATATTGAGAGAGCCAATTCCAAAAGGATGAGTTTAGTACAATCGCTGACAAATGAATTATAGGAAAATGAATGAGACTTATTAAATCTTTTCAATCCTTTATTGGAGCTGTTGGAAATGAAATTGAATCAAATGAACTGTCATCCTTTAGGCACAATGCTTCATTTTTTATTATAAATTTAGAGAGATTGGAAATTTCTTCCATAAGTACTCTTGATTTTCAATGTATATTTGACTTTCATTATAGCTAGCACCCCTATAAAAAGTTTTATCGACAAAATGCAATGGCCAGTTGAAACACCAAGGCAGACTATCTCAAAATGGAAAAGCTGGGATTTTATGCCCAGAAAGTGTTAAAAAGTGACATAGAAAAAATGGAAAAAAGTTGACAAGTTCAAGCACCAATTTTGAAAATGGCCTTTATTATTAAATTAATTTTAAATTTAAGAACCGTTTAGATTGGGATTGATTAACATCTTACTTTATTTTCTGGAGAATTTAACTTCAAAAAGTTAAATTAAGTAGATTTTTAAATCACTTCTTGGTATAGAGATCCAGCTGTCCTTTAAAAGAATCTGATTTGGTCGTTCAACCGTCCGCGATAAAAAAATCTATATAGGGGTATGGGCTATCTGCCATTTTTAAACTCCTGTTGCTACTATCCCACAGGAGCGCAGGAATCTTGAGGAAGGAGTGAAGATATTCGAGGATGCATATCCGGCCAGATTTTTCCTGTATTGGAGAAGCATGCTTTACTCCAACTTCAGAATTTTGTCTCAGAGGGAAATGCACGCGATAGTTGGAAAAAGTCTTCCAGCAGAGCCAGCGGTATGTTTCCTTGCTAATCGGAACTATTCCCCTGGGCTCCTGATATTTATTTTGGTTGAGAGTTGGCCAGAAGATTTGACATTTTGATTTTTCATGGTGGCAACCTTTTGTGGCGTTCGGCATAGCAACACCACTTACTCAACTGCCGGGGAGTGAGCGCAGGAACTCGTCTGGCAGGCGCTGACAGTATGAGGTCATGTACAAACTGGTTAGAAGACGAATGCAGCATTATGGGTGGAGATAATTGTAATGGGTTTCTCAATAAGTATTAATCAGTTAAATAAGTTAATTTTCAATTCTAATTGCTGTAGCACTCCTTTTATAAGAAGAATTTGATTGCAATGCATTGGATATTTCTTAAGCTCTCATATTAACACTTCTTTATAAACCTTCTCCATTTTTCAAATTTTTATATGTATATAAATAGAAAATCGTATTTCAGGCATCTAAACACCAAAGCACATAATAGAAATATTCTTACTCCCCCCCCCCCTCCGTGAGCGAACAAAACCATTAGAAAAATCGCCATTTTTTGACCAAAAACCCACCCTCCGTGAGTGAACAAAAATTTTTTTAATAGAAAAAATTTTAATGGAAAAAAATTTTGATATATAAGTGATAATTAGTATCGTTATTTGCAGATTTTTGAACTTTACCACCTAAGTGTGGAATTTTTTTCCGCGTGTGAAAAAGAGAATTCCACATGTGAAATCAAAAGGGCTCCACACGTGAAAAACACCTTTTCACACGCGGAAAAAATTCCACACTTAAGTGGTAAAGTTCAAAAATCTGCAAATAGCGATATAATGAAATCTAGAGCTAATTCTGTTTAATTTTAAACAAATTGCGTTTTAAAACATAAAATTTTGCAAATTAAATTAATATTTGCTTCCCAATTTTTGCAAATTAGGATTTTTTTAAATTTCGAAAAAAATATTTTTTATAAAAATTTATATATTTTTTTTTAAAAAAAAAAATTAACCCCCCTCCGTGAGCGAACAAAATTTTTTTGTTCGCTCACGGAGGGGGGGGGGGAGTTAATAATTAATACCTTCAAGGCTTTGGTTGGGCAAGCAAAATTCCAAATTTAGCATTTAAAAGAATATTCTAGTCAATAAATCTCAAACATAAAAATTAAATAAATAATAGCTTGATTATACTTAAAATTGTATAAAACTTGCTAAGATTATAAAAATAATAATTATCTAATTTTGAGTAGAAGTCAATTATAAACTACAGAAAATCTTAAGCCACTTATTTAAAATTGTAACCCAAAACAGTTGCTTTTCTTAACTTATTCATAAAATCATCATTTGCATTTACTGAAGCCATTTTCAGCAATTAGCTATATCTCTATAAAAAATGCTTAGTTGCAGATGCTTTAAGGAAAACTGCTATAATAAACCTGCTGGGAAATGTAAATGCGAAAGAAATGTACTATTTTTCATTGAGCATGCACCTGAGCATTTCCAAAAACCCTGCAATAGAAGTCATCAATGGCTGAGCCCTGACATCAAGCCAGCAGATGAAATCAGCCAACCAATTATTATAAAGCTGATAGAGCTCAAAAAAGATATTCATATTTGCTTTAAATTTCCAAAAGCAACGCTAAATATAAACTTAATATTTATCTTAGAAAAGTATAAAACTAATTAAACCATGGGTTTAGACTATTGAAAATTGCATATTGAAGGATATAGAAATAAAATAATTTCAGAAGCAAATGAAGTAATCAACAACTTTAAAACTACATTTGGGGAGTATCTAGATCAAATTAATAACATAGAAAAAAGATGAAGTAAAATCATTGAAGGACTGATGAGTGGAGAAAAGTCTCTTGATGACTCTGCTGAAGATGATATGGAAAATGTGTTTAAACTTTATGCTGAAAGAGCCCCTAGATGAGATTCAAAACAATATTGTTTGGACTATAGCGAAATATATGCAGCTATAAGCAAAACTTATGAAATTCCTTTTAATCCTTAAATAGTAAAATGGTGGCACGTGTCAACCTGCCCTCTTGGTGCAGCAGTCCAGGCTTTATGGTTATGGGAACTGGGACGGACTCCGAGCTGAAGAATCAAGTGGAGGCTCAAGAGATATGTATCCGGGTAGGCCTTGGCTGCTTTCCTGTCGTTGGAAATTGATGTGCTCAACAATTTCCTTTGGATCCAAGGATTCGTGGGCATTTCCTCTGCTGAGAAACTGAGGGCTTCAGCCCAGACCCCAGGGGAGTATTTTTTTCCTGTAGCTGTCGAAAAAAGGCACTTCAGCACCCAATAGACTGCGAGAATCCTTGGGATCAAGCTACTCCAATCCCCCATAGCAGGGCTGCAGAAATCCAGAAGCACTCAAGACAAGGAAGTGACAAGGGCACTAGTAATAGGGATATCCCTTTGGGCTGGAGTCGAAAAGCGGTAGAACCTCCCTTATGGGAGATCTTTGATAACTGCGTCACCAATATGGCTAACGCCTAACTTTTAATAATCCTAATCCTTTTAAAGAGGCCATAGAAGATACTATTAAATCAAGTGAACTATCATTTTTTATGAGTAACTCTCAAAATTTCACTACAATAAATTTAGATAGCTTTAAGATAACTTCTATAATAAGCCAACTATTTTACTACCCCCAATTTAGCATAAATATTTTATTTTATTAATATAAGTTAAATGAGCCTTAAAGTTTGCATTTCGAAAGATGATGTATGTAAACTTTCGTAACTAATATACGGTTACTCTTCCAGTTCAGGAAAGAATTCATCCATATACCTCAAGCTGTATGCTGCCTAATAAATCGTATTTTTATTTCGGCAATCCAAATACGAATTCAGGTCTTACATTCACAATTGACAAAAATTACAATGTTAAGCAACTGCAAAAGTCAAAACCAGGCAGCTATATTGATTCTGTTTTTTATGAGAATTTTATGTATTTGATAGGAGGAGACACCAATATGGCTGAAAGGTATGATTTCGTCCAAAATCAGTGGGAAAGTCTAGCTCCAGTACCTCAAGGTTTGAATTTCGATTTTAGCTGCAGTTTTTATTTAAAGATTCAATTCTTATAGCTGGATTAAATTTCAATAAGATGATATAGAAATTGCCCGAGGATGGCGCTGTTTTGCGCCATCCTCTGGCAATTCAAAAAACAGGCGCTACACGGGAATTTGAACCCAGGTGTGGGGCCATTTTTGGTATGTGGAGAATATTGACTTCCACGTACCAAAAATGGCCCCACACGTGGGTTCAATTCCCGTGTGGGGCCATTTTTTGGATTGCCCGAGGATGGCACAAAACAGTGCCATCCTCGGGCAATTGCTATATGCTACAGCATCAGTCAAAACAGCTATAAAGATGTACCTAATTTAGTACTAAATGTTAGTTATTGCAAATTTATGATGAGAGGGAACAACAGGATTTATTTAGTCGAGAAAGGATGCAGGATTTAGAAAGCGCTGAAAACAATTATTCAGGTTGGGCTCAAGTATGTGGCTGTGGCATTGCAAATGACCGTCAACTTCAATCAAGTATTGTTCGTCATAAAGGGTCTCTTTATTTCATTCATTTTGATAGCCAACTATGGAAATTCGATCTCACTTCAAAGCGGCTATCTTATCTAAAAAACGTCTAGATTTAAATTTAATTCTTTTACTTGGAATTGCATATATTTCAACTAATTATTTAATTAAATAAAATCTTGAATATCAAACTGGATATAATTTTTTTTGAATAAACATATCAGCCTTTATCATTCACATTTAAGACTTTTTGAACCCATATTCGAATTGAGTCTTTTGCTAAAATTAAATAATTCCCTGTAAATTTATAACAGTTTATAGAGTTCTCGTTGTATTTTATTCTATGAATTAATTTACCTGACACAATCAATAAATGAGAAATGGTTTTTAGTTACTCCCCCTCCGTGAGCGAACAAAAAATCTTGCTCACTCACGGAGGGGGGTTAATTTTTTTTTTAAAAAAATTTTTATAATAAATTTTTTCGAAATTTAAAAAAATTTATAATAAATTTTTTCGAAATTTAAAAAATTCAACTTCGCAAAAATTGGAAAGCAAATATTAATTTAATTTGTTAAATTTATGGGTTTTTGGGCAAAAAATGGGATTTTTCTAATCGTTTTGTTCGCTTACCTGGGGGGGAGTCAGGAAGATATAATACACTTACAAAGCATTATTCCTCTAATTTTCTCATTAATTAAGAGATTTAATAAAATTTCTGCACTTAGAAATGATAAGTTTTTCAATTTTTCTATCTTTTGGTTCAAAAATTGCTTTTATGCATTATTTCACTCATCTTACAGTTAGAAAAATTTGAAAAAGCCACAAATGATAAAGTAAAATCTGCATCTCTTAAATCGCTATTGGAAAAATCAGTTCTAAGAAAAGAGATATTTAACAAATCTGCATAGGGATTGTAATATTTAGCAAATTTGATCATCAAAGGAAATCCAATTTTTATTCAGCGTTGCTTGAAGCTAAATTATTCCTTCTGAATACCTGGAAAAAAGCATAATTTGATAAAGTCTTTGCTTATGTTTTTTGATTCTTCATTGATGAGTGAGATTTAATTGAAGAGATATTTTCTATATTTTTGATATTATTGAGAATCTTTTCAATTAAATCTTTCTTTAGAGCTGATGATTTACCAAATTTTATTCTTCCAGGATTTTCTTGAATATGTTTAATTGAAGGTAGAGAGTTTTTTTTGCCCCTAGAAATCTGCTATTTAGAATTCCAACTACAAAATCTAAAAATCCTTGTTTACTTGACAACTACTTTTGAATTTCAATGGAAAATTCATGCATGTCCTTCAAATTGCCTACTAAAATTATTTTTTATTGTAGCAATCCAAAATGGCAGTTCAGACTTGCTTTTACGATTGGCAAGAATAAAAATGCCAAACAACTATAAAATTCATAAGTTAACTCTTAATTTTTATACTTGCTAAGGTGATATTATACGCTTGCTGAAAGATATAATTTTAAGCAAAAAGAGTGGCAAAGCTTTGCTCCTACCTCAAGACCCAGTGTTTTGCTATAGTATAGCAGCTATTATAATAACTAACAAATTGCATAAGGAACTAAACAACCTCACACAGAAAATAATTATTATTTCTGTCTGTTTTTGCTAAAAAATTTCGAAAATTGTATTTTAAGATATTTTAAAGCATATTAAAAGTATATGTTACAGTATTTTAAAATGGTAACAAAAAATTTTGTTTGCTTATGGAGGTGGGCTAATTTTTCTTCTATAAAAGCAATAAAAAATTTTTTGTTTTCAAAATTTAAAAAAAATTCCAATTGCAAAAATTGAGGAGTAAAATTAATTTATTTGAAAAAATTTATGCTGTTTAAAATTAAACAATAATTATCACTTATATATCAAAATCTTTTTATAAAAAATTTTTATATTAAAATTCACTCACTAATGTCAGATTTTTGGTTAAAAAATAGGATTCTTCCAATGGTTTTGTTCACTCACGGAGGGTTAAAGTAAAATAATTTTGTCCAATTACGAAGAGGATAATCATTTTAAAAAAATCCCAATTCGCAAAAATTGAAAAGCAAATTTAATTTAATTTATAAAATTATGATTTAAAATGCAGGCTGTTTAAAATTCAACAGAATTAGCTAGAGATTTTATCACTTTTATATCAAGACATATTTTCTTAAAAACGATTATATCAAAAAATTTCTATTCACACGAAGTGGGTTTTTCCCCTAAAAACGATTTTTCCAAAATTTTTTTCGCTCAAGGAGGGGAGTAAGTGACAGTCCGTAATTTATCTTTCTTCGAAGGAATTATCTCAAGTAAAAACTGTCTAGGATAAATTTAATAAAAGTTGAATTGCTCTAAATTTTATATCTAAATTATAAAACTAAATATTTTATTGATAATAATTTTATACAAGTTTGCATAAGAATAGGCAATAGACAATGCACATTATGATTAAGCTTACCTATGTTTTCTAAGGCTGCATGATTCAATTCCATATATAGTTATCTTTCTGAAAATTGAGCCTGAAAGCTCTAAAGATGACAGTAAAATTCATTATTTATATGATAAAAATGCTAGAGCGAATAAAATTTGCTATTTTGTTGCTCCTAATTATTGCTCTTTTTATTTATAAGTAAATAATTCGAATTTCTAGTTTTAAATAAATTGATTATTCCAGTCAATACACCTTAAATTGTAAAATTTTTGGTTGAATAAAATACTCTTATTGTTTGCATAAATAAAAATAAACCCAATTTAAAAGATCAATTGAGATTATAAAGCTTAATATTTCTCCCATTTTTTGTGGAAAACCATAATGGCTACTGATGTTGATTTAATATCTTACTATAAAATCGCAACCTAAAATCAGTTTTAAGGAAAACAAAAATGGAAATTTTACTTAATAGACATCAAATCTATAAAAAATGTTTAGTGGCAGATGCTTCAAAGCTGACTGCTATAATAAGATTGTTGGAAAATGTGAATGCGAAGGAAATGTACTATTTTGCTCTGAGCATGCATTCGAGCATTTCCGAAAAACACCCTCTAAAGGTCACATATTACGAGATTCTTACATTAAGCCTGCCAATGACATCAAGCAGCCAATCATTCAAAAGTTGACAGAGCTTAAAAAAGATATGCATAATTTTCTGAATGCAATTAAACATGCTTTATCAACATTAAAATAAATAAATAAATTAAATATAAGAATATTAAAAATAATTAATAGCTATTAAAATTTTTGTTTAATTCTATCAAACTGTATATTAAAGCATTCAGAAGTCAAGCAATAACTAATGCAGGTGAAGTTATCAAAAATTATAAAATCGCTTTTGGAAAATACATAGATGAAATTAATTTTATTGATAAAAGATGTAGTAGTTTGATTGATGTTTTGAATAATGGAAAAGAGGTTCTTGACATCTCTGGGGAAAATGACTTGGAAAGTATTATCAAACTAAATGCCCAGGCTGCTCAACTAAAAATGCTTGGGTGGGATATACATCGGTACAGTTTTTAGCGTGCCCTTGGAGAGATCTTAGGAGATCTCCTTCTGCTTGCCAACTCAAATTGGAAATCTAGCTTTATTTTAAAGTTGCTATTTTAATTTTAGACATATGAAAAAAAAAGCTGGCGAGCCAAGAGAAAGCTGTCACAGCTACTAAACATCTAGTTTTTGCTATAAGCCTTGCTAAAGTATGTAAAGAAATGCTATTTCAACGCACAGGAATTAAGTACCTCTATAAGCAAAATATGTGAAATCCCCTTCAATCCTTTTGGAAAGGCGATAGAAGATATGATTGAATCAAACGAACTTTCATTTTTTAGACATAGCTCTCAAAATTTTACAACAATAAACTTAGACAGCTTTGAAGTGACTTCTATGCTAGACTGGATTTTTTTCATCTTTTTTCTCATAAATATTTTGTAGAATAGAATTTGGAAAAGGAAAATACTAAAATCTGGCATGAGGAATGTGGCAATCAAATTTTCGAGCCTCTATACAATTGCACTTCAAACTCAAGAACCAATCCATGGATATACCTCAAGCTGCATGCTGCCTGATAAGTCCTATTTTTATTTCGGCAATGTAAATTACAATTCAGGACTAACATTTATTATTGATAGAAATAAAAATGTTAGACAATTACAAAAATCAAAACCAAGTGGTTATATTGATCCTATTTTTTATAATAACTTTATGTACTTGATAGGGGGACAGAATAATATAGCTGAAAGATATAACATTGCTCAAAATTCATGGGAAAGTATAGCTCCAGTACCTCAAGGTTTTAATTACACTTATAGCTGCAATGCTTTATTGAAAGATTCAATCCTTATAACTGGATATCATTTCAATAAAACGATGTGCTACAGCATAAGTCAAAACAATTATAAAGATGTACCCAGTTTAGTGCTAAATGTGAATTATTATAAATTTATGATGAGAGGAAACAACAGGATTTATTTAGTCGAGAAAGGATTAAGGATTATAGAAAGCGCTGAAAATGATTATTCAAGCTGGACTCAGGTAGGTGGCTGTAGCATTTCAAATAGCCCTTGACTTCAATCAAGCATTGTTCGATATAAAGGCTCTCTTTACTTCATTCATTATAACAACCAACTATGGAAATTCGATCTGGCTTCAAAACAAATTTCTCAAGTAAAAAGCGTCTAGACTTAAATTTAATTCTTTATATCGAAATTGCATATTTTGTAAGTAAGTAAGTAATTTAAAATAATCAAACTTAAAATATGCAACTGCAGATATAAATATATATTGAAAACCATAACTACCAACTCATGAATCACTTTATCCCAAAACCAAAGAAACTTTTTTATGATTTAGAAAGAGCTTAACGAAATGTAATTATATTGCTGCAAGGACTCTGATTAGATTAAATAAATATGGTATTTCGGGGACATGCTTTGTAACTCCGAAATTTTTCAAATCCTGCTTTATCTCTGAATTTTAATAAATTTGCCATGTTTACTTTTCCTCGACTTCTTCTGATCCTGTCGTCAAATATTTTTAAATTGACCTTAGTTTATTTAACATGGCATTCTTCGCAAATATTATTTTTACCATCGTCTGAATTCTGATTCCTAATCACCATCAGGCTTATTGGCCCGTATCTCCACGCTGCTTTTATCCTCCCTTTTTGCATCAACTCGATTCATACTTCAAAACTGAGCCTTTCCTAAATTTAGAGTGTTTATTTGCATGCCATATGTTGCTTTAATGATATTTCTTTCTAGCTTTTCTTATTCTTTCAATGATTTTTCGCTTTCCTTTTAAAAGCCCTTTTGGAGTTATTTATACTTTATTGGATCTCAGACCCATTATTTTAATGATATATGGCTTATCCAATTCTTATTTTAACAGTAAATTATTGTAAAGATTTTGATCTGGTGTGATTTTATCGTTTAAAGTTTTAAGTAAATGTGCTGAAATTTAGAATGCGATGAAATTTAAATATTTTTTAAAAAAAGAATAAACTCTCTTGATTCATATATTGATCATTCTCATTATTTTTAAGTCAAGCAAGATAGGCTTTATTGAATTTTTTTCATAGGCATGGTAAATTTCTCTAAGATATTGAAAAAATGTGCTTACTCCCAACCTCCACAAATAAGCAAAAGTGTGCTTATTACTGATGAGAGGAGTTAAGAGATGTTTTATAAGCATATAAGAATAGAAAGCCATATTTCGGACATCAAAATAGTTACAACAAAGTATAAAATAGAATATTCTAGAGAATTAATGCTTTAGCGGTTTATTGCTTAAGCATATTCAAAATTTAGCATTCAAAAGCGGATTATTCCAGTAAATAAATCTCAAAAAAATTGAAATAAGTAATTAACTCAAGTAAAGCTTTTATTTATTATAACTTGATAAGACATAAAGTTAATGATATGTAAAAAATAATAATTCTCCAATTTTGAGTAGAAGTCCATAATAAACTATTGAGCCTTTAAGTAATATATAAAAAATTGCAACTAAAAACAAAAAATATTTAATTTGCTCATAAAATCATCAATTTGCATTTACTTAAGACATTTTTTGAGATTCTATAATAAATGCTCAGTGGTAAATGCTTCAAGGAAAACTGCTACAATAAGCTTGTTGGCAAATGTAGATGCGAAGAAAATATACTATTCTGCAATGAGCACTTACCTGAGCATTTCCAAAAGTCCAGCAATAAAGGGCATCAATGGTTGAGCTCGCACTTCAAGCCAGCAGATGATATAAAGCAGCCAATTATTCAGAAGTTGACTGAGCTTAAAAAAGATATTAAAGCATATAGAAATAAAGCGCTTAGAGAAGCAAGTGAAATAATCAAAAACTTTAAAACTACATTTGGGAAATATCTAGATCAGATTAATTATATTGATAACAGATGCAGCAAAATAATTGAAGGGCTGAATAGTGGAGAAGAGTTTCTTGACGTCTCTACTGAAGATGATATGGAAAGTGTGCTTAAACTTAATGCACAGAGAGCCCAATTAAGAATGGCTGGATGGGATACAAAACAATGCTGTTTGGACTATAGTGAAATAAATGCAGCTATAAGTAAAACTTATATAACTCCCTTCAATCCATTTGTAAAGGGCATAGAAGATGCTGTTGAGTCAAATGAACTCTCTTTTTTTAGGAGTGGCTCTCAAAATTTTGCCACAATAAACTTAGATAGTTTTCAGGTAACTTCTATACTGGAAAATCCATTTTACTATCTTCGATTAGCATATATTAATAGGAGCTAAAAAGAACTATAAAATTTTTATTCAGAAAGGATTACTGCAAAATTTATTAATTGCAATACGATTACTCTTCAAATTGCGGAAAGCATTCATGCGCATACTTCAAGCTGCATACTGCCTGATAAATCTTATTTTTATTTTGGTAATCCAAGTTATAATTATGGCACTACATTTATGGTAGACAAAAATAAAACCGTTCGACTATTGCAAAAAGCAAAACAAGGTTGCTATATTGATTCTGTTTTTTATAAGAATTTTATGTATTTGATAGGAGGAAGTGCTAATATGGCTGAAAGGTATGATTTTGCACAAAATCAGTGGCAAAGCTTAGCTCCAGTACCTCAAGGCTTGAGTTTTCAATATAGCTGCAGTATATTATTGAAAGATTCGATTCTTATAACTGGATATAGTCTCAATAAAATGATATGCTACAACATCATTCAAAACAATTATAAAGATGTGCCCAATTTAGTGCTAAATGTGAATTATTATAAATTTATGATTAGAGGGAATAACAGAATTTATTTAGTTGAGAAAGGATGCAGAATTATGGAAAGCGCTGAAAACGATTATTCAGGCTGGACTCAAGTAGGTGGCTGCGGTATTGCAAATAACGCCCCACTTCAATCAAGTATTGTTCGTTATAAAGGCTTTCTTTACTTCATTCATTTTGATAGCCAACTATGGAAATTCGATCTGGCTTCAAAGCAAATTTCTCAAGTAAAAAACGTCTAGATTTAAATTTAATTCTTTACATTGAAATAATTTATAAATAAGTAATTAAAAAAGCACAGACTTAAGCCTAGAATTATATAATATCCATAAGAAAAATTTATCAAGAACCCAGAAAATGTTACTTGAATTTTATTCAGCCAATAAGTACAATAGAAATATCGAATTATTCAAGCCAAAAGTTATAAAATCACTGAAAAAATAAAAGACAAGTATAAAATCAATAAATATATACAATTCAGCTATGGTATAATAACTTATTCCTCTCCATGAGTTACTTTTTTAAAAAATTAATTCCTACCTGATATGGAGAGCTGTTCATAGATTGAAATAGATTAAATTTTAAAATTAAGCCTTTAAATCTCAAGAATCTGTAAATATGTCAATTAGTAGGTGCTTTGTTGATGGCTGTATGAGCAAGCTCTTTGGAAAGTGTGAATGTGAAGGAATCGTCTTATTTTGCAAAGAGCACGCTGTTGATCACGTAGTAAAACCATCTTCTAAAGGACATCAATGCTTGAGGCTTTACTTTAGGCCAGCAGACGAAATTAGGCAGCCAATTATCGATAAGCTGAAGGAATTCAAAAATGATATTGCGAGACAGAAAATGAATCAAACACTTTTTTAGACATAATATGCTTTGGGTATATTTTTTAGCATAAAAAAGATTTAGAAGGTGAAAGGAGAAAAAGATTAGCACCAGTATATCAAAAAATATAGAAATGCAGCAATTGCTAATGCAAATGAAATAATCAACAATTTTATTGCTGTCTAGTTATTTTACCTATAGATTATATTGGCTATTCCTTTTTTGTATGCCGAAGAACTAAATATATAATGAATTTAATATAATTTTTTTTCTTTTATAAGAATCCTGCATAAAATAGTAGATATATGATAAAAATGAACTTGGAAAATATATCAATAAAATCAATGAAGTAGAAATGAGATGTAATAAAATGATTGAGATTTTATATAGTGGAGAAGAGGTTCTTGATATCTTTACTCAAGACGATATGGAAAACGTGTTGAAATTAAATGCTACTGGAACTAAAGAGTGCATCGCCGATTGAAATATAGACGAATACCAATTGGATTACAAGGATATAAATGCAGCTATTAAAAACATTTATAAAATCCCTTTTAAGATTTATTGGGTAATTGAATCGAACAAGCTTTCCTTTTTTAGAGCAAATTCTTCAAGTTTTACTACTATCAACTTAGGTTTTTTCTACAGTAGCTCTTCCAACTTGAGAACCAGATCAAGAATATGCTAGAAGCTGCATACTTCCAGATGGATCTTATTTTTACTGTTGCAATCGGAATTCTACATCAGGCCTCACATTTATCATTGACAAAAATCAAAATTGCAAAAGGCTGCAAAGCTCAAAATTTAATATGAATGTTGATCCTATTTTTTACAATAATTTTATCTACTTGATTGGTGGAAATTATAATCTGGCTGAGAGGTACGATTTTAAACGAAACGTGTGGGAAAAGATGGCAAAAATACCTCAGGGTTTGAATTTACAATATAGTTGTAATGCGAGATATAGAGATTCCATTCTTATAGCAGCCTACAATCTTCATAAAATAATAATTTATAACACATCTCAAAATAACTATCAAGACGTCCCGAATTTGGCATTGAGTTGTGGGTGATTTAAATTGATGCTAAAAGGGAACAATAGAATTTATTTGCTTGAGAGAAATAGAAGTATTTTCGAAAGTGCTGAAAACAGCATTTTAAGCTGAAGTCATATAGGAACTAATAGCATTCCAGCTGAATATTATCAGTCAAGCTTTGTTCTGTATAAGAAATGCTATTATATTGTTGATTATGGCAATAAACTCTGAAAATTTGATTTAACTTCAAAGCAAGCATCTTATATAAACACTGTCTAAAATAAGTTATCTTGATTTAATAATCCTCTATTTATATTTGCAAATAAATTGGAGTATTAAGATTGCCTTTATATCTGAGTGTTGCTTATTTGGGTCTTTTTCTAGCGTTTAATGAGCAGTAAAAAGGCAAAGGCTGCTAGTTATATTTCAGTAATTTCTTTGCACTTTATTAGCAGCATTATCTATTAAGTGTATTAATATATTTAATAATTATATACAATTAATTTTTTTAGATGTGAATAATAATTATGTACAATTTAATTATTTTTAGATATGAATCTAGTCTGATTGATTAGATTTAGTTAGAGTAGGTCTAGGAGATTATTTTATGGCTTCGGTTTTCTAAGCGTATCTAAAGTCGTTTCATAATCGTTATTGGTACTTAATTCCTGATCAGAATTCTGGTCGATATACCGATCTTATTAATCTAGCTCACCCAAGGCAGTCGCGAAATAGCTAGCTACTGCTGGACTTATACTACCATTCCCATTCTCCAGGCTCTAGGGTCTTCCTCTCCTGTTGTTGTCGGTTGCTTGTGGGCGGCCTGTGTGCCTCTAGAGCGCATAGGTTTGGGACTTGCTCTTTCTGAGTATATGCTGATTCTGCGTGAGTCGCTTTGTCTTGACACCCGTGGCAAGTAGTTGCAATGGACAAAACCTTCTAGAAGGAGGAAACAGTCCTTTTAGAAGATTTAAACCCACCCCGCAGAGGGAGGGCAACCATAAATTCAAGTTTGCTCATTTGCCTTTTTCTATCATCAACATCTAGAGGGAGAGACAACCTGAATCAGCGATATCAGTCTAATTACTACAAAAGGATTCTCTTAATCCTTGGTAGTGCCCAGACTATGAGGAGCGCTCATGCTTCGTTCTTGAGCTACTCTGCCTTTAGCAGGCAGCATATTGCTTTTCCAGAAGTGCGAGCTGGTATTACCCTTTAGTTTTTTCTCATGTAGGTCAGGAAAAATCTTGGTAAAACCAGAACTGAAATACTCACCCTGAGCTTTCACCAAAATGTGATTCCAAACTCTCCAGGTTAAGGCCAGGAAATAGTTCTCGATATATTAATAAAAGCGAATCTAGTCTGGAGATAGCAATTTTGGCGTGTGTGAAAAATACTTTGTGTGCTCCAACTTATAAAAAAGCATTACTAAATTTGATTATATTATAATATTAACATAAATGAGTCTCGATTTAAGTCATCAAAGCAACAAAACCACTGCTGGCTAATTGCAGGGAAATTGATCTCCCTCAGAAAATCAACTAATAAACAGATCAAAGTAGTATAACATTACTGAGACGTTAAGCAGCTTTATGTTTTTATTTCTCCGTCAGCATAGCAAGGGGTATTTATTAGAATGCAATAATTTATTAATAAATACAATTTTAAGAGTAGCTGCATAGATTTAGTAGCTATAAAGGATATTGCTTAACAACCCTTATAGTAAAAGTTATAAGCTAAAAAAATAATTCATCCTAGCAATGCTGAAATTGAAACATTTTCCTATGTTAAATAATGAAATCTGTAAAAAGTGCCTAAAATCTCGGCTGAGGGATTTTATAGGCTTATAAAATTATTATTTTAGTCCTTAAAACAATTAAGCCATCATGAATCTATAAAAATGTTTAGCGGTAGGTGCTTCAAAGATGGTTGCACAAGCAAGCTGCATGGAATATGCAAATGTGAGGGACTCATCCTATTTTGCAAAGAGCATGGACTTGAGCATGTAGAAAGTCCAACTCCTAAAGGACATCAAATCGTAAGATGCTATTTTAAGCCAGCAGAAGAAATCAAGAAGCCGATTATCGATAAGCTTATAGAATTCAAAAGAGATATAAAAAATTTAGGATTGAAGCGATTGCTAAGGCCAATGAAATTATAAATAATTTTAAAGTTGCGTTTGGGAAATATATCAATCAAATAAACGAGGCTGAAGCAAGATGCGACAAAATGATTGAAATTTTATATAATGGACGAGAGTTTCTTGATATTGCTACTGAAGATAATATGGAAAATATTTTAAAATTAAACGCTACAGACATTCAACAAAAGACGATCTGGTGAAATATAAGCCAATTAAGCTACAAAGAAGTAAATGAAGCTATTGAAAATATGTATAAACACCCTTTTGTGGCTTACTTTGCAGGAACTTTAGAAGATGAAATTGAATCAAACGAGCTTTCATTTTTCAGACATAATTCTTCAAATTTTGCAACTATAAACTTAGATAATTTACAGATTTCTTCTACAGTAACTCTTCCAAATCATTAGCAATAAAAATGGAATGATATGATCTCTTCCAGAAGCTTAGGTTTTCAAAGCTAATCTCATATTTAAACGATCAAAATAATAATCAGTTATTGATTTAAGATTCAGATAATAAAGATATTTAAATGATTGAACATTTATAAGGTATTAAATTCTTATAGCTAATATATATAAATAAGTAAAAAAAATATATAAAAATTTATATTTCGAGAAGCTTCTACAGATTCTGCTTTATTTAGAAAATTTATGGAGAGCTCAAGGTTAGATATGCGCAATATCATTGAATTGGAAGTTAATTCTTATAATAATTAGCTTGCACCTAACTCTCCCAACTCAAGAATCAATCCATGGGTATACAGGAAGCTGCATACTTCCTGATAAAACTTATTTTTATGGCTGCAATAATAATTCTAGTTCAGCCACCACATTTACGATCGACAAAAATAAAAATTTAAAGCAGCTGCAAAACTCAAAGGTTAATTATAATGTTTTTCCTATTTTTTTCAATAATTATATCTATTTAATAGGAGGAAACAATAATCTGGCTGAGAGGTATGATTTTAAACAAAATGTGAGAAAGTATGGCTCCTCTGCCCCAAGGTTTAAATTTTAACTACAGCTGTAATGCGCGATTTAGAGATTCAATATTTATAACAAGCCAGAGTCTTCAAAAAGTAATAGTTTATAGCATTACCCAAAATAGCTACCAAGAGATTTCGAATTTGGCATTGAGTGTTAGTTATAAATTGATACTTAAAGGAAACAGAAGAATTTATGTATTTGAGAAAGGGGGAAGAATTTTCGAAAGCGGTGAAAACAATTTTTCAAGTTGGACTCAAATAGGAACTAATAGCATTCCGGGTAACCCTGGCCATTCAAGTATCGTTTATTATAAAGGTTCCATTTACTTTGTTCAGCATCAATATCAGCTCTGGAAGTTCGATCTCACTTCAAAGCAAGCATCTCAAGTAACAACTTTCTAAAAATAAAGATTTATCGCTTTAATAAAATTCGATTTATATAGCATCAAATTGCATAATGCATTATCGCTCGTTATTTCATCACATGATTATAATTAGTTGTTTTATTAAGTCTTGCAAAAAGTAAAGAGCATAACTCTGTTAATATTTCAATCAGCCTTACTATTGAGTTGCAGAATATACACTGTATAGCGTCTTTACGCTCATGGATCTTCTTTTCGATATCTCCGAGAAATTAGGAGTTGATTTTACTTTTACCATTGTATTTGAGATGAGAAGGACTAAAACGTGAAAAACAGCCGGGCTCTATCGAGATGTGATGGGCAGAGGATCAAGAGTAGGATTTCCGTTATACCTGTGGAACATAGGGAAAGCTATAAAGTAATAGGTATTATTTTTTGACTGAGAGCATCATCTGATGCCAAATTCTCATTTAATACATTTAAATTGATTTGCAGCAGTGAAAATGATGAATTGGAACAGAAGAGCCATATCTATTAATTTCAATGAAGAAGCGAATAATATAAAAAATCCAAGAAAAATCATAAGCAATGAACCTATCATAATTATAATATTATCTGATTATAAATACTTGCATCGTTTCTGCAGCAATGTTCGGCTTTAGTGATAGGAAAACGCAGATAAGGTCTTCAAGCATATTATTAAAGTTAAAACTGCGATTTATTACTAACATTTTAATTTATTCTCTAAGCGAACAAAACCATTAGAAAAATCGCCATTTTTTGACCAAAAACCCACCCTCCGTGAGTGAACAAAAATTTTTTTAATAGAAAAAATTTTAATGGAAAAAAATTTTGATATATAAGTGATAATTAGTATAATGAAATCTAGAGCTAATTCTGTTTTAATTTTAAACAAATTGCGTTTTAAAACATAAATTTTGCAAATTAAATTAATATTTGCTTCCCAATTTTTGCAAATTAGGATTTTTTTAAATTTCGAAAAAAATATTTTTTATAAAATTTATATATAAATTTTTTTTAAAAAAAAAAAATTAACCCCCCTCCGTGAGCGAACAAAATTTTTTTGTTCGCTCACGGAGGGGGGGGGGGGAGTAAGCTTTTTCTTCAAAGTGCTAATCACTAATACAAACTATAAGAAATTATAATTTAAATAATGGTTTCTATATTTACATAAGTGATAGATAAACTACAAATAATAAAGATCAAACCACATTAGTAATGAATTCAGCATAATAAAATTTTCCCTATCTCAGTAGATTGTTGAAAACTTAAACTTCTCATGTCCCTTTTAATTGGAACAAAAAGATAACACTTTATTTCTAAAAGCGAAAATTTTATGACTTTTTATATAAAAAATTAGAATACATATCAGAATAAATTAGTGATTAGTTATAGGCTCAATGATCGTGTGCTTATAATACTGTGCGCTTCATCGAAGAAAATTTTTAAATAGTGCACCATTTGGCTGAAATTTAAAGGTTTTTTCGGCCAAATATATGGCGATCAAAAATGATTTAACCCTAGGAAATGTTACACTATCAAAAATACATGGTTTTGGTATGGCGCTGATAAGCTTGGTCTTTAATCTCTTAAATTCTGATCTTCCTTGAAAGCCTAGCTATGAAAATGACCTCCGCTTTTAGCAAAGAGTCGGCAGTTAGCACAACTATTAGCTTTCCTTTGCTCCACCCCTAATTACCCATTGCAATCGATTGGAATTGTATCTGCCGTTCTAGTAATATCAGTATCTTGTTCGAAGCAGATAGGCTTGTAGGGTTTGATCTGACTTTAAAGCTTGAAAAACCTTTTTATTACAGAATTTATTTCGCCCAATACTTAATCTAAAGATGACAATCGCTGGAGTAGTGAGAAAAATTCCATATAACCTTTTAAAACAAAATTAACCCTACTTTAAATAGGTTTTTGCTTAAAAGGTGGGAGTAGCTTTTTTAATAATATCAGACTAATTCCACTACACAGAATTATAACTATAAATTTATTAATATGAGATGCTATGGGATATAGTTATAAGCTGAAAGATCATTCACATCTCTCGCCAAGAATTCTCTTTCAATCAAGCTTTCAATTTGTGCCTTAATCATGTTAGGCTGAGGTTTAAAACTCTTTACTTCTTCGAGGACTTCAGATACCAGCTCTTGATGCTTTATAACTCTTCTGGCTTTGGTAATCTTCACAATAATAGCATCCAAAATCTGCTTTCTTTCAGAAATAACTACTACTTCTTCATTATGGCTTGGATTGGTAGCTCTCACTGTTTTTTTTAGGAATGCAATTAATTCTAGCCATTGCAGCTTTAAAGTTTTCATTAATTGTAATCAATTCTTCATCATTTAGCGTCTTCCCTTTGCTTTCTTTATTAAATATTTTTGATTTTGGGCTGAAAAATTTGATGAAATTGGCTTTAAAGGTATTGTCACTTAATTTGGAGTTCTCTCTCAATTCTCTGACACTATATGCATTTCCATTATTAAACATAAGAAGTATGACTGCTTGATAAGGGTTCACTATAAAATTGTAATTTTTATTCGAAAACAAGCTACAGATTTCAAAAGTTCCTAATCCAGTTATCCAAGTAATGCTACGTCCACCGTATTTATGTTTATAAAATAGAGAAAATTCTTTTGCTAACACTTGAATTTCATAAGGTAATAAGCAAATCTCAGACGATATCCCAGGCCAGCACCCTGATTTTAGGACTTGTGCAGAAAATTGAACTTCATGAGGACGGTCTTGATTGTAGTTCTGATTAAACTCAGCCGTAATAACTTCTGATAAAGAAAAATCTTGGTAAATGCTGTAAATTTTATTCACAATTGCATGGTCGCCCTCAACCTTAAGTTTTTCAATCAATATTTGTTCTGCATCATTGCTTATGCTAGTCTTTTCCAATAATCGCTTTGCCAAAAAGCGAGCATAGTGATTAATAAATATATCTTTATCATATAACAATGCAAAAATTATAGAAATTTCAGATAATCTTATATCAATTTCTATATCAGAAAGCCCAATAAGTCCTTTTTTCATCATATAGTCACTATAATAGACAACATTAGAAGCTGAGCATGAGAATTTATTGATAAAGTTTCGAAATGCAAAAGAGCTGCTTTTTTGGAATGTAAGATGATTGGAAAATGAATAATTAATAAGTTCATCAATTTCTGCTTTATATTTTAATATTGATCTTGTGTATTCAATAGGATCTTGCTGAAGCTTTTCATCTGATATAATTTCTAAACCCTTTTTTTCAATGTAAAGCTCAAATTCAGGAATGATTGATTGAAGAGTAATTTCATAGTTTTTAAAAATCTCAAACAGCATTTTCACTTCATCTCTTTTATCTTGATCAAACATTCTTATTTTCCCAATTTCTGGCATTTCTGCCAAACTCAAGGCAACTCTTTTTACAATCTCTCCAGCGATAATATTTAAAATTTTATTTTGTAAATCCTCATAATCTCTAATTTTTTCTGATTCTTCTTCAAATATTTTAAGTGCTTCCTGGAAATTTGTAGGAATCAAAAGGCTTGACATTCATCCTATGGGCTTAGAAGCATAATAAAGCTTGGTTTTCTGCAAATATGGGTTTTCAACAATTTTTTTAAAAAATTTATCATTGGGGATCCCTTCGCATGTAATTTCTTTTGATTTTTCCTTTTCGTTAGACTTGGATTGCTTACAAAAATTTCTTGAAGGCAGGATAAGCATTTTCTCACACAGCTAACATTGCTGTCATTTCCTTCTCTTTCATTATGTATTTGCTCAAAAAGGGCTTTATAGATTTTTCTTTTTGAATAATCAAATAGCTCAGTTTTAAATATCTGTAATCCCATCGGAACTAAAGGTGTAAATTCATAAATTTTGGGTTCTCCAAAGTCAACATGATAAAAAATTTTTTTGAGCCAACGGACAAGAATTTTGTGCTTTTTTCATGATTTATAGAGATTAACTAATAAATTTCTTCCTTCTGAGTGAAGAAGTCTTGGCTTTGATATTTTTTCAGTATAAGTTCTGACAAGATTGGCATATTCATCATACAAGCAAAGTGAATGACCCCAGCGTGCCGCCTCGTAAACAAGACTGCAAGCTTTAGCAAAAATATTGCATCCTAGATCTGCTGGATTTCCATTTTCAATTTGCTCGAATATTTTAGGAGCAAGGTCTTCTTTAATGTAGCGTAAAGTTTCTGTGAACTTTGTGCTCATTGAATAAAAATTACTAAAAATGTAGAAAGCTTATTAACGTTTTTAATAAAGAATTATAAAAATATGATAATAAATTTGTAAAAATATTATAGAGTTGAAATGGGTGTCTATTATAGTCCCACATCCAAAAGAATTTATCTTTTTAAATTATAATTATTTTTGTCAATTTATAAAGAAACTCTCTACTAATTATCTTTTAATATTTTACCAAAATATTATCAATTTGTTAGCCTATCTTTAAGAGAGGCAAGAAAAATATGCTATACAAATATGTAGCCTACTAAGCCTATAATCGCTATCAATTATCAAGGTATTCCTAGAAATTCTGGAATTGCCCATTTGGAAGTTGAGAAATGCACATTTCAGTTCTTATAACTTCTAAATTTTCTAAAATCTTGAACCCAGCTAAGTAAAATCCTGGTCTACCCTTCTAAAATCTTGATTTCTTCTACTTCACTTTCACTGTCATAAATCATCAATTCAATTCTATTGCTAATTCTTCTATGCTTTGCTTCAGTTAAATATTTCTGGAGTTTCCAGCGCCTTTGCCTCTTTTTTTCACTCGGTGTCGTAAATAAACAAATCAGGGATATATTATGATTATTATAATGATGACTTATTATAACCAAATTTTATTCTAAATCTGCATTTTTTGGAGTAGCTCAGCACGGTCTCGGCTTAATACTTCGTTAATAAAATTGATATCTTTTTGAGAAAGGTTTCATTCATCCCCAGTGAAAACACCACTTTCTTGATTTTCTTGCTTCAAGTTATAAGCTCTATTAAAGTCCTGCAAAGCTGCTTCTTCTTGTCTGAGATTATTAAATACTCTAGCTCGGCTGCAGAAATGCAAAGGATTATTGGGTTCAAGTTTGATTGCCTCATCATAGCATTGTATTGCTTCTTGATATTTGTTTAAAGCATAAAGAGAATTGCCTTTATGATTATAAAAATCGCCATCATTTGGATTGATTTTGATTGCTTCATCATAGCTTTCTACTGCTTCTGGGTATCTTCCTAATTCATTTAAAGCATCTCCTTTATTATAGTAAAAATCAGCACCGTTTGGATCGAGTTTGATTGCTTCGTCATAGCATTCGATTGCTTCTAAATATCTTTTTAAATCATAAAAAGTGTGGCCTTTATTTTTGTAAAAACAAGCTTCATTTGGATTGAGTTTGATCGCTTCGTCGTAACATTCGATTGCTTCTTGATATCTTTGTAAATTATAAAAAGCGTTGCCTTTATCATTGTAAAAATCAGCATTGTTTGGATCGAGTTTGATTGCTTCGTCATAGCATTCAATTGCTTCTTGATATTTTTTTAAATTAGAATAAGCTCTGCCTTTATTATGGTAAAAATAAGCGCAATTTGGATTGATTTTGATTGCTTCGTCATAGCATTCAAGTGCTTCTAGATATTTTTTTAAATTAGAAAAAGCGTTGCCTTTATCATTGTAAAAATCAGCATCGTATGGATCGAGTTTGATAGCTTCGTCATAACATTCAATTGCTTCTAGGTATCTACTTAAATCACAAAACGCTTTGCTTTTATTATAGTAAAAAGGGGCATAAATTGGGTTGATTTTGATTGCTTCATCATAGCATTCAAGCGCTTCTAGATATTTTTTTAAATTAGAAAAAGCGTTGCCTTTATCATTGTAAAAATCAGCATTGTATGGATCGAGTTTGATAGCTTCGTCATAGCATTCAATTGCTTCTTGATAATTTTTTAAATTAGAATAAGCTCTGCCTTTATTATGGTAAAAATAAGCGCAATTTGGATTGATTTTGATTGCTTCGTCATAGCATTCAAGTGCTTCAAGATATCTTTCTAAATTAGAAAAAGCGTTGCCTTTATCATTGTAAAAATCAGCATTGTTTGGATCGAGTTTGATTGCTTCATCATAGCATTCGATTTCTTCCAGATATCTTTTTAAATTATTAAAAGCGTTGCCTTTATCATTGTATAAATTAGCATCGTTTGGATTAATTTTGATTGCTTCGTCATAGCATTCGATTGCTTCTAGATATCTTTCTAAATTATAAAAAGCGTTGCCTTTATCATTGTATAAATCAGCATCGCTTGGATTGAGTTTGATTACATCGTCATAGCATTCAATTGCTTCTTGATATTTTTCTAAATCATTAAAAGCTTTGCCTTTACTATAGTAATAACAAGCTTCATTTGGATTGAGCTTGATTGCTTCGTCGAAGCATTCAATTGCTTCTAGATATAGCAGTTGCCCGATGATGACGCTCAATCTGCCGTCATCGGGCAACACCAGACAAGGGTTCACAGTGGAAATGGATTCCACGTGTGGAGCCCTTTTTAAACACGTGGAGAATCCTCATTTCCACGAGCCAAAAAGGGCTCCACACGTGGAACCCTTTTCACGTGTGGACCCTTGTTTGGTGTTGCCCGATGATGGCGCTCAATGCACCATCATCGGGCAACTGCTATATCTTTCTAAATAAGAAAAAGCTTTGCCTTTATTATTGTATAAAACAGGATCGTTTGGATCGAGTTTAATTGCTTCATCATAGCATTCAATTGCTTCTAGATATCTTTTTAAATCATAAAAAGTATGGCCTTTATTTTTGTAAAAACAAGCTTCATTTGGTTCGAGTTTGATTGCTCCGTCATAGCATTCGATTGCTTCTAGATATCTTTGTAAATTATAAAAAGCGTTGCCTATATTATTGTATAAATCAGGATCGTTTAGATCGAGCTTGATTGCTTCATTGTAGCATTCAATTGCTTCTAGATATCTTTTTAAATCATAAAAAGCTTCGCCTTTATAATAATAAAAAGGAGCGTTGTTTGGTTTGAGTTTGATTGATTCGTCTAAGCGTTCAATTGCTCCTAGAGTTCTTGCTAAATCGGCTAGAGTATTGCCTTTTTGATTTCATTCATCCTGGTAATAAGGATCGAGTTTAGAATTCTGGTTATTGCATTTTATTACTTCAATCTTTTTACCTACTCTTCTTAGTGAGAAATGCTCATTATAGTAAGAAACATCAATAATGATTTTTTGTTCTAAATTAAAAAAATAGTATTCTCTAGTCAAATAAGAAATAGTTGAGATGCATACTCCTCCTTTATTATATAAAAAATAAACTTGATCAGGATTGCAGCTGATTATCGATTCTGCTATTCTTTTCCAATTTCATAAACTTCCAATTTCGCTTTCATAGATTGATCCTTTTTCGCATTCAATCAAATACAGTCTCTCTGTATTTATCAGGACTTTTCTTTTCTTCTCTGCAAACTCATAAGGAATTGTTGAGAAAGAGTCAATATCAATTGAGTATAACCAAAGATTTCTATTAAGAAATCCAGAAATCAAAATGTTTCCATTAAATATTATACTATGGCACATATAATCATATGTTGGCATCTGAGCTAATTGAATTCATCGATTTTGTTCCAAATCAAATCTACTAGAGAGAGTTATTTTGTTTCTACCCTTTTCTCCAAAGCAATAGATGCTGTTGTTGAAATAGATACATGATGTGCCAGAGCAAGGAGTTCCAGATGGCAACACTTCGACTCCACAATTCACATCAATTATCATTGGAATTCAAGAAGATGAATAACTACCAAAGCAGAATAGCTTGCCGTTTGGAAGTTGAGCCATGCAAGTACCTAAGTCTAGTGGTTGTTGAGTCTGCAAGATTTTGACTTCTTGGGTTTCATTTTCAGTGTTATAAATAATCAAATTAGTTCTTTTATTTTTATAATCTTGTATAATATTATAGAGAGATGTCCTTTGCTGGTAAGCATTAAGATAATCTTGGTAAGCTTGAATTAATTGTGGGTGTTAGGGTGTTAGGGTGTTAGGGTGTTAGGGTGTTAGGGTGTTAGGGTGTTAGGGTGTTAGGGTGTTAGGGTGTTAGGGTGTTAGGGTGTTAGGGTGTTAGGGTGTTAGGGTGTTAGGGTGTTAGGGTGTTAGGGTGTTAGGGTGTTAGGGTGTTAGGGTGTTAGGGTGTTAGGGTGTTAGGGTGTTAGGGTGTTAGGGTGTTAGGGTGTTAGGGTGTTAGGGTGTTAGGGTGTTAGGGTGTTAGGGTGTTAGGGTGTTAGGGTGTTAGGGTGTTAGGGTGTTAGGGTGTTAGGGTGTTAGGGTGTTAGGGTGTTAGGGTGTTAGGGTGTTAGGGTGTTAGGGTGTTAGGGTGTTAGGGTGTTAGGGTGTTAGGGTGTTAGGGTGTTAGGGTGTTAGGGTGTTAGGGTGTTAGGGTGTTAGGGTGTTAGGGTGTTAGGGTGTTAGGGTGTTAGGGTGTTAGGGTGTTAGGGTGTTAGGGTGTTAGGGTGTTAGGGTGTTAGGGTGTTAGGGTGTTAGGGTGTTAGGGTGTTAGGGTGTTAGGGTGTTAGGGTGTTAGGGTGTTAGGGTGTTAGGGTGTTAGGGTGTTAGGGTGTTAGGGTGTTAGGGTGTTAGGGTGTTAGGGTGTTAGGGTGTTAGGGTGTTAGGGTGTTAGGGTGTTAGGGTGTTAGGGTGTTAGGGTGTTAGGGTGTTAGGGTGTTAGGGTGTTAGGGTGTTAGGGTGTTAGGGTGTTAGGGTGTTAGGGTGTTAGGGTGTTAGGGTGTTAGGGTGTTAGGGTGTTAGGGTGTTAGGGTGTTAGGGTGTTAGGGTGTTAGGGTGTTAGGGTGTTAGGGTGTTAGGGTGTTAGGGTGTTAGGGTGTTAGGGTGTTAGGGTGTTAGGGTGTTAGGGTGTTAGGGTGTTAGGGTGTTAGGGTGTTAGGGTGTTAGGGTGTTAGGGTGTTAGGGTGTTAGGGTGTTAGGGTGTTAGGGTGTTAGGGTGTTAGGGTGTTAGGGTGTTAGGGTGTTAGGGTGTTAGGGTGTTAGGGTGTTAGGGTGTTAGGGTGTTAGGGTGTTAGGGTGTTAGGGTGTTAGGGTGTTAGGGTGTTAGGGTGTTAGGGTGTTAGGGTGTTAGGGTGTTAGGGTGTTAGGGTGTTAGGGTGTTAGGGTGTTAGGGTGTTAGGGTGTTAGGGTGTTAGGGTGTTAGGGTGTTAGGGTGTTAGGGTGTTAGGGTGTTAGGGTGTTAGGGTGTTAGGGTGTTAGGGTGTTAGGGTGTTAGGGTGTTAGGGTGTTAGGGTGTTAGGGTGTTAGGGTGTTAGGGTGTTAGGGTGTTAGGGTGTTAGGGTGTTAGGGTGTTAGGGTGTTAGGGTGTTAGGGTGTTAGGGTGTTAGGGTGTTAGGGTGTTAGGGTGTTAGGGTGTTAGGGTGTTAGGGTGTTAGGGTGTTAGGGTGTTAGGGTGTTAGGGTGTTAGGGTGTTAGGGTGTTAGGGTGTTAGGGTGTTAGGGTGTTAGGGTGTTAGGGTGTTAGGGTGTTAGGGTGTTAGGGTGTTAGGGTGTTAGGGTGTTAGGGTGTTAGGGTGTTAGGGTGTTAGGGTGTTAGGGTGTTAGGGTGTTAGGGTGTTAGGGTGTTAGGGTGTTAGGGTGTTAGGGTGTTAGGGTGTTAGGGTGTTAGGGTGTTAGGGTGTTAGGGTGTTAGGGTGTTAGGGTGTTAGGGTGTTAGGGTGTTAGGGTGTTAGGGTGTTAGGGTGTTAGGGTGTTAGGGTGTTAGGGTGTTAGGGTGTTAGGGTGTTAGGGTGTTAGGGTGTTAGGGTGTTAGGGTGTTAGGGTGTTAGGGTGTTAGGGTGTTAGGGTGTTAGGGTGTTAGGGTGTTAGGGTGTTAGGGTGTTAGGGTGTTAGGGTGTTAGGGTGTTAGGGTGTTAGGGTGTTAGGGTGTTAGGGTGTTAGGGTGTTAGGGTGTTAGGGTGTTAGGGTGTTAGGGTGTTAGGGTGTTAGGGTGTTAGGGTGTTAGGGTGTTAGGGTGTTAGGGTGTTAGGGTGTTAGGGTGTTAGGGTGTTAGGGTGTTAGGGTGTTAGGGTGTTAGGGTGTTAGGGTGTTAGGGTGTTAGGGTGTTAGGGTGTTAGGGTGTTAGGGTGTTAGGGTGTTAGGGTGTTAGGGTGTTAGGGTGTTAGGGTGTTAGGGTGTTAGGGTGTTAGGGTGTTAGGGTGTTAGGGTGTTAGGGTGTTAGGGTGTTAGGGTGTTAGGGTGTTAGGGTGTTAGGGTGTTAGGGTGTTAGGGTGTTAGGGTGTTAGGGTGTTAGGGTGTTAGGGTGTTAGGGTGTTAGGGTGTTAGGGTGTTAGGGTGTTAGGGTGTTAGGGTGTTAGGGTGTTAGGGTGTTAGGGTGTTAGGGTGTTAGGGTGTTAGGGTGTTAGGGTGTTAGGGTGTTAGGGTGTTAGGGTGTTAGGGTGTTAGGGTGTTAGGGTGTTAGGGTGTTAGGGTGTTAGGGTGTTAGGGTGTTAGGGTGTTAGGGTGTTAGGGTGTTAGGGTGTTAGGGTGTTAGGGTGTTAGGGTGTTAGGGTGTTAGGGTGTTAGGGTGTTAGGGTGTTAGGGTGTTAGGGTGTTAGGGTGTTAGGGTGTTAGGGTGTTAGGGTGTTAGGGTGTTAGGGTGTTAGGGTGTTAGGGTGTTAGGGTGTTAGGGTGTTAGGGTGTTAGGGTGTTAGGGTGTTAGGGTGTTAGGGTGTTAGGGTGTTAGGGTGTTAGGGTGTTAGGGTGTTAGGGTGTTAGGGTGTTAGGGTGTTAGGGTGTTAGGGTGTTAGGGTGTTAGGGTGTTAGGGTGTTAGGGTGTTAGGGTGTTAGGGTGTTAGGGTGTTAGGGTGTTAGGGTGTTAGGGTGTTAGGGTGTTAGGGTGTTAGGGTGTTAGGGTGTTAGGGTGTTAGGGTGTTAGGGTGTTAGGGTGTTAGGGTGTTAGGGTGTTAGGGTGTTAGGGTGTTAGGGTGTTAGGGTGTTAGGGTGTTAGGGTGTTAGGGTGTTAGGGTGTTAGGGTGTTAGGGTGCTTAGGGTGTTAGGGTGTTAGGGTGTTAGGGTGTTAGGGTGTTAGGGTGTTAGGGTGTTAGGGTGTTAGGGTGTTAGGGTGTTAGGGTGTTAGGGTGTTAGGGTGTTAGGGTGTTAGGGTGTTAGGGTGTTAGGGTGTTAGGGTGTTAGGGTGTTAGGGTGTTAGGGTGTTAGGGTGTTAGGGTGTTAGGGTGTTAGGGTGTTAGGGTGTTAGGGTGTTAGGGTGTT